CAATCTAGCTCTATACAAGATAAAACAAGCTGTAATATTACTCAGAGACTACTTCTACATCATTCTTGCATGTTCGCGCGTTGTGCCCTGTCTCTCCGCACGTTCCACAGCGTCGTTGGGATGGTTCACCTCCTTTACCCTGCACCTGCTTCTTGCCCTTCTTTCCATCACCACGCGACCTGAACTCCTTTAGGGCAGTCAATCGCTGTGCCTCTTCAACTGTAACACTTCCCTCTGTCTGTATTCGCTTTCTTTTATGTGATTTGCGCTCTGTAGCAGCTGCTAGAGCCTCTTGAAGCTGGGCACGCTCTTTTCTTAGCAAAGCCAGTTCGTACGCTACCTGTGTCCCCCCCTTTGCGTAGCTCTCAAGCGCGCCATAGATAGAGATTGGTGAGCTGCCCTGGTGATTCTTAAACTTCTCTCGAATCAGAGTCGATTGCGACTCAAATTCCACAAGGTTCTTTGGGGTTTGAGACTGCCAGGGCTCGTCGTTGGTGGGCAACTGGGGTGAAGGGGTCCGCAGCTTCACATTAAGGGTTGATATGACCCTTTCTGGGTCAAAGGGGACCAGTCCGGCCCCTCGGAACCCTCCCTGGATGTTGCTGGGAGTAATAGTCGCATTATAGGCTGCTCTGAAGCATACCAGGAACGTCTGCTTGTCTATGTGGTTGATCCGGTTGCGCAAGAGCTTGTTGACCTGATGCCCATACTCCAGCTTCAAAGGGGCAAAACAACCCACGTCAAGCGGCTGGAGAAGGTGCGATGAGTGAGCAGGCATAGTAAGGGTGATAATCTTGCTGTTCTTGCTGTACTGGAGGAATGCTGCTGACTGGTGGCTCTCGTGGCCATCTATAAGTAGCAGACGGTGGGTCCCAACAGTACGCGCCTTAGTATGCCTGTCAAAGTGCTTCAACCAGTCAACACCAAGCTCATTGTTGGTCCAGCCGTTTCTAGAGACCCCAATTACCCAGTCTAGGGGCAGATCTTCGTCCTTGTACCAGTTGGAGAGGTGTTTCTTGCCTTTGAAGATAATAAAGGGTGGAATAGCCCATCCTGCAGCATTCACGCCCAAGATTAACGTAGCCCACTCTTTACTGCCTGGCTGGACTTGCTTTGCTCGTCCTGGGTTCTCTGCGTCTGCAACAACTGCTCCAGGGGTAATCTGGCCCATAGCAAAGCCAGTCTCGTCGAAGTTGTACGTGTCTTCGTCCACGATGCCGTACTTAGCTTTAACATTGGCTACCAGGCTGAACCAGCCTTGTATTATCTCAGGATCCTCGCAGAGGGCTCTCTTGTAGTCGTACTTGCGGCTAAACTTTACTTTAAGCTTTGGTTGACGCTTAACAAACGTACTGGGCCAGTCTCGGCCAACAGGGGCCATTCCGCGCTCTGCTCGCAGCAAATTGGCCATATCAGCCACATCTGACAAGCGAGGGGGTTCTCCTCGCTGTATGAGGTAAAGAACATGATCAACAATCGCCTCCTCCGCGTGCTCGTCCAAATACCGTCGGCTAGGCATAGAATCAGCTCTTGAGGGCTGTCCCGCGCGTCGTCTGCTTAGAGTAGTTCGGGGCACGTTGTAGATAGCTGCAGCGCGTCGCTCTGAGAGATTCGCGTCTTGTTTAAGAGCCTGGAGTGCAAGCTGTACCTGAGCTTCTTTCAACGCGTCTAACTGGTGTTGTTGGGGAGGCATTAAGGTAGTAGTAGTATTTTGGTGTGGTCTTGGCAAAAGTGGCCCACTAGACCAGGTGGCCCACGAACCCAGTAAGCACGTTAAGCTTATAAATATATACTACTATTATTAGTAGAGATTGCGTGTATAGACGCGTAATCTGCTTAGAAATCTTGTTAGTATATTACTAATAAGAATAGTCTAGTATTACCTAGAATATTCTGCTTAGTAATATAGTAGGGAGGAAGAAAGTATAAGTATTCCTGTTCCTCCCTATTTTATCCTGTACCTAGCATCTAAGAGTATAAGCTATATATACTATTATATATCTTTATTATCTACTCTTTTATATTATCTTTATTACCTCTATAGGCTATACGCTTCCCTATTAGGAAATACTAGACTAGTTTGTCTAGGTCTTCTAGTCTAGGAAGAAAGTAGCTTAGCGTCCTCCCCCTACTTTCTTTACACTATAAGCTTAGAGTTTTTCTATAAATTTCTAGCCTCTGAAGTAAGATTTTTTAAGCTAGAAACTATAAAAAGGTAAAGTCTAGTTCTAAGGGCTTTTAGCTAGAGGGGGGGATCCTATTATATGCTTAGTAGCTTATGCTTATAGGTTACTTAGAGGAATCCTATATAGCTTATAGGTAGTCTTTAGACTTATATATATATTTATGAGATCACAGATCCTTACATCGCGTGTGTGCGTCAGTGCCGTGACGGTAGCCTTGAGTGGATAGACGGTTGAAGGCGTCGCGCCAACCGCTCTGTACATATCGTCAATCAGGTCACGATACGACATATCAAACCAATCCCTCCATAGAAGGTTGCACGTGTATCCAAGCATGGGGTTGTCGTCTGCAGTAGTAGCGACTAGGTGCCATGGAAAGGGTGGGGCGTCACCGGCTCTTCGAGCCTTGAGCAACTTGTCGATGAATTGTCGCAATTCGATATCTAACCTGTCTGTCATTGACCCCTTGCGATGGTATCGTATTGCTGGCTTGAACATGTTAGTATGAGGCAGTGATTGGGAGAAGCGACGACTGGAAAAAGTGTGGGGTTGTGAATTTATGCACATACCTGTAGCTGTAGCTTAAGTTTGTGGGGAGCAAACAGCTGCTCGTGGGTGAACTGCAGGCCTGCAATGCAACAAGCACAGCGAAGACGCTTAGCTGTGGAAGAGAGTAAGTGAGGCTATCGTCGAGAGTCTGTCTGGATGCGATGGAGACTTGCGAGCAAGTGAGACTAGCAGCTTGTGTGGGGTGAGGAAAGAGCTGCGCGGGCAGGTGGATTTGGTGTCAAGTGGACTGGGTGTGGCGGAGAAGGAGCAACGAGTAAGCGATGCCGGCGTCGGATGAACCTATGTGCGACGATGATGGTGTGGAAGGTGCGCTAGCAAGTTGAGACACACTGCGTGGGAAGGTGGGGTTGAGGTTAGGCTGATCCGGTGTGGTGAGTGTAGAGTGACAGGTATGCCGGCTGTCAGTTAAACCTACGTGCGACGATTAGAGTGAGCTCGCAGCTGAGACGGACTGCGCGAGTAGGTGAGGTTGGTATTAGGTGAGTCTGGTGCGCGTCGTGGAGAAGGGCAACACGCAAGTTGAGACGGAGTGTGCTGGCAGATGAAGTTGACGCCAAGTGGACCTGATGAGGTTGGGAGAGAGCGGCACCTCACAAGCTGCGTGGTGATATGCGTATACCTAGACGAGCTGTGATGGTAGATGGGGTTCATGTCACAGTTAAGATCGGCGTTGGTGAACATAGTTTGATGAGAGTATCATCGTATTTGAAATTGATACTATCACATCATATTATATGACACCGAGGTTAGATCAGGCAACACTGACGATATGCTTCCCAATGCCGAGAATGGTTGAGATGTTGTGTACATATCGCGTTCGGTCTCTCTCTCTTGACATCAGTAATCGTTCGTGTGGTTGTCGTAGCTGGTCTTCTTGAAAAACAGTAGTCTGCACTGTCCGCACTGCAAAACTCTAATACAGGCACTTTGCCAAGTCATACGACCAGACATCTTGAGATCGGGGTAATCTATAATGTGCTCCCGAAATGCGGTAATGTCGCGCACCAGCGGTGACAAGCAGTGCCCACATGAAAACCCGGCCTGTGCTTGGTCTAGCACTGCGGACATCGCGCAGTTCCCGTTCAACTCCCACAAGGCCTGCAGGTCCTCCGCTTTACCAAGTTCAGATGCCATGGCGTAGGCCTCCTTGAAGGACATCCACTTTCTAGAGACATTCTCGAACATGGCTTTATACATCCAGTAGTGCTCGGAATCCGACTTCCTCAGTCGCATCACTCTGAAGGTGGAGTACTTTGCATCATCTTGATGGGAAAGAGGTTCAGGATGCTCGTTGAGAAAAGCCAGGAACCCTGACCGTCTGCCATTGCGAGCTTATGATGGTCTCGTGAGCCTAAATCTGTTAATAGGAAGCAACGGATGAGACAAGTGTGGGAAGCGCAGGTGTACGTACGTGCATGTGTTGTAGCTGCAAGTCGTCATTTGTAGGAGAGCAAACAGCCGCTCACGGGCGAGCCGCAAATATGCAATGCAACAAACGCAGCCCAGACTCCCAGCTGCAGGAGAGAACCGCAGTAAGGGGGCAGCGGCCAGCATATTCTGTGGCAATCAGTAACACAATCAGAAAGTGTATGTATTCTTCATACTACTCGTGAGGCAGTAGGATATACGCAGAGATAGTCTGACTTACTCCGACATCCTCGAGGTCTACCCGACTTTGTCGCAGTGTGGAGACTAGTTCCCTAGACCGCGCGCTACACGTGCTTACAGTGAGAGGCGATGATTGACGAGGCCGGTAGTAAAGAAAGTAATACCATGAGAGGGTACTGGCTTGTAGGCAGCTCTTAAACGTGGACTGTTGAATGGAAGGAAGTAAAAGCCCAGGCAATCGGAGGTAATAGAAGAGACTAGTGCACTAACAATTACGTCAGGTGTGTGACCACGGAAGGCGCGAAAACGTGCTGATAAACAGATACATGCTTTACGAGTCTTTGAACACTATTACACGGATAGTTCTTACCTGACTCAGTACTGCTACAGGAACGTTGCCTGCGATGTTATATTCTTGTTGCACGATATCTTCTTTGTACAACAACATTATATTAGCTTTGAACTGCCAGGCTGTGTGTGCAACGGCATCTTGACTGACTGCAGCACTAAGTCCCATGTAATAAGAGGAGGTTCTACGTCATCAGGCTCAGTAGCCTCAGTGTTCTGCTTCGATGCAAACTGATGGACAATTTGGTGCATCAACAGAGAGGTGATAAAACTCTCGCGATGTCCGTATCGGCCGACTTGAAGACGTTTTGGCTATCACTCCACACCACCTCTTTCATTCATTGGAAGGATCAAGGTCCCACGATGTCTCGAGGTGATCAGATCGCCATTCAAATGAGAGTTGAGCGTCTTTCTCACAACTCGTCTTTGGCAACGCGATCGATGCTCTTGCCCCTAAACTTCTCGCCCTCTTTCGCGATTCGCCTCAACCGGAACACCTTAGCAGAATGGCTCTTGACCGGCGCCTTCAGACTACCTCCAGCCTTGACAACACCGATCTTCTCTCCGAATAGCCTCGGGTCCTCGTTGAGCAGGCCCTGATCGTACGGCGTTTCGGTCGCATTGTACCAGTTCGCCTTCTTGAGGACAGCAGCACGGCCCGCCTCAGACTTAGCTGCGATCAGCTCCTCAGCGGTGGACTCGGCCATGCGGCCGGCCCACAAATCGTGCACAGCCCAATCGAAGTTGACGTGTGGCGCTGAGCCGTGGGGTCCGAAAGGTGTGAAGATCTCGGATAGCTCGATCTCCATGTCCAGATCTTCGGCTGCAGCGTTGAAGAGGATAACAGCTTGGTCGCCGTTGTGCAGGTATCCGGCCCACACGTGCGTCTCGCCCTCGCCGTATTGGTCCTTGGCAACCTTGGTGTCCCTGCGGACACGCGTTACGGATCTGCCGTGCGGATCCTGGCTCAGTGCAATGATGGCCGGGTTGTTGATGATGGTCAGAGCTGAGGCAGGCATCGAGCGCAGATCATTGCCCAGAAAGAGTGGCGATTTAAGAGCGGCCCAGAGAGCAAAGTGTGCTTTGTACTCCTCGTCAGTCATGCCACCCTGGCCGACTTCGAGCATGTCGAGATCACTCCAGCCACCAGGAATGGAGCGATCTGCAAATGGAGCCACTTTGTTAAGAATGAAAAGGACAGAGCAGTGAGTACCAGGGGCGATGCAAGATGGGTCACCTGGCGCCATTGTGTTGCATCCACACAGGTCATCTGGTCGCTACGAAAAGGTCAAAAGATTTCTTCTCCATATGATTTGAGACCTACTGTGAAGCTGTCGTAGATATCGCCAGTGATACGCCACGAGTTGGAAATTGACATGCCCCACTTGAAAATTGTCAGTTCCATTCTTCCGCAGGATATTGCGTTCTTTACTTACAGTGTGCACTTGATCCTCTCCCCAATTGCAAAGGTTGAGCAGAATGTTTCGCCCGGAGGCCCGGAGAGCATCTGACATGACCTTGAATCGATTGAACGAGATCTGAGGCGTTCCAATTCTGCCCATGTGGTAGCAGCTATCATACTTCAGCATGTCTACGCCCCACTCAGCGAAGCTGTTTGCATCATCGACCTCGTGATCCAGAGATCCAGCTGACATTGAAGTCAGCTCCTTCAAACTCAATGTTAATGAGGCAGCTACTCACAGAAACGTGCACAGGTCATTTCGCCGGCACTGCTGTACATGCCATATTTGAGTCCTTGGCCGTGCAGATGATCTGATATCGACTTCAGACCATTGGGGAATTTGCTGAGTTCAGGTTGAAGTTTGCCGTTCTTGTCACGGCCGTTGACATCTTGCCAGCAATCATCCAGGACAACGTGGTCGTATCCAAGATCCCGGAGGCCCAGACTCAAGATCTGGTCTGAGGTTGTGTACAATAGGTCCTCAGAAACATCACAGCCGAAGGCATTCCAGTTGTTCTGATCGTTGTCAGTGAGGTGATCGACCGGAGAATTTTGTTGATGATCTCACCCATCCCATTGGAGGGGTCACAGCCAGGCCATTGTTGATTGCAGCCGCGCCGCTGAGGAGCGTTGTGGCGATGATGATGCTGTCTCGGTAAGGGGCCATCTTGGATGTCGAGATCGTACTGCAGCTGCTTGCGTAGCAATGTTTGTCTTTAAACACCGAGCACGTTCTGTGTCCGACCCGATAGACGAATGCCGACGCCAAGTGTTCCGCCCTGCGCTCTTGGGCAAGATCCACATAATACGCGTGGGAAATAGTCGTTGTTTTCCGCCGCTACGTGGATGTGGGGCCGTGTACCCGGGGACGCCCCATGCACATGTGGGGATTGCATTCCTACCTGGGCACTACTGGTGAGCTTGCCGATAACGAGGAACACGACAACGGCGATTGTTTCGAGAGAGCCAGGAGCGCCTCGTAATGTGGATCGTTGTCACGCGGCTCGAGTTCCATGTGCGGAGCGAACTGAACTAGGAAACGTAGCAGCCACCGATCTAGAACGAAACTTGTATCTTTGCTTCGCAAACAAGTTTGATGGAAGGCCCTCAAGCGGCTCATAGCGCTGTCAACACTGGACCAGAACGGGCGCAGTCGCAAGAGTATCTCGAAGTTGCGTTCAAGGCGTGACTTAGCCTGTCGTATCTGGCCATTATCGCCTGAGAAGAGCAGGGTGTGGATCTGAACCGTGGAGGCTATCACGAGGATATGCGCAACCGCTGGGTACATGACCTCGCTGCCAGGAGTCGCAAAAGATCGATAGACCACTTCGCAGAGTTTCGAGGCGTGATGCTTACAGTCCGCAGCATATAGCGTTGAGGTAGAGATAGCGTCTGCTCCCAGGAATTGATAATTGAGCAGCTGACCATAGTGGTAATACCCAAGGTACAGTGCTGCAAACATGCGTCCAAAGCCACGATCAGCAAACCACTTGAAGTTTTCAGGGGTATCCCTCATATGGTGAGGTAAGCTCTCCAACCAAACACTGAGTTCTCGAGACAAGGAGCGCACTCCCATCTCCAAGGTCTCGCCTTCAAGATGCTCCGATACGCATTTGCGATTGAAGTCGATGACTTGTAAAAGTATCCTGTTGAGTCTAATCATTTCCGTAAGGATTGGTGACTCGTATGTTGTTGGGTTGTTGATGAAATTAGACGTGAAATCGGCGCTCATTGACGAGAAGGGGATCTCGTCGATAGGAAATGAGACCGAACTGTGCAAGGGCATGATTCTCGGAACCTTGACTGCGGCTGATGACCACACATCAACCATGCAAACAGTCCACCACACTTGAATCGCTCCACGGTCAGCAAACAGGTTGAGTCAGGAGGCAAGAGCCTGCTCGAAGGGACCAATCTCATACCTCTGATATTGACCTCTCTCTCTAGAAGACTTGCAACCGGTCTATTGGGCAGGTCAAGGACCAAACACATACGACCTGCCGTGCTGTAGTACACATTCTCAACATCTGTGTCACCATGGGCAGCTGCATAAGCACCCAGCAATACACATGCTTGTACCGTGACCGGGGAGATATCGCGTAGGTTCAGTAGTGCCTCGCTTGCAGTGCGGAATCCTTCGCCCCTTTCTCTTGGATCCAGTTCCATGTAAACTTGATTGCTCGAGAATCTGTTCGGTAAAAGTCGGTTTAAGTTCACATGTGAATCGACAGATGGCCTTACCTGCTTGAAAGTGCAAAGATGGCGAGTAGGATGATTTTCGGCACCCTCTCGTGTGCAACATCCTCGGTAAACGATGGACGATGATACATGGAGTGGAACTGATCATGAATGTAGTCAAAATACAAGCTCACCAGCTCCAGTCTCAGGGGCATTGGCGGCAATTCGGTCGGAGTCTGACATTGTGTTGGTGATAACGAAACTCCCGGTGACATCGGCACCTGTTGAGTTGCTTCAAATTCTTCGATTCTGGCTTGACGTTGAGCGTAGTAGCCACCGTCAGGGGGCTTCTGGACACATTGCAATGCTCGAGACCGACAATACTCGCATGCAATCACACGATCAGACCGGTCGCTTGTCAGATAGATGCATTTGCGCCGTCGTGCTCTAGGATAAGTCAGCAAAGCCCTGTCACACCAGGTATGCGGTCGAGGCTGGGGTCGCTTACCGGCAAGTACTGCAGGCTGATGGTTTGCGCATCGCGCTACAATCCGTCGATCCACGTCGGAAAAGTCGTGGGTCTTGTACTGGTAAAGGGCGGAAAACTCCCTCGGCAATGTGGTATGGGTTCTACAGATGTGACGACGAACTTTGTTGTCGTCCGAAAAGTCCCCGCTTCATCCCTCGATGTGGAAAGGATTGAGGCCAAATCGGGGCTGTCTCCGCTGTCGAGAGACTTGCCAAGCTGGGAACCAGAGTCGGTCTGCTTGTGCCTCGGGTCTAGAGGCGGATTACTGACGGAGAAGTCTTCGATCAAGCCACGTGAGAAATACCCTGCAACGTGCAGATTCCTCGATTTCCCTCCTTGGTATTCAGGACAACCGTTGTTTGCACGATTGCTTGTCAAAGGACCCCAGACCTGACTCGAACGCTAGATCTGATTGGACGATCGTGCAGCCACGCACCTCTCCACGCAGAGGAGATTGCCCCATGGGACAATCTGTGTGCCTGCATCTCCCCGCAAAATTAACAAGACTTGCCTGGTCTCGGTCCATGCCGGTCGTGTGGTTTTCCCTTTCCAGACCAGTCTGCTGAGGAGCCGCCATCATGACTAGGGTGCCGCGGCTGGACTCTTCACTCTGAACAACGGTTGCTCGACACACACACACACATATAAGCTGACACTTTCCGGGGTTCAAGTCTTAATTACTCACGATCAGCGTGCGCATAGAGGATATCTCCTCAACCCTCATAATTGAAGGGGTGCTCACCTGCAACATCCCCTTTCCCAGTTTCATCCCCACCATGTCCAACCTTGACGACAAAACCGTTGGCCATGTGGCCGAGAAAGTCGACTCGACGACAATCGGCCACGGCGCAGCGGATGGCACAAATGCTGCCATCTCCAACGAAGCCAACATGTCGGTCCGTCAGAGTTTGCGATTCTGGTGGAAAGCCATTGTATTTTCCTTCCTCATCTCGCTCGCTGTAGTGATGGAAGGCTACGATACATCTCTCATGAACAAATTCTTTGCTTTCGAGCCTTTCAGAAACAGGTTTGGCGATCAAATCAACCCCGAGGGTGGTAGGGTTGTTTCGGCTCGATGGCAGACCATCATCCTGAATGGCACCCAAGTAAGGCTTCCACCCCCAACAACGTAGTTAATCATTCTAATAGTGAGCAGGTTGGTTGCATTCTCGGTCTCATCATCAATGGGTACATCACTGAGTGGATTGGTTACAAAAGGACGATGGTTGTCAGCATGATCGTCATGATCGGTTGCATCTTCATCCCCTTCTTCTCGACCAGCCTTGAAATGTTCTTGGTAGGAGCCTTGCTTCAGGGACTTCCTTGGGGCGTGTTCCAAGTGGGTTTTTATTTTGGTGTTGGTGAAATAGAGCTGACAGTTTCGTGTTAGACGTTAGCCATATCATACGCAGCCGACCTCTGCCCCACGCATCTACGAGCATATATGACCTCTTGGGTAAACATGTGCTGGGTTATTGGTGAGATTGTGTAAATAAAGACTTGCTTTATGTTACTAAAAGTCTTTTAGGCGGGCTTTTCTCCACGGGCGTGCTCACTGGCCTTATGAAGAATACCAGCCAGTGGGGATATAGGATTCCCTTTGCGTTGCAATGGATTTGGCCGGTTCCCATCATAATCGCCACACTTATGGCACCCGAGTCACCCTGGTGGTTAGTCCGCCAGGGACGTATCGACGATGCTCGCGCGGCTATTAGCAAGCTCACGGCACCCCAGGAGGGCGTCGAGTTTGACCTGGACGCCCATGTGGAGATGATGATTGTCACTGACCAATTCGAGAAGGAGGTCTCAGCGGGTACCAACTACTGGCACCTTTTCCGCGGCAGCGACTTGCACCGAACTGAGATTTCGGCTATGGCCTTCATCACTCAAGCTCTTTGCGGTGTTCCCTTCATGGGATTCGGAACTCAGTTCATGCAGGGAGTTGGCTTGAGCCAAGATGACTCTTTCCATCTCACTATCGGTCAGGACTGTTTGGGGCTTGTTGGCTGCTTCATTGCATGGTGGATCATGACGAAATTTGGTCGCCGCAAGATGTACTTGACTGGTCTGTCAGCCATCACGCTGATCCTACTCATTGTCGGATTCATTGGTCTTGCACCCAAGTCCAACAAGAGTGCAAGTCTCGCAGGCGGTATCTTGATCATTCTCATGATCTTCTGCTTCCAAGTATGTTCTCTACTTCAGAAGTTGAATGCTTTTACTGATTCAAATAGCTTTCCATTGGGCCCATTTGCTACACCCTGGCTGCCGAAATCCCCAGCTCTCGCCTCCGTGTCAAGACCGTCGCCCTGGCTCGCGCCAGCTATAACAGCATCGTATTCGTCACAAACACAATCATGCCAAAGATGATCGGTGTGAATGAGTGGAACTGGGGTGCTAAGGGTGGATTCTTCTGGGCAGGCATTGCAGTTTTGTTCATCATCTGGGGCTACTTCCGTCTGCCCGAGTCGAGGGGCTTCACATATGCTGAGTTGGATCTGATGTTCGAGCACAAGGTATCGTCGCGCAAGTTCACTCGCGAGAACGCCGATGCCTTGAAGCCAGCACTGACGGACATTGCTATGCAGCGTGAGAAGCAGGCTGGCGTCGAGCGCATCGAGTCGCACGCATGAGGATAGTCCGAGTATGTACTGCACCGAGGCATGTAGGACTAACCACTGGGCACTTTGTGGGACTCAACTCAGTCTTGTCGCAACCAATAAGCTGCATAAACACAATTGAATAATCCAGGTTCCAACAACAGTTTTGTCGGGATTCTTGATCCTTCTTCCTTGATGCCGTTCTACCAAGTGGCCGGTCGGACTTGCACTGAATGGCTGACCGAGCACATCTATTGCAGGCACAAGATAAGATGGCAAAAACTTCTACGAAAAAGTGAGAGTACGATACAGCTGAAGGAATCTTTGCCACCCGCTTGCGTCTCACCACCGCCTGCTCTCAGCTGTGCCACCCAAGTATAGCACGAGCAGCTCGTATTGCTTGGTGAGCAAGCTGTGTCGCTGCGTCGCTGCATCGCACAGCCAAGACGAGAACAAATCATGGTCAGGTCTCAGTCAAGACGAGTTCGAAGGTGCCCAAGTGGGCCGGCTGTCAAACCAAACAGCCAGACATCGTATTCGGAGGCAGCGGCTGGCCGACAGCACAGGGAGGCACTCAAGACTGCAAAGAATGCCACAATATGCAAACATTGAGAGGCCATGAACAGCGGCAATTTTGATACGAGCAGCATGTGCAGGCATGCAAGCCTGTGCAGTCTCGAATTTAAAGAAACGAAACAAATGGCAGGGTGTGCATGACGATGGGTCTCAACGGGTGTGGGTGCGCGGCGCCGCAGCCTATGAATAGCAGGATGCGGCGAATTGGAGGGCGCAAAGGGACTAGTGCCCGCCTGGTCAATTCATGAGGACTCGCTCGGACGCCCCCTGTATGCACCAGCCAGCCCTTTCTCCAGCGTGACAGCAGCGGTTATTGCATCCTCACGCACACCACAAACCCTCGTTGACCGCCCATCTCGCTTTTTCTTCACCAGTCGCTCGTTTTTGGTAGGAAAAAGGACCCTTGACAGGCTTGCGTAATCCATCACGCCGTTGTTGACACGCCAACACGCTCTCGTCGCACTACCGGCTCCACAACACACCTCCGCACCGCATCCTTCAGCCGTTCCACGGCCCTCGACCCGACTTCTTCGTTGCATTGCGCACTTGAGCAGGACAATGAGGCCTTCGCAGCTGCTCGCCGGCCTTTTGGCCATGACTTCGGTCTCGGCCGCCATGCCCGACGCGTTCGCCAACATAAACGGCCTGGGGGACGTTATGGACATTTTCAGACGCCAAAACGACAGTATGCTCGCCACACATCCTACTTTGTACGCATTGCTGACAAACATCACCAGACTCGGCCTCAGCTTCAGAACAGCCCTCGAGCAACCAGCCCACACGCACAACTCCACCACAGTCATCAAGGGCCAGCGCCACCAACAGCGAGAACAACAACGATGCCTCGACAACCGAGAGGGCAAGTGCGAGCGGCTCGCAGAGAGCCTCGGGCTCGGGCAGCAGGTCCTCGACCAGGACGAGGGCTACCAGCTACGACAACCGCCTACCTGCAGGAGGTATCTCCATGGTTACGCCTGGTGTTTTCGCGGGCTCGCAGTTCTACAAGGTCGGCGACTTTGTTACCTTTGCCTGGAACTACACCTCGCTGTCTCAGACACCGACAGCCATTGACATCCTCGCTACCTGCACCGCCAACCAGGCCACATACACCATTGCTGTCAACCAGTCAGCCACCGAGACACAGGTCGTGTGGGATACCAAGAACACCCCGTCAGGGCAGGTGCCTTTCTTGACCGAGAAGTACACTCTTCTGATCTACGATGCCGATTCCAGTGTGAGCGCTGCTCCTCGTGCCGGATACCTGGGTGTATTCAACACCTTCCAGTTTGGCATGTACACACCGAAGCCGTACGTCCCATTCAACGGTAAGACCCACTTGAAGCCAATCGTACCGACACAGCTTGCTGACTTGTCCAGAATACAATTGCGTAAACTGCAACGGCGCCCTCTCTCAGTTCGAGAAGATGACGTTGAAGGCCGTCCTGCTTACAACAGGCACAACAATCGGTTCGCTGGCCTATTTCACATACAGCTTCGGCCTGTGGTAATGCACCACGACATGCAGGCATCTGGACGCCTGACGTCTCGTACACGATAACGGCATTCCTTACGCTTCACATTTGTCTATATTTCACTCATTTCGAATCATAAAAAGGCCGGGACTGGCGCTGTGGGGTTGACAGCGTTCAGCGGGGGAGCAATCCACAATCATTTGGAGTCATCTATCGTCTGGAGTTCGAGGAGCATATAACTGTCTTATTATTCTGTGAAGGAAAGGGGACTGCACATCTTAGGCTACTGACCAACAAGCGTCTTAATAATGCGGAAGATCGCGCTTGCTAGACGCACGAGATGTAATATTCAGGGTGTTTGGCTAGGACGAGGCAGCGGTGCCACAATGCATCTAAGAGATCAAGAACATACATCACCATTCTGCTTGACTGACGCGTGCGATGTTTACTTGTTCAGTGATGTTTACTGTTGTTTGTGTATTAACACTGTGCCTAGAATGCGTGCCAGCACTTGGCAAGAATGCAATGGTATCTCGCGCCAAACCTTAACTCCTATCCGCGAATTACACTTGACGTCAATATCCTACCTAGGTCCGACGCTCAGCAGCGCTCTACCCTCGCCCAGCAGGCCTCGCCCTCCACTCATCCTTCAGCACCCAACGTCCCCTCTGCGCACTCCCGCTCCGCTCCAGCGTCGCAACCGCCTTCAGCATCTCCTTAAACTCCTCGTTGCGGCCCGGCTGCGCCCGCACGTAGTGGTCGAAATGATCAACCAACATCTGGCTCGGCACGGCGCCGCCATGCGTCATCATGAAGTCGCGGATCATCTCGAGCATGCGACGGCCGCGAAACGACGCCGGCGTGGTAGCTGCAGGTGTGGACGCGCGCGACGACGAGGCGGACGTCGATGCACCCGTTGATATAGGGCGGCCTTGTCGCGCCGCAAGACTCGACAGGATCGAGGACGAGGATGGCTGGCCTCGGCCTAGGCTGCTGCCTCCCCGCCCACCGCGACCACCGCGTGATGCCGAGGCACGAGGGGAGGGCGCAGCGGGGCGTCCGGCGGCGCCGTATGTGCCTGTCCATGTTGGCACGCCGGCGGGGACAGCGCGAGCTTCCTCCATGCTTTTCTTGAGCTGCTCGGCGGCGAGGGCGGCTTGTCGTCTGGCTTCGCGCTGAACGAAAGCCGGGTCAGCTTGGATCTTACGCTTGCGGCCGCCAGCAGTGGAGTTGACGATTGCGTCGTGCTCGAGGACGGAGTGTACTCCTGTCTTTGCGAAGATGGTGGACATTAGACGACCGTCTGAGGCGGGTTTTTCTCCTTCAGCGCCCTCGCCTGCACTGTGTGAGGTGTCTTCGGTATCGGAGATGGGGGCTTGGAAAGCCTCGGCGTGTTGAATGCCTTTGACTGCCGCAAGATCTTTGGCTGCTGTCGCATCTGGGGCGGTCGAACTGCCATCCTCGTCGAACTTGACTTCGGAGCCGCGGAAGAGGTTGCTTGTTTCTGTCTCGCCGTCTGCTGATTCGCCGCCCAATGTGAAAAGGTCGTGCAGATCACTCATCTGGAACGTCTGGCGCTGCTTTGGGTCTTTGAGTACTTTGTTCGTCAAGAACTGCTTGAAGATTTGACGGTGGTAGATCTTCTCCTCAATGGTTCCCGCGGACATGAGTCGATATATCTCGACCTCTCGCTTTTGCCCGAGTCGCCATGAGCGTTCTCGTGCTTGGATGTCGGTGGAAGGGTTCCAATCGGGGTCGTAAATGATGACACGATTCGCACCAGTCAGGTTGACACCGAGTCCACCAACCTTTGTCGTAAGCAAGAACACATGCAGATCCGGGCTTTTGTTGAACTCATCAACAAGATCCTGTCGATCTTTGATGGGTGTCTCGCCATCCATACGGCGGTAGTTGATATCAGGTAGGTGGTTGAGGAATTTCTGAAGAATATCAAGCATGATACGGTGTTGAGCAAAGAGTAATGTCTTGTGGCCGCCCTTCCTCCATAGAGAGAGTAATTCCTTGACCACTTGCATCTTTCCAGACTTGTTAGGTGCACCATAATCATAGCCAGGCTGCTTTGACAATTTTCTATGCTCAGTCAGGTCTGGGTGGTTGCAAATTTTTCGAAGATAATCAACGCCGTAGAGCATCTGACGCTTGCCAGACGAGATTGATTTCATATCCTCGGAGTGCAAAAAGCCTTCGTATGCTTGTCGCTGCTGACGTGTCAGCTTGCAGAATAGTACTTGTTCTTTTTTCTGCGGCAGATCGGTCGCCACGTCGACCTTGAAACGCTGTAGTAGATATGGGCTGATGGCATCCTTGAGCGTCTCTGCGCATTGGATTGCGGTTTCGAACTCGAGGTTTGAGGCATTTGCGTACCCACCGCGCTTGATGGGAAATTCGAACTGATTTCTGAAGTTCACCAGTGTACCCAGACGCATGGGAAAGACGAAGTCAAACAGCGACCACAGTTCGCTCAGGTTGTTTTGCATGGGTGTACCTGATAAGATAATGCGATTTGGTGTGCGAAGCTCTTTGCAGTGGATTGTGATGGCCGTGTTGGGGTTACGAATCTTATGCCCTTCGTCGAGGATAGCACATTCCCACTCAGTCGCTATCAGAAATTCTGAGTAGGTCTGAAGTCCCGAGTACGTTGTAACGAGGACATGGCCGTCACGCTTGGCCTTTTCGATGATTTTCTTTGCCGCTTTCCCAGCTCCAGTTAAGGTAGTGTCGTAATCACCATAGCTACGCAACTCCATCTCTCGTTCGGCTCGGTCCTCCCTTTGAGTGTTCAGCATGCCACTGCCTGATGTGTGCAAGATTGAGACACGCAGAGCCGGCCACCAGCGATGAAACTCGCTGACCCATTGCTTCATAACTGTAGCTGGACACACCACGATTACAGGTTTGATGAGCCGCTTGGAGTAGTGAAGGCCTGCAACAAACGAGATGGCTTGTATGGTTTTACCCAAACCCATCTCGTCACCGATGATACCCCCTACGTTCTGTTGAAATAACTCCCAAAGCCACTGCACTCCTGTCTTCTGATATGGGAACAATGCTGGGTATATGTCTCCCGGTATGCTGAACCCACCCTCTAGGACAGTATCGGCTTCTGTGGGATGAGGTTTGAACCACTCTTCTTCTGCATCGTCTTCGGCGATGATATCGCCCGCTTGTTCTCTTGCTCGCTTTCTTGCCGCAGCACGATCCTTGGACCACTTTTCAATGCGCTGGCGGTACACTTTTTCATTTCCATCGTCGACTCCCGTAAGATCTTCTTCCTCTACCTCAGCCTCGGGTTCGGAGACAGCTTCGGTCTTTCTCACTTTCCTCCCCCTAGCCTTGCGCTTGTGGGCAGCGCTCGAGCCAAAGTCTTCATCGTCGTCGTCGTCGACAACAACGTCAGAGGCGTCTTCGGAATCATCCATAGTTGCAAGCTGACGTGCAGACATACCGGGATCAAAGGCATCGTCACTCTCCCCGTCGGTCGTACCTGGGTCCACACTGGACGCTCTTGAAGCCAACACGTCACTTGTAGGTGTCAACTTCCGCCGCTTCCGCGAACGAGCCATAGGCTGAGGGCTGGAGGCTTCTGAACTCGCGTCAACATGCTGAAAACCTGGTTGCATCAAATTTCGATGCGAAACCGGGCCTGTAGTAGTTTCCTCGACCATGTCTTCCATCTCGGCATCAAGCATAGCCTCTCCTAACGTCCCTAGCCCAGCTTGATTCTGTGCTAACCTCGAGAAGGGTGTGATCTTGCCGGTGCGGATCAGAAAGTCGCGCCGACTTTCATTCAGCAGAGGACCGTTGACACCATCATGTTCTGGCTCCTCCCCTTCAGGCGCGGCATGCCGTTCATTGATGCGCTGTTGTATCGCATCCATCTCCTTGTCGAGATCTTCAATCTTCAGCTGGTATGCTGCAACCTCTCCGCGCAGCCGGGCCTTGTGCGTATCGACCGCAGGCAGCGCAAGTCGATTCCGCAGCTTCTGGATCGCAGCTTCAGCACGCTTTGCTTCTGCCTCTGCCTTCTCTATGCGCTTTTTGTCGCGAGCATCAGCCTGCTCAGTGAGCAGCTGGTCTGCCTGGCGGCCGATATCGCGCTCGAGATCATCCTGCGCCCGAGTCCCAGTTGTAAGGAATTTCAGTCGTGTTTCTTCATCGGCGTCTGAAGCTATGTCCTCTTCCTCGCTCTGCGCGTCTAGCACGACCGCTGTGTCGTTCGCCTCCGCGCCGTTCGAGTCTCGCGCGTCGTTCACGGCGAGAATGGGCATAGAGGTGACTGTGGCATCATTGCTAGAAGACGAGGCCATATTTCGGATTGTGAGATGCTCAAGAAGCGGCGACGCCTCACGGTCAGAGCAGGCTGAGAGTGACTGAAGAAGTGGCGATCCGGTACGAAATGTGGGGAACACGGGAAGCTACAGATACTGTGAGTTTACCCTCATGGCTTCATGTTCACCGTGAATGTGAGGTTCTCGCAAATGCCATCGACTACCTATGGCCAATGCGATTAAAATTGTAACGAAGCGATGATGACTGCCACTACCTTCTAGGCGGCCAACTGGAAGGATGATATCATCAGACGCGCTAATGACAGAGCGGGCACGGCCATTACGGGCGCTCACGTGCCTTTGACCTAACGTTAGTCTCCCGAGGTTACCCGACTTCTTGAAGTCGTATGTGGAGTATATACAGCTTGCTTAATTCCAACAACTGCATACAAGTCTAGAGTCTAAGTTCGTACTCGCTACTTTAATCTTAAGATGGACTACCCACAAGCGATCATTTCGGCTCCTCCAGACAAACGCTCGTTCTTACTGTCCTATGGACACAGCCATTCAATGCTAAATCAGCAATTGGACGCTCCGTCGAAGACTTTCACCCCGAATTTCCACACTTGATCCACCGTGACCTTCCTCTCACATCCTGTCGAGTTGTCTTGCAGGCTAAGAATGACCAAATCTGCATCAGCTCCCTCTTTGAGACTACCTTTAGTGTCTTCCAAACCTAACATCTTTGCTGGGGTCTCCGTGACCGCTTTCAGCGCCTCTGGTACACTTGCACCTGTCCAATTCAAGAAATTGTTTACACAGTCCATAAGCTGGATACTGCTCCCAGCGATCTTGCCATTCTCTTCCAGTGTAAGCAACGGACCTTGCTTGATGATGCGCGACCCGTTTGTCCATTCGTAAATACCATCGGGCATCCCAGCAAGACGCATGGCATCAGTGACTAAGATCAAACCTTCTGGATGCGCATTCCATGCAATTTTGATAGATGTGGGATGCAAGTGTGTGCCGTCTGCGATTATACCAAAGTATGGTTTGCGTATGGAGGAAGACGGCGTACCAAGCAGACCAAAGATGCCGGGATTGCGGTGATGGAGAGGGCGCATGGCATTGAACAGATGGGTGATCATGCTTGCACCAGCTTTTATACCTGCTTTCGCTTCCTCGTATGTAGCTTCCGAGTGTCCAATCGAAACTCTAATACCTCTCTCTGTAAGAGCTTGGATGGAAGAGAGGGCTCCTGGGAGCTCAGGAGCGAGAGTGATAAGCTTGATAGGCGAATCGTGTCCAACATGAGCAGCACCATAACAAGCAGCTATGTCAGATATGCCATTTGCTGGCTCACGTAGGAGTGTGGCCCTGTGGATACCATTTTTCGTGCAGTTCAAGAAGGGGCCTTCGCAGTGGGCGCCCAAAGACTCTGAACCATAGGCTGGGTCGCGATCCGCCCCTGACGGTCCCAAGTAGGGTAACGCCTAGTATCTATTAACAATCCGTCAAATGGCAAGATATCCAAATACTGACCTTGTGATAAACCTCCGGCTCCTGCGAAGTAATTGTCGGCAAGTAAGATGTTACGCCAGCAGCAATGAGTCTTCTGTTGACTCGCAGCACACCCTTGCCGTAGGCTGCAGCACCCTCATCAGGGATGACCGAGAAATCGAATCCGTATGCGCCGTTGAGCTGGGTCTCGATAAACCCAGGAGAGAGTATGCGGCCACCCAGGTCGACGACCTCTTCGGGCGCGGTCTTGTGCTCGAAGAATACCTCTTGTCCATTTAGGATCTTACCCGTGATGGAGCTGACCCAAAGATCCTCGTTAACGAGATCATTTCCTTTAACCAGCAAGCAATTGGTGAACTTGGTTACGCCAGATCCTTTCTGTGCATAGCACGGATTACTACTCGTGGTGACCAGCGATGGCATGGTGTACACTGTGAGACTTGCAGAAGCCCAAATGGTGGAATATTGGACCGTAAGGGTTGGAAGTAAGGGAATAGGCCAAGGCACTGGCCGGAAATGGAAAGGGAGTGCGGTTGAGACAGAGCTCAACCAACCTCAAAGGACGGGCGCGCATACGGTGGTATTAAAGAGGCCTGGAGTCCCCACAGATTAGCTACGATGACGCCAGTAACTATCACAGCTGGACGCAAGCTCCTGTCACAAACCCGCCGGATGCTGCCAAGAGTACACGCCTCCTAGACCAGCAACCTTACTGGCTGCCGGAAACGATGTGACACAACGATTTGTTCTGGGAGCTTATCGCCCACCACTGCATCCTTGAGACCCATCGCGGTAGTACTTGAGGTGGTATCGAAGCAAAGTCGTCGATAAGTTGATAACGTACGAAGCTATCACCTGGGCCTCCACAAGCGAGGGAAAAGTGGGGCCAAGGCATGCGCCTCCGGGAAACCATGAATGCGACCGTTGCATCCACCTCCATCTTTCCTCCATTAACAAGCCGCCGCGAGTCACGTTCAAGCCCCAACGCCCATCGCAGGTTCAGTTCGCTTCCGGGCCCTATGCGACAAGCGCGGTCATCATGGCGGCCAAAACCGAGAAGCTGGACCCGGTTTGGGATGATCTCGATAGGTAAGCTCCACGCGCGTTCTCATTCACACGATCCGCAATGTGACCGAAGACTTAGCTGACGTTATGATGCAGGACTATGGTATGTAGCTCTTACCACATTTATGTGACATGGTGAATAGGCCAGTAACGTGACATTAGGGCCAATTGTTCATGATGGGATTTGATGGGACTACTGTTACCCCACATATTCGGACAATTATCGAGAAGTTCCGAGTTGGCTCTATCCTGCTTACCGCAAAGAATTGCAAATGTGAGGAATCAAATTCGTCGCATGTGGCTCTACATGCGTTGCTGACGCTGTCCTCAAGCCGCAGAACAGACAACAAAGCTCTGTCATGATCTGCAGACAATCGCGCATGAAGCTGGACACCCAGTGCCTCTTGCCATCGGTCTCGACCAAGAAAATGGCGGCGTCAACAGCCTCTTCGATGAAATTTACATTCGCCAATACCCCAGCAACATGGGTGTGGCAGCCGCAGGTTCAACTGATCTGGCTTTCGAAGTAGCAAAAGCGACTGCACAGGAGATTGCTGCCTGCGGTATCAACTGGATCTTTGGTCCATGTTTAGACGTGCTCACCAATGCACGAAATCAACCACTCGGTGTCAGAACAGCTGGCGACGACCCCCAGGAAGTTGCTGCTTACGGCTGTGCATTCATGCAGGGCTACAAGGAAGCCGGCTTGGTAACACTTGGGAAGCACTTTCCATCGTATGGTAATCTCGAATTCCTTGGCTCAACGCTCGATGTACCCATCATCACAGAATCACTGGAGCAGCTGAGTCTGAGCGCATTGATACCTTACAAGAAAGCCATTGAAAAAGGTCTTGACTCCATGTTTGTTGGTGGTTGCGCAATGTCTTCAGCAGGCCTCAATGCTATGCACGCCTGCCTTTCTGAACAGGTCATCGACGGGCTCTTACGATCCGACCTGAAATTTGGAGGTGTAGTAGTTTCCGAGTGCCTGGAAATGGAAGCGCTCAGCCACAACATTGGTGTTGGTGGGGGAACGGTCATGGCCGTCAACGCTGGTTGTGATGTCGTTTTACTCTGCCGGTCGTTCGATTGCCAGCAAGAAGGGATGAAAGGACTAAAGACAGGCATCGAAAACGAGGCCGTCTCTAAGAAACGGATCTATTCCTCACTAAGACGTGTTCTAGCTCTGAAAGCCAAATGCACATCTTGGGAAAAGGCATTGAACCCTCCAGGGATCGACTACCTCGAAACGCTCCAGCCTTCACATACAGCACTGTCTACAAAGGCATATAATAGTTCTATCTCGGTTGTACGTGATAAGAACAGACTTTTACCGCTGACCAACATCCTGGAGAGCGAGGAAGAATTGCTCCTCCTCACGCCGCTGGTGAAGCCGCTGGCCGCATCCGCTGCGTCGCGAGAATTATCAGATGCTGCAGCTACTCATTCGCCAGAGCCCCATGCTTGGGAACATAGTTCATCTGTAATGAGTGGTGAGCGAGTATTCAGGGAACTGGGAAGGTCTCTAGCTAGGCAACGGAACGGCCGAGTGCTTCACACCTCCTACACAGCTAATGGTGTTCGACCTGTCCATGAGAATCTCATCAACCGTGCGAGTGCGGTCATAGTCCTCACAGCAGATGCAAATCGGAACCTGTACCAGGCTGGCTTTACCAAACATGTATCGATGATTTGCAACATGCAATACACAACTGGTGGCGAAAAGCGCGAGAAGCCTTTGATTGTGGTAGCTGTAAGCTCTCCATACGACTTCGCCATGGACAGTACGATCGGAACATACATTTGTACATACGACTTCACCGAGACAGCGCTGAACTCTTTGGTCAGGGTCCTGTATGGTGAGCTCTCACCAACAGGAACACTACCTGGAACTATCAGCAAAAGCCAGAAGCTGCATCCTTCAAGACAGCATTGGCTAGTGGAGAATTTCAACGAAGAACGAGATGCAAACGCTCTTGACGCACTCATCAATGTAGTCATGGAAGGCACAGCACCGAACCAGCGATCAGAACTATCAAGTGCGACTTCGAGCTCGTTCATTTTGCACCATCAAGAGGTAGAAGAGTCCCACTTCGTGGTCAGGAACAGTAGCACTCAAGCTTTGTACGGATTCTGCTCTACGTACTTCTTCAAGTCGACAGGCACGGGAGTCATCAGCGCTCTGTTCGTAGATCCAGCCCGGCGAAAATTGTCCATTGGCCACTCTCTGCACAACCGTGCTATCCGAACACTGTTACAGAAAGAAGGTATCAAGCGGTTCCAGCTAGGATCTCGGTTACCAAGTGTCTACCTGGGTATCCCTACAGGCCATGGTCCTGAGCGTAAACGCCTTAGATCGTGGTTTGCTAATCTTGGATGGAATGCAGCGCTTTCACGACCAATCTCTAGCATGGTAGCTCGTAATCTGCAGACTTGGACTCCACCCGAGGGTATGGCAAAGAGCCTGGCGAGTGCTGGTGCGCAATTCGATCTTGTGTATGGCTGGGACTTTGCAGGTCCCGTGCTTGACCATATCAAGACCAGCAATCGACAAGGCTTGGCTGAGGTATACAAGCTCGCGCTCCAAGATCCCCAGGCTTGCGGCATCATTCGTGCCAAACGTCCAGAAGATGGCGCCCTGGTGGGTACTGTAGTGCTCTACAACCATCACTCCCGCCTTTCGGAGTACATGCCACCACTCAAAGACCTCAATGAATCAGCTGGAGGCATATCTTCACCAGTAATTTCGCCTGGTGTTGGAGAGTATTCGACATTGCTTCAAGGGCTCATCCTGCTTGGTATGCGTCAAATCAAGGCACAGGGGTGTAACGCATGTTTGCTTGACTACGTAAGTTGAACCCTGGCTCACGATTGTGACACGAACTGATATAGGCAGATGGACGGCGATGGAAACTTCGATGGTTTCTCGACGATGGGCTTTGATGTCATGCACAACTTTGAAGAGGTATCATGCGATGCAGCAACATGGACTACGATACCCCCTGCTTGATAATTCGTGGTTCTTCCTCCAAGACGCTTTGCTATGATATTGAACGCTGGGAGGTAACACAAGGTTTAGTGATTGGGAAAAGGGATTAATTGGCATACCCGGCGTCACGGCGTTCCAATGTAACACATACCCTCCATGATCCTGAGTCAGACTTGTAGTTGGTATCTTGTTCGAAACAAATACAGATTGCTGTTCTCATCGAACTCGCGCGCGATAACACACCAATCCTTCCGATCGTCATGACGCATTGCCACTAGCGGGAGTCTCAAAGCGGAAGTGACGTGATGAGCAAGCCTTCGGTTGCACCTGCCGCACCACCACGACCTGAGCAGGTCGCATCCCTTCGCACCCCTTTCCGGAGACTGAGAAAAGCTGGAGTAGGGTGAGGATATGGACAAAGACTGCGTAGTATGGTGCCGAGTAAACGTCGTCGGGATAGAGCTGCGGAGCAGAAGTGAAAGCTTAGGTTATTTATAACCGCACTTACCGAAGCTTCGAACTGGAGGTGGAGGAACAGCTGCGATTCGTTGCCTGGCTCGTTCGGCTGCACGGCGCTCCTGATCTGCCACTGCCAACGTTCGGCTTGTCCGTTCGAGAAGCTTTCGAGAATCTCGGTCGAGGTGCAGCCTTGCCGGGCAACAACGCTCTTTGGCACGTTTCTCTTTGTCCACGGCCTGCAGACAGACGTTGCTGGTGTTCGCGCCCCACCGCGGGAGCTTTCCTCGCCTGCATTGTCGACTCCCGCGCAATCTTGGCGATTGCGGCCTGCATGTGACCACTTGGGTGAGGCTCGAGTCGCACAGCTTCAGCAGCGACAGGCGCTGCGAGCTACCGCAATATTGTCTGGTACGCACGCTCTGCCGACTGCGCTCCCTCTGCGGCGCTTGCATCAGCGACATCGCCAGCTCCCAATCGCTCGCCAAAACACACCCGTGCCCTAGCCCATACACTGCGCCCGCTCCAACCCCAGCTTCTCCGCGCCCACGACCACCAAGCGTGCCTCACCACTGACACCTCCACCTCCACCACTACCCCACACCGCCTGCCGCCTGCCGCCTGCCGCCTGCTCGTCTCTTCCCGTCCGTCGCGCGCATGCGCCTTGCCCTTGACAATCCGCACGCTCGCCATGGACGGCTTCGACACCACCACCATGTCGTACCTAGCGACTCCCATGCTGATGCAGAACGTCTCTGGGTCTGATCAGCAGCACATGCAGATGCCTATGAACTCGCTAGATCAGTACGACCAGCGCTCTGTCTTTGACAACGAAACGTTCGCGTAAGCAGCGCCAGCCGTGGGTGCGATTGACTGCTGACCCCGGCGCACAGCAGCGAAGATGCCTTCTCGGTCTCGCAGTACCACATGCAGCACCCCGCGCCGCCCCTCAGGCGCTTTCCAAGCACCTACGAAGACCCGTTCTCCGACGTCCACAGCACCTACGAGCAATCGGTGCATCCACACGAGCAAAATGGCGTACCCGAAAGCCCCAATATCGATAGCAACAACAAGCTGCTGAGCTTCTCGCTACCAAGCGTTCCGTACACTGTTCTTGACCTCGGTCTGCAACAGAAAGTAACCATGTCCATGTCCGCCCAGCTCCACGGCATGTTCTTCCTTGCCGAGTCGCCATGGGCTACAGCCGGCGATGTGCAACCTCCACCCTCGGAATTGACTTGCTATCGCCGCAATCTCTTCCAGATTACTGGCACCGTCACGCTACCGAGGAGCATGCACGTAGTCCTGACTGATCACGGCGACCAAATACCCATACTTGGCCAGGAGCTCACCATATCTGCGACCGAGTCTCTTGAAGGCAATTCCGTCAAGATCATTTCGGTGCCGTGGAAAACGCCTGCCACGAGTACGGTGCCGATTGAAGACAAAACAGAGAAGGAACCTCCCACATATCCTTTGGATCTGTCGACAGGCCAGGACATGGACAGCAATTACGTCTCTTTCCCCATAAGCTGGAAGCGATTGCAATTTCGCATTGCAACCGCTAATAATGGGAGGAGAAAGGAGCTGCAGCAGCACTTCGTGGTGCGTCTGAAGGTTGTAGCAACGCTCGCTAATGGCGCCAAGATACCCATGTGCGAGATTCACTCAAGCGCAATCATTGTACGCGGCAGAAGTCCCAGAAACTTCCAGTCGCGCAAAGACATGCCCATCAGTGGTGGAACTACGCAGGCGCGCAAGTCTCACATCCCCCAGCAGCCGAGTCGCACGACCACCGGAGAGACCGTGCAGACCAGCCAGAGCCACGGACAGAACAACATGACATCGACTGTGAAAACAGAAAACATGATGCAGATGCCGTACGACTTCAATGCGAATGAAGTGCCAGTGTCACCAGACTTTCTCGACTGGAAGATCCCCGGTGGAGGTGCCATGACTGCGATACCTCCAGACCCACCGTCATCTCAAATGATGCATGCAACGCCATACGCGCAATCAACACCCGAGGTCTCAAGAAGCGTTCCTCCTTCACAACGAACGCCGATAGCTCCAGTCACTCTATCACTTACTGATGATGAGCCAAAGAAAGCACCATCGCCAGTGGAGCATGCCAGAAAACGCACTGCACCACCGCGACCGCCTTCATTCTCTATAGGCGTCATCAACAGCCCTGACGAGAGCGCTGATCTTCTCTATGAGTATTTTCCTCTTGGTCTCGATGACTGGATGCCGCCTGTCGACGCCGTCTACCGCCCACATGTCGTTCATCACACCAACTTACCACAAGATCCGTCATCTCTTGAGCGGAAGAGTCGATCGAAACGGTACTTTGAAGCCTCTGTTTATTGAAACATCAAAATCGAATGTCTTCAGCCATGCAGTTGCAATGTCATTCCCTACCGGGGATACGCTTCGTCTAGGTCGTTGTTTGTACCTGCGTGGCGTCGAGAATTTCTTAACTGAAGTTCGATATTCAAGTGAATATTCCGACACGTCCTCACTCTTCTTGACCGAGGGATACGTAAAGTGCATCCATGATGGATCACACTCGCCGGATTGGGTCGACAGGCTTCTTGAAGCAAATGCTTGACAGGTAAATGTCGCCGAGTCCGCAGCTTGGCCCTGCGCACGCTTGCATCTTTTCTTCGTACACAATTCCACCTGCTCGGTCGTCAGTTCTTGACTCTCAGCGAGCATAATTACTTCGCCTTACGACCGTTACGACTTTCCTCGTATCACCTGATCGCAACGACCGGGCTCTATCAGGGTTATTTCGGATGTCAGATGTTTCGTTACTGTACCAGATTGTGGTTTTTTTTTCTGGCGTTGGCTACAGGCAGCACTATATCCACCGATTGCGAATTCAATGAGTACTCTTTAAGCACACATGATGATTTACAACCCGACATGTCTTTTGGATGGTTACGGTTACAGGGCACAACGGCCAGGTCACAACACCTCTACTGCAACCTCTTGTAAAGCACGCCTTCCCACGACAAGTTACCATTCGTCACTTTCACAGCCCGAACGCAACAACCGCTTGCAGCAGGATGGCGCGAGGATGTAACAGCAGTCAGCATGTCAGCAACGCCATCACGTTCGTAACGGTTCAGCTCTAGAAGAGATGGGTGACTATCTTTTGCGCAAATTTCTGCTGCCTGCTCAAAATTGTTCTGCCAGAGAAAAGTAAAGAGATGTGATCAATACCAAGCACACAAATAAAGTTCGTGTTGGCCAGATCAATATGAAACAATGTGGTCAAAGACAGCATATGTTGTGCTTGGTGCTGTGGTGTTGTTGTGGCATCCCGCCGATGGTCACCGACGATGCAACGTTCCATGGCCTCTGCATCCACATATCGGTCTCGGCATTCTCCATCCTCACACGTGCATCACGATCTTCGTTTTTCGAGTAATCAGGCTACACTCTACAGGAGCTTGGATTCCTGAAGATATCAGCACCGAACACCGGGCAGACAAGGCTTGGCTACCCTTGGCTTGTGGGTCGTCAATGATCCACGTGGGACTTTGTGGATACGAGTAGCTTCCACCGATCAGTGCCTTACAACTCACTAAGACAACCTCATTTCCAGGAAGAAATTGCTGAAAAGAGCAGGTGGAAAGCATCTTGCCAGCTGAGGCTTCACGCTCGATGGTACAGTTTCAGGGTCGTGTCATCAGGGTGACACTGCAGGTGGAGTGTCGTCAAGACTCACTCAAGTATCGCGAGATCGAGACCAGCCCTTGTTCCTGCATTTAGTCACTACGCTAAAAGCCAAAGTGTAAGGAACGAATGAGGAATTCCACCTACCCCATACACGCCACCCTCCGGCCCACGTCTCTTGCATGCTACACACATGCCTTATCAGCCATGTGGCTGCAGACGTCAAGACACCATGATACCCTCCCCTTGCTACGATATAAGCCTTGCACATGCTCCACATTCTCCACACTGATCCTGGCCCCTGAGCGCGATACCACGCGTCCATACCGCCCGCGCCTGCACAATGCGATTATCCTGCCATGTTTCATCCGCGTGCATCCGCCCATGCCTCCATGGCTCCGTGACTGCTACTACCTCGTAGAGAGCACTCCATTACCTCGTGTCTGATGCATGAGACCGGAAGGGGCTCGATCGGCGACGATGCATCCGGTTCTCGAGGGAGGTTGAGTCCTCCACCGGATGTGACTTAGACCTTGATCCGCCGAAAGTGGGAGGGTAAGACTCGCGGACAGTCTGCTTTGTCATCACAGCTATTGAATTAAGAGAAAGAACAGCGGGGCCAGACGTGATAGGATAGTGGTTGATAATTGCATTCGATGGTGTGTGGACTGATACCTAGTCCCTAACAACTGCAATGCGATGTAAACCGAAAACGCCTAGGGAACTCGTTCCTTCATGTCCCCTAATGCTACCATGAGCCCAATGGCCGATCTAGACGACCGGAGATGCAAGAAACCTGTAGCCAAAACATATGTACAAAACTCCATCGCTGAAAGGGTATAGAGCGAAATGCTTGTGATGCGCGTGTGACACCATGTCTCGTATCAGCACCAGCCCGTGGTGCCGTTTGCAAGCTGGCTTACTGGCCTTCGAGACTGCAGACGGAGACGGCGGCGCCGAAGATGGCGGACTCGATTGCGATCTCGAGCTTGATCGAGTCTGACTCGGCGCCAGATGCAACGGCAAGCTCGTTCAGGTGCTCCTGGCACAACTCTTTGAACAGCGGGTACTTCTCGATCACAGAGCCGTTGCAGCCAATGCTCATCCGACCGGCGGAGGCTGGCGTGAGGCCCTCAGCAGTGGTGCGCAAAGCCCATAGAGCATGGATTCCCGTGGCGAGGAAACCCGCAGCACGGTGCGAGACAAGCTGAGAAATCTGGCGCACGAATTGGATGTCGTTGTAGGAGGGCGGCTTGCTGAGAGGGTGCTTGGTTTGAAGCAATGCAGTGGCGATGCTGAGGTGCTTTGAGCCGTCCATTTCCATTGCCGCAATTGTTCCTGTGTCCAAAGAGTAGGGCTCATTCATCTTCGCTGGCAATTCCCCACTGAATAGCCCCGCAGTACGGACAGCCTCAACGATGATCAACCGGACGATTTCCCCGAGGTAACGACCGCTGATCATGTGCTCAAATGGCTGGAAATCCGGTCTCATGTGCGTTGCATTGAGTTGATCATCCCATCGAGTGGTCGGGAAGACGTTTTTCCCGAACATGCTACATTCGGTGTTGACAAGGACATGCGTGGCCTCGTCTAGCCATTTTTGGGGGTAGCCTTTGTACTTGGATGACGCAAGTGACGAAATGGGCAGGTGCACGGCAATATTGAACCCTGTACCGAGGATCACAGCAACGCGCGTTGATGGATCCTCGTAAGCCCGTGACAGCAAGGTTGCAGCTGAATCGTTGACAATAGAATCCATGTGCACAGGTAAACCCTAGTTGATGGTCAGTTATGTGCTTGATGACGGTCATGACGTAAAGCATACCCTTTTCCTGCACGGTGCCATTATCAGTTCGCTAAGGTCTTGACCAAGAACACCATCAGTTGCGTGGAATCCTTTGCCCATGTCAAGAAGGTTCCCGCTGCGTACTGAAGTTTGTCTGAAAATTGTCAGTTGTAGTGTCGAGAAGGGTATCTGTACACATACTCAATCGGAAAAGACCAGGCCAGACCTATAGGAAAGCTGTCCATATTGTCGACTTTGTGAGGGGGAGCATCTGCAAGGGCAATCTCGATCTTCTCTGCCATCCAGTCGAAGAAATCAGTCCCTCGGCGCTGACGAACTTTCTCATCGATCTTGAAGCTTTTCATATTGACGATGCGCATATTCTTGGCACCGGGCTGCTCGCCGTTCAGCTCTACCAGAGCAATGCGGAACGTCGAGCCGCCAACATCGAGTGCTAGGTACGTCCCTTTTTCAAGCCCCGTTGGCAATTTGTGGTTGTATGATGGCAGCATGCAAATGTCACTAGCTTGTAACTTTGGGGGTAAATTGCTCCTGTAGTCCTGCGGAGATTTGTTGCAGCCTTGCTGTGTCCAGGGGGTCCTCCAGCTGGCGCTGGACTTCGCGCAAGAAGTCGTCCATAGTGCGATCGTAGGTCCGCAGAGCCTCACGCATGTTGCGCTTCCGTGAGGTCAACGGCAGGACGGTATGGATCAATGAAGGAAGCATGGCTAACTGCTTCAGAGCCGCAAGTAGGCCCTGCCAAAAATGAAGCATGGGCTGTTTGTACCAACAGCGGTTGTCGTTGTTGGTCAACGAATGGTGACTGCTATCCGAAGCGCCGTTGTAGTCGAAATGTTGGGTGACGCGGCGGCTTTTGAATCGTCTCAACGTCAGGGAGGGCATGGAGGGGCAGAGTGTGGTGAAAGTAGCAACGACAGCGGGGCCAGGTCTTAGAAATGAAAGTCGTTTGCGTGTGTTATATCAGACTCGCAAAAACCAGCAAGATTCTTCCAGTACTGTGGATTCCAATGCACAGCGAGGTTGCTGCGGGCCGGTGGTGACCGATATCGCCTGGTGATACGACCATCCAGAGCAAAAACGTTGTATCTGCTAGAAGCACGGCAGCAAGGACGCTGGTCGCGGCCAGCGTCGCTGGCGCCAGGCAAGGCGAGTGCAGGCAGGGCGAGCGTTGGTGGGGTTTCTTTGCTACGTTACATTCGATCACACGCTTAGCCACATGAAGGCGCGAGGCCGGAACTCCAGCGGATGGCCCGCCGCGATTCAGTTAAATTGCAGGCGTCCTGCGGCTGTGGCGATCTCACTTGTCCATATGTGCGACCACGGACAAGGGAATCTATTGCGGTAAACTTGGAAATAATGTTCTGCAGCCCGCGGCATGAGCGAACGGGTGCACGTGCCCTTCCCGCTTTTTTGCGGCAAATCGTTTCCATCAGCCAGGTAGCCGTGTGTGGTTAATCAAACGCCTCGATCCAATACTCCGACGTCGTCACTGACTGAGGCGTTTATGCGCATCGAGCATGTTATGCAATACGGCTGCTTTGAAGCAAACGATCATCCGTTAGGCATCTAGTGACGTTCGTCGATAACACAACCTACCCCGCATGTCCGCATGTAACACGCTGCCTCGTGGCTAGGGTGCAGTGAGCCCGTACTCGAGCCTGGATTGAAACCTCGTGTTGCGTACCGTGGCTGGCGAGAACGAGCTTGTTGGGGGTATCCAGCAAGCCCTGTATACTCCAGCAAGGACAAGTTTGCCAGCCTTGCGCAAAGCAATACACATTCAGGAATGCCTCTGGGATGACACCAAAGGGATCAAACGTTCCATTGCATTCGAAACCGCTGTGTACATATCTGACGCAGGGTAGAGGGTCCCTTGGGAGCTTCCTCAAGGGACAACAAACATACCGTCATTGGGTGCTACAAGCTTGTGCGGCTCCATGAAACGACCGCAGCAGGGGATTCGAGATCTCTTTTGCGTGTTTGTAGCACAGTAGAAGTTATGGTGCACCTTCACGGAAGAGAACGTGGCTGCTGGGAATCCTTGGGTCTGGCCACCTCTGGTATCAACCATCATCAAAGGTATCAGGGGTGTGGCGAACCGAGTTCACCTTCGCTGATTGATGACATGACATATGGTCTGGTCTATGAAGTCTTCTTCACTGTGTGGATACATTGTTACGAGCCCTCCAGTGCCACTCATCTTTCAGTATCAGATATTGGTGTTCACAGAGACACGATCGATCGGATGGTTCACAGATATGGATTGATTAGAGAATCGATTTGCTGGACTCGCTACTATTGCTGCCGCTCGATGCATGTGAGAATGAAGGACCCGGGGTATCGCACAGAGACCTGTCAAACAGCTCGGTAATCGAGTGTCTGAGACACAGGCAACATTACTCTGCGAAGTGATATACAGGAAAGATTCGGGCCAAATATGGTATCCAACATGTTAGGAAATTGTCAACACAGTCATCCCTATCCAAGACTACAATAAGATACTCTCATGATTCGTGGAACTTGCGGTCAAAGAAGACTAGACTTTCTCAACATCATCGTTCGCGGAGGAGAGGCGAGCCTTTGGGGCAACTTCAGCGACAGTCTCGTCGGTGAAGGCGATGTCCTCCTCGATCGGCACCGTGTCTTTGACCTTCAAGAGGATGACAGGAAGGGCAATAAGCAAGCTACCACCAAGGAGACCCCAGTTGGTAGCGAACATGTCCATGTATTCGATGCCGTTGTTGTCCAGGGCCCACGTGATAGCGCCACCAGCAGATTGAATACCTTTGTAAAAACCAGCGAAGTTCGCAAGTTTACGGCCGTTGTTGGTCAGAGCACCCATGAACCAGTAGACGCAGGTCTGCCATGCGGCATCGGAGAAACCATAAAACATGTAAAGAACAAAGGGACCTGCGTAACCAGAGTCCGACCAGTCCTTCTTGGGGTTGGTCGGGTCAGCAGCCCAGGCTCGATCGTAGGTTGTCTGAAACATGTAGCCGAAACCCCAGACGAGCATGATGGTAGTAAAGAGAGCGGCCCAGGCAGCCTTGGCACGCGTCGTACGGCGGACTCCCTTGAAGTCGAGGGCAAAACCGAAGACGTATGCGCCAACAATTTGCATGATGTAGTAGACTACACCGTTCAGTGCTCGAGTCCGTGTGTTGAAGTACGCGCCGTTGACCTCGGTGAAGTGGTAGGCGTAGAACCAGTTAGATGCCAGGAACATTGGGAACAGGGCGATGATGTATGGGTCAGTCACGAAAGTCTCGCCGAGACCAATGATCTCAGACTTCCATGAAGGGTGCTTCATGACAATAACCTTAGAGCCATCAGCACGGATAACGTCCCGTGCATCGACAAGTGTCCATGAGAGCGCAGCGCCAATGATGGTGAGGATAAGGAACCCAACGTAGGTGCCATCGTTAACTGAGGATGCCGTAGTGGTGTGCATGTTCTGACCCAGAGGAATCTAGCGATTGTTAGGACATTGTGTGTTACACAGGCTAGCGAGTGACTTACCAGACTGCCAATCACAGCACCCAGATTGAAGATCATCCAGAACCAGGAAATGTAACGGCCCTTAGACTCCTCGGGAGGGTAGGACATCATAATGGCGCCTTGAGCACACCAGAGCAGACCAGCACACACACCGAGAAGTGCGCCTGCAAAGGTGGTGAAGCCCAGATTCTGGGTGTGGTTGTAGCTCAGGTAGGATGCGACGTATACGGAGTAGCCAATGCCACCGAAGGAGAGCGCAGTGCGGATTCCCAACTTGTTGGTGAAGGTTCCCGCGAAGAAACCGACGACAGCGAACGTGGAGTACAGGGCGGTGTTTGCCTGGTTGTTCGCGGTCGGGTCAAGCTGACCACCTCCTCCCATGCCATTGAGAGCATTAAACATACCCGGGCACATGAAGCACACGAGAGAGACGATCACAAGCTGGACGGGAGGCGAAGCCATCCAGGGCAACTTGTAGCCGAAGACGCTGAAGCGCTTGTACTTCCATGAGTTCGGAAGTTGCAGCGTGGTGCTGTCGCTCAGTGAGTGTTCTGGAGTATGGACATCATGCGCGGGGACGGCGCTCTTCTCGTCGTTGGTGGTGGTTGACATTGTGCAACGCGCAATATGGGAAGAGCGACGGCAGTTGCAATGTGTGGAGTCGATCTCGCGGGTGCAGCGGCGAGTTGGTTGAACAAGGCAAGAGAAGAACGGGAGAGCGAGCGATATGAAGTTAAGATATCGGGCTGCCGCTCAGACCACGCCCGATTCCCTGGCTATAAATAAGCGGGGTTGGTGGAGTGAAGGCTGTTAGCAAGGGTCGCCGCTCCCATTGACTGTTAAAGGGCGGGGGCGTGTCGCGTGCAGCCTGAGAACAGCATTGGAAAGGCACCAGCGATGCGCCAACTGGAACCCGAGCTGGCAGGAGGCGTTCGTGTTGGCAGATCACCAACCTGGCCTGTGCCACCGCCAGACGACGTCTTCTGGTAGCTCGACGCGGCCGCATGTGGAGCTTCCCTGTTATCGGGAGATTGCCTGACTCGCGCTAGTCATGGTGCGTGTAACCTCAATGCTACTCACCGTGCATCCACACGCCCGCTATCTTCACTATCACCACCATACCCACCATCGTCGTGCTGCTCCGTTGATATGCGAAGAGAACCTGGTGATGCTGGCTATCTCGTCGTGAATTGCTGTGACTAATGGGGCGGCAAGCATCAGCGCCAGAACAAACAGGGCTATGGCTCATGCTGCTGTGACATGGTCCCTCGCCTGTCAGCTTCCAGAGATAGGCGCGTTGTACCACCACGTTCACTTCTGCGTCCATCGCACTGCATCGTGAGCCATCTGACCCACCACGAGAGCGCACCATGGTCTGCTAGACGGAAGGAGCATCGATGCTAGCCATGGCCCACGATCGCATCCGGAACTTGTCGCCGCTGTCACGTTCTGACAAAGGAGACCCTGATTGATGAACGAGCTTGCAACCTGAGTCCCCCCGCAAAAGTGACGTGAATACGCCGAGGGCTCCGGAGAGCTCTCAAATATCTTCGTCCTGCTGGAGGACGATTGCTGCGTCCACAAGATCCCTACTGCTCACCTCAGAACAATTCCGGTCATCAGGCCACACGCTTCACCATGTATGCTCATGCGAGAGCCTGCTTATGCTCGATAGTACGCTTACCGCTTCTAGGCGGCTGATCATTCGCGACGAACCACAGGCTGCGTCCAAGTATATCGCAGACTACATCATTGGTGCTTATTCCCGCAGCTCCCTTACGCATGAGGCAGGTCGCTAACGTTGATGCATACAGAACGTATCAAACAATTCAATCCGACTGCTGAACGACCATTTGTGCTCGGTCTGCCCACCGGCAGCAGTCCTGTCCTCATTTACCAGCATCTTGTTCAACGGCATAAGTCTGGAGAGATCTCCTTTCGCGATGTGGTCACCTTCAATATGGTACGAAATATTGACCCTGCGTTGTCTCGACCCACCCTTGCCTCAGAGTGTGGCACAGCACCATGGCTTCGAGGAAAAGAGGCTGACCCGACCAGGATGAGTATGTTGGGATTCCACGGAGCCACCCCGAGAGTTACCACAGCTTCATGTACAAGCACTTCTTCTCCCATGTCGACGTGAAACCAGACAATATCAACATCCTCAACGGTAATGCTTCCGATCTTGAACTCGAGTGTCACAACTATGAGGAGAAAATCAAAGCCGTCGGCGGCATTGAGCTATTTCTGGGCGGTATCGGGCCCGACGGCCATATCGCTTTTAATGAACCCGGTTCCAGCCTCAAGTCTCGCACACGTGTGAAGACCCTTGCGTACGATACGATTCTTGCCAACTCACGATTCTTCGGTAATGACCTGGACCAAGTGCCCAGGATGGCACTGACAGTCGGAGTCCAGACGGTACTCGATGTGAGTGTCACCAACGTGTACGTGCTCACCTCAACAGTGTGGCTGATGTGACCCCAGGCGCGCGAGGTCGTCATCATTATCACCGGTGCGCACAAAGCATTGGCTCTACAAAGATGCATCGAAGGCGGTGTGAATCACATGTGGACGCTGTCTAGCCTCCAGGCCCACCCTCATCCAATGATCGTGGTCGACGAGGATGCCACACTAGAGCTGCAGGTCAAAACGGTTAAGGTACACAACACCAGCCCCCTGGCGCAATTCATCAGTGCAAATCGCAAGGGATCAAAGCTGAAACTCGACAGTACTTTAAGAGCATTGAGATGGTAGCCAGTGAGCTCGGGTTCCGACAAAAGATGCCGCGAAAAAGGGATTCTTTCATCGACGAGGGTGCCTTGCTCGTTCCCGCCCGGAACCAAGCCAACGGTATCAACTTGACTGTGCCACATCACGACATATCGCGGTCCGCAAGTCCTGTGTTCGAGCCAATGAGTGCCCGCCTTGACGACGAGGATGCTGCAGCGAAGATCAAGGAGTCCTGGGACGCTGTTGAAGATCAGCCGTCCGTTCGCATGAGCGCTCGCGTTGCCGGCTGAATACATCCTCCGTTGCCAAGGCGCCTGTGCACTGCAAATTGCATAAACACTCGTTTCGTTTTGTATTTCCGGCTTTGTACTGACGAGACTGGTTAAGAATGTCATCTTAGCAAATCAAGGGCGCTCCTTGCCTGATTGAAACAAATCGAGTACAGGCCCGAAAGTGTTCAGACAGATGTGATAGTGCGCTGGGCTATGGTTGTGCCCGGTATGATGTGCATGTTAGGCTTGTATGCTAGATAGATTGCTGTCAAATCGACAGACTGATCTAGTCGTGTACGTGTGTGCGTTGATGGCTAGAGACGTGAGTTGTGCAACAGGCGTCAGTCAGTCATTGCAATATGTAGCACGTTACCGAACTTTGTACTGTAATCAATTAATTGATTCTATTGTACGTTGAGATAGGAAATGACTTCCTTGTAACCGTAAGTGAACCACCATAAGTGGTTGATGATACTAAAAGAAGATTGCAATCGACGGACAAAGAAAACAGACTCGCTATGCTAATAGGAGAAAATTCTCGCTATCATAAAAAGATCGTAACAGAACGCTGTACAGAGAAAGGTCGTGATGCGCTTCCGTGAAACGCAGACAACTATAAGAAACCCAAGCTGCCTCAATGCAGAACAGTCTTTCGTGGAAAGATTATCGAAACATGGTCGGGTATCTCGAAAGAAATATACCATGATGCTTTTGCTGGAACAGATCCCAGCTGTTGTCATCAAAAAGGCCATTGCCCGCGCAGCATGCCTCCCGTTTATAGGGAAGACTCCTCCCAGTCACTAGCTGAGATGGGATCATGCCAACGCAGATCAAGACAATGAGAGTCGAAAGGTAAGCACGCAGGGAGGCTCGTCAGCAGCATCTGCCACCTTTGGACTTTTGAGCCCGATTTATGTCCTGCTCCCAGTCCTGTTGAGGACCTCCGACTCCAGGCGTGGCTGGAAATCCAAGCCAGCTCCGACGTTTGTCGCCAGCACCAATGCGAAAGCTTCCATTCCCATTTCCAGGGTAGTCAAAGTATCCATTGGTGTTGCCGTGCACGTCAATACCAGGTGTCATGCCAGCCATGGCGAGCTGCCTTTGCTCAACCTCAAATCTGCGTTGCTGTTGTTCGACAAGTTTCCTCGTGATGACGCGGAACACCTCGTCCACGCCTTCGCCATCCTTTGCGCTGATTTCGTGGCAGCAGTCCCAGCCAATATCTTGACCCCAGAAGCCACTGGATCTATTGCTCTGAGGAGATGCCATGGCGCCACTTCGGAAAGCTGCAGGTGTCGAGCCCCAGCCTCCAGAATGTCCATGAGATTCTTGCGTACTCTGGACAGGATAGAGTTGTTCGGCAATGTATGCTATACACCGCTCGAAAGGAACCTTGCGCTGCGAGGGATCTTCGGCAACCACGTCGGATTTTGTTCCCACAACATGCAGGATTATGTCGTCTCCGAGGTTCGTTTTGAGCTCGGTCAGCCAGCGCCCCATCTCTTCGAAGGATTGTGGGTCGGTGATGTCATAGCAAAGCACCGCCGCATTTGCACCTGTGTGAAATACATGTTAGCATGAGAACAGTGCTGGTGAACATATTGTCGGAAGTTCGACCTATCAGCGCGTAGTCTCGAAGAGTGGACCGTGTTATTCAGGCAGCTTTGCTAGCTGCGGCAACAACAGGGAAGGTTACAGGGAACGCTAGTCATCGAGAAAGGGGCAAGAAAAGGGACAAAGCACCAGGTGACCGCATGCCGTTGGGTCAGGAAGGAGCATATAGGCAGGCGCAAGTGTTGACATACCTCTGTAGTAGAGTTTAGAGATAGATCTGAACCGTTCTTGCCCTGCTGTGTCCCAAATTTGTAGCCGAACGACCGTCGAAGTATCAACATCGATGACTCGCTTCGTTAAGAATGATGCGCCTATGGTGGACTGCGTGGAAGGTGGTGCGAATGCGTTCTTCACATAGCGATGCACGAAAGAAGTCTTTCCTACACCCTGGCTGCCGAGCACTACAATCTTAGCTTCAAGACTGTTCGCCATATTGCCGTTTCGCCGATCGCAGGCGACTCTGATGAATTCGAGGTGTGCCGTTCAGGTGCGCTGGGGCGAATGTTACGGACGAGTCAGTTTGTTCTTATTCAGGGCATGCGGCTGTCCTGGTGGCTGTTGCGGTGGGTAACAAAAGAAAGTGAAGGCCGAACAAGTCTCATGGCGCGTGGTGAATCAGCGTGTGGCAGACACAAGAAGCAAGTCCTACGAGCTGCGACGTCAAGATGCGTGGGCCCGGCTCCTCTCACAGGCAGAGTGGATAGAAGGTGAGGGACAGCGGGCGGGCGCGTTTGCGCTAGATGAGCCTCTTGGCTGGTCAGGTGCTCGATTCACCTGCCGCGGAGGGCCTGGTCATCAGCGACATTGAGCATGCAGCGAAGATAGGCATTGCGCCCATCACGATCGGTCCTGGCAAACAAAGATTGAGCAGGCTGCGCGCTGCACGACAACGAGGTTTGTTGGACAACAAAGCAGTCTCTAGTCCGAACGCAATGCGCGTCATTGCCGCGCCCCCGCATTTGGATTCGCCCATGCGGCCGTGAGCTGGCAGGAGCCTTGCTGACCCACCGCCTACTCGCTTACATATGCAGACCCTCCGAGGGGCCGAACTCGCTCCTATCATAGGCATGGAATTACAATAGTCCGACTCGGGTTGCTCCTTTGGACGTGCCACGGCGGCCAGGCCAGCAGAAATGGAGTCTAACATAGGCCGTCCATGCAGCCGATACGTCCGACCGAGCACCCCGCAAAGAGATGTCCCGAGCTAATGTGGAGGAAATGGCCGTCACGAACCTGGACATTCCGCCCATCCTGCCTCTAGTGTCTGGAAATAAGTGAAGGCTCTCAATAAATTGGATTGTACTTCTCCGAGCCTCCTCCCTCCCCGGACCTTACGTTTCGCTCATTGTTACCCACGCCACCGTCATCATGAATCACTCGAGCAAGAACACACAGGCAGTCAAGCTCACAGGCGAGGACATTGCAAAGCACAACAGCCGCGACTCCTGCTGGGTCATTGTACACGGTCGCGCGTACGACGTCACCGAGTTCCTGCCAGAGCATCCTGGAGGTCCCAAGATCATCCTCAAATATGGTGGCAAAGATGCCACCGAGGAGTACGAACCCATTCACCCGCCAGACACACTCGAGAAGTACTTGCCAAAGGACAAGCACCTTGGCGAGGTGGACATGGGAACAGTCGCGAAGGAAGAGAAGGAGTTCGACCCTTACGAGGAGGAGAGACAGAAGAACATTGAGCGCATGCCTATTCTGGAGCAATGTTACAACCTAATGGACTTCGAGGCTGTTGCACGCAAGGTCTTGAAGAAGACAGCCTGGGCATACTACTCCAGTGCTGCCGATGACGAGATTGTAAGACGCTCGAGTTCAAACACGCTCCTATCGATCTAACACGCAACAGACTCTGCGGGAGAACCACAGCGCGTTTCACAAGATTTGGTTCCGCCCGCGGGTGCTCGTCGATGTCGAGAAAGTTGATATGTCCACCACAATGCTCGGCACCAAGGTCGACATCCCCTTCTACGTTACCGCCACGGCGCTTGGCAAGCTCGGACACCCAGAAGGAGAGGTCGTTCTGACCCGCGGCGCGAAGAAACACAACGTTATCCAGATGATCCCAACTCTAGCATCTTGTTCGTTTGACGAGATCATGGACGCAGCGGACGACCAGGTCCAATGGCTGCAGCTATACGTGAACAAGGATCGCGAAGTTACTAAGCGGATTGTACAATACGCAGAAAAGCGCGGCTGCAAGGGACTGTTCATTACAGTCGATGCACCGCAGCTCGGTCGCCGCGAGAAAGATATGCGATCAAAGTTCAGCGATGTGGGTTCTAGCGTCCAGAGCAGCGACGGGAAAGAAGTGGACCGAAGCCAGGGTGCTGCACGTGCCATCTCGTCCTTCATTGACCCGAGCTTGTCCTGGAAAGATATCGCTTGGTTCCAGAGCATCACTAAAATGCCCATTCTTTTAAAGGGCGTCCAATGCGTCGAGGATGTCATTCGCGCCGTCGAGGTCGGTGTACAGGGGGTTGTTCTCTCCAACCACGGTGGTCGCCAGCTAGACACAGCGCGCTCGGGTATTGAGGTCCTCGCTGAGGTCATGCCTGTGCTGCGTGCTCGCGGCTGGCAAGATCGCCTCGAAGTTTACATTGATGGTGGCATCAGGCGTGCGACTGACATTATTAAGGCTATGTGTCTTGGTGCAACTGGTGTTGGTATCGGGCGTCCATTTCTTTACGCCATGTCTGCTTATGGTCTCCCTGGCGTAGACCATGCCATGCAGCTGCTCAAGGACGAGATGGAAATGAACATGAGGCTGATTGGTGCTTCCAAGATCTCGGATTTGAATACCTCCATGATCGATACACGAGGACTAAGCACGCACAGCACGACGGTGCCAGTCGACACCCTCGGTCTCAATGTCTACGATGCACTTCAAGGACCCCAGGAGAAGGCTAAAGCAAAGCTCTGAGCTTCTGCCTTGGTCTTCTGTACACATGCATATATCTGGAGCGTTTAGATTTGTTCGATTTACTTGTAGGCATTATGTTTGAAAATAACAGCATACACCCAACTTGTTGAGTGCACCTTTAGTATTCATTTAATGATGCCATGGCTAACATGTTCACAAACATGACCACCCTCTAGTACGTGCACGTAAGAACGTGTGGTGATTTGTCCAGGATGGGACTGGGGTCGCAGTGGGGCTCGATGATCGTACCGAGATCACCGAACACTAGGTGAGGCGTAAGAGCCTCCCCTTCCTTCATCAGGACCTCAGCGTTCACGCGAGTATTGCATTTACCTCTGCATAATTTCGCTCCTTCAATTCGGAACAGGAACCTGTGGTCTCGGTGAAAGTTAAGCAGACATGAGCGCCTCAGATTCAACGGCGCAACCAGGCGTAGGCTGGGATGAAGCACAGTGCATGGCAGCGCTTGCACAACTCGAGCAGTTACAGACACAGGTTTGTCGACACCATGCTGTCGTGCGCAATGATACTGATAAACCTAGATCGACGATTTGCGCCTTGCGATACCCAGAATAATCGAGCCCTTCCACCGTCCACCGAACCCGTCAACCTTCAAATTATATTCACAAGGCGTCATCGGCTCCCAGAACGGTATAAAAGCTCTCAACGATGCATGGAAAGCTCCAGACGTACAGGAGATTCTTGCGCATACCAGGAAGAGCTACGAAACAAATACAGATTTGTCGTCCTCTATATCAATACCCTCGCATGGTTGGATAGAAAGAGAACGTCGTGAGCGAGAGTCGCGCAAAGGCAATGGGCAGCACACGGCTGTCGAAGACCACGGTGACAACTTGGACAACGAGACAATACTGCGCATCGTGGCGGAAATCCAAAAGGCACAACCGAACGTCAACATAGAGGCCCAGAACGACAACCGCAGCATAGTTGTACGAGACTCTGAGGCCCAGCGGATTCCAGTACTGATAAGAAGAGTAGATTCAATTTGTCGCTAACTCCCTAAGGCTTTCTTTCAAAGTCAACATCGAGCGCGAAGGCGACGCGCGACATAGACTCATCGCAGAGTGCTTAGGGACTTCAGAGCCCTTCTTGTCCATTACGCGGTGTCTAGCTTCACGACCATGCGCAGAAGATCTGATGTCCCTTCTAGTAAGATAACATCGACAATCTGTGATTGTGTTGGCTTTGTACTAAGACGAACAGAACATGATTGTTGCATACAAGACAGTGAAAGGCACATCCTGTGCTAGATGCACGAAGTTACTTGACGACACTACTCTGATTCCCACCGCCAGAAGAAACAAGCACATCACCGGCGCCAACGATACCCTAGAAACCGTTTGGGAAGCATTCCATGAGGGTTGTTTGTGAGATGACCCTCAGCGATACACTGCTGTTACTCGACGGTCACAGTCAGACCCAAGGCCTATAACGCTTAGACAATGGGAGGTACTCATTATCCTGGTACCAATTCCCATATAACGACCGAAACGCCTCCGGATACCCCTGTTTCCCGTTGGGCTCTGGCTGCCACTTGACGTCTGTCCAGGTGGCCTTGTTGAGCTTGCCGTACTTGCGAGTGCGGAAATCGTAGCTTAACCCTGGATTACGTCCACCAAGCATACCGTTGTGAGTCCAGGGTGCATACTTGGTTGACGACATGGACAGATCCTTGTCGCGATCATCGATGCAGGTCCAGTCAGCCCAGCGGGATCTGCTCTGTCGATTCTTTATGTAGTCCATCTTCTCAGCGCTCATGGCTATGTGGATATCGGGACCCTTACTATGCATGATGTCCTTCATGCGACCCCACTTGGACCCGTTTCTGCCATCCTTGGGCCAGATGAAAGCCTTTTGGGACTTGATGCCCCGGAATTTCTTCCCATCCTGGATCCAGGCACGGTGATCTCGACTGTATTCTTTGATGTTGCTTCGGTATGGCATGACTGCCGGATAGAATACAGGAAAGTGATAGTCCATGTTCGAGTAGTAGAGGCTGCAGGTAGAGGCTGCAGGTAGAGGCTGTAGGAAGAGGCTGTGGGTAGAGGCTGTGGTTCGAGGATGAGTATGATTAATCTTACGTCTGCTCTGTTCGATGTGTGACTTGTATAGTCTTCATCGTACAGCGTTTGTTGCGACTGCTTGCTCAATTGCGCGAACCCAATTGCTACGAAGGCGTGTGTACAGTCGTTTGTCTATCTTATTGTCAAGTCACTTTCTTAACCCATCATCTGATATCACTGTCACTGCATATAGCAAATCACGCCCCAACTGAACGCCCCGAAGACGCTAGCGTCCAAAACTGGTAAGCGCCGCTGTAGCTTGTTCGCGGCAGAGCGACGCGACCGCCGAACTTTTGACAACACCGCGCAACAATACCGTCAACATGTCGCTGTTCGGCAATCTTGGGGGCACCCAGCCTGCTGCAAATGCGGCTCCAGCCTCGTCTTCCTCGTTCGGATCCTTGTTCGGCAGCAAACCTGCTACAACGTCTGCTGCACCGTCGGGCGGCTTGTTTGGCGGGTTGGGAGGAGCTACCCAAGGTGCTGCATCGGGCACAACACAGCCAGCAAGCAGTGGAGGATTTGGTGGCAGCTTGTTTGGCGGCGCATTGGGCGCCAAGCCCGCTGCCTCTCCTGCTCCAGCCTCCTCTGCTCCTACAGGAGGTCTCTTCGGTGGAGCAATGCCATCGCAACCGCAGGCGCAAACAGGCAGCCTCTTTGGCGGTCTGGGCGGCGCGACGCAGCAACCGGCAGCCACAAACCAAACCTCGAACCAGACACAAACGGGCGGACTCGGTGCAGGGTCTCTTTTCGGTGCTGCCCCAACGCAACAGCAACAGCAGCAGGGTGCTGCTCCGGCGCAAACGAATGGAGGCACTAGCAGAACAGCACACTTCGATCACTTGCTCGAGAGGGGCCGCAAGCGCAATGCCGGAGAGAACGGTCTCACCAGCTTTGACGAGCTACCGTCGTTGCAGCTGGGCCTCGGAGACATCGCTCGCAAGGTCCGCAACCTAGGTGCCGGCGGCCCCTCCGCGGCTCAGGCCCAGGACGGACAGCAAGACCGTGCTGCGTACGCTCTGGAACCACATTGTGCGAAAACACATACTGACAAGACCTAGGCACTACCTGCTCTCTGCGTCTGGCGTGAAGCTGGGCAGTACCCTTCGCGACCTCAACCAATTCTCGTCACAGGCAGGCTACGGCGCAACTGTGTCTGCGCCAAACGTGTTCGATAGCGACGTCGATAGCTACATCTCGAACCTTCACTCCCAATCCACCCTTGCGCTCATTCAAGAAGGCTTGGAGCAGTCCAAGCGAGACTTTGATACATTCCTTGAAGACAACGTCCAACTTGAATGGGATAAACAGCGACAGAGGATCTATGAACATTTTGGCCTCGGAAGGCAGAGCGAGGAGATGGCGGCTTCACAGAGTACGTTCGGTGGCACAGCTCGAGGCGCGTTTGGTCGCTCCACACGTAAGGGCTGTTCCATGGGACCTAGAGGCGCTGCTACAAACGGCGCATCGACATTCGGCGCATCCTCAGGCGGTCCACCAGTCATTGGTTCCCAGAGCGTGCTCAACGGACGGGACTCTTCAGAAAAGTCAGGTTTTGGTGGACAATCTGGCCCACAAGATCGACATGTTCGCGACAAACAGGAGAGATTCATGGAACAGGTACAGAGCCTCAATGAGGATAGGCAGCGCGAGGTTCCGTTTTCAGTTCTGCATTCTTTCTCCAACGTAGAGAGCGGTACAGCCGGCGACAACTCAGATCACTTTGTCAGTGCGTACGGAGCTCTAATCTCCATCACCGGCGAACAGACGCAAGCAGAAGCCCTCAATCCCGGATCAGCCAACCCTAGACCACGAAGCTTCGCCCGAGACTACCTGGATGACGCAACCACATCGAATACCAGCATCAAGCTGCGTAAGCGTATCCTTGACGGATCTCGAATGTACCTTGAGAAGAGGTTCTTGGACAACGTGGAGGAGGTTCTTAAGAAAAATCCCTCTGAGGCTCTAGTGGGCGGTGTGCCTTCGTTACTTAACAAAATCCGTGGCTTTGTGCGAGCCAAGGTAGCCTTCAAAGAGCTTGGTGCAGATCTCGATCTCCTCCAAAGGATAGGCGAATCTGGCGAGGAGTATCCTTGGGTCATTGTGTTTTACCTGCTCAGGGGCGGCCTCTTCACGGAAGCTGCGGAATACGTGAAGGAGAAAAAGAACTTCTTCCAGAACAACGACCGGAATTTCCAGCCCGCCATCTCGCATTATGCAACGGACTCTGACCGTAGACTCAGCCCAGATCTTCAACAGAAGATCAGTCATGTTCATGCACAGCGGACACGTATCGCCACAGGGAATGATCCTTATCGAACGGCTTGCTACAAAATCATTGGCCGTTGTGAGATGAGCCGCCGAAATTTGGAGCCAATTAAAGAGTCCATGGACGACTGGGTGTGGTTGCAATTCAACTTGGCCCGCGAGAGCAATCGGGCTGAAGAGAACGCTGGCGAGATCTTTGGTCTGGAAGAACTTCGATCGACAATCAGAGACATCGGTCAGCGCCATTTCATGAATGAAGAAGGCGAGACTTCTGGAGGATATGGAGTCTATTTCTACCTGGCTACACTCGCAGGAATGTTCGAGCCGGCTATCAACTACCTGTACCAGCACAACTATGTGTCAGCGGTTCACTTCGCCATTGCGTTGGACTACTATGGACTGCTGAGGGTATCGGACTGGAGTACCGCCGGTAACGAGATCTTGACATACACCACGAAGCAGCAGCCACAGCTCAATTTTGGACGAGTGATCGGCTACTACACCGGTGACTTCCGCGCTGCCCGTGCTGATGCAGCAGCGGAGTACCTGATCCTGATCTGCTTGAATGCAGACCTACCGGGCGAGGCTGGTAAGCAACAGGCAGAACTTTGCCATGAGGCTCTTCGCGAGCTTGTACTGGAAACGCGAGAATTTTCGACGCTCCTGGGCGATGTCAAGTCTAACGGTCAAACAAAACCCGGACTCATCCAAGAGCGTGTATCACTGCTCAGATTGAGTGGTCAAGACGGTTTGATCAACACCATTACACGAGAGGCAGCGAAAATGGCGGACGATAACGGACGCACCAATGATGCTGTACTCCTTTGCCACCTAGCGAACGAGTACGATAGTGTCATTTCCATTTTGAATCGTGCTCTGTCGGAGGCTCTGTCCGTCGAGATCGGACAGGAGCCTCTTCGCCTTGAGCCGCTAAAGCCTCGTCTCCTTGCCACAGATGGACAACAGCAGCAGCCGACCGACGAAACATCCTCAAGCTTGAGTATGCTCGGGACAGATGATCCGGTCGACCTGGCGCGCAAGGTCATCGCTCTTTACGATGGCAACAACCTCTGGTGGCGGAAGGTCTCAGAGCTCAATCGCGACACAATTCGTATTCTGTTCCAGTTGAACGAGGCAAAGAAAATCATCGAGGCCCGTTCGTACATGGAAGCACTTGGCGTAAGTACCTTTCCGCATTGGTGTCAACCAGACTAACCTATGTTCACAGATGATTGAGAACCTCCGCATCCTACCGCTGTCCGCCAACGGCAATGTCTCAGACATCCGCGCATCGGCAAACAGCTTCAGCTCGTACCCTCCAGAGATCGCACGCAATATTGGTAGTGTACTGCTTTGGTGTATCGGGTGTTGCTCGCGACACCGTGAACACCTGCTCTCCGGACAGTTTGATGATCCCATGCGAAGGAGGCTTGCAGATCAACTGCTGCAGAAGGCTAAGGATCTTATGGTATTTGCAGGTCTCATCAGATACAAGCTTCCACCGCGAGTTTTTGAGACGTTGGCAAGGGAGGGTCAGGACGTTGGTGCTTATTGAAAATACATTGGCAGAGAGGCGCACCTGGAATGAAGGTCTGGATATCGCAGAAGAGCCCTTTGTCAGACACAGAGGTTAGCATGTAGACGGTCGGTTATGTAAAACTGATGGAAACGACGTACACAGCTATCAAATGTCTATGGTACCACATCGCTAGTGATCACATTCCATCGATTTTGAGATTGTCGATCTCATCATGAAGCTTGCAGCTGTCACCTGCTGGCGAGCGGCAGCTGCCACGTGCGCCGTCACCACCGTTTACGCTAGTAAATGCCAAGACCCCAGCCTCCCCAGCCTCACGTTCATCTTGCCGTACCTAATGCATGGTAATCTCCCCGCCACAAAGATGGTTCTAATACACTCTGCTCCACCGTGCTCGCGCGTTGTTCTGCGTTCGCATCGATCAACGGCTTTCGACCCGCATCTTATCACCAAAGCTCAGGACGATCATAACCCAACTGATTATGTTCTTCACTACTCAATACATCGCGCTTGCAACCATCGCCTCGACTCTGGTTAACGCCTTACCCCTCGACATCAGTCAGCCGCGTGACCTGGTACCCCGTGCAAAGAGCTACTCTGTCATCAATGTTGATGGAGGAGCGTCTACAGCGGCACCCGCAGACGCAACGACAGTGCAAGTTGAAGGGCCAACAGTCACTGCAGAGATTACAGCTACTACCACTAAGCCTGTACCTGTACCAGTAGCAACCAGTACAAGTACTAGCTGCACCAGCAGTTCAACATCTCAACCATCCTCGTCAACGCCAACACCCACTTCATCTTCGACAACAACAACACAGATAGCTTCATCGACCACCGAGGCGCCAAAGCCTGTGTTTGTCACTGTAACCGTCACCGACGGTGGGCCAACTGAGTACTACGACAATGGGCTGTGGCACACGTCCTACCGGGTCAAGACGTTCGAGGCTGTCGCAACTCCATCGCTACCCTAAACGTTGCGTGCGATAGCTCGACAGGTGTGCCTAGATGGCAGAATGGTCGCTGCAAGGCAATCAAGACGACTTGAGCACTGCTGTAGATCCTGGCGTTTTCTTCTCACAGCTACGGTCGACACGGCGAGTGTCGCCGCAGCCCCTGTTTTAATACGAGTTACGGAGTACATGATGTAAATGATGCAGGAAAGGCGAGAAGCTCGTGAACACGATTTAGTGCATTGGAACGGCGTTATAGACGGCGGCAACGGTACTTTGTGTGTTGAGCATGGTCACTCCATCCACAGACGAACACTACATAATATGAGAATATTTAACAAATGATGGCGCGAGGTTGTTCATTGGTGACATAATGACGCAGCGAAGCTGGGAGCTCGCATCCCTGCAGGTACCTTTGGTACTCTTGGCAAGCGCCTTCCATCCCGCCATCTTCGGCGGCCTGATCGTTGACCAGCGCCCTCCGCAACCCCGGACTCTGCACCGCCACGATACATAATGGCGTCGCCGCCCCCCGTTGAAGACCAGGCTCGCCTGCTCGAAGATGCCCTCGCCGTGGTGCGCCAGCAGACGATGCTCATGCGGCGGTGTCTCGAGACGCCTGGGAAGCTGATGGATGCGCTCAAGTGCAGGTACGCGGAGCTCCGGACTCGCGCTACCAGCGCGCAATTGCAGAGAGATGGATCGCTGATGGTGAACCCAGCTCGACACTCGTTTCGGAACTGCGCACAAGCAGCCTCGGCCCCAAACAGTACTACGAGCTCTACATGGCCGTCTTCGATGCCTTGCGCCATCTCGCCGTTTACCTCCGCGAAAATCACCCCGTGAACCACCTTGCCGACCTGTACGAGCTCGTTCAGTATGCAGGCAATATTATTCCTCGCCTGTACCTTATGATCACCGTCGGCACCGTCTACATGGCCATTGAGGATGCGCCAGTTAAGGAGATCATGAAGGACATGATGGAGATGAGTCGCGGAGTACAGCACCCCATTCGCGGGCTGTTCTTGCGCTACTATCTCGCTGGCCAGGCACGCGACTGCCTCCCCTCGGGCGATGGCGAAGGTCCAGAAGGCAACCTGCAGGACTCGATAAGCTTCATCTTGACCAACTTTGTGGAGATGAACAAGCTGTGGGTGCGCTTGCAGCACCAGGGTCATTCGAGAGAGCGCGAACAGAGGACAAAAGAGCGCCAGGAATTGCAGCTGCTTGTAGGCAGCAATCTGGTCAGACTAAGCCAGCTGGTCGATCTGGAGAATTACAAGAAGATACTCAACCCTCTGCTCGAGCAGATTGTACAGTGCCGAGATGTTCTGGCTCAGGAGTACCTGTTGGAAGGCATGTCTTGCGCTGTGTGTGTCGAGTCCGGCTAACAAGAAACAGTTGTCACTCAAGTCTTCCCTGACGAATTCCATCTGCACACCCTCGATCAGTTTCTCTCTGCGGTCGCAAGGTTGAATCCACATGTAAACGTCAAAGGCATCGTTGTAGGCCTCATGGATCGATTATCTTCGTACGCGCAACGCGAAGCCGAGTCGGAAAGTCCAGAGCAGCGCAAGAAGACCGAAGAGGAGTCGATAGCGCAGCTTCTCGAGCAATTGCGGATAGCGAAGGAGAAGAGTGCGGAACCCGAGCCTGTGCCTGTACATCAGAATGGAGACTCTGCTGAGAGTGCTGAGACACAACCGAGTGCAGATGAGACCTCGACTGCATCTTCGACAACAGCTGTATCCCTTGCAGACACCGAGACAGCTGAGTCAGACGATGCGATTGAAAAGAGACGCGGCATTCCGAGCAATGTCAAACTCTTTGAGATCTTTCACGAGCAGGTGCAGACACTAGTCAAGATGCAACGATTAGCTATACAAGATACCATTGGGTTACTCGTGTCGCTTGCAAATCTTGCACTGTAAGTCGAACTCCAGCATTGGATGGAGTATCTCTACTGATTGAGCTAGGAACATTTACCCTGAACGCCTCGACTACATTGACCAGGTTCTGACATTCGCCAACCAGAAAGTTACCGAGTATCAAAACAGCGCCGACCTACATTCGCAAGCAACACAAAGCCAAATCCTCAACCTCTTGCTTTCCCCTATCAAGACTTACGTATCCCTTTTCACAGCGCTGGCTCTGCCAAACTACATCCCTCTCCTCCATTCTCAGCCATACCCCACACGGCGAGCAGTGGCTGGTGAGATCGCAAGGAGCTTGATGCGAAACAAAACTCCTATCACCTCTGTCGAGAACCTTGAGAGCGTACTGGAAATTCTGAAAGTTCTCATTCGGGAAGGCATTCAGCAAGCACAAGGGTACCCAGGCGGCCCCATCCAAAGGAGAGCGCAGGAGACCGAAGAGACGATAGAAGAGCAAGGGTGGCTTGCAAGAATAGTACATCTGATTCACGGAAAGGACAACGACACGCAATTCAAGGTAAGTGTTGTAGTATGAAGTTGAAGAACGTGAATGCTGACACGGTGAACAGCTTCTTCAATCAGCGCGCAAAGCTTTCTCAGAAGGCAACGAGCGTGTGAAGTACACTACACCGGCCATCATCACAGCTTCTCTCAAGCTTGCACGGCAGTACAAGAAGCGCGAGCACTTTGACGACAACTGGCAGTCTCAATCGTCGGCCCTCTACAAGTTCATGCACAACACTCTCTCCACTCTCTACAGCCGCGTCACAGGCTCTGCCGATCTGTCGCTACGCCTCTTCATCGCTTGTGGGCAAGTCGCAGACCAGAACAACTTCGAAGAAGTCGCATACGAGTACTTTGCGCAAGCATTTACAGTTTACGAAGAAGCCATCAGCGATTCGAGGGCACAGTTTCAAGCTGTGTGTGTTATTGCTAGCGCGCTGCACACAACACGGAACTTTGGCAAAGAGAACTACGACACACTCATTACAAAATGCGCGCTGCACGGCAGCAAGCTGCTCAAGAAGCCGGATCAGTGCCGTGCAGTCTATCTTGCCAGCCATCTGTGGTGGGCGACCGAGCTCAGACAGAACGGAGAGGAGGACCCCAAGGATGTACGTTACAAGAAAACAATTTCGACTGAAGTCCCAGCTGACATAATTAGCTTTACCGCGATGGCAAGCGTGTGCTTGAGTGTTTACAGCGTGCCCTACGCGTCGCTGATGCCTGCATGGACGCAGCAGTTTCGGTCGAGCTCTTCGTTGAGATTCTGAACCGTTATGTTTACTACTTCGACCAGGAGAACGACGCCGTAAGTTTTCTCAACGCCGGTGTTCAATGTGCCCTACTGATACCTCACAGGTTACAACCAAGTATCTCAACGGCCTCATCGAACTCATCCATTCGAATCTGCAGTCCAATGAAAACGCATCAAGCCTCGAGAACCCAAGAAAACACTTCCAGCGCACGCTTGATTACATATCAAGCCGAGAGTACGAGGGTGTCATAACCGCATCAAAGTAATATCGCCTATATCTGAGGCCTGGCACAGGAGAATTGGAGAAGCTAATTGAAGGACATTATTCGTAGATTACGCAGAGAGAGTTATATATCGAAGTGGTTTGAGGCTTGTGACACCATCGCGCCATTTTGGGACGTGTCTTGGACTAACAATGAGTTTGTGTTCATGTGCGTCCCTTCTTTGCGCTCACAGTTCACTCATCCCAGCCTTTACCAGGTTTAGGCAACTTTTTCTCATCCATCCCGCTCCTGCGACCTAAGACCCTCCAAGCTAGAAACTGATGAGGAACCACCCATAACCCATTTCGCGCCGCCGTCCTTCATCAATTGATCACCCAGCTTCATCAGCTCTGCCTCCAGGCTCAGGAACCCATCTCGAATATCCTGCGCCATCTGCGAGTCATTTTGGACATTCAAGAACATCTTCATTGTTTGGAAGATGACTTGCTCGGGCCGCAGTCCATCGTATCCGGCTTCAAGCAACCGCTCATGAGCCTGGCGCAGCTGGGTCACGAGTCTCGAGCGCTCAAGCAAGGCGAGGTGGCGATGTTGTTGCGGCGAGTTCTGCGGGGGCTGCATGGCGGCGTAGCTGCGCTTGACGCTGACAACCTCCCGGCGGTACTCGAGCCAGGCCGGAAACGAGAGGACGAGAAAAGCGGTCGCGAGCTCGATACTTCGTTGGGTGGGGGAGCTGATGGCATCGTCGTCGAGCAATGAGAGTCCGTGCTTGAGATGCTTGAGCGCCACGACCTCATCGAATGCCAGATCGTGGTAGTTGCACAGATAGCTCGTGAAGAGGGCGCCCAGTTCGTGGCCTTTCGTGTTGGTGTAAGACTGATACGTTCGGTGCTGCTTGAGAGGTCGGAGAATCTCGTGCTGCTCCGTCTCTGCGCTGCTGTCGTCTTTCCGCTTATGTTGGTATCTGGACGGCTTCTTGGGCGAAACCTCTGCTTTGTCGCCGAGCAGTGTGCTACTATCTTGGTCATTCACCTCGGCGAGGTTATGACCAAGTTCTCCAAGCTTACCTTGCTCGTACTCCCCAAGAGCTGGATCGACCGATACAGAACCAGTGTGATTCGGTTTAGTGATCGCGTCGTCTACAGCAAGGTCATCTAATCCGTGCCGGGAAGCTGGACCAGGATGTTCCTCTGATACGTCAAACGTATGCACTCTGTCTCGTTGGAACTCGCCCGGCGTATCCCCAGTGATCTCTTCGCCTTCTAGCTGAAACCCTGGGTCTGTGTTTGTGGCGTCAGTGTTGTGCATCTGCTGACGATTCTTAAACGCTATGAGGAAAATCCAGCGATGAAGATGCATCCACAACCTGCTTCAGTGTTAGTTGTATATATCTCTCCATTTGTAGTGGTAGACGTACAGCTTCTGATCTGCGCTCTCCTCGTATATGAGATCCTTAGGATAGTTCTCGTCAGTGCCTGGAACTATCAGCTTTGTGCGGTCTGCATCAAGACCCCAAATCGGGGCATGTGTCTCGAACAAGACATCAATTTCCTCATCCAGGGAAAATATATCTTCAGCGTACCGAAGTAATTGCGCCGCCGAGAACTTGCTGGACAATCCGTATGCAATTTTGTTGATGTCGTGGCCTAATGACCCAAAGTTCCTAACGGGAAATTCGAAGCGGTTGTCGTGTTGTGGAATTACCGCCAAACCGACCGACCGCATTGTTGCAAGTATGGCCTTGCGCTCATCACCTTGCATATGATAGAGGCGCCAATCATCTCTGCTCCAATACCGGTCAACAGGAAGCTGTATAGGAGTCAGCAGCATCGTGCGGTCTGTCATGTTGTCTCTCTTTGTATCGTGTTTGCTATCTGTTTCACCTGGCTCTGGCTTGGTCGGATGTGCGACTGATTCAGAGTATGCTGTTGTGATAGCTTCTGTGACCTCACTAGACTCGCAAGTGACTCCAGACTCTGAGTTGCGGTCATTATATTCAGGAGTTACACCTTGAGATTGATCAAATGAACCAGCATCTTGAGGCTCAGATGTCAGCAATTTCGTGCGCACTTGCGACTGGTTACGGCCAAAGAAGTCACTCTGCTGCTTTGGTGCTTCGGATAAGGTGGTAGCAGCGCTTACTACTGGTGGTGGTGGTGCTACGATAGTCTCGCGGCGAGTGTCAGTCTGGCCTCGCCGCGGCGGCAGTGACGAATTGCTGCCCTTCCTGAGGTTGTGACTCTTCGCCCGGGCATTTTCGCTTACATTTGAGGCCTTCCTCGCACTGTACCGTTTCCAATTGAAAGCCTTTGCAAGAATCCACATGCGCAAATGGTACATCAATCTCATGCGACGTCAGCCATGGGTGCGACATAACATTAGGTTGTACTTACACAACTTTGGCTGCGTCATCTTCAAATATCAGATCCTTCTGATATCCTGTGTGGCCTTCACTGGCTTTGAGAAGCCAGCTCCTCTGTTTGCTTGCACCCCAGATCTCGGCGCCAAACTGATGCAGGAGCTGCGCAATGGCTTGTTGGAGTGGCGCATACTTGTAGTCAGCAGCAGCGTCGAGGAGCTGCTCCATGTCTATTGGTAGACTTCTGGAAGCTGCAGTGACAGCATCAGCAAGTTCGTTTAGAGCGTGATGCTGGAACTTGAGCGGCCCCGGGCCGATCTTCGTCTGGCGTATTCCGAGGCTGCAAAGGAGTGTATTAATCTGGAAGGTGGGGTGTTTGGCGAAGGTTTCCCAGAAATCACGATCCTGAGTTGGCATATCCGTGGCGGCGCTGTGGGTCTCTGACGATGAAAAGGGCTGCGTTACTTCTAGGAGGGCAGACGGTAGTGGGAGTGCAATAACGAGATAGTTGCCCGTCGATTCCCGGACTATGCGCGCTCTAGCTAACGCTACAGCGCCAGCAGAAGCTTGCGCCATAAGGTAAAGAGTGGGTGTTGATCTGTGTGCAGATATACTGTGAAGAAAGAGGAGTGAAGGCAGTGCTTTGACAATCTGCCGCCTATAGCGACGCGACGGGACGGCATGGCTTGGCAACAAACAGGTCGCTCCTGCAAATTCGATAGGTGAAAGTCTTCGGTTGCTAGATACGTATACTCTAGTTTGCTCGAAGGACACGAAGGGTCAAGTGTATTTCATTCCGACCTGTGATTCACTCGCCCTACAGTGAGAGTTATACCATCAGACTTACTGATTTAGGGACACGACTCGACGCTTCGGAACACTGATATGTTGTAGTAAATTGCTGTGGCAATTGATATCTCCAGAGCTGCCTCCTGTTGCTTTGCATCTGAGCCGTACGGTATCAGTAGTTCAGCAGGTTGGTTAGACAAGGTCAGTCTCTAGTGGCCGCTCGAATCCAAATCGAGGTTCCAGAACGTTTTCCGGCATTCGCAACACATTGCACTGTTTTTCATGAAGAGGGCTGATGCTTGCAGGCACCGTACCGTCTTTCAATAAAATAACTCCAATCATCAATTCATACTCACTGACTACGCAATTGATGTAAAACGCAGAGTATCTTTGTATCTACATACTTCAGCTAATTAGTCTAGCAGTATCTCGGACATACGTACTCAGTATTCGAGGTCCTTCTCGTTTTCCTCTTTGTGACTCTCACCAGCGACCGTGGTCTCCCTTTCGCATGCATCGAACCTGGGCCCATCTCGAGACCTTACAACTCGCGACTAAAAAAAAGACGCGCTTGAACGAGCGACGAGTGCGATGTCAAAATACATAATGGCTATCGAGAACAGACTGATGGATTGACGTTCGAAAGCGCAGCAGGTCCAACGCAGGAACAAGCATGCAAATGAGACTCAGTCACTTCCAAAAAGGCGACATCTTTCCTTACATGAAGCAGTGGTTGGTAAGTGCAAAGTGATCACACATAAAGCAAGAAGGCAGTGAGGTTCAGGCCGCGCCAATCGCTTGCAGCCACGAGCCATGAGCGGAGCAGGAACGCTAAATAGACCACACAAGCGCCGAGATCGGAACACGCAGACGATGACGATGTCGATATAGTTTGGGAAAAACTGAACATGACGGTGCATGAGCTGTAAGACCGTGCGCGATGCATACATATTGACATTATCGTCACAGATGAACAAGAATAGCTGCCCGTTTGGCTTAGTGGTACAGCGTCTCACTCGTATGTTCCTGCGAAATGAGAAGATCCTCGGTTCGATTCCGAGAATGGGCAATCTTTTTGCCATTGTCGAGGACAAGAAAGACTTGCGCTTGATAAGGTATCTTATTTTGCTGGTAGGCGACGCTCATTGCATTTGCATGACATCGTCGTTACTTTCTTTGAACAAGGCGTTAGCTGCACAATGAGTTGAACGTGGCACAAACATTGAGCACAGCGTTTGACATTACGTGGACCTCGACTAGGCATGCGTCTACGGTGTATCGAGTGAAGTAATGCTATGTAAAAGTCAAAGAAGCAAATGAATCGATCCGAAACACAACAATCGACGCCTACAGGGAAAATGAACTCAAAAGTCGACACCAACATCCTCAGTATCCCCACTCACCAGCATTGAGCAAGCTCTGACTGGCTACGAAACTGAAGCCACCGAAAGGGTTACTATGCGCATCACTGAAGAAGCTCTTTGTCAACACAGGGCTAAGCGGCAAGTCGGTGAACTCTTGGTTGAAGTTCTCGGCCATCTCAGGGTCGGTGATAAGAGGCTGGATCGGTGGCTCCAGCTCGCGAGCCTGTAGCTGCTTCCAGTTGATCTTGCGGAAGAAACGGTGGTTCTTGATCGTCTGCAAGTCCTTCGCCATGTTGTATCCGAGGCGCTTCTTAGGATCCTTGCGCAGAAGACGAGTAAGCAGGTCCTTTGCGTCGGCACTGAGATAGAACGGCAAGACCAATTTCTGCTTGAGAATCTTCTCCTGGATCTTGGCGTTGTTGTTGCCGGTGAAGGGAGGCGCTCCTGTAAGCAGATCGTACCCGAGAGCACCTAGAGACCACCAGTCGACTGCCGCGCCGTACTCCTTGCCTTCGATAACTTCAGGAGCCATGTACTCGGGAGTACCAAGGATCGATCGGCAAGGGCTCTCATCGTCGAGTGTGACCTTGCTCAGGCCAAAGTCGGTAAGCAGGAGGTGACCTTCGTGGTCGAGAAGACAATTCTCGGGCTTCAGATCGCGATAGATAACGCCAACTGTGCGGTGCAGGTGGTCAAGAGCAAGTACCATCTCGGCCATGTAGAAAGCAGTGACATCTTCAGAGAACATGCGCTCAGCCTCAAGATGATGAAATAGCTCGCCACCTTGTGCGTATTCAAGAATAAGGTAGAGCTTCTCGTGATCCTGGAACGCGTAATAGAAGTTGACGATGAAGGGGTGCCTATTCACACTCTCGAGGATGTTGCGTTCCGTCTTGGTCTGCTCGATCAGCTTCTTGTGCACGGTAATGGAAGCCTTCTTAAACGTTTTCTGAGCAAACAAGCGACCAGTGCTTAGCTGACGGACGAGAAGTACAGTGCCGTAACTACCCTTTCCGAGGCACTTGATAGGCTCAAAGTCGTCAGCGCTCATCTTGCGCATAATGTTGTTACCTAACATGGTCGAAGTCTTTGACTGTGCGTCCGCACTGAAATCCTCGTCCAGGTTGACTTCGTAACTGTCCATTTCCGTGCGGTCGCTGTCGCTAGTGCTATCAACCCCAGACACACTGGTGCTGCTCGACATGCCAGAAATCACTCGCTTTGCAGGCGGACATCTCAAGGGCGAGTCTGCTCGAGTGCCAAGGTTGAGCGCCTCGAGCTGAGCCTTGAGGCTGCTGATGCCACCCATGGAAGAAATGGGCCTGAGCGCAGGGCTGCTGGTAATACTGGGCAAGCCAGAGACAGCGGGTCCAAGACGCGGCGTGGCTGCAGCAGAGTAGTCCGACTCCTCTCCGCCAGACGTGACAGGAGTGTGGAAGCCTCGGGCAACGTTGGCAGCCGGCGCAACGCCGTCTAAACCCTTCTTTTTCTTCTTCTTGTTCTTCTGTGCCTTTTTCATGACCGCGTTGAAATCCAACTTGTCCGGACCTTGCTGCTGGGTTTCCAGATTGGGCTGCGTGACGCGCTTGGGCAGTGGAGATGCGATCGTGATAGGCGGGGTACCCACATGGAGGGGCAGCGGAACGTTTGACACATCCATATCCATTTTGTCGGTCGCAAAGTCGTCGTCCACGTTTATCGTAGGTGCTGCGCCGTGCGGCGCATGCTCCTTCGCGGCATGCGCGTCGTCGTCGTCGAACGAGAAGATCCCCATGGGTGCGGTGGGTCGTTGGTATTAGAGCTGATGCTCTAGTAGAATAAGTTGCGCGTTGACTCTAGACCGTCTGCATCAGTGTGCGCAAATCCGAAGCTCTCGTGTATTGCGCACAGCCAACTCAGGACTGGGCTGGGCCAAAATTACCGTCCACCTCTCACGGTGGACCCTCCTCCCCTAGACAGCAGCGAATCAGCGCGGCGAAAGACGCGTCGGTCTTGTTGAGTCCGCTGGTCGAGGCAAGATATGGGTACCAAGGGCTAGTCAGGGTGAGCTGGGCAATCGAGAGAGAAGCGGTCGCGTCTGGTGAAGCAGAGCCCATAGATGGTCGTTCTGAGGATAGCGTAGTGTCGATAGGGTGCGCCAGGTAATTTTTCCTGGCCGTTGGTCGTTTCTGTGCTGTGAGAGTGCGTTTGACGGTGAAAGAGGAAACAAGGCAATCAGCAGGCAGAGGGAGCTGATCGCGCTGTCCTTGCTAGCGCGCCAAGTCCGGCTTTTTCATGTGAATAAGCCGCTGTTTTGCCTCCCCCAGGATTCATCTCCGCTCTTTATTTCGGAACCGAGTCCATGCACTTTCATGCCTTACTTGAACATTCCATACAAGTGCTCGGACAGTGCTTTTTGTATTGATTCGAAATCATGCATGTTAGCAGTTACGATCACAGCAATCACGGCGTCTTGAGCTTGGGGCAGGGTCTCACACACGACGCATCGATTGGCTCACAATAGTCAGACCGTGAGCCCGGTCTTAAAGTGCCTTCCAGCCATCCAGCATTTCCGGAAGTCTGGAGCACTGTATGGTCATTTATATCTCGTATGCGCCTCGGCTCAAGTCAGCAATGCAAAACTAAAACTGTAACCTCTCTTTAGCAGCCTCCCTTGCTAGAGTCCAGAGAGACATAGGGGTTGCTCGTCAAACGTGGTGGCCGCCAGCGCAAAGTATCTCGAGAGTTGAGACACCGCTCAGTCCATGTCCATTTGTTCGGAGCCTATCCGGATCATGCGCATGCGTCGATAGTCTGCAAATACAAGGTCGTGCAAGGGGCACAAGACCGAGCCGCATCGTCATAGGAGGTCTGTTTGGCTGGAAAAGCAGAACCACCACTTCCCCGAACTGGGTTGTAAGTCGCTGCGCAATGACCAAGAAACCACTTTGCCAGACTTTACTGGACAGACAACCCCTCAATCTTGTTCTGCGGCGTTGCGAGACGCGGAAGCTGGTGCTTGAGGAGGGCCGGACCGCTAGTGTTACAAGGGAAGGAGGGCTTGATTCGTACATGTCCGATCGCTTAACATCGGGCAAATTTCTGCCTCTTTCTCAAGCACCAAGCGTTGAAATTGGATCAGGAGATGTCCAATCATCGGCTAAAGTCTGTTGCATACCATGCGCATTGATATATAGTTGTTGTAAAGAAATCTATTACCACAAGTCAATCTAACGAAGTTGGAATTGCTCATTAATGAGCCCTCTTGGCTTAGTGGTAAAGCGTATCACTAGTATGACTTCGGTCAGCAAATGATAAGATCGCTCGTTCGATTCGGGCAGAGGGCATTCCTTTTTGCTCTTTCATTCCAAGGAGGAACTGTGTACACATTGACTTTGACAAACTTGTGTTCTTTTTGAGATGTGTGAGCTTCAGACCACAGTAGCAGGACGTCCTCCAATGCTTTCCATCAGTGTGCATCTGTAAGCTTTATAGGAGGCCTTTGGAACCGTCTTACACATCGGCTTGTGGACTGGCTGTCTCCCAAGTGTTATTTGAGACAGGCAAGAAGACCTGGATAACATCCGCAAGGCTCTGTAGCTCCCTCATACATATCTTGCCACGCATTTCTATCCTTCCACAAGCCACTATCGTTGGAGTGGCTACATTCGTGCACTATGTATAGACTCAGACGTGCTCATTAAGATGTACTACAGCTCGTTCGCTACATGAATTGTGGACGCGACGAGTCTACGTGTAAGACAAGACACAAAGATTCAAGGATGCACCTTCAGGGACTATCATGACCGCAGACATTCCCAAGCAGTTGACTCCCCATAGCAAAGGAGTCTTCGGTCTTGATAGCGAATAGACAAGATCACATCGACCGGTATGGAAAGGCTGCAGTGTTTTCAAAACAATATCGTGATCGCACATGCTGGAAAGCATCGCTGTGTATAGTCAATGTACTAAGCCCACGATTACTCCACCCCAGCGTGCTCTCGGTAACATGTGAATTGTGGATTGGCGTTGAACTCTACATTTACCGAGTGGCTGATGGTCGCGAAGCAGCTTTGTGCCAAACACGAGCATCACATGGTCGGCAGGGTGTTCGCCCCGATACTCCATTGTTTGCTTTAGGTCGATCACTCTGGCAGAGCGATGCAATGCCTGTAAAAAGTAAACACAGGGATTTTGAGTTAAGCCGCCAAGTAATTGCAATGAGATCTCGGTGCGGAGAATGATCTACTCATGTTCAGCAACTGGCCACTGTCGACTATAGATTGCTCTATGCTTACAGCTCCAAATCTTACACTATATATACACGTTATCCGCTCGATCCGACGCCAGGATATACAACATCCCCTCGTAGCTTTCGTCATTCATCTTCTGCTCTTTTTGTCCCATCTATGCACCCATCTTGCTCTCCTTAAAGGGGTATTTGACAACGTCATCCTTCCTGATGACAATCTTCCTTTTCTTCTTGGTGGACACATGCTCGACCCAAACCTCCTTGGTGAACTTGGTGTTGAACTCGCGAATGAAACGTGGGTCCCACAGCTCGCTTGCAATACCCAGGTCCTTACAGCAGCGCATCAGGGCATTGGATTTGCATCCCTCGGTCGCAGTGGGAATGCCATCGGCGTCAAAGTACTGCTGCTCACCGCGCGCTATCGAAACAAGGCTATGCAGAGGTCAGTACGGGTATGCAGTTGCAGACTGCAGCGCATGAGCGTAGCGGGAAACTTACCGGCCCTGGACAACCATGCCGTACTCTCTGGTGACCAGCTTGCTGGTCACAATGCTCTCGCCTCTCGGCGCCAACCCCCAACCTCCTGGCCCAAATGCCTTGTTCAGTATCCTCCTGTACTTGATTTCCGGCAAGTACAGAATGCCATCAGGCTTGACCTCCACATCTTCGCCCTTCACTGGTGCAAGCAGTATCTCGGCCTGCTCATTCGAGAACGACACACTACCCAAGCCATAGTATGAGCGTGTCCAGTCGTGTGCTGCGACACCTTCAATTTCGGCGGGCGCGTCGCTCAGGCCATCGGTAAGAGAGCGCTGGCCCGAGGTGGCGCTGGCCGCGGTGGTGCTGCGGTACGTAGGAACTGGAGGTTCCTTGGCGGGGAACGAGGGAACCACTGTTCTTTGAACGGTTGAGGCGGTGGATGTGGCAGGTTTGTAGCCTGAAGATACGGTGGCCGGCTTTGTTGCTGTGGTCGTGGATGTAGTCTGGGCTTTGGGCGTGCTAGTGAAGGCGGCGCTGATGCGGGACGATGAGAAGCTGCGAATTGTTGTACGAGGCGAGCTGGCAAGAAGCTGAAAGGCGCCTCTCCTAGCTGGTGTTGCTGCCATGATGTCGAGTTGCGTTCGGTGTGGAAAGGTGTAGCGCAGACACGAAAGAGGCGGAACGCCATCGCGGCGCGTAGTCACGACGGCGCACGGACCACATCATTTACATGTCAGGGTATGACTATAGCTGTGTGCATGACTATGAATCAAATACCAGATGTTTACTTTCTCTGTAACCCGAGGTTTCTTGAGAGGTTTCCGCCTCTACTTTTCTCGCACCCAAACGCCTTTGAATACACGCTGTTCAGCGGGATCTCCTCCAAGGATTCGTTTCCTAGCGATCACCGAGGTCAAATCCGGTTGCGTGTGCTCTCCTCGACTCGCCAGGCTCCTTACCGTATGCCAGATTGTCGTCGCGGTCTGGATGGTCTGCTGGTGGCTGTGGACGCTGCCAGTTCCACGGCATCCAGCCGCTGCTGGTTCGCCTGCCTAGAGGGGGAGGTGTAGTGGGATAAGGAGGTCGTGGGCTGGCTTCATCGCGCTCAATGCGGTCGAACTCAAGTTCACTTCTGTTCCTCGAGATGCCGCTCGGCGTCCTACTTCCGTCGTGGTATCGGTTGCCGCTCGACTGCTGAGAACGTATGTTCTCCTGCTCGTTGTCGAACGCCTGGAGAAGAGTCTCGAGGCGCTGACGTTGCGAGGCCACATAGTTGAGTCTATCATCGTTGTTGCGGATACTGTCAGGAACAAGGTTGGCGCTACGGCTGAGCTCCGCAGCCTGTCCGCTCTGGTTGCCTGCGTACAACGCACTCGCGCCGCTCAACGCCTGGTTGACCAGCCCATACAGATCATTGCTTCCACGTGCAGCTGGCATTTGGAACCTGCTCATCAGATTCTGTGCATAAGTCTGCCCGACTGGCCTGGGCGACTCTGGTTTTGCAGGCGCAAAGCCTAGGACGTTAACCTTGACCCACTCCACGGCCATGCCTAAGTATACCAGTCCTGCCGCCTTGCCACGATCGTGGCTCTCGCTGATGAAGTGGTCGATCTCGCGCTCGTGCTGGTACAGGAATGGCTCAACATACTCCTGGTATGCGAAGGTAGCGCCCTGCGAACCTGGCATGATCAGGTAGAGGTGAATGAAGAAGCGGATCCACGAGTAGAAAGGTACCCAGCAGAGAACGAAGTCGAAAACATTCTCAACAGTGGTGAGAATCGAGAGGACGACAAAGTAGATCAACCAGGGCGCAAGCAGCGCTGGGTCGGAGGTGTGGAGGGCTTTGTAGGATGCGAATATGGGAAAAAGAACGGTAGTTGCGACGCTGTCTTGTTGTTAGCTAGCTGCGCCGCTCTTTGAAGCTTTTGTTGTGGAGACTGGGAGCTCCAGCAGTTGTGGCAGCCCTGGTGCAGCTCGCGATGGGCAATCACTCGCTGCAGCAGCTGGAGCTTGTGAAGTTGCGGGGGCGGGGCTCTTACGTCAAGCCGTCTGCGATGAAGCTGAACATGTTTGCACCAGCTCCAGGTAGAGATTTCGTTGCAATTAGGGGATAGAGAGTGCGACAGTCCCTTCGGACAGAGCAGAGGTTGAAAGGTCGAGGCGGAGGTCGGCTACACGGCGCAGAGTGTGGAGCTTGCTCGCGATGATGTCGGTGGTCAGCTACCGTCGACAGGGGCGCGCACTACCGCACTTCCGGCGTCATTGTTCCAAAACACACTCTCTGTCGATCTGTGCATCTGGGAGCGAAAGATCGTTTGCAGTAAGAAACTCTCATGTGCTGCTCGAGCTGGTCCCCGTTGCAAGATCTTGGCGCCATTTGACACTCCAGTGTTGCGCATTCGCCGAACTGTTTGCCTTACAAGCAACATCCGCCGATTCCGCGCCCGAGTCTCGCGTTGCTTGTTCGCCTCCATCGGCCATCCTTGCAAATCTCACAAGGCCTCTAACGCGCAGTGGACTCGGTGGCTCTACCTAACACGGGCACCGGTTCGCGGCTCTTACAAGGGCGGTTCTTGGGCGTGCAGTGGTGCACAGACACTGGAAGCGGAGGACGCGACCGCTGCTTCTCAGCATAGTTCAAGTTTGCGAAACATTCTGCTGCAGAGACCTGAATGTTTCAACCTGCCTCTGCATCTTACTGAGCCCATCTATCCCAGCGTCCAGGTTTGTCGCTTCCATGAGCTAGTCGCTTGCATTGATGCTTCATTGGCAGCTTAACCGCCGACAGCCTTGCAAGGCATTGGTGCCTTCCGGGGCTCAGCCTTCCAGGATGAAATACCTCCAAGCTGACGAGATAATTTCGTGATTTGCTTGTTGACTTCACTCCTATGACACAACTATGTCGGGCCCAAGGTGGATGCAACCACCTCAATTCAGGCCGGATCCAGGGCCCTCTTTCGACGCCGAACCCCACCTGTCATGGCCGTGGAACTTACCAGCCGTAGACACGATCCCACCAGGGCTCAAGGAGATCTTGCGAAGAAACCGAGGAAATGGATGTCAAGTGGCGAAGTACTTGTTCGAGCACCGGAAATGGCGATTTGATAGGGCAACCACTAGTTCCAAGGACATCAAGGACATGGTCTCAAGACCCGGTCCATTGGCAGATCAAGAGAGAACTGACTGCGCGTTCTAGTAAGTAACGACGAACAATTCAGAAGAGCATGGATTGACATGCATGAGTTTTGTATCATCATTGCAAGACGAGGCTACAAGGTCTTTGGGCCACTGGATGGGCATTCCTCCGACCTTCTTCGCACTTCCTTCAGTTCACCTAAGAGTCATCACTGGCATTAGATCAGAAAATCGTAGGTTGATATTGCTCTCGGCTCTGTATATTGCTAATAGCAGACCTCATTTTGTCTCTTCAATACATGAGCAAGTACTCTATTGGTCACGAACCGTCAGCGTCTTTACCGCACTGTCGATTCCGAAACAAAACTGGTCAACAGCCTCACGAATGGCACGCTAATCATGCTCGCCTTGTGTTCCTCGCAGATTCAACACACAGCAACGCAAAAGCATTGCCAAATGGAAAGTCAATGTGCTGGCTGTGGAGAGGTCTGTACATGTTTGGTGAAGGAGACGAATCTGCAGCGACTAGACTACGAGATCATATGGTGGCTCGTGACAAAGACGACCCGGACCCGGCTGAAGTGTATCAAGGTTTAGGTCACATCATTCGAGATGTGATTTACAACCTGTGTAATATTCGTACAGAGTTTTTCGATGAAGCCATGGAACATTTACAAGTCTTGGTGTGTGGGCTCATGTGGTAACCTACAGATTGTTTGGCTAATTCGGGCAGAGCAACAGATGCCTGAGCGAAGACCTCGACCCAGTAAAGCAACTTGAGTACATGCGAGAGCTCTACACGCTACTTCCGCTTTGGTCCCAGGTACGTAGGCAACTAAACGGGACCAAGAATATGGTAGCTCAGGTATCGCGACATGAGATGTCCAGCTTCGAGCAAGGCGTGCGAGATAACAGATACTACGTCAAGAGGCTCTCAGTCGTCGAAGACCAGCTCGGCCGCTGCGATGACGCCGCCGACAAGACCAAAAACCTCATCGACTTGATCATGGGCATCGCGTCATTACAAGAATCGCGCGCGGCAGTCCGAGAGAGTCGAGCAGCAAACAGTTTTGCGAGTAGCATTCAGCGCGTCACGATTCTGACATTCATATACCTCCCGCTGACGCTTGCCTCAGTACGTCTTTTTGGCAAGATTTGGCCACGTTGTTGACAATTGATACAGAGTATACTGGGTATGAACATCACCCAAGTCACGGGCGAGGCAACGCACAGTCAGCTGTGGTTGTACTTCGTCATCGCCATTGCGCTCATGGCAGCTACGTTTGGAGGCTGGTACGTGTGGTCGCGGCTATTGCCGAGTGTCAAGTGCAAGGTAAGGCAACGGGCTTTGAGGCGTGCTGCGACAGTAAAGAGTGTCCAACAAGCACCGTGACAATGGAGACTTGCTGTGATGAACTGTTGATTGTCTCTTTCAACCGTGCCAGCGTTTATTTCAAGCTTCGGAGTCGTTCGTGCTCGAGTATCACATACTATATTACCGCCGATGTGATCAAGATCCCCACCATCTCATGTTCTTCGTACGGCTGCCATTTTTCCAGACTCTATTGACTGGAGAGAGTCTTTGCGTACGTTCAAAGGACCTGGTATCAGTTCACGGTCACCCGATGATCTGTGGCGCAACAGATCGTACTGTTCAATCCTGTCGAGAAATTCGACATCGCGCTCGAACACTGAAGACATGGCGTAAATGGTTCTGATGACCTCGGGCACATGTTTGAGCAAGTGAACATCTTCAGTTGGTGCCTTGGTATACTCGCGGTAGCTTATGGCATAAACTCCGGAGGAGCCGCAACGAACAAAGCCCGACTTCCCGACTTTCTGACAGACGATGGCGGCTCTGCACCCCAAAAAATCACCGCTGTCGAAGTGACAGTTGAGTGTGATAAGGTACATGTTTCGGCGTCGATCGGGGAGCAAGTTGAGCTGCGGCTCAGACCGCATATGACAAGTGCTGTCGAACTTCAGGACTGGTGCAAGAAACCTGATGCCGCTATTCGTTAATGTTGAGGGCAGCCGTGACCCATGTCTCCCAAAAGCCAGTTCAGTCACGGAGAACTCTCGGGGGTGACTTGCAAAAGCCGATCGCCATACTTCTGGGTCTGCTGCAGCCGAAGAGAGACTCATGTCTACATTTGTAGGTGTGGGCGACCATGCGAAGAGACTCTGATCCGCACTGTTTTTCAAAATCTCCTCCTGAAGTCTGACGAAGGCCTTCTTGCCCTCACCGTACAGTAGTGGCATGTTGACATCAAAGATCCCCAGGAGGCTATAAGCTAAGTCTTCGATTCTCGTCGTAACTCGGTTAGCTGCCCAGCTCATTCGCTGCGCTACACTGACTCGTCCCAGATTAGCATTAAGGAGAGCAGTCTGATCAATCCCAGTAATATCGACGAGCAATTGTCTCAATGAGTGTTTCGATCCCAGGTATGTCCATCCGCGTCCGTAGAGGTGAACCTGAGAAGGCGCGATGAGTTCTTGGAGCGTCCATCCCCTGGTAAACCACCTCGACTGAGCAAGTTGTCGTTCGCTAGAAGCCAACAGTCCTTTGTTCCACAGACTTTCGTCCAGCTCCTCGGTCTGCGGTGCTGCGCCCACATCGTCCAAGTAGGCGTAACAGATAGCAGACTTCTGATACCATCTGAACATACTGTTGATAGCCTCGCTCAGCTCAGCAGACGATCGCTTGTCAATGCAGCATGTATCCACCCATGCATAGTCCAGGCCATCCTGGACTGCTTGTACACAGGCCATGCGTATCTTTAGGTAACCAAGACCCTCTTGGGTTGAGATGCTGTACGTGCCTACATTAGGGCTGCGATGGAGTGCGCAGTACCGTTCAAAGGTAATTTCCGAACCACTCCAGGTGTGAGATAGAATCGCGTAGGGTGGCAGATGTGCTTCATCATCAAAGCGCTCGAGTTTGAGAGTCAGCGCGTTAATGAGATACATGATGAATGGGTTGTTGATGACCCATCACTGAAGTGGTTTCAACGCGACGATGCATGTTCGTCAGCACGAGGCTGAGCTATTGATACATACGTAAGCTTTCCACCAGGCTTCCTCGAATGGGCTATATAGTTGCGTTATGTGCTGGCACGGTCAGTCGCAAGGCAACGAAATAGACCGTCTACAGGTGTTGCGTTCTAGACGATACCCATGTCACATGCAGACGGCAGTCAAAGATAAGGACGTCGGTAGAAAATGATCTACCCATGTGCCGAACTCCCAGCACAAGGAACCTCCATGTAAAATCCGAGATTCGTAAGGTCATTTATTGGAGGCGTTCGCATTCAATCTCCACAGCTCCCCGCCCCAAGGGTGCCCCTCCATGCTCCAACACTATTTGCTTGTGATCCCATCCTATCGCTCTTGGTCGCGTGTTAACGATCCAATCAGCATGCCTCAGCATCGTCGTCTGGGGCTTTAGCGCAAGTGTAAAGCTCCATCCAGTTAGCGATTCTCGCGGAGTTGGTTCCATCAGACAGTCTTGAAACCATCTCCAGGGGTGTTTCATCTGTCAGTCGCGCGCCTCGAACGATTCCCGAACGCCAACGATCGCATACAAGATGGTCGTGATTGCGCGTTCTCGAGCAAGTGGGGTTTGTGCGACTTTACCTTCTTAACCTGCAGTTTTTCGTTATCGCCGTTGTATTAGTTGACGCAACCAGCGTTGCAGTGCGCTGTGTTACTCTCCAACTACGCCGATCGAGGCCTCGTCCAATTGCTTTTTCGAGCGCAGCTGCACGCCGCACGCGACATTGCACCGCGTGCGCTATAACACACAAGTTATTATCTTGATTTTCAGCATTCGATCATTACACATATACTACCTGGAAGTCGGATTCCCCACTTTACCCATTTTCACGAATTGATACCCAAGCCACCATGTGGATTATCGACTTCTTCTCGAAGGTCAGCTTCTTCATCGCATACGTTCTCACTTTCTTCTTGGTGCTGGAAGTCGTCAGGTTGGTTTGCACGGACGCAAACAAACGGGAGGCGGAGAAGTTGCTAGATGCCTATGCACGAGGGAGAGAGCAGGAAAAGAACTACGAGGAAAGCTGCAGGCTGTCAGTAGAAGAGATGGAGCACGAGCTGGAGACGTACTCTGTTGTACCTGAGCAGATACATCCACCACAGACGCCGCAGCGTCGCGTACAGAAAGCAAAATTGCACCGCACGCCAACTTCTGAGAGGACGCTTGTCAGCGAAGAGAAAGAGAAGAAACGATCGCAAACCCCAACACGTCGTCTGCGCAAACGAAGCGACACATTGAACTCGACGAGTACATCTGACTCTCATCACTCGTCCCGATCCAAGAGCTCAACAGATTCTTCAGAGTCAAGACGCTCGTCAAGGTCTCATCGCGACAGCTCGCCCGAGTCGAGCACGTCGAAGTCGTCCAGTCGGCATGCTAGCCCAGGGTTCAGGAGGGTCAAAGACGCTCAAGGCGCTTCGTTGTCGCTCCACCGGCTGCTGAAACAGAAGGTGTGAGGGCAAACAGCGAACGAGAGTGGAGAATATATTTACCCAGGCACCCTGGTGGTGGCTTACGACTTTTACGACTTTGCGACTTGGACGCAGCTGTCACGATAGACGACAAAGCAGCGAATGGAGTTCTGTGCTTTGAATAAACACAACAGGGTTGAGGCGGAAAAGAACGTGACGAAGTGGACGCCCCGTGGAAAGATGTTGTTTTCAGCGGACGAAACCGTGCCACGTAAGAGAGGGAGTGTAGCTGTGGAGGGGAAGCTGCATACAAAGATATGTACCGACGTGCAGGATATCTGGTGGTGACGATTTTGGGTATCAGGGTAACAGAACCGTAACGCAATGCAATGCAACCAGCGGGCTACAACACGCCCTCAAGTCCTCCTACCTCTTTGCTGAACTTATCCCAATCCACTCCTTGCTCTTGGAACATCTTCTTGACTTTGTCCGCGGCCGCAACCTGCCTCTCTTGCGTGAACCCTCCTTTTGCATTGCTTTCGTACTGGATGAGCTCGACCCACCTAAAGAACAAACTCTCTTTGCCCATCTCCGTGAGCTTGTCCTTGATCGCAATCACCTTGTCTCTGGCCTCTGCCTCGTTCGGCTCAGTGACATCGAGCACTCCGCAGTTCCAAACCGCCCACTGACCCTCACCCTTCTCTTTGTCGCCAACGTAGACAAGCACGCACTTCTTCAGCAGATCTGCAGCAATATCCTTCTTGTCTAGAAGAGCCGTCGCAGCAGTCATCCCGTAGAAGTTCAGATCAAAGTCTCCGTCCATGAGCAGATACCCAGTCTTTTCTTTGAGTCTCTGTGGGTCGACAGCCGGCAGGATCCTCGTCTTAAAGAACGGGCTCTCCTCGCCGGCCTTGCCCGTGCTGCCTTCTGCCTCTCCCAGCAAGTCTTTGGCGCCCCAGCCCCGACTCTGTCGCACATACACCTCCTCGTCTCGGAAGCCCACGCTCCACCTCCAACGCACGGGATTGCCCGGTGCCTCGAGGAAGAAGCCATACGGCCACGGCGCAACCACCATCACCAACACATAGTCGATGAAGAAGGTGGTTGTGCGCTGCGCAACCTTCCATAATAGCCCGACCCATGTCTGCTGAGCGTAGTATATTGTTGTGTAGTTGGAGTGGCCGCCCAACGACGCGAGGATGTTGTAGTAGAACGGGACGATGAAGTAGACGCGCCAGACAAGGAATGCAGCGATGAACAGGTTAAGGGCCACAGGCACACTGAAGATGCGCTTCTTGAACCATGCTGGTTGCGTGTCGGTGTGGATTATGTAGATAGTGGAGGGGTCGAAGGTTTCGAGCAGGGGCGCGAGGGAGGCATCAGCGGGGGAGAACGGCGGAGGAATTGATTGTTTGGGAGCTGCCCGGGTTTTCTGTTTCGATTTGGGCGGCATGTTGGGGTGTTTTGGGGAAAATGTAGGATTGAGACATGACGTTGCTGTTGATACATTTCAGGACGCTTCGGTGGAACACGGCCCGCGCAAACGCGACTTCTACGCGCCAGCAGATGGTCGTCTTGAACGTGACTTGACACCAGCTCCGATCCCACCAGAAGGCTACAGAATCATGACTGGCTATCTGCAGCCATGCATGCTGGCCAAGACGCGATGCATATGTACGTTGTGGGCTGGGACGAACAGTCCAGGAGGTTGGTCGTAATCCTCAGCGTATAAGTGTTACCTGCTGGACTGATTCCTTCTACTCCGTCTACCGATCTGTGTTCCCCACTCTTCTTTAAACAGTCTATCCGTCTGCTACAGTCTATCAGAAGGTGGAAGTCTCGCGTCTTACTCGTTAGATAACCACTACGAACGAGGTATCCATACCAAGCAGAGCATCGCATTTCGGACATTGCTGACTGCACTGACCGCGTGGCCTTTACCTGTGCTCATGAACATGCTGCATACATCTCCGGCATCTCGAACGCAGGCATCATCTGGCTTGCATTCACTCTCTATACCAAATGAAGCGATCCAAGCGAATTGTCGGTGGTTCAAGATGCCGACGTTGTGAGATCGGGGCCCCACGATCAACATCCACCGTCCCGGGAGCATTGAGGAGAGCCGGAACAACCAACACAACGTCAACACAGGCCGCCCGTGCGATGCAGCTGACGGCACCACAAAGTTTAGAGTCATCTGAAGTCATCTCCAGCCAGGCTGTGATGGTCTATTTTCAGCGTCGACATGGAAGGTCAGTCTCATGGCAGCAACTAGAGGACGAAGTTTGAAAACATTCGGTCAATCGAGCTTGAAACGAAGAGTGCCCTGTAGATCCTGCCCGTTTCACAGCCACAGAATGCGGACTTGCAGGCCGCGTTCACTGTGTTCCGTCAAATGCCGTTAGACCCATGCTGTCCACCTGGGCTGATGCCGGGCCGTCGAGCTATTTGTTATCCAGCTGCAGCAAGACTCATCCGGCCAATTGAGAATAGGTGCTATGTCCTGGATGTCGTAGTAGTGCAACCGTCATACACGGTGCTGATCCAGGGAACTTGGCTCTAAGACATGCGTAAGCCTATTGAGGTGATTTAGATCAGACCGTCGGTGCTCGCACGCAAGCCAGGCTTAAAGTCTGCCTCTTGCTTTTCTGCGCACAGCGGTACTGCTTGTGACCCTCAGATTCAACATGTCAAACAACGAGCCTTCACCAGTGAGTCTATCGAAACGGTATATCCTGGGTTAGAACTAACATCTTCAGAACCAACGAGGTCGAGGGGGCCCTCCCTACGCACCAACAAATGCGGGACTTGGTGGCTCTCCCGATGTGATTCCAGATATTCCCATCGCAGCTGTCTTCCTAGTTCTCTACCTTGTCTTCGGCATCATTCACATCAAGATTCTTAAGAGCAACAAAGGCCGAGGGCATAAGTTCATCTTTAACGGCGCGATTTTGGGTATGTCGTTTATTGCCCTTACCATCAGATAGCAGCTAACAGCAGTCAGGTCTGTGCAAGATCCGAGTGGTAGCCATGTCCTTGAGGATAGCATGGGCGTGCAACCAGCGCAACGTTGGACTTGCATTGGCAGCTAATGTCTTCGTGTACGTTGGCACAATCATCGTTTACATGGTCAACTGGTTCTTCACCCAGCGTGTGGTCCGCGCGCAGCACACAAAACTAGGGTGGTCGATGCCCTACCGCATTTTCCATCGAGGCGCGCTGGGCCTGTTGATCATCAGCCTGCTGATGCTTGTTGTCCCGTCGATCTGGCAGTCTTTCACGCTGAACGCCAATACACACCGCATCTTCCGCAATCTACAGCTCGCTGGCCAGACCTACTTCACCGTGCTCGCTTTCGCACCGATCGTTCTTGTTCTTATTTCCTTGATCATCCCACGTCATGAGATCGACAAGTTTGGAGCTGGCCGCCTCAGAGTCAACATCATAATTCTATTGATTGCCGCTGGGGTCATTTCGATCGGACAGATATTCCGCTGCGTCATCACGTGGCTGCCTCCCGTTCCCATACGGAATGCTCGAGGACAATACCAAGAACCGCCATGGTACTATTCAAAGGGCTGCTTCTATGCGTTCAATTTCGTCACTGAAATTATCGTCATCATCATATACGCCGTCGTACGTGTTGATCTGCGTTTTCACGTACCGGACGGTGCGAAGCGGGCAGGAGACTACAGCCGTAGCAGCGTCAACGTCCACATCAGCAACCAGGATCTTCATGCCAATAGGCTGTCGATCCATTCCAATGGCTCCAACGAGACTCTGCACTCATACCAGACATCGATGTTTGAGGACTCCGGGACGTTGGCCGACTCCCTCCGATACCCGTCCACAACACTTGCAATCGACGAGAAGACGGGAGCGTGGAAGGTCAAGCGTGCTTCGGGCTCGACGACGAGTAGTAAACGCTCATCCGACGGTTCTCGATCATCCATGTGGCTGGACAGGAACACCATGATCGAGAACAACATCCCCCCCGTCCCCGAGATCCCCTCACGCCTTAGTTGGCCACTCCGAACGTCCATGCTGCACCCCAACGACTCCGTCGCCAAGCTCGAACATAGCAACCACTCCTCAAAACACACCTCGCCCACCAGCCCATACGAACTCAAGAACCACACCTTCAACGACCACGACGTCGGCGACGCAGTTCAAGCCGCCCTCAACATCCTCGAAGGCAAACCCCAAAGCACCACCAAGACCCGCTCCCGATCCCCGCCTCCAGGCTACGACAACATCGCGGCAGCATCACGCTCCTCGACCGAGAAGAAATACAAGCACTTCTCACGCCCACGCTCCGACGTACCCCACACCACCCCCTCTCGCGAGAAAACACGCAAACACGCCTCGCACCCCGCTGTCATCACAAAAGACGGCCGCAAAGTGCTGCGCAAGCAGAAATCCGCATCGGCCGAGAAATCCTCCTCCCCTTCCCTGACCACCCCGTCGCCATCCCATTCTCCCACACCCCAGACACACTACTCCGGCCCGTCCTCGATGCCCGAGCCCACCGCCGCGCTCTCCTCGCACCCCCCCAAGCACCCCCGACACGCCCGCACGCCCAGCCTCGAAGTCATCGCGCTGGCGCCACGGGACCGTGCCGGGTCGCCGCGCGTGCTGGATCTCAGCAGCGTCCCGCTGCTCAGCGGGTGCGAGTCGCGGCCCGAGTCGCCGCATGCCGGGGCAGACGGGGACGGGTACGAGATGCGTGGGGCGCGGTCGGGGGGCGCGGGGGCGCAGTCGATGGATAGTTCGACGGCGAGTGAGGCGGTGCGCGCGGAGGATGAGTTTCGCCGGTTTAGCTTTGAGGCGGGGGGGCGATGCGGTGGCGGATGGGGAGCCGGGGCGGAGGCGGGGTGCGTAAGACGGGGCGTGGTTTCCTTTGTAATTTCTATGTATATACTATTCCGTTTTAGCGGGCGGGGGGCAATTTGTACTCATGATATGGTAGTTTTGTATGATTTGTGGTTTGGATTGCTGCTGCCTCATTCTTTTGGCTCTTTCATAGATGGTGTATGTTCATTCTTTCTTTTGACACCTCTGCCATGAGTTTCTACAAGACTGTACACTGTGGTTTTATCATTAGAAAGGTGTGGTAATCCGCTGAGACGAAGGCTTATACCTATCCGCCGTCACCAATGCGAGTGGATGCGAAGGTGTGGCAGTGCTCTCTTCCTCACCGGTACTCTAAATTGGGACAAGGCCCGTAAGAATGTGGTAACGTTATTTTATAAACAAGGCTGATGTATCTTTTTGAACAAACTTGGCATGCTATCTTGGACACTCACCCTCATGCGCCCAATGATCGCTCACCCAATCCGTCATGATGTCAGTGAAACTCTTCCCCTGCGCATACACCTCAGTGTTGTCGCTTGTGTACTTCTGTCCGATGTACTGCAGTGCCATAAGAATCCACTTCTGGATGAACTCGTTGTACATCAGATCCACAGTCTGCGGCTCGTCGTTGCCGGCCGGGTCGAAGCCAACAACGGCTTGCATGCAGTTTGGCACGTTGTAGAATGCTATCTCGGAGTGGATGGTGTCGTCACCGTCGCTGCCGGCGTCATCATGTGTTGTGTAGCCAGGGATGAGTGTCGGATCTGCACTGAGCATGGGCTTTTGATGTTCGCCACTCTCGATGTTGAAGACGCGAGGAGAGGATAGCAGTGCTGGGCGGAAACGCGCAGCAGTGACCTCAGGTGGCTGCAGGAAAGCACCAGCCTCCATCATCTCCAGCGCTATTGGCCCTCCATGGTTCAAAAGCTCGATGACCTGGCTAGCAGCCTTGTACGGAACGTCTTTGATGAGCCGCAGTGGGCTGGTGAAGGGCGAAACCAGGAACTTTGTGTCCTTTGTGTAAGCACCTTTGAAGATGTCAAAACGAATAGCGCCTGTGTTCTGGATAACAAGAGCTTTGCCGCCGCTCTTGACGCGCTGTGACGTGCTTATTGAGTCTGGTAGCACCTCATCTTTGAGCCACGACAGAATGCTCTCGTTGTGCGGAAATGGGCGCCTGCTGATCCAGAGATCACGTGGCGCACAACCATACTTCTTAGTCAGACCGAGAGAGTCCCTGGCATCGCCAATGGCCTTTGAGACGTTGAGGCCATGCTCGGTAGGGAAGGTCTTCTCATCTTTACCGCTATGGTGGCGTAACGAGAAAAGGTTGTTGTCGATGTAGCGACGGGAGAAGGTGATATCCGATTTCTGGGGCGTGGCCGTGCTGCCGTCTTTGCCACCCGTGCTGAGCCCCTCGATAGACATGAAGCCTAGCGTTTCCATGTAACGGCCACTTTCGAGCGCGACGGACTTGTCGTCGAAGATCTTGTAGTCCCTGATATGCGAATGTCCGCCAAAGAACTGTATCGGCAGGTGCTTGTGCGCCGCCCGGATGGTTGAAAACAACGCTGCATACTCAGGCGAGCGTATGTCGACGTGGCCAAAAACAACAATCAGATCGAGATCTTGGTCTTTGAGGGCTTCCAGAAACCAGTCCTCTTTGATAGTGTCTTCAACTCTCGTCACGACAGTATTGTTTGCATTGCCTGTAAAGTCGAAGATGAAACCAAATGCGAGGATACGAATTCCTTGATTCTTTGTGGTGAACTTCTTGTAACGCGGTGCAAGTGGCTCAAGATACCCAGTTTGGGGGTCATAGATATCCAAGTTTGAGGCTAGATAGCTTCCCTGGAAGTCGCGCACTGTGTGGTAGTATTCGCCTTCAGCAGTGTCGGCCTTGTAGAGCTCATGGTTGCCTGAGCTGATGAGGTCGATATGCTGTTCCTTGGCAATCTCGTAGGTGAATTTCCCCCGAGGTTTGGAGGAGTCATAGATGGCGTTTCCTTCTACTCTGTCGCCAGTGTCAACGACCAGGAGGTCGACGCCTGCTGCGTCGGCCTTGTCGCGCAGGTGCTTGGCAAAAGAAACATAGTCGCCCCAGTCTGCGGAGAAAGAAGCTCTGCGCACGTTAGATGCACGTCGGTTTCTTGGCAACGGGATATTCACTCTTGCAGATGGCCGCCCCACCAGCCGTGGACGTCGGTGGTGTGCAGGAAGTTGAGCTGTGCCCAGGGTAGGTCGCGCAGGGGGGCTGCTATTGGCTCTTGGGCGTCCGGCTGCGCACAGGATGCGGCTCGGAGCAGCGCGAATAGGAACGCAGTACGTGTGAGCATGGTGGATGTATTTGTACGACAGAAGAATCAGGTGCGATGGAATGGACGATGAAATAGACGATGCGGGTGTGCTTGAGGCGTCCAGGTGACCATCGAGGTGCTGAAACGGTGCCTGGTGCCTGCCTCTGTGCAACCTGCGCAGCCTGATACAGCACGACCGACAGACACAAGCTGACGGCTCAAACAACAGTCTATAAGATGCAGCAGCACAGTGAAAATGCAGTACAAACAGGTGAAGGCGACGCTGGGTGGAGTGAAAGGCAGCGCACGAGCTCCCAACGTGACCCTTGTCGCATTGGGCTAGCGTTGATGTAACCAGCCTCCGGTGCGACTATCTCGCGACTTTTTAGACACACAACACACCACCCATCTTGAACACAACCACGCCGCACCACCATCCGCTCTGAATTTGCCGAGTATGGCGCGCGCTGCATCGACCCGCGCCGCAAGCGCAAAGCCCGCTGTGGCTGCTGAAAACAAAGAGAACAAAGCCAATGGCACCGCGGGTACGTGTTACATGGTCCCCGTCGCATTCCTGGCTGACCGTCGCCCAGGCACCCGCCCCAGCCGCGCAAAGACAACAGAGCCCGCGCCCGTCAAAGGTGCTGTCGTGAACGGCACCGCCGAAGAAGCGCCCCCTAAGCGTAATTCGCGACGCGTCCCCATAACGGCGCCCCGTGTTGACGAACCCTCAGCAGCCAGCCGCGCCCGCACAAAGAAGACGGCCACGCCCGCGCCCGAGCCCGCTAAGAAGATGGCGAAGCGCAAGAAGGAGGAGAGCGACATCGAGGAAGAGGAGGAGGTCGCGCCCGAGCCCAAGAAGGCCAAGGTCGCCCGCGCCGTGGCCGCGCCCAAGGCCACCAAGGCCGCTGCAAAACCCGCGAAGGCCGCCGTCGACCCGTCCAAGCCGGTGCCGCGCGGCCCGCGTCGCGTGCGCGGCAAGAAGAACGAGATCAACGCGGTGCGCTACACGGAGCCGCTCAAGGTGTTCCTCTTTGGCGAGGGCAGCTCAGGTGAGCTCGGCTTTGGCGCGACGCGCAAGGCCATCGACGTCAAGCGGCCGCGCTACAACGAGGCGCTGAGCAACCAGAACGTGGTGCGCCTCGCGGCCGGCGGCATGCACGTGGTCGCGCTGACCAAGGACAACCGCATCCTGACTTGGGGCGTCAACGACAACGGCGCGCTCGGCCGTGACACGTCCGGCGGCGCCGTGAAGCTGCGCGACGTGGACGCCGACGACGCGTCCGACTCGGAGGACGAGACGGGCGGGCTGAACGACGTCGAGGCCACGCCGACGGCCATCTCGGCCGAGTACTTCCCCGAGGACACCGTCTTCGTCGATGTTGCGGCCGGCGACAGCTGCTCGTTCGCCCTGACCACCGAGGGCGCCGTGTACGGGTGGGGCACGTTCCGCAAGAACGAGGGCATCCTCGGCTTCGAGAAGGGCAACCACACGGCCCGCTTCCCCGTGTACATTGACGGCGTCACCAAGGTCACGGACATTGCGTGCGGCACCAACCACGTGCTCGCCCTGGACAAGGACAAGCACGTGTACGCCTGGGGCAACGGCCAGCAGAACCAGCTCGGCCGCCGCGTCACGGAGCGCACGCTGATTGAGTCGCTGCAGCCCAACCGCGTCGGCTTCCACGACAGCTCCGCCAAGCGGCCCAGCCAGAAGATTGTGCACGTTGCCTGCGGCGACTACCACGCGTTTGCCATTGCCGACGACGGCCACGTGTGGGGCTGGGGCGTCAACAACTACTGCGAGACGGGCGTGCCCGACAACGCCGGCGAAGACGACGCCAGCGTGCTCACGCCGCGCATCGTCCACAGCCTCGACGACAAGCAGGTGACGGCCATTTCCGGCGGCGCGCACCACAACCTCGCCATCACCAAGTCCGGGCAGGTGCTCGTGTGGGGCCGCTGCGACGGCGCGCAGGCCGGCATGTCCATGGCGCCGCTCGCGGCCGAGTGCGACGACGAGAAGGTGCTGTCCAACCACGGCAAGCCCAAGATCCTGCTGCAGCCCACGGCGATCCCGTCCCTGAGCGACGTGGTCATGGGCGCGTGCGGCCCGGACCACAGCATCGTGGTCGACAAGGCCGGCAAGGCGTACTCGTGGGGGTTCTCGGCCAACTACCAGACGGGCCAGGGCACGGACGACGACGTCGAGGAGGCGACGGTGATTGCCAACACGGCTGTGCGCGACGTGAAGCTCGAGTGGGCTGGGTGTGGCGGGCAGTACTCGGTGCTGGCGAGCCGGAGGGAGTAGAGGAAAGTGGAGGGAGTAGGCAGAGGAAAAGTGGAGGGAGGATTGGTTGACGAGTGCGCTGCGCTGCGAGCTAAATTGCACTTTCCATCTACCGGCATCTACAAGGACTTGACACGCCCGCAGGGTGTTTTCGGCATACGAGGCGTTTGGGTGCATAGCGGGACGGGGATTGTAGTAGTGAATGTGATCTGTTCGTCTTTGATTGATTCTTGAGCTTCTTACCTTCTCTTCAGCTTTGTGTTTGTCTGAGATTGGTCTTTGTCCAGCTTCTCCAGCTTTTCTCATGAAATGCTCTCTTGACATTCCCGGTATGGACTCTCGTCGGATTCTCGTTGGATTCTCTGTAGGTATTCTTCACTGATCTCTTCACGGCATTCTCGGAATCACTGCACACGCATAGCGACTCGATGGATATCATTCTCTCGTCTTGTCTCTTGTCTCTTCTCTTGTTGACCCTTGCCCAATAGCACCCCAAAACGCCCTGTAAATGCATCGCCCCAATGCATCGCCTAAATGCATGGTCTCTCCCATCGCCCTCCCATCGGCTACCGTCCCTGGCGGGCGGCGCGTGCCTGCTCGCGTTCGCTGGCGTTGTACCTATAGACGACCGTTAGCCCCTGACCGGGACGCAATGGCATCTCTGCGGCGCGTGGCGTCGAGCTTGGCCTTGGCGGTCAAGGCCCTGTCGGCGGAGGGGACGTACTTGAGCAGCTTCTCGATCAGATCGACGTGGGTGAGGATCATGCGGCGGCAGCAGTAGCGCGTGAGGCCGAGCTCGTCGAGGGCGTCGCTGCGCAGTGGTTAGCGGGGGCGTGTTGCATGCGTATGCGGCGTGTTCAGGCGTACACCTCGACTTTGTTCTCGTGGGTCAGCATGTACATGTAGCGCTCCCACAGGTCGCCGGTGACCTGACCGTGTCAGTATGCGCGTCGAGGCTGGAGGGCGGTGGGCGCACCTTGCCGCAGGAGAAGCAGCGGATGGGGACGATCATTCTGGCGGCAGGATATTGTGCTGCTGGACAGGTGCTGCGGGACAGGGCAACGTCGGGGTGGTGTCGCGCGGTCAAAGAAAGTTGCGGGCGCGCCAAGAAGGCGGTGACGGCCTAGCGCGAATTCGGGTCAAAAAGTTTCGAACTTCTGGCGGGTGCGCGACAGTGCTCCGTTTGCTGGACGGCCAGACAGAACCACCCGCCGAACAGACAGGAACCGCCCACCGGACACACCATGGCGGACAGCACCCCACAGCTGAAGCGCAAGAGGGAGGGCGCCGACGCCCAGCGCAAGAAGGCGAAGACGCAGCCGAAGAAGCCAGACGCCGGCGCGGCCCACGACGCGGAAGTCGCTGCACCCAAATCGACGCCCAAGTCCAAGCAGACGCCCAAGCCGGCCCCGAAAGCGAAGGACGCGCCCGCGAAGGCGAAGAAACAGAAAGGCGCGGCCGACTGGGCTGTCTCGCCTGCCCAGGGCGGCTGGTTCCTGGCCCGCGACCCGGTCTTCTCGGCGGATGAGAAGTTCGTCTTGCTGGCCACGCAGAAGGCGCTCGAGATCTACGTCGCCGAGTCGTCGCTGCTGGCCTACAAGCTGCCATTGAGCGGCGCGGGCGAGGTCACGGCATATGCCCTGTCGGCCACCGACCCCAACCGCGTCTACGTCGCCGAGTCCACCGGGCTGATCACACTGTGGGACTGGGTGTCCAGGCGCAAGCTCGGCCGCTGGGACATTGGCGCTACGGTGCGCAACATGGCCGTGGTCACCCACTCGGACGAGGACCTCGTCTACTGCCACGAGCCGGGCAAGAGCCACATCGTCAATGTCCACGCCCTGCGCACCGGCGCCCAGGCCTCGACCACTGAGCTCAAGCCCATCCTGAAGACCAGCGCCAACATCCTGGACATACAGGTCTTGCTGCAGGGCAAGTTCGTCGTCGTGGCCTGCGGCGACTCGCTGATGGTCGGCAAGCGCCAGAAGCAGGCCAAGACGGCGGTGCAGGACTTCGAATACCTGTGGCGTGAGCTGAAGTTTGCCCAGCGCATCACCGCCTTCAACGCCTACGTCCGCGACCCCGCCGACGTGGCCGGCACACCCGCGAAGTCTGCCCAGGGCCCGCGAGACGTCATCGACATCGCAATCGGCGACATCTCGGGCGCCCTCCTCCTGTTCGAGGACATTCTGGCAAGCTTTGCCTCGATCGAGACGGTGCAGAAGGCAGGGAAGACCAAGGCAGACAGTGCTGAGAGCCTGAAGCCCAAGAAGCTGCACTGGCACCGGGACGCCGTTGCATCGGTCAAGTGGTCTTTGGATGGTGAGCACAAACGAAGCCGTAGCATTGCTCAAGCTAACACGCGCAGGCAACTATGTCATTTCTGGAGGCGATGAGACCGTCATCACAATCTGGCAGCTCGCGACCGGGAAACCGCAGCACTTGCCCCATCTCACAGCAGCCATCGAAAACATCGTAGTCTCGTCCTCGGGCACTTCCTACGCCGTCACTCTGGCAAACAACTCCGTCATCGTACTGTCCACCAGCGAGCTCGAAGCCAAGACCAACATCGTCGGCATCCAGTCTCGCCGAATCGAGATCGAGCAGCTCCCCAAGAACGCCGACGCAGAGTCAGCGCCTGCAAACTACGACGTCTTCCAGCCGGTGCCCCTGGCCGTCAACCCGATGAACCCGTCAGAGGTCATGTTTACCGTGCCCTCGTCACAGCCGCGTCACCGAACCGAAGGACTGCGCCCCGAGCCTTACTTACAAACGTATGATCTTGCAAACCAGCACGCCGCCTCGAAGCAAGCCCTCACTCGAAACAACGCCACCGACCCGAATCTGACCCCAGAAGGCCGGCGGATCCTCGAACCCACAGTGACCCTGGCGCAAGTCAGCCACGACGGCGAGTGGCTTGCTACTGTGGACGAATGGACACCGCCCCAAGCCGACACTTCCTACCTTGACGAGGGCATTCCCGAGTTCCGGGAAGAGGAGCGTATCCATCGCCGTGAGGTGTACCTCAAGATCTGGCGGAGAGATGGGCACAGCGGGCAGTGGAAGCTCGAGACCCGTTTAGACGCCCCGCATTTCTTCAGCGATATATCTGCCAATGGCAAGGTATTTGACTTGATCGCCGACCCCACCGCACCAGGCTTTGCTACAGTCGGAGAGGACCACTTCGTGCGAGTATGGAGACCGAAGACCAGGCTAAGAGATGGCTTGGTCGTACGTGGGGCTGAGAAGCAAGGCCTCGTGACTTGGTCGCTCGACTGCTCGGTCGAAATCAGCGACAAGCTCGATGTGCTTGATGCTGGCGCGAATGCACAACAGACTCTGCCACTACGGAATTCGCGCTTAGCATTCTCCGCAGATGGCTCGGTCATCGCAGCTGCCATTTCATGGGCTTCAGACGAAGACCCGGGCGTTGTCCACCTCATCAACGCCAACACCACAGTCATTCAGCGTTCCTTGACCGAGGTCGATGTTGTTGCACTCAGCGGTCTCGCCATCCTCGACCAACACCTGATCGTTGTTGGCGACTCGATAACAGTCTGGGACATGGTCCGAGATCAGCTGCTGTACTGCGTACCCGTCAACACCCCCGGCATCGACCGATTCGACCGCATCCCGCTCGTGAAGCTTGCCGTCAACGAGACTGACAGCACCTTCGCCGTGACACTACCGCGCTTCGAGAACAGCAACGCCCGCTTCCAGCGCGCGTCGTCAACAACCCAGATCTTCAAGCCCCAACACGCAGGCGCCCTGTGGTCGGCCAAGAACCCCACCATCACCCTCGCTCTCGCCTCCCGACACAGCGCGAGGGGCTACATCACCCTCGACTCGGCCGCAAACATCCGCGTCATCAGCCCCACCAGCAGCACCGCCCAGCTGCCCACGCCTCCCCCCGAGGACCCCCCCCCGCAACCCACATATACCCCCGCCGAGGCCAGCACGGACGCCGAAGACGACGCCGTCCTGGCGCTGCCATCCATCGACGCACTCCTGCACAGCGAGGACGTCGACACCGTCGTCGTCAAGCCCGAGCAGCTGCAGCAGCTGTTCGAAGAGAGCGGGCAGAGCCACGCGACGGGCTCGCTGAGCGCGTTGTTGAGCAGCGTTGTTGCGCTGCATCAGAAGCGTCCCGCTCTGCCGTTGAGATAGCGCGAAATATGATTCCTTTTCGACTTTACACTCTTGAGACACGAATGCGCTGCCGTTGATTGTGATGTTTTGCGCTTTTTGCTGATAAAGCTTGTCATGGGGCCGATAACGCGGACGGCTATACTATGGTATTGTTGGTAACAGATATTCAATCGACATGATCATCCACATATCAACGACTATACTGCTGTATGCGAGAGTCGCAGGGAAGAGCTAGATAAAAACCTGGCAGGATGTGTCCTGGAGATTGCAGTATCTGGATACGTTGTGCTTTGCATGGCCAATTCATGGATCGATGTTGATATGCCTTCTCTCCGCATGAGAGGACTATCTTCCTATCACAGACTACAAACAGTAGGATATCGTAAAATAGACCGGGCGGCATACAACTTCTTACCATTGGGCATCGCATCGCAACGCATCTTGCTCGAATCCACGCCGACCCGCCAACCCCCATGCCCGACTCCAACCACACAGCACGCATCACGCATCACGCATCACGCATCACGCATCACGCATCACGCATCACGCATCACGCATCACGCATCACGCATCACGCATCACGCATCACGCATCACGCATCACGCATCACGCATCACGCATCACGCATCACGCATCACGCATCACGCAGATCCCCCGCACCGCCCGAAAACAAGCAGGGCAAACACCACATGCAGTCATCCCTCCCCCAGCGACACGCTTCGCACGCCCAGCGCCCAGCCCTGCGCCGAGCGCCCAGCGCGCCACGAGCGCCACCACCCAGAACCTTACCAATCCGCCCGAATCCCCCAAGCCTTGGGGATTGCTTGATCGCACCCCGCAACCGGATTCCAAATGCACTCGCAGTGGCAATCGCGGCCGCGGCAGGTAGGTGCGGCAAGCCACGGGGCAGCGTGTCTGCTGTCTGCGTGCGGACATACGTCACTGTTTCCACGGGCGTGTTGCAAAGCGCGTTTGAAACGCGAGGGTGCACAGCGCGAATGTTTCCGCGCGGGGGTGGGGATGCGCGCTTGGCTGTGTCATGGCATGAGGCATGGGGAGGAGTGCTGGTGCTGCGCTGCTTGGCGGGAGGGCCTGCGTTTTCGTGCGCGGATGCAAGGACGCTGTGGAGTGAGGGGAGGAGGGTGTTAAGCGGGGTTGCACGGCGGGGTGGTGAGGGTTGTGCGGCGGCTCGTGCGAGGCTTGGGGGCGTGGTGCGGCGTCGTCAGGCGGGTTTGTTGGGCTTGGGATTGAGGAGGGCTGCTGTACGGGGGCATGTTTGTTGGTTGTGGTGCTGTTGGCGCAGGCCTGCCTAGAGATGCCCAGGAGGAATGTCTCGGTGGGATCACAGCGGGGTGGATCTGGGGCCAAGAGGAGGTCGATTGGACATGGACGATTGTCGCGTTGGAGCTCGTGTGATATTCTGGAGAGAGGTGTGGCGATCAGCATGAAATCAATTCCGCAGCTGCACACTGTTCACGCTTGGGCGAGAGCATTCTCGGCCTGGAAGAGCGTGCCTTTTGTGGACTGTCTCCACCTCTTGAGAAGATCACCAGAAGCACAATGGGGACGGTACTTGACGCTTGTTGATGCCAGTGCCCCAACGAGCTATTGCCTCCGATATGCAGTGCAACGTAAAGCTGACATACTTGCGCAGGACACGCCGTCGTGCCACACTGATAGAGCCGTGCAAGTCATGCGCGTTGTACAACACAGGGGCAAGCGGGACACAGCAAGGGGTGTAGCTTGCCAATAGCCTAACGATCTAATCCTCGGAACATCGGTCGTGGGTTTACCACGTTTGGACGTCGCACTGGCTGCTCGGAGAACGTGAGCGAGTGAGACAGAGTCATGTTGACTTGATGAACATCTGTTGCTCCGTCATGGCGAGTTTCGACGTGGACTTTGGAGAACGGCTGTAGCGCCGGCTCGCAGACTAAGCATTGCCAATTTACGCATCACGATGGTGACAGGGTCTCATGCAGTAGGGCTGATGATCACGGGCCGTTGGGAGAACACCTCAAATCATCGCTCGAAAGCGAAAGCAGACAGCCGATCTCGGATTCTACTTCGCGCGGTATTCCCGACGCGCACTAGGTACACCTGTGGAGTAATGGACGTTTGGAGAGCCTGGCACTAGGCAATTGGTTAGCTGCACGCTCGCCTGCGGGAGGGAGACGAGAATTTTCCGTGCCACCACCCATGCTGCGGGACCGAGTATTGATGCTGCAGTCTCATGCTGTTTACTGCCCCTTTGGGCTGCAACTTTCGGAGCAACGCGCTGCAATTGGCGCACTGTCTGTATCGATGTTTGGGAGTGACGTGGGTTGAATGCTGGTAGACGACACGAGCTTCGCTTCTCGGCACACGTGGTTGGCTCGTCGACTTTCGGCCAGCGTCGTCGGTGCTTGGCGCAGTCACCAATTTTATCGGGCCAGCTTCCAAACAACCCGGCCGTGGGATCGATGCTGCTTTTGGGTTCTGGCAGAGACTTCATGCACGGAACGCCTGAAACGCAGAGACTAGAGCAATCTAAAGTTAGATGGGTGCGGATGATGGCATGGCTCGGCTGACGGAGAGGGTGGGGCCTTCTCTCCTTATTTTCAACAAGCTCCTCCCAAGAACGGCACCTTCGCAAGAGCGCTCGGCAGTAGAGAGCCAATGTGGCGGACAACTGTAATGTTGAACCCCAGCGCGAGACGGTCTCTATGCAGCGCCCGCGGCGCTGTTGCACTCGTCACTACCATGCGTCTCGCCGTCCAGTGTCAGGCTTGAGCCACGGCAGCTGCATGTAATCGCATGCACCTCAGAACGACAGCGGGCCGAGTGATTTCCACACGCGGCCGAGTGCTACAGTGAGCCATGAAGCCACCACGGTTTCGATGGAGTCCAACAAGACTTTGGCCGTCTGTCCCACGATGAACAGATGACTGCAGCTAGGCGGCACAATGCCTCAGGCCTCGGATACGAACATCAATTTCAGCGTCATTCCCTGAGTCTCCTCTTGGTGGGGTTGCTGTGGACTCGCTGAATCCATGTTCCTGCATCATCGCAGACTGACTCCCGCTATCCGACATGCCGCCCAATCGCAACCTTGGTCGCGCGAAGCGAACCCGGAGCTATGGGGCGAGGATTGATAGCGCGCGAGGCTCCAGGGGTGGCCGCGACACAAGGCTTGAACTTTGTTAGGTTTAACCGGCTCTTGGCGAAGCATGCTTCGGTGCGCCATCGTCAAGTTTAGCAACTTGCCTGCAGGGATGTTTCGCTGGCGGGCGATCTTGCGTCCCTTCATAAGCAGAGAGTCCCTTTCGTCAAGTGTACCTTCTTCACCTTCTCCCTGAAGCCTTAATTCCGCCTCTACTTGCGGCTCGCCCCTCGTTACTCCTCTCAGGACCATCCAGTCGTGAAGTCTTTACTGGCTCACACTTGTCATTCGCTTCCTTGAACCCTCCACACACTACCTCTAGTAATCCCGTAATACGAACACGAACCCTCAACATGCACTTCTCCTCACTCGCCGCTGTTGCGGCTATTGCCCCGCTCGTCAGCGCCCATGGCGGTATGGGCCTGCCCAAGATCGCTGGTATCAACATGCGAGACCTCAAGTCCCGTGACTTGCTTGCCAACCTCGAGGCCCGCATTGCTGAGGTCAAGATTGCCCACGCCCACGAGAACCGCTTGACTGCTCGTCAGGATGACCGCCAGTGTGGTGCTGGTATTGGCTCTTGCGCCGCTGGACAGTGCTGCTCCGGTGCTGGATGTATGCATCCACATGCTAAACCTTGAAACACGTGACACTGACGCGATGCAGACTGCGGTACCGACAACGACTACTGCTACTCCCCTGGCTGCGACTACAAGTACGGTCCCGGCTGCCCTGAGAACGTCACCCCCGCGGGTACCAACACCTCGTCGATTGCCCGCACCAAGGTTGGCTCCGTTCCCTACGGTGGCGCCGGTATCTACAACTGTATCACACCTGGCACAGTTGCTCTGACCTACGACGATGGCCCACAGAAGGACTACACTACTCACGTTCTTGATGTCTTCAAGACATACAACGGAAAGGCCACCTTCTTCATCTCTGGCAACAACATCAACAAGGGTGAGATCGACACCACCCCCGAGTTCTCTAGCGTCATCAAGCGCATGGACTCTGAGGGTCACCAGATCGCATCCCACACCTGGACTCACTTGGACTTGAGCGCCGTCTCTTCCATCGACCGCAAGCAGCAGATGTGGAAGAACGAGATGGCTCTTCGCAACATTGTTGGCAAGATCCCCACCTACATGCGCCCTCCCTACTCCAGCTGCACAGCTGAGTCCGGCTGCGAGCAGGACATGGCTGATCTCGGTTACCACGTCACCTACTTTGACGTTGATACCGACGACTACAACCAGGACGATGTCAACAAGATCCAGAACTCCAAGAACTACTTCCGTGGCAACGTTACCCAGAATGGTGCTTCTGCTGCCAGCTCGGAGTGGTTGGCTATTGGCCACGATATCCACTACCAGACCGTTTACAACCTCACTGACTACATGCTGTCCACCATCACCGGTCTTGGCTACAAGGCCGTTACCGTTGGCGAGTGCCTCGGCGACCCCCAGGCCAACTGGTACCGCACTGCTGGTGGCGCTGGTTCTACTCAGGTAAGCCCATGACTTCATAACTCCCGTCTTCAAGTCTCTTCCTAGCTCTCTTGGGTTGTCGTCAAGGTCTCCTTTGTGTCATTGCATTCAGCATTGTCATTCAAGCGTCAGCTTGAAGAGGAAACTGATGATATGTGAAAGTGATCCTACTGAGATCGATGGCCTGGGCTTGACACGATCGAATGTCAAGCCCAAGTGCCTCGTTCGTCAGGCGTGGCATCGTCTGACTCAATATCGTCGACCAGACGACAAACCGCTTTTTCCAAAAGCGGCGTCCACTCCCTCCATGCTGTTATTCGGTGGCTTGCGCTGGCTTGCAATTTGTTCTTGGATATCTGTCTAACATCATTATCAGCCCTCTACTACCACGTCTGCTGCTCCTTCCACCGGAACCCAGAAGGTCTCTACCGACGGTACCTGTGCTGGTACTGGCAAGCAGACTTGCCTTGGCTCTACCTTCGGAAACTGCTGCAGCCAATATAACTACTGCGGATCTACCACTGACCACTGCGGAACTGGCTGCCAAACTGGCTTCGGCAACTGCGGTGGCACCGGCGCCGTCACCTCCAAGGCTTCTGCCGCCGCCACCACCTCCAAGGCTCCCGCTGCTACCGCCACCACTACATCCAAGGTTTCCACCGACGGCAACTGCGGTGGCACTGGCAAGCAGACTTGCCAGGGCTCTACCTTTGGAAACTGCTGCAGCCAATATGGATACTGCGGAGCTTCCACTGACCACTGCGGTACCGGCTGCCAGACTGGCTTCGGCACCTGCGGTTCTTCCACCTCCACCAAGGCCGCTACCCCCACCACCGCTGCGCTGAAGGTTTCCACTGACGGTACCTGTGCTGGCACTGGCAAGCAGACCTGCAAGGGCTCCACCTTCGGAAACTGCTGCAGCCAGTATAACTACTGCGGATCCACCACTGGCCACTGCGGCACTGGGTGCCAGACCGGCTTCGGTACCTGCACTTAAGGAATCGTCGTTGAAAGTTGTTTCTGGATTGTAAAAGGTTGAAGCAGCGTTGGGCATTGACGCCTTGTACAAATGAAGCGATATAGTATGCATATGACGAGTATATAGGGCTGTTGGGATATCCATGACATTTTACCTATCATCTACGTTTCATACGGATTCTGTGAAAGACAACTAATAAGTCGTGCACCAGTGACCTAGAACGGAGTTTTTCAGTGGTGTTTCCACGGCTTATTAGCTACAATAGTGATAGTTTGATTCCTACAAAAGCGCCAAGTAGCTGTCAAGGCTCACAACGTCAGAATGTTCAACCCTGCGAAGGACCCAGCTGAGCCAGATGCTTTCACAGAAAGATCCGCACATATGTTAACACGAACATCTGCAAATTACTTAGTTGATCTTGTTTTGGGAGGTGTCCTAAGTTCAACCAAGATAGTTCCTAGAAACAAGGACTTCACAGTTGAAGACGATCTCTCTCTCCCACAGTTGCCTGACTCTCAGCTATCCGTACACACAGCGTATGTGAATCTGACTGTGTATGAAGAAGATGATGACAAGGTAATCTAGAGGCAGTACCTTGGCTCAGCAACTGCTTGATTTGGCGCCCTGCAACGCTGGCAAATATCAAGAAACTTGACAGCAAATTCCGACACACTCACATCATCTGGAAAGATGGGGCTTCCATCAACCTGCGAAGCCTCGCGCATTTTCGTCCCGTAAGATATTCGATACAAGGCTGACAGACTACACACTGTCGGCAGACTTACTGGCGATCTTAAAACTCGGTGTTGACTACTACACAAGGATCCTCGCTACAAGTGGCTTCCGCACTGACGGCAGTGACAGCATTGTTGTTGAAATGATTGGTTGATTGAAGGAATATGGAGGAAACTAGTAAAGTACATTGACTAGCAGTAGGCACCTACCATTACTCAGGAGGCACCTACTTCAATGGGTGTATCTGCTAGACTCACAACATGTCAACATGACAACGATGTACCAAGAAGTTCAGCAACCGCAGTTGTGTCAATGGTCTTTTCTTCAGCAATTTCGGCTGCAGACATCGGTGAGCTAGGACCGTGTCAAACGGCAAGCATCGTCTACTGCACCCAGGCGTGTCCAACCAACTGGAATGCGAACGATTTTACGCACGATGTTATAGAATCGTTCAGTGCGCTTGCTTCTCTCTCGGCTGTTGATGTGCAAATCGAATTTGTTGTCATCACGGGTTTTGTTATACACGTTCTTTGACAACTCTTGAGGTACTGTATTGGGATGCGCAATAGGTAGTTGTCCGACACTCTCGATGTCGCTTTCGGCATCCCCTTCGCACGGATCGAATAACTCTTTGTTGTCGGTAACTTCACGATATCTCATTGCAAAACACCATATGTTTTGCATGTGATATAAGAGAATTGAACATCGACTTCTCAGATGCCTTCACATCTCAATCAAGAGATGATAGGTTCAGCCTGGTGCGGGGAACAGCTGTGGCGGCGGCCAAGTCATTTAAGGCCCCCCAGCGAGAATTGACATACTTGCTGTTGGTGTCTCTTATCTGAATCTTTCGGTAGATAATAGCTATGATGAGATTCTGTGAGTCGAGAAGATACGATGCTGTCACTGCGGATGTCAGTTGTGATGGCGATTCTCATCTAGCCAACATCGAGTTGCAAGACTGCCGGTAAGTCGCCAACGTTTTGTAGACTATCAGCCTTGCGTTAATTGTCGTACGGCAGATTACAACAGTCTGGTCACGATGAGCGATATAGAAGCAGAACGATTATTGAGATTAAGAACTTCAACAAACAGGCCATTGTCAATGTGGATAACGCATATCTTCTTCCTTCCGTACCTGTCAAAGGCATGGATGACAGTCGCACCTGACATCCATTACTATCAGGCTGGCGTATTGGCGCGCTTCTATCGCTTATAGGCGCGACATCCGTATTCATCCTCAACCTCGTCTTGACAATATGGGTTTTGACCCATCCAAAATACGAAGTACAGGATGGTCTGGGTACTTTATTCGAGGGAAGTTGCGCGACGACACGCAAACTCAACGTATGGGCTCACTTACTTATAAATACTCTTAGCACTTTGTTGCTCGGTGCAAGCAATTATTGTATGCAGGTCCTATGTTCGCCAAACCGCACAGAGATTGATAATGCTCACGCGGGACGTTTTTGGCTCCACATCGGGATCCCGAGCGTCCACAATCTCAGATTCATCAAGGGCGAGCGTTCGGTTCTATGGGCCATCCTCATGGTTTCTTCCATGCCACTCCATCTCCTGTACAACTCAGTTGTCTTCACCAACTTGCAAGCTAACAGCTACGTTGTGGTTCCAACCATGGAAAGCTGGCTATCGGGCGGATCCTACGACTTTTCCAACTTTCTTGCATTCGAAGGCGATTGGAAGAATATGAGTTCCTTCGACTCAACTCTAGACGATTATCGTCCCAGCCTTAATGAGACCATCATACTCAACGATGGGACCGAAATTCCCAGGTACAAAAACACCAGCTCCGAACCATGTTTTCACGGCTTCGACACGCAATACACGTCTGAGTTTGGAAACGTGTATATCGCTCAGGCCCAGCCCACGACCTGGCGCAACCAAACACACTGGCATCTTGGAGTGCATAATACTACGGGAGCATACGCGTGGTACGTGGATGACAGAGATAATGCCACTGTTGCTTGGTACAACGCAACAATCAGAGATGTCGCATCTACGATGCCCTTCCGAAGCGACCCGAGCGTATATCCGTCGAACCGATGGCGCTGTCTTCATCTCAAAGACTCAACTTGCGATTTCTCAAACGTAACAGAGAATTGGAAACCATACGAAAGTCCTGTGCAGTATTGCATGATCGAGCAAGTTGCGGAGATGTGCAAACTTCAATTTAGCTTCCTGATCGTGTCAATAGTACTAGTCTCGAATCTGTTGAAAGCAGGTTGCATGTCTCGTTTACTGTTATGCCATAGCAGTCATGATGCGCTTGTAACGCTGGGGGATGCTATAGCAAGTTTTCTCGAACGTCCAGATGCCCACACCGAAGGCCGTTGCCTGCCGTCTGAAGTACAGATCGATAGAGCATTCAACGGAAGGACGTCCGTGGCTCCACGTAACGATATCGTACGGTATCATACTCGGCACGATAAAGAATTGAGAAATCAAGCCAGAGCCTTCAAGCCCGAAAAGATTCGATGGTCGGCAGCCTCGAGTCATGGGACGTGGCTTACGGCTTATGTGTTGTAAGTCTGCGCAACTTATGCATCAAATAACTGGAATATCTGATGTTTGCGTAGCTACCTGTGTGCCGTCATCATTGGGTTAGCGGCGATTAGGATGTCACTCCATGGCATGCCCAAGTCTCCGGCGCAGCTCTGGAAGATCGGATTTGGCTCCGTGGATGGCAGGAATTTACTTACTGCCAATATGTCCCTTCTCAGTGCTGTCATACTGGCCAACAGCCCACAAGCAATTCTTTCTTACCTCTACCCTACCTTCAACAGGCTGTATAGTAGCATGCTTCTCGGGAAGGAGTGGTCCAGCTACCTCAATGACCGCAAGACGTTACGCGTCACAACACCCATCGGTCAGCAGCGCAGTACCTACTGGCTCAGTGTACCCTACCGCTACGCCATACCGATGATCATAGTCTCAGGTCTCTTCCACTGGCTTGCCAGCCAAAGTCTGTTTATGGTGCAGATCACGGTCACACGGACTCGGGAAAGCGGAGCTCGCGAGATCGTGCAAAATGAGCAGATCTCTACGTGTGGCTTCTCGCCCTTTGCCATAATTCTCACGACAGTAACGGCAACTGTGATTGCTCTCTGTGGCGTTGCCATGGGCCGCTTGACATACCCTGCCGGTATGCCGCTCGCAAGCAGCTGCTCGGCCGTCATGAGCGCAGCATGTCACTCTGTGGTCGGTGATGAGAATGCTCATATGCTTCCCGTACAGTGGGGTGCAGTCACACATGGGTTAAATGACGACGAACGTGTACACATGCAAACTGGGCACTGCACCTTTTCGAGTTTGCCAGTCGAGACGCCAATCCCCGGCAGATTGTATGCTTAAAGAAAGACTTGGGGAATATGTCGTTGGCTTGACTTGGTTATGTCGTTGGCTTGACTTGGTTATGTCGTTGGCTTGACTTGGTTATGTCGTTGGCTTGACTTGGTTATGTCGTTGGTTTGACTTGGTCATGTCGTTGGTTTGACTTCGCTATGTCGTGTGTAGAGCCTGTGTATGGGCCTTAATTGAACGGTTCACGAGAAGCTTCGCGTTGGTGTCTTTAGTAGAGTGAAGGAGTTGAGATGCCATCTTTATCTCTCTTGGAAACTGTAACAAGCTTGAGTGCTCCGCGTTACGAACAGAAGCCATATCGGCAATGCGTTAAACAATCTGACAGACCTGCGTATCAACCAGGCGTGCTACGAACGTCGAGAATGCCGTGCAGTGTCCCGACGCGTTGCGTTGCATGACGTGAGCATGTTTGGGAGAACAGATAGTAGACTACAACACGCAAGGCATCTGTTATGGGAGAGTATGAACAATGTCAGGAAGATATATTAATCTTAAGCCTCAGCAGGCGTCTAGAAGATGCTATTATCCGAGCAGGTAAACGGCCCGTTCAAAGTCGAATTGGGATCATTGAATATATCAATGAGCGCTTTCAGACTCGTGTACAAGCCGCCGACATTTAAGAACAGCGTCATTAACAGGATTGCGTAGTTCAGGCACGCCAGGGCACTCTTCCTTGGTGTGCTCCATTGCTGCTTCCAGTTGAGGTGCAGCCACATGACGCTGGTCAAGCCGAAAGTGAACCAAGAGATGAAGATCGCGGAGCTGATGTTCAGGATGGACGAGAAGATGGGGATGGCGTTCGAGATGACGAAGGACACGATCCAGAACAGCGTACCGAGAGTGACCCAGAGTGTCCAAGTGAAGGCATTGTGGATGTTGACCTGTTCCGGCCTGACCTTACGCATAATTGCAATGTACATGTATTTTATGGCCGTGATACCGATCACAAGGCCCGTGCCGAGGACAGACGGGATGAGGATGCCGTAGGCGATCTTGGCGGGGATAGTGGGTGCGGAGCCAAGCGCAGGGGAGGTGACGGCGTCGCCGGCGAGGCCGTAAATGACGCATGCGACGACAATGTAGACGACGACCTCGAAGGATTTCTGCATGAAGAGCGCAGGGGGGAATTCTTTCTGCGGGTTTCGCATCTCGGCCATGACGGACATGAAAGATTGGTTGCCGGCGAACGCGAAAGCGACGTTGAGAAGAGCGTTGACGGTCTCAACAAAGGTTGGCTTGCCGACAAGGATGATTTTAACATCGAAGCCAGGCGGCGCTTTCGGCCCTGCGACACCGAGAGCAATCATGACGATGAGAACTGAAGCGACAATGGAGATTGTGCAGATCCAACTCATAGCAGCTGCAAATGTAAGCTTGCGCGGCAGACAGAGCAGCCAGCAAGCGACGTGCGGTATGGCTATGAAAGCAACCGTGCAAATGGCGTGAGACGAGAGGGTGTTGAGAGCGATTGACATCGTAATGTTTGCACTGGCACAAATGAGTACGAGGTTGAAGATGAAAGCGACACCGAAGAAGCGTTCGAAATTCTTTCCGCCGAGGTAGAGCGCGCAGTCGACCAGATTCGTGACCATGGGGTATTTCCTGTAGAACTGGACCATGATGTAGCCGCAGTACGTTGTGAGAGAGCCAAAACCGAGAATAGCAATTATTCCAGGGATAAGACCAAGGGTTTGGAGCGCAGAAGGCAAACTGAGAACACCGATGCCGACCTCGATGGTGATCAGGATCACACACGCTCGCCAGCGCCCCAGAGTCCGGTACTCATCACCCAGACCATCTCGCTGCTGTGGGTATTCGTTGGCGCCAGCAAAGCCATCGCCTGTCCAGCCGGTTGTAATGTTGGTGTTTTGCCCGAACTCTTCGTCGTAGTTGGATTTTTCAGATCCGGGATATGGCGACGTCTCGCTCTGGGCAGGCGACCCTTGCGCTTCCTTCTTTTGGAATGGATTTTTGAGACCCATGACGGATGAGTGGCAGGCCCTCAATGAAAGGAAGGATGATTCAATGTCAGTCGGCAGTAGAGCGTGGCCGAGTACGGCGAACTTTGGTCTTTTAAACCTCCACTGCTCCTAAGATCGGCCCTGTATTCTTTCCCCAACTGCGTAATCTCCACTAGTCTCCGAATGCATCCTGGCGATGTCGCCTCATCGCATGTCAATGCATCTTGTGAGCCTCGGCCCTGTCTGTCCACTACCTACACGCCTGATGCGCTTCTAGTGGCACCCGTATGGCGGAGTGCATGCGCAGGATGCGGGGGATGGACCCGACATGGCTATTCTCGGTTCTCCAGAATGAAGACAATAAAGCCCCAGAGCTTGTTGTCCCTGAAGCGCAGGCAGTTTGATGATGGGTGTGGGTCGTCATTGCTAATCGTTGGCCGGTGCGAGGTAACTGTGACTTTGAAGCTCCACATAATCACGTAAAAACTTCGAGAAAACTTCGTAGACCGGGATTCATCCGCTTGGCAGTGCGCTTGAGCCGCTCGGATCAGCCGTAAATCGGCTTACAGGCTTTTCCATGTGCGGAGTCACACTCTCCATGGCCAGAGTCAAGTTCAGGGTCAAAGGATGGGGTTGAAGGATGCTCTGTGAGGTTGTCCGCCGCGGGACGTTCGTGGAAGGCGGCTCAGCCCTACGCGGACGCTACTGCCGGCTGTGGCGCTTGTTCGGTCTGGGCCTTCCGAAATGAAGAGGAGAACGCTCCCACTCATCATCGTCAGTTGCATCTTCTCAGGCACAGTCGCGGCTCGGTGATTTCGAATTTTCGGTCTCGATGGAGGTACTGGATACATTATGAGTGTGATGACATGTTACTGTGGGTCGTTGGTAGTGTCGGCAACCCACATTGTGGAACAGCAGATACCATTGTGGCGAAGATTTCCATCCATCACGAACTTCTGTTGATCAAGTCATGAAAAACATCGTCATCAGACCAGATAATGATAATGTTGATGAATTGCCAGCATCCGGTGGCGGCGTCAGGATAGGAAGCAGTTCTGAACTAAAATTTGCATTTCACCAGCCGTGTAGCAATGGATCTAGCTGTCGACATACACGGGAATAAGAACAACCACCACGAGGCCCCTGCATCTCAACACTGCCTTCGCTCCTGCTGTAATATCAGAACATGCCTTATGCGTCAGCCGCGGATTCTCTGAGAGCAGTGGGCACGCCTTCTGTGGCACCCTGAGACTGTGTTGAAGGTTGAGAATCCGTCTTCGTCAGAGAGGAAGACTCCGTCTGAGCCAAAGCCGGCGCCTCTGTCGTCTCTGGCCTGCTATCTTTGGTTTCCGAATCTGCTTCGCCCGACGTGTCAACGTCAGGGAATGCTCCAGGAGCCTCGAACGAACCAGGGGCAGGCTTGACCGACTCTTCCTGCGATGTCAGGGAGGGAAGCGCATCGGTGATTTTGGTCAAGATGCTGGGTTCGTCCTTGGCAGACGCATCGGATGAGGAGCTAACTTCCGCAGGTACAACAGACTTCGCGGCCTCAACCACTGGAATGGTGACAGACTTCAGAGAATCAGTGATGGGAGTTTCAGTAGCCTTCTTGCTATCCTTAGCCGGGACGTCATTAGCCTCAAGCCCACTAGGGACCTCAGCTTTCTTTTCGATCTCATGCTCGCTCCCTGTAGGCTTGTGCGAATCCAAGGTATGTTGGATCTGGGTGGCTAGCCTTGCGGCAGGAACTTCCAGGGCACCATCTTCGCCGAAGCTCCAGATGGCTGTGACTGGCGCAAGATCCAACTTAGCCCTCGGGACGGCAACCTCAGCTGTGATAGTTGCCGCTGGCGCTGGGGATGCTGCAGGCTTACGCCTCTGGGGACCCTTAGCCCTGCCCTTGCGGGCGTCCGACAAAGGCTGAGCAGGTTCCACCACCTTTTCTTCCTCTGGTTCTTTGACCTTTGGTCCTTGCGGGCCAAGGCCCAGCTTGCTGTTCAGATCCTGCAAAAAGCCGGCTTGGAGTGCAGCGATCTTAGAGCCAGCTGGCCGCGCAGGAACTGGGGGCTTAGCCTTCGGCTGAGGGGCATCATTCTCGACAGCCCGCTCTGTGGTAGGAACTTTCTCCGACGATGATTGCGAAGGCTTGCTCGGGCGCACTGGAATTTGAGGCTTGGGACGGTCTGGAATGATAGGGGTTTTCTTGTCCACTGGTGAGATCTCTTGTTGTGCCTTCTGGGGGCGTGCGGGCACCGTCGGGCGAGCTGGGATGGAAGGCTTATCAACGATCGGAGAGTCGGGAGCATACTCATTGGTGTCGGGAGTTTGTGGCCCGCTGACAGTTGTCTCAAGGTGACCATGGTCCGGCGCATCTTCCCAGACATCTTGACTCGGGAATCTTTGTGTCGTAGGACGCACTCCACGCAAATGCTTGTTTTCGGCGGCAAACTGCTTGGTGTGCTCGGATAGGAAATCCTGCTGATCCTCCTTGGTGATGGTACTTTTGCGCTTCTCCTCTGTCTCTGGCGCCTCAAAGACCTGGGCGGCGCTCACATCACCACCAGCTGGAGTGTCAGGCTCGTCAGGAGCCTCTGGAGTGTCAACAGTAGTTTCCAGTTGCAGGCTGCCGGGTGCGTCCTCCCAAACGTCTTGACTAGGGAAGTGGTGGCGAGCAAGATTAGGTCGCTTGACCTTGTCGGCGAGGGTCTTGGGCTTCTTGCCGTCCTCGTCATCCTCGGGGAACAGAGGTTCGTATTCCTTGTGCGACTCGAGAGGGGTACTGCTCCTGTCTCCAAAGTGAGTAGGGTTAGCAATAGCGCGGTGCTGCTGAGTGTTGTTTCGACTCGAGCTTCGGCTATGAGTGCGCTGCTTCGTGATGTAGGCGGGAGTTCCGTCCTCGTTGACCGTATACTCGCCATCATGACGCCGCTCCAATTCAGGCGATATCGCAGGTTGCCTCCACTCGGTGTTGGGATGCTTCTGCACCTCGTCAGAGGCAAGGATAGGCATGCCGTATCCACGCTCAGTGATCCAACCGCCTCTCTCGTCGGTATTTCCTCCCTCAGGACCGAGGTCCTCAGTCGGTGGGTCGTAACCCCCGCCATGGATCTTGCCGCGCGGGTGGGCAGGAGGGTCGATGTGAATCACATCACCATTGTCATCCAGCTGCTCAGCCGAAGTCTCCTGACGCAGTGCAGATTCTTGGTTCGTAGCTTTGCTCGTGGGACGGCTCGTAGAAGAAGAGGGTCTAGGAGATGCCATTCTCGATGCATATTCATCAGTAGCCCTGTATCCAATCTGCTCGTCCGGCGTGCTGACACCTTCGCGCGACGTGCCTACATTCAAATCAGTATTGCTTTCCGCTAGTTATGGTAGAGGACATACCAAATCCAATGTCACTGGGGGCTTTGTGAACCACCTTGTTGAGGTCATCGGCACGCCAGTGGTAATCTTTCCTGTTCTCCTGGATATGCGGGCCATACTCTCCGGCCTTCTCGCGCTTCAAATCGTCGGGGTGCTTCTCATACCACTTCTTCTCAAACTCATCGTTGGAGATCTTTCCGTGTCCGTGCATACCATAGCTACCAGGAGGGCCGTGGAATATTTCACGGCCACTCTTTGTACGTCCGTGGTGGCGGCCACCGGACTTGCTACTGGTCTTGTTGTGGAAGCCAACGCCGCCTCCAGTCTGCTGCTCGTATGGGTTGGGTGTGGGGGCCTGGACGTCGCCAGCACCACGAAACATGGGCACCTGAACACCGATCTCGGGAATGCCGGCGTGATCCTTGTCGTTGTAAAGTGAGGCCGGTCGCGAGCCAACGGAGCTGCCAGAACGACCAGTCTTTGCACCCGGAGTCGCATTGTCTTCGGGCGCCAGCTTGCCAAAGCCTGCTGCAGCTGCCTGATTGGAATCGGTACGCGTGACAGCTTGTATGTTACGCTTTGCTGTCGAGCCTGGTACCGAGGCTGTTGGAGCGTGCAGGGGCAGATCGGTAGCTATCGATGACTGCTGGACGGACCCACGGCTCTCGTTTGTGAGCGTCTTTGAGAGATCCTCGAAGCTGGCATACTCGCTACCCTCCTGGCCGATGGAAGGAAGTGAGACACTCGGCGGGCGGGCAGGTACCTCGGTGCTGAGACGTCGGTTGTCCTTGGGAGGACCACCATGTGCGTATGTTGGGTCATTGAGCGGCGAGCGGTCGAATCTGTGCGGCGATTGGGAGCGCTCGATGCGGCCCTTCGGGCGGGGAGGGACCCGGGGCAGATCAAGAGAGCTTGCTGGCGCGGGCGCAGCGCTGTTCTGAGCCCGAGATGGACGGGGAGGTATTGATGGCGGAGTACTCATTGCGTATATCTTGTTCTCGGCCTGTGTGTGATGTGTGATGTGGAGTAGCTGTGGGCTGAGTCGACGTTAGTGACGCACTTTGACTGCCAAACGCTCGAAACGCTGGGCGTAAGATAAGCTGTCTGCTGCACTCAGCCAAGGACAAAGCATTGATGGACGACACCACAAGCTGCACTCGACATCTGCCATTGTCGCCCAGCAGCTGCCAGGCGTTGACTGATAGCAGGCGCAGGCCAATGAGCGGGGCCGTAATCGGAGCTGGCGGGCAGCCGAGTGGGCAGGACAGCAGGATTGAAGACAAGAACTCACCAGACTCGCAATTGCAGTGTCAAATCTGTACTGAAGGAAAGAAAAAGGCTGCTTATGCAGTTGAGCTGAACAAAGCGCAAATGGCTCAGAGAGGCAAAGCTGGGGCGGCGCGTTTATGTACCTATCGTCGTCAAGGGCTGGGCCCGCATTTGCTCATGCGTACCCTGGCGTCACTTGAATGCAGCCATCAAACCGCAAAACCTGAATCTGGCTCCTCGTGTCTTTACCCGGTATAGAGGCACCCATATTTTGAAGACTCTATTCATGCCAACCTCGACCTACATACTCCAGCTTGAGCAACCTCGCACCAACGTCGCGTGGTGTACTACACGATCTTACCTGGAGTTCCACTGTGTGATGCGTAACCTTCGGCCACTAGCGGCTTCGCTGTCGACCATGCACGAGCGTGGAGGCTGTCACAGGCACGTTGTCGAAGCCGTCACCACGTTGCTGCTGTCGCGCACGGTGGCCATATCACGCATAAATTCTGACCTTGGCCGCTTTTCTGCTGCCACCGTTGCTGTGCAGATTCTTCGATGCTGCAGGGTGCGCCTCCTTCACTAGGCTGATAAGGACCTTAGCTTTCCCCGCGATTTGATCAGCTGCAGTTGGTTCCTGGCAGATCGCTTGTGTGAAAAATCCGTCACTTTGCATCGAACGAGCCTGTCAGCAACCGTGAAATTCGAGGTCACTGGCCACTTAGCATCATCGTCCCCAGCAGCGCTCCCGGTGTACACTGAACCGTTCGAGTCGAATATCATCGATGCGGCACTTCTAGTGGCAACCAAACACCGTTGCCATGCCGTCACATGTGGGCCCTGAATAGCTCCAGATAGTTACGTCGACGGTCCCGCCCCACTGCGTGCAAGACATGTCTCTTCAGCATTGAGTTGCTGAACGGCATCAATCCATTCATGATGATCTCGTTACATCAAAAGCTACATATCAACCCAGAATAACGCCCTGGTATCAAGTGTTGGTACACAACGTTTCCTCTGACTGCCAAAAACAATGCCTCGTTATGCTCTTCAAAGCCCTCATTTTGCGCTCTCATTACCAGTATGTCTGGCTGCCTCCTCGATCAACACTGGTGATTGCCTCGCAAATCACTTTGCACTCAATCTTTGCGTATCGCTTGCCGTGTGCGTTTCTCAGATGATCATCTGGGCGACACCCTGTCCGCCCAAGGTCTTGCTACCTTGGAAGGCTTGACCCTTGAAGCCAGCCAGCGCGTAGAAAATAGCAGCGACTGTCAGGAAGATGGCGCAGACGATCAAGCTTGTGGCCTGAGGCCAGATGCTGATCCACTGCACAGCGCCCAACACGGCGTAGAAGCCCGCGCGCATGTAATTTGTCTCGATCTTCCGCATGAAGCTGTCGAACTTGGGCGACGTCGGGCAGATACGAAGGAGCAGTGGAATCTCGACGAAGATGATAAGGAACGCAGACACTCTGCGGATGTGGTCAGTATTGCGGTGGATGCACAAGGATGGGTCCAACCCACAGGCAAACAATGCTGAACGCGATGACGAAGGTTGCATGGAAGATGTTCGCAATACCGAGCGCAAAGCAGAGGATGATGCACAGCACTCCAGTCCTAGGCAAGGGTCAGAATCGTGTACGAGGCATCTTCGATCTTGAAGCCTATTAATAGCCCTGAATTGGGGTTGTGTTGCAGGGACAATATTGAAGTCCACGCCAGAGCTCTGGATCATGCTTCAATCACGAAGGATCAAGCATCGTACTGCGGGCTCCGTGAGCAGTTGGAGTGACTGACCATTGACCGTAGATACCTGTAGGTAGACAGTCAGCAACGGCTCTGGAGCATGCATTAACAAGGTGTCCTACTGAAATTCCTCGACTTGAACTCCTCTGCAAGCGTCATGATTGCGTTTTGGTGTACAGAGCGAATTTGTGGCTAGTCGTGGTGCGCGTGTGAGAGTGGTGGAGGAGGTATCGCAGCTTGTTGCCAACAGCTTTGTTGACTGCGCAAGCTGAGGACAGCTCTCGGACTAGTATATCAGGCGACTTGGCTGTCGGGAACGCGGACGATGAGGCTGGGACCAAGGCAGAAGCGTGCGACTTGCGTTGCGTAAGGGCCGGGCTATGCAGTCAAAGTCCGGCGTAGCTCTGAGCAATGGCGAATGTTGTGGCGGTGCTCGTGAGTCGGTCGTGAGCGGTCGGCTTCTCCAGAAGTTCCACGTCAGGCCCTTGCCGAAACGGTCCTGGTCGGAGCTGCACCTGCAGTTCACCGACAGCACCTCACCTTTTGGGAAGACTGTTTGGACGGCACTTCTTCATGTACAACAGAGCGCGGCAGGAGCCATGGATCACTGCTGTGGTCGCCTCTGGCGTGCTGGGGCTTGCGCTCTATTACCTGGGAGCACGACGCCCGCCGCCTGCACATACTGCCAGACAGCAACCTGAGCGCGAAAAGCCCAGCGAAACCTCGACGACAGATTTTGTAGCAGACGACATGAGCACCGAAGACCGGGCGTATCACGAGCGCTTCATGCGGGAAGCCATTGGCATGGTGAGCCACCTTGCGCGTCTGCTGCACTCCTGTTGCACCGTTTTAAGCAACTGACCAATCACGTGCATCAGGCTGAGCTTGCACTGACCAGCGACGAAACGCCTGTCGGATGTGTCTTCGTGAAGGATGGCGAGATCATTGGTCGAGGCATGAACGAGACCAACCGCACTCTCAATGGCACCAGGCACGCCGAGTTCGTCGCCATTGCAGGCATCCTGTCCAAGAACCCCATCAGCATTCTCAACGAGACTGACCTCTATGTCACCGTCGAGCCATGTGTCATGTGCGCCTCGATGCTGCGCCAGTACGGCATCCGAGCCGTCTACTTCGGGTGCTGGAATGAGCGCTTCGGCGGCACTGGCGGCGTCCTGAATATGCACTCAGAGTGAGTTTGCTGTCTCTCCAGAAACCCGTTGACTGACAAGCTGCAGCCCCAGCGTCGACAAGCCGTATCCGGTAACCGGAGGCATCTTCAGGGAGGAGGCCATCATGCTGCTCAGAAAGTTTTACGTCCAGGAGAACGAGAAAGCGCCAGAGCCAAAGCAGAAGAAGACCAGGGAGCTCAAGACTGAGATTCTACCCATGGATATTCACGCCCCAAAGTCAACGCCATCACCTGCTGTGTCAACGCCTGCTCTGCTTACAACAGCTCCGTCGAAGCCGGCTAATCCTTCCTCGCTTGTTGCGGTTCCTCGCATCCCAGGACTTAATGCTGCTGCACCTGCACTTTGAATGGGCACATGACGGCGCTGCCTACAAGCTCGTCATGCAGCTATGATGGATACAAAGGTGTATCAGCGGCAGAACTTGTCACATGCTGACTTGGATGGCGGCATGTGAAGTACGAGAACACAGGAAGAGTATAACGATACCCAGCATTCAACAGCTACCATAGAAAATTTTCATTCGCGTTGTGTAATCCAAACGAATGATCTACCGCATGTGGTCCTGATCTGAGTGACTGTCGTTCATCGTATTCAAGGCCTGTGTACGAAGTTGGTATTAATTCCACAGTTAATGCGCATCTGATTGGGTATATGAAGGCTATCAAAGCTTTTTGCTGAAATTTGTATGCGTCGACATGCCATACATCGGCGACGCCAGCTCCTGCCATTACTCGCTCCCCTCCCCTTTAAGGTTGCCCGCCAAACTCGGCGAACAAATTGTAGTCCGATCGCTCGGTACTCAGGCTGCGAACTGCATGCCCTGACCAACCTCGGTGAGAGCACCCTGGGTACCACCGTACTCACTGGGAATGCTCTGGCCGAGCTCGGTGGCCAGCTGGTTGCCATAGCTCAGAACAGTGAACTTCTTCACCGTCTCCTTGGCAATGAAGTACTTGGTCGCGGTGAACAGCCAGCCCATGACGACCGGCACGTTGACGAAGAACTTGCGCGACAGCGTCTCGGGGTAGTAGCGGCCGAGGACTTCGATGGTCTTCTTGGTGGCAGCCTTGACAAGCGGGTCCTGGCGCAGAAACGACACCTGTAGGTAGTCGTGCACCTGGAAGCCCTGGTGAGGATCAGGGCCCTCGCCGAAGTTGGGAATGGGCTTCGTGGCGGATGCGAGGTTGAGCTTCAGGATCGACTTCTCCATGAGGCCAACGCGCCAGCGGAGGAATCTGACCGTCTTGTCAGCAAACGCTTGTTGGAGGTAGAATCGAGGTTGACTTACGCGTCGAGATCGCCAAAGGTGGCCTTGTTGTCCTTGACAGCACCGTAGACGTTGAACGTCACAACGTCCTTTTTGTTCTCGCTCTCTGGCACTCCCTCAACCTCGATAATGTAGCCCAGACCGTCGAACTTGGTCTTGTCGAACGACTCGCCCGCAGCCTTGGAGGGGTCGAACTCCTTCCTCCACTTCAGCGTCTCGAGCAGCTGCTGCTTGCCCTTCTCAAGGTCATTTGCGTTGGCGCGCAGAAACTTCTGCAGGATGAGCTTGGTGTGGAACTCGTCAGACTTGGTGAGCTTGACACCATAAACGTCGTCGTGGCCGGCCTGCTGGACAAGCTCCTCAAAGGACTCGTAGAACTTGGTCAAGGGGTGGTCGGCGGCGGTCTCGGGCCAGGCAGAGGTACCAGCAGCGTTGCCTGTGGACGCAGCAGCGGGGGCTGCAGCTGGGGCCGCAGCGGGGGCTGCAGCTGGAACCGCAGCGGTGCCATCAGTGGGAGCATCAGCGACTGCACCGGTGGCAGTTATGGCCACACCAGGAGCAGCGCCAGCTGCACCCGCAGCAGTGCCACTGTCCCCGGTGGTAGGAACAGTGCTAGGGCCGGTGGTGGTGACGGGCACGGCGTCCGAGGCTTGCTGGGACGCTTCGGTAGGCATGCTCTCTACGCCGATTGCAGGCTGCGAGTCAACGGGCGGCATTGGCTCTTCAGTCTTCTTCTCGTCCAAGGCAAGCCCAGCCGTGCCACTGACCACGTCGTCGATCTCTTTCTTCTCGGTGCCGGCCTCGAGGCCCTTCTCGGCGGTCGCAGCTGGCTGCGGTGCCACGGGCTCACTCTGCCTCTCGGTAGCGTCGGCCAGAGGAGCGGCGGGGCCTTCGGCGGGGGGAGCTGGCTTGGAGTCTGCCATGATGGATCTGCTGGACGACTGGGTCTGCGATATGGATGGTGGTGTGCTTCGTAGGGGTGAGACGGCGGCGCAATGTTTCAAGTCTGTCGGTGATGGCGACCATAGCGCCGATCACAGTCGCCGCGCCATCACGTGAGCCATGGGTCGCAGCATGCGGGTGGGCTCACGGTGACTTGCATGGATGCTCGAGCATAAAGTTCTCCTGGGTGCTCTTCGAGCGTCAAGGTCGGCAGGTCGGGGGTGGAGCGCTGCCAGTGCTTAGTCCCCGCTGTATAGACGAGGATGGAGTGGATGGCCTGGGGACCTGCCCAATTGGTGACGCCGGCGAGCGCAGCCGGGACCACATGTGAAGCGTGAAGCGCGTGCCGAGGTTGCACTGCTGGCGGAGCGCAAGCAGCGATCCCCCAGTCCCGTCGCCGTGCACAACAACAGTGCCGCAAACAATGGTGCACGCTGCTGCTGCTGCTGCCGTCGACACCACGCGAACCCGCCAGCATGCCGTCCTCGAGCGCATCGCCGCCGCCGTCGGCTGAGAAGATGGACCCCGTCCTACGCAACGCGTTGCGCTACACCATCAGCCCACGCGAATACCAGCTACTACACCACTACCTGCTGTCGCGCACGCCGGCCGTCAAGAAGCGCTCCATCACCCCGCGCCGCTACGATGCCCTCTCCAAGGGGCCCGACGACTACACCGTGGCTGCCGTGCGCGCCTCGCTGCGCCTCGGCCTCGCAACGCTGGCGGGGCTGAAGACGTGGGAGCTGGTCAAGGCCCGCCTGCTGGCGCGCGGGACACCCTCCCCCAGCCGCAGACCGCCCACGGGCCCCGTGTGGCGGTCGGCCAACGTCCGCCTGAGCAGCTCGCTCGCACTCATCCTGCTGTTCCACCGCCTCCTGCGCCGCTTCTTCGTGCGCCTGCGCGAGAGCCTGCTGAGCAATGAAGCACGCTCCTTCCGCAAGCGCAACCCGCGGGTCTCGCGGTCGCTGACCTCGCGCGTGGCGCCTGCGATTGGGTCCAGCTTGGCCGGCTTCTTCCTCGCCGTGTACCCCGGCGACCAGCTGCGCATCACCATTGCCATCTACATCTTCACCCGCGCCCTGGAGTTCGCGTACAACCATCTCGAAGACCGCGGCTACTTCAAGAACAGGCCCGCCTGGTTCGGCTCCTGGATGCTGATGCCCTTCGCATATGGCCAGTTGCTGCACGCCTTCGTCTTTGACCGCGACTGCTTCCCGGCCGGCTTTGGCGACTTCATCATCGGCAACTCGCCCGAGTACATCCAGCAGAGGCCTGCCGACCTGCCGCCGTCGATACGCTGGCCCGGCACATACGCCATCGTGGACGGGCTCGCAGACATCTCCAGGCAACGCTGGCCGCCCTTTGTGTCACCCATCCTCTTCCCCACCCACGACACACTGCCCAAAAGCCTGACAGCCATATCGTCCATCACCTCCCCTGCACATCCAGCCATCAAATCGCTCTCGTGCGCACTGCTCCATCCCCAAGATCCCTCCTGCTTACGCACCTACCTGCAGTATTGGATCCAAGCCTTCCCCAAGGTCGCCCGCTTCTTCACCATTTTCTTCACCGCCATGAGTCTCACGCGCTACAAAGCTTTCATTGCCTCTCCCTCTGCAGCACTGAACCGACTAGCAAAGAGCATTCTTCGCATGTCGCTCTTCATCTCTGGCGCTATTGGCACAAGCTGGGGCTCCATTTGCCTGTTCCAGAACATCTTCCCGCGCAATTTCCTCTCCACGCAGCGCTGGTTCCTCGGAGGATTTCTCGGTGGCCTCTGGGCGTTCCTAGAGCGCAAGGGCGGTCGAGGAAACTTCCTGTACTGCACGCGTATGTCCATTGATTCGGCGTGGAAGGTTGGCGCCAAGAGAGGTTGGTGGCGTGGAATTGCTAACGGGGACGTGCTGCTGTTCGTGCTAAGCTTGGCTACAGTCAACGTGCTGTACGAGATCTCACCGCGGTCTGTGAGCAGTGGTGTAGCACGGAAGGGCTTGGGTGTACTGAGGGGCGAAGGGTGGGTGGACAGAGCCGCTGTCACTCGAGATGGAAAAGGAGACGACGATGTGAAGGGTGTTCCATCGCGGGACGACTAATGATAATGTGTACGCTACAATCATGATTCGCGATACTGTTCTTGAGCGTAGGTCGATACCCCGACCGCAATTCTATACAGATGTTTGACTACAGCTGTGTTTCTGCACGTCATCATGTTTCCACCCAGACATATCTGCCAGATCCTTTGCGGGTGCTGCTCTCCTAGACTTCAATGCATCGCCAGTTCCAGGCCGCCACCGCCATGCCTGAGCTAAATCTTTGGCCAGCGTGCCTTCAAGCAGTTCAACCACGTGCTTACCGATGTTCGGTAAGAGCTTGAAGGAGTGGCCGCTGTCGCCAGTAGCAAGAATGAAGTTCTTCCACTCGGGATGTTCGCAGATCAACAATGCAGCGTCCGCAGTATCGCTACACCAGCACATACTTTTGTTAAACAGTTCCTTCCCCTCAAACTTGGGCAAGAACGTGGCAACAGCCGTCCGAATACTGACTTCCGATGCATCAGGGTACGTATCTGTAGGGTGCTTCGCCTTCGATCTCGGCACTGAGATTCGTCTCGCCTCGTCAGCACCAAAAGGCCGATGCTCTTTGAGACGCGTGAAGCCCGGAAACTCGTCGCACACCTTGATGACACCATACTCGTCCGGCTCAAAGAAGAACCCATAGTCGCTGTGGTACACAACCGGGCAGCCTTTGTACTCGGCAGCCTCGTGCGCCGTGAGCTGCATGTGCGCGTACACCCACGCTTTAGAGACGCACTGATCTTGCAGATCAACGAGAGCGGGACTCCACGCCCCGGCTGCGAGTATCACTTTGTCGGCGTAGTATTTCGTACCGTCGGTGGTTTCAACGCCGATACATGTCCCCTCTACGAGGAGCGGCTGCTTAAAGGAGCCCGCGCCACCGAAACCGAATCTCACGCCGGCATGTAGCAAAAGCTCGCCGATGGCGGTAATGGCTTTGGCTGCTGCGAGCCACCCACCGTCTTCGCTGAATACGGCTCTCCAGCCCTGGATCTGGGAACGGTCTAGGAGGGGAACCTTTGAAAGAATCGCGTCTTCCGAGTCGAGCCAGTGGTTTGTTTCTTCGAGACCAGCATTTGCGTCCAGCAGGGCCTGGTACGCTTGCCGGAGCCCCGCAATGCCTTTCTCGCCATGCGCACAGTCGAGCTGAGAAAATGTCAGTATGCCAATGACTGAGGTCGAAGAACCCCGCTCACTCTGCCAGTGTTGTGGAAGAAGCTCTTGAACAGATCGTCCTCGTTCCACATCTGTCTCGCTTCAAGACTTAGCTGCAGATCCACAGGGTTCCGCAAGCGAACGCCCATGATCTTGTTCAAGTCATTACCGGCAGACTGTGATGACGGAATGGGGTATGTGTCGATGACTGTGATGTTCGATGGTGTGTAGCCAGAACGGACGAGATGCAGCGCCGTGCTCGATCCAATCGTGCCTCCACCACCAACTACCACGACGGTTCTGTTGGCGCGTGAAGTATCCATGTTGTGCAAAAAGCCCGTCTGATTTGCTTATAGTAAAAAAGTTACAGACTGAGGATATCATCCTATAATCTCCATTGAGCCTTTTCTGGTCTTAGGACTCGTATAGAGTAAACGGACTAAGAGTTTTGCCTACTCTATGTAAACGTGGAGACGTGAGACACTCTTCACGCTACCTTGCTGATATGAGCTTCCACACAATGTATGCAAACTCCCGTGAAATCGCCGCAATATACTAGGTCTAGAGACAGAAGGAATCAAATAACCATTGCAGTACTGTCGAGCCTCTGGCAGGACTCTGTTTTGGCCCCCAACACACTAAGCTCAGAATGGAAAGGTGGATCCTTCGAGTCTCCTCAGCCTTCTCGCGACTCCTCGTCACACAGATGTCAATACAGCTGGCTATTCTTCTTCATTCTCGATGAACATGACATCTAAGTCTAGCGCACTTGAGTCACCGGTATTCGCTCTGCAACGGCCTGATCGAATCGATCGACGCCGAGACATCAGGTGGCAGCTTTGGCCCAAAGCAGCTTACCAGCACGATGACTTGGACACCGAGTCACTCAGTTGTGGCCATCCAGATCTTGAAGACGGATCATTGATAGCGTGGGGCTTGCGGCAGAGCAAGGATGCCAGTGGAGAAGGAGTTCAAATCGATGTTCTGTATGGCAGTGGGACCGACTTACGTGTGATTGGGAGATCTTTGAAGAAGAGAGGGAACTAATTTATTGTCAGACTGGCCGTGCGACCTCAATGACGATGAGATTCTACGCACGCTGGAGGTATGCAGAGTCTCTCTAGGTCATCTGGCACAGGTTGACACTGGTTCGAATAGTTACCCGCGCCCACTCTTAGAGTCTGGTATGTGCACAGTATCTTCAAACAGCAAGAGTGTTGCTGCTTCTAGGAAGCTACAGATTGAACTTGCTTATTTCTCTCCTTCAGCTTCATCAACACACTTGCGACTGATCAAAGTTGGTTGCCTGGGAACTTCAGCCCCCGACCAAGAACCATTCAGATTCTCCGCAAAGCTGGGCTCTCTGGTGTCCTATTGTGCAACCTCTATTCTGAGCAAAGCTACTGGGCAAAGATGGGCAATCAGAAGTACATGAACTACGGCAAAGATGGTCGATTAGTATCTCACGGTAAGCACCTAACATCCCAGATCTGATCACGTTACCGATGATGCATAGAGACCTGCTACCAGTACCGTTGCGGCTGGGATACAGGTGTAAGCTTCATTCATGCTATACGTGAGAAGCATCGCAGTACATACTTTTGCATCAACTACCCATCTGGTGCGCGCGAACGAATCAGAGCCATTTTTCAACATAAGGACCGGCGACACATTCTTCATCGAGACTTCTTCCTCGATACCTTGGTCGCCGACGACAGCTTGAAGCAATGGCAATTAGAGATAGGCCAGAGACGTGTCATGCTCCTCAGCATCGTACGATCATCGTCTTTCTTGTGGGTCTTCTACTGTTGCTGACATATCTGAACAGGAGAAGACGCTTGAGAAACCTTCGACAGACGGATGGGCATCCACGACTAATCCCGAGGAGTACACATCGTCTAGAAACAACAACAAAGATAACGCACCATCCGTACTCAAAAGCTTCTACAAATACGAAAAGCGGGACATTGAGCAACAGCCCGGGGATACGGCTACCGGTCCGCGCAAAGTTGATACCGAGCAATTCTGGAGGGAACAGCTCTTAATGAGCTTTGGAAATCCCGAAAACCCACAGGAAATTGACTTTGACAAGGCGACGCGCCATCTGCACAAGATGGTGCGGCATTGGCTTGGCTTGCGACAAGACTGCGAGGACCTCCTGGCGCAACTCAAGTTCCTGCAAAACACGTATAGGAAGTTCAAAGAGAGAAGGGGTCGAGACTGGGTTTTCGACCGAAGAGCTGACGCAGAGGAGTCGTTTGAGGTTCTTATTTCTCAGTGCGACGTCTGCGTACGCTGGACGCAAGTGTATCTTGACCGTACCCAGCTCCGTATCAACATGGTAAGCACGGATTGACTTCGGAAAAGATCCCTCAAATGCTAAAGTAAAGCGCAGTTATTCCATCTGGCCAACCAACAGACCGCCGCCGATACCGCGCGGATAGCTGAACAAACGCAACGCGACTCTGCCTCAATGATCACCATTGCTGCGGTGACCATGCTGTTCCTCCCAGGGACCTTCATCTGTGCAATTCTGAGCACCACATTTTTCGACTTCGGCGAAGCCGCACTACAGGTCTCGAGTCAATGGTGGGTGTTGCCGGCCGCCACCATACCACTGACAGTTGCCGTCTTCGGTATCTGGTGGGGATGGCAACAACTGCGTCGGCAGCGCCAGTTGCGCAAGGTCACGAAGACGAAGGTACAATTGCAGAAATCGGCAATGAATATGTGAATGGCGGTGTTGGTGATCGGCACGGCTGCAAAAGGGGACGGGATCGCTGACCCATCAAACACCGTACGCCCTTCGGAAAGGCTGGCTCGGGGGCGCGTAGATGTGGACTATCCAGTGGTGGCGGGTCGGTGTTGTAATACAACGATGCATACCATTCGTCTGATGTTATCCACTCAACTAGATTACACAATTATTCACGAATAAGAGGCCCCACGTAGTCGACAGTGAGCACGGAAGGGTCGAAAGTTCAAAGACTCACGCTGCCTTTAACCTAGACCTTTCCTGGGATTTGATGAATGTCAAGTCGCAAATCTTCAGCGCAAATAAATGCCTTGGCAATGATTGCATGATAGTGACGTCGAATCATAATATATGTACACAAGCCGCTGAAACATTACGACAAATACAAATGCTCTTGGCTTTTGTGATAGAGCCCAAAGTTCACGACTCTCACAACCCATGGATTGGTACAATGCTAAAATGCTTGGTATACTACGCTAATATTGACAATGTGCCATCAAAGCAGATATGAAATCCGCTGGCATCGCTCAATGCGAGCTCTGAACGCCATCTAAATGCAGAAGAGCCTTTCGTCGTGGCTGAACTACAAGGCAACGCTCGGGTTCTTCTGAACAAAAGAAAATCGTTGGGGTGCTTCTGTTCGATTACCGTCTGAAATAATCGACCTTGCCTTCGCCGTCTCTCTCCGGACTATATGGTGTGTATCCACTGGGTGGCTGATGCCCCATCGGTGCTGCACCGCTCAGGAGGTTGCGGTCGTCATGTAGCTGGTACGGCTGACTTGAGTTGCTGTCGATGTGGCGCAAATCAGGCTCAGGGCCAGGGCTGTACTCGCGCAGATTGCTCGGCGTCTGATGATAGCCAGCTGGATAAGTGACGCCGGCATCCTCCCCAACTCTTGTACTTCCACGACTCGATGATCGTCCGCGTCCGTTGTCACCCCAGAGCGTTGACGGTGATTCAGGACGGATGCTGTCTCCGCACACAGAGCCACGGTCTGAGTTGAATTCGGAACGATCCTTGAAGTTCTCGTAGTCCATGTTGTTCTCAGAAACAAATTCGAAGGGACTAGCTGCTGATGTGGCAATCTTGCCGGGATTCTCTTTACTCATACGCTTCATGGAATAGACATCACCAAAAGCAGCATTGTCGCCTACATCTCCATCAAGGCGCCCGCGGTAGACTTCGGCGAGGAGATGCTTGCTCTTCTCGTGGACCATAGGTACTGTCAGCTTCTGATAAAGGGCAGGGTGCCCAAAGCGGGTCGCGACACGGTCGCGTCTCCGTGCTTCTTTGTCGATTGGTGTCTGGGCCTCGGCACCCTTGTTCGTCCTGCCATGATCATAGTACTTCATTGAGTGGTCGTAGGTCCTCTTGCAATAGAGCTTGAATCCGAGTAGGAGAAATGGCAGCGGGGCCATGGCAGCTGCCATCGTATATTGAGAAACACCACCCTTGGTAGCGACTAGACAGGCAGTGATTACGTTCGCCAAGAATGCGCCGAATAGCATGCGGTTAAACAGCACGCGCCAGAAAAGGCCTCCTGTCTCATTCTTGGTGCAAAACACGTACCTGAGGATCGTTAGTTCTCTAACTCTGGGAGAAGTATAACATGTTTGCACTTACATCAATAGATACTTCTTCATCCAGGAATCGAGAGTAAAGTAGAATGCAGTGACAACGAGTGTGATAGGTTGCAACGACCCAAAGACCAAAGTGACCGTGGAGTAAAATAAGAAGTAGTTGTAGTAGCTCGTGTAGTCGAAGGGTGGAGGAGCAGTTCGCTGAATAAGTTCGCGGGGTGTGGGGTTCAGGAACTTGCGAGAGAAGGAACCCCAGGCTAGGTTGACCGCCTGCGACAAATCGATAACTGCACCGAGATTGCGCTGGACAAGCCAGGTGACCCAATACGCTGAAACGTTGCAGAGCGCACCCATGAGCTGCTGGAAAGGCTCAATGGACCTTACGACTGCCGTGAAGCTTGCGTCACCCTGACGTGCCGCTAGAGCACTCATGATAATCTGAAAGACAGCCGAGAAGATGGAGAAGACGACCAGGTTGTTGAAGACGAAAAAGGCATACAACTGATGCAGAACGTGCTTTTCGCGAGAGCTCTTTGACTGATCACCAGCCTTGATCGACAGACGACGAAAGATGATGGGCAAAAAGTAATAGAACAGCGAAGTCAACGCTGGCGCCAGAACACCTTGCACAACGGCCCAGAATTTGGGGTGTAGGGTCATCTCCGTCTTGAATCCGTCCCAAAAGGATGCCAGATTGCTGAGCTTGGACAAGAAAATAGCAATGCCGGCGTTTGGAATGAAATAGAGAACGGTGAGCAAAGTGATCCACAGGTTCATGACCAGACGCCGCCATCGCCTTTGGCCCGGGTCAAGCAGTAGGTTCTTCCAGATGATGTCTTTCGGCTTAGGAGCAAGACGAATGGTTGTTCCATGAGGGTGCTTACTACGAGCAGTGAATGCAACAATGTGTGCAGACTCGAGGGTTTCGTAGCTTGCGAATCCAAAGGGCATGGCATCCCTGGTGTCCACCGTCTCACGTGCCTCCTTGATCTGCAGCTCCAAACGCTGGATTCTCGCTGTCAAATAGTCGATAGCATCAACTTTTTGCTTCTTGTCTGTGAATCCCGGGTCCTTCTTCGATGGTGTGCACATGGGGCGCTCTGCTGGCAGTTGAGCTGGGTTCTTCAGGTACTTCGATAGCACCGCCTCCAATTCCATGACAGCTTCCTCGTGCGCTTCAATCAGATCGGGAATATCCTTGACGTTTCTGCCGATGGTTGTGCGCGGCACTTCTTGGGTGGTCTTCACACCGTCGGTGATTTCCACCAGGCCATGATCGCTGCGAAATTTGGTCTTGATGTCTGTGATCATCAAGGTCCTGGCGTGCAGGCTGTTTTGATAATCTGCACTGTCCATGTAGGTTCGGCGTAGACGGTGCACGGCACGGTAAGTCCACCACAGGAAGGCGCACACGATGATATCGAAGAGGTATGCCACGACGACATGAGCCCAGAAAACCTCGCCAGACAGTCTCTGGGGCGTCATCATGACATAGATGGACTTGGACTCGTCGCCCAGATTCTGGCTGATCCTGCCCTGCTTGATCGAGTATGTGATGTTAACGGGAATAATGATGGAGCAACCGACGACAGCCAGGACGATGAACATATTGCGGCACATGCGTGAGAAGCGCAGGAAGACGGTGGCGTCCAGGCCGATTCGGTCGACATAGTAGTCCTCGTTGGTCTTGAAGACGGGCTTGTACCAGGCGAACAGCGACTTGTCGAGCGGCGGCGGGCGATGTTTCTCATCGGCGTGACGTAGGCGGGGCGCGTAGACGATGGTGTTGAACGGGCGCAGCAGCAGGAAGATCAGGAAGATTGCACCGGTAATGCCGAGGGAGGTCCCAATAGCGATAACGACTGAATCGGATTGTACCTGCAAGACAGTCAGCGGCGGCCCTGGGCGAGTGTCTGTACGGTGCGGTGCATACTTGAGCACCCAATGGGTCATTGTTCATGATATTCTCGAACTTCTGGCCGATGCTCTCGTCCCGCGAGAGCAGCCATGGCGACGGCGCTGAAGGCATTGTGGGTGTACGTGGGCAGGGGAGGAGCGAGTGTGGTTGCGTGGGCGGGCAGAGACGGGTATGACGAGCGAGGGAGGTGCTCAGCACATGCCTCGTATCGAAGAAGATGCTCTGGAGCGGCGCAACAACGACGGTGGGGGAGCGCGGACGCGGCGCAGGGCGAAGCTGCCAGCGTCGCAGCGAGTAGCAGAGAAATCACACGACAGAGGCACAAAGGAACTGCACCGTCGGCTGGAGCAAGAGAGTGTGCGACGTGCAGGCGTGCAGGGCGTGCAGACTGCAGAGCGTGCAGGCGACAGAACCCCAGGACACGATCGGCGTTCGACAAAGCTTAACGCGTCCGTTATCCGTGGGCAAGGGACAGGCGCCTGCGCGGACAGGGTCTGGCATGCGCACGAGTGGGCGAGTAACGCCGCACACCCGCCGAGGCTGCCGTCGACTCTATTTTCGACCCTGAAGCGCACCGTCGCTGCTCGGGCGAAGGCGGCTTGCCCCTTGAGGGCGCGATCGTCGCTCGCGCTGCGGAGAGCAGCTGCCACTGTCCACGCTACAGCGCCCCGCCCCGTACGCAACCACCGTTGACGAGTGCCTAGTGAGCAGCCTCGCAGCCTCACAGCCTCGCCGAACACGGCAACGGTGCGCACAATGCAGCCAACACCGTGACAGGTCGCCAACGGCTTATGCCGGGCCGCGCAATGCACGTCTCGCAGCTCCTGCCCTGGACACGGCGTTTCAATTTTCGCCCTCGAGACACCGTTGTAGCGGCCTGGGGAATCGATGCCAGATGCGCGTCTTTGATTGGGTAGCTACGTTACACAAAGTGCCGATATCCAGTCAGCGTCGTCAACGCTCGTGTTTCAACTGTTCATTTGCTGACGACGCGCCACCGGGCACCGTTGCTTATGGCAAATGCGCTGGCCCTCGTTCAGCTGAAAGCATCGTCTCTCTGCGAACTGGTTAGCCATATCTCTTCGCAAGTGCACTCTTGAAGGGACAGCTGCTGGAGAATGCTCAGACAGGTTGTGAGTTATCGCACACCGAGTCCACAGCGGGATCTCTGATACGCAGTATCTGTAAGTGAGCCAGCCGTGGGACTGAGTACTGAGTACCGATACGTCACTCGACTGGCTCTGTCATCACGCTTGGGGGGGGGGGGGGGGGGGGGGGGGGGGGGAAGCAATGTTGCACGTACCTCGGACCGAAGAGCAGTGTCCATGGTCGTGCACTGTTGGCGTTCGCGAACAACTCACTGTGAGAAATCGTGCATGCAGCCATGTGGCGTCAATGCTGCGTGTAATCGATATCCAAGCTTTTGTCTATCATCAAGTCATCCAATCATATCCCCACACCATGAATCCAAAGGCGTTGTTGCATCTTGTCCCCTTTCCAACCCTCAAACTCCCAACTAAGGGAGACCCTTATCTAATCTCAAGATCACCTCTTCGTCATAGCTGATCCGGTCCACTTTCTAAGCGCCACCGGCGGCCTTGACGATCTCCGAGACCTTCCTGGCCAGATCTTCGGCTTCCGCCTTGGTCGCGGCTTCGGCGTAGACACGGACAGCATCCTCGGTACCACTAGCACGGGCGAACGAGCGACCCTGTCGGACCTTCTGCACCTCCTTGTCGATCTGTGCCTGGACACCCTCGGGGCTCGTGAGCTTGCGCTCAGCATCTGTCGTCTTGAAAATAGTGCGATCGTTGACAAGGACCTTGAGCAGGCGGTTGGGGAGATCGGTGTAGGTTGAGAGCCACTCCTGAGGGCCCCAATGCTTGTGTGCAAGGACAACCTCGACCAACAAGAAGTCGGAGAGTGCATCACCAACCGACTGGTTAATGAGATTAATGCAAGCCTGCAGGACATCCTTGGCTTCCTTCTCGCCAGGGTTCCTCGGCTCATACTTCTCAATTGTGTCGAGAGTGTCGTGTGAGAAGATGACAGTACCATGGCCATTGGCTTCGAAGTAGACACCAATATCGAGCTTCTCTGCTGCGTGGTGAAGGTACTTGACACCGGTAGGCGTACAGTCAACCTTGAGCTTTAGGTTCTGCTCGACGTAGTTTGTAGCAGCTCCATTCGCGTACGCAGTCTGAACAACACCGATCTTGATCGACTCTGCAAGCCCAGACTGGCGCACGAGGTCTCCAAGGAACGAGGCTACGAGAGTCGCGATACGGTCACCATCCAAAAGGCGGAAAATGTTCTGCTCATCCTTGAAGTAGTACACGACACGATCAGCATCGCCGTCGAGGGATGCGCAACGGTCTCCGGGTCCAGCCTTGGAAGAGGGAGGAGCGCGCTGGTTGGTCTTGACGTAGTCGGCACCGCACTGGGACATGATCAGCATACACGCAGGTCAATGGGGCGGCCTAGCTCACATCGACGTTCAGACTCTCGGGCTTGATGACGTTGTCGTTGATGACGAAAATCTCAAGACCGCCTTCCTCCTTCGATGGCAAGTACTTGATGAGCTCTGTCAACTTCGGTCCTCCAACGCCATTGGCACCGTCCACAGTCAGGGAGCCAGAGGGCTTCTTGCCGCGCAACGCAGTCTTGAAAGCAGCACTAAACTTCTCGTAGTAGCCCTGCTCGGTAGGCGTGCCATATGCGTCCTTGGTGCCCTCGGTGTTCAGGCAGCGCACCATGTAGTGCAATTGCGGTGTGGTCAGAAAGCCGTATTCCTTGACTTCGGCACCGGCCGCCGCAAGGCCGTCCTGCAGGCAACCGAGAAGCCTGGCTCCAGATGCTCTCGTATCGCGAGCCACAACAACACGGGCGGGGATGCTGAGGTCGATCTTGAACTTGGCGGCAATGTCGTGGTAGTATTCCGAGACGTCTTCGGGGGTGGCCTTGTTCGCCATCTCGGTGCTGATGACTTCCCAATCCTCCTACGCAGCGGCATTAGCACTGAAATCTATGTTGCCTCGGTAGAATGTGGTCGGCAGGACGTACTTGCAGCATGTTGCCCTGTGATGTGGTCAGTCTACATGCACCGTCGTCCAATGGTTGCACATACCATGGGCTCAACAAGCTTCACGCCATTGTCCTGGGGCGGATTGTGGGATGCTGTGATCATCACACCGATCCACTTGCCCTTGAGAGCGCGCGAGCGGAGGGCGGCGATCAGACCGACGCGTGTGAGAACCGAGTCGAGGACATCGCTGCAGCGGTCAGCTTGATCGTGGCTACAGGGTTGCCCGAGCAGGGCGGGAGCGACGGAGAGTCGTACGCTTTAGTGCGGAACTTTACGGTGGTCAGTTAGCCTGCCGCTGTACACAGGGCCGATGCGACTTACTCCAGCAGTTCCGTACGTGTAGACCAGGCCCTCAGGCGCGGGGTGCGACTGCGCGGCGTTGGCGATGGGGTCAGACATGTTGACGGTGGTGGTGGTGGGATATGCAGCGATGGGATATCACACAAACAGCTCGCACTCAGCAAAGAGGAGAGCAAGGCAGGTTGGGGGGAGAACAAACGACGCTCGACGCGGCGTGCGGAGGTCTGATGTTGCGTAGAGCCTCAGCGTGCCCCACCACGCTACGAGTACGAATTACAGGGATGGTGCTGGTCTGAGATCAGCGACGAGCTTTCTATTTCCAGCCTGCTCGTACCTGACGAAGCTATTTGCGGCCACAACTCCTTCCGCCGCCGTTGCTAAAAATCACCCATTCGCAGCAGCACCTGTGCAATGCTGTCTGCACGATACAAATGGTTCTGCGATGCAGGTGCAACTTGTCACGGCGTTCATGTCTGCACGAATGAAGCTTGAGTGCGGAAGGCGGGGTTCTGAGCTGTTCACATGAGCTGAGTCGAGCTTGACCGCTTCTTCACGCCCATGTACGTAAGACAGTGCCTTTATGTACCCATGTTCATTGTGCACATCTCAGGGCCGTGCCTGTCGTCATCAGCGGAACAAATCACCCGAGTCACTGTACAACAGAAAGAGCCTAGCTGGGCGAGAGATGAACTTGGCTGCCTTCCTGAAGGAGGCGCATTGATAGAGACGAGCTAAAGAGTTGAAGAAGTCCAGGTCCACGCAGCTACCAAATACTGATGCAGCCACTGGCAAAAGAAAGGGAAAAGAGGCTCGACGCACGTGCTTAAAACCCCTGTGCAGGAAAAGGTCCAAGACCCAGTAAAGGTCTGGGGTTGCCAAAACCACCAACCAGAACACTATGGCTTGGGACCGGGCTGCCAATCTCACCCAGCGTCGCTGGCGCCGGCGCGGCCATGTCCACGAACTTGATGTGCGTAAGATGGCCTGGTCCAGATTCCTTGTATTCGAGAGTACCACCGCCGTTGGTCTGAGTTGTGTCAATGATATCACACGCTTCCTTGATCTCCTCAGCCGTGACGGCCGGCTCGCTGGGGACTCGCAGGTTGTCAATCTGCTGGTGCACCTCTGCTGCATCAACATAGCCGTCTTGTGTAGGCTGGCGAGCGGCCACAATCTTACATGCGGTGCACACCATACGACGCAGCCATACTATGCGTTGTTCATTGGGCCCGCGCTCGTTGGTGCGCATGTTGCTTACAGGGAATGGATTGTTGAAGAACCCAGACGTGGGTGAGTTGCCCCATGAGGCCCCAGAGCCCAATGAGAACGGCATAGGCGGTGTTCCCCAGATGTTGCCACCGGGCGCTCCAAACGCAGAGAAAGAATCGTTTCTGGAGGGTATCGGCGCGTCTGCGAATCCGAAACCCATAGAAGTGCCTCTGAAGGAACCGTGCTGCTGTACGCTTGATCGCCGCTCAAGAGGCTCGGGAATGTCTTCTGCGTCGTCCAGTAGAGCCTTGCTGCCCAAGTGGTCGGCAAGGTCGTCGATATCAGGTCGTACATCATCGTCTCCTGCTTTGTTGCTCGATGGACGCTTGATGGGCGTTGGTCGCTGTATTGGCTGGGCCTGAGGACCCGAGATGGGACTGTCAACACTTGGCAGCCTGTCGAAGGATCCAGAACCTTGTCTTGAATGGGGTGACATTCCCATGCCGAACCCAGGGATCTGATTTGGTCCTCCGAATCCTGCCATGGGTCCAAAGCCTGGGGGACCATCGATCGGGAACCCGCGACCCATTGGCATCCCTGGCGGAGGGAAGCCGCGAAAGTTCTGTGTGCCAAGCTGCGGCGGGAACGGAGGCATGCCTGGACGAGGAGCCATCATGCCGGGTATCATCGAGCCTTGTCCGGGGAAGCCGTTCAGACCTGGGGGCATTCCACCCATGTTAAGCCCTGGTGGCCCTGGCATGCCCGGTGGAGGTGCGAATGGAGGCATTGGTAGCCCTGGCTGACCGTGCTGAAGATAATTTTGCTGCTGCCCAGCTGTTGGTTTTGTCAAGATCGACTTTGGCATAACAGGTCTGTGGCCGTTGGAGGGCGAGATGGATTTGCTGGTCCCTGGCGCGGCCTGTGGTGTGTTCGGCGAGGAACCGTGCGAGCCTTGCTGTGAGGCTTGACGAGGTCGATTGGGCGTCGGCGCCTTGGGCAGGGCTGGAGTGACGTGAGGTGAAGGCATGCCGGAAGACGATGTTTGCTTCAACAACTGGGGTGGCAGCGCAACGGGTGGCTGTGACGCCTTCCGTGCACCAACTGCCGCAGCATGCTTGTCTGCTTTTGCCTTCGCATCGCGTTCTCTCCTCTCTTTGTCTTCCTGACCCTTCTTTTCACGAGCCTCTCTCTCTCGCTCTTCGCGCTCCTTTCGCTTGACCTCCTCTTTGGCCTTCTTCTCGTGGGCTTTGGCTTCACGTGCTTTCCTCTCGGATTCCTGCTGCCGTTCCCGCTCTTCTAGCTGGCGTTTCTGGCGTTCGGCTTCCTTTCGCTGCTTCTCTTCTTCCTGGGCCTTGCGTTCGGCCTCTTTCTTTCTCCGCGCCTCCTCCCGCTTCTTACGTTGCTCCTCCAGTCGCTTCTCCTCTGCAGCTTTGAGCTCAGCTTCTTTGGCGGCCTGCTCGGCATCCTTGCGAGCCTTCTCCTCAGCCTTCTGCTGTCTCTGCTTGTCCTTTTTCTCTTTCCGTTTCTGGGCCTCTTTCAGCTTCTTGGCCTCTTTCTGGTCTTTGCGCTCGTCCTCCTCGGCGAGCTCCTCGAGCAGCCGCTGTTGGCGCTCTGCAGCCACCTTTTCTCGATACGCCTGGAGGACTCGTTGCTCAAACATGCGCGCTGCAAAAATCTGAAACATTCGCCGCCCCTCCTCCATCCTCTGCTCCTCCGTCATGGTATCCTGCAATCCATTAGCCAAGATAGCTGCGATCTCGCCAACAGTACGCACGTCCTCGTCCTCGTCGTCCTCCTCATAGTCCTCGTCCTCGTAGCCCTCTTCCTCGTCCCCCTCGTCGTCAAAGTCGTCTTCTTCGGGCGGAGGGCCGTGGGTGTGGGAGTTGTGGGTCTGGTACATGCTTGGGTGAGCCTGGTATTGGGCCTCCTCTTCTCGCTGCATTCGGCGCTCGGCAAGCTGCTCCATCATCTCGATGAACTTCTTCCCGTCGTTCTTGAGCAGATCGTCGGCAACGGTCAGTATCCCCCCTGGAAAGGCTTGTTAGCGGTGACGGCAGGTACGGACAGCAGGAAGTTACCTTTGACCTGCAGGCTGCTTCCAAAGTGGAGGAAGTCGGAGGCTTCGGGCGGCGGCAGACTGCGCTCCTCGGAGCTGTAGTCGCCCTCGGACGAGATGTCGCTGTTGGAATAGTCCTCTTCCTCGCCCGAGTAGTCGTCGTCGTCATCGTCGTCCTCCTCATCGTCGTCGTCGTCGGCGTAGCGGCGGCCATGGGCAGGCGGGGGGTGGGGGGCCATGAGCGGGCGCGGGTGCGGGGCACTGGAGACATGGCGGTAATTAGCAGCTGGCAAGAAAGCGGCGACGTCTTGCTGGAGGTGGGCGTACTGCTCGAGTTCTTCATAATATGCATCATATAGAACCTCCAGCTCCTCCTCGATGGCGGTGCGCTTGCGGCCGCACACGGAGCAGCTGCACGAGTGCTTCTGCTGCTCCTTCATCTTGCGCAGGACGGCCTCCTTCTCGATCTTGACCAGCGACTTGCGCTCGTCCTCGCCGAGCGACAGCCAGAACTCGCGGATGCGCTCGCGCTCCTCCTGGGTCGACGTGTTCCAGATGCGATCCTTGCGCGGGGCGGGGGCGTGGGCGTGAGCGTGGGCGTGAGCGGGCGGCGGGCTGTGGCGCGGCACGGGGTGCGACGCGTAGGCCAGCGGCGGCGGCGGCGGCGGCGGGGCGGGCCTCTTCTTGCGCTTCGCCTTCTTGGCAGCGGGCGCGGCCATGGGGGCGTGGGCGAGGGTGTGAGCGTGAGCGTGGGCGTGAGCGTGGGCGTGGGCGTAGGGCTGCGGGTAGTGGCCGTTGGCGGCGTAGGCGTGCTGGTCGTAGGGCGCGGCGTCGTCGTCCGAGTAGAAGTCGGCGTCGTCGTCGGACGGCGGGTCGCGCAGCAGGGCGGGGTCCGGGTGGGCGGCCTTCTTCGCGGCCTCCTTCTCGCGCCGCTTCTGCTTCTTGCGGTTGACGGGGGCGCCATTGGGCGGCATGGCGGGCAGCGCGCTGGGGCCGTGGGCCATGGCAGCGGTGCGGCGGGAGGCTGGCAGCAGCGGCAGACGAGGTTCTGCAGGCGGTGGCAGGGCCCGAGGGCCGGCGAGCGCGCAGGCTCGGGGCGGCGGGCAGGGCGACGGGGCCGGGGACGGCGGCGGGCGGCGGCGGCGGGCGTGTGGGCGCAGCGGTCGCGACAGTCGCGGAGCAGCGCGGTGTGTCGCGGGCGTCGTGAGTGGTCTGTGTCTGTGGTCGGAGTCGGGCTGGGCGCCCGTCCCTTCCAGGCAGAGGCAGGCGCAGCACCCCAGCGCACCGCGCACCACGCACCACACCACGCACCACGCACCTCGCCCGACTCTCCAGCACGTCCGCGTCCCACCCGCAGCGCCCGACCGTCGACTATTGCCGCGCCCTGCACGCCGCGCCCGGCCCCGCCGCTGCTATTCTTAAGCCTGCGCCCGCCCGCCCGCCGTCTGTCTCGCCGCCTCTCGCTCTCGCCCGCCGCTCGCTGCCAGCCCTCCCAGACACGCGCCCTCACACGCCCGCCCGCCGCCTCGCTGTCTCGCCCTCGCCCAGCACCTTGCTCTGCGCTGCCCGCCGCTGCCCGCACCCCCCGTCGCCAGCCGCCGTCCGCCGTCCGCGCTGCTCGCTCGCCCGCGGCCCTCGTCCTGCCCGCGCTCTCTGTCGCGACGCCCGCCGCCCGCCTGCAACCGCCGCCCGCCCGCACTGCCTCCACGGCCCCCGCCCACCATGTCTCAGCAGCAGAACAATGGCGAGCCGGTCATGCGTCGGTAAGTCGCCGTTTCCTCGTCTGTCATCAGATCGGCACCCTTGCTGTTGCGCCTTGCATCGCCCTCAGCGACCCGCCGCCGCCGTCCCCTTCTCCCCTTGCCCCGCCCCCTCTGCTACGACTGCGGCTGCTGCTCCTGCTGCTGCTTCTGCGGCTGCTGCTGCTCCTGCTGCTCCTGCGGCGGCGGCGAAAAGTGCGCAGCTTTCGCCGTGCCACGCTGCAGTGCGTGCATTGTTTGGAGCTGTCGCGACCCCGGCCCAGCCGTAGCCTGCATTGGTGCCCCGGTCCGACCACACCCTGGTCTAAAAATAGGCCCCGTACATGCCTCCCCATGTCCACGTCTATCGACCCTCGTACAATTTTCTCACCATTTCGCCCACGACCCTTCTCCCTCCAGTCTCTGATGCTCGTCCGCCCTCGCTAGCCGTATTCGCGTCTGCCCTCCGTCTGTGCCACACAGCATGCTGATCTAAGACCACCAGGAAATTAGTAATTATCGGCGATGGAGCTTGCGGCAAGACTAGTCTTCTCAGCGTATTCACCCTCGGCTACTTCCCAACCGTGCGTACCTCCACCGCTCCCTGCGCCACCTCTCCACCGTCAATGTAACCTGCTAACCGCCTGTGCAGCGTTATGTTCCCACCGTCTTTGAAAACTACGTCACAGACTGCAGAGTAGACGGCAAGTCGGTCCAGCTGGCCCTCTGGGATACCGCCGGCCAAGAGGATTACGAACGCTTACGCCCGCTCGCTTACAGCAAAGCGCATGTCATCCTCATCGGTTTCTCCGTCGACTCACCTGACTCGCTTGAGAACGTCAAGCACAAGTGGGCTGAGGAGGCACGTGAAAGATGCCAAGGCATCCCCATCATACTCATTGGCCTGAAGAAGGATCTCCGCGACGACCCCCTTGCCCAGGAGGAGATGAGGAAAAAGTCGCTCCGTTTTACCACGCCGAAGCAGGGCAGCGACATGAAGGAGATGATTGGCGCTCGCAAATACCTTGAATGCTCCTCGCTGACAGGAGACGGTGTTGACGACGTCTTTGAAGCTGCTACGCGCGCTGCACTATTGTCCGTCGACAAGAAAGAGGGCGCTGGCTGTGGCTGCGTGGTCCTCTAAAAGGCCAAGCCCTCTGCGAGCTTCTTTCGCGTATCGTTAGCATTGGGCGGCGTTATTTCTTCTTTTGGGCCATCACCAAATGCCAGGCGTTCTTAAGCGTCTGCTGCATCTGTTTCCTGCGTTGTTTGTCTACATTTCAGTTCGAAAAGCTCCTGTGGCCATGGTGGTCAGAATGCTTCAGTTCTCCTGGACATATTAAGCATTAGGGTTGTTGCCAAAGGGCGGACATGTGGTCTGGCGGACTAATGACGATGACGGGCTATCATCCGTCGTCACTCTCTGCCTGTATGGGCGAAGCATAGCTTTGGGAAAACCTGGTCGGAATCGGGTACAGCATATAACTGCCGAGCGCTAATTTTATCACGCATAACCATTGTTGACACTTGAGCCCCAAATACAATATAATACACCCGTGCTCTGCCTGTCGTCTCTAGTTCCGTGTCCACTCATGATTCCAGCCTTGCCGACTTGGATACTCTGTCTGCACCCTCGCGTACTCTACAGGCACACTCCCCCAGATGCCCCTCTTGATCATCGCACTCCTGTACAGCCTACCCACGTCACGACCCCTCACACCCAGACGTCCAGCATCAGGACCCTGACCTCCAGCTTCCTCTTCACCGACCTGGTTGCCATTCGAGTCCATCAAACGCAGATGCTCACACGCGGCGCGCATCGACATGTATTGGCGTTCGAGTTCGCGCTCCTCGGCCCAGCGGCGCTTGCGCAGAAACAGCATCCACGCGCGGTGAATCGTCCAGTGGCGCAGGAACCGGTTGCGGGAGAAGTGCAGCGGCCGCGGCGTGAGCGGGTGCGAGAGGTGGTAGCGGATATTGGCTGGAGTCCATGTCAGCTTCTCTGCGCGCCACCCAGTGGTGCATAGCGGCTGTGGATCAAACGCCTGTCCTGCGCATAGTCGTGGGCCACGTACTGATTCGCGGGTCTATCCCCGGGCCCTTCTGACGCTTCTCCAGGCGTGCCGTCGAGGAGAAGGGCGATGTCGTGGCTGGCGTACGTGTCGCAGCGCATTGTGTGGCGGGGGTGCGGAAGAGCGAGGCGGCAGCGCTGAATGGCCGGAAGACGGGTCGCAGCGTAGAGAGATTCATGGCGAAGGTGACGGCGGCGCAAGCGCTGTGTCGTGGATGGTGTATTGCGGGCATCGAGGTCCTCGAAATGTTTCGCCAAGCATGCGCTAGTGTGGAGTTGAGCCGCGAGACACATCATTGAAGGGCGATCACTGCACCATGCCTGTCCTGATAGCAAAAAGTCGCCGCTGCCAGAAAGAACAAATTGACAAGCAAGTCAATCACTGTACTGGACGTTAGCCTCCATTCTAACCGTGCCCCGAGGAGTCTCGTCTGAACCATCTGAACCTAGACGTGCACGCGGAACAGACATTCTCAGTGTAGAGCAGTCTCTACAAGTTGAGACGAATGCCTGGACAATCATTTACTATCGAATACGTGCTGCGGTCCATGTAAAGCATGAGTTTCGAAGTATAATCACTCAACAGCAGAGCAACCTAACGTCACGTTTCTCTCGCGGCACGAGACATGTACTTGTTCGCTGAACTCGGGGTCATGCAAGAACTCTCACACGCAGAAAACTAGGCCCATTCGCTACGGACGCTCACGTAGTTTTGAGCTGCATCTTGGCTGTACCAAACCCTCCATCCAGAATCTTCGCAGCCAGCATCGCCGCACGCTGTCCCTTCTCCGCCACCATGTCTTCATACTCGGCTACCATCCTGTTCGCACCGCCGAAGCATCGGTACTTGCCACTCCACACCTCAGACCATCTGCTCTCGCAAAAGGCATTGCCGCTGCTTTTGATCACGCGCCAGGAGCCATCGTAGCCAATTGCTACGCCGACAAGGTGCTCGAACCCGAATACTTTCATCGATGGGTGATGTTCGAAGGTGCCAATCTATGTCTTGTTAGTTGCTACCTGTTCAACGGGAGAGGCGGGGCGTACGAAGACGGCGTTTCCTTTGCGCCAGATGACAAGCTGCTTGTCGCTCTTGAAGACAGCCTTGAAGTTGTGTACCATCGGATCGACAAAGGACATGAGGGTTTCAGGTGACGCGGTGAAGAGAACGGTGGCGACTGCCTCTTGTAGCTGGAGAATGCCCTCGTGGCCGTGCTTCGTGTACTTGGCGAACGGGTCGGTGTGTACTTTTGCTTTGCCGTTGACTGTGAACGAATGGTCGGAATCACCAAGTGAAGGAGGCATCGTTTTGCCGCTGGCACTCATGTCGTTTTGCTAGATTCGGGTTTGACTGACGACGGTGTGGTGTGCGCGATGTTCATGGGCGCATCATCAATTGCCGCAGTCATGTACGAATTGACAATGTAGGGACTGTAACAAAAGCAAGACTTGTTAGGATCTACTGATTGTTGTGAAGGGGGATTATACTCAACCGTGCGCAGCCTTTACGCACAGACTCCGGGTGACTGGTGAAGTGTGGGACGCATCACTGTGAAAGTGAAACAGTGAACAATCCGAGTGAGAGGCATAAGATCGCAGGAAGCAGCATGGGAAGTATTGTAGCAGTTACGAGCTCGGTTTATTAACCCCACGATCCGGTCGCGCTCACGGTGAGCCACGGCCTTGGATGAAATTGGCGGCTGCAGTACAACAGCGTGGGTCGGCTGAGATATCGATGCTTGCAGAAATGTGGGGGCTACTACCAACATAAGACAGAGTGCTTCACGGGGTGTGCACGATACACACAAACCGATTGACGACAAGTAAAGAAAGTAAGCACCCTTATCTTGTACGTTGACTGAAACCTTATGATGGTCGTCTACGGAGACAACGGTAGGTATTCCCGTCTTCCCACTACTCCAAAGCCACGGAGCCCTCTTAGAACCCTCAGGTCAGTGCCTGTACTTTGACAGAATTTCTTAGGTTCGAGAGAAACGAGCCCGTAGACAAGCAGCACTGCCTGTGTTTTCTACGCTGACACGACTATGAGCTTATAGACGTGCTCTCTGGGCTACCAGTTGATCGTTCCCGTTGGCCGACTTTTGAATTGTCGTAGGCACCGGATCCAGAATGCGCTACTGCTTCGAGCAGTCTAAGTTCTCAATCTCTACTCGACGCGAACTATACCATTTCAGCATAATCTTGTACGGATCTCATGAGCCTACCTCATCTGCTACTAGGCGATTTCTGCCCAGCTGAGACATCTTGGGGGGTCTGGTCTGAATTGACTAGTTCCTTGGTGCTCTGGATTCCCTGAATTGTGTGGACACTAGACGCTCTATCATCGCTCTCTCATTTCCCATCGAGTGATGTACGAGGCGAAGTCTTTTGCGGGGTATTTGGATCCGAACTGGACATACCGCTATCTCTGTGGACGGGATCCAGCGTTGTCATTTTCATACGCTCAAAGGCCATGTCGAGACATTCCGAACCTTCCCTTTGGATCACATTGTCCAGCAACTTGACAGCTTTGGGCCACATCCTTCCGTGGCAACGTGGAGAGTCAGTCAGGTCGCGGAGAAGCTCTGCGATTGTGGGGTTAATGCCATCTTCACCACCAAATGTCATGGTAGGATAGTCGTCTGGTGCTTCTTTGAGACAGAGGTCACGAATGTTTGTCAGCAGTTGAGCACACTTCAGATGGAATTTGAAGATGTCAAAACTGAGCGCCTCATCGTCGCTCTCGTGTGACTCTTTGGCGGCGATGAGAATCCCCATTTTGTTGGGTGTACCGTAGGGCGAGAAAACATTCAGATGAATCTTAGCAAGTTCTTCGGTGGTCTTCAGAATAGATCGAGGCTGCGGGTAAGTCGTGTTATTGTCGGATATTCTTACAAGTTGTGAACAACTTTCCAAACCTCTGGGTGGGACACCTTCAATGTAGATATCGTTTTTGACTCGCCGCATTACTGCAGGTCTGCGATTGACTGCGAATTTGGCCGCATCAAGGCCATAAGCTAGACAAAACTGGCAAGCGTATAATATGTTCGCCGCTGGTGGTTCGCCGGCGAAGACTTTAAAGAGGGACTGGTGGTCCATGAACCATTCCATGTCCTCCCATCTTTGAAGCTGCAGTGCTCCAGAGTTTCTTGCAGCGTTGTAAAGATGGATGGCTGTTAGAACGTGTCCGGTTTCATTGACGACATGCATGAAGTCAATTTGAAACCGGATGCGATACAGAGTCGCGCGTTGTCCGATGAGCGAAGGGACATATTGTGTAAGTCGAAACCCCGGAATCGTATAATTCCTTCCAGTAGCGTGCTCCCAATGCTCCATGACTTCTTGAATAATTATATTTTGTGGGTGTTCGGCAAGTTTATCAAAACGAGAGTACTGTTTGCACATGCGCTGTACGGTCCACGGACGGGACGCCATCAGCCTCTCATTGTCCCACGCTGGGCGATAGGCCTGGTAAAGATCAAGATAATCTTGAGTAATGTGATTGAGTATGTCATCAATACTGATGATACGAGGACTGACCTGCTGTTGGATATCGAGTAACATCTGTGCAGCAAAAACAGCATCGGTGTCGATATGACCCAACACAAGGGCACACGCTATCCGGTACGTGCAGTCGAGCTTGATATCTGATGAGACTTCATCTTCTAGCCATTCAAGACACCGTAGCTGGTAAAGAGACTTTAGCAAACACATTTCGTCCAAGTTTGCGCCCAAATATCGACCAGGATCTCCAAGAAAGGCCTCGAACAGTAACCGCGTTGTGTTCACACACATCAGAGTGCAGGCATAGAAGCCTAGTCTTCGCGTTGCATGCCTTGCAAAGGTGACGTCTTCGCAGTCGGGTTTGATCTTATCAAGAGGAATTCCAGCCACTAGTGCGTCGTTACCGCAATGCTGTCGCATGAATGCATCGATTTTTGGGTGCATACGAGTCGTCCAGGTATCATCGAAGTAATCGAAAGTATCCAGAAGCTCTTCTGTCATGTCTCTGATTTGCGCGTCGGCACTGTTCATACAAAAGGTTGCAGTATGTATGCCGATCTGTCCAATGGCAAACTCATGCCAGGCTCGTATCGAGAATAGTCGGAGATAGGTTGCATCTTGCATGAAGCAATATAAAGCAAAAGCCGTGTCTTCAGCACAGTCCTTTAGCCGGTAACGTGTGTGATCCTCCTTGTGAGGTATCTCAATTTGTCTGGTGTAGTAGAGCGACTCGGTGACCTCGACTGGCTCAAGGCCCTCGAACATACTGTCGGCACGATTGCTCAGAGCTGCAAGTTTGTCCACGATCGCGGCTTGCTCAAGGCTGGGAGGCCGGCGTTGTAGGTCCTCGAGGACATGCTCCAACAACCGTATGATGCGACGTCGCCACCTATTGTTTCTCGTCATGGTCGGTGTGATCGTTCCTCTGTCTTGATTGCGGACACACTACGTTGCAAACCCTTTTCGAGATTGTATTATGCCTTTGAGCACGACTAAGACGTTGTAATCCACTTCGACGTTGGGTGTATTCGAGATTACCTTTGCCATGCAACGTAAATCCTTGTAAGACAGTCGAACTGTTGAAGGCGAAGGGGTGGTTTGGGCGCGACTCTTTCCCTTGGGCCTTCTCATGAATGAAAGCGGGGTTGTATGTTTGTTCTTCATCTTCTGAAGAAATGATCGAAGCGCTGATGGTGTGTCGATCTCGGACGAATCTATCACGGTACCGGCCGCACCCGCTGTGGTCGCGATCCACTGCACGACATCATCCGTCGCTTTACGATACGCGTGGAAGGTATCGCCCAAAGGAGGCTCAAACTGCATCATGGGTTTTGTGAAGAAGCGAAAGGGGTGAGTATCAATGCGATGATGATAGAAGCGCAATATGGCCCAAGCACGGAAACAAGAGTCTGACCTGAGACGGAGAAGATGCTGGCAGATGCTGCAAGCGGCACACTGTTAGAAGATGGAAGGGTCCCTCATTGTATGGAAGGTGGCTGCTGGGATCCTCCTGCCAGAGCAACGGACCAGACTATCAGGGTAAGCACCTAGGTAGATACGAGATTGACCTGCTAATGGTAATGTAGATAAATTTTACGCATAATCGCATAATCGCATACAGTCAGCTGGTGTTCATGTATCCCGAACATACCAGAATGCTCGATTAACAGTAATGATCATGACTACGGGACTGCCTCTTATCTCAAACATGAGTCCCGCTTGAGAGCTTCTACTCCGCCCATATAACAGTGTTGAGACCCGCACCGCCTGAATTAGGATCCAACGGCCCAGTAACGGTCACGTTCGCTACAAGCGCGCCCAGCCTCCCCGTCGCAACGTCGCGCTTCACAATAGCGACGTTGTCCGATGTCTGACCGCCGATCGCCACATAGTCTCCCGCCTTGTTGATCTCGAAGCTACGCGGCAACAACCCGTACGAGGACGTAAGCGCAGTCCAGGCTAGTGCGCCATTAGACGCGATGGTGTACTGAGTCAGGGAGTCGTAGGGCTTGAAAGACTGATCGGCGCGGTTGGACGTGTACAGGAAGTTACCTTGGACTCTGATCTCACCCAGACTTGTACCAACGGGCGCGGAACTATTGCCTTTGTAGGGCGTAATGCTTTGCCCCTGCGTCAGGCTCAAGCAGCCGCCGTGAGGATACGATACACTCCACCCTGTCACGGTATTGGAGAGCTCATTAGCAACGTAGAGGACAGTGCCCGCGCCAGGCGCGACTCTTGTTTTGGAGTAAGAAGGCGACCAGAAAGCCGCGTGGCGAGGACCTGCGCCGAAAATTGTCTTTGTGGATGGGCATGGGGTGAGTTTGCCGGACTTCTTGTCGATTTTGTTGATGTGAATCTTGTCGGAGCCGAGATCGGGCACAAGCAAGAACTCGCCAGTTGGGTCGACAAGGACTTGATGTGGGTGGGGTGCCTCCTGGCGATCCGGGTTCGCGCCAGGGCCATCGAGGGTGTACTCCACAGTCTGGAGTGGCTTGCCATCTTTCAGAGGCAGTTTGTATGTCGATATTTGAGCGGTCTGGTAGTGTGCAGTGGCGATGAAGCCCCTGCCATCTTTCCCACCGTACAGGACTGTGGATACCCCACCATTCGGAGTTGTGGTATTCCCCGTCTTGGTCAGAGCACCCTTGGCGTTGGTGGAGTAAGATACAAGTACTGCGTTCCCATTGAGGAAATTCTCGTCGGGGACGTAGAGTTTCTTGCCGACAGAATCATACGTGATCCAACTGGGCAATGTCTGACCTGTTTTTTCTGAGCTCACAATCGCCAAAGAATTGCTGTTGAAAGTCAGGTGCGTGATAGATCCAGAATAGTGGGAGGCGTAAAGGTTCGCTGCAGCCGCAGCTCCGCCGAAAAACGGGAACAACAACGTTTGGGTTGGCAACATTGTAGGGAAACGAATCTGGAATTGTCCTTTTTCTTGCGGGCAGTAGTGCTTTATGTACACTAATGGCTCCCTGTGTATAATAAGCGCGATCGTCCCTTCTTTATTGCGCTTGCATGCTTGGCCTACACTTGAAACATTGTTTTGAAGAGGCGCAAGCCCAACGGTCCGATTCAAGAACACGTTTTTCGGGCTGCTACAGCGTTTCTAGCGTAGGTCCAGAAGGGAAGACCCCCCGAAATCGGATATTTTACATTATCGAATTGCTTGGGGCGCTGGGGCTGGGGTCCGCATCATCCGGAGAAAAGCCCCCACAGAGCCCCCTAATCACAGAATGCGGGGGGCGGTGAACCCGGCAGTGGTTTTCCTTGCGCGCAGCGAACGCCATTTTTGGCGCTGCTGGCTGTTCTAAATGTATACGTGACACCGTTGGAGGTAGAACGCGGCGTCGCTGACTGTACCTCTTTCCACTCTTACTGTTCATCTACATACCGATGAAGCTTCCGTGAGTAGAGCGCCACATGAGGACTAATGCTATCTCCCACATATGTATTACACCGTACTGTTGTGCCCGCCTGGACAGTAATCTGCTCCACTTTATCGGGCACCCGGCTGCTTGGCCCTACGCGACGAAGAAGTCGCTGGTCACATGCAAGCAGAAGCGCGTGTAGAAGTTAAGCTGGTAGGGAAGTGTGTTGTATTAGATTGCGAACGAGCGTTGAGCGAATATCTTGAAACTGGCGATGAAGGATACATGCGGGTTGTCGTATCAACGAGATATCAGGTATGACGTATTGCGCAGAGCAGTGGCACCATACCTACCTAGCCCGAACAAGGACCTCTGCGTCAAAACAACACGTTCTTGTGCCACCTGCGACCTCTATTTTCATCAGCCTGCATACTGCCATGACCGAAGGCGAATGGCCACCGACGGCGGGTATCTCAACCCCTACAGTCTCGCTGCAAGAGAGCGTGTTCGCAATAACAGGATCGGCACGAATTAATGCGCCTGCTTCGTTCGTCTTTGCTACGCTGTTGGACACTTCTACCTACCCGAAATGGTGTACCTTTGTTCCTAAAGTTGTGATCAGTGAGCTGCCTTCTTCTGTGGCTCGGGATCCCAGCGACGGAGCAGAGAGCAAGTCTGCTGAGCTGAGACTGGGTACCAAGTTCACCTTCTTCGCTGTAATGGGAAACCCTGGTTCAAAACAGACACCCACACACCTCATCATCAGCGACGTGTCCACACCTTCAGAACCCTCTTCGTACATTCCATCCGCCACTCTTGAGGCGTCTCCAATATACACGACAGATCTGTCAAATGTGTATCGTGTTGCTTGGAAGGGTGACAAGATCGACTTCTTCGCCAAGGGACTCACCACGGAGCGCTTCCACGAGGTCATCGTAAGAGGCGAGGGGGAATGCGAAGTACGAACATGGGAGGTCATGGGCGGCATGCTGGCGCACACTGTCAAATGGCTTTATCGGAAAACTCTAGAGCGAAAATTTGATGAATGGTGTACTGAGCTGCGGACCTTCACTGAGAGGGAATGGACACTAAGACAAAAAGAGGAGATTGCCTAGGACTCGGCGCATTCGGACTTTTCGGTCTTCTCAGTCACCACCACCAATCAACATCAGCGCAGGTCCTAGTCAAGCATGATTTTAAGCTGAAGCTCAATGCGTGTTGTGTACCGAATGTTTATCATGCACCAAAATGAGGACGAAACGGCCTGTATCCCTGCGCTTAGGATATAAATGTTGGAGTTTTCTTCTAATCAGTTCGGTCTTTGTCGGCAATCTCGCTGTGCATTTGAGCAAAGCCTCTGGGTCGAGGCATAAATTGCCGACATGATTCTCGCATGCAGCACGACATCGCTGATTTGAGTTGTGAGATGAACTATCACGACAGGTTATAAAACGTGAGACGGTCCTCGAGAAACATCTCCTTCATCCACCAATACACTAACACCTCAGCCTGTGTGCTAAGGTATCTCAATCAACAGCACACAGCATGGACCTTCTTCTAGATCAGATACGGATGCTATATGCCACTGCGGATGCGAACGAGCGACAGCATATCCAGGAGCAGCTCCGAGATGTGCAACGCGAGATTGTATCCACCTTTGATTTGGTTTGGAGCCTAGGATCCGGTGTGAGTACTGGAAGTCGTAAATTTTGATATCCATGCTGAAGCATTGCAGCACATGCAATGGGCCCTTATCCAGATCGGTATGGATCTGGGTATATTCACGACACTTTGCGCCAATCCGAGTCCAATTGGACTAAAAGGGCTTTCTGCTGAAACAAGTGCATCACCGACGTTGTTCGCTCGACTTCTCCGGTCAATGGCTTCGTTCGGGCTCATATCTGAGACGGCCAAAGACACCTTTACAGCGAACCGCGTCACACTGGTTCTTGCAGATCCTGATGTTGTTGGCGCCTTTCCACATGTTAGTCATCTGCATGCTCGGACTGCTCAAGCGCTGCCTGCCTATCTTCGCGACCACGGATATCAGAACATGACCAATACCAAAGATTTGCCATTCCATCTAGCTCTTGGCACTGATCTATCGCCTTTTGAGTGGATGAAGCAGCATCCTGAGCAAATGAAAGCACTTGGACATGCAATGCGGATCGAGCGGTCCCAGAGTTGGTTGGACTCATACCCTCTTAGCGACCAGATGAGTAGTTTCCAAGCGACCGAGGGATCCGTATTACTCGTCGACATTGGCGGTGGTTTTGGACAACAGGCTGTTGCCTTTAAGGATCGAGTATCATCAAGATCGGATCACATTGTGGTTCAGGACCTCGCCTCCACATTGATGCATGCTCCTGCGATCAATGGTATCGAATTCCAAGAGCACGACTTTTTCACGCCACAACCTGTCCAGGGCGCGAAATTCTACTATCTCCGGCACATTCTGCATGACTGGCCGGACGATGATAGCGTTCGCATCCTTCGAAACATCGTTGGTGCCATGACACACGAGTCGCGTATTGTCATCGACGAGGTGGTCTTACCGGATTCAAATGTACCATGGCAGTGCGCATTTATGGACCTCACGATGTCTTCTTCGCTTGGAGGCTGCGAACGTACTGGAGATGAATGGGAAAGCCTCTTGAGACGCGCCGGGCTGCAAATCGAGGAGGTGCACACATATGACGATGTGAGGAAGCACAGTGTCATTATCGCAGTACCAAAGCTGCAAGTACACTAGCTAGATATTGCTGAAGACAGTGTTTCCTTCTTGACAGGTGCGTCCAAGTTGAAAGCAGCTAGTATACACTTATCATTTGGCATGTACCATCTTGTCTGTCAATGTACACCTGTATTTTCGACTGTTGTGCAGCACGTATTTGCGTCACTTCATCGTTGGAGAGGCGGGCAATATTGACCATAGGTCGTTCACTGTACTTTCTTCAGTCAGGTTCAACAAGTATCAGAATCAGCAATCGAATGAGTTCTCAGAGTGTACCACCTTTCGTGTAGAACCAACCCCTAATTTCGTCAATGCCCTGTAGTCCCACAAGCATCGTCTTCGCGAAGTCGTCAATATCATCTGGGCGACCGTTTTCGAGAAGGTCCGTGAAATCCAGATCATGTACTAGAAAATGTCTTTCTTTGTTCCAGGCTTTTGCAAAATCAAACGCAGTTTCAGCGCCCCACAGGTGTGCTGAGACCATAACTCTGTTGCCCGGAGACAGTGTCGGTGCGCAGTGACCCAGCCGTCCGAACAACATGCCGCATATAGTGACAAATTGGTACAGCGAGAGGATAGTACGGCGCAAAGTCTCACGGAATATGTACGACTTCCACGCCGTGTGCGCCGTCGCGCTAGGATACAAAGGCAGCGGGTCAAAAGAATCGGTTTGCTGGGCGCTCATATTGAGCAGCAAGCAGCCAACCTGCTCAAGCTCATGCAGTACAGCCACGGAATGATCGAAGAATCGTACATCATTGCCGAACACAAGCATAGCTTGATACAACAATAGTGCATGAGCTCGTGCTATGATAGCAGTCGAAGTTGTTGGTACCGGCGTTTCCACAAGCTCGGCGACGCGGCTAGAGATGTGTCGGAAACCGTAGTCCGCATTACCATCGTTCCGCGCAATGTAGAGAGCACATGCAGCATGGGCATCTTGCATGGACCTAGGCATGTCCTCGTCGTAGAACATAGCATGACACCACAAAGTCGAGTTGTTTGCTACCATCATGTGGGGTGCTAGCTTGATTTGCTCGATGGCATAATCGACCCTTGATCTCGATGATGGCGCGATGTTTGTCCACGGCCAGGCCATCGGCTTTGTCGGACTAAGAAGTCCGTGTATAGCTATATGGTGACCTTCACCGGGGCATGTGTCACTGGGTTGATCGAGAGGATTTTCTGGGATCACGTCGATTGGTATGTCGAAGTCAAGGAGATGTTCGTTAAGCGCTGCAGGGAAGCCCAGGGCTTCATGGTCGAAAGTAGAAATGGTAGCACCAGCATCCTGTAAAGGTGTCATGGCCGTAGTGATCGCGACTGATTGTGTCACCCCAACGCCCGACGATGCCAACAATGAGTCGTGGGGCCGAGGATAGGTGCATAGAAGGCTGTGCTGGCTACAACGAGCACAACGTGGGCGTTCAACATCGCATCTTCGTTTGGCCTTCACGCATTCGGTGCATGCCTTCTGACGTCCTTGCACATTTGATGTTCGATGTGGTGGCATGCTGGGCTTGTAGGTGCTGCGGATGAGATCAAAGAAGCGACCTTTAGCCTCAGTCGTAGCACGGTTCCTTATGTAAGCGCTAGTCGCTGTACCAGGTACTGTTTGGGTGGCATGCCTGTTGCTATGAATGAGACAAAAAGAAGTGCATACGTTAACACATCGAGGCGGCCCAACTCATAAGAGAAGATCGCGGCTTTGATGTATGTATCTCAGTAGGCGTATTGCAAGTCGCTCGCAGGCTGTCCTCAGTATACACAGTTCGGACGTCTAACGCCAACATGCTGGCGATGTTCTCCTCCATTACCCCTGCTGACATTACTTAATTGTTCGTCTTTCAATCGTCCCGGCCAGCGGTCTAGTTATCGTTGTTTACGTTCGACTACAACAGATCAGTGGTACGCACGCAGGTCAATCTCCCCGATACTCACCACGAGCCAATCCATGCCCTCGTCCACACCTCGCCCGTCTACCGCACTACATGCGACAATACTCCAGTTACGGTCTTTGAGTTCACCCAACCTCAGAGCCTCACTAATCTCACCCGCGCCTTTGGCACCAGGCTGGTCCTGTTTATTCGCGAAAACCAGCAGCGCAGCATCTCTTAGTTCCTCTTCGTTCAGCATAGCCGAGAGCTCTTCTGACGCGGTTGACAAACGATCGATGTCAGTGCTATCGATGACAAAGATTACAGCGGCGGTGTTGGCATAGTAGCATCGCCAATATGGACGGATCGAGGTCTGACCTCCAAGATCCTGGGAAGTGTTAGGTGTCTCTGTCCCATCCAAACATTGCAGGCTGACGTACCCAGACGTTGAAGTTGAGGTTCTTGTATGTCACGGACTCGACGTTGAACCCGATGGTTGGTATTGTTGTGACTACTTCGCCAATCTGTTACGCCTATCAGTGTCTCTCCTTGAAGCCAAAGACATAACTGCATCGACGTAATCTTCACTTTCATTACCTACCTTCAGTCTGTACAGCAGTGTTGTCTTGCCGGCGTTGTCCTGCAACTATGATCAGCTCCCCGGCGCGTTCTGATGCGTCGATAGCTCTTACAAGTCCCAAGATAAGTATCCTTGTCTCCTTCTTCGCCCAAATCAATGACGAGAACTTGGAGACGTAGCCGCCCATGATGTGTGGTCGCTTGCGTTTGCGCCGCTGTATAATCGATGTTCGGCGTATTCGACGCTGGGGCACGCGTTGCCTCGGGCGTAAGGCTCGGTGAGGGGATATGAGCAAGGCAGGGTCCTGGCAGTACAGGAGCTCGCAAGACGGCAAGGTTGAGAGAGGTTAAGCTGGTCGTGGCGTGTGTCGAGACAGCGAAGCTGGCCAGAAAGTTGGGGCGGTGGCCCATGCAAACAAAGCAAACAGCCAACCACCGCCGCGCCCGGCTTTACCTACCCTGATGTAGCCGCGCGTGGGGCAAGGGTCTGTCACACACGTCCGCAACCGCGCCACAGTCAAGCGCATGCACACACGCTCGTCCATTGAGCCCGGAAGTCCGGAAAAAGATCCTGCCCCGAGCAGAAAGACATTTCGCAAAGTACGCTCATGTACGATCCAGGGCCCTAACCTCCTAGTCTGACACCTTACGGGTGTCTTCAACGGAGCAAAGCACAGCCACACTTGTCTTACTCTGAGTATCGAGCATTGCACCCAAGCTTGAACAGGAAGCACGATAGGAACACTGGTTCGGGCAGCACTTTGATTCAATATAGAACAGTGTAGCTATTGGTCCAACACCTAGCCGTTACTGCCTTCTACTTGAGCATAAAACGTGTTTCTAAACCCACTTCTGGTACCTCTTGGTCTTCTGGAATACTTTCTTATACTCGTGGTATTTCTCAGATCTCTTCACTGATGCTGTTGCATTCCTAGGTGGAATCGTCTCCCAGCTGCGCGCGTACGTAGCCGTCATGTGCGCAATAGCCCTTGAGAACTCGATCCAGGCTTCGAGATTGAGGTTGTTGACTGTGTCACCGTCCTCGTGGTAGTTGACGTCGTAGGGAACACCGGCGCCACCACCAAACATCTCGAATTCTTCCTGGGTCTTAATGCCCTCGGCTCCACCGGCAATGCCACCAGCTGCGATACCAGCCTCAAGGAAAGGTCCATAGTCGGAGCGCCCGTCGAATTCGATTTCTGTATGGTTGAGCCCGAGGTTGTCAAAGTATGCAGTGAACTCGTGCTCCGCTTCTGCAGAACCAACAGGACCGGTAGAATTGAATGCAGAACCGTCGCCATCGTAGATTTGAATCGCATAGTTGGGTGATGCCATCATGTCAAAGTCGAGGAAAAGACGTATCTTATCCTTCTCAGCCTGTGACAGCTGCTTGACGTAGTACTCGGCCCCCAACAAACCAGCCTCTTCGCCAGTCCACCAGGAAAATCGGACCGCATTGTTGACAGTGAATTTAGTCAGCTGAATGGCAATCTCCAGGATTGAGATTGAGCCGGAACCGTTATCGTTAATTCCTGGGCCTGCTGTGACTGAATCCGAGTGGCCTCCAACGTGAATGACGTTTTCATGGTCACCAGCGATCGTTTCGGCAATTACGTTGTAGCTGGAAGCATTCTGAACGACTGTCTTCAGATGAACGTCAATGTTGACGCCAGCCTGAAGCTGAGCCAGCAGTGATTCGCCCTGGCCAAGTGTAATGCCGCCTACAGCGACATAAGGCTTAGTGGAATCCTCGAAGAGTTGCAGCGAATAGCCTTCGAGCGTGCCCTCAGCATTGTTCCAAGCAATCACACCAAGAGCACCCTTTGCAGCTGCGAGTTGAACCTTGATTCCGAAAGAGCAGGTGCCACGGTTGATAAGAGCGATCTTGCCCTCCAAACTTTCCGTAAAATCCGCCTAGCTAGCGTCAGCAACAGATTGCACATTCGCCCACAGGGCAAGGTACCTCTTCACAGCCCAGATTAGGGATGGCAACAAGTGGGCCAGAAACGTCACCCTCGGGTGCAAGCGTAACGGGATAAACCTCGATGGTCTTGTTGTTGGCAGAGAGATTCGCTGACACACCGACTAGGAGTGGAACCTCCTGCAGTTTCACAGTGTAGTACTCCGGAAATTGGCCAAGCGTATCCTTGATCCAAGCAACTGTGTCCTCGTGTCCCTTGCTGCCAATAACACGGTTCTTACCCTCAGTGCTGTATGCGATCTCCTGTAGGTGCTCCGCTTTCGCATACAAGTTGTCAATCTCGAGAAGATGCCTCAGAGCTTCCTTGAACGGTTGTCAGATACGGAAGTCTTCCAGTAAAGTTGCTAATACTGACAGAAGTGACAAGCTTTTTGGTGGAGTTAGCACGAGGCAACAAAGCCGCAGCATCCACAAAGGTAGCTGCGCAGGCGACGACAGCAGTCAACGATCTACAGACAACCATTTTGATCAAATTTGCACGCGAAGGCTGCAAGAATGTTGAAGGAAGTGGCCAGTTCAAACACAGCTCTGACCCTCACTTTATACTCAACTGTCCCGTATATGCCGCATGAGACATTCCGTATTTCGTCATCTTCTCGCCCGTCAAGCCTCCAGCGACCAGGTACACAACCCACCGCTTACAGAACCATCCTGCGATGGACCAAGCAGCAATCCTATTACATGGAACTGGCATAGAGTGCGTTCTTGGCACTCTTGGCAGATCCGACCTGCCTTTCTGGTCATAGTGAGATTAGAGGCTGACCCAGAATGTGCGGCATGTCCGCCAATCAAAGCACTGCTACACGCGAAGCTAAGCAAGCACCATGTCAAGACGTGATAAGGCAGCTTGGCAGGCTTGAATAACGCATCTTACCTTGAATTGACAAGTCGTTCGATAGATGCAGGAACAGACGGAGATGGTCCTGGCGACGACAGTGCCAGGTAGGTGCCTATGGCGGACTGCGCCAGATGGCATCAAGCTTGCTCCACAAGCTCGGTGGCATTGTATGTGAGATCAATCACAACAACAACTTCCATACAGCGCACGGGGGTTTTTTGAAAATTCTGATATGTTGATTTTCGTGTTCGCAACATGTCTAGAATGTTTTGACAGGGTCTTAACACAGCTCAGACATATGTTGAAAACCAAAATCTTGATATACATAGTAATCATATTCGCAAACCCCATGTGCGCCCCATGTTTGCCATTGGATCAATAAGCGCACGCAAGATGGGTGGGTGCATCTGTCAGCCACTCTAAATTCATTATCGACGAAACGCAAGTTGGGAACGTACGTAGTCATGCGAAGTTAGTCATTCGTGGCCCAGTGGGATAGACAAAGACCTAGTTGCTTAGGCTTTAATTTCGCAGTTAATCTGACTACCTCCCCAGTGAATGACTGTGAAGCACAGCATCTCGTCGACCTGGGCTACTGTGTTACTGTGCTTGTATAACGCAGCTGTCATGATAGCAGTGGTGCCATCTTATTTCTCCGCGCACCAATCGAACATGGCGGAGTGACCACTACTACTTATTTCTGTGTGTTTACCTTAAGCAGAAGACCATGCAACCTTTCAGATCTATTTCGAGTCAATCGACTAGAATTCCAATAGGCCATCAATACTTTAGCAGCGTTCCTTTTGGGCTAACCCAACGTTTTCTTGGCTGATAGGATCCCCACAGCCATGAAATGTGTCCCTTTAAAGAGTCTCCTGCAAAGCACCAATAATGTATGCCTCTTGTGATTGTGGTAGAGCTTATCACGACTCTGATGTTTGTCGATATCTGGTCCTTCAATCGACTGTCCCGCTGTGTCTGTGCCAATGCCTCGTTTCCGGTGATGAGTGGAGGATCTTGTTCGATGCTAGCCAAGCATGATGGTACTTGATCTTCGTATCGAGTGGACTGGTAGACCTAATCGTTTCTCGGTGGACCTACCGACCGTTGTACTGGCTTTGTCAGCATCATCTCGAAAAGCGGACCTTTTTGCAACAGATACTTACCGTTGTTTGGGGGAGCCAATGAATAGAAGCAGAGGTATAGGGGTCCGGCATCTGCCATCACTTCAGCTATAGTGAATAGTCGTTCGTCGTCCGACGGTCGTCAGATCCAGGGTTGCAGTCTTCGCTGATAGGTATGCAGCCACACAAAGTGCGTCCGTGTCGTGTATCGAACTGATGTACGACCCTCCTGCGTGTATGGACTCCACTTGTCCAGCCTTGGCTCTCATTTTGAACAGTTCCTAGGTAGCCGGGTGAAGAGGTCAGATCAAATCTCCTTCGATCCCAAGCCCAACCGGGACCTACAAAACCGGCGGTCTGGTCTACTGGAATGATTTGGGTCTATATTGCTGAGGTTCTGGACCGAGAGGCCTGTTCAAGGGCTAGACAACAACTGTGTCTAAGCAGATGAGGCTGAGATATGTCTTACAATGTCAGTGGCGATAGGTAACCGAGTCGGCTATATTGCACATGGAGTTTGTGATGTCGATGCATGCGCCTTCTCGTGTACCTAGTGAGGACCATGACATCCGCAGCCATTGTCGTAGTCTTGCGTTCCGGGCTACCACATGTAGTAAGGTGCCGCTCAGCGTCAAAATCGATTGGTCTGGGAATGCGCATATGCGGGGTACCCCAGTACCCCGCAGCCTCCGCGGATGCGGGCTAGTCGGATCACGTCGAACCTGTGGCGTGTTCCCAACTGTTTGTGCGCCTGTCACTATCGCTGTGCACCACTGTCCGAGTTGTACACCATTGAGCGTGATCGGTCCGCCGGCCGAAAGGCAACCTAGGAAGAGCGAAGACGCATTGAGGAATACCTAGTGCGTATCGAGCGACAGCCGACATCTTCTCGGTCGCTGTCCTCCATGTTGACGGACATGGCATCGTTGTGAATGGGATGGTCGCATGGGCGTGGATCTTGCGGCGCTCCTATCCACCGAGCTAATAGGAGGGGTAGCTTGATGACTGACGTCTATATAACTTAAGCCCAAAGCAATTCTGCCTCAAACAAATCATCTTTCATTCCATCCTAGCTATTGTCAACATGGTTCATTTCAGGACAGATATCGGCGCAACCAATGAGAACGCTTCGCCACAGAACGAGAATTATGCCAAGGAACTCGAAACTGACGTCCTGATCGTTGGTGCTGGGTTTGGAGGTGTCTATTTGATGCACAAGTTGCGGAAGCTAGGTTATAAGTGCAAGATCTATGAAGCTGGAACGGAGCTTGGAGGTATTTGGCATTGGAATTGCTATCCTGGAGCGCGGGGTACGTCGACATTTGCTTCAAGATGATACATTCCTGACTTTAAATAGTCGACTCACAAGTTCCCATCTACGAGTACTCAATGCCAGAGATTTGGAAGGATTGGTATTGGTCGTGTCGGTACCCTGGAACCGATGAGCTTCGAAGATATTTCGCACACGTCGAGAAGAAGTTGGATATCAAGAAGGATTGCGCTTTCAATACTCGAGTTGTTGGCGCTGACTTCGACAAACCGTCTGGCAAATGGATCATCAAAACCGAGGATGGTCGTACTGCGCGAGCCAAGTACATGCTTCTAGCACTTGGCTTTGCTGCAAAACGCCACTTCCCCGACTGGCCTGGTATGGAAGATTTCGAGGGCGAGATTCACCACTCCTCATTCTGGCCAGACGCGGGCGTTGACGTCAAGGGCAAGAGTGTTGCCGTCATTGGTACAGGTTCAACTGGCATTCAGATTGCTCAAGAGACCTCGAAGGAAGCTGCTTCCGTTACCAACTTTGTCCGAACACCTAACCTCTGTCTGCCTATGGAGCAGAAGCCTCTGACCCGAGAGGAACAGGATAGACGAAAGGAGACAGAATATGAGGCAATCTTCAGAGAACGTCTGAACACGTTTGCCGGATTTCAGTATGACTACATCGAGAAAAACACCTTTGACGACAGCCCAGAGGAACGCGAGGCCTTCTACGAGAAGCTTTGGGAGAACGGTGGATTCGAATTCTGGCTCGCCAATTACAAAGACCTCTTATTCGACAACAAAGCCAATCGCGAGGCATATAACTTCTGGGCAAAGAAGACCCGTGCAAGGATCTCGGATCCGGTAAAACGCGAGATTCTTGCTCCCCTCGAGCCAATTCATGCTTTCGGAACCAAAAGGCCGTCGCTTGAACAGAACTATTATGAGATGCTGGACCGGCCCGAGAATAATGTGGTTGACTGCAAGAAAACCCCGATTGAGAAATTCACGAAGGAGGGCATCATCACAACAGACGGGAAGCTGCATAAGTTCGACGTCATTGCCCTTGCAACCGGATTTGATTCAGTCACTGGTGGTATGAAGAATATGGGTCTTCGAAACGTCGACGGTGTTGAGCTGTCAGATACCTGGAAGAGTGGGACATACACCTACATGGGTATGGCCTTGTCTGGGTTTCCCAATATGTTTTTCTTGTACGGCGCTCAGGGTCCTACAGCCTTCTCGAATGGACCGACATGCGTTGAAGTGCAGGGAGACTGGATCGTCAACTGTATGAAGATGCTGAGGGACCAGAAAATCGACTACTGCGACGCGACCCGCCAAGCTGAAGAAGAGTGGCGCGAGAAAGTCACTGAGCTTTCCGACAAAACTCTGTTCCCGCAAACCGACTCGTGGTATATGGGGTCGAATATTCCTGGTAAAATACGTGAGCAGCTCAATTTTGCTGGAGGATTCCCATTGTACAAGGAGCTGACGCAAGCCTCTCTTGATAAGGGGTTCGAGGGTTTTGTCACCGCTTGAAGTAATATAAGTGTGTCTCAATTCAAACATATGAATGTTCTCGGTGTTGATAGCCAATGCAGCATTTTAATGCACGTTCCGCAATAGCCGGGTCCATCCGACGCAAGATTGGTTGGTCCACTTGAAAAATCAAAGCAACGGTGCCTTGTGTTTCTCTACACTTCGTGTTGTCGAATAAAGATCTCGCCGCTGCAAACACATGGTACGTGAGCGATGTCCTCTGTTGGGAGACAGCTGGTCGTGATAACTAAGCGCACCCTGAGTTCCAGAGCGCTCTACAGGGGCAGACTATAGTTATGTAACTAAGCACAGACATCGCGTGCAGGTCAGTAGTTCGTCAGTATCATGAATTATCTATTCGACATGCTTGCTGTCATTGCAGAAGTGTGACCCATGTCCAACAGCAGCCGCGGTCGGGTGCACGGTCCGTGCACGTTGGCGTCGGCGTCACAAGCCAGCTACGATGGCAACAACGTCATGAGTTGCGAATTGAGCGCGTCCTTTCATTCATGGACTTTTCACGCATCGCTCGCGTCCAGGATCTTGTACTATGAGGACAGTCTTCCTCCTGGGTCGACAATGTCTTCGGCAAAGCCTGCATCGTTCCACGCCCTTGCTCACCCGCGCGTCCACGCGCCCGCTCGTATCCGTCCTACGCCGGCAGTTCGCAACACCACGATTGGGCAGCAAAACGATACTATGGTCTGGTGCAGCAGCAGCCGGCGGCGCTGTTCTTTCACCACTTGCATTCGTTGAGATTGGCCACCAGCAATCTGGAAATGGCGACAAGACTCACGAGGAGGCCATGCTGGAGGTCTCCAGGCAAGAGCTCGCAGAGCAAGTGCCCAAGTCACTAGAGAACTCGAAAAAGTACAGACGCGGTCTCTACTTTTTCGTAGAAGACTACATAATTGAGCCCATAGCCACTGGCTTGCGGTTCCTACATCTGGTCATCATCTTTGTTCCAGTCATCGTCACAATACCATCCATATGGCTTGGCGCAAGGAATGGCGACAGAGACAACGAAAGAAGCGGGACGCTATGGTGGTATGGCTTTCTTGTCACTTCTATGGAACGAGCCGGAGCGGCTTTCATCAAGGTGCGTAGCTGGACGTGATGTCAGCCCAATCAACACTGACCGGTACAAGCTAGGACAATGGGCTGCTTCTCGAACGGATATCTTTCCAACCGAGATGTGCTCAATCATGTCGACTCTTCATTCTAATGCCCCTGCGCACTCACTCGAGACGTCGAAACGCACTATAGAGGCAGCCTTCGACGGGCGCCCATTCGAAGACATATTCGAAGAGTTCGATGAGAAGCCCCTCGGTGTCGGCGCCATAGCGCAAGTTTATAAGGCCAAGCTCCAACCAGATCTGGCTACATTGCAATATAACACAATTGATCGAGAGGAGCCAAATCTGGCGCGTAAAATTAAGAAGAATGTGGACGCCACATTGAAGAGCACGCCACAGCGGGTGCCTTCTAGCCATGTTGCCGTCAAGGTCTTGCACCCCAAAATCGAGAAGATCGTCCGCAGAGACTTGCGCATAATGGCATTTTTCGCAGCCGCTATCAATGCCATCCCCACAATGGAGTGGTTCTCGTTTCCGGATGAGGTAGAGCAGTTCGGTGAAATGATGAGGCTACAACTCGATCTCCGTATTGAGGCTGCAAATCTCACACTTTTCCGCCAGAACTTCAAGGATCGGACAACGGCGTGGTTCCCGTACCCCTACACTGAGTACTCAACGCGCAACGTCTTGATTGAAGAATTCGCTCAGGGAATCCCGATGGAAGACTTCTTGCAAAATGGTGGGGGCGTGTTTCAGAAGGACATCGCCGATGAGGGCCTCGATGCCTTCCTCAATATGGTTCTCATTGATAACTTCATTCACGCTGATCTGCACCCCGGTAATATCATGGTCCGCTTCTATAAGCCCGAGCAGCTTACTGTCCCGATCTTGACTAAGAAGGAAAAACGTACTACTGGTCCCACAGAGTCGCCGGATGTCACAGAAGAAGTACTGGAGCGTTTGCGACCGCATCGGAAGGACCCTGAGCAATGGAAAGCGCGGCTCAAAGAGATCGACAACGAGGGCTATCGACCACAACTCATCTTCATTGATGCAGGATTAGTGACAGAGTTGAATGGCAAGAACCGCACGAACTTTCTCGATCTATTCAAAGCTGTCGCTGAGTTCGACGGGTACAAAGCAGGCCATCTGATGGTCGAAAGATGCAGGCAACCTGACGCTGTCTTGGATGGTGAAGTGTTTGCCCTGCGAATGCAACATCTGGTTCTTGGAGTCAAAAGCCGTACGTTTGCCCTCGGCAACATCAAAATCGGGGACATTCTCAACGAGGTATTATCGATGGTGCGGACGCACCACGTCCGTTTAGAGGGCGACTTCATAAACGTCGTTCTTAGTATATTGCTTCTGGAAGGTATCGGACGGAGTCTGAACCCCGAGCTGGACCTTTTCGCTGGGTAAGTGACGCCAGCTGTACTAGACGACTACACACTGACATGGCTTAGCGCACTTCCAATATTAAGACAGCTGGGTGCCCAGGGCGGCGGCTCAATGATTCGCGGAGGCGATTTTTCTATGCTCAAGGTTTGGGTCGGTCTTGAAGCACGCAGCTTCTTGCAGGCTTCCGTCGATACAGTGAGTTCTGCGAATGCTCTATTGCTATCTTTGACTGACAATCTGTAGGTGGAACGCTGTGTCAAGTATGATCAGTTGTCACCAAACATCTAGGGTCCAGACTGATGACAGTGATTTGAAATAGTTGTGCACATGAAGATCACAGCAAATTGCGAGCATGGAAAAACATCAGTTAGACAATTCTCAAGTTCATACATCACCCATACCCGGGTGACATTATATGTTACTATTATTCTCACAGTGATGTCAATACAAGTCAACATTGGCAGCAATCAAGCCGGAGAAAAAAATGCAGTCTTAAAAAACGAATGTCAACCTACCTGCACAGATGTACTGTAGAACCTAGGTTGACGATCAATTCTTGCATTTGCCTGCCGGGAAGATGGTGGCACCTTCAAGGCACCTTGATCTGGGTGAAGATGCACCATTATGAGTCCAAAAGCTTGAAGTATTCCTCGGCGCAGGTTAGTTGACATCAAGATTGCGTGAATCCTGGTTACCTGTAAGACGGTGTCGGAATTTAAAACTTCCGGCATGATGCAATGATGGTCGTCGCTAGCGTCCATGACGTATTTATCATAAGCATCAACACCAGTGTCAGCAACTGCAGCTCCCTTTAGGCACCACATCTCCCGTGATACACCAATTGAGCCAAGAAACATCTTATCTACTTTGCGTATATTCAGTCCAGAGTGATTGTCAAGAGCCGATTCCAAATCTCTAATATGGAGCCTGCCACAGCCGGTATTCTCTATGCAGCAGAGAACGTCTTGCAAGGCGCCGCAGCTCTTGTGAAAGGCATCACACACCCGACCTTGCCAATACAAGCTAACCTCACACGAATCACCGCTGTCCCACTGCCTCGATCACAGCACAGTATCTCGATCGTCAAAGGTCGAGCCTATGTCTTTGGTGGCGAGATAGCACAAGGACAACTCGCCGACAACAACATGCATATTATCATTCTACCCTCAAGCGGTGTGACCAACGCAGACTATACTTTCAAAGTTGCGCAGGCGGCCAATGGGTTTGATGACGTTCCGGGACCCCGAAAGGGTCATACTGCGGTCGTAATTGGCGATGCAATATACGTATTTGGAGGGGAGGGAGACAGTGTCAACGACGAAAGCGGGAGAGTATGGGTATACCAAACTGTTTCGAACACCTGGTCGTTTCTCGATGCCGCTCCCGATTCAATAATTCCAAGCCATCGCGTGGGACATACCTCGGCGAGCTCAGATCTACCCGCTGCAAAGGCCGTCACATACCACGAGACGGCTCCTCAACAGCCCGCAGACCCATCCCTCAATGTTCCAGAACCCCCAGCTGACAATACTTGGGGTACCGTTTTTGTCGTGGGTGGCCGGGAAAACTCAAACGGCAGACTTGCCACTGATGCCTTTGCGTTTGACGTAAGAACACGCACGTGGTCGAAAGTACCTTCACCACCGGGGCAACCACGCGAAGGTGCTAGTCTTGAACTGGTAGGGAGCAGGCTCTATAGATTTGGCGGTAATGGTGTGGAAACATTCGCTTCGGGTGCTCTGGAGTTTCTCGACGTTGCATCTGTTTTCGCACACGCTGAAGGTGGAACCACTCCATTGGCGAGCGGCTGGTCCTGGCAGGAGATGCCACACAGAGATTCTAAAGATCATTTGGTGCCACAAGCGAGGTCGAATACTGGTCTTGTCGGAGTTACAACTGGCCAGGGCCGGCACTATCTTCTCGCCCTTGGTGGCAAGGCGGAGACTTCGCAACACCTGGACGACATTTGGGCCTTACAGTTACCTACAGAGCACGCCACCGCTGCAGCGGCAAAAGACGCCATTCGTTCTTCGTTCAAGCGTGATACGCACGAGGCAACATGGGCTGAGGTGCTCTACAAATATGTAGATATCAAAGGTGAGGAGGAGGTCGAGATTCCGGGGGCGCCAAAGCACGGTCTTGGTAATAGAGACCGATTTGCCGTTGCCAAAGGCACTGAGGTCGACGGTGCAACGTGCGTTGTTTGGGGTGGAATCGGCGCTGACGGTACAACCCTGAGTGATGGCTGGCTAGTCACGGTAAGTCGATAGCGCGACTCATATCAGCTGCTGCTAGTGTACTTGGTCAAATTTGTCTTGAAATCTAGGGGGGGGGGGGGGGGGGGGGGGGTTCACGAAATTAGAACACAAAATACGACCCTAGCGGGGATTAGGCCCTGGGCCGGACTTACTTATATAACAGAATTATACCCAATCTATTGTAAAGGTTCTAGTCAAGATCTACTATACACGATTATAGGATACTTTATCTATAGAATACCCTACTCGCAAGAACAGACCTTGCGCTCGGACATACTACGCTGGAAGATTATCCGCCTTACTGAGACGCCTAACATTCTCGGTCTTCCGATCCTCGGCCAAGATCGAAGCAAACTTGCTTGCCTTTCTGATCTCCGGCCCCTTGTAGTAGAAAACGTAGATCGGCACCACAACCAAGCAAGACAAACCTGCAAGTGTGGTCGTAGCCAGCTCTGACGGGCGTGTTTGGCTGAGGTTATGGTACAGTGGTGCGGCGTACATGGCAGATATACCAGCAAGGAAGTCTCGTGCGAAAGCGTTACCACCTGCAGCTGGTTAGGAGATTCTAAGCGGACATCGGACATGGGTGTTTTGAAATACCAGTAGCGGATGCCGAGTATGGCCCATAGGCCGCGATCATATAGTCGACAGACGAGTAGTAGATAGCGAAGTTGGCCAAGCCGACAAGGAATGAGAAAATCATCGGTGCAATCCAATGTGTCTGAGGGGGTCCCATGCAAGTCCACCTGTGGCTCGTCAGTACACTGAGATGTCCCATGGAGAATAACCACCTACGCGAAGCCAATAAGACCAATTGGCTCGAATAGTGCAAGCCATAGCAGCGGCTTCAGGCGTCGTTCAGGTGCATAGTAGTCCGGGCCATGCTTCTTTCTTTGGGCCTCGTCTCGCCAAAAGATAGGCCAATACAGAAAATATGTGAAGAAGTAAGACGCATTAATGGGAATGAATGCCCAGGCAACCTGGAGAGTGCCGAAGCCGAAATTGGCTGGATATGTGATGGCAAACGCCTCAAGAAATGTGAAAATCAAGGCATCAGAGAAGCCCGACAGAAGAGATAGAAACAAAACAATAGGTTCGCGAACAAACATCTCAAATGGTCGAAGCCAGATCTTGCCAGCTTCTTTCAGCGAAACTCGGGGCTTCTTAAGCTCGTTTGGTCCATATATGTTAGGATCTTCGCCACTGTCACGACGTCTCTTTGCTTCTCGATCCATGAGAATTGTAGAACGGCTTTCAGGCATGAAAAAATGCACTGCCTGGACTGTGACACCAAAAATGAGTTGAATCCAAAAATTCCACTGCCACGACAGATACTTTTCAATCGGACCGCCAATAACTCCGCCGATACTGGTACCGATTGTGGAAGATAGCACAATGAAGCACAGTGGCCAGTGTTGAGTCTCTGGTTCATAAAGATCTGCGATCAGCCCAAGAGTAACACTGCCACCAGCAGTGGATAAACCACCCTTGTAATCATCAGTTACGGTCATCAGTCGATTGGGAGATGGCTTACAAGAGCACGACACACAACAATAGTCGCGTAGTTGGGTGCGACAGAATTTGGAATCTGCCAGATGTTGATGAAAAACAGACTCAGCTGTAAAATTGGCCATCTGCCAAATTCTTCGGACCATGGTGCCCACAGTTCGCAGCCGAAAGAGTACATGATCAGATAGATCATCTGCCCAACTCTAGCTTGCTGATCACTGATACCGAAGTGTTCAACTAATGGCTTGACGGCACTGGGATAAACCGAGGTATTAAAGTTCATCGAGATTTGTATACCGGCGATGGATGTCAAGTACATGGCCTTCTTCCATTTAGGCCATGAGTAGGCCAGTTTGTCCCAGCACTCCCATTCTTTCAGCTCACGACGACCTTCTGCATCGGGGACGGTGGGAGGATGTATAGCTGGTGGTTGGAATTCGCGGTCCTCGAGGTCTTCTGGGCTGTCATGCGACTTGTCATCGTTGCTACTCTTCTCATGCAAAGAGTTGTGCCGGGTCGGACCTGGTGTGCAGTTTGCCGAATGTTGCCTCGAGATGGCATGTGCGGGGGAGCATTGTCCAGATTTCTCCTGTTCGTTCATGTTGGTGAATACTGGGGGAAAGCTGGAGTACAGGAAGGGTCAAAAGAGGAATACTGGAGCCTTTTGAACACTCGTGCGTTTTTAGAGTCTTCGCACACGATCTTGCCCAGACAGCCTCTGATTCAAGCAAAACACCCACAGTTCCACTGTTCCTGGTGGATCTTGCAGATAGACATAGCAACAGAGGCACGGGTGAGGTGCGTCCCATCTGCAGGGTAGTTGCGTCAGATACTGTCAACATCGACGATGAGCTCTACATCGCAGAGCTGGAACCATTCTGATGTTGTCTGGCGATCATGGTTCGTTAGAGAGTAACGTCCCACTTATATCCGCTTATTGTGACGACAAGCTTAGGTGCTGAGAAAACTTCGTCAATCCTACTTCCTGCCGAGCACTTTGTGAGGCAATGGGAAGGACGATCGTATGCGGCTGAAAATTAAGCTCTGCCACTAACAGTCACATCAGACCAAGTGGGAAAAGATGCCGAGCGTTCATGGCGGGAGTGTTGAGTTAAGCGTCCCGGTGATGTCATTTCAGAAACACTCCCGCAGTCGCTCGCCTTGTTCAGCCGCAACTCCAATCTGTGATCGTGGCCTCTCGTTTCCAAACGGCACGTATCTGGAATGTTTGAACCTATTTCTCAAAATTCTGAATGTCCATTTTTCGTTTCCTTCTACTTTCATGGACTACGTTAATGTCTTCTATAATATCAATCAAGTAGTCACTTTAGCAAAAGTCTTAGCGCATGTCACCAGTCGTAATCTTTTACACCCGGGGTTTAGAAATTGATCCTATGCCACTTTTGCAGAAGAGTGGGACTTGGAGTGGCTCTGTGCAATCGAAGACAAGGTAATAACAGATTAAGTGCAAATGTCGGTGAGCGTTGGCCAGAGCGACCTGTTCATGGAGTAGGCCTAAACAAGGATCAAACTTCGTGGATCGGATCGATCTACGCCAACGTGATGCAGAACATTGATTCCGCGGCATGGAGTGGTCAGCATATCTGTGATAACATCTTGAAGCTGGGGGTGGGTTAGGCTTACCCGGAGAAAGACATAATCACCAAAGATGGCAGGTAGTCGATGGCTTCTATCAAAAGCTGTCATGATCTCACTTACCTGCTTGCCGCCATCTACTCGGGAACTGTGTACCTAGGCACTCTATGCTTGATGGGGTTGTCTTATAGGGATGCGACTGACAGTCATATTCTTTTTGTAGTTCAAGCATACTCCAATCATTTTTATTAGCTGCGAGGACCCCAGCTGTTTGCATGGGGAATATGTGTAAGTGGGGAGGTGGAGACGCGATTCATCCCTGTGAGACCCAGGGGTGCACCGCAAGTACATAATGATGGCATCGCCAGTAAGAGAGGCCTACGTAGTAGACACCAAGCCCCGATGTGAATAGCGTCATGAAGTTCACAAGATGCCAGGCAATATGCAGTACATCTATATCCTCAGGCATGAAGAAGACCACGATTGACTTAGGTCCCTGATTTCTTTCACGTCCGCTTCATAAAGCCTTAAACAGCCTGAAGGCCTCTGCACTAGGGTATCACAGCAGTATCTGGCACTGATCGGCCGGTTGTTCCAGGCCTATTTAATGTGAAGTCAGTGGTTTTGTTATGGTTCAGATCCGTCAAAAGTCTCGCTTTGCTGCCCTCAATGACCCAATTTTCCTGGGAAGATTCCGACATAGAATGCGTGTCGCATCGAGCTAGCGGTTCTTAGTAACTGGTGTACGAGGCGAGGATGTGCACGACTTTGGTGCTTGGACAACGCCCATCGTCCTGTTTACTTAGTTGTATGTGATCAGCACAGATGCACACAAGCGCTTTCGCCACTAAGCGATAACGACGCCATCTTTGCGGAAGCGGAATTGTGACTGCCATGTGGGTCCTCATGGGATTCGTATGAGATGAGTATCTTTTCACGAAGAATAGGCCTCGGCTGTATTGAACTTACAATGATATTCCTACACAGTCCCTGTTTTGAAACTAAATGCTGTACAGTCCAGGCGCAGGCCCCACATGACACACAATGTACACCGAGACGAACCCGTACGTGAAACACCTTACGCTACCTGCGTAGTCTTCTCAGCCAAGAAGTTCGCGCTCTTGCGACTCAATGGTGTGCCCACTGGCACCTCGATATTCCTTTTCCCTCCTCTCCCGCGTGCTTTGGAGTCCAGACCACGTTCCCACAGAGCGTACTGTACGACCTTCTCCATGCCCGTCTTAGTTCTCTTCTCAGTCTTCGTCGGCTTGCTCTTCCTCAGCTCGACATTCCCCAGCATCAGCAAGTCACCCAAATCTGCTTTCTTTTTCTGGCTCGAATGATCAAGCGTGGTGATTTGGTTCTTAGCCTTCTCACGGATGTACTGACCCTCTGTATGAAGTGCAGAGAATAGGGAGATGGGCGCGGGCTTCGCCGCGTCACGCAGGTGACCGTATACATCGCCGAGAGTGCGGGACGAGGAGAGAAGGGGGTCGGGGATACGGGTACCGGTAAGTTGAAGAATGCGTTTGAACAGCTTGGAGTAGGTTAGTATGCACATATTCAACAGCAGAGGGCGAGAGAGAGGCTTACGGCAAACTTGACGTCGTTGTCGGTCAGCGGAACATGGCGCCACATGACCTCGTTAACTTGTGAAGCGGTGTTCTCGGCATTCACAAGCGCTTCTTTCCGCAGTGTGGCAATGGCATCCGTGAGGCTTTGGGCGCGCGTTTCGAGTTCAGCGTGGCGGGCGGGGGCGGGCTGGACAGGGACAGGCTGCTCAGCTTGCAGGACTTCCTCGGCGAGGCCTGCATCGGCAGTTTCGGCAAGAGTCGCGCTAGGTTTTGCGCGGGGAACGGGACGGTTGGACATAAAGTCGAACGTCTTCTCGGGGTCCTGCTTTACAACAGCAGCCCTCTTGTACTCGGGCGTCGAAGGATCCATGACGGGCACAGCAGCAGGCGCCTCGGGGGTAACAGGCGTCAACACATCCTCGACTAGAAGGTCGTCCTCCTCGAAAGTCTCAGGTTCAAAAGTATCCCACTCAGGCGTATCCTGCATGAGCTTGATGAACTGTTCAGCGCTCCTATACTTGGGGAAGGCGAGAGCAAGCTCGCCGCTCGAGGTGTTGTAGAGCTTGACGTTCTTGACCCACGACGGGCGCTTGTACACGCCGCGGTTGGGCAGCTTGGAAAGGTCCATGTCCAGACCCGCCTGCCTGAGTGTGTAGATCTCGGCCACGGCCTGGGCGAAAGCCTTCCTTAGCTTGACGGCGTCGACGGTCCTCTTACGCATGCCAAAGCTGTGTCTCGTCAGTCATCGGCGATACAAGCAGAGTAGGTGCTGCAACGTACTTCAGCTTGGTGTACGGCCGTCCCGTGATCTGGTGCACCGTCTGCGCCATCAGCAGATTCTCGTCGTGCAGCGTGTACGGCGTGCCCGTCCACTCCTCGATCTGGTCAGCCATGTCCAGACTCAGCGGCGTGTACGTCCGCAGCGTGAGCTTCTCAAACTCCTTGGCCATGTCGCCCTCTGCCGTCTTCGCCAGCCATGCGTCGCCGCCGACATGCCTCAGCTTACGTGCATGGCTGGCCTCCTGGTACTGCGGGAACGACGGAGCGGCGTCTTCGTCGAGGACTTCGATCTCTTCACCCTGGTCCTCAGGCGCGATCCGCACGGGCGATGTCGGGTCGTAGGGGTCCACGTGGGCGCCAATGGGCTCGGATTCACCCAGGAGGCGCTTCTGCCATCGGCGCACGAACTGCTGGTGCTTCTTCTTGTCCTGCTTGCCGGCCGGCACGAGGAACGCCGCAGAGGGCGTCGACGAGAAGGCGCGGAGGTGCGTGCAGGGCGATGCGGTCTGCGGCCGCACCGAGCACTGCAAGAATGACGACGCGTCGATTGCCCGCGAGGGGCGCGGTATCCTGCGCATTGCGGCGGCTGTGATGAGATGGACGTCGCTGCCGACCGTTCACGGGCGACATTGGAAATGTTCGAGACTGCCAAGACGCCGCACTATCGGCCAATCAGCGCCACCGAACTTCCGCCATGGGACAGTTGCCTTGGGCTCACGACAAGCACGCACGAAGCAGCACCAAGTATGTGGGAGACATTCATCGCGTCCTAATGCTAGTCTGGCTCTACAGTCGCTCGCCTGCGAATCGTCGCGCCAACCATGTCGACCCTTTCTCGTCATACTCGGCCTTGCTCACCAGGGCTTCCTTCAGCAGCGCCGGCTGACTGGCGAACCGCGCAGCACCCAGCCAAGTGTGCCTGATAGGGTCGTCTGCCCGTGAAATATTGAGCGTATACTCGCTTGGAACCAGCGTCCTCAACTCACGTTTGAGCCTCTCCATGAAGCCTTTGATCAGCGAATTGCCCCCTACAACTACCACGTTCGCGAGTAGCCCCACCTTCAGCGCATCTGGGAGCACGCTGAGCGACTCGATGACCGCGCCAGGGATCCCGCGTTCCTGTATGCCTATGTCGGATGGGTTGAAGAGCAGTTCTGGCACCGCGAACCTCTCGTTCCCCAGCGGCAGCAGATCCTCTCGAGGTCCTTGCACCGGCGCCATACCGCGCTTCATCCTTGACTTTGCCGCATCGTGTGGTCGCGCGTGCCCGTGTATCGCATTCTCGTAGTCTGGCAGGACGTAGTCCACCACCACGCTACTGTCCACCTGTCTACCGTCCCCAAGTCTCCCTTTCCACGTCCGCTCGAGGTCTATGGTATATTGCTGGGATGAAGGTGCGACGTACGACACGGCTTCTTTGATCTCATTGAGCAAGTACGTTTCCTCCATCATGTTGTAGTGCCGCAGCGAGGCGAGCTCCTTCATGTAGTTCGTGAGCAGTTTGCCCCCAACTGTGAGACGGCGCATGGCCGGCTGCAGCAGCTTTCCGTTATACAGCGGTAGTATCGTCGTGTCCGAGTACGAGGTGTCGATGATGAGCAGACATTCTTGTGGTGCTGTCGCCGGCGCGGAACTCGTCGAGTTATACGCGGCCATTGTTGGGCCTATACACATCAGTCTTGTCGCCTTGGTTCTCTGTGGAACAAACGCACCAACACAGCGGTAGTATGCCGCAAACTCAAATTGCTCAAACACTATTTCATCGCAGTTCTTCTGCAGTTCCTTAGGGCAACTCGGCTTCTCGGTCAGAACCAAATTCGTTTCCTTGGGATCACACTGCGCACCGTCAGCTTCTCACTTCCTATTGACCTCGGGTGTTGAGCCGGCGTACCTACCCGCAGCGCCTCCTTCGCGCCCATGAACTCGTGCTCCCATATCGCCTTCTCGGCCTCCCAGTTGACAATGAAGCCCTTCTCTACCGGTCTCCTAAAGGCTAACTCGCCAAAATCTTTGCAGCCGTCGAGTTCCGACGCTGTGTAGGTGCACTTATCGCGATGGCTGCGCGCGATGCAGTTTGGTATTACGCAGCATTCGTTGTAGCTTGGTAACGTAGATTGCGACGGGACAAGACCAGCTTTCAGCGAGTAGGCACCATTGTCTAGTACCAGTGTCTTGTGTATTGCCGGTGCGGACTTGCGAGAGCCTTTTGGTGGCATTGTGTGTTGTGTTCGAAGTTGGTCGGTGCTAGTGATCACCGAAAGTTGAGCAAGGCGCGCGCTCGCGGTGTCACGTGGGCTTGGCGTCTATGTCTCCTCAAATACCATCTCGTTTTGCTCGAGACTACCTGCTGGCTTACGTCTAATACACTCTATCTTAGGGCCAGTTTAGTCCTATTCACAGTTGTTGGAAGATCTGGCTTTATGGATTGCTAGCTCATATTAGCTTTTTGCACTTAGGGATGACATCACCTCGTCTATCGTAAGTAATCACCCAGCAACAATCCACTTACAGTCCAGACTTCACTGCGCTCGAATAAAAGACCCGAGTTCTAACCATACGAGGCACATCAATATCAAGTTAACTTGATATCACACGTGATGCCTGGCGCACTTGGAACCACAGCACTCCCTCTCTGGCCGGCTCTGCTATTTTCCTATCTCGAGCCCAGTAAGCTCAAGCCCCGCTTACATCACTTACATATAACCAAGCTTGGTGCTAATACCGAAATAGTATCCCTTGTGATTGGAGCCCACGCAGCAACTACATCCCCCTCCAACTTCGTCACCTCCCAAGTCCCTAGCTATGACTCAGCAGATTTCGTCACACCAGCTGTGATCATTCTTGCATACACGCTAGGCAGCCTCTTTCTTCTCCTCGCTGGCTATGCGTTGACATGTACTGTGCTCACGAAAGATGCCAACGTTACAAAGTACTACCTGATGTTTGCGGCGTGCGGGGATGTAGGGCATCTTGCTGCTAACTATGCGGGCATGGAAGACAAGATTTTTTGGGCCTGGAGAGACTGGAACGAGGTCATGTGGGGTAATATTGCTATAACTGTGTTTTTGTTGGTGAATCGTCTGGCTACATTGGGCTGGGTATTTGGAAGGCCTGGATGGGCTATGGTGGAACAACAGAAGGTGGTGTAAGTTTGTCTGTACTATAAACCTGTGATGAAACAACGAGTGTGGCTGCTGTCAAAACAAGTCAAGGGTCTATGATCTAGGTACTGGACAAGGGCGTTAGGCAGTAAGGCAAAGAGACTTTGCGGAACAAGGAGATGTCAGAGCACGCACTAGAACTACGGCGAACCCAATGCAGTTGACACAGGAATATCGATGATGGCCTATCAGATCGAAAGTCGCTAGGTCAAGGGCAAGCTGCAAGGAAGGACAGTGAGATATGATTAGGGCAAGACCATCTACATAGACGCTCCAGTGAGCGAGTAAAAGTTGTTGGTTGTACAAGATTTCAACGTCAATTCAACTGTGCACCACATATGTTCACAGTTGATTATACCGCAGTGTGAAAGCGTCCGGAAATAAATGCACCATCAAGCTGGAGCAGCAATACTTCTAGTGAGTGTATCGGTACCGCATATAATACGAGCATGCATGTCGTTCCTGTGTACATGAACCCGAAGAAAGTGCATATTGGTAAACACACTAGAGCAATAACAAACTCTTCCAACACTAACACTGCAGTGCCACTTAGCTCCACTTTTAACTGCGTTACCGTTCTCAATCATTCGTATACAGACATAGGTATCATAATGCCTGCGTTAGTAGTCTCTTTGTATATTATAAGCGCCTGACTGACCAGCAATAAAGGGGAAGGAAAATGCACAACTCACACTACCCGTTCCCGTATTCTTACTGATCCTAGTAAGTACATATTATGCTTGACGGTCTTACTTGATCATCTCATGCGAGATCGGGGCCACGCTCTGCGTAGCAGAACGTACCCGTGTCTCCCACATACCAACCCGAACCTTTACCAAATGATGATCATCGGCACTTCAGTATTCTCCGATCTCAATCAAGGCAGAGTCTACCTTAGAGTCACAGCCCCAGCCCATCGGATATATTTGTGTATCCCCTCTCCCTCCTGCTGTGATGTGTAGACTATAAATTTTTGGATCGATGATCTACATGCGTTAAGGTTCTAGAAAATTTTCTGGATGTACTCAGGATGTAGATCGGCTGGTGAGCGATTCGCTGGGAGCCTCAACAGGGAAGCTCTGACAGAGGAGCATGCGTGGCAGTGCTCCGCCGGACTACGAATCAAATTCCTGCACCCAAAAGCGTCTGACCAGCCCCGAAGTAGAATGCAGCATCGGGCGTGAAGTATCAATGCTCTTGTTGGAGCCGTGTCGCATTGAAGCGCAGTTACCAAAGCGAAGTGATTAGACTTTGATTTGTAGCCAGATAGCAATGAACAGATGCTACCCAAGAACAAAGTGGCTGGTCAGATGTGTCTCAGTACAGGATCTAGATTTATATTGAAGTGCGAGGAATCATACAGCCCCAGCTATGCAAATATCAGATATTCATACGCACAGGGTATCTCAAAAAAAAATACACACATGCTTCCGCCGCTCATCAACGGGACACTTTATACCGCCCCCAGCACTGCAGCCCAGTCGGCTCCTCAACCTTCGACCTCACATACATCCGCAAATAATGGCATGTTGATATCCCAGTCTTCATCTACTCCTGCTGTTCTGCCTACGATGCACTTGGTCTGCTTCATCGTTATCTGTGTCATGTCGCTAGCGTGCTCGAGTAGGTGATACATGAGTGTGTCCACGTTGCCAAAGATGCTGGTGACCTTCAGCTCGACGCTGCATATAACACAACCATAGTTGCAGTCTTCATTCGCGCTTTCGGGTGTCTTCTTTTTCACGTGACTTTTTGCTAAGAAGATCCAGCGGTAGCGGATCCCACACTTCGAGGTATGTAGATTCGGATCTACAATAGTCTCCTTTTTGCCTTTTTTGCTCGGATGAATGATGCTGTAAGTGTTTCCACGGAAATTGCACGACTTGCACTCCCAGACTTCTTTGCTGTTGTACATGCCCGAAGGCATGTTCCGAAGTGCGAGACCTTTTTTGAGTTCTTCGCGAACGTCCCAAGCACCTTTACAGAAACCCCAGTAGCTATTGTCTTTACAAGGTCGACCATTCATCATTCGTTCCTGTCCGGGCTTGGGAGACTGGACGGTGGACGAGGGAATGACGCTGACTGGACGCGGGATGACACCGAACGAGCCTGAACCGCTACTGTCGGTAGATGCTACAGAAGGCTGTCGAATGCGACCGATGACTGGGGCGGACACGTTTCGTAGCCATGGCCCGGAAAGGACGCCCGATCTTACAGTGTGTCCGCTAGAACTACTGTGGGAGCTGGAAGTGCCACCTACGTCAGGGGAAAGCATACTTGGTCGCGTAGGATTGACATCTGTTCGGTCATCAATGGTAGGTACTGGTGAGTCTGGGGGTGATCCAAAAGGCGCAATTGGATTGGGTACTCTTTCAACACGCTGTGGATCTGAATATTGACTATGGTATTCATTGGTTGCCTCATGAGACGCAATGGGTGCGTCGGCCAGTCCTTCAGCGTGCGGAAATGTACGGAACAGACTTCTCTCTGGCAAGGTTAGTGGCGCGATGGACCTCGTACGAGTCTGCTCGGTTGTTGCATACGGCATGTGAGCATGGTATTGATCATTGTATCGTTGCGCGGATGCATTAGGTGGTATTGATGTAGTGAACCCTGGCTTGCTGATTGGGGAACAATGCAGTGAGAAGCGAGGGTCACTCGAGCCGTGCGAAGTGCGTGAAGAGTCTGAGTCGTGTCGATCTCTTGATACATCCGAGAATGGAGTACTAGAGCTGGAGGAATCGGAAAACCGGTGTGACGATTGCGTCTGATAAAGTGGGTAGGGGTTAGGGCTTGCGAATGTGGCGTGTTGTGGCAGACTGTTAAACACATTCTGGTTGAACATTGAGTGATCTTGATCCCCAAGGTTTGCCCATAAATGCGGCTGTATTTGTGGGTCGGATGCATATGAGGAATCCCAGCCTTGAGTATGATGCTTCTGTTGGGAAGGGGGCTCGCCCATGAGTACGTCCAGAGTGCTACGTCTTTGTCCAAAGTTTGGAGGATGTTCGTTCTGATTCCATGGCTGACGAGAGACTTTCGCTCCTCCGTCAAGTCCTTTGTACAGCATGGTGATCTCGTCAATGTCGTTCATGAGTGTCGCGCGATCTTCTCCTCTGGCTTTGACCATCTCTTCGAAGGCTCGACAATAATCGATGGTTGGCCGTTCTGTAGGTGTGCCTGTGCTGGACTTGGTAGAGGTGCTGTTGCTTCGTTTCGTCTGTAAATATCGGGCCAGCGACGATCTGGGCTGCTTCAATTCTGGTGTCATATTATCTTGCGGTACAGCGTTGTTAAGCTCAAAGGTGTTGGAGCGCGTGGATGGTACAGTCATGATTGTTGACTGATGTTTTGACACATCTTGAAGTTGACGGGGTAGAGGCCGCCTCAAGACTAATCTCTGCTTGAGCTCATCAAGTGTGACGAAGGTGTCCTTGCGATTTGTAATCGTTGCTTCGTGAAGCAGCCGGAGATTCAGGACTACCGTTGGATTCTGAACAGCCATTTGTAGGCCTTTGATAATCTCTGCTTGCATGTTGACAGCAATGTGTAGAAGGAGATCTCGTGCAAGTGCTGCTTCGGTTAGGCGGTAGTTTGGAGCAACTGCGAACAAGGTACTTACTGTCTCCCACCACCATGATGTCGCCCATCTCTTTTATGTCTTGCGAATATCGAGAACCTATCTGCTGTTCTCCCAACATCAGGGATTCTTGCAACTGCTTCTCCTCGAACTTTTGTTGTGATTGACGTGATTTGCGACGTTTCTCTTTGATGATCTTGAGTAGTTCAGAACCTCCGTGGAATGCAGATACCACGGCGGCAACAGCGGCGACAACCTACATCTGTTAGCTGCTTCACAGTATTTGTCGTCTGTATGAGATTGCGGTCATCGGCAACGTTAAATGACCAACATACCTCTAGGCCTGACATTGTATAAGATGTCGGCGCAACTTCCCGGGCGCAACTTCTCGGGCGTATTCACGTCGGCTGGCGGAAGCGTCGACTAGCTCCTCCCAGGGCCTTCAGAGAGTTCCTTTTCTTTGACAATAACCCGATGGGTGTAGAAGACGCTCAGCGTATCAGTGGGACTCACGAGCCAAGGCTGGCGGTTGCCTTGCGGTGCATATGACAGCCCACGATGACCGAACAACGTTGGGTAGGCCGATTGCGCAACGAGGTACATGGAGTCCCTCCGACAACAGCGTCTGGCAAGAAAAGAACGCGCAGGGAAGGTCGTGGAAAGAATGACCAGGAAGGGACGAAAGTAGGCAGCAAGGATCAAGCACGAGAGCGATCAGCCCAGCGACAACAGCCCGTAGATACTCAGCCTCGATTCACCCCTCGTCCTCTGTGAGCCCTCTGGGTTAGCCTCGAGCTTCGCCGCCCGGCTCGAACCTCGGTGGACACTTGGAGTGTAGGGAGGTGCATTTTCGCCAATAGGACAGAGGTGTGGCGGTGTTCTTATCAGGTTTGTGCAATCATATCTGCAACTAAGGGCTGATCGGAACGCTGCAAGGCGGCAAGGGCAGGCGAGGCGCGATGCGGGGTCCGGGACGCAGCTTTGTGATGCTGACGTTACAAAGTTACATAGGGGCTCGTGCTCGTGCTCTGTACTGCGTCCTACAGGCCCAGGAATGTGTTAGAAAGCTTAGTAGAGATTGTGAAGCTTAGCGTTGATGTTGCGCGTTGTGTTGCGGCTGCGCCTGTTGCGTGGGCGCCGTTACGAGCAGCAGGCCTCTGTAAGTAACGTCTCTTTCGGCTAACAGACCTCCGGAAATCAGGCCAGAAAATCATCATTATCCAGAAGACAAAATTTAGTAGCGTGAGTAATCCGAAGAAACCCCTACACGCGTCTAGTACTTGACTCGGGTCACGAGACGGGAACTTGGTAAAAAAAGAGCATCGATATGTGTCACGGTTGGCATTGACCTATAGAAATATGCACGGTTGTGCGAGACATCTTCCTCCTGGGTGACTATCGGCATGACCTTCTTGCTACATAAACGAGTTGTTGAAGGTGATAAGATCGTTCCGGTTGGTTAGCCGCTGCTCTGCAGTGTATCAAACCCGGCTTAAAAAAGAGCTTGTACCTGTCCTCCAAACGTGAGGTGAAGCGCCTCGCTGGATAACCACTGGCATGAACGATGCCCCAAAACTCAAGATGCACCGGTCTCAAAAGACCAACTCCGCGCGAATTCTTCCCTAAAAGTGGAGCAGGATCTACCTGCCCAAGAAGCGTGAATTGAAAAGGAAAGAAATAGCCGTGGGCCACACGATCGACGTGGATGCCGAGGCCAAAGAGGCAGGAGAAAGAATAGCAACTCAAGCATCCACTAATTGCACACGTTGACTCTTACGATTTCCGATTTCCACCAAGGTAGGCGTAAGGGCCATTCCGTCGCCCAGTCTGTCACCCATTCTCTTCCCAGGATCCTGCATGCCTTTTGACAGATCGGTCGGCGTTCTGATCAATGTCCTTGGCCTCGTCGCCTTGCTCACGCTTACACTTCTGGCAATCCCCACCGTTGCTGTCTGTGTGCCAACCCCGATCACATTCGCCCTACGCTGGCTATTTGTGCGTCGAACGACGGGCTTTGCAACTACATCTTCCTCAAAGGGCTCGGCGGAGAGTGGTGGTGATAGAAGCATTTGCAGGTTCTGCAGTGGCGAGGAGACTTCGATAGGTGTGCTGGAGGGATGTGAAGACAGAGCTGAGGCAGCCGTTACGCGGGGTTGCTTGCGAGAGAGAGAGCGTTCGATGTACGTGGAGCGATTTGCGGATGCCGATGCTGACCTAGGCTTGGGGAGGATCTCCCAATCGGGTTCTTGAGATTCGACGTGGGCCTTCCATGCTTTTGCTTCAGCTGGAGTGGTGCGACCTACAACGATCGTGATAGATTCGTTATCAGAGCTGTCAAAACTGCGGATCGAAGTAGGTGTGAGTGATGGCTGGGGTAGTTTCGGATTAGATGGCTCGGCATACTGGCGGGTGACGCTGGTAGATGGTGGCTTGCTCTTGCTCTCTTCTGTTGCCTTTGATGTTTGTTGTGTCGGTGATGTCATCAATGCGGTCTTCGTTGTCACGCGTGGTGGATTCGAGACTAGCGGCGATGGTGCTCTTGATACGGGTGTACCCGCACGTAAGGTTGGTGTACCCGCGCGTAACGTTGGTGTAGCACGTCCAGTCGCAGGAAATAATGATAGCCGTGCCGATGGAGGGTTCGATGCTGTAGGAGACGTCTTTTGTTGCTGTATTTTAGGCTCTGGTAAGCTTTCTATCTCATCCTGCTCTGTGTCAGATACGAGGATTCAAGGTCTTGCGTGAAGTATCACATACCTTGATCGAAATGTTGTCCAACGGCTTGACTTTTGCATTGTCTGCCTTCTCCTGCCGCCGCTGATACAATGAAGATCTGTTTGGCGTGGGTTCCAATACACCACTGAACATAACGCTGTATCTGTCCAATTTGGTGTCAGGTATGTCCACGTCCAATAGTCCAGCCCCTACTACAGGTGGGGCTTCCAGAAATTTTAGGTCAGGTGTTTTCGAACTGGCTTGTGGTGGGTTCGGGGTTGTAGCGGATCGCTGAAAACGGTAGCGGGGTGCAGAACGGCCGCCATCGAGTGTTGCTGAGCGTTTCCTTCCATGCTGAGTCTCCGGCGTTGATACGTTCTCTTGCGACTTGTTGCGAGAGGGTCTTAGTTCTGGGTTGTAAACTGATACCGGTAATGTTACGCCTCCTTCTGTCTTCAGCTTGGGCCTTGATTTCGATTTCGGCGAAGTATCATGGTGACTATCTGCACGTGCCGGAGTTGCCTGTTGTGCAAGTTGGTAGAAAGCAGGTTTCTCCTTTGGCGGCGGTGCTGTTTTTCTGAACAATGACTTCCATCGGCTAATCTTGGGTTTGGGCTGCGTCTGAGGTCCTGTAATAGTGGTCGTCGACGCATTCGCATGGCCCTGTAACGACATCTGGGCGTTGGCAATGAGATTCTCGGTGGTAGCCTGAGGTGTGGACGTCCAATGCGAGCCAACGGTAGGGCTGCCGAGCGCAATCCCAATAACGTCCACGGGGCTCTCTACAGCATGCAATACAGCGCTCGAGTTTGTGGGGGAGGAGAAAGCCAGGAACCTGTCTTCCGAATAGACAGACGGCGCGGGAAGTGTTTTCTTGTGAAATTGTATCGCGCGTTCTCCCGGTCCACCTGACGTATTTGGCCGGGCCACCATCTCGGGTGCTTCAAGTGTTCTTTCAGCCCTAGGCGCTGGTGTAGCTGACTTGAACCTGTCAAAGTCTGTCGGAAAAGCGATCGGTTGTGGAATAGAGTTCTGGATTTGGTCGTCCTCTTGCTGAATGCCCCTCCGACCTCCCTTCAGAAGCCGGAGTGACTTGGATCTCATGAGCAAGCTCGGCATCGCGTTTCAAGTGGATTGCTAGTGGGTATCAGATAGGAAATTGGGGACGATGAGACAACGACGGGGGAGCAAGGAAAAGGATGTGCGGCCAAAGGAGTGGACAGCTCCGCAGAGCAAACAGTTGTACGGTAAGAGACGAGATCGTGGGTCGGAGCAAAATCAAAGAGGAGGCAGCGATGGGCAGAATTGCGCCGGCATCAGGACGCCTAGCCCCGGGAAACGAACGTCCTCTCCACAATTTTGCTCATGCCAGCGGTCATCAAGACTTCCAGACGCGATTGGGTCTGTTAGGAACAAATTGCGCAGGATTCAGACGTCAAAGGCCCGAGGAACGACAAGGATAGAGACCAGGGTATGGATGATCGGCATGGGCGGGACACCGTGTTGGCTGCATCTGCCGCGTGCGACAACGGCGTCGTGGCGCCCATGGGAGATAACGGGGGTGACCGCTGTCACAGCGGCGGTTGGCGGTTCACGGTTCACGGTTCCTGAGCAGAGATGAGCTGAAACGCGGGCCACGCGACCTGCAATCCACGCAAAAGGCTCGCAAAGTCGCGGTCCTGATTGAGGTACTACATAGTACACCTGTCGTACACACTCGTCCAGTATGATCCCTGTGCTTACGACTCAAGGTATCTATGCGGTGAATTGTGGGATGTTGGAGATGTGAGCGGTCAGTGTCGAGCGCTCGTGCCCAGTTTCAGCCCCATCTGCAATTTCGCGATGCGCCGCCAAGGGTCCCTCATCGATCTCTAACGCCAACGCCGACCTGGACAAGATGAGCTTGCTGTACACAGTAAAGTCGTTCAGGTGTAGGCGACTGTCGATGTTATCAATCTCATCCCGCAGTTTCTCCACTGCACCTCTTCATGTACTACCTTGCGACACCGCCAATTATTGATGCGTGACGTAACGCTGGGAACGGGCCGGGATGAACTCAGGGCAGCGGCTGGCCACACACTCTCGGAAATAAGCAAAATTACGGTGATTTTCTGGGACGTGTTTTTGGACAGTGGCGAGCGAGCGAGGAAATTACACATGATGTTGGCTTGGTGAATGCAGCAAGCCAGATGGCGGCATGCGTGTGTGGCTGCAAGATGTGCTTAGATCGCTGGGAGATGCGCGTGTAACGAACAAAGTAGTCCATGATGTACCAAATGTGCACACAGCTCTGCAGCGCATGAGCAAAGCATGTCTTAACAAGGCCAATACTTTGTGTTGGGGCTAGTAAATTGCAATGATGAACAGCATGAAGCAGTGTGCACCCGTATTACAGTCGCTAAATAGGATCAGACTCTTTGTCAAAGAGTATGTACAATTGTGCATCATCCCAGCCATCGGGAAAAGTTAAACCCCGTAACGCCCTTTCCCCAAGCAATTGTATACGAATCGATAAACGCAGAATATCTGACAGAAATGTAGCAAATACAACATGTTCGTGGATTCTTCGAATGTTCTCCGACAAGCTTTCCTACAAGCGACCAAGCGATTCTGCTGTCTGTAGTCACAACGCTGTGTCGAGTCTATGCATCTGGGATCTTGAGTGGTGCAATCGTCCACTCGCCACCCTTTATTCTCCTTGTTGCCGCCGTGATATCATTGCCATTCTCTTGGAAAAAGACATATAAGCTGTCATACAGTACATCTCCGTTGTCGTCCTTCTCCTCGGCAGAAGAAACGCTCATGTGTGTGCCCCCAAGTGCATACAGGGGGGCGGCGGGTGTTTGTACTGTGAAGTTTTCGTGCATAGGATAGGACGTGTTCTCAGCGTTGAAGTCTATAGAGTAGCCTCGTATGCTTCTATCGGCCGACTGAGCATAGAAAAACTCGGTGAAGCCCAACGATGTCGAAGGCCAGACGTCTGGAATAGTTGCTTGAGAGGCATTTACAAACACGTTGTAAGGATGGTCTTCGTCCTGAATAATGGTGCTCGTGTTAGTATCAGTGTCTTTCCAGTAGAATTCGACATCGTCGCCTTTATTAACCATCATTGCGTATTGAGTCGTGCCAGTTCCCCAGCTATAGCATCCAACACCAGCTTGTGTGTTGAACCCCTGCCACTTCTGGATGAATTTCCACTCCGGACTGCCGGCAAACCAGGCGTACTGGTTAAATACACTATCATCTAGTGCATACCAGATGTTCATGCCTAGTCTGTTATCAAAAGTTATGTTGTTGACATCCCCGCTGACCGTGGGAAACTTTTTGTAATCAGCATCGCCGTAAAAGTTACCTTTCCAACACGCTTGGAGCCCGGTGGTGGGAGCATCCGCATAGACCTGCAGATTCTGTTTGCTAAGGGGTCCATCCGTCCACAGCTGAGTGGCTGTTGACTCATTGGTTTGGGTAACCTGCTTGACCATGTTGTCGTCTCCGACGTAAAACACATGGAACTGGTATAATCAGAGCCAATATCAGAGCTTACTTAAATGGACTTACAAATTGCGTTGAATTGGCAGCATACGATACAGCCGAGATCGGTGTGGCGTTCTTGGCATTACTTGCAACTGTCTCTGTGATGCCACCACCTAGCCATTTCTGGCCGCTGGTATATTTCATGTATCTGATGTCGCCCGTGTGATGTTGAAAGTAAACGGTGAAAAGGGTCCCGGTTGTTGGATTCCAGGATTCTCCAGCAAGAGCAATGCCAGATCCGTTGAAAGCTCCCTTGTCCGAAAAATACTCGGCGTTGAGGGAGCCACCAATGCAGAGCTTGGGGTGATCGCGGCAGAACGGGTCCATTTTTATCTCATTGCTCCTGTACAGATATAAGTAAATCTTCAAGTCCATGTTAGCCGAGATAGATGTGTAACTTACTCGTTCTTTTTGGATAGCCCGATGCCCAACCCTGCACCAAGGCCCACTGCAAGAGCCACAAGCCAAAAGATAATGCAACACGTCATCATCCAAAAAGTGCGTTTTCTCAATCCACACTTCCTTTTATCTTTCGGTGGGACTGGTGGCGGGACAGAACCCGACCTTGGGACATGTTCATCTTGTGGATCGACATGCTCTTTGAAAGCGTACGGTCTTGTTGGCTGAGGTGAACCGAGCGTGCTGCCTCCATGGGAGGACGGTGAAAAGGGGTGACCTCTGAACGGATATTCTTGTTGACTCGGCACAACTTGTGGTGCAGAGTAGTCTGGTGTGGGACTGCCGATAGCTAGGTGCGTGGCATACGGCGTCTCCTTCTCTGTCGATACACTAAAGCTACGCCAGTCAGTCACATTTTCTCACGCAAAAAACGACTCCAATCTCATGCACTACGGCTATAGGTAGAAAGCGGTCATAGCAGAGTTCTTACGGGCTATTGACATACCCTTGCTGATACTCCTGCGGTGAGGGTTGCTGATAGACATGCAAAGGTGGAGAGAGCGGTGGTGGAGGAGAGTGTGGCATTGACGGATATGGTGACGGAGGAGAGTTAGCGTGTGGCGAGCCTTGGGATGTGTAGATGTGGTCTTGTTCTTCGAATTGCGGTGGTGGAGGACTCCACTCCCCTTGAGAAGGGGTACGATTAGAACCGTTCATGATATTGTAGTAGTTCTCTCTGTGCTCCATGGATTAAGGTGTACAGAAATCGATCTTAGTAAAATCTGAGTCCTGGGAGACCAAAAGCGTGGGTCGCTCCACAGCTGACAGAGGCGTTTACCATAAGCAGGCTGTACATTCAAGACATTTGGGGCGCGACCATCGTAGCGAGTCTTGTACGCGAGGCAAAGCTGAATAGCACACTAATGCAGGCCCACAAGCTTCTGGATGTCCCAACTTGCATAGGGCAGTACATCTGCGTGACCGTAAGCAAGTGGCAGAAGCGCACAAGAAGATTATCCAATCGATAGCTGGTAAGCAGTGGGAGCAGCAACCTTCAGTGGATAGCATCTCGCGTGCTGGATATGCTGATTGGGCTTTACGTGAGCCGTGCCTTTCTTATGTACTTTCACTGGGTTGGCAGCATGCAAGCACGGCTAAGTGCTTAGAAAGTGTAAGCCTCAGCTGCGTAAGCATGCAACGGAATCAGTCTCAAGTACCTGGGTAGTGCTCCGCGAAAGTCTGACTTTTGCGGAACGTCTGTGATGACCGATTTCGCAATCTTCATCTTTTAGGCGGATGGGCTTGTGCTATTTGGACCGGACATCTTTGCTTAGTTGCAGATCGAGCTACTCAACGATGTACAGTACATGTAGCACAGCCAAGAGCTGAGCTGAGCTGACATTGTACAAGTCTGTGATTTGCCAGTAATTACCGTCATGCATGCACAACAGGGAAGGCCCGAAGAACGATCAGCTTTGGAAAGCCACCAAAGTCTTGCATGCGGTGTATGCGAAGAATGTCGGTCTGGGCACGGTCGCAAGGGCTATAGCCGAATAATCATCCATGGTATCTGAAGGACAATACCTCTGACCCCGCAAACTCTCTCCATGGTCCCAAATTAAAGCTGCTTTAGCAAAGCACATGGTGTACTGGAGGCTTACATGATACGCTGCCCTGCCGAATGCCACTACAATTGGCGTTCATCTCCACCCTGCACCTCACACCTCACGTGCGTTGCCGCCGGCTTTCCTTTGTAATATTTTTGAAGCTTGTCGACAATCAGTAGCACCGAATTTGATCATGAATAGCGTGTCGTGCTAATGTGCATGAAAATTCCAGTCACGACAGAAGAGGCACTGGTGTCGACTATCAAGAGCCCGAGACTGCACAATGTCGCGGACAATCAGCCGGACATTGTGGGGGGAGTTTGAGCAAAATGCTGACGAGACCCTCATGAACGCTGCATTCATCGGCACGCACAGCTCTTATAATGCCGACAGTTTCAGCAAACGACGCCGGTCGTCCGGACGGAATGTAGCATATTTTGATATCGAGGGTGAGAGCTACGGTAGGTGGTACGTAGAAGTTAGTTGCCATCGGAGTTGCGGAACCTTTTCCGCCACCTTTAGCAACAATTACCTAAGCATCCACCGTGTCGTCAATCTCGAGAGCGAAGATCCATGTTGAAGAATTTTTTATTGACTTGTGTACATTGAATTGTTGCACGCAATATTCTATCATCAAATTAGGAAAGATCGACCACTGCGTTAGGAGGCCAGAGCTTAATACGAGGCTCTCTCCGTTCTAGAAGATGTTATATACGTGAAGCTGTGAATAGCGGTGTCAATATTGCGCGACGCTATCATCAAATTTCAGAGCGCAAGACTAGATCAATGTTGGAACTGATCCTGATCGATTCAACTCGGGGATGAATGAGTATGGTTTGAAGATGCTGAAGCAGCCAGTGCTAACATGCATCGCTGCAGTACTGGCATCACCGCCGGTCATGCTGCCAGAACAACGGAGCCTCAGTGGCAGACCCATATGGGCTCAGAGGAGTCTGCTTGTCAACATAATTTTAAGAAAACGGGTGTCTGGGAGGGATCCATATCTCATTCCATTGGTGAGTGACGACATACAGTTCAATTGGTCAGGTGCAACTGCTAGGTGACCATGACGTCAAAAACGTACCTTCTTCCCCAAAGCGCTCGCAACTTTGAGCACGGCAGTCGGCAGCACTGGCTCACGTTCTAGACTCTTAATTTCATCATAAGAGAATGTGTTCAGCCACACACCGTCCCACAAGCTCAAATAAGCTCCTGGCGCACGGCAACCAAGCTTTGCCAACCCGTGCCAACTTTCTCGCTCTGTCCTAAAGCAGAACGAAACGACGTTGTGATGTGGCTTTCGCGCCATCACTTCCTCTTTCAGCACGCTGCAACGCGGTGCGACGCGCTCTGACTGGCCGTTCTTCCGGGAGCAGGGATAGAGACCGGTTTGCAGCTTCCCATGCTGTGTTTGATTGGAGGGTCTTTGCGTGAATGCAAGCAAAGGGCAAGAAATGATGTCGTTACGGTGCAATGACGATAAGGAGATCGCACGCGTTTCCTGGAGGTATATAGTGGTGAGTTGAATTCGTGCATAACCTCTCCCCAGCCACTTCACCCTTTGGTGTCAATAAAGGAGCGCGGTACCTAGCTGTTTGCTTGCTTCACCTCAAACGTCACCAACTCTCCGCACTCAGCCAACAATGGGCCTCTTCAGCAAAAGGGACACGGTTCCCGCCGCTGATACCACCACTGCTACCGGTACTCATCACCGCAAGGAGAAGGCCGGGATATTCGGCGGTAGGAACGAGCATGGTGGTACACGAGCTTGGAATTCGCGCCCTACCTTTGGTGCATGGATCAAGGCGACTGCTCTTGACATCCTCACCATGGCTATACTAGGTGCTATTGGACTAGGAGTCTACTTTGCTGATCCGGCCCCGAGCCGCAGCTTTCCCGGTAAGTACCTGTATCGTTGGCATCTCGTGGCACAATCACTAACATTGGTATAGTCACCTTTCGTGACGGCGAAATTGTCTACCCCGAATTTGCGTACCCTCTTCGCAACGAAATCATTCCCATCTGGGCAGCTGCTCTCATGGCCTTCTTCATTCCCTTCGCTGTCTTCCTCATCTGCCAGATCAGAGTGCGCTCGTTCTGGGACGTCAACAACGCAACAATCGGTTTACTGTACTCATTGATCGTCGCTGCCGTTTTTCAGGTATTCATTAAGTGGCTAATCGGAGGTAAGGATCTTCACCTCATTCGTGTGAAGCAGTACTTAACCTCATTCAGGTTTCCGTCCCCACTTCCTTGCTGTCTGCAAGCCCGTCATCCCAGATAACCTCGCCTACGACACCGAGACCTTCGAATCTGCTGGACCCACCGGAACCAACGTTGCCAATGGGTTCCGCTCCATTATGTTTGACCGCAGTATCTGCACGGGTGACAAGAAAGAAATCAACGACGCGCTCGAGTCCATGCCTTCAGGCCATACCACCGCTGCCTTTGCTGGCTTCGTCTTCCTGTACCTCTATCTCAACGCTAAGCTCAAGGTTTTTGCCAACTACCACCCCGCTATGTGGAAGCTCGCTGCCATATATGCACCTCTGCTGGGCGCCTGCCTGATCGGTGGCGCCCTGAGCATTGACGAGTTCCATAATTGGTACGACATCCTTGCCGGCGCAGTCATCGGCACTACCATGGCATTCAGCAGCTACCGCATGACATACGCCTCGGTGTGGGACTTCCGCTTTAACCATATTCCCGTACTGCGCCACGCTCCGTTCGTGTACGGTGCCGGACCCAGCTCATTCGACGGCTTCCACGACGCGGTGTGGACTCGCAAGGCAGGCTGGGGCTCGCATGACAGTAGCGCCTGGGCTGGCGCGCCATTTGATGCCACCGATGGCCCGAGGGGAACTATGGCGCCGCAGGCTGAAGGCCCAATGGGCACGGGCGCAGGTACTGCTGCAGGACACCATATGCAGAGGAAGCCTGTTGGAGGTAGCAGGTTCAGCCACGACCACGGTGTTCGTGGTGAGCAGATGGTCTAAGTGGTGTTTTTATGACCGTACATGGATTTACCGGCTAGGGTAATTGACCATGTGCGCGTGTTAACGCTTCTGCTTTGGCAATATATATGCTCAATGGCTTCCAGCTGGACATTGATGTCTTTTCACATGATCATGCAAGATACCACTATAGTTATTTAATTTTGTATAACTTTATATCGAAACGAGTTGGTTCCAAAACTGACGGGCCTCAAACCCATCTTGTTCGCATACACGTCGTTCGCAACTAGAGAAACACTGATCTTCATCCACATCCCGAGCGTCTGACCTATCGCAATGAGCTATTAGCGTCGCAGTACTTCTACAACACTGGTAGTATATAGTGAACAACCGTACACATCTTAGGTACATTTACGGACAATTCTTTTCGTTGTTTGCATTCAACGTCACCTCGTTGACTTTAAGCCTAAGCTCACGTCTAGTATGCGCCACTGAAGATATCAAAACGCACCCAGAAGATACGTATACCAAACACATTGTAGACTCCACAATATCAGCCTAGGCGTTTACATACTCAGGATCTACCCCAATGACGCAGAACAGACTAAACACGATTGAGACTTGCTTCACGTCTCCCCCAGGCTCATTCCTGGCCTCCAGTACTTATAGCGCTCAGCCTCCTCCCTCAGCGTATGCGGGTGATGCTCCGCCAGCGCCTGTTCGAAATGGCACATGCGCACCACGGGCTCAGCTAGCGGATTCTTCTCGTACTCTGCGATGGCCATCTCGACGGCGACCGCACACAATCCCTTGATATCTGCGCCGCTGCTGCCTTCGGTGCGCGCCGCAACAGCATTGAGATCCACATCCGCAGCGAGCGGGCGGCGCCGGGTGTGGATCTCGAGGATCTGTGCGCGGGCTTCCAGCGTCGGTAGTCCGATGTGGATGTGTGCATCAAACCTGCCCGTCCTAATCAAAGCAGAGTCGAGGATATCGGGTCTGTTTGTGGCACCGATGATGAAGACGTCTTTGAGGGCTTCGATGCCGTCCATTTCATTCAGTAGCGTCGCCACCACGTTCAGACCGCTGTCCTGCGTTTTCTCGCGCGACTTGCCGATGCTGTCGATTTCGTCGAAGAAGATGATGCATGGTTTGGCAGCGCGCGCGCGTCGGAAAACGTCTCGGATTGCGCGCTCCGACTCGCCTACGTACATTTTGATCAGCTCGGAGCCTTTCACGGCGAGGAAGTTCTGGTTTGATTCCGTGGCGACGGCTTGTGCGATGAGCGTTTTGGCACACCCAGGTGGACCGTACATGAGTACGCCTTTGCGGGATTGCGGGCCACCGAATTTGGTGTCAAGGTCAGGGTGCTAGATTGGTTAATTTCACTGCGCAGGGCATGGGTGAGGGATTACGGACCTTGAAAGGGCGGATGGTGATGGCCTCGAGGAGCGCACGTACGTGGTCCAGCCCAGCTATATCGTCCCATTTTACCTTTGGCACCTCGAGAATGCTGTCTTTGAGCACAGTGGGCTGAACCTGATCGATGACGACGTCGAAGTCTGCCTGCGTGACGAATTCGCCTGATTCTAAGATCTCGCCGAATGAGTCCATTTTTTCTTCGTCTAGACTGTCGTAGACGGTCTGTACGCGGTGGTTTCGCGCAAGGCCGCAAAGCTTGTGGACATCCCGGCCTACGAAACCATGTGTACGCTCTGCTACGGTGGTGAAGTTGATGGTTGAGATTGCTCTCGCAGGGCCGAGAATCTCGCGGAGCATGTCCTCGCGCTGCATGAGGTTTGGTGGAAATATCTCCAGCTCCGTCTTAAACCCTGACGTCGTGCGTAGACTAGAGTCGATGTCGTAGATGCTACGGGCGGCTGCAGCAACTACGACCTTGCTCCCCTCTAATTTTGCTATTTCGGAACGGAGTTTGCCAACAAGGGATTCGGCTTTTTCTAGAAACTTGTCCAGATTATCCATGAGCACCAGACTTGGCTGATTCTCTTTTGCTGCTTCGAAAGTGTCCTCAATAGCTGCGGCATGATTCTTCGGGTGTGAATCGAGACTCAATCGCTGAACATCCTTCCAAGGTGCTTCTGCAAGACGCTCGAGCAGCATACTCTTACCAGTTCCCTCAGGCCCATGCAACAAGAAAGTGGTGGGTCCAAGGAGATGCTGATCAGGGAGAGCAGATGCTGCATGCGAGAAGAAGAATAGGCTTTTATTGATAGTTGAAATGTGGTCTGACAGCCCTCCAATCCCTTCATGATCCAGCTTAAGGATCTTTGACGTCGGCTTGACTGGCTCCTCTGCGGAAGATGCGGCAGCTTGCCGAGGGGGAGGCTCGTCTGAGGCTATGACCTGAGTGCTGACTGGGTCAAAGTACAATGCACTCTTCTCGTCCGGCTGCGGATCGATGTTTTGCACTGTCAAACGTAGTTTAGACGTCTTGGATTGCTCTTTTGGGCCTTTTGCCTGGACCTGAAGACTGCACCCGGGCAGCACCAGTTCGACGTCGACCAGTGCATAGCGAACCCAGTAGAGCAGCTCGTCTGTGGAGGAAAACTTGGCACTCTGTTCAATGTCTTCCGGGTACGAGATGCATACACTCGCAAGAGGCTTCCACGAGTCACTGGCCTTCTCGATGAACACGGGATCGTTCAGTGACAGGCCACACTGCTCTTTCAGCAGATCTGTGACTTTTGCTATAGGCTTGTTTGCTGGGTTTGTTCCGGCGGCAGTCCAAGCAATTCCATAGCCCTTGAAGCCGGCCAGAGTCTTCAGTCTGATCAGATCGCCATTGGCCAGACGGTGGTTCCTCAGCTCTTTCGGCGAGAGGTGAACGCGAAAGGCAGCCTCAAGCGCGTTGCCGGGCGTGCTTGGCGGGTTGCGCTCCAGCGGTCGAAGAGTGAAGGCCACGCTCATGGGAACGAGTATGACAGTGCCGGGGCGATGCACACATGGCTGGTGTGGTAGAAAATGCGATGCTTGACTAAGCGGACGGCGCTAGGGCCCGATGCGGACAGGTGCTCGAAGCTTTTCTCGGAGTCGCGACGGAAGCGCGTGTCAACGTGCAATGTGACGAAGCGACCATTGATGCCAGCGCCGCGCCTTCCTCGACATCTGCGGCCATGTCGACGTCCCTGGAGCGCCCCGCAGGTCCGCCACGCCTCGGACAGGCCGCCCCGCCCGCCTGCGACCGCCGGCGATGACACGGCGGGCCCATCGCAGCCAGATGACCCGCCGACGCCGCCGCCAGACGACCCGCAGACGTCGCAGCCGGACGACACGCAGACTGGCACCTCTATGAGCCAGGCGCTGCGGCTGCAGAGGGCGCTGCGCGGGGAGGTTATTGCCAAGAGCTCGTCGCAGCCGGACGGCACGCAGACTGGCGCCCCAATGCGCCAGGCCCTGCGGATACAGAGGGTACCAAGCGGGGAGGCTGCCGCGCCGGCCTCATCACAGCCAGCCGCCCAGAAGAGCGCTGGAGGGAGGGGGGCGCCGCGTACAAGGACTGCCACGCAGAGCTCGTCGCCGTCAGTCGCCCGCCCCGGGCGGGACCTCCTCACGTTTCTGCGAGGGAGGACTGGGGAGACGGCCAAGCAGCCGGAGCGTGTGCAGGCCGCCATCGACAGGTACTGGTACAAGATTGACAAGCTGCAGAGGGTACTCACTCGCGACCCTGCCACTGGCACTGCCGCTGCCATCTTTCGGGAGGCGAGCGTGCTGATGTCCACCACCTCGCATTTGATCTGGATTGTCAGGCTGCAGCAGTCACTCATTCGCACCTCTGCCACTTCTTCAGCCGCTTCCTCTGCCGCTTCCTCTGCCGCTTCCTCTGCCGCCTCCTCTGCTACCAGACCAGCCACTTCCTCTACTACCAAACCTGCCACTTCCTCTGCTACTCAGCCTACCACTACCGCGACCCCTGCCGTCACTACCAAGGACGAGCATCTTCTACCGCTTGCGAAAACTGGGAGTGAGCAGCACACGCTGCCGGATAATACTGGGAGTAAGGACGAGCTTCGCGCACGACTGCAGAAACTCGAGGCGCAGTTGGCGCAGCTGCAGCAAAAGCTCAAGGCCAGCGAGGCGTCGGGGACGGAGCAGCTCCAGGCACCACATGCACCTCACGCACCCCACGGGGACGACGACGCTGCTGCTGCTGCCGCCGCCGCCGCCGCCTCCTCCGAGTCTGGCACCCTCGCGCAGCACATCCATGCACAGTCCAAGTCGATGAAGTCGTCCCAACACCCGCAACCCGCCCGCCCCGCGCCACCGCCCGCCTCGGACGAGCTCAGCGAGCAGTCGCTCCTCGACGAGCTTTTCCCCGAGGCCAGCAGTCGAGCGCCCGACCTCAGCAAGCGCCGCGCGCCCCCCAAGCTCGCTCTCCCGACTCCCGCGCACCCGTATATCCGCCCGGTGTCTATCGACTCCCGTACTGACCGCGAGAAGTCGGTCGACGCATTCCGCGCCCGCGGCGAGCAGACGACGGTGCTGCAGCTGGCTAACTGCAGCACCGCCCTGACCGAGGCCGACTTCCGCCGCCTGATCCCGCGCGGACTGCACCTGGACACGTGGTCGCGCGAAGGCGAGTTCTACAAGATCATCCCCGGCCGCGACCCGCTCTCGCTCGCGCGCCTGCCCTTCTACTTCCTGCTGTTCCACACGCCCGCCTCGGCCCTGGCCTACCAAAAGAACGTCGCGAGACTGAGCAAGCTGAGCGCCCTCCATGCGCCGGGCAGCATCCACTCGCCCATTGCACCACCCAGGGGGTACCTCGAGAACAGCGAGGACATACACGCCTTGACCTCATCGTTCGTGCTGCAACCGCAGGGCCACCCACTCGGGCTACACATGTTGATGCAGCCGTACAACCGCCCTCTGCGCGCCCTCTTCCAAGCTGGGGGGTATGCGCCGATCGTCCCTGATGTCGATGCTACAGGCAAGAAGATCCACCGCGTGCTGCTGCACATTGATGGGTACGAGCCGAGCCACTGGGACCTGTGGCAGATCCTCAGTCGGCACGCACACGCTCGGGGCATCATGTGGCCGTTCAGAAACGACCATGCGGGTGCCCTGCGCCGCTTGCGCGACTGCATCAACTTGAAGACTGTGTCCAAGACCAGGTTCGAAGCGGTTTCGTCAATGAATCCGCGAGCTGCCAATCGCGCGAGCGAGACGGGAGGGGTCGATTACGAAGACGTTCAAATCTCGTCCTTTCTCGGTACGTCGACAGCCAGCTCCCACGACGGCCATGACGAAACAGAGGCCCTGGAGCCTCAGGAAGTCAGCCAGCTGGTCATGAACCGAGTGTACAACCGGTGGATGGTCGAGTTGGATGACGAGGACGCAGCGAGACGGTTTGCTGGGCTGTGGCACCGCGTTGTGCTGCCTGCCACCAAGGACAGGAAGGGTGCGTGGAAGGAGGCCGAGGAGGAGCGATGGGTGGAGGCTGAATATCTGTGGTAGCCGCTGGACATTGTATCATATGTAGCATAGGGCTGATAGACTTGTTGGAGCATGTTGACAAGATGTCGATTGTGGTGTTGTGGCAATGGCCGGGTATCATTGTATCGTCGTCTCTGTTGCAGGCGCACACGCACACACTACTTGACCCCCCCACCCGTGATGAAGGCCGGGCTCCAATACTCGTTCTCGCCGGCCTGGGTGTCGACCCACACCAGACTGTCGGCCATGAGATCCTCGACCACGGCCACGGCGCGCGGGCGTCCCCAGGCCAGGTTCAGCTGCAGCATGCTCACCGTCACATAGCCCATGACCTGCACGGCCTCGAGCACGGTGCTCTGATCGGTATTCAGCTCCTTGGGCACGCTGCGTATCAGGCTGCGATGTCCAATGTGGACAATCTGGAAGCAGCTGCCCAGCGGCTCGAGGGCCTTGACGGCCTGGGCCACGTCGTCGTCGGACACGTCCATGGCCGAGCCGATGGCGCGGCCGCGACTGACATGCGTCTTCAGGTCGGACAGCGAGAGCAGGCCGCCGTTCTCGCTGCGGGTGGCGCGGCAGATGCCGACAATGGTCACGCCCAGGTTGAAGTAGAAGTCGTGGACGCTGCCGCCCAGCAGCGAGGCCCAGATGCTCTCGCCGGGCTTCGCGGGCTTCGCGCCGGGCAGGGCCTTGGACGGGCCGCCGGCCTTGTGGTACGACGAGGCGAGGAAGTCGATGTTGAGGGCGGTGCACATGCGCGCGAACTCGGCGCGGAAGGCCGGGTTGGCGCGGATGTCTTTGCTGTGCGTGAGGGCGAAGTTGTGCACCAGCGACTGGAACACGGCCAGCTGCGTCTCGAGCGACTGCGCGTTGCGCGAGCGCAGCGTCGCCCCGTGCGACGTGTAGTGGTGCGTCTGCAGCCGCGTCGACGACAGCGACGACAGCCCGGGCGTGCGGCGGCGGTCCATGGCGGGCAGCAGCAGAGCGTGTGTCGAGTGCGAGAGGGCGACCGTGGGCGTGGGCGTGGGCGTGGGCGTGGATGACGCGGGGTCGCCGCGGCCACAGCGAGCCTCGCCGCACCCTGCAGGCCGCGGTCCTGTTCCGCGGCGCTGTGCACCTCGCAGCCACTGTGCCTCTCGCAGCCACTGTGCCTCCCCCGGTGCTGTCCTGCCTGTCCCGTGATTGACTGTCCGTCCCTGTGATTGACGGTCCTGTCGGGCCCGCCCGCAGCCACTGCGATTGACTGTCCCTGTGATTGTCCAGGCACAGCCCGCAGCTCGCCCACCAGCCGCGCTGATCTCGTCTGGACACACCCAGCGTCACCGCAGTCGCCAGCATGCTGAAACCCCCATCGCCAGCGCGATGAGAACCTGCTCCGAGCAGCTGCTCCGAGCGCCAGCACGGCCTTCCTGCCTGCCTGCCCGCCCGCTTGCCCGCCTGCCCGCCTTCACGTATCATCTGCGTCGGCGAAACCATCGGCGGGCTCTCCCGTCCACCAGATGCCCACAGCTCGTCAACGCTATCCGTTGCCCTGGCTCCACCACATGGCATTCTCTCAACCTGCAGACGCCTTGATAAACCTTGCCCGACTCCTCCCCCAACCCGTCCATCGCCAGCCTTCCCTTCACCCAATGTACATGCCCCGTTTTTTCGCAATGACGACCTAGCCCGCCGCACGTGTCCGCGCGCCACTTCCGTTTCTGGAACCTACCATCTGCTATGATACATGTAAACACCCGACTGTACAACATCCACCGCCTCCACCATTCTGCGGCACACGGGCTTTGAGGAGTTGTTCCACGGCTCCCAGATGGCCGCCTCCATCAACAGCTGCGTGCTTCTTCTGGATCTCCCCGAAAAAGCACTTGCCGGCATTGACCTACTATCGTTTACAACCTCGCCGAGGTTCAGAGGCGTCAAAAATTTGCCCCCCGGCTTGCACTTCATCTTCGCAGCCAGTGATAACGCCTTGTCGGTACGCCACGGAGCATGGTTCTACGTGTCACCTGGCACCGGCTCACCACAGGTTTTTGTCAAGAGATGGGATGGCCGTACTGAGGATCTGGTCGCCGAAACGTCGCAGACGGAGGTGCTGAGAGAGAAAGCAAACCTGGGGAGTATATGGAAAGACGGCCTGACCCCGTACCGCCAGACCGTGCAAGAGGGAGGCTCCGGCGCAGAAGGCGACTTCCAGGAAGAATCGCAGGACTGGGACGACCTCACGTCGAGAATCACACAAACCTTGTTGTCGCGCATATGCGGCCTCCATCCCGATCATTGGAGCTTAACATCTGCCTCGGCTGGTCTGATGGATCTGGAGTCCATCCCAGGGCTGGAGTCAAGCAGCTCAACAATACACCCAGAGAAAGAACTCAACTTTCTACCCATCGACTTGAGGCGGACGTGGAGAGTCGGAGCGACCGGGCGCGAACGGACCGAAGCTGCGCAAGATAGATCTTGGTATCTAGGAGATCTGATTGACAACCACAGCCAAGCAGGCGACAAGCGCCGACGAGAGTTTGAAGTGCTTGGGGAGCTGCAGTTTGCCTTCCTAATGGTTCTTACGCTAAACAACAACTCCTGTCTGGAGCAATGGAAGAGGATCTTGGCACTGCTGTTTACCTGCCGTCAAGCGATCAAAGAGCGGTCTCAGCTGTTCCTCGAACTGCTGCAGACTTTGCGCTTCCAGTTAAACCATTGCGCTGATATGGATGGTTTCTTCGACATGAATGAGGCCGGAGGGGGGTTTTTGCATCCTCTGCTCAAAAAATTTCGAAGCAATCTTGACGAATTTGACGGGAAATGGAAGTCAGACATGATGGATGAACTGGACGAGCTCGAGGATCATCTGCAGAAACAGTTTGGTTGGGAGCGCGGCGATTCTTTTGTCAAACGCGGAATGCTGGATCTCGAGGACGGCGAGCGCGTTGAGATGGACGTCAACGATGCCGACGAGGACGACGAGTCTGGCGACTACGCTCCGACAGTCGTCGAACTGACGCCAGCCCAGCTTAAGGAGCTGAACGGAGGCGATGTCGGCTACAAGACGAACAAGGCCGAGGAATCGGAGGAAGAGGCTGACCTCGACGACATGGATGAGCGGTACTGACTCCACACCGGTGAGCAAGACAGGACTCTTACACGAGCGCCACTTCCAGTCGCTCGCACTATGTTCTTGTCGATCAATACAAAACGCACATTCACCGCAGTATTACCCACCTACAGTACATTGAGCCTGTCATGCCCTGTCGCAAAAATAGCTGGCGCGTGCTGCTGCAGCGGCGCTAACACGCATGTAAACTTATGCTGCAGATCATCATGGTCAGCACAGCCTTGCAATGGCAAAGCCACAACAAATCCATGCGTGATCGCTGAGCGAGCTCAATCGCTGCAGTCATCTCTCACTCTCCTCTTTTCACACCATAATGCATGCACAAAACCTGTCAAAAATGTGGACTTGCACAGACGATGTCGAGTTGTGAGGCGCCACCAATTTCCTCCTGCAGCCTAGTCTCTACCGTTTTGGGGGCCGAACTCGCGAGGCTCGCCTTCCCCTGCACAGCCGTCTCTAAATCTCGACGTTACCGGTAAGCCTCTGGCCTGAAGCGTGATGCTCGGTAACGTGGGGGACTCAGCTGCAGCATATTGGCCAATGAGAAGCGCTCATGTTTTACACGTCGTCGACCATGAATCCACTTTCGCTGCGCTTCAGCCTGATCGCCGCCGAGATGAGGGCTGTGCTGCCGCAGTTCGACGCCAGGTGATGGAACCGGCCAGGGGCAAGCGCGGTACGCCTTGACGCTGAGATGACTGATAATATGAAGGTCACCAGGAAATTTGGGCGTCCAAGTTCTCCAGCTCTGATCACTGTTTTGTGTCTACACAACATTCCAATCCTGTTCTGGGCAATCCACACCTCGATTTCCACCCAACGCCTTCTCACAATACAACAACCGTCAAGATGGAGAAGCAAGGTGGTGAGTACACTCCGTATAGCTCTGAAGATACAAGCAACCCGCAATATTACTAGACGAATTCGACGCAGCTTTGAGAAGCTCACCACTCACGCGTCAGCACATTTCGTTTCTCAGCACAAATACTGATTTCACCAGTTCCCATGCAGCAATACCCCCAATCGCCCGACGTGACCGGCGCAACACAGCCGCCCGTCTACCACCAGGACCCCGCTGCCGCCCAATATGAACAACAACAGTACCTGCAGCAGCAGCAGCAACAGCAACAACAGCAATATGCACAGCAATACCCGCAGCAGCCTCAGAGTCCGCCTCCGCAGAACGCGCAGCCTCATATCTCGCACGAACAGCAGCAGAAAGCCTACTCGCAGCCGCAGCAACCTGGCATGCCGCCGCAGCAGGCCTCGGGACCGGTGTACCAGAACGCCACACCCATTGCGAGTCTCGGACGCGGCCCTGCCCCCGCAGATTGCCCTGCGTGCGGACAGAGGAGCATGACAAACTGCGCCTTCGAGACCGGAAACACGACCCAGTAAGTCACTCGCGGCGCACACAGCACGATGCCAAAACGCAGTATCGCAGACACTAACGCATATTTAGTGCCTGGGGCTTCGGTCTCTGCTGTCTCTGTTGTCTGGGCTGCATCCCATACGTTATGAACAGCCTCAAGGACGTCACCCACAAGTGCGGACGCTGTGGAGTCCTTTTGGCTACATGGCACCGCAGCGGCACGACCGAAGTGCACATCCACTCCTAAGCCACTTCGCAGTCACGATATGCACTCACAGCATCATCCGTAGAGTCGAGGCGTCGACATGATACCCAGGGAAAGGAGAGTGGCAAGCAATGGCGTTGGCGATGTCATGCGTAGCAGATCTGATTACATTCCGTATACCCTCAATTGATTCTTTGTTTGTTTTCAAATCCGCTGAAGCTTCTGGTAACCGGAGGTGTCACGTGAGACCATGGCACGCCCGGCGACGAGCAGTGTTTATTTGCCGGATGCGTGTCCCTTTGCGTCATGGCATGCGGGACGATGTCTCTCAAGTTTCAGGAAAAACGGCGGATAAGGCCCCAAGTTTACCTACTTTGCAGAATACTCAACTTGTAGCTATCGTAATACCTAAAGCTAGAATGTAGTCAAGTGGTACCTATATTGTAGGTAATCAAGTGTCCTATAGAGTTTTCTAATGTTTTCCCTACCTTGCTGTCGTGTGGTGCACTTGGCTTATATTCTCGGTTCACCGTTTATTCTGCAACGTGAGAGGATGTCGAGACGTTCCAAGAGGAGCCATGGAAGTCAGGCTTTGTGATAATCAGGCGCGTTGGCGTCTGTTGAAGACGATGTGCAACTTGCTATCTGGTTATGCAGCTCAAAGTGCGATTGGAAAAATCGCTTGCTTGAAAGCGAAGGGGGAATGTTAACCCGCGGTTCAACGACCCAGGTATGTTATTGTGTGAATTAATCAGATAGCCGTAACGCCGCCTCTAAACCGTCAGCTCACGTCTGCAAAGTACAATGAATAAGAACGCTGCTCAAAACGGAAACGCCCCAACACCCTCCCCGCTCCACTTACACACCTACAAGCCCCTCATATGCTCCAGCCGCGCAACCACTTGTTCGCCGAACGCCCTCTGCAACTCTGCTCCATCCCCATCATCAGTCAAACCAAACGCCTCCGGCCCGTCCAAACACGTCCTGATGATTCTCTCGACGGTGTCTCCCGAAAAACTCCGCACATCCCTGAGCAACCCCGGATCGGTCGTCAGCAGCCTCTCGCGCACCTGGTACGCATCCTTGGGCTTAGCACGTTTGAGATCGATGTCCAGTATTTGTGCAAGCGGTTTCCAGCGCGCGATTTCCAGCAGCAGCGTGCCGAGCGCGTACAGGTCGTGCATCTTGCGGAAGCCACCCTTGTTGCCCTGGCGCTGGACGAATGGATGGCGGTACAGATCGGCGGCGAGGTCGTCGGCGGGGCGCTCGGTCATGTCGTCGCGACCAGCGGGGCGCGAGTAGTCGAAGCCGGATATGTAGGGATCGGCATAGTTGATGGTGGCGGAGTTGGGGTGGTTAAAGAAGAGGATATTAGCGGACCGCAAGCCCTTATGCAGCCAATCGACGGCGTGCAAACGCTCCATGGTCTCAGCAAGCAACCGCATGAGTAGAATGCGATCGGTGAGCGAGGGGATGGTGACGCTAGTGTCGGTGAGTAGGGCGTGGAGAGATACGGGGGGTTCGGTGGATGCGCGTCTGGGTTTTTTGAAGACGAGGCCAAAGCGGCTGTATTCTTCGTCTTTGAAGTAACCGAGGCAGTGAGGCGCGCGAAACTGGATAGAGTCTGCACTTTCGTCGGCGCTGCTGTTCGACTTGAGCAGTGCTGCAAGCTTCTTCACGCGCTCTTCGATCTTTGGGTCGAGACCGCCATTGTGACTGAGAGTCGACGGTTCTGCAACCTTCCATTCAATCCACACAGACGTGCCGTTGTAGGATGCTTCTGTGCGGTTAGAGTCGTCATCGTCGTCTTGCAGTTCACCACCGTCCTTGGCGCGTATGTCGCGGATGGAAAGCTGTGTCTCGCGAATGGCACTGGCCCGGGCAGGTTCAGGCAATCGAAGAGTCTCAGCAAACTCGTAGTCGATCACGGTCGAGCCTTCAATCGCCTGGTGCAGAGCTTTCGATTGCGCAAGCGCACCAAGAGGCTCTATCCGGCGATGGTGAGGGATGAGCTGGCTGTCGAGATCGTCATAATCCGATTCTTCCAAATATGTAATCCTGTTCTGACGACGTGAAGACGAGAGTAGCTGAGACTGGATGATCTGAGTAAATTGCTCGAACTTCTGGTTCATGACCAGAATCTGATAGTCGGTGCGCTTATGCATGCTGATCAAAGTTTCCATCTGGCCTTGTCCAAGGGCTTCGAGCATCTTGTTGTTAAGATCAGCCAGCTTCTCGATCAGTTCCTCCATCTTGTCTTTGTGGATGGTGGCCCATTGCAGGCGTCTGGGCACTTCTGCCATACCCTCTTGGAATCTTTTCAAAAAAAGCAATGCTTTTTTGACTATCTCCTCGTTCTCGATAGGTGGAAATTGGACAGCGTTTCCGAGTGTCGGCGGCCCGTTACTGTTCGACGTCAAATGGCCGCTCTCCAGTAACGCGGCTGCCGGCGACGCTTCGTGCTGTATTGCTGTCTTGGTCCGGGACGTCATGGCAAGCTTCCGGTAGCCTTTCTTGTCTTCGAGTTTGCGAAACTTGTTTAGCAGGTCCCGTTGCTGCTCCATGACATCGAGAACAAGCATCTTGGACATGTGATTGAAGGTCAAACTTTCATCCGTATAATCAAGTTTGACGAGCTTCGCCCAGTTGATCAGGCGGTTCTCCTCCAGCTTGAACTTGACGAGCAGGGCATAGCAGTCGCTGTGAGCATGGCAGGCATCGGCAATGAAATTGTAGCCTTTTTGGTTGTCAGCAAAAGCTCGAGTTGTCGCTTACTGTACGCACCATCTACACATCCTGCAAACATCTGGAAGAGCAGAGAAAAGGCACCGATGCCCATGCTGGCTGGGTCCATGATTGCGTTGCGTCGGAAAGTCCGAGACAGGATATTGCGGTGCGACGAAGCTCAGGACAAGATGTGGGAAGCCTGGAGGGTCACGGACAGTGCAAATGCAGACAGGTGCGGTGCGGCCCAGCAGGCGACGGTATGCATACTTAACCGCCTGGGATTGCACGAGGCTGGCCCATGGCACCTCCGGCCATGCACGCGGTCTGCATCATCGACCGACTCAGCCCCATGGGCTGAAAGCCTCAGGCCAATGGCTGGCAGCAAGGTGGAGTCCGGTCAAGGCCATGGAGCGATAGGCAGGCGGTCGCTGGGAAGCGGTGTTGGAGAAACAGCCTAAGCTGCGCCAGGATTTGGGTGTCCATGCTTGACGCAGAGTTCGAGGAGGGGAGCGGAGGGGAGGTGCAAGTGCAAGGACGCCTCGAGTCTGCCGCCCTGCGGCCCGCTGTGGCGCGCACTGCGCCACATGCGCGAACTGCTGGACCCTGTCACGCGTCGAGCGGCCCCTCAACCACACTTCGCGGCGTCGCGCTGCCCACGTCCCCCGCCAGCCGCCGGTAATGGTCCTCGAGATCCTGGTCCCATGGCGCAGCCCCGACGACGACTTCGAGCCCACGCCGCTCCCTGCGCTCCTCTTCCGCGCGCCCGTGAAGCTGCTCCTCCACCAGCTGCACCACCTGCTCACCAGCCTGCGTTCCACGCCGACGCCGTCGCAGCCGCCAGTGCGCGTCGTGTGCATATCAGACACGCACAACCACCTGGTTGACCATGTGCCCGACGGCGACATCCTCATCCACGCCGGAGACATGACCAACGCCGGGAGCGTCGCCGAAATCCAGGCGCAGATCAATTGGCTCGCGTCCCTCCCACACAAGGAGATCATCGTCATCAGCGGGAACCACGACACGTACCTGGACCCGCGCACGCGGCCCTCGCTGGCGCCCGCACAGCGCGAAGGCAGCCTGGACTGGGGCCGCGTGCACTACCTCCAGCACAAACTGCTGACGCTGACGCTCACACCACAGCCGCCCGCCTCGGACTCGCGCACGCCGCTGCTCAGAGACGGCAGTCAGCGGAAACTGCGAGTCTACGGCGCGCCGCAGATCCCGGCCTGTGGGCCCATGAGCGTGCATGCGTTCCAGTATGCGCGCGGCAGCGACGCGTGGAGCGAGACGGTGCCGGAGGATGTCGACATCCTGGTCACGCATGCGCCGCCGAAGTTCCACCTGGATCTCGCCATGCCTCGAGGACTGGGCTGCGAGTATCTGCTGAAGGAGGTGCAGCGCGTGAAGCCCGTGCTGCACGTCTTTGGACATGTGCACTGGGGCGCCGGTACAGAGGTGGTGCACTGGGATCGCGCGCACGAGGCGTATGTGCAGGGCATGGAGACGGTGTCGAGCCGCACGAGGGGCGTGCTGAATCCGGGGCTGTGGTGGAATGTCGTGCGGGTGCTGTACAGAGGAGTGCGGGAGCTGCTGTGGGATAGAGTTTGGGGCGGGCAGAGCGTGCACACGGTGCTGGTGAACGCGGCACAGATAAAAGGCAATACGGGCCGGCTAGGCAACACGGTGCAAGTCGTCGACATATAGCACAACTTACATTTCACAGCCCCGGCATCATGTAGTAGTACTCGTAATGGTAATGCATCAAACACAACAGCACTTCATTGTCAGGAATCTTTTCGAACAAGAAAGGATTCTGTTGCTTTACCCCGACTACGACCATATCTCTACGGAAAAGCCAAGTTCAACATGGAGACCAGGCATTTGCCGTTCCCCGCGACTTTGTTGTGATTGAGGTCATGAAACATGAACCGTAAATCGTGCTGCCATTGCATATACCAGTAGCTGAGTAATGCCATGCCATGCTCCACCAAGCCAAACACATGCTGCGCGCACGTGCTCAGAGACGGCGACCACGGCGACCACCCTTCCTGCGTGTGGAGTCGGAAGGTGTGGGGGTGACGTCCTCGATGCGTCCAATGCGCATGCCGGCACGGGCGAGCGCACGGAGAGCGGACTGGGCACCGGGGCCGGGGGTCTTGGTGCCGTTACCACCGGTGGCACGGATCTTGACGTGCAGGGCGGAGATGCCGAGCTCCTTGCAGCGGGCGGCTGGTGCTCGTTAGTTGCGGCTCCTCGCAGTTGCTCGTGTGTACGCACCGACGTCCTGGGCAGCCAACATGGCGGCGTAGGGAGAGGACTCGTCACGGTCGGCCTTGACCTTCATGCCACCGGTGACACGCGAGATGGTTTCGCGGCCAGACAGATCGGTGATGTGGACGAAGGTGTCGTTGAACGAGGCGAAGATGCGGGCAACGCCGAAGACGAGCTCGCCCTCACGGACCTGGGGACCCAGCTGTTGCAGCGTCAGTACCGGCCGTCAATTGCGCAGCGCGTGTGCTGCGGGGTCTTGTCGCACCTGGATGTTCTCCTGCGCACCGCGCTCGACCTTCTTCTTGGGAGGCATGTTGACTGTGAATTAGTGACTGACTGACGTTCGTGGGAGTCCGGCAGTCGTCGTCGAACTTTTGCAATTATTGAGGTGGGCCCCACGGGCTAAGCGAGTGCTGCTTAGTCATGCCTCTAGCGCGGTAGAAAAGTGCTCTCCTCGCGCGCCGCACCACCGCCGTCCTTCCACCATGGGCTGAACACCGCGTTCGACTCACGCACTGCAGTGCACCGCAATCACCATGGACCATGGCAAGAGCGTTGGCATCATCGGCATGGGCGACATGGGCAAGATGTACGCCCGCCGCCTGAGCGCCGCCGGATGGAAGTGAGTGCGCGGCACGGGTCCTGCAGCTCTGCACCTGGTAAGTCGGCGCCTGTTCTTCTCTCCCTCCCCTCTTATGATGACTGTGAGTGCATTTGGCTCGAGCGTGGCGCACGGCTACGCTGTCACCGTCTTGGTTGGCAGCAATTAGACGTGTTGCCGCCACTGATGTGAATTCTCGCTACCTTAACTTATACAACTCTGATCCCGACAACTTCTTCGCACTGTTCAAAGACACGCTCTCTGGACCCTGCTAACGAATGCCCACAGACTAGCCAAGACTGACGGCCGCGAAGGGTACACGCTTGCGACGTCCCGGAGAAGTATGACGCACTGGCGGACGAGTTCAAGGATCTTGTAGGATAGTCTATGTACATCGTCAATAGAAGCATGCTGAGACTGCTCCAGCCCAAAGTTGAGATCATGCGAAGCGGTCACTTTGTTTCCCGGTGCAGCGACTACATCATCTACAGTGTCGAGGCGAAGAACATCGACGCCGTGGTGAAGGCGTTTGGGCCGTGTATGCCGTTTTCACCCTCGCAAGTGATTTGCCTGACTACGTGAACAGCCACCAAAGTCGGCGCCATCGTTGGCGGCCAGACCTCCTGCAAAGCTCCAGAGATTGCTGCCTTTGAGAAGCACCTCCCCGCCGATGTCAGCATCGTATCGTGCCACTCCCTTCACGGGCCTGGCGTCGACCCGAAGGGCCAACCACTGGTTCTGATTAAGCACCGCGCGTCCGATGCAGACTTTGCATTCGTCGAGACGGTCCTCTCATGCCTGCAGTCCAAGCACGTCTACCTCACACGCGAGCAACACGACCGCATCACTGCCGACACGCAAGCCGTCACGCACGCCGCCTTCCTCAGTATGGGCGCTGCATGGTCCGCCAACAACCAATTCCCCTGGGAAACACCGCGCTACATCGGCGGCATCGAGAATGTCAAGATTAACATCACACTTCGCATCTACGCGAACAAGTGGCACGTCTACGCCGGTCTTGCAATCCTGAATCCGGACGCCCAGAAGCAAATCAAGCAGTACGCTGAGTCGGTGACGGAGCTGTTCAAGCTCATGCTCGCTGGCAATCGGGAAGAGCTGTCACGCCGCGTGTACACCGCAAGAGAAGCCGTGTTCGGCGGCGCGCACGAGAAGAAGGAAGGGCAGGAGCTGCTGCTGCGAGACGATCTCCTGGATCGTTTTAGCCTGGGCGAGATGCCAGAACGCAAGTTGAAGAACAACCACCTCAGTCTGCTAGCTATTGTGGATTGCTGGTCCAAGCTGGGGATCGTGCCGTACGACCACATGATCTGCTCCACGCCTGTAGGTCTCCTTCGTCACTAACGTGTTGAACTGACTAGGCTTAACTAACGCAAGCAGCTCTTCCGCATGTGGCTCGGCATCTCCGAGTCTCTCTTCCGCAACCCAGCACTCCTCGAAGAGGCAATCGACACTGCCATCAACGACAACACGTTCCGCGCCGATGATCTCGAGTTCACATTCGCTGCGCGTGATTGGAGCCAGCGAGTCAGCCTGGGCCACTTCGATGCGTACAGGGAGAAGTTCGAAGGCATTCAGAAGTACTTCGAGCCTCGGTTCCCGGAGGCTACGAAGATGGGTAACGAGATGATTAGGGCAATTTTGGAAAAGACTAAGGATTCGTAAGGGTGATGGGCGGTAGAGTGCCTCTAAGTAACATCAACGAATCTTGTACAACTCGATCCTGAACCTCCCAGCCGCAGAACAGGACAAACACTCTGCTCCGTCGTACTTTGAGATGGGTTTCCTGCTCGCACATAACCCCTCAAATTGTTCGGCACAACGATGGGCTGTGCAAAGTCTACTTCTGTGGTAGTATTGTGATCATATTCCGGAGAAGATCCGCAACATAAGGCTGCCGTGTTACAAGCGAGATAATGGTTCCACATATCCCAACAGGCTAAGGCGACTCCACCCACCCCTGAGGTCTGCCAAACAACAACTGACAACACAGGTGATGGCTTACAAGCTTAGATATTATTTCAGCTACTGTGCAGATTATTCATCAAACGAAAACGGGGATGTGGCGCAGCGGTAGCGCGTCCGCTTTGCATGATTTCACATCAGAATTGCGGAAGGTCCAGGTTTCGATCACCTGCTTCTCCAGTTTTTTTGGCTTTTTTTTGTTCCAGACTCCAAGGCAGCGAGCGCAATGAGCGCAATGAGCGCACCCGCTTTGCATGCGTTCAGTGCAGTATCGAGTTTTGATTCTCCGCAACTCCATCTCTTTGCCCGAGAGGCACCTTTTTGCTTTCCCCAATACCTTACACAAGAAGGGCGGTGGCAGGACGAAGGTGTCTACTTTGTGTTATCGTGAAGAGGGTGAGCTGTGGGGCAGTCCAAGAACAATAGCTAGCTGAGTATTTTGATGTGCGTGCTCTTTTGGTTCCCTCAGTGCTCGGTACCGTGAACCACCAGCTTGCTTATAGCAGGTTGAAGACTGAGGATTATTGGACAGCTAAGACATAGTCTTGAACGTTTCCACCATCTCGAATTTGTGTTGTATTCAAAAGCCATACCTTTTCGGGATCGAATCACTTTTGTCAACTCAGGCAGTATAGTGGTCTTCCGAAAAGCGTGCAAGCAAAGGTTAATTTCATCATGAAGCCGAGTTTGAGATCAGTACTTTACGCATTTCGCCTGGCGTGTGCTTCACTTGGAATTGTATCGATACAGCGAGAAAGTTGGCCGGAAAACCTCAGCCTGCATTTACACGAGCGCAAGGTGTGCACTGTTGAAGAAGATTATAGTCCTCTGTGACTTCAAGAGATTACTGAAAGCCCCCAGAGATCTATATTGACTCATTATATCCATCTCGGCGTACTCCAAATCGTAGCTGTTTCTCACACGTGGAAACATCGATTTTGGCGTTGATAAGCGTACATGTAACACACTGCATCACCCCATAATATCCCCGCCGAACCCAACAGGCCTACGGACCTTCTTCCCCTCAGCATACGGCAGTATCGCCATAGCCTTGTACAGTTTTCCCATACCGTTCGGCCCGCGATCAATAAGCCTCTTCCACCCAATCTCCAGCCTCTTCCTCGTCTCCTCGTCTTTCGCATGCTTAAGCAGCCGCTCAGCGCGTTCCTTGATGCCCATGGTAGACAAGAAGAAGGACTGGTCGACGGGACCGTGGACCTCGACCCCATCCGATGCGTCAAGAGCCGCCTCAGCGAGTGCAAGGAAGTCTACGTCTGCGCTCAGATCCACATGGCCTGGTGCAATAAAAGGCGAGACCGCTGTATGCTGCCGGATACCGCGCAGCGTGTTCGCAGGAATTGTGTCCGTAGTCCCGTAATCTAGGATCAATGCTGCGCCGCTCGGTGCAGCTTTTTTAAACGGCGCGTCCTGGGATGAAACCGGTTTGACGGGCGTCTTGCCTGGCTGGGGTGGCCGAGACGCAGCGCCCTCACTCCCGCCAATGCGAGCGGCGAAGTCGGCGATGTAGGACAGCGATTCAGGGCTGATTTCGATGATAGCGTCGACGGACTTTTCCAGCTTCTTGTACCGGCCGCTCATCTTGGGAAGATAAAGCGAGTGCGGTGTCGGGGACTTGGAAACGGTCATCTCGAAGTCGGGCTTCTCTTCCCCAGGCTTGAGGGTGGTTGTGGACGCGTAGGGATTGGTGGGCGAGACGACAAGTTCGTGCCACTGGTTTCCTGGCGCCATGGGACCATGTTTTGGGGTGATAGGTCCGGTCGGTGTCATAATTGTAGAAGACTTCGGGATCGAGGACTGGGCAACGTTCTGGAAGACGTGGATGGGCAGGGCATCGAAGAATTCGTGAGCTAAGATGAAAGGTGTGCTTGTCTCTCCTGTATAGTCTTAGTATTTGCAATGCTTGTAAGGGAAGACTGTATACACCTTTTGGCACAACCCGAATGTCTTCGCACCACTGAATGTCGCAATCAGGGAAGTACTTGCACTTTGCCTTCCACCCGACCTCGCTCTTCTCCAGCTCTTCTGTCCCTGCTAATCGCAGGGCCTGTTGCTTCTGTAGATGCGGACTCGCCTCAATAAGATAGATTGTCTCAATAGCGCTGGTCATTCTCTTAAAGCTCGATAGCGTCCGCAGCACATCATCCATCAGCGTGCCTCTGCCGGGTCCAACCTCGATAATCTGCACCCTCTCTTTGCGGCCCTGCGCGAGCCATTCCGCGTAAAGCCATATCCCAATCAACTCGCCAAAGACCTGGCTAATCTCCGGCGAGGTTACGAAGTCGCCTTTGGTGCCAAACTGGTCTTCGCCTGCGGTGGGTGTGCGTGTGTAGTAACCGCCCAACTCGGACGTCAGGCATTGGCGCATGTATGCTGCGACAGAGATGGGCCCTGTTGTTGTGATGGCTTGGCCGAGGAATTGTGCGAGTGGCGTCGACCATTTTCGCTCGCCCTCTTTGGGCGCCGCAGGCGACGCTGTTGGTGTTGGGGGACTCGATGGCGCCGAGGTCGAGGACAGGCGAAGGCCGTGGCATGCAGACCAGGAGGTGAGCAATTGTGGCCGCGCGCGACTACATTGTTTCGCTGTGCGGAACAGACTTCGAGGATAGGCTCTCATGACGGTTGCTGGAGGAGAAGGTCCATGACGTTTGCGCGTTCCGACTGGGAAAATGTTGTCGGAACGCGAAGAAGCTCTGGCCAGGACACACGCATGAAAGCGCTGACACGTGCCTCTTCCTTCACACCGCGACATACACAGCCGGGCTTGAGAACTGCCCGGATATTGCATTTTATCGCCGAAAGCTCAATACGGAACCTCATTTGCACGATGGCGTCACGATGGGCAGACGATGAGGCCGACAAAGCAGAAGCCCTCCGACGCAAGCAAGAAAAGGAAGAGAAGAAGCGCGCGAAGCTCCAAAAACAACAACAAGCAGAAGAGTCCGCACAAGCAGCAAGAGATGCGAAAGAGCGTGACTTACGGCCAGCAAAGCGTCGACGACTCTCCAACGGTGAAGATGTCGGCACTGAGTCTATCATCTCGGCTTCAAAGGACTCGGAGAAAGAGCGCAAATTGCTGAGATTCGAGGGAGGAGGGTGGGCTCCGTGCCGTCACCGCTCAAACTTCGAGACTCTCAATCACATCGAAGAGGGGAGCTATGGATGGGTGTCGCGAGCCAAGGATGTCACAACATCGCAAATCGTAGCGTTGAAGAAGGTCAAGATGGACTACAGCCAAGACGGTTTTCCCATCACTGCTTTGCGCGAAATCGCCATTCTTCAAAAAGCTCGACACCCAAACATTGTTGATCTGAAAGAAGTGCTTTCTGGAGACAGTCCAGAAGAGTGTGTCTTGGTGATGGAATTCCTGGAGCACGACCTCAAAACGCTGCAAGAAGACATGCATGACCCTTTTGTCGCATCAGAAGTCAAGACGCTTCTACGCCAGCTGACCTCCGGCATCGCCTTCTTGCACGATAACTATATAATGCACCGCGACCTCAAAACCTCCAACATCCTCCTCAACAATCGCGGGCAACTCAAACTTGCAGACTTCGGCATGGCGCGGTACATTCCACCTCCACACGCACCTCTCACTCAACTTGTTGTCACATTATGGTATCGAGCACCAGAGCTTCTACTGGGTACAACGAACTATGGGACAGAAATTGATATGTGGAGTGTGGGGTGCATACTAGGCGAATTGCTTCTGAAGACGCCTATCCTTCCTGGCACGAATGAGGTTGACCAACTAAGTCGAGTCTTCAGTCTTTGCGGCCTTCCGGAGGAAAAGAGTTGGCCCGGATTCTGGAGACTGCCTAATGCACCTAGCCTCAAGCTTCCACGAGAACAAAGAGGCAAGCAGACCTTTGACCGTGCGCGTTTCCCCTTCCTTAGCAGCAGCGGCGTGGAGCTTTTGTCCTCGCTACTGAATTTGAACCCCAATGACAGACCCACCGCGCAGGAGGTGCTAGAACATGATTATTTTAAGGAACAGCCAAAGCCAAAGCCGAGCGAGATGTTCCCCACGTTCCCGAGCAAAGCGGGTCAGGAGAAGAGGAGGAGAGCAAGTCCTCACGCTCCAAAGAGGGGAGATGCAGCACCGGGACTAGGTAAGGTGGACTTTAGCAGCATCTTTTCTGCGCAGGAGGAGGGTGAGAAGGGGGCCGGGTTCATGCTGAAGATGGCTTGAGTTCCCAATCACCAAAGTTTACGATGTCCTAAAATGAACGAACAGCCAGTTATTCAATCAAGTAATATGTCACCATGTTGTATCTAACAAAGGAACCGCCTCATACTTTCATTACCTCTGAAGTTTGCTTAGGTATTTGGAGACGTTCCTCTCGAGAGGGTCTCTGTGAGGCTTAGCGTGCCCCACACGCTAGCGCCGTCGCTATAAACTCGCGAAAAAAATAATTCTGTAACTTCGACGGCACGATTCTTTCGCACCGGACACCACAATGGCAGCCACGACCGTCCCGACGCAAGACAACATTCTCATCCCTGAGACGCTGCTGAAAAAGCGCAAGTCGCAGGAGAGGGCTCGTGAGGAGCGCGCAATTGCGACACGGGAGAAGCGAGGTACGCTGGCACCATGTGTCATTAACAACCACAAGGAATAGGCGATCGCGATGATTCTAACTACCAACACATCGGCTAGCCTACGGGCAATGTTGCTGTCGTTAACCATCTTTCGGGAATGATGCGATCGCCCCTTGTGGAGTTCATGGCATAGCTTCTTACACAGGCAAAAGCTGACCACGACTAGACAAGAGTAAGAAGAAGCGCGAGGTGATCTTCCAGCGTGCTGAGAAGTACGTCAAGGAGTACCGCGATGCCGACCGTGAGAAGATACGTCTGAAGCGCGAAGCCAAGAAGCAAAACGAGCTCTACGTCCCCGAAGAGAACAAGCTCGCCTTTGTCGTTCGCATTAAGGGTATCAATAAGATCGACCCCAAGAAGCGCAAGACTTTGCAGCTCCTCCGCCTCCTGCAGATCAACAATGGTGTCTTCATCAAGCTCACCAAGGCTACCTTGGAAATGCTGAAGATTGTTGAGCCATTTGTTGCATATGGCTACCCCAACCAGAAGTCTGTCCGCGAACTCATCTACAGTAAGCTTGCTCGTCTTACACACTCACATGAGCTTTACTGATGTGTCCTATAGAGCGTGGATACGGCAAGGTCGATAAGCAGCGTCTACCGCTGACAGACAACGAGATCATCGAGGTGAACTTGGGAAAGTACGGCATGATCTGCATGGAAGACCTCATCCATGAGATCTACACTGTCGGCCCCAACTTCAAGCAGGCTTCGAACTTCTTGTGGCCCTTCAAGCTGAACAGCCCCAACGGCGGCTTCCAGAAGAGGAAGTTCAAGCACTTCGTTGAGGGTGGCGACCTGGGCAACCGGGAAGATCACATCAACGAGCTGATCAGGCAGATGAATTAGATAGAATATGTAAGGGCGTTTGAGCGTAGAGCTGTGCATGTATTTCATGCTAGCTACAATTGGCTTGGTCGGATATACCATGGGATGCATTGCAGCGGCGTTTGGGAATGGGGTTCACGGCAAGGGCCAAAACGGGTTGACATAACGACCTCACGTGCGAAAAGCATGACCGAAATTAAGCATTTCCGGTTTCGTGTGCCTCATGTGGCACCGAGACAAATCATTCATTTCTGGCACGGCGGATTTGACGTGTGTGCGACGCCAGTGACATACCCTCATAGCAACGCCTACTCGACGACTGCTCCGACTGACTGCTCGACCGACCCTGAGCCCACGTTCCCTTGCGCGGCATGTTAGGCACCGAAAAATCGCAACGGTTGTCGTCAGGGCTGTCAGGAATGTGACATTGCAAAACGCAGCACACGGCACGAAAACTGCAGTCGGATACGATGGTCTGTTGCCTACAACCACATTTGGTGACGGCTGCGAGCCCTGACTGGTAGTGTTTGACGTTGAGCTCAACACCAATAGACGGCCACTGATCTAGCTGACAAGCCGAGCGCTTGGCTTGTGGAGGTGTGCACAAGTGACGGGTTCCCTTCCACAGATTTCTTTCATGTGAGCGCTTGATTACGGAGAGTGGCGGGCCAGATGTGCGAGGTGCGTCCGAGGGGCTGGGGTTGCCACTCTGCGACTCACGAGGTGACGATAGTTTTCTCGTTAGAGTGGGATGCACGCCAGTGGCAGATGGAAGCGTGCGGATATGCGGTGTATGACGCGACCAACATGTCGATGACCGTGGCTCACCTGCGACACGGCTGCATCGTGTTTGTTTTTGGGTCGATGCACAGAGACCAGGCTGATCAATGGACCCTCACCCCTCATCATCAAGTGCCGCGCGCTGTCGGCGCCGGTCGTGATGGCGACCCCGGCCAGGTGGAGTCACGAAGATGTGAGCAAGGCCTGACTGCCTTCGATCCCTTGGGCCAGAATGCCGTGGGATCCATTTGGCTCCAAAAGCGACATGGCCGACGGCGGGCTACGGCCAGAAACGGAAGGGCAGCTGCTCATGCGGCCACACGCTGCACGCACGCCTGGCACAATTTTCACGCGGGCGCGAGCGACCGGCGAGCTCAGCACAGCGAGCGTCGAGGGTGACGAAGGCGCGCGCGTGGAGGCCGGCGCTGGTGGCCGCAGGCGTGTTGTGATTGCAATATGTTTCTCGTCTACACGGACCGCAGCTATTTATGAAGGCTGGGCCACGCACGGGCAGGGCGACTTGGTCGCAGGGCCGCAGGCGTAGCACTGTGCACGCCGGCGCAGACGGCCGTCGCAACTACAACGAGCAGTCGCGGTCGAGGCGGAGCGCTCCAGTCAGCCGGCTGCTGCGTCTGCTGCATCTGCTGCATCTGCTGCACCTGCTGCATGCCTGGCTTGGCCGTTGCGAGCCAGCGAGCCAGCAAGCCAGCAGGGCCGGCGAGGGCCAGTGGGAAAGGCTGGGGACGGCAGCCGGTTTTCAAGAGGCGGCGAGCAGAGCGTCCACACGCCCACGATACGTGGCTCGCTCCAAGGGCCAGATGTGGTCCCTTGGGTCGTTCATTGGATTGCGCGTCGGGGCTTGCAAGCAATTTGTGCCTGACGACGCAACCAGTGCAGCGGCGCTGCGCACCAGGCCGCCTGTGCAGAGTCATGAGTGGCCGCCAGGCGCGCGCTGCGGCCTGGCGAGGATTGCGCCGGGCTAGGCTGCATGTGGCAGAGTTTTCACCGTGCGCGGCACATGAGTGGCCGGCCCACGAACGATTATTACGCAGGCCTGTGCGGTAGGAGGGCCTGCCACGCCTGTGGGCCCGCAAGGCCGTGTTGGCTTGCGAGGAACGGGCTCGTCGAGGGCCCCTTCGCTAAACGGCCACGGCCGGGCAACCAGAGCACATTGCCAGCGACCCGTCTCGCTCCTCTTCACCCGTCCACCTCCATCCTCACCCTCTCCAAACCCGACAGGTTGCAGGCGCTGCTCGACGCGACTCTTGCCGCTGAGCCATCTGCTGTTTCGAACGGCCGGCCTGACTTGACCGTCCTCTTGCAGCCAGCGCACGCCCGGGCATCCCTACCGCCTCCGCCGCCGGAACTACGGCTCTCCAGCGCCAGTGTCCAGTGTCCAGCGCCCAGCGTCCACCACCAGTGCTCAGCATCGCTGCACCACCGCTCCAGCACCGCTTTACCTGGTGACTGCCCGCTGCGCTTGACGTCGCTCTCGCAAACTACCCGGCTGTGCTGCGCTCGCCCGTGTTTGCTCGTCCGTCAGCACCTTCTGCACGAACGCCTGCACCACCCTGGTTCGCTGGTCACCACCGACTTTTCCGTGCACCACATCGACATCGACCACCTGCGCGCGCTTTCCTTTCTCGGCTTCCGCGCTGCATTGCATCTGAGTCTCGGTTCTGAGCGCTGCTCTTTCCTTTTCCCGTCCTCCGGGTCGCGCCTTCCTCTGACGCCTCATCACCGGACCCTTGCTTGCAAGTCCGTCGACCTCGCATCACCGCGGCGATCTATTCACTTAGACCTCGCCCTGCCTCGCGTTTCAGCGGTCCGCACGCGCTTTGCCTATCTTTCGTCACTTGACGCGCAGACTGCATCGCCTAATCGCATCCCACCTGCGACACCAAACCTGCCGACCTTACACCGGCTCGCGCTCTTCAACATCCACGATTGCCATTGCCTGAGCGATATCTTCCCCTACTCCTCCCTTCGACGTTTGTCTTGACCGACTCGCTACAAAACAACGCCCATCTGGAACAACACTTCTTGTGCATGATCGAAATTTTTTAGAGCATCGTCGGCTTACAAAAGAGCTCACGCTCACCACCCTCCGGCGGCATCGAACGAAGAGACTGTACGTCACACCACCACCGCGACAGCCAACGTCACCTCGCTTGCGAACGAATCCGAACTGACATATCATACAGGTCATCGCCAGTCTAACGTTCTCCTCCACTACTTCGCGCCAACATGCCGTCTTTCTACCCCAGGCACCAGATGCCTCGCCAGCCGTATACGCCGCCAGAGTTCGTGCCGAGTTACCACTCCTCCTGCGGAGGTATGCCTTATCAGCACAACGCCTACTCTGGCCAGGCGACGGCTCGCCAACAAGACGACTACGATTATGCCGAACGCTACAGCCAGCTTGCCATGGCCATGCCTCCAATGTACCCACAGGCTGGCACATACATGGCTCCTCCTAGCCTGCCACCCCCGAGCTCATTCTACGACGCTGGCAACACGTTGCCGCCAATGCGCTCCCATGAGCAGACCATCCAACAGCAGCGTGCGCAAGAGTATAACCAGCGTACTCAGCAGCCAGCAAAGGAAGAGAAACCTGTTGGTGGTGTTTCGGCCAAACTCGACTACGACATGGATGTGATGACTGACTTCGTCCGTGACATGGCGTTGCAACTCATCACACCCGGACGTATGGAGCCTACCTCTTTCCGGAAATGGGTTTACCAGGTTTTGTGCGCCACAAGACTACCGTCTGCCACCATTGTGCTTAGCATGTCGTACTTGTCCATTAGGATGCCTATGCTGGTGCACGAGCCTAAGACCGACACGCATCTCTACCGCCTCCTCACCATTGCGTTGGTGCTTGGTAGCAAGTTCTTGGACGACAACACGTTCATCAACCGTTCCTGGTCGGAAGTCAGTGGCATCAGGGTTGACGAGCTTAACAGGCTTGAGATGGAGTGGCTTAACGCCATCGACTACAAGCTTCATCGCGATGCTACCGAGCTCCAGGGCTGGAACACCTGGTCAGACAACTGGAAGGATTACCAGGCTCGCGCCAGCCGTAGCAACAAGCTTAGTCCCATCGACACGTCGGTTCACCGTCGTTCTTACAACGCGAACAAGCCTCTTCCCGCTCTGCCTCCGCAGCAGACCTATCACACCCCATCGTACGAGACTGCGCCCAAGTCTGCCATGTCTTCGTATGGCTATGGTGGTTACGCTCAGTACGACCCGTGGAGATCGTCCGACCGCTCCCCTGCATCCGCGCCAACTACAGGACCCACCACCCCGGAGTACTATGGTGCGACCGGACCCTGGGCTCCCGCTGAGGGCTACTCGCGTCGCACCATGTTCGGTTTCCCACCCCTGTCTCAGCCAGCTCATACCCAGCACCACCACCACCAGCAGTCGACCAACTATGGCCCGCCTACTTACCAGTCGCAGTACAACGCGTCTGCTTGGAACCAGCACGGTGTGAACTGTGGTTGCATGTACTGTGCGCAGAGGCACCAGCCATACTTCATGGCTCCTGGTTTTGGCCCTCAGGCCATCACCGCCTAAGCGATGCATTCATTACGACGCCTGCACCTTCTACATTACATATTCGACGCTCGACTCTACCTCAGCGACCTGTTTGTCCAAAAGTTCCTGTCATCTTCCCTACTATCCTTCGGTCTATCTTCAGACCCTGCTGGCCACCAAATATACGTCTCTTGCATCCACGTCGAGTCTGCCCTGGCGACTCGTATGGCCCCTCAATCCTCGGCGCGCAGAGTTTTGTCTTCGCCATCTGCACGCATATCGGCGCCATCCTGGATCTAACGAAAACGCATACACACCTTGCGATCATTTTGCATCATAGATTTTTCAATTTCTCGACCTGAAGGGGTCCGTTCTTTTGTTCTTCTCTCCTTGTCTCCTGTTCTAGACATCGGCTTGCTCTGGGTCTTGGGCGCACGTACAGCGAAATTGTGGGATTCGGCGTTTTGTCCTTTGGCCTGTGTGCCACAACCAACGGTTTCTGGGTTCGATTGGCTACATCGCCGCTTCTGGCGCGACTTCTGTACAGCCTCTTTTTACGATTGTCCTTCACACTGTTTATTCGGAGGATTTTTTGCGCTTAATGGTTTTTCTTAGCGACGCTGGCTCTGGCAGCATGACCTGCCGCTTCTCGCTTGGCCTTCGACCTTGCACAGCTCTCCGGTTGGGCATATCGTCACACCATCAACGAGACCATCGCAGGCCTTTTCACGTTCCCGGTTACGACTTCTTTCGATCGTCGCCTTCCCAGCCGGGTTGTAATTAATGGCATCAGATCTATGACAGGCGTTTCTTTCATTGCGCGGCGGAAAATACCATTTCTTCAGGGCTCCAGATACCACATAGCATAGTTTCGGGCGACAGGCAAAGACCTGTATAGTGTATTACTGCGACAAAAGCAGAGTCCTGATAGTAACATCAAAATATGAAAAAAAAGATGTCGGAAAGCGGCAAATCCGCAAGGGAACATTCCTTTCGACCTCAAGCCTGAGTGACTCAATCATCCACCATTCATGTGATCGGTGGGACAGACTACATGCCGTCCACTAGGCGGAGGTGATGGTCATTGTCGATGAGAGTCTGACATACAGAACGCAAGATTGCAGGCAACCACATCAGGGCGAGCAAGCTCGTCTCACCTGCGTGTGGAACGTCGACGTCAGCTGCGTGCCTCCTTCCAGCACACGATGCAGCAACAATATGCATTCGCGGGCATCTCGGACAAAGAAAAAGGCCGACTCCGCAACGATAGTTCAGGCGCAAGGCCGCGCGCGCCGAGGCTGCAGCCAATCACCAGCATAGTCAGACGGCTTTCATCAACACTATCTCCGTGACCGCGCGATTCCTCCGCGAGAAGCGATCCTGCTGGCGCAAAGCATGCGGCGCATTGCAATCCAACCTTCCGCTACTTAGTCCGTCTTGGAGCCTGCAAGTGAGGTCTTATACAGTGTTCATGTCGCTCCGCTCATTCAGGCGAATCCTGATCAGCTCGGTCACATTTCGCAACGTCCAAAGCAGTACGAAGCAAAGAGCGCGGATTTTTTGGCAGACACCACATTTCAGTACTACGGCAAAGATGAGTTCGGTCGGTGGCGCAGGGATAGGTGCAGCCCTGTATGCTGCGGTGAGCAACCCAGGCCAGATCCTATCGCAGCCAGAGGAAGCAGCAGCCAAGGCGCATCACTTGAAGAATGGCAAGGGATTCACGAATCCATGGGACAGCTATACAGAGCTGAGCGGGCCGCAACTGTTCTGGGGATTCTTTTCGTATGAATTGCGCTCCTTCTCATACTTCATCACAGACCTAGATACTAATTAGCACAGTCGCAAAGTCAGTGGTAAAGCCAACAAGCCAGATACGACGCCGCCTACAGTCCCCGTGCAAACTCCCGTCTTTCTCTCCACGCGCGAGACTCCTAAGCTAAGGGCTACATGGCTCGGCCACGCATGTTACTACGTCGAATTCCCCGGCGGTCTGCGTGTGCTTTTCGACCCTGTGTTTGAGGACTGCTGCTCGCCCATCAACATTAGCAGCCTGAAACGCTTCACGCCGCCGCCATGCGAGTTGGAGGATTTGCCGGCCGTCGATGTTGTGGTTATCAGTCATAACCATTACGATCATCTGAGCTATCCAACCATCCAGCGCTTGCAGAAGAAATTCCCGGAGGCTCAATACTTTGCCCCGCTCGGAAACAAGGCCTGGTTCCAGAAATGCGGAGTGGAGAAGGTCACAGAGCTCGACTGGTGGGAGACACGAGATGTCAAGCTTGAGGCTGTGAAGGGCGACGACAAGGCCGACCGCACAGGATCCGTATCAGTCAGCGAAACTAGCGTGAAGGGCGATATTATAGCCACCATCGGCGCGCTCCCGTGCCAGCACGTCAGCGCCCGTACGCCCTTCGACAAATGTAAGACGCTGTGGGCGAGCTGGAGCGTCGAGTCTGGCGGTGCAAAGGTCTACTTCGCCGGCGACACAGGGTACCGCACCGTCCCCGACACCCCGGACGATGTTGACGACTACGGCCCGGAGTTTGCCCACCTCCCCGTCTGTCCGGCCTTCGCTCAGATCGGCCAGCACCGCGGGCCCTTCGATCTCGGGCTCATTCCCATTGGCGCATACGAGCCACGCTGGATGTTTAGCGCCATGCACGCCAATCCGAAGGACTCGGTGAACATTTTTCTCGACACAAAGTGCAAGCTAGCGCTCGGTATGCACTGGGGTACGTGGGTTTTGACCGAGGAGGATGTGCTCGAGCCACCGAGGAAGCTGAAGGAGGCGCTTGAGTGGAAGGGGGTTGAGCAGGAAAGGTTTGGGGTTATTGATATTGGGGCGACGAAAGAGGTGGAGACTGGATCGTAGATGGTAGGCGTGTAGCCGATAGAGCAGATTTTATGATACTCGTGTGAAAGTCAGGGCGATGGGTTTCCGCAAACATAATATTTCACGTTCTTAGGGTTTGCTGCCTCCTTTCACACTTCTGCCTTGCTAAAAAGGTGGGTTCCGATATTGTGCAAGCGCTGTTTTCGACAGAGCACTGGAAGACTATGACTTCTTCTACCGTGAATCAATATCGATGTCGAATTAGCTGACGGTCTCCCGACTGCGCTAAATTAGAAACATTTAACCACATCTACTTTCCTACCACCTTTGTGACAAAACATTCACGTCGGTTCGTTCTACCAATCTGAGCGACACAAGACAGAGTGGTGCTTACAATCGTCCCGAGACAAATTGGTACACTCTTGAACCATAAGCATGCGGCGCTGTAGCGATCAGTGCATGCCCATTCCGTTCGGCTTTCTGAAGCGGCGTCATCCCTGCATCATCAAAGTGATTGATATTGGCTCTTCCCGTCTGCAGGAGCTTTATCGTCGCTGACATTAAGCCAGTCTGCGCTGTGTATGAGAGCAGGAATCGCCCGTGTTCATTCTCGACTTCCAAATCTGCTGTGTCCATCGCAAGCAACATCTTGAACATGATCTTGTCCGATTCCTTCGCCGCCAACCACAAGGGCGAGTGACCTTGACGATCGAACGTGTTCAGGTTCAGGCTTGCATCGATCAAGATCTTGACTACGGCCGGCTTTCTCGCTGAGACCGCCGAGTTCAGCGCTCCAGCTCTTCTTTTCAGAACGTAGCCTTCCAGTCTCTGCATACAAGGAAGCAACATTCTGACTTCCGCCTCTTATCCAGTCGTTACTGCAAGGCCGAGTGTTGCTTCTTCATGGTGAACAGTAGGTTTAGTCCGAGCAAATTTTGGCCGAGAATTTGCCTTTCTGGAGGAGCATTTGGACTACCTAGGTCATTCCGGCAACCAGAGTCTGCTATACTCATAGATGTGCGGCCTTCAGCACCTCTAATTTCAATTCCTTGCGGTGGGAACTGAAGGAACGGTCCGACGATGTGACAAAAGTCTACTTCACAGTTCTTAACAGCACGTGGTGCCGCTAGATGAAGTGCGCACCATTAGAGACTAACAGTGTCTCTGGCGTCCTACTTGTTGCTTACCTCTAAAGAAAGATGTCTCCACCTGCTTTCAGTATTGCTAAGACGATCTCACTCGTTGAGTTGTTCTCGACAGCAAAATAAACGGCGCCCGCAAGGCTGATCTTCGCCAGGGTGATAGCTGTAAGAAGCGTCATGTCATTAGTACCGATAGCATGCCGCATAATTAAGCGCGGTTGATTCAAAAGCTCAAGACTTGCTCCCATGGCAACCAGTTCAGTTGCTACCGCGGATGCCTCCACGGCTACTGCGGTGTCCAGCAATGTTTCGCCCACCTCGTTCCGAGTACTAAACTCTTGAAAACGAGCTTGTCAGGAGCTGAGGATCTCATCCCTTGTTGACGGTTTTGCCATTCGAAAAATTGGTTCAATAACAGCAGAGCAACGTCCGTATGGCCCTCGAGGAGTGAGAGTTGCAGCAAATTGTTCCCGTCCAGGACTAGCTCATCATTCGCGTTTTCTTTATCTCTCAAGGTTGTAAGGAGCTCATCTTTAAGACCTAGAGCGGCGAACACGTAGACTTTGATGATCTGATAAGAGGCCAGTCACTGACTGGGTGTACTAGGTTTGTTTGGGTGCAAGGTTCTTCACAGATCATTAAGTTGGTAAACTGTCTCAGAATATGATGACCACTTGATAGCCGACATGGACCTAACCTGGTCACGACCTGTCACTTCTCAACTTTCTTGACATGTTCAGAAAAGGGAAAATTGTGACGACAACCAGTCTCTTGTCACACGACTTTCATCCAGTACTTTATGTGGTTCAGGTCTTATCCACCTGGACTGACCTACGTACTGGCAGCCTTAAGCATATGCAGGATTCTCCAGGATTCGACATTCATTAGTATACGATTCATCTCCAGCGCGTTCTTTGTAATCCCTTATAAGTCCTGGATCAGCGGAAGACGACGAATTTGTTTGGTATCTGTGCTTGATGTCACAACGAGCGCAATACCAATGGTGCAGGTCTCCCAGTGTATATGTTAAATTGTCGAAGAACAGTGACAAAATACTCAGAGTATGATCTAAAAGTCTTCCATTTTATTTTTGTTCCATATCTACCCACGGTAAGGCCGTCGGCCCATTACCTAAAATACCGTTGGTGAAGATCAGTGCCCGCCAACTCCTGTGTATCCCTGCCCGCAAATGCTCAAATGCCAAGTCGTCAATGTGATGCTTTTCTCTCCCATCGTCGGACACCTGCGTCTCTGTGGTATCATAGTCTAGATAAGCGTAGTTCAAGCAGACTTCTTGTCCGCCTCGGCAGACATGCGGTCGTGCTCATCAATGTCCCTGCGTAAGTGTTAGTTGCTATCCTGTGAGTTTCGAAGAGCAGACACATACATAGCCTCCCAAGGGTAGTTGATCCAAACATCGCCAACAGTCTGTGCGGCCAGATACCTGCCCTTCAACGTCTCCTCAGGGAGCGTGCCCTTCTTCGTCTTGTCCTTGTTGTGGAGAACGAAGATGCTGAACGTAGTCTTCTCCCCTGTGCGCCCAGATTTCTTCTGTGCCTCGACAACGTCCTTCTCAAGCTCGCGCACCGCATACTCAAGCGTTGTCCTTGTGTCATCGACCTCGTCAACGATGAGGACGTTCTTGCCAATCAAGTTGGCCATTTCGAGAGAGGACAGGTCAAGCCACTGCGTACGTGTAACCTTTGTGCCGGGAACCTCGACTTCGGAGTCGCCGGAGCCGCCGAGCTGCTCGTACAGAGAGAGACCGATGGCCTGGATCGGAATGTTGGACGAGCCGTCGCGCTTGAGAAACGAGCGCAGAATGCGCGCAGGGACGTAACCACCGCCGCCAATGGCGATCATAAGGTTGGGCTTGAACTCCTCAAGAATTCTAGGCGCGGCATCCTGGCAGTGCTTGTGCACCTGTAGAGTATCAGTAAGTTGCTCTACAGGACGGCCTGAGTTGCAGCCTTGATGCGAGCATGCTGTCTGATGAGACATATTGAAACGCCCAAGGAGGCTCATGTTGTACCACAGTGCGTGTCGCATAGCAATACATTAAAAAGTCAAGGCAACCGTAGTACAGCCAATGTGTACCCACTGAGGTGTTTTCGAGTACGTACCTGGTTGTATGTGACGTAAAGCTTCTCGACCATGGTTGCGACTTTTGTGTGTTTGTGTAGTACGTAGAGGCGCAAAGTGTAAAGTATAAGAAATTGGGTTTGGTGGTATGGTCTAAGAATGACTGAAAAAGAAAAATCTTGGGACGCGGAGCACGCCGAACATGAGGCGTGGGGTTTAAGATCAGCCCCGCGCTAGTGTGGATGACGTTAGGCTTCTGGAAGTCTTGATCGACGACCTGGGAACACACCATCTACGTTCTCACTCATTGGTTTATCGACACTCGAATGATGACCTCTGTTTTCACTCGTACTTCGAGTCACAGAATTGTAACGAGCAACCGTATGCCAGCACGACACAGCCTATGCGGTATTCATCAAGCATCACGCATACATCGCCCTGACACAGTCGCTCACACTCGCGAACCTGGGCTCGATTATTTCCCAGGGCCCCACACCTTTCAAGATACCTTCCTTTCCTGGCAAGTGCACAGTGTGATCGTAGCAGTAGACATATAATGCATCGCAGTATGGCCTTACCATGTACCTGTCGTTGACGAGGAGCTCCTTCGAAGTCGTCTGCTGTTCTCTTGGACTCCTTTGGACAAAAGAGGAAGGCTCATATGCTAATATTGTCTCCTCACACGGATCACAGATATTCCCTCTATGAATCACAATGTGGCCTGTTGTCCCAGCCTCGATGAATGTGTCTTTCCACCAAACGACATTGCCTTGATCGTGCATGTCGATAGGGTGCAGTCTGGGGTGCCGGGGACTTGTAAAAGTATGCAGTCTTTCATCGAATTGAAGTGTGAAGATAGACTTGACAGCAGAGCCGAATGTCCAGGAGTTGCATTGCAGCATGAACAGCCCATCGTGATTCGCGGGCACAAATTTCATGCTCTTCCGGTCGCCAAACTCGGTAGGGTTGCCGGCTCCGTGGAATGCTAGTGGCTGCTTGGCACCGTGTAGGCATTCGCCCGAGTATGTGAATCTGTAATACAACAGTTGAGGGCTTTCAATGATCATATCTGTCTGGCTCTGAGATCGCACGAACAGACAGAGCACAACAGTCTCAGAAACTGGTTGTAAGAGTAAGCCCAGCTCGCATGCAGGGGTCGGGAGATGTAGCCGAACCCCTGGGAGAAGTCTCGTGTCCTTCCCGATGGTGAATGATTTGCCCTGCTGGGTGTCATAGTTCCAGATATAGACGAGTATGCTATCGTGTAGCAGCCCTGTGCAAGCTACTGTCCGATTTCGACACGTGACAGCAAAGTTTCTGCTTGAAGTGACAAAACGAAACCTCTTGACTGGCCCTTGACCGGCCAATTCGTCAACGTAGATGACACCGCCAGCGTCTGCAGTGACCATCACCAGCTCTTCGGACGCAAAGACGGTTCGAAGCAGCTCGCGGGCTATAGGGACGATAGTCTTGGAGGTCAGCGATCTGAGGTTCAGCACGTGCACTTGACGGCGGTCGCGAGAGAGCCATATCAGGTGGTCACCACTGAGGACCTGTTCTGACGTAGCAAACTGTGCTGATATCTTGAAACTACTGTCAGGCAGTGCAGTTAGTGAAGCACTGCGAAAAGCGTGGATGCTTCGAGCTTTGCGCCAGCAAAAGTCAAGATCGACACCCTGGAGGTTGACCGTGCCATTGTACCAATTGTCGAGGCTGGGCTTGAGCACAGCCAAGCTTCGCAGATTCCGATGCCACCGTCGAGATACCTGTGGGTGTTAGCACATGCAAGCAGTAGCACTCTCAAACTCTACCAAACTGTAGTGTAAAGCAAGACAGCACAAAGTTTCTGGAGTGGAACATGGTACGACGACGACGACTTACAGGCTGCAGTCGCCACGGCGTGGACGTGTCAAGATACGAAAAGATGTGAGAAACAATCTCCACGGGCAGGCGTCCGATGATGTCGAACTGGAAGGTTCGTGCAATGGCAAGAGACTGGACGAACCTCCACTCGTAGGGCGACAATGCGCTCATCAAAGCTTCCAGAGCCTCTAGTCTCGAGTCAGAGGTGGGCAGGCGCGCAAACGCGTCGGCTAGGGCACTGCGCGCCATTCCAGGCAAACGAGTCGGTCCACCGGGGTAGCGACTGATGGTTCGGTGGTGGTTCACAGCAAAGGGAGGGTTTGCCGAGCTGACATGCTCGGTGACGTTGGCTGCGGCGTCGCAGGGACCCTCTTGACGATCTCCCTCCATCGAGGCAGGAGCATCCTCGTGGCGACTAGCGCCGGGACTGTGAAGACGACTGCAGCACATCACGGCGGCAGCATTGCGGAAGGCCCGGGCAGATGGCTTACAGCGGGTGCGACGCGCGATCGCTGGAGGCATGGCTACGTTGTGCAGCCGGTGCAGCCGGTGCAGCGACGCGGCGGGCACTGGGATTGCACAAATGCCATGAGGAGTGTCTGCGCGCGCTGGGACGCCACGGGACCCCGCAGCCAGACATTAAACGTTATAGCAGGGCCGCTGCAAGACTGTTCTAGAGTGTCGCGGCGGTTTCACCTGCAGGCCTACGGGCTCAGGGACGCAGGTGGCGGCCGTCTACACCGCGCGCTGGCAAGCTGGCTGGCGGCCACGGCGCGGCCAGGACGATCAGGACGACAACGGCAGCTGGCGCGCGCGGCGCTGCAGCGTGAAGGGCTGGTGCCCCTCCAGCTCGACGCCCTCAGCGCTGGTGCGCACTGCGCAGAGGCCCCCGGACGCCCAGCACCGCCGCTCCCCTCCCTCGGCGCGTGTCCTGCTGTGTCCTGTGCGTGTGGCAGACGGTCGAGGGCGTGCGGGCGTGGGCGTGGGCGTGGGCGTGCCTGGCCTGTGCCTGCCATCTCCTATCTCTAGACTCAGCAGACGTCCGAGGTCTGCGACACACGCCCTCCACTGTCTCAGCAGCTCCCTTTGCGACCAGCGCTGCCCGCCCCTGCCACTGCGCCGCGCCGTGTGACTGCCCTGCCCGCTGCCCTGCCCGCTGCCCTGCCACTGCGCGCTGCCCGCATACGTGGACGCTGCCGTCTGCAGTCCATGCCGTAGATCTGTAGATAATCCTCCGCCCGTCGTCGCTGCAGGCCAGGCCCGCGCTGCTACCCGGCGCCACGCAAACCTCTGTTCGTCGGCAGCTGCTCGTCGGCAGTGCCCGATTGCCCGCCGCCCGCAGCTCGCAGCGGACGCCCGCGTCCTCGCGGCCGACCTTTCTGGAACACCACCTCCGCTGTCGCTCCGCCGCGCCCACCTCTGCATCGGGACCCTGCAGCCAGATCCGGCCGTGGTGCTGCGCTTGCCCGAACATTTGCTCGCCGCGAAAACCTCGTGCCGCCCAGCGCGCTCCGTCTCGCGTTCCTGTGGCCGCCTCGCCGCCGCTGCCGTGCGTCGCTGTCGCTGTCCGCCCGCCGCTGAAGATCCCCCATGGCCCAGGTCGCAGAGGCTCGCAGGAGCCCGTTCGCCGAGCACAACCCCAGCATGCACCGCTCCATTCCCATCCTGCCCTCGTCCAGCTCGTCGCTGGCCCCGCCGCGGGACCCAATGGACTGCACGCCGTCCTCGTCGGCCATGGGCCCCCCGAGCTTGGCCGCCCCCAGCACCGATCGCCAGCACCTTGCGCCCGCGCACCCGGCACACACCCAGAGCCCGCTGGCGAACGGCGACCCCGACCACAGCAGCAGCCACGCCCACACCCCGAACGGCTCTGCCAGCGCCGCGCCTGCCGTGGGCGCCGCCGCCGCCGCCCAGCAGCCCAAGGTGGTGCAGACGGCCTTCATCCACAAACTCTACAAGTGCGCCCCCCAGCCCTGCGCGGCAGTCCGCCCGCCCGTCCGCACCCACTAACGCCGTCGCAGCATGCTCGAGGACCAAAGCATCCAGCACCTCATCTCCTGGTCGAGCACCAACGAGAGCTTCGTCATGTCGCCGTCCAGCGAGTTCTCAAAAGTCTTGTCGTACGTTCCACCCCAGCCATCTCCACATGTCCACGTCGTGCAGTCCTAAACGACCCCACAGCTCGTACTTCAAGCACACCAACATCTCGTCCTTTGTTCGCCAGCTGAACATGTACGGTTTTCATAAAGGTCGGTCGTGCCCACTTTGCTTGCGAGACACTTGCTAAGCCTGCCAGTGAGCGACGTGTTCCACACCGGATCGCCAGACTCGCCGCTCTGGGAGTTCAAGCACGGAAACGGGAACTTCAAGCGCGGCGACCTCGTCGGCTTGCGCGAGATCAAGCGCCGCGCCTCGAGGCACGCACTCATCCATCGCGACTCCTTCTCCACCCCCAAGATCCCGTCCGGGCCGCCCCCCACACAGCCTGTCGAGCAGCAGATGCCAGATCCCGTCGAGTCGCGACTCAACGCCCTCGAGTACAACATGCACAACATGCATTCGCAGATCCAGCGATCCGAGGACACGTGCGCGTATCTCAGCCAGAAGGCTGCAGTGTTGATGGAAGGCATGATGCGCTGCCACCAGGTATGCCCAATCCGCGCACAGTCTGTGCCGTGCTAATCATGTCTCAGTGGAACCACGAGTTGACACATCAGCTCATGGATCTTGTCCCAGATCCAGACCATTCCGTGCACAAGAACATTGCAAACATGCAACGAGACATTAGCCGATACACCGATATGCTGCGCTCGTTGGATCAAGCAGAGGAGCCATCTTCAGCCCGCCAATCGTATTTCCTTCAAGTGGACAACAACGGCCCGCCTCTATCGCCACGCGCCATGCCCCATGACCAGTATCCCGATTCTCGACGCGGATCCTTAGCCGGCCTCACACGACAGACGCCCGTGAAGCCTGCAGTCCCAGCACATCTTGCAATCTCCCCGCGGCGATATGGCTCCATTGGCGCTGGGAATTACTCCCCTTCATCAGCCAGACCCCCGATTGCACACCAGCCGCCACCCCCGCCTCCACCGCCCCCGCCTTCTATTCAAGCTCCTGGTGGAAATGGGGGAAACAATGGCGGTAGCGGCGCAAGCCCGCCTTACAACCACTTCCAGCGGCGACACACCTCGGCCGATATTCGGACCGTTGGTTGGCAGCCACAACCTCCACCCACGCATTCACCATACGCGTCTGGTCACAATTCTACGCAATGGCCTTCTTCGCCGCACAGAGCACCGATTGGTGGCGGTGACGAACAACTCCGCAACGCTCTGGAGTCGTATCAACTACCTCGAGGGCCCCGTGGGCGGACGTCGAGACAGGGCACACCGCCCGACGGTCCTCCGTCGTCTTCGTTGAACCCAGATAGTGGCTGGACACTACCGGGAGCACGCTTCCCGTTCAAAGGCTTCGACACCCCCGGACCTCCGACACGTCGTTCCAGCATGGCGTCGAACGTGCATTCTCTTCTTAACCCCGCAGAGACTGCTGAGCGCGCAGACGAAGACGAACCTGAGGACCCTAGGAAGAGGAAGAGGCTCCAGTAAAAGCTTGCTTTGCTTATCATTTTTTCAAAACATCACCTCAATGCTGCAGGACTGTTGTCCTTTGGAGGCAAGCGCTGTTTAATGGCTGGCATTTTGTTTTCACCTGCACTAAACTACAGAGGCTATCTCACCACCATCTGCGCCTTGTCGGCGGCAAATTTTATACATCTCACGGTCTCTCCTATCAGATATCCACGCATCTTCATGCGATATTCCTACCAAATTCAACTGAGCATCAAAGCTTTTTCGCATCAGAATGTATCAGATCCTGTGACCAAGCCCGTGCTGCCTGTGTTGTAGCTGATCAGCCATGAAATGGTCATTAGCGCACACGATGTGTGGCTTGTGGTACGCAGAAAAGTCCCGGATTCTGTCAATCAAGATCATTCGTATTCCAAGAGGGATGTTCGTGGTTCTAGCAGTGAAGAATAACGGGGTAAGCGGGTACGTTGAGCGGTTGTTGCGGTGGGAGAATCGCGAGTCATGATGATCGAGTCGCTTTAGCGTGGAAGCAAGCAGGGCGCATGTATCTCGTCGGTAGACGTGGCGGTTGTCTATAGAAGGCGGTTTACAATGTAGGAGTTTGAACGTGATACAAAGACATGTTTCTCCGTGCGCAAGAGAGTGGCACAAGGGGCCCTGCAATACTCGGCCAAACCACATCACAGCCTGGACATCAGAGTGCGGAGACGATGATTTGCGAGGTCATCAAGTCGTGTGTCATTAGATACCCAATGGCCATACCTTCCCTCCCTTCGCCATTTCCCTTCACGGTCGCCCGCTACTATACGCACTGCTCTAGGTATCCTCCATCCCGCAAAAAAGGGGTATATGGTAATTACTATACAAGAACGACGAGGACGCTGCCTTTTGTACGCCGAATGCCCTCCCCAAATATGTATGATGTTATATGCTGAACGCCGGTCGCCATGGAGTCTGTCAAACGCGATACAATGATGAAAATAAAAGTGCAGCGTGGTGTGATATTATGCTGTGGTGTGTGGAAGAGGATGTGACTCAACTTCTCATCCGGCGAAAGCGGCGAGACGCCTTTCTTCTCAGGCCGCCCATTGCGCGGCGGACGCTCTCGCCGTCTGTCTCGTCGCCGTCAAATCTTTGTGTTGGTGAAGCGTGACCTTGTTGGTTCTGTCTTGCGCTCTTGACTGAGTTTTGGTGCGCGATTGTCTTGTTCTGCTCTCGCCAGAACAGCCGCTTCTGGTCTATCACCGCTTGGCTCAAGCTTCCGAAGCCCTTTTTGACAAAGGCAAAGTCGTGCAGGATGTTGGGATCGATACATGTTCTGGGCAGGTTCTGGACAAGCATAAAGAGCTCGCCATCGCCCGGGCGGTACTTCTTGATCTCAGGCTCGCCTAGCTTGAAAATGGCGAGCGCGTAGCGGTACAACGCTCGAGGTCCTTCATACAAGAAGGCATCCCATATGCGGAGCACCGTCTCAATGGGCAGGACACCGACGAAGAGTGACATGAACCAGGATGTACACGACAACGCCACAGTAGGCTGACGCTGAAACTTCGAGTTGGGATGGGCGTTGGAGCCAGCGCCCGAATTGATTAGATCGGTGTCATTGATAGAGGCCCAGACCTTCGGGAGGTAGTCCTTGATGAGCATCATGAGGACGTTGACTTCGGTATTGGCAAGAGAGCGAGCGTGGGCGCCCGGGAGGTGATTTTGCGTGATGATCGAAAGGATGATGAAACACTTTTCCTTATCCTGCTTGAGAAATAGAAGCAAGAGACCAGCGATGAAATTCAGCGATTGGCAATAGCCAATGCTGGGGTTGTTGAGAGCGAAGCAAGAGAGGACTTCGCGGAGGTCTTGGATGAGAGCAGGCTCCTCGTCAGACTCTCCATCTAATAGATCGGTTGCTGGCTCAGGGCGGAAATGTATGTTGTCAGGGAACGTGCGGTCGAGGTCTCGCTCGATCGCATCCTTGTCATCCTTGTTCAGCTCGTCACGTTTGATTCGTGCAGCTAGCGAAGCATACAGGCCAATGTTCTCTTTCTGCTGGAGAGCGTGTTGGCCACCGGAGTAGTACCACCACATGGCTCCTCGCCATTCCGGAGGATAGCCTTTGCGAGCATAACGCTTGACTCTCTCGCTCATTTCCGGGAACCTGGTCGGCTCAGTTACCGAGAGGCCCTGTTTGACCATCAAAGCGATCCACTTATTTCGGCGCCTGATGATATGCTCTTCGTATCGCGATGCCCATGCATTGTGCTCTTGTACGGTGACATTCAACGACTCCTTCTTGAAGCCGTAGCGGTCACGCTCTGCCTTTGCCGCCACCATCTTACGTACTGCTGGGGCAATCCTTGGGTCGTCTTCGTCTTGAGTGAATGCAGCCGTAGGCTTTGCTTCGGCGGTTTTGACGGGTTTCAAGAACGAGTCAAGCCCAAACCCACTTTTTCGGTCGTACACACTGGTCGATGCTCGACGCGGTATTGCTTCGTCCTCATCAACTTCCGGCAGTGACTGAGACTTTTGAAACTGGGGTGACTGAGGAGTAGGATCCATCTTTGGAACCACCTCGGTCGACGCCAGACGGGATGCACTCGGCCTCTGGGAATGTCTTCTCGAGTAAGCCTCGATATCTGCCCAGTCTCGTCGCGACATGCGCGCCTTGTTCATGGGTAGCTGTGGTAGAGCAGCGATCTCACGGTGCATCTCTGACATCTGGGCCCGTTCGGCACTTGGTATCTTAGAAGAGATTCCGTCATCCGGGGTTTTTACTAGTGCGTTCGGTGCATTAAGAGACAGTGCCTGCAGAGTCATGGATATCCGCCGGGGCACCTCGCGACTCAACCGTTGCCTTTCGTCTGATCTTTTCTTATTTGTCAGAGCTGTGACAGCTTCAATTGTCCGCGGTGTGTACAGCGGAGCTGTGTGGTGCGGCTTCAAGTCACCCTCTGCTCCTCCCTGTGTATCTTCATCCAACAGGCTCTGATCCGAGGTATCTGCAGACGGTGGGCGAATGGAGAGGCGATGCTTTCTCAGTCCAGCTTTGGGCATCATTCCATTGAGCGGTGGTATTGGGGAGTTGTTCCAGTGCGTGAGATTCTCCGAGGAATGGAAAGAAGACAATGAATCCATGTCGCGAGACGGCGTCTGTGACAGTTCGGGCGGCTCCATGTCCAGAGCTGCTGGGGAGGGGTTGTCGTCGACCATTGAGTAACCGCGGACGTCCTCATCGTAGCAGTAAGCGTCAATGACATCGTCGACGGCGCTGAAGGCATCCAGCTCCTCCTCGTCCTCTTCAGCAAGATCAGACGTCTGTGCTGTCTCTGGGGAATCGTCACGGTCGCGCAGGCGGTCTCTCGACTGGTCTCGCGAGTAGATGCTGTTCTGGCGATCACTGGCCACGGAGCTGCGTGCTGTTGCTATGCTGCTGCGGCCCGTGCCAGGCTCCATGACGCTCGAGGAAGCGTTTGTGTAGCCTGACCTCAAGCTGAAGCGAGGCTCCTCGCCCCGCAGCTGCCGCATGGGCGGAGGAGGGTAGTAGTCCGAGTGGGACCAGTTGGGCACTCCGCGGTTGGGCTTGTATGTGCCGGAGAGGTTGGAGCGCTCGCCGGTGCGGTACTGGCCGTAGTCGGGGATCGAGGTCACGGAGCGGAGCGGCGGAGCGGGGGTGAAGGAGGCCTGCGACGAGCTGGTGTAGCCGCGGGGCCTGATGGGCGAGATGGGGCCCGACACGTCCTCGCAGGACGAGTCCCACTGCGGCCCGCTGGACATGGGCGGGTTGCTGGCCAGCGGGTTGAAGATGGCACGCAGGTCGGGCGAGGCCGGGCCGGCGCCGTCACGTCTCATGGCCGGGGCGACGACGGGCGACGAGGTGGGGCCGTCGTGCGGCGGCGGGCCGTACTTGGGCGACGACACGGCGGCGTGGCGCAGCAGCGACGGGGCGCGCTGGCGCGGGGCCGGGAACTTGGGCGAGGGCAGGGCGGCGAACGGCACGGTGGGGCTCTCGGGGGCCGGGCTGTAGGCGCGGCGCTCGTAGGCGGGCGACACGGCGGTGTCCATGTTCAATTGCATGGGGAGCAGCTGTCTCTTCGCGGCGGGGCCATGGAGGTGCGGGTCGCGCGGCGGCGGGGACGAGGGCGGGGTGTCGTAATTCGCGGGCAGATAGGCGAGATACTGCAGGCGTGAGGGCGGCGAGGCGGGCGAGTCGTAGCGGAGCGCGGCGGGCGCGTCGTCGGCGGGCCAGTGGGCGACGGTCGGCGGGCCGGCACGGTGCAGGGCGTCGGCCATGGCAGCAGCGGCGACGACGGGCGGCGAGGCGCGGGCGGTCTCACGCGGGCGAGGACAGGAGCGCGGTGGTGGTGGCTGGCGGCGAACACATCATCGAGGGCCCGGGGCGGGCAGGGCGAGGGCGAGGCGGCGGGCGAGCGCGCAGGCCGCTGGCGACGACGAGGCGTAAGGCGGGCGCGGGCGGCTTGAAACCCAAAACGCAGCACTACCGTCAGGCTCGTGGAGCACAGCAGCACTGGGACACGGGGACGCTGGGACGCTGGGGCAAGCACCGCCACGGCGCACGCTCAGGGAGGCAGCAACGGCAGCAGCGGCAGCAGTGGGCGGGCGACGAGACGCGGGTAGCAGGCAGCGGGCGCGGTGCGAGGGCAGCAGCGAGGGCGCAGCGAGGGCTCAAACTCACGGGGCGACGCAGGTGAAGGGAGCAGCGTCGCAGAGGCTGGATGGTGGCCGCTCCACGCAGCGCCGTCGTGCACGCAGTGCCTCGTCCCTTGGGCCAATGTCGGCTTCCGCATCCCCGCCGGCGTGGGTCGAGAGAGGCTCAAGCGCTGCCTGACGTTTTGGACCGTCTGCACGCCGCAGCTTCGAGCAAGCGCCCTCACCCGCAACCTTCACGCGTGCCGATGCAGCCAATGGCTGCCGCCCGCTGCGCTACGTTTCATTACCGAGATTGGCTGCTGCACTGCTGCACGCCGTTTCTGGCGGTGGGCGCCCTGCATGCTGGCCGCCCGCCCGCCGCCGCCCATTGGCAGCCTGCAGCCTCTCCTGGCGCACTGGCTGGAAACCACTGCACCTCACCCTTGGGCCCATATCCGCAGCTGCCGGCGCATCGGTGCACGCCTGTGCTTTGCCTCTGCCTGCAGCCCTGGCCTGCCCGCCGCTGCGACTGTGTCCGCATCTGTGTCAGCGCTGCCATGCTGAGACGCCCTCGGCCCACCGCTGACTCGTTAGATTGCCTGCGCCAGCAATGCCAGCGGTGCAGCCCGAGCGCGCACAGGAACGGAACTTCGAGAAGCACATGGGCGTTGCCGCGACCAGTTCCCCCCGGGGTCCATTCTCCACTGGGCTGCTAGTACGTCACCATTTGTTCTCGAAGCACTTGCAACGCGCCCATCCTGGCCCTCTCATCTCCTTCTCTCGTCACGTCGCCTGGCATGGTGCACATCGCGATTCGCCCCCGAGGAATTTGCTGGACGGGCCGTGACCTGGCCGTCCTGAGCAGACCGCATCCACCCACCCACCCCTACCGGACTTCAGCTACCCGCCGTCAGCTACCCGGGCGGGCAGCCACATCTCACCCGGGCTCGGAGATTTTCGCCGCCAGCATCGCGTGTGAATGAACCATCCATGTTGATATCGACTCGTTATATGCTCTTTCCGTGCCCCCCTCACCACTCGTTCCCATTGCCAGCCGCCTAATGCAGCTTTGCCAAACGCCCAAAATGCAGCAAACCCATCCGATGCCAGCCTGTCGTCCTGCTCTGCCCTGCCTGCCTGTCGGTCTGCCGGCCTGCCTGCCTGTCGGACCTGCCTGTCCGCCCGTGTCGCGTGACGTCCTGCTCACTTCGCATACCGCTTGACCCAGTCCTGCGCATTCTTCTCAAACTGCTTGCGATTCTCCCTGTACTCGTTGGCAATAGATGGTTCAATAGCGTCGTCCGGGTTGGGCTCAATCAGGAGCGTCTGAATGAGGCGAAGGACCGAAACAACCTTGTTTGGTGGCTTCCATTCATCGGGACGCAGCAGACCCAGACACATGGAGCCCTTGTCATCGTTGCTGACGTTCGGGTGGTAGATCTTGGTGCGGAACGACACGACCGGAGGTTTGAAGGGGTACTCGTTGGGGAATGTGATCTCGAGCTTGAAGTGCCCGCCCTGCGTAGCGTTAGCTTAGCCTCGTATGGCAAATGCGCGCGTGATGCCTCTACATACCGCGTACACAGACTGCTCGGGGCCCTCCATAAGGACCTCCCACTTCGTCATGTTCTGCTCATCAAAGTTGATCTTCGTGCCCGCCGGCATGTCCGCGTTGCACTCGCCGTACTCCTGCAGCCGTGTCAGTATACGTCGCCGACCGCTTCCAACAAGAGACCTGCCTTCATGATCCGCTTCTTTGCGCCTGTGCTCATCTTGACGGTGTCGTGGCTGTGTGGTGGAGGTGCTGTGTTGCCTGAGAAGGTATTGCGGCGCTATAGCTGCAGGGCGCTAGTTATGCGTTGTCAAGCCTGGAGCAGATAAGAGAACGCTAGAGTGAAGGGCAAGCCTCGCTGCGAAGACGGTGGTGGGTTTCTATAACATGTGCTGACAAGAGAAGTTGAGAGGCACACGCGTGGCGGGGAAGTCTAAGGAAACCATGACGCAGAGGCAAACAATTGTGCTGTGCCATTACTGACTAACTCTACAGTAGACGAAGCTAACGTCAAGCCGGCTGCACATGCTGCTTTTGCTGCGCACCCCAATTCCCACAGTTGCGTTTCTGCTGGTGAGTCTTTCCGGCACACGGTTTGTCGTTGGCGTCTCAAGACTTACCGACGTCACAGGCGCTTCTAGTTCGCAATTTCACACTCTACATTGTAACATGACCACGCCCACAACGCCGACATCGGTGTGGAATCATTCCGCCGCGTCGACAATCATGTGGGAGAACGCGATTGCATTGAGACTTTTATCGAGGTCGACAATAGGTCATGTTTGTTCACGCGGCCGCAGAATTAGAACCCGTGTTGCGCAAAGATGAACACGATGCTGAGTACCGTAATGGACAGCGAGATGGATATGTATATGCGTGAAGGTATCAATTTTCGTGCTAGACTATGTATGGGATATCTCAGTTCGTCATTCACCACCACCAACTCCATTTTCGTCGGCGCTTAACAGAAAGTAACAGAAAACCAGCGCTCATAAGCTCAACATCCTAACGCCTCATAGCGGATCCGAATCTACTGCTTGGGATCGGCAGCAGCGGCGTAGCTGGCATCACCGCTCTTCTCGTTCTTGGTGGTATCCTTAGCGCAACCGGCGCAAGCGCACTGGCCTTCAGGGCATGGGCACTTGCCAGATACGGAGCCACAGTTGCACTGGGTCTTGCCGTTACCGACTTCGTGCACGTTGGCCTCCTCAACGCTGGGCTTGCCACCGTCCTCAGCCTTCGCACATCCGGAGCATGCACACTGACCCTCAGGGCAGGGGCACTTGCCAGACACGGAGCCACAGTTGCACTGGGTCTTGCCGTCGCCGACACTGTGGACATCAGCCTCCTCCTTGGAAGGCTTGCCCTCGCTGCCGCTCTGACTGCCCTTCTTCAGGTCAGCCAAGTGACGAGCCTCGTTGTGCACATCCATGACGGTCTTGTTGCCCTGATCGTAGAAGGCCCTAAGCTTCTGGCCAGTAGGTGTGCCCTGCGCCTTGTCGAAGTAGCTGGTGAGGCCAGCCCAGGCACCCAATGCCTTGTTGGAGAGACCAAGCTTCTGGTCGACAGCCTGTGCCTTTTGCGAAGCCTGAGTCTTGGAGTCGATGTTCTGCAGGGTCTGGAGGAACTTGGTGCTGTAGCCGTGCTGCTTATCGGCAGCAAGGGCGCTCTCGATGGCCTTGTCAGAGATGGCATAACCGTGGGCGAGGTACTCGGCTACAATGCGAGCACGGGGCTTCTGCTCCTGCGAGATGTGGTCACCCTCGTGGGTCTCGTCTGCTGTCGACTTCTCGGTTGTAGAGTCGCCGCTAGCAGACTTGACGTGGACCGAGTTGGGGCCTAGTTGTGTGCTGTCAAGAAGGAGCGCCGTCTTGGCGGCAGCCGCCTTCTCAAAGGTGACCGACGCAGACTGTGTGTCATTGCCAGTGGACTTGACGGAAATGTCCTGAATCTTTCCACAGAAGCTGAAGAAGGACTTGATCTCGTCCTCAGACGTCTTCGTGCTGATGTTCTCGACGTGGACGGTAGAAGACATTGCGAGATGTGCGGTGTTTATCTGATGAAAGGTATGTGAAAGAGTTGTGTTCGTGATTGGGTACAAAAGGAGGTCAATGGAGGTATTTGTAGGGAAGAGGAATGTTTGTGTTGGCGGGGTGCTCATATGGAAACAGCGTTGATGACGTCGCTGCTCCGCCCCGCGTCGTACAGCCACGCGTGTGGCGACTTCCGCACAAACAGCGCAGAGGGAACCTTCACGAATCACGGGCCAGTTTGCAGACCATTTAACATGTGCAAATGGAAGCTTGCAATTCTTATGCGATGCTACTTGCTAAGCTCAATGCGTCTCCAGTTGCGAACCGCGCAAGCTCCACAGCCGAGGGGTACGAGTTTGTGCTCAACACGCGAAGCCTCACAGGCATTTGTGCACGTAGGGGCGGTGAGTGCATCAGACGACAGGAATTGATCGTGGGCTCTATGCCATCGAAATGAAGAAAACGTGAGATTATCATGAGCTTTTGATCCATGCGTTTGTCGCTTCAATGCCATGTTTCAATAAATCATCTATCCACTGTTCATTACGGTAATGCCTAGGCCCAGCCTTCAACCGCAGCATCTACCTCCTTCCTGTATCTCTGCTGGCCATCAATTTGCTCAAGGAAGACCTTGTATTTGGCCTCCAGTAACTTCTTGACATTCTTGTCTGCGATCGGCTTCACTGTTTTGCCAGGCTTGCTAAATCTGTCCATGATGTCCCAAAGCGGCTCGCTGTTACCATCTTTGTCGGTGCTCGCTGCCTTCGCACCAAGCATAGCTGCACCATGGACGACCGCAGCGTGAACGTACTTGGGAATCAGTACAGGCATATCGCAAGCGGTCGCTACGAGCTGCATGAGCAGGGTATTCTGGCACTGGGAGCCAGACATGAAGATTGACGAGATGACATGGCCAGAATTATTCATCGTCGACACAATCTGGTGAGTCTGCAGCGCGATGAACTCCAATGTGGCGTAGTAGTACATCGCTAGACCGTCAAGACTCTTGTCAGAGCTCAAGCCGATGACTGAGCCCTTCATGTTGGGATCGGCAATGGGCGAGCGGTTGCCGAACAAATCGCCGTAGAAGAAGAAGTGGCGGCCTAGCCATGAGATGTGTGGTGCATTCTCGCGCTCAGCCATCTCGCGGAGGTGCTCGTTTAGGTAGTCGTAGATGTTCGTGTTAAAAGTCTCCGCAACAGAGGATGCTTCGTTGAATGCGGGATGTGTCTCAATAACGTGCTTGAGCAGTTCGCCTGTTGCACTCTGGCCGCCTTCCGCCATCCAGTACTCAGGTAGCAAAACGTCTCTGTAGGGGCCCCATACACCTGGGACGAAGACGGGGTCTCGAGACATGGCAAGATGGCAAGTCGAAGTTCCTGCGACTGCAGCCAGTCGTGTAAAGGCCTGCTCTACATCGTTCTTTGCGTGACTCATGTCGAGGGTATCTTCGTCGAGCTTGACTTTGGCACCAACGGTACCAATCCAGCCAGCGTAGGCATCGATGACACCACTGCCAACAGCTACACCGGGATTAAGGCCCATCTCTGCGGCCGCCTTCTCGCTCAGTGTCCCGACAAGCTCGCCGGCAGTAAGGTACCGTCCGTTCTGGTGTGTGTCAGCAGGCCCTCGCTCATATGGTGGTGCAGGACAAACCACTTTGTCGACGCCTCCCATGCGCTTGAAGTTATCCTCGCATAGATCTTCCAACCCAATCTCTTTCAGGAAGTCTTCCTGCCATCCCTTCACGCTCCCATCAACACCAACGGGAACGAACCCTTGCTTGCAAACTACACTGCAGTAGCTTCGAGTGTCACTTCCAGTGGCCAAATGTGTAAGCGCGTCACCGAGGTCGTAGAACTTGCAGCGATCGAAGAGCTCTTTCGGCATGTTGTTTTTCAACCACAATACCTTGGGGATTTCCATCTCGATAGACATCTTTCCTCCAACGTAGCGAAGAAGATTGTGGTCGGTCGCGTTGATTTTCTCGGTCTCTTCGACAGGTCGATGGTCAAGCCATAGAATGACATTGCGATCATTGCCGTCTCTGTTGTCAAAATGTGGACCAGTAACGGAGACTGGCTCATCGGTGTCTTCTGTGAAAACAGAGAGCGAGCATGTAGCGTCGAAGCCAATGCCACGAATGGAGTCACGGTCGATGCCGTGTTGGTCCATAGCTCGGCGGACTGAGGAGCAGATGCATCGCCAGATGTCTGTTGTGGATTGTTCCTGGCGCCGTCAGCTCACGTCTCTGTTCTCATGTCAGGTAGGAGTACATAGTAACCGGTCTGTGGCTGCCACAGGCCAATGTTTTCTGAGGCCAGCCCAACAATGTCACCCTGATCGTTCATGATACAAGCTCTGGCACTGCCTGTACCAACATCGATACCAATATAGTGGTCAACATGTGGGCGGATTTCGTTGCGAGGATCAGTCATTTGGCGAGATGGCTGCCGTGAGTTCTGTCTGAAAGGGATTGTAGCTGCCATGGTGGTGTGTGTACAGCTGCAAAGTGGCTTCTGAGTAAAGCAAGGGAGAATTCAAGACTATCAATTAAGCTGGAGCTCTTCGATAGTGTTGAGAGGAGCCTACAGCTCTGGCTGCGTGATGAGCTCATAGCTATGAGGACCCGAGCACCATAGTGGGGGCGGGGCGAATGAAGGGCTTAGTGATCCCCAGCTTTCCAGCAATGAGACCGACTCTCGCTGTCGTCCCCAGAGCCAGCGCGCATGATTTTCTGGACTCTTTCCATAATGGATGGAGAATTGTGGAGATCGTGAGACCCCGGATCCACCTGTTCTGGCATCCCGCGTGCATGTTGTTGGCTAGAAAAAACGCCACTGAGCAAAACCAATTCTTGGGCGAGCACTGTCGCGGGGGTATTCGGGGCATCGCCGAGGCTTGACAGACCTCATAGCGACGCGAGCCGACGCGATGGCAGGGCAACAGATGTGGTCGCAGTTTGCAGGGGAGCTCGCTGGTAGATATTAGTCAGCCGAGCTCTGAGCACTGGCCAAGCGTGTCTTCAACACCGAACACGCATACGAGGCGCCTTATCACAGCCAACGCCAGTATGCTGCTCGCCAAGTTCCTCTTGCTGCCGTTCGCAGTCGCATCGACCGTTACACTTTATGTGTCGTCTGTGCCTGTCTCCGAAGGCACCGCCATCATCCCGTCGGCAATTCCCCTCGCACAGATCGAGTACGATGCAGATCAGTCCGTTGGCACATTGGCTTCGTACACACCACCGACGGGCTCCTACTCCGACGACCATCTCCTCCGCGTCGGGTTGACAGACGCCAAGACTGGATCATGGCGGGGCATCGTTACTTCAGCAGCCAGCTTTGCGGACCAATACCACAAGAAGTTCATCGTGCACGTCGACGAGAAGGGTGAACCGTACCACGTGGGCTTTGGAACAAGCGCAAAGGGTGCTGGAAATGAAGTGGAAGTCGAGATTGTGAAAAGAAACTTGGGACCCAAACCTGTGCTGAACAAACCCATCGTGCTGAATGCTGATGGCAAGTTGGAGGCCAAGGAACCTGAGAAGACCCTCCTGCAGAAGTACGTGTTGTCCCGGACAAAGAAAGGAGATTATGGGCTGACTTCATTGCAGGTACTGGTGGGCTCTTGCTCTCTTTGTGGTAGTACAGCTGGCCTCAGCTGGGGGAGACGGCAAATAAATATCCCAAGATCGGGTTTAGCAAGTGGTATAAATGCTTGGTTGCTACGCGTGTTCTACACTAGCGTGATACTGTGAGATTCGAGCTTTGCGACGAGTTCTCTACCCATGACACTGTGGTCTATGTATTGACCATAGGTCTGTGCCGTCCATCGCCTACTTGTTAATACGAAGGGAAATGTGGCTCCAAGAAAGATACAGCATATGTTACCGGCTCTTACGGGCCCGCCTATCGCAAACCCCAATCCTCTGTGCTTTATAAGATTCAAACTTAGCCCTCGACTGCTGTCAAGTAGGCTGGGAGCCCAGCCGGCCGTCGTAACTTCGCAGTCTATGAGGTCTATGCTGACCTGACGCGCCTGGGGTATTCGAACGAAGGCCTTCGCGAAGTGCCTTCATGTCCGCCTTGGGTCCACTCGTATTAGGGGTTGGCCGGTAGTAGCCTTGAACAGTACTAGAATTAGAGTACCGTAGTTGTTAACGATCCCCGGAGTATTTCTTGTGCTAAGAACCATGTCCACAAACATGGAAAGAGAGTTCACTGGGTGAAGCGTCACTGTCTAGAGACCCTATGTTAAGGCCTGGAAGACTGCCCAACGAAGAAGACTTGTAGATGATCGTGTCGAAGACCAACCCCTGCATGTTCGTATGACCGTATTCTGGGGATACGGAAGCGTATCTACGAGGTTGATCGTGACAGGAGCAGTGTTCCCATTCCCTTCTATGGCAATAGTATTGTTGGCATATGAGAAAGCTTGTCATGCGTTTCCCAAGCACCTGAGAGTATGAGCTCTCAAATCTTATCGATCCGTGTCGTCGCTGCGGCCTGGGTGTAAGACCATTGACCAAATCCTGACGTGATTGCCGGATGCAATAGGTTTGTGGATGGCAAGTAGCACGTTCAGCTCACTTGACATCTTTGCCCGCTTTCTTCGTTACTCCGTGTAACACAGGACCGATGAATGTTGGTTTGGTTACGTGGTTGTGAAGTACCTCGTGGTGATGAGAAATTTGTAAGATCAAATTCAACGCCAGACTGCACAGCCACATCGATAAGCGATATTCGCGAGCATTACAAGCTCACACAGCTGGGTCACGCATGTCAGTGGGCCATGGAGAATCTTTGCAAGAAAGTAGATGATTGATTCCGTGATGGTCTGAAGACGAAAAACGTGCTCGCATCTCTTGCGACCAAACTCCTCGCTTGTCCATTTGAACTCCGTCATGTATTGCTGCGTCATGCTCGTGTCGCTGAAGTCACATGCGAGTCCTCGAGCTTGGCTGTCCGTAACAGGGTATCGTACATGAGTAATTAAGGTATGTCGTCGCGCTTTCAGTAACGTCGGCGGGGTCCTCGTGGCGGTTCACGGCGGCCGCCTTCGCTAAAGCCGTATCTCCCGTCTTGCAAGCTTCCACCTCGGGCAGCGTCGACCTCCATGTCATCGAGTGCTTGCGTGACACGACCAGGTGGTGGTCGAGAGTGGGCAAGTGCGTTACTCGTGGGTGTCTCCTTTAGGTATACGTAGAGAGTTCTACCATCGGCCTGTGCGAATCTTAGTTTTCTGTGCTGGACAAGTGCGAGCGGGCTGTACAAACCTTCTGGCTATTGAAAGTCGCGATCACGTTCTCGGCTCCCTCTCTTGTTGCAAATGTGAGCTCCACCATGACCGTTGGGGAGGCTGTCAGCATCTTGCAGCCAAGGGACTCTCCTCCATGAGGTGCCATGACTGCCTCGATGTCTGACGCCGTTGTTCCAGGGGCGAAGTTACTGGCAATGACTGTGAACGGGCCAGTGCTCGCAACACCTTTGATGCTGAACCCCGGCGCATTGTCGTTGCGTCCGCTTGCGTTCTTGTTCAGAGCAGAAGCAAACTTGTCATATGTCCGGCTGTTGCGATCGATTTGAGAGGCAGAGGCCGGGCGGCCGAGCTTCGCAGCTCTGGCAGGCGGACCATTAGGGTTGTTGACCTTGTGCAGGTCGTGTTGCCATTTCCCATCAATGTTGCCAGAAGGCTTTGCCGACGATGAGCGACCCTTCTGGATACCGGCACCTCCGCTTATGCGACTCAGGAGCGTCGGCTTCTCCGGTGGCTGTCTTGACTTTGCGCCGGAACCCGATGTTGGGGTTGCTGTGCGGCCGCGAGAGCCTAGGAACTGCTGTGCAAGGTTCTCCTTCTGTTTCTTATCTCGCGATTCCTTGACGAAGCTAGCGAAGTCGGTCATGGTCGTCGATAATGGTCGGAGGGTTTGACGACTGGTGTAGAATCTGTTGGAGAGGTACAGCGCGTACGTCGAGGCTGCGCGTCGGTGTTTGGCGTGGAAGGAGCGACACGCACGGTTCGCCGGAGGTCTCTGCGCCGGCTCCGCCGCTAGCAGCAGTTTCCCTTCTTAAAACTTTGAGCAGCAGTTTCCTTTGCACAACACAACAGCCACGCGAGGTAAGTCACGCTCCTGCTCTTTGTATCTACACTTTCCATGAGGAACATACGTGTCGCCCCTATCTTACATGTAATATGGTGATCCGACCACTCAAGCCAAACGAGATGACTGAACTTTTCCAACTTTTCCGAGATTGTTATGAGATTGCGCCTAAAGAGCTTTCGCTAACTCATTCAAGCTGTTTGTGGGAACGACACCGGTCCTCTTCATTGTAGCGCTGCATCGCATGCTATGCGCACTGGTCGTGCTGCTTGGCCTCCATCGTAGCTCAGCGGAGCGCGTCCCTAGAAATCCGATCCGTCAGACCACGGTGGTATTGGACGTCGCTGAGCTACGCAAGACCTCAACACGTTAGTCCTACCTTTCGCATCGCCTTTACACTCCCTCTGCAATGATGAGCAACCTTAGTACTATCAAATACCGACCTACTCAGTGGGGATCAAAACAAGTTCGATTACCTGATACAATTTCCATCTTCACGCTCAGTAACCGTCTTTTGATGAAGTGCGAGACTGACATGAAATCAGATTTGACAACCCTAGACCCGCTGCAGGACTCACAGGTAGTGTGCACATGTCAAGGTACGTGCTTGTCCTTTTTTTTTCCTACTACGCTTGCATGATGTTACAATACTCCATGCTAACTCCTATGGCCTTCGGGTTGATGCTGGATAATACGTAATCTTTTCATCTTTCATCTGATTTGCTTTCTTGACACTGTCTTATCAATACAGCGATTGTCGAATTTTACTGACCTCGCCACAGAACTTTCTATGATGAATGTAGAAGCAGAAGCCTTAATGTCAGACGATTGTACATCAGTGTCTAGCGTGAGCAGTAGTGGCGGAAGAGCAATGACAGTCGTAGTAGCAGAAATCACAGATATATTGGTTGCCCGTGCACATTGTTTTCCCCTACGCACTTCGGCTCCATGATGGCGGATCATAGATCTTCGATTCCGTGACGACCCTTTCGGCGACTCCGTGGCGTTTCGCGCCCGGAAGTACTATGCTTCCGCATGACGTTACGTTTTCCCGGAGATCTGGTGTTACACACGGCGGACCATGTCTCAGGCCCACTCCGGTGTGAGGTATGTACCTCACCCTCACATGGTGCTCCCTATGACGACCCTATCGGATTAAGCCCAGCGCCAGCACGTTCACGCATGCATTCAGACTAGTTCTCAAACCAGCATTATCTCGCTGATACCGAACTTATAGCAGGTCGACCTCAGCTACTCAGCTGGTCAAGGTCTTGACGCTCGGCCACTCCTTCCTTCATCGTCGAAACAATAGGCCAATGCGGTTAGTGCATCATTTTCGAGTCCCAACTCTCCGGGCTAAAGAACATTCCCAAACTACTATGCACTTCCTTTTTAGCACCATCGAACCACTGCAGTTCACTCATTGCGACACTCGCTCCTTGTACTTCAGCAACCAGCGTGCAATCCTTGCATCTGCAGATCCACGGCACCACTGCACCACGGCTAGGCACCACTATCATAGGGTGACACTAGAATCAAATGCTCGCGCAAGACAAGCATGAAGGCAGCGGAAACACCGACCGAACGGCGTCAAAGAGACAGTCGAGACGTCCCACGAAGTTTATGTTCATCGACTCAAGCAATGGTGGTGTGAACGCAAAACCAGACAGGGTCGTCAGATCCTTTGTCATGAAGTCAGCTAGAAACAGAAAGTCGTGGAGCACTCGGCCAAAAAGTCCGAACGAGGGGGAGGATGTGCAGACAATACGTCAAAAGCAGCTTCCTGACCGTACCAGTAATCAAGACGCGCCTACTCCCACCAATCCATGGTCACCACAGAATTATCGCAAAGATTCTTTATGGGATAGCTATGCTGTTCCGTCGCCAACAAGCAGCAGGAGTGGCAGTGTATTCTCCACCTATAGCAGCAATCACACGTGCGATAGCCCAATGTCAGGTCACACAAGCCCCTTTGCGGAGTACGATCATGCGGACCACGTACACAATCCCCCGCTCGGACGGCAAACCGTGACACATGGTGATGGCTTCGACTTCGGTTTCACAAAGCCACTGAATTGCCTGTCAGTCCGTTTAGATGCACGCATGCAACAACTTCTCGACCAATGTTAGCAGAAACCCCCGTTCCCAAATCATTCGTATGCTGAAATTTGCCTAAGTTGTCGAAGGATCTGCACCAAGACTCATACCAGTTGATCTTCACAGGATCTCGTCTGCCACCACCACAGACTGGATAGCTAGGTGCATTACAAGTCCACACGGAGCGCCGTATATCTATGCAGCCTTGACGGCATCTGCACGTGCGGTCGGGCTCAACTGCGAGGCTTACAAGTGGCAAGCTGTCACCGAGATCAACAAGCTACTATCAGACCCAAATACTAGTACCGATGATACAACTATTGCTTCTGTTCTGATCTTACTCGCCTTGGAAGAATCCGCTCTTGCAGATCCAGGGCGGCAAGGCAGCGATAGGGAGCGGAGCTTGTCTGCAAACAGTGCTCATCGTAACGGTTTGAGGACGATGATAGGGCAAAGAGGCGGGCTTGCTGCGCTCCAGACCAACCGTTGCTTGCAGGTCTTCATATTGATGTAGGTGTTCTGAAACCCTCGACTCTTTGGCTCGAACGAGACGATGACCTCGAGTCACCCCTGCAGCATTCCTCTGCATGTATTTGTTCCGGATACTGACGTCATCTTCCAGGCACAGTATCGCTCAGTGTATCACTACATTCAAACGGCCCTATGCGCTGCTGCTAGATCGCATGGGTCAGGTTGAGGATTACAGCATGGTATCAGGCTTTGAGGCATCTCGAAACGACAGCGCAACGTCTTTCCACTTGTTGTGTTCTGATGTGGCGTTACTCAAGATTCTACGCTCTCTTGATCATTTCACTTTGGATCTTACCAACTGGTATGACAAGGGACGTACGCCCCGCCTCCTCGACCCCATTGATATTCAGAAACACGGGTGTCTACTGATGTACCAGCTATTTGATTGGTACAAGACAGATGAGGCCTCCGAACTTGCTGGAAGGCCGGCGAGTGGACCCACTGATCAGAGTATCTGCCTGGGGCATCTTGTCTTCCTAGTCATCGCCACAGAGCCGCATGCTCACACCTTTGGCTCCCGGCTCTCGAAGATGGTGAGTAAGCTTCGACGAGCTCTGCAGCGAGTTCCCACGTCGCAATGGATGATAGTGCCGGATGCGTTTCTTTGGACTCTCACTATGGGTGCGCTTGGTGCGAAGGGTTTGCCTCGATCTCAACAAACCAGTACCTCCGAGTTCAGTTTCTTCGCACAATACTCTCAACTGTCATTTACACTGACGACGGAATATAATGGATTCGTTACTGCGGACAGTTTATTGCATCGAGCTCATCGATGTCCGTGGATCTCATCGGTTTTCGATGCACAGGCGAGAAGGGTATGGGCGCAGATGGGTCTTTGCCTACCAGACATCGTTGACATGTACGAGTCGAGTAGTGAGGAGGAAGGAGTTTTGATTGACAACGAGCATGCAGTAGGTCAGTCGACCACGGCGAGGTTCTTCCCCGCTTCGAGGCCGGGATCCAAAAAGTCAAGCCCATCGTAGAAAGTAATTGTGTGAAACTTGGAGGTACGATACTATGCAATATCACTTTGATCGTCGAGCTCTACGGGCAATATGTATTGGCTGAAAATGGGACCAAAAATTTGACTTTGACATGCATATCTTGCGTTTACGGCATATAATCGGTCTATGCATGTTTGAGCTCTGCTCTGACAACTGTGTTGGTCTTCCTTCAGGCATCGATTGGATCTTACATGTCTCATCGATTACGCAACCCTGGGCTGTAGGCCAACAGCGGCCAGGATCTGACCTTCTAGGCTCTTGATATCAACGCCTGCCACCCAAGACATAGTTATAGTGAACGCCTCCTTCATTCAACGATAACAGATAATTGGAGCACATTAGGCTGAGCATCATACCTAATTCTACATCTAGCTTTAGAGTCATGACAATCACTCGAAGTACCTGAACCTCGCTGTGTGAAGTTACAAGGACACGTCACGTTCTGTTTGTGAAGAAGAATAGAACAGAGTTTACGTTTGTGGCCAGGCGTAAATTTCCACCGTAGGGGAGAATAGTGCCCCCGACTGGCGCTTTCATGGGGTCAATCACCGACCTAGTGGGCTATATGCGATACACTTTGTCTTGTCTTGTGGGAATCTCTCTGTCCACTATTTTGAGTTTGTGTTCTTACTCGCCAGGTGTCAAAATGGGGTGGCCTTGAACCACCCCGTATAAAGATGTATCATGCGTCAATTTTTAGACATGATAACTATGATGACTTCGACAAGAACTCCGCATTGGTATCTGTAGAGGTGAATACAAACTCCAATACCTACTCACAGCATGCCTCTGTGAAGTGAGTAGTGCATATATTTACTCGCGAAAAAGACCACAACATACCTACTTACAGCGAGTGCTGACTTTGGCACATGTGATATCGCAGTCGCGTCAAGGTTGGACCTTGGCCGAATACAAACTCTCGCTTCGCATTGCAAGCTCACCAAGAGCACTCACCTGATCCACGAGAACAGACCGCAGCTCTCAGTTCACACCAGACTTTCAATATCGCAACACCCAATACAAAGCCGCAAACAACCGCTCTTTACCACGTACCTGTAGATCTTACACAAAACTCCACCATCACATGAGATACATACCAGCCCCCCCAGTCTGGCAGAAAACTTACGCCTGGCATTGGCTCCACCCAATCTGCCAAGCCAATGCATATCTATGTAGCATGTGGCCGACCCTCCGCCAGCCGAGCCTAAATGCTCAACACCATGCCAAGCTAGTCAGGAATACTCACGATATACGGTGTAGGAAGCGACCTAGCTCCAGGCACGATACGGTCTGATACGACCGAACCTCGGACGAACGATACGGTGAGTTCGACGATTTCACCGGATGGTCAGTTTAGAGTTCGCTAGCGCATCGCATGCTCGCTCGCAGGCTTTTCCGTGATGCTGCGGGCCGGCAGCTTTTTCCGCAACCTTTGCAGAAGTGAAGCGCTTCGCTCGTCGCTCGGAGATCTGCCAGGTCTCAAGTCTGGTGATCAGTGAGATGCACAGGGCACAGGTTGTGCGCCCTATGGTGGGAAATTGCTCGCGCCTGAATTGTCAGCTGCATGTGCTCCTGGCAAACCCTGCGCAGGTCTTTTTTTCTGCCGGTGGGGCGCACTGGGCTTCCCGCTGTAAGTGCGAGGAATTTTGACAGCGGGGCTTGATTTCTTTTCGAGATCCGTGCGACGAGTCAGGCTGCCGTCGCGAGGCAGCAGGCAGCCTTGCCTTCCTGGAATGAAATATTCTGCCGAGTTGCGGCTCGGCGCGAAAATGCGTGCTGGACCCACTCCCATCGACCGAAATGCAGGTGCTGGCATGCAAGGGAGCATGTGTTTTCTCGAAAGTTCAAAGGGTGGAGTCTTGGGCTGACACATGCTGATTGACAGCTGGGATGGCCTCGTAGCCGCGTTGTGCGCATTCTTGGTTGTCGAAACGCCCAACAAACATCAGAGTGGTACTCAAGTCTCAGGCTACGACTTTCGTGCGAGTACCTACGCGTCGCCTGATGGCCTTGTCCGCGCGTTCCTCACATGCAATTTCTAGAACGACCGAACGTGTAATCCGGGTGCACGCGCGATCAAGCGTTCTCGATCTGGATAGCAACAGGATGAAGGATGCTGCCAATTCCGTATGTGAAGATTGGGTCGTGGACGTCATGAAAACACACTTTCCTGTTCGATACGATGCGTCACGTTGATAGCCTGAGACTTGTTCAACAGCATGATAGGTAATATGTAATGTCGTTTTGAACAACCTCGGTTAGCGAGCGGCAGAGACGTTGGTGTTCTGGTGAGCGTTCAGATAAGATTAGGATGTGGCTGGACGTGGCTGTCCCGGCAGTGCACCCTGAGTCTACCGTAGACTGAGGCTCAAAGTTCACACGACGAGCACCAGTGTTCAGCATCAGCACACCTAGTTGGCGTCCAGCATCAGCAAAGACCAGCTAGCACATTCAAGCGTGCGATAGGCCTCCGAGAGTGTCGGTTGAGCATTCAAGGACAAGAGAGAGGCTGGATGGATCTGATCGTCAGGCGCCTCATTGCGACGTGGAGACTTCGAAGCCACCTGTTGCTGTTGGACCCCAGTGGAGGTTGGGGCTGCCCGGAGGCGCATTGCCCCTTTGTGGCGAGTTCGACCACCGCACAGCTCATGTTGATCTTGTGTGGAGATTGTATGGAGAACTGTTGGCCAGACCGTCTTGCGTCGCAGTCAATCATCTCAGCGGAGGGGATGATAGGCATTCACACTGCCAACTCATCAATCGCATTGAATCGGCCTCTAGCAACTGCAATTGGAGGACGCTAACTCACACCGTGGTCGTTGAGCCGAGCCAAGAGATGCAGATTCGATGCGTGCCTGTTTCACGATGAAGTCGGTGAGCGAAACAGCTTCCTGCGCGACGCTTGTCGCGCTCTAACACTCAACATCGCACACCGCATAAGGAAGGAGCGGTACGTATGGCGTACGGGCTCCTAGAACCACAGATGAAACGACGAGCGGGCGGTTGACGATGCCAACACTGCACTCGGCCTGCAGCTTTCAGACTTACCAACTGAGACAAGCAAGTGTGGAGGGGCCTGCCGGTGTCGCACAGCTGCAGCGTGGAGAAAAAGGGAGATCAGCATGGCGACACCCTCTTCGCATTGACAACGTGGGGTCGAAGTCCCTGCTCTGATCTGGTGCAAAAAGTGTAAGGGTCATCCAAAGTCTTTACCAGGGGTACCTACTGCGATCTTGCGATGCTGTATCATTGCTCACGATCAGACAACCCGTTGTTTGGCTGCATGCACGTGATGACCGGAATTCTTGAATCCCATCGTCCGCTGCCAAACCGTTTTGGCTCTGTTCACGCACCAATAAGGACTCGGCCGAGTTGCGACGGAGCGGAAAGGAAATGTGACCGTAACCGTTCCCCCTCGGCATGACTCTGCACCATGACCTGCATGCCTACCCTGATCGGAGCCAAGTAAACCCCGACGGGACGAAGCAAGCCAGGAAACCCGAGCAGTACCGGCGACCTGCGTCCTAGCGAATACGCTGTACACGCAATACGCTCAGGCTGCAGTTCTGTACGTGGCTAGCCGAGGAGTCATCTGGCATTGTGCAGCGTGCAGGTCGGCGGAGCACTTTCGTAAGACACGTCGCAATGCCTTGCATCTAACGGGCTGGGGAGGCTCAGTTGTGTGGCAGTGAACTCACCGGAAGCGCAGTTTCGAATGGCAGGAATTGCGATGGTTGGAGCAGATCGCTCGCGTGCGGCGCACAAGATAGCCGCGTGTCACCGTGCTGATCGCGACGCGCGACTGCCTGGTGCCGCAATGGGCAGGCGCGACCGCACCTCACTAAAAGTCGGTGACTGTCGGTCAGGCAGAACTATTAGCAATTTTTCAACAACGCGATAGCCTGGAAAATATTGCGGCCTGGAGTCTGCAGTCAACCTGAATGCGAGGTGTTATCAATCCCATACTCGGCGACGTGCATGAAAGGCAACAATGCTGCGCAGCGTGACCGATGCTTAATCATTTGTTTTTGATTAGCGTGCAGACCGCGGCGATATCGTCACATGGAAAAAGAGGCACGAGATGCTTTTGATGAGATGATCACTTTGATTGATAGCTCTAGCTATTGCAAGGGGGAGTCTCAACCAGCCAATATGGGGGAGAGCTCATACCGCGCCCTGCGACCAGTTTCCCAATCCATACTCTTATATAAAATTCCGTAGATCTGAGTAGAGTTCGTTCCGTCCATGCTTCATTGCAGTTGTACTGCAGTAATAAGAAAAAGAAAATAGGTATAATGCTCGAAAATGCCACGCTGAAAAGGACTCGCTCGCTAAAATGCTGGATCAAATGCAAAAACAAATCACAAGGTCGCCGAGGCAACTTAGTAACTTGAGATGAGAGAAGCATTTGTATCCATGAATAGCGGCTCGTCGTCTTCGAGGTATTTCGATGGTGTCTTGCTGGCGTAGAATGTTGTTGTGAGCAAAGCCTCCTTCTCTGAGAATTCGAGCGATGCAGTGGGCGGCGATGTAGGCGGCGACTCGTCCTCGGAGTCCTCCTCATAGACGAGCTCGGGTGGTGATTGGATTTGCGAGGGGACACGAGTGAGAGTGAGCTCAGCGTCATCCTCCATGTCGTCGTAGTACTCCTCCTCATCCTCATCCAAGTCAAGCTCAACTGTGGAGATCTGGATGGGTGCTTGTGCGATGCGGCGGGGCATAGGGATCATGTCGAAGTCGTCATCGAAGTCAGACTCGGAGTCAGAGTCGGACTCGTCGTCCTCCTCAGCGATGCTGTCGGCCCACTGGATGTGTCGGGGCTCCTCAACCTTGGAGGTCTTAGCCATGGTCTGGTTGAACCATGCTTCTTGCTGGCGCTCGGCGTCTTGAAGTTCGATCATGAGGCTGTCGAGGAGGTTGGCGTGTCCGACAAGAAGGCGGAGGTCGTGGTCGGACCTGCAGGCTTCCTTGCCCAGCTTGGAGCGGGCAGAGGCGGCGATGTAGTAGGTCTGGGTGAGAGACATCTTCTGCTTCTTCTGGGGCGGCGATGAGATGTAGCGGGAGGCAGTGGTCTCAGCAGAGAACGGCTCAAAGTGGGTTTGTAGGCGGAGGTGCGATGTGGAAGGCATCTTTGTTATGTAGTTGTAGAAATATATGGCTAAGAAATGAGTCAGTTTGGTGACTGGAAGGCAGGACGAGGACGTACGAACCTTAATGTGCTAGCCAATGGGTGGAAGGTGATCCGAGCGTGGTATCTCCGAGATGTATGATGTGATTGTAATGTCGTTGTGATGATGTACCCGATATGTCAAGTAGATGTAGTCGACTGATGATCCTTTTGTTTGTTGTTTGATGTGATGCTGAATTGGTGCCCTGCAAGAAGTGGGCAAGCGTGTTTCTTATGTTTCTGGCGCTCGGAGGATGACCACGAAGCTTAACGGCATCTCGGAATTATTGGCGTTGTTTCCACTTTCCACCGCCCTTGACCGAGCGGTGAATCATAGGCGACAGGGGTGCCAGCTTACGCTACCAAACGTGCGCACGCCAGCAAAGCCTTCGGCCGATCCGGCGATTTGAGTGTCCCCTCGTGCTAGTGCATCCGGGTTCACCGCACTCATGCGCACGGAGAAGAGACGGACATACAGAACCCGCTGTGCCATGGTTCACTCGATTACCTATCACGCTTGCAGCAATTTTTGCGTTGTCGGTGTTTACTCGCAACGACGCATCTGGCATGCCGTCACCATCTGCATGGCTCTGGTTCAGGCACCAGCAACTTGTTACCCCGTGCAATGTATCTGGGTGCGCGTTGTTGTGCTGACAGGGGCACACGAGGTTGGAGGGTGCCTGGCTGCGCTGGGGTTGCTGGCGTAAGGCTCTCAGCTACAGCCACGGTGCTCTGCAGGCAGAGCGGTCAACCCTTCAATCTGTGGCTGTCAACGTGTTCGGGCATCGGTTGCCCGCTTACCCTGCCTTACTTGCACCCCGACCCGCAAAAATCCCTTTCTTTGTCCGCCTAGCGCCTCTCGCTCGCAACGCGAGGCTGCCGGCCACCGACTCTGCCACAGCTGAGATGAGCATTCCTACAATTTCCTTAGATTGGCTGGATCACCTCAATGCGAATAGTAAACAACATTGACAGCAACTGCTCTTTTGGGCAATTCCAGCCCATTCCAAATGTGTCCGCGCCTGACAAAGTCTCCGCGCATGACAAAGTCTCCGCAGATGAGCAACTGCTGTCGGACTGGGCGTCACGATAGCACCGCGCGGAGGAGTCGGACCAAAGCATCGCGACAAATTAGGGATGCGCATGATCGACGACGGGTGCAGCTGTCATCACCCCGCGCGGACGAATGACCACGACGATAACCATGAACGGAGGTTCGGTGCTCTAAAGTTCCTCTTTCCCCGGATCATCTGGAGACCGGCCAGACCACGCAGTTCTGTCATCCAGCGCTGCTTCACGTCATGAGTCGAAAGCTCAAGATGTCTGCAGTCCCGCATTCATGCTGAAAGGGCGCACGCATGTGTGACTCGCACGTAACCAAGGTACTGAGGGTAGCTTACATACGCTCGCGCAACTGTACATCTGATTGGTGGAGATAGCTCGCTTTGTAACGAGTGCTGAACAATCTTGTCTGACAAACTGCTGTGCTGCTAATCATGCAGTAGCCTCCACCTTAACGTTATTCGCAAACCTTGGAGCCTGATGACATAAAAGTGCTGATTTACGAGACACTTATCGCTTTCGCATGTTAGCAATCAATTGCGCCATTCTGCCATGGTGTTTTCGGGTCGCTTCACCACCAGGTTGGTTCAAGACTATCGACTCTTGCAAGACGAAGTTAGGTACTGTCAATACTACCATGCGACATTGACGATGCAATCTGCCGCACATTCCATGCAGCTTCTATTTTCGCACGTCAAGCATCGTCCTCCAGAAGCGCTGCACCACAGCCGTCGCACCGTTTCCGCGCCAACTCCACACGTTCACGCCTCGATGGGATGGTCATGCCTAATGCGGTAAAGCGCCAGTCAGCTGCTCGCTTCCCATGCCAGTTCCTGCCTGGCCTCACAGGTTGCACAGCCATTGCGCAGTAACGACACGAACGGGAGTAGGAATAGTACAAGTGCTTCGTCTCTCCATTAGGTACTCACCGCTGGCTCTGTACGAGGCTGATTGCTAGATTGGCAAACGCGCACGCCGACAACGGGCGCAATGCATGCACACTGCCCCAGTGTTGCGAGTGCAGTACAATGCGATGCTACCACGCGATTCGACATCGCTTCGGGCGCCAGTATGAGTTGATACTTGCTTACACTTTCTCTCGGAACGCAGTGCCAGCGTGACAGCCACTGCTGCTAGGGATTATTATCATCCTAATTGAGCGAAGGCTGCGAAATCAGGCCGCATTGCAGTCGTGAGCCTATTACGCCTGCAACTCAGCCAAACGATATCTACATTGACCGGTTTCGAGACAGCATCGTCGATCCAGTCGCACACACAGCCCACGCTGGAGTCCTGGCTCCGTCGTCTTATGCCATTGGTAATTTTCCTTCTAGAAGACCCAACGCTCCGGTAGCCGCACTGACGTGCACTGACTAAACACCAGGGTCTGCTGCAGCCCTACGGCCCTACGCTTTGACACTCAAACCTGAATCACTTGTCGTTGCCCAGCCAAACCGCAGGTCCCTGACAATGTTGCGGTCCTTTCTCGCTCCACAACCCAGCATCTACCCAGCTCCATTGTTCCCTGGGCTGGTTGGGCGAGACAGGCACTCGCTGTGTGAGGCACCATTCATAAGCAAACACCTGGTTGTTTGAAGCGCGCACCCGTCTTGCTAACTGCAAACAGTTGCAGTCTTGCGTTGTCTGAATCAATCAGCAGCGCTAGAGCTTACTTTGCAGACTTTCTGCCGCGGCCCGGAGAATCTTGAATGATCCAGTGCAGTACACAGTCGATGGTCACAACTGAGGACACAAAGTTCAAACCCATAAACTCCAAATGGCTATCAAAGATTGTTACTCGTCCAAACTCAAAGGGCTGCGTGGATTACCGCAATCATTCGGACTCTGTATTCATGGCGATCAGATAAACATGGTAGGTCAGCGACGCAAATCATAGTATCCTCTAGTTCTGAGAACGAACGTGTGGTATCCGACTGGAAAGATGACCTACGTACACAGCATTGTCTCATATTAAACCGCGAGCTCGCCTCGGCTTTGCCAGAGTCTACTCAAAAGCTGTGGAAGTTCATGCGTCCCCATGAGTTTCCAGGCCATACATTTAAGCAGTATCGTCAAGCAACCCTTACAATTTCATTGTCGGAGATCTGGTACTGAGATAAAAGTATACGGACACGTTCAATCGCATATAGACCTTGGCCGTAAGGTGTTGGATGTTTCAACGTCTATGGCAACACTCAAATTCAAACAGCAGCATGAAACGAATGACAAACTCAGCAACAATAATAATGCAAAGCTAAACGACTATACGAAGGACCAGGGGAATCAAAAGCACCAGAAGACACGCCCGATTGCAGTCCTTCATTTCCAGACATTTGCCTAGCATGTCTTCTCGAGCTTAATCATGTCTCCCAATCAGCGGCGTCATGGCTATTGTTACTAGATCTATATCTCGATTATATGTCCTCTCACGGCTTAATCTGCAAGCAACAACCACAGCTCGTCCGCTTCTGCTTCGCCGTGCTTATCCTCGATTAACTCAAACACATGCCATATCCCACTCAGTCAAAGATAGGGCGAGCCACTACTGTGGTCAAAGTTCGAATCCGTGCGCAAAAAGCATTAGGATCATACACAAGCATCTGCATGTCGGCCCGGATCTGTCTATGCAGCATGTGCCACAGCGAGGCTGAACACTAGATTTATCTGCGCTGGACTTGCTACTTTCTTGACTTGCGAGTTTAAGGAATTATTTCCGTGGCAGCCTTGCTTCATTGCTGAGGCTTTGGCACGATCCTTTCACCTGTCTAACACTGGTTGCTGCGCGCGATCAGCACTTGATACGTCAAAGTCAAGCTTGGAGCCTCTTAGCGAAGGGCGTTTACACAGGAGTCAGGCCGAATAGGCCGTGGACACTAAAGCGCTTCCATACCGGCGGACTCAACGGACTCGATAGCACCGAACACCCCACAGCCATCATGCACATGGATGGGCCCGAGTACGTGCACTTGACTGTTCCTTTCGCCAGGGTCTTCGTCTCCACTACTTCTGGCTTTCGAACTCGAGTCAGTATAAGAGTTTGTTGTCAGTAGGGTCAGCGCTGCTTGTACGGCACTACCTCGCAATATCTAGATGATGTGATCTCCTATACCAGTGTAGGCGTAGATCTGCAAGCGAATCTCGGTAGGCTGATGACGTCTTTGAGTCCCTGCATCAATACCAGTAGGGTTGGAGTACATAATGCAGGTGTTGCGTATGTCGCGTCGACGGTTGGTCGGGTCTTGGACGTGCATTGCGCCGTGAAAACCCTTTCCCCTTCTGTAGCGAGATCTCTATATCTACACATCAACTTACGACACTTCCCCACATTACAGCATGTAGCTTCCTCAAAAGGACTTAGAGGACGTCGATTATCGAGAGATACGTACGAGAAGGTATGGCTACTCGAGTAGCCCCGAGACGGCCCTCGCTTACGGCATGTTACGGAAGCACGAGCACATACCGTCCCTAACATTGGCTCATGGAGTTGATAAACGGTCGATCCCATGAGACTTTCTTATCACAGCAATGGGTGGTTCGATCAGTGACAAGAGTGTGATGACATTGCTCCACATCACAGGTCGCATCTCAAGCGCATAGCTCACTTTGGATCGTCTCTCATGTTACCAAAAACGTGGGCTACATGTCGTCAATACATAGCCTAGTTGGAGTCTTTCATATTTGTCTGGGGGAATTTAGTAAGCAGACAAGCAGATATCAGACCACAGAATGTTTCGCTGGAGAAGTAAGATATTCTTGGCCACGCCATACAAACCTAAAATGATTGCGCTTACCTCCTGTCACTTCTGCAACAAAATGACTGTATCCAACATTTTGTATTCTAGCATGTATCACAGACACCACTAAAATCATAGGAGTGCCAGATCCCACCATGCTGGCTTCTCAAGGATACCACACAAAGAACATGTTGATACTCCACCGCATCACAGCCTTGATGACAGGTTGAATGCGGAGTAAACATGATAAACCCGGAGATCTGATGTCCTGCTGACATGTCTTTTGACATCAGAGGTAGAGAGAAATGATGAGCGGACTTGTATCAATCGCAGAAATGATTAAAGAAGACTGACGAAGACAAAGGAAGTATACTCTCCTTACAGCGCATATTCACATTGTGTGAAAAGTATAGTGACACAGTGAAAAGAGCAGCGGTCATGAATGGCATGAGCAGTATGTAGAGATCAAGAGGAAAGGGCAAAAGAGCGAATACAAGTGAGCAAGCTGTTGAATATTATGGCTACAATATTTAAGATGAGCGGCAAATATCCAAAGTATGAAGTTTGTTTTCGAGTTGCGAATGAAGCAAGATTGGCGGTCGTGTTGCGCGGAACGGAGAGGGTAGATCTGGAACCAACCTTCATCAATTGATTGCTGCAATACCTACAGGTATGGTCCAGCGCGTCGGAAGCAAGGAGAACTGACAGGAACCTTTTCCTCGAGAGCCACGTCCCGACGTCTTCTCTTGGCTTGCAATGCTCGATAATCGCACGGTATGACAGACCCTTCACAGCCTCGCCGACCAAGTCCACTCCTTTCTACTCTCAGATCCACCTATCGACACCTCCGGCACCCGTGAAATGCATTGATACTGCGAATAATACCTAAAACATCCTGTCGCCTGTCCACGTGCAGTAGTCTGCCAGTGTCGCCGCACTGAAAATTGAGCCTCGACCTACCAACTACTCTCTTGCCTATTCTCTGAGACATCCCTCACCCGATCAGTCGCCTGCTACGTGCCTCATGCTAAGAGTGCCATGAGCGTGCTTTCACCATATCGAGAGAATGCTGAAGAGAGCCCCCAGCAAGCGTCCCTTGGTATTATAAATACACTGCGGCGGCGACACGAAGCCTCCAGCTCTCCAGTGCGTACTTCCAAACACAATCCCACATCGAACCATCCTACCTGAAGACATGTATCAAAGCCACCAGCCCGCGCCTACGATGCCCAGCGAGACGTACCGCGCAGTCCAAGGCCCCGTTGTGCGCCCTCGCGGCCATGCCTCGCAGCGCCACATACCACCCACACCACGCGTTTCCGGCAAGCCTCGCAATACCGAATCGCCTACTCTGAACAACCCATCTCTACGGCCCCGGTGTCAGGCTCCTGCGCAGTCAGCGCAACACACACACCCCGCGGCGCTCACCCCCGGGTCCCGAGGCGCAGCACGCACTGCCCTCCCACCGGAGTCGTGTCTCCACGCCTGCACGCCCGCGCCCGCTTTAGCCGTGGAATCTGGGCCCTTTGAGCTCGACGCTCGCACCACGGCATGCATAGCGGCGTTGGGTGTGAATGAGCCCGCTCTCGCCGGGAGAGAGGGGCGCGAGGGGGGATTGCGGCGCGAGTTTGGGTATCTGCGGGCGTGGATTGAGTGGGGCGGGGCTTCTTGTTCTCCCTCGTCTCCTTCGTCTCCGTCTGCATCTCCATATCCATCTCCATATCCACCACCCCTCGCCCCCCGCCCCCCTCCACGCCCTTCTCGGACGCGCCACGCACCACCACCCCTGACCACGCCGTCGACACGCGTCCCCGTTATCACTCTCACTGCGCCGTCGCCGGGCCTGCTGTCTCCTATGCGGGTGTTCGTTGCGTACTGGGACTGCTGCGGTGGTGGGTAGGATCTGCGGTACTGCGCGGTTGGATGGTTCACGGCTGCCGCGGTTGGGGGAGCCATTGGGGGGTTGTGTGTGATGATGTGAGGTGGATGGCGTGCTGAGCTGGGGCGTTACGGTAGCGGGATATTCGGTCTACAGTATGGCGTTCTGGGGCTGCATTTTGATGAGTTTCTTGGGGCGTGAGTATGGACCATCGTGTTGTTAGCACATGCCCATGTATTGGTATCACACCAAGCGGTAGATGCGAGGATAATAAGTTAACCTGAATGAATGGAACATTGTAGATTTCACTACATAACCGTGCTTACCGCGCACTCCTCACCCACCCAACAACACCAACACTGTACCCAACCAACCCCCCGACTCTCTCTCGCTCCCTCTTCGCCTCACCCTGCCACACCCGGAGCATCTCCACAAGCTCCTCGTCGCGCGCCACCACGTCCCCGTGCAGCCGCAGAAATACACTCATCCATGCCTGGACGAGTTCGTAGTCGCGGCGCTGGCGCAAGCGCGCCGTGAGCGCGGAGATGAAGGTCCTCAGTTCCGTGAACGGGGCGGTTGTGTCGAGCGTGCGGATAGCGATATCTGCAGCGCTGGGAGGCAGGCTGGCGAGGAAAGCGAGCGCGGGGGCGTGCGCGTCGGGCTGGTCTGCGGGCGCAGCGAGGAGGCGTGTGAATTCGCTGGTGGAGGACGCGGCGGCGGAGCGGGAGGCGAGTGCGCTGCTGGAGATTCTGCTTGTGGACTCGGCGGCGTCGAGGGCAGGGGCGTCGGTCTTCTCGCCGACGGTCGGGAGGAAGAAAGGCGCGTGTTCGGGGGCTTTGGGGGCTTCCTTGGGCTTGTTGCGGGCGCGGATTACGTCGAGGTGGAGGAGGGTTTGCCATCTGCTCTTTGGCACTAAGCTGAGGGTTGTGATTTTGTCGCTCAGTTGATCCATGACGGGCACGGCTGTGACGTCCTCCTCTTCCTCCTCGCCTTCTTCTTCAGCCAGCGTGATGATGTTCTCGCCGCCCTCGCCGGAGGCAGTTGGTGCGGCCACATTGGCAACGTCTGTATCGGAGATCTGTCGTGTGGGGACGTGGGCGAAAAGCGTCCGGTTTGCGAAGATGTGCACTCCCACTTCGCCCTCCAGACCGGTCGCAAGGAAGTCGCCGGCAGGCGAAAAGGCGACGCTGTTGATGGGCTTGGGCAGGCGCATGGCGTCGATTAGATGACCTGTTGGGAGATCCCAGACGCGGACTGTCGAGTCCGAGGACGCGGCGATGATCCAGCGACCGTCGCTGGAGAAAGTGTAGTCGATGGTCGTGACGGGGGAGGAGCGCGTTGCCCAGAGCTCACGGATAAGCTTGCGGGTAGTGATGTCGAGGACGCGGAGCGAGCCATCGTCGCAGGAGAGCGCAATCAGGTCGGAGTTGGGATGGTAGCGGAGAGAGAGGATCTTGACCATAGGATACCAGTCGATCTCGTGGAGCAGGGTGCCGGTCGCGAAGTTCCAGAACTTGATCTTACCATCGTCGGAGCAGGAGACGACAGTCCTGTTGAGCCCGTCAATGGCGAGACCAGTGACAGCTCCCCTGTGCTTGCCTTCGCCCTTTGCAAAGGTCTTGGGTGCGTCGTGAATCTCAAGGCCAGTCGACTCCTCAAGCTGAAGTTGATGCAGCTTGTACTTCTTCGCTTCAGCTGGAGTCAGGCGCGCCGGAAATCTACGACGGTGCTGTCCAGACTGGAGGTTGAACATATCGATAGAGCCACCGGCGGATCCAATCAGAGCGAAGGTGCCGCATGGCGAGACAGCAACACTCTTGACCTCGGTGCCGTCGCCTGTGTCGAAAGCCCATCTTCCTGCTCGCTTGCGGCCCCAGAACCAGGTCCTGGCGGTCTTGTCGCCGTGGGCAGTGACGATGCTCTCCCACCCAGTCATGTTTACTTCAGTCGCCTTCTTGGAGTCGCCCTTGACCTTGGACGAGTTGTTCCAGATGCCAGTGACGCCGGGCATGGTGCCCATGCCGCCATCGCGGTTCAGAGAGCATGCCATGCAGGTGATGGCGGGGGCCTTGAGGTCTTCCATCTTGGCGTGGTGTTTCGAGGTGTCGGAGCTGCCGTGGAGCAAGCCCATCTTCTTGGCCTTCTTCTGGATAGCACCCTGGCTGAGCTCTGTGCTCTGGCCGTCTCGGCGCAAACTCCAGCCCCACAGACTGCGGTCTTTGCTCGCACTGAGCAGCCACTTGCCGGTGTCGTCGGAGCCGTCAGAGTTGGAGGGGAGGAAGCGCAGGGTCGAGACAGGCGCAGCGTGTCCACCGCGCTGGTGCAGGATCCGCGGTACCGGCGAGAAGGGAGTCTCGTCGAAGATCCAGCTCTTCAGCGTGTTGTCGAGGCCGCTGGTCACAATGACAGCCTGGCCAGCGAGAAACTCGATCTTGCTGATGCCGCCGCCGACGCCGCCGCTTGCGGACGGGGGAGGGCTGTGAGCTCCGCGCAGGGTGGCCATCTTGCGGCCGCCCTTGTTCAGGTCCCAGAAGGTAACGTCTCCGCTCTCCAGGCTGGCAGTCGCCATGACACCGTCTTCGCGGCCATCCTCGCCGGCGCCCAGCCCGTCGGTCCTGAAAGAGATTGAGGTCACGGCCGCCTTCTGCGAGCCACCGGTGTTGAGTCGCAGGGCCTCCTTGTCGGCGCGGATGTCGTGGATGGTGACGGGACCCGACTCGTAGGCAATGGCGAGGAGCGAGAGCGCGGGCGTCGGCTGCAGGGCGGTGACGGCGCCAAAGTCGGCGGCGGGCGGGAGCAGCGTGTACAGCAGCTTGCCGGTGCTGACGTTCCAGATCTCGACGGAGCCGTCTTGCCGGCCCACAAAGACCTTGTTCAGGTACGTGGGCATGTTCGTGATGCAGCCCGAGAGCGGGCTCGACGAGGCGCCCTGCAGGGTGGTGTAGTGCTCCAGGGTGGCCGTCTTCCAGACGTCGACCTTGGTGGCGCCGCAGCCGACAATCCACTCGCCCATGACGACCAGGCGTGTGATGGCCTCAATGCCGCCCAGCGGCAGCTCCAGCTCGGCGACTTTCTTTCCGCGCTGGAAGACCCACACGCCGCGCTCGGCGTCGTGGGCAGAACCACCCCATGCGGCAAAGACGAGCTTCTTCCATGCCAGAGTCGCGGTGATGTCCTCGGGGGTCTGCGGGCGGGTGATGAAGACGAGGTTCAGGCCGCGCTTGAGGTCGTAGGTCTGCAGCGAGCGGCCGACCGAGGTGGTGATCTGGAAGGTGGTCTTGCCGAGCGGGAGCGACGTGAAGGGGACGGCGGTGGGCGAGACGAGTCCGACGGTCTGCAGGGTCAGCCATCAGCCGTGTGGATGCAGTGTGTAGCAAGGCAGGAGCTCACTCTGAAGGGCGCGAAGATTTTGGACTGGCGCACGGCCGGCGCAGAGCTCTCGGCGCGGTCGGCCTGCACTTTCTGGCGCTTCGAAACAGGGCCAGCAGCTGCGTGCGGCATCTTGGGGCCCGCCATAGTCAGCAGTCTGAGGTGCGGAGGAATGGCGCGTGCTGCGTGGGCGCAAACCGGACGACAGTGACGATCACAAAAAAGTTCGAGAGAGATGCGGCTAGATTCAATTGGGCTAGACCCTGGACCCGCGGGGATCGGCCGCAGGGGTCGGACGGCTGCCGTAGTGACAGCTGCGGCGGGCTGCTGCATTGTTGCCTGCGGGCTGTCAACACGCCGCACCGCGATGAACGGCGCCGCAATGGACGGCGCAGACATGCACGTTCCTGTGTCTTGTGTGCCCTCGGGCTTGTCGCCTCGGGTGTCTCTGTGCAACGTCGGGCCCAATGGCGGGCAGCCCGTGACGGCGTGCCAGCGTGCCAGCGCTACAGCTGCGGCGCATCTCGTGCCGCCGCGAGCCCAAACGGCCCAGGGCCTAGATAATGCCTAATGCCTAATGGCCCTGGCCCCGGCGGCAGTGGCTGCAAGGTCGCCAGACGTCATGGAGCGCTGGGCCGTGATAGACTGTCCTGCCCGTCCCCCAGCGCGGCCCGCAGCCTCACCCCATGGACCACCACCCACTGTCGCGCACGGCGTCGACCGAGAGCACGACGGCGCCGGCGACGGCCTCCTGGCAGCCGTCCAGCGGGCGCAAGGCGCGGGCCAGCGAGCCGCAGGCCGGCACCGAGAGCATCGAGGTCAAGCTGAGCCCGCTGGGGTCGGCCGCGCTCGCGCCCATGCGGCCGGCGGGACTGACAGCGCGACGGCCGTCGCGGGCGTCGGACAGCCTCAGGGACTACTTTGGCCGCAGCAGCATGGGCGGCTCTGCGATCGACGAGGAGGACAGGGACGCCGACGCAACGCCCCTAGCGGGCTTGTCGGGGGCTAGGAGGTCTGACGTCGACGCGGAAAAGCGGATGTCGTTCTCGTCGCTGTACAGCATCGGCTCGGCCCTCTACGCCAACTCCCGCGGCCACTCGTGGAGCGCACGCAGTTCGATCGTGGGCAGCGAACCCGACGGTGCGTCCGCCCGCCCGCCCTGCATCCCCCGCTGACCTCGCCCGCAGCCAAAATGTCGTCCGACCCCCACAGCACCGCCAGCGCCGCCGGCGCCGGCACCACCGCCACGAACACCCTGTCCGTGACTACCCACAGCCAGCACGGCTCGCTGGGCCCCAAGCTGTCGCCGACCCAACTGCTCTTCCCCGTCGACCCGTCTGCTGCTGCCGCCGCCACCGCCGCCGCCGCTGCCTCGCCGCTCAGCACCTCCCCCGCCAATGCAGCACCCAATGCAGCACCCAATGCCGCGCCCAATGCCGCGCCCAATGCCGCCAACGCCGTCCCGCGCCGCTCGCGCTCGCGCACCACCCACCGCCGCGTCAGCGGCAGCACCGCCGCCAGCAGCAGCCCCGCCAGCATCAACATGCGCGAGCCCAAGAAGCCCACCAAGGGCATCATCGGCGTGTGCGCCCTGGAGAGCAAGGCCCGCAGCAAGCCCGCCCGCAACATCTTCGGCAAGCTGGTCGACGACTTCGACGTCAAGATCTTCGGCGACAAGATCATCCTGGACGAGGACGTTGCCAACTGGCCCGTGTGCGACTTCCTGATCTCCTTCTTCTCCGACGGCTTCCCGCTGGACAAGGCCATTGCCTACGTGCGCCTGCGCAAGCCCTTCTGCGTCAACGACCTGCCCATGCAGCAGGTGCTGTGGGACCGCCGCCTGTGCCTGTCCATCCTCGACAAGCTCAACGTCCCCACCCCGAAGCGCATCGAGGTCAACCGCGACGGCGGCCCCAAGCTGCCCTCGCCCGAGTTTGCCCGCCAGCTGGCCGAGCGCACCGGCGTCACCCTGTCTGGCGCCAGTGATGGCACTGGCGGCGGCCTGGCCCCGCCCAAGAAGATCGACCTGATGGACGAGGGCGACACCATCTTCGTCGACGGCCAGACCCTGACCAAGCCCTTTGTCGAGAAGCCCGTCAGCGGCGAGGACCACAACATCCACATCTACTTCCACAGCAAGGACGGCGGCGGCGGCCGCCGCCTGTTCCGCAAGATCAACAACAAGAGCTCCGAAAAGGACGACAGCCTGCTCACCCCGCGCTCCATCACCGAGCCCGAGTCCAGCTACATCTACGAGCAGTTTCTGCAGGTCGAGAACGCCGAGGACGTCAAGGCCTACACCGTCGGCCCGCAGTTCTGCCACGCCGAGACGAGGAAGTCGCCCGTCGTCGACGGCCTTGTTAAGCGCAATCCCAGCGGTAAGGAAGTTCGTTATGTGACCAAGCTCAGTGAAACAGAGGCTGCCATGGCCGCCAGGATCTCCGAGGGCTTCGGCCAGCGCGTGTGCGGCTTCGACCTGCTGCGCGCCGGCGACCAGAGCTACGTCATCGACGTCAACGGCTGGAGCTTCGTCAAAGACAACGGCGACTACTACGACAAGGCAGCAAACATCCTGCGCGACATGTTCCTGGGCGAAATCGCACGCAAGCAGCGCAAGGATGCCGCCCAGAGCGCCGCCGTCGATGCCCAGGGAGGATCCGACAAGGCCGATTCGAGAAAGAGTATTTCAAGCCACCGCCAGGCGTTGAAGGGGTTGTTCAAGAGTCCTAGTATGTCAAGAATGGGGGATCACCACCGCCACCACCATCTCCCCCACATGCGGCAGGCTAGCACTATGCCTTCTTCTCCTGAGACCTCGCTAAGTACCACCCCCATTGCAGCTAGTCCCAGTTTCGAGAAGCCCGATCCCACGGCCGTCTTCAGCCCTCCCACAGTCGGCACCATACCGCCTGCCCCAGCCTCCGAGCCAGATCTCTTGCCTCCGCCTGCCGTGCGCGACGATGAATACGCCCTCGAGGAGCCAGAGAGATCCATGTCCGAAGACGCCCAGATTCCCGTGCCCCCGCCGGCCTCGAAAGCGCAGTGGAAACTCAAGGGTGTTGTGTCTGTCATCCGGCACGCCGACCGTACACCGAAGCAGAAGTTCAAGTACACGTTCCACGCGCAGCCGTTTGTGGATCTGCTCAAGGGACACCAGGCCGAGGTGCTGTTGATTGGCGAGCCGGCATTGCAGAGCGTCAGCGATGCAGTCAAGGTCGCCCTTGATGAGAAGCTCGAGGATCCGAAAAAGCTGCGCGAGCTACAGCTCTATCTCCAGAAGAAGGGCCCCTGGCCGGGCACAAAGGTGCAGATCAAGCCCATGTTCCGAAAGAGGAGGAAGGACGAGCTGTTGCCAGGCGAGTCGCTGCCGGAAGAGTCTCCCGAAAGGCAACGACAAGGCTCGACATCCAGTGTCCTCCGGGACGCCGGTAATGAAAGCAGCAACGAGAACGATCCCGAGCGCCTGAAGAACAGGAGTGACTCCATGTCTGGCGTGACCCTGTCCCGCATCACCGCGCAGGACAACAACATGGTGCTTGACAAGCTGCAGTTGATCATCAAATGGGGAGGCGAGCCGACTCACTCAGCCCGCCACCAGACTCAGGATATGGGTGCCAACTTGCGAAACGATCTTCTCCTGATGAACCGTGATGTCCTCGATGAGGTGCACATCTTCAGCAGCTCAGAGCGCAGAGTCACCACGAGTGCGCAGATCTTCGGAGCCTCGTTCCTCGAGAAGGATCAATATCCTGCAGAGCAGATCCACGTTCGCAAGGACTTGTTGGACGACTCGAACGCCGCAAAGGATGTTATGGACAAGGTCAAGAAGAGGCTCAAGACGCTGCTGCGCGCTGGCGACAAGGCGCCACCGCAGTTTGCATGGCCCAAGGACGTTGCAGAGCCATACATTGTTGTTCGACAGGTCGTGGCTCTGATGAAGTTCCACCAGCGTGTGATGAACCACAACTTCAAGAAGATTGAGTCTGAAGCCATCTCGTCGCTCAACGCTCTCAATTCACCACCGGCTGCCGACGGTACTCCAGGACAGTCCAAGTACACCAACGTCAACCACATCCAGTCGCGATGGTGCTGCAACGAGGGCCCGGAGTTGTTCAAGGAGCGCTGGGAGAAGCTCTTCAAGGAATTCAAGGATGCCGATAAGGTCGATCCTAGCAAGATCTCTGAGCTCTACGACACTATGAAATTCGACGCCCTTCACAACCGGCCGTTCCTCGAGTGGGTCTTCACGCCAGACGACACTTTCATCGACGAATATGCAATCGTGGACAGCGTTAAGCCGAAGACGTCAGAGGAGCCAGAGGCAAAGGAAGGCTCCGAGAAGCACCACGAACGTGGCAGCATTGCCCGCCGCATGGGGTTCAGACGCCCGTCGGAGGTCGCCTTGAAGCCTGCTGCTCCACCGTCCTACGTCAACGAGTCATACTTCAAGCTCTACACCGGCATGGGCAATGCTGCGTCCAAGGCGCAGATGGACGCGCGTCTGGTGAAGCTCCGTGAGATGTATCATCTATGCAAGGTCCTGTTCGACTACATTGGTCCACAAGAATACGGCATCGAATCGGAAGAGAAGCTGGAGATTGGCCTGCTGACCTCACTGCCCCTACTCAAGGAAATCGTCGGCGACCTCGAAGAACTGCAAGCCTCGGATACGCCCAAGTGCTTCTTTTACTTCACCAAGGAGTCCCACATCTACACGCTGCTCAACTGTATCCTCGAGGGCGGCATCAAGACCAAGATCGAGCGCAATGCCATCCCCGAGCTCGACTATCTCTCCCAGATCAACTTCGAGCTGTACGAGTCGGAAAATGCAAGCACAGACGATAACCCCCACACATTCAACTATAGCATCCGAATTACCCTGTCGCCGGGCTGCCACGCCTTCGCTCCGCTCGACGTCCAGCTCGACTCGCGCCACATGATAGGCTTCTCCCCGCGCCGCGGTCTTACCGCGCACCAGGACTGGAAGGAGGTGCTTGAGACGCTTCGGGCCAAATTTCACACGTATGTTTCCCTCTGTTCCCCTTTTGGCCATCTCCTTCCCTCCCCTTCCTATCTGTTTATCGCCGCGCATCCGTGCTCTGCTGCACTCTGCTGACCCCGCCAAGCGTCAAGCTCCCCAAATCTTTCGTCGCCATCGATCTCTCCGAGAAAGAAGCGTTTGAACGCCGCTCCAACGGCGCCGGGAACGGAAACGGAAACGGAATCGGAAATGGACTTGGAAATGGTGTGGGAACCACTGCTGCCAAGAAGGAAAATGTCGATCCTGAAACGGCCGAGCGTGGAAGGAGCGAGGAGCGTAGGGCGGAGACTAGCAAGGACGTGCCCCAAGTGTAGGCTCGCTGGACGGCGAGATGGCGTGCACAGGCCGGTACGGGGCGTTTGCAGACATGGTAGAAGGTTCACCCGGGAGTTTGTTTTTGCAAGGCTAGACGGGCACGGGCATGGGTACGGTGTGGTTCTACATGGTTCTGCGTCGCGAGACAATGGTGTGAGATGGTACATAGATTCGTTATAGACTAAGCCACGCTTGAATTTTTAGCCTACCGGGTAGAACGGGGGGTGGATGCTTGTGTTGTACGCTAGTTTTTATGGTGTCTTGCAAGATTAGCGGAATGTGTGATGCACAGCACAGCGAGAAGTGAGGCTACTGCATCCAGGCACATGTGACTAGCTGCTGAGGTGGATGCAGCACCACTTTCATATCGGAGTGGATACGCTTGAACAGGATTATGTGTTAGATGTTCTTCGGTGTATTAGCTGCGTGACTCCCCTCGAGTAGCAAGCAGCTGCCAAGCTTGATCCAGCACCGCTTCCTAATCAGAGTGGATACGATTGGACAGGATTATGTGTTAGACGTTCTTCGGTGTATTACCTGCGATAACAAAGTACTATATTCTACAAAGCGCCAAGTAGCTGGCCGGACGTGCTCGGGTGCAGCACTGCGCAGAACTGCGCGCAAAACGGACAGACTCCATTCAGTCGCGGGAAATCACCCTTCGAGCGTGACGAGCCCGGGTAGTCGCTCCTGCACATATCCCAGCACCTCGCCCACGGCCCCCACAAACTCAACGTAGCAGTCCGGCCGCACCAGCACCGCATACTCGTCCCCGCTCTTGACCCACGAGCACCCATACGCTTCGGCGTGCGTCTCCTCCTCCACCGCGTCCTCGGCCCGCAGCTGCGCGCCCACGCGCCGCGCCTTCAACCCGGCGAGTCTGAGCAGCGTCACGAACGCGGGCGCCGCGACGGCGACGCGGGCCCGCGGCGCGCCCACGACGACCAGCAGATAGCGCCCGTACGTCAGCGTCTGGTACAGGCGGCGGGCGTGTCCGGAGCAGGGGTCCGCGAGCCACAGGTCGGGCGCGCGATGGCCCGCGGTCCAGACGGCGCGGCGCGAGGCGCGGACCAGCGGGGACGCGACGTCGGCGTACTGCACGCCCATGCCGGTGATGAAGCCGGCGTTCTTCTCGATCAGCTCGACGTAGCCCTTGGCGTCGGCGAGGGTGCTGCGGACGAGCTGTGCGGCGACGTCGATGACGCCCTTGGCTGTTTCGCGGCGCTCGGTGTCGTAGCTCGAGATGAGTGCGTGCGCGGTCGCGGCGGGGAGAGACGGGCGGCGCAGCGTGAAGTAGAGGCGCCAGATCAGGTTGAAGGCGTCGGAGAGGCCGGTGTTCATGCCCTGTCCGCCGTTGACTGAGTGCACGTGTGCTGCGTCGCCGGCGAGGATGTAGGGTCCTTCGGGGGTGGGGTGGAGGAAAGTGGATGCCACGCGTTCTTTGACTGTTGGCTGTTAGGATTGTGCGTGATGAGTGGGATTTCGGTACTGACTTTCGAATTTGCTGAACCATTCGACGTGCGTGAATTCGACGGGGTGGGGGGCCATGTGCCTTCGGATCGATGCCTCAGTCTTCTCCTGCGTGATCTCGCCGTCGAGCAGCACGTAGAATCGCTGCATGCCACGCTCACTGCGTCGAATTTGTAAGTCACCATTTGAGCCATTGGGACGTGGAGCTTACCGTGGGATCCATGCCATCCTCGACTCGCCATCTACTTGAAGTGTCACAATCTCTCTGGTCACAGGGAACGTGGTGTCGATCCAGCAGTCCAGCACGGCCCACACCATGTTTGGCTTTGTGCCCTCCCAGCCGATGTTGAGCTTGTTTCTGAGGAAGCTGCGGGCTCCATCGGCCGCAAGACAGTACTTTGCGTGTACTGTGCGTTTCGCCGTTTGTACCGTGACGCTGAGCGGGGAAGTTGTGTGAGAGAAGGTGAGCGCCGGCTCGTCGTAGTGGATAGGTGTGTCGATGTGAGACACGAAATGGCGTTCAATGTACGGCTGGCCGATCATGAGGAGGTTGTTGTAGAAGGTGTGGGGAATGCCGTTCCACCACTTGCTCTGCCGGCTTGTAAATTCTCCATCTGCGTAGGTTGTGCTTGCTGTCCGAGACTGTTAGCAAGATAGTCCTAAGCACCATTGACGGCTGACTTACTATTGCATTTTACGCCTTCTTTTAGGAGCTCTCCGAGAATACCTGCATCTTTGTGGCCTTGCTCAGCATTGCTAGCTACTTCCAGATACTGCTGTGTGCGAGCAGTGATAGCGTCTGCACCACCAACTTCGAGAGGGCCTTGCTTCGCGTCTAGAATACAAACACTGAGGCCGAGTTGTCGCGCGAGCAAAGCCGATAGTAGGCCTGTCGGTCCCGCTGCAGAAGTCAATATGTGATAATTTAATGTTGTTAATCCGCAAAAGATGGCTTACCTCCTACAATGACTAGGTCGACATCTTCGACGGGCTTGGTGGAGTCTGTATGATGCTCATCAGCATGAACGCCGTTGCTGAAGCCCTCGGGAATAGCCATGATCGATAGTCGAGTGTGATGTAGTAGTTTGAATTACGTTTGCGACGTTTTTCGTACAGAGTTCATGCAGTGTGGTCAAGTATTGTCCAATATACTTCCCGAGATCGTCTACGAATCCGACCCTGCGTTCTTTGATCTTGCATTTCTGGACCCACGTACAAAAATCCACATGCATAATAACACTCCGATGCTACTACGGAGCATTTCCGTGGCCTACTAGGGTCTTGAACGTTGCTTACCAGATCCTTACCCGTTGCTTGTCAACCCATACCTTGTGTCCAAGACCCGAGTCACGCGCTTTTCAGGTAAGCGTCTAGGTATGTAACACCGGATAAGGTCGAGAACTTGATACGGTGCTACAGAAATGCCGTAAATGAAACACCGGCATTGTTTGGTGGTCTGAGAAGAGCAGGTCGCTCGAGTCGCCTGTATGATTGCAGGCCACAAAAGGTAGGTCGTACGCATGTTCTTGGCGGATGACATAGCTCACCGGCGATAGGACAGCATCAGGAAGCACAGGCGGAGATCTGATGGTTCAGCATCGATAGCCTGTCTAGGAGGCGGATGGCTCCTTCAATACAGGTAAATTGAGTCATCGGGATACATGCTCGATGCGGAGATTCGCAATGTGCCAATACGAATGCGTGGGGAATACGGTGCGGGCCGAAATGTGGCGTATGTGGCGTTCACATAGGGTCAAGGTTATCATGAAGATCGAGTGCAGGTTCTTGCTTGCCTACACTACTGTATCGAAGTTGGTGATGAAGGTGCAGAGGCCGAAGTGCCGAAATCTCGCGCTTGCCTCGGCACACCCAACACACCCGTCGCAACTGCCGTCTTCCTCCCCCACCGCACACCACCATCGCCAGACAAGAACGAGAGTCATTCAAATCGGTCCTATTGCGCTAAAAAGTTACTTCTCGACATCGGCCCGTTCCGACTTCCTCTTGCGACGAACGTTCAATGTCCAACAAGCTGCCAGGAAACAGCCACTGACAACGTTGAAAACCGCGGAATAGCTTGCAAGACCTCTCCAGCCGGAGTCAGTCTGTCGCTGAATAGCACCAGCAACTGGGTTTCCAATCAAGCTTGCAATTGCGTTGCCTGCAAACAAAACTCCGATCCTCCCCCCAAGTGTGCTCATGTCTCGAGTCAGGGTCGCCGCACTGGCTGGAATGAGGCTAATGACACTTCCGCTGACGAAGCCATATGCGACGACCCAAACGATCAGGCCAGCGAGAGACGTCTTGATGTATGTCCACCCTGCTGCTAGAGCCCCACAAGCGATTGCCGCTAGTGCTTGAGTGAGTACCGGACCGGAGATGAACTTATCGGCAACAAAGTTGGGAATTATTCGACCGAACAGTCCACCAGCGTTCATAATGCTGATAAGGTAGTAGGCGCTCATACCATGCAGTGGGAACTCCGTATCCTGTACCCAGGCGCTGATGTAGAAGTATGGGATATAGATGCCTGCAAATGTGAAGAAAATACCTGCGACGAAGAGAGCATATTCGTAGTCTTTCAAGCAGCCGAACTGGTAAAGAGTGCGTTTGGCGGGACTCTTTGTCAAATCAGACCGCTGACGAACGAGTAGACATCCAACGCCGGTCGTGACGAGCACAACAAGTGCTGTTGCTCGCATAGCCCAGCTGAAGCCCACAGTGGTAAGGAGGCGCCGCGCAAGGATTGGATACACGATTCCACCGAGCGATGCGCCAGTGTTGGCAATGCCAACCGCGAAAGCACGATTTTCCGTGAAGTACGTGGGGACGATTGCCGTAGACGGAACGAGCAGCAAGCTCATACCAAGGCCCGAGAGGATGCCTTGCGAGAGCAGCACTTGGTAGTACACAGGGCGCCTCGCGTCCGTGAACTCTCCACTGAACGACGTGAATAGCAAGCCAAGCGTGATGAGCGCACCACCGATGAGAGACATCAGTCGCGCGTGACCTCTGTCAACGAAGGATCCGGTCGCAGAGCCACAGGCCAGCAACAGGAACGTTTGGAGGGAACCAATCCATGAGATTGAGGATGGTGTCGAAAGCGCCGGTGTGAATGAGCCGTAGTACTCCTGGAAAGCCCCAAAAGCGTTTATGAGACCCCTTTGCAAATTAGCTGAGTGCATCTCAATTTCTGACGTACTGACCAGGAATTGAACATGAGAAAGAAGCCCGCAACGACTTGAGTCCATGGTATGAGTCGCGACGTCATTTTGTCCAAATCTGTGTGCAGAGCGACTTCTGAGGCTGTTCTCTCAGCTTCCGTAGTTTCTTGAACGAATGGGTCAGGCGAACCGAACAAAACGGTGGACTATCTGGACTGAGTGTCTAGTCGGTCAGACTTCTCAGCTGTTACACGATTGGATCACGCAAAAGACCACATGAAACTAGGAAGGTCCGCAAGCGAATTGTGCTGGGTCAAAATCTTTACAAGGCTTTCAGGTGGTCACACAGATGCGGCTGAATGGGTAAGCAAAGCGGAATGAGGCCGTGTGAGGACATTGCGTACTGCACAACATAAGTCGAATCGCCACTGACGCGATCGGATCATCCCGACGGATGCAAGGACCACACGAGGCATGACATATGCCCATGCAACGGTTGTGGGCATGCATCGGGAAGGTTGGCTTCATGCTTGTTTACCGGTCTTGGCATAATTCTCGGCGACATACTATTTGAGACTAGTCGGGTATAGTTCTACTCGGGTCTTGATGAGGTGACGGATCCTCCGTTGTGGCAAGTGGAACGCCCAGGGTTACTTCCAAGGATGATAACGCCTAGCCAGATTGCATAGAGAACCTCGGGGTGGAGGCTGTCGCACGGTGATCACACCCCAACAAGGCCAGCCAAAGCTCGTGGCATATCGGAATGAAGGAATGGTACTCGTGGAGGTTTTTTAGCAGTCCATAAAGGCACAGGATGTTGCACATACTGGGCAACCGAACACCACAAAGACTCAAGTGAGGTCCTCGCGACTACTCTTTTGATCTCCACCTTAGACGATCGTTGCAAACATGCCTCTATTGTTCGGTACGAGCAGTGCGGAGGATCGTGCTCCATATCACCCTCAAGCGGACACTATGGAAACGTCCCAACGGATTCTCGATGTCATCCTACGCTACAAATCACCTATCCCTAAAAATTCTCCAAACCGTGGTGATGAGGGAGCGCTCAAGTTCCTTGGCCTCATCTATCGGTCAGTGAAGAACAATGAGACAGTTCGAATGGTCCTGCCAGCTTTCCCTTTCAAGAGCCCAAATAGCAGCGTCAAGGTCCTGGGAACGCTTCCAGACAAGGCTGAAGATATAGCACTGGCGCACTTGAACGGCCTGTGCGCTGCAATCGAAGACATTTACTCCCCTGGCGCGGTACTGACTATTGTATCGGACGGTTTGGTCTACAATGGTATGTTAACTGCCACCGTTTGTTGTTTGGCTGCTGATGTTTCAGATCTTCTGGGTGTATCCGATCAAACTGTCTGGACCTACGGCCAGTCGCTACGTCAACTTACCAAGACAAAGGGTTACACACACATCGAGTTTGCGAGACTGAAAGATCTGCTTGGTATCGCATCTCTACGCGATGATGTTGACGAAATGACATATGCGGCGACTGCACCTTCGATTCGCCTTGCGTTGATGCAACGCTATGGTACCATCAACTGGGATGCCATCACCAACGAGTCTTACGTCAACAACGACGAGAACAAGCGTTTGACATACTGTGGATACCTGAAGTTCCTGGCATTGGACCTTGCCGACACTTATCCAATTGGTCCGGAGCGGACGAAGAGCGCTTTCAAAAGAGGCGTAGAAACCATCGCGAAGAGCATGCTGAAACGTGGAGAGGCTTTCGCCCGAGCAGTCCGTGAGAACTACTCTGACCATGTCCGACTCTCCATTCATCCAAGCACGGGCGAGGACAAGATTTCGATCAACGTCTTGCCGGTCGAGAAGGTATTAACGCCATGGCATAGCACTATCGCGATCAAGGTCGATGGCACGGTGCTAGCAGGACAGCGTCAATCTTTCGAAGAGGACACAAACATGGAGCTCGTGTCTGAGAATGGAAGGCCCAGCTACTTCCGCGAACGTTCAGACTTTTATCAATGGGACTGCCCAGCTCCTGTGACATTCGAACCAATGTATCCATGTGGGATCATGATCAGACCGTCTGAAAAGTCTAAACGCCTATCTATCCAAGATGTGGATGGTCAGAAAGTACGACAGCTGGCAGAAGCCAACTCGCCTGTCATCCTGAGGGGCTTCGCCCAGACGAAGAACCGAGACGCATATGTTGCAAAATCGTACGAAATGGGTGTACCTACACCGTGGAAATTTGGGCTTGTTCTCGAAGTCAAAGATCGTGGAGCTGAAGGTCAGGGCCTCAACAATGTGCTAAGTCAAGAGTGGATGCCCTTTCACTTCGACGGCTTGTTCAAGACTGAGAAGCGGACCCGGGACGATGGCAGCGAGTACCTTGTCCCGAACCCTCCGCGATTCCAGTACTTTGCTGCCGTCACACCAAGCCCAAAGAACACCGGATATACGCTGTTCTCAAGCTCAAAACTTCTTTTCGACCATCTTCCAATGGACAAACCACTGGAACATCTCAAGTCTTTGACTTGGTCTGTCAAGACGCGCTCTTTCGATCAGTCCATCATTGATGGCATGCCGCTTGTCGTAACTCATCCTTCTACTGGCCGACCTTGCCTGAAGTTTCACGAGCGGTGGCCTCAGGAGAAGACACGATTCGACCCAACAGAAGTGGTCATTGAGAATGGCGACGAGAGCGTGTGTGATGTGCTGGAATCGTTGTTGCATGACCGTAGAGTATGCTATTGGCACTCGTGGCTCGAAGGCGATCTAATCGTCAACGACAACATCTCGATGCTGCACACGAGAAGCTCGTTCCAGGCTGGTGTTGACCGAGAGCTGTGGCGCATCCATTTTGATTGAGCTTTCATCTAGTTTTATCTAATGTATCTATCTGTGTTTAAGGGCTGCTACGTCGTTTGAGTAAATCCGGAAGTAACAGTAAGAGGCGTTCACGACGCAGTGAATGGGGTTCTCTATTTCCTAGTTCGTTATCATAAAATTGTATCTTGGCATCTTCCTCTGAATACCCGTCGAGCTATGTGTCACTTGTTGCCTTATAATTATGGCTTATCTCTTTCGCGTTCTGACCGCTGCAGTTACCCTTTTGTTGTTATCAAACATCCTCTCTATCTGTTCAAGATGAGAGAGATTCAATACTTCTTACTCACTTCCAGTCCTTATCAGCGGCGTCGTATGATGGAATTGTTTGACTCACGAGTCTGCAGAAGTTGTAGCGAATTTTGGCGGTAGGTGCGCATGTAGGATTCCGGACGCAATAACCGAGTCGTAAGAGTAACTCGGCGATTCTGAGACATCTCAATAGAAGATGGGTACCCATATTGCTGATAGAGCGGCCCTTCTTTTATTGAGAGAAGTGGAGAGCAGAACAAAAGGGGGAATCTGGCTCGCAAGAAGAATAGTTTAAAAGCGTAGAGGTCTCCCAATCTAAGATAACACATAGGGCAGACAGTGAACACACAATGCGGACTTTTCCTCTTCTTATCTCGGGCCTAATTGCTCATAGCGCCGCCGCACTCCTTACAGAAGTCGAATACCCCTTTCATCCACCAGGGCGTGGAGATCTACGCTCGCCGTGCCCAGCACTGAACGCAGCTGCCAACCATGGTCTACTTCCTCGTTCTGGCCGGGACATTGATCTTGCAACAGCTGGTAGGGCAGTTCTGTTGGGATACAACATGACGTACGAAACAATGCTAGTAATAGGACTTCCGGCCCTTAAGACTTCAACTACAGGCAATACCTCAACGTTTCATCTGAGCGACTTAAATCAACATTTTCCTCAAGCGGTGGAGCATGATGCAAGTCTGACGAGGAAGGATGCGTACTTTGGTGGCAACGGCCACTTCAATAAGGCGACTTGGAAAAGGACACTAAAGAGTTGGGGAAATATTGAGATTGTAGACGTATGTATAAATGAGTACTTTCGGCACATGTGCAGAGCCGCTAATAATTGGGTAAAGATTGCAGCTGCTGCAAAAGAACTCAAAGACCGCTACGCATACGGAGAGAAGTACAATCCCACATTCAATGGGACGTTTGCTAGGACACCCGCGTTGCTCCAGTATGGGCTTATGTTGTCAACGTTTGGAAACACCGTCACCGGGGATGGCAACTTAACACTCATTCGATACTGGATCGAAAAAGAGAGATTACCGCTAGAGCTTGGGTGGCAACCATCTGCTATTGAGCTGACCCTACCTCGAAATCAACTTCTTGCAGGGAACATTTCTGCTCTTTGGGATGTCTTGGAAACAGAATAGAGACATTTTACGCAGATGGTCACGAGTAGTACACGGGATTGGCCTGATCATCCCCGTGTCGACGAGGGCGCGTGCAGCCACGTTATCTAGATATGATCGTTGAGCCAAGGGATGTTCGAGACTGTATGATAGGGCCGCGCGAAAATACGATATTACCTTCACTTCCACACACCGCGTGAACGGGTAAAATACAACACCACCCCTGCGGTGTTTTTGACGGACTTTCTTCTGTGTAATTTACCCGTTAAAAGTGCGGTGTTTTTTACCCGATTTTGTACCCTAGCGTCAACTAAATTCAGATGGAGAAAGATCAAAGTAAAGAGATTACTCTTTGAGTATAAGGCTCGTATAGCTGCCAAGATATGACGTGTAATGTATCTCTACTGGTGAGAGACTATGTAAGAGGTAACTGCCCGTCCACCCTCCATGTAAGTCCTAAAATTGGACTATGCTAGCTAGAGCGCCGCATCCCATGATCAATGCCAAACCGGTAAGAAGTGCACTCACAACGTTGCTCTGCTTTGCATCCTTCTCTCTAATGACTGTGAATCTTTCGTGCCCAAACTGAATTCTTGCATAGGTAGTCGTCCAATCCAGTGACGGAGCCCAGCGGCTCAACCAGGCCTCGATAATCTTCTTGGTTCTGGCCGAAGCAGATCGAACGCCAATATCACTGGGAAGAAACCATGCCTGTACAAGTTGGAGGATGTTGCAGGACAAAGTCCTGGCACGGTAGGACATGGCTTGATCTCACATACCGGCACGTGATGTAAGCAGCATCTAATTGGCGGGTTTGCGCGACTGTGTTTACCACCTGCCTGGCTTGCAGGCTCGGCTTGACACTGTACCTCTACCTTCCCGTCTCGCAACGTCATTTCGGTGACGCGCCAAGGCCCTGTCAGCAGACGATCACCACGGACGCGTCGTTCATCCGTCCAAACGAACAAAGAGCGCCCCTGCATCTCTTCCGCTACCCACCACTTAGCTGCGTGTTGGAACGGCTCGATGCTTTCCCCGAGCGGCTTAGGATCCTGCGCGCCTGTTCGCCATCTTTGATAGAGCCGTTGCCAACTCCGTTCCGCGCCCAGAATCTGACCTTCTGGGGCGGAGTTGAATTCGCCAGCTACCTACCTACGCGTCTCCACGTGCCTTACGCAGTTATCTTCTCATCTCACCGGTAGTGAATCTTTGTTGCCACAGCCAGGCCTCGAACCAAACTGACATTCGCCTCCTTACGCTTCGGCCTCCTTTGCCTGTCGAAAAAGGTCTTTCATCATGCATACCAGAGGAATGGAGACAGATGATCCTATCTTTCATCGAGCGGTCTCTTCGCAGGGCGCCGACTCTGAGCGCATCAGTATCGAATTGCAGCGTCTAGCTACGCAAGCTGGTGAGACTTCGTCGGCTGCGGTCGGTGCAAAAGGTGTCAATGCTAATGGTGGTCGTTCTTCGGCTGTTGAGCCATCACCTGGCCCTGCCCGCAAAGTATCTCGGCTCCAGTCTGTCGTAGAGATCGCAACTTTGGCTGGAATCAGTTTCTTAAATACCATGGGGTCTGGCATTCTTATCGCAGCTCTACCCAGGATTGCTCAGGACCTGGGTCTTCCCCAAGGACTCATCCTCTGGCCTGCCGCAGTATATGCCTTGGCAGCAGGATGTCTATTGCTCATATTTGGTGCTACCGCAGATATAATAGGCACAAAGCTAGTTTGGGTCACAGGAGGGTTTCTTTATACTGCATTCACACTTGCCATAGGATTTGCGCAAACTGGCATTCAGCTGATATTGTTCCGAGCATTCCAAGGTGTCGCCATATCTATGTGCCTACCAACGGCTGTCAGTCTTATCACGAACACTTTCCCAAAAGGCAAGTGGCGCAATACGGCATTTGCCATGAATGGGATGGGCCAACCGCTAGGCTACGCTCTGGGCTTGGTGTTGGGCGGCATCTTCACAGATACTGTTGGTTGGAGATGGGCATACTATATGATGGCGGTCATCAGCTTTTGTCTTTCTACTGCGGCGATCTGGTCTTTGCCCTCGCTTCGCCGCACCTCGGACAAGAAAGTGGCGCGTCAGCTGCTCGAGGACATAGACTGGCTCGGAGCTGTCATAATGAGCGTCGGCCTTGGTCTGTTGTTTTACGTCCTGGCAACTACATCTTCTTCGTATACCAGCATCCGGAGCGGTCCTTCAATCGCTATCTTAGTGGTATCACTGCTCCTCCTAGGCTCATTTCCGTTCTGGATGCATCACCAGACTACGCGAGGCAAGCCAGCTCTTATACCTAATCGTCTCTGGAGTCAAGCTTCCTTCACAACCGTGTGCATTGCAGTCTTCTTTTGTTGGGCATCTCTCAACGGTGTCGAATACTTCACAACGCTATAGTATGTTCTAACAGTACAAAGCGCGCATCTAAGATGTCTACATTACTAACCAAGCTTGTTTAGTTTCCAGCAAGTCGAGGGTGTCTCCGCCTTACAAAGCTCTATCCGCTTCCTTCCTCACGTCGTGATGGGGATTGCAGTCAACATTGTGACTGCATATCTCGTTTCGCGAGTCAGAATACAGTACTTGGCTGTGATCTCTGCTTTGATCACTATGATCGCACCGCCATTGATGGCTACAGTGGATGTTGGCGAGAACTACTGGCTTGCACCCTTTTGGGCGCTGTTCCTATCACCAGTCAACCCAGACGGTATTTGAGGCACCCCTGTCTCTGACCACTGTCAATGGCACTAATTGACAACCAGTCTTATTTACGGTATCGAACCTCGTCATCTCGGATGCGTTCCCTCCAGAGGTACAATCACTTGCCGGAGGTGTGTTCAATGAAGTCAGCCAGTTCGGAAACTCTGTTGGCCTGGCCGTCACCGCGGCTATCGCTGCGAGCATCACCGATCGTTCAACCTTCGAGCGAGAGGAAGACGCGTTGATGAAAGGTTACCGGGCAGCCTTTTGGACAATCTTCGCTGGGACAGTGGTTGTCGTTACGGTAAGCGCGTTTGGACTCAGACACGGCGGCTTTATTGGTAAGAAGAACGACTAGATATGTGTCTAAGTCCCAAACGATAGCCCCTGTGAGCCAAGCTGCGAGGGTTCTGAGTCGCTATACGTCAAGTAAGGCCAACGAACGGGGCAATTATGCGAAGAGGGCAGACGTGTATTCAGAACGGAATCCATCGTTAAGGGAAATCTGCTGCAGTCCGAGACTCGATCTAATCTTTCTAACACAAAACGATCAGACTATACAATTCCACCCGTAATGCGACGGTTAGTGGATCAAGATGCTAGATGAGTATAATGCAGACGAAGTCAGCGTCGATACGTGACACCAGTACGATAGTTAAATCCAAGCATGTTTCCTCGGTGCGTCCGTCATTAGTACAGTATCCGTTGGGACTACGCTACTTTGCCCTACCTGGACGAAATTCCCATACATGAGACTATTCTATAAAACTTTCTTATTCTCACTCGACGCCACATCGAACAATCACACGAACACTGTGTACGGCTGCAGCCGCAATTAGCAAATATCAGCAACCGCTACGCTCTATCAACAACCAGATTCAGTAAGTGCTTCCGATGACATTCAATCTTGCGAAAAAGATTGTCAGATAAGATGACTGAGCAACACCGGCGCTCGTATGAGCGGGGCCGATCGACAGCCGAGACCACGGTTTGATCTAATCAGATGGAAGAGATGGTCGCGATTTGTCGTCGGTATTGATTTCGACCAACAGGAGTGAATATTTCTTCCCAAGAAGTCAGGCGTGCGACTAGTAAAGGATGAACGGCGGGAGGGGAACGCTCCGAAGAGGTCAAGTATCCTTCAATGACTGCTGTCTTGGAACTTAAAAGGGCCGCACTCATTGCTTGTCAAGCCTTGATCAGGATAAGCTCTTCAATTTGTTAACGAAGCAGTACCGACCTTGACAGAGTGAGAGACGCAGACGACAAGATGGCTTCCAAGCATCCTACCTCGCACGAAGACACTTCCCCATCCGATCCGATTACCAGCCAAGAGAAAAGTAGTGCGACTGTTCAAGCAAGCGGCAGAGCTGTTGACGATTTTCGCAAGCCCCCTCTTGAATCCGACACTCCCGGTGTCAAGAAAGTCGAGCGCTTTAGTCATGTTCTGTATCACTCTGGCACGGCTGGGCGTCTGCTGCTCTACGTCCTCGCCGCCTCGATTGGTCTGACGATGTTTGGCTATGCTCTCGATCAGGGCATTACATCGCAGTTCACCGTCATAGCCGCATCGTCCTTAGGGCACCACGCCGAAATCAGCGCCGTCAGCACTGCAGCCTCCATCATTCGCGCCATCTCAAAGCCTTTTATCGGAAAGCTATCGGATATCACCTCACGTCCAACATGCTATTTGATTGTTCTGATCTTCTATGTCATTGGATTCGTGGTTGCAGCGACCTGCAATGACATCGCTGCTTATGTTATTGGCATATCGTTCACAGCGTTTGGAAAGTCAGGCTTAGATCTGCTGGGCGATACCATCGTGGCGGATCTTACGCCTTTGGAATGGCGCGCTTTTTGGTCTGGGCTGCTAAGCAGTCCATTTATTATCACTGTGTTCATCAACGGATTCATCGCAGACGCCATGATTCCAGATAAGTATGTATTACTCAACTGAACGTATTGGAGTCACAAGCTGACAGTGAACCTGCTCTACAGCTGGCGTTGGGGTCTTGGTATGTTTGCGATCATGATGCCAGTTCTTCTGATACCTGCAATCTTAACACTTTACGGAGTCCAAAGACGCGCAGACAAGCTCGGTGCCATCAGCTTCGGTGAGGCTGGTATGGCTCGTAGAGAGGGCATCAAGGTTCACACCGGCAAGGACTACCTCAACCTTGCCTGGCGCAGTATCATCGAAATCGATCTTGCTGGTCTCGTTCTCCTCGGCTTTGGTTTTGCCCTTGTCTTGCTTTCTTTCAACCTTGCAAAGACAGCTAAGGGAGGTTGGAGTAACCCCTCCATGGTAGCTATGCTCGTCGTTGGCTTCATAATTCTGGGCTTGTTTGCAGCTTTCGAAATCATGATTGCACCCAAACCTATCATGACCCGTCGCATCTTCAGAAACAAGGCTTTCATTTGCGCCTTGATTGTCGACGTCGCTGGCCAGATGGCAAGCTCTACACGCGCTACTTACTTCTCATCGTACATGTACATCATCAAGAACTGGTCGAACTATGCCTGGAACACGTTTCTCAACATCACTACACTGGTACTTTGCCTCTTCGGTCCACTCGGCGGCATTATCCACCGCATCTCTCACCGATACAAAACCCTCATGGTGCTTGGCGCTGTTCTCAGACTTGTCGGAAATGGTATTCTGATGACAGCTGATACTCGCAGCACCCAAGATACAGCTACACTTGTTGTGTCCCAGCTATTGCTGGGTTGCGGTGCTTTCACTGTCATCGGTGCTCGAGTTGGTTCCCAGGCTTCAGTGCCACACGAAGACTTGTCTTCAGCCATCGCAATCATCGCGCTGTGGAGTACACTTGCATCGTCTGTCGGATCTACCATCGCTGGATCTATATGGCAAGACAAGATGCTACCGTACATGCGCGAAGAGATGCCCGACGTGCCCGAGAAAACCCTGAAGACCATCTACGGTAGCATCAGGAAACTTCGGGCAGAATACACCTGGGACGATCCGATCAGAAAGGGTGCTGTCCGAGCATATACTCGCGTCAATGGTATACTGTTCTTGGTGGCTGTGGTTCTGAACATTCTGCCTGTAGTGTTCTCGCTCTGCATGCCTGGTAAGTTTGCAAGCATATTTGCGTTACTTCTGCTAACAATTCCTCAGATTACTACCTTGGAAAACAGCAGAATGCTGTCACAAACAAAGGCGTCGATGGTCAGCTTGTGCAAGTCGAGCAAAGGGTCCAATCGACTGACAAGACCGGTACATGGGTAAAGATCAAGAATATCTATCGCAAAGAGACGTGATATTCGGAGCTCTAAGCTCACGGCAACATGCAATTCTTAGCCTCGTAGCCATGGAGTTGTGGTTTCAGCCTCGTGTCTGAAGGATTGTATCGTCAGCCTTGGGCCTGCTTGTTACCTGATAATGCTATAGAGTCAGGTGGTGCAAAGCTTGCTTGATTAGAGCGTTGGATAGCGAACCGCAGGATGACTGTACAGCCGCGTGTCCTGTAGTATAAAAACTCTTCGAAAAGTCTGTCTGTTGATGGCGTTAGACGAGGGAGCAATTGAGCTTGTCTCGAGCTTGAGATTGTTATTTTCGTCTGAAAACGTTAAGCTCCGACTGTAACAACAATTGGCGAGCGAGAGTCCGTACAACTTTGTCGGAGTCCCCTATAAAAATATTAAACACTTAAATTACTTGCTGTCAAGTCAAGTTCTTTGCGTATAACTTCTTCTTGGGCTCTATGCTCAAAGGTTGAGGAGGCTGACTAAGCGGCCCTGTTTTTTGAGTGGGGACTAAATTTGGGGGTACATACCATGTTCGTCAATTCTGGCGGCCGAATCCCAAATAACTGTAGGCACAGTTTGAGGGTACATGTCTTAGGTACTTACCCGCGATTGCCACAGTTGTTACACATCTCATGCTGTATCTTTGCTCTTCGCTGTCGAGGTCGAGCGTCTCGTTCGGTGAAATCAAATGGCGGTCAAGCGTTGTTCTTGTTGAACGCTGATCCGGTGAGGCGATTCTAGACACCTGTGGATGATGCAGAGGGCGAGTAGTTGGATCAACGTTACTGCAGGTACGCAAAGATTCCCGTCTCCCCGTTGTCCAGGGGCGAAAAATGGCTCAACTCTTCCTGAAGGACCGCGACTGTAGGCTCCGACGTATGTACTGAGAACACAGTGTCTCTCGCAGCATCGAGCAGGCAGCTGCAATCCGTTTTGAAATTCTTTAATCACAAACTATTGAATTGTCGCTCGTATCATGATGGTGTCGTGATATTAGCGTCTGTCGACGTTAAAGGAGGGTGGATGTCGAGGAGAACGTGCAGGCAGCCCTATTCCGGGCAACCTGATTGGTCGGTATTCTGCTGCCTTGTGAAACGCTGACGACCGCAGCGAATGCAGGGTAAAGTTGAGAAACTGACAAAGAAACACGTGTGAGACAGCGGCCGGAAGTTACGGATCCTGCGTCATCTAGGTCAATCTTCTTTCCAGGCTGTGGTTATCGCATATCTCGAGAGTTTATGCTTGGCTTCAGGCAGAAGTATTTCCAGACCTAGTGTTCGTCGGGTTAATTGTGTACCTGTCGCGGGCTGTGGATGTCAACGACCGCGGACCCACCGGGTACCGACCGTCCCGCTTCCACCAGATACACGACTCGGTGTGCGTTGTTCATCAAAGCCAAACGAGGGTGGCGTCCGGGCACCGATCGAATGTTCCAAATGGCCTCCAGTGAGCAGGTGATGGTACAACTTCCCGGCGCTGGGTAATTCTATACTCTTGTCCTCGTGCTTTAAACGGCAAATATTTACCCCAGATTACTGTGTGCCGATGGCTGTAATAACGGAATCGAAATATATTGCTATTGTATGCGGGGATATTGAGGTTCTGCGGGTAAATGGGCTTAGTGCGCCGTAGGAATAGATTAAACTAAGGGGTGCAGATGTTTCGAGAAGGTCCTTTAGACTTGCTCGCGCTTGCGACATGGCCGTGAGCGGTGGTGAGCTGGAGGCAGCAGTAGTTAGGACCCATCGTGACTGTACACAAGACTAAAAGGGGGAGTTGGTCGAGAGGGTCCGAGGCGCTTGATTCGGAAGCTGACGACATCTTACGACACAGCGCTGTTTCGTATCGCCACTCAGTGCTGCAGTGCTACAGTGGGTCACAACGAGACTCAGGGCTAACTGCAGCTGCGCTTCGCATCCGTTTGAAGCTGAGATGAGCCCTTCTCTGGAGAGCCCACCCAGCGAAATGAAACGCGTCCGAATGTACGCAAGCGAGGGGCTTTGACACGCACCGCAGCAGAGGAATGAAGGCAAGACGTGAGGCACATTGTGGTCTCGACGCACCATCTCCCCTGGCACAGTCCCTGACTTGCCCTCTGGGGAACGGGCGGAATCCGAAGCGTACGGTAGTGAAACGGGTGGGTCGCGAGCTGAGTAGGGGACCAAGGGCGTGGTCGCTGAGTGGTGCGGTATTGGGCCATTAGTGCCGCTAATCTGGGCGGGGCGTGGAGCGCTCGGCACCCGCCAGATCAGGCCAAGCGTAATCTGCAGGGGCGCAGCTGCCTCTTAGATAAAGCCAGCCCGTGAGGCCAGTTGTCCAGTTCTCCAGCCCCTTCAGTCTTATTGAACCCAACTCCACCCCTCCAGATGCAGTCCACTAAGGCGCATCGACAACTTCTGACATCACGGGGATGATGGATTCCACAACTTTTTTTTCTGAGGCCATGACCACGCCAGCTATGATGGCCTCTGGTCCCCTCACCCCCCCGCACACAGATTCCGTGCCCACCACCATCAAAATGGAAGACCTCCAGGTCCCATACACAACACCATCACCATCACCATCATCGATGTATTCATCGGAACCCTCCACACACACCCCCGCTCCCTCGACAACAGAAGGCAAGCCGGTCAAGAAGAGGAAATCATGGGGTCAAGTACTCCCGGAACCCAAGACCAGCCTACCACCTCGCAAGCGGGCCAAGACCGAGGATGAGAAGGAGCAGCGGCGGATTGAGCGCGTAAAGCGCAACCGTCTCGCTGCCCACAACTCCCGGGAGCGCAAGCGCCAGGAGACTGAGCACCTCCAACAACAGAAGGACGCCCTCGAGTGCGAGATGTCTCAACTTCGCGCGAAGGCTGCCAGAGTTGACCAGCTGGAGGCCGAACTGAGCTACTGGCACCAAAAATACCCTGGTGAGCAGGCCGAGACAACCGACCTGACCTTCAGTTTCACCGAGACAACCGAGACAATGAACCCCTCGCAAACCCTGACGGCACCACCCTTCTCCCCCATCTCAATGGACTCGATGGACTCTCCAAGAGACTCGTCCTGCCAGCCTGAGACGCCAGCCTCATCATTCGAGGCCGCCCCCGAATTCGACTTGACACAATATCCTGCTGCGATGTTGTGCGACCTGCAGTGTCAGTCGGATTCGGGCAAGGCCTCCCCAATGGCGGCGATCCTTGCCTACCTTTCTCTCTTCAACCTGTACATTCAGTCGATTCAAAGCCGATTGTCGTCGAAGACCTCTTCGACTTCGATCAGTTCTCTGGAAACTCTCTTTCAGTGGAATCCAATGTTAGCCTGGCTCACAATGATGATTTCTTTGGATCAGCCTTCTTTGGCACAGGCTCAACTTCAGACTACTCAGGCCTTCCTGACAGTTTTGATGCAAAGTTCTCTGACATGCAGAGTGCCTCTGGCGCACCTTTCGGTTGCGACGAGGCTCTCGCAGCAGACAACTAGCTTCGAGAACGTCATCAGGCCTGGTAATGAGAAGAGCGAGACTGGGTCTCTCGATGGCGTCCGAAGATCACGAATGATGAGGTCTTGTAGGCTTAGACAATTAGGTCGGCGTACCGGTGTACAATCATGGAAGACGGCAAGGGAACAGGTTGGGTGTGGTCCGACACGGCGTTACAAGGAGTTATGATCATGTATCAACATCTTCGAGGCTTGGTACATCTCCTGGATCACGTTTTGGCAAGCTGCACACCAAGGGCTGGTGGTTAGATAGTCAAACAATCAAGTTCTCACACACTACTCATCATCTTTACAGTGCATCGTGACATCCCTTGTCTCCTATCCTGCTGCCTGATCGTTCTGGCCCACGGCTACCACGGCTTCACATCTCCTGATCACCCCGCAGTGACATCGTGCGCTCCACTCGCTAATTCTAGACGTTTCTGTGGGTCTCGTTTACAGCGCCAGCCACAGCTGAGTGCGACGCGCGCTGACGCCATCCGCTGTAGCGCGCCAATAGCTTACCACTGTTTGGCGATCAAGTTCGCCCATCACAAAGTTAAGAATAGCACAGCTATGCCATTGCCTTCGTTGAAGTGGATGAAGCCGCTGCTATATTCGTGCTTCGTGTTGATGTGTGGCCACGGTAGGTAAGCGAGGGGTAAACCACATCACTGCACACTGACTGGATATGCGAGGGCAACAACTCCGATGACATATTTCACCAGCCAAACTTCCGGATCGCAACTTCTGGACATGGTCGAACACTATCCCGTTCGCGTTTGTACTACAGCATATCCTTCCAACGGTGCGCTGGGTGTTACAGCAGCGGGAACTGTTCCACAATATCTGACTACGGCAGCCTGAAGCTCCAGTTCTCCCATGCCCACTCATTGTCCATCTAGCGAAACATACACGCCGACTTCACGGCGTTCTAATGTGTACAACAATACCAAAGCATCAAACGTTCAGCGCACACCAGCGTCACGCGAGTATCATGTGCCTTACTTCGTAAAATTATGAATTCGTTATGGTAGCTCGGGTTTCATCCCTTGCTTGCAAGAGTATCGTCGATATCGCTCATGCATCCTCCCTTCCCTCAATTTAATGCAGGTCGTAGAGGTTCATCCCTTTTGAACAAAGAAAATTTACTGCTTCTGGGGCGCGTCGCCCGCGACAGTGGGCTCTGCCTGGTCGGCCTTGTTGCCGCCTCCGCTGGCATTGTGGCCTTCGAGGGCTGTCGCTATCGTTAGCACTATGTTCAAACTGTGTGAGGTCTGGGGGACGTACCACCACCCTTCTCGAGCTCGGGGGCAGGAGCGACGTTGTTCTTGGCGTGCTGGGGCTGGGCTGAGGCCTATGATGATGTTAGAATATGAAGCTGCGATTGAGTTCCTTGCTGATGAAAACATACGTCGCCAGAGTTGCCGTGAACAATGTTCTGGCCCTCGATGGGGCCGTTGTCGCTAGATCCGTCTCCGTTGCGAGGCATTATGATTGATTGAAGAAGTTGTGTGAGGTTGTGTGGTTTTGGAATGGGATGTAGATGTGATGGGATTAATTGAATATCGATATGAGGGGTCAATAGGCATTATATAGCATTGTATAGCGGTACTGATCATCGTGATGTTTGCAAACTGCATGTGGGGGTAATGACGTCGTGAGCGTCATAGTGGAACGCCCTGACGATCGCACACATCTTTTGGAGTGCAAGAGGGGCATCGCAGCGGGTACCTGAAGAGAAAATGCGATCATTGGGAATGAGCTTGATCGTGAGGCAGATGCGGCAGGTAGCGGTGAAGAATCGAATTGCATGTCATCGATCATCGAAGGTTTTTTGTCTAATCGTAGCAGCCCTGCAAAATCGAACACAAGATGCTTCAATGCGCCGGACCCAATGTTTCATGAATGATCACTTACCACGACACATTTTAATTATAACGGTAGTCGCAATGCCTCGATCTTTGCACTTGTTGGCCTTCCTTCCATGAGCTCTGCAAGCACCAGCCCAGTCCCTGGGGCATGAGAAATGCCCCAAGCGCCATGGCCTGCTGCTATGAACACGCCTCCGTCTGCTCCACTTCTTGTCCGCACACCTCCAAGCTTTTCATCGGGTATACGCGACACAAGAGGACGGCCGCTCGGTGTTACAGGACGAAAGCACTGCATTCGTTAGCACACTGACATAAGGGCTTCTGTGCAGCTCAAATGCAAACTCACCAGACTCTGCCGTAGAACCTCAACGTCCTTTCCAGCGCCGTTCTCTACCATCATGACCCTCGCGCAATTCTTCAGCTGCTCGATAGCCTTGCTGCTCGGTTCAACATCTGTTGCAATGTCGGGCAGTGGTATACTCGTGCTGTTTAGCCCAGCAAGATACAGTTCGCCGCCTATCCGGGCAAACCACTCTGGGGAAAATCCTAGTGTATCTGTTGCAAAGACTGCATGACACACCTCCTCGTCGATATCTTTGGGCTTGGAGAATGGATTGCGCACGAGCAGAGAGTGGCCGGCGAGCGAGGAGATAGGGATGCGGGTTTGTGCATTGGAGAACAGAGTCGAGAAAACGCGGGGCGACCAGGCGCCGGAGGTGATCAGGAGTCGTGTGCATGGTACTGTACCTGTCAGCGCTCTTGTCAAATGGATGTCAACTCCGGACCTACGGTCTTGCGATTGCTTATCCTGGCCCCCTACAATCCTCAGCCCGCTCATTATACCTTTTGCGTCTCGCAGAACTTCTGTAGCTGCCGCTGGATATATCACTCTTACGCCCCTCTCTTCCACACTGCTCAGCAGCCATTTGCAGAATCTAAGCGGGTCGATCTGTGCTGTCGTCCCCTCTCTCGATATGACCTCCATGATACCTTCTTTTGTCCTTCTCAGCCATTCTGGTCCACTCCCATCTCCTTCCGATGGGCGGTTATGGCTGGCAAGTTGTGCGCGGCTGGTCCCATTCTCAAGCCAGTCTTCTCCTGATCCAGAAATGGCTGACTCGGTATCCTGGGACAGCGACATGCCGGTCGATTGAGCATAACCCCATGTCTGCCTCCCATGATGTTTATCCGCGAGGCTCTTGTGTAACTCGAACGAAAGCGCGCCGAGCGATGCTACTGATGGTGCAAACCCTACGGTTCATGATCAGCTACGTTCCCATGGACTACATGTCGCGCGACCGGTTTGAGCTCGTACAGTCCTTTGCGCAAAATCCGGCGGCAAGTCCACTCGAGCAGTGAAATAGCTCGGGACTGCTATCAACCAAACATATTGACTCTGGTCGTGTGTTCCCACTTTCGCACAAAAAGTATGCTGTGCTGAGTCCAATTATGCCCGAGCCGAGGATGACCGTATGCGGTGACGTAGGCGAACCGAACGTCGTGCCGGTGCCGGCGTTGGGTGTAGGAACTCTTAGCGAGGGCATGGTTAAATAGGGTGCAGATAGCCGAAGTCTGCAAAGCCTCAGTGAATCGCTAGAGCTTGAATAAACGCCCACTCCATGCTGTTGCGCCCCTCGCAAACCTTATACCCCTCTGACGGACAGCCGATCCCAGTACAGCGGACATCTGCTTGATGATCTGCTGGTGTAGCGGCAGGATCCTTTGTCGCTGGTCCATCGTTCGGTAGTATGGACCCAATCTGCTCATAATGTCAGGCCATATCGGCTCACTTTTTTCCCGCACCCACGCACACTTGTCACACTCTAATCGACGACTCCTCGTACGACGGCGTTCATTCTGCACATCATCCTTGATCAAAACAGTATAGTCGGCAGTGGAATCGGCACGCCTGCTCGGGTAAGTATGCAATCATCGTCTCAGTTTTGCGTGCAAGGGTATGCACGCCTCGAATGATCTACTGGTCATTTGATGGAGTAGACCCACAACGATGAGACTGGAAAGGCACACGACATTCAAGAAATACTCTTGTTGAGGGTATTGTGTGCTATCTAATATCCATGCTTTCGTCACACCAATGTGAGGCGTAAATGCAGAAAGCAGGTCACCCAATGTCATGTCCTGACAGGATTGGCGCATATGTAAAAATGAGCGACGTATCACGCTTGAATCCAACAACATTAGCTAATGTAGCTTCCTCGTATGCAGGTTGCTATCCGTCCCGCACTGCGCGTTGCATCAAGCGTATGCACGATATATAAACTCAAGACTTTCGTCATCGTTTTCCTCGCTGGCAGTACGCGGTGGCCAGTCTTGTACGCGCTCTGAGTTTTGACTTTCGCCTTTTGCCGGACAATTGATGATGTCCCCTCGGTGGCAATCTCCGTGGATCGAACGAGTCATCAGAGATGCCTCGTTTGGGTGAGGATCGCGCCGCATCTGGACATCATTGGTACCCTCATCCGGCTCTTTAGGCGTTGAAGGACCGCTCTCCACTTTCCCATATGCACTTCCATCATACAAGCCAGTGTGCTGGCGCCAAATGTTCTTCCGGGCATTGCTCAGTCGAGACTTCTTTGGGCTATCCCAAACGATGTATGCGATGTCGACAGGAGATTCACCGCAATCTACTGAGCTCCCACAGCCCTGCGAAGAAGCAGAAGTCCTATTGTCGGTAGGGGTTCTCGTCGAGCCGGACTGATGTGGACCGTCAGGCGTTCTCTCTGGGGGCGTATCTATGGAGTGCCTGCCGCTGCATGTTTCCCAACCTTCGCTTATGACCGAGTCATTCCAAGGTCGATCCTGCAGATCCTCTTCGCTCTGCTTGGGACGAAACGGGAGGACTTGACTGTGTCGGGATAAAGCCTGAGCACGAATGGAGTTGCCCAACACTTCGGCATGTGGCTCGCGAAGATTTTCGCAGGGTTGACCTTGCGAACAGTCCAATGCATTTGCGCTGTCCTGCGGCGTGATATCCACGCCAGCTTGACCCATCTTCATGGAGGAGCTACAAGGTCGGTCGCATCGTTTTGCAACGAGGTGCTTTGCAGCATTTTCCTCCCTGTCAGTAATATCCTCATGATCTTCGGCGAGTATGAGACAGGCCAATCCATTGAGTCTGTCTGTGTTGTTCATCTGTGGCTGCTCATCTACCTGGATATCGAAATAACCGAGCCTATCCTGGCTCATCTGCATCTCAGAGGGCTTGTTGGACGAAGGCAAGAGGAGATGTCTGCGATCTAAATCTTCAGCAGACAAGTTCGTGCCTGGCAGCGGCGTGAGGATAGGAGTGGTGGGAACGTATCGTTCCAAAGGCGTAGGACTAGCACCCTGCCAAGAAATAAAGTTTGCAGGATCACGATCGAATGCTCTTTGCATTGGACCAGGGGTACTAGGTATTGTTCCTGTAGGCAATTCGATTGCAGAAGGAATGATGTTGAGCGAACTTATCTGCCTGACTGAGCCCGGGACCGTCATGGGTGATGAGTGCTGAACTTCCATACTGGAATTTGATACGGAACGATCATGCAAGCGGAGCTCGAAGGTGAGCTTGTCCGAGATTGACTGCTCGAACTTGAGCGGTGCAATCGATATGGACCTAGGTAGTTGTGTCGTGCTAGAGCGCTGGCGGTGTCAGAGAAGTGGAGGCTGAGGGTTTTATCAGAACCCACCATGTGATTCACAGTTGTCTCGGTGCGTTCCTTCTCTATCTGTATGGTCTTGCTTGGAGATGAGTGCAGGTTTGCCAAAGACCGAAGGCTTCGCAGAGACCCAAATAGCCTTTTGCGCTTCGAAGGACTGTCTTTGCTGGGTGTGCCCTTGCAGCGCTCAAGTTTGGCCCCGAAGTCTTCGAGATCGTCTTCCGTATCGGGAGTGATATCGAAACAGGGAGATAACTCGTGGTGTGCCGTCGCATTCCTATAGGACAGTCAGCCTGAGTCCTTAGTTGTTCGTAACGTACGAACTTAGGAGAGTGGTAGCTGTTTGTGTTCTCGAAAGAATAGAGCCCGGGGAGGCTCTTCTTCGCACGGATGTTGAGGCGTTGGAAAGCCATAATAGTTCACTGAGATGCCGCTTTAGTGTGATGTGTGTTGTCCAGAAATGTGGTGGTGTTTGACGGACAACGCGTGATGTTAGTCTTTCCCTAGAAAAGCATGTTGACGGGTCAAGTGAAACTTGCTCACTAGTCACCTCGAGTAGCTACTACTTCTATATGACATTGAGGAAGGCATGATCAGCGTTCACCTTCAGAAGGAAGTACCTATGTAAGGAGCTTGACCAATGTTAAGAAACGCAATTTGATACGACACGATTGATCTGTTGTTTGAACCGTATATACGTCTCCATGGATCTTGTGGCGTGTACTACGCGTACCCTAGATATGGATGACAAGAACACAGGAAACTATGCCACGCTCCTAGGGCGATCTAGTTAACAGCGTAGACTCAGAATAGATCTAATTGGTGGCAGAAAGCTATCTTTAGAAAGTCTAGTCTTCACTGTTCGACAGCATTGCCCCGAGTTCGATCTCAACAATTAGATCGGAGTCCTCCTTCCACACTGGTCTCTCTGCAAGATGTCGCAAGAGCCCTTCAAGGCTAAGCTCGGAGTGAGGGCCAGATGGCTTTACAAGAACGGCTTTGCCTGTACCGTCAGGTAGTCTGTACTTGACAGCCCAGAGACCTGCCTTCATCTGCCGACTCGCCGATGGAATCACCTCCGCCTCTTCACGAAACGAATCCAGCAATCCCCGAAAAGTGCTCGTATTATTCAGAGAGCGTCGGACTTCATATTCCATACCTTCAAAATACACCTTCCAGACGAAGTGTATACGTCTTAGCTGCTCATCTGTAAGATCTAAAGCACTGGGGTTGGTTGCTTGGGATATAGGCGCGCGGACTGGTACTCGCTGTGAGGCATCGCTAGGCAGCATAGGTGACTGCTGCCACACCTCGGCTCTTTGAAACGAGTTGTGTGCTGAAAGTGTCTGTGAAATTCCGTCTCCAGACTGCATTCCATTATTTTCAGGCCTGCTTCGTTTGGTCGAGTTATGAGAATCACTTGCTCGTTGCTGCTTTCGCTTTGCTGTTTTCGACACCCATCCCGGCTGCATATTGTTTCCAACTGTGACTTCCTCATATCGGTATTCTTTGGCACCTGCGTCCGATCGCAACCTCTCCAGTCGGGTGGCCGTTCTAGCGAGCTCGGTCGGATCTAGGGTGTCACGAATCGTGTGCAACACACCGCCGTTGTTCTTTCCGTCACGGATCGCAAGCAGCATGTAGCTGTTAGCAAACAATTTGTGATCTTTGTGCTCTAGGCGGTGTTCAAATGGGCGGAACATCTCCAGTGCTTTGATGGATCGGTCGAGCGGTTGTGGCAACATGATGCAGAACAGTCCGGCATCATCGGCTCCTCTGAGAGGCATGGCGACTACCATCTTCTAGACGTTAGTATTTGAATCTCTTACAAGTCACCTCATAACATACACTGTGCGAACCGAACCGGATCTCGTGCAGTTGCAGAACTCTCGATTCGTCTCCAAAGCATCCACGACAAGCCGCTTCGCGGTCGCTGCATGATGAGTGCGCGATTGGTGTTGGGAAGGGAAGAACGAGGTTCTTGTGGTTGCTCTCAAGCTCGCGGTACGAGGGCAAGCCGCGATACCGAGTGAGTCTAGAGGCAATTAGCGAACCTCAAGCCATATGTATGACCACCGCCCGGTAGGTATGGCCTTCAGAGGACACACTAGCATGCAACTGAGAAGAAATGCTTACGAGTTTTCGGCGAGATACCCGATCCATACGCCTCGATCGAAAAGGGCATCGACGGAATCAAAGTGCCCATGACCATCTGTGTCAAAGCAGTCGTACACCTGTCGTAAAGCCATGAGGCTAGGTGACAGAATTCCAGGATACACCCTTGTAGCGTTAATATTTGTTGAATCGTGCGTCTTAACTTTGTCTGTAGCTCTTGCGAAGGCAAAATCGATCGTGAAGAAGCTCAATGGAGCGACGAGCGTGCTCGTATAAGGACTGAGGATGCGAATGCAGGGTGAGACTAGTGGCTCTGATTGACTCGCTGGATGAGTCTGGGTAGGCTTGCCTTACGCAAGATGCAGTCTCATAGCCACAGTGCATATGATTTCCCGTAGCTCAAAGGAACTTGTGGCCAGTGTATTGCCCCGGCTTTGGCGCTGATGGTGCACTGGACAAGATTCTAGCGGCGCTGTGGAAGGAGGATATGTCAGGATTTGAGCCAGTTCTGTTTGCAATTTTTGATGGCATAGGCGCGTTTGATGAGAAGCCCTAGCGCATATGTAGCCAAAGAGCGCAGGCCGCCGGTCAGTTGCTCATTGATAAATACACCATACAGTGTGCGTACTGCAACTAGTCTCGTTCGTTTGTGGATGCGTAAAGCGGTCTAGGAAGGATTATCTTTACAGGTACATCATACCGTGGTTCTGGATGCAAGGCCGTCCCGAGACTCTTCACCGCTGAAGATGGGCTGTTGCTTGTTTGCTATATGACGTATTCCGCGAGTAGGTCGCGCCTTCCCTCAACGCGTCCGACACACGCTTTCACGCGCACTTACAGCTTCGCCTACACGCATCTAAAAAGCTCACCCCACTATGTCCAGCCTCGGGGTATCCGATATCCTCGAGAGTCTTGGGCTCAAGGACCAGGGCACCTCTGGCTATCAAGCGCGCGCAATCTTTCACTATGAGCCCCTTCTCAGGCTGTACAAACTTGAAATTCCCTCGCTCTTTGGTCTTCTGCTGCGCAATGAAGGAACCACCCTCAATCGCGCTGATCCGAGTCTCTTTCAAGTCGAACTCGACAAGATGCTCGTAGAATTTGGGCCTCTCATCTGGCCCTCGCCCGGTCACGGTCCGAGAGACCATCTTCTGAAACCAACGGAAGGCAGTCGGTACACCTCAGATCTAATATATCCCAGGGATAAAGACGTGTGAGTTCTCTATTTGTTGGTGATTTTGCAGGTGCAGTCTACCCATGCTCCAGAACGACACTGACAGGCAGGCCAAAGGTTAGTATCCCATTTGCGAAGCTTGATCTTGAGCAAGCGCGCCAGATCAAACGTCGATATCGAAGCCCTCATAGAAAAGAGGCACAAGGACGCAAAACATAGAGTCATCCGCGCAGCAGAGGCAAATCGCCTCGATTCGCACGACATAACGACCAGAGAGAAAGTCCCAGGGTCTAAGGCTGGCGAGCGAGTGGCAGGAAATCGGCAGGTGTCTCTCAAGAGGTCGAATTCAGAACATGCGGACCCTCGAGAGGCCTTGTCGTCGGACTCTAGTGATTCGGTGATCGACCATAGCGCCCGGAGACGGGCCCAAATCAAGAGTGTGAGCAAGCCTTTTCGAATAGCTCTTCGCCTTTATCGGAAGAGAACGCCAGCCGAACTTCAGCAAAGCGGACCCTGTCATTCATATGGAATGACCTTCATCGACAACGACTACGTTACAGCGGCTAAGCTTTTCGCTCGAATTGATCAATCCACCTACGCCGACTGCACATATGTTGAATTCCATCCGCCAGAGGACATGTCTCTTGAGGGCAGGATTCGCATTGACCGGGACTCGGCGGAAGCGGATGGAATTTGCGGGCGCGTTATTTCCATGTTTCGAGAAGCACGCAAGTTTCCAGGCGAGCCGTCACACCGCACGGTTGAAGTTGAGGTCGGCATCGTCACAGCGCACGGGCAGTGAGCGATGTCATCCATTGCCGGAGGGCAATATGAGTCGAATCGGTGCGGTGCCTTGCAGTTTCCTACTCGTTGATACCCAAGATGCGTTGCAATTTTTCGTTTACATCGAATCTCCTTTCCACTGGGACCAAACCGTCTTCCATCAAATCTCTCGTATCAACTTTTGGACACTCGTCAAGCTTTCTCTTCAGCTCCCGTGCTCGTTCAGTGACATTCTCGATTCGGAGAATACCTTTTATAAGATCCTTAACAAGTGCGCCCGGGACTCCAATTTGTATACTACGATAAGGTAGCTTCTCTAGTCGAACCGTTCTTTCGGGATCCCATTGCACTCTGACGCGCGGAAAGTCTTCTTTGCTGTGATATTCTTGTTTCTCCGCCGTTTGAGATGTTGCAATGACTGCGGTCTCTAACAGAGCAATGAATACTCCCGTCTCGACAGACAACGCAAGGATACATTCTTGCCCTGGGTCTTTGAAGGAATACCCGCTGCGGTACAACATCCATGCCCAAGAAGGCTTGATCCAAGTCATGCGCGTGGTGCTGAACTTTGGCGACGCATCTAAAGTTTGTTTGTCTACCGCAGCGATACCTATTTCGGTGCTGTAGGCTTGGTACACGGTGATTGTATCTTCGGTGTAATGAGCCCGGATCTCCCGATACGAGACCGCGAATGCTGGATCGTCCATCGTCAATAAGGAAGAAATGCTATAAAGGCTCATGGTAAATATTAGCAGTGGTAAATGTTATAACATGCTGTCTGATCCCGCCCTTCGAAATATGCGCACCGGCAGGGCGCGAAGAAAGGGCGGGTTGCGTCTTAAGAGCGCAAGCGAAGGACAAGTGCAAAAGCCGATTCGGGCTTACTTTCATGGGACGCAGCTTCTAGCGGGTTGAGGGTATGTAAGCACGAGGGAGGTATCTCAAGACACCATCATCGTAACCTTGTTGCCGTCACCCGACACAATATCCAAAAATCGTCGCACATGTCACGACTCAACGGTGCGACGCTGTACCCCACGGTGTCGATGTTTTCAGCCCCCCAATTTTCGGCCCTCCGATCTGCACTCGCAACTGGCAGGGGCAGGCGAATCTGCGGCTGGCTCGTATTCTTAGCACTGCCTGCATCCACGTCCACAGCCTGATGTTGACTTACAATAGTCTACCTCCGGGGCCCTACTCGTCCGTCAACTACCTTTTCATGTACCACCCACCGAACATTTCGTGCTCGTTGTCATCAAGCTTTCCCCGCGTTCCAACCAACGCGTACCTGAGTCAGGTAACGTCGAACTCCCCGAGTTGAATGAGTCGCGAAAGCCTCCGCTAGCTGCTTGAACGAAGAGGCTCTGTTATTGATCGCAGTCAAATTTTTGGTTCTCATCCGACCTGGAGTTCTCTGGCTAGGATCAACGTTTGAAGGATAGGTTAAGATTGTGATGGGCTGAGGCTGAAAGGCGCCAAAAACGCCCAAGGCAGCAAGGCGTTCTTTCAGCTGCAAGGGCAACATCTCGCGCTGCATCGGGATCGTCAAGCTTTCCCCATCTTCGTCTAACCCGGAGTATTCGCATCTGCTAAGAATCTCGGGTGGCATCTTAAACTTTGGCAATGGACGGGGTGCCGTCTCCGCTCCAGATAGGCTCACCGGGGACAGAGCCAACGTCCTCGGCCAGCACAGTTCCGTCTGCTCTTTGCGCGGGATCTCCAAGTACCGGACATGGCAATATGCAATGGGAAACACGGCCACCACTTGCACGCAAGAATACATCGGGATCAAGCAGGCTTTCGCAGCTCTTCCCATCCAGACCGTCGTCAGTCGCCTCGGTCAGTTCACCAGTTGATGGTGCAGCCCCAAGAAGGACTTCCCATCCATCTCCTCTGACCCCTGCCTACGAATCTCGGCGAACATCACTGGGTCCAGTGCCTCCTCCACCGCCTTCGTTCCAAGAGACTACGGCGTATGAGCCATCATCTCTTAAATCTGGCTACAAAGGCGTATCTGTCCCCTCGCATGGTAGCAATACTTCCAAAAGACTATTCAATCGCCTCACCTCACTTAGAGGAGCATCTCACCAACGCGGAAACTACAATCGCATTCAAGACGAAGAATCCGATGTTGGAAGGCGCCATCTAAGCAGTCTAGAAGAAGACAGCGAGTCTCATGGTCTCTTTCAAAGTGGCACCGTTGCGATGCCACTGAATAATATTGGCTCCTCCAAGAAAACACCAAGCGCCGCAGTCGCTGTAGAGGATCTCAGCGAAGCCGGTTATGCTGCTGAATACGAAAGGCTTGAGAGTCAACTAGGTGCAGGCATGAATTCGATCACCGAGAGACCTTTTGAGCACAGGCCTGCACCAGTAGGACCTGGGAGTTACGCAAGACAACCGCGCAGCGATCCTAACCCAGACATGACTGTTGTTCAGGCTCGAAATGCCCAGGAGGAGGCGGAGAAGACAGGCGATATTGTCGCCATTGCTGAGATACCTGTCGACATCAGCGACTCGTTCGGCGGCGGTGATTTTGAGACTCGTAGTATGATCTCAGGTCCTAGCAGGGATGGAAACCAAAAGAGCTACTTCTTTCCAAAAGGTTCGTTGTCTTAAACTTGTGCACTTTTCGGATGTACTAACAGGTCGCAGATCCTGACATGCCGTCGTGGCGCCCTCTCACAATGGGTTCACCATGGATTGCGATGCTGGTAGTCATCGCACTTGGCCTGGCAGCTCTCCAAGAGTACTTGTGTCAGTCATCCATTAGTAAGGCGCACCAGGACCCTCCGAGCGGGCTGGTAGAGTTTACGAAAGCGGACGACCTTACTCTGGCAGCATTTTTCACCTGGAAGTATGCGCCGATTATGGCCTTTGTGTTCTACGGTATACTTTGGCAGATGTCTGACTTCGAGGTCAAGCGATTGGAACCCTACTATCAGCTGAGCCGCAAGACAGGAGCGACTGCAGGAGAATCACTCAACATGGACTACCTCACTTTTATGAGCTGGCTTGTACCTCTCAGAGCTCTGCGCCACAGACAATATGCAGTCATCTGGAGTTCTGTTGGCACACTGGTCGCCAGTAGCTTGGTTCCTGTACTGCAGTCAGCTTCGATTACCGTGTATCCCGAGAAGAAGGATCGGACAAGCGGCGGCAAGAAATTCATTCGCGTCGACCCTCCATGGTCCCGGGCCGTGTCCGGGTGTCTGGTGTTCGTCGCACTTTGTGGCATGGCATTAATGTATGCCATGCGGCGCAAGAGTGGCCTACTGTCGAACCCACAAGGAATTGCTGGCATTGCAGCCATGGCCACCAGAAGTCACATTCTCACGGATTTCCACGGTACAGACGAAGCACCATTAAACAAAATCCATGAAAAGCTACGAAACCGCCGCTACATTCTGCATAAGAGTAGCCTGTGGCAAGGAGAGTATATCCGCAACAGCAAGGAAAAGCTTCACGAACATAGCACAGATCCTCGCCCTCTGATGTTGCGCCCAATTTCAGGGGTGAGTTTCGTCACGTATCTTGTACTCTTCACTGCGGCGATACCTATTTTCACCTTTTTCGAACCGGCTATGGTCGTAACAGACAAGTTACCTTTCCTCCTGACCGGTATTGCGACCACTGTAAGAATCCTATGGAATACATTGAATTGCGATGTCCGCATGATTCAACCGTTCTACATGCTCTCGAAACAGAAAGCTCCAGCCAGGACACTGACCCTCGACTACGCCGGCACGAATCCGCTGTTCCTTCCCGTCATCGCCCTGTTCAACCGACACTGGCTCGTTGCCATCGTGGCTTTCGGCTCCGTACTGGCTGAGATACTCACCGTATGCGTATCCTCCATCAACGTAGACGGCACACGGTTCATCCCAAGCAATGGCGGCGACAACGACAACATCCAGGACGAAAAGGACCGCCACAATCAGGAACAAACATTCCGCTCCTTCTGGGTCTCGCTTTTTCTCTCTTTCCTCATCCTCCTGTACCTTATCAGCATAGCCGTCCTGACGTACATGCGCCGCTCGCGCAAATTCATGCCCCGCCAGATCGGCACAATGGCGTCGGTCCTCGCTATGATCTACCAGTCCAAGATGCTCCTCAGCTTTGTTGACACGGAGAAACTTACTAGTAGTCAGATGACGAAGCATCTGGAGAAGCAGGGGAAGACGTATGCTTTGGGGTGGTTCTCGGGGCGAGATGGCGACGATCACTTGGGTATTGATGAGGAGCCGATCTTGCAGGCTTACGAGTACGGGAAGAACTGGAAAGCGACGAGAATGCTGGGGCACCAGATCGGGACTTGGGAGCATTACTGATATAGATGTGTGGATGTTATGCGTTGTGCTTGTTTATAACTTCTTGTATTTCCGACACACTATGGTATGTAGAGGAACCCCGGCAGACCCACAGCGTGTTCTTGAAACAGCATGCTCGATACCCTCATATTCTGAAACTAGCCGTTCAGCAGCCGGCGTAGAGAGCTGTATTACGTTAGTGTGTGCATCTTGTAAACTATAATCGAAGTAGACTTACCCTGCGCGAACAAAGTATAGGTATCAGCATGGTTCAAGTTCTGCGCCGCAGAAAGACTGCGAACAAAGTTGTATCCATATCCTCCGTAGTCACTGGTGCCCTTGACCTGGGTCAAGTGGGTCATCTCGTGCAGCACGGTCGTAGCCTGGTCTTGAGCGTGGCAAGTGCGGCTCAGCGCCGTCAATCCGGAGAAGAACAGCGGGCAGTTGACCATCTGGCCTGTGGAAGGGTACGTGTACGCCAGGACGCCGCTGGAGCAGGCGCCCAGGATGTCGGTGCAGTAGTATCTGCTGTTGCCGCTGGTGGTAGATCCGCACTGGGAGGCGACGTTGTTGAAGACGGTGGCGACGGTGTTCTTGGTCGCGGTGGTGGAGGACTTGTAGTACTCTGTCATCTTGGCGTTGTTAGACTGCGCGTTGGTCGCCGCGGTGCGAGCCAGCGATGCACAGTTGGCAAGCGCGGTGGTGGTGGCGGTGCGCCTGGTGCCGGTGCAGTCAGACTGGACGACTGTGCGCTTGGCGAGTTCCTGGTAGTCGCGGCGGACCTTTCCGGCTTGCTTGCCATCGACTGCGGCGTCGACACTGTTGCTGATGAAGGGAACAGCGCCGGCAATCTCGGTGGAGTTGAGGGTGGCATAGGCAAAGGCACCTTCGGTCAGGACCTTGAAGGCACCACCAACGCTCAAGTCGTGGGCAACGGCAATATCGAAAGCAGTCTCGAAGCTCTCACCAGCAGCAAGGATCTGGAAGGCAGACTCGTCGAGGTCGGTGGTGCTGACGCGGAGACGAATACCATCGAAAGGAACCTTCTCCTCGGCCTTGAAGACCTCAACCTTCTCGACGTGAGAGTCATCTAGAAAGGTGCCGGTCTTGAAGAGCTTGAGGTCCTCAGATCCAGTGTTCTTGATCAGAGCCTTGACTGCGGTGTTGCCAGTGAACTCAAGTTGAACGTTGAGAGGCGAATCCTCGAGGGAGAAGCCGGAGACCAGAGTAGCCAAAGCGGCAAGCGAGAGAGTCTGGACCTTCATGATGATGCTGTGGAGGAAAATAGAGTGGATACCGGAGCAAACTGTGAATGAGCTGGGGATGAAGTAGAAAGACGCAAGTTCCGCAGTCTTTATACACTCAGTGGATACACGCCATCTCACGTATACCCATTAACTCCTGTCCAGTACTCGACATCTAGTCCTAGAGAGACCCTCTAACCCCGCCAGGAACTCCCCATATTGATCGGTGCCGTGCGCGGTGCCGTACCTGGTGCCACTGTCATGACCTAGTATCGGACGGACAGCGTCGAAGTAGGAAAGTCGGTATGCACATCGAAACACGCTGTTGTTGGTTGAGTGCCGTTGAAGCCGCACATTGGCGCCCACACAGCCGTAACATCTCTTGGATCAATCTAACGCGGCCTGATCGAGCTGGGATTGGCGTTGGAGGAGATACGATGGTCCTGCCAAGTCCAAGCGAACTGGGGGAGCGAAGCCAAGTCTTCCGCGCACCTTGACTTGCCTAAAAGGGTGTGCCAAGGTAGATATGGTAAAACAGCCATTATGATTGGGCGCTGATCTGTTTTCTCCGCCGTCTTGTTTTGATTAAACACGCCTTGGGCCGTCTAGGGAGAAGAGGGCGCCGGAGAGAGCTTGGCGGGAAGCCACAACTCTTGTCTGCTGCATTGTCTGTATCAGCAGCCTGTAACTCAGGAAACCTCTTCTCTGAGAGGTTCTGGCAGTTCCGATGTCTTGGTACGCCCCGCAAAACGTGGGAATCTTTCAAGCACGTCAGTGTTTGTTTCAATTCTTAGCGTTGGAAATTACAAGGGCCTCGCTTGTGACGGGACAGCGGCAAGACACGCTACGACAGCGTTATGTGCCGGACGTTGATCCTCGCCATTGGAAAGCTCCGTACGGTACGCTACGCGATATCCTACCGCCCCTCAAGGCTCCAGATTGGGTTTGTACGTAACCTGCGTAGCTACTGTGGTGACTTTGCTTGGCCGCACCAAGTTTCAGAGCCTAGAAGGGTGGGTTGGAACTTCTGTAATATGTGAAGTGATCTGCATCTTACGCTACTGTATCCCTGTGCTGCACGTGAAATGGACTTGCTACTAACTCGAGAAAGTGAGCACCCGAAGAGTAAGAAAACATGAATCGCGGACCGGTGACAAAGCCAGGAAGGGAAGGAGGTATGGAGAAGGATCAGAAGTAACACTCAATGGAAAGCGATAAGGGCATCAATCGACTCAATATCCTACAGTTTAGGCGGCAGCCGACGATGTACCAGCTATACGCCTCTTCATACGCTTGATTCCGGAATTCGCCAAGGCAATGCTATTCTACACGAGCTTCGAAGAAGCTCCATCATCATGATAGTAACGAAATCCCCGCCGTTATGACTCCATGCTTTTTTGAACCACCAAATAAAGCCTAACACCCGCCTTTTTCCGTACGGTCCATCCACATACCATGATCATTACGTTCCTTCCGTGCCAGCCAGCCCAAAGAGTCGTGAAACCATAGCGTGTAGAAGACATGACGTCCAGATGTACATTCGTCGAAAGTATTAGATCGGTTGAAAGACAAAGCTCCTCAATCATGCAAGAAAGAATCGAATCCCTACGCACGCAAATGCAACGAACACAAAACGTAGGGTTTGCTGTTTGAGCAAGCCAAAAACGTGAATTAGGAATGGCGGGCCGAGCTGCTGTTCGTTGTGGAGCAGCCCGGGGGTAGGCCATGGGGATGACTAGCGAACTAAGCTAGCGGCCTAGGGCTCTGCTGGGCATTGGTGAATAAAGCGTTCAGAAGACGCTCGACCTACAAATTATGTCAGTACCAAGTTCCACACAAAGACAGGTACGTGAGACTTACCTCAGGTGCCGCCTTGACGAAGGATAGATCCCAGAATGCATATGTCTGGTTCTTCAGGATCTCGAGCAAAGTAATAATGAGTCCCCATGGGTGAGGTCGATGTACCAGCAGGCGCTCCAAGAGCACTCTCGTAATCGTCTGCTGTATCTCAAGCGCTTCTTCATCGTCGTTTGGAGGACCGAAAAGGTGTAGCAACGCATAACTAAAGAAGTGCGTGTGGGTATTTGGGTACCGGAGCTGGTTGGCAATTGCGCTGATGAAGTGGAACTTGGCCTCGGGGAACAAGTCCTTGGCCAGCCTTGTCATCAATCTGGCAGCCGCGCTGTCGGAGTCGAAAAGTGGTCCCTTAGCGGCTTCGTTGCCCAACGTTGCAACACCGATGTAAAGAACCAATGCGTGGATCAGAGCTGGGTCAGCGGTAGTTGATACTAGCTCAAACCCGCTCTCTTTGGCCTGAGGGAAATAGATAGCGTCGCAAACTTTGCGAATGTCCTGAGATTTGGGTTCGGGGGCCTTCAAAAGGTTATCGACATTGGCCTTGATACCAGCTCTTGAAAGGATCTCCACAATATCGGTTCGGATGACAGGTGCCTGAAGGTTGTTCTCAAGACGGTCAACCTTCAGTCCTGCGGTGAACGGGTCTGGCATCTCCAAGATGGTGGAGGGATATGCGCTGACTATTAGGTTGCGGAGTTGAGTGCAATGCATCGGAATACTATTGCATAGGCGGAAATGATGCTCAACCAGAAACTCGGGGTAGTCGTGGTGGATGACAAGCAAGACGCGCAAGACTCCGCGGTAGAAGTTTTGAGCCACAATAGTTTCTCCAGTTGGCTTGATCACCTGTCCTGTGAAGACTAGGAGTGTTTCCATGAGACGAGCATATACATCCCAGCGCTCATCAGACTGGCCGCCTTCAAGCATGGCGGGAATGAGGATGCGGTGGGCGACAAGAGTCAGCCATGAAAAAGTGAACCTCTGAAAGTGGCTTGGTTGCAAGATCAGGAGAGCCCTGGCAACGCAGAGGAAGAGGCTGCTCTTGTGGTCCACCAGGTGATCTTCCTTGGTCGCTTCATTGAGACGGAAAAGGATTGTAGAGAACAGGCGGAAGAACACCTTCTGATTGAAGGCATCACCTCGAGTATCGTGGTGGTTACACAACACAAGGACAGTAACCACGAGTATTTGGTCGAAGTACTTGGCTTTGCTGTCCTTGGCACCCGTTTCGCGTTCGTCTTGGTAGGCGACGAGGTCAACGATGAGTTTGCCCAGCGCATCAATCTTCACTGTGGCAGTGTCAAGGTTCCCGGTGCCGTACAGAGAATGCTCCTGCTCGTATGCAGATACAGAGGCGTTAATGCAAGTGCGAATGAATTCGATGGATGTCTCTTGACTTTGCATGATATCCTGCTTGTGAAGCTGGTAGATAAACGCTCCAACCGTCTTCTTGGGTGTCTCTGGAAGCTGCAAGTGAACCCACTCGTCAAAGATGTACTCCAGCTGATCTTTGTAGCCAGTAGAAGGCGGTGTCAAGGATGTCTCCGCAGTCGATGCTTGCAGGTTGGCAACAACACGCTTTGCGATCTCTAGAGAGGGGTCTTCCGCCAACCAATTGGTAAGAGCGTCGATAGACAAGGCGAAATCAGCCCGGAACGCGCTTGGGTGCTCGCTAAGCAGCAGCTCTTCCAGCAAAGTGGAAAGCATTTCGATTGCAGCGACACGTCTTTCTTGAAGGGCTTTGGCGATAGTAGTATTCAGACGGTGCATATCCATCAAGCCAACTTCCATGAGTGCAACCATAACAGGAGCTTTGAAAATGCGGTCGTCGTCATGAAGTGTTGCAAGCCACATAAGGACTTGGCGCGAAGTTGTTACGGACAACTGGCAAAGGTAGCTGAGCAAATGTGCCATAACCTCCACCTCTAGGCGCTGCAGAGAATCGGAGAACAGGTGGTTTGTGACTTGGCCAGCAATTCTGAATGACCAAGTGTCCTTGTTGGGTCCTGCGAACTCGATGCTCGAAATGAGCTGGTCAAAGACGCGGTGTATCGCGCTGTTTCCAGGCTGTAGCTCGCTGATCCGCTCCTCAGGTGCATCCTTGATGACCTGCGTGAGCTCAACCAGGAGATCTTCGACAGCCCTCTGACCGCCTGCAGGACCTGGGGCATCCATGTAACCGTTCAACTGCTGTTGACTAGGGGGAACATGAGCGGATTGAAGATTTTGGAGTCGAGGCTGCTGTGTGGGCTGACGTGGCTCAGCAGGAGCGGCACCGGGAGTTGGCAGGTTCGGCACTGCAGCAAACTGGTCCTGAAGCACGTCGGGGACCTGGCGCCCACTATCCTGAGAGACGTTATTTGCGTGTGGAAGGCCCCGCGCTTGTCGACCGAAGTCCTCGTAGATGGCTAGCTGTTCGCGGTTCAAGCCTCCGGTGGTTTGCTTGTACGGTTCAGGGATGTAGAAAGCCCATGGACTGATGTTCGTGTCCTTGAAAGGCTCGTTTGGCCGCGTGTTGCGGAACATCCGACGCATGCGCACAGCTTCCTCGACCTGCATGTCAATCTCGGCAAGGGAAGACATCTCGGCTGCCTGCTCTACAGTATTGCAGACCAAATCGAGGTTGTCGTTGACGAACATGACCACGTGGCCTTCAGGAAGGGTCTGTTCTGGAAGGTCACGAGCCATGATGCGAATGTTGTTTTGGATGCTCATGCGTAGAGGTTCCTTGCAGGTTACTAAGGCCAAAGCACCAGAGAGAGCCTTCACGACAGTGTGCGCCGCAGTTCGAAGTTTTTCCTCATCGGGCTCCATCGCAAAGTCCTTGCTGATGAGCTGGGATGTGGAGATGGCAGCAATAGTAACGGAGCGTTCAACGACTGGAGCTATGATCTCCTGAATGGCCTGGTTGACAGCAGTAAGGAAGATCTTCTTGATCTGCGCTGGTGGAACTGCACTGTTACCAGATGGGGGATACTGCAGCTGGTTTGTGAAATCGGGCAAAGCTGCAGTGATAGCTGCAGACGAGAAACGCTCGCTTGGACCTCGAGCACGATTCAAGCTCATGATGGAGAGGTCACCGAAAGCATCGAGACCATCGGATACCATAGGGTTGATGAACTCCTCGTCGGCTTGAGGTCGAGCCCGAATGCTATTCGTTGGTTCGATCTCCTTGTGATCCAAATCCAAGCCCTTGCATAGAACTTCAATCTCGAATTTCTGGTTCAGCTTGAGGTCTGCGAAATGATACAGCTCCATTAGCACACCAAGGACTTCCATGAGCCATGGATTCGGGGGTTTGAAAACCGTGGACTTCGCAGCCTGCACCAAGACCTTGCAGGTGAACGGAATGACGAGGAGCAGCCTGTCAGTATCGTAGCCTTCTGTTAGGAGATCCTTGAACGAGATATTGCGGAACTTGACAGGTTGATCGCGAGCAATGGTCAGAGAGCCAAGCCACGATCCTAGATTCTTGAGATGGCCTCGCTCCGTTGAACCGAGCGTACCATCGTTGTTCAGCATTCGTACGACGCTGACATAGGTTTCGCGAAGAACCTCAGCCCACAACGTTCGGTTGTTGAGAAGTTCCAGCATATCCAGGTACAGCTGCTGGAAGTTGGGCTGCATCTTTGCGCGCTCTTCGACAAGGTAATTGGCAAACCACTGATGGTGCCGTTCTTCAACGGCTTCGGTAAGGTCTTTGATCTTGTCGCGCAAATTGCGCTCAGACACATTGTTCAAGACAAAAAGCACCTTGTCCTGTACTTCCTCATCTGGATCTTCGTATAAATCTGAGTGAAGAGGTGAGTCGACGTACAGACAAGAGAACTTTTGCACAGCGGATTCCTGAAGCGCATCCTCAATACCGTTTCCGTTAGACAGACCAATATTATTATGCGCGTCTCCGTTGACTTCGCCACCTTGTTGCCCAACAACCTCCTCGGCCTTGGCAAAGATCTCGGTGCCCTGAAGCCCGGGTACGATCAGAAGCTGGTCGCAGTAGTTGGGCCACTCGGACAGTCGGCTGGAGAAATGAAGCAGAGCTTGGAGTCCAAACTTGTACATGGAGTCTTCGGGTCTGTACTCTTGCACGGCTTCCAGGACCATGGCCAGTCCGACCTGCAGCGCAATCCTGGACAGTAGGTTGAAGTTGATTATGCCTCCAAAAAGTACTGCCGTTGTCGCCAACGCCTCTAATGGATATTCGCCAAAGCAGTTGTATTCGTCGAATAGCCCGTGGATCATGCAAGCGAACAGCTCCTGCTCCGCTGGGTCACGCGACTCCTTGTACTTCTTCAATACCGAGATGATGTCACGAACATCGCTCTCGCCACTGTACATGTTCTTGAAGTGCTCTTGCATTTTAGTATCCGCATCTGCTGGAAGGCCGTTCCCGTTCTGGCCATTGGCATCGATAATATCATCTACACCTTCTCCGTAATTGATGAGCCGCGGGTAAGCTTGGATGCAGTTACGTTGAAGAGGTAAGAGCTCATGTTCTGGCAATCCGCATTCGGCAAGGAACCAGAGCAATGGATAGACGGTTTTCACAGCGAGCGGCAGGCTGAGCGAGTGCCCATCCTCTCGTACACGCTGCATCTCATCCGAGGCTCTCTGGGTCAAAAAGTTGGTCAAAATGCGTCGAAACAGAAGACCAGCTTGTTCAATGGTCTGTTGCAGCCATGGCTCAATCTCGAATTTGCCACGCGCGTGCGCCTGCGCCGCCATATCCAGACTGATATCGGTATTGCTGCGAATCAGCGTTTCAGACCAGTCGTTGGCTTCAGCATGTTCCAAAATGAGGGTAAGAGACATAGGATCGGCGTTGTACGCATCGACGAAACGGTCCACGAGCCATTGAAGATCTTGCTGCCAAAGACCGTACAGGACGAAGTTGTAGATGGGCAGTTTCTTGTGGAAATATGGCTCGAAAAGCTGCTTCAAGGCTTGCTCTTGTAAGGCGCCCCATGGTTTTGGTACTGCAGCTGCTGCAATCAGGAACTCTGCCGTATGAGGATTGATCACAAGATCCGGGATGCCCATTATTTGAGCTGTGTGATATGTCTCCGATGTGCGAAAGATCATCGTGAAGAGGGCGCCTGTGGCATCGAGCGACACGAACGGATGTTTGACAGCTTGCTCTGCAAACGCCTTGACGTCGTCGGGCGCACTCTCGAATGTCTCCAAAGAGTATGAAGCGCGCAGTCGCGGTATTTGAGAGACATCCAGCTCCTGGGAGGTGCACTGCAGATAACACAGCAAGAAGTACAAGTGTGTTATCTCGTTCTGCCAAGTACCACCCCACAATGCCTGGATATCGAAGCTCTCGTTTTCTTGAGCAATTGGAAGGAGGGCGTTATAAATGGAGAGGAAGTGGGCCTTCTCGATGCGTAGGTGATCTCGATCGAATGCGTGTACGACGTCCTGCCAGTCCAATCGCTGTCCAGCGCGATGCTCTCGCAGAGCTGATACGAAATTCTTAGCATTATACCCTGTGGATATCGCTAGGAATAAGATGACTGAAGCCACTTGCTGATAGCCAATGTCTCTTGTTTCAGCCGATGCGAGGAGCTCTTTGCTAGCTTCCACGGTAGCTGTGCTTTGTGGTCCTGCTCGCTGTACCAGTTTTACCAGAGGGTTCCTCGAACCATCTGTGAGCTCAGCGAGTATGAGCTTTGATTCGACTAAGCTTGGTATTTGCATGTGCAAGGTCTGGTATCGGACTTGAATGGCGTAAGCCATGTTCATCTTCTTGTCCTCGTCCCATCCCTGTGGTGGGTCCTGTAACAGGCGCTCGACAATTGATGCGATGTACTCTGGACTTGTATCGTCGTTCTGATTGGGCTGGGCAATAGCTATCAGAAGGTCGTCTCCGAGGCTTGAGAGAAGTGCATCGGCTGCGAGGTGTTAGCAGTGGAGGCGGGTCGTGTTGCACGAGAAAACTCACCTTTGGGCCTCAGATCTGTCCTCCTGCAGGCGAGTGTGAGCATTGCCCTTGACAGCGGATCCAATTGGAAATGCGCGACAAAGGCGGCCAAGTCGAAGTCGCGAAACAAGTCTCCTTCGCTGGAGCTTATTGATTCGGCGATCCTGTCTGCTTGTTCTGGGTCCTTGCGCAGCTTCTGTACTTCAGTCACCAGGATCTGATAGCTGCCATTGGGGTCGGTGTTGCGGCCGGCAGTGCCGAAGACGTGCGCAGCGTTGTTCTGCAACACGCGCCGGAAGTATTTTGCGAAGACCTCCATGCCGTTCGAATCGATCAGCTAGCACGTGGTTAGCATCGCAAAAGGGAGATGGGCGGCAGCGAAGCCGACGGAGCCACCGACGCACCTTCCTGATCTGTTCGGTCTGCGTATCCCACTTGGCGCGGTCCTTCTCGTCCTTGACAGGGCCGAATTGACTAAGCAGCAGGAACACCTGCGCGATGACGATGCGCGAAAGGTTCTGTGAAGAAGCGCCGGAAGCGGGGTTGGCGGCCGTGCTGGGCGAGCCGACGGTGCTCGACGAGGGCGAGGCGCGGACGAGCTTCGAAGCTCCGCTGGCGGTCGGGGCAGGACCGGCGGAGGCTTGAGGGGACGCCGCGGGCTGCGAAGCGGGCTGGGCCACGCTGGTGCGGGACCGAGAGGACAGCAGCTGGCTGGCTGGGAGCTGCTGTCCTGCGGCTGCAAAGGGCGCAGACGAGGTCGGGGCCGCGGCCGAGGGATTGCGGCTACCTACGAGGCGCGCCGAAGCCGACGGGAGCGAGGGGAAGCTGGAGGCGGCGGGTGAGTAGGACTGACGCGAGCCGCTGGGGGAGGGCGTGCTGCGCTGGTCTTGGGCGGCGGCGGTGGAGATGGGCGTCAGACGGGTGCTCTGGTTGTGTCTCGGGGCGCCCCAGGGGTGTTGCTGGCTCATCGAAGTGGTATTTCCATGAGCAGCGCGAGGGCGAACGGGCGGGGGCGGGTGCGGCGATGGGGCGGGATGAGGGCGTGGATGGGCAGTGGTGATAGTCGTGGGCCGTTGCAGAGATGCTTGGCACGCGCGGTGCACTTGCCAGCTGCTCGCAAGTTAGCGAATGCGCCGGCACCGCACCGCTGCAACATTCGGGCGCGCGGCCAAACAGCGCCAGAGCGCCGGCAGAGGGCGCGCAGGCAGTGCCAGGCAGTGCCAGACAGTGCCAGGCACCGCTGCGAGAGACCCTGCGAGTTGCTGCCCGCCGTCCAGGGCGATGCTGCAGCCCGCCGTGGTGCCGCTACCCCACACTTCCCTGGCCGTGATGAATGCTCAGACGCGCCTCATGGGCGCCGCGCACGAGCACCGCTCTGGACAGCAGCTGCGTACTTGCCCTGGCCTCGATGCTGGTCCCCGCGCTCTATGGCTCCAGAGTGCAGCTCGCTGCCATAGGTATCACTGTGCGCTCGCTACCAGAACTATCACTGTGCGCTCGCAGTCTCGCGACGGCACCACGACGACCACAACGTGCGCTTCTGAACATGGGCCACGTCCAAACACACAGGACGTAGCCCTCAATTGATCTGACACACACATGCTCCTACGGCCAGCCCTCTCCCCGTTCGTGGTTGCAGACGGTCACGCCACACTAAATGCTGCTGCCCGAGTGCCCGCTACAGCGCCCATGGTGCACACTGTCTGCACTGCCAGACAGCACACCTGGCCGCACGATACCCACCCGACAGCTCATGCATACATGATACAGCAGACTAGCCGTCGTCGAGCCCTGGAGCCGCACTGGGCGCTCGTCTCACTGCAGCCCACGTCGTCATAGGTAGGGCTGCGCGCGCGTCTAGCTCCTTCCCGCTTGTTGTCCTGGGATACGCGACCCGTAAACACAGCTCGAGGCACCCCAGCGCACTGTCACCACCCACTCCCGGTCGCTGCACCCTGTCGCATCGCTACCCCATATATAGCCTCCCGCATTTTTGTCGCTCGTTGACCTGCACACTGCTCGCGCTCACGTCGAGCACCCGCCCCCCACTACACAGCCGGCACCATGCCAGGCACTCCGGCATCCGAGGTGCCCTCGGTGACGCTCTCGTGTACGGCACGCGCGCACATGCACAGAACGCCTGCTAACCACGGCCAGTTGCCAACAATTTCTGGGGAAAGGAGGATGCCGGCGTCGGGCCTCTGCTCGACCGCATGCACTTTGCGAAAGTCACCAACGACGAACTCAAGAGCTTCTACGCGGCACGGGCCGCCATCGAGGAAGAATACTCCAAGAAGCTGCTGCAGCTGTCTCGCAAGCCCCTCGGCTCCTCGGAAACTGGAACCCTCCGAATGTCCTGCGATGTCATCCGAACCGAAGTCGAGTCCATGGCCAAGGCCCACCAGAGCGTCGCGCAGCAGATGCACACCGAGCTGGAGGAGCCCTTGCAGGCGTTTGCCGGTGGGATGAAGGAGCGTAGGAAGATTGTACAGAACGGCATTGAGAAGCTCCTGAAGCTCAAGATGCAGCAGACGTCCACCGTCAACAAGGCACGCGACCGGTATGAGCAGGACTGTCTGAAGATCAAGGGCTTCCTGGCGCAGGCGCACATGGTCATGGGCCACGAGGAGCGCAAGAACAAGGCCAGGCTGGAGAAGACACAGATCAACCTGTCTACCACAAGCGCCGAGTACGAGGCTGCCGTGAAGGTGCTGGAAGAGACTACTGGCCGCTGGAATAGGGACTGGAAGGCTGCCTGCGACGTAGGTTGCCTCCATAACGTGTGAGTGACGACTGCTGACAGCTCGACAGAAATTCCAGGATCTCGAAGAGGAGCGCATCGACTACACCAAGAGCAGCCTTTGGAACTTCGCCAACATCGCCTCGACGGTGTGTGTCAGCGATGACGCCGCGTGCGAGAAGATGCGCCTATCGCTCGAAGACTGTGACGTGGAGAAGGACATAACGAGCTTCATCTCCGAGAGTGGTACAGGACAGGAGATACCCGACCCTCCTAAATTCATCAATTTCTGCCGTGGAGATGCCGAAACATCATCACAAGTGTCTGATGATGAGAACTACTCAGTCGCCCAGTTCGCAAGGACTATGAATCCCTCGTATCGCGCCTCGTCGCCGCCCATTTCGGTCTTCGAATCGCATCACGATCCAAACAATCCTTTGGCCAGGGAGCTTGGCTTACAACACGACACCCTACCAGTTCAAGATCAAATCAATGTCGAACCACAGTACACGCCTCGCCCATCGACAGCCTCTCGGCAAGTACAGCCCGACCCGCGCCTTGTGCAAGCACAGCAGCAAGCACGCCAGCAATACCAGCAAAGCCCGACATCGTATGAGTACCCGGCCGACGGCATGACCCAGTTCTGTCGGCCTACCCCACAACCTGAACGCAACACAGTCGCAAGCCCTGTCCGGCCTCCAAGCCGAGATTCACACAGCGACCACTCAGAATTCAACTCGTTCTCCAGTGTCGAGCCCCCGAGCGGATCTGCGTCACCCGGCAAGCCGATGCCGCTCTCCTCATTCAATGAGCAAAGTCCTGTCGAAGAGAATTCTTTCCAGAAGAAACGAGGCTTCTTCAACAGCCCCTTTGGCCGTAGAAAGAGCAAGCCTGAGGTCGAGACACTGGCAACTGTAACACCGGCAAGCCGCAACACGTGGGCTCCAGCGTCGAGGCAGAGTACAGGTGAAAACGTCAGCCCAACTCGCCCGCTCGGTAGGATGACTCGTCAGCCTGTGGTCCAGGACGCTGCGCGATCTGCTAGTCCTGAGCCAGTCGACCCACGTGCCAGCTTTCAGTTGAATGTTGGCAATAATACGTTCGACGTGGCGTCGCCCGACAAGAAAAAGCAAGAGCAGCAAAGGCAGGAGCCTGCAGACGAAATTGATCCTATTGCAGCTGCTCTTGAAGAGCTCAGGGGTGTCACAAAGCAAAGCACCTTACGCGTATCTGCTGACAAGTTCGCTGGTCTGGCCACCCCTCAGCCTCCACCTACACCGGCTGTTGGCTCAAAGCTGCCTGGAGGTACACCCACACCTTTGACCAACGTCAACTTGAATGCTGCGAAGCGAGGTACACCTCCACCTTCTTACGAGCAACCTCCAATGTCCCGTCTGGGGGCCCCCAAGCCCGCGCATACCGCGCGCCAGATGCAGAAAACCACAGAGATGTATGTCAATCAAAAGGCGAACGTCTTCAATGGGAATGCTGCGTCCCGTCCACCGACGCGTGGGAGTACCCAACAGGAGCCTCAAAGGGCGACATCCCCTGCACCGAACCGTGCTACTAGCCCCAGACCTAGCTTATACACAGCACCACAACGGTCATCGCAAGCACAGGCGCCTGCGTCGCCTACGGCATATAGGCCTGCGCAGCGACAGCAACCATCACCTGCACCTGCTTCTAACTACAATCGTACAGCTTCGCCGAACCCGTACGCAGGTTCTACTGCTGGTGGCCGTCCACGCGCACAAACCACTACTGCTCCCGCTCAAGCCTATGGTACTCCTGTTGGACGTAACTCATATTCGTCTACTCGAGGGGCTTCCCCTGCCATGAACTCTATGCCTCGGGCAGTTTCACCGCAGCCACCACAGCCAGCGTATGCGCAGTCACGGCCGGGATCTCGCGCGGCTCCTAGCTCACGAGCCGTGAGCCCTCAACCAGCATTCCGCCAGTCAAACGATCGGCCCGCAAGCTCACACAGTGCAGCGGCGATGTCTATGGCAGGGAGCGAGAGAGGCGACGGTTCCGTGTACAATGGTAGTGTTCGCGGTCGACCGCAAAGCTCATACTATGGTGGGGGTGGCAGTGGAAGTTCTGTAAGAGCCGAATCCAGAGTTCGCAGCAAGAGTCTTGCAGAGCCCAAGAACTACAACAGAGACGGAAGGATTATTCTAAACTATTGTAAGTGGCTCGAACATGATTTGTTGTGCTTTGGTTTCACTGACTGGTCCAATAGCACGTGCAATGTACACATACACAGCACAGATTCCAGAAGAACTCGCGTTCCAGAAAGGCGACATTCTTGCTGTCCTGCGCATCCAGGACGATGGCTGGTGGGAAGCCGAGGTCATGGGCAAGAACGGCAGGCCTGGTCTCGTCCCATCCAACTACCTCCAGCCTTGTTGATCTTCCGGGGACTGATGCATTGGCACAGTACACATTTTCTTCCGCCTCCAACGACTTTTGTATACTCTCTTCTTTCACGATCATTACGCATGTTATTGGTTCTTACTGGTTCTCGGAACCCAGACTGCAATTAGCGGGCGTCATTCGTTTTTGGGTATACCAGTGTTCGGGAGTGATATTGGGGTCGCTGAGGCACAACATTGCTATGTATATGACTGCTGTTGCACTCGACGCCCAATTATGCGTCTTACTATCATCTTATCTATCTGTACATGTGCTGGTGATACTAGTCTCAGCTTGGTTTCCGGTATAATATAATTCCTCACATCTCGACGTCAGTATTGCGCAGGCGGGGACAGCCACGTGTGGTGCGTCGTCGCTACCTAGGTAGCAGGTACCTGCACTGGTCACATATTGAGTCATCACAGCGACACCGATCGAAGGTGTGCAGCGCATCACCGCTCTTGCCCTCCACATTCGCTATTTGTTGAGGTCAGCACGCGTCCCTGACTTCACACGATGACGGCTTCCACCCAGGGCTTCCACCCAGGGCTTCCACAACCAGATCCAGCACCAGCCCAGCCTCGCCCGCGCAATTCCTCGTGGACCCTGATCCACACAACAACGATGCTCGTGAGGGACACGGAAAGGAAGAGAAGTAGCGGGTGGGAGGAGGAGGATGCTGCCGTCGTGGTTCGGGTCTGGTAGGGACCGCGCAGGTTCCTTGCTGGAGACGGGGTGCTGGGCGCTGGATGTGAGTGTGGCTTAGATGTGAATAGTATCACCGAGAGCAGTGTTGCCAGATGCAGGGGCTCATGAGGGTTGTTGTCTACGCGTATACCATAAACCTTGCAGCTGGGACCGGCATTCTCGGTCGGCAGACGGTGGTGATGCGCTGCTTGCGCATACGGTGTGTGCAGTAGATTGCTGGACGTGGATTGACGATGAGCGACTTCAACGTATGTTATGACGCGTTGTTACTATGAGCGTGCATGCGCGGCATCTCCCACGATGACGTCTCTCCACGGACAACTCAGACATGAAGTCCTTGCTCCAACACGAAGCGCATTTCCGCTGGCACTCTCCTCCGGCGTGGTGCCGAACACACCGTGCTTGCTCCGACGTGCGCCTCACGGTGCGTCTAAGGCGATCCATCAGCAGCCATCACCAACATAGGCGCCCAACCTCACAGCCCGGTGCTGCGCCGCATCACCAACTGAGCCGCCTCATTGCGTTTCACGTTTCGTTTCGCGCCGGCGGAGAGACTGCGCATGAACGCCGGCCCAGAGGGCGACCTGATGTGCAACCTGACAGGCGGCCAGCGAGGCGGTTAGCACAGGTTCCGTGGGAATCCAAACACCGCCCAATGTCGGTGTAGCAGGGGTTGGAAGGCCGGCCCCGGTGAGCGTGCTGATCGTGATAATAACGGAAATGGTGGCGAGTCACTTGGGCGATCATGTTGGCCAGGGCGACAAGTGACGATGCAGATTCTGCACATGGCACGTACTGTGATATTGTCGCATGCGTGCGCTTCTGGGTTTCATGATCGCCGGCTGTCAGACGGAAGCATCTGTTATTGAAAATTCTGCTCTGACTCTGTTGCTGCAAGGAGCGCAAAACAACCGACCCGGAGGTGAGAAACTTGTCATCCTAGCGGACGACATGGCATCGTGGTGATCGGGTTTCATAGTCAGACAAACGGGACAGAAATAAGGCATTGGCATCGACGGATGGCTCGTCTGCGATGAGACTGACAGGTGACAGGCTGGAATCAAAAATATCTGATCCGAAACCTACAACAGGATATGATATCAGCCGCATGAACGAGTTACAGACACGCTTGTCATCATTACAGTGTGCTCCGTCTGTTGTTGTCTCAAATCATACTCATTGGAGCAAGGCAGCTATTCATCTGCCAGAGCCGGATAAGGCCCTTCTCAATAGTGTCTACCATAGACGAGGGCCGCGAGGGAAATACGAGGCATGAGCCAAAGATGGAATTTCGAGTCGTCAGAAGCTCACGTGATGCAACTACACATGTCCGGAGTCAGCTCACCGGGTGCTTCCACGGCCTTTCTGGAGCAACGAGCCGACTGTTCAGCGATCCAAGCAGTCGGTAAATCAAAGTCGAGTCAAGAGAGCTGGGAACTGTATTGGCGAACGGCTGCAAGCGATAGCGGCTAGGAGTATAGACAAAAAGTTTCGGCGGTCTGTGTAAGAGCTTAGTTCCCCATGGTGAGACCGCCTATCAAACCTACCACAAGCTCGTCACGAAGACATGTTCGTCTGGAGGACTCGTCTCGCCTGTGCTTTTCTATCGAGACGTCAGCGCCTGGGCAATGGGCGATCCGACCGGCCGTTCATTCTCCAGAGCCCTAGGTAGGCAGTCTACGTGCCAAGTCGAACCTGGGGATGCCTCAGGGTCACTTGGAGGGCAACGGTCGTTCATGCAGTCGTTTCGCAGCACTGTAGCGTCTCTTGGTCTTAATCCCGCAAGGCACGGAAATGTTCGCATGGAATGTGTAGACATGGACTCGCGACACCTGCCGTCTTCTCGCCAAGTAGGCAACTGGAACTTGCAAGACCCATGTGCGATGGTCGTCTTCCGTGCCGAAACGGATTCAAAATGCTGGCCAATGCGTCTCAGGTAGAGCTGTGAAACGTTCACAGTCTGATCATCCTCAATTTACACCTGACACTGGAAGAAGACACTGGAAAACATGAAAGTAGACTACTAAGCACCGACGCTGGACAACTCAGGCGGACTTGAGATCGGGAAGTTGCAGTACAGCTGAAGTCCGTTGACCGACTTTTGTTGGGCATGTTGAACAAAGAATGGTCGTACTCCGGAGTACTCCAGTGTGCATGCATGAGTTCAACGCAGTGTGCCGCCAGTGATGGCATCGCTGTTGCATCACCACCAACGCTTCTGCCGTTCAAGTGGAACCCTGAGGTCTGGAAGCAGAAGTGAGATGCGCTTGATCTGCGGCACCAGAGCTGATCTTTGGGTGATGGCACTGTGGACCCGTCTGTCCTTGCCTCCGACAGCGCCACGTTGCGGTACTGTGGGTGATGCATGCAGCCTGCTTGTTTGAATCGGTCCTTGAGGTCCCTTGCTTGAACGATTAACGTTAGAGTTCAGAGATGTGCAGGATGTCGAATGGCAGTGGCGGGGCTTATCGATAACGGTGGCCGCGATGAGCCCGAAAGTCGAAGGGGTTGGGTGTCCGCCAACGAAAGGCAAGCAGACGAGCGGTGAAGGCTGTGATCTGACAGCGACAACTGTGCTGGGCCCTTGTGGGGAACGCCTATCCAGGCCCGCTACCCACCGGTGTATGCAGGCCCTGAATCGAAGCATCCACTGTGCACCTGAAGCGCACCATCACCTGGGCAGCGGCAGTAAAGCAACCGGTAACAACAAGATCTCAGGCACTGAATGGTCAAGCGACTTGCGCCGCCCCCATGCATCAAATGGCGGCTGCGCAGAGCCTGTTATTGATTTGATGAGACGGCACATAGTCTGCCAGCATTGTCACGACAACCGTAGAACCAACACCGAACCGCTCGCTAGGCAGAAAGTCATTTGGCATCGACAGCAACCTGCAGTCTCAGTCTTCGAGCCAGCCGCTCACGGTACGATGCATACGCCAGCGTGCCAGAAGTTGCCGGTAGCAATTTCGCTCAGATATGATCGTCGGTCCCTTCGCTCACAGACTCCCGTTCGCAACTTTAGCCTGCGGGAAGCCCAGCTTGGCTGACCTGTGCTCATGCACGGATGACGCCGGAGGGCAGAAAAAGAAGAAGAAAACGATGCAAGTTCTTCGACGGCTGCCTCGCTTGCGCATGTCTCGCAATCTGGCCCCAGCCCTAGTCGAAGCAGGACCCCCCCCCCCCCCCTGCAGACAAGCGCGGTCTTACCTCGCCAACGGGCTGGCGATACGAGATGATGGAAGCCCGTTCGTTGCTCGATCCTGGGCGCCATCAACACCCTCATTATGACCGAAGCGGGCCAACTGCTGTTGCCTGTCGATGGCAACGTGACTCTCTGGAAAGTTCGCTCTGCCAGTATCGCGCCATAGCCCAGGTTGAGAACCACGCAGCGCCACTGGTGTGAGTGGACTGCGACTCAACGACGAGGCGGTGACTCCCAGGTCACAAGACCGTCACCCGAATGAAACAAGTGGTTGGCTTCATCCACACGGGATATTATGATTGGCCGCATTGTTGCGATAATCTCCGATCTCATTCGCCAGACTTTGATGCTCTCGAAAACCCAGTGCCTTCTGGCGCGCCACTGGCGGGTGCCAGCTAATCAAGTGCGTCGGCACGCACATGGATGGGCAGGGCCGTTAGTCAGCGGAGACTGACAATATATTGGGAGGCCAATGAGCGGTTAGGCAAGAATAGGGCGACCTCCGGCGTGACAAGGTTCGAGGTGTGGTGGATGCTTGCCAATCGGGTCCAACTGCCATGTGTCATCGCCAACGCTTTTTGGCGCTCGAAATGTTCGAGCCAGCTCGCCCTTGTTCAACATTTGCGGGAACAAAATTGGAGGACAGAGATGCTGGGAAGCGCCGAAGATGGAGTTGCTCCACCAACACGAAACCCAGACCAACCTTGGGCGTGCTACAGTCATCAATGCCGTCTTACAGGACACGCTGTGGAAAGGGCCAGCAACATGGCAGGAGATCAAACAGAAACTTCGAGTTCCAGAGCTGCGCCGCAGGCGTTGCGAGATCGTCGACGGCACAGGCCGGATGCGTCATAGCACACACGAACACGGAGCCAGCGAAGGCTATCGAACGCCGGCCGTGCACTCGCGACGTCGTAAGCTTTCGCAGGCTTGACCACGTCTCTACGCAGCGCTAACCGGCTGCGGCATCACCTCGACTCTCAGCCTGCTGGTTAGGGTGAGGCGCGGTTGTTTTCAACAGTTGGTGTTAAGAAACTCTCTCAGGGGCAACGAATCATGTCAGCCAGCGTCGTGTACAACGTGAGGCTTGAGCAAGATCCGCTGTTGTTGCCCTTCGAAATGTGTCCTCTCTGCGCGCTGACGAGCGCTTGTGGGGAGGGCAACGCACAGAATGAGTGGTTCGAGGCACTACCGCCACACAGTGCGCGGGTCTGCTTGGCCATCTGGCGCATGGTCTGCTGCACTGTGCTGCTCTGGTGCCTCAAAGCTGCTGCAATTCGAGCATCGAACCCCAGACCGCGTGTGTGTTGAGTCGACGAGGGTGTGTCACCGTGGCCTTGCTGCGCGTCGTCTGATTCGCCACAGGCCACAGCCGCCCGCCGAGCTGCGGATTTAGAGGCATGATTCAGGTGGATCAAGGACAAGGACCCGGTCGCTCGGTGGCTGCATGACGGATACCGCTAGTCCATGCACGGTAAGAGCGGCTCACACTGCCTCCCTCACTTTTGCCTCCCTACGCGCTAGTGGAACCACACGGTTTTAGTGGGCGCCCGTCTGCGTGCCGGCCATGGCATGCATCGCTGATGGACTGCAGGCGGCCTGTAGGCCCATCCTTCTTCGTCATAGCGCTGCTCCCAGGCCCATCCTTCCCTATATTTACGGAAAACTGGGGCGTCTTATGAGCCAATAGCTGACAGGGTCCTCGCGACGGCAATCTTTATCACTGCTGCCCAGCCGTGCTCATAGAATATACATCATATCCCGCCTCATACCCGACCATCACCATTCACCGGCTCGAACACACTACTACTACCATCTCCTTCACGTTCCTTGCCAAAGTTCAACGTCTTACCTCGTTGTTCTCCCTACCCATCTCAACACCTACCACCACCTTTCTCTCTCCCACCTCTCCGTGTCTGGTCACCTGACCTTACCGTTTTTGGATAAATACGTTATTGCTCTTACCGCAACTACTCAATAACCTTTGGATCCTTTTCTTTCAGGATTCAAGACTGTCCTCGAGGCCTTTACTGGACCTAGGAGGACTTTTCCAAACTCACCCGCAGCATGTACCCGTCGCCTCCCGCGTCTCCTACCCAAAATGGATTCTGTGCGCCGGAAGATCGACTAGGTCAAGTCCTTGCTGGCAGGCTTCAGCTTACTAGTATCCTTGGAGTTGGAGCTTATGGAGTTGTGTACACTGCCGTGGACATTCAGACCAATATTCCCTATGCCGTAAAGGCGCTTAATAAGATCGGTCTTGAGCCTCGTCAGCGCAAGTTCCAGCAGCGAGAGATTCAGCTTCACCACCAGGCTAGCGCACACCCTAACGTTGTTTCTCTGGTCAAAATTATGGACGCTCCTGACTGCACCTACGTTGTCATTGAGTACTGCCCGGAAGGTGATCTTTTTTCAAATATCACTGAGCAGGGCAAGTTCGTTGGTAACGATGACTGGGCTAAGCGTGCTTTCCTCCAAATCCTGGACGCTGTTGAATACTGCCACTCTATTGGAATCTACCACAGGGATTTGAAGCCGGAGAATGTCTTGGTCACCGACCAGGGCATGACCTGCAAGCTTGCTGACTTCGGACTGGCCACTACTGATCACGTTACCTCTGATTTTGGATGCGGCTCTACCTTCTACATGTCTCCTGGTAGGTTTCAGTCTCTCTCACGGACTACATTTTCTTACTAACTTGATTAGAATGTCAAACAGCAGCACCTAAGGCATACTCTTGTTACGCCTCGGGACCCAATGATATCTGGAGCCTTGGAGTCATCCTTGTTAACCTTACTTGCGGACGCAATCCCTGGAAGCGAGCTTCTTCCGAGGATAGCACCTTCCGCGCTTTCATGAAGGATCCCAAGTTCCTTAGGACCATCCTTCCTATTTCTTTGGAGCTTGACACCATTTTGAGGAGAATCTTCGACTTCAACCCTGCTAAGAGAGCCACTATTCCGGAGATCAGGCAGATGATCCTCAACTGCTCCGCCTTCACGGCTACAAAGTCCGCAGTTTCGACCCCACTGCCCTCTCCTCCTCTCAGCCCGTACTACGAATGCTACCAAGCTCCTGCCGTTCCTTCTATGGCTCCTCTGCCAGGCGCGGTCTATGCCCCAACTTTTTACCCTCAGCACTCCACTTCGTCCGGCAGCTCAAACTCGGATAACGATTCTGTATTCTCGGCGTGTTCATCAGCCTCGTCTTCGTCTTCAACGTCTTCCTACCAGAACATGTACCCTGCATCGGCCCAGAAGTTTTCTTCTCGAGTTCCCCAGCAACAATACGTTTCCCCTCCTGCTCCCACCAATACTTGGTTCCAACCGTTCATCCACGCCGCCAATCTAGTCAAGCATGTATCTTTTCAGCCATCGATGATGCCTGCACCGGTTCACATGCACTAGAGTGCTTTTCGGACTAGGTCGAATACGCCTCTCTACGACGGTCTACTTTTTTTCCGGATTTCAAAAGTCACGATGCCATGATATCGGTGTTCTTCTTTCCAGGCGTTCACAGGCTTCACTTCAGTTAGAGCCTACCGGACCACGCAATGTCTGGATTTAGACTTCACCCCAGCAAAATACGTTTAACTAACGGAATCGCAACCTTGACGGTACGATTCTTTTCCCCTGTACACACCTTTTCTTTATTATCAAAAAACGAAGCGGAGTTGACTCATTACGCATTTACAAGGAGTTACAATAAGACATGGGATCATGACGGGGTTTGTCCGTCGCGACTTTTCACTATTTACTCAAAGATACCAGGGCATAGCCCACATTGTACCGTAGCTAGCTCAACAAAGAGGATGTCAACCTCGCCTCAGGGCAAATCAGTCGCAAATCTAAGGATACAGAGGTGCCACAACGTCAGTTGTTGGTTGCCAAACACCAAAAACACGTCCCGCTTGCCTTGTTCCGTCGATGTTTACTCACCATCGCCCCATCCGGTCTGTTCACAAATGGACCCTTTGTTTGGCCTGCGTCATGTCGCGGTCCGCCTTGGAACCACAGTTAGTGAGCAAGAAAAGTAACCATCGGCCTACCACAGCCACTATCGTTCCACTTCCTCCACCGGCAGAGTGGTTGGAGTTCACCTGGATGTATGGTTGAGGACGGTTGCGGCAAGCCCGGATCCATCAGCAAGTCACCGGTCCAACCAAGCCCGAAGACTGCATCTCCATATGCGTGCTGAGGGCGTAGCCTGCAGTAGCTCAACTGACAGGTGTGAAGGATCATGCCCCTGGTGCATATTCAGATCGACCTAAGGTTCAATGAATCCGATCAAGGCAACAGAGTGCTCGAAGGGGTATTTGGGTGACATCTTTGGTTCCCGTGAATGTGTCCCTTACCCATAGACTGTTGGATGTAGGGCACAGGGCGCTGATGGTCTGAGCCTCGTCTCCAGCATGATGCATTCAGCGCTAGGCTCAACGACTACATACATGTCAAACTCAGCCATCACCACTAAACACAAAATGCACAATGTCTCAAAGTTACGAGCAGCCACAACACGAGCCAGCCACACAGAGCAACCTTCGGCTGACTTTCACTCTCGGGTAATACCCTAACGCTCCAGCAAGCTTCAGCTGGCCGCGCCCGTCGTGTAATCTTGCCCAGACCAGCGGACGCAGGTGCGTAACCGAAGCAAAGCGGCATTTGCTGTCAGACTATAGTACGATTCGACCAGAGTTGCCAAACCGTGCTGCTTTGTCACGGCGAGCAATGTCGGAACAACATTCAATAATGAAATGCACACGCGAGCGTTCTCTCTTCCGGTGAATCCACGCCAATAGCAGGATACCCTCGTTTATAGCGTAGCTGAGTCCGGAAGAGGGCGTTGGATGGCGTTGATGGTGTGCAGAACGCTAGTACGAAAAGCGCCAGGTGACAACCATCACGATCCTGCCTGCAGCTTGCTGTTGCCGTTGCAAAAGAAATCCCTCACATCTGCAGCAAGCCTTCTCCGTTCTCGTGCGCAGCCCCCACGAGATGTCATTTGCGCCACAGCGAGCTATTCTCAGTTGATGCTTGTGCAGACGCAAGAGCCGGCCCATTCACCGGATTAAGCAGCGATACAACAGCGATATACTGGTCGACTCAGTCGATGAGGCTGTGACCTGGCTGCGAGGCTTGTCGATCTTGCGGTATCAGTATCCTTTTCCAGTCGATAGATGCTTGAGTCTCATGGCTCTTTGCTCATGTCTTGCTCCGGAGACTGGCAGTACCTACCCGCACTACTGCTTCTGATAAACGCCGAGGATATCGACATACCGACCCGACGTGTACCACAAGCATTTCTGGCACAGGATGAACATCAAACGAGCTGTGGGTAACGGTGTGCTGCATACACACACAGTACAAGACGCTGTTCGACAAACACAGACCGCTTCTTGGATCACGGCATCAGAGCGTTGCTCACCTTGTCAAGCTTCGTGGCTGCCTGCCTGTGACACCGCATCACAGTGACACAAGAAGTCCTTTTCCTTCTCATCGGGTTTTGGAGAGAGCCCAGATAGTCGCTAAGCTGCGGCCGCTTTGTCGACCATCGCGTCTGCAGCTGTAATTGCTTTTTGTCGCTCTTCTTCTGAGACCGCATCGTGCGTCCAGTGGCCGAGCACGAAGCGTGACGCACAGTTGCACAACAGCATCTATCTTCGCGCCTTTACCGCGTCAGCAGAGTTGAGCTTGTTCAATAGGCTAACCAGAGTGAACAGAACTTTGATACTTGCTGGAACTTTCAACGACAGGCGATCAGATACTCGACATTCGAAAACAATACGGAGTATCTGATAGCACCAGAGCAATAGCGTATGCATACAACAGGGCAAGACGACTACAACTTGAAACCACCCCAAACCACATCTAGCTCTTGCCATATATTGCTCAAGACAGCTGTCGAAGAGTCGGAGCTCAACGCCTCCACGTGCCGGAAGGCCATCCTTCACCACATCCCGACCTGGCCATCACACAAGAGTCGCAGCCTTGATTGTCAGGGTCCCAGAACCTCGCCCCTTCTGCATGTCGCACTGACGAGCTTCTGAGTAACGTCTCACGATGTCCTTCTTATTGTACGACATGATTAGCTGCAGTTTTAGTGCAATGTTCCCCAGACGTGGCACGACTGCCCCCAACTGCCAGCGCACAGCATGCTCGCTCGATAGGTGTTCTTGCTGTCAAGTGGGTCCGGTTGCTGCAAGCACTACAAGGAATCTGCTGCACAACTCTGCTTTTTTCGAGACCCATACATTTTGACGCCACTCGGACATTTTCCGACACCGCGTGCACATTTTGCTTTTTGCCGCTCCAAGCGAACACAGGCACCCGTTACACGGCCCGAGGGGCTCCTCAATCGGGTGGATAGATGTCTTGTACATGATCGAGCTTCCGGGTTGCCGTTAGCGGAATTTGGATGTGGGTTTAAGAAAAAATGAAGATGATCTTTGCCGTAACATGTTTGCCTCCCCTACCCTGCATGATATCCATATTCCTTCCTGACTCAGGGCAAATCTGAGTAGCTTCATATCATCTCTGCTTGTGGTATGAGCACTCAAATGGTGGCCTCAATAATCTCGTCCTAATGACGGTGCAAGCTCAACTTCGTCTGCGAGCAAGGAGAGACGATGGGCTTAGTACACGTCGAAGCATCAGATCAAATGCAAGGAGATGTTGATGACTATGAGCAGCAGCTCCTTGCTAGCGATGAAAATTCGAACTGGGTATCTCGGAATGCACTATACAGAAGACATCACCCGTGCCGTTCACTGCGAAAACAGCAGTGTGACCATGATTTTCGTAGCCTCAAACGTACCCTTCATCCGCAGAAGTGAGTCAAACGTCTCTGGTACCTTCTGGAACGTATCACTTGCATCGGCTTCATTCCACACAGCAGGCACAGCGCATTCCACGTTTACGTTCGACTCTGCTTCGCCGGTCCAATCAAATACAATGCGCCAGTTGATCTTGAGCAAGACGTGCTTGTCCTGTAGAATCAACACGTCGCGCCCCAGATGGCGACTTAGGTCTTTCCGCGAGAGTATCGAAGACTTCGTCTCTGTGTTCACCACGTTCTCAGCATCAGCACCCGTGCGCCCTGGTAGCAGTCGAGCGAATGCCTTTTCGCACCTATGCCAGTACTGCGCACGCTTTGTCGCAACATCCCAAAACGAGTCGACAGCCCAGCATGCATTGCCGAGATCATTCTCTTTTGCTCTTGCACGCATAAAGGTACCCAACTCTCGCTCAGCCCATGAAGTTAGGCGGAGGAGATGCATGTCGATGACCTTGTTGGTCAGACAGTCGATGTTGACAGCGACTTGTGCAGTCAAAATCATTTGGGGGCTGCTGATATTGATTGTGTGTTTCTGGTGTATGCGTTTCGAGGAAGGGAGGACTTTGCCTCGGGGCAAGCCAAGTTGCTTAGAGAAATTAAGGGACGTGAACATCTCGAGGTAAGGCAATGGTTCCTTGAGTTGTACAGGTCGATGTGATGCGATCGGCTTCTCTGGTTGCTTTTGTTTGGGAGCAGATACACTCAGATTTGTAAACGGTAAGAAGGAGCAAATAAGGCTAGAGACTGGTGTTGGCCGTTCATCTTGGGGATCTGCGCCACTAATCTTTGCGACAAACTTGCTGTGATGGTATCAGACAGTGCTCTAGATATTCGACTAGCAATATACTCACACAAGATCTGTACGCTGGGCAGGAAGCAGGGTGTCGTCAGCTGCACGTTGTTGTTCGGCCATAATCTCTTTCGTACATCTCGACACCTGTGCTTCCAGCTCTTCGACCTCACGCTGTAGTCGTGCTTTCTCTCGTTTTCTTTGCTCGATTGTAGGATCCAGATAACTCTTCTCGGTTTTCTCGTCCTGAACATCTGCGTCCGAAGTATCTTCTACAGGCCTAGTGAGCTGGTTTTGCTGCAGCGCAGGTGCATCCTTCAGCGGAGAACGTGAAACAGCCCCGGATCCATGCGGTGGACGTTTGCTGGGCGAAGCGAATAGTGTGTCACGATTTGGGCCTTTGTGTGCTTCAGGTGCTTTGGATGCTGAAAGCTCTACTTCTTCAACTCCGTCTGCGGGTGAATCGCTGTGTTCATCAAGTATGGACGCGCCGGCCTGCTTTGTTCGTGCGTAGATATCATCGCGGGGCGGCGTGCGAGTCGGGAGTAGATTAGGATAGTTGCGCGCAAGACTGGCCTTGGTAGGCGACGCAAACGAAGGTCGTCGTGGGGGCTTTCGAAGCGGACTTGACGGCGCTTGCAGTGGAGACGATGCCTTGCGGCGTTTTCGAGGTGGCTCGTCCATCGTAATGTGTGCTTTTCAAAGACTGTGACTGTCAACAGGCCAGGCCAGGATCTATCTGGTGGTGTTGACATTAATGTCCCTTGACGCGCCTCGACGCGCTTGTCCAGTCGGCGTTCGAGGCGGTTCCTTGCCGAGGACTGCAGCGCAACATGACGTCTCTGCCTGCTTTGACCATGCCACCTCTTAACCACACAGACATGTCACGATAGCATCGATACTTTTTTGTTTGCTTGGATCTTATGACCTGGTATAATGGCATACATAGGACGTCCATTGGCCCTGCGGCGTTATGTCTGCGCCGCATGCGCAGAGCCATGGGAATGGGCAAGAATCGGTCTGCAGAATGGCGGTCGGATACAGCGACGCTTTAAGTATTACATAGCTCCAGAAGGGGAGCAGGCCAGACCTATCACTGGATATTACGCAGGTAAGGAATATTCGAGCCACCCACATGTGCATCATTGATAAGTCTCAGAGATGCTGAAGAAACAGCCCTCCCGAGCCCCAACAGTCTCGAACGATACCTCGAACCACACAGCTCCTCCAGTCGCGCCTATACCTACAGATCCTCCCAAATCACAGAGGGAGATCACACTTGAACGAGCTCGTACAGTATTTGGCTCAAAACCTGGTGTCAGGGAACGGAGGATAGAGATTGATGCAGCGTCAACGGAAGTCGCAGGTATCCGAGTACCGCCAAAGCCCACAGAACCGGACAATTGCTGCATGTCTGGGTGCGTCAACTGCGTGTGGGACATGTATCGAGATGAGATGGAAGAGTGGGCAGAGCAGAGCGCAAAAGCAAGGGCTGTCATACAAGCTAGGAGAGAAGCATCAGCGGGTAGTGGGGCCATGGTGGCAGGACAGAAAGACCCAATTCATGTTGCTGTCAGCATGGATGACGATGGTGGAGGCAGCGACACAAATTGGACCGGAAGTGCTGGTGAAGGGAGTCTGTTCGACGATATACCCGTGGGTATTAGAGAGTTCATGAAGACAGAGAAGAAGTTGAAGCAGCGGCACAAGGCGGAGGAGATCCCAACCTGATCAGAGCATGCATGCGCATATACCCTTTGAAAAGCAATTACGTCCTTCCTCTGCATTCCCAGATCCAGACGCCGTGTGCCCCTTTGTGCTCCATTGCAGTGCAAGTGTGTGCCCACATCATCGACCATCCACTCGGCGCTCAATCGTCAGCACCAACATCAACACCCTGAGTTCGGAGCTCAGCGCGTGCCTCCTTAATTTGTGCCATCAGCTCCGCGTGCGCCTCTGGTACGTCGTTGAAGGTGAAAACTCCCAAGCCGAGCTTAAAGAGGAGGTATGCGCCGAATGAGATGAGTGCCCAGAAAGGAAGCTGTATTTAATGAGCTTGAATCATGTGTCGAAGGATTGGGCTTCATACCATAGGAACAACCTCCTTCTGAATCTTCTCAGGGAAAGAAACGAGTTCCATGAATACCGCGAGGTAAAGCTGCACGTTGTTAGCCATGAGCCAGGGGTGTATGCTCAGGAGGGGCTCAGTGTACCGAGGTCAGGAGCATCGCAATGCTTATGGTTTGTTGTGCGCGCGTCATCTTGGCGGTGATTAGACCTTTGGTCGTTCTAAAGAAGGTATACGGTGAGTGGTGTGCAGAAGCTTTGTGCTTGCCGTCGTGAAGTCGTGTTGTGCAGTGTCCAGATCTCCAGGCCTCCCAGAAGGCGCTAAAGGGATCGCTACTCTTTCGGGTAAGACTAGCCGGCTTTCACATCAGCCTCACTGAACGGACCGAGGGTTACTCACTTTACGTCTTATCCATTTGTGGTCGAGACCACGTCACTGGAACTTGTATGAGAAGGGAATTTACGGAAAACTCATCGTGCAACAATCGTTCTCTAATTCTTGCATGTGAGCTCTGAAATTGAAATCGTCATCTCTCAAATCTCAGTCTGGTTCCCACAATGACGACGAACGAGGAGCCTGGAAGAACCCTGCCAGAAGAGGTATCGGCACTACTTAGCATGGGTCCCGATGCTTCAGTTGATGTGATTGCATCGCTCAAGACGCTGCACAACAGGTTCACGACCACTCCTGACAGTGAACCATCAGAGCAAGCACTACAGCAGCTGGGCACGGCTGCTGGAAAACAAAGTAAGCATGAATGAATTGTGTAGGACTATGTCTAATCGTATCTAGAGGCCTGGCAAGACCTGTTCCGAGAAGCAGGCCTGCTTGACTACGTGCTACGAAATCTTGGTGATGTAGGCGTACCACTTGCGTTGCGCAGACAGTACTTGCGGATAATCGGAAACTGCGTAGCTGACAACGGTATGTATTCCATACACCTGAACCGAAGACGGTAGATTGACGCCGTTTGAAGATGTCAACCGAGAGTTGGCCACCAAAGATATAACAAAGATCGTCGACTGTCTGCCATCAGATGATCTGACAGCAGTCGCTCTTGCAGTACTCTTCAATCTCTGTAACGACTTTGGTAAGATTCGGCCCACCTCTAACGCCTATATGCTAACTAGATTAGACCCTTCCAAGGCTGCAGCTGCGGTGATCAGACTTGATTTTACGCTATCTGGGTACCTTGTTGGCCACCGGATTCCAGATGCCGCGATTGATTATGCAACGGAGCTTCTCACATGGACCACCGAGAAGCTCACAGCAGCACAATTCAATGACGATGTATCGCTCGATACATTCAGCGATCTCGTCAAAGTGGCACTGGACTACGACGAGGATCATTATCATGAGTACATCGCCATCTTAGTTCACTATCTGCAGGATCCCGAGTTCCAAGCAAAGATTGCGACCCCAGGACTACTCGGTGACCTCATTACACTGATGCTAGATTTCGAATCTCGACTTTCAATGGCAGAAGTCGAAGCTGTGTTCGAAGAGTTAGCCATTTCCAATAGTACCGAGACGACGACGACGGCAACCAACACGAATGTGCTCCTCGCGGCGCAACTGATCGGAAACATTTCAGCAATTTCCGCCACCGATCTATTCGCACAGCGGTTCGACGTTCGGAGTCAAGCGACTGAGACCTTTCGAGCCAAACTAAACGCTTCGCCCTTGCCGTCCACAATATGCGCCTGCGTTGTGCTTGGCAATCTGGCTATGTCGAACGAAGTGTGTACCAACATGGTCAAGATTATGGAGCTACATCTACCGCTGGCCCGTATCCTGTCTTCGAGCAGTAAACCGGCTCTACTCTACGCTGCTGCAGGTTTCATGCGCCATCTCACATTCCCCGAAGAGAACCGGGAATTGCTGGCAGATGCTGGCCTCCTCCAAATCTGTGCCAAGTTGCTCAAGCAGAAAGATGCTGCTGTTAGCGGCGAGGCGGCAGCCATGATTGGCAAGCTTGTTACGAACAACTTGCATAACATCATCAAGGTCGTCTGCGAGAAAGTCGGTGAGGTCGTTGTCCCAGATGCTCACCCGATTGTAGGGGTTGAAGCTTCTTCAGAATTGACCATCCTTCACCAAATTGTCGAACAGGCACTCGCGCCTGCGAGGCCGCTACCTAGTACAGCGATGAAGAATCCAACAGTTGAACTCAGCCGTTCCATTGTCACAATCCTTCGGTTCCTTGGAAGACCAAGCGCAGAAGATCAGGTAGACGCTATCAGAGAACAAATGTTGAATGTTACTCTGATCGCTCGACCTTTAGCCAAGCTTGTGCGCCAAAGGTTCTACGCTGATGCCAGGTCTGAAGGATTGCTTGGTCTTGGACTGATGGCGCAAACGGCCCATGGCGCAAAGCTGGTAATAGAAGAGATCAAGGAAGACGATGGATTGCTGGCGGCTATCCAAGATTTTGCCGAAGGTAAGGATGGAGGTGCGGCACAACAAGTCTCATCTTCTTCGGGGAGAGATTATCAGAACGCAATTGTTCTCCTGCAGGCATTGCAAAATAATTTGGTAGGCACAAGCTCTTTTGATGTATTCATTGGCTAACCTGATGCAGCATACGGAGGCCGATCAAGCCCTCAGAGATCAAGTCAGGATCCTACAGGAAACTCTAGGCAGGATGATGGTACAGTAGCCCAGACATCAGTACCTAATGGATTTATGCATTGCATAGAAGATTGTGGTGAATGTAACGCCACAGTCTCCCCATGATAGTGGATCAAACAGAGGTAGACAAGTATACAACCAACCACAACACTTTCATTTGCAACAAGATGAACGTCCGACAAATGACAAACGCTCGATTTGAAGTGAAGTCAGCAAGTGGCAATCGTAGCCTCTGCAGTGTAGGGAAAATGTGACGCAGGCGTAATCACCCGAGTTCTGATTGGCCAATGTTGCATCATCAGGTCACAGCGCTGCTATCGAAGGGTCCATGAACCATGGAGCTGTGGAAGTGAGAGAAGCTATAAAGAAGGCATTGTTCGCTGCTTCCTGAATCATTATCCAGCCTCCAAAACACTACTTCTACAGTCAAATCCACGTCTTTCAACATCTCAAATTATCACCACCGACCTTTCCGGCAACCTCCTTCACAAACAACAATGGCCTGCTGCGGACGAAACAACGGCGAGTGCGTGTGCGCCAAGGAAGCAACCTGCTCTTGCGGAAAGCAGCCTGCTCTTCAGTGCAGTATGCCTCTCTTCCTCCACCCACATCCTTCGTGTAATTAGTATTGTACAGCTCACGTGATCACACGGCTAACGGATTGTGACAGACTGCGCCAAGGCTGCCAACGAGAACAAGATGCCTACCAGCACTTGCGCATGCGGCAAGAGGGCCGAAGGTATGTTGCGAAAGATGTTTGCTTGTGGGCGCGATGCTAATGCTGACTCAGATGCGTGCACTTGCGGTCGCAGCGACAACAACGGCACCTCCAACCTGGAGACTGACTTCACCACCAAGAAATAAGCATGATGCTTCGATGATCTGGCATCAGAATGAGCGTTATTTGAGTTGGTGTGGAATAGCACGCACAAAACGGTTCGCTATTCAAGGATTGGCGTGAAGGTGGTTTTGGACGGCATCACGGCGTTGAAGGGTCATTCATGATTTACAAACTGTAAAAAAGCAGTCTATACCTGTTAATCAATCAATCAAATCATTTCCAAAGTACTCCTCGCTTTCGTTATGTAGTATAACTTGCCCTGCTGTACAAACCGTCGTAGCTTGAAAGAGCCAACAGGAAGGGTTACGCACGGAAAGCAATTGCTCGAGGAGTGCTGAAAAAGATGCCGTGATGACCAGAGAGAGATGAGACCAATTAGCATATCATGCGTTGCTGAACATCTCCTGATGCAGAACATACTTCGTAGTCCGGCCGCCGGTAGTTGTTCCAAGGGTCTGCGCGGACGCTAAGTTGCTGCCGCTCGAACTCCACCATAAGCCCGCCGCATTGCGCGCATCTTGCATCGAGCTGCACCGCGGCCACCTGCAGCATGCACTGTTCGTGCTCCCTCAATACACACAGTCCTCTCTCACTTTAGACTTCATGACCGGCATTTTTCGCCCGCCTCCCCGACTCTCTTTGCGATCGAACGCCTTTAACAGTCTTGCCCAGCGCGCTTCTCGGCTGCAGCACCCCTACTCCGAGTCGTACGCTGCGACCTCCCTATCCGTCTCGACGCAATCCAAAGCTCCTACCGGTTTGTCCGGCTATCCCACCAGCGGCTAAAGCCCGCAAACGATATCCATAATGTCCGTCACGGCGAAGATGGCGGCAGCGTCAGGCAAAGGAGGACTGTTCAGTCGGAGCAGCAACTCCGGCGATGTCCCCACGATGCGTGGACTGGTATCTTTCATAGCGGATCTGCGTAATGCGCGAGCGCGAGAGTTGGAAGAGAAGAGAATCAACAAGGAATTGGCCAATATACGGTGGGTGCATGGTGCTGAATAGGAGGAATGACACCCGCTGACGAGAGACGGCAGACAAAAGTTCAGAGACGGAGGCCTAAATGGCTACCAGAAGAAGAAATATGTTTGCAAACTTCTCTACATCTATATCCTGGGTTGGAACGTCGACTTTGGACACCTCGAAGCCGTGAACCTCATTTCGGCCACCAAGTACTCAGAGAAACAGATTGGTTACCTCGCAGTCACACTGTTCCTGCACGAGCAACACGAGTTGATACACCTGGTCGTCAATAGTATTAGGAAGGATCTCATGGATCATAACGAGCTGAACAACTGCTTGGCGCTACACGCTATCGCAAACGTAGGAGGCAAGGAACTGGGTGAAGCTCTGAGCTCCGAGGTCCACCGACTTTTAATATCGCCGGCGTCGAAAGCGTTTGTCAAGAAGAAGGCCGCTCTGACCCTATTGCGTCTCTACCGCAAGTACCCTGGAATTGTGCAGAACGAGTGGGCAGAGCGCATGATATCCCTAATGGACGACCCTGACATGGGTGTAGCACTTTCTGTCACTTCCCTCATCACGGCATTGGTACAGGACAATGCAGAGCAATATAAGGGAAGCTACGTGAAGGCTGCTAACAGGCTAAAGCGGATAGTGGTGGACAACGAATGCGCGGAAGGGTACTATTACTACAAAGTCCCGTGTCCGTGGATCTTGGTCAAACTACTCAAGCTCCTTCAGTACTACCCGCCTCCTGAGGATTCGCACATCCGCAATCTTGTCCGCGAAGCACTGCAAAAGATCATGGATTCCGCGCTGGAGATGCCGAAGAACGTGCAGCAAAACAACGCGCAAAATGCCGTTCTATTCGAAGCCATCAACCTTGTCATCCACTTGGACTCTGAGCCAGATCTCATGGTCACAATCTCTACTCGCTTGGGCAAGTTCATCGCATCTCGCGAGACAAATGTGCGATATCTGGGCTTGGAGGCGATGACGCATCTCGCAGCCCGTGCAGAGACACTCGATCCCATCAAGAAACATCAAGCCATCATCATTGGATCACTGAGAGACAGAGACATCAGTGTACGAAGACAGGGGTTGGACCTGCTCTACAGCATGTGCGATCAGACAAATGCACAAGCTATTGTTGGCGAACTCCTACGTTACCTTCAGTCTGCTGATTATGCAATCAGGGAAGAGATGGTCCTCAAGATCGCTATCTTGACAGAAAAATATGCCACAGACGTGCAGTGGTATGTCGACATCACTCTGCGCCTGATTGCGATGGCTGGTGATCATGTCAGCGATGAGGTTTGGCAGCGAGTCATTCAAATCGTGACCAACAACGAGGAGTTGCAGGTCTATGCCGCTCAAACTATTCTAGCTTACGTCAAGGCGGACTGTCACGAGACCCTGGTCAAGATTGGAGGCTATATCCTCGGAGAGTTCGGCCATCTCATCGCTGATAGCAAGGGCTGCAGTCCAATCGAGCAGTTCATGGCAATGAGCGCAAAGATGCGAGGTTGCTCATCTAGTACACGAGCAATCCTGTTGTCGTGCTATGTCAAGTTTGTCAACTTGTTCCCAGAGATTAAGCCTCAGCTCCTACAAGCCTTCCGCGCCTACACACATTCGCTGGACTCTGAGCTTCAACAAAGAGCATGTGAGTATCTTGCGTTAGCCACCATGCCTACGGACGACCTGTTACGAACTGTGTGCGATGAGATGCCGCCGTACCCGGAAAGGACATCAGCGCTACTCTCGAGGTTACATCAAAAACATTCCACGACCAGCGACAAGCGAACTTGGGTTGTCGGAGGCAAAGATGCCAACCAAGGAGAGATTGGCCTTGCACGGCAGAACTCAACAGCTGGGTTCAAGCGAAGCCAGACCATGCCTGTGCAAGGTGAGCACAAACCAGCTGCAGCCAACGGCGTAAACAACGGTCTTCTATCGAGTGATCTTGCCGGTCTGGATCTAAATGTGGATGCGAGCAAGGGCCTCGACGCACCCAATTTCGCCAGCGCTGCTCATTTGAGTCCGGATTGGGATATTGGATACAATCGCCTACTGTTACGACCTGAAGGTGTACTCTACGAGGATCAACAAATACAAGTTGGTCTTCGAACAGAATATCGTGGCTCATTGGGTTGCCTGATATTCTACTTCTCAAACAGGTCGTCTTTCGCTATGAACTCTTTCACTACCATGCTCGACAACAGATCCGCAGAGACACTGAAAACAGATGTTAAGGGTCTGCCGGATACAGTCATACAGCCCGAAGGTCAGACACAGCAGACCATCATGTTCGACTGTAAGAACGTCTTCATACATGCTCCCACCATCCGTATATCCTGGCTTGCTGGCGCTATGCAGGGAATCACTCTGCAGCTCCCGGTACTGCTTCATAGATACATGGAAGGCGCAGAACTAAGCTCAGACGACTTCTTCAAAAGATGGAAGCAGATTGGTGGTGCGCCGCGTGAGGCGCAGAGCATATTTGGTCTGGTCAACAAGAGTCGCAGTATGGACATCGGTTTTGTCAAGAAGGTTGTTACCGGTTTCAAATGGGGCATCGTTGAAGGCGTCGATCCGAACGGGAAGAACATCGTGGGTGCCACAGTGCTGCACACGAGCGAGGGAGGGAAGTTTGGGTGTCTGTTGAGACTGGAGCCCAACTTCGACACTTCGGTATGTTGCACATGATCATTCCAGCGCTGTCCAGCAGCTGACACTAAGCAGATGTTCCGCATTACAATCCGCGCCACAGACGAGGCTGTGCCGCCTGTTTTGGTGAAAGCCATGGAGGAGCGACTCTCGCAAGGTATCGAGGGTTTAATCTAGGCCAGATCAGCATTCTTATCGCATTCCATTCGTGTACCCAAATTCTAATGGAGAGATGATGGGTTGTTGATACTGTAATGTTTGTTGGACGCATATATGCATGGGTGCGCCTGAAATGTTTGGTCTAGCATTAGCGATGAGGCATACTTGAGTATATGCTCACACCCATTTCCTTACATCAATGAAGCATTGTAACTTCAACGCTCAACAATACCGAAAGTGATGTAGCGTTGTTAGGTGTAAAGGGCGGCCTCTGCGCACCCGTAAAAGGGCGGATCTACTCCTGTTATGACTCCTTGAGCCCTCATCTGTAGTTCAGCTGTGGCTGAGAGGACGCCACCACTGCAGGCAGAAGCTTCGCATGCATCAGACGGTGCAATACAGCACTCACAAACCATGACTACTATGACACATAATTAATTGTACTTTGCGCTCTCCGTTGCAACCCGTTACGAAACGAACACCATCTTCTAGGCAGCGTATAAAGCACAGCTGCACCTCTAGAGTGTCCTCTTAAGAAGAACTCAGAACTACAGAAATAACGGCATCAACCAGTACAACTCAACTATGCCCATCACAACCACCCCTGACCTCTCCAACACGGCTTCGCCCGCTGCCAGCCCCGTCTACTTCTGGCGTCCACACGAAGAAGGGACAGGCTACCTGGGCCAGTGGTATCCATCCCCCTTCACTGTATCGGGCGACACATACGCGACGTGTGAGATGTGGATGATGGTGCAGAAAGCGCGGCTCTTCGGGGACGAGGCGGTCGCGAAAGAGATGCTGCAGACTACGGACCCGAAGCTGCACAAGGCGCTGGGACGGAAGGTTAAGAACTTTGATGGTGCGCTGTGGGATCAGAGTATGTTGTCTCTTCTGGAAGGGTTGTGACGTGGATACTGATGTTGCGCAGATAAGTTTGAGATCGTGGTGCAGGGCAATATACATAAATTCACGATTGCGGAGGATGCGGAGAGTATGAGAAAATGGCTGGTAGCGACCGGTGAAAGGGAGTTGGTTGAGGCCAGCCCGTTGGACCGGATCTGGGGTGTTGGGTTTGGGGAGAAGAATGCTGGTGCGAACAGACATCGCTGGGGTCAGAACTTGCTGGGGAAGGCGCTCATGGAAGTGAGGACAAGGCTGAGGGAGGAGGAGAGCAAAAAAAAGTAGACTAGAGCAGCTTGAAGACCGCGGAGGCACAAAGAGTTAGAGTACTGCTGAGAGAGCAGGCAAGGTCAAGTCTATTACTATGGGTATCAAAACTATAAATTACATTACCGAACATGCTTTCGAGCCACACTGAAGCTGAATTGGCTTTCTAGGAGTCATGTACATATCATCGTGAACCCACGGCCACTGTAACAGATATGGCAAGTCTTCGGCGCACGTTTCAGGTACTCTCTCCTGCTGCTCGCGTGTGAAGTCGCCGAGGACGAGCTCGCGCAGGTTATTAGGCCGTAGATTGCGCCTTATCTGGTGCTTGGTGCGCTCTACTCTATCTTCGGCCTTGAGACGGTCTTCTGGTGTCATACGGCGTTTGTTGTCATTCACCCAAGGTTGCAAGCGTTTGCGCCGTGCACGCCTAGTGTTGCTATTCCAGTAGTCATACATGTGCATCGAAGCTTGTGCTCTGCTGGCTGCGGCTACCAAATCCGGGTCGTAGGTAGGCTGCTTAGCGGGACGGGTCTCCGCAAGCATTATGAAGCGTTGTTCAACGAAGAAGAAAGCGAGCGTGGCTCGCCAGTCGAAAGAAATTTCTCGCGCTTCAACGTTGATTGCCAAGTCCACGAGCTCTGTGTCGTTGACTGCCTCCCGAATCTTGAGAGTATGAGGCGGTCGATAGCCACGACCAATGCTGGTATGCTCTCTAAGAGACGTTATGTAGTTGGTCTTGTCATCTCCAGCCAGCGTGTTGCGCAAGTTCAGATGCTCTTTCTCCCATGCTGGCGGTGCTCTGACGCTCATTGCCTGCCCTCTATGCACAACCTGTGGCTCGTGCTTGCGTGTCTCGGCGGCGTACCGCTCGGCAAAGGGTACCCAGCCACGAACAGAGCCTGTATGTATGCCATTACCACTGTATGCCATCTGCCGGAAGACAGCCCTTTTTTCGTCTGGTAGGAGGTGGGAGAAGCGCATAGGTATGTGGAGATGCGCGAAGGCTGGGCCACCGTGGTGGTTTATGTTGCTGTAGCTCAGGTCGAGGAGCATGTTCTGGAGGATGCCACGGCGAAAGTACTCGTCGACGCAGGCACGGAGATACGGCGAGACGTTGCGAACGACGCACCACAGGACCGTGAGGCTGTCGGCATCGATGTCGTCGAGAACATTGTACGCGGCGTCAATGCATTCGAAGACGATCAGCCAGATGTCAATCGGAAGGGCAGGCGCAGTCATGCTCCTGCCGTGGACAGCTTGGGCGAAAGCGCGTCATCGTGCCACCACCTGCACTCGGAGATGGATGTCGAAGAACAGCGACGCCAATCCCCGTAATGCTTGTCGCTACGCCGGTGGGACCAATCATGCATGTGGAGAAAGTGCGGAGGCGACGGCCTGGCACGGGTCAGAATCTCCGGTCGCGACTCCTCAATCCTGCGCCGAGGCTCGTGACCTAAAGACATCGAGTCTTTGCTGAAGCCTTCTGGTACATCTACACGCGTAGTGGGCATTGCAGACGCGTAAATACCCGTCAAGATGTCGACAATGATCACCTTTGCGGCGAATAATGAGTTCTTCCGAAAGCGCAAACGTGCGTGTGAACACTGTCAGTGCGCCACATGAGACAGGCAGCTAACACGACCAGGTGTCCACCGGGCCTGTGAATCCTGCAAGAAGCGCAGAGTGAGTGCTAGCCAGCCTTGAAAGACCAGCCACCTAATAGCCCAATAGAAGAGATGCAGCCACACGTTTGCTGATGAGGAGACTGGCGGCGGCTCTTTTGAGGGCGGAAACGGAAACTCTACCCAAAGCGGCGACCGGGACGCAGGCCATCCATCCTCAGACCCTCATGCTTTCGCGCAGGCCGGACACCCTCACCACTACGACCCAAGACTTCCCCGTGGGGACGCCCGAAGTCATGGTAACGCTCATCCCCACTCCACAATGCCGCCGCCTCACAGCCCGGCGGAGAGCGCAAGATCGCCACAGACCCCACCAAACTTTCTGGGCTATCTGAATCCTGAAGCTGTTTTGCGAGAACAAGTCCACTCGAAACGAGATCCTGCGCAGTCACCAAACATAGCTCCAATCGGCCAGTGGGTCGAAGAGAGGGATCAAAGACCAGTGACGGCTCAGCCAAGGTCGGCTTCAGTGCATATCAATGAAACAGGTCCGCCAAACACTTCGGAGGTGAAATCCTCCAAAGCTCTCCAGCAGTACTTAGATGCAATAGGCGTCGACATCCTTCCACCTCGCAAGAGTCAAGATGTCCTCCTTGACATTTACTTTACCTACGTCCACCCCCTCCTTCCACTAGTCGACAAGGATCTTTTCTACGAACAGTACGGGCAAGGTCGAGAACCTCGTACGTTGCTGCAGTCAATTTGCATTGTAGCTTCAAAACACGCCAATGCCGCAAAGATCTTGTGCCTGGGCGATGATCCGCAGCCACTCAATCCCCGAGAGTTCTCACAAAGACTGTATCAGGCCGTCATCGTCGCTATTGAGGCAAAACTTGAAAAGAACCGAGTTGTACTTATTCAAGTTCTAGCCCTCATATCTCTCCACTGCGAAGGTCCTGACGGTGCTGAGCAAGCATCGATGCACCTAGCACAGGCTATTCACCATGCACATACATTCGGCTTGCAGTTTGGGCATCAATGGAGAAACCAAAGCTCGGAATCACAAGGCAATCTGGAAGACGTATTCTGGTGCTTGTGGAGTCTCGACAAGATCAACGCGTGCATGAATGGCAGGCCATTACTCATGCACGATCGCGACAATAGTTTGAGACAACTGCCTACAGATCCAGAGAAGAGGTCAAGTCCGTTTGGAATCTGGTTACAGATTTCAGAGATGCTGGACAAGGTCATCGACTACTACAGACCAGGTAGTCGCTCAGCAGACGAGACGGGTTGGGAAGACGACTTTCTTGGATTTGAGGAGATGGTGGGCGATGGTGAGGATAAACTGGATGGCCCCATTATGAGTGAGTTGGACGCCCTTTGTTGACCTGTACATGCGACTAACAGATGCAGGTCTACTATCTCTGTTCCACCACACCATGTGTATGGCTTCGCACAAGTCCCTGTCCATCAACGCTCCTGTCAAGTCAACACCGTCCTATGTCCGTCAGAGTCTATCAGCCACTCGAGTCATTCATTTACTCAATGCCGAGTCTCCTGAGCTGCTGCCACCCCTTCCAATTGTACCATATGCGCTATCCGTAGCACTCAGTGTAGTCTACAGGCACTTCCGCTCAAGACGACTGAAGGTGCACATCAAGCGCGCTTCGGAGGAACTGAAGCAATGCGTGCTTCTCCTTGATCGCCTCCGAGATGCATGGTGGTCTGCAGGCACAATGGCAGACATTGGCCGTGCAGTTCTCAGCAATGCCGCTGGGCAACGGACAAACGCCGTAAATACGCCTGCGCCCACTGCGCCGGAGCTGCGCCCGAATGAGCCCAAGACAGAGCCACCCACCCCACAAGCCAACCATAACGGACCGCACATGCCTGTCTCGAATAACCAATGGCCACCCCAATCTATGGATCATTCGATAGATCCGAGATTACAGCAGCAGCAGCCTTCTCCAATGCCCAATTTGCTCAATCCCATGCCAACGCTCACACCAGGGCAACACCCTACGAGCAGTGAGCGTGCGGATCGGGCACCGATACCTGCTGCATTCGGCTTCGCCGATCAGTCACCAGACTGGTTGAACTTCGATACCGCCTTTGAGAACTTTGAGGGTCTTCTCGGTAGCTCGGGCGCGGACTTGAGTAACGAGCTATTCCGACCGCTCAATTATGAGACGCTCGAAGGCTTCCTCGATCCTGCTGCGCAATAATACAATCGGCTCTAGATAGAGTAGCCCTAATTAAACTCGGGACAGTACATTGAAAGCGTTCCTGTAGTCGCTCTTGAGGCCTGCAAAGCCAAAGCAAGTGATGTCTCTTCCATCTGCTCACTATTTCAACTCTACGAGAATAGCAATGGGTCTATATTGCACTGGCTGGTCTTAGCTTCTGCTGAAACCATATCAGATTACAGGCGTCCTGCTCTGGTGTGTGCAAATGTCTCGACACCAAGAGGCATGGAGCTGCTGGAATATTTGAAGATGTGCCTGAAGAGTTGGTATTAAACTTCTGGTTTTGCCGACTCACGCTGCTTTATGAAGCTTCGCCCACTCGACACAACCACTTGCGCGAAGCCAACACAAACCATCAAGATCAAACACACAATCACCCCACATGAAGACACCAATGACTAAACCTGTTATCTTGTCCAAAAAGGGTTTATGACCACATTCTTTATGTATGATGCAAAGATTATAGTTTCGCTGTGAGTGATGCCCCCGAACCTTGACCCGGACATCGTGGATATTGTTGTTTTCAAATCACATATTATAGTACCAACAATATCTCGTGTCGTACCAGCAGCAATGATCACGCCTCTTGTAACCTGTTCCCCTCGTCAAGCCTCGTTAGGCTCTTGTTTGATCTCTACCTTGACCCGAGGGTGGGTTTGAGCATCAGACTGCGCAGGTCCTCCTTCTTCGGCTTTGACAATGACTGTAGCAAGTTGAGTGCATCCACCTGATTTAGCGCAGTTGGTGTCGACCATGTAACACTCTCTCTTCTTCAGAACAGGACCCGCAGCACTGTCGGGTTGAACCACGGTTGACCGCACATCAGCGTGCTTTTGAAAAACCACTTCCCATCCTTGCAGCATCTCCTGCGCGGCGTCATGACGGGAGAATTGCTGCGCCAATAGATCGAGGAAGAACAGTCGCAAGGGAGATTCGGCTCCTGTTTTCATACATAAATGATCCACAAATACCGACCGTAGCTGCGGATGATCAGCAAGGGCAGTGTGGTGCGTGTATATGTCTCCCATGATGGCGTTTTGAAAGCCCGGTACTTCGAGCTTATCTCCCAGGAGCCAGGCATCTATGTCTGCCCATGAATCGCGGTCAGCTGTGGAGATGCGAGACCCATAATACATCCATTGTACAAAATCTGTGAAAGATGATGGCTCAAAGCCGTCCAGATTGACAGCGGTCTTACCGTTGGCGTCAATCGTACTGTGGAACGTGGCTTTGAAGAACGGCGAGTATTTGGACAGAAGGGCCTTAGGCAAGCACCAGATCCTCGAGTCTTGTATTATGCCCGGCCGTACACGCACCTTGATGGCCGAACCTTCGAGGCTAGAACTGGTTAGTGTCCATAAGGGGTTCGGACTCTTGACACTTACAGTGCAGGTGAAGGTCTCGCATGCATGAATGGAACACCGCCACCAGCTTGCACAGGAGTTGTACTGGTCCCAGTAATGCTAGAAGGCTGAAGGGCTATGCGTTTGGCTGTAGGTTCCGCAGTGGAAGTTCCCACGGATGTAGAAGCTACGCGTTTGGCTGCAGGTCCCGCAGTAGGAGTTCCTACGGATTTCGACGCTATGCTCTAAACTACAATTAGCCTTATGTCTGCCATCGAAACACTGCAGCATAGAAGACAGCTCAAGGCATATACTGGGGCCATGTCCGACCTGGTCGTAGTGTTCTATGTGTTAACCGTAGCATGCGCCAAAGATGTCAATGGCGTATAACCACTGCAGAGATCTGCAACGATCATTTTGAGGTACTCACAGGTTTGGAAAGTGTTGGCCGAACGACCTCTGCTTTCACACTAGGCGTAATCGGCACCTGACTTGCATCCAGAGGCCGCTTCAAGGGTACAATAGGCTGTGCGGCGGGCACTTGGGGTGCCAGAAGTCCAGTAGCACCACCTGGAGGTCCCCGGAACCGATTGGCGATACCCATCATCTGGTTCATTCCCATGGTGACTGTGTGGCCATTTGCATGGAAGTGGAAGACAGTCTCGTTATTGGAGTAGTCATCGGCTTCGGGACGAAGAAAGATCTCCCATATCATTTCGTGCTTGTTGAGAGGATGATGCACATGGACTCTGTAGTACGCACGACCGTTGGTGGCCGTGTAAGGTCCACCTTGTATCGTGCCTCGATACCAGAGCCCGTCGGGCTGCTGCGCCTCGCAGTAGTCGTTCATATAGAACATGGTGCTGCGGTAAGGTCAGAAGAAGAATCTTGGACTGGAGCAGCAAATTACACGATGTCCAGGCGGTCGTACTGCAGCAAGTTGCGTGCTGTTGCGATGCTTGGGGGACGGAGGAAGGGAATGGGGATGAGTGTGCATTTGACAAGAGGCAGAAGCCAGCGTTTCCCCGCGCACGCAATGAAGCTAGCAATCACGTCCGCCGCAAGCGAGGCACGGTGAGGGTGAAGCAGGTGCGAATGGAGCAGGAGCGACCGAATAAACAGCCATGCAACACAACAACAACAGCAGCAGCAGCAGCAGCAGCAGCAGCAAGAGAACAGCCAGTGCAGTGTTGCAATCCTTTTGTCTTGAGGAATTTCCAACTAGCTTTTGTCTTCCGCCACGTCTTCCTTGATAATGGCGTCCTTCTTTTGCGGCCTCTCACCAAAGATGTCACTTCCTACTCTCACCTCACCACTCCCCATCTTGATCGCACCCTCGAAATCCGCACTCATGCCCATGCTCAGCTCGAGCTTATTCTTGTCCCACCCAAGCTCCTCCGCAACCTTATCCCTCGTATCCCTCAAGCAGACAAAGTCCTCATTCTCGTTCTCCGGCGTCGTCTCCTTGCTCCGCGCAATGGCCCCAATCGTCATCAACCCAAAGAGCTCGAGATGCGAGCACTTCTCGAGGATGTGTTTGCACAGCTTCGTAGCATCTGCCGGCTCCACGCCAGACTTCTCTGCCTCGCCGCTGGTGTTGACCTGCACCATGACGCGCAGCTTCTCGGCCTCGGGGTCCTTCTCAAGCAGCGCACGCCGCCCCTTCTCCAGCTCGTTTGCCTTTTTCTCGCTGTCCACACTGCTGACGCACCACAGGTTCGGTACTTGTTCGGCTAGCTGTTTGCACTTGTTCGACTGTAAGCCCCCGATCATGTGCCATCGGATGGTACGCGGGAGGAGCTTGGATTTCTCGAGGAGCTCTTGGACATAGTTCTCGCCGAAATGGGTTTGCGTCGGGTTGGGCGGTTGGTGCAGGGCGAGAATGTCATTTGCAGGCTTCAGCTTCGAAACTGCTATAAGGCGGACCTGCGGTCTGTGAGTCTGGGTGCAAGTGGTCATTTGCGTGGATGTTGGTGCCTACCTGCTGTCCGCTTGTGCTTGCGGCATGGATGCGCGATGTGATGCTCGCAATATTCTCTGTGAGCTGCGCCGCGCGTTGAGGATTTATGCGCATTTCAGCAGCCATGGTAGATGTTAACGCACTGAAGTCGCGTGTGACGACATCAGTTTCGCTCTCTGGCGTATTTTCAGCCCTACCACATGTGGGGCCCTCCTCCCTTGCTAGGAGCATTTTGACATGTACAAGAGCCAAATATCCGACACCCTTTAGAATCTAAGCATGGATGTTGTGCAGAGCTGTCAGGAAATTATGATGATGATAGTCTCCATCATCTGTAAAATTAAACGCTTCTATCAACCGTTCGCTATGCCTCTATGCAATTGTTAAATGTCTTCTTCAGAAAGGGTATTCATCGACCATCCAGATCAGTCTTGCCAGAACGTCACTCGTAGCACCTTATTATCCGTGCTTGCCAAACATCACCGTCTCCCCTCCCACCATGCCTTATCCTTTTCATTCCTGTGAGGCATGGTCTCTCTGATTTCCGTCTCACCGCCATCGTACACACTCGTCCTTGGCCGACTCCTCGCCCGCACGTTCCTCTCCACTACACTCTTCCTTCTCGGCGGTCTCACATCTACCTTCTCATCAAGCGGAAACGTGCTTCGCGGCGTCATCGTATCTCTCCGCCTCTTACTCGCTACGCTCGCGCCCCCGGGCGTTGTCGGCGCCCTTGAGCTCACACCCGCACTCATGGGTCTCTGACTGCGGCGCTTGCTGTCGCGAACCTTCGTCGAGGGAGGGCGCTTGATGTAGTCATACGTGTCTGGATCTTTGCGTGCGAGCTCACGCTCGAGACGCCAAAGAGGTGCTTCAGGGAGGATCTTCACTGCGTCTGAATCCCGCCATTTGATACGCCAGTAGATTTCCGGGTCTGAAGCACGCTCTTTGTTCGGTCCGTAGTCAACGTTGAGCTTATAGCCATCTGTTAAAGCGCGCGCCTCGTAGTCGCCGCGGTCCATTTGCCCGGGGCCTTGTAGACGATAGCGCGTGCGGACGGAGGGGTGGATGTACTCGTTGGTTTGACGGAGGGGCCGGTCTGTAGTTCGACCAGAGAAGGGGTCCACGGCGTGGTATTGGCCTGGCGTGCGGATCTGGGTGATGTCAATATCTCTGCTAGTCTCTCGACGTGATAGGTACTATGTAACGTACTGTTCTGCCACCGGCGGTCATCACACCCTTCAGCTCGTTGTAGATCTTGCCAAAACTCCACGGCCGTATCCCTTGCCCTACTTCCTTGTAGAAGTCCTCATTCAACGCATCCTGCTCGAAAAGATACTCTTCCCGCATCTCCAGAAACGGCTCCAGTTGGCTCATCATCCAAGCCAATGTGATGTTCGCAAGTTGCATGTCGTCGTATCCTCCACCACAATTTGCGTGCACACCTGGAAACCATACTTGGCGCAACGTCGTCCGATTGCCTTCTGGCTTCTCCCACACCGCTGGCGAGAAAGACGAGCGGTTCTCGTCAAGAGCCAAGGCCTGGAACGCGTTCTCCACGCAATTACTAAGCTTCGTGTCGTAAAAAGATGTTGCACGGGACTGCTTGCCTTGTAGGCCTGCGCGCTGTAGCAACCCAATTCGTGGAATGCCCAGACTGCCCACCGTGTCCCAGACAGCGATTGCTTTGATGGGAATGTCAAGTCTTGTCAATCCACGGCGTTCCATCTCTTCTGTGTATCTAGGATCGCTTGCACTAGGCTTGCGGGCGAAGGGTATGTCCGGATGTTTGGGTACGTAGTTTGGATCTCTCCGGTGTTGAACATCGTCGTACACTTCAGGAAGATCATTGAGCCCCTTCTTCGTTAGCAGGCCGATCTCGCCAATCAAACCGGCGATGCTACGGGCAGTGAATGCACCTCTTGAGAAGCCAATCAGGAAGATTTCGTCGCCAGGGTGGTAGTTGTTGGCTAGGAAAGCGTACGCTTCTCGAACGTTTTCTGGGAGACCCTTTCCTGTGGTGCCTGAGATGAGTTTGAACAAAGGCCCTCCTTCTGTTCCAACACCAGACGTGTAATTGACAATCTGCGGTATGCCATCTTGGCTGACCGACTTGATAGCTCTGGATATCCGCGTGACGTTGCTAGGAATTGCGAGATCGCCGTTCTTCTCTCCGTCGTCTGAATTCAGCCATGTTCCATCGCAAGCAACGATGAGCCTCTTGAACATGCCTCTCCCTCCACTCAATCCGGGAGTGCTCATAAGCGGCCCATTTCGTCCAACACTTCTTGCTCGACTGACAGGTCGGAATGGTATATCGACCACGATTGGCGTTCGTGGACTTCTTGGAGGGCCGTCCACGACGATTGGGCCTGGAGGCGGCGCCCGCATGCTAGGCGCCCGGCTCCGGCTCCTTGCTCGCGAGTGTGCCACAGACATATCTAGGCTTTTCCTGCGATTTTGCGTGGGCTTGAAAGCAGAAGAAGCGCTAGACGGAGACGAAGGCTCGTAGCCCGACTCCCAGTCGCTGTTGGAGGAGGCCACGTTAAATGATTGAGCCACGTGCGGATGTGGCCAATTTTCCTGTGGAGTTATGCGGGTGAGGCTGGCGGCTGGCTTGCAGTCTGATGGCCTGCAATTGCCGTTGGTCCGTTGGTTGCGAGGTATGCAGCAGTAGGGCGTACTGAATGGTACGATAGATGATCAATGCGCAACCAGTTCGGTTGCGTTGTGATCTTCAGGTTCCCCTCAGATCTCCCGACTCTTACAATCGTTCGTCGCGTCAATTATGCGGCTTTCCCGGCTGTCGTAAGCTTCAGATCTCAAGGCCCCGTTGAGCCTCGTCGGACCCTTGCAACACCCGAGGTCGTGTGCAACAACGTTGGAATTGTGCGATTCGCCAATCTCACGCAGTCACTCTTGCATAGCCGCAGAGCGAAACAGAATCAAGGAGAGAGAAAACGCGTGCATGCGCACTCTTACATGCGTGGTTGGGCCTTCGTTTTTGCTGGCTGGCGCCCGAGGATCATTGGACTCGCTTCTGATCTGAGCGCTCGGTTTCCCAGCCTCCCTATGCGAACAAGAGTTCACGAGCTTGTGTATACAGAGAACAGAGGTTCTGTCCAAGGGTTTCACGAATTGGAGTCACGCACTTTCTGCTGTGTTGCGTTGGCTGTACCCCACTATGCAGCGTGGATCAAAGTGAAGCTGCGCGGACAGCTGGCAGTGCTTCTCTATACTGAGACTGACCGCCATCTCCATAGCTTCCGTATTTGCCAAGCGCACACGATCCCGTATCCACCAAGGATCGCCCGGCCACCAGGTGTGATTCGCGGCTCAAGCCTGGGCTCCATTCAAAACAGCATCCGGTGAGGGACCTTTTACGCTCTCTTGCATGCATGCCTCTAAGAAACACTTATGCATGCGGCTCCAGGTGCGAATGCCATGTGGGGAAGCCCCATCTAACGTGCAGAAAAGTCCCTAGCGAAATCCCAAGGTCGGTTCCAGAACGTCAGGCGCATAATGCTCAGTCAAGGTATGTCGCAAAATGGTAGGTGTGAAAGTATCAACTGTTTTTCCAATTTGGAGTGACTTTTATCTAGATGATCCAGTTTGATCTTGTGCACAAGTCGATTGCAGCCTTCTCGCGACAGAGCGCGACATAAACTCCATAGTAAACATACACGCGCCGAGTAACAACCTGTGTCTCAGACCGTCGGACCCATACACTCAAAAGCGACAACTATCGTACAGTATCCTAAGGACTCCCACATGGCAGGTGGGGTGCCTCCACTGAACTCCGTCGCTGTATCCCAACAGCTAAAAGTGTATGATGCAACGCAAACGTTCGATGTAGATATCCATCTACTAAACAATGCGCCCGCGAGATAGAAAGAGAGAGAATAGAGGTGACTAGATGAGAGGAAATAAATAAAAACATAGCCCGTAGATGAGACAAATGATGCGTAGGGAAATCGTCAAGATCGTATGCAGAAGTAGGTGAAGGAGATGGTTTGCTGACGGCCTAATAGCCGCCAAACATCTCCTCGAGCTCGTCAAGCTCGATGTTCTCCGGACTGCGCATGTCTGACCAACTCCAGTCAATGTCGGCAATCTCGAGTTTTACCTCGTGCGACTTGAATACTGGTGGTGGCATCTCCAGGTGAAACACCTGTGACTTCAGAGCAGGGCTCTCCACAGAGAAATCGAACGAGGAGCTAGCCATGTGGCCGAAGAGGGCAGTGGCGGCTTCTGAGTTCTTGCGCGCAGCAAGCTCTTCTGTCTCTTCGATTGACTGGGCAACGTCGTCCATGCTGACGTCGGAGGCTTGACTTGGCTTCGTAGACGCACGGGCAGAACGCTCGCGCTCAGCCTCTTGTCTCCTGCGCTCTTGTTGCAGAAACGACGCGGTCATGGTGAACTCGCGCTCCTCTTTCTCCAACGGCGGAGATTGGGCACGTCGGTTGTGCGAAATGTTTGCGTTGGTGGGGGGGTGGACCTGACTTGAGAAGGGATCCGCGCTGCCGCTTTCGTCGTAGTCGGACAAATCCAGCTCTGGCGAGGGAGACATGCGGGCCCTCGCGCGCGCATCCATGTCCTCTTCCTCGGAAGCACCGGAGGACAGGGAAGGAGTGACGATGCGCGGCATGATTGCGCCGCTTGTGCCATCGGCAGGAATCGGCTGATGGGGCGTGGTGGTGAGGAAGTAGTAGACACGCTTAGGGTGGGTGCCGACTAGCTTTTTGTCGAGGGGACATCTCGAGAGCGCGGTCCAGGTGCGCTTGAGGTAGGTGGCCAATCGCGAGGAGATGATAGCGGCAGGGTTTGCAGAGCTGTCGAAGGTCAGTATGGAAGGGGTCGGCGCTTGGCACAGGGAGACGGGAAACATACCTCTCGACGATGGGAATGGTCGGCGACAGCACAGTCGCCAGCTCCTTGAGCAGATGCGGGCGGTTGCCCGTTCTCTCGAGCTGCTCGATGACGCCGACGACGATCTCGTCATCGATGCCCTGTGTGTCGACCTTGGCCTGGCCGGACTGGCCGCCGGGCGAAGGTGGCGGTGTGTCTGCCAGACGCCCTGCGCTCTTGGGGCGCTGCTCATCGAAGGCGCGCAGCGGGAGAGTGTTCGCCGGCGAGGTCAGCGACGATGCGCTCGACCCCGAGTGCGAGCGCTTCTGCTTTTTCGCGGGTTGCTGCATGTCGGTGGTCGAAGGCGGTGAGCGCGCAGACCGAGGCGCGCCAGGAATCGCGATGCCCAGCGACGGTAGCGAGAGAGACTTGCGGCGAGTGTTGTAGCCCATGGTGTGTCGCGGCGATGGGTCGCAGTGGTCGCGTGGGACGGCGGCGTAGGATGTCGCGGAGAAACAGGGAAATTATTGCGACAGGCAGAAGCAATGCAGCAAAAAGTGCTGATGCTGCGCGGATGCCAGGGGTGACGATTGGCTCGCGGAATGCACAGTCAAGCGGCAGGCGATGCGTGAGTGGCTGCAACAGCAACTACGCGAGGCAGCGTGCGGCGTTTCGGCCTGCACTGCAGTGGCGGCGACGAAGGTGTTGAATTATGTCTGACAAGCCGATGGGCGGGCGATGAGAAGGTGCAGGCCGGCGGCACTTCTGACGACACACGCCTCCTGACGGTGGTTGCGTAACTGGGCGATGGCCACTGGTTCGCGCAAGCACAAGCCAGCAACAAGTCCAGCCGGGCAGCAGCAATGAAGCGAGACAGTCAAGTTCGCACCAGCTCCACGAAAGTCACGGCTCTGATGGAATGCAAGTGTGTTGAACAGACGAACGGTCCCTGAGTGAGTTCGAGGGGAGATGGAGGGGAGGGGAAGGGGAGGAAGGGTAGGTAGGTGAAGAAAGCGCACTAGGGCTGCCTAGTGAAGGACTTCAGGGATGTCGCTTTCGGACCGCCACACTTATGACAGCATGCTAACCTTAGAGCCCTCTTGGAGCCGTTTTTTTTTGCTTTGCTGGCGCTGCTGCTGCCAGGGGCCAGAGTGCGCAGCGCTGCTAACCACGCCGTGGCTGCCATCTGCCTGCGTGCTGCGTGCAGTGCAGGTCGCACCCGTTGCCGCGACGAGCAACCCGGACGCCTCCCTTTGGTGACCACGGCCTCACCGGCTGCCGCATCCAACGTCTCGCGCCTGATTCGATGGGCCAGCCCCGGCCTGCGCGGCAGACGACAGGTCGCGTTGCTTTCTTTCGTCGCTCTCTTTGTTCGCCGGCAGCAACACGGCGCCAGCAGGTGGAGCGCTGTGGTCCGCAGTGCACTGAGATCTACGCCTATCCACCGCGTGAGATGAGGCCCATCCCTGCAGTGGGGAGCAGGTCGTCCCAGGCGACGGTCGCGGTCAGTGCCAACCACTGCCAGCGCAGCCAAACAGTGAGCAGCGCCGGAGCTCCCTCACATCTGTCTGTGACCCCAGCCATGCCCATCAACAGCCCTCTCCCTCCCCATGTGCACATCCTTGCCGTCTGCATCAGGGCGGGCCGTCTGCTGCTGTTCGCGAGTTGACCGCCTCGCCTCTCCTTGCCGCGCACCAGATTGCGCAACTGGCCTTCACGCGACTGGTTGCACACCTTCCAATATCTGATGCTTCGTGCATGACATCGTCGTGACCCAACGGCAGGATACCCCTGCTAAGCTCTAGCCTGAAACCAACTGCTGCACAGCTTAGCCTCATCCGCTGTGTAGGGATATCCCCGGGGCGGTCAAGAGCTAAATTGTTCGAAAAAAAAGTTTCTGTGCGGGAACCATGTTTTCGCCGACCGAGCATTCGCCTGCCCGTGATTGCGCAGAGACTTCCGAGGTTCCAGGGCTCAGACCAGTCGCAGTGAGGTCAATTCACCCGTATGTTCATCATGGCATATGTGCGCTGCGCAACGCTGCCAGACACGCTTCTTCTGGAAACTGTTGTTTCACAAGCATCCACTTGCACACCCGCTTTGCTTTTTCCGCGACGTACCAGCTCGCCCGATTGAGCCTAGACAGGTCCGGTATGCAGCCCACGCGGCGGTGGGGAGGTGTCGCGCGCCGAACTTTGGCTGGCGGGCATCGTCCCCGCTCCGCAGACGAGGGCGGACGATGGGTGTAATCAGGCCAGCTGCTTGCTGCATGCTGCTGTTCACTGTTCACCGCATTCTAGGTATCGCTTCTAGGTGTCGCAGAAGAGCGGTGTTTGCTGCATTTGCACGCTCGCCGAGTTAGCAAGCGCTGCTCGCTGCGTGTCAGCCCGTTGAGAGCACTCGGCGTCGCGAAGCTTACGAGCAGTGAGCTCATCGCCGCCAGATAAGCGTGCAACGAGTTCCATTCAGAGTTTGGACCTCGCGCCGCCCGCTTTTGGTGTAGAATGATGTATATTGTCCGTATTCGTTATCCGGTACCGCCCAGCTCGCTTGACCTGCTCGTTGTACCCAGTACTCGGGCGCATCTCAGATCAACCCCTCCTTGACTGCAGAGCATGATTAAACTTGACGTCGATGGGCCGTCAACATCCATACCAGCAGCGAGGAAGCGCTGCATTCGAGAACTCTATTCAAAGAACCAGAGCTGCATCCAGCCAGAGCGACACATTTAGAGTCATCGAATCACAATCTGCTAAAGGCCTCCCCGCATCCGTAACGTTGCGGGTGAGGTGCTACAGGAAAGGGTCAAGTGCCACAGCAAAGTCGACGTCTCAACGCCATAGCGACCACCATGGCTTTTGTGTGACCGAGAACTCGGTCTGCGGCAAGAGCGGCTGCTCGCCAGGCGCTGCTTCGGTCGTGCTTTTCCGCAGGCCTTTTCGCGGCTTCAATTCTAACCACCATGTCGTGCCAAAGTTGTACCTTTTGATGTTCACCACTTCAAGTCCACTGTCTTCAACAATCTTCCCGATATCCTTGTTCCACCAGCACCCATGCTCGTCGGCGTGGGCCGGTGCGGTCTTATCGAGCATGTTGTTGAGCCAGCTGTAATGCGACTTGCCGTGCTCCAGAAGGAGGATCTGGCCATCCTCTTTGGTGCACGCCTCTATGTTCTGCAGCAGCTTCACGGGTTCTGGCGTCGAGCAGAGACCCATAGTTTCAATGACCGTGTCGTAGCCGTCTTGGGCGTCAAATGGCGGTGTGATGGGGTCTAGAGCGGATTGCCGCTTGAAGAAGACCCGGCTGAAATACTCCTTGTGTGTATCATTCCACTTGCGACGTGCAACTTCCAGCATGGGCGCACTCGAGTCGAGCAATGTCACTGTCGCGCATTGCTTCGTGTTGTAGTATGGTATGTTCCTACCAGTTCCTACGGCAACCTCCAACACATGCCCTCTCGCCAGCTTGGCGAGCTTCTTGCGCTTCGACGTGAGCAGCAGGAGCGTTTCTGAAGTGTCGACCTTTTCATCATAGCCCTCAGCCTCCTTGTCGAAGCGATCTGTCAGATCTGTTGGGAGATCCTTGATGTCTACATCGCGTGTCAGCGAGACGTACAGCATGACACCGTACATCCCGAGACCAAATGCAACCAAGCCAACACCAAACATGGGCCATTGCCTCCATCTCCGCAGCTTTGCCTGGTGTTGTTCAGATGCCAATTGCTCGTCTGATAGTCGTTGCAGGTCTCGTAGCTTCGGCCGCGCTGCCCAAACCTTCCGAATTGACTCTTCCGGTGTTTGCTTGGGGTCTGGCTTCGAGAGGTCGTATGGCGATTGTATCGGTGGCCTCCTGTTCAGAGGAGGCGCGCGTCTGACCGGCAGCGCTTTGGTGGTAGGCAAAACGCGCGGTGGCTTCGGTATCTTCGCCATGGTGGTGCGTACGGAGTATTATAGATTAGGTGTGCAGCCTGACTTTCAAAGTTCGAAATTGTAGCTGTCCAGACTCTCGGGTCGACCCTTCCAGAAAGCTCAGACCATTTGACGAGCTGCACGCCACGATAAACCACCGGCGACGACATCGGAGTCGAGTCGGAGTTAACCCACCTTTTGAAAATTGATACCCAGCTATGCAGACTTGGCTTGATTGACTTTGCACTTCTTCACTGCTGTTTTTGTGTTATTTGGTACCTTGTCGTGCAATGTCTTCCTCGACGTCTTCGTCTGCTACGCCTAAGATACCCACTTCGGTCATCATCGTCGGAAGCGGTGCTTTTGGCCTCTCCACAGCATGGGCGCTCTGCAGAAACCCTGAATTCACCTACACCTCGATCACTGTCATAGATCGCCAGACATTTCCAACTCCAGACAGCTCCAGTGTAGGTAGTCCTTACGTTATGCGGTCCATCTTGGTCTCAAAGCGCAAACCGTCCCAAATAGGAAGCATTGCTGATCACCTTCTCCAGATTGACACTTCCCGCATTATCCGCCCTGACTATGCTTCCCCACCCTACAATCGCCTGGCGAACATTGCGCAGGACCGCTGGCGCACTGACTTTGCCACCGAGGAGTATCACGAAACTGGCCTGTGCTTGACAGCATGGGCAAAGGAACAACAATATGTACAGAAGTCACTCGAGAACGTTCGCAGGATCGGCACGGACAGAATTGAGGTTCTGGACTCACCTCAGGAGATTGGGAGAGCAGCCGGCCTGGAAGGCGACGATGCATGGGGCAACGGCAGCACAGGATATGTAAACTGGAGCTCTGGCTGGGCCAACGCGGAGGGCGCCATGATATGGCTGCGCGAAAAGGTTGAGAAGATGAATCGCGTCAACTTCGTTGTCAACGGTGTCAAGAAGCTCCTTATTGACCACAAGACCAATAAAGTCTCCGGTGTCCGCCTCAGCGACGACACTGAGCTCACCGCAGATCTGACCATCTTAGCCGCCGGCGCATGGACAGCCTCGCTCATTGACTTGCGCGGCATTTGCAAAGCAACCGGTCAGGTTATTTGCTACATGCCAATTAGCGACGCTGAACAAGAGCGACTCGGCAAGAACCCTACGATTCTGAACCTCTGCCACGGCCTCTTTATCATTCCCCCCTCCAACAACCTCCTCAAAGTAGCTCGCCACGGCCACGGCTATGTCAACCCAACTACAATCCCTCACCCTGAATCCGACGATCCCAATGCCACAATCACAACCTCTCTTCCATATACCGCTGTCGACGACCCGACCCAGGCCGTCCCCAAAGAGGGCCAGCAAGATCTGCGCAACTTCCTGACTGCTGTCCACCCCTCCATCTCCGTACCTTCTCGCCCCTTTACCAAGAGCAAAATCTGCTGGTATACCGATACTCGCGACGGCGACTTTCTGATTGACTACCATCCCAAGTACTCGGGACTTTTTGTCGCAACAGGCGGGAGCGGGCACGGGTTCAAGTTCCTGCCGGTCATCGGAGATAGTATTCTGGAGTGTGTGCTGGGCCGGACTCCCAAGGACTTTGTTGGCAAATGGGAGTGGCCGGCTGAGCGACTGCCGGAGGAGCAGTGGCCTGGTGATGGATCGAGGGGTGGGCCCAAGGGATTGGTGTTGGCTGACGAGATGGCCAGGGGTAAGAGCAGCTTGTAATCGTATCAAGTTGCGTGGAGGGAATGGACAGGGAAGGCGTTTGCATTTAAAGATCGGTTGCATAGATTGGCCATCATCACAGCTCGGCGCACTGTTATTATTACCACAGCTCGGCGCATCATTATTTTATCACAGCTCAGCGCATTGTTGTTAGAACCACATCATGCACATCAAACATGATTTTTAAGGACTTAGTTGCACATACAGTCTCAATCAGAGTATACCACAATCTTTATGGGCATACAAGCCCCAGTCTCTCAAGTTTCAGGAACAACGGCGGATATGTGACCTTCAAGCTGCCCCCAACTTTCATACAGAACTTGTCGTGATTTTTGTATCTAAAGCTAAAATCTAGTCAAGAATCACCTACATTGTAGGCAAAATAGGTCTCCATAAAGTTTCTTGGTATTCTCCCTACTCCGTTGTCGTATAGTATACTTGGCTCACATCCTGAGTCCGCTGTTTATTCTGCAACATGAGAGCTAGTCTAGGATATGCTGAAGCTAACGTTAAATAATTTGATTTGATTTGATACTATTTTACGTCTTTTCTGGACCTATGGACCAAGCCTCCCTGGGAGCATTGGGAGACGGGTGGAGCTGTGAAGGTATATAGAGATGCCCCCCTATTCTGTCTCAGAACACTGTTCCTGGTAGTAGCTCGCTCTAGGATTTAACAACCCGTTGCATATAGCTTGTGAAAAGCCCTCCACCAGTTGAGGGTCTGCCACTTGGTTTTGTTTATTGTACATGTTATTGCTCAAGAGAGCTTTCAAAATAAAGGGAATGTAGGGTCGAGAGGCACTGATGTTAGATGATATAGCTTGAAAGAGACACTATACAATAACATGGAGCGGGCGCCAAAACCAGATTTGACGCTATGATGGAACAAAGAAAGTGAACTCGTATTTATGCATCGCTGAAAAATCTTGGGAAAATTTACAGAACCGGGCTTATTCCCTCTTGTACTGGAACTGCTCGGCCGGTGGACTCTGCGCCCGATAAGGGTTGTTGGAGCTGTTTCGACCGGGCGCACCGAATGGCGACCTTCCCTCCTCTTCCTGCTCACGCTCACGCTCTTCTGCGGTCATGACAACACGGGGTCGGCTGTTGGACCTTGGTGGGGGCGGCATCATGGTTTGGAACTGGTAGTCCTCAATCTGGCCAGTGGAAATCGACGTCGGCGATCCCGGTGCTGTGCTGCGGTGCATCGATTGTGACGGTTGGAGAGGCTGTGGCGGGGAGGCGTAGTTCGACTGCGATGGATTTACGGAGAGAGGAAGTGGCGGTGGTCGATTGAAGTCAGTCGATGCTCGTGTGGCGTAGGGCGAGAGAGTGGCGCCTCCCTTGCGTTTTCCAGCTGTGCTGGCCTTGTGCAGCAAGCTCTTAACCTCATCCAAATCGGGTCGAGCGTCGGTACTGGGTCGTCCGAGGGTACTGATGTCATCGCGAGCATTCCAGGTGTCATCGCGAACAGTGTCGACGCCTGGTCTGCGATTTGTCAAAGAGCTAATGGCAAAATCCTCACTCTGCACACCGACACCTAGGTAGTCATTGCCTGTAGACTTGCCCTTGTCGCTGGGATCATCTGGCTGGTTGAGAGGCACCATACGTCCCTTGTCAGCGTTCATCAAATACGCCTCGTACGCTTCACGCGCCTCAGCCGGCGGAACGGCGACAGACCATGTTGGCTTGTCTGCCGAGCCAAGAGCGGCATCTCCGCCACCCGGGCCATTGATTGGAACCTTGCGCAAAGCAACGACCAATGCACACATGAACTTCGATCGTCGGGCTGCGCGAAGGGACTCGTTTGACCAGTTGCCCTTGAAGCGAATCTCGACACGGAGCTCGAGCTTGTTCATTTCGGCGATGCTGAGGACCTCGATGTCAGTATCAGGATAGAAGTCGCGGCTGTTGGCAGGGTCTCGGAGGAAGGCCTGCATCTCGAGTTTGAGGAGGTGAATATCCTCGAAAGAAGTGGCGAAGTCACAGAATACAGAAACCTGCTCGCGCATGGCTTTGCTTCGTGTGACATTTTCGACCCATAGCCCGTTCAATACGATGTTGGGAATCTGAACCGTCTTGCCGCTGGAGACACGCTTGAAGACTGTGTACAGCAGGGCGATGTGCTCAACAGTAAGCTGCTCCGCTGTAATGTCGACTCGGTCACCAATATCGAAAGGGTGTTTGGCAAAGAGGAAAATGCAAGAACCGAGAATCTCCTGGGCGGTTGTGGCGAAGACGAAGGATAGAGATAGAAGAGCGGTAGCCGACGTCGTCAGAGTGCCAACGAAGCTAGGGCTGAGGAAGGCGATGAAAACGAAGATACAGACGATGAAGACGATGGTAAACAACAGGCCGTCGAGAGCGTGAATAGCAGCGTCAACGTCGTGCATACTAGAGTTCATAGCCTTGCGCTGTCTGCCGATTTCTGTGACAGTGAGGATCATTTCATCCAAACTGATATCGCCGTTGCCGTCACGGTCGAGCGATCCGAAGCACTCCTCAGCTTCATCTGCGCGGCCGGGACCCATGACTTCAATGAGATCTTCCTGGTAGAGTTCGTTTTTGCCTTCAACGACAAAAGACATCCAAATACGCTTGGCGAGAGCTTCAGCAGAACGGTTCCTCTCCAGAGCGGTGAGAACAATGGAATGAGCAGAGTTGACGTCAAAGACCTTTTTACCCGTGATCTCGGAGGCAATGGTTCCGAAAACAGACGTGACCTTGTCTCCAATACGACCAACGTCGCGACCGACTTCCTGGACAAGGCGCATGGGAGTGCGGGTGCCGGATCGTCCCTTCTTGGATGTACCCTTCTTACTACCTGGGAGGAGATCGAGAAGTGTGTCCTGGATACAGTAGTCTTCCTCGGCAAACTCATTGCAGTAGGCAGGGAACAATGCTCGGGATGCATCATAGAGAATTCCCAAAAGATAGATGCTGCGTTTCGACTCCTGGATCTTTTGGTCAAATTGCTTGCGGTGGTAGCTGATACTGATCAACTGGATCAAGATACGCTCAGCGAGGATGATCACGGTGCAGACCAACAAGGCAAGTAGAACTGATTGCACCTTGCCATACCACCGTGGATTTCCATTATCCTTTTTGAAATCCTCGTTTACAACGACAAGCTGTCAGGTGATTAGCTGAATCCATAAGATCCTATCGTAGCACTTACACCGGGAAACGTTGCTTGATTGACAACCATCCACAACACGAACGACAGAGGTTTCTCCACAGCACGGAGGAGCAAGGCATATTTCTTGACACCAGGGCTGACTACACCGATGAGGAACTCGAAGACGTTTGGAAGAAAATGGGCGACGATCTTCATAACCCAGAAACTGAGCCAGACTAACGACTTCGTTAGTGTGAGGTAAGACACCGAATTGGGCGTACGTACTGATTTCAATCCAGATCCAGAACCTCCTAGAGTCCGTATTGCCAATCTCTCCGGCCGAAACTCCTGTTTGCGACAAAATGATAGGAATGGCCAGAAGGAGGGCGACCGGTGCGACATAAACCATATAACGAGTGACAATGCTGAAGTTTAGGATTTTGGTGTAGAGACGTCCCATCTTATTGAGGGCTGTCTTCTCCTGCCCAGGAGCCTCGCGAGGTGGCAGCGGGGCGCCGGTCCTCGAGTCAATCTTTGCCAGCTGTCGCTGCCTACGGCCCTTTGTGGACATGCCGTTGAACAAGCCGCTTTTCTCTGACTGCTTTTCGTCTGTTATGGGCGACGGTGTGTGACTAACTACCGTCTGCAGTGGAATGTCGGTGCCTTGGGGTGTCATTTTGTCGTCTCTGATGCCACTGAGTGGCTGAAAACCGTGGTTGGAGAGGCGGAACGATCTCTGTGAAGGAGAGCGCTGGGTATTGCCAGGCATGAGTGGAATTCTGAAGGTGATCGCAGCAGATGTTGCCTTTCACCACGAGGAGCGAGCGTGATCTGGCTGAGTGAAACAGGCCCCGGTATTTGTGGCCGAAAAACAATAGAAGGGAGAGTCGCAGTGGAATGTGCGTCGAGCACGATGCTTTGCGCGACTGGAGGCGGTCCTGTGGAAACGACCGATGACGACGATGGCTGTTGAAGCGAAGGCCGGCCGTCGATTCTTAGCGCAGCAAAGGAAACAACGAAACGAGAAGACGAGGGCCCAGCTCTCTAGACACTAGATATATACAATTGCGCAAAAGAGGCACATGAACGAGCGAGTGAAGCAGAGAATTTATTCAGGAGGATGAGTGTGTTCAAAAGCACCGCGTCGTTGGTCCCCAGATCCTGGCCTGTGGCTTGCTCTCCCCTGCAGCAGGGCCGGATTCTAAAACGCGCTTATTGCCGTTCAGGCGAATCATGGTGATCCCGGTTGGCGTCGCCAAACTCGAAGGGGAACGCCTACGTCGCTGATCGCTGAGCCGCCTCTTTGCAAGTTCAACAGCTGGGCTGCGCGTGGAGCTGGAATCATTACGAACGACGCCGTTGCTCCACTGACAGCTTGTCTACCAAGAAAAACTTCAACTTGTGCATCACACAAGAGCCAAGACCCACTCAAATGCCGACGATCGATCCCTGAGTTGATCCGATCTGGATTCGTCTGCCCGAGAGTACTTGTCAATAAGCTTTTGCTGTTGGACCTGATGTTGGGACGTTCTCTCTGGCTGTGGAGATTCGATGTGCATCTTGCTCCGCAATGATGAGCCTCTCGTAATGCGGGATCAGACATCGACCCGTCGACGTGTCACATCACCATGCAAGATATTCGATCGTTCGCACGAACAGGCTCTCCGCCGCTGATAAGCTGTCTGAAACTTCCAGGCTTTGATATGAGGCAGCGAACGGACCACAACCCTTCCCAGGTCGCACCAAAATTGCCACAGATCGAACCGCCACGCACCCTGTGCTCTCAACATCTCGCATGGTCGGCCATGCCTCCGATTTCAGTATCTGCGCTTTTGGTGGCCGTTTGCTGGGCCGTTCGATGGCGCCGCGTCCTCCCACTCCCGGAGGGGCGCCCGGCAAAACACTGCGTGGCGTGCATACATAGCCGGCCAATCCAAGGGGGAGCTCGACTTCCATGCTTTCTATTTTAGGCAGCCACACCCGCAGTACCAAAATGTTTTCATCGCAAGTGCGATTGCCCTTAATGACGACACCGAGGCTATTGATAGCTTACACAATGAAGACAGATCGCGGTGACGATGCAAGCAGCGAGGGTAGTGCACGAACCTCGATTCCTTATTCGGCATATTGCGAACTCGCCAGATGCTCATTTGGCCGATGTGTTTCCAAGGATTCCTTGTGTTGATTCCCCACCGTTACTCCACAGGTTTCCACTTGGAGAACATTAGACCTCGGACAGCTACAATGTGAACGTCACGGCATACGCAGCCAAGCTGCCGTCTTCAGTACCGCCCAACATATCCGCAGCCTTCGGAGGCCCCATCCAAAACAACTTATCCTCAGACGAGCAATAGGAGTTACAGAGCATGACCGAGGCAGAGGATACTTGGTAACGAACCGGATCTTCGGATTGCCACCACGACTCAGTGACTCGGGTTGCCTTACGATCGTCAATTGAGATCTACCTACAGTGCGTTGTGCAAGAAATGTGCTCTCGACTATCTGCTAGTTGCGATGAGCGTCGTATATTGCTCATGGAGTGGGACATGAAGAAAATTGTTGTCTAGCGTTGCCAGATATGTTCAAAGCGGACATACGCAAGCTTCGTGAGTCAGCGAGGAGTTGAAGACTACGCCATCATGCACTATGTACAAGGCATGAACTGGGTTTAGTGGAAGAGCTCCCGGCTACGCCATATGATGAGTTAATTACTGGTGTCTGCGTCTCACTTCTTCGCAGCCTTCGAGTGCAACTTAAGTCGTTGGAGTCGACCCAAGTCGAACTACTTGCCGTGCAGAATCTGACCAGCCTTCCAGGCCCATCTCGAAACAAAGAGAAAGTGCTTATGATTGCTGGCTTGCCAATAAATGTATTTTTTCAACTGTGGCCAAGTTCCCCCGCACTCCGAGAAATGGGTTTAACTACTGGAGCCATGCTCAGCTATTCCCACAGAGTCGTAGTCCAGCTATGATACACCAATTCCAATTCCATCTCGTAGCGCTTACCAGATCGTCAACATTCAGCATGCCAACACCCAGCTCAGTCAGTTTGAACCACACTTTATCCCTCAGACTGATGGGCCATCGTGGCTCGCCCCAATATCTGCTCTTCAGCCCTTTTGCGTCGGCAGCACGTATCTGCTCCGTGAGCTTATCGACTTGCTTCGCCGACAGTTTGTTGAACCAGATGGAGCCGATCGCCTTCTTCATTTCTACGCTAGCATAGTACGAATTTGTTGTGTTGTACTGCTCGTCTGATATGGAGAGTAATGGCGCGTCAAAGAAGATGATGCGATTTGTGGAGTTCTGCTGGACAAGCTCGAATGGCGTGCTCCCTGTCCCTACAATGGTGAGTGGACCTTGGTGTAGAACCGAACCGTCATAGTATGTGAGCCAATCCCTGTCCTGGAACGGCCGGAGTTGTTCAAGAAGGACTGGCCATGTTTTGAATTCGTCGTTCTTGAAATCAATAAGCAAGATGGTGGATACTGTTGGATCGGCGTCAAAGACCCCGACTTCCTTTCTGTCCTCAGAGGCAGCCGTAGCGTTGCGCTTGTCAAGAACATTGGCAAGTGGATCGAGGTAAAGGGATCGAAGTGTTCGGTGCAATGTCGTCGAAGCCCATGAGTGACTGACGAGGAGCTCATTGTCATCTGCCAGCCATATATCAGCCTCGATGCCAATGCACCCTGCTGCTAGGGCATTGTAGAGAGGAACAGAACGCCAGTAATCGTTGTGAGAGTGGCAGTTCTTTGGGACGATATCTCGGCTGAAGTCGTCTCTCCATTCATATATATGTGTACCACTATCATCTGGTTCTCTCCAGTGGTCGATGATGTGGTGTAGACCACTGCGGCCTGGTGGTGGATTAAGTCTTCGTAGAAGCGCACTGACTAACGCAAGGTAAACACTGTGTCGTTGTTAATCACAGGCCATGATATGAAGTTTCGAGATCACTAACAGTGCTGAGATAACGCCCAATATTGTTGTAACGACGATGAAGATCATTACTCTTCTGCACAGTAGCCTTCGCCTCTTGCGGTCCATTGGGCTCTTGCTGGAGGGCCAGTAATTCAGACACCCATGCCAGAGCCTTTGAGGACCGCTACGATACCACTGAGGGTGTGTGGTCGACATATCATGAGCCGACAGCTCTAGCTGGTCTTCGATCGGGTCTTCTTCGTTGTCGCGATATCGAGGAGTACTGTTCATGTCGAAGTCTATGCAGCGAGGCGCGGCCTTCAACCATCGACAGTTGTTCTCCTACACTTGCTCTATGCTCAGTGGACTGGAGAGATTAATACTGATGTTTCGAGGTAGAGTGATCCAAACGAAGAGTAACTGGCTTTGTTCGACAACCACAACGGAATTGATTGTCGGTTTGTAGAATTGCTGCATGCACAGAGAACTGGATGTTGTAGGCTGGGTAGCTGTAGGCGTTGAACACAATACTTAAAGCATCGCAGCAGATTGTAATTGTTGTTTCTGGACATCTCATCCTGCAATTCAATCCCATAGGTACTCTAAGATCATGTTCCAAAATGGCTGCCTGGGTTGAAGGGTTCCACCGAGAACGCCTCGTGTATCCACACCAAGTCTTCCGTTTGAAGACTAACTGGTTTACATGGGCGGCCTAATGGTAAGATTGATCGACATGGAAACTGCGAAGCGAACAGTGTGCGCCTGATTACTACCGTCCACACTCAAAGCAGATTCACTGGGGCTGTTCCTTTCGGCACGGCGCGACCATAAAGCTTCCATAAAAAACGCCTCGTATCAACAACAACTATTTTCCTTGAGCCTCCTGGGTTTCGGTTTTTTTTTTCTAATAATTTCACACAGCTTGAAGGAAGATCGGGTAGCATAAGAGTATCCACTTGACTACAACTGCTCACACTCGAGGCATTCACCAAGGCTGCTTCTCTCAGCACGGCGCAACTATACAGCATTAGCTACGTGGGCAGCTCAAGCGGATAAACTCGCCGGTAGTCTCTTCCTTGACGTTTGTAAGCAGGAATTGAGTTCTATTCTGAAATCCTTCCGTCGGTAGACAGAGATTTGCAGCGTTCCAAATCTAGCAAACGACCTTGGCACGCAGGGTCTTCTAGGTGCCGACGCGACCAGCGTCTTCCTGATTGCAGCACTTACCCGAGTCGAACCCCGTGATACCCAACTCCGTGCTCGCATCGCACCAGGCGCATCATCACTCGGTGTCGGAATTGCAGAGATCACCGCGCATGCAGACGTGCTCTCCCAGCCTTTCCCCTAGCCTGAACGAGCCTGGGCCCAGCCGCGGAAGCAAGCCGACCCCAGAACAACACACACTTCACACCGCCGCATCGCCGCCACTCGACCACAACGCATGTTCACACATAGATCCTGCCAACACGCAACAAACCTAACGTGACATTGGCTGCCAGCCACTCAGTAAGGCTGGGAACGTGACCGCTATATGTACGTTTGTGGGTTTGACGGCGGCAATGGAGATGTTCCCGGCTCTAATTTAAACGGAACCATGGGACTGCATGGCAATCCCACTCACATTAAAGTATATTAAGGCGTTCATCTTAGCTGTGGTACAACCCCATAGTCCCCGTGTCCACTTTGTTCTGATCTCCACATCATTTCGCGTCCAGAATAAAACACGTTGAAGAAATCCATTCTTGATTGAATATTACTCGCATACTCCCTTCACCATGGCCAAAACCGATGCGTTCCGTGTGTGCATCGCCATCCTTCTCATCATCCAACTCACATGCTGGGCACTCACACTGCTCGACCTGCTCAGCCCTGGGCGACCGACTGTACTACTGCGCACCTCAATGGATGTTGCCTCGCAGCTGTTCGCCAAGCAACAACCCGCTGCAGTACTACTCTACAAAGACTTTCGGAGCAAGATGTTTTGAGTCAGCCGCTGTACCATGGAGAAGAACCGACCAACAATGCATAGGGCTGGCAGGATCGTGAGTGGGGCTGGCACCCACCACGAGGCAGACTTGGAGTCCGCAATAGTCGAGCAAGGACGCGTATCGACGGCAAGCATGTCAGACAGCCATACCGATACTTGGAGACTATGAGATGAATCAATGAAGCCTCAGCCACTAGGCGCGCAGCCCAAGGGCTTCTATGGCAGAGAATGAGGCTGGGCTGCTGATCGACACTGAAACGTAGCCGACTGCTCGCTTAAACAGGAACAGCCACTTCCGCATTGGATCATGTACAGGACGCTGGAAGACGCTTTGGGGGCCTTGAAAGAATCAGTACGAACAGCAAAGCCAAGCTCGGGAACGAAAACGGGAATGGCTGGGCACTGTGGATGTGAGACCGGCTATGAACGGCTTCAGGTAGGCATCAGCATTATCGGAAGCTGGGTTGCCGTGTGAGTCTGGTCAGAAAGCTGACAGAGATCTTTCTCGAAACTACATGATTGTTACGAGTATACGTCCATGGGTGTCCCACATGTGATGGGTAATTTACTGTAGATTCAACTAAGCACTATCAAAGTGTACCTCCGTGTACAGATCACCTATTCATCTACACATAACATCATGCACTACTCTCCACGTATGAGCTTTCGATCAGTTGATTTCATCCTTCCCGCACGCTAGTTCAGACTCTAGGACCCTAGTTGAAGCACCCCAGACAGAAGGAAAAAATGGGTCGAGATGAGAAGTGTAAGTTCAAAAATGAGATGGCGAGCACGGCAACAACGATGCCGAAGAGGAGAAAGAAGCCGCCGATAACCACTCGGACCGCTTGCCTATGGCCTTGTTAACGCCGGTTTGAAATGCAGTTTGATAAGATATAACTGGTCAAAAACAAAAGGCTGTTTACTGAGTGGGTTGATGGAGACGGTTGTTGTCTAGCATCCCGACTTCCCCAATGTGCTTTTGATCGTACGAGTGACTCCCGGACACCGGTTGTACCAGTGGCGCGGGCTCGATCTCATCATCTACGTCGGTTTTGGAGGCGCTAGAGTATTCGGACGCCTTTAATGTTACCGTACTCTCAGCCAGAGGCTCCGAAGGATCTGAATGCTGAAGGGCTGGACTCGAAGACGACCCTGCACCATCACGCGGATCTTGCTCAGGAACGGGCTTTGACTCGCCGACATTCTCGATGTACTGGGGGCCATTGTCGATCTTGTCATCCTCGTGGCTGAGGGTCTCTTGGAGGGCGCTGAAGTTAAACATGGGCTCTGTTCCGGACAATGCCCCAGGCGGTGTCTCGTCGCGACTAATATTGAGGCCCGATGCGCTAGGACTTGGTTCATACGAGGAGCCTGGGGCAAGATGAGTGTGACCTTCGTCACGTGCTGTATCCTGGATGGAGTCTGAGTACGAAGAAGCGGAGGAGGAGTCGTTGGATAAGTTCCGCAATATAGATCGGTGGGAAGGCGAGTCTCCTTGCAGGGCATCGGACGGCGCCAGATTGCCTGAGTTGCTTCCTTGGATCTGTGCGCGGCTATCCTCCAAGTGCCTTCGTGCATCCTCCTTCAGAGACTCCGAGGATGGCGCGTTAATGGTCGATGTTGGCTCACTTATCGGGTTGAAGCCGACAGATCCGCCTGATCGGTCCACAGCCTTGCCCTTGCCTGCTGCAGACGAACCACCTGTGGTGTCGTCCAGTCCATCCACGTCGACAGGATGGAAGCCACTGCCGATGTTGCGTTGTGCTTTCGCAACCTTTTTATTCTCCTTTGCCTTCTTCTTTCCTTCTTTCTTAGCTTCTTTGGCGGCGTCTTTCTCATCTCTCCTCTTCCGCTCCTCCTCTGCTGCCAGACTGAGGCGAATGGCTTCCATCATCATGAGCTCTTCGAGATCGTCGAGTCTGTTTCCTCCCCCTGTACGTCTCGAGCTTTGCCTCCCCGGGAACAAGTCGTTTGCATTTTCTCCGCGACCTGACGTTCCTTCGCCTTCTCTTCGCGGCGTGCCTTGCCCGCTACTGGCACCACTATCGGTGCCGAACATGTTCCGTCTACGTCTCCCGAGACTAAATCCACGGGCTTCCTGTTGCTGGATGTTACCCATCATGTAAGCGGCGTTGTGTAGGGCTGTCGCGGCAGCAGCCCTTCGGAGAGCATGCGACTTCGCGTCAGCGAGCTTCTTCGCCCAGTCTGGGCGCACCATGTCTGTCGTGACAACCGTCTTATCGTTTACTGCGAGCGAAGTGGCTCTCCTTCGGCCTCCAGGAGATGCGAGACCCGAAGAATTGACTGAGGTACTAGATGACATGGCTGAAGTTGCACTGTGCATACTCTGACTCTGATGTGCGTAGATCAAGCCTCGCCTGAATGGTGGCGGCTCGTATGTAACACCAAACTCTGGCTGTACGCAGAACGGACAGGCAGCAGGTTCTGATACCAACTGAATCTCTTCTTGCGGCTCATCGGTCTGAGCAGGCTCTTCTCCATGATGCTCAGGCGGATGAGGATCAGGCCGTTTGATCTGTACAAAGCACTCGGAGCATATGGGCTGGTCGCAGCACCTGGTCTTGTTCAGGTACGGCGGATAGTACAGGAAGCAGATGGGACATTCTGCAGCATTCTTATATAAGAAAACCTCTACTCGCTGTCCGTTAACATAGGGATCATTCGGTAGCTGCAGTTCCTGAGGTGCCATATCGGTCTGGGAGGCATTGCGCGAGCCAGTGGCAAGAGACGCCAGTGTTTTGGCCCGTCCACGGAAAAACGGGGACGAAGAAGTTGCGTTTTGTGTACTCTGGGAGATTGGGGAGACCGGGGCAGGGAGAGAGAAGGCGGGGTGGGCCGGCGAGAGGGTACCGGAACGATCAGAATTCTGTGACATGGAGCGAGCACCCATTGGAACCGTGAGGTTGTTGATATTAGAGTCCGAAGAGCGAGGGTTCCATTGCGGGCTGAGGTGGTTGATCGGCCGGGGTGGCTCTTCTGGTGGGATATCGTCCGGAGCAGGCAGTGGAAGGCCGTTGGCTATGGCCACGAGCTGGTGTTCGGTCCAAGTATCGGAGTGATCGTCGATGCCCTTCCAGAAGGGCGCCAGGCGCCGCTCGATCTATCAGATGTCAATTTATGTGCGTTGAGAATCGATGAGAGGCCGGCGCATACCTGTAGCTGTCGCACTGTTGGTTTGCTGAAGTCCTCAGGTCCAGTGTAGGTCCCGAGTGTGACCAAGAACGCACCATCGACCCCCTCCTCCTTAATACTGCGCTCGCGCTCTTGTGCCCTGATTACGCGCTCCTTCTCCAGCTTACGGGCCTCGCGCTCAGCCTTTGTCTCGCGTCGTGGCTCGAGAGCAGGGTCGCGCTCGGCGGTACCACTACTCCCGCCAATGCCGAGGAAGGACAGATCATGCCTGCTTCCCCTGCCACTCCTTGCACTGTACAGCCCAACACCACTGCCTGATCTGTCGTGCGACGATCCGCTCGGCCCGGAGAGGCCTGTCGGCGAGGTGGCGGCGGCTTGGGCACTCGACCGACGGACGTGGCCGCCTCGAGAGGGTGGCTGCGACTCTTTGCCCTGGCTGTTGCCCATGGCGAAGTGGGCGGAGGATGCTCAGAGGTAGCGAGCGAGGTTGAGTGTGACGGTCAGGCGGCACGCGCCGGGGTAATTATAAGGCGGGCCGGTGGTGCCCAAACGGCTCGCGGCAGTGTCTCAGAGCCTGTGCGAGCTGGGATACCGTCGGGCGTGGCGCGGCCAGCGAGTGGGATTTGGGTCGGCGTGGTGGTGTTGCTGGGCGATAGCAAGCGTCACAAGGACATACAGTAAGTCATGCAGCCCGACGGCCAACGGGGGTTGGATCGTCTATCGCTGTTTCCTCACTGAACTCGCCAATCGAGGCTAAGAAGGGGGTGGCTACTACGCTGGGCAGTCGCGGGCTACAAAAGGCTCATGCAGAAGACAGAGACACGCGAGAGCTTGAAGCTGGCGACGGGGGACGTTGGCGGGATGACGTTCACTTGGCCTTACGGCGAGTTCCAAGCAAGGTTTGGAGATCGGAGACGAATGTAAGGCGGGCCGAATCAACTCGGTGTGGGGAAGAGCAACGCTGCACGCAATCTCACATGCCAGGCCAGCATTCGCTGTGTGGTCGCGCGCTCGTGGATCGTGGAGGTTCAAGGTTATGAGACAAACGACGCGGGCTGCAGCGAATTGGAACCCGTGAGCTTGTCTTGCCTTGGCCAGAGATAAGGCGCCACTCGACTTCAGGAACCCTCACACCACAAATTCATGCACACGACTGCTCACCGTCTCTCTGGACACAGCCTCGGCTACGACTCTGGCACCAGCGCCTTCCGTCCTTGGTCAGCGCAAGAACCGTTCGAGAGGCCCTGAACGACACGCGAGCACCGACTTGCCCCGCCCGCGCGGGGCTTGAGATCGGTGAACTGCCAACGACTACGGATACCGCACACGCGTCAGCTTCAGTATTTAAGAAAACTTGCCAGGGAACATCCACGTTTTTGTTCAAGTGGCAGGCGGCACCGTCTCTCAGGAGGTGATTGATAGGCGCTCTACTTACAGACCGGTACTCGAGGAGCCGTGTTCGTGCGGCATTTTCCCAACGCGCAGTGACCTTTGTGGTGAAGACAGCCTAAGAGAGCATTGGAAACGTAGCGCCGTGCATGTCCACCGTGAGAAGCTGCCCCGTTGACGACGATACGTGTCGGAATGTGTACCTTTCCATTACACCGGAGGCTGCTCCTCACTCTCACCCTGTGTGGCTGCTCTTTCCGTATTCTCCACCGGTCGTTTGTTGCCGACCACACTTGTTGCGCCTGTCAGCCCACCGCAGATCATTCTTCTCCCTAACCATTTCATTGGCGTTTCGTCATCAGCCATGTGAACTGTGGCCGTCTATCGTTCTCCAAGCCTAGCGTGTCTGTACTCGACTTCCTCTGCGATATTCGTTTCCACAAAAGCTATGTGCTTCCACCAAATCTCGACACGGGCAGGCACGCGCCATACCGAGTATCATATGCAGATTATGGTGATCCTGATAGCAATGCGGTAGTCCTGTTTTGCGGCGCGCTAATGGGCACTCGGTTCTGTTACTCTCTCCTTGATCAGATGGCCAAGGAGTACAAGGTCAGGATCATTCACCCGGACAGACCTGGAATCGGAGGCAGCCAATCTGTGGATTTGGACAAGCGCATACAGACCTGGCTCGGTCGGTCATCGTATGCATGCGTTGACCTGTGTCGTGCTAATATTGACAGAAATGGTTCCACTACTGCTCGCTCATCTGAACATCACCCACGTCTCTCTTGCGAGTCACAGCGGCGGCGACGTCTACCTGCTTAACACACTGCTCACCTATCCGTATCTTCTACATCCAGGAACTCCTTATGTGTGCTTCTTCGCCCCGTGGGTCGTACGTATACTGTCACACCGTCGGACATCGCTTGAACTTCAAGCTGTGCAATTACACCACTGATGAACAGTCTGCTGACATCATACGTTCTCTCAGCATCACTCAAACTCTAAAATATCTCAGCTCCGGGCAGCTGAACTGCTTCCTGCGCCTCTCTTGGGTAAATTTGTGTCAGTAGTTAGGTTTGTAAACGACAATGCCACGCCTCTTGCTGGACTGGGGGGTAATTTCATGCAAGGAATTCGATATTCGATGCATCGCTGCAACTCGAATCCAGGGCCAGAACCAGCTCTGGCCCCAATTCCGTTGACACCAGCGTGTCTGGCCATGCGAACACGGGGCACGTCGCTTCTCTCTCACGATAGTCCAGCCGAATTGTCGTTGGATGACGACGCTGTTGTGGAGGAGCTCCGGAGTCACATTGCATCATTTCTATTTGCCGAGTGCATGGATGGTATTTCAGCAGATGTGCAACTGTTCTTGCGAAAGCCTCACTCCATCGCATGGTGCTCAAGTGTCTACTGGTCAGACTTCGACTACGCCGTACCGCTGATCTCGAAGATGATCTCCGAAGAAGATGATATTGATGGGCTCGGTAGGGCATGGACTATTGACACGTTTCATGCGCAGACAGATGCTATGGTTGGTGAGAAGGGTAAGGTATGGTTCGACAGCTGCTGGATGACACACCAGTCGACACTGGCGCCTATTGAAAAAGTAGATCAATGCTCGAGCTATCTACCGCTCCGAAATGCTTATCAATACAGAAGCCAAGTTGTTGAGGGAGCTGAGCATAACTACCTTATGGATCCTGCGTTTGGTGCAAGCGGGATCTGGTTGCAGCGAGTGCGGGATGCATTCCCTGACCCAGTTGAGGTACGCTCACCTGTGGTCAACCACCAGATGACGCTGACCAGATGCTGACCACAATGTAGAGCGTGTCTGAATGTGAAGAGCAGAAGAGAGCAGAAGGAGAAGCTCGAGCCAGGACATTGATTGATGACGACTTGCCGTCCTCGACTCGGCCTATCAAAGACCGCAAGCGAAGATCTCTCAGAGATCTGGTGATTGCAACGAGGTGCAAGGCTCATGATGCTTCGTCAAAGAGGTCTCGGTTGCGACATGAGAAGCCTCGATCTGCTTCAGCGAAGTCTTACTTTGGAGGACAAATCTCCTCATATGACGTCCGTACTAGTCCCCCTACATCCATGACCCGCCTGAGATCTGATGGGTGGATAAAAGTACGGTCGTTGCGACACAAGTTACATCACTCCTGAAGTGCCCTAGATAATCTGAGTATCGAACAACGTATTAATTGATATTGCACATGCACAGGCGAGGATGGACGCGTGATCAAAACGCTCGGTCCAATCCATATCTGTCTCGTGCGTACAAGCACCCTGTTGCGCACTCTACGGTACCTGTGTATTCAGATCTTGAGTTTTCTATGTAATGGTGGGGTTCGCCCACGTGACATCTCGAGCCAAGCCGAGCGTCGGGGAGGCGCGATCAGGCTAAGGAAAGCGCACGGGCTGCGCACAGTAGCGAAAATCAATTTACAACTGCAACTCATTCCCACCCGCCGCGCAAATCCACACCGAACGACCGTCTCCCGTCGAACACACAATCATACACAATGGATACCGCTAAGGCCCCCGTCAAGCTCGTCAAGGTCACTCGTGTCCTTGGCCGAACCGGTACGCGATCCCCGCATTGAGGCAGCGCGCGAAGAGGAGGCGGAGAGCGAATGCATTGCGCAGCTCAGGACATCAGGAAATGCAAAACGCAGGCTAACACCGATATAGGCTCCCGTGGTGGTGTCACCCAGTGCCGTGTCGAGTTCATGGACGACCAGACCCGTTCCATCATCCGCAACGTCAAGGGCGCTGGTACGCAGCCTCCCCTGTCCAACCATCGGCAACCAGTACGACTAACATTGCACAGTCCGTGAGAACGACATCCTCTGCCTGCTCGAGTCCGAACGCGAGGCCCGCCGCCTGCGATAAGCGCTTGCTTTGGGGAGAAGTGGCGCGTTGGCATTTCCTTCGGTTCCGGAGTTCTTCACGACTGGATCGGCTTTTCACATGGTCACCATGAGGGCATGGATGTGTTAGTCTGGTGCTGCGAGGCGCTGTGACTGGGGAGGATGTACGAGGAGACATGATAACCAGGAAATCAACGAACTGGGACCTGCTCCTGAATGAAACGATACCTCCACACTCGTGCTGACACGTGCACTTATTTTCGAGAAGCGGGGTATGCTGCTTACGAGCATAGATCGATACAACCTACCATGCAGGTATGGATGCGACGTTCCTTTCGTATACTCGCCAATGTCGCAATACGACCATGCGAGGTTCCTCACCATTCTTGGGCGATTGAACGGGGGAACAAGAAAGATCCCTTGCCTTAATAGACGATCGTGCTCAACTTGACTTCTCCCGACTATATGTAGGGAACCTAGTTCTCACTATATCCTACCGGCCCCGACGAGCGGCCGAGCATCATGCGCAGATAAACAGGGGTATAGCAACGACTATTTACCGGTATCGCTCGGTAATGCTCCTTGCGATGTATGAAGCGAGCGAATTCTTGACACTTCTCTGTCGCGCTATGCTGGATCTTTTAAATCTGCAAACACGCTCTTCGGTGCTGTTAGGATGCAGTATACCCGGAGTGCGTGACCGAATGCCCGTCTTACGGCTCATTCAAACTTGTCCCTTGTACTACCTTCTGTGCATTCCTTCTAACAGCCACGCCTGTAGTCTTTCCGCCAACATTTATTGCACCACGATTCCATGCATCAGTTCAGCTACTAATGGTGGTCGCAGTCGTTGCTGCCTACTCATCCATTAGTCGAATTGTTCATTCCTCTTCAAACCGACTTGTTGTAATCACCCTAGCGGCAGGCAAGAGCATGTGAGCACTTGTATGCAGTTGAGTGAGACTCCCTCGGCCATGGCTGCGTGACCGTCTACTTCAAGCTTCGCAGGTACCCTAGTCTCTGTACGCTTTTACACACTTCGCCGCCATGAACCTCGACGGATCCAGCGACAGCAAGCCAATCCACGAACTCGATCACGATCATATCAGCGGTCGGCAACCAGAGCACAAACCGACAAAGTTGCGGCGCTTCATGTCCATTGGTTCCAGATCGAGAGGGAATAAAGTGTACGGCGAACTTTACATGAACACGGCATCCAGCCGTACACCACCGTTGCAGCCTCTCTCCTTTCGCTATGCTGAGTCTGAATCACGGAACAAGAAGCAGATCAAGCGGTCCATATCCAGCTTCTTCCTGTCCAAGACATCCACAGACTCACCTGAACCGACGAAGGGCGGAAATCAATTGCGTACTGCACAAAGTCGGGTGCCTGTTACCAAGTCTCTGTCACTGTCCTTACTTCCAACGGCTACAACAGGGGACTGGGGCAGTCTGAAGGACCGAGAATACCTGCCTCACACGGCCAAGCCGTATCAGACGGCACAGATGCAGCCCAGGAAGGACTCGGCTACCAAGTCGTTCTATGACATGCCTACTGCGATGAGCCGGAATGCTGCGCTCACAAGCCATCCAGTAAGGGAAGAAGACTTGGCAAGCGAAGACAAGGCTCAGGTGTCGGGGAAGCTCTGGGGGCGTCGGCAGGGAGAACCGGGAAGAAAAGTGACCTGGTGAGAGGACAAGAGGATCGTAAGTGACGAAGGAGAAGAAGTGAATTGTTATAGTTAAAGGCAGTAGTAGACAGAATTGGCAACAAAGAAACATTTGATAGCGGACCAAGGCTCCACAAGCCACTTGCCGATCATTTTGCCATCAAACATTTGTTTGTAGCGACTCTGGTAGTAGATGTGCGAAAAGCCAAAGTAATCACTTCCTGCCTGCCGTGGATATCATTCATCAGCAAGCCCGAAGGCTCCCAATAAAGCTCATGTTCCCTACCGTCCAACGCCGAATCATGCAGTCTTCCCCTCTCAAACCTTCAGCCACAAGTTCAGCACGCCCTTGGCATACTCAACGATCTCGTCTCCGCCGAGCTTGCTCTCACCGTACAGACGGTCAACAAACGAGATGGGCACCTCGGCCACCGTGCAACCCATGGCCTTTGCGCGCACCATCATCTCCATCTGAAACGTGTACCCCTTGCTCTCTGTGCTCTTGATAACCTTCTGCAGCACCTCCTTCTTGTACAGCCTGAAGCTGCCAGTCAGATCGCTAACGCCGGGCCTCAGCACTGTGTCCGCGAACAGGTTTGCGCCGCGGCTGACAAACTTCCTCTTTAGGTCCCAGCCGTAGACGCCGCCGTTGCCTGCATACCGGGTGCCGGTGACGATGTCGTAGTTCTTGGTCTTCTGCAGCGCAATCATCTCGGGGATGAACTTGGGGTGGTGGCTGAAGTCGGCGTCCATGATGATGACATAGTTGCCTGTCGCATACTGCAGGCCGTGGACGTACGCGGTTCCCAGGCCCAGCTTGCCGGCGCGCGCGCGGATCTGGATGTGCTGCGGTGTGTACACTTTCTGGAGCTGCGCTGCCACCTCTTGTGTGCCGTCGGGCGAGCCGTCGTCCACGATGATGAGCTCCCAGTCCAGATTGCTGCGGGTGCGGTGTTAGCTGTCAATGCCGCCGTCGGAGCAATGCTTGAGGGGCTGCAGGGGTACCTACTTCTCAGTGAACATCTTGTTGAGCAGCCATGCTATTATGGGCAGGTTGCGACGCTCATTGTATGTGGGGAGCAGGACAGAGTACTTGTCCTTCTGCTGCTGGATTGGAGCCATCTTGTGCGTTGGGCAATTGTCTAAAGGAGCGTGTGTAGTTTGAACGTGTTGCGTTGTGATCGGTCCTCGAAATCGCGGAGGTGTTCGTGTCTCATTGGAGGATGCACTGACCAGCTGCCCGCTGAAAGGGGCGGACTCTAGACCCGAACAACGACTTCGATATGTTTCCAACACGAGCTCAGTACGCGAAAAAGAATCTGTTATTATGCTTTGATGCGTTTGGAACGCTGTTCCAGCCTAACACCCCAATTCCGCGGGCGTATGCTCAAGCTGCCATCAAGCATGGCGTGAAGTGCAACACCAAGGATCCCGTGTCAGACGTCGGCAGAGAGTTCAAGAGAGCCTTCAAAGACGCGTCGCGGAGAAACCCAAACTATGGCAAGGCGACAGGTCTTGGCCCAGAGAAGTGGTGGAGAAACGTACACCTCTCATCTTCCCAGTTGAGCACCACCTGACAGTGTGCAGGTGATACAAGGCACATTTCAGCCGTGGTTAGAGCCCGGGCAAGATGTGCCACAGAGCTTAGTCGATGAGTTGCTGCGTCGCTACTCGACCAAAGTGGGCTATGACATCTTCCCTGATGTCGTGCCGTTCTTCCAAATGCTAAAGCAGAAGTCGTCATCCGACGCCGTCAAATCTTGGCCTTGGGAGAAGACCGTTGTTGGTATCATCACTAACTCAGACGATCGCGTACCGGGCATCTTGAATTCATTTGGTCTCAAGATCGGCCCAAGGAGAGTGGGTACTCCAGACCAGCGTTCTGTAGACGCCATCGCCGAAGATGACATCAGCTTTGTTGTGCTCAGTTACGATGTCGGCGTCGAGAAGCCGGATCGTGGCATGTTCGATGCTGCAGTCGACTCTATGAAAGATACACTGAGTGGAAGAGACGATGGATTGCAGATAGAGGACTTTGAGAAGCTGTACGTTGGAGACTCACTGAACGATGACTATAATGGCGCCAGAGGAGCTGGGTGGAATGCGCTGATGCTGGATCGCAACAGCAATCACGAAGACGCCTTTGCGGTGGAGGGCAAAGACCTCATTTACGCAAAAGTGAAGGTGGGTGATAGCTATGCGAAGGTGCATATGGTCAGGAACTTGGAGGCACTCAAAGACTGGTCTATAACCGAAACCTCACCTTGACACAGCTTGGGCAGATGCAAGTAAAAGCAAAACACAAGTCATAGTTCAATTGACTACTCCACAATCTTCGAGTGGTCACCACATCTATCACCCTGCAGGCCGCCTCAGCTCAAGAACATCTGCCAGCTTGACGGTACCTTTCCCACCCCAACCAGCCTGCCCAGAAGCAACTTCTGGACGCACGCGCACATACCAGCCCCAAGCTCGTTTGTCGAGATCTTCCTTACTTAGAACCTGCGCCCAAGACTGATATAGAAGCTCGAGAGCACCTAGCAACATCCCGAGATTTCGTTCTTTCTCTGCTGTTTGGGAAGCAGCGCTTCGCTTCACAGGCGCAGCCTTCGTGTCCGTCGGAGCTGCTTTGGGTGTTTCGAAGGACTTCAGTAAATACGCCCTTGCGCCTTGAGCGGTGTGTACAGGTAATTGGTTCGATCCTTTCTGAGTATTTGGACCAGTGTTCGCTTTTTTGAGCGCTTCCAGATCAATACCCCACAATGCGGGTTCCTTTGCTTCAACCGGCTTCTCGTCGCTTACGAGAGTTTCTTGTGTCGATTTTTCCTCTTTCACTGTGACTGCTGTAGATTGCTCACTTTTAACGGCCTTTTGTACTGGGATCTCTTCCCATTCATAGCCCCAGCGTTTCATCACTCGAACCTCTCGGCCCATTATTCGGATGATCGGTTGTCCTTCGCCCCAGCCTTCATTCTCCGCTGTGTTCCCACTATCGATGCCAATATGAACTGCCTTGGTCTTGCTGTTCAGACTGACAACTGCTTGCGCGAGGCTCAGCCTACTAGACATTGGTTGTTCTGGCATGGTGAATTTGAGCAGTGCTACTGTGAAGGCCAGCACTAACGGTGCTCGATTAGTGAAGACGGTCTTCGACTTGAGCATCTCTTCATTATGTATAGCTGTAGGAAGTGCGAGCGAGGCCTCGACTTCAGACGGACTGAGAGGCTGCCCGTACAATGGCTTTATCTTCTTAGGTGATGTCACTGGTACTGAGTCTAGGCCAGAGGCTTCGCTCAACGACCGCTTCTTCGACACTCGTTTGGCAGCATTGAGGACTTGTCGCGCTACCTTCTCATCCCCGAAGATGGTTTTTAGACTTGGGAAGTCGGCTTTGGCGAGTTGCTCAGCTGTTCGAGCATCGTCAGACCTGTCTCGTCGCGGTTGTACGCTCTCACGTGATCTTACGCGTAACTAATTTCGCTGCTTGAAGCTCTTTGACTTTCCCTAACGCTTGAGCAAGCGGTACTTTTGCGTCTTGGGATAGGAATCGTAGCACACTCTGAACTTCCTGCGCTGATGACATGTTGGCACTGTGAGCTGCTATGTCGAGGTGGTTGTGAGTGCGACGCCCTGGCAAGACACGCGCGCTATCGATAAGTGACCGGCGCTAGTGGATGTTGCAGCTCTCTCGCGCCGCGACACTCCTGCGGGAGCTGCCGTGCACAACCCACAACAGCAACATGGCGTTCAAGTTCTCATTGGGTGCGGCCAAGGGCAACAAGACCCAAGTGAACGCCAAAGTCAAGGCAGAGGAGGAGGCAAAGGAGCGCGAGGAGAAAAATGCGTTGGATAAGGTCATGGCCGAATTTGAGGAGGAGCATGGTGCTGGCAGCAAGGTTCTTGGTGACTCAGAGCGAATTGAAGAAGAGGAGGTGTTTGTTCCGACGGGAAGTAAGAGACATTTCACGGGGCGGCAACGGAACATGAAGAGTGGACCCGGGACCCTCGAAGTTGATCCTCTCGACGAGTTCAGAAGCCCAGGCGCAGGTGCAGGACGGCTCAACCCCCCCACGCAATCACGATTTGGCGGCGCAGCCTCTACGGGACCACGGTCTCTTGAGGGAACAAGACAGAAGGAGAATCTGTACACAACGGTGGTGGCCAAAGCGTCGAATCTCCCCCCAACAATGGATCCGAAACGCGTGGAAGAGCTGTTCGCGGAATTCCCATCGCTGAAGGTGACAAAGACGGAGAGAATCCCCCCTCATGGCCCCGCAACAAAAGGACGACCGAGCTTGACAATGAAGGTCATCTTTGACAAAGATGCGAATGCACGAGATCTCGATGATGCCATGAACAGGCTTAGTGACAAGAAGTACCTGGGGAGAGGCTACTATCTTCACCTAGATAGATATCTCGGTGGACGTGTTGTGGGGACAGAGCAGCGTATAGAGCCATTCGGTGCTCGGTGGCAGGCGCCGGAGGTAGCCAAAGGTTATGCTCCTCCCCCAGACCTTGGAGGTGGAGTGAAAGACAGAGATCGACCGCGTGGAGATACCGAACGCTTGATTATTACTGCCAATCAACCACCGGACAGTGCAACGCTGCGCCTGGTGCACATGACCATCGAGGGTGTCATCAACGGTGGTGTGGAATTTGAAGCTGCCCTAATGAATGACCCGCAAGTTCAGGAAGAAGAACGGTTCGCTTGGCTCTTTGATCAAAAGCATCCAGTAAATCGGTACTACAGATGGAGAATGCATCAAATCGTATGCGACACACCGAACTCGGAAATCTTTCTGCGGCAAGGGATATGGCAAGGACCAACGGACCCACTGGCTGACGAGTTTGCGGATCACCTGGGAGCATTCGACGCCGACTACGAGGACTCTGACGAGGACGAAGTTGAGGAGAAGCCTCAGCAGAGACAGCTGCCCGTTGGCGACAATTACCCTGGCCGCGTCGACAATGGTCACGGTATCATGAGTTCTCGCTCAAGAGCGATGTTACTCTGGCTTATCACATCACTGCCACCTGGGAGCATCTTGGCAGATGATATTGCCGCCATATCTGTCTTCGCTGTTGAACATGCAAACCAGGGCATGGATGAGGTCGTACACATCCTCATATCAAACCTGATTGAGCCATTCCAGATGACTGAAACCAACACAAGAAGACGTCTTGGAGATATAGAGGGTCGAGAAGAACGCAGGCGCACTGATTTGCGACAGACTACTCTGAACGCCCTACGCATCATTTCTGACATACTCCTAACTACCTCGCGAGAGTCTGGCGCTTCGTACAAGTACCGACTAGCCATTGGTACGCAGCTTGTGGATCGTCAGGCTTTTGAACATCTTCAGAGACTACCTGCGCAGCTCGAAATGGGACGGATGACTGAACGAGCGTACAGAGACGAAGTGAATAGTATCCTGACGGTCTGGAAGGACGAGCATTTGTTCGACAAGCCTGCGCTGGAACACCTGGACAATGCGTTCAACGCGCAAGAAAGACAGAAGGAGCAGGCCGAGCAAGAGAGGAAGTTGACAGAGAAAAGAAACAAACGCAAGGCTGTCGCAAAGCCCACCACGCGCAACAAGGTGGACGATGATGACGGCGGGGACGACAAGATGGATGTGGACCAAGAGGACGGCGAGGACATCACTGCCCTCGATGGGGCGAACGATGGCACACCCCATGCGGTGCCTGATGTAGCACCGCCCGCCGATCCGGAGATCAACGTGATCGAGGCAGCACCGAAGAGCAGTACGGTCGTCACAGAACCTGAGATACCCGGGGAGACAGCGGCGGCGCGGGCCCGGCGGCTGCGACCTCGCGCTGAAGACATGTTTGCGTCGGACGGAGAGTGAATAATGCAGCATTGGACGGAGAGTGATTAATGCAGCGTTGTTTTGTACATGATACCCTAGACTAGATTGGCGACCTCCAGGTCTATGCAAAGACCCGGCGGCAGACATGTCAAGCCTTGCGAGCAGCTCTGCGGTGACCAGGCTCAAATGCAAAATGCCTTGCTGTGTTTGTTGACGATGACGCGCCCGACGCTGCATGCTCAGGTCGCGAAGGCGCCCAATCAACGCAGGCCCCACGCCGGCGCGATCAACGTCTTTCACCTTTTACGGGCCTCAGCTCGATCGAAACGACGCTCACCCCCAAACCCGTGACTGACTACTACGTGCCGCGGACGCGCGCTATCACGGGGCTTTGTGGTGATTTACTTGATTGGCTGCATTAGCAGGAGCATCGTCCCTCTTCTCGCTCCGAGCGCTCGCCGCCGCCTACACCGCAATCATAAACACAATCACCCAAACCGACCCCACACGGAAATTCGCAGCGTCGCTGTGCAACTCCCTCGCCAGGCAGCGCCCGAGCAATCTATTTGCGGCAAGCCGAGGCCACGCAGCGACTCGCAGCTCCGCACCACCCCCGCGGTTATCTCCCCGCGCAGGTGACCGCTATCTATAGCCCGCCATGCCCTGCTTCCTGGGGCTCGCCGTGAGCATCCACACGCCCAACGGGCCGCTGTCCGAGCACTCGATACAGAAGCAGTCCAAATTCCACCGCATCACGTCGTACATCCCCGTGCCGCCCGCCAAAGTCCCGCCTGGGGCGACCAAGCCCGAGCAGTCCACGTTTGCCATCTCCATAACGCTGCTCACCCCCGGCCTGCATGTGCCGTACTCGGCGCCCAAGCCCTCGCTCGAAGACGCCAGCCCGAAGCCGAAGGTCGTCGGCGGCCTGCCAGGCTTCACCGGCGAGCGGGGCAAGTATGGTGCCGCCATCGCGCCGTACAAGCCCCTCACCAGTTCGCCGAACGAGACGATCGCCGCCTACATTTACTTCGACGGACGGGCAAAAGAGGAGGTTGCAACACTGTTACGGCGCGGGGAGGAGACATGGGTGAATTCTCGCTGGGTCAGCGTCCCCGAATCCGAGGGCGGAGGGCTGGCCGAGCGCGAGTTTCTGTTCCGCGAGGTCGGACTCGAGCGCTGGCTCAACGGACTCGACCTGGAGGGCTCGGATAAAAACGTGGCTGCGAAGATCGAGCGGAGACGACAGCGCCTGGAGAAGAAGCGCAGGAAGAAGAGGGAGGCGCTCGGCAGCAGCGACGAGGACGAGAGCAAGCCGTCGCGGAATGGTGTTCTCCGCTACGGCGACGAGAAGGACGCGCCGGTGGAGGCACTATCAGGGAACGACGACTTTTTCACTTCAGATTCCGATTCTGACGACGAGCCGCCCGTACCAGAAGCCGCAGGCCAGATCAAGGTTGCCCTGTTCCGCGTTCTAGCATCGGGCGAGATCAAGCGTGGAGAGTACTCTCCGCAGTTTGACGCGCACGATGACGACGACCCGAACGGCGGCGGTGATGGAGAGGATATCGACCACACCACAAGTTTCGCCAAACCGAAGACGCTGGACCCCAAGTCGATCAGCACCCAGACTGTCACTGGCATCGACCCTCCAGACAAGCCATATGCCGTTTTCACGTTTTTGTACCGTGGAGAGCGTAGGTGTACACAGCGCGCGAGATGTCTAAAGCTAACATGCAATAGGCCAACTGCGGAAGATGGGCATTCTTGAGACCAGCGAGAAGAAACCTACTGTAGTCTCGCCGGCGGCACGTCGGAAGTCAGGACTGGACCTCAGCAGCCTCAAGCCTCTGGACGCCGCCAAAGGCACGAAGAACTTTGGGGGTTACCGCGACATGCAGTCTCCAAAGGCCAAGGAGAAGAGCGAGGACGCCATGGACAGCGATGCGGACGACGAGGATGAGGCACGTCCTGACGATGCCGAGGACGAAAGGGATGTCGTAGACAAGGGCATGCTCTCGCCCGAGGATGCGGCCAAACAGGGAGAACTTGCGGAGGGTGTCCGAAAGATCAAGGTTTGTCCCACGGTTCAACAGTGCTAGTGCCGGCTAACGCCCCTACAGCTAAAGCGACAGCATTCCGCCGAGCCTCTGGCACGCGGCACGCCCGCAGGCGACTCATCATCCGGGTCGCCTATCTCGGGCACACCCGCTCCCGGCAACGCCGCGGCCGAAGGGTCCCAGTCCGCAACCGCAAGCACAGAGGCCGAAAGCAGCATCGCGTCGCCATTCAAGAAGCACCGAGCCTCCCTGCCCGGCTTCGACGAGAACGTGCGCAAGAGCCTCGGACAGGCGCTCCTCGGGGCGCAGAAAGAGCGCGGCAACTCCGAAGGCACCATCCCCACGACAACGGCCGAGTCCAAGATGGAGGAAGACGACGAGTTGTGACTGTGGGAGATGCGTCTGCAGAGCGCGCTGGGATGACGACGGCCGCGGCGCCGAGTCCCTGGAAAACGTCTCTTTCTCAATAACTATACCACGCGGCGCCACGATACATGGGCCGGCATTTGCTACTAACAAGGACATTTGGCGCTTTTTTGGCTCTTGTTCAGGCTCGAAAATCTACATGTGGGGGCGGCTTGGATACGAGGGTCTTCTTGTCAGTCAGTCAGTCAGTCAGGCAGGCAGTCTCCAGCTCCTTCGGGGGCGGAGGGGTTAGCGTGTGAGTTTCCACTGTAGCAGGAGGAGCATGACGCGACGGCGCTGCGGCTGGCTGTGGCTGTGGCTGTTGCTGTTGGTGAACAAGGGCACGGCGCGGGCAGGGTGGCATTGCGGACGTTGTAGATCATGTCAATATACTATTCTCCGTACATGTTGAATGAGCGAAGCTTTTGGGGTATGATGGGTGTTGGTATTGACTGTGGTGGCTGTGGTGACTACTACTACTAAGGTGACTGTGGTGACTGCTGCTGGTTTGACTGTGGTGACTACCACTACTCAAGTTGACTGTAGTAACTACTTCTACTAAAGTTGACTGTGATGACTACTACTACTAAAGGTGACTGTGGCTATTACTGCTTACATGACTGTAATATCCAACTGCAAGGCTTATGCAATGTCTACAGCTTGAACTCGACGGTGCTTCGCTCCCAGCCAACGCCGCCGCCGTCCTTGCGACTCGCCAGCTTCTCTGCTACCTCGATCTTCCTGTCCCGATTGCGCTCGGTGCACAGCTCAAAGACGGTGCTCAGATTGAAGACCATGGAATGGAAAGGCGGGGTGGTGTCGACGAGGTTGGACAGCAGACCTCGGGCATCGGGAATATGCCCTGTGTACAGCAGACACACGGCGAGGTTCTGGGCAACCATGGCATCGTCAGGGAACTGCTCGTGCAGGGCGCGGAAGGATGCTGCCGCGGCTTCGTAGTCGGAGTCGGCCAGCTGGAGCAGGGCTGCCAGGGTGCCGTCGAGCAGGGCATCGCTCTCGGCTGTGGAGGCGCGGGCCAGGCACTGGCGGGCACTTGCCAGGTCGCCCACGCGCAGCCACACCAGCGTCTCCATGACCAGCACTTCTCTCGCGTCGGCGGCGTCGGGCTCGCCGTCGGCGTGCGCCAGTGTGCCCAAATGGCGGCCCGCACCGTCCAAGTCGCCCATCTCCACCAGCGTGTTCGCAACCCTGATGCCGCAGTCCCGCAGTCTGCGGCGCCAGAGGGCCTTGTCGGGGTGCTCGACGGCGCGGACGATGCTCTCGCGGCACTCGCGGGCCAGCTCGTAGTAGCCCATGATGCCCTTGCGCCACTCGCCGTAGCCCAGGGCCGTCAGGCGCACGGCGAGCAGGCGCAGGTCCCAGGGCACCAGATGCGCGCCGGTCAGCGGGTGGCGGTAGAAGGCGCTGTTGAGGTCGCCCAGGACCTTTGCCTCCTGGGCGGCCAGGGCGTGCTCGCTGACCAGGCACAGGCAGGCCAGGCGGATGTGCACGAGGTGGAAGAGCGTGGGGTAGTCGGTGGGCGCGGCGGCAGACACGATGTTGCGGGCGGCGGCGATGGCGGCGAGCCTGTAGTGGCCGGCGAGCAGCAGCGAGTCGATGGGGGCGGCGACCGAGGGCACGTTGGCGGCGTGCTGGAACGGCAGCGGGGCGGTGGTGGGCAGCACATGGTAGGCGGCCGGGTCCTGCAGGAACGACACGTCCAGCGCGACGCTCTGCTGCAGGTCGTGCAGGCCATGGGCGCTGGGCTCGGGCGGCGGCGAGCGCACGCGCGCAGGCGAGAGGACGCGCGCAGGCGAGGGGCCCGCGGGGCTGGCGGTGCGGGAGGGCCCCTTGGGCGACAGCGGGTCGTCGAGCACCTCCGCATCCAGCAGGCCGCGGGTCATGCGACGCGCCACGGCGATGCGGCCGCTGGGCGAGCGGCCGTGTGCGGCGCTGCGCTGGGGGTTGAGGCTCATGGTGTGGGCGGTGAGAGCCGGGCGTCGGGGACAGGGCGCGGGCTCCGGTGCTGTCACGGTGGCGCCGACATCGCAGCGTTTCCCCACAGTGCGCAGGCCAATCACGCTGAACGGGCCGGTCGAGGCGACGCAGGCGAGGTTGACTGACTCCGCAAGCAGCAGAATTTCAGGATGCCGTCCGCCCTCCCTCTGCCCTCGCCCTGCCCTCCCCGCGCCCTCAATTGCTCCTGTCCCCGCGACTGCAGCCCCAGCCTGCCCGGACGCGCCTCGTCATGCAGCAATCCAGGACCCGCGCCATCGCCGCCCTCAAGGGCTCGCGCGCCTTTTCCACCTCGGCCGCACGAGCGCAGTCATCGCTCACCCGCCCTGCCCCGGCCGCCGCCGCAAAGGTCGTCAAGGAGGATGTCCGCACACAGAGCACCGCCGCCGCCTCGACGCCGGCGCGCGCCCGCCCCGCGCCCGCCTTCAACCGCGAGGACTACGGCAGCGTGCAGCCCTTGAAGCCGTACCGCGCGCCCGAGATGGACCACTCGTTTGTCGGCATGACGGGCGGCCAGATCTTCCACGAGATGATGCTGCGCCAGGGCGTCAAGCACATCTGTACGTCTCAGACGGTTCTACGACGGTTCTGCAGCTAACGTGACTCAGTCGGCTACCCTGGCGGCGCTATTCTGCCCGTCTTCGATGCCATCTACCAGTCGCCGCACTTCGACTTCATCCTGCCGCGCCACGAGCAGGGCGCCGGCCACATGGCCGAGGGCTATGCCCGTGCCAGCGGCAAGCCCGGCGTCGTGCTCGTCACCTCGGGCCCCGGCGCCACCAACGTCGTCACCCCCATGCAGGACGCCCTGATGGACGGCACCCCCATGGTCGTCTTCTCCGGCCAGGTCGTCACCAACATGATCGGCTCCGACGCCTTCCAGGAGGCCGACACCATTGGCATCACCCGCGCCTGCACAAAGTGGAACGTCATGGTCAAGAACATTGCCGAGCTGCCCAAGCGCATCAACGAGGCCTTTGAGATTGCCACCAGCGGCCGCCCGGGCCCCGTCCTCGTCGACCTGCCCAAGGACGTCACCGGCGGCACCCTCAACCGCCCCATCCCCATCTCCAGCACCCTGCCGCCCTCCACCAGCGCCGCCACCTTGGCCGCGCGCGAGGTCTCCAAGCAGCAGCTCGAGGCTTCCATCCGGAGGGCCGCCGATCTGATCAACGTGGCCAAGAAGCCCGTCATCTACGCCGGCCAGGGCATCCTCCAGACCCCCAACGGCCCCGAGCTCCTGAAGGAGCTCGCCGACAAGGCCAACATCCCCGTCACCACCACCCTCCAGGGCCTCGGTGGCTTTGACGAGCTCGACCCCAAGTCCCTGCACATGCTCGGCATGCACGGCTCGGCCTACGCCAACATGGCCATGCAGGAGGCCGACTTGATCCTGGCTCTCGGTGCCCGCTTCGACGACCGCATCACCGGCGCCGTCGCCAAGTTCGCGCCCGCCGCCAAGGCTGCCGCCGCTGAGGGCCGTGGTGGCATTGTCCACTTCGAGATTATGCCCAAGAACATCAACAAGGTCATCCAGGCCACCGAGGCTGTTGCCGGCGACGTCGGCTCGAGTCTGACCCAGATGATGCCCCTGGTCAACATCGTCAAGGACAGGCCCGAGTGGTTTGCCCAGATTGCCGACTGGAAGAAGCGCTTCCCGTGGGCCTACGAGAAGGAGGGCGAGAACGGCCTGATTAAGCCTCAGACCGTCATCGAGACCCTCTCCAACCTGACTGCCCCCATCAAGGACAAGACCATCATCACAACCGGTGTCGGACAGCATCAGATGTGGGCTGCTCAGCACTTCCGATGGACCCACCCGCGCACCATGATCACCTCCGGAGGTCTCGGTACTATGGGTTACGGTCTGCCCGCGGCCATTGGTGCCAAGGTCGCCCGCCCCGACTGCCTGGTCATTGACATTGACGGAGACTCTTCCTTCTCCATGACCCTGACTGAGCTGTCCACTGCCGCCGAGTTCAACATTGGCTGCAAGGTCATCATCCTCAACAACGACGAGCAGGGTATGGTTACGCAATGGCAGACTCTCTTCTTCGAGGACCGCTTCTCGCACACACATCAGCGGAACGCCGACTTTGTCAAGCTCGGCGACGCCATGGGTGTCCAGGCCAAGCGTGTCATCAAGCCTGAAGAGCTCGAGGGTGCCCTGAAGTGGCTGATCGAGTCGGACGGCCCTGCCCTGCTCGAGGTCGTCACCGACCAGAAGGTCCCCGTGCTGCCCATGGTACCGACAGGCAGCGCTCTGCACGAGTTCCTGGTATACGACGAAGGTACGTTCCCCCCCCCCCCCCACTCCCTCAGCTCCCCGCTAACAGCCGCCCCAGAGACACAAAAGAAGCGCAGAGCTCAGACCAAGGAAAGATCGGGTCGCTAAGCTGCTAGCGCCTCTACTTGTATATTGCCGTTTGTAATTTCTGGGTCAGCTTGGGCGTTTAATTGTTGTCTTGTCTCATTGGCGGAGCACCGCACGGAAAAGTCGCGTGGAGCGCAAAAGTCACGGAAGGAGGGTTGTCGGGACCACTGGTTGCTGTCAGACTGCATGAGTAGATTGGATTGGGTCGTTGCATTGAGCATAGTCGTGCGGCTGGGAGTGCCGTTCCATGGTAGAGATATCGAGTCATTCCATGGTTGAGTCGCATTTTGTAGCCTTGCCTATTGAATGTGTTGTCTGGTTTTCAACAGCCTCAATCATTTTTGCATAAAGTCACATCACAGCTCTTACCATCGCGTCGCAGAGCATCCATCTTCCACGCCTTCAAGCAGACATCCCGATCCTACCAGAGCAACCAACCAGTATCCTCAAAACCACCACATCTCACCATCTCACATATCCCGCAATACCCCCCACACTCACAACGAATACAACAAACACAATGCGTCCCTCCACAACAACCTGCTCCCGCCAATCCGCCCCCTGCTACTGCCACACCCCGCTCTCGCTCTCGCACTCACGCTCGCGCCGCCGCCCGCGCGCCCCGGACGCTGGGCCCCAGTGGCCTGCCCGCGTCGGGAGTAAGGGGTATGCGGGGTTTTTGGTGGGGTTGAGTAATCCCGGTGACGAGAAGGACGGTGACAAGGACGGTGATGGTGGGGATGGCGGTGATGGTGGTGGTGACGATTGTGAGGGAGCGCGTAGACAAGGCGCTGGAGGGAGTCAAACGAGGACGGGACGGACGAGATTGCTTGATGCGGGGGAGAAGGAGAGCGGGACGGAGACGCAGACGCAGACGCAGAGCGGGTGCGGGCTTGGTGCCGTCGTGAGGCGGCTGCTGGGGACCGAGAAGAGCTGGGCGGCTGGTGCGGGATCTAGTTGGCCTGGCGTTGAAGGGGTTGCGTGGGGAGAGAGGGGGGAGGGGTGGCGCGAGGTGGGGAGTGTGAACACGGGGAGTGTGAAGACGGGGAGTGTGAAGACGGGGAGTGTGAACACGGGGAGTGTGAAGACGGGGAGTGTGAAGACGGGGAGTGTGAGGGTGGAGAGCGTGGAGGCGCAGAGCGTTCAGGCAGAGAGTGTGGATGCAGAGAGTGTGCAGGCAAAAAAAAAGGCAAAGGGTGTGGCGCGGGTGTGTGCGAGGCTCTGTGGAGGGTGGCAGGGGTCTTGTTGAGTGGTGGTTGCGAGTGAGTTTCTTCAAAGAGAACAGTGGAACGGGGTTGTTCGATTCTCAAAAGACGAGCAATGATACCCAATATGCAAACTAGAATAAACTCAAATCGTAAAGAATCTCACTCCACGCGACACAGCTTGCCGTTCTCATTCGGCAGCCCGTCCTCACTCTCGACCCTCCACCTCTCGCTGCCAACACCTGTGGTCGCAAAGAACACGTCCTTCGGGTCTAGCTTGCTCTTCAGCTCCAACAGCCTTGGGTACTTATCACCCCAGAACGCCTGTCCAAAGTCTGGTTCCAGCCTGTCAGCCTCGGCCAGGTAGCTCCCCGCGCCCGGACTAATGTCCCTCCACCTCTGCATATCGACCGCCTGAAACTCCTTCCTCAGCCGCAGAATCTCCTCCGCGGTGCTGTTGATCGGCCAGCGCACAGACTGCATCGAGAACGACACAAGCGGGCGCCAGTGCGAGTTCACCGCGTTGTCAGCGGTAGACTTGGCCTGCATGTTAAAGTGGACCTGCACGCGGCCCTTCTCGCTCGACTCGCGGATGTTTTCGTACAGCTCCTGTCGCTTCTCTGTCGTCTCGAAGTTGGCGCGCGGGAAGAGACGTGAGCCCGTTGCGACGTTGGCTTTTTGCACCGACTCGAGCGGGAACGACGAGCGCCAGGCCTCATAAAAGGTGGAGAAGTAGGTGAGGTTCGGGGCGTAGGTGACGTTCAGGCTGTCGAGCTTGGTGAACCAGGGTTGCAGCAGGGCAGTGGTTTCGTCGAGGGTCTTGTTGGGCGCGAAGAAGGGTGAGAATTGGAAGGTGAAGGATCCATTGGAGGGGATGATCATCCAGTACGTGTAGGTCCCGGCATCGGCGTTCGCAATGTTGATGTCGAGATAGGAGCGGATGGCGGCCCAGAACGTCTCGTTGCCTGTCTGCTTGGAGGAGATGCTGAAGCGGGAGGCGGTGACGGGGAGATCGGGGTGTGCCTTGACAGTGACTGAGGTCGCAACGCCAAAGGTGCTGCCGCCGCCGCCGCGAAGTGCCCAGAAAAGATCAGTGTGCGAGGTCGAGTTGGCGACCACAAATTCGCCATCTGCAGTGACGACCTCAAACGCAAGCACGTTGTCTGCGCCAGTACCGTAAAGACCGGTCAATGGAGAATGACCACCTGCTGTCGTTAGTATTGCGAAGTCTAGATGCAAGTCGCACTTACCTCCTTGGATGTAGCCTCCCATGACGCCAACAGTCTCGCCCTCTCCGCCAACAACCACACGTCCTTTTTCATCTGCAGCCTTGTAAATTTCAAAAGCTTGCACGCCTGTGCCGGTCTTGAATGCTGGGCCAGTGTAGCCAAGCTCTTCATCCGCGTATTCCTCGATATACTCAATATCTTTCATGTAGTGTGTCCAGATGCTCAGGGCGTCCTTACCGCCGCTCTTGCCAAGGAAGTCGTGGCCGGTGTTTTTGACGATGAGTCGTACACCCGAGTTCCTGGCAAAGTTGACCGCAAGCTGGACATGCTTTGGCTCGGTGGCGTTAACAACATAGGCCGGGAATCCTCCGCGGGTGCAGTTGTGGCTGTCAAAGATGACTGGTGCTGTGCAGGTCATGCCTTGAGCGACTGGAGACATCATCTCGATTGGGTCGTTCATGTGCGTGTACGACTGAGTCCACGTCGCCGAGTAGGTCGCACACTGCGCGGCATCGTAGTCTGGGTGAGCAGGATAACATACGGCAGCAAGAGGCGTAGGTCTTGAGATCAGGCGGTTGCCAGTCAACTCATTCAGCTGTTCCCATGCCTCGTCGGATGGCCAGGCGGCATCCCCTGGATATACCTTGCAACGGGAAGTCTCATTCTTGGGGTCGGTAGTGTTCAGGCCCTGGGTGAACAGATTCCTGACGGATGGGGTGACGACCTCCAGGTCAGTCTCGACGAGCACATCGAGGGCTCGACGAGTCAGTGAAGATGCAGCGCTTGTCGAAGCAGCCAAAACGGCTGTGAGCCAGATCGTGGACAGAGTCATGATAGTCTTCCGTCCCGAGATCAACAAGTCTATGACTATCAATTAGTCTGACAGTCGATCGATGGGTAGCACATGATGATCACTTACCAGTGCAACGGCTCTGGATGTTTATTACAAGCGCCCGCTGCCCGCAACGTTTGACAGTGACGGGGAAGAGTGCAAGCCATCGTTCTGTCGCTCACTTAAGGGGTACTGCTATGGCAAATTGCTGGACGTATGGCCCACCTCGGCATATCGCAAGCTGATTCGAGGAGCTGCATGTTGCTCCAGGTATCTGACAGGCGATCTTAACAGAACCTGTATAGGCCCGAAAGGAGGGCCCGTGAAGGAGTTCAGCCAAGGGACGTCGATGACGGCAGACGTGCCGTGTACGAAATGGGCAAAGAGCTGTCAGAGAAACGAAACCTTGACTCGTGCGCTAGCTGATCAATATCCCTTTTGGCCAGCGACATGTGCAGAAACAAGAACCCCGAAAGTGGCAGGCATGTTCAGCAGGGCGAGTGCCTCGGTGTATGCATGATTGTAGACGTCAACTAGGGTTGTGTGATTACATCCTGTCGGAGAATACAACGTCGACGAAACCCAAGGGCGTGCCGCTTGGATCTGCATGCGGAGCTGACGCGCAAAGATGGGCGCTGACAAAGGAGGGAAGGAAGCTTTCGGTTCTGCAAGCCATGCATTGTTGCGCCTTCCGTCTTCCGTCTTCCGAACTTCATCCAGGCGGCCCGTACCTCGAGCAACCATCAAGACCACCCGGCCAGAACCCTTGGGCATCACCGTCCGCATTTAGGAAAAAATCCACTGCGCCATCGAATCATGACAAGACTGTTGTTGCCGCATTGACCATTTGGGCGCGGTCCAGCCTGGATTAGTGACCCTGAATCATGGGGACTTGTATTTGACAGGTCGGCCAAGGATATGCGGTTAGTGGATCAACACTCCGTTTGCCTAAACCGCCCTGATCAGTGCGAAGGTTGTTCGTATCCCTGAAGGGTATGTATCGAGATAGTGGGTTTCTTTCAAATGGCCCCGAAAGATGCGCCGTACATTGGACAGCCTTGCAGTAATTCTCCGCTGGTTGCTACCAGGAGACGTCCCACACCCAGTGCAGATACTGAAGGTTCTTGCAAATCGCGGTACATGAAGAGAAGTTGGGAGGTAAGTGCTTCAAATTTTTGCCACAGCTCGGCTGTCATTGATCTGTAACAGGCGCGAATCGTATATAATTGCAGGATAGCCTCACTCCAGGGCTGGTATCCGGTTCCCCGTCGTAGCCATTGGACACCGTAGCGGATCACACCCACATGTCAATTATTAGCGACCACGATTGTGCGTTCTCTTGCGTCTGAGCATCAATCGTCCACAAGATCGTCGCCAGTATGGTCGAGAGTCGCCAGAATGAAGCACTTGTCATGATATGCCTCTTTCCAATCATAAGCGCGATCTTCGTCATCCTCCGCATGTATTCACGCTACCTGGGTCGAAACTTCGGAATGGACGACCACCTGATCTTGCTTGCGACAGTACTATTACTTGGTCAGACTCTAACGATATATAAATGTATGGTGTCTACAACTTAGGAGTACACATCAATGCTAACTCGCCCAGACGTTGTAATAAGTGGTACTGGATACCATGTTTACGATCTCCCCAAGCAGACCAATGCTGAAAAGCTTCCCGCCTTGAAATGGAGCTTTGCAGTGCAGATGATCTATCACCCTTTGATGTGCGCGATCCGAGCAAGTATCATCATGTTCCTGTTCCGGATGAAGGATAATCGTCGAAGGATAAGGTATTCACTGCATGTTGTTTGTGAGTCTATGCTACAAGCATTAACCTTCAAAGACTAACATCGGATCTGACAGTTTGGTTGAATGTTGGTTACACAATCGCGACCTCAATAGTCAACACACTGCAGTGCACTCCTATTCAGTACACCTGGCTTCGTCCAGTGATGGATCAGTATGACGCCAACGGCAAAGTCACAGTTCCAGGTGGAACCTGCATCCAATCCCGAACCTTCGTTCTCTCGAGTTGCGCTCTAAGCATCTTCATGGATTTGATCATCATACCAATCCCTAGCATTATGGTATGGAATCTGCAGATGAGGGCCAAGACCAAGGCATTGGTGGTTCTTGTCATGAGTTTGGGCTGGATGTAAGTCGTTAGCTTCGTCCTGGAAGGATATCGTACTCACATATCTCCAGTGCTACAGGTGTCTCAGTCGGACGCTTCATAGTATACTACTATCGTTTCGCGCCCACAAACCTCGACCGAACATGGGACATTGGCGTTGTTATCTCAGTCGCCGAACCAGCTGCCCACGTTATCACTGCTTGCGCGCCGGCCACTAAGGGTCTCATCCGAATGCTGTTCCCATCCTTCAATTCGGAGTACCCAACCTACGACGAAAACTACGCCACATACACACCGTCGAATTCGAAGCTCGGCTCCGGCACAGCATCTAAGCAGCGGCGGTCAATGGGCTTTAACTTTGGTCTTTCTACGAAAGGTGCTGAAGAGGGACAGGACGTTGTCATCACGGAGAGAGAGCGCAACAACACCAAGGATGAAGATGTGTTTGGTATGAAACCTCTAGGGAGCGTCGACTCCAGGGAACATATTGGCCACGACGATTACGACCAGAGCACACACGGGGCCGCTAGCAAAGCCAACACAGAATATAGTAAAGACGATAACGACATCAATCAGACAGAGCCGCAGCATGTATTAGGGTATGCGAAATAAGTAGTGTTACATAATTCCCTTTGCTTGATTATAGCAGCGGTGTTTGGGTCGATGGATGGTTTTGATAGCGATATACCAAGCGACAGCGTCTTTTGTTTTTTTTGTTACGCTACAGAGTTTTTGAAGATGCGCTGCACGCATTAAGAACCTTCTGGTTAATCCTTTCTTTCAGAAACCGCAGTGAGGCTTTCCGATACATAACACGGCCATCCGTGAGGCACAGCCGCAAAAGAAGCCTCGTACTTCCACTCTTGTGCAGGATCAACCTGCTTGAAGTCGAGATCGCGCAGAAGCGTGGCTGCAGCCTTGAAGATCTCAAGCTGCGCAATATTGCGGCCTTGACAGGAGTTGTAACCTGCGCCAAACTAGGCCAACAGTTAGCACAAGTTATCGAAGAAAGTCAAAGCATATGATCACTTACGGCTATGAAGTATTTCTCGATATCCTTAGCTTGAGGGCCTATCCATCGATGCGGGTTGTACGTGCACGCGTCCTGACCAAACAGTTCGCGGCTATAGTGTATGACACGTGGGTTGACACTGAGCTTTGTCTACCAAAAATAAGTCTGCGTAATTCCCTTTGATCATAGAGTGAGCACGTACGCCTGGTTCGAAGTAACGGCCGCTAATCGTGACGCCGCCGGTAGGCACGACTCGTGCAAGACCGAATGGGACCGGTGGGAACATGCGCCAACCTTCCTTGAGCTACGGGCACGAAGTTAGTGTTTGCAATACAACATTCGGCCGACGGGACTACTGACGCAGGCTTGGAGAAATGGAAGCTTGGAGGCATTTGCATAAGCAACGATGTCCTCGGTCAAGTTTGCGTCCGCTATCTCCTGCTTGGCGGTGGCTAGATGCTGAGGGTGACGGATCAAATGGTAGAAGAACGACTGTAAGCTGGCACTAACAGTGTCTGACGCCGCGCCTACAGTCATGTTGACACATCCGTGGAGTTCCTTCTCCGAAAGCCTTTCGGGGTGACTTTCATGTTGCCTCATCCAAAGCGACAGAACATCCTCACGAACGTCAGGATTCTTCTTTCGGGCTTCGATGGCCCGTAGTGTCGTATCCAGTATGTGCTGCGTGGGCATGAGGTTCCAGTCTGTGATACGAGGGTTACCAACCGTCAACCGGTGGAAAGTCTGGAAGAAACCAGCCATGGTGACATATGGTACGAGCAATCGTGAGTTCGCAATGGAGCCACCGAGATCTTTGCCTGCCTCAAGGAATCCAAACCGCTGCGAGAAAATAACTTCGCCAATGATATCGAAAGCCATGTAGTTGAACCACTCATCAAGATGCACTTGCTTCTCCGACCTCGCGGACTCTAGAAGTCGGGTTTTGAGGAGCCGAATACAGCCATCTATATAGGGTTCGGACTTGATAACATGAGAGAGGGCGAAACCAGCTGCTAAGTTCTTCGACCTTCGAACTTGCTCTTTTGGATCTGTTGCTGACATGGGCGTCTGATACCGAGCATCTGGCAAGGACATTATTTCGTACCACTCAGCCTATATTTCCGCTCAGTGAGTCAAGATCTATGTCCATGACCTATTCGATCATGAGTTGCAACATACCTTTGGTAGCGGGCTGAGTAAGACCTGTCTAATGGCTTCAGGGTGGCACACGCTGATTTCATCGTGACTGATTCGGACGAACGGCCCTTTCAACGTTAACGAGATGTAATCTGAGCTTGCCTTTAAACTGTAATACCATGCTTCTCGTGCAAAGCAATGCAGTGTGTATCAATGTCCCCTCGAACAAGACGCCAAAGATACCATGCTCTGCTCACTGATGCAAGCACGGGACCGGGAACGTCGGATATAGTTGTAAGATAGCGGCGCCAGAGCCCAAGAGCCACAAGAGCAGCAAGTATTGTAACCGCAAGCAGGTAGATCATACTTGTGTTGTCGAAGAGAGTCGCAAATCGCTGCCATGAGGAACTCCGGATTTTTGCTAACATGTATCGACCTATGGATAACCGTTATCTGTCAAGACCAGGATGTACTGCTGATCATGATCCATCTTGCGATGTCTGCTAAGCTGCATCAGTACGTTTAGGCGTGCCAAATGAGACGTCATAAAGGTCCAGATCGAAATTATACTTGCCGTGGACTGATGAACATGGTTTCTTCGAATGTACCACATACAAAGCGTTCACCTCAGCAAGCATCATGACCGCACGGCGCCACATATCCTTAGTCGTTATCCTATCTTGTGACGACGTCTGGCTGATGATTAGCGGCGTACGCTTTGATGATCAGGCCCCTTTAGAAGCATCAATGAGCCGAGATATCGTTTTGCAGGATGAACCGATTTGGTACTCACCTCCGAGTCTTACTAGATTACGATTGTTTGGTGAGTGATGTTGGTTAGCTACTTTTGATTGTGAACGTCGACTGCAAGGGGATAGAGGAACGTAGAACTTGTCAGACCATTACGGGTTGAACTCAAGGTACTCAAATATGGCAGAACGTCTAATTAGAGCAAGGAAGTAGCCACGAGGTTTGGTCATATAATGCAGTGACTGGTGCATATGCGGTCTCCAGGGAGGCTGAGCCTGGTGAAAACATTCAAGGCCCCGTTCCCTTCTGAATCGGTTAGAGGAGCAAACAATTTACTGCCAAAGCCGTGGCTGTGCTGCGTGCCACCCTCACACAGTGGCGAGGGTCAGGCTGGGTGTCTTTTGCGGTACGTTATGCCATAGACATGCAGTCGCATGATGCAGGATGTTGCATACATAGGAGTGGTTCTGTGGCGCAAATGTGGGTATGTTGTTTTTGTGTACAATTGTTGTACAGCCTGTTCAAATACTCGAATGGAGTCTGTCCCCCTGCCTGAACGCCAGTCCAATACCGTATTCTATATACACTGATCCTTCATAGGTGTCTGAATACTACTGCGACGCGTGCTTGCCGGATAGTTTCTTCGCCTTTTCGTCGGTCGTTCGTTCAAAGCATTTATTGCGGCGTTTACGCGGGAAGGAGGATCTCCGCCCAGCTGCTGTGCAGGAAGGTGACACCAATCTGAATCAAATGGTCAGCATATGATTGAAGCCTCCACATTGTACAGCGATCATCGCAGTTCGGCCCTTGCGACTTTGCCAGCCTTCGCATTTGCACACGGTCGGCTCCGCAACCCGCATATTGAAGCCATCATCTTCACCCTGAATTCGGAGTGTGCTTACAGCAAATAGGCCGATTGAGGTGACAACACTCCTGTTCTCCGCGCTTGTAAGACCTTGGATGGTGCTGCGCGCAAAGCTGGGCTCGGCGACGGTGCGGCCACCCTTTCCGTTGAGCTGCTTGGGAGGCATTATGTGTAAGGGTATGGGGTTTCTAGCATTCTGTCAGTAATGCGTAGTACATTGGATTTCGCAACGACCACGTACTGGGTGGGTTGTGGTGGTGGTGGAGGATGCGCTGATGAAAGTTTTGGGAAGGCAGTTGGTCGGCAGCTTCGACAGCCCTGTGCCATCACATTCCAACATTACGTCAGCGAAACTTATAACTCGCGACATTCATTGATGTTACACCATCAGACCTGCAAAACCATCTTCTTTGATATGATGGCTCATGGTGCGCTTTGAAGAGATCGTACGATCAATATGAGCGAATTGACATCAATTCGGTCCAGGTATTGATGACTCGCGCTTGCAAGGTCAACAAGGTCGACAGAATCCACTTGATGGTATGTATATTGCCTCTATATCTACAATTTGAACATACATCCTTGGTAAAGTACCATTTCGTCACGCACTGCTAGTCTCCAGACACAATCGAACACCAGTAATGCGATCCCTCATTCATGCCACTTTTCGAGACCTGGTAGTCTCTCTCAAATGCACCTGTCCGGGCTAGCACCCGGATCAAAAAGCATCAACATGGACACGGATGCACCAGGCAAGCTCCTGGGTCCGGTCCTCCTGAAAGGGGGTAATCTTTGGAGAAGTGAAATCAAACAAAATGCTGCAATATAGCGATTAGCAAATGGGAAATCATACGAGCAATCTTAAGTTGTAACCAAAAGCCGAGATTGGTAGAGAAGTTGAACCACCTTATCAAGTGGGTTGAGGCGGAAGTCGTGCGGCTGTCAGGACACTGAGACCAAGACTGATGAGCACAACCGCGAGTCAAAGGATGTTGCAGGCGCTGCCAGAGGCCCTGTAGACGAGTTAGTTTGCTTGTTTGAATCGAGTTTGAACTACATCGGTCCACTCCAAGAGCCCTTCCAGGCCCTGATCCAGAATTCGGCTGCAAATCGGGTTTGTTGTTGGGACGCAAAAAACGATAGAGAAAAGCAGGAACTTACCAACGTTGCCCACGTATCCTTCCAATCCATGAATACACGATCTTTAGACGCTGGCGAACTCGCGTCGTCCGCAAGAGCACGTATTTCTCTTCTTCCAGCACTGGAACGACGGATGCGAACCAATACGGAAAAAGAGCGGGGTCCTCGGGTGGTTCTCCATAAACCTGAATGATACGCTCACGCAGCCATGGCGCACTAGCTTCTCTCATTTCTCGGACAAATGCTGTGCAGGTGTCTAGGAGCTGTTGTGTAGACAGCGTCTCTATAGCTATATCTGTAGGAAGCTGGGTTTGTGGTGCTTCTCGGAAATGCGATTCTGCGAACAATCGCGCCATGGTTGTTTCACGTTGCTCCACGGCTCCCTCTTCAGTGAGAGACACATCCTCGACCCGCTCAACATTGGCGACATTGTAGCCGTCAAGCATGCCATGAGCACGGACTCTGAAACGACCGATACCTCGGGTTTCCACGAAGCTACGGCCGTCGCGAAGGAGTTCGTAGTTAACGATCTCCAGTAAAGTACCGTATTCGAGGAAGGGTACTGTGCCCAAATCACCTTGCGCCGATGATGTGCGATTATACATCACCATCCCGAATTGCCTGTTGCCTTCCAGGACACGCCTCATCATCAGACGATACCGAGGTTCGAAGACATGAAGAAACGTCGGCATGGCAGGCATTGCCAAGGTGCATATGAACAATGGTGTGCTCAGGACCTCATCGCCAGCCTGCTCCTCGGTTTTTACTGCGGCGGCGCGGGCAGCGACAAGATCCGGGCACAAGCCATTCAGGAGAGAATTCAAGATGACGTTGCTGCATTGGCTTGTCTGTAAAGACGCAGAGACCTGTAAGTTCCTTCGGCAGAACGGACAGATGTTGCTGTGATCCATAACACGTGCCAGACAACGACGACAGAAGGTATGACCGCAAGTGGTCGTTGTTGGTTCCAGCATTGTGTTATAACAGACAAGACAGTCTAGTTCCTGATATGTGACTTCTCGCAGGCGTTCGAGAACTTTCATGTCCAAATCCTCGTAATCGGCTCCATTCGGTGATAGTGACGAGTATTCCACGTCAGAGCTGAATCGAAGCTGACCCGCCTCGGCCATGTCATACGTCGATATGAGACGGCCGCCATGTAGCACTTGCTGATGACTCTTTTCGCAGATCTGCTCCTCTTCTTTCTCACCGCCATCATCTTCCATCTCATCTTGTTGTACAATCTCTTTGAGTAAGGTAGGCGAGTCTTCGGATGATGGCCTGTGCTGCGCTATCTCTTGTGCAACCAGCTCCATCAGCTTAGTCAACGTCACATCGACTGAGCACTCCGCGGCAGCATGCTCTGCCCCGCATCCGACAAGTGGACATGCGATTCCCATCAAACGATCCGGGGTATTTGGATAGGAGATATTTGTGCGTGGTCGAGGTTCTGGCAAACACCTGCGGCATACTGTGTGCGAGCACGGCAATGTCACCGGAGTTTTGAGAGGATGGGAGCACCGGGGACATTGTATAAGGCGGACCAGTTGTCGAGCATCATGGTGGGCACCCAAGGCACTCACCGCCATTGCCTCTGCTTCGAAACCATCGTCGACCATAAAGACCGGCACGCGCGGTTCGAAGGTATGCTCGACGTCGTTGACGAGAGAGCACCCTTTCTCCCTTGGGCAATTCATACGAATCCAATCTAGTATGTGGTGGCAGCAACAGCCATGTGTTGGTTAGATCCCGATAGATGGGACTGGAGGCGGAATAGTCGGTCGTGTGATCGTAGCGAAGGCTCGGCGGTAGCAACGGCGACTGATCTGGGGATGTTGAAGGCAAGTGGGTATCGAAAGTTAATAGTAGGACGCTCGTGGGGTTAATGCGCAGTTATGTGAAACGCTCCAGTGGTGCCTTCTAGACTTCTAGGTCGGACGTCAAGGCTGAGGAAGACCGTGCTGACCGAAGAACAGGAATAGCGAGATACACTAAGAAGTGGCCGGAAGCGCGGGACTGACGCGGTCAAAGGCTTTTGAAAGCCCGAAAACGTAAAGACAACGCTGGATATCGGTCTGCTAGTTTGATGTAATGGTCGATGTGGAAGAAGATGCCAGGTCAAGTACCAAGCCGAGGCAGGAGAGAACAGAAGTCATGACCTAACATAGTAAATGAGTGCGTAGATAGACCCTAGGCTATAGATCGGCGATGGTGTTTTGCCAGGTTCAGTTAAGGACGGTCACTCCCGATCAATAGGGAATACTGTGCTCAGCGGGATCGATAAAACCGCCCGCCATCAACACCCCACCAGACCCCCTGCCCACTTACACGAGGTCCGTGCGGCATTCGCAAGCAAGCAGGCCAATATCAAAATAAGTCAGTGCACCTTTCTGAACAATCCAGAAGATCTGCCGTTCCTACTTTACGCACAGATTTCAAGAAAGGCAACAGCAGTAAGAGGTCTCACCTGTGCTGGACTCGGCCAAAGACCGCCCAAAATCTTACTCAAAAGTCGTGTGCGTATTGCATTTGCATGACCAGCATATTGAGACCGTGCCAAGTCTGGACCATTCGTGCAGCACCACGCGCGCTGCGTGTTGACCCCTCAGTCTAAAAGCTGGTTGCAGCACATGCGGCGAAAGATGCGGCGCTTTGCCGCCCTTGTTTTGCTCTTGAAGGCCTGTCAATTACTGAGCATGCACGCTTTTGAGCATCGATGACGAGTCGACTTGCCGAGCGCGCCGGCCAATCAGAGTCTAGCTTTCGAGCTGTCATCCGCCATCCATGTGCCACCGCACCGGGACCATGGCTCGCGCTTGCCGAAGACCCTGTCGTGACGACTGCATTTGATGTGGGGCTACGTCTGCTAAATGCTCGCTCGTGTTTTTCTACTGTATTCATGGTAGCAAGTCGTTTTCTGGTCCGCCGACCTGGAGTGAGTGTTATCTAAAGGCTACCACTTCGACACGAGAGCAAGTGCCTTCAGCCTCGCTTCTCGCGTAACACTCCCAAATGAAGCACAAAGCCATTTGGTGTTCATTCCTTAGCCCCAAATAAGTCCCGTGGAACACCCATGCAAGTCTCTATCATTGAGCCTAGTCTTCGTACGTTTAGTGCAATACCGGAAACGCGTACAGTAACATGTTGGCTGTACTCCCTAACGCCAAGATATCAGAATCGGCTGCAAGATCCCGAAGCCTGTGTCACAAGGTTTTGGCGATACCGAACGTAGCAAATGCCTCTTCGTCGGATTCAGGATTTGAATCACTACTCTCTTCGCTCTCTTCGTCTTCTTCCTCTAGCACAATCTGTTCCAACACCCGTTTGTCGAAGAGGTCTAGAACGAAGCGGCATGCTGGTAAACGGAAGTGATGTGCTTCAAGTATTTGCATCGTCTTTCGGAAGATAGAGGGTTTGCTGAATCCAGGGGCCTTTTTAGCTTTGATCCTGTTGCGACTGTTAGTTGTCATTCCGGTCCCGAATATATGCAGCACGAACGCTTGAAGATCGTTTGCGGCTCGTTTGGCAAGGACTGTATTGCCAAGGTCGGTTGCAAGTTTGAGGATGCGTGCGTTGATAGGGTCATTGTCAGTGATAGCTACTGTGACTTCGGTTTTTCGTTTCCAGCTGATGTCTTCAGATCTGGCAGCCCAGGGTTTGATCTGCGCCTGTTTAGTTTTGACTTTAATGCACGGGCTTCATCGCATACCTCGAAGAGCTTTCTGAAGTTCAGTGGTAGACAAAACCCTAGTGCTGCACCAGAGTCACTGACTACACCATCCCAACCATATTCGAGCAGGATCTCCTGCCCGTGCAAGCTCCTTGATATTAGCCCAAGAACGTAGAACGCGGTACCTCTTAGCGACATAACCTCGGAAGTCTCTGCTATCTGAACGATCCATTTCACTACATCAGAGTTTTCCAAAAATGGGGCACCAAGTTCCATTGAACCCACGTTGCCTACTGCCCACAGACATCCTTTCAACTTGAGGATTATTTCTGGGTCGTTCTCTTCCGTTACGAAGTCACGAATGGTGGCAGCAAACTCCTCAAAATGGCCTTTGTGCTTGAGAAGCTTACAGCCCTCCTTCGTTCGGGTAAGTTCTCGATAGAAGTGTGCTGGTACGAGGCCATATTCGGGCTGTTCTGAGGATTCGTCATATGACAAGAATGTCGATGGCTTTTCGGGAATATCGGCCAATGCTCGTGCCATGGTAGCCTCGATTTGAACCACGTAAGCATCGTTCCTCCCCAGAAACCAGTCATCCATCTCTCTCGTGATGTAGTCCAGTCCATCCAGATAGTGGTAGCCTACTGACGTCGACAGGAATCTCAATAACAAAGGTGCACCAATCTCGCCCAAGTGGTCCAACGCAGGACGGCACTTGACGACGAATTCCAACGACTCGGTTTCGTTGCATGCCGTTTCCAGAATTTTTATTGCAACCTCGCAAACCTCGACATCGGGATCATACAGCTGCGTGACGAGCAACTTGATAGCCCACTCTGCGACACCTTGTGGCCCTGACAGTTGCATTGGCTTTGTCGCATACTTATGCAGCAGGCCAGTAGCAAAAATGCGGACTTCTTTCGAACATGACGTCATGGCTTTCGATATGATGATACGTAGGTGCCCGTCGAGAGTGTAATCCAAATTGCTGAGCAGAGCCCGTATCAAGTCGTCGCGACCGTTGAGCTCAATGATGTGGTAGAACATGTTGATGACACGCCATCTTTCGAGAATATGGATGCCCCGTGAATCTTTACTCAATGCACCTAATAGGGCGAAATAGCTTCCGGTAAGAGTTTCACTCATGCGGTCAGCCTGAAAGAGAGGGGAGTCGGATGTGAGGCCGCTCATTCTATCGAAGTGCGAGAGACTTTCGGCCAGCTGTCGGATAAGCTTGCTCTCACTAAGGTATTTCGCGCCCTCCGGGTTCTGCAACAGGCTGGTCATAAGTGCACATCCTGCACGAACATATCGCTGATTTGGCTTCGTGTTCTTCACGTCGGCAAATCGGAACTTGAACGGGCGATAGAAGTTGAAAAGGCGATGTACGAATTTAGTGACCTTCAAAGCCTCATCAAGGCGTTTCGGATTCAGCAAAGGGCCATCAATAGCGGTTTGGATCAGATTCCAATTCCACTTCTGGAAGTTGCTCGTATTCAAAACTTGACTTTCGAGTATCAAAGTTCGGAATTGACCTTCATCCATCTGCATTGCGGCTTGGACTTTGGATGAATTTGTGGGTTGTTCGGTCGTTGTACTGTCAAGCGTAGTAGTACCTTTACCAGGATGAAGGGATGTCGCTCCTGATCGATATAGTGTACGATTGACGCTGTCCACCTGGTAGATAGTACCAATCGCAACGAATCGATTTTCTGAATCGAATTCAGCAGCTGACTTCAGCAATTGAGGGAGGACCTGGAGTTGGGCGCTCCACGATGATGGCAAAAGATCGTTCGCCAACTTCAAAACTTCACCGAGGAGTAAGGTCGTCTTGCGCTTCAACTGCAGCGTCAATGGGTCCTCCTCAGCACGTAGCAGGGCCGGTACCAACCCAGCATGCAGAAATGCTGCCAGAACCACAGAAACGTAATGGTCCAACAGACTCCATTTGTTGGTATGAGTTCCAGTTTTCGCATTGGAACCATCTTTCACGGGCTCGTTTCGCATATTCGTAACGCGACCATATGTTGTCAGACGTCGACCAGCAAGGAAAGAGGAAGACCAGGACGGCGATTTTATTCTAAAGAGATCGAAAAGGAGCTCCAGAATAATATTGCGTGTGTGGACAGTCGGTATTTGTAGCGATAGAAGTAAAGACCGAAGAGGAAGGAAGTCATTCCTACAGAGACATAGCAGCCCTGACCAGCTCCTGAGCAAAGACGCGATGACTTTGGCATTAGCTTTGAGCTTCTCTTCGTGTAAGTGGCCAAGTTGCGTGTTTCCATCGGTAAACATGGCAAACGGCGATTCCAATTCCCGACCTGAGCGTAGAAATTGTCGGCGTCTTGGTGTGTCTAGCAAATAGAGCAAGGAAGATCCAACGCTCTCAGCGGCGTGATAGCTACCTTCACCCAGGGCGTCTGTAAGCACACCAAGTCCACCAGCGTCAACCAAAAGTGAGGGTTTCCTAACGAGAATTTCCGCGAGGGTCAGAGTTGCAATGTTGCGAAGTCGGTCTTCGGTGTGTTCTGCTACCGCCACTATGATACGGACTACAGCACGCCCGATCTCTTCAACGCCATCCTTGACGTCCAGAAATGCCCGCACAAACTTTAGTGCTTGCTCGCGCTCGACGCTCGCTTTGCTTTCTTTGACGAGAGAAAGAATGACAAGATAGTCGGTCTGTAAGCCTCGGATTATTTGGAGGGATCTGCGGTCGGTAAAAGCATATCGCATGACCCGGTACGCGGCTGCTACAACTTCTCGACTATCGCTGAGGAGCATTGTCTGCATTCTTAGGCCGAATATGGACCAAGCCAAATCATACTTGAGTGTAGTATGCCGTTTGAGCAGAAGAACAAGAGAGTTTGCGCGCTCGACGTAATATTCGGGCTGCATGCCTTGCGTTTCCAATGCCTGGAGTATCTCTGCCAATACAAAGGTCGGCGACTCGGATTCTTCATCTTCTTCTTCTTGCTGTGTCGCAACGTGGCGTGATGGCGAACGCGAGAGGTTTCGACGGAATAAGAACGACAGTCGGCTCTGTGGATCGGCTGGGGGCGACTTTACTTCCTTGGCACGCTGAATCTCAGTTGCCAGGCCTGCCTTGAGCTGCGCAAGCTTCTTGTTCGATATGTTCAACTGCTCCTCGACCTGCGCTCTCTGATCTTTGACGTTCTTTGCACTCTTCGCGTTCAGAGCCTCCAACAGGTTCTCCGACCCAATCTTGATCTTCGTCTCTTTGTCAATCTGGTCCTGCAGGTCGGCGCGCCGCTGCTCGCTCGTGGTGTTGTCATTTTCGCCCACAGTAATGGCATGCATATCAATATCCGGGCGCAACCTGCTGTCCTGCGACATCGTAGGCTTCAACTGCGTGCTGAAGCTCCCAGGCCCGGAATTCGCAGTCGCATACGATGACTGACCCCCGCGCGAGGCTGCCATGACGCTGACAGCGGCGGCAGACATGGATCGGCCATCTCTGGTCCGTGTGGGCGCGAGCAGGGAGCCTTGGTCGGTCGAGGGCACGTCGGCCTGCGGGTTCACGGAGCGGACGGGTGGCGTCATTCAGAAGGGCAGAGACTTGTCAACCGCATCGCATACCGGTGTTATGGCGCCGCCCGCCTCTTCTCATGAGCCGTGGTGGTGAATATCAGCCAGTGCGTCCTGGGAGAGGTACTGTGTACAATCGAGCTCGAAGCGGGGTTGTGGCTGTGGGGCTGTGGCTGCCAGAAGGAGCGGCGCAGCACCTGAGAAGGCGTGTGGGGCTGGCAAGGGAGCGTGGAGAGGAATCGCTCAGAGAGTGAGTGCACTCAACCGGTGTCGAGTGCTTGCGGGTCCATTGAGACCCCAGCACCAAGGCGTGTTCGAAGCAACGGGCGGGGCCCGTGCAATTCAATCGTCTCCACACCCGCCGCGGCCTCCAAGTGTCGGCATCTGCGGCGCATCCATCCACCACAACACCATGCTGGCGTGATGCCGCACGGAGATGGGCCATCGCCTATTCCTCAAGCTCCAGACTTTTTCGTTTCGCCAGGCTCCACTGTCGGAGCTGCGCGTGAAAATGGTCACGTGTCCTTGTTATCCTGGTGGCTTCCACCTTACGCTGCATCGGAGCTCGCCGATGCGCTTCTCAACCAATGCGAGCGGACCTTCGCCGCCCTCTGTTGCTCATCCAAACCTTGTTGGTGATCCGTTCCTCTGAAAAGCAGTGTGCTCGCAGCTCGGCCGTCTCCGCTCGAAAGTGGTCCGATAAGCTTGCGTCTTCGGGTCTATATCTATCGTCACCACCCAGCTCTCGTACATCTTACCACCCATTCCTCAGTGCCAATTGACTCCAGGAGCTTTCCTTGTTTCGCAACTACACCGTGATCGCATACATACACCATCACCATGTCCCAACTTAGCTACGCCCGCTATGGCAAGGACAACGTCCGCCTCTACAAGGTTGATAAGGACCCTAAGACAGGGGTTCACACTGTCGTAGAGCAGACTGTTCGTATCCTGCTCGAGGGAGATATTGAGACCTCGTAAGTAACCCTAGCCCTTTTCACAGCTTAGGCGCTTATGTGAAATAGCTACACCAAGGCAGACAACTCGGTCGTTGTTGCAACAGACACCCAGAAGCAGACCACCTACATTCTCGCCAAGCAGAACCCCATCGATCCTCCCGAGCAGTTCGCCGCTGTGATTGGCAACCACTTTGTCAACACATACCCTCATATTCACGCTGCGCACGTCAAGATCATCCAACACCGATGGACTCGCATGGAGATCGACGGCAAGGCCCACCCACATTCGTTCTTCCGCGACGGTGACGAGGTTCGCGTTGTCGAATCAGTAACTAGGGAAGGACAGGGTTCTTCAATTCGCTCCAAGATCGAGAAGCTACTCGTGCTCAAGAGCACTGGCTCCGCTTTCCACGGCTTCCACCGCGACGAGTACACACGTTTGCCTGAGACCTGGGACCGCATTCTCAGCACAGAGATTGAGGCTGGCTGGCAGTGGAAGCTCTTCAAGACACTGGAGGAGGTCAAGGCTATCGATTTCAACGGTGCTTGGAAGGCGGCAAGGGACATCACAATGAAGATCTTCGCCGAGGACGACAGCGCCAGTGTTCAGGCCACCATGTACAAAATGGCCGACACTATCCTAGCCACTGTTCCCGAGATCGACGCCGTCGATTATGCTCTGCCAAACAAGCACTACTTCGAGATTGGTATGTTGTCCAAATCAGGGTCATATATCAGTACTGACATTTGCAGATCTCTCGTGGCACAAAGACATCAAGAACACTGGAAAAGACGCGACTGTTTTCGCTCCCCAGTCTGACCCCAACGGCTTGATCCATTGCACAGTCACTCGCAAGGGTACCAAGTCCAAGCTATGAACGACATGGCACCTTTCTCGATTCGGGTTCACTATTTAGCATCGGCGTTCTTTCTGTCTTCCAGGGGTCGTTCGTAAAGCGAGAGTAGAATATTATACCACATGGACTGAGTCCAGGGGACGAGTGAGAGTAGCAAACCAAGTTAGCATTAGGGCTTGTAATAAACAACTTATGCTTCTAGTCGCTCTCCGTGAATAAAACGACAGGAATCGTATTTGCGTGTCATTAACGATGCTCCGCAGTTGCCACGATAAGTCACTATCGATCACACTGGATCGCCCCCCTCAGCCACAAGACTGATGTTCTGCTGCGATTATTGGCCAGCTACTGACGCATTGATAGTGCTTTGCAGCTCGCATACTCAACGACCAATCCGTAACAGGCTACTCAGCCACCGCATAAACTACCTGAGATGTTGTACTGCAGCTTCCCGATAAGCCCTTCCTCCACTTTCTTACCACTCCCTAAGCATTAGGAATGCAGAAAGGTAACACGAAGCATATAGCCAGTCTCTAGAGTTGCTCGCGGCATGTCTTGTGTATCATTATCATCACAGCTCCGGATTCCGTGCACAAAGTCACCAATGTTTTGCCGCTAACGTCTAAATAGCCCACAGCTGGAACGGGTCGTCATTCCCAGAATTGGTGAATATCAGATAGTTGACGATGAGCAGTCTGGCAATAGACCTGTGAAAGCTGTCATAGAGCTTGGCATGATCCGCCTGCCATCAACTTGTCTATCAGTAACTTTGCTTGGTGCCCCGTTCATTTTGTCTTGGACGAATATAGTTCCTACACAGAGCGCATGCGTGTATGTGCTACGGTTAGCACTCAGACTCATCTTTTTGTTGTCATACGTCATGAGTCACAACGCTGCCTGCCATCAGGCAACGACGACGGGGAGTGTGTGTTTAAGGCCTCCAACGCTTCTACTCATGTCACGCTTTGATATATTTATAGCACTGTTACATCCCTACATCAATTCAATTCAAATCACTTCTACGAAACATGCCTGTCACCATTACTACAGCCATTCACGCGTCTCGTGTGTGGGATACGAGAAAGGCTGATACCGCTGCGGAGCTCCTCAAGACTGCCTCCCCCAAGGATGCCCAGCAGAGTCAACAGATCATTCAGAGCTCTTACTCTAAGGAGACGCTACAACAAACTCACACATCACCGTCTCGTAACGGACTCGTATATGCGGCGTACCACGCGTATAGCGCGCATCATCACTTGATTATTCGACCGGAAGACGTGTGGTTCGCCATCCTTTCTCAGCTGAACTTCTACATCAACGCGCATGCCGAGGAGCTGCGCGATCACTTCGTCGCACATAAAGGCCAGAAAAAGCTCGAGGTCTATGCCATCGGTAACATTCACACTGTTGACTTTGGCGCACTCGCAAGGCATATGACAAAGGAGATACAGGCCAACGTCAAGGACCCAGATCTGCAGGCTTGGATCATGCCAGACTTCAGCACCACTACTGAGAGTGACCGCGCAGTGGCTGCTGTACTGATGATGGGCGCTATGCAGAAGTACTTCTCGTATCGTATGAGCCTTATGTGTGGCATACCATCCGTTACGTTACTTGGCGAGCGTAGCGACTGGGAAAACATACTCGAAAAACTGAACAAACTATCCGAGTTCGGCGACGAGCCCACTACTTTCGCTGAGCTTCTGCGCCCAATCCTCCGCAATTTCATTGCCACTTTCGACGCTCAACCTGAGCCAAGTGCAGACGTACTCGACTTCTGGTCTAAGATTGCCGATAGGCGCTCGGGTGGCAGCGGTCCCAGCTACATGTCAGGCTGGATCACGGCTTTCTGCATGTGGGACGAAGACGGGAAGCTATTACGCCACACCAGACCCTCGGATTATGGCCTCGATCTCGAGGACACCAGGTATCATCAAGTCGATATCTCAAAGATCCCAAGTGGATTCGCCTCGGTTCCAGTGACGGTTGATGATAACGGGCAGGTGTATCACACAAAGATGATCGCTGGCTCCTTTGGCATCCAGGCCACAAGCAGCGGCCAGAAGACAGACTCCGGCAGAGAGCATGCCAGAGCGTGGAACAGAGATTACAAGCCAGCTCAGGGAACAGAAGAACCGGGTCTGGACTCAGTACAGCCATCCAGTGGATGGATCATGTATGCGGTAGCTGAGTAAACCGCAGAGACTTTATGGCTGATGTGCAAAGGTGTACATACAGTGTCTTTTAGTTCATCGTTCGAATCACTTGGTGTCAAAAAAGTTATGCAGCGTCTGTTACAAATGCTAATCAATCCTCTCCCAAGATTTAGACTGATTGACTGGATGGCTGAACAAAACTTGCGTCTATTAATAGCACAAGTACCGCCTTCCGAAGGACATAGTAGACGTGTGGATTTGGTTATGGGAGCTCATTCAGAAATGAAGATTGTGGTGCCGATGTCGAACACCAATTTTAGCACACGTATAACAAACACAGTCCGACAACGATTGAATAGTAATGTCTTTCTTCTATCTGTACTAATCTGAGTGTACTCTGAACGAGCCCTCAAGTGAGCCTAATATCATGCCCACGTCAGCGGCTACCAGCCACTATATACAAGTTACTTGTTCGTTGCGAACGCCGGCAATAGCCCGTCGCGAATACTACTAAGAAAAAAACCTTCCCGGTAAATGTGACCGAAGAAAATTGGAAAAAAGCTCATGACACGACGTAGAAGCGCCATAACTTTCTGGAACGCCCATGAAATATGCAAACGCAAAAGAAAAACACAAAGTAGATGGCCAGACCCAATGTAGATGCATAACAACGCTCAAACGCACGACAAACTTCAGCTAATCACATTCTCCTCACTTGAACATCCACTGGCAGTGACACGAATCCGAGGGGTCACCGCGGCGCTCGACGTCACGCTTGTTCTGCACGGAAGCCAGGTTGTACTCGTCGTAAGTCGGATCCTGCTCCTGCAGCCACAGCGCGACAGCCGGGTCGTTGCCATTCGGTGCCGGCGCTATTCTGCCGTTGTCGAGCAGGACCATGCGTTGGCAGTATGGCTGTGGCGAGTCAGGCAGGCGGCGCTCTTCGATCTTGACGACGCGTGGGTACGGTGGGATACGTGACGAGGAGGCCGCTGCATCTGCGATGGCATCGCGGCGCGCAACAGTGGGTGTTGGTATGACCTCGGCGGCTGCCGTCGGAAATGTCGCAGCCGTACTTGGTGCTTGGGTTGCGCCTGCGACGGCTGCGACGTCCGTGACTGTGGAGGTAGGGGAGTTCGTGGGCCACATTGTGGGCAGGGCGGTAAAAGTCGCAGCCGTAGAGTTGTCTTCAGCGTAGATGTAGCCTTCGATGTAAGTGTTGTTCCAGTAGCAATACCAGGGATAGTCTCCAGGCTGAACGGTGAATCTTTGACGTGAAGACATGTTGTCGCCAATTTGTCGCTTCTTCAACGCTGAACCAGCGGTGAGCTCTTCGGGCCTCAATATGACAACCTTATCATATCTGGTGTGAAAATGGTAAGCTGGACCGTAGCTCTTGTAGTCAAGATCCAGTACGAGATCCATGGCTTGAAGATCGAGCTGTGGTGTTTGTGCCCCGTACTGTATGACGCCATCGAGCGAGGCACCTCCTCGTGTGGAGGCCCTTTGCTGTGTGTTCCCATTGGAGTCAATGCCTGTGCTGTTGATAGTGAGGATAACCGGCGCAAAAGTCATCTTGCAAGACCACGCTGAGTACTCATTGGCCTGTACAAGGCAGCCTGGATTAGCTTCTTGTGGAAATCCGAGTGGAAGCGAGAATGCGCCGGTTGGAAGTGATGCAAATCCAGCAGGCGTTGAAATAGGTGTGGCACCAAAGAGAGAGCCACTTGGTCCCGTGACCTGAGGAAGCCTGTCGATGTTAGTTTTACATCATTACAAGGGCAGGGGGAACATACGGTGACCCTTCCGGCTTACCATGCCCCTTATCATTGTCGTCGTCATTATTGTTCTGCTTCTTTGCAGCGAAAGTTCCAATTGCGGCCCCGAGAGCAACAGCAAAGATGAGCAACAGCACAAGAATTATGACGACAACCCCCATTGGGACCTTTCCAAATAACCTCTTCTTACGCCAACTGATCTTTTTGGACACGGGCTCCCCTTTCTCGTTGTATTTCTCGTTGAACTCGCCGGACTCGGCTGTCAATAGAGAAGCCGAAGACGAATCAGATGGTGCAGCCGGAATAGTATTGGCCGAGGAGATGGGAGCCAAGTTGCCTGTCTGGGTCTCTGGTCTCTGGGGTGGGAGACGAGCGGGTGTAATGACAGGTAGTAACGGTTCGGCGGCGGCGGCGGCCGGCAGGGCATGCAATGAAAATGACGCTTCGCTGGCCGGCGATACTGGCGATGCTGGCGCACTGAAGGGATCCTCAACTTCCATGGCAACGTTCAATGGCGCGGGAACGACACGCGATGCGCTCGCCTCGGCAGCCATGGAAGCCTTCGTAGGGCCTTCATCTGGATATCGGGAGTAGGGTGGTAGCTGCTCGGTATGACCATCTGGCCCAATAATATCTTGCTCTTCGCCGTCTGGTCCTAGGACTCGGTGGTAGCCATTACTTAACCCTGGGAAGCCCACAGGCATAGCTGTCTGGATCGGAGGAACGGCGGGCTGGTCGGCGTGCATAGGCCGGTCCGGCGTCTCATCGTCCAAGCCGCTCTGCGAGTACATGGCATATGGGTGCGCTGGGCGCTGAACGGACATTGGCCGGTCCGGTCTCCCCGTGGAAGCCGATGCTATGCTGCTCGAGCGGTCCATGGTGTGCTGAGGGTACATGCCGTAGGGGTGGCTGGGTCCGGTCTCGAAGGGATTCTCTGACATGCTGGTGGTCGCGAAGGAGGCTGTCGAGCTGACAGAATCGCGATGGTGCAGCGGTGACTGGGTGACGGGCGGCCGATTGCTCAGACCGGCAGGACGGCCATCCTGCACCAGGGAATTGCGCACCTTGGCGGTGCTATTCCTCGTGGCAGTGCGTCGCAGGTCGCTGCCTGGCGCCTTTGACGTCGAGTACTGCCGCTGCGGCGCGCTGTCGCGGTCGCGGTCACGGTCGCTATCCTGCGGGAGGCCAGTTCGCGGCTCCTCGGCATTGGCGTGTGTCTGGCGGAAGCCGAGGCCGTCCGAGACCATAAAGTCGTTCTCGTCGAAGTCGATTTCATACTCGTCGTCGAAGACATCGTGCACGCTCTCTCGGTGCGAGAGCGTGCTCTCGTGGCTATTGCGTCGCTGCATCGCACGGTGCGGTCCCTTAGGCCCACAGAGGCCCTATCTCCCCCTTCAAGCCTCGATATGGCGTCGCGAGATGGTCCACGTGATGTGTGTCAACTGGGTGCGCGCGCCCAGAAGCGGCTGTGGGCGGTGGGGGCGAGGTGGGCAGCGATGTCGGTGGTCGTGAATGGCGTCGTGGTGTTGGTGGTCGCCGGTGGACCGCTTTCTGAACAGCCTTGATTGAGCCTGAGACGCCAAGTTCCAAAGCAGAGCAGCGCTAGGAGCACTACCTTGCTTTCGTTTCAGTGCCGTGACCCACTCGCCTGCCGTGGCTCTGGGAACCAGCGACGCCCCATCTCTACCAGTGCGCAATCTGCTGTCCTCGATTCTGTCCTCTCGAGCGTCGCATGGTCGCAGCCTCATCAATCTGTGGCACGATTCCATGCACGGGTAGATGCAGGACTGCGACCGCGACCGCGCCTGCGACCGAGTCTGTGCGCGCCGACATTCCTTGCCGTATGGGGCCACACTTACGTTCACTCCGATTTTCTCTCCAACCTGTTCGCTGCCTTGGCCCTGTTCGGTAATGGCCTAAGGCGATGACATCTTGCCCCGACCTGCCGCGACAAATTTTCGTCGAGCCCCATCTGATAAAGATTTCATATCAGATCGAAACGGTGGATACTCCGAGCTCCGGCCGAGCTAGTTTGGTCACAGCCAATCGAGCCATACAGCATACAGTGCATGGCACCATCAGATCCATCAGATCCAGCATGCATGTCATACCTACTTATGTATGCCCCTCTGAAAGCAACAATATAGGTACTGCTGCAGCTCTGAGGTATGGGTGCATTTTACAAGCACTGAGTGAAGTTTGGAGGTACATACTGGTCGCTAGGCAGTAATGATCCATGCAGACGCGAGGCGAGAACATGTGAAGCATGTGTTGCGCAGGCCTTGTCTATCCGTCATACTATGACTACAGGCTTGACCGGGAAAGTAACTGCTCCGACGCATCAGGCCTCCATGCATACGTCTTCGCAGAGTTCATGCAACCTTAGTCGTGCCGCTCGATTGACAGCTGCATCCTGCGGATGCTCAAGCCTCAACTTTATATCCGTATGACATCACGCTTGCAGCTTATATGGCACGACGTGTCGGTTCCCGCCGTCCGTAGGTGTTTTGTATCCATAATAACTGTTGGTAGCATATTGCTTTAGGGATAGCTGTTTGCAAGCCTAGGCGTATTAGAGACAAAGTCGGCAACAAACAAACAAGCAATGGCGAGCGGATCGGCAAAAGGCCCGTGGAGACTATCATAGAAACTATCACAGAGACTATAGTCCGCTCGCCATCAAACACTTGTTCGTTGCTAGATCTGCTCTGCACACAAAGGACGACCGCTTGAGTCGGCAATCACTGCTGAACGGGAGTGGCTGTGCTGGTGGGGAGTCCGGATAGAGGATGCACATAGCATTGCAACGTGCACAAAGCATTTCATTTTTGTAAGCACATAGATAAGTAAAGCTGGTGCCTGATTTATAGCAAGAGCCGCTCGCCATTACACAAAACACCCCTTGCCCTTCGGTGCATTTTGTGGAAATCGGTGCATTCTGTGCATTTCTGTGCATGTGCTGCTAGTCGTTTTGGTGAGCTACGAAGAGCTGCGGCTTGCCGTTACGTATTGCCGCGCAAGTCTGAAGGCTGTGTTCTGGCAGCCGCAAGTCTCAGGATGCCGGCGTCGTGGTGTTCCACGATTGCTAGAGTCGAGCATGAGCCCATCCACTCGTGTTGCGGACGCTAGACCTTCGACCCTGCATGCCAAGACGAACTTGATTGGAGGTATTGGACCGTTCCTGGCACACCCGATTGCGTTTGCAAGAACCAGGTACAGCGCCACAGTTCTTTGATTCGCCGTGGCCAAACATTGTGACGAACAGAAGTGTTTTATGCACGCTGGCAGAAATTTGTGACCGTCTTGAAGTTGCAGTTGCACCGTGACCTGGGACCCTGGTTACGGCTATGATAATCGTGAATTTGCCGCGGACCCAAAAGTACACCATCGGAAGGGAAATTGGCGTTGTTGAGTTGCCAGTATTGGCCCGCTATCTTACCGCCTTTGCTATTGTCCCTCGCGCATACTCCTTTCTGTCAAAATACTTAAGCGGTGAAGACCGCCCCTCCATCTCCCTGAGCAACTTGCCCTCTCCTTCCACCACAACCTCACAACCTTACCAAACATGGCTTCCCGTCCCCAGAACATCGGCATCAAGGCCATTGAGCTGTACTTCCCCAGCCAGGCAAGTTCACCCGAGCAGCGAGGGCGCGCCGTGTCTTGCGCCTGTGGTACTCTTCGCGTCAACACAACTAACAGTCCCATGTGCAGTGCGTCGACCAGACCGAACTCGAGAAGTTCGATGGTATTGCCGCGGGCAAGTACACTATTGGTCTGGGCCAGACCAAGATGTCCTTCTGCGACGACCGCGAGGGTGAGTGCATTTCGAGAGACTCTCAGGCGTCTGAACCTGTGCAGGAGAAAACTAATACTTCGCTGCGCAGACATCTACTCCTTCGCCCTGACCACCGTTTCTTCTTTGTTCAAGAAGTACAACATCGACCCCAAGTCCATCGGTCGCCTCGAAGTCGGCACTGAGACCCTCCTCGACAAGTCCAAATCGGTCAAGTCCGTTCTCATGCAGTTGTTCGACGAGAGCGGCAACCACAACGTTGAGGGTGTTGACACAGTGAACGCATGCTACGGCGGCACCAACGCTCTGTTCAACTCTGTCAACTGGATCGAGTCTTCTGCTTGGGATGGCCGTGACGCCATTGTCGTTGCTGGCGACATCGCGCTGTACGCCAAGGGCAATGCCCGTCCCACTGGTGGTGCTGGCTGCGTTGCCATGCTCATCGGCCCCAACGCTCCCATTGTTATGGAGCCCGGCAAGCGAGGCTCATACGTCAGGCACGTATACGACTTCTACAAGCCCGACCTGACGAGCGAGTACCCTGTTGTCGACGGTCACTTCTCTGTCAAGTGCTACACTGAAGCCGTGGATGCCTGCTACAAGGCCTACAACGAGCGCGAGGCAACACTGAAGTCTCTACAGAACGGTAACGGCGTCAACGGTCACTCTGAGGAGCAAGAGACCCCTCTCGACCGTTTCGACTACATGGCTTTCCACGCACCCACCTGCAAGCTCGTCTCCAAGTCGTACGCGCGTCTCCTGTACAATGATTACCTGCAGAACCCCTCCAACCCCATCTTTGCTGAGGTTCCTGCTGAGATGAAGGATATTCCTTATGAGGCCTCCGTCTCCGACAGGAACATCGAGAAGACTTTCATGGCTCTCGCTAAGAAGCGCTTCGCTGCCCGCGTCCAGCCCAGCATTCAGCTCCCCACCATGTGCGGAAACATGTACTGCGGCAGTGTCTACGCCAGCTTGTGCAGCTTGCTGTCGAACGTTGACAGCCAGACCGCACAGGGCAAGCGTATTGCTCTGTTCAGTTACGGAAGTGGTCTTGCATCTTCTTTGTTCTCCTTCACTATCAAGGGCAGCTACGAGCAGATTGCCAAGTCACTCGACGTTCAGAACCGCCTGGATGCCAGGCGCGTTGTTGCCCCTGAGACCTACGATGCCGTAAGCTTCTATTCCAAATCCGCGTTGCAAATTTTGCATACACAAGACTGACCTCATACCAGATGTGCGACCTCCGCAAGCAGGCTCACCTTCAGAAGAGTTACACCCCCAAGGGCGAAGTTGAACACATTCTGCCTGGCACTTACTATCTCGCCAACGTCGACGACATGTTCCGCCGCACCTACGAGATCAAGCAGTAGATACCCCAAGATCTCTCACCTTTACTCATTTCTTTGCTGCATTCTGGGCATTTGCAGGAGTCATTTGCATGAATCGGCATAGACTCTGGTCAGGGCAGCATCATCTTTTCAGGCGTCCAGAAGAATATCTGGGATTTATAGACCGTAAAGACCTGTCAAACCCCGACTAATTTGAGACTGCTTTACGATCGTTACGACGGATGGAATGGATTCAATTGGCAGGAAACGACAGACATGGTTGTCGATGTCTCATGACAGTTCAAAAGAGCTTAGCCATTTTAATATACACTTCTCGCGAAGTTTTGTTGTAGAAAGCTGAATACAAAGATACTTACATGGACTAATTTGACACCATCGTAACGTCGTGAAGGTCTGCAGCCCTCTCTAATTCTTTAGACAGACGACCATCACTTTGATATAATTACATGCAAATATGCAGCCTGTAGAAGTTGAGAAGTTCACCTTTCGAATCACCAAACGCCGAGAGGACCAGAAGTGTTGGCCAGTATGCTCCATGTATCCCACAACGCCCTTTTATATTGAACGATCAACTCAAACAAGTGTGCCGTCTGGCTCGCCGGGTAGGCGCTTCACGCGCCTCTGTTCCCAGTCTTCGAGATCCTTTGCTTGTAGTCGCTGCAAGCTTGTCAGCATTCGTCGTAGTCATCCGCCGTTTCCTTGCAGGCGTGAACAGGTCCTTGGATCGTTAGAAGTTGCAACAGCCCACTCACATAGTATTCGTCTTTCATATTGACCTTCCTGCGATTCTGACCCAGGCCCATCGCTTCCTCTTGACTTATTTGCTGGTTTTTGCGATCATATCTCTCATAGCGCAGCGCAGTGGCCGGTGTGAGTAAGAAAGAGCCGGCGACTATTGTTGCCAGGAAGGGGAGGCCGAAGAGTGCAAACGGGTGCTTTTGAAGCGCTTTGCGGTATTTGGCGGCGAGCGAATTGGGGAGCGTGGAGCGGAAGGATTTCGAGGAAAACTGCATCGTGGTAGCAAGCCCTCCTGGGCTGTGGCCGAGTGACTCGTGAGAGATTTATGTGTGCGCTGAGTGCCTCAGAGGCGACTTCTACCTTCAAGCTACCTAGGTATAGCTGATGGGCTGACCTTGACGATCGGACACTGGAACCGCTGTAAGTGGAGTGGAGCAGTAAGCGTGCTTGGCAACGTCACGGGACAACGCGAAAGTTGTCTGACGCGTCTGAACGTCGATCGCTGCAGTCATCAGTAACCAACTTTCTAGGCGTCTCCTGTGCCAGATAACCGCCAAATCTAAAAACGGACCACCGCACGTAACAGATCTCGCCCAAGTGAGATCTCTTGTCTGGGAACACCACTGGCACTTCAACACATTCGAGCTCAGTCAACGCCCCACTTCTTACTTGGACGCTCCACACACGACTCCAATCTCTCGACATCGAACATGACCCACAGGTAAACATCAAAATGGCCCGCAAAGGCGGGGGCTCGACCCAACGTAGGGCACCACCTCCGGCTCCAACAAATGTTTCGTTAAATGTCAATACAAACGGGGTTCCTCCACCTTCAACGATTGCCGCTCAAATCGTGCACAATGCAGCCAACCCCAACTCAAGACAAGACGCCGCCGCAAAGGTCACATTCGGCGAGCTTCTTAAAGAGTTTCTCCAGCACCCAAGTACAGATGAGCCGGATGTTCAGCTCGTTGCTTTCATCTGCGTTGTCGCAGAGGCTGGCCTAGACGGCTTGTTCAAGGAAGACCCTTTTGCCCAGGATGAGCAAAGAGAACAAGGTATTCGCAGCATTACAGCAATTCTATACTTGCTTAACCAGAAACCACATCTTCTTTTTAGCGCAAAAGATGGTGAGGACGACGGAACCCCCCGACCGCCGGTTGTCTTGTGGCTGTTTCCAAAGCTTATTGGCTTACTGACACGCGCGACTCTACATTGGATCCACTCGCATGTTCAGGAGATGCTCGATTTCAGTCTTACTGTTCTCACTAAATCAACGACCTACTCTCGCCAGGTTGCTACTTTGATGCAGCTGTATAAATCCAGCGTCGCTTGTAAGTCTCGATTCTTACTAACAGAACATTCACTGATAGACTCAAGGCATCCGAGATGAGTTGAAAGCAACAAACGAACCTGTAACAGCGCAAGCTGCGTCTTTCCGCGTCGCGGTTCCCTCCATGAGCAGCCTCAACGACTTCTGGCCAGAAAGCGAGCAGCTGATTGCTGTTCCTCACAACCTCCAAAGAACGATATCTTCACCTATCGCAGCTATTTATGTTGGTCTTAACATCCTTGTGACGCTTTGCAATTCAGTACGGCGGGGGCATTGCAATCTATTCGAGCAACAGTACTCATGGATCTTGGATACTTGTGACGAGCTATGGCACTACTTTCGACGTTGGACTATTGAGTTGACAATGCGACCATTACACGATGAGACAGTCGCTCTATATGTGGAGCTTCTTGGGTCTTTTGTTGTCCCTGACCTTGAGCACAAAGGTTACCCTTTGAGTCTGAGAAAGACTGCATTGACCACGATCAGCAGTATCGCTTCTTTAGTCGAAACTCTCAACACTTTGCCAATGTCAGACAAGAACCAGATACAGCTTGCGCTGGTGGTGACACGGCTGTGGCATTTTACACAGGTCAAGGCGCCTAAGAGAAGTGTGCTCGATCGGCAGCGTCAGCCTTCGAGAGTGTTTGATACAGACATAATGAAGCAGAGTGTAAGGAAGACCTGTGGGAACACACAAGTACTGTCCGGGTTACAAAAGGACTTACAGGTATGCGCAACATGACACTGTTCAGCATTTACCATTAACGTACACTAGCTCTCGTTATGTCTTTGGACTATAGAGGAAACGTGGCCTGAGAATACCAGAAGCTTACACGAAGAGCTTTGCTCAAATGGAGCAGCGAGTTTTGCATCCGCCCAAATCGCGGAAGATGCGACAAAGTGTGTTCAGGTTTTTCGAAACTTGAACCTGGACGAGGACAGGCCAGCAAAGCGACGAAAGATATTGCACGAATCATCAGAAAGCGCCAATACTTCGACTTATCGCAATCTCACAATGTTTCTCAACGGCAGCTCGCAAGATGCCCCAATATTCAGCCTCTCGAAACTCCACACCATCGTACAGTACGTTTTTCATACATTCCGGAGGCACTCTAGCTTACGCGTTCAGAGCGACATACTCCTCATTACCAGATAATCCCAAGCAGAACGAGATCGCACAGCAGCAAGTCCTGCTTGCCCTGGGCAAGATCGCTTGTGCAGGCTCGCAGTGTCTGCAAACGAGCAGGAACGGCTCACAGCATTGGGAAGAGCTTAACTGCAAGCTCTGCGACGAACCAACCCCGAACGGTAGGAGTCAAGGAGTTTACTGGAACAGGGGCGACGAAGGTGAGGATTGGAAAGAAGTCGTGGCCGCTCTCCTCACAATCACAAAAGAGACCAAGTTCCAGACTTCGACACGACCTCGAGTACTCATGGCAGTTACTATAGGTCGGGTCTTCAACCATATTTCAGACGCCGACTATCTCAATCTAGAAACTTGCGAGCTCGGTCAGTGGTTGATTACGTGCATAAGTAGGTCCTTAAGGGAGCTGAAAATTGCGGCCACACATGCACTCATGGTGTTCCTGCGAAGCGACATCGCGAGTCGCGTCCGTCAAAAGAACCGGACTTCAGTTGTTGAGTTCTTCGATGCACTTGTGCAACGTGGACTGCTTGCCGACCAAGAAACTCTGATTCTAGCATATGGCCAGATAGCTCGTGTGTGTGGTGAACTCGAACTCCCGATCATTTTACATCGGTTAGTCGAGTATCTTGGGCATTCAAATGCTCTCATATGCGGCATGGCGTACAGGGAGCTTGACGCTCTTGCTGAACCTCACGAGCCTGTGGCCTTATTCAAGCCCTACTGGAGGATACTCGCATTTTCTGTTATTAAAGACATTGTCAGCAAACCTCAGAAGGCACAACAGCTCGCTGATCTCACAGAGCAATCTGTGCGCCAGCTGCTTGTACTGACCCAATCATACACTCTACCACACTTGGTATTAACGAAGAGGAGGGATGTCATTGAGAAAATTGCTCAGGCTCGCAAAGTCTCTGTAGCGGAAGTTTTGACTCAACCAAGAACTAACCTCGCAAAGATCCTTGCTTTGTTACTTTCGCAGTCAGTGCCAGACACAGAGTCGTTCGCTATGGAGACATTGGCCGAAGTCGAGCCAGCCATGCGAGAGGGTAGCAACGACAAACTCGAGACCCTGGTCGCGTTAGATATAACAGGCGTAGCCATCGAGATTCTTCTGTTATCTGCGGAACGGGACGAGCCAAAGAAAGCACCGGTATGTATTTACGCTGCATTCAGCGTTATCACTACACTTGCATCGACTAACATGCAAAGTATCATCGTGCATTCAGTACACTCGCTCGCCTTGCAGATAGCAAACATGGGCAACGAAGATCCTCATCTAAGACTAAGAGCTTAGATGAGTTTTGCGAGACCCATATTCTCGGCATCATCGCATACTTTTCAGACATCGTCGAGAGCCCACTGACTCAAGGCAAGACCGCGCCACATCCGCTGCCAGAACGCAAAAGATGTATAGCAGCCATCGGAGATTTCATAGCTCTCGCTCGTTACAGTGTCAACGGTGCATTGCCACAGGTAAGCTATCGAAGGTTTAGAAAATGCATCGTTTAACATGATGCAGATTCGCGCATGTCTACAATCTGCAATGGCAGACCCGGACCTCTGCAATGATGCATTTTCAGTCTGGGTAGCCTTTCTTGGCGCTCTTGACATGGACGACACGATGCTTGTAGTCGATCAGACATTCGCACTGGTTGTGGAACATTGGAACATTTTTTCAGAAGAGACGCAGCTTCTGGCAAGCAAAACTATCGTAGCTCTGACGCAAGAGTATGACGAAGACCTTCGGGCGCGAATCGAGTATCTTCCATCGCTGGGAACGATCCCAATGTTATCGAAGACCGAAGGCGAATTGGCTCGCTTCAAATCACACGTGGAAACCGTCAAGATCTTTCAAGCGTTCAGCGTCAGGTGCAAAGATCAAAATGCGGTGGTCGTACGTCAGGCTCTTCGAGAGCTTGGGCCGTATCTTGATATCAACCAGCAGCATTTGCATCAGGCAATTGTGGGCCAGAAGCCACTGCCTGTATTGGCAGGGCTTACTCGATCACTCCTGGATGCCAGCATACGATTCTCAGATAATCACCCAGACATTGCCACATTGTGCGCACAATGTTTAGGTACCATTGGCGGTCTCGACCCGTACCGAGTCGAAACAGTACGTGAAAAGAGGCGCGTCCTCATGTTATCGAATTTCTCACGACGGGACGAGGACATCGACTTTGTAGCTCTTCTACTGGAACAAGTGCTTGTCAAGGTTTTTCTTTCAACTACGAACGCCACTTCACAAGGATGGATAGCATATGTGATGCAGGAGATGCTCAAGCATTGTGGCTTCAGCGCCCTAGCGGTCGCAAAGCCTCGTTCTTCACAGATCAGTACGGAAGTCCAGAGATGGAACACTATCCCTGAGTCTACGAGGAATGTCTTGACTCCTTTCCTCAGCTCGAGATACTCTGTCAACCGTAACCCCGCCTTGAACTACAAATCTCCTGCATATCCGATCTTCGATGGCAACACTAGTCATGGCACCTGGCTTCAAACTTTTGTGTACGACCTGTTGCAGAAGGGGCAGGGCGTCAACGTGGAAATGGTGTTCCCAGTACTGGCCAGGGTTATTAGAGGCTTCGATCTTTCGATCGCTACATTCATACTACCTTTTGCTGCTTTGAATGTCATCGTGTCGGACGACGAGCAAAACATGACACACGTAGGGACAGAGCTGATGGCGGTATTGCGTTACGATATCCAACCTACCGTTCAAAACGATGCTGTGCTAGTCAAGCAATGCAGCGAGGTAAGTCGCACGTACCGCCGAGTGTTACTTTGCTGACAGATCTACTCAGAATGTTTTCCAAGTTCTGGACTATCTCTCGCTGTGGCTACAAGAGAAGAAGAAATCTGTCGCCGATGCCAGGATTATGGCGGGCAAGACTGGCAGAGGTGTCTCAGAAGAGGAAGAAATGAACGCAATCAAACAAATCAGTCGCGTAGAGGGCATCCTTCAGCAAATTCCAGCCGAAGTGATTTCTCGCCGTGCAGTTGAGTGTGGTTCATACGCCCGAGCTCTATTTCACTGGGAACAATATTATCGTCAACAGCAGCAGCTCAAGACCGACACAAGTCAGGTCTTTGAGAAAGACGACCTTTTGGAACACCTACAATCCATCTACGCACAGATTGATGAACCTGACAGTATAGAAGGTATCACAGCTCACCTGAAAGTTCTCAACCCCGAGCAACAGATTATGGAGGACCGCAAGGCTGGTCGATGGACCGCAGCTCAGAGCTGGTACGAGATATCGTTGGCTGAGAAGCCGGACGACGTGGACACCCGAATTAATCTTCTGACATGCCTGAAAGAGTCGGGCCAGTATGGTAAGTTTCTTCAAGACATTTGCATGTCAAGTTTGACCCGTTCTAGACGCCATTCTGAACTATGTCGATGGGTTTCACGCATCCGATTCGACAGTCTCAGCGAGCACACTTCCTTTTGCCGCTGAAGCTGCTTGGTCGGTTGGCAAATGGACTCAGCTAGAGCGCATTCTTGGTGCCTCATCTGACAAAGTCGTTGGTGTAACCATGAATTTCAATGTAGGCGTTGGAAAAGCTTTGCTTGCACTGTACCAGACAGATGAAGCACAGTTCAGAACCATCATCGCTGGTCTTCGCGGGACTTTGTCGCAAAGCCTATCTCCGTCAAACACGAACTCTCTACAAGCATGTCACGATACACTGGTGAAATTGCACGCTCTGTACGAGATAGAATCTATCAGTGGCGTCATGACCTCTACCACACCAGAACGCGAGGCCATTCTCGAAAACTTGGATCGTCGACTAGATGTTGTCGGCGCCTACACTTCTGACAAGCAGTACCTTCTAGGTATCCGTCGTGCAACCATGCTGGTTTCTAAGTAGGTCATAAGCACACGCCGAGTTCACCATAGCTGACAGAACTAGGATCGATTTCAGCGACCTAGACATTGCTTCCGCCTGGCTGACTACAGGGCGACTTGCTCGCAAGGGTGGCTTCATGACGACCGCATTCAATTCTGTCATCCATGCCGAACAGCTGGGAGATAGTGCATCGAAGATCGAGTATTCGAAACTCTTGTGGAAAGAAGGCCACCATCGAAAGGCAATTGCAAACCTGAGGGGCGCTATCAATAGTAACGTCTTTGGTAAAAGCGACAATTTGCCGGTGACCATATCTATAACCGGAGATTGGCGTGGATCGGAGAACGTAAGTAAGGTCAAAAGTCATGCTCAACTCCTCTTAGCCAAGTGGCTCGACCGCGCTGGGCAAACAAAGTCTACGTCCTTGAAGGACGCGTACGCAACGGGCGTCATGTCATATCCAAAGTGGGACAAAGGCCACTATTACCTGGGACGATACTACCTGAAGTTATTGGAATCCGAGAAGAAACTGCCAGTCACGAAGCAAAGTCAGGAATACCTTGCTGGAAGCCTTATCAAGCTTGTCATTGAGAACTTCACGCGCTCTACTGTATACGGCACAAAATACTACTACCAGACCCTGCCGAAGATCCTCACCCTCTGGCTAGACTTGGGAACAGAGGTCATGAACGTGGTGCCACGTTCGGCACGGGATAAGGAGTTCCATGACCACAAAGTCACCTATCTGGACCACATCAATAAATACCTCAAACGATATGCCAGCGAGCGTATGCCTGCTTACACATGGTATACTGCCTTCCCGCAAATCATTACACGTATCAGTCATCCAAACAAAAATGTTTGGGAATCGTTACAGTCTATCATCATCCGCGTCGCAGCAGCGTATCCACAACAGACGCTATGGAGCTTACTGGCAGTGCTTCATTCGACGCAAGACGATCGTCGAGCGCGAGGTACTGCTGTACTGCAGAAGTTACGCGACACATCGAAGCGCAAGAACGGATCGTTGGACCTAAAGAATGTGATCGTGCAAGGACAACGCTTGACGGATGCGCTGTTGATTGCATGTGACGCCCCGGTCGAGCAACGAGTCTCCCACGTCAGTCTTTCGAAGGATCTGGGTTTCAGTCACAAGCTTGCACCCAGCCAATTGGTCGTGCCGATTGAAGCAAACATGTTGCCGAATCTCCCAGCAGGAAACGACAGCAAGACGATACGTCTTCACAACCCATTCCCACAGGATGCTGTAACCATCAATGCGTTTATGGACGATGTCCTGGTGCTCTCCTCGCTGCAACGTCCACGGAAAATCAATGTGCGAGGCTCAGATGGTCGATCCTACGGTCTCCTGTGCAAACCCAAAGATGATCTGCGCAAAGACCAGCGTTTGATGGAATTCAATGCTATGATCAACCGTGCGTTACAGAAGGACATCGAGTCTAGCAAGCGTCGCCTGTACATCAAGACGTATGCGGTGACACCCTTAAATGAAGAGTGTGGAGCCATCGAGTGGGTCGAAGGCCTCAAACCTATGCGCGATATCATCATCCGATCATATCGCCAGCACAATGTAACAATCGACTATTCAGAGATCCGTGTACTGCTCAACGAAGCCTCATCTTCACCGTCAAAGGTGCCGATCTTCACAAAGAAGATACTAGGCAAATTCCAGCCTGTGCTTCACGAATGGTTCGTCGAGACTTTCCCAGAGCCAGAAGCTTGGTTAACGGCGCGACTGCGTTACACACGCTCTTGCGCAGTCATGAGTATCGTTGGCCATGTACTGGGGCTGGGCGATCGACACGGCGAGAATGTGTTATTGGAGCAAGGCGACGGTGGCACCTTCCACGTAGACTTCAACTGCCTGTTCGACAAAGGTCTGACGTTCGAGAAGCCTGAGCTCGTACCTTTTCGTCTCACGCACAACATGGTGGATGCGATGGGTCCGCAAGGGGTCGAAGGTCCTTTCCGCAAGGCGGCCGAGCTGGTGTACAGCCTCCTACGGCAGCACGAAGACAGCCTGATCACGATTCTTGAGACATTTGTGCACGACCCAACGGCCGACTTCTTGGGTACAAAGAGGAGGAAGAAGATTGCAGGAGTTCCAGATACACCGCAGGAGGTGCTGGACAGCGTACGAACAAAGGTGAACGGGTATCTGAAGGGGGAGTCGGTGCCATTGAGCGTGGAAGGATACGTGGATGCTTTGATTGCAATGGCAAGAGACCCGGTCAATCAGGCGGCGATGTATATTGGATGGTGTGCTTTCTTCTAGCCTGCATGGTCAGCAAGGTTGGGTGTGGGGTTGCATAATACACGTTCGACGTTGTTTTCGCTATGTCGAATCGAAATGAGCGGAATGAATTTCAATGACAGGTCTCCGAAACTCTAACAGAGTCGCTCTGCGTACAGTGCAAGTGTTTCATAGAACAGGTGCGTCGGGATCAGGAAGGCTGGATGTAGGTACGGCGGCAAGTGCAGCCGACGATCAGGAACCAATCGCGAGTGAGCTGCGCCCGCGACATGTCGAGCAGAACCACGGCGCAACTGTGACAACAGCTCCCTTGACCAGTCGCCGCCCTTTTCCCCTTGGCCTTCGATTGTACCGACGCGGGCGCTCAATACAGCGATCGACACGATTCGCTCTCTTCGCCGCGCAAGTGCGCTTGATTTGTGACGACGACGACGAGACACTGCTACTCAGACAGCGCGCCCGACTTTGAGTTTGCCCAGAGTTCAGTGCAGGACCGATACGCAGAAACCAGCGCGCTACAGCCACCTAGCCATCATGGTTGGCAAAAAGTCTGGCAGAGCCCAGCTGAGGCAAGAAGGTAGGACTATCGTACACCGCTGTTGCCGGCTGCTGACGACAGGGCGCAGGCCTCGAGCGAACGGACAACAACATGGAGCTCTCGTCGTGGCCACAGGTGGGCATGATCAACCAGAAGAACTACTATACGGAATTCCTCAAGCGCGACGAGCAGTTCCTGGCTGTGCGATTCCCCAAAGACGAAGAGCGCGCGCGCATTGTACAAGAAGCTCGTGATAAGGACCGCGCACGCGCATTGGGCGTTCCACAGGCGGCAGAAGGCGCAACTCCACAGGCTGAAGACGCTGCTGATGAAGTTGACGCCTCGTTGGATTCTTCGCGCGCGGATATCTCTAGGCTTATAGTTATACACCCGGGCAGCCAGAACCTGAGAATAGGGCTGGGCTCCGATGCTCTGCCCAAGACAATACCCATGGTCATTGCTCGGAGGTGGAAAGAGAGCGAGTGTGAGGAAGATGGCGGAGAGCCCAGCCCTAAGCGCATGAAGGTCGAGGGCGCAGTACCAGCAGACGCCCTCCCTGAGAAGTGGTTCGACGAAGACTTCGCCGATCAGTACATGGCCATGTCATCGGAGCTCAGGACAAGGATGCGCTCCAACAAGCGCAGAGTGTTGCCCAATTCCAAAGACCTCGTCACAAACTACAACCGCCGGACACCACCTGAGATCATCTCCGAGCACAACGACATCAATCGCATCGATTTCACAGAAATCCCCTCGAACCCAAAGAAGGCACCGCATTTCTTCACAGGCCATGACGCGCTGCGTATACCCGAGTTTTCGAACCCCCGTTACAAGCTGTTCTGGCCGTTACGCCACGGCACCTTCAATGAAAGCGAGTATCAAGATCGCAACCAAATCTACCACGACATATCCAAGATTCTCGAAGAGGCATTCAGAAATCACCTCGGCATCACTAAGATGAAGGACCTGACTAACTACAAATGCGTGCTTATCATACCAGACCTGTACGAACGCAATTACGTTACAATGATGCTCGACATCCTGATACGAGACCTTGGGATTGGGAAGGTATGTTTGCAACAGGAGAGTCTGTCCATAACGTTTGGAGCCGGACAAGATAAGCTGTGTGTGGTCGATATTGGCGCCCAGAAGACTTCGATCTGCTGCGTCGACGAGGGTCTTTGTGTGGAGGAGTCTCGCGTCCACTTGAAAATGGGCGGCGCAGATATCACGGAAACTTTTATTAAGATGATGCTGTACGGTCATTTTCCATACTCAGACATCAACCTAAGGAGACGGTACGACTTTCTGCTCGCGGAGGAGCTGAAGCAGAAATTCTGTTCGATGGACGAGGGCTCTGTCATGGTCCAGACGTGGGATTTCCATCTTCGGGCTTCGGGCCAAGAGACACGGAAGTATACGTTTAAGACATACGACGAGACATTGCTCTCTGTTATGGTTAGTGACATCACCTGTCTGTTGATTGAAGTGCTGACTCCAGTAGGGCCTGCTCAAGCCCTCGATATTCGACAACTCGCGGAAGCTAGAAGGGCGCAGGACTGTCGTCCCCCGCTCCGTCGATCTCTACGACAGCTCTCCCAACGACCCAATCTCCGCGGCCCAACTTGTCGTCCTCGAGCTCGCAGCCGGCAGATCTGGCCAAGCCTCGATCAACGGCGCCCAGGAACCAATTATCGCTGCAACGCCCCAGAAACTGCCGCCCTTCACCCTCCTTGGTCGCCTCAACGATAACGAAGCGACACCGCGCTCATCTGTGGCAGGCTCTCCCGGCCCAGAAGGAGCAGGCACCCCGAACCCCGACCGCGATACGCCCATGGGCGACACAGACGCGCCTGCCCCCGGCCTCATCTTCCGCGACCCCGTCCTCGAGAAAGTCAAGATCGCCGAAGCACGCGACGCCATCCTCCCCATCATGCCGTTGGATGCCGCCATTCTCGAGTCTCTTGCACAAGGTGGCCGTGGTGACGAGAAGAAAATGCGCGACTTCGCTGGCGGTATTGTACTTGTTGGTGGCGTGGGCAAGACGCCCGGCTTCCGCGAGTTCCTCGAGCAGCGCCTGCGCGAGCTGCGCCCTGGACTCGAGATCTTGCTGCCCCCGCCTCCGAGAGATCTCGATCCGCAGGTTATTGCGTGGAAGGGCGGGAGCGTGTTTGGCAGGCTGTCGAGTCACGGCAATGACAGCTGGATTAGCAAGTATGAGCACGATATCTTGGGGAGCAGATTGTTGAACAACAAGTGCATGTTTGCTTGGTAGTGCGTTGAGAGGGTTTCGGGAAAGAGACGAGAGGTATGAGCTCGGAGGAGTGGTCATCAATGCTATGAACGCAGCTAGTCATCAAGATAGACGCTAATACATGGGACTGGGTCATTTGATTTGGACTGAGCCCAAGGTTATCGCGGAGCGTAAGACATAAGACTTCTAGCACAGTCGGGTTTGCAGGCAACAACAACGTGTATTACGAATTCAAGGAATCTCAATTGCGAACCTTATTGCAGCACGGTGGACACCGTTGAGAGCGCCGTCGCATATGAACCGACATGAAAACCATAACGCCAAGTACGACAAGACCAGGCCCGAGCACCAGAGCCATGGACAAGTCTCTAGTACTTATGCATGACATCGTAACCAAGAACAAACGACAGACCTGCGGGAGTCATAATCCCGGGTCTAAAAAGCACGAAAACACCGGGTATAAATCTTGTTTTGCCGACCTGGTTGATTGTCACAACTCGCACACCAATACACCGTGGCCTGCGCCTCGTGTATTGCGAGCCGTAGGTCAGCACGTCACTCCTCGTCTGCCCTTCAATAAGCATTTGGAGCCGGATTGAGGAGGGGCTGCTCAGGCTGCTGACCTTGCGATGCTTCGCCATCAACCTTGGCGCGCTTCTCGGCAGAGTGGTCGCCTGTCTCGAACTGGATAGGGTGCTTGCCTGCATTTGGGCCGTTCTGGGCTGCGGCGGCAGCTTGAGCGGCCATCTGCAGTTCGCCTATCTGTCGCTCTGAAAGCCCGCCGTTGTTACTGGTGCCGGGGCTTTGTTGTTGCGACTGTTGCGGCTCGGGCTGGTGCTGGGAATATGCCGGCTGCTGGAGACCCGGGGGGTTTAAGTTGATCGGATCGGGGTGCGGTCGGTTGGACAGGTCGACGCCTGCTGGCGCAGGAGGCACTTCGCCCTGTGTCTCGAGCAGGCGCGATTGAAGGTTGATGATGTAGTCGCGGAGCTGGTAGTTCTCGCCCTGCAGGGTCTTGTACAGCTCGCATAGGTGCTGGAACTCCTTGACTTGGTCCTTGAGCTGCTTAATGTACTCTTCTTTGCGCTGGCGGAAGGCGCGCTGTCGCAGTTAGTAAGCTGTGATGTATGCGTCGCAGCCAACGAACGTACTTGGGCAGCTCGGTTCTGTGCGGCACGCTTGCTGGTCGACAGCTCTCGTCGTCCCTTGCGCCCTTCGGGGTCGTCGTTGGGGTCGGCTTGGCTCATGTAGTGCTGTGAGCCGGCGATGGCCGGATCGATGTGCTGCTGGGGCCCGCCGGTATGAGGCTGTTGCTGGATAGGCGTTGGCGCACTGGACTGACCAGCGCCGGCGGCGAGGAGATGTTCCCTTAAGCCTTCATTGCAGCGCGTTAGTAATCAGGGCGAACAAGTAAGCATGGCGGCAAGCACTAACTCATCTCGATGGTCGGCTTGGTATGGTCCTAAGGCCGGTCAGCAAGGCGGAGAAACGGCACACGATCACCACAGCTTACCTGAGCGGCTGGTTGCTGCATGTTATAACCAGTATCGCTGCGGATCGAGGGGTAGATGGTGCGGCTCATTCAATTCACTATAGGACGTGACCAGTCGCAGGCAGATGCAGGTGGCGCTGATTATACAGCAGAGCTATAGCTATTCTCGGCGCGGCCCAACACGAGCTGGCGTTGTGGTGGAGAATGCGACGTGACTGAAGGTAGCGCTCTACTGCGCGTTTATGGTGACGTGCGGCGCCAGTGGAAGTCGTGACGGCGCAAAGCAAAGAGCGCGTCTACACGCGTGATGATCAGCATGGCCGCTTGCTGCGCCGAGCATAACGCGCCGGGGGATGCGACAACATTTCTGGTGTGGCGCGCATTGCGAGGCTTAGAAGGCAGGTGCGAGTGACTTACTTGTGCTGATGTGCTCTGAGGGTGAGTGCTGACTGAGGGTTGACTAATGGCGGCATCTGTTATCCTTAAGTATGCTCACCCGGGCGTTAGCTCGGCCTCGGGTCAAGACCGTCAAGTATTCATCACCACCTCGCGGCGGGCACTCTCGACGGCACAGCACCCTTTGATGCTGATACAAGCCGCTACTGCCTCGCGCTCACGGTGCGCACTTGCTGACTTGGGCAAGTCCTGTTTGAATCCGGACTGCTATTCGATGTTCGTAGGCAACGCTGACCAATACTTTCTTTATTCCCGCCAAGAGCATCAGGATTACGGAACACAAGCTCCTGATCCGAACTTGCCGACCACTGCTCCCTGCTGCAAAACGCTCGATGCCCAGCTAATGTTGTGCAATACAAGACTGCTGACTCCGCGACCCTATCATCACCTCTGATCCGCAAGAGCGCCAGGACTAGCAAGGGACTGAGCGACTCTCAGAGCACCACTATTCCAAATTTTAGGCCTGCCTACTTGCTGATTGCAAATTCCTACCAGTGAAACCCAAATGCTGATGTTGTTGCGGAGACTCATTCAGCATTCGACGAATGCAGATTACCGTGACGAAGCAACGAAAGTGGCCCATGCTGCAGATCAGCTTCGGCCGACCCACTCTCCACCACCGTAAACGCATCTTCAACAATCTTGAGTCCGAACCTGTGACTTGCGATTGGCAGGTCAACAGATACCTTTTTTCTCCAGACCACAAAGCAGCGATAACACTACGCCCGCGTTAGTTTTGCAAATGATTGCGACTGCCAGGTGCTTTCTTAGAGCACTCCCGTACGTAAACACTAACACATATTACCGCCGCTTAGTCATCTCACCATGTGCCTGACATCGCCAGATCGGACGGAGCACAGCTGACTTCAGCTTTCCGCTACCATCTTCCAATCCGGGCAACGCTTAGACCTGCTTCGTACAACAGATCTGCGATCCCGTCGCGGCCGTACACCGCATCGCGCCCAGCCATGGCCTCCGGCACATCACACCCACACATCACCTTCTCCGCAAACCAGCCGGCGGAACTCCCCAGCCGCGTAGCGCCTCTCCTAGACGCGTGGGAACTTACGGAATCTAAGAAGGGCCTGAGGCGCCAGTTCCTCTTCAAGACGTTCAACGATGCGTGGACGTTCATGGATGCTGTAGCCCAGGAATGCAAGGTCCAACGGCACCATCCGGAATGGTCGAACCTCTACAATAGAGTGACTATCGAGTGGACGACGCATAGGCCGGAGGGACTCAGCATCAAGGATGTTGCAATGGCCGAGTTCTGCGACAGGGTTGCAGGGGAGATCGGCCTGCGCGAGCCGTGAGGGAGGGGACGACGTGGGTGGCTGTCTATTTCGACCTTGCAGAGCGGGTCGTGCGGTCACGCCGTGCGGCCGTCGTATGCTGGTCGTCTCAGTCAGCACTTGATGGCGCGCTGGTGTACCGCGCACCCGAGTGTTATTCACTGGGGTTGAAGCTGTCTCCACTCTGGAAACGCTGGCCAACTGCTGATGGCAGTGCCTTGTGTGTACGTGTGGGTTTTAGATGCCGTGGATCGCCCCCTCTTCTTCGGAAGCTGGCGGCAATGTCGTAAACAACGTACTATTATTGAGCAAGATGACTTAGCAAGATTTGTGGGGGACAGTGCCGCACACTCACCATCCCATAACGGACCCTTGCGACCATGACACGCACGATAAGGCATGACAGGGCGCGACAGGGCGCGTAAACAAGATAAGAAGTATCGTCATTAATAAGTTACAATAACTACGAAGCAGAGATTCTGAGCTGCGTGCAGTAAAATGTACATAGAGGGAAAAGAAAAGCCTAAGCAAAACATGCCTCAGAACTTAGCAAAACCCATCCATGTGTTATACACCCGAGCATACAAACTGAAAGCCAAAACGCCGCGCAATGCCTCATACACAGTGTCCGTTATACATTCCACCTCTTCCAGCCAGTAATAGCAAACTGATGGCCTAGTTGTAGTGCCTGCTGGCGGCAGATGCCTCCTCCTCTCTGCGCTTCTTCTCTTCCTGGAGCTTCCTCAGCATCCTCACACTCCCACCGCTGGCCTGCCACCAGAACTCGGTGCCTGAGCGAATCAGCCTTTCGGCTGCGCTGGTTGGTCCGTCCACGGCAGGCCTGATATCCAGATGAAACACGGGCTCGTCGTCGGACTCGGCCTCGCCCTCGTAGTAATCAATCACGTAGCGAACCTCCTTGCACCCCTGCTCGTTGCACCTCTCGATGAACCAATCGTGGCGATCGAACGGCGGCGCCGTGCCGTATTTCTCAGGGTTGATCCAGCCCAGCCACTGCGTGATTGTGGCTTTGGGCGTCCTCTCGGTCGGGCGACCCGTGAAGCGCAGCAGCTTCGGGGGCGGCACGTCTCTCACGTCCCAGGTGGTTGTGTCGAAGATGCCCTCCTCGGTTGTGCCGACGCCCAGCTTCAGGTCGGCGAGCTGCTCGCCGTTCTTGCAGATCTCGTAGCCCTCCTTCAGGCCGCGCGCGAACCGGCGCTCCCACCCCATGATCTCCGCCCAGGCGCCCTCGTTCAGAAAGTTGTGTACCGAGACCATGGACTCGACGGCGGTGACGTCGGTGTCGGTGTATCCTTTGCGAAGCATGGCGTTGTACATTTGTTGCGGCGAGGGGTACTCCCATAGCGAGCCATCGCCTTTGGGGATTGTGGAGGCTTCGCGAGAGAGGGGGAGATCGCGAGACTGTATGGAGGCTTTCTTGTTGTCGAGTTCGGAGAACATGTTGTTGAGCGGGTTCAGCTTTGCGAGTAGGCCAGTCTTGGGCTCGGGGGTCGATGCATTCTCAGGCGGTACGTAAGGGCATGCGCCTTTGGGGACTTGCGCCTTCTCTGCCTGCACAGGTGCTTTCGCAGGCTTGTGCATCGGACATTGTGGCTGTGATATGTTAGAATGAAATGTTGCATGCGCAGGACGATCATACAGGAGGGTTCACGTCGCCTGCGGGCATGGGGTGCGGCGCAACGAGTGTGGCGGGTGCCGAAGGAGTAGTGTCTGCCCAAAACCAACCCATGATTAACTATTGTACAAAAGAAGACTCAGGCTGGATAGAATAGACACTGAAGGGTATATATTGATTGCGCGTGGCGGCGGTCTCGGGGGAGAAAGTTTTGGCCGCTCGGAAAGAGCAGGGTACGGTCCTCATCGTCATTCCTTGCGATACACTAGTAAGAGCCGCACGCCGATTGGCTCAACAATGTTCAGGGTGTGAATGTCAAACTTGCCGCTGCAAAATCTGTAACTACATCAAGGTATCTTACGCCGTGCGCTGTATGCTGATGATCTGCCATGTTCGCTTTTGGTGGCTTTGGCCCCTCATGCCTGTCCAGCTGCCACCTTTCCCAATTGCCCAGTGCCTCGAGAGCTGAAAATTGCCATGATACCGAAACTACCGTAAAACAGTACCATAGGATACGCGACCAGCCCTCTCATTGAGGTCATGCGGCCTAAAAAAGTTAGTTAGCCGTGATGTCAGCTGTATTTCAAGACTTACCAGCGACAGTGAACATTGAACTAGATGAGTATGAGCACCACATGATGGACATGATCGTGACGACGTAGCCAAAGAGTCCGTCCAGAGGTACAACGATGCCCAAGGTCGAGACCAGTACAAGAGGAAGTAAGCAATAGCCCACAATTGAAGCTGACCGAGGGTATGTCAACGAGGAACCAAGGTGTGAACCACGCTGGTGACCGTGGTCTTGTCCTGCTGCAGCCTCATCCGCACTGATAGGAGGCGACATGAGCGAGATGATTTGGTGGAGCAATATTGTGCCTACAAGTCCGAGTCCTACCAGGATGTCAGTCGGCGCCCATTATTTGAGTGGAGCAAACGTACCATAGATGTATCCAAAATGAAGCTTTCCCGACAGCTGCAACGCGTTAGGATTTGCGCGCGGTTTGCGACGTTTTTCCACTCACCAGAAGAGATGTCCCGAAGATGAAAAAGAAGAGAATGGGACCCGCAACGTCGCTGTCGTCCATGATGTGCGGTTCAAGCCGCCTGAAAGGATTCAGCACCGCAAGGGTCTTCGACTGAATATGCCCGAAGTTCACTCCAAGCTCTTCAAGTAGCGGTGGCTCCCCTTCATATCCTTCAGCGCCGAAAGCTGCGAGCCATCCTGTCCTCAGCCCCGACTCTCCCATGCCCATCTGTCCGCTTACGCCTGGTGCGGAGAATCCCTGACCATACTGCGCAGGGAAAGCCTGAGCTGCCGGCGCACCGTAGTTGGCCTGAAACGGTGTCGAGTGCCCTGATACCGGCTGGTTCGAAAACGAGGAGGAGTAGAATTGGAGGTTTTGCGCACCCCCGCCGCCGTACTGGGGGTTCTGTCCATAACCGTATGATGCCATTGTGTCGATCGCGTACGAAAAGCTCCAAGGTTTGATAGGTGTGGTAAATGTTGCTTGACGCGGGCGTAGAGCGAAGGTTGTTGATGTGGAAGCCTGGAGTTGCTGTCTCCGTGTTGGCTGAACCCGTTACGTGGAGGGACCGAGCGACGTCACCGGACGTTAATAAGAGAATGACAGTCGTTGCGACGCTTAGAGAGCGTATCGGCAGCCAGATTGGAGCGTGAGTATGTGAACAGAAAAAGAGAAGAAGCAATCGCGGTGTTTCGATGTTCGTCGAAGACCCAAAAGTGGCAGCCACATGTCATTGCTGGCCGGAGCTCCTGAGAGCTGATTCGCCGGCTATCCTCCGCAGCCGTCACGTGCAGACATGTAGTCAGACTTCCACGCCTACCAAGATCTCGATGCTTTCACAAGGCCTTGGAACTCAGAGCAAGCATGAGCGAGGTATGTTTCCAAACATGGGAATCTACACGTCACATCGCATTCAAGTGTTGAGAGCAGTTAATATTTCATTTGAAAGTGGAGGGGGGTATCAATATAAACGCTGGCCAAAACGTTACAAGAGGTGGCTGCAGCAGCAGTTTGCAGAGCAGAGCTAGCAGCAATAGATTGCACAATAGCAGCAAATTCCGCAGTAAAGGTAGCTGCATTAGCGGATCGCGCGAGAAAGGTGGCAGCAGCAGTAGATAACAAAACACCTGCTGCTGCAGCTACCTTCCTCACGCGATCTGCTGCTGCTGCCACCTTTACTACGCGATCTACTGCTATTACGCAATTTGGTGCTGCCCGCTCTGCTTTGCAAACTGCTACTACAGCCACCTAAACTACAGTCAATACAAATCGCTCAATCTCGGATCCGGGTCTTTGAGCTCTGCTCGAAAGACGACAGATTGTCATCGTGTTTGCTCGGAACCTTCTAGTACATCTCCACAGTCCGCCGGGAGGTGAAGTTGCACCAATCACACTGCCAGGTCATCAGCATCCAGGACATGCGTGTGTTCTTCAGTGTGGAATATGTGTCCGCTTACCAAGGTATCAGACGAAGCATCGTTGTCTTCGAGGCAGTATTCATTCTGGCATTTTTTACACTGTCGAATAAAAAGCTCCTTACAGCTTATACACTGTAGAGCGTCAGCACAAATATAAGTCTACTCAGCGAAATCACATACTGTGTGACCACAGCCAAAACAGTCACGTCGAACTCCGATAATCTGTAGAACTTCACGTCAGCGTGTTTCTTTGTAAGATATCAAGAACATACCTTGGCGCAACAAAGCCAGGCCCAAGGTGCCATTATCCAAAAGCAGGTTCCAAGTCCAGTCACAAGACCGGGTCCGGATACAGCTACATGGTGAATGTCTCCCGGGAAGGCCTGTGCCTTGCGCGCCAAGGTACGTCACATCATCCCCACATCCCGTTGCTTCCTGCGCCGGCCATCATCTCGCCGACGAGGCACTGATCTACGCAAAGGCCCATATGTACCTTGATGGTTTGCTTTGGGATCATAGAGGTAGTGCCGTTTGTTGTCAAGGTCTCTGCAAGCTCGGTCTGTTGGAGTTCGGTCCGTTGCGCAACGGTCGATCCGGCATAGCAGCGCTCATCCCACCACTTGTGGCATCTTTCGCACCAACGGCCCTTGAGACAGTCCTCGCAGCGCATATACAGACGCGGAGGACCCGATCCATCGATTATTTGTGGGATCTTAGCCGCACGGATGGTGCTTCCATGGAGTGGTACAGGACTCAGAAGAGGGAATTGGCATGCGGGTGAATCACCAAAGATGACTGGACCCTCAGACGAAGAGTGACATGTCTCGCAACCAGCTGGACCCAGCGCCACGGTGGCAATTGTTGGCCTGAGGAATGAGCCCGGGTGCGGTGTGCTGGTGGCAGCACCTTCTCTCACATAAGCCTTGCTTGGGTCATGACGTGGTCCTCTGCAGAGAACTGCATCGAAAGATATGAGACCCTCGCACGCCTGAACAACCTCAGCCCACTCTGGAGAAGGCCGCCTTCCCATCATCTTGCCAGACGACTGATACCATCTATCTGTGGTCCGTGCTAACGCACTGCTGAGAGCGTCTGACGATTTCTGGTTCCATTCCGCGCCAATCTGAGCTCCTTGCGAAGACATGACGCCACGGGCGGCAGTTGGAGAAGGCGTGCGCGTTGGCTCTGGCTCGCATTGTCGATCGCGAGGTCCAAATATGTAGATACCCTTGACCCTGGGAGTACGTTCGGGTCTTGATGGACGCACCGCGTATCTGAGATACTGTTGAAGCTTGCGCTCGTTCAAGTGCTTGACTTCCCGGATTGACAGCAGTCTGACATTGTATCGGTCTTCGGTTATGAGCTCCTTGACGAATTCGGCCGTCACACTCAGACCATCTAGCACAAGAGTATGTACGTTGCGGAGGACGCGCTGCTTCTCGAGTCTGTGGACGATGCCGCGCAGCGGTCCAGAATAGAAGTCGTCCTCGGACAGCGACTCATCCATGCGCTCAGCACGCCAGCTGATACCGCCGCCATCGAGCGGGCCGTCAAAGGGCACAATCGCGGACTTGACGGGCGACAGGTCGAGATATCGAAAAGCTTCGGGCGATTGGCGGATGACGTCGCACAGAGCTTTGCAGGTCGACGAGAGAGCACAAAGCGAGGATACGGGAAGATACGGTGTGGTTTGATGCAGGACCAGAGTAATGGAGAGAAGATCCACCAGGGACGTAGGGAGGCGACTGGACAGTGCGGAGAGATCCATGAAAAAGAGGAGTCGCGACTTGGATGACGCGACCAGAACGGAGCTTGAAATGGGGGATGCAACCAGACAAAGCTGGAGGCGAGGAGGTACTCACCGACTTCTTAATCAAAGGAAAGGCAGCAGCCCAGACGACACGTGCCACAAATCTGACCCTGCAGGACGTGGTGTTGAGGGCGGCGTTTGATACACCGCGTGTAGTAAGGACTGGCGCAGTTGCACTTACGGAGTGGGATTTGTTGGCTGCCCTGGCGGCGGCGATCATCCACAGCATAGCGCCGACGAGCAGTAGCCACAGCCAAGCACCGCACGTCTGGAAGCAGAAAGCTTCCTGCAATGGCAAGGCACGTTGTGAGGCACAGGGTGGGTCACAGCCTGGCAGCCAAGCATTGTGCGAGTCTTGGGTGCAGGCCGTAGAAACAAGCCAAAACAATGGCTGTCAAAGCTGGAGGTCGGCAAGGCGACGCGGCCGGGCCGCAGGCGAAACAGTGGGATGCTGGGGGAGCGCGGAGTTATCGGGAGAGCGGCCGTTTAGCAGACTCCATTATCAGATGGAATCCGCGCGCGACGGTCACGGCGACATTGCGTGATCGAATCGGTCGGCACGGCGCGAGAGCGAAGTCGCCGTGCACCACCTGCCAGATCAGTCACCTGCAATCTATATCTTGTTCAACACAACCTGCTGCACGGCAACGTGTTCTGGGCGCCCCAGTTGCACGGCGCCGACGCGTCGCGTGTTGCCGCCTGCTATCGATAACCCTAGCGCATGACGATGATGGCTTCGAATCTTCCAGACGAGAGCCGCATCGCGTGTGTCAGCGCCTTTTGCCATAGCAGCCGCCATGAGACCCAGGATATGAGGCTGGTGTTTCCGCTCGATACACCTTGCATGCACCCACAGTGACGACACCTCCATACCATGGCCACCGACGCTGAGCCCGCAGAGCTCAAATGGTCTGCGCAGTATGCGCTCGCGCACAACACTCGCAGCATGCAGCTGCCTGGCGATAAGATCCTCCTGCCACCCTCTGCGCTGGAGCAGCTGCTCGCTGCAGCCCCTGTTGTCACATTCGACTCGGACCGCCCCCACATCACCTCGTTCGACCCTTTCAACCCGTACACGCATGCTGCGGAGCGGCAGGCCCGCGCCCAGTTTCAGGACCGCCACCAGCAGCTGCCGCACCCACTCACGTTTCGACTCGTCAACCCAGATAACGGCAGGGTCGTACACGCAGGAATTCGCGAGTTCTCGGCAGAGGAGGGGCAGATCGTCCTCAGCAGCTTCTTGAGAGATGCGCTGGGTATCGAGGCCAGCTCTGTCGAGTCATCCAGAGGCACCAGCCCAAATGGACACAGCAGCAGTAGCGATGTGGCTATGGGTGACGGAGAAGCAGTGAACGGCGCTGCCTCTACCAAAGTCACGGTGCATGCTAAACAACTTCCCAAGGGCACCTTTGTGAAGCTGCGGCCGCTCGAAGCAGGCTACGACCCGGAAGACTGGAAGTCACTTCTCGAAGAACACCTTCGCTCCAATTTCACCACTCTGACTAATGGCGAGGTTCTCGTAGTATACGGCGGTCGAGGGCCGGGTGGGAAGCGTGAGGAATTTCGCTTCCTTGTCGACGGGTTCAAACCAGAAGGAGAGGGCATATGCGTGGTTGACACCGATCTTGAGGTCGACATCGAGGCTCTGAACGAAGAACAGGCACGAGAGACGCTGAAGAGCATCGTTGCAAAAAGGCAAAGGGCTCCGGGAACAACCGAGGGCAGCTCTGTCGGCGGCCCAATCGACATCTTCAAGGGCAAGGACGGGCAGGTCCTTGAAGGCGAGTTCGTCGACTTTGAGCTAGGGTCTTGGGACAAATCGCAAGGACTCGAGATTACACTTAGCGGAGTGGACGATGACGAAGAGGTCGACCTCTACGTAAGCCCATATTCTGCACAACAGCGTGTCCGGCCACGGGACGATGAGCATGTTTTCGCCGACACGTCCAGCCACTACCCAAAACGCATACGAATACAGCCCACGAACGCAGAGCTCGATGGAGCGGAGGCAATCTGGATATCAGTTCGCGCCTACCCCTCGGAGTCCGCGTCAGCTATACCAAAGCCATTCCACCTAAAGGTGTCAATGTTCGATCCGAACGCACAAACAACGAACGAAGAAGAAACGGCCGAAGAGGTTTCACATAGTGCTGATGAAGTACAGTGCAAGAACTGTAACCAGTGGGTTCCAAAGGGCTCGCTCTTTCTACACGAGAATTTCTGTCTGCGCAACAACGTTCTCTGCCCACAGGGCTGTGGTCAAGTCTTCCAAAAACGCTCTCCAGCATTTCAAAACCATTGGCACTGTCCCCATGACACCTTCACCGGAAACACGCCTGTCAGTTTGCAGAAACACAACACCATCTATCACGCGCCTCGAAATTGTAGCTCCTGCGGTCTCGACTTCCCCTCGCTCCCCACCCTCGCCCACCACAAAACCACCACATGTCCCGGAAAACTCATCCTCTGCCGTTTCTGCCACCTGCAGGTCCCCCAAGAAGGCGACCCCACCGAGCCGCCGAGCTCAGAACTTCTGCTCTCGGGCCTAACACCGCACGAGCTGGCCGACGGCGGGCGCACAACAGAGTGCCATCTGTGCAACAAGATCATCCGCTTCAGGGACATGGAAACACATCTTCGCCACCACGACCTCGAGCGCCTCTCCCGCCCTGCGCCGCGCCTTTGTCGCAACGTGAACTGCGGACGGACACAGGACGGCGTAAACAAGATGGGCGATACGCGCGCGGGGACGCGAAAGGGCCAGGGGCCCGGGAACGAGGTCGGACTGTGCAGCGTGTGCTTCGGGCCGTTGTATGTGTCGCTGCACGACCCCGAGGGCAAGGCCCTGCGCCGCCGCATCGAGAGGCGGTATCTCAGTCAGTTGCTCACTGGGTGTGGGAAGCCGTGGTGCCGGAACGAGTTTTGTCGCGCGGGGAAGAAGAACCAGGGACAAGCGGACCAGTCTGTGCCTACGCGCGAGGCGATTCCAATTGTGAAACCTTTTCTGGAGGGCATGGATGGGAGGGGGTACAGTACGCCGCTGCATTTCTGTGTTGACGAGGCGAGCCAAAAGCGTCGCACGCTGGCGGAAATGTTGACGGCCGAGAAAGGCATCGAAGGGAAGGGCGGATATGGCATGGAGTGGTGCGTTGCTGCGCTCGAGGCCGAGAGTGGGGATTTAGACAAGGCAAGAGCGTGGTTGAAGGGCTGGGCACCTCAGCGGACTGAAGCATGATGTCTTTCAGGGAAGGACTGGACAGCACACTGCAGTGGAACCTTGGATTCAGCAAGCATAGCATATAGACACAAGAGATACCCCAAACGACGTGACAATAATAATCAGGCTTTCATAAGATGACTGTGATGTCCACGCCGGGACTTATCCAGCAAAGAACCGCACGATATCCACAGGTAGGTGAAATCCGCCGATAATGCTATTTACAGAATGAAATCGACCGCACCAAGAGTCTCGCTAGATATTGTACTTAATGTAGCCAATCGTGTTTGGGTACACGCTCAGGTTGTCAGACCAAACTGCGTAATCCCTACCATCGATGGTGAGCATCTGTTCGCTTGCGACTTCGCTCAGAGCAAACGCTTGGAAGCTTGTTGCTCCTTCAAGGCTGAGAACCCGAGGCTGACATATCCTTCTACCGTTTGGCGCATCAGGGCTGCTACAGGAGACATCGTCGTTGACGAAGAAGGAATAAAGGCCTCCACCATAGACAAGGATGTTGGTCGAGTCAACGGCACGGAGGCCCCAGGCGCGTTGGCCAGCAGTGTAGACTGGATCGTTGTAGGCTGCCTGTCTTTTGTAGGGCTGGCTAAGTGCGTCTGGTGTTGGCATGTAGTATGGAGTCTCAGTCTGGATGAATCCGGCAAAGACGTCTGTAGCTTTGCTGAACTGATACTGGTACACTGCGTGGTGCTCGACGCCGTTTGCCCATAGCCATGTACCTCGTCCCTCTACTAGAAGACCTCTCCCGGTGTAGATAGAGATACGTGTCGAGTTCCAGTCGTCCAGGTCGTGATCAGCTGTCCAGAACCAGTTGTTCTACAAGGCATGTCAGTGGTGCTTCTAATTTTCAAGCTGGTTTCTTACCTCAAAGTACGCTCCCGTTGCAGAACTGGTGACGTGAACGTTTGTATGAGCGGCAAAGCATTGTGAGTTGACCGAGCCAAGGGGACACTGCGCAAGCTGTTGCCCAGTACCCTTGGCTCCGCCGACGCGCGTGTGGACATCCCAGAGACCTGAGCCACGAGCAGTCCTCAGATTGTACTCGATCAGTTTCGCTCCTGGGGTACCTCCTTGAGTCTGCACAATCATGTCTGACCATTCGATGCTTCCACTTTCGCCGGTCTTGCCAATTCGTACCACTGGCCTGGGGTTGTTTTGGTCGGCAAAGTTGCTGCCAGCACCCATAATAATCGAAAAGGTCTCTCCAACTGCGCGCAGACCAGGTGCAAATTCGAGTGTGTTGGTCACTCGGTAAACACCATGTTCGAAGAACAGGACCTTGTTCTGCGATATAGCCTGGTTGATAGCGCTCTGCACGGCAACGGTGTCATCTGTAACGCCGTTTCCTGTTGCGCCGGAGCTACGGGCACTGATGAAGCTGCTCGTAGCCAAGGTCTCATACTGAGGCTTTGATTTTGAGTAGAACTTGCCATTGTCCAAAAGTCCCGCAGGTCTGGCTGCAGTTGTCATGGGGCCTTGGAATTTCTCTGGTCCGTTTGGTGTGTACCTGTTACCTTGGCCCCAGGTACCAATCGTGATGGATCCTCCTGCAAGGATAGTGGCACCACTAGGTCCCTTTACCGCGACTGGCACGTTGTTGAGCTTTACGTTCTGAATAACAAGTTGTCCGGCACCAATAGGAGTTGTGCTTCTCGTCCACGCTTGATCAACGAAAGTTGGACAGTTAGTGATTTCACTGTCGATGATGACTACTGAGCCAACCTCAAGCTTGTTGCTCTGTGCACCGTTGCTCATGGAAAACGCAGTGCCGCAGTCGCTGATTGCCAAGCCTGAGTAGAGCCAGCCCCAGTTCCAGATTTGGGAGATACCGACCACGGCCTTGGATATCTTGACGTTACGCATAGTAAATTGCTGATTTCCGATGTTCATACCGTAGAGACCTCCCTCAATGTCGAGATCGGCCATGTGGCCGCCCGATCCTAATCATAGTTAGCACAGATCGTAAGGATCTTACTCATCGACGTACCGTTCTCCACAAAGATACCCGCGTGCACTGAGTTTGAGGCTTGAGTCATGCGGATCTTGACATTCTGGATCGTTGTTGCCTGGGAAGCTGGCCAATGGATGGCTTGGAAACCCTGAGTTGGGGCTCTTGCGGTACCGTCGATGATCAAGTTTCGGATTTGACGCATGAATAAATTGGTAGATATCCAGCCCGGGGAGCCATCGTTGTTGTTGTAAGGGCTTGCATCGATCAAAGCCAAAGCCTCTAGGTTGGCCGCCGCCTTGAGCACTGGTAGGTTGCGAGGGTTACCAATAAGCTGAGTCATGTAGTAAAAGATGATAGGTTTAGAAATGAGATATGTGCCAGAGGGAATGTACACAACCGCAGGTGTGTCAGTTGACGAGTCGCACACCCAAGGACCGCAGCGGTTTCCGTCACTGATCGCACGGTTGATTGCATCCGAGTCGTCAGTGACACCGTCACCTTACAAAGTAAGTCATGTTTCAGTCCAAGTAGCTGAGTACTCACCTCTGGCTCCATAGTCCTTCACGTTGCGGAAGACCTTATATGCGGCCGGATTCGGGTTGAAAGGCGCAATACCCTTGCCAGACAGATCATTTAGCCAGTAGCCGTCAGCAACTGCTCGTGGCTGGAGTTGCTCATCCAAAACAACGGCATCGAAGTCGGTAGACGAGGCTCCAGCAGCTCTGGGAAGTGGTGCTGTTGCAAGAGGTGAGTAATCTGCGCAGCATTACAAGAAACCGTTTGATGTGCCTACCTAGGACCGCGCTTTGGGCAGCGGTTGCCAAAAGGCAGAGCACGACTAAAAAGACCTGCATAACTGTAGAAAGCTCGTACACCAGAGGTAGTGTGCAGACTGTCAGATCAGATCGTAGCAGATCGCGCTCAAAGTGAGAGAAGCTTAGACAGGTAAGTTCGTTTGGCAGGCGCGACGTGTCTATTTATCTCAGAGTAGACACCCATTTCCTCTTACCCCACTAAATAACAGCTGTGGGAAGGAGTAAGTGAACCCCTGCCCCTCCAAGAAACATCTGGTCACCCATAGGGATGTTTGAGAGCAGCCGAGCATTCCAGGGAGTCTGGCAAGCCCCGATGACTGGCCGCAGCAGCAGACTTACTCCACTACCTGGTCCTTGAATGAACGGTCATACGCCAAACCAAACTTCGGTTGGTGATTTCGCAGACGCGGTTTAGTTTCGAATAACGGCATTCCAAAGCGCTTGTCGGCAATCCCTCTCTTGGTTGAGCTGACGCGGTCTAGCACAAGGCGCGTACTTGCATTGAGTAAAATGACGGTACTATGGAAGCAAGGACAAAGTATCGAAGCAGAGTACAGCATCGTCAAAGGGGTCGAGGGGCTAGGCTACAACAGGCACACGTCACCGGGTCGGCTCGACATTGTTTAATCCCCGTCAAACAGTCTCACAGCACTGCGCGACACAAGACGCCAGCATGTGACGACGACGCTTCCCAAACTTTCTCGCCAGGTGTTTACAACGATTCTGGAAGTCATCGCCGCTGCTACTGTGGGCCTAGCGCTTTAAGTGAACCCGCGGACTGTTCCTAGCTCGTGGCCGAATGGTGTTTTGTGGGGAAAGGCCGTGACCGTTACACTGCATCTGTCTTCCACGTCCATGGACGTCGCGACATGACCTCTCCCGCAGTGTCCGCGTGCTTGTGTATGAGCGCCGAGCTACAGACACACCACCAACATCTTCTTCACTTGCAGTGTTGTTACCTTAAGTTAGTCGCGTGCGCTGTCTAAGACATGACAGCATCTTGCAGGAAGGATGACCTCGGTTTAATGCTGTAGATCCTTTTGATTGTTCTGCAGGTCCCAACTTTGTGATGGATGATGAAGCTTGAGGATTATTGCACGCATGCAACGGTAGATATGGGTCTGAAACGCGGCGCGTAGGTCTCCAGTTAGATGCTGCGCATGTGTTGATAGTAGTCGAAATAAAGGCGATGGGAAAAGGCGCAATAGGAGTGGGCATCGGGGTTCATGCCTGTTCCGGATGACATATTCGGTACACGGACGTACCCCAGACTTCTGCAGCTCAAACTGGAGACCTAGCGCCGAGGAGTTGCACGAGGTTGATCAGATGGGCCCTGACGGATATTAAGTAGCTTGAGCTTCGACCAGTCAGGAGGCCAGAACCTCGCCTTTTCGCACCCCACCAGCGGCTGTGAATAACTCTTTTAGAAGACAAGGCTTGCGACTTCTCTATGGAGTGTCCTCCGAAATTGCATCATATCGCCGTAGCAGAAAGCCCCAGCGAGAACATTGCTACGAATCATCAGCAAGTGGCACGCCGCTACACTCGGCCATACTACAGCCTGCAGTCATCTCATGGGGTTCAACTCTGCGAAGTGTTGCCCGTGATTGGACACGACAGGCAGGTCTCCTCCTTCAAGCATCCACTGATTAACTCTATGTCTCACACACTCACAGGTGACAGATGGTTCCACTCAATATCCATCATCTTGACGTGCAGTACTTGCATGTGCTCCAAGATTTGCAATATGAGAAATATCACTCGACTTGAGCACGAACACACTTCATAGACTCGGCTTGGCCTTGATGAACATGCAATCTCCAGTGGCGTATATGGTTCCTTCGCCGTCCTCGATCGTCGCACGTACATATAGCTTCCTGCCGTCCTGCCGCTCTATCTTTGCGGTACACAGCAAAGGACCGGGAACTGGGATTGGCTTCTTGTAAACTGTGTTCAGGTCTGTATCCCTTTGTCAGCATTGGCGCCGTCAGCTTTTCGTAATTGCACCTACAGGCTGTGAGGTAATTCATCGCATGCTGAGAACCGAACCTTCTGACTTTCTCGAACACGTTCAGCTGAATCAGGCCTCCACAAGTTTCGTCTAAGAGTGTGGTCGCGAAGCCTCCATGGAGGATTTGAGCATAACCATTGAGACCGTCGCCCAAGTCCAGGATGACCAACAGTTCTTTGTACATCCATTCTCCCTCCTGATCTTCGGTCGGTCTCAGTGTCAGCATTGTTCGAATCGTCCGTCCGGTGTCAAGCGTTTCTGCGAAGAACGAGTCCTCGCCTGTAGGCTTCGTAAACCGATTGGAGCTCAACGTAGGTGTCCAGCGCTTGTCGTTGATCAGCTCGGCAGCCCATGGTATTGTTGATAGTTTAGCAATATCGGATTGTATCATGGTGTTGGTGATTTGGAGTATTCGGATTGTGGTCGTGGTAGGCGTATCGACATGTTTGTGAGTACGTACCGAGGTTGTCGTGATGCTCAGCAACACTGCGATGCGCTAGTGCACCCGCTGCTGAATCATGATAGCTCAGCATTACGGCAATTATTTCGAGACTATTAAACCTCTATTCACTCTGTCTTTGTAACTGCGTGCATTTAGCAGAGATTACTCGTGCTCTGTCAGTGCCGTCGACTTGAGCCATGACCTAGATAATCAAGAGCTGGAAGCAACCTTAGAAGCTCTGGGATGCGTATGGATGCCATGTGGAAAAGCATGAGCAATAGCCTTGCTACGAGGAGAATGCCTAGACGAAATAACTCTCTACACCAATTGAACATCAGACAGAGTTGTTACTCCGAATATCTCTCACATGCATGTTCCACATGTCAACAAAATGCAAACGTCATCTACACACGCTAATCGACTGTCAACGACGCGAAACGTCAACGCGCACTTCTCCAGATCTAGGGTCGATGATGCGTTGCCGAGGCTTTCATTCAGAGAGCTGATCATAAGACATTGAATACCTCTTTCAATCTGTGGAGAACCCTGACTTCCAGTTCCTTTGCTGCGATCTAAGTCCTAGACCTTTCTCTGAACACATTGTTCCATAACCGCAACGTCATGTCGAAGCCACACTCCAAGACTGTCCGCGGAACACTCGATAACCCCAAAACGCAGGCTGCTATCAAGTCGGGCAGCAAACCACCGCAGCTTGGGGATCACGTCTCATTGAAACCAGAGGGAGACAACCCACCCACGCCAGAAAACCAGAAAGCCACTTCGTCACTTGTCTCAAACTCATCGTCAGACACGAACGACGAAGACCTCCCTCACTCCAAGAAGGTCAGGGGTACGCTTGCGAATTCGGATGGGAAGCAAGTCAACAAGACCCAATTGGGTGATCCAGCCAGCTTGAAGGCGGAGACAAGTAGCACAGAGATGGGAAAGCAGACGGAGAGGGAGGGTATGCAGAAGAGCAAACTTTGATTGTGCCCCTAAAGAATAATCATCGAAGCGACTTGATTAAGGAGCGGATTGTCAAAAGACCTATCATCTGCTCTGTTTGCTAGACGTACACCGTGCTGAAGTGGGGAGATTGCGGGGCCCCGCATTACACAATTTTGAATGGAGAAATAGTACTCAATACAACAAATCTTATGATATGACTTCTATATGATGATGAATGATGTTCAATGAACTCGCAAGTAGAGTGTTGACGCAGGTCGCCACACGTGGTAGACCTTGCAGGAGCTGCGAGCTGTCTGCCCCACCGAGGGGCATCATACCTAGCTTCGGGCAGTCATCAACACCACCAGAACATTCGCACTCACAATCGAAAGGCCACACCCTTTGTCTCAACGATCAAAATGGCTGATCTCGACCTCAACTCCATTCATGACTTCATGATCTCGGTCGCCAAAAGCGCTGCCGACCGCATCACGTCCGCAAAGCCTACCACCTCGTCATCCGGCTCGAAAAAGAACTCGGTCGACCTCGTCACCGAAACCGATCAAGCCGTCGAGAAGCTGATCTCTACCTCTCTTCGTGAGAAGTACCCCGACTTCTCGTTCATGGGCGAGGAGACATACAAACCCGGCGACACGCTCACGGCCGCGCCAACCTTCGTCTGCGATCCGATCGACGGCACAACGAATTTCGTGCACCGATACCCGTACGTGTCGATATCTCTGGGCCTGGCAATTGACCTGAAGCCAGTGATTGGCGTGGTCTACAACCCCTTTACGCAGACGCTTTACTCGGCGATCAAGGGGCAAGGCGCATTCTTGAATCAGACAACCAAACTGCCATTAACACCGCCGACGCCGCTCGAGACATTGAACACATGTCTCGTTGCTGTGGAGTGGGGCAGTGATCGCAGTGGGAATGACTTCACGGTCAAGAGCGAGACGTTCAAGAATCTGGCCGCGACGAAGGAGAATGGTGGAGGCATGGTGCATGGGCTGAGGTCGTTTGGATCTGCAGCCTTGAACCTGTGTGGAGTCGCAAGCGGAGGTCTGGATGTTTACTGGGAAGCCGGCTGTTGGGCTTGGGACGTTTGTGCTGGGTGGATCATTCTCGAGGAAGCTGGAGGCCTCATAGTTGATGCGAACCCTGGCAACTGGACACCGAGGGTCGATGAGCGGAGATATATGGCTGTGCGTGGGGGTCAAGGCCAGAAGGAGATTGTCGAAGAGTTTTGGAGCCTGGTTCATGGAAAGTTCGAGGTTGGCACATAGACGGCTGGTCACGAAGTGCTCGAGACCGCGTCGCCTACACATGACCTCGAAGATAGACAGGTTGTATAATGAACCACACGCAAAACACATCAACGTAGCAGCGACCTAAATTTCTCATTGCGCGCCGCTAAAATCATCCGTAGCTAGTCTGACCATCCAAGCGGTTTCGATCAGTTTTTCTACGTCGGGCCTCTTCCATCGAGGGAAAAGCCCACCAGCGCGGTCATCCTGACCAGCGCAGAACCATACTTCTGAAAATGAATGTCCGCACATCCCTTACTATAACAACAACAGGTCCCACTCCATCCACCAACGCGCGCACGTGAACAAAGGAAACGCAGTCTCGTCGTAGACATGTACTCTCTCCGCAAGCAGAGAGGGGTGGTGGGAATGGTGAATCGTTGCAACGTCGTTCAGGAAATATTAGAGACGCGACGGGGGTAAGCAAACACAGCAAAGAGGTGAGAAGAAACGCGTGTAAAGATGAGGGGAGGGTAAGGATAATTGCAACCAGCCGGGCCGTCGAAGTACGCCGAAGAGATCAGGGGAGGATTCGTGTCCTTTCCGTCTTTTTCTGGGTTTTGTGTTTTACATTGAGTGACGTTGAGCGAGTTGCGTGAGCATTTGTCGCTTGTTGGCAATTTGTGTCTGTCGGGAGTTGAGAGTGAATCAAATTAATGGTACTCCAAAGTGGTGTGGTGTGTGGTGTGTGTGTTTGCAGTCATGCTTGACGAGAGGTGGTAGAGGCAACTTTAGAGGGTCCTGGGAGTACCGCGAGCGGAGGGGCTAGGTTGTGTTAGTATTGACCGACTTACAAGTAAGTGCCTATAATGAGGTGACAGATCACACAGGAGATGCGCAAAGGCTCACCTCGCGTCCACGAGATCATCGACATGGTTGCACATCGCCACGAACAGGTCAAAGAACAATTGTCCCCCCATCTCCATCTCCATCTGCATGGTTCCACTACGCTTGAATGTTTTTCGGCTGCGAATAATCAAAGCGAGGTAATGAGCGCGCAGCCGCGAGTCATTGTCCGGTGTGTTCTCGTAGGCATACCGAGCACTGCGCAAGATCACTCCAACCTCGATCCCGCTCTGCAGGCCCTGCTTGCGCAAGGAGAGCTTCTTGAGCTCCTCGAGACCGTAGCGATCGGCAGCGCAGTACACGGCTGTGTCGCGGAGGATAACGTCACCCACACCGGTATGGAAAAAGGTTGGCTCGACAGCGGCAGCGCGATCGCTGGTTTTGTTTGGGTCGGGCGAGGTCGTTGCGCCCTCGAGCATCCAGGTCTGACGGCGCTTGTCATGGAGCAGGCGGGGGTAGTAGTCACCCTTGTATAGATACTCGAGGATGCAGGAAAAGACCTCTGGTTCCTCCGTAGGCAGGTCGATGCGTCGAGTAGTGGATTCGAAGAACTGGCCTCGCAACGCTTGCGCGAAAAACGGGGCATGTGACAGGACGTCTTCGTGCGCAGCAAACAACCGCTGGTCTGAACCAACGACGATTGTCACGATGGCAGAGGTCAGACTCGGTGAAGTCGCCTCCGTCGTGGGGCTATCCTTGTGCGCATCCAGCTGCTCGACCATCTTCTTCTGCTTCTGCTTCTGCTTTACTTCAGAAGCATCGCGAAACGATCTCTTCGGCTGTTTTTGAATCTTGCCCGAACGGTCCTTTGAACTAGCAAAAGAACGTTTTCCGAACATCTTGACCGAAGAGAGGGATCGTAACGAGCGACAGAGAGACTTGTAAAGAGTGGACAGGTTAGTTGACGCGGGCTGTAAAAACGAGGGACCTCCGGAAGTACTCAGATTTCGCGCTTTTCAAAGGAAAGGCACTACGTCTCAGAAACTTGGTGTGTATCTAGCACAGGGCGTGAAGATACCACACACGGATTGTCAGGTTGTGGCTTGTCGAGAGGGCGTACCGAGCCTAGATTATGGGGGAGGCCGGTATTTATACATAGCCTTGCCAAGTTGCATCCCCTGCCGCCTGTCGACGTAGCCCCCAGCCAACCGGGCGATGCATCGCTCTTCATTCGTCAAGCTGACTTGCGGCTGTCCAATACCAGTCGTGCATCAACATCAGGCAGCAAGGCAACGCGACCAACAACTCCCATTGCGACAACTTTGGAAGTGCATGGAAGACCTTGCTTGTTTTGTTGATCGCTTTTCGGCGGGGCGGCGCTAAAGATAGCCACAACAGACAGCGCAGTACCAGTTCTTGCCTGTGGTTGCTCATCCGTGTTGTCAGCTACCTGTACACCTCTCTAATCGGTACGTCTTGCTTAGAGACGATCGATGATCGGCGGGTTTCACGAACTTTCGTGGCTGCAAGGTTCCTCAACGCGACACACGCGATGTAACGCGTAATTATCGCGGTGTCACGTTACGGGCGGTTTCATTAACAGCCCGCTTCGGGCGTTGTGACTCATTTCGGCATACCGGAGGTTGCATAGGGTTTGGTGCATGTCGGTTCGAGACAATAGCATTGCTTGTGCGGAGCTAGAGGCGTCATCGGGGAGCTGAAGAGTCGGCCTCACAGATGTTGGGTTTCAATGTGGACTCAGTCCAGGTCGAAGGTCCGAGGTCTTACTGAACGTCATACCTTTCTCCGCGGCTTCTTGACAATCACACTTTGGAGCGGGCGGATCCTTTCTGTTGCCATTGAGCAGTTGGCTCGTTCTGAGAGCGAGTTCCTGTGCTTATCATCGCCAATTCTCAGCGTCGTCACTGGCAAAGTAATTTGATCGCACTTAGAGTGTCAGAATTGGCAGCAAACAAACATTGCTGCGAGCGGTCCAAGCAGAGCTCCTTGATAGCCTGCATGGGCCATTTGCCTGTCAGTTCACCATCAAACGTTTGTTTGTTGTCAATTTTCATTGTGCTTCATGCAACTATGTCATATTTTATAATGATATCATTTTTCTATGAGGACTGCACGGAGGGCCTTGCAGCTGTATACTTTCCAGTCGCTGTGCAGTATTTACAGGCGCTCAGAGCGTACACATCTTTGGGTATCTCGAAACATTCCCAGTGCCGTATCTTGTCCCATCATACTATAGCTACAAACACAACGTTAAACACAATGTCGGTGTAGTTCTGCCTCCAATTGTTTCGCGAGGGAGTTTGATGAGCCTTGTTGAAGACAGATGCTTCTACATGCTGTCCGATACGCGGCGATCCAAGTCAACAGAGGTTGCTATGAACTGCTTCTTCAGATTCCTTAAACGAGCGGTTATGTAGCCTAAACTTACTGTTACATACTATTATGTACTATCTCATCATGCCAGCCTTACGGTGTAACTGAGCCGCTGCACAGTACAGAAACTCAAGGCATTGCTCGAAGAAGGAATGATGTGTGCACTGAATGCGCTCCTTCGCTTAGCGACAGAGAAAGTTTAAACCGCTGTCATATCCGCACCGCGCCTTCACTGCACCTTGGATTATGGTCTCATGCTGGTCGTTCACCTTTGTCGATATATACCTTAAAGGTGTTGGTCTCTCCATCAAACAAGTCAAGGACACATGGCCCAATGGCAAGGCGCCAGCACCCATAGCCCGTCAGCTGACCCAAGTTCTTCGGGCAAGTCTGATCACCTTTCCTACAAAGGAACCGAAAAAGCAAATGAATTGCACGAAGAAGAGGAACAGAAGAAGCCACGAGAAGCACTGACGGGCGGGTAAAGCTGGAGATCCAGGTTCAATTTCTGGTGTGTCTAATATTTTTGTCAATTTCGTGGCTTTTATGTTACTGACGAAAGTGAAGGGAGGGTGGAATCATGCTCTTGCATGCCCACGGTTGGGAGGGAGGGGCTCTTTGAGGAACGAGCATCAAACATCTCTAACGAGCACAATATTAGCAGTAGATCTGAAGCAGTACAAGAAGGCTAGATTTGAGTATTAAGTGAAGGCTCTTGGATGGGACGTTGTAGAAGAGAAGGTAGTAGTGGTGTTAAAGACACACCAAACAGATCAGATAGAGCAAGCGGCCGCTTCGCTAATTGGTCAATTCTTCCAGTGATTCTAACCACCAATGGAAAGCACGTCTGTACGAGAACATCTGGGACACATGATGCATTTGTAAGAGACGAGCTGGACCTCGACGCGTCATGAGCACCGCCTTCGCAAGACTGCCTCTTCGGGTCGTGGTGGGACTATACTGCCAGCGGCATACGCACTGATCGTCGGCCACGACGGCCTAGAGTGAGCCCACGGTGGGATGATGCTCACGACGGTCTGTTGGCCATGGTGCGCAGGAATCGGCAAGAGAGATGCCGCTGCCCTGAAAATCTCCCCATGGCAGTGCAAGGCGGTGAAACGAGATGAAATCTGTGGATTCGCCGCCGATTGGGCTGGCCTAGTGCTCGATGCGGTAAGATCAGGGACTGTGCAGACTTGCCGCCTCTCGGAAGCCGTGCCCCCTTGCCAGACAAAAGTGGTGCCAGCTTCGACCAGCGCAGATCCGGGCTCCAACAGTCTGCAATTTAATCCGCCTCCTGCGCGCGTTCTTTTGCCTCTCTCCTCTACTGCGGCCTTCGCACCACCATCACTTGCCTCCCTCTGCAGTCGACCTTTCATTCTCTATTTGCTTTGTTGTTGCAAGCAAGCAAGCAAGCAGAATGTACGCCTCCGACACTGCCCGATGGCGAATCACAACAATCTAACAGGCGCAACAGGAACTCCACCGCCTTCCTGACGCCCATGGCGCAGGACACGTACTGGGGCTCGTTCGAAGAGATCTCCAAGTACAATGTCTCACTCAGCTACTTCGAGAAGATGTGGCTGGCTTGGTACACATGGATGGGCAACGATGTCTTGGCCACTGGTATCATGTCTTTCGCGATCCACGAATGCCTCTACTTTGGGCGTTCGCTGCCATGGATCATCATCGACGCACTTCCTATGTTCAGGAAGTACAAGATCCAGCAGGTACACTACCTCCATGCCTCCGAGACGTTCGCAATACTGACACTTCACAGGACAAGATCCCCACCGCCTGGGAGCAGACTCAATGCGCACTTCTCGTCCTCCTGTCCCACTTCACCGTCGAGCTTCCCCAGATCTGGTTGTTCCACCCCATGTGCCAGTACTTCGGCCTCGAGACCAGCGTTCCGTTCCCTCCTCTGTACAAGATGGCCTACCAGATCGCCATCTTCTTCGTCATGGAGGACACATGGCACTACTGGGCCCATCGCCTGATGCACGCCAGCTCCTTCCTCTACAAGAACGTCCACAAGATCCACCACCAGTACTCCGCTCCCTTTGGTTTGGCTGCTGAGTACGCATCTCCCATCGAAGTCATGGTCCTTGGTTTCGGTAGTGTTGGCCCCCCAATCATCTGGTGTGCCTTTACCAAGGATCTCCACATCCTCACAATGTACTGCTGGATCGTCCTCCGCCTGTTCCAGGCCATTGATGCGCACAGCGGCTACGAGTTCCCCTGGAGCCTGCACCACTTCCTTCCTTTCTGGGCTGGCGCTGAGCACCACGACGTTCACCACGAGAAGTTCATTGGCAACTACGCCAGCAGCTTCAGGTGGTGGGATTTCTGCCTCGACACCGAGGCTGGTGCCGAGGCCTCCAAGGCCAGGAGGGAGAAGAAGCTGGCCAAGGCCAAGGCATTGGCGAGGAAGGCTCAGTAAATCAAACCTTTCGGATCGTGGACGAAGCTATGGAATTTGTTGTTTATTCTGATGAGGACGATTTCATGATGGTTTTAGCCATCTCCGGCTGGAGCCACCACTTTAAGCGGCGATTTGCTGCCGACATGGGACATGGCGTTTGGGTAAGAAGGCAGCGATGCATGTGCCACTGGGTGGCAACACTAGAAAGATACAGACCCTCAGTAATGGCAGCTGTAAATACGTGGGAAGACAGGGTCTTATAGAAACACCAGCACCTATCTAATATCACGATCGTTACAAGTTCAAATGCTGTTCGCTTTTCCCTCAATGCAGTTTGTGCGCTGCCTCTAAAGTGTTACGCTCAAGATTGAATTGACTAAATCTCTTGATATCATGTTGACGGTGTCTGCATCGTCAGAATGCTGTTCTACATTAATATCGAGTGTGGTGTGGGAGCAGCCCTGGAGACCTACAGCTTGGCAAGGTCACGTGGTCGGGTGAAGCGCGTCGGCGTCGAGAGCTGCAGGCCGACATTCTTTGTAGCATCCTCCATCGCGCGCCAACGTCACACCCAGGCTCGTCGTCCACCGAACGTTACGATGAGCTCACAGCGATCAAGCGTTGTTCCGCAGGACTTCCTCGCGCGAATCAGATATTCCAATGCGCTCCCTCCTCCGCCATGTCCTCCCAAGCTGCTCGACATCCCCAACACGGGTCTTTCGAGTGGACAATACACGTCAGCCAGTTTCGCGTCGAGGCTTGCACGAGAACAGCCGCTGAATATTGAGGCCGATGCCGAGCTTGGTATGCCCATCGACTTGGTGGGCATCCCTAAGGTGTTCGATGGAGACGAATCAGGTAAGAGAACGAATCGCGCGCAGGCTCGCAACGATAACTAACGCGTTGCATAGCTATCCAAGCCATGGCTCACCCGCCACCACTATGCGCTGCTGATCGAGCGCTGATGCGACCACCCAATGCGCTTGGCAAAGCGCACAACAATGCTTCCGGCACCTCATTCCTGCGACGTACCGAATACATCACCTCGAGCACGACTGGCGGTTCGAAATTCGAGTCTAGTAATTCGTCGAACACGATGCGCGTACGACGGAAGCGAAAGCTCCAAGACACCTCCGTAGATGACCCTCTCAACATCTCCAGACACATCCTCAAGGGCTTCAACCTTGCATATCCAGCCGATGCCTACAACGGGCAAGACAGCGCAGAGAAGATACGCGCAGCAGATATCTCAGCTGAAGAGCGGCAAGCCTGGAACAATCCCAAGAACACAAAGAACCCAAACCTAAGGCTGCTCGACTCATACCCATTGCTGCCGGACTGGGATGCCATGACGGACACAGGCGCTTACATGATGTTCAAGTACACGGCCGCCCCTATCAACAACCCCCTCGACTCCACATATGATCCCCGTCTCGACGTAGCGCTCTTTCGTCCCGCAGGACAGTCGATCAAAGACCAAGAACTGTACATGCAAGAAAAGGAGGCGCAGAAAGAGGACCCAACAGCGCCAGCACCGACATCGAGGTTCCACTTCGAATTCTTCATCCCTAGTAGCAGGGACAGAGTCTACGACATTCAGCGCAACTTCACAACCAACGACCCCAGTGCCGACGACATCACATTCGACGGCGAAGGTGAAGACGACGAAGGCCGCCCCCGCAAGTTCTTCAAATATGACAACATCCGCACATACGAGACCTCGCAACAGGTCGCCTGCGAAGATGTGTACGGTGACGTTGTCGCAATGGTCCTCCACGACCCAGAAAAGCACCGGGCGAAGGTTCTGCGTAGCACGAAGCTACAAAAGGCTGCATACTTCTACCCGATTATTCAAAAGACAAGCATCAGGCCAAGGAGACCAGGACACGTCGAAATGGTGGAGGAACAGCAGAGAGTCGATGTTATTGAGGCGGCGGGCAAAGAACCGGGGAACGAAAGCGAGAAGAGAGACTCGTACAGGAGGAAGGCTGAGCCTGTGGAGGCGTGATCGTGTGATGAGTGCAGACAACGGAGATCTTTGGTAGCAAGCATAGCGAGGCGTTGGAGTGGAAGATTGTACATCATGCACCTACATGTAATCTGCAAAAGCTTGGAGACTTCGATTTGAATTAAAGGTCTGGTCTCAATTCGATGTGTCCGTTGACGCGTGAGTTTCGGACGGCAGCCGCTGTGCCGTGTATACTCATCGGAGATGGAACTAGTCATGCTTCTCAGTCACCATGACAAGCCGCTGTGACAAGTTTGCTCTTCAGCCGGTCAATGTCCCAGAGTTATAGTAGCAGTCTGTGCAATGGCGTAAAGGATGCATTATGCACATAGTGCTCATCAGGGTATATATGATCAAGCTCGTGGCCTAGAAACCTTGGTGACCCAGAAAGAAAAGACTGAAAGAGAAAAGACCAAGAAAGAGATAAGACCGGGCGATGAAGGCACACGCCCGAGGAACCTAAACACCAATCATGAATCGTAAAAAAAAATCACAAGAGCGACGCACACAGCTCAATCATCGCGTCCGAAGAACCTGCTCTCGGGATCTTCCCACCGCTTGGTCTTCAAAATCCTGATCTTCTTGATCGGACTCGCACTCCTTCCCATGGCCTCTCTCTCGAGCAGCTCAATCTTCGTCCGCAACGCCTCATTCTCGCGCTCTAACTCCTCATTGCGCTCGATGACCTCCGGATCCGGGTCCTCGTACACCTTCACCGGCTCCTCAAGACGCATCTGCGCCTTGGTGGCCTTGATGACCACGTCGATCTTCGAATCGAGGTGCGCCTGCTGGTTATCCTGCTCGTTATCGAGCGTCGCTTGCCACCTGCGACGCTCCTGGTCGACGGCGTTCTCCATCTCGAGGTAGCACTCGTCGCGGATTTCTTGCTCGAGGCTCGCCATGTGGTCTTCTGCGGCGGCCCAGGACTGCTCTGCGGCTTTGCGGCGGGCGGTTTCTTCGGACAGGCGGAGCGCGAAGATAGAGAGTTCTTGTTGGAGACGGGCAATTTCGGCGGCAGATGACTCAAGCTCGTCGAGTAGGGCAGACGGGGTGCTGCGCCCCGAGCACGCGGTTCCTGGACGATGGCCTGTGGAGAGGGTGGCTGTGTATGAGGGCGTACGTGGAACGGTAACTTCGCGGGCAAGGGCGGAGTAGCGCAAGATCTGGGAGGTCGCGTTGTAGTCGCCTTGCGCGTCGGCTGTGACGATCATGATGGATTTCTGAGGTTGAATGTGTTGCGTGGACCGAGAGTTGGATGGGAAAGAATTGGAGAAGAGAAGCTCGGTCAGCTTGCACTGACGAAATGGAACAACGTTCTATGGCTTTGTTAGCAATTAGTTGGATCGTGAGGGAAGGCAATTCAAACCTTTGAACCTTCCTGGTGGTCAGCCTGCATCTGCATGCATTGCCCAAGATACATAAGTGACTCGTTGATCTTGCCAGCCTCAGCCAAGGTAGAACCTGCTGTCTTTGCGTTACGCGCACGCTCAGACCCAGCAAGATCGACGATGCTCAGTGCACTACTCGACCATGGACCCTTGTACTGTGCGTCACGCTTCTTGACTTCGACGCAGAAGAAGCCATGGCTACGAGAGCTGACAGCATTACTTCCGGTTCCTGCGACCTTGCGCTCCATGAGTCCGGTCTCAAGTATCATCATAGCCTCTTCGAAGCTGCCACATATAATCTTCGTCAGACCCGCGACGATTTTGCGCTCGGGACTTTGCTCTGTGCTCTTGAACAGCAGGGCTCGGCGCTTGACGTTGGGATTCTTGCTCTTCATGACACTGCCAGTCAGAAGATCAAAGATTCGGTCGTTGTAGACCTCGTACATTGAGATGACAATCGCATACTCGGCTGTGGGGTCTGCGGGAATCTCGATACCGGCGACGGACGGGGCCTGTGGTAAGGTCGAGGGCCGAGGAATCTTGTTCGATCGAGACGCGCCTTGTGAGACGTAGCTACAGTCCTTTGCTGTATGTGAGTTGAAGCTCGCAGTCGATCGTAAGAAGTTGGAGAGTGTGGTTTTGACAGGACTGGTGGAATGTATGTTCGCACTTGAACGACTTGAGAAAGTAGCTCGTAGAGCAGGATACAGGGTTTCAGAAGTCACCAGATGAGCAGGTGGAGACGAAGAAAGTTAGAGAGTCACACGAAAGGAAGGAAATGTTGAAAGCATGGACTTACAGGTGCTGGCGTGTTTGCTCTCGACGGGAATTTCTCGGATTGATTATCTCCATACATAGAATCCAGATACGCAGAAGCAGTGAACATGTTGGCTTCAGACACGTCTGCAGCTGCTAGAGATGAGAAGGCTGGAGCGCCGTAGAACGATTGCACAAGCTGTTCTTCACAGCTCTGGAACAGTGCATCGAGCGTCATCTGGACAAGACCACGCTGTGACTTGGTTCCAAGGATGGTGTGGCTCTAACGCAGTGTTAGTGTGCGATGCAGATATATTGACCGCATCTATCTTTACCTTCCCAGACCCCGTAACACCCAAAGTCGCTAGTAAACCATCTCGCCCATGATAGCCAGGTGCGCCCAGCACTCCCTTAATCATAGGAACAATGCCCGAGCCCTTGAAGATATCCATTTGGCGTGCGTCTTCTTCGAAAACCTGCGTAAAGGCAAATCGCTCGACTGCGCGTTTCCGGTTGTCATGTACCAGCGGCCTGACTGTGATATGTGTGGGGTGGCTGCCATCTCGCTCTTCGACTGTGAGAAAATGCGGGTTTGCGGAGGTGGAAGGGCGTAGTCGAAGATAGACGTCGAACAGGGCGCTCGATGGCCGTGGCGGAGGGTCCATCGCCATCATGAGCGATTTTGGTGGGGAATTCGGAGGTGTCGTCGACATTGTGGCACCGGATTTGGACTTGAACAGTACGTAGCTCGTGCCTGTTGACGTTGACAAACATGTGGCGCCGGTTGCTCGGGGAACAGCGCGCTCACCTCGCGCTACGCGTAACCCTCTCATGTTGTAGGATGGACGGCTGATTAAGGACGTGAGCATCCAACACAACATACTAAGGTAATAAAATACAAAAGAAATGCAGGGTAATTTTGCAGGTAGTGCTTAACTTAGTTTTGGCTCGTAGTGTCATTAAGGCGACAAGTTCTGTGTTGAAGTCAGCTAACTTGCCATGAAGGTCACTCATCTGCCGTTTTCTCTGTACGGATCTCGCAGCCATCAGAAATGCGGGATTGGCTATCTCCACTCTTGATTCTATACATGGTCGACTCATGGGCCTGCTCCTGCCAAGTTCTCTGCGTTTGCGCATGAACATGTCATTCAGCATCCAGTCTCCACCAATGCATTCGTTACCGATCTTGTCGTGTGCCTTGGTCATTCCCTTTTTCATAGCTCACTTCTTTTACGGACGAGCAGTCCTTTCTCTTTGAGTACAATGAGGCTTGAGAGGCGCATTTGCAAGGGTCAGCTTTTCTTCGCTACGGGCTGGAGCGATGGCTGACCCCGCATCACCATTGGGAGCATTCTTACGCCCCCGCCAGGAGGCCTTGTTGTCATTTCACGAACTTCTGCGGTCACCAACTACGTCAAATGTCACCATGCTACCACCACGCTAGACTTGCGAGTTTGCACCTTTGACACCGTGTGAGCAGTCACCTCACGCGTGTGTTACGCCCACAGACATTCCAATTGTGCCGCATGGGGTCAACATGCTTCCGTCATCCTCCACTGAAAAAAACAGCTTGACGGTATGCACCCTTTGTCGGTCTCTGTTCGAGGATGTTGTGGTGGTCAAATCTTGGGAGAACGAGGAAGAAGAACCAGTGGGGCTCCGTCCTCGGCAGCAGACGGTACGAATTCATCGCTACCATGTTACATGGCACCCAGATGCCAGATCTTTGAGTGATTCTATTCACTCCGGTTGCGAACTCTGTTCAAATGTGTGGGATGAGTTGAACGCCAGAGGCCTCGTCGGCCAGCGTGAGCCAACAGAACTTCTACTGAGACAGGCCAAGTTCACAGTCGATCTGGTCGAACGTGTTCCCAATGATACCAATCATGAAGAGATTAAGTGGTCATTGGAGATGGTCGTTAATGACGCGATATCGAATCGCAAGACTCTGGTTGGCGTGCATCATTTTCGAGCATCGGAGAGGCCAGCACCTGATCAATCTTTACCGCCCTTGGAGAACAGGACAAATGATCCTGAGCCTTCGACACGAGATCTTTCTCTCGCAAAACAGTGGTTAAGTCAATGTCGAAGCAACCACGAACGATGTCAACCGATTGTTGACAAAGAGTTTGAATGGCCAACCAGGCTTATCGAACTATGGAAGGACGGGAACACTACGAAAGCGCGCCTGGTGGAAAGAGATGAGATCTCTGCCATGGTTCCTTACGTCACTCTGTCCCATCGTTGGGGTGCGGGTGCCATGTATACTCTTGAAAACGATCGTCTCTCGCAATTCAAAGAACAGATTGATGTCGAGCAATTGGCACAGACTTTCAGAGACGCATTCGATGTGGTCTTACAGATGGGTCTATCATATATCTGGATAGACTCGCTGTGCATAATTCAAAACTCAAAGGCCGACTGGAAAGCAGAGTGTCAGAAAATGGCCGGCGTATATGCAAACGCAGCCTTGACTATAGCAGCTACCGCTTCCACATCTTCCGAGACAGGCCTGTTTGTGAAAAAGCGTGCTAAGAACCCAGCAATACTTCGTGTGTTTGTCGACATCAAGCGCGCCGACGCTAGGCACGGTAACAGGCCCGAGGGCATTAGAGGTTATTACTATCTGGTCCATGAGCACGCATGGTCCGTACGAGTAGACTATGCCCCACTCAATCAGCGTGGATGGGTGCTACAGGAGCGATTTTTCTCTGCACGGATACTGCACTTTGGCAAGGACCAGTTGCTTTGGGAGTGTCAAGAGCTACAGGCAGCCGAGTCCATATCATCTCTAGATGCTTGGCCGTTGCGAAGCAACATACGTGAAGGCTACCGTTCTTATCGGTCTCTCCTCCCAGAGCTCAACCAATCCCTTGCAAACGCATCCTCCACCTCTCTCCAAGAACATGAGCGGGCTCACGGGCAAAACGTCAAAAAAGCGTGGGACAGGATAGTGGAAGCATATACTCAAGCTCAGCTCACTTACAGCAGTGATAAGCTGGCCGCCATTGCCGGTATCACGGCACGTTTCGAGGTGTTGTTGAACGATAAATCCCACCGGGGACTGTGGAGGAAAGACCTCTTCGATGATCTCCTGTGGTATCGAACAGTCGGAGATTCTCCCAGACCGGCCATCAAACGTGCTCCGAGCTACACATGGGCTTGTCTAGATTGCCCAGTTGCCTATGAGCGCCTGACCAACGACGATGAGCTCTTGGTACCATGCGCTCGTATAGTCGGCTTTGAACCTCACCATCGCCACATAAATTTAGTGGCGAGACTTCCTCGAGTTCGGTTGAAGAAGTCGCCGAGGACGATGTCGCGATTCAGCATGGACCTCACAGTGAACGAAAACGTATATCGAGCACAAGCGCAGTTCGACGCTCAGGCTACGGATCTGGCGGAAACTTACTTGAGTCGGAAAGGTGTTCGAGTGTATCTCCTATGCATGTACGCACTCCAGTATGAGCTTCCGATACCCTCAGGGGGGCATGTCATGAGGGGAGAGTCTTATGGACTGCTGCTCAAGAAGGAAGATATCCCCGGGCAGTATTCTCGCGTTGGGCGGTTCGCGGCAGACGGCGATGTCTGGAACGAGTTCCATCCTCGCGATGATGCACCTGATGGGTACTACACTATCACGTTGATATGAACAATACGGCAGGCTTACATCAGAGTGACAACAAAGGGAGGCAAGACTCTTGAAAGTATACAAACTGTACACAACATACGCATCTTTCGAAGCGGCTTGACACATTACTATTCAACGATTACTGGTTCGTAAGGGACTTCCACGAAGCCAATTATCTCCCATAGACCTCGAGGTTGTTCGCATTAATGAGCTCCATGCCCTCCTTCCTCCACGTATCCGCCTCAGCATGGCTGGTAACATTCGCATCGAAGACGTAGTCCTGGGGATCTGCGTTATCATATGCGGGCCACAGCTCCTCAGTACCATTCCACACGCCGCCGTCCCGCCACGAGTTCGGGTCCAAGTCGCTGACAAAGCTGACCCAGCTGCTGCTCATGAACTTGCTCAGATCGCTGTAGCTCTGAGTCTTGTTCTCAAACGGCGGGACCGCGATGGGCGGATACCCAACACCAAGCAGGTTCAGGAACACAAAGGCGACTTCTTGGAAATGGGTGACTCCGATGACGGGCGGCAGGCCGGCAGGGATCGCGTTGAAGCGGTAGCAGTATGCGGGCACACCGGCAGTAGCCCAGGTCTGGCATGTCAGCCGCCTCAGCGCGATGAAGAACTGGTCGCCATAGTAGCTCGCTGAGCGGCGGAATTGCGCACCACGTGGGGGGCCTGGTCGCGTGTCTCCGAGGTTGGCGATCACGTTGACAGAGAGGTCGTCGGGGTAAGCCTCGAGAAGCTGGTTCGCAAGCTCGGGGGGAATCGGATGTTCGCCGGATGTCAGGAAAGCATACAGATCCTCTGTGGTGTCCACGGGTGACGGAGAGAAAGCGCTTCCTTCGTCGCTGTTGGCGCCGCTGATGATGGGGACGTGGACGAACTCGCCATTCGCCATTTGAATCGAAGTGCGCTTCTGGATGAAGTCGCCATCGAGGACGGGCATGAACCCGGTAGTGTTCAAAGCGAGACTTGTGACATTGACTGCGGCATTGTACTGCTCAGCAGACAGTGTACGCAGACACTCAATCTGTGAAGTAGCGTTCACGCATGGTGTACGGCTGACGATCGCGTTGTACCACTCAGAGTATTCCAAGGGGTCGTTGAGATGATTGAAGTGTACGGGGTTGCCAGACTGCATGATAGCACCACGGAAGAGCTTGTCGTCTCGTCCGCTGTAGGCAGTCAGCTGGAAACCAACGGACCCGGCCCCTGCGCTCTCGCCCAAGATTGTGACTTTCTCTGGGTCGCCTGGCTTTTATTAGTATGGGGAAGTAGGTGAATTTCGGACTCAACTCACCCCCAAAAGCTTCAACGTTGTCTTGAACCCACTGCAGTGCCAAACGCTGATCTCGCAGCCCAAGGTTCATCTCGCCGGACTTCTGGATCTCTGCACTTCCACTCAAAAAGCCCCAAGCGCTGAGTCGATAGTTGATGCTTACACCGATAACTGGCTTGCCGATGTTGACAGAGTTCTGAACCATGAAGGTCAGGTTGTAGCGTTGATCTACTGCGGTTCCCATGTAGTAACCGCCACCGTGGATCCAGAAAGCAACAGGGAGCTTTTCGTCCTCGCATCCGGCAGGGCGGACAACATTGACGTAGAGACAGTCCTCCGAGACGGGGTAGCCCCATTGATCAGATCCATACCCATAGCACTATTCATTGTCAGTAGTCTCGCCAGTTGCTCTGATAGATGATGAACGTACCGCAGTAGAGTACTGTGCAGCAGGTCTTGTATCGGTCCAGCTTTGATTCAGGCTAACCGGGTTCCTGAACCTCAGACTGCCAACGGGAGGCTGCGCATACGGAATACCGAGGAAATAGTCTTGGTTGTACTCGGGTGAGTAGACACCCTGATAAGTGCCGTTCCTCACACGAGCCGTTGGACCTGTGACGTTGGTAGGCGCACAGCTCGCAATGCTGGCGCTCAGCGAAAGTACCAAAGCTGCCTTGCGCATCATGTTGAAGGAAACCCGTGGTAGAGGACAGGGACAGAGATTCTCGATGACAGCCTGACCACAGGATTTATGTACTTTGTGAACAGGCCGGATACTATTCGCCGACATCGAGCAGGAATTGACAGTTCCCCACAGCCCTAAGCGGCTCTATGACCTCGTCAACGGACCATCACCCATTCAGGACCAGGAAATCTCCGCGTGGCAAGCTTTTGCGGGGAACACGCCGTGCCTAGCATGGTTAAGCAACGCGGGATGTGGGGATAAGCTCTTAGTTGATGTCTATGATAGGGTAGGGAAATGCCGGTGTTCACCCATCGGCAGAACAACGTTAATCTGGACGTGTGGAGAACCTTGGGGGCTGGAGAGAGACATGGGACTTTTGGAGCTACGGCACTTGTAACGGCATGTCTTGGAAGTGCGTGTCCACTTCCATGACTTGTTTCGGCACATCTGCGTTGTTTGACATGACTTGCATTGCGGCTCTACGAAGCCGGTCGTATCCCCTTATCTTACACGAAATGTATGAAGAGCGCCGATAAAGCACACGGTGCCGAATATGTGTGCCTATATTTTGCTCGAAGATGAATGATTTGCTTTCGCGCGGATTGCTGTCGGGTCATCCTAGGCAGGCTGTACAACACATAATAGCGCTCTCAGTTTTTGGGTACAGCTCCGTCGGTCTTCTTGGCCTCGGGTTGTTCACTCTTTGCGGCTGGCGCTGGAGCCTCTTCGATGAGTTCATCAAAGAGCCCTCCCTCAGGCTCCATGCCCTTACCGACAGCCACCAGAATTCTTCCAGCGCGACGGAACTCATCACGGATAGTAACGATCCCGCGGTGAGTCACAGTCCTTGCCACGTTGTGGTCGACCTCAAAGGGGTCTTCGATAGCAAAGAGGTATCGGTTGGTAACCTTCTTCTCTGCTGTGACGATAGTTGTGGCGCTGACCCACCCCTTTTCCTGCTTCGAAAGAATGCCGCCGGGTGTGCGGAGAGAGAGCACCTCGGATGTCCAGTAGAAGTTGTTTTGGCGCCCATAATGACCACCCTGCGAGGCGAAGTATCGGAAGAAGCCGCATAGAAGCGATGCCAGGGGTTGGCGATTCTGCATCAATCGTCCTTCTTGTGCTGCTCTAATAATCTCCTCTTCGTTACGCCAGAATCGAACTTCATATCCACCAATGGTCGTCGCGTCCTTAAAGCGTTCGGCCAGGGAATTCATGTCAGTTGCGTGTGGCAGATAGTGCTGCAAATTTGGACAGACTGGCGGTGACGCAACATTGACAAGGTAGTGAAGGACCATCAAGACCCAACCGTACGATGAGAGCGTGCCTGAGTAAGAGCTGTTGATCTTGCGACGCTTAGCCCAAGCCTTAACGAACAAAACCATGGGTCGAACTCTAGGATCCGTGAGAGAGTAGCAACGGAGCATGTGGGTATTGTGAATGCCTAGTGGATTCGCAAAGTTGATATCGCACTGGATGCCAACACCGCTTTTCGGAAAGTCAAGAGGCCCGAGGACTTTCTCACGATGCCACTGCTTCTCTGGACGATTCTGGTGCTCCTTATTGACCACTGCGGTAGTTGAGGGGTCGGTTGAGTCTGACTTCGATACGGCGGGAGACGCTTTCTCGGTAGTCGCTTCAGTCAAGCTTTTTGTTGCCGCAATTTCGGACGTCTGCTTGGTTCCTGCTCCATTTTTCTGCCCTACAGCCTGCAGGACTTTCTCGTCGGAAGTCGGAGGCGGCACTGTAAGGTCTATTGAAGGCGGTGTTTGGGGATATTTCTCCTCATCGGGAAGACCTTCCCACTTTTTGCGTTCGTCGTCGAGGGCGGTGTACAGTGTGTCTGTCGGGGTTTCGCATACTTTCAAAATCGGCACCCGTGTACGAGTGAGCAGACGGCCCCCCATCTTTGCATCGAGAACCGCCTTCTCAAGGACACGGGGAATTCTAGGGCCGATCTCGGTCTCTTCAGCTCGAGAGGGATCGTGCCACTGGGGCACCACGGCGAGGTCCATGTCAGAACCAGGCAGACCAAAGCCGGAGCCGAGACTGCCGAATGCTACCAGAGAGATGTCCTTGATGTGATCAAGATCTTCGCCGCCATGTTCAGCAAACGCTTGCCGTATGATTGTCTCCAGACCGTTCCTGAATGCGTTGTGCTTTGAGGCTTCGGCTTCAGTCATTTGGACTTTAGGAAGCTCACGTCCGACGATCTCCTCCATGAACTGCACCTGGGCTGCCGCATCAATCCTCGGCTGGCTCTGGTAGCCATTCTGAGCGTACTGGGGACGAGGATACTGATGAGCGCCACCTCCTCTAGGTCCTTGCCCTGGCTGATTGAAACCACCTTGCGGTCGTTGCAGAATTTGCGGAGAGGCGTCGTTTCGCTGTTGAGCATGGGCGTAGTTTTGTGGTTGTTGATAACGAGGGCTCATTCCGTTGTTCTGGGTGTCAGGTCTACCGCCACGTGTGGATGGCGATCCCATCCCATAATACGGTACGCCTCTGGCGTTGTTGTGATGAGCATAACCGCCACGATGATTCGGACCTGAGCCACGTTGAGAGCCGCCCCGGCCACGACCGCGTCCTCGATACTGGCCTGGCTGGTTGTCGTGGGGGCTCTGTCCACTGGCGATGGTTACATTGCCGAGTATCATGCCACGGAGCTGGTTCTCAAGATCCTTGGTAGTAGGTGGAGCTTGACTCATGATTGCGGTCGGCTGTGGTGGATAATTGGAGCTCTTAGTAAATTTGTTTGTGACTACAGAGTTCAATGATTTGCCGTTACTCTTGCTGCACAGTCCTTTCTGGTCGATCGAGTCTAGATGCTCGTTACAATGACCATGAGCTGCGTCCGTGCATAACCTGGAGAAGCGAGGCTCGATACGCAGAGGCTGGTGGTCCGTGAAAGTGACGAAGCTGTGAGTCGATCTATATCTACCAAACCCGGAAGTCACCGTTCGTGCACCGTTGTCTCGCGACGTTCGATGCTGCTTTGTGGTGTTGTACCGCGGCCGTTTCTTTGGAGCAAACAAGTGCACAGATGCACGTTGTGTAGAAGGCTGGGGCACATTGCACCGAGCCTCCGATACCTATGCCAAGTCGGGGATCCGCTAGCGCTTGTCGCCTGGAAGGCGCGCTGGAACGTCACTGCTGAGCTCCATCACCATTGTCTCGAACAAAGACCGCACCGCTGCTGCCTTCCACCATCGCCCGCGACACATTTTCCGCCCATCACATTCTTTCCAGCAGTCTTAGAATACACACTCGTTCATCATGAACAACCTGCCGACGGCGCCTCCGCAGCAGGCGCCGCCGCCTGCTGCACCAAGCAGCATCCAGGCTGCCAAAAAGAAACGCCCACGTCCCAAGGAAGGCCCTCTCCGCGCGCCTCGCCGACCATTGGCAAAAATTACGCGCCCTTTGGTGTCTCTTGCGCAGATGAACGAGACGTCCAAGCCCGCCAACATCATCGCGCAAGGTATTGCGTCGCCGGCTGCGCTGCGCTTCGAGTACCAGTCGGCAGGCGCAACAAGCTTTCCTCTTGTCGTCACGCGCCGCGATCTCAAAGAGCTGCGCCATCACGTTCTGCGACTCCAAAACAAGACACACATCGACGTCCAGGACCCGCGCCAATTCGCTTCGCCGATCCGCCTTCACCGCCGGGACCCGCGTGCGCCGCCCAGTGGAGCAGGCTCCCACTTTGAGGAGGAAAACACAAAGGAGGATCTAGAGGAGACCAAGGAGCGCGAGCGCATTGAGATGCAGAGAGAGGAGCGCCGTAAGATCCGGGAGGAGAACCAGGCCAAGATCGCGCCCACGGGCAAATCAAAGCCACAAGCGTTCCAGAAGAAGACGGAGCAGAAATACCGACCGGATGACACGCCAGAGGCCAAGAAGCGCCAGCTGCTACGATACGAGGAGACTCTACCGTGGCATCTTGAAGACTTTGAGAACAAGCAAACGTGGGTTGGCACGTACGAGTCGGAGCTTTCTGAGACACACGTGATGCTGTCGCAGAACTCGCAAGGCAACGTCCAGCTGGCACCCATCGAGCGCTGGTACAGGTTCAATGTCAAAGGCAGGGTTAAGGTCACGAGCGGCGGCGACGACACCGAGAAGGTCATGTTCAAGGTCGAAAGAGTACCCGGGTTCCTCAGGAACATTGAGCAGCGTGCCGAGGCGAGAGAGAAGGAGGCACATCAGCTCAAGGGGCGCAACCAGATGAGCACACGAGTGGGTGGTGGTGCAGACGACGAAGGCCGAATTCGTGCCATGCGTAATCAAGAGGGTTATATCAAGCGTGAGGCTGATGCTGACGACATCGACTTCAACCTCGACGAAGACTTCGCCGACGACGAAGAGGGTCTGAACGGACTGTTTGAGGGCGATGAGGACGACGTAAAGGAAGCGTCGGAGAAGCTGAAGCGAGACCAGCTTACTGCGTCGCTCTGGGACCGTGACGAGAAGGCAATACAGGAAGCGGAAGAGCGCGAGGAGATGGAAGCAGAGGTGGCCAAGGGGCTCGAGAAGGGACTGAGGAAGACGCTCGTGAAGCGCGGCAAGCTCTACGACTATGCTGAAAGTGACATGTCTGAAGAGTCAGAGACGGACAGCGAGACAGAGCGCCAGCGCACAAAAGAAGAAGAGGAGAAGAAGGCGGCCGAGGCCAAAGCCGCAGAAGCCGGCAACGTGCCCTCGGGGACTTCGAGCAAAGGCACCAACACGCCCATCGGCTCGAGCACGCCGTCTGGCACGCACAAACCCGTGGACAAGCTCAAGTCCAAGAAGCGGCCCAACTCGGAAATGTCCGAGGCCAGCGGCAACGAGTCGTCGCGCATCAAGAAGAAGAAGAAGAACAAGCTCAACGTGGTGCTCGGCAGCGGCTCGCCCACGGCATCGGCAAGCACCAGCCGCGCGGGCAGCCCCGTCCCCGGCTCGCCCGCGGCCAGCCAGCCCAAGCTGCCGTCGGCGCGGGAGATTTACGACTCGCTCCCGCCGCAGGGCATGGGCATCCAGGCGCTCATCGGGCTGTTCAAGGGCCGCGTCGACAAGGACAACTCCAAGGTCTTCATCTCGATTGTCAAGGCCGTGTCCAGCTTTGATAATCAGCGCAAGTGGCTCACCCCGCTGCCGCAGATGCCGTCCGAGGAGAGCATTAACGAGAAGCTCAACCGGAAACAGCAGTAGTTTGTTGTGTGGGTGACTGGGCGCGGGTTGGTTATCTATGTAGCGGGGCCCTGAGACTGGCTGCGGGTGGGTGTGTATGTACGCCGCACTGGAGTGTAGACTTGATAATGGACTCACGGTCGCGTCGACGCTGTCTCGTTATTTTCCTTGACGTGTGCGCGGTGTGGATAATAGAGGTGGTTTTAGGTGGTTTACTATCTATCTAACCGGTCTATGGCAACCAGAACCAGAACCAGACCAACACCGGATTACATGTATCGCTCGTGCGCGATGTGTGGTGTGTGATGCGTGTTATCACGTTGTATTCAAATCAAAACGCCGTGCCCATGCTATGCCTCCCAAAATTCCTGTTCCTATATCCCTTGCTGTCTCACGGCGTAAGCCCAAATCAGACCTGCGCTGCGTTTGTCGCTCAAGCCTGCGCTGCGTTTGCGACGGCGCCGTCGCCCAGCACCCTGGCCACCAGGATGTAGGCGAGGATGGTGCCGAAGATGATCTTCCACTTGTTCCGGCTCAGATAGCCCTGGCCGGCCTCGCGGGCGATCTGGGCATCCTGCACGACGGTGGTGGCGCTGCCGTTGGGGCGGCGGCGCAGGCCGGCAACCTCGGGCGGGCAGTGTGCGGGAGCGGCGGGCTGTGCGGCGCGCGGCAGGCCCGTGACGGGGTCGATGTGCTTGTCCTTGATCCACTTGAGATTCTCGTCGTCGACGTCGGGCCACTCGAGGCGGAACTTGGCGCCGCCGTCGCCGGCCTTGATGCCGCCGATGCCGCGGGCGGAGGTGCTCGGGGCGGCCGTCTGCTTGGAGCCGCCGCCGGTGGAGTTCCACCAGCGGGTGCGCTGGGCAAACAGCTTGCGCTCGTGCTCGCTGGCGCGCACGCTGCCGGTGGTCATCTCCTCGCTGGTCATGAAGCTCAGCAGCCCCGTGAGGATGGTGCTAACCTCCCAGGCCGGGTTGAAGCTCTTGGGGTGGAAGTCGGAGATGCTGAGGCACAGGCGCGTGCTGGGCTGGAAGCGGCCGGACGGGGTGTGCATGCGGATGGCGGGCGGGGCGAAGGGGTAGTCGGGCGGGAACATGAGGGTGCCCCAGTACTGGCCGCCCTCGTACGGGGTCTCGGGCGGGCCGGTCAGGATGTAGTGCCACTCGAGGATGTTCTTCTCGGACGGGTGGGCGACGATGTAGGGCGGCGGCGACTTGGCGATGGCGGCGTACTCCTTGGTGAGGCGCTTGGTGGCTGCCGGTGTGGCCATGTGTGCGGTGGGTGGAGGTGGTGGAGGAGGTGGAGGTGGAGGAGGTGATGGAGGTGGGAGGAGGCTGTGCGGTGCAGCGGCGGACTATGTACGTGTCGGGAGGTTGTGCGCGCGGAGTTTGGGTGCAGCGCAGCAGTGGTGACGCCAGAGGCAAGCGCGAGCGGCAAGACAAAGAGGGTATCGCGCGGCAAACAGGTGGACGAAACAGAAGGGGCGCGAAGGAGATGCGAGGGGCGCGCGGGCTGAGTAGAACGGAAGGACGGCGTGGAACGGGCGTGCGGCGCACGGGTGGGAGTGGTGAGCGAAGAGAGGAAGTGCGGAACCGCCGCGGCTGCTGGAGCGAGCGTGGAGGTGGAGAGTGGAGGGCCAGCGCGAAGTCCGGGCGGGCACGTGCGCGATGATGCACCCGCAATCTTCACTTCGCAGCGCCAAGGCCACGCTGCCACCGAACAGCCCTGATGGCGTCGCCCATTGAAGACGATGTGCGTACGCCGCGGCCCCCAGCGCGCCTCTGACTGACGACTGACGACTGACGCCGCCAGGTCTTCGCCCGGCTCCAGCACAAGACCGACGCGGCCGCGCTGCAGCGCCAGCAGGACGAGCTGGCCGCCCGCCTGTCCGCGCAGCACCACAAGTCGCAGGAGCGCCTGGCCGAGCTGGTGCGTCCGCTGCCACTGTCCGCCGCCACTGTCCGCCCGTACCGCAGCTAACGCCCGCAGGTTGGCGACAACACGTCGCTGCCCGTGACCATCTCGTCGGTGCGCGTCCTGCACGCCAACCGCACGCGCCGCGGCTTTCTCGAGAAGGTCGTCAGCCCCATCCTGAGCGCCAACCGCGCCGACGAGTACACGCTCGAGGACGCGCTGCGGGAGGTCGGCACCGCCACGGCCAAGCTGGACCGCTTCGGCATCTTCAAGTCGCCCATCTCCGTCTTCCTCGACCGCCCCGACCCCACGAACGCCGCCTCGGCGCCCACCGACGTCGACGTCTACATCTCGGCCCACGAGCGCGGCAACTACACCATCAAGACGGGCACTGAGGCCGGCGCCTCCGAGGCCGACGCCTATGTCAACGCCGAGCTGCGCAACCTGTTTGGCGGCGCCGAGACGCTCCGCGCCCACGGCTCGCTGGGCACCCGCACGCGCTCCGCCTACTCGCTGGCCTTCGACACGCCCATTCTGAGCAACCCGGACCTCAAGTGGCAGGTCAATGGCTTCGCGAGCTCCGTGCTGAAGAGCTGGGCCAGCCACGAGGACGTGCAGAAGGGCGCCAGCACGAAGCTGCTGTGGCGCTCGCCGGCGGGCCACGAGCACACGCTCGCCTACTCGGGCATCTGGCGCCAGGTCACGTCGCTCGCCGAGCAGGCCTCGCCCACCGTGCGCGCCGACGCCGGCGACTCGTTCAAGTCCAGCCTCACCCACACCTGGACCAACGACAAGCGCGACTACCCGCTGCTGCCCTCGCGCGGCTACCTCATGAAGACCGTCTCCGAGCTCGCCGGCTTCTCCGTCCTCGGCGGCGACGCCTCCTTCTTCAAGACCGAGGCCGAGTCGCAGCTGGCCGTCCCCTTTGGCACCACCGGCATCACCCTGACCGCCGGCCTGCGCGGCGGCCTGATCTGCCCGCTCGCCAGCGCCGCCGGCGCCCAGCCCCGCGCCAGCAGGATCAACGACCGCTTCCAGCTCGGCGGCCCCAACAGCGTGCGCGGCTTCCGCCTCGGCGGCCTGGGGCCCCACGACGGCGCCGATGCCGTAGGCGGCGACGTCTTCGCCGCCGGCGGCGCCTCGCTGCTCTTCCCCGTCCCCCGCGTCGGCAAGGAGACGCCGCTGCGCTTCCAGGCCTTTGTCAACGGCGGTCGGCTGCTCGCGCTCCAGGGCGCCAAGTCCGACGACGGCAGCTTCGCCGGCGACGCGCGCGAGAGCCTCAAGAAGACGCTGCGCGACCTCAAGGACGAGCTGCCCAGCGCCGCCGCGGGTGTGGGTCTCGTCTACGCACACCCCATTGCGCGCTTCGAGATCAACTTCTCCCTGCCGCTGGTCATGCGCAAGGAGGAGCAGGGGCGGAAGGGCCTGAGCTTCGGCGTGGGCATTGAGTTCTTGTAGTCCCGGGTCGGTGGTAGTAAGAAGTGTAGATACGGTGTAATGTACCAGTACTAGACAGCAAGCAAGCAAGCGAGATTTCTCATCACATCCGTAGTACTACGCCTCTCTCTACCTCCGCGTTATCCTCTGCCTCCACCCAAGTCCCACAGCTTCTCCGCTGCACTTCTTGCCCCCAGCACACCCTGCCCCCCACCACAGCTCGTTCCCTCCACACGAGAGCCTCTAACTGTCCATCCAGAACCGCCGCCACCACACCGTCTCCGCATCCAGATACCACGGCCCCACCCCCGCAATCAGCTCCTCCGGCCCCGGCACCCCCCGTGCAGACACGTACCCCAGCGCCATGACAAAAGTGTCGCAGATAGTTAAGCTGGTGCGGGCGAATGCGCTGTGCGAGACGGTGTGCGGCATGCTTGTGTCGTCTGGAGTCTGGGTGATGAAGAATTGTAGAGAGCGATGTGGAGAGCGATATGGAGACGGAGGGGCGTTTAGTGCATCGTGATTGCTGTTTGAGGTTGAGGTGTCTTGGGTGAGCTTGAGTGAGCTTGAGCTTGGATAAGCGTGAGGTGAACTTGAGGTGAACTTGAACTGAGCTTGAGTCGACTTGGAACAGCTTGAATTGACTGTGAGCTTGCGGTGAACTTGAGTCGGCATCAACGACCTGGAACGACTTGAATCGACTTGACTTCCTTGAACTAAGTCTGAGTCTGTCTGCACCGACCCCAACCCAAGCTCCAGCCGCGTCTACATCTACGTACCACCGCACGCCCCCCGCCCCGCACCGTCCCTCCCAACCACCAACCCACGCAGGGCAGCGCGCGAAGCTGTGCGACGTGCTAAGGGAGCCGCCCAAACACTTGTGTGTACGCGCAGCGCGATTGGAGGAGCGGGGTTAGTGTGCAGCGAATGGAGAGCCAGAACGCGGTGCTGGTGTGCGGCTGCGAGTGAGAGGCGCGTGGAGGCGTGCGATGCAGTGTATAGGGGCGGTTGAGACCTGCAGGTTGTAAGAAACCTCCGGGCGTGTGGAGTGTGTTATGTCTAGGATGTAGGTTTGCAGTGTGGATGGTGCTGGCCTCGGTGGGTTGGGTTGGTGGATGGAGGGTTTTCAATGGGGATGTTTCAGCTGGTTGCTCTTATCGGTGTGACTGCGAGGTGCATCTCGGTGGAGGAATAGATGTTGCCTTCCACACACAGCTTTCAGTATCTGTTCTTCTCGATCGAGTTCTTCTCTTCATCTTCTGAAAAATAGTACGAAATAGTAGGTTGTTCAGGCTAGGTCTGTTAGTTCTACGCTGTGAGATGGGCTTGTGAGTGTCGGGACTTCTAGTAGATGTGTACCACCATCCACTTCGACGATGAACTACAGCATCAAGCCTGAGTTAATCCACTGCGCCATTTCAGAGCACAACGGTAACGTCGCCGTGCCCAAGACAACACGGTGCGCCTTGTGTCTTGGGCTGCAGGTTTCCTTGGTCCTGCTCCATCACAGGTACTCGTTGAAAGTGAGATTACTACAGTTCTTCCGAGAATCATCACGTTGGCCGTTGCGTGTATTGTGTTGTGGTCAAGAAGGCGCTTTCTCGTTGAGATGTACATACCTAGTACGCTTAAACGGAGGTATTCGATCGGTCTCCGGCTTATTGGCTCCGATGAGATGGTATGGATCATACAGAAGTGCCAAGTGGTTGGACGTGCTTGGGTGCGTACTGCGACCTACACGCCATCCCATTTGACTCAGTCTTCCGCTCCGTCGCACCGGTAGGATATCTCTTTTCGACCGCTGTGGCTGTTTCTCGCGCCGTCAAGCTCTCGACTTCAGATGGCGTTGTGCTCTCCAGCTCAACGTTGTCGTCGCTCGTCTGCAGGCCTCAACATTCGACGCCCTTGCCGCAACGGCTGTCTTTCCCAAAGGAGGATTCGATGCGCGCCGTATTTATCGTGTTACCTCAGCGGCGCTCAAAGTCGCGGCAGCGGAGGTGCGCCTAAAGGCTTGGAGTACCTTTTAGGCAGTCCGCTAACCCCATGGGTTTAAGGCGGATCCCACATGGTCAGACGCCTCCCGCGATGATCGCAACCACTTTCAACGTCCGGGAGGCCCAACGGCAGCAGTAACACACATCCTGGGGGCATCTAGCTCTGCGACCACATGTGCTGGTGACACGAACTCGGGGCTCGGGCTGACGGTTAGCTAAGCTCACAAGGTGGGTCCGCGAATCAACGTCACTTCACCTGCGCCCCGGATTTCCTCCACTTCATGATATTCGATCCTGTTGGCATGCAGGGGTCAGGACTGGGTCAACGCCGAGTGCCCAGACGGATGGTACGCTTCCATCTGCAGTTTCGGGGCATGTTGCTGTTGGTCTGGCGCTCGGAAATTGGACCTCGCGTGATGTGAGGGCACCGCACGATCGATCACACCGACAGTGATATTTTCTGAGCCGTCCGTCGTTCGGAGAGGCAGTGAGTTCTTCTCCAGAAGCCGTTCTACAGTTCAGATCGATTGCTCCGCGCTAGGAACAGCTCAGTAGAGTAGTGAAAGCCCAAGACCCGGCTATATTGCAAGTGAAAAGATACCTGTCATGCATGTTCTTTGCGCGACCCCAGGAGTGGGAAAACGCTTGTTTGCGGGGGCGGCAGCCTGGGCGCAGCGCTTGCAGGGGCCTCGGTGAAGGTCCTCGCAGATCAACGGCCACTGGACAAGCACACACATGCTGGTCAAGGCGCACAGGCTTCTACCCTGAGAACCAACCGGTAAGATCACGCGCAAGTGAAGGCGCTTCTATAAAGCCTTGATCGTCGCCAGCTTGAGTACCGCCTCACATCTGCGTCTCTCTTCACTGTAGGTAGGATGAAGACCTTCTACAACATCTACGCCATCTGTGGCTTCGCCGCCATCGGCGGTGCGCTTTTCGGTTTCGACATCTCCTCTATGTCCGGTGTCTTGGGAACGCCTGCGTATTCCAATTACTTTGGGCAGCCTTCGGGTACTCGCCAGGGTGGTATCGTAAGACACCCCTCCCACTCTCAACGTCCACCTTCACCCGTTTACTATGCCCTTCGGTACTTGTACCATACAGAGTTGCTTCATTCAATTAATCAATTGACCTCTCTGCTTTGGAGTTTCACTAACGTTCAACAGACTGCTTCCATGCCTGCTGGGTCCCTCTTCGGTGCACTTTGCTCATCCTTCCTGGCCGACCGCTTGTCACGCAAAGTCGCTATTCAGATCGCTGCCGCTATCTGGTGCGTCGGTGCCATCTTCCAGGCTGCCTCCAATGGTGTCGCTCTCCTGTGCGTTGGCCGCGTCGTAGGTGGCTTCGCAATCGGTATCTGCTCGGCCATTGTACCAGTATACCAAAGTGAAATAGCACCCAAGGAGATCCGCGGGCGTGTAGTCTCATTGCAACAGTGGGCAATTACGTGGGGTATACTAATCCAGTACTTCATCCAGTATGGGTCCTCTTTCTACGACGGTGGTGTCGACAACCCATTCCAGCGCACGGCTGCCTTCCGAATCCCATGGGGCATCCAGGCAGTACCCGGTGCTATCCTCGGCCTCGGTCTCTTCTTCTTCCCGTATTCTCCACGTTGGCTCGCTTCCAAGGACCGTTGGGAGGAGGCCCTCACCGTCCTTGCCAACCTTCACGGAGGAGGTGACCCCAACCACCCGAAGGTCCTCGCCGAGTACAAGGAGATCGAGGATGCTCTTCGCTTCGAGCGTGAGGAGGCTGCCACCAGTTTCGCCGCCCTCGTCAAACCCCGCATCCTGAAGCGTGTCATACTTGGTATGTCTATTCAGATGTGGTCACAGCTATGTGGTAAGTATACAACGCCGTCTATACTATACTGTCGCTAACGCACTGTCTGGGCATGAACATAATGATGTACTACATCGTATTTATAATGCGGGGCGCCGGCATTGCAGACGAGCTGCTCACGTCGTCTATCCAGTACATCATCAACGTGTTGATGACCTTACCCGCGATCCTCTACCTCGACAAGTTTGGCCGCCGCCCAGCGCTCCTTGTGGGCAGCTTCTTGATGATGACCTGGCTGTTTACCACTGGTGCTCTCCAAGCGTCCTACGGAGTCCCTAATCCTGACGAGACGGACAAGGATATCTCGTGGGTCGTCCCTCGGCAACACGGGGGCGTTTCCAAGGCTATTGTTGCATGTTCCTACCTCTTTGTTGCCTCGTTCGCGACTACTTGGGGCCCAACGTCCTGGACATACCCCAGTGAGATTTTTCCGGCAAAAGTGCGTGCAAAGGCTGTTTCTCTGGCAACTGGTACGTTGGTGAGATCCATTTGATAGCGACAACGTGCTAATGAATCACTAGCTGCGAACTGGACCTGGAACTGCATTCTCGCTTTTGCCGTTCCCCCGCTTCTCTGGAGCATCAACTGGAAAATGTACATGGTGGGTCTTTCCCAGAGCGTCATTCCCTATGGCCGACAGCTAACAGTGAATCAAGATCTTTGGAACTTTCAACGGCCTTGCCCTCATTCACATGTTCATTTCAGCACCCGAGACCAAGGGAAAATCTCTTGAGGAGATGGACGAGGTGTTTGACAGTGGAATTCCTCCGTGGAAGACAGGAAAGATCGAATCGCGTCTCGACCAGCTCCAGCGCGATATCGAGGCCGGCGATGTCAAGGTCGGAACCAACAAGGGGTCCAGCCAGCTCGAGAGCGTTGCGCACGAGCCCAAGGTCTAGATGATCACGGGTCAGTCGGATGCTGCGACTCTGATTCTTCGGAAACGAAGGACCAGAGGTGAGTTGTGCGCAGCTGCAGGACTTCTCAAACGACGTTTCATGGTGCAATGCCTGTACGTAGCGGGGTTACATTATCGTGGTCTTTCTACAAGCCGCGCAATGACGAAACTCAATTTCTCTTAATCTCCCTGACATGCAAGAACAATTACAACCCTGGTCGCGCTGCTGATCCAAATTGGAAGATCGGCAGCGCTCAGATAGAGAGCGATGCAGAGCAGCAACAAGCCAGGACTCTCAGGTATACGATAATAAACACAGACATGCGCAAAGACACTCCGCCAGTACTGCATTCAGGAACAGACAAGTTACCACTGACGTAACTGCAAGACAAGTAATGAAGGATCAGGAACAGTGACAAGAAGCTTTTTGTTAGTGCAGCTAAGCTTAAGTGGAGGTATTCAGATGCAATTTGGAAGCCTATCACTTGTCCTAGAGAAGACTTCAATCCTTCGAAGACAACTCGGATGTGCCTGGATGCGGTACGCGATACTCTACAGACTACGTCACTAAATAACTTGCATACATACAAGCTCACAGCTTTACTTGAGGAAGCACAGATACACCTTTGTTTCCGAGTCCGACCACCTAACACATGCACTCACGTTTCAGGGTGAACGGCAGATAAGCAACCTTTGCAGTTGTAATAATGATCAAAGATGAAAATCTGTCAAGCGTTTCCCCCACTGTAGGTAAAGGCACTCTGTGTATTGTTTTGTTCTTGCGTGGTCAATTACTTGGCTCACATCCTCAATCTGCCGTCTTACAACGTAAGAGACATGATATGCACATCGTGCCCCACAAATGTCGAGATACTCTCCGCCACCACCTGCACCAGATGCTTCTTCGATGTACCCGCCTGCTCCACCCAACGCACAAGGACAGGCTCATTGTGTCGGTATTATTTAGCGCCGTTTCTAGGTTCCAGCAGCCTTTGCGGCCTTTCGTTCAGCCATTGCTCGGCATTTCGCCAGCACGTCTGGTGGAGGAAAGCGCTTGTTCGTCCTGTGGTACTGTCGGCATGCGCCACAGGTCATAGTCGCATTTAGACCAACTCGCTTGTGACCTCTCTTAACATATGGAGCATTGCAGTGATGGCAAGGTCCATTGCCATCTGCCTGGCCCTGGTGCCTCGCCATCACTGTAGCGCTAGGCTAATGTCCATTCTCAAGATAGTACTTGTGGTAGATTAAACATCCCACAACACCTTCTAGTCCAGGTATTGGTTTGTGCTTGCCAACTACGTATGCCGCTCCGCAGTGATGACAAGGGGGCTGGTCCACGCGGGCTTCTCGTTTCTAGCTGAAGCTTTGATGGCCAGGCCTCGTGCTCCTTACGGTAGAGGGTGCATGCATTGCATGCCATTGACTTAACGTCAAACCACCACTGGAAGTACTGGTCCCATGGCTTTTACAGCAAAAGCATAGGCTCTTAATCTTGTCTTCTTCGGTTAAGTGCCGCCTGCGGAGTCGGTTGCGTTTCTGTAAGACTTCTGCTGGAGGCCACACCTTGTTAAAGCCAAAGTAGGTGTTGCAATTGCCACATGTTTGCTGTTTTAGATCGGGATGCCATACTAGTAGCTTGGTGGATGTTTTTTGTCGACTCGTCGAGCAGACCGGGCTTCGTCAAGTGCATCGTGTTTTTGACAATCCTTGCGACCAGGCAAACCCCCATTTTTGAGTCGTTGCTTATTGCGTCGGGAGCCGATGAAACCACCAAAGATCAAACAGGGGAACTACAAGAGCTATTAGTACAGAGTTTCGCTTTGTCGGCCGAGGATACACTTGCAAATTCTTGAAAGAACTTTGTTGCGCTACCTGGCTGTTGGTAACATGTGGTGAGGTAGTTTCCCAAGGACCACCTCTCCTTGCATTCAACAGCGTCAAACCCCGCTCTGTGTTGATGATAGTCAGCCGCTTTCCGGCAATCAATATCCGCACGCTGACTGATTGCGAAGTCGGGGCACAGGCCTACCGTCCAGGTAGCAACTTACAACAGCTAGTTCGGCTGTGGATCTGGCAAATTGAGCGATTCAGATCTCAGGGGTTGACTTGTACAATGCACATAAGTTCGTGCAGGCAAGGGCGAATTGCGGAGACACGCTAAGTTGCAACGAAAGTGCGAGGCAATTGCGCGGCTGACAAGCTTTGACAAGTTTTGTGTAAGTCGCATGCCAATGAGCACGAATAGTATCGCCACCGGACCCACTTTTATTTCTAGGGTTTGTACGCAAACCTTCCCAGGACATCGGGGCAAAGTTGCTGCACTATCCCCATCTTTGGTCCATCGATTGAGCATCAATATATCCTTCAGTCATGGTCAGCAAGGCTGCATCATTGACTACGCCGAAGCTATCGCATTTACTCACTCACACGGCGCCGTTTGTATGTCTCTGCGGCCCACAATAACGCTGCGGATGATCAGATACGGCAAGACTCACAACCCTCATATGTCCTTTACCTCTCTATGCTTGGGAATTCCATGCGACGGACCTAGCGATAGCGACAACATATCACTACGAGGATCCTGCTGATTTCCCTCACAAACAAGACTTGTGTAAGCGGAACAGCTCGCCAACAACCATCATGGACGGCACCGCTATCACGTACGCCACGTCGAAAGACTGGGTCGACATCATGAAGAATCGGAGTAAAGTGCGCATGCACGAGCTAATTGAGCGTCTTGGATTGAGGGCAAAATGGTCGTCTAACAAACGGGGTAAGACCAACTTCGAATCAGCAATACTCAGAGAGCTAGTGCAGGACATGGGCGACGTTGTAGCCACGCTACCAAAAGAGTCCGACGATCTCATGAGGCGCCTCAGCGAAGAGAACAGCCTAAAGCCAGAGGTGGATACCCTCTTGGAGAAGCATGGAAGCAGAATTTGGGGGCGGGTTGGCGATCGGGAACATCTAATTACAGCCAACGAGCCTGGTGTAGAAGATGGCCTCTACCCGAAGGATCTCTACTTTGAGAACGAAGAAGACAAACAACTGTAGGTGACGTTTCGGCCTGGCTATCCTTCTCAAGAGACCTCCACAGAAGTTCAAGTAACATTGACATTCACTAACACTGTTCGTAGCATTCATAAGCTGGTACATTGGTGGATAGGACTCAAAGCGTGCAATGTTATATTGGCACGTGAGCGCTTAGATCGCGAAAGAAAGAAGAAAGAAGAAAATCGAAAAGCCAGAGCTGAAGCCGAGTTTAATGGACAGACTACAGCTGGTGAGGGCAGTACTCCCGCATCATTTGTTGCACTTGCTCCAAACTCAGTCTTCCAGACTGAGACGGCTTCACGTGGGAGCCCCATATCCTCCACTGCGATGCTGACACCCCCTGAACCCGGTGGCAGTCCGGTTGCCGGCCCCCGCGATGGTCTCGGATATACTTCTGTCAATGGCGCCGCGGTAGGCGAAGATAGCATTCCAAGGTCATCCATTTCCAAAGAACAACCTCTTAAAGTCGTTGAAGGAGTGTGGGATAGACTTGCAGCAAGAGAGGGACATAGTTCGCAGCAGAACCCATCATGGGCTACTGCAAGCGCAAGAGCACCGCCACCCGCAGACGATGAATCCGCTGTCCAGCAGCAGATTGGGCTGGCAAATCAAGCACATGTTGACAAACAGATTTGCGTCGAGGTCGCTAAGCTGGTTGCGAGTTTCCGGACTGACGACGCGGCCTCTGAAAACGTTCCTCAACAAAATGCCGGGATCCCATACCGAGGCTTGGACTATGATAGCCTGCGAGCGCTTCGAGCCCTTATCTACAACGAAGAGTGTAGCGTGCAATGGGACGAGGACACCCTTCTCAACCGCCTAGAGAAAGCATGGAGAGAAGGCGTGCGAGCCGATTATGACAAGATGCTTGAAAACATTCCAGTGTTCATTGCAAGGGAGCGAGCAATCCTAACTTGGATCGAGCTTAGGCGACACCTCGCGGCACTCGACCGTGCGGACAGACGTAAGTGCTTTGCCTCATTTCTACAAGTCTATATAACGGCTGGGTTTCAAAGCGGAGTCATCGCAGTACTGACCAATGGAAGGATGGAATTCCGAAGGCCAAAGCGCACCTGAAATTGAGCGGCGCATTCAGCAACACAGAACGCTTATGGGCGCCACACAAACCATCAGCGCAAATTTCGAAGACATCGGGCAAGGATTTGGGCTTGGTTATGGACTTGTTGTCGACAGAGACGAGTTGCTTCGACAAGCATTCGTGGTGGTCGCGGGCGAAAAGTTCGCAGTCGAGATGCTCTGGAAGCCAATAGAGTTTACGAGGATTGTCAGCTGGCTGGGAGAAAGCGTCGAGCCTTTCCGCAAGACGGAAGAGGAAGAAGGAAGGGGTACTCTGTGGTATGTCGGGTAGTGCAGGTGGAAGCACAGACTGCCTGTCAAATATTCATGTACATATTACTGTTTTCAGTCACGGCGTTCAGGGTACTTGTCGATCACCAATGAGCCAGCACTATCGGATTCGGGTAATCGGCCATACATGTTTCAGTCATCTCATCACGTTCCAGGATTGTGTAGGATTGCGCTAGCCCCGTGACGCAAGTCATTGAAAATCTTTCGCAGCGTACGATCAGGAATGCAAGGCTACTTGTGTAAGGACTCCAGAAGGTGCGCTGGTGTACACATGGAGCTTAGGACCTGTTGGGAGGGGGAGATTACTCTTGCTCGGTAAAGTGTAGTATTGCCAAGGGCGGATGTCGTACGTTGCGTGCGACGTCAGTTAACCTGACTAGTCCAAGTCTATGCCTCGATTCTATCTTTACGTGTCGCATTGAAAGTACGTCCCGAGAGCACAGACAGGGATTGTCAGATTCAATACGTGTGCGCCGCCTCACCTCAAGTCTGCAACAGGCAAGTGTAGAGTAAGAGTGGCAGCGGGACGCTCCAGGTCAACCCGTACATGAGCGGACAACGCTGATCCGATGTTACACCGATGTGCAATTCCTAACCCTAAATCATGCACGAGTAAAAACTCAAAGTCGATACGAGCGCGTCATAGACGCATCTGTGCTTTACGAAAGCGTATTCGCTACGCTTATTCGCTGACAGAGAGGAGCCTACTGCTTGACGTGGAAGATCACTCGGGAATTTTGACCAAAGCTAGCATAACTCTTACACGTATCGACACAAATGTACGGTAGATAATTTATTTGTTGTTATGCTAAATAACCACAAGCGTCGCACACCAGAAGCAAGGGCACAGTAGCCCGTGATGCCTGCCCAATGGAATAGGAGTGGTAGTATGATTACTCAAGGGGTGGCGGCGAGTCATACCGAGTGGACGCGTACTCGATAGCATCGGTCAGAACTCGCTCGCTTCCTGCATGCATCTCCCGACTCTGGTATTCCACGCTCCTCACCTGACCTCTGGAGCTCTCGACACCTAGGCAAATTGCGCAGAGTGTATGCCGAGAGACTACGTCCGGCGTCTGAGACAGCAGAACCTGAACTTTGTTGCTGCCAAAAGAAAGGCAGCCCGCTAGTGGAACGAACGTTTACGCTAACTAGCTGGAGTGGTCCCCTTTACGTTACCGAGTCTCACTCTATCGCATCCACGTTTGGCCTGCGCCATCCCCATCACTTTTTCATCTTCGCCTCTTATTATCCACCCGGACTCATGCATCACCATGAGTTCCAAAGACAACTTGGCTCTGGATCTGGAGCACGGCGTGCGACGATGGGATAGGCAAAGATGGATCAGCGTCTTCAGCAGCCATTCGCCTACTATCCGCGAAGTGACTGAATGCTTGGGGCTGGGCTTGTCCGCATCCAGCTCAACGACAAACCGCGGCATCCCCAAATTCGACAATCCGGACTATCGCAAGCTGTCAAGTGAAGTCACAAAGTTGTCGAAAGAGCTGCCCAAGGAAAGAGATGCATTGCTCGATTTTGCTGCAGATCCACACAGCCTAGATACCGAGCTTGAAGAACTGCTCGGTTCTTACGGGCCCGCTATCTGGGGCAGGAATGCCGATCGCACCTGTCTCCTCACTCCCGATTCAACTAAGAAGACCTACAACAAGGATTTATTCTACGACAATGCGGAACACCGAGAAACGTGAGTATCTTGCGCAACATGTAGACTGTCTGATTTTGCGCATCGTATTAACTAGTGCAGACTCAAAATCCACCTGCATCGATGGATCATCATCAAAGCATGCTACTACATCAGGAACATGAAGCTTAAAAGGCCTTCTGGTGCCAACGACTACGACACTCTTGCTGATATTGACGCTGAAGGTGCTGTAAGTGCAGACGTTTGCCACCATTCACATGACGTTGGCTTTGTAGCTAGTCTGCTGACCTCCTTGCAGTCTCAGCATGGAACACCACTATCACTATCACCACCGCAGCCTGATTCGTCAGTTCGCGCTGATAGCGAGGCCAAAGTTTTTCCTAACTTGAAAAAGCGCAAGAGCTCGGCATTCCTAGGCGGCGGCTCTATGTCAGATGGAGAGGAACATCCTTCTTCGCCTGCCAAACGGCCGTACAGTACCTTGCCGACAGGAACCAGGAGTGCGAGTCCAAGGAAGTCACTCAAGTCTTATGGCGCTTCAAGCCCCGGTAGCATAGAAAATCTACCACCTCTGCCGGTGCGACCTTTCGATCAGAACCATCATCTTTCGCCAGCGCCAAATGTTGGTCCCGAATCTAGCCGCATCCAACTTGGCCCAATGTCAATCAATGAAGTCAATGGGATCTCTGGCCCGCCTACAGCTTCGTCAACTCTTGCTGGGGGATTCACGGCTGTCAACACAAGCTTCCCCTCGGCCAACACTCCGCCACCACCGCCACCGCCACCAGTCCGAGAGTCCTCACATGAAATCTCACGAGCATCATCACTTGACTCGAAAATGACCTCGCCAGCACTAAACCGGGTAGAGCCTCGCACATACACAAGCCCATACGATTCAGCTGCACAGAGCGCTACTTTGCCATCTACAACTTCTGATCCTCGATCTGTCTCTGCACCTACTACGGTGTCGGCTGCTGGTCAGGGATTCCAACAGATCAAATCACCCACCCCTACCAACGGTGTCGTCAGCCGCGAGTCGTCAGTGGCTCGTGCACCATCTCAATCCTTGTTTGGCTCTGGACCTGGGCCTCAAGCGACCTCCCAGCAACAGCCGCAAAGCTCACCGCCAATCCAAGTCAAATCTCATGTTGAGAGCCAGTCCCACAATCGCACACCTTCCAAGACTCATGTTCAGCTACACCAGCAGCAAGCGCCAGCTCAAACCTCAAGTCGTGCGAATACACCCAGTAGTAGTCATCATGTCGGCCGCTCTATTGCCCCTCACCCTTCTAGCAGGTCTAGCACGCCATTCGCGCAAGACGCAAATGCTCCATCGATTAAGTCTCTAATTCAGCAGATTGCGCCCGCGCCCGCGCCTGCGCCGATAGAATCACATGCGCCGGTCCACGGCATGCGAATTGTGCCTGCGATAGTGCCGGCTGGTCATCCTCAAGCTGTGCAGCCTCTTCCACCTGTCGCTCCTCCTGTTCAGCCACCGCAACCAGTTTTGAAAAGCCAGCATGCCGAGATCCCTCCTCCGCATCAACTAAGGCCTGTTGTTCCTGTGGTTGAATTGCGTTTGCTTCAATGTGAGGTACTTGCATTGCTCATTCAATACCTGTTTCCAAGGCCAGCATCACCACCAGACGAGAGAATCATCATCAGCCAGATCCAAAACCTCTGGTACCTTGGTGAGGCCATGTTCCGCGCTGATCTTGGACCCCATTATGAGATCTGCTCCCGCGTCTTGCAGGCTTGGCTGCACGAACGTCAGTCCATCACAAGTCTCCGCCACTCACTGCTAGTGCAACCTGGAGTCAGCCCAGCAGGGCTCATGGATCGCCTCCTTGCTATGAACGATCTTCGGGTTATGCGGTTGAAGTGGAAGAATATGAGCCCTCTGGACGGTGCCAGCCCAGAAGACCTGCTTTGCAAGACATTCGCAGTCATCTCCAATACAGAGAACACAGAGCATCTCTTCAAGGATGGACTGGACCGGCTCAACAGGGGTGTGTTTGAATTCCTCCGGAATGAAGACACAAAAATCGTCATGCAAAGGCGATGAGAAAGTTGTGCATCTTTTCTCCTTCGAGCGTTTATCTTTTTGTTTGTCGATTTCCTTTGTTCTCAAAAGTGCAATAGGTGTTTATCCTGTGGGTTTAGCGATGGCGTTCGGCGGTACTCAGTGTCAAAGTCTCTGAGACTGTTCATATCCTGCGTAGGGTTGGCGGCATGTATTTACAGACATTCTTCAGGCTCATATCAGCCATAATAGCAGGTGCATAGGTGCATTCAGCTAGAAGTGTCAATACACACGATGTTCTCAAATCGGGAACACTATAATCTTGCACCTCATGCAGGCCACAACCCGCGTTCACATGGGTGCGTGACCTGCAATTCCTTCCACACTCGTCAACTGTCACGTTCAGCGACACTCACGCGCTCTTATCACATGTGTCATTCCAAGCTCGCAGCCCCTTGCGTTGCAGGTGGCTTAAGCCTTGATCGCCCTAAATGGCTCGCTAGTGCTACATCGACCCGTCAGCCTCACCTTCAGCCTCAGCCGTCCAGAGTACCCACACACCACCCTTCTGCCTAACATGTCACGCCCACGATGAGCGGCCATGCCTATCTTTTGCTCTCCTGCAGTCTCCCTCCCTGAATCTACGCACGGAGCGGTGCCTTCGTGCTTGTAAGCGTAGCCTTGTGCGACACACATTCGTTGAATATGGGATTCCGTCTCCTGGTGCCTTCTGGTACGCCGCGACCCTCTACAGCTCAGCCTGTTGCAGTAACTAACATCCACAGGCGAAGGGCAGCATGCGCTCCTCCCCAAGAGACCAGACCCCCTCGGCGCAAATGCGACGCTCCAGTACTCGGTCCTCGGCTCGACCGCCGCCGCCGCCGCGTATACGTCCTTTGCTACGCGATACAGTCAACGAGTGATTCCAGGCTATGCTCTCTCGAGATCGGCGCTCTTCATACGATCGTCGGCGAAACTGGGTCTACTTGCAGGTGTGCTGGGGGCAGCGGCGGAGTTGTATAGCAACTCGCGGTTCACGTCGGTCGTGCTCTCGCAAAACAATCAAGATGCTTCGCCCTGGAAGCTATATGAAAAGGCGAAGAGCTTCACCATCGACGATGGCTGTCTCATCGGCGGAGGACTAGGACTTGCTATATCGGTACCCGCCCTCTTCATACGCCGGCTTGCTATTCCGCGCTGGACAAGATGCTTGGGCTTGGCAAACATAGGAGCATGCGCAGGGGTTCTCGCTGGGCATAGCTATCTGCAGTATACCGGCGAGCGAAAACGGGCCTACGCGCGCCTCACGCGACGGCAAGAGCGACGCTCCATCGCCTTCTGGGATCTGTTCTGGGATAAGCAGGCAATGGCAAGGTTCAACCCTTTGGTGCAATTGTATATTCGCCACAACACATTGTGGTACGCGCAGCAACTTCCAGACTCGGCCTTCAGCCAGGCTGATGATCAGGACGCCGCCTCGGCCCAACCTCGAGACTCGAATTTCAACGTTGACAGCTCGGAGTCTGTACATGCGCAGGATGACCAGTCTTACTATCTGCCACCATTCGATTATGCAGAGGATCTGAAGTACATCAGTGTGGAGGCCACCTACGCCAGGATAGAGGAGCATGAAGCGGAGATTGCAGCTCTACTAAAGGAGGCCGAGTTCATCCTATACATCAGCGCACACAGACAGTACGAGTATTGCCACCTTCAAGACGTGGACGACGAAGAGCGGCGAAAGCGTCTCGAAGAGCTCCAGCTCCTGCAAATCACATATAACAAGCTCCGCAGCGCCGCCGAGCAGCTCCAATCGCGGCTCATCAACTGGCGCATGTCGCTGCAACACAAAGCCCTCATGGACTCCCCCACAACGCCCGCGAGCCCAGTAACCGCCTGGCTGCCCCCCTCAACCCACGACTTCAAAACCCACAACCCGGCCCTCGCCATCCAGGAACTCGAGCGCACCCAGGCCGCCCTCGACGCCGAGGTCCGCAGCTTCGAGGCCAGCATCGCGCACCCGGGCTACACGCAGGACAAGAAAGCGCGCTGGCGGCTGGATCTCGAGGACGGCCGGTCGCTGCTGCGCGTCGCGGACAAGGTGGTGTGGGAGTTTGAGAAGATGCAGGACGCGGCGCGCAGGCGGAGTGTGCTCGAGCGCGAGCCGAGCGAGCCGGCGAGGGAGCAGCAGGCTGGCGCTGAGCCGGCGGCGGCGGCGGCGCGTGCAGAGGGCGCGGCAGTGGCGAAGCGCGCGGATGGCGGGTTGGAGGTTGGCAAGTCGTGATACCCATGCAGTATGTCAGTGAATGCATTGTAGTCCGTTTCCATGCTACGTTTGCTGTCGATGTGTTGCCTCGCGTGGCTCGCACTCGTTCGTGCTCTCTCCTCTTGACCCCAACACGTCGCCTGCAGATCTGTCTCCATCGTGGGAGACCAGTGTCACATCGCCACTTGCCTGTGTGGAATGACCGAGCAAGTCTAGCGAGTAAAACAGCCACCGCCGAACGACTGGTCGCTGCCGATGTCGGTCTCAGCTGGCCACTTGGGAATGCCTTCGCGGTGAGCATCAGTCTCTGTGGAATCGATGTCTGGTTTTGCTTGGAACAGAGACGTTTAGCTCGAAGCCATGGTGCGTCAAAGAAGCTTTGGGCTGCTGTGCGCGAGCAATGATGTTACCTGATAGCTATTTCATGTGCATATTATGGTAGAGCATTTATCGAAGGTTAGACGTTATGAACCGCCGAGAGAATGCGAGATACAGGCCTATAGGCAGCAGCAATGCAGCCTTCGATCGAACAGAAGGGACCACCGCAAATCAATGTGAACGAAGGAGCTTGAATGCATCTATATAGTGTCTATACGGTAGCCTGACTTGATTGTTCCTCGCGCAATGGTCCAACTCCTTGAGGACGGTGTCCTATCATGTCCGCACTGCGAGCCATATCTCAGAAACGACCTCGTGGTTGAATTTCCATTATATACTAAGTTATCATATTACACGCATAAACTTGTCGTCTGAATCGCAGGGTAAGACTGTGGATAGAGCAGCCTTAAGGCGAGCCTCTAACTAGCCGGTTCACGCGCCATGGCGAAGCGTCCTGTCCAAGGTCTTTTCCAATCAGGCAAATCATTCCGTCGACCGGCAGCCTCCAATATCAGATCGTCTGTGGGAAGACCAGATTGGATCATCGCCTCGCGGCCACGGTCAATGCGCCCCTGCTCAGGTAACGCGAATGATCGCCATGCTAGTCGTTGGGCGTGCTCAGTCTTTGTGATATCGATGTTTTTCTGCAGTCCCCTGTGTGCCAATTGAGCCTCTTTCAGATCCCCTAAGCGAGCACTCAGAGGAATTGCCTGGTCCACTGGGGTGAGCGGATCTGACATGCCTCCTGCGTGACTACGCTGAGTCGATTCCATGAGCGGAAACTGCTCCAATAGATGAGAGAGACGAGGAGATTTGTCGATTCTCGGTTTTACGAAATTCGCTTGAACCCGTGCAGTTGCGTCCGGATAGTGTCGCATCAGCTTAAGTGGGTACGCAATTTTCATCTCAGACCATTTGGGATATGGCCGTTGAAGCTTCGGCTTCCAGCGTTCTGCGTCAAGCTTGCGTCTATTAAGCTTCTTCTGCTGTTCGCGGCTGATGTGTTCTTGGGGTATAGTGAGCTTCAGCGCCATGGTGACAGGCCCTGTGACACTCAATGGCGGTGTTGGTGGGAATCCTTCATTAGGTACTGAGAGACGGAGATCTGGTAGTGAGGCTGATTGCAGTGATATTTTGCGTTGGCGCTTGACGGGTCCAGCCTCGTAAGTACTGAAACCACTTGGCTTCGCTCCATCATACAGGAAAGAACGCTTACGCGAACAGATAGGCTTGGGTTGTGCCATGGTGTCGTCGCGCTGAATGCAATGCTGTCATCGATTGCGCCAGTGCGTTCGACGGCCTGTAGGCTGCGGCGGTGATGGTGATGGTGAGATCCTTCAGCTGAGTCGTCTATAAAGGAGTGTGGCCTCTGTTGTAGTCACAGTCAGATGGCTGCCTATGCATGGCCGTGGTGGAGGATCGTAGCTACTTACTGAAGCAAGAAGAGGAGCTATAGCGAAGTGAGTGAGAGCATTCAGGGCATCTGCAGCGCTGTACAAAGTGAGTTGTGCTGTGGCAGTTATAAATGAGAGTATTGGGTGGCGGACGTGTACTGTTAAAGTCAATGCGAACTTACCGCAATGTTGTTAGTAGGTCTTGCTCTTTGCGGACAGCAAGCAAGACAGCCACCGGGTGGGTGGCCATGGCGGGAAAGCACGTCCAAGCTGCAATTGTCCAACACAAAAGCTTTCGAATAGGTATCCTTGTCGTTCGTGCTAATGCACAGTGCAGCATTTGCTCCACCGAAAACCGTAGGAAATCGTCTAAGGTAATGCTTGCTTTGGAAAGCAGCGGCTCTGCGTCTCACGAAGCCCTACTAATAGCGAATAAACTATAGAAGTTGTCAGTAGATTGTGGTGAGACATTGCTTGCTACCTGCCTGGCTTAGGAACGTTGTAAGGCTGCGTGCATCAATGCACGCGCGCACAAAACTAAATCGCGGAGAAGAAAAAGTAATAGACAAGTCAGTTGGGGTCTCTTCGCTACGTAAAAGTAAGCCCAATCGCTATGTGAAAGAATCCTGATTTCACATCGTTACTCCAAAGCCAAATAGCAGAACCGTCGCAGTCCCAGACCGAGAAGCAACGCCAACGCCACGCTGAACAATGCTGTGCAAATCGAAATCAATAAGAGAAAGTCGCGAAGACACCCCGTACCTAGCGCCGTAGAATCTCGTCCTCCGCCATACTCCAATCCCAGGTGTCTTCCTCAAGTGTCTCGTCAAGTATCTTCTCTTGCTTTCCCCAAGAAGCTTGCGTGTGGACAGACATCGCAGGGTCGTTGTCTGCAAATCTCCCGTACGATAACCTGTTTAAACTAGTTATGCTGGCGCCGAGACTCCAACATGTGGACCAGGTCCAAGACAGTAGAGGTGCGATAGATGAAGTGATAGGCGTCGACCAAGTTTTTAAAAATGTGCGGTATATGAGTGTCGGAATGACAACGCCGCGCTTTGGCGCGTTCGTGTTAACGGCAAAAGGATAGGGTGAATAGCTCGCATACTCGGGGTGGCAGTAGATCTCGCTGTTCTTCTGGTCAGCGCAATTCGAGTCGAATCGGAGTGAGAGAAAGGAGAGGCAGACTGACTGACTCTAGTCCAGAGATAGGAGGATAAAGATCGGAATAGAAAGCACGTACCAGGCGACAGTTTCGCTCGCCCACCAGATGAAGGACAGTGTTAGCAAGATACTGAGTAACGTAACGCCGCCCCACATCTTCAAAGGTCTGTTCCCGACTTGTCGCTGCGTCTTGAGACGCTCGTCCCAGAAGAAGCTGCGGAACCATTCCCACGGCGAGAACTGAGCACTGACTTCGCGGACGATGATAGGACCCCTCTCGCCCGCTCCCTCGGGCTGGTTGTGCTCTACGGTTGTTCCTACTCTACTCATACCTCGGCTAGCATCTCGGAGGCTCGTGGTTGTAGTCCGTAGACGTTGGCGAAGCCGGTGCAGCTGCACGGCCTCAGCTTGACGCTCCCGTTCTGCTTCACTTCGGGGCGTGGTTGTAGGGAGTTCAATGCCGTGTAATGTGTCGTCCTCGGTTTCATCATCGGCGGTAGGCGCAATGAGTTCTTCGAGCGAGTGTATGGTGTCCTCTCCATAGTCGTGGCTAGCCCGAGCTTCCTGTACAAGAGCTTGAAGAGCTGAGCTAGGGAGCTGCGGAGGGGGAGATGCATGTTGGGTGGGCTCTAGAGTCGGCCTCGCTGCTGACTGCTCATCTTCGGCCAGCGCTGCCGGCATTTCTGGCGCGCGAGATGTGCTAGAACTGCCCTTCGTAACAGATTGTGATCGCAAGTCCGTCGGCTGCTCGACCGACTTGTGGGTGGTGCGTGGGCCAGGCGTGTCCACCCACCCCCCCATTACGTAGGGCGTCTTGGGATTGCGGACAGCTGGCTCTGTCGGCATCGGCGTTGCATCAATGTCTTGTGCTGGTGGCGCCGACGAGGGCACGTCTGGCGTCGTTGCATCGTGTGGTGTGTCGTGACGCAGTCCGCGCTGAGACTGTGCTTGCTGCGTCGCAGTAGATGCCGCGGCTGCAACCGGCGCAGACGTGTCGCTGGCTGCTGCGTCTATTTCCGCTGGTGGTGGATGCGCAGGGTGGGCGCCGGCGGTGCGGGAGGCGCTGTGCTGCGGCGGTGCCGGGTCGGTGTGCGGGCGCGGAGGCGCTGATGCCTTGGGACTGGGCGTATTGGACACGCGGGCCAGACGGCGCAGAAGGTCCTGTGAGTCGGTGCGGCGACTGGCGAAGGGCCGGGCAGGCGTCCTCTCGGCGCTCGCCATGACGTCGCGCTCGACAAGGCCCACCGTCTCGATGCTCTTCCCGTAGACGGCAATGGGCGAGTTCTCCTTGCCGAGCTCAGGCTGCGACTTGCTCAGTGACTGCCACGAATTGGTCCGCCTGCGCAGGCGGCGGCCGGGCGAGCCCTCGTCGGGCGGCGGGCGCTCGGCAGGGCCCGTGTCTGGGGCGGCGGCCAGCGACGACGGGCGGCGCGTCTCCTCGGGCGAGTGCTCGCGGATCCTCTCCAGGCGGGCCGAGGCCAGGCGCTGCTCGCGCAGCGTCTCCATCTCGCGCGCGCGGATGTCGTCCAGCTTGGTGTTGCGCGGGATGTACGGCGTCGACACGAGCATCGAGGCCTCGTTCATGTCGAAGGTGAGGTCCAGCTCGCCCGAGCTGTCCGGGCGCTGGGGGCCCGCGTGGAAGCCCTTGTGCGAGAGCGGGCTGTCGTCTGCGCGACGCGGCGCAGATCCTCGCTCGGGCGGCGCGGGCGTCTGCGCCTGCGCCTGCTGGGGCGGCTCGTCGCGCGTGATGTTCCGCATCCAGTCCGCGTTCGTCCGGCCCTTGCGGCCCCAGCTGGCGGGCGCGTGGACGGCCGGGCTCGAGCGCATCGAGCCGCTGCTGCTGGGCGGGCTGTGGAGCGCGCTGCGCCCAAGGGCACCGGGGCCGCCGGCGTCGTGCGCGTTGTGCGCGTCGACGCGCTTGAGGTTGTCCATAGTCAGGCCGACACGGGCTTGCGTGCGCGCCTTCCGGAACGGCTGCAGTCTGCCATTGGGGGCTGCGTGGAGTCGTCGCTCGTCGCGCGCTTTCTCGATCATGAACTGCTCGAATTCGTCGTCGCCTTCGAGCGAGCTCAGCCCCGACACCACCGATCCAGAGTTCTGCGCATCGTCCTGCACGTGATGCGCCATGTCGAGAGTTCCATCTGCCGTCTTGCTTGTCGTGGTGCCGCGGGCGTGGCGCGTGCTCGAGATGTTGGCCGACAGCGCGGGGATGGGCTGGAGGGGCCGCCTCGAACTCATTGGTGTGCAGGCGACACGTCGCGATGGTACATAGCCAGTGGCTTTGGGTTCGTGTGGGCAGTCGTGTGCACGTCAGCGCATCGGGTTCTCGTCGTCAGGTCCTTGTTCGCACCGGCCAGCGCCGTGGTTGTCTCGCAGCAAGACGCGTCCGTGTCGCGGTCGTGACTTGCACTGCAGCCGCCAGCGATCGCCCGCAGGGATGCGCACTAGTCCTGGACAACCACCACACCACCACACACCCATGCATGAATAATGTCTACCACCGGTTTGGACTCTCTGTACATCAGTTGAAAATTCTGTTTGTATTGGTTCGTGGTATCATCTCATGGCTCCTGGTCGTCAATTGCTTTCATCCTTCTCTCCACCATCTCAGGGTCAGCGTTGCCGTGCTCGTCCCTCCAAGCCTGCAGTACCACCTCTCGCATAATTCGCCGGGGTGCTCGCTTTCCTGTAAACAGCTCAAACTGCGCAAACGCCTGCTCTGGGAGCCAGTCGAGTCCGTCCATGAAAGTCCATAATCTCGAAGGCTCATCTCGTATTTGGTTCATCAGAGGGGTGTTGAGTGTTCTGTATGCGAGCTCCATCACCACCCCTCCTGTTGAACTTCTCAGCCACTCTTCTGGCAGTGTGAAGTGTGGTGCAGGGTTGTCATCTATTGGATCGGCTGGTATGCATGAGAGTATGATCGTCGGTAGACGAAATCCTTCTGGCCAGGCGTCGTCTCGAGACTTCATCGTGTGGAACATTGGACGGGAACCCTGCACCGTGGCCGATGGAACTAGGCTGGCTCCAGCCGAGGACGAGACAAGCCGCGTAAAATGGGCTACTAGATCCTCTGCTTTCTCTAGTGTTCGGTTGAAAACGACAATGTTCTTCACGCCCAGCTGTAGCAGTGCGTACACTGAGCTTCGAGCCATGCCACCTGCGCCCACGACTAAAGCGCACGTTGTAGGTCGCACCGCGTTCGCAGGAGACAGCCCTCTACGGATACACGATCTAATGCCAATCCATTCAGTGTTGTCTCCGTGAAGTGCTTGCACAGCTCCTGATTGACAGCGCTCCTGAAAAAGCTCTAGGTCACCAGGTACACTGCCGTCGCCGTTCAGATGTCGAACAGGAATCAGTGTATTGACAGCGCCAATAGCTCGAGCGTGCTGGCTTAGTGAGTCCGCCAGCGAGATCACTTCAATCTTGAAAGGTTGGATAACAATGCATCCACCAAAGTTTGGGTCGTGCACAAAGTCTTGCAGGCTCTTCAGAGTCGACGTCTGAACGCATTTGAACTCATGGGGCATGCCGCAAGCAGCGTAGCCGGCATTGTGCATAGCTGGCGATAAGCTGTATTGGGTTCTTGCACCGATAAGATGAATCTTCATCACATCGAAGGTGAAAGTTGAATAGAGTGCTTGTGTGACTTCTCGAGCAGTGAGCCAAGAAGTCTCTGGATTGCGTTCGCACTTTGCTCCGAAGTCAGCCTTGTCGCGGACTGATTCTGGTATGACGGATGTGAGGTGCTTGTTGAGACAGGCTGAACGACGTCCCGCTCGTCCTATGTTGTGGCGGATCAGCGGGACCGTACTATTCCTGGCGTAGATTTTCGACATCAGATGGTGCACAGAAGCGTCATCGTCCACAGACCTGGCTGGGCGCGTGAATCGCACGACGTCGCAACCTAGTCGGACCGCAGTCTCATAATAGTTGCCCCATGAGCGATGGTCCCAACTCTTATCTGCGTGTAAATGTCCGATGACCTTCGACCTGCCTCGAGAAGCGATCAGCTCGACCACCGTTTCCGCACCAATCGACAAATCCACGGTTATGAATTCAGGCGCCATTCGTAAACCATGGCGAACGTGCTCAAGGTACGATGGTCGGCTGTAGTCTTTTGATGCTGAAGGTAGCACATGGTAGATAATGGGCACAACAGTACTGCGACGTATCTTCGAGATACAGTTGCTGATGTCGTCCGCTCGTATCGTTCGGAGTCGCTGGCTATGGGGGTCGAGTTCTGTTGGGTCAACCACCACCTCAAAGGCATCAGAGCCGTACTCGAGCTTCTGAATGTCCACATCTTCCGCTAGCAGATCTGATAGCGGTACTTGAACCGCGCAAGTGTACTTTCTCAGCTCAGTGGCCACATCTGACAACGGATACCCCGGTTCCAAGGGAGGGTTTGCGTTGCCTACAGGCCCGTCTGCCGTGTCGCGTGTCAAGATGAGGGACAGAAACTTCAGAAAAGTACGTTGAGCACGTTTGAGGGTAAGGAATGCCGGTGCAATAGGTTGGTCTGATGGTGTGCCGGACCGAGCCGGCGCATGTTCAGAGATATTGCAGAACTCATAATTCGAGCAACGCCGAAGAATAGGCGCACTGAATGCCAACATGTCCCTTAACCTGCGGAGCTCAACTCCTCCAAGGTATTCGTGTATGCTGTGCAGGTCCCGCACGATGTGAATGATAGGATGTGTCTCAGCAAATTCCTGCATAAATAACTGCCCATTTCTTTCTAACGAACCACCATTGCAGACAACAATTGCGCCCTTGTCGTGTATTCGGAGAGCAGTTCGCAAGAGCTCTTCTTGTCGTAGATTGTGATTCGAGGCGCCAAATTGCTTTCGATATTTGGCAGCAGAGAAGCCTGTCGCTTCTTGGAAAAGATCGTCAATGTCGACCACGCGGCGTCGACACGCCATAGACGCTATGACTGCCAGTGTCGACTTGCCCGTACCACGCATTCCAATGAGGACAATGGATGCATCTGGCTCAAACAAGCGACGTGTTTCGTTCGGCGGAGAAGTTGGAACCGGTGTTTGTCGTGGAGTGGAGCGGGCGCTGGAAGTCATGGATGTTACTGTGTTCGGTCAGCATATATGCTGAGAGGAGTCCAGCGCTACTCACGCGAGTCTTCAAGGTTGGGCTTGACTCTTTGGCGCGCATAGAGGCCCCCAGGCAGGTTTACATCATGCAAGGTCGACAGCGCACTTGTGGGTGAGTGGCTGTCCTCGCTCATGGCGGCGAAGGACCGCTTCGTTCCTACTGCTGCAGATGCCATGGCAAGATCCGGGGCGCCCAACTCCTCCTAGAGAGTGTCCTTCTGGGAGTATGAGAGCTTCTGGAATATGGAGGCTGTCGTGTGCTGTGGCTGACAGCAGTAAACCCTCGGTGTTTCTTTTACGCGCAATCTGCTGGCCGGCTAAAGGGAACGTGCTGCACGCAACATCTGAATCGAGCAGTAATGTCGTCTAAGTTTGGTGGAGAGCTCTTCAATCTGGTGAGTTGGGAAACAGCTTCGGAATTGCAGGTGTGACAGGCACTGGTGCTAGCACTGCCATGGCACAAGGTGCGGTGTGGAAGCGAAGTTCGAGGCTTGGTGGAGGAGCAGCCGTCGCCGACGCGCATCGGATGAGAGTTCTTCCCCGCACTCGTTCCTTCCCCAGACACGCAACTCACAGCTCTCCACTCCCAAGCCAGCCACGGCAACCCACTCCCCCATCATCAATTAATAAAGCGCATCAGGTGTGAAGTGGAACCAGCAGCGAAACCTGATTCATGAAGTCTGGGAGGCACTGTACGTTGTATACCTCACAGGACTCTCTCTAGGGCCAGCTAATTGAGATGCAGAAGAGCACAGATGCGACAGCGAAATCTCTTATCCTTCCTGTGGACAATGCCTCTTTGATCTGGGTTTCCGGAAGAACTGCATACCTTACAGTTTCTGTGTCGCAGTATACACGAGCGAACGTCTACGCTTGTAGGCTTCTGCAATTGAAGTCTCGTGACGTACCCTGAATCAGATCCTCTAGAATCACATACGATATCTATCAGTCTGTGCATCTCTGCTGGTTCATCACTGTCCTTTCGTACCCCTCTGAGCTACTGAACGGCGCTCATGCCTGCACAAAGCCAGCAAAAGCGTAGATCAGCCACACATGACCCTGACAAGCCAGCCAAACGCACCAGAGTCTCACGGGCTTGCGACCAGTGTCGGGTTGCTCGCGAGAAGTGCGATGGGGGTCAGCCAACATGTTCTACTTGCTTGACGTCGAAGCGAGGTTGCACGTACACAACAAACCCTAAGAAACGAGGCATTCAACCTGGTTACATCCGCGTCCTTGAGTTGGCATTGGCAACGCTGTTCCAACAGAACTCTGAGAACGAGAAGTACCTCAACGATAGACTAGCAAGAGAAGGCCTGTCATCACTGTTGCTCAGCCGCGATTCTAAAGAATCGAACAAGCTGCATCAGCAATGGCGCAAAACTCGATTCAACAGGGATGTTGACACGTTATTATCGGGAGAAGAACCATCACGGCGTGACTCGGACCCGCTGTCGCCGCAGGGAGATGATGACAATTCGGATGTCGAGGACTCTGCACCACCTCTCCCACCAGCCCCAGTTGTTCCGAATGACACATTCAATCAGATGCTTCCATACACCCTGGTATCTCCAAGACCATCGCTTCAGCAGTCACTAGCACCGGCACAGCAGCCTGCCACCGACATCTTACTGACGACCCTTCCTTACGACAGCTGGAAACAAATCGAGACCTATTTCACCTACACCCAGTGCTGGCTTCCAATTTGCGAGAAACACGATATACTGAAGCTTTCGTACTCGTATCCTGCAACGGGTATGCAGTTATCCCTCACAACACCGGATTCTGGCTCTCATGCAGAGCTCTGGAGTATATTGGCCGTAGCATCGACTTACGAGCCTAACGCGACAAATCCAACTAGTCATCCCGCCCAATGTTCAATGACGCCAAAGCAGCTCTACGACGTTGCTCGGTCCTTAATTCCACATGAGCTGGGCTCTTTCGAACTTGGACATGTCAAAGCTCTGCTCAACCTTGCGATTTTCAGTATTGCCCAATCATTGAGTGAAGCTGCCTGGTTCCTGGTCGGCTGCGCTTCAAGAGTACTCGAAATTGTGGACCAGGTCTCACTAATACCTAGTACACGGCGCATGCACGTTTTTGCGGGTTGTCTCGTTCTGGATAGCATGCTTGCGCTACAGCTGGGAAGACGTCCATACTTCCGCAAGTGTGACATCGAGCAGCTCGGACGAATTGACGAAGATGGTCTCGAGGAGTGGCAGCCATGGTCTGGTGGATCCAACACTGCCTCCTTACAACAGTCAAGGATGCCGCTATTGGCTTTCAGCAGCTTCCGACACCTGCTTGATGTGCTTGACATACTTGTTACTAGTGAGCTTGCCTCACCTTCTGCTCTGCCAACTCAGGACACTTTACAACGGCTGAACGATTGGAAATCAGCATTACCTCACAAACTCGACTACCTACAATCCGAGACTGTTTCAACTCCCCCCACACCTCCCGCTGTGCTACTACAACTGACGTACTACTGTACTGCACTGTCATTGATGCCAACACAACCTTGGGTACCACAAATTTTAGACTTACTTGAGCCTTTGCCTAACCGGCTTGGACTGACGAGCTTACCGCCAGTCGTACATTGTCTCATGGGGATCGTCGAACGACATGGCAATCATTTCTTGTCTGACCCAGCACTACGTGCTCGTATGCAGAAGCTCCAAGCTGATGCTGATCGGACATGGCGAAAAACAATACCAGATATTCGGTCGCCTTCAGGCCAATCTCGACAATCGATCACGGCCCTACAAATGCCAACGCCTGATTCGATCCACCAACCTCTCTCGAGCAGTAATGCCGCAGGCCAGGTGGCTGTAGGCAACGACGCAAGGAGTGTGCATGCTCGCAGCAACAGCAGTCTGCCGGATACAATAGGTGCGAATACAAATCAGCACATTGAGTCCTTTTTGAATGCGACTCGCCCTGCCCAGCCAGACCCTCGATATCCAGATATACCGGGAGACCTCGAAAGCTTTTTCGATGATTTGGCTTCTCTGGACAATACGAACAAGCTCGAGAACCAACCACAATTCATGCAGAATCTTGGCTTTGCTCCTGACGCCAATATGGCCGATCTCTTCAGCGAGTTTATACCGATGCAGTCTACAACGTTCATAGGGCAGGAATCTGCTGATCTTGGTCACTTAGATCAGTACAACTTCTACGACGGAAACTGAATAGGGACTAATCGAGCTTAAGGTTGGAGTCACCGGCACCAGCCATGGTTGACGATGAGCGCTGAAGTTAGCACGCGGGAATTGTGAAATGACTTACATTCTCTAATGCAAGAAAACAACCTCGAGCGCAAGTGAGCACAATATGCCACGAATGAACCGGCCTGTCACCACAATCAGATTTTGGTTCCAGGGTGCACCATGCTTGAGTGCCGTTTGTAACGACATTGATTGAAAGCTTAATCTCGGTTGAGCTGTCGAAGCGGTTCGCGATGCGTAGGAGAAATGGTACAAGGGTTGAAACAATCGCGTCAGCAAAGATTACCCGATTGATGGTACAATCGCTACTTTGGGCGTTAGGCACAACATTCGATCATGCGCGCAGCGCCGGCTACGTAGCATCTGTCGGCGAATTTTTGCCGTTACTTAGACAACCGGTCACAACAGAAGCGGTGGCAATTACGATGTTGGTCTTGCAGTATTAGCTGCAAGGCTGTGCTGTTTTTCGAGCTCGCACGCAAGCCTCGACGAATCCAAGGCCGATTTCGCTTACATGTAACGTTTGGTGCTTAGTATGCTTCGATTGAGCAGACATGCGTATGGCGTGCTCGTCAGTGCTCAATGGCGCTTCTGAAAGCTGATTGCCGTTTGCGGTCGTAGTGCACCTCATTCAAGCATGGTTGGTGTTCCCCAGAGTGAAAGAATCTGCTTGAGAACGCGCACGCTCCTTGGGATGGCACGCACTGGGCGCGCGATCTGCTGCAGAGACCTTCGATTCAGCCCTCAGATCATTCAGAATTGTGAGTTAGAAGGACGCCGAGAGATCCAGACCAGGCTAGTTTGGGCAATTGTTTACGTCGGCCAAGGCCTCCCCCCCCCGCATGTCGGATCGACCGGCGCCGTGGAGCGCAATGTGTGGACCTCACCTCTTGATCCATATCCTTCCTACAACACACTATGATTAACTCTTTTAATGGGAAAGAGCGTCGTCTGATTGGCATCCAATTCTAAGAGTATTGCAACGGGTATTGAGCGCATAGAAGTATGCAATTACTCTAGTCGAATGAGCATTGCTTGCAGGATATGTCGTTTTAAGGCCTCTCGCTGCGGCCTCAATTGCTCAGCCGTGCCTTTTAACGCATGCGGAGAACTAGCCTCTCGCGCCCCGCCACGCTGCTTACAGACGCATGTTGTGTTGGTATCATCGTTCCACTTGCGTGCCTCCTTGGAAACTTGGCTGTAGCGTCCGGCCATCTTAGTGGACAGCCATCAATGGCATCACGTCCGCTTAGAACTATCGTGTGGCATATCTAGACCTCATTGGACGATCTGACGCTTGGGGCTGTGTGAAGAGACGCGGGCCCGTGGCACTCGTTGTTCGACTCATCTTGGAAGCATGGCAACCAGGATCAGGTTTGACTAGGTAGAAGAGGCCTGAACAATACGGTACATATACTTTGTTCCCCCTCATATTTCCATTGACGCTCAGAACAAAACTGCCAAGTACTTCTTCATTCTTTGCTCAGCTAACGAATCTCGTGTGGTTTATCACTAAGCTTCATCATGCTTTCTAAGGTGTCTCTTCTCGCATTTGCGAGCGCCGTCCTGGCCCAGACGAACGGCACTGTCCCATCGCTCACCGAGGCATTGAACTCTTCCTCCCAGCTCACCAGCCTGAGTGGTGTTCTTGGCCTTCCAGGCCTTGGTCAGCTTGTTCAGGCTCTCGGCAGCGCGCAGAACATTACCATTCTCGCTCCTTCGAACGAGGCCTTTGCCAGTGTCGGCAACGAGACGCTAGCAGCTTTAACCGCCAACGAGGGATTGCTCACTGCGCTCCTGCAGTACCATGTCCTCAACGGATCAGTCCTGTCATCGGCCATCACAAACCAGAGCCAATTTGTGCCCACACTTCTCACCAACGAGCTGTTCACCAATGTTACGGGAGGCCAAGTCGTCGAGGCTGTTGCCAACGATGGCAACGTCACATTTTTCAGTGGTCTTCTTGCGAACTCGACCGTCACTGAGGCTGTAAGTTTCCTATGTCATGCCAATCCTGGATTCTCTCTGACAAGCAGCAGGACCTCAACTTCACTGGCGGTGTGATCCACGTAATCGACCGATTCCTTGTGCTGCCAGAGACCGTCTCTGATACCCTTACAACTGCCAACCTGACTGGCCTTCGCGGTGCTTTGAACGCGACGAACCTACTCGAGGCTGTCGACACCACCCCGGACGTCACCATCTTCGCTCCTTCCACCCAGGCTTTCAGTGACATTGGCTCTCTCCTTGCCAACGCCTCCACCGAGGATATTGCCAGCATTTTGACCTACCACGTCGTTAACGGCACCGTTGGCTACTCGTCTGGTATCGAGAACGGAACCGTCCTCACAACCCTGAACGGCGCAAACCTCACTATTACTATCGGTGATGAGGGTCGCATCTTCGTTAACAGCGCTCGCGTCACCATTGCTGACGTCCTGATCGCCAATGGTGTCGTCCACGTTATTGACGAGGTCCTGAACCCAGGCAATGCCACCATTGCGGATCCCAGCGACGAGGAGGGTGAGGGTGCTTTCCCAGGCGCTACTCCCGTCTCTGAGCTTCCCTTCACCTCTGGACAGCCTACTCCCACCACCTCCATCAACCAGGAGGCTACCAGCGCTGCTGCCCCTGGTGCCTCTTCATCCAGCACTGGTGCCGCCGCTGCTATGAAGACCGGCTCTGTTGGTATGGGTGCTCTTCTGGGTGCTGCTGCCGTCTACGCATTCAACTAAAACTGGAGGCCCTTCATCTTTCAGCACGAACAAAGTGTGTTCGTGATGCTGAGTAACTGCATGCTGTTTCTGCACTAAACCAGTTTGGCTTTGATGCAATTTGTATCATAATTATACCTTCTCGGCCATTACTATAATGAAACTGTTTATGATGTTATCAACTTCCTCAGTCGCAATTGAAATTTCTCGTGAATGCATGGTTTCGAAAGACGGCTGGAGCCGCGTTTGGCCTAGTGCTTTCTTTATGTTGCACGGTCGCTATGCGGTATTGTTCTAGGCATCCCAAAGACTGGTACATGATTGCACGAGCGCAGGTTCCACCTTAACGGCTTCAATTCCGGCGTGGCCATTAGGTACAACGTTCAACGAGCTCAGACTCAGCCGCTTGCAGTTTCAACACTTTAGCTGGCTCTAAGCAACGGAAAGGGACACCTCAGTTAGCAGGCAATCTCTTGAATTCCAATCGCCAGGGTTCACAATGTTTTAGCGTGGCCATCGACATGCCCAAGCACGTATCATCTCATCTCATCTCATCTAAACAACGACCTTCAAGGCACGTCCGCTTGCGAACAAACTATGATTGATTGGAACATTAATAGCGCAGGGCCTTCCGCGGTGCGATATACTTACTTTGAGACCGCAACGATGCTGCGTCTTTGTGCGACAAGGAGGAATGACTATTATCTTGTTGCGTGGGTTCGTGCCTGAGTAGGTTTAATCTGTCCGACGTGGCTTGCAGCTTGTACCAACAAACAACATGCAGCGGGAGCGCGCCATAGCTGCTATTGGGCGTTGGTACTCTCAAGACCTACCTACAACGAGGTGATCGCATCATAATGAGAAATTCAACTGGAAAATCAGAGACAGTATGTGGACAGGTACTACCTACTCACTTTGCAGGGGTTGGCCGCAGTTTCGAGTATATGACAGATGTCAGAGATGTCCCGGCTAAAATGTGGATGTGAGGATCATCGGCTTCGTAAGTACCTAGGTAGGCGGCAGGCCGTGCCACACCTTCCACAACACACGAACACCACCTGCCCACTCAGCTCACCACCGATGCGGGCACATGCAATCGCTCGGAACAATTTAGAGACATCTGCATGGGTCAGCTCTCGATTGGCGAGACGGAGGAGATCAACGATCTTCGATCGCCGACCAGGGAGCAACCGAGCCGGTTCATTCGTCGAATTCTGGAAATTGGTTCCCTCCACATCCGCAAAGTTTCCAAAAAGTCCGTCACGTCTGCAGGGTCTACGTCGGCTCGTTCAGCGGGCGGCACGATGACAGTCGCAAATTGAACCGTGGATCTCATACAATGGCCATTCCCAGCAAAGTGATAGTAACAAGATAGCTCAGGGAAAGGACATTAGTGAGCACTCGCAGACTGCTCGAAGAGCGAGAGAACACGGTTCGAAAAGTCATGCATGCTAGGGCAAGTATAGGTAATGGTTGAGCAGATGCGAGGAACTTGGCTTCCGCTGCACGAGCTGATGTGGCCAGCCCCTATGGATGCTTATGCTACTACACCGGGGTCCGACGTTACTGTGCATGTCGAGTCTCTGTAGTCTCTTCCAGATGCATACCTGTGTGGCGGCACAATGGAGACACACTCATAGAAGCTTTTCCAGCTTCACTGTTACCTGAGTATTGCGTGCCGTTATCCGTCAGGTACCCGCCACGAACATTCACGCGTTCGTAGCGTGTACGCGACGACACCGGTAATCTCCACCCGGCGTGGACAACCCCGACTTCTTGTGGCTTGCTAGGGCCACGGATCACCGCTAGCGCGATGGCTACAACTTGGTATGAAAGAGCCAGGTACTCACTATCGGCACGACTCAGGTCCTCTTATCTTTCACCAACCTTTGGGGGCTGTTCGTCATCTTACTGGTCCCTTCCACAACATAGGCGCATTACAACGTCGTCACCAATATTCCGGAGTAGGAGACCCGTTCGATCAAAACCATAAGACCTTGTTCCAGGGTCGTCAGGCGATCGATCTAGCTGTTCAGATGCTGGTAGGGTCTTCAGCCTACGAAGTACGCTGAACCATATTGCGTATCTTGTAGTGTTGTGAACGGCAATCGCACCGTCCAGCGTACATTGGGTTTGTGTAACCACTGCCTTGTCCCACTACTACAGATCTATTTCAATTGCGCATTCGCCCAGACCTGGCATCTATCACTGGACTGGTCCCCCATCCCTAAGATATGTTGAGCACACCGGCTCCAAGGAACACAAAATCAGAGCAACCATACCTCGGTAATACGTAAGTCTTGTCTTCTCACCAACCTTGGCTGGAATATCCGACTTCCAGAATGATGTTTATCTACCAAGACGTGAAGAGCGATCTGGCTTTTGTTGTTGTCTGGTTTACTAATGGTCATCCAGGAATCATGCATCGTACTTACATGCTTCAAAGGTCGCCAACGACCAGAATCAAACGAGATTTTGTTCATCAGGCAGCAGCGTCACGCAAAGCTGGAAATCCACGGATCTAAAACCACCATATGCACAAGCACCTGCTTCGACACCACACGCCCCTGCACGAGTAACAGCAACAACGACCGGTGCCGCAAATCAGAAGGTACCCCGCGCACCGGCAAGGTCATTATCTGTATACAGATCTGTAAGCAATGGTGCTGCTTCAGTTGCTTCCAGTAAAGCTTCTGCGCCTGGCCGCACTGGGTCTTGGCAACCGCAACAGTACGATATCCCACGTCTGACAAAGACCCCTTGGGAGATTGAAAGACACCGGAGAAACACAACATGGAAGCGCGCCGGGCCTGACAAGAAGCTTCCCGCTTTCGTGTTCAAGAATTTACCAAGAGGGGTCTTTGATTGCATTGTCGCGCAGTTAGAGGAGATCCATCTGCAAAAGCAACCATGTGTATCGTGCTATCTGAAAGACCTCCATAGTCTCTCACTCACAAGTCGTGCCTGGGATAGAGCCGCTACCTTACAGATGTACGGAAAAGTCTACTTAACGCGGCATGAAAATCACCTGCAATCACCAAAGGTGAAGGTCGATGGGCCTAGTAGGCTACAGCTCCTCAGAAAGACACTCCGAGATCGTCCTCTGTTGGCGCGACTTGTCCGAGAACTGCATCTAGCCGAACTCCAGACTTTGTATCAGCAAGCAAGCATTGAGCGCGAGGAAACCGTCAATCTTGTCGCGTCCTTGGTGATGGCTTGTCCCTCTCTAGAACGGGTCGTCGGTTTTCATATCCCATATACCCAGGCCTTCGACCGTCTTTCGTACGCACTAGCAACTAGATCAAAGTTGCGAGAACGGGTGTGGCTGTTGTCAGAGCCAGAAGATGACTACTCCGACGAAGAAGATGAGAGTGAAGTCAACAATTTCTATGTCGCAGCTCGCGATCCGACAGAGCACTTCCTAGACCTACATTCTGGTCATTCCCTGTTGACTACCCTGGTATTGCATCGCAATCCAGGTGAGTTTTCCCCGTCGCTAAATTTTCGTGCAATCATTGGAACTTTTCGACAGCTTCCCATGTTACAGCATTTATCCATCTCCGGTCTTTCAGCTACATCTTTCACCAATCTAACGCTCAATGCTCTACCATCAAGGCTGCGCTCTCTGCGTCTCGAGAACCTTCCTGGTATCAACGACAAGGGGCTGCAGAAGTTTATAAATTCGCACCTCTCAACCTGTATTAAATCGTTGACACTGATCAATCTTGAGCTTTCAGATTTAGTTACAGTCACATATATCCTTTCTGGACACCTCAACGACCTGAAACGATTTACGTTGGCGCAATATCGAACACCAGATCTAGGACGGCGAATCTCATTACCCGAACTTTTGAGCCAATCGCTCCAGTTTTTACATGTTGAATTTCGATCTCAGTCCTCCCCAGCAATCGACCCTTTCTCGACAGAGTCTCGGAAATCCATGCAATTTCCCTTTATAAATTCCGAACCGATTTCGTGCCTTGCTACGGCGCTGTTAGCAACAAGCATCAGGAAAGGTGCCTTTCCAGCGCTACGAAGAGTACGTATTCCATACGACCCACAGGGACTGATTCAAGCGGTCTGTAAGCCCCGCGCAACTGTACTAGTTCCTTCGGATACTTCTTTCTTCGCACACCCACTGCAGAAAGCCGGCTCACACGGATACACTATCATGGTCGATACGCACGTTTCGAGCATCAAGTCATCCGATGCTGGCGACAGTCCTTGCGTGGTCTCGCTTAGTCCTCGTGCGGATTCTGCGATTGATTCGCCCATCTCCGACAACAGCCTGAGCTCCCCTGCTCTTCAACCATCGAAGGCTCGACTCGCAGCTCAAGCCCGCATTATTGCCGCTCGCAAGACCCCCCTCGTCACCTTGCGCGTTTATGATCCGGAGGGAGAAATTCATCTTGAAAGTGGTATCGGTGGCTTCATTGGAGACATCAAGAGCAACATACTATACGATCTGAAACCAGATGCAAGCCGATGGCCTGGTAGCCGCGACCAAAGTGGACCACCCCAACCGGAATGGACAACTGGTATTGAAGACCTTGTGGACGAGCGTACGGCTCCTAATGATGAGGCGCGTGAACGCTACCGGGGTGAATGCGGACATCGAATTTGCGGCAGAAGAGGATGCAACCCTGTGAAAGTCTGGGAATTGTTCTGAGCGGCGCAATGCATATACTTCATATGCTTCTCGTCTTCATTGATACCCTTTCATTAGAGAGTATATGCAAGTTTTAGATACCGCCCGATAATCACGACGTAATATAATACGAACACCCACCTAGATGTGCACGATCGGCTGAAGTACGACTATTTTAGATCTGCTTGTCGACCGCACGAGCTGTGTGCCGGTCCCAGATACCACTCTCGACGTCGCCTGACGCCAAAGCGGCAAGAACCACGGTAGCATGGTTATAGATTGATTTTCGTCTCCAGTCACCTTCATTCGACATATGTGACTCTCGAATAAACCCACCCGCAGTCATCTCCGATTCGCATCCCACGAGAACGGTTACATGTCCGATGTAGAACCTTACCGCAACCATTTATTCAAGCGGACGCTTTGCTTACCAACACCCCTTGCAGCGTTCATGACGCCTGGAGTCAATCCTGAGTCCACTCCACTTGCTCATGATTCGGTGTCTGCATAGTCTTACTCATCGGAGTGACCGACAAGCCCGCGGAGCAGCTCCGTCAGGTAGGTAGCAAGCGCCCAAAATAGGAAACCGATACCGATACTGCACAGAGCGGGCTAGCCGCGCTGGAAATTTTATGCGTACTTCATATATCATTTCCCATGTCGCTGCTGTTGTTGCTGCTGATCTTAAAAAGATGCTCTTGAGCAAAGTTCCAACCATGGTCGAAAACACACACGCGAATACGAGATACGACAGCAAGGCCATGTACGGAGAGTACAATATCACAGTGCAGCACAAACCAAGAAAGAGAAGGAGGCAAAATTTAAGAAGAAGTATGATACCACGATTGCACCGGAAAGCGCGCTTGGAGGTCAAAAGATTTTTCGGAGTTGTCCAGGCATGGCCATGTCGGATTACAAATGGATCACGATCATCCCTCGCGTCAAATTTGGCAGGACGATAGTGGACGCGAAGGGAGCCATGAGCTTTGCGAGTCTGGATTGAGTCTTTTCAGGTCTGAACGCCTTGTAGGATTTGCATCCTTGTGGACTGTCACGCAAGCCCGCCGGCCCGCTCGCCATAAGGCTCCGGCCAGTGGGCCATGATCCATTGTAATGGTAAGGCAACGAGCCGCCTGGCTTCCTTCGTTGACCCTATCACCTGTTCAGACGTCGGTTCTTGTCGCCAACAATGCGTCCTGCAAGGATCTGGAAGATGTCGTGTTGGCACTACTTGGTCGCACAGATCCACAGCTGATTCATTTATGCCGGCTACCGCACCCCTCATCACTCGAGCTGCTCGCATAGACACAGCGTAGCAGCGACAACGACAAACGGTAACTTCCACGACGCTTGACGAAAATTCAACTTTGGCGACAATCCTCCGACAGTGTTGGACGTGCGATCGTGCGTGATCGGTGTGCGGGAACGGGAACGCACGTCTCCCTCGCGCTCGCGCCCGTCGATGAAGCAACGCCCCGCAGGCTCAGGCATTCTGGTGATCCAGTGGATGGCCTGTTTCACACGGACTGACTGACGGACAGTGAAGTCGAAAAACCTGCGCAGTCACAGGCCATCATGGTCTATAGGAACCTGGGATGCCTACGGAAATAACTGTGGGGTAGGCTATACACACCAGCTCCACTTTGTTACTAACAGTCGGCGGCTGTTCTTGTTAGAATGAATCCTTCGGTCAACATTCGCGGTCCGACCCACGAACCTCCCGTATGTCTGGACCGAATCGCTAATTACTGATTGTATTATCGGTCAACGACGCGTTGGACACTTACTATCGTTTTCCAGGGCCGCGGGGATAGTTCTCGTGCCGAGAGATGTAAAAAGCAACGACCAGGCATATTCAGGCATACCTGAAACCACGACTGGGCGTTGCAGCCGCGCGCACCACGTTTTCTTCCTCCAGTAGAACGTCCTGACCACGGTGATCTGACTCGGCCAGTCGATCAGGTGCAGCTATGAATCACCCGATATTAGGAGTGGGGGCCTTGAAGGACGCGCCCTGGCAGAGATCCAGGGCAAGTCCACCGATCGTCGGCCGGATGGCTCCTTCCGTGTGGGCCTTGGCATCACAATACATATCAAGAGGGTGCTAGAGTCGAAAGTGCTGCCACAATTTGCTCTCCGAGTATCAGAGTCATATGCAACTACAGCCCGGATTTTAAGATGACTTGATATGATCTATTGGTATATGTACACCCTGCAACGAATGTCTCTATCGTCTTTTGCTTACGACTTCGTTGCGGTTTGCAGAACTCCATCCTTGCGCCCCTGAAAATGCGGAATAAAAAATCCTATGCTACCCTCCTACGCGCGAGCTCCTGCGACGAGCAAAGATCCAGGAATATATGCAGAATAGGCCCAGTACAGTGAAGGATTACAACCAAGCGCCACAAGAAATCGCTACCCCCATAAACCACAATGGTATCTATCGACTAAGCTCGCACTGGTTTTATCGGCACCATGCCTTCTAACTGAGGCATGATCTCTAGTATCTTGGGATCCAGGGTCCAGTTGTTCAAGTCGGCAACAGTGCTTTCGAACAAGGGCGTCATGCGCGTGCAGCCTGCTTCGATATCCCAGTAGTGGCAAGCATCGTCCGCATAGGGCCATGTGATGCCTATAGCACCTACCAAATGACCGACCGAGAATTCTTGAGGATGTTGATATAAGAGTCGCCGTACTTGTGGCCTATGGAAAGTTAGTGTCCGTCCTTACAAAGCCGAACGTCGGGACCTACCAAGGAACAAGGTCGATCAAGATATCATATGGCGATACTTCTTGCTTGCCCATCGGAGGCATCAGCCATTCCGGATGTGAATTCATATTCTCCACGCTCGGCCAGATCAGCCACTGCGGAATCATCAGCTATGTTGCCGTTTGTCACGGTGGGCCACACTTACGCGCATCGATTTGGTCAACATCCACGTTGAAGCAAGCCGGACGGGTAGATTTGCAGTTGGAAGAATCCTGTTCACTGTTCGTGCGCACCACGCTGGGACGGGATGTGTATCTTGAGGATCGGCAAAGCCCAGCAACAGAGAGTCGACATCTATCTCGGACCTCCCGAACACCTGCGCCTCGCTCCAACCATTCGCCAGGAGATCCTGTTTTGTTCTCCGGTAGTACGCACAGTCGAAACCAAATTTGCTCAGGGCGCTCGCGGCGGTCTCGAGGATCATCGGTGATGGATTCATGGGCGTCACGCCTTCAACGACAGAATCGGGCGCAAAGTTCAAAGCGGTTTGGCTGTGTTCTCGACTTCTGGACCTGTTAATATACACGTCCAAACTCGCCTAGATACTGGTACTGGACCTGCCTTTCTTCGCGTGAGGATCCATCATAAGAAGATGCGCCCAAGTTCGGCATGCGCCCCACAAAATGCTCACTACCGGGCGTACCGAACGATTCCTGCTCCTGGAGTGCTGGTGTTTGCTCGTTCGAATCCTGAACTGTCAGACGATTTCTTGGTATGGCTCAAGTTAAGCTTACCCCAAGGGCCCTTTTGATTTCATCGACCGAGTGGTGAGCGAAACCGTTCTTCTCGATCTCCGATGCCCAGTTTGCTGCCGCAGCCCTGTCTGGTGCCATGGCCAATAACGACACGACCGATTTCATATCATCCAATTCCTTTGCTAGTCGCCTAACATGGGCCCGCAGTTGCGTTGTTGTCTTGCCATCCTCGGCCACATCGTACACGCAAGTGAGATTTTTCGACTGACACGTGTTGCATTTCGGTCGAACACCGTCGCACTTGGGTGGCTTGTCAGCAATGTTGTGTATGCCTGCTAGTGGAAAGCGCATACCTTGGATTTGCGCTTTCGGCAGCTTTCGCACGCTATGGACGTGATTTTCCCACGAGGAGTACGCAGTGCATAGGTGCCAGATATTGGAGACGAGTGTTGGCCGCGGGCATTCGCAAGAGCGCCTCCAAGTCCCTGTTTGGGGGCCAGCGGGGCTTTGTGTCCTGCGATCGCAGCCGCTGATTGCGGGCGAATCACAAGAGTTGACTGAGAAGGATCGAGGTGGAGTTGGCCTTGACTCTGATCCCAATTATCCTGACTGGTATTTTTGTCAGCGAGGTTCTAGAGTGGATCGACAAGAAAGTCACAGAAGTGCCGGGTCTACAAGGTGCTCAAGATGAGGGTTGATCGGCGGAATGTGGCCGGCCGTAGGCGACATCGGTCGTATTTCCAACCCCGCCGCAGCAAGCTCCAAGTCTCCTCCTCCGGCAATATGACCAGCTCAAGGTTGAATGTCCGGAGACATGCGTGTGCCGTCGAATGGAAGCCGGTCAGGAGATCAGGAGGACGCAAGGGCGCGATTCCATGTGTCGTGATGGATGTCCAGAACCGCGCGCATCCATGTGCGTTTGTCGCCTTGCAGATCCTTTCCCGAAAAGTCAATTCCACAGAGATTTGCAACCACTCCTTGGCAATATCGGATGCCTTGCGACCGACTCAGATCGCATTCCTGTGGAAAAGGCATATGTTTGATGACGTCTACACGTATGGTAGGACGAGGATCCTGGGGTTCGCAAGGTGGGGAAGTGTCGATGTTCTGGCTGCAACCCTGACGAATTGGACCCCATATGGACGGAAAGAAGCGCCGACCAAGACCGCGACGCAATTGACGAGAGATTGAAAATCGCGAGACCCGGTAAAGCAGGGTCGTCGGGAGCGAGAAGCATGGTACAGAGTAAAGAAAGGCGTAAACGTACTTCTGAAAGCCTGTTGCTTGGACCACGGCCTCTGATGCTCGACGCATCATGCGTGGATTGTTCGGGTTGTCCTGTGGTAATCCTTCCAACGCATCTGGCAGGCTGTGACTGCCATACCAGTAGTTGACCCCTGCAAAGTATCAATGGCTGTCCATTCAGTAGCACCAGTGCAAGCTTACCAGGAGACGAATTATTTGATTGTGGAGGCATGAATGCGAGCATTTCCCTACGCGAAACGTTGGACAGAAAAAGCTATATCGATGTCTGAGAGACGAGAGGAATCTTATCCGCGGAAAGCATGTGGCCGATCAGCCCTGCTGTTCGGGGATTTACACTGTATATCGACTCCTCAAGCAACGAGTATAGTAAAAGATTAGCGCTTAGCCCAATGCTATTGCGGAACTGCTGACAAGCACTCGGAGCTGGAACGAGGTTTCAAATGCGTCGCCCATTTGAACACCCAGCAGATGGGCGACGCAGGTCGATCTAGCGTCCTAGCGCACCACAGCAGCGACCGCGGGGAAGACGGCTTAGCGGACGGCAGCTCTGTCGGACTAGGCCAGAACGGCCGTTTTCCAAAATGTCAACAAGGCATACGAGTTTACCCTAGGTATCCAAACTCAACAAGCTTCGATAGGGCCTTCGAGCTGCCTTTTCCAAGACTGCTCTTCGCTGGTAGCATTTGTCTTTCGCGACTGTCACCGAGTGCGCCACCGCCATACCCTTTACATGGTTCAGCATCACCGAGATCACGCAAATCAGGTCTGGTGATCGTCTCTTCACAAGCTACCTAACAAAGTGACGTGCGATACTCGTATGTCAATTGAATTGGGCACGACATCATCCAACCGTGTTCGAGACCCGTTTTTACATACTTTCACTGACTTGTGGACACTGGGCTGCATGTCATTCAAGCTTGTCCAGCAAACGAGGGGTGTCTCGCTGGCCCAAGCTGGCAGGACGATAATGGGTATTCGGTCCGATGTACAGGGCTCAGCTGGTTGCACTGCTGCGCCGCAGTAAGGATTGCCCATAAGTGCCATTCTCCATATGTCTTGCCCTGGCTCCCGTGACGTAGCTCATGGACTTGCCAATGCCGCATCCATGAGCCCTCAGGTCTGAAGTTTGGGTCCTCCGAGCCACCAATTCATCCCTCGGAAGATCTGAGCATTGGGCAGGAACGTGCTAGCCCGCGACCCGCAACCCGCATTAGTGCATCGAAGACCTCCGATCAATCTCAAGTTTTGTAACGCCGTTATTCCCCTACTTCACATTCGGCAATCTCTACGACAACGGGAGCGGAACCTTTGCAGTTCTGAAGCCAGCGGCCCAGTGCGGCCTGATTGCCCCGACAGGACTTGCCAGTGCAACCGAGCTTCATCAATGGAGCAGACGGGAAGCTATGGGGCGTATATGCGCATCGCTTCTACCGTACTCGGTACATGCCCGATGGGCGGAGAGCGGTGAGAGTATACCGGAGCTCATTAACGCGAAGCGGGTTACTACAATAGACAAGGATCTCCGTCTGCCCTTCGCATTGAAGGCTCTTCATTGTCTGCTAATCTTCTTATTAACGTTGAGCAACAGTTCAAAGTAGTGTTTTGGCCTTGACCACAAAGAGCAAGTCGACCCTTCAATCTAATCATGTGGAGTAATCCATTGGATCGCCCGCTCCCGAGTCTACTGACGAGATCGCCTTCAATGCCAGGTACATTGGCTGCATGTCTGTTGGTTGGACCCTTTGATCCTCATTCAATGCAGCTGCATCTCGCCGAGTTTTTGGCCGCGCCTTCTGGGCTGTCGCATCACAAGTATCTAGGTAATCTCAAGAAGATATCTTACGAGAAGAAATTCGGACATCACCTTACTGCCTCTAGTCAACGGCGCTGTAGACAGCTTGACAAAGAACATTGATTATTTGCACAGACAGATATCCAGGCGCTGCAAATTCTCATGGAGGCCCACCACTTCAGGCAAGCTTGCTGTCGCAATTAGGTATAGTCAGGCACATCGTATCCAGAGCTCACAACTCTAAATCTCTTGACTAGCTTGAGTATTGTGACGGCTTTTCTTCTGCGGTATCCAGGTAATCAAGCGTCGAGTGATAACAGTGGTACCTCAGTGTCCACCAAGTTCGTATTGCAGCCTCAATGACGAACTGGTTTGCGGTAACGGTACCCTGAAAATGCAACAGAGAGGTAAGCACTGGACAAAGGCACTTTTCGACACAGTGGGGTTCTCCGGAGCATCATCCAAAGCCTTCTGCTCCAATCAATGTTCGACACCCACGTCAAATGCGTCGAGGCTTTTCATAGCAAAGGCCGCTCTGGAATAGAACCGAAATCCAGGCATGACGGCAACTTGCAGAAGATCGGACTAGCCCTTCAGGCGCATGTGTGGACACGATGACGATGAGGTCCAGATCACTCTACGGTCGAGTTTTAGGGTACGTCAACACGTACTAACGATGCCACTCCGCAGATCCGTGAGTACAGCCGCACTCTGTACACGCTTGTTCCTCTGAGTTGGTTTCTCGTCGCAGGTTTCCCTGGCACTGGGGGGTTCCAGCGTGCCGGTGCTTCCCAGGGGTCCCTTTCTCGGCTGTTCAGCCCATCAGCGCCATCGGAGCTGACTCCAGACCTTGTGGTTAGCTCCGCCACCCTCACCAGTCGATTAGTTAATATCCGCAAGTGCATGCTCAATTCATTCTTTAGAGTCTACCTACACTAGGATCTAACATGCCAGATGTGATCTGTGTGGCGCCTCTAGACTACGGATGTTAGGTTCATGGCGCTGGATTCGCGGCAAACTACAATATACTCTTCGTGATTGCTGCCGCAAGTTTGTATCGGCTACATCCATTGTCAGCCTCTACGGCGTCTCCCGCCAGTCCATTGCGTATGTCCAGCAGCCACATGAGGACATTTTCACTCGATGTGTGCAAGTTTTGGATTAACCTGCCAAGTCGGGTTTCACGTTACAGTCTCCAGAAGCTTGGGGATTGTCGTACGACCTATCGACCTATGGCGCATTTTGCTGTGCTGCAAACCTAACAGATAGTTTACTTCGATTCACTGGCGAAGGGGTAATCAAGCGCTTTACGGCAATAATCACTGTTCATTGGCGGGTTTATACCAGCCATGGGAAATCCGAACTCGTGGTCTGTGCCGGAAGCGTTCACTGTTTGACTTCCGCATCTGGTCTTTGAGATCGACGAGAACTCCCACCATCTCAATGTACGCCAACATGGGAAATTCCAAAGATACTCATAAACGCCATTACTGTAAAATTGACATCTCAAGACATCTAGCCAGAACCTTTGTTTACTAGCCCTAACGAACATGAGCCTGAACGTTTTGGAACGTTTTTGACCCCCTCAGTCGGACTGATCGTTGTTCGCTTCGACTGCCACTAACGGCCACATGCAGGTGCCCACCTTCTTCCAGTGCGTGCAACGGACTTGAGAGCCTGCCTTCCACGTTGCGTTCGCTTGCATGGCCGTGAATAGTTTGGTAAGCTTGTCTATACAGTACAACGTCCGATAATTGTCGGAACGATGTGGTGAAGAAGCTCAAGCGATCAACACCCGCCCGACCGATTTACCGATATTATCCGTTTAAGTACCATGAGTCAGAAGTTCTATGCGATTTGCACATCAACGAATCAGAAGCTCGAGGTGACGGACCGGAAGTCACCGCCGGCGGCGTGAACGTGCTCTGATTCGTGCGGAGCGTTTTCGTTAAACTTGCTCATAAGACCTTCTCCTCGGGGGCGCAGATTCAAGAGTCACGTGTATGCCGCAGCTCCCGAGCTGGTGCTTTCCAATGATAGAACTCTTTTACGAGATCGACCGGACATCTGCTAATATACTTAGTGGCAAATAACGTGAGTCTCATGTCATTTGGGCACCTGCATGAGTACGTTATCACACAGCCACCTCTTCCAAGGTTGTTTCCGTTGACACGCGTCCACACTAAACTTTGAGGCAAATGTGATCTTCGCATAGTCACATGACTGCTCGTGCATGAGCCTTTACTCGTACACGAGTAATTGAACACGTTTGAGTAGGATGGGACCGGATGCCTTCTTCTGCCCAGACACCGGCCCATTTCGACCGTGTACGAGCATATCGTACGATGGGCATCATTACAGCTTAGGTCCAAGGACCGATCGCAAATCTTATTTCAGATTCCTTCAGGTCTGAGAAGCCTTGTAGCCAGCCAGCAAGCACAAGGACCTTTACGGCCATCGTGCCCTTACCCTCAATACGGCGTTTAGATAAGTTATTGGAAACAACCACGTCTTAGGTAGATAGTGCCAATAATCTACGTCCTTCACTCGGGCCTACTTGCACCCGAGCGACGATTGCTACCTAAGTATGATTGTTATCCGCTATCAGTTGCCGAAGCTTCTCTAACAAATTGATGCCCGAGCAGCCGGAATCCGCACAATAGCTATTTCTTAAGCGACTTTAAGTAATGGCAGGGTCTGCTCGCTCCACAGTACGCACACAAAAAATGGTTAGGAAGCTCTAGCTCTATTTGACAATTGGTATCGAACACAAAGGTCGCTGTCTCATGGTCACGTGATGTTGCCGCCCAGGCGGCAGGCCCCACTTACATTCCGCCTGCTTCTAACTACGCAGTCTTTGACCGCGGCAGTCATCACCAACGCGTCGCGCGTATCCTTCTAAGTATCTACACATGCGCTTGGCTTCTGATCGCGATTGCACCTGCCCATTCCCTGCGTATTCCCTTGCCCACTTACACGCTGCATCTGCAAGCCAAGCACTCCAGCTTTGGGACTCCCAGTCAGTGCTAAAGACACTTTAATCTTTGTCCAAGAAGACGCAAGCTGACGTCCTGAACTTGCTCTGCTTTCTTACCGAAGCTTGCAGTGATCCAGATTGCCAACATGGCGTGTTCATCTTCGGAAGGCGAAGTTGTCGACCACCACAAGGCAAACACACTCAGTCAGCGCGCCAGAACTGCGATTAACGGCTCTAGCAGGGTCTCTGGACTCGATGACCCCTCAGACAGAAGCGGTAAAGCTCGACTTGTCACAATGCACCTTTGCGACATTGTCTGACAACCCAGGTTATAATTACCGCACTTTGAGTCGCTCACCGTCGCCGTATCGTCGCAAGCTCACACGCTCACCTTCACCGTACCGGACCAAGCGCGCACATGATCGCTCTCCCTCGCCATATCGACATGGCCGCAACGATCGAGGTCACGACAGTAGCGACTCACGATCCCAGGAAAAGCGCAAGGCATCACCACCCCGTGGCAGTCGGCCTGAGAAGCGCCACAACTCTGATCGCAGCAGACATGGCGATCGTTCACGGAGATCATACGCAGATGACATCAGGAATGGGCAGTCTCAGCCAAGCTTTGTGAAAGCAACGCAGAACTCAAGCGAAACTCCCCATGTCAAGTCCATCTCATATGCTGAGGTTGACACCCATATTCCCATCGTACCTGGGTTTGGTCACGACATAGTTGCAGGCGACCGTGATACTGAGCGAGGCGGCAATACCCGTAGAGTCGGCGAAGTCAACCGGGAGATGACGCGCGACGCACAGAAGCGTGGCGCTCACGACCAGCAAGGAAAGCAGGCAAAACTGCTGAAGGAAGACGTTCAGATGTAGGTACAAGCACAGCTGCTTCGTCCGTACATCGTTAATAAGACAAGGCGTGACACACAAAGTGAGCCCGAAGTAACACTGGTCGAAGAAAAGGCCCCGACGCAAGAAACTCGAGAGGAGAAACGCCGCAGGTGGGCGGCCATTCGAGCCGCAGCCGAGAAAAAGCCCAAAGACAGTCTGTTGCAACAGGCGGTGCTTACCAGCGCTTCTGAAAACTCTACTTTTGATGTCGGCTCTCCAGCGCCTATCGACACTGCGATGTCGCCTTTCCCTTCGCCCCGAGCTGGCGATTTAGACTCTGTCCCACCATCTCCTGATGTTATGATCATCGACAAACACGCTCAGGACAGTCGTGCAAACAGCCCAGCAGTGGCCAGCCCCTCAGCAGCTGACTACGATCCTACCCAGGACATGCTAGACGATCGCAACCGCGCACTCACAAAAAATTCAAAGTCAGATTTACCGTCAAATGCCTATAGCGAAACCGACCCTCAGCTACTCTCCACTCTACCAGCCAGAGAGGTAGCTCTAGCGAGCAAGCAGAAAGACTTTGATATGTTCGATTTCAGTGAGAACGAAGAAGAGGCTGAGGATGTGGAAGTGGGACGAGAAGGTCCAGCAAAGGGCACTGTGCTGGACGAAAAGTTGCTCGAGAATTGGGATGATCCGGAAGGATACTACAAGATCATCAATAACGAGTTGGTAAATGGCGGTCATTATCGCATGATCAAGACATTAGGCCGTGGTGTTTTCGCCAACGTCGCACAAGCCGAAGAGGTTTCAGCGGGGAGCAATGAAGAGCGTGGCAGGCTCGTTGCAATCAAGATGATTCGCAGGAATGAGTTGATGCGGAAGGCTAGTCAGAAGGAGATGGATTTCTTGCAAAAGGTTAACGAAGCAGACCCACACGATAAGCGCCACATCGTCCGACTCCTTGGCTCTTTCGACCACAAAGGTCATCTCTGCATCATCTTCGAGCACATGTCCAAAAACTTGAGGGATCTTCTCAAAGAAGAGACCAATGGTCATGGGCTTGCGCTATCGGCTGTTCGAACGTACGCAAGGCAGATGTTTCTTGGCCTGCAACATTTGCAGAATTGTCAGGTCATCCATCTCGACTTGAAACCCGATAACGTCCTCGTTTCCGCTGACAAAAAGACCGTCAAGCTGGCTGATTTTGGCACGGCTGTCGACAAGCGAGATGTCATTGAACGCACCGAATATCTGGTCAGTCGATTCTACCGTGCACCTGAGATCATCCTTGGCATGGAGATTGGTTATGCAGTTGACATGTGGGCTGTTGGCTGCACCGTGTACGAACTCTGGACTGGCAAGATTTTATTCACTGGGCGGTCGAACAATCAGATGGTCAAAGCATTTATGGACTGTCTTGGATGGCCAAGCGAGAAACTCCTAAAAAAAGGTCTTTTGAACAACGTACTCGAGCATTTCGAGGCCGGGCCACCACTGAAATTCATCAGTCGTGAAGTGGACCAATACAACCAGGTATGGATCGAGATAAGGCATACACACGAACCGCCTGCTAACATTAAATAGCTCTCAGTACGCAAAATTGAGCAGCAGAAGAAAATCAGTCGTGATATCAAGTCCAGAGTCCACGATGCTGCCCGAGGTATCGCACAGGGCGGTCCCACCATTACTGAACTGAACGACTTTGCCGACATGTTGAACGGAACACTTCACATGAATGTCGAGAAGCGTATCCAACCCAAAGAAGCCCTCGCGCACAAGTTTTTTGCCACTAAGAACTTGGCACCCAGATCAGCGGTTGTCAAGCCAACTATGATGAAGCGCGCTACGCCTGTTCTTCGAAGGTGAACGTTGTGCTGGGAGGTCCTTTTCTACTGTGTAATCCTCACCATTTCGAAAATAAGCGATAGACTAAATGACAATAGAGACGAGTCGGGACGCGAATACTTTACGTCTCTCGGCGTCCTGGTAATACTGTCTGCTTATGAAGCATCGAAAAAGTATCAAAGGGGGAGTGGTGTCTCAATATCATAATACATTGGTGTCGAGATGTGGTTGCAGTGTCTTGAGAATAAAACCGAGATGCGCTTCCGTCCTTCACACTGCTCTTCATTTAGTTCGGGCTATCTGAACATGCAACAGGTCTGTGTGAGACTTTGCTTCGTTTCTATTTCACTGTTGCATCCGCTGCTGAAATTTGAGGCTCTTAGTCTTTAGACAAACATCTATTGGGATGGTAGTCGTCATGAATCGGTCCGCTTCGGCGTAGCGATATATCATACGAGAGCCGGTGACGATGCGAGATCGTGTAGTAATGATTGAACACCATTATGTCTCCCATAGATGCGTCTCATACGAGTGATGATTCTCGGATTTTGACCCATGACTTCCAGATCACATTTATCAAAATCTAAGACTCCTCTATGTCAACAGATGGGACAACACGTCTTTGCATGCGATCCAAGACGGCAATAGATCAGCTATTGGAATTACTGACCGTACTGCTACTCAACATACGTCTCTATTTGGGCAGGTTCGTTGACCTCATCCGGCGCAAGCTCAATCTCGATGCCAGGACCTTTACCCCAATGACCCTCGAACGTCCAGTTCTCGTCGAAGCCGGGACACTCGGTCTTCGTCTTTCGGATAGGATGGCCTTGTGGAGAGTCTTCTGTTCGCTCAACAAGATCTGCGGCAGTGACCTCCCACTCTTCCACTGTTCGCTTGTTCGCCTTACTACCACAAGTGTCGACATCGCGTTCAAGCTTCTCAAAAACTTGTACATCCCGGCTTGCAGAGTACACCCAAGTCTTGTCGTATCTATGCCATCCACGGTCGCCTCGTCGGAGAGGACAGGATGTGCTGCAATAGACTTTTGCTGAATAGCGACCGCATGTTGCGCAGTATTTGCCGCTTGTTTCCGAAAGAGCCAACAGCTGACGCCGAACATCGATCTTTGGCTTGATGTTTGCGAGAGTCTCTTTGATTGTGTCCACGCGCGATGTGAGACTAGCGGTTTGCTTGTGGGGAAAGAGTGGAATGAGTTCGATCCAGTTCTTCGTGTTTGACTGCGGTTCGTTGCAGTTCGCGAGTATAGTTTCAGGCGCCATGGAAGAGATGATTTTATCTTTGCATAACGAATGGACAGCTGTTTTTAAGTACACAAGCTTTGGAGTCGGGCTGGTTTTGCACGAGGCTTGTGATTCCATAGTTATTGAATAATGTCTTAGAACAAGGACCTTTAAGGTGCTCCGTCTGTCACGGCCTTATGATGTTTGTTGGGATGGTCCCGGTCCCTTCGACCAAGAAACAGTATGAATAATTCAGGTGGGTACCATTATTACGACGGTTAAGTGGCTCTGTATTGTTTCAGGGTCCGCATCATTGCCCTGTGGGATGTTGATTCTGATATAAAGTCGGCCAGACGCACATCTGCTCCACGGACCCACGGATAAGGTCCGTACGATATGGCAAGCACCGATAACGCTGTTATATAGAGGCTGCCGTAGCAAGAAGTAGGTATGTACCGGCAACAACCAAGCAGGAGACGAAGTGTGTAAAACTGGAATGTAAGAAGTGGGTGGCAAACGAGAAGTCGAGTGAATCAAGAATACCGTGAGTGAGAGAAAGCCGCGTGCTGCCAAAATTGCTTAATGTGACGAGTGCTCTTACCTTGTACCAAAGCAAGCCACCACGACAGACCAGCTTCTTCGCAGTAATCCACATTCAGTTTTCGGGAAGTCACGTTGAAAATAGACAAATTAAGAGGCTAAGCAGCGTAGACTTCTCGGAAATCAGAAACTTAGAAACTCTACATGTGAAGGTATACCTCATAAACCTTAACTCCACCTGAGCACATGACGTGACTGGCTCCGTGATCTTGTGTGGTCCTATTCACTTCCCAGAAGGGCTGTGGGAATAAAAGGCTCACCTAGGATCTCTGAGAAGGTTTGAGCAATGCGAGGTTCTTCGTCTAGTTGCTCGTGAAAGCGCGCACACTGACACTCGCAATATCGACTGGGTCCAGAATTAGCACTTGTTGTTGATTCTGATACTCCCTTTTCCTCTTCCCAAACCTCGAAAGGGGCGCTCAGTACTTCATGCCGTTCCTCATCCTCAAAACTAAAGCTGCGATGCATCCTGGGCGTCGACAATAACTCGCCGTGGTGACTCGCGCTGTTCTTGACCATAGCAGCTGGCATTTTGGACACTGGTTTTGTTGAACAGTCAGCACCCTGAGATGTGCGTCCTCTGCCACTCCGTCGAATGGCAGTATTGCGATTCAGGGTACAAGCAGCGGAGCCCAGCCGAACTATCCCGTTTGTTTGTCCCCACGAGGTTTTGACCCAGGCAGATAATCTGCTGTAACGCACTGCAGGAATCTCCCAATGATAAGGGCTGTCGGTTGGCTGAGCTCGAACATCTGTATCGTTGGCACGCAGAAGTATCACCGCGCATCCTTTGCTATGCTCGGAAACATATCCTGAGTCGTCATGCACCAGTTGCAATGTAGCCATTATTGTGATTCTGGGAGTTGAAGTTTTCTACAGGCCCAAAACGACACGGCAACTCTTGGTTACTCATATATGACATCGCGGTTGCTAAGGAACAAAGGCGTTGTGACAAGCAGCAAAGTCGCCAGAATTCCTGGCACGATTGCACAGTGAAAACACTGGAGACTTTTTCATGGCGTTTGTTGTACAACACCACGCATTGTGCTGAGTCAACTCCGAACAATGAACTTCTAGATCATTGTACCGTGAGCAGAATGTACACCCATCCGCAGGAAGATTGGTCGATGAAGGTAACTACCTGTCATCTCTTAGGCACCACTCTCCTCTTTCCGCGTTTTTATCTCCTCGAGTACCCCTTCAACTGTGAGAGGCACCCTTCGCCCAGCCCATCTTCCTTCTTCCTGCGCAACGAACCCTTCTGTGCTCAAAAAACCCACGCAGAGGAAACCGAGCTCTTCTCTGTTTGTATCAAATGCCTCCCACCATTCTACCTCTGGCAACTTAATGCCCGCTTCTCTCGCTGCAAGATAGATCGCGGCGGTCGCTAGGCTTGGTGGTTGATGAGTGAGGTAAAGAAGTTGAGGGCTCAAGAGAGCAGTATTCAGGTGTGTTATGGCGCGTTTGGCAAGCTCTGAGGCGCGCGGGTGTGTAAAGATGTCCAGCGCTTGCATGTACGTGATGCAGAGGGTGTACGGCAGGTTCGCTTGCACTTGAAAGCCGAGTGTTTTCAATATTCGCTGCTCGGTCTCGAAGAGTGAGGCTCGTCTCCGCTCGTATGTTCCTTCAGAAACATAGCATAGATCGGCCTTGTTCTCTTCTAACTCGATCGACTTTGGGGGAAGAGGGAACGTATCGAGGTAAGCGTATACGTTGATGAGACTGCGCGCTGATTTAGGGTGTGCGGAAAGTTTCGTAACAAGGTATAGCGAGGAAGCAGATACTTGCTGTGACGCTGTCAGGATATTCCAAGTACAGACGGTATGAGGACGTCGGACATACGCCAGCATCAAACTCCGCCAGACTTCCTCCGTCCGCGCCGACCCAAAACCTCATGAAAACGATCATGGCTTGTGCAATGACCTCCTGGGGTAGCCTGAGTAGTATACCGGCGGCTTGTGTAAGTCGCGCGCCAGCATAACGAACCGAGTCTTCTAGATCTGGTGGAATACCGTCAAGCTGCGACCCCGAGGTCTCGAGCTGGGCCACAGTGGCTAACGGATTGGAAAGTGGTGAATGCTGCATGATTTACCGCAGGCCAGCGCTGTACATGGCGTCTACAAGCTGGTCGAATGTTGAGTTCGTGATGCACCAGAAGCTCGTGTCACTTCGTCTCGGTTGACGCGTTTAGCGCATGTGGCTAGTGACGCGTAACCCACACGTCGGTGGGATCTCTACCAAGCAGAAAATTCAAATGGACGAGTGACTACCTATGAAGCTGAGATCAAATATTAAACGGATGATGATAAAGATTAAGATAAATTATATACGAGATAACCTCTGACTTTTCCATCAATCCATTCAGTCGCTTTAGCTCACTTGGGAGAGCGCCAGACTGAAGTTCAGTCATTAAATCTGGAGGTACTGTGTTCGATCCACAGAAGCGACAAGCTTCAGTGCCCGGTTCTTCCGGGATCACTCCAACATCATTTTTGCTGGATATGGTGTCTATGGGAAGATCTGCTTTCTTTTTGCTGGTCAAAGAAATCTGAACGCGTATACAAATGATTCCAACGCACTGGATTATACAATCGTTTTTGGCCCTCGAACTTGCATGGCAGTGTAAGCCACTTGGGAAGAATGGCTGATGGTGATTAAAATTGTAGTCCATTAGTCGTCTCCGACCATCTTCGAATGCCGGAAGTACTTCATACCAACCCAGGCAATCACTACCCACACCCAGCTCATGACTGCCGTACAAACTATGAGTGCCGGATAGTATCCTACAATAGGTAGCGACTCATCGTCCTCCAATTCGGGCGGGGCGTATGGCGTCTCACCCACATCCCATGCCCAGCTCCAGACTCCTAGACATGACCCCATTCCTACCACGAAAACAATCCATGTTACGACAAGCACAACCCAACCCCACCACTCTGTCTCGCTGTAGTCCCAATCGTCCCCATCCTCGAGGTCGGCGGACGTTTGGACTATCGTCAGTGACGTTCTCCGATCAGATCGATTCGAGCGCCGGCGTTGGACGGTGGGATCTTGCGCAGATAAGCTGTACATGGTGTTGCTGCCTCCAGACATTGGAGGGCGATAAAAGGATAGAGCTTCGTCTTCGTCCGTTGTTGATGCGTATGGGCCAAGTGGGCTGGTAATAGGCGAGGCCAGCAGGCGGGGGTGTTCTACAGCCTCGAGGCTGGGTGCAAGCATGGACTGAGACAGTTTGCTTTCAGGCAACAACCACCCACTATCTGAGGATGAGTTGAGTGGGGCGTTCTCGTAGCTGAAGCGGCGGGGCGTGGTGTCGTTGTCCGCAAGTGAAGCCGTGCTCATGGTCGTGGTGATAACCGGCGGTTTTACCAGCGTCCGGTCCTTGCGCAGCGAGCCACTGCGTTCACGCATCTTCGCCATGGCTGCTTTCCTCAGCGATCCCTTTCTTTTTCGAGCCTGCCCGTTTTGGCGCAAGGCAGTTGCAAGGGAGGAGCGTCCCTGTACAGCTTCCGTGTCCTCCATCTGGCCCTCATCCTCTGCATCCAACTTCAACGACGACTTTTTGGAGCCATCTTTTGACCTCAAGAACGAAAGACCACCCAATATGCCTCCAGATTTACTGCGCTTGTGCTCTTGCTTCTTCCCATCCCACGTGCCTCCCTTCGCCTCGCCCTCGGTGGATTGGGTCGCGTCACCACTGCCGTGTTGCTGTGAAGCGTGCCCGTGATTCATGACTTAGGCGCACACAGGCCATGCGCTGCGCCTGTCAGGTCAGAAGTGTCATGTTTCGCAGCCAATCTATCAAGAACGATGGCGTAGCGCATTATGGTGCCAAACACGCTGCCGGTGACGTTCATTAGCCTCAATCAACCCCTGGCGCGGCGTCGGAGACCATTGATTGGTGCAGCGGTCCACACCGAACACGATCAGTCTGCATGTGGAAGGCACCCTCAATTTCCCCTCAGCCTCCCGTCTGGGGTCTATCTAGTTCTCTTATCTGCGAGTCCTGGACGCATGTGTCGTCGCTGAAGCCACCGCCCTCCAGCCGTCGCACATTGAGCCGCTGCCATGGCCTCGAACACAGTGCCGCTCCCGCCGCGGACGCCGACGCCGCCTCCTGACGAGCACACGCCGCAGCTGCCCGTTGGACTTGGGTTTGAAGGCGAGCTGTCCGCCAGACGGCTAGGATTCGACCCGAATGCTCTCTCTCCAATGTCAGCGACCTTTCCCTCCAAGCAGTATGCGACTCTGGGGCCTAGCGACTCTGTCTCGCAGCGCGCGACGCCCACGACTCTGTACACACCAGCGAGTGCGACCTTCCCATATACTCCCGCCAGCGCCATGAGCGGCACCGATGTGGATGCGCCTTCAATGAGTGGGACAGAGAATGCACGCAACCCATTCAACTTCCAGTCGGTCACCTACCAGCCAGGCCAACCGAAGCAGAATGTAGGATAAGTTCGTCCGATTGCAGAGCATTTGCTAATTGCTGTAGGATATCGGCAGAAGACGAGGACACAAGTACAAGCATAGCAGCGTGTCCCACCAGATCTTCCTTGAGCCGGCACCTCGCGCTCCTCTCCAACTCCCCGCGTCCTTACCGATCCCGACTTTCAAAGAGTATCGAACATCCATGTCAAAGGACCAAAAGCTGCGACTGGCTTGGTGTTTTGGTCATCTGCTTGTGGCAGGGCTCGTACAGTGGGGCTCTCACGAGTCTCTGGCGCTGACGGTGCTGTCTCGCCTCATCTTTTATGATGCCCTCGGCGCATTCTTGTGCGTTGCGGTCGACGTTGGGTCAAACTTCGAGGTCTGGAAGCGCTCCAGCATCCGCCATCCTTTCGGATTCGAGCGCCTCGAAGTCATCGCGGGATTGGGCATGTCTGTTGGGCTTTTGTTCATGGGCTTAGACCTCATATCGCATGGTCTAACGCATGCTTTGGAGAATTCCGGCGGACATACTGCGCACCACGCCGATGCACACGAGAGAGTCTCACCGGGCAGCATCGATCTCGCAGCTCTGAGTGGCATTGTTTCAACGCTTATCTCTGCTATCTTGCTGAAGAATCACGCTCGCATTGGCAAAGTCATGAGACTGGGCGCGATCGCGAACCTCCCCTCGGTCTTAAGCAACCCTTCGCATTTCCTAACTTTGTCTTGCTCGGCCCTACTACTGCTTCTTCCCCTACTGAGCATTCAAATGTATGTCTGGCTAGACCGCTCCTTGTCTTTTTCTGTCGCGATCTGCATGGTCGCTTTGGGGTGGATCCAAGGATGGACACTGGGCAAGATGCTGCTGATGTCGTACTCGGGTCCAGGAGTGTCCGATGTCATGTACGACATTGAAACGGACCCAGCTGTAAGTGCGGTTGAAGAAGCAAAGTTCTGGCAGGTACACTACGGACTATGCCAGGCGAATCTGAAGGTACGGGTACGTAAGCTAGATGAGATAGGACGTCTGCGCGACCGGATTGGCAGCATGGTACGGAACCGTTTGGGTGGCAGCTATGGTGGCGGAGGACAGAAGTGGGAGGTCTCCACTCAGGTTACGCTCGAGAAGGACTGAAGAGTGAGAAGTGCCGTGTTCAGGCACTCTCAGATCTCAGGAACTATGCAATAAACATTTCGCATCGTTGTGGCGACTCGACTCGACTCAGCAGCTTGCATTTCAGCTTGCAGCCCAAATGGGGCAGTGCGACGGAGTCTGACGCATGCTGGACACACACTGCGTCCAGTTTGCCGCTTGTTCCACGATTGGTGGCACTTCTTGCGGACACGCCCAAAAACGCATCTTCTGCTGCTTGCCAGGCGACATGCTCTTTATCACCTGGTGTCTGCTCCCAAACAGCTGGCAGCCATCACGTCGACGCCTGACATGCACGCAGCGACATCCCTGCTGCCGCTAGACGAATATCCTTTAGCGAAACCCTTAGGAGCGGGCGGCTGGGAAGGCACCGGCGGGCACACTGATCAATAGAGAGACCGTTCACGCCGCTCCTCTTCGCGCTTCACCGCCCAACGCGGCGGTCGCTGGTTGGAGTGTGCGGTTCGTCTGATGCACGCTTGGGCACGCTCAACCTGCCTGCAGGTGGCTGTTCGTCAATCACGCCTGCAGAGACTCCCACCCAACCCCTCTCCTGTACGTCCGCCTGCACGCCTGCCTGCGGTCTGTCGGAACCTGTGACTTCGTAGGCTGGCGCTGTCCGGGCCCCCAATATAACCCTGCACGCTGGTGGTGATGGCCGGGCATCGCGATGCGGCAGGCACACGATACCAATACGCCGACGAATATTCGCGCGACGACCGAGAAAGTAGACATCATCGCCGACACCGAAGTCGCGATCACGACGACGACGAATACGCAGCCAAGCGGGAGCGCAGGGAACGTCGTCGAGCAGAGGAGGCGCGGCAAGAGGCAGCAGTTGATATAGATGACATCAGAGCGCGGCGGGTCAGTCATTACTCCAGGCCTGAAAGCGATCGACATCGCGATCAAGATCGTATGGCGCATGATGTGCGCGTTGAGAGCGTGAAGACCCCCCGCAGTAGCCATCGAGAATTGAGGCGAGATGGCACGCGGAAGGCGAAGAAGAGGGAGGTAGTGGAAGTTGACAGGGAAGAGGACTATGTGTACGGCCGCCCAAAGTCGAGCGAAGTAAGGAGGCCCTCAGGGCGGAAGAGGAGCGACGAAGGCGGGTCTTCAAGTCGAACGGCATATACACCCCGGTCAGGCTCCGGATCTTCGCGTCGGGTTGAGGATCCGAAATTGAGCAGGTATTGCATCTTACATCGTCATGACAGCAACAAGCTCACCAGAAGTAGAAGCACATCTACCCGAGAGCATGGCAGTAAATACTTGCCGACAAGGTCTAGCCGACACCCAAGCGCCGTCAAGTTGTCGGCCACTCCTGCCGCCGCTCCCATCATAAGGTCGTTCTCAACCCGAGAACAGCCAACGCGAAGAAACTCTGGAGGCATTTTTGCGACATTATTTAGGGCGGGACCGCGTTCACCATCGATCAAAGAAGTTCAACGGTAGAGTTGCCCTGCTGACCCATTGTCCACTGTACTAAGAATACACCAGCGTTGACTGCGTCATCTGTATGAATGACGACCTTCCTGCCAACAAGACGGCAAAACTAGCCTGCGGCCATCGCATGTGTCACTCGTGCTTGAAACGGCAATTCAGTCTGTCCGTCAACGACCCTCAGCATATGCCTCCACGCTGTTGCACCAAAGAGAATATCCCATTGAAGCATGTCGACCGTCTGTTTGATGATAAGTTCAAGAGGCTTTGGAATCAGAAGTTCGAAGAGTACACGGCCAGCAAGAATCTCTACTGCCCGGCCAAAGGCTGTGGTGAATGGATCAAATCGAACAAGGTCCGTGTTGACTTGACCACGGGAAGGAAGTATGCTCGCTGCGGTCGATGTAGCACCAAAGTATGTGTGTTGTGCAACAGCAAATACCATACAAGAAGAGAATGTCCGAAGGACGAGGACACGAAGCGCATGGTGGAAATGGCAAAAGAGAAAGGCTGGCAGAGGTGCTACAAGTGCAAGGCTGTGGTTGAGCTCAAGGAAGGCTGTAACCATATGACCTGGTAAGTTCAAAGCGGCGTATTACCCTGACATCCACTAACATCCTCCAGCCGTTGCAACGCACAGTTCTGCATGATGTGCGCGCTGCCCTGGAAGACATGCAATTGTCCCTGGTTTGACTACTCTCACATACCAGACGGAGACCGGCCCGATGAAGTGCGTGCACCCTATAGCAGGCTTGAGAATGGTGTGGAGGTCATTGAGATCACCGAAGAGCCTTCACCTCCTCTGGCCCGCCGGTCAAGCACACGAACCAGTCGCACTCGGCATCGCAGCGAACGTGAACGTCCTCGAGACCAAGCAGAGGGAGCTTTAGCCGCTCACTTACAGTCTCAACGCCACCTATACCCCCCAAACATCGCAGCATCGAGTCTCAACCGTGGCGATGTCGCAAACGTACAAGTGTACGGCCTCGGCAATACTGGTGGACATCACATGAACGACTCCTATCAGGTCCGCCCTGTCGTTGCCTCCGCTGCTCACAGACCTCTGCAAGTGCCTGCGCCTCGCCCATCTTATTCCAATAGTCGTCGCGTTGTGCGCGAGGCTGCCGCTCCGGTTCCGGTGGCTCGATACGTACCCGCGGAAGCACCTTCGTCTGCTATGGCAGGCTTGTCTCTTGACGGATCGAAGCGTGGCGCCAACAGAGTGGGAACATGGCTCAGCCACATCAAGGTCGATCCAGAGGCGACCAACACGCAAGCTGCAGGTGTCGAGGTTGATGATTGGAGGTGCGATGGGACTATGATTGGCATTGATTGAGCGCATGCATTCTAACACTTCTGTCTTGTACACTCTGGTTGCTTTGCATTTCAGCGAAGGTGCATATGGAGCATGTTTGACATTGTCGGGTTGCTTTGACCTGATTTGATCTGGAGGGAGTCTGACATGAATTTTCTTTTGAGCATGCGCATAGGATACCCTTTGTTCATTCGTTTCTCATTTTACACGATTCATACGAAGCTTTAAAGATTACAATCACTTGTGATCAACAAGCGCTTGCTCCCTTTGTGGAACGTGAGCGTCGTTGGCGGATTCATTCACGTAGATCGTTGTCAATGATGACGCCATCGTTAAACTAAGCAATGTGAGCTTGACATTCAGCTCTCTCAAGCTACTTACCCTTCCATTACTTCTCATCGGTCAATTCATCACACAAATATGCCTTTCATACGAACAATTCCTCTCCTGCGCCTGGCAGCTCGGCCAGCGGTTGTCCGCCCAGCACTCTCTTCGCGCACTCAGGTCCGTTTCGCTACACAGGACTATGGCTCTGGCGACGGCAACCCAACTGGCGAGAAGCCGCAGCAGCAAGGACAAAACCCGAGCGAGCATATTGAGCACCCAGGCCCGCCACCACCAAAGGTTGCACGCGGTCAATCCTCCTCGTCGCCCAACGAAGATTCCGGTCAGTCGTCGACATCGTCCCAGCAGAAGCCAGAACAGCAGAGCCAGTCAAACGACGGAGCTTCGAAGACTGGCGCAGGTGACGGTAAGTCAGTCAAAGGTGCCCAGCCCAAGATTCTGAACGAGAGCACTCCTGCGGCGGAAAGCGAGGAGGTGAAACAACACAACCAGGAAATGGATCAAAGGGCTGAGAAGGCGCACGAACAGGTCAGTAGTGAGGAGGCTGAGAAGGACAAGGTTCCGAAAAGCTTCTGGGCTGGTAAGTCATAACTATGCTTCGACAGCACCGAGCGCCTGGCTAACGCATCGCAGGACAAGGTGGACGAGACCGTGACCCGTAAGGAGACTTAATGAATGATACTGCACACATGCGTATAAAGGGCGCCCAAACCCAAATGAATCAAATAACGGATCAAGTAATGCATCTATCATGTCTTTAAACTAAGGGGAAAGCTCACACCTGTAATCTTGTGCGCCTGCCGTAGGACTGCAACACCACCAGTGCCTAGGCTATGAGCAGCGCAATCACGCATCAATGCCTATGTTTTGTGCAATACTCGCTCATCATGGTACGTTCTAGGCCGCGAGAGGCCATAGCTTCAGCACGGATCTCATGACATCAGCGGCAGTTTCCCCACATTGATCGTGATGCAGATTCCTGAAATCCCATGACAACACGTTGCAGCCCACAAGGGAAAGCTTCGAATTGCACAGAAATACGGGACGATAGTGTCACTGCCTTTCAGGGTGCGGGAATTGATGTCAAGCCGCGGATCGTCATCCTTCGCGCCACCAGTGTTAATGCGAGCAGGAATTGGCTCGTGAAAGCGATGCCACAATTTGTGCAAAGAAGAGCGAGATGTTCGCGTCCGTAAGGGGACGGTAGGCACTTTCATTGGCGGAGAGGCCCCACAGTGGACGAGCTTGACCTTGTTTGTGCGCTAGGCGTGACAGTTAACGTACGTCACTCAAAGCATTTGTGCTCCCCTCTTAAGCTGCCGCGCCTTCCACCTCCCAACCCTATCCCCCACCGCTGTCCATCCTAAACCAGCACCTCCTCATCAATCCTCTCATCGCTTCTACCATATAGAACCGATTGATCACCAACATGAAGTTCTCCCTTACTTCCACCCTGGTGGTGGCTCTGGCTGCTCAGGCTACAGCAAATAGCTGGTTCGGAAAGTCAGGTGCGTAACTTCTCATTTTCCCCTCACTCGTCAGCCCCACGTGCTCATACTAACTCCACTAAGCAGTGTACGACAAGTGGCACGAGACGGAGCTCGAGCGATGGCTGTCAGACAACAATATCCCCCACCCTAGCCCGTCAGACCGCAAGAACCTCCAGAAGACTGTTTCCGACAACTGGAATGACAAGATCGTCAGCCCTTACTCATCATGGGACGTCAAGTCTCTCCAGAACTACCTAACTGCCCGCGGCCAGCAGGCAAAGAAGGGTACAGAGAACGACGTGAAGAGCCTTGTTGAGCAGGTTAAGGCGTACTGGTACGAGACTGAGGACTCTGCCAACCAGGCCTACGGTAGTGTGAAGGATTGGATCTTTGACAGGTAGGCATCCCATGCATCCCTCTTTTTTGGCATCTACTAACTTCCTGAAGCTGGACCGACTCACAGCTCAAGGCTTTCGCCGACAAGAACGGCATTCCCGTCCCTCAGCCCCGTCAGCGTGACTCTCTTCTGAAGATTGTCCGCGAGAACTACCAGTCTGTCGCCGATAAGGCCTCTGAGACCGCCAACTACCCCGGTGACTGGTTGTACGCTTCCTGGTCGGACTCTGACCTGAAGACCTGGTTCGACGAGCGTGGCTACAACGTTCCTCAGCCTTCCACCCGTGATTCTCTCATTGCCAGCCTCCGCCGCCAGTCTCGTCTTGCAAGCCAGAACGCCCATGGTATTTATGCTCAGGCTTCTTCTTCCGCCGCCGCTGCTCAGCAGAGCTTGAGCGATGCTCTCCTCGACTCGTGGTCCGACTCTCAGATCAAGGAGTGGGCTGACAAGAACGGTATCAAGGTTCCCCAGGGTTCCAAGCGCAATGAGTTGATCGCTCTTGCCCGCAAGCACCGTGCTCGTCTCTATGGCGACTCTGCTTCAGCCACTGCTGCCTCTGCCTACGGCGCTGCCACTTCCAACGCCAACAGCGCTGCGGCCCAGGCTACCGACGGCTTCGCTTACTATACCAACCTCGTCAAGCAGCAATTCGGCATCGCTACTGATGCCGCCGCTGCTTCTGCGAGCTCTGCCAGCAATGTCGCTGCCGCTTCGGCCAGCTCTGCATCCGCCAATATCAAGTCGGCAACTGGCGCTGCCGCCAAGGCTGCCTCTTCGTCATCGTCTTCGATCTCTAAATCGGCTGCTTCCGCTTCCGCCAATGCCTCCAAGTCCGCCCAGAGCGCCGCCTCTGCTGCTTCTAAGTCTGCTCAGTCTGGTTACAACGCTGCCGAGGCCTCCGCCAGCTCTGCTAGTGCCAAGGCATCCAAGGCCGCTTCCGCTGCTAAGGATGAGTTGTAAATACCGAAATCGTTTACTCACGATCACTCTTGACAATCTTCGTCCGGCCTTGATGGTTTCCAGACGAATTATGACGCGTTCACGACTATGGTGTTGATGGTTCAAAAGCGGATTCAACTAAGATTCTGTAAGATTAGCTTCGCGATGATATTCCCCTGACCCCCAGTAGGCATTTGAGGTCTCTCCACTTCCCCTCCCGGCCCTTCAGACTGGAACGGAGGTTTGGCGTCTACATAGCTTGATTAATGTTAGCAATGCAATAAGTCAGGATGAGATCTTTCAGTTGCTGTATGTGTCCTAGAAAGCGGATGTACCTGAATCTGAGGCAGTCACACAATGCTCCTTTGTTGTAACAATGGCGCGTCGTATCTTTTTGCGAAAACACAAAGCGCTCCATGTCCTTGTTGCATCAATCCTTTGTCTAATGCAAAGAATTTAGACCAGCCATCGTGCCAGCATTCCCATACAAGTGCAAAGCTGAGCCCTGCAAGAAGCCGGATTATACTCACAGAAAACGGTCCTCACCGTATTCACCACCGCGACAATGAAGAACTTACCAGAGCGTTTGGATGATCTGTCTACTTTCAAGTACACCAGAGTCGCCAAGAGTTCAGTGACCAACCGTGCGACGACTTTACACAAGGCAATATCGATCTACAAGGGTAAGAAAATTTATACGCGCCGCATAACCGCGAATCTGATCGATGCTACGAAATGGGAGGGTAAGCATAGACCCAGGAGATATCCGGATGGGCTGGAGTTTCCCGGGGACATCCTTAAAGCTGTAATGTATAGCAGGGCGACCACTCAAAGACCCAGAAGGTCCACTCGGAAACATCGAAAGACTGCATCCAACAAATCCACTCCATCAGAAGACAAACAAGAATGGATCGCTGAGCTGTTGAGAACCTGCGAATCTTGCCACAGCGACGCACGAACCGCTGCTGAACTTTGCGGGTGCACAACTACACCATGGGACACGCGCAGTACTGAATCGTGGCGCGAGAAGAACATCCAGTTGCGTTGGATAGGCGAAGACTTCGGTATCGGTACATACGCACTCAGTAAGATACGGGCAAACATTGTTCTCGGCGAGTACGTTGGAGAATTCATTCACACTGACCCTTCCGATGACAGCTCCTACCTGTTTGCTGTAAGCAATGATGCAGATACAATAATGGGGTTTGTGGATTCACAGCGTATGGGCAACTGGACTAGATTTATCAACCATTCATGCAACGCCAACTCGGATTTCGAATGGGTAAGGGTTGGGGATGAGTCCAAGATTGTTGTCAGAACAAATAGGCCTATTCTCAAAGGGCAAGAGCTGACCATAAACTATGGAGACGGATACTGGAAGACTAAGAACAGGGATGGAATTTGGTGTTGTTGTGGCGTCGCCGATTGTGCATTCAGTGAGGCCGCGAAACGAGCACGAGCTGAGGCAGCGCGGAAAAGGAGAAGGTAGATAGCTTGCGTGTATGCCCTATTATTGTAATTCCTGACCGTCTTGTAGTTGCAATACTCCATGAGTTTGCTCTGCTTGTAACCTTTCACACGCCGATGTCCTCTACGCGGAGTAGTCCACTGTTCATCCCCGCGACTGCCCACGTTCCAAACTTCAGATTCGGATTCCACGCTAGAGCGCTGATTGATGACTGCTCTTCGAAGATTGTAATAAGGGTGCTAGTTTCGGTCTCTGGTTTCTTCTTCGATGTTGTCGAGTAAGAAATGCCTGGCTGTGTAGCCTTGTAACCCTCTGTGATGCGTACCATAGGCTTAGACAGTGCTGAAGGCGGTACTTCAGGCGTGTTCGGGGTTGGGATATCCTGAGTATCTTCATCTTGCATTGTAGTATCGCGGGTAGGTGGTTTCAAGGTCATCTCAGCTACCGGTGGCCTCCACTCATGAAAGAACCAATTCTGCTGCCAGGGTACCACTTTCGTATTGACAACTCGTCCGACAGGATTTGTTGCAAATACTGCCCCATTGGCGCCAGCAATCAAGACTCCAGGGTGCACTGGGCTTGCGGCAACACGCACTATGCTGCTCTCTGCTCGTGCACTGTAGATGTTGTGATAGAATCGACGAATATTGTTGTGCTTAAGCATGTAATATTCATCCGGCATTATGAAAGATTGGGTGTGTTCGTGCCACGCTTGAGTAGTGACTAGCACGCGTCCACGGACTGAAGCGACGGTGTCTGTGTCCGGAGAGCGTATGTCATAAAGTCGCGCAAAGCCGTCTGCTGTGCTTACCGACACGAAGTGGGGTTGTGAGGGCCAGCCTGAGAGCATCGTCAGAACGTAGGTATCTCCAATCTGCTTATAAAACCAGGGCGTCGGATTACTCCTAGTTGGAGATGTTGAAGATAGAGTCCCGGGCTGAGTCAAGGTCCATATAGCTAACGTGCCAGCGGCAGTCCCAACAGCAATGGTGGAGCCAGAAAACCAATGAAGACAAGTGGGCACTGTTTGTGGAAAAGAGACTTCGAAAGCGGCCTGAGCAAAGTGCATGAATGTAGGTCCAGTGGTATCTCTGTCGGCTTTGGGGATCTCAATGTTGAGCACCCGCACTCGTCCATCTGACCAGATACCTGCGAGTAGCCCAACATCGATTGTTCCGTTACCACTCAATGGTAACTTTCTGTCATGTGGCATAATAGGGGACCATCTGATCTGCTTTGGCGCACCCCAGTTTGTACAAATAACAAGAGCCAGCCTAGGCTTTTTGGACGAATCAAGTCCGAAGTCTGGGCTAGAATCGAAAGCCCATATCTGTATTGATGAAGCAAACGGCTTCGTGGCGGAGAATGCAGGTGCGGTCGGCTGTTCCATGACCGCTGGCTGCTGACAGACCTTGTCTCTTTGTTCCACAGCAACAGCAAGATATTGTGTATTCCCGTTCTCATTTGTCATCCATTGAGTGTCTTGCACACGTGCTCCCAGATTGAGTAGCCAGCCACTCCTTTTGGCCTTGTCCTCGAATGGATCTGCGATATCGATGAATGAGCCCTTCGTTAGTGGAAGTAGCCGGGGATCAATGTTTCTGCCTGCAAGGACATTGATTGAGGCAGCTCCATCGTTCATGATATACGTGGCACCTCGCTCTTCACTCAGAACAGCTGTAATCTGACCCTCCATAAATTGATCCCTTCCGATATCGGTGTACCATGTTTGAAGAAGTTTTGTGTCTTTCGCTCTTGCCTCTGAGCTTTCAAACGGACTTCTCTTCAGGCCAGAATCGCGGATCGGAAATGTCTCCTGTGGCCTCCATTCGTCTCTTGTCCTCAATATAGGCTTTAAATCGATATTAGCGGGTCCGAACAAGTCCTTCAAGCGCGCTTCCTGGCCTCCCTTTCCGCTGAAGTCGGCGATGCCTCGAGCTCTGATTTTATCGTCATCCATATTAACCTTCCTCCCGCCACTTCTAGCAAAGCTGTGCGGAACTTGCACTGAAGCGGTCGATTTAGGCCTCGGGCCTTGCGGTAAGAATTGTGGGACAGCTGGAATCTTGCCTTTGCCCGTAGATGGGCGGGAGGGTGCGATCTCGACATCGTTAACGTCAATGAAAGATGACTCCCGGGCCAACGCCTCCTCATTTGCAGCTGTCTCGTCGTCCGAATCCTCTTCTTCTATGAGTTCTTCCTCGAAATCGTCTTCCTGCTCTTCCTCTGCATTGGCGTCGGGCATGAAATCGTCGCCATCCTCCTCGTCATCTTGTACGACTGGTCTGCGCTGTCGCGATGGTCCAGCATGTTCGTCTTCCTCATCGAGAAATGAGTAACCGTCCTCGATACGGTATGATGCGGTGGACTTGTTACGCGACTGACGACGCGACATGGCGGTCATGCAGGTGTCGAAGCGCTAGAGGAGGTTTTGACGAAGAAACAGACAACAGCGAGCACCTACCCTCCCTCTCACTTTGACATCAAGGCAACAAAAAAAGCTCGCAGGTTTCTCCCAGCCCGAAGCAGGAAACCCGTAGCGAAACGCAGGCTTTACAATCGATAATGCCAGCACTGAAAGACCTGCACTCCACGATTAATCGCACTCAAGGTGTCCAGGCTCAGACCGGCTTCACAGGGTTACTTACGGGCGTGCACAGGCCTTGAACCCTTGAGCCCCGCACCAGCTCATAAAATTACCCCACTACATTCACAGCGTTGCAATATTCTCGGAACCACAACTGAAAGACTACTTGCACGATTTGGGCTCAAATCCTGACAATATGATACCACTAATAAATGTGGATTTTATCAATCATCACTTAGGTGGTATGGTGTAAGTTTAACTCATCCATCCACTGCCCTCGCAACGTCTAACAACTCTCTAGCTAGTGGTATGACGTCGCGTTGTGGCTGGCGAACACCTAGTGTTCCGATCCAGATCCGCGCCAGCCCGTGTTCGATTCACGGTACCGCCATGTATAATGTGCGACATCTTTTTTTGCCTTTGGGGCATCATTTGGTCTTTCTCACGTCGTCACGCTCCGGAGCTGTCTGCTTGGGCAGTCTTTTTGCCGGTGGGCATTCTTCAACATGCGTGTATGCCTGACATCTCCACCTTTCCTATTCACCCAAGATTAGCGTGCTTTTGTATCAGATTCATCAAACACCTTTAAAAAATCCTTGTGAAAGGCCGTGAACATGGACAAGTACCGAGCATACTTGTATCTGGTCAAGATACCGACATACAACATGTACCAAGGTGAGAGGTGCTACCGATATGTACTTTGTTGCCAAAAGTTCGGCCGAAGCGCGGTCTCTACATCTGTCTTATGTCGGTGATGAAGGTACGATCCTGGACAGATAGGGAACCCGCTACCGAATGCTGCACAAACTACAGGCGCGACGGTGAGATTCCGGTCCAACTTTCATCAAAGTCTTCATCGTCATACTTCGATTCTTGTCATCATATTATCGCTTGTTTGCAATTCCACATGTGTCCTCACATCACTCTAGCTTACCTTAGACTTGATTCTTACACGCCTGCCGTTGTTTCGTTGTAATACACCACTACATGTGCCCATTCGTTGACGATTTGAATAGGGCCGATGCCCTCCCAGAGGTTTGATTCACTCCCACATCGAAGGCTTGACTGAATACTGACTCCAACGCAGCAACCACCTGCCGGGGCGATGTCCTATGACGAGTTCATTCGATCCAGTTCTAGAGACGTAAGGATATATCTTGTGCTTGTAACCACTTCTGACGAGTCTCTAGTCGGAGATGAGAACGCTCGAGACAATGATCAATCACATGCTTGCGGCCGAGATGCGGCTCCAAGAAACTCGCGAAACCATGTTCCGCGAGATTTGCGCCGGCAGGAAAGACCTCTGGGAGGGCTGTAATGACATAATCAACAATGAAAGTACTGCCAGCTGCCAGAGGGTCGGATTCTTATTAGGCCATGCTACGGCGTTCCGCATGGACTCGGAAATCTTGACGAGAGCCCACGCCTTCTTTGAGGGCTCCAATCATGTCACCAGTGCTGCAGCAGTTGCGACCAGTACCAGAAGGCAGGCGAATAGTGATACAGCAAGGACTACGACAGATGACGCCAATCAACCGAACGGTGTCATCACTCTAAATGGCGGTCTAACAAACGGCCACAGTTTGGCAAATGGTGTTCACTCTCCCAACGGGGGTATGACAAACGGTCACGGTCTAGCAAATGGCGAACTAAGTATAGGAGATCCTGCTCTTGCCATGTCTCCTAGCGGTGACAGCTTCATGCCCCCATTGTAGTGACCGTCCCCGAACGGGCTCAATTATCACATCGAGTGGGTTGAAACGTGGACAGCTCTGAACAGGCGATAGGAGTATGTAGGGAACCTGTAATATTCCAATGATAAGATACTCAGGCGATGTTTCAGCAGAAACCTTCAATGACTAAGAAAAGCAAGATTATTAGCTCTTAAAGTGTGGAGAAAAGGCTGGGTATCAATATAAACGATTCCCCCGTCTGCCCTCGCAGACAACTTGAACATTGCCTTAAGCATAGAACTAGCCCTGTATTCGGAGGATTGGAGCACAAAGAAGCAGAAGGAGCGATCGTGGCACATGGATTGCGATGCTAACGACGAAGTCGATAGCACGAACAGTCCTACCCTGTCTTGGACATAACTATGCGATGCTCTCATAGATAAACCAAAGATCCACCATCCAGAGACAGGAGGTGAGCACGACCGGCGACGAAGACTTTCTGTTGAAGCATGCTATCATGTGTATCGCTGGGTACGACTCCAAGTAACATTTGGGCCAACGAAACAGAGCGATGGCTACTTAAACACCTACCTGAATGAACTCCTCCTCCTCATCGATGCCTATGAGATCGTCCAGGATCTCGTCGGCCTTTTTGAATATGAAGCTCACATGGCCCTCCCCTTCCATCATATGTAGCCTGGAACCGGGAATCAGAGCTTTGGCCTTCTTCGCCATTGCTGCTGGACAGTTCACATCCTCTGTGCCATGCCACAAGGTGAGTGGACACCCAACACCGCTGCTAATATACAGCTGCCTCAGTTCGAACCCCCATTCGCTACCCTTCAGTCTTGCCTCCCAGCTTGCACCTCGACTCCCGTGTGCGAAAGCCTCTCGCATCATGGCGACAAACGTCGGCCAGTGCTTTGGGTCTTTCATAACAGCTTGATCACCAGCGTGTCGGCTTTCGACCTCTTGCTCCAACATGTCTTCAAAGACCTGTGGATCGGAGCATCTCGCGGCTTTGCCCATGCTCGTGTCAAACATGAGCGAAGTCAGGCCCGTGAGCCACGGAGCCACCCAGAAGAGCATTCGCGACTGCAGCATCATGCCCGATGTGCCGAACTTCGTAGGGTACAGCCCGCTGACCACGCTCACGCCCAACAGCCTCTCCTTCGGTATCCTCTTTATGCATGCTAGCGCGTACGGCGCTCCTCCGCTCACACCCAGTATGTAGAACTGCGATACCTTGAGGTGGTCGGCGAGTGCAAGTACGTCGGCGGGCCAGTCGAGAATACGGCGGTTCGGTTTGTACGTCGAGAGGCCAATGCCAGGGCGATCTGGGGCTATCAGGCGTATCATATGCTTCGTGCATGACGAATGCCACAGCTTCCCCTCATACCGCGACGACGGAAAGCCGTGCATGTAGAAGACCGTGGTGCGGGGTACAGGACTGCCATAAGTCGCGTACGAAAGTCTGCGGCCGTCTTCGAGCTGGACATTTTCGTTCTCAAGCACCGTGCTTGTGATCATAGCGGCGACGACCGTGGGTCGTGGACAGGCCGTGAAGGCTGTTCAAATCAGAGCAGAGTGATTCATGGCGGGATGGAAGGAGTGCACAGTCGTGGGAACGCGCTGACGGCGCGACAGAAGATATAAGCACACGCATCGTGATCCAGAGATCTTGAGCAATATTGCATAGATCGCTGACTGGGGCTATGTGTTGTACGGCGTGTATGCGTGCATTGCGTTGGCGAGGGTTTGGCGGCCGAAGGAGCTAGGTACTTCCGGCCCAAGCGCGCTAAATCTGTCAGCGGGAAGGCGTCCATCAGTCCCACTGGGGCTCATAGCGTCCATGCTCACTTCACATGCAGGATGGAGGTGCAGATGACCCTTCGTACTCCCCTGCAAGGATGGCAAATCGCTCACAGCGTGTGCATCGACTTCCAACTGGGCTCATCACACTCATGTCCTCCCCGCTCGCCCACGCGGATCTGAACCTAATACGACAGATCAGCATATCAAAACCTTGGGCGTCTTCTTCCTCCTCTTGATTGGCAAGAAGGATCGCTGAGACGTTGACTTGGTACGGCACACCGCCTCCACATTCTCCACTCGAGACACTGTCGCACCAGAGCAAGGCTGCGACCTATGGTGACCACCAAGCACATGGACTGCGGAGACTTTGACTCAGCAAATTGCTATTTGGTGCATATGTGCTCTCCTCACCGAGGCTTCATTGATCATATGTTGACAGCTTGTTGACGTCAAGAGCCATAGGGACAATATAATGAACCAGATTCACCATGCATTTCCTGTTGGTACGACCGTACATAGGATGATCAAGAACCAGACTCCAACGGCACTAGTATCTCATTCCTCCAGCGTCAATACCCCAAGATTCCAGCCCAATAATTCCAATCCAAAATCACACGATGGCCATGTCATAAAGTATGAACCTGCAGGCCGCAAGCTCTCAAAAGAGGTGCAAGTCCCTGAGAAGCGCTTTGATGAAGCCCTCCTCCTTCGCCTGCTGCTTCGGGAAGATGCGGGACCCCTTCTTACCACCGAGCGTCCACTTGCGAAACGCTGCGTAGTTAGGGAAGAGAATGAGCCGCACTGTCCGGTTGCGACGATGGTCGATCAGATTCACGAGATTGACATAGACTGTGTGTAGGGCCTAGGGTTTTATTAATGACCGACCACTTGCACTCCGAGACGTTGACTTACCTTTCTGCACTTGGTGATTGACAGAGGAACAGGGCCAATTTGAACGTCGCGACACAGCTCCTGCCACTTCTCCAGCTTCGAGTTGTCAGTACCGTAGATGGCGTCGATCTCGTCTGCGATAGCTTCATGACGGCGCTTCTTGCGCTGGGCCTTCGACCAGCCCTCCTTGATGGCTAGGCGATTGAAGAGGGAGTTGAAGCCATCGTTGGGTCCAGCCACGATGCCGTGCTGTGCAAAATAGCCCGCTCTGACGCTTGAAGAACTGAAGCCGCTGTCGTTAGGGGTGGATTCAACGCTCGATGCCGAGCCGGAGCCGGAGTCTGTATCTCGTAGGGATATGCCATGCTCTGGTGAAGTTTAGTAAGAGATATTGGGTCAAGATCTCTGACTTACGCATAGCGCTCGCGTTTCCACGGTCTTGGTCGGCCATCTGATCTTGTGGTGTATTCTGGAGTCGTCTTGGTGAACCAGGAAACAGTCGTAACTGTTTCGTTGGAGACTATGTGGGAAGGCGAATGACAGCCTTTTGGCAATATAAATACACCCAGTGTGGCTGATGCGGCTCAGTCAAACTGCAGCAAAGTGAAGGCTTCTGCGGCGCAGTGGAACCCTCATCATCACTCTGAGAGTTTTGCCACCTTTGTTCTTGTTTGGATCACAAGGTTTGTGCCTGAAATCAGAAGCATGCATGTTGAGACAACTGTCACGATGCATAGAATCGGTGTAGACTTCTTTGTTGCGCGCATGTTTTGAGCAAACTCGTCAAAGGCAACAGGTCTGAAACACGAGGATGATGCGGACTTCGCTGGGGTGCCTACCGTAAGTCTGGAACACTTTCCGAATGTCCGCAAGAAATCAACGCGAAAATTGAAGCGCACGGATTGAATAAACATGCAGAGTGACAATTGCAAGCAATCTTCCTGGATATTCTAAGCAAAGCGGGTGACAACCTTCTGCTGCTTTGTCTCTTACTGAGTCCTTGTAGTGAATCGATGATTAACTATCAGATCAAGATATCTATTAATGTTATAACAATCTGTCTTACATTTGCTGAGGACCTCTTGGTCACATGAAGATGCGGAAATATGGGTCGAAGCTGAGGTACGCCGGAGCCACCACCCAGCATCGTACACTATGATGATTTTAAAAAAAGATGTTGCCCGAAATGGGATCATGTCAATTCCTAGATGAGTGGCCAATGCAGGCTTGGACGATAGTTGTTGTCGACATCAAGGTATGACAGGAACAAATGCAGGTACTGTCTCTATCCAACTGACTTGCAACCAAGGAGCGACGACCAAGGAGTGAGGTAGTACAGCGTCAGTGTCAACGCATCTCACATGATAGTCGCGAACATATCAAGGGGAACAATTGTACAGCGGTGAAAAACATTTCTTTTTTAAGTGATCATTCTGAACTGCGCCCAATGGCAAATTGAAGACCGAATCCGTGACTTCCATCAAACAAGCGGCACAGCGATGCCTGCTGACCTTGATTCCACACGCAAATATCTGAGACACAGCTGGTCCAGAAGACCGCTGTACGGACACCTCAATGCCGCACGATCATAGGTAGCCTGCATCCACATCGGCCTGATAAAGTGCGTCTTGATAAGCCGCAATCTCGCCCTTCAACTCCCGGTTCTCGTCCTTCAAGGTCTGGTTGTCGTCCTTGTAAGCCTGCAACTTGTCCTCTAGCCTAGCGATCTCAGCCAAGGCAGAGGAAAGCGAGCGGGGACGACTGACTACATCCTCGGTGACATCTGCTAATGGCGTGCGCTTGACTGGTGTCGTAGAGTCGTTCTCCATTGCGGACTGGTTGACGAACTTGAAGGTAGCTTTGCTGCGGTGAATGTAGGAAGGATCGAGGTTCTCGTTGTGATCGTTGTAGACTACACTTGGCACGGGAAGAGTGGACCGCTGAGGTGTCTGGAGTTGTATATCGTCTTCGAAGATCTTGAAGTAGGGTTCAGAGGCAGGCTCATAGGATTTGGGAGCCGTAGACTTGGGAGCCATGACGTTTCGCTACTGTTTTTTGTGAGTGCAAGCACACGGCAAAGGCAAATGCTGTACTTACGGGAATCGAATTAGCGATGTGGGTGGAGGCTGACGGAAGCTATCGAGCGGAGCTCGATGAAAGCTTTTATGCAGTAAGCGAGGGTGCAGCTTCGAGGTGAAGGTACCGTCCCATGTCTAAAATATGCGTGCTGCCTTGCCCTGTCCGGGCCAGAGTGAAAGCAGGTGGGGAATTCGTGCGGCATCGAGTTTTATGCCAGTGTGAACTTGGATCTCCTGCAAGCACATCATTAGACATAGCCTTGATCACGACTTCGAACAGACGTAGCCTGTCGCATGCTATTCCGCTACATCTGCATATACTTCGCCCCCTACCCCCTCGAACTCGCCGAGGAACATATCATCATGCGACCAATACATTCGCCCGGCGTTTCATCGTGCATCGTATTGCATGTATACTTTTAGCGTAGAACTAATTTACATACCAAGCACAATCCATTACTAACGAAGAAAAAGAATTCCTGAAAGCACCCGATGATAGACTTTTAGGTGTGATGACCCTGGCAGAGCCGATTTACTCAGTCTGCAGGAGGCTGCCTAGGCTCCAGAAGTTGCGCAGTCAGTCAAGCGGCAATTGCGCAAGGGCCGGAAGAAATACACGGTGATCCAAACAAATTCAATCAAACATCCGTCCAAATTTTAAGGAAATAGTAGAAAGTAACCTCGTCCCTGCGTCATGCACGCTTTATTCCACACTTCCGTCAATCGCCATGACTTTCCGTCCGGAAGATGGGCCGGGATCTGATTCTATAAGCGCTTTCCAAGGCGCGCCAAAGCTTGCGCGAAGAGAGAGATTTACTAGTAGCGTCCACGGGGTGGGTAGTCGCCGCCAGCCGGGGGGGCATCGTAAGGTGGGCGGCCTCCCGGGCTACGAGGGCGTACGCCGCGAGGGGAAGGAGGACGACCTCCGTCGTAAGGACGACCACCTCCGTTCATGTAGGGGTCATCGTAGCGACGAGGTGGTGGGCCGGCCCTGGCATCGTAAGGATCGTCAGGGTAGCGCGCACGCGGTGGGCCATACTCATCAGGCGCCATGCGGCCACGAGGCGGCGAGCGACCATATCCTCCTTCACGTCTATCGTAGAATTCGCGCGGTGGGGTGCGGCGACGGTAGTCATCCCGGCGAGGGCTGTAACCACGGGGAGGACCGCGGCGATCGTAGTAATCATCATACGGAGCGGGAGGGTAGCCACCGCCACGGCGGCCCATGGGCGAGCGAGATCGATACCTATCACGGCCCCTGTCATCAGGACCACCAGGGCCTCCGTAAGGAGCCCTTGGCTTGAAAGGAGGGGGTGGAGGCGGGTCGGAGATGTCCTGAGTGCAGGTGACTTCCTGACCCTTGAACTCACGACGGTCCAGCTTCTCAACGGCAGTCTTCAAGTCGGCGGCCGTCTCATATTCGACGAAACTGGGAAATAATCAGTAAGCTTGTTAGTGTGACACATGGCGTCTACGTACCCAGTGCCATCACGCTCACGTCCAACTTCAGAGTAGACGACGTCCAGACCAGATTGACGGGCAAAGTCCTTAAGATCCTATACATCGAGATTAGGCCGAGTCCAATCCAGTTTATGGGGTACACGAAGAACGCAAAAACAAAGCCATAGGCGCTCCAGGACCTGGTCTGCTTGGGCCTAGGAGGAAACAGGGGAAATCCAAGGGTTGGGGTGTCTAACCTGCCAGCTGGTCTCCACCGGAAGGTTTGTTATTCTCATCCGGTAGGGAGTGCGACGAGGACGCGGTGGTACTCGCTCGTGAGGGGTGAAATTCTCGTTGCGACGGGATCCACGCGCAAACTGGACGATCAGGCGCTCGCCCATGAAATCAGAGCCATCTGTGCAGGTAAGAAACAATATCGATAAGACAAACGCGTTGTAAACGAGGAATACATACGAAAAGCTGCAATAAAAAAGGTTAGCAATTGTTCATGTGCGCTTGTGGCGATTCATGACTTACCAGGAACGACGTCACGCGCATCCATGGCGTCCTTGTACTCGATGAAACCAAAGCCGTTCATGAGCTTTATCTCGGTGATTTCGCCGGTGCCATGGGTCTGGAAGTGGGTTTCGACTTCTGCCTTGGTGGCATTGCGGGGGAGATTGCCTAGGTAAAGGCGTGTGGAGGATACCTCGGTCATGACGATAGCTGCTGTGTAGCTTTATCCTGCTAAGTACCTAGCCTGATGAGGAGAGTGAGCGCATGTCGAAGAATGTGAGAACAACCGGGGAATGAGTCTGGGTTTGGTGCGCCATTGCGAAGGAAGCGGACAGGAAGCATGCGACAGGAAAACCAGCGGCCCAAGGCAACACGCGACAGGAACCAGTGAAGTGCGCAGAGTTGTGGCCAGCGGAAACAAGACAGTAGGCGACTAGTCGTACCTTTGGGGAAGCTGAATGGTGGCGCGGGGAGTCCTACTGTTGGGTGCGAGAGGGCGGCCTTTACAGGGAACCTGATTGCCCGAAGACCTGGAGAATGACGCGCGACGGCGAAGAGCAGTCGAGGGTGGTTGGGTCCGGTAATTCGAACGCTACGCACAGATGTTGCGGTAGCGAAAATGGGATAGAGATGAGCGGGCGGTTGGATTTGATATTGCAACCCCGGAAACGGTGGGTGAGTGAGTGGTGCTGGAATGGAGTGAGGCGCACGCTCAACGCTCGAAGCCAAGCTATCCGGTATTAGCGTGGTACCGAAATGTCACGTGCAACCACTCGTCTGTTCCCGTCAGTCAACCTCCAACACCCACGTCATGATGTAAGTGGTTAAAACAAATCCTCTGGGGGCAGTTACCGAGGCTGTCGAATTCTTCAGCCTTGCGTCGTCGTCGTGGTCGCCGTCGCCATCACGATGGGGAGAGCATTGTGCGCAAGGTCACACCACATGTTCGGCTGGCTCGGCTTCACCATTGGGCATCAATATGTTGGCAGGAGAAATGGGTATATACAATTGCGCGCTGCCTAATATACACAATCTGAACAGATGTAGCAGTGGTTTACGCCAGAAAACGATACCGTAGTGCAATCAGCCTCTAAGTGAGGACGTACTTGGGTCCTTCACCACCCTGAGGAGTCTGCCAGTTGATGTCTTGGGCTGGTACTTTGATGTCGCAGGTCTTGCAGTGGACGCAGCTATAGGGGTGTCAGCTTAGCGGGAACATGTGATTGCAAGTTAGATTGGACTTACTTCTGGGCGTTGATTTGGAACCTGACGCCCAACTCCTTACTGTCGTCCTCAACATACTCGTATACACCAGCAGGGCAGAAGCGGTTCTCAACACCCTTATACTGGGGGTACTGCTTCTGTGCGTGCGCTTCCCAGTCCTTGACTTGTAGATGGCACGGTTGATCCTCTTCGTGGTTTGTGCCGCTGCGACTGACGCTTGTCAAGATATCAAAGCTGATCTTGCCGTCAGGCTTGGGATACTCGATTTTCTCGTATTGGTCTGCCGTCTTTGTGGCAGCGTGGTCGGGGAGCCCATGCTTTAAAGTCCATGGTGTCTTGCCACGGAAGACGTAGGCCTCTAGACCAGAGTATAGCACACCTCCGTAGAGACCCAGCGCCGTGTGGAAAGAAGGTCGCATATTGCGAACTTGCTTGAGCTCTGCCCAGACCGAAGACTTCCTCATCTTGTCCTCGTAATCGAAAAGAAATACTGTGCCACCATCAGTGTTGCCTTGCAGCGCGTCCCATGTTGCCTCTGCAGCCATCATCCCCGAGCGCATTGCTGTATGTGTACCCTTGATCTTGGGTACATTGACGAATCCTGCCGAATCACCTAGCAGAGCACCACCGGGAAAAGCAAGCTTTGGTATCGATTGGAAGCCACCCTCATTCAGTGTCCTTGCACCGTAGGAGATACACTTGCCACCCTCCAACACATCCTTGTAAATCGGGTGATGCTTCATCCTCTGGAACTCGCCGTATGGTGAGACCCATGGGTTGGGGTAGTCGAGACCGACTACAAGACCAATACTGACCAGGTTGTCACCGAAATGGTACATCCAACCACCGCCGTAGGTGTCCTTTTGCAAGGGATAACCCATTGTGTGGGTGACCTGACCCGACTTGAATTTCTCGGGCTGGACCTCCCATACCTCCTTAATACCAAGGCCATATGTTTGATGCTGACTGTCTCGCCTCAGGTCATACTTCTTGATAACCTGTTTAGACAGGCTGCCATGACAGCCCTCGCCAAGAAGCGTTACCCGAGCATGGAACTCCATGCCGCGCTCAAAGGAGTCCTTGGCCTTGCCTTCGCGTGAGATACCGAGATCGTTAGTGGCCACACCTTTGACCACACCCTCATGATTGTACAAAATCTCAGAAGCGGCAAATCCTGGGTATACTTCCACACCCACTTCTTCGGCACGCTCGCCAAGCCATTTAACCATCTGATTCAGACTGATGATGTAATTGCCATGGTTGTTCATCTGCGGTGGTTTCGGGAGATAGATCGATCTGGTCTTCGTGAGGAAACGCATGCGGTCCTCCTTCGCAGGTGTGATGTCGGCAAAACGGTTCAAGTTATCCTCAGACCTCCAGTCTGGTAGCAGCTCGTCTAGTGCAGAAGGCTCGATGACGTTTCCAGACACAATATGATCACCCAATTCGCCCGACTTCTCGAGTAACAGTACACGGAAGTCCTCATTTCCTGCCGCGTTCGCAAGCTGCTTCAGCTTGATAGCGGCTGATAGACCAGCAGGGCCTCCGCCCACAATGAGAACATCGACTTCGTCGACCTCGCGCTCAATCGATTTCGGGTCGAAAGAGTCATCTTCGGTGGCCAGTTGTGCTCGTGGCGTTGACGAGAAAGCTCTCGTGTGGCTGGCAATGCGAACGACAGGGCGATACAATTCGGTCGAGGTACGTGTTCGTGTTCGTGATGCAACGCAGAGGAAGGATCGAGTAGGCAGAGGCGTGCTGCGTAGTGTTGCGAATAGCGGTCTTGTGAACGACGCGGGAACCGTCCTGGAGGCCATTGTGTGTTGGAAGTGCGGAAAGGCGAAATCGGCGAAAGACGTGAAGCTACACAGGAATGATGGCGCCGCCGGAACAACCTATAATCTCGGGCCTGTCGCGTTGAGCAAGTCGCCCCAACGTTATTCTATGTACTTGCAACGATAGCCACAGAGACGTGAAATGGACATCACCATCCTGGACGTCTGGGCTCAATGACGAAGTCCTCAGAATAACTAACCGAGGCTGGCCGGAGGGCTATTATTCACTGCCCGCACAGCCAATGAACGTGTTGATGATTCTGCGGCTCCTCGCCTCCTGGGGGAACAACGAGCAGCCATCTGTGCAATCTCACCTCTAAAGGATGGAAACAGATCTAAAGTCTCGGAAACCTTTCGCAAAGTTATGAGCTCCACTGTCATCCGATCTATTCTTTTGTTGCTCGCCGGCCACAAGCGTGAGCTTTCACAGTTCAGTATTGTGCCGAGATCGACCTCCGAGGTAAGAACAGTACCGCACTGCGTCGGCTGCGACTACCCTCTGGAATTGCGACATAGGGCGCACTGAATATCTGCCCAAGCAAGATGGTTAGCTGACGCGAGCGGTTAGAACATCGCGCATCTACGAGCATGCTATTTATGACACCTATTCTGCCTCGAATCTCAGGCATTGATCCTGCGAGCGTGAAATGAAACCTCATCAGAGAATGGCGTTACCATTCAGCTCATCGCAACGAGAAACCTGTGGAGTAATAACAGAAGATCTTGTTGATTCCGAAAGTTGAAGATCGCACGGCAGCGTTCCTGAAACCGGCTTCGCTTCATGCCCGCAACCGTTGTCACGCACCAAACTCATGCGTTTAGGAACTCTCTCCAGGGTTAATCCGCGCCCCGGCCTGTCTGCAACATGATCTCTGACAGCCCACGTTCGAATCTGGTCAGGAGTGCCCCGCTATACCTGATTGTCAGGACCGCCATTATGGGCTCGACGTCTTCATGCGTTCGAGCGTTCACCCATTCCCCGTTCCCGATAGCGCCAACCTGGCGCCCAGACCATCTGACCCACGGCTGTCATGTCGAATGAAGCATCTTGCCCATTGTGACAGATCTGTGGGTCTGTGTGTATGTGTTCTTGGAAGAACGAAGTCTCCAACAGCGCACGTATGGAATACACGGGATCTTCGAGAACCCTTCGCACTGCGCGGGCCTTCTCATTCGGGATCTTGCCTTAGATGAGAATATACTGAACGTAGTACACACAGAAACATGAGTATATATGCAGCCTCTTCGGAAGGATTCAGTGCCACGCCCAATCCCATCTTCTTCAACGAACCTTGGTGCAGGACACTCAGTACCTTCTACCTTCCTTTCTTTCAAGAGCTGCGCTCACTTTTACTATCCTTTACAGTTGATCTGATACATCTCTTTACAATCATTTCAGTCATCATTGTCATCAACCATCATTATGAAGGTCGAATACTCCCTTCTTACTCTGCTATCGGCCTCGCTGGTGGCAGCAGCTCCGCGTCCATTTGTCGTAACGGATTCAGCCGTAGCCAATTCAGGTGGAAACGTCGTCATACCCGCCACTGGTCTTGATAAACGACAGCAAGTGTCTGTTTACGGCTTCCGTAAGCGTGCTCTCGAGCTTCGCGGCGCCCCTTTGGTTGCTCGCGGAGGCGAAAACCAGAACCAGGCTGCCGCCGAGAACGCCGGAGGACAAGCTGCTGCGGGCGAACAGGCCGCGGCCGAACCAGCCGGCAAAGGCAAAGGTGAGGGCAAAGGCAAGGGCGCTGTAGGAGCAGCGGAACTTGCACCACCCACACCATCAGGCGCTCCTCTAGCCCCCCCAGCTCCAGGTAATGCAACTGAACCAGCGGGCAAGGGCAAGGGCAAGGGCCAGGGCAAGGGTGAGGGCAAAGGCAAAGGCGCTGTAGGAGCGGCGGAAGTTGCACCACCAGCACCATCAGGAGCTCCTCCGGCTCCAGGCAATGCTACAGAGCCCGCTCTTGGCAAGGGGAAGGGGAAGGGAGCCGCTGAGGAGGGAAAGGGGAAGGGGAAGGGAGCCGCTGAGGCGGCAGCCCAAGAGCAGGTTAAGCAGCAGGAAGAGCAAGCCAAGCAGCTTCAAAACCAAGCCGAGCTAGACGCACAGCAAGCCCAAAAGGACGCTGACCGTGCCGCGGCAGAGCAACAGCAAGCCGCGGCAGAGCAACAGCAAGCCGCGGCAGAACAGCAAGCCGCAGCAGAACAGGCCAAGGCAGGACAGCAAGCCGCTGCCGAGCACCAGGCCGCTGCTGAACAACAAGCCGCTGCCGAGCAAGCTAAGGGCCAAGAGCAGGCCAAGGGCGGGAAGCAAGCTAAGGGTGAAGGACAAGCCGCTGCCGAACAAGCCGCCGCTGAGCAGGCCGCTGCGGAACAGGCTGCTGCTGAACAGCAGGCTGCCGCGGGAAATGCCACTGAGATCGTGGGCGGCGGTGCGGCGGCGAACGGGACCGGCGTTGCAGGTAACGGCACGGAGGCCGCAGCTGGTCAGCAAGAGCAGGGCAAGGGAAAGGGCAAGGGAAAGGGAAAGGGCAAGGGAAAGGGAAAGGGAAAGGGTAAAGGTCAGAACCAAGCCGCAGAGGAGGCTCTTCAGGCCGGTGGTCAGGAGCAGCAGCAGCAGCAGCAGCAGCAGCAAGGCGCTGGTGGCCTTGACATTGGCAATATCTTGAGCAGCCTTCTTGGAGGCGCAGCAGGAGCTGGCGGCGCTGACGCAGGTGCTGGCGGCCTGGCTGACTTGCTGGCTGGACTAGGAGGTGGCGCGGCTGCAGGTGGCGAGGGTAAAGGAGCTGCTGCAGGTGGCGAGGGTAAGGGAGCTGCCGACGGTACTGTCGATCTGGCCGGTCTTCTGGCAGGACTGGGAGCTGGCCAAGCGGCTTAGGGTTAAGACCAGGATGCCGGCGGTCTTCTAAAGTGCTTGGAAGTCTAATTGGCGAGATGCAACACTGCCTGTTATGGCTATTGCACGATGAGAGGTCAAGTGACAACTCGATTCAGGAATCGATATCACAACTCAAGGAACGGCGAACGAAGTAACATGAAAATGTCAATTACTAGTTTGTACTAAAATCTTCACTCTAAAGTCTCGATATAAGACTGCTTGTTTCTACAACGGATATCAAAAGTCTAAGCAAACGGCCGTTACAACGCCCAAATCCCGATAGCTCAACGACTCTATGCGGACGCAGTGGTCTCCTCCTTCTCCTCGTACTTCTCCCAGTTGGCAAGAATGTTGCCAATCTTAGGCGAGTTTGTGAGCTTGTACACATCCTCAAAGTACTCCTTAGTCAACGCGAACGGCTTCGCAGTGACGTTGGGTATGTATTTCCCGACCAGCTTTGAGGGGTCGATGGATGTCTTGTGGATCTTCTTCAGTAAAAAGCTTCGGAAGGGCTTCACGCCGGAGCGCAAGAAGGTGCTGTGGAAGGGAACATCAATGCCCTTGAGCGGGATGGTAGCGAATCCACGCTGGAGGTCGAGAGGCTTGGGCTTAGCCTCAGTCTGCTCGGCGCAGCCCTTGATGATCTCAACCAGATGAGCCTTGACGTCTTCCATGGACAGACTCTGCATCAGAGACTGGATATCGATCTTTTGCTGCTTGAGGTAGTTTGTCACACCGGTGAGGGTGTCCAGAGCACGAAGATCACCAGCAGCGACGTACTGCATGTTGGCGATGTTGTAGTTGACGATCTCGAGGAGCCAGCCAGTTGTCTCCGCGATGTTCTCAACAACGTACTGAAGAGCTTGCTCGTTGAAGGTCTTGGAGATCCTGCTGGGATTGACAGCGCACATGGAGTAGTTGGAACGGCCAGCCTCATCACGCTCGACAGCGACCTGCATGGTGAGACCGCGGTAGAACACAACAGAAACCAAGCTCTCGATGGGCATGACCTCGGCAAGCGCAGCAAGCGCGCTGTACTCTCCGAGCGAGTGGCCAGCGAAAGTGCTGTCGCGCTGCACGAGACCCTTGGAGCGCATGTCTTCGAATGAGGCCTTCTCCATAAGTGTGAGGGCTGGCTGTGTGAACTGAGTTGCTGACAGCAGACCGGTAGGCGAGCGATATGTGTACGAAGTTGTGCTCTCGTCAATCTCCTTGAAGATCTTTTCGGACTTGATTGATCCATCGGCACTGACTGTCTCAAAGGTCATGGAAATGTAATTCTGACGAATAGCCTTTCCACGAGGGCCACCAAAGTGAATGGTGAGCTCCTTGGGGTTGTTCTTGACAATGTTGGTGATGGCAAAGCCTACAATGGGTCAGTGAATGATGTGACAGGGTTAAAACGATAGACTTACCATAGTTGTCCATGAAGTGCTTATCGGCACGGTCCCAGACCTCCTTGGCAACGGGGCTGCTGTTGTACAGATCCATTCCCATGCCTTGTTCCTGAGAACCTTGACCGGTAAAGACATAGGATGTTGTAGGCTGCTCAACCTCGGCTTCACCGAGAAGAACCTTATCCTCTGTCTCCTGATTACTGACCTCGATTTTGATGATCTTGCGACCGGAGACCATACCGACGTGCTGAAGCTTGACATCGAGCATATCGTCGGGAAGAACCATACCCACAAGGTTGACGTGGTAACTCCTTACGCGGCCAACATTGTTCTCAGCAGCCCAGGTCTCGACCAGGCTCCTAACGGCAGCACTGGAGTACATGCCATGGGTGATGGTACCAGGCAGGTTGGCATAGCTGGCGAAGACACGGGAGACGTGAATAGGGTTGTAGTCGCCGGATACACGGGCGTAGTTCTCGTTGGACGCAGGTGCCCTCAGCGTCAATGGCGCTTTACCGTGCAGGGGAATGGGGTTCTCGAAATTGACTGGCTGGTCGATTGTAGAACCGTTGCGCTCCAGGTAGTCAATCACAGGGTTACCGTGTGCTGTCCCAGACTGGTAGTTGACAGATGCGATCTGGATGAGTTCCTTGGTTGGGAGCTCAAGCAGGACCTCCCCAATGGTCTCGATCTCGGAGAAAATGGTCTTGTTCTTGTACTTTTGGAAAGTTGCCAGCTTGAAAATCAGAGTTTTGCCAAGAAGGTCAATCTCAGGCTCCTCGAAGTTGAACCACTCCTTTGATCGCAAGATAGCAACATCCTTGCTGGTAGCCAATGGCAATTGCATAGGTTTCTCTGTCTTCCTTTGGAATGTGTTCTCGAAATCGCTGTACGCGCCGCGGTACAAGAACTGGCTGGTAACCTCCATAACGGGTGCACCATCACGAGTAATTGTGCCACACACCTCGACCATCTTGCCGGACTCTTGGTTGATGACAGCATTGATTTGAGCGGTGGTGTCAAGAACGTCGCCCTTCTTCAAGGGCTCCGCACCAGGGATCATACGGAAGCCGTTAGAAAGATGAACCAGCTTGAGCAGGTCACCATCAATGGCACGAGGAAAGATTGGCTTGGTGATCGCCTTCCAGCCAACAACGATGGCAAAGTCCATGGGAGCAAAGACTTCCTTGCCAGGACGGTCGACAAAGGCTTCACCAGTGTTGCCGACTGCGTGGACGAAGTCGTTGATGGCTTCGCTTGTAACAGTGGCACGGCCACCGTCAAAGCGGGAGGTCACAGAAGCATCGAAGGGACAGGCTTCGTCACCAAACCAGATCTTGTAGTAGAAGTCCTTGATGCGGTCGTTACGTGCGTCCATAACCTCATGGATAGGTGCATATCCAACATCAGGGCGATAAGTGAAGCGGAACGGAAGAGCAACAGCAGACCCGAGAGCAGTGCGCTCCTCGTACATGTTGAGCAAAATCTCGTTGTTCTTCATGCTGACATCCACGGTCTTGACATACTTTGCGCCGTGGTGCAATTCCTTTACGGTGATCGAAGTCGTACTGGGATCGTTGGGGTTGGTAATCTCCACGATCATGCCAGGGATGGGAGCAAAGATCCTAGCTGTCGGGTTGGTCTGGAAACGCTGGCCTTGAACGAAAACATCGGTAGTGAAGAAAGCATGTCTCCACGAATATGTGGTACCAGCAAGGAGTTGCAGCCATGACGGAACCTCGGGCAAGGTCGCGTTTGGCGCCGGCGACAAGCGGTAGATGGTCTTGTTCTCGAGCTGAGATACGGTGAGACCATCGACTTCCAGAGCCTCTGAAGCTGCAAGGAGCTTGCTGCCGAAGTACTCGACCACAGGCACCTTGGACTCATCATCGCCATAGATATCGCGCAACAAGTACTTGATGTGGCCATCGTGAACACCGTCGAGAATCTCCTTGATTGGCTCATCAACCTTGGTGGAGTATTTGACAGACATGGGACCCTGCAGAATACAGGTCCTGCCGACATCCTGATCGACCACGGCTTCGATATCCTCAGACTGCCACAGTGAGTCCTTCTTGAAGAAAAATTCGAATGTGTCATCGAGGCAAGGAACAAACGGCACAGGCTTCTGTCCACGGCGCTGGCAAAGGAGCAGGAAGTGCTGAACATCTTGAGCGTTGATCAATTGCTGATCAGCCTCGGGGTAAGTCTTGAAGACTTGTTCCAGAGTTGGGAACGGATCGTTGAGCTCATCGTAGCTCTGAATGATGGATTCGCCGCCAGACTTGCTGAAACGCTCTTCAACTCGGCGAATGAAATCACCGGTGAGTCGCTTCAAGCTCTGATCGATCCAGCGAGACTGGTGCTTGACGTACATGAGATCTACCATGCGCTGGACAACCTCGGAATAGGTCATGTCTTCGAGGTCAACCGACTCGCCCTTCTTGTTCCTGCCGAACCATACTTTCTGGAAGTCCTCGTTGAGCTTCTTGATGATGTGTTCGCGCATCTTCTTGAGCTCGGGGATACGCTTGGCCTTGTCCAGAGCAAAGATCTTCTGATCCATCTCGTGCCAGAAGATGACACCGCGAGTCGCGAGCTTGTGGATTGGCTCACCCATCTCAGAACGGACAGTGATGACACCACCAGCAGGGCCCTTGTAGGTCTTCTCCCAGTCAGCGTCGTCCAGACCAGGTGCGTCGACTATGGCCTGCTTGGCAGAAGGGGAAGTGTACGCCTCCTTGGCAGTCATCACACGACTGCCGAATAAACATCCATCATAGGGCATGGGAGGGTACCCAAACTTGGTCGACCAGCTACCGGTGAGGTAGGGGTAGGTATCCTCGGCACCACCAAAACCGGAACCGGCAACAAGGATGAGATTGTCGCACTTGCGAAGACGGCCATACATCTGGAGAATAGGCTGGTGGAAATCCTCGAACGAGTGGTGGCCACCACCTCGGCCTCCAGTCCACTGAAGCAGAACCGGGAAAGTGGGGTTCGCCTTAGCGATGTTGATGGTCGCCTGGATAGCCTCGACGGAGCCAGGCTTGAAAGCGATGTGCTTAATTCCCAGAGTCTCAATGTACTCGTTGGCCACTTCAATAGAGGGCACACCAGCACCGATGGTCAGACCCTCAATTGGCACGCCATCAGCCCTAAGCTTGGCCAGAAGGGGGATTTGCCAGCCCATGGCACGGGGGTTAACGTAAATCAGGTTAACGGTGATACCACGACCAGCAGGGATGTTCTTCTCAACCTTTGTGATGGCCTCGGTCATGGTTTTCTCATTGTAGTAGCCTCCACCGGCAAGCTCGATCTCGTAGCCAGCATTCATGGTGGCTGCAACAAAGTCCCAGGGCACGGTACAAGGTGTCATACCAGCAACCATAACGGGAGGCAAGCCGAGAACGCGACTCATCTTAGTGTCAACGTATGTCTTGCCGCTGGATGTCTTGACGAGCTTCGGGCCATGTTCCTTGACCCAGTCGACAGCATATGTGACGGCATGCTCGAAGTCGCGGTCAAAAATTTCAGGCTTATAGCCGACTTCGGGGTTTTGTCCATCAATTGCTCCAGCAAGAATGACACGAACACCGGTTCCCTCCTTGTTGCGGTTGGTTAGCACACCAAGACCGGAGATGCCACCGGGACCGAAGTCGAGGATGTGGGTAGCGTTTGGGAAGACTGTAGCCTTCTCCCACTCCACTGGCTCGCTGGTGATCATTCTCACGAGAGAAGGGACGATGTCCTCAGGACCCTCCTCACGGATGTCCAGACCAGTGTGTGTGCTGTACATAGGTATACCAAGATCGCTCGCAGCGATCTTGATGTCCTTGAGGTCATCCTCCAGCTGCTTTGCCGCTTCGGCAAGGTATGGGCTGTGGAATGGTGCGGTGATGGGGAGGAAGCGGTTGACAAAGCGAACCTTGCGCTCCGTGAAGGGAATCCTCGTCTGATCGAGACCAGTAGGGGCCTTGACCTTGCGTAGACGAAGGTTGAGACCGTACAGAGAAATCGGCGGACCTGTGACGACAAAGTTGCGCGCGCTGTTCACCAGAGAGATGGCGATGTGCCTGTCTTGGGGCAGATGTGCGTTTGTTGCATCAATGTGATCCTGGACAGCCTTGCGGGACAGATCGCGGATCGACAACATGGGGGTTGGGGTACCCTCGCTGTTGTCGATCGAGTCCTGCAGGACATTGGGCGAAAGAGAGGTCCTTGGGAAGGCCTGCTGACTGCGTGTACCAATCCAGAAGAGGATCTCAATCGCTTTCTTGGCAGACTTCTCAAAAGTCTCCCAGTTCTTTGCTTCCGCAATAGCGGCAGCTGTGACAACACCCTGGGAGTGGCCAGTGACACCGGCAAAACGGCTGCGGATGTGACCAGGGTGGCTACCGAGCACTCTGCAGGTAACGACGTAGTGGGCGAGCTGTGTAAGACCAATCAGAGGTAAGCTGACAGGGGCTGAGACGAGATAATCGGTGTCCGGTTGAGCCTCGCGGTTGTTCAACCAGCGCATAACGTCCAACCCCTTTGAGTAGAGCTTCTCCGCTCGTGGATCCCGAGACAGAGTAAGCAGATGTTGTGCCTCAGCCGCAATGAAATCCTCGACAAACGAGGGGTATGTGTTGTAAATTTCCCGAAGCTCATCGAAGTACTCCTCGATGTTGCCCTGGCCGCCCAGAACAGCATAGATGAAGGCATTCTCGTCCACAGCCTCGCGGAAGAGGGCTGACTCATGGTGTTTGATAGGCCTCTCGACAGCGGCGCGAGCTGCGTAGTATGACCGTACCGTCTCCAGCTTCTTCTCCGTGATGCCTGGCAGAGTTGCGGCCAGCGCATGCACCTCGTTGCCCCGCAGGAAGGCGCGCTCGAACTCGGTGAGAACCAGCTTAAGGACCTCCTCGAAAGAGTCGGGATCCTCGCCTTCCTCTACCTCCTTGGCAATGAAGCCGAGGTAGCGTGCAACCAGCTCGACGACCGATGAGGGCTCGTCATCCTGTGCAAGTTCGTCTGTGGGCTCGGGCAGAGTCTGCTTGAAGGTGTCCCTCAATTGCTGTGCATTGAAGTGCAGGGCGGTCGGGATGAGGAGGGTGTACTCGAGCGAGCCGTGGGTGAGGATGAGCGGGCGCAGATTTGCTGCAGAGCGCGGCGTGGAGATGCCGGTCTGCTGGCCTGATCCGTACATGGTGGCTGATTTGACGCCTGAAAAGCTGTGTCGAGCTCGAATTAGCTTTGGCATTCTGGGGGTGGAGGTGAGGGGCTCCCCGCGCAGCGGCTTTACGATGTTGGCGAGCGTGGGAAAAGGAGTGCAGCATACCTTCAAAGACGACTCCGGACTAAATTACAGAAATATTAAATGAACAAGGTGCACAGGAAGGTGCGGTGCGTCTGGACTGATGTGTGAGCGTTCGTTGCGTTTTCTAAGAAGGCGCCCTGGAGCTCCAGGAAAGAGCTATCAGGCAACACCACGATTAAGACAGATGTGCTGCTACGTCGCCTCTTCGCAATAAAGACCCAATGCGTACCTGTTTGCGCAGGTAGAAACTAATCAACCTGGAGTGCTAGGGAATTCGTCCGGACTGCTAGTCTTGCAGCTCCCTTGCGGTGTGCAGTGTGTTGTGTGGGGTCAAGAAGTCCACTGCAGCAGGCAGCAGAGTTGCGAGAGGGTATATGAAGAGTAATCAGAGGGGAGCAGAGGGTCAATTGAGCGGGTGGAGATGTAGGAAAATGCCGGGCAGCGCAGAATGGCGTGTCTATTATCCGCTGGCGTCCTGGCGAGCTGTTGACTTCCAAAAACTCGGGAACCCGCGCTAGCACGCTAGCATGGCAGGGGTCATCGGCACTTACATGGGTGTGCCTTCTGCGGCCAAAGCGTTGAGGGTAAGAGGACCCCTCACAGCCGGCCGCTGCAAGGTCGCACTGGCGGGTCATCAGCGCGGGCATCGTTCGCGGGCATCACTCGCGGGCATAGCTGAGAGCCTGAGGCTGACGTGTGCCAACGGGGTCCGATAAGAAGTCCCCGCGTTGTCCAAGGCGTGCAGCTTGTTGAGCACGGAGTTGGAGGCGGGTGTGGACCGGCGTGATGTGTGCCCTGACCCGCTCTGGCTTCGCAACATCCACCGCCTCTGGAGAGCCTATCTCTCGTAAGACTGGCGAAATTTGTGTTGAGAGCCAGAGCATGGACGGCCGGGCCGCAGGGATGGATGCATTACTTTTAGACCGGTGCACCAATTCTCAACGACCGAAAGGACACGTCCAGTAAAGTCTCTTCCATTCGAACGAGATAAACAGTCCATGCGTTGGATGTTGTGCTGCGTTCCTACTGCACCCGTCCACCCTCCCACCCCTCTAAATTATCTGCCTTTTGGGGACTGTCTCCACGCAACACCACCCTCATCCTAATTCCAGCACGCCTTCTCTCCCAGCGTTGCTGTTCCTTCCTTAGACACACTATACCCCTCCTTGCGCCGTGTATTAGACTAGAGATACCCATTGAGCTCCGCCGAGCTTTGGCAGCTTCTCTCCCACCGCGACTCGCCCACCCACCTGCACCCCACGCATTCCCTGCACCATGCGTCCCGAGGTTGAGCAGGAGCTCTCGCACACGCTGCTCATTGAGCTGCTTGCATACCAATTTGCCTCGCCCGTGAGGTGGATTGAGACGCAGGATGTGGTCCTCGGCGAGAACACCACAGAGCGCATCGTCGAAATTGGCCCCGCAGACACACTCGGTGTGATGGCCAAGCGCACACTGGCCTCCAAATACGAAGCTCACGACGCGGCGCTGTCTGTCCAGCGTCAAATCCTGTGCTACAATAAGGACGCCAAAGACATCTACTACGATGTAGACCCTGTCGAGGACGAGCCAGAGGCCGCGCCCGCTGCCAGCGGAGGTGCCCCAGCAGCAGCTTCGTCAGCCCCAGCAGCAGCAGCAGCCCCTGTGGCCGCCGCCCCTGCTCCCGGCGCTGGTCCGGCTGCCCAGGTGCCAGACGCGCCCATCACAGCGACCGACATTCTGCGGGCATTGGTTGCACAGAAGCTGAAGAAGCCTCTCATGGACATTCCTTTGAGCAAAGCCATCAAGGACTTGGTTGGAGGTGAGCAATTGCAGCGACAGAAAAAATGATCCAAGCTAACACAGTGCGCAGGCAAGTCCACACTTCAGAATGAGATTCTCGGAGACTTGGGCAAGGAATTCGGTTCCACGCCCGAGAAGCCCGAAGACACACCCCTCGACGAGCTCGGTGCTGCGATGCAGGCTACCTTCAATGGTCAGCTTGGAAAGCAATCCTCCTCCCTCATTGCCCGCATGGTGTCCTCCAAGATGCCTGGTGGCTTCAACATCACAGCTGTGCGAAAGCACCTCGAGACAAGATGGGGTTTGGCGCAGGGACGCCAGGACGGAGTCCTTCTCCTTGCTATCACAAACGAGCCAGCGGCGCGTCTCGGCTCTGAGGCCGACGGCAAGGCGTTCTTGGACGAGCAATCCAACAAGTACGCTTCGAATGCCGGCATCAGCTTGTCTGCTCCCACAGCTAGTGGTGACGGCGGCGGTGCTGGTGGAGGCATGATGATGGACCCTGCGGCCATCGACGCCCTCACCAAAGATCAACGCCAGCTCTTCAAGCAGCAGCTGGAGCTGTTTGCCAGATACCTCAAGATCGACTTGCGCGCTGGCGACAAGTCTTTCGTTGACTCGACAAAGGCACAGTCTGCGCTTCAAGCGCAACTGGATCTTTGGACCACCGAGCACGGCGAATTCTACGCTTCTGGAATTGAACCTCAATTCACTCCCCTCAAAGCTCGTGTTTATGACTCGTCTTGGAACTGGGCACGTCAAGACGCCCTTACCATGTACTACGACATCATCTTCGGTAAGCTCAAGGCTGTTGACCGCGAGATCGTCAGCCGCTGCATTGCCATCATGAACCGATCGAACCCTCTCCTCCTCGATTTCATGCAGTATCATATGGACCACTGCCCGACCGAGCGCGGCGAGACGTATGAGCTCGCCAAGGAGCTCGGTCAGCAGCTTATTGATAACTGCCGAGACGTTCTCAACGAACCTCCTGTCTACAAGGACGTCGCCGTGCCTACCGCACCACACCTCGAGATTGATGCCCGTGGTAACATGAACTACGAGGAGGCACCTCGCGCCAGTGTTCGCAAGCTTGAACACTACGTTCGTGAGATGGCTGAGGGAGGCAAGCTCTCCGAGTATGGCAACCGCACAAAGGTCCAGAACGATCTGCAGCGCATCTACAAGCTCATCAAGCAGCAGCACAAGCTTTCCAAGTCATCGCAGCTGCAGATCAAGAGCTTGTACAGCAATGTCATCCGCTCACTCTCCATGAATGAGGGACAGATCATGCCTAACGAGAACGGCAAGAATGGAAAGCGCGGCCGCAACACCCGTGCGAATGGCTCCACCAAGCAGGGCAAGGTCGAGACCATTCCCTTCCTTCACTTGAAGAGGAAGGACGACAACGGCTGGGAATACAGCAAGAAGTTGACGGGCGTCTACCTCGACTGCCTCGAGAATGCTGCCAGCAATGGTGTCACCTTCCAGGGCAAGTACGCTCTGATGACAGGTGCTGGTGCAGGCTCCATTGGTGCCCAAGTCCTGCAAGGTCTCATTAGCGGCGGGGCCAAGGTCGTTGTCACTACCTCCAGGTTCTCCCGTGAGGTCACCGAGTACTACCAGTCCATGTACACCCGCTACGGTGCTCGCGGCTCTCAGCTCATCGTGGTGCCATTCAACCAGGGCAGCAACCAGGATGTTGAGGCGCTTGTTGACTACATCTACGATCCTAAGAAGGGCCTAGGCTGGGACCTTGATCTCATTGTTCCCTTTGCTGCCATCCCCGAGAACGGTCGTGAGATTGATAGTATTGACTCCAAGTCTGAGCTTGCTCACCGCATTATGTTGACGAACCTTTTGCGCATGCTCGGTGCAGTTAAGAAACAGAAGCAGACCTTCGGCTTCGAAACTCGTCCCGCCCAAGTCATCCTTCCTCTTTCGCCTAACCACGGTACTTTCGGTAACGATGGTCTGTACTCTGAGTCCAAGATGTCTCTCGAGACCCTCTTCTCAAGGTGGCACTCTGAGAGCTGGGGCAACTACCTCACCATTTGTGGTGCTGTCATCGGCTGGACTCGTGGTACTGGTCTCATGGGTGCGAACAACGTCGTTGCTGAAGGCATTGAAAAGTACGGTGTTCGCACCTTCTCACAGCAGGAGATGGCCTTCAACTTGCTTGGTTTGATGGCACCGGCGATCGTCAACCTTTGCCAAGTCGAGCCTGTCTGGGCTGACTTGAACGGCGGCTTCCAATACATCCCTAACCTCAAGGACCTCATGACCGATCTCCGCAAGGAGCTCAACGAGACAAGCGATGTTCGAAGGGCTGTTATCAAGGAGAATGCCATTGAGAACAAGGTTGTCAACGGTGAGGCTAGTGAAGCCTTGTACAAGAAGGCAAAGATTGAACCAAGAGCCAACCTGAAGTTCGACTTCCCCAATCTGCCCGATTGGGAAACAGAGGTTAAGCCTCTCAACGAGGACTTGAAGGGCATGGTTGATCTGGAGAAGGTTGTAGTTGTTACCGGATTTGCCGAGGTTGGTCCTTGGGGTAACTCGAGGACCCGCTGGGAGATGGAAGCCTACGGCGAATTTTCGATTGAGGGTTCCGTCGAGATGGCATGGATCATGGGTCTCATCAAGAACCACAATGGTCCACTCAAGGGCAAGAGCTACTCTGGATGGGTTGACGCCAAGACTGGCGAGCCGGTTGACGACAAGGATGTTAAGCCGAAGTACGAGAAGTACATTCTTGAGCACAGCGGTATCCGTCTCATCGAACCCGAGCTTTTCAACGGTTACGACCCCAACAAGAAACAGCTTATGCAGGAGATCCAGATCGAGGAAGACCTCGACCCATTTGAGGCGTCGAAGGAGACTGCTGAGGAGTTTAAGCGCCAGCATGGAGACAAGGTCGAAGTTTTCGCTATTGAGGAGTCCGGCGAGTACACCGTTCGTATGAAGAAGGGTGCTACCCTCATCATCCCCAAAGCTCTTCGCTTCGACCGTCTCGTTGCTGGTCAAATTCCCACTGGTTGGGACGCAAAGAAGTACGGTGTGCCAGACGACATTATTTCCCAAGTCGATCCTGTCACTCTCTTCGTCCTTGTGTCGACAGCAGAGTGTCTGCTTTCCAGTGGTATCACCGACCCTTACGAGTTCTACAAGTATGTTCACTTGTCAGACGTCGGCAACTGTGTCGGTTCTGGTATCGGTGGTACCACTGCTTTGAGAGGAATGTACAAAGACCGCTTCCTCGACAAGCCCGTTCAGAAAGATATTCTTCAGGAGTCCTTTATCAACACTATGAGTGCCTGGGTCAACATGTTGCTCATGTCGTCCACTGGTCCCATCAAGACTCCGGTCGGTGCGTGCGCTACTGCCGTCGAGTCGATCGATATCGGTTACGACACCATTGTTGAGGGCAAGGCTCGTGTCTGCTTTGTTGGTGGATTCGATGACTTCCAAGAGGAAGGCTCATACGAGTTCGCTAATATGAAGGCTACCAGCAACGCAGAGGATGAGTTCGCTCACGGTCGCACACCGAAGGAGATGTCACGTCCTACCACCACCACCCGTAACGGATTCATGGAATCGCAAGGTTGCGGTATGCAGGTCATCATGGATGCTAAGCTGGCGCTGGACATGGGTCTCCCTATTTACGGTGTTCTTGGTTTCACTGCCACTGCCACCGACAAGATTGGTCGCTCAGTTCCTGCTCCCGGTAAGGGTGTGTTGACCACTGCCCGTGAGCAGGCCTCTAAGTTCCCCTCGCCTCTGCTCGACATCAAGTACAGGAAGCGCCAGATGCAACTTCGACGCAAGCAGATCAAGCAGTGGCAGGAATCCGAGCTTCTGTATCTCCAAGAAGAAGTCGCTGCCATCAAGGACTCTGGCTCCGAGGACTTCAACGAGGCTGAGTACCTTCAGGAGCGTGCCAATCACATTGAGCTTGAGGCTCATCGACAAGAAAAGGATGCACTCAACAGCCTTGGCAACAACTTCTGGAAGAAAGACCCACGCATCGCACCTCTCCGCGGTGCCCTTGCCACTTGGGGTCTTACGATCGATGATCTCGACGTTGCTTCTTTCCACGGGACATCAACCGTCGCTAACGACAAGAACGAATCCAGTGTCATCTGCGAACAGATGCGTCACCTTGGCCGCAAGAAGGGCAACGCGTTGCTCGGTATCTTCCAGAAATACCTCACTGGTCACCCCAAGGGCGCTGCTGGAGCATGGATGTTCAACGGTTGTCTGCAGGTTCTCAACACAGGTCTTGTTCCTGGAAACCGTAACGCAGACAATGTCGATAAGATCATGGAGCAGTTCGACTACATCGTCTATCCCTCGGAGTCAATCCAGACCGATGGTATCAAGGCTTTCTCTGTCACCTCGTTTGGTTTCGGTCAGAAGGGAGCTCAGGCTATTGGTATTCATCCTAAGTACCTCTTTGCCGCCCTCGAGAGCCATCAGTTCGCTGCCTACAAGCAAAAGGTCGAAGCCCGTCAGAAGAAGGCCTACCGCTACTTCCATGACGGCCTCATCAACAACACCATGTTCCGCGCCAAGGACAAGGCTCCCTACGATGACGACAAGATGCAAGAGGTCTTCCTCAACCCCCGCGCACGCGTCACCATGGATAAGAAGACCGCCACTTACAGCTACCCGAAGAAGCCCGCCCCTGAACCGAAGAAGGACAAGAAGGCCGAAGAGACCCAGAAGATGGTCGAGACCTTGACCAAGGCTACTGCTTCGGCGAACACCAAGGTCGGTGTCGATGTCGAGAGCGTCAGCGCCATCAACATCGAGAACGACACCTTCATCGAGCGCAACTTTACTGTGAAGGAGATAGCCTATTGCCAGAAGGCCGCCAACCCGCAGGCTAGCTTTACAGGCAAGTGGTCAGCAAAAGAGGCCGTGTTCAAGTCTCTGGGTGTCAAGGGTAAGGGCGCTGGTGCTGCCCTGAAGGATATCGAGATCGGCAATGACGAGACTGGTGCACCGATCGTTCAGGTAAGCTTCTTAACAAGAGGGATGGCAACTACAGAGATCTAACAAGTTCACAGCTTTCTGGACACGCACAAGAGGAAGCAAAGCGCGTCGGTGTCAAGAGCATCAACGTCAGCATTAGCCATTCGGACGAACAGGCCGTCTCCGTTGCCATTGCGCAATTCTAGAAGGCCTGCATGTGTGTACATTGCGATTCATGTTTTACACAATCAGATAGATGATGGCATGAAACTTAGTAAGAACAGATGTATTAGTTCGTCTTGGCGTTGGTGTTTTGGGTCTTTTTTGTTGCGTAGACTCGCCATACCAATCTGCTACTCATTGTAATCCAATTCGAGATAATTTCAAGCATTGTCCCCTGCCTAACTCGCGATAACAACATGAAAGTGCATTGTGTATTGATTGCATGCACACGATAGACAGCGACCGTAAGTGGGGAACATCGCATGCGTGCCAGAGCCCCTCGCTTTGCACCAAGCTCGCCCTGCGGTCGAGATAAGCTCAACATATGCACACCCCAGAACCCGACACGATGGCCCCTGGCGACAGCTCGCTTCTCAAGCGAACGGCAACTACGGTACGGGAATCAATGCTCAAGCTCTAAAATCGGGAGCTCCCTTCGGTGGTTGTTTCGTTTTTGGAGCGCAAATCGAGATGGCGCTGCCCGTGCACTTTCACATGCCAGCAATCTCTGGCATGTGACAGCAAAGAAGCGGGTACCTGACGTCCCTGCACGATACAGGACTTTCACCGCGGCGGCTTTAACCTCTTGCGACGCCGCGGTGGATTTAACTACAAGAGGGAGGTGTCCCCCGATGCCCTGGGGTGCCCTCGTGTTGCCGGATTGCCAGGTCGTTGAGAGAGGCTAACGGCTGCCTGCAGGCATGGATGCGGTTGCGTAGGCGAACTTGTGGGACGTGCAGATGTTGAGGGCCCTGGAATTCGTTGGGACGGTGGTCTCGGGGGGCTTCGGAATGACGATAGTATGCGGGGTGAAGGAAGGCGTCGGGACTAAGATGTGGATTCTTGGGGTGATGTTGAGACAGTTCAGATTCCAGGGTATGTATCTTGTATGGACGAGAGTCGTTCCAGCAGCCTGCTTACGCAACCGTGTCTGCAAGGCTGTGCTCCTTCATCCTTTCCTTCAGTGCTTCTCATTGGCCGATCTGAGCGCAGCGCCTTGCATGCACGCTGTTGTTATCAGCGAAACACTCAACCGTATGCACTACGACAGTAGCCAATTGTAGGTTTCCAGTTCCAAATTTCCATTGGTCATAAGTGAGCTGTAGCTATCCAACCGAAAACGGAAACCTGCTCTCCGTTTACCCTTGGCAACCCAAGCTCATCGACTTTGAGGCTACCTCTAGGCTGGGTACGGCAGCAGTGCGACTTCCAAGCCTGGTGAACTGGTTGAGATCGATGTCTTCACGAAGACTTCTCTTTCTTCTTCGGTGGTTCCTTCCACCGATACCTCGACTTCACCCATTCGTAATCTAAGTCTGAGACCACACACACGGGTATCGAACTAACTCGGTGCCCTTACCGTGATCCTCGGGATCTTTGTAGCGCGTCAGAGGGCACTGGTCGAGCTTCTCGGAGCGGCAGCCTTCTTTCGCATTGTCGGCGGTGTTATACATCATGATATCCTTGTGATCAAACTTGTCGCTGCCAGCTTTAATCTTCTCGCCATCGATGCCGGGTCCCTTGATGTACTCGACGTAGTTACAGCCGTAGTGTGCAGCTTTCAGAGCTCGTCCTCAGTGATATCAGGCCCCTGGATCTTGGCCTTTTGGAAACACGAGCGGTGATCGTAAAGGCTAGGCTAGTCGACATGAATGTACTTGTCGCGATCAGCACGCTGGTGCTCATGCTCCATACCTAGAGTAGGTCAGTACACTACTACATCGAACAACCCCGTGTGTCATCGTGAGAGTAACTCACCAAAGACATGTCCGATTTCATGCATAGTGTCCTGGATCAGATGCGGAGTATCAATAGACAGCTTCGTATTCCAATGCATCGGCGGAGAAGTGCGTTGCAGGCCGATCGTGCTTGAGCAATATCCATACTGACCTCTTATGTACTCGATAGGAAGAGTATCGTACGGGACCCCTTCATGGCAAGGCCGTGGCCAGAAAGTGGACCAGCTTGACCAATCTCAGGCCACCACTTCTCGATCGTAGTTTTGAGAGTATCGCCAATGAGTTCGGGATAGTCGCGAGCGAAGCAGTGGTGGACGGTGAAAAGGTTGCTCTCGTCGCGCTCCCATGCCTCAGATGTGGGTTGAGCCCACACCGCCGAGGCTTTCATCGACGAAGTTACTACTAATTTCAGTGTTGGAAAGTCTCTTGCCGGGCACCCATGAATCATTCAGCGGAAAGACGTAGTTGTTGCATTTAGAGGCAAGCGAGGTCGCGGCTAGCACGCTAAGGAGGGGATAGACCAAGGATATATGCATCTCTGAAGCTCAAAGTTGCAGCAGATGGAATGGTGTAAGATGATTGAAAGAGTAAAGATGAGTCTCCGATATTCGTACGAGATGTATACGGGGGTGTCTAGCGTCCCGTTCTGATGCAGGTGAAGGTTATAGGACAGCGTGCGACAGTGAGAGTTTACGTTACAGCGAAACATTGTCTCACTATCTCGATTGAGCTCATTATGACTCTAATTGGACCATCTCCGCTCATCCCAAATTGGCTGATTTCTATATCGCTGCCACCTGCAATAGGACGTCGACCCGGACTTTAAATTTTTTTCAAGTAATCAAATGAGGTCCTCGTCACACTTCACCGACCAGATCAGCCTTGCTGCTTTCCCGCCCGAACTTCAAATATCCTAGTTGCATTTCAAATCCTTGGTTTTCGCCCACCGCCCATGTGTGATCTCCTTTTCTCTGCATAGCGTTGAAGTCTTTGACTAGCTTTACGAACTTGTTCCTCGCTTCAGCCGTTTCGAAAAACTTGTTCTTAACAAATTTTCCTATCGTGATGTGTGCCGAAGGAGCTGTATAGCAGCAGTCAATTCCTGTAACCCCAGATTCTAGTGCCAAAGCGTGCATGTCACTTCTTAGGTGATGGTATGTGTATATGTCTGTATCAGATGGTAGATAGTTGAGGGCTATGCCCATCTTATCGAAGCTGATCGTCGGTGCTACCAATTTTGGCTTGATGCTCAGCGTTGAGACTAAATTGAGTATGCCTTGGATCTGCGATATTCCAATCTCAGCGGCTACATTGCGGAGCTGCGGTACTGTGTGGCGATGTGATAGTTCAATCACGGAGAGGTGTAGGTCTTTTCGCGGAATAAGATACACGTCGTCGCCAATAATTCGCAGCAGGTCTTCCTGGATAGTCTGTATGACGTCGAGAATACTTGATGGAGGCCTCGCCCAGATCACGCAGCAGTTCATCTCTTGAGCATCTGTGTCGTCTTTCTCGTCTAGACTGTGTCCGTTGTCGAGTTTCTCCTGGCGCCTCAAGTGCTTAATGAGAGCTCGATCAGGCGTTACAGGGTTTGTAGTAGTGTTTGCAAACAGCTCAATCTGCTTTTCTCTCCAAGTCTCCCTGTGGGTTTCATACGCTTCCTGGACCTTTGCCTAGAGACAGTCAATCACAATCCCGTTTCCTCTCAGATGACTTTACTGACCGATGCACCTTTGCACTCCAAGTCATCTAGAAGGTCTTTGTACCAATTACGGCGCGAGGGTGGTCCTGCAGCTAGAGGGGGAAAGCTGAACCGAGCCATTGCAGTTCGACGTTGAGGTGAGTCCCCCTAACTTGGAAGGTCGGAGCATAAAAGCAGGGGCGGTCCTTTCGGAGATCTTGGCCTCATTCACGATATCATGCCACGCTACTAACCTTATGTGTTATGTCTTATCTTGCAGCGCGTCTGAAACTGGACGTAAAGGCAAGTTAAAGGTGCCACATTGGGTGCGGGGGAAAGTAACTGGATAGCTGGCGTGCATGAAGCCACGAAAAAAGCTGACTTTCCCAGAACTAGGCTCGATTTGGCAATCTATCCACTACGAAGTACTCCCCTCTTGTTTGACTTCCCACGGTATCGCTGGGTCCATGGCATTTTCATGTTGGCGAGACTGCTTCCAAAACTGCCTCTTTACTTGCTTCGGATTTTGTCAAGACCTTGTAAGTTCAAGGTCTACTTGTCTTCCTCCAAAATGTTAAATACAATCTCGGCCTCTCTCTTTGATTGCCAGATTCATCAATCTATAATTGTGAGAGCTGTCAGTGATTGATGGCAGCCTGCAACAAATCATTTTTCTTCCATTTAGTAGAACTTAGATAGCATACCAGCAACTGCCATCAATGCGACCAGCCACGGAACGATGAACCTATGCTATCGTCACTTCCGCCTTTCCGCTCCTCCTTGCTGAACAAGTTTGTTCTCAATATGCCTTGAATTCTATTAGAGAGACTCTCCTGTTTCTTGTTCAACTGCCTTACCGAGACGAAGGTATCTAGTAGGAAGAGTATGGCTACAATGGTAATATCTCATGTATTTGGGCTTTCGTGCACAGCCTGCTTGCCTACCTTCGTTTTGTTGGCCGGACAGATTGAAGAGTTGTGTTACGATATTAACACCGAAAGATAAACGTTGATACCACTCACAAGTTCCGAAAGGTGCTGCACTCGACCAGAGACATCCTCAGTCGACGATCGCTGATAGTTGAACTGATTATCGGGCCTGTTCGGTTCCTCGTCTACGCGAAGATACAGCTGATCTTAATCTTTGAGAGCTGGTATACGCTTGTTAAACCTGTGGAAAAACTCGTATTGGCTGCGCGGGCTCTTGATAGTGCCAATGATCTGCGTCAACTAGAATTGATCTCGATCGAGATTGCGTATATTTAACCGAAACCTTCTAACATTAACGGCTTTCACTTTGCTCTTCTCATCCATGTGCAGCTCATAGGCTTTCTCTCCTTCCTCTCTTAAGCTATCTCTTGGGCCCTTGCCGCTCGCCGATACTATTGAACGGTGCAGTTGAAATGTCGCAACGCCGCGGCGAATGGAATTGGCAATATCTGATATCGCTCCTCATTTTGGCCCGAAACAACATGATGATGCTCACACATTCGACAATACTGTTAAGTAGTATTTGTTCATATTAAGAATTCGGGTGCTATCTATATCTAACACACGGTCGCTATGTCGTTGCTCGTATAATATGATTTTCGCAGTCCCACCTGAACACCGTGCTGATGCAATGTTACTGTATGTACCCTACAAACTCGAAGCCTTCTTGAACTCCTCACTGAAGGGATAATCAGTATAGCCCTTCTCACTCTTGGGAATATAGAAAGTATCGCGGTCATATGGGTTGAAATCGATGCTCTTTTCCAGCCTGAAAACAAGATCAGGGGTAGAGATGAAGTAGCGTCCAAAAACGACAACAACATCTCGGTCCTTCAGCTCCTCATCGACGAGTTTGCGGGCAGAGTCTGCCTTGAAGCCACCAGCAATAAGCAAGGGGCTCGAGGTATACAGAGGGTACAAAGGCCTCAGAGAATCGTCGCCTTCAACGTCTGCGTTACCGGAGACGCGGGATTCGACCATGTGCAGGTATGCAAGGTTCAACGTGTTGAGCTTCTTAATGATGTCCGAAAACTGAGGAATAGGGTCGGCCATCTTCATGCCCTGGAATTCGCTGAATGGGGAGAGGCGGATACCGGTCCGGTCAGCACCGACAGCATCGACAACTGCCTGGGTGACTTCAACAGCGAAACGGCTGCGATTCTCCACCGAGCCACCGTATTTATCGGAGCGTTTGTTGCAGGTATCCTGGAGGAACTGGTCGATCAGGTAACCATTTGCTGCGTGGATCTCTACTCCGTCGAAACCGGCCTCGATTGCGTTCTTCGCGGCCTGAGCGTACGCGCCGACGGTCTGCTCGATCTCCTCAACAGTCATCTCTTTAGGAACAGCAAGATCGTCTGAGAGCTGGGTAGCACTGGACGACTTCACTGTGATCCCCTGGCTTTGGGCATACTCCTTGTTGGCTACGCGTCCCAGAGCCCAGAGTTGAAGGTAAATAAAACTCCCTTTTTGGTGAACAGCCTCTGTGACCTTCTTCCAGGCGTCAATTTGCTCCTGGGTCTCAATGGCGGGAACATTGGGATATCCCCCATGCTGGCCGGTAATAAGTGTAGCCTCAGTAATCAAGAGAGTGCCGGGAACGGACGCGCGCTGGCCATAATACTCAGCCGCGAAAGGGAGGATGGCGTGGCTGTCGCTGACACGAAACCGTGTCAACGGTGCCATGGCAATGCGGTTCTTTAGCTCGATAGAGCCAATCTTTAGTGGTTTGAAAAGACGTGAGTTGGACATGATGGACTGTAGGGTTGTTGAGGTCAGGGAGTATTCGCCGAAAGGTACAAAGCTGGGTAATTCTGCTGAAACATTGCAAGCCTGAGACTTGCCCTATATACGTCCTCAATCATTTATAATCCATCGGCGGACAACATCGGCAGTTTGAGATGGAATTTTCCTACCATTTCTAAACATCGCTGTGTACAGTGGTGTAGGCCGAAGCTAGCTTGCAAATCTGAATGACGTTATCTGAAAGTTGGTGGATATTTGTCAGCGGCAAAATACTAAACACCGTCGATCGGCATAACCCCTGATCGGAACTTGATCACTCCGTAGAAATCTGAGCCAGTGAGTACTTCGTACAGTAATTACTAATCAATCCATATGATACGATGAAGGGCAACAAAGAAGGTGTGAAGATGCAATGGCATTACAGTATGTCTTTTGCTTTGCAGACCTGCGCCTCCAGATCTTCGTGCCAAAGCCACTTGTACGATGCTCTCAAAGCCTCTTTCAGGGCTGCAGTATCGTCTATAATTTGCGGCTCGAGGAAGTCCATTGCCATAGCTGCGTTGCGACTCTTCTCGATGCAGTCCTGCGTGCGTGGTCGTCTCACAGTGTCAAACGCTCTGAAAGCTTCCCCCACGCGCGCAACGTCAGCAACTGAAGCGATCAGTTGGCTCAATACGTATGCGTCTTCCATAGCCATGCCGGCTCCTGCACCAAGATGCGGTGTTGTAGCATGTGCGCTATCACCAAGTAAGCAGATGTTATTTCTGCAGTAGGGTGCGTTATGCTGCAAGTCGAACAACGCCCATTTATGAGGCAGGCTGTATTCGCAGATGACGTCGATGAGCGGCTTATACCATCCCTGGAAGCGTTGACGCAGCTCAGTGGTGGTTGCTGGCACTGTGGACTCGTCCTTTTCCCAGGTCCACGTCTTGCCTGGATCGTGCGGTATTGCTACCATATTAACTGAGTCGCAATTCTCGACGGGGTAGGTAACGATGTATCCACCGTAACCACAGTAAATGGTCCCGTTAAACGCAGAATCTGCACCGAGTGCTTTCTCAGCTTGGAGTCTAGGTACCATAGCACGGTAAGCGACCTCTCCAGCGTAGGTTGCACGAACTCTTGGACCGCAAACAAGCTCTCGCACTTTGCTCTTGATCCCATCGCAGCCAATCAATGCACTGGCCAAAGCAGTGGTGTCATCTGCAAATCTTAACATTAGGGTCCCATCCTTCTGCTCATCCGCAGTCACAAAGCTTTTCTTGAAGCTGGTAACATCCTTTGGTAGCAACGCCACAAGCTCGTCTAACAGACGTGCTCTGTGAATGCAGCTTCGTGTTCGTACACCGAGAGCTTTTGCGCGCTCAGGCTGCCAGTCGTCGTCAAGATCCCATATTGGCTCTCCTGCTTTGCATCCGTCGCGTTTACTTTCATCCATGCCCCACCGGAAAGACATAAAGGTGCTGTCGCGATCATGATCTGCATTGAACGTTGCATGCTTCTTGTACCCTTCGAGCAGCCTCGGGTCGATCAGGTACAGAGCAGTTGTTGCATTGATACCAAATGCTACACCTGCACCTATCTCTGAGAACGCTTCCGTTGATTCGTATATGTGGACGTGTATCCCATGTTTGAGTAGCCCTATAGCCAGAGCGAGGCCGCCGAGCCCGCCGCCAACAATTGCAATCGGGTGTTGAGCGTGATTCTTGAAGGCAGGCGCGTCCATAGCGATGTTGGTTCTTGAACAGGGGACGAGCATAACCCTCGCATAGCACGTCCGGCCTTCCCCTCATCTTATATCCGCACATGATCTTCTCGGCCTGATAAGCTGACACGCATGGCTGTTAGCCGAAAGTGTCAATCGTGAGCAAAAGTGGGACAGAGCTCCATTCAAAGCACTCATTGCAACAAGATTAGAAGAATAAAGGCGGCCGGTGGAAAGATGTGCTGCATACTGATAAGGTTCATCCGGTGGAAGAAACAGGCAAGAGCGTGCGTGGGACAAGCGGCCCGATTCTCAGGTAGGCTCCTCCGTCGCTCCTTCGAATAAACGGCGAACTGAGGACCTGAGCCAGGTACACCACACGACAGCAAATTAGGGAAAATCCAAGAAAAAGCTCTATAGAATTCTTTTTTTCCTACAATATAAATCATTCTCTACTAAATTATAGCCTTAGATATTATGATAGTTACAAGTTTTGTATGAAAGTTGGTTTGCTTATGTAAAAGGTCATTTATCCGCCGTTTTCTTCTGAAACGCGACAGGCTCCTAGGTATTTCCCCGCTAGTCTTGCGATTCCCACCATCTTTTCAAGTCACTCACCCCACCCCACGACTCTGAAGTGGTACCCCGCAAAACATATTATTACAGAGTAGCCAAACGGCTCACAGTTACTGTCGCTACATTGTGGATCTTCGGCTTTGTCTTGCATCAAAACCTATCATTTGACCAGAACGCTTCGATCACCCAATATTATCCTAGCCTTCGGTCGTTGCACGTTATCCTACGAAGGATGTACCTATGTATAATAAGTATCACCAGTCAAACTTCCACAGGAGCAAGCGAAGCATTTCACGATCGTTGTTCAACCACGCCGTGGATGTTGTGTCTAATTAGCATTAAGCCGGGTTGGGTTGCCTACGAGAATAGATAATGACGGTCTTCATCTTACATACTTATAGGGATATGCAACACATATTTCAGAATGTCGGACCACTGAAACGTCCAAGCTTACGATCAGGTGTAGCATGATCTCACAATAAAGTCACCAGGAGCGAAAGTATAGGGTTTAAGTTGACTTGTCACAGTGAAAGGACAGGCTCTAGAAGCATAGTGCTTTCACCATCGAGATATGAAGAGCCTTCTACAATGATATCTAGGCCGCACTCTCCCATTTAAGTACCAACAACAACCAAGACATTGTCCAGCCAAGCCACACATGGCCGTAGAGCTCTATTCCACATGCTTGCGAGCAAGCCTGCTCCTACCACATGATTTCTCACTCTTCGTCAAGTGGCAAAAAGAGCATTCCAAAAACTCAGATATCGGATACGTATGCGATGCAATGGAGTACCATCGATTTATCAAATATCGCGACGCTTTCATCGACCACAACATACCGTTAGCAATCCCAAGCAATCCCCACACAGCGTCCAAGTGCGGGCACACTTATCATCCGTCCAACATGAGGATGCACGAGCTTTGCCCTATTTGCGAGGTTCAAGCTCATCTTTCCTTCTTGGGTAGCATTGTAGTGGCTTGGAATAAAGCCGGTGGACCTAGACTCCGACCTGGGTCACAAGTTGCCAGGGAATCTTGCGGTCCTCTCCGGAAAGGCTGGCACACAGCACGTCTTCAACTACAGAACCTTCTTGATATGTTTGTCATTATGGCTAAGTGCGAAGAAACCTGGGAAGCTGACCATCCATCGGAAGCTGCATCAGCGCGACAAACTAGTTGCGCCTCTGCGGCCGTCAGATTGGCACAGGAAGAATCTAGATATCCTGCCTGTTTAGGTCTTTCACCGACAGCAAAAGCGAAAACAAATGAAGCCGCACGGTGGAAGAAGAAAGTGGCTTTTGCTCCAGAAGTTCAAATCGAAGGCGGCGAATACGTTCAAACGTCAGCGACAAAGTTCATCCATGGCCGCTCACAGAATTTCTTCTACCGCCGGAGCCCTACATACAAGCCCGGTGAGTATGCATGTCCTACAGGCTCCGCATTCGTCGATACGTCTCAGGAAGGGCGCTTGTTTGCTAAGCTCGGCGTTCTCAAACTCTACACCACGGACGATGAAGACGCTTTCGATAGCCTGCCAAAGAGCCCGCACTTCAACGGTGATCTTATAGGTCGTTATCAAGGGATAGTCGGGCTGCATGATATGAGTGACACCATCTTCCGGCTTATGCATGAGTGCATGGCAGAGAGTCTACAACAGGAAAAGGATTTCAAACGGCTTATTGAGCAGTCAGATAGAATAGTGGTTCTTATCGATGACGAAACCGGACGAGTAGTAGACTTTGTTCTGCTCGATGGAAGCAAGGAGGAAGATGGCGATGATCAGCAGAGCTCAGACGAACGGGAAAAGGGGAAGGGGCAAGGGGACTGGACTTGCTTGGAGGAGTGTTTGCGGTAAGGTCTCGCGGTCTTATTAGAAATAACAGTCTTTCAATGGGTGAATAGAGGCGGATATTCGTTTCTAGGTGTAATGGTAATAGACATTGTATTCCGTATGTTGTAAGTCGTGTAAATGCATCAGTTCGCTAACCCAAGATGCTCCTATTCCTGAACTCCTTTTTGCTATGTGACAAAACACCACAGCATTTGTGCTTCATTATATACATGGCGTGACCGACCAAATTTCTTGCGGTTTCCTCCGCGTTCGTCCTTAGTTATCTTGCGAGTAGTAGCGTTTGGCCTTCGGACGGGCTTTGCGCGTCTCCTCGGGGTCCTTTACTATGCGCACCATCTCGCGCACTTTACCATCGAAAGTTACGATGATGTGTTCCGGTATAGGCGGAAAAGGGAATGCGCTGAACACTTGCGAAGTTGGCGAAAAGGTGGGGGATGAAGAAGCGGACGATGTTGGTGAGTCCATTGTTCGGATGTAGCGGATCGTGAAATGTGAATGAATCTAGCAGACAATGTTAGAGGGGTCGTTCGTTGATCTATGTATAGCATCTCGGTCTTACTTCGTTCGATTTTTTCAGCTGTATTGTATGGGTGATAGTCTTCCGCAGAGCTCGTCTTCTCTTGTTGTTCAAAGGCTGTCAGGGTCCAGCGGGCTTTCCTTGCTCTTAAACTCTCTCCCTCCACTTGTTTTGTTTCATAAAATGCGGACCCTATCCGCGTCATCTTGTCTGTAAGTAGGTTCGTGCTTGGTCTCAGGCCGCCCAGATCCGCATGCTGCGCCATGCCGCCCAACCGTTGGACTATAGAACAACGTCAATACCTAATTGGACCATCTTCGCTATGTTTAGAAGTTGGCTTTCATTGGCTGTGTCTGTGTGGTTACTTGTACGAAGATTTAGCATGCCTGCTGTGCTGTCAACGCAGGAAGTGACAATTGGGCCGTTTCGCCACTAGCGAGGCTGAATCTGGAAATTGTTAGATGCACTGCGCTCCTGACACCCTATTACGATCATGACTGATCTAGGAGACCAGTTTTGACTTTGTTTTTTTTAATATCGCGCTTTTTTGCAAGACAACTCATTTAAACATTACAATCTCTATTCGTTAGGTTCGTTGTCACGACTCGCTTGCCAGCATACACCTGGACTGTCGATCCACCTTCAGAAAACCAGCCACAGGCTGTTTACCGACTTCCTTCGCTGCTTCTTCGATCTTGACTGCGCCTCGACTCCCAGCTCTGTTTGCTTGCGTCTTCTGTCTCTCGTGCATTCTGTTGCATCATCTTCGCTTCGTGATCTTGTCGCCCTGCGTGCTCACTTCGAGAACTTCGGGGGTGTAGAAGCTTATTGAGCTTGCGTGGTTTATACTTCATGACCGGACTGTTCGGGTCTGCATTTGGGAGTGAGCTACTGTAAGTCACATCGTGCAGCCTCTGATTGACCACTGGGGCAGGCTGGAATTTTTTACCTTGCGCGCAAATGCTCATGTGATCTGCCATCTTCGTGTTCGTAGACGCCATAGTACTAGACCCGAGAGTTAGACTTGTTGAAAGCGTGATATTGTCTGTGCGATTGAGTGATGCGTGGCCTGGTAGGGGACAGGGGTCAAGACAGCGAGATGGCGGAGCTGATGCGAATAGCTGAAGATGAAATTGGAGTTGGTGTGAGGCGTCACCAGAATGATGTGCGTCAGCGGCTGCGTGGATAATCTGACGAATGCGCCTCGTCTGATGCGGCTTACGCGGCGATCATTACCGCAACTGCAACTTCCAAAGCTGGTGCAATTCATTTCACCAAAAGATGCATGAAGAGAAGCAAGAGGTGTAGACACGATCGTATTGAAGCTCTTAAGATCGCCTCAGTCATTCGAGACGAATGCCAGCTAGTACTGGTATCCTGCGCCTCACTTTAACGCCATATTTCGCTTAAAATGCTCACACCTTACAGGACCAGCCTGCCAGAAAACGTGTTCAAAGTGATGCGCCTGTCAGTCACCGTCCCCATGCCCTTTCATTCTTGCTCAGTGTCGTCGGTTCTCAAACCCCTCACAAGCTGGTGACCCATCATCCTGCTAAGCTCTTTCGCATAGTCGTGCACCCTCATGCTGAGTTGCTGTTCCTCGGTCTTGTTTTCGTACTGCTCCTCCGAGTACGGTGGTGGTGCGTCTGTGTAGCGAGCAAATTCAGCTTTGAGCTTCTCGGCAGTCTGTTCGTCCGTGTGGATGGAGTCCTTGCGTTCTTGTGACCCATCGGTGTCCGATGTGGAAGGATCTGAAGACGTTCGTTGTTGTGTTGAAGCAGTCGAAGAGGTAGCAGTGGAAGCCATGGTGTGAGACGGTTGTCTACTCGGGACAAGTGACGGAGGCGAGTGGAAGTCTGCTGCTTTTGTGACTGAAGATGCAGAGTCGTGGCGAGAAGCACTTGAGGATTGCTCTTCTACCTCAACATTAACTTCAGGGTAGTGGTCCATTATGATGTGATAGCTCCACTCTGAGGTCACAGGTTCGAGGCGAATCGCTTGTAAAGCAAGGCAGGACACCGCGGAGTGAACGTTATGATAGTCGTGATGGTCGTGATAGAACTTTACAAGATGTGTCGTTACGACGTAGGATTTATTGGTTGGCTGAAATGCCCGGTCTGAAGACGATCAAGGGTAAGTTGTGGCGAACTAGCACCATGGCATTTAAGCAGTTGCCTGTGCCTGATCAAACAAACGGGTTATCCTGCAAGACATGTGTTATTTTGAGACGTCATCGCAACGGTGCAACGCTGTTCAGCCCGTGCCGTGCGTTGGGGAATCGGTCCGCATTTGGCAATGATGTGTGGCTGCTTTCCTGATTGCGCTCAGGGTCTGACGAGGCCGTGAAATTGAGTGGGCTGATTGTTGCCTTCCACGGTCACAGAGGCAAGCTGAGACGAACGCGTACGGAGCGTGGCAGCGTTGAGCTTGTCGTTTGCGGGGGACAGCTGCGCGGAGTACTGGATGGCAAAAAGAGGCTGGGAAATGTGCTGGACCAACACCAGTGACATCATACCAGTGCTACGTGCTGCGCAGCATCGCGATGGTGGCTTGGAAGATAATGCGAGTTGACGGAAGCGATAAAGCCAGGCATAGATTTGTGTAGCAGAGGATATACAAAAGAAAGCCAGATAAGTGGATGATCAACGCTGATGATGGACGTTGCTCATCTCATTACAGGAGACGATCTTCTCATCCACCCTTTGAACGTCCCTACAAACCCCCGCGGGTTCCTCTTTGCTTTGTACCGTTCAACTTCTGTTGGTGCATTGAAATTCTTGCTGAGGTGTCTGAGTTCTGGCTGAGGATCAGAATGCAAGACTGGCCTGTCCCTTGGCGAATTTGACGTCGTGGAGGGTAGTGGGTCTTCCTTAAAGCCGGCTGTGAACTTCCGATCGCCTACGTCGTGATCAGCCATGCTCCACGCTATATTGCGAACCATGCGCTGACTCTGCTGCTGATCTTGTAATGCAGCTCCCACTTGTCCCAATTGCTTCTTTTTGAAGTTAGCCTTGGTGGTCATGTACTCCTCAATGCTCGCCTTGTCATACGATGGCACAGAATCAGGACTCTTACATCTATACTCATGTTGACGGTCGAATAGTGCGATTCGGTATTTGAACCCCTCTTGACGGTGGCCTTCCGGTATTCATATTTCTAAACTCGAACGAGATGCCACCAATCAATCGATCATGTCACGTCACGAGTGTTTACTCTTACCAGTCAGATCCTGTGAGAATACAACCCGACCGCTTATGCGTCTAAGCCTTGCAAGTACGGTGATTGTGGTTTCTTGGCTGGTCTAATGTTCACTTAGACTTACCCTGCGAGGGTGACCGGCTCGACAAGGCCCGCGGCGACGGGATCACGGGACGATGCAGGGTCCTGATGAGTGAGATCTGCACAAGGCCATACACGCAAGATTTGTGATCGGCAATACACCGAGCCATATAAGGCACTTCGATTTACAAGACGGTGTAAGGCGAGAGGGGATTGTCGACGCTTGTCTACGAAGGCTGTCGTGGCTTGCTGCTGCGGCAGCTTCAGGCAACCAGCTAAATGTACAGCCTCGTCATGTTGTCACGCAGTATCACCGTGCACACAATCACGGCCGAGCGAGTGAACTGGATTCGGTAAGCATTATATGACGTTCTCTTCGGGAAATTCTATGCAGACCGCAAATGTTTTGCTTTCATCTATATCTCTAGAAGAAAGAACTACGTCACGCACCCTTGAGGAAGCTTACACAGAAGTCGCATAGTTCGTTGATGTTGGTACGCGTCAGGCATCTGATTCGCCGTCTTCCCCATGGACCAAGGTCCTAGAACTGATGCACACTCAATGATCAGACCTTGACTCCTTGGCCATTTCCCTCTTTCTCTATTCTTCCTCGATTTCGTGTGTAACACAAGTGCTCAATTTCGAACGCCTCTCTCTACATCTCTTTAAACGCTCATTACGACGCATCCTAGTGCCGTTTAACTCATATCTCGACTGCGGACAATACTTCCCCTCCCAATAATGGTTCTGTGCTTTTGTTGTCGCAACCTTTTCTTTGAACGCCTGCTTATGACGATCTTTTTCGATCCGAATCCTGAATACGAGTGCGTATCGCTCGCTTGGACTTGCCATATCATACAGAAGTGCGCTCTTGTAGCGGCCATGAAGCTCCGGTGGCACTTCGAGACCATGATTTTGAAGCCATTCGGAGAAATAGCGCGGCAAACCTTCGTCTTCTCCCCCCTCTTCCTCTTCTTCGTCACTCTCTAACCCAGTTACAAGCACGTAAGTTCTGAGTGAAAAGAGAGAAAGAGATTGAACATCGTTTGCGCGCCAGATCTGCACACCGTTCAGGAAGTTCGCTCCTTTGGGTTGCCTTTGGTGAAAGTCGACACAGTCGGTATTCGCGGAAATAAAGCGAGCCACGATACCGACGAGAGGCGCGAACATCTCTACCACAGCATCAAGGATGAATCCTCTTTCAACCTGCCGTGCGGCTTCTATAAAGCGCGAAGATCCTGGCTGCCCCATTTCATATCGATATTGGCATAGCGAATTGAGTACCTCCTTCTCATTGAAAGGTTTTGATCTTCTTGCTTTGATCCGTGCGTTTACGTCAAGGTGATTGGAGGCGAATGTGGCATGGAATGCCGCGACGTATCCGAAAAGCTTGGAGAGGTCGCTTGCAGTCTGAATACGTAGATGCTTGGAATTACGAGGAGTGTGTAGGCTGAGCTCCCTCCATAAAGCATGGTCTTCGCTTGCGTCTTGCGGTTTCCACGGGGATCCCGTGATCCACAGAAGCACAGAACAAGGTTGGTTCCGAAACCTGATTATGTTCAAGCTCTCACCGCTGAGCTCGCATGTATAACCAAGTAGGTTTAGAATCGTAACTGCGGCGGAAGTAGGTTGGTCGAGTAGTGGAAGGAAGGATAGTCGGCGAGGCCGTGGATTCGACACAGCATTCTGACCAAGCGCTGCGCTGTAACGGCCCACCCAAAATTGAAAGTAAAGATCATGGTCGGCGCGGAGTTCTGGGAAATGCTGCGGGTCTTCCCCATGCTCCGTGAGATACTTGGCGTAATTCTTTAAGTTCGTCTTCTGAAGCTGTTCAGCCAAGACGTTCGATGTCTTTCCAGCCATTTCATCTTCAGCTTTGGAATCAGGTTCCCAGTGCGTTCTGGTAGACTAAGCTGATAAGTGTTGTTAGTGAGACTAGAAAGTATTATGGGCTGATAGAAGATCAGTTACCAAATGAACGGAAGTTTTAAGGATAAAGCAGTAGATGAGCTACTGCAACTTAGTATTTCGCCACGATTCAAAGTGCCAATGCTGGTTGGAGACTGAGCTTCAGGGTTCTGTAGACCAGTTTGGGAGCCGAACCAAATAACTTGTATAAACGGGGTATCCATTCGACCAACGCCGACAATGCGATTCGCAAAACGCCTGAAATGAACGCTGATTACATGCTCACTGCTCTTCATTCATACGTGTTCTCATATGGATCAGCGTCGTCAATATCTTCATCTTCTCCGTTGTCGAAGTATTGCTCCGCGTTGTAGTCATCGTCCGATTCTTCTGAGTCGCTCGATGCAGCAGACCACTTGTCGTCCTCGTCGATAGCGTCTGGCTTGTCGTCGTCTTGTTCCGCGTCCTCGTCGTCGTCTTCATCGTCCTCTTCCTCAGCGCGCGCCTCAGCTTCGTTGGTGCGACCTTCCTCAAACTTGATCATACGCTCGATTTGAGAGACAGCGTTGATTTTGGTAACGCCAAGGGTTCTACGTTTCTTTGACAAGTTCCCATCTGCTCTTGTACCATCGAGCGTAAGGCGCAATTCCGCGGGAAACAATTCTGTAACTATTTCGTGTTCATGAGTACAGGTCTCCAGTCAGGCGGCTGCACCCTACTTACCGTAAGGCCTCTCGTCAAGTTTGGGCAACCTTCTTCTAACCTTCAGATACTTCGCTGAGTATGTTTGATTGTCGGTGAACGGGTTGAACAGCGAAGCTTCGGTGGGCGCGGGCTCGCTGGCCTTCCTCTTCAGGCCGTTCTTCATACCGTCGTTCAAGATGGTGTAGAACGGTCCTTCATGTATACGATCGCGCACTTGCAGGAAGTGTTGTACTATTTTGGACTCGTCGGTGGTCGGTGGAGGCGCTTGTGGAGGAGGAGCTTCCTGTCATGATCTTAGTCCTTGTCCGATCCAAATCTTGCAGTGCATCGGTGTAGATTCAAGCATGTGAATGCGCGCAAGGTATGGTATTTGCCTACGGGAAAGCGCTCAGCAGGGCCCTTCTGTATTTCCAGCCCTGACAGGTCCCAGTTCAGCTCGGTGCCGGCAATCGTTACTGTGCCAGATCGCGGATTGAAAGCTCCGCGCGCACCACCGCGCCCTCCTCGACCGGCTGGCGGCATGCTCCTTTACGCGTGATCGCCCGGGTTTCGCCTTAGTAACACGCTCAGTTGAATCGTATCTGGTACCGCGGCGTCTGGGTCTGTCCCGTGGGTGCGATGTCGTGATGGTGTACAAGGCCGAGTCAGAAATTATTTGATGCAGCTACAGCCAACGGCGGCTCAAGTGGGGCACCCTAGTTAACATGCTCCCCTCCCTCCTCCATGCTGGCCACCACTCACTGCATTTAGCAAAGCAAGAAGTTGCGGCATATCCATCAGATTTTCCTACGGCGATCATAGCCTCAAAGTGGCTGTTCGATTGTAGCGGACGCTGCCGGAACCTACTGCAAAGTATCACAAGCTTTGCGCCACTGGAGCTGACATCGACGTCGACGTCAATAACACTCTCACCGTGTACTCTTGCACCGAAGTCCAAGACAAGTAGACATACGCGAGAGGGGTTGAGAACGCGTCAATTTGTGCCGACGCGCGTGATCACCTGAGCTCAAACTGGAACCTTCTGTACGCCGGTGACTGTTGTCGACCTCGCCCCACCACATAGCACACACTGAAAGCACTCTGCATCTTCAGTAACCAGCTCCCTGTTCGTTTCAATCATGACGACAGCTCCTGCCGTTTTTGGGGACTTAGCAGTACATCTACAGGCTGTTGAGCGTGATCCAGCAACCCAGCTCGACACAGAGCTACTCGAGCAGTGTGAACTGTTCACAAGCACACCTGAGTACCGCAGCCAGATATGGAAATCAACGCAACCGCTGTTCCTTCAGATTGCAGCCTTGTTGCCACAGCTTCAGCAAGACCCGTCGCCTCTTGTCCACTTCATTGTCAAGCTGGCATCACCCTACCGCTTCGAAGATATCAAAGATGTGGATTTTGAGATCGCACTGGACCTACAAGCGACGCCATTCCATGGCCTTATTTTGTCCTTACTGGAAAAGGCGGCCGTGAGTAGTGTTGATACGCAGGCGCTTGCAAATCGACCCGCTGTTGTTGCTTCTATTGTTCGGTTGTGGCTTTGCACACAGGATACAGGTGTCGCCACTCAAGCTGAGAACTTACTCGTGTCACTACTGGAAGCCTCTGAGAACGAACCGCTTTCGATCAGTGGCGAAGACACCGGACACAGTCATGGCACAGGGCCAATGTGGCGGCGATTATTCAACGACCAAGACATTCGCTCCCTATACTACTATCATACATCCCTGAAGAATCTTTCTTCTCCACCTCTACCTTCATTGCATAAGCGCGATAAGACAATAGCACAAGCACGATTACTGTCGTGGCTACCGCGAGTCGGCACGTTGCATTGGGACGCACTCATCACTCCACATACCATGGATGTGGAGCGTGAGGTTGGCTTGAGTGACAATCAGGGTCTCCTACACTATGCCGCAATGAAGATGGTTGATACTGAAGATGACATGCTCATGTACATGACACTCATCAACTTCTTCAGTGAATTAATCACCACAGTCAGAACAACCCCACATCTTACGTACGTCCAGTACTCTATCTACTCCGACTACCACTGACGTTGGGTAGACACTACGATTCCAGTTTCTCGCTAGACTTTCTTCGAGAGCAAGGCATCCATAAGCAACTCATCGAATTTCATACTGCAGACAATCCCGGATTGGAGCACGCGTTCTTGAGCAACCGAACAGCAAAGTACATCAGCGACTACGCATCTAACTATCCCGAGAACTTTGAGAAGAGCCCGGAGATGCCAACAATACGAGATTATGTTCACCGCAACATCCGGAAGTGTGAGGCAAGCGACCTCAACATCATTGCTTCAATGCCACGATCAACCCTTGTACCGCGTCGAGGCTCAAGCTTCGCATGGAGCGACTGTGTGATTCTCGACATGCCAATCACGCGGACCAACCAGGACGCGCTGAAGACATTAGCGACCATCTTCCATGGACCGCTGAAGGTAGGCTGTCGAGATCTAATTGCCACTGTGGACTAATACAATGCAGGACGAGATTACATTTCCCCAAGTTGAGACGATAGGTTCAGACGTGAAGCGCAAGCAAAATGAATCTGCATTCGCTCGCCTTCTTACGGCGCTGTTCATCAGCAAGAAGTCGAACGCATTTTCCGATTTGATCAGTCACTCCGAGACTGTTGCAATGAAAGAAAACGCTCTCGCAGCTCTTGCTCTCCTACGCGCTCTTGTCACCGCATCCTGGTCTTCTGAACCGATTCAGGATGTTGCTGCGAGCGACCCCGTGTACGCTCAGCTCAGTAACTTCCCCAAGACTGGTCTTGACCTCATTCTTGACCCCAGCATCAGTGGAGGTGTGCTTCCTGCGCTGCTGAAGCCGGCTACTTCGTACTCGAATCTAGTCGGCGGTAGAGGGGATGCCGAAGATGCAGCTTACCAGGTTGCAATGGCAAAGTTTGATGTGTTGAAGGCGCTAGGACGAAAACTTGAAGAGAACGGCGGACGTGAGGATGTGCTGTCTATGGTGAAGAGAAGGGTCAATGAAGGGCCTTGGGGCGTTTCGGGAACTGTAGGAAGTAGAATCGGGACGCTGGAGCTCTAGATATGGTTACGACATAGAGCTATCGCAATGATATTTACAAAGTAGTTTGGAGCGGGACATTCGGGCACCATCTTCAGGCTGAAGATCACTCGACCATTCCAAATGCGTTCCACGTAAGCTTAAAATCGAAGCATCCATTGTGTTGACCAAACTATGCCCCTTCAAAGATAAGAGAAGCTTCCCTTCAAGCCTTTGATTACCAGCTATGACACCATGCTTTCTGCGAGATCACTTACAGGGTAGAGGAACCATGCAGGTGCACTGCGGTTCAGCCCAACGAAAAGCAGCAGAATCGTCAAAGCCAATTTACTTTTTCCTGACTGTATGTCTGAGCATGTCGTTCTTGAGGCTGACCGTTCGGATGTCCCAGCTGGCACTGCCTACCTAGCCCCAAGCCCAAGTCCGAGACACCACTCCCAGACCCAAGACATGTCCAAGTCCATCAACTCCGTGACAGAAGCTTAGCCTGCGCTCGGCATCGCCTACCCATCTCCTACCGTTCTCCTACACGAGCGTCAGGATCACGCCGGCATCTGAAACAGGTACCAGACACCGACGTCGATCCTTGCCGCGGTTGTCCGAATTTCCCACGCTGTGGTGCACTGCTCATTCGAGTGTTGTTTGCTACCCGAAACCGTACTGAGGTGCGCATGTCATCGCAAGTGAGGCTATCTTGGCACAGGTCATGTTGTGAAGTTGGCGACGTGGCGGCGGCCGCACCAGTGTGTCTGCGAGAGACGCGTTGCCCGGGTTTTTCCGGTCGTATTGCGGATTATCTTGCGTGCTTCCAAAGGTTCCAAGGTCGCCTACGAAGATGTGGAGCACGTGATGTGGCGCCCAGTGCACTGCGGGTCTGCGGCGTGGTCCTGTAGCTGAACGCGTAATAGTGGATGAAGCGAATGTGCTTTCTGTGGACTCACTGTAAGCGCTCGCGGCGGTATTAGTATTCGGCAATTCTAAGCTTACGCAGTGTGAACGCACTATTGATGCAGTCGCCATAATACAATTATAGATGCACTAATGTGCAGTAGATTTTAATCACAGGGCGAGTAGAAGTACGTTTGTTTGGAGGGATATGTATATGCTTCGTGAATTATAGGCTTCAAAATAATCAACAGTCCTGCTGTGAAAGAGTGATAAGAACACTAGACGAGCATTGCGCTCGCTAACATTACAGCGGAGTTGAAAGTGTCGGCGACTCAATATGCTATGTATACATCGCTACTACAAGCCGTCACCGAGAAGAAGAGGGGTAATTGAAGATCAAAAATGCGCAGCGTCCCAATAAGGACGGGGATGTCGTGTCGTGCGTTGCTTTAAGCTGGGGTATCTCTAGTCTATACTTCTCGAATCCAGACCTGGTATCAGTTAGTAGGTAATTCAAAGTATTGCAGCATGAATATAAAACTTACCTCCATCTTTGGACTCTCGCCAGTCCTCCTGGCGCCGTCCCTCGCGGAGTCGATGGCCATATCCAAATCGTCTTGGTCGGCCATAGTGATCATGTCACCGTCGTCCTTGATCTCGACCTTGAAATTCTGTCTCATGCCAAACTTCTCTCTAATCGATTGAGAGAATTCGCGCATTGTCATGTCTGCGGTAACGAAGACGTAGCGTGTATCGTTACCATGAACCTTGACCCGGATCTTGCCGGCAACTCCGCGCGCACCGCCGCTACCGCCAGATTTTGTTGACCGCGCAGGCGAGCGCCTTCGGGATTTGCTGTTGCGAGACATCATCTCGAACTCGGCGTCATCCAAATCACTTCCATCGTAGTCATCCTCGTCTTCCTCTTCGATATACGCGGGTCGCCTCGACCCGCCTTGCCTCGAACCACGACCGTATTGACCGCGGCTAGTTCGAGACTGATATGAGTCGTAGATATCATCATTGTATTCATCGATAATATCCTCTTCTGAACCACGGCGGCGCGGCTTCTCGCGGGGTCTGTTGCGCATGGACTCAGACCTGTTTGGTGGTGGGCGTTCAGACGCGGAGCGCTGTGTTGGCTGGCGACGTGGTTCTTCGTTTCTTTGCTCAAAAGCAGCTCTTCCAAGATTCAACGGTTGCGGTTTAGGTCCACCACCACGCACAGACTGTGCTCGGCTCATTGGTTCGTTGCTACTACTGCCCTTTGAGCCCCTACCATCGCCCTCCGGAGGTGGTGTGGGTGGGAACATGTTACGGTTCATAGGTGGTTCGGACTGCTGGCGTGCTCTGCTCTGAAGTTCCGGCTTAACCAGGTTGGTCGCAGCGAATGACAGCTTCTCCTCCGGCCTGTCATCTGTAGCAGTGTTGCCCATCTTCTTGATCTCTGCTCCAGCAAATCCAGTGAATGCGTTGTTGCGGTCTGAAGCGGCGACCAGGCGAGCCTTTCCGAGGTAGTCCTTTGTCTTCAGGTTCTTGACTTTAGCTTCATTGGGGCGATAGACAATGCCAACTGGAATAGAAAACACCGTGTAACCCTAGACTTGTTAGTTCATCGCAGTCACAAGCTTTCCGAGTCATAGTACCTCAGCCTCCTCCCTGATGGCCTCATCAATCACATCGTGATCCGGCACAACCTTCTCCTTGGCCGCAAACGACAGATCTTGGAGACCAGCGTCTCTTTGCTGTAGGTAGATGTAGCAAAGACCACGGTTGAAGAGAACCTCGCACGAGTAGAGTTTGAACTTGAGGCCCAGCTGTTCGTAATCGATGTTGTTGTTGCCACGCAGGTACAAGAGGGTGTCGTTGAAGTTGGCGAGTGCTTCCTCGAAATCGCCCATCAAGAAGTTAGAAACACCCTGTTGGAAGTATGCGACAGCGAGATACTGGTCCAGACGCACAGCGCGCTGGTAGCAGTCGACCTGTAGTTGTCAGCATGCGCGTGCCCTCTACACAACGGCTGGTACTCACGGCTTTCTCATGCTCCCCGAGCGTCGCATGGATCACACCACAGTTGAACAAGATCTTGGATGTGTCGGAAATCTGATCGAAGACTTTCAGAGACTCGTCAAACTCGTTGTTGTCGTAGCTGGCGAGGGCTGCCACCCAGGTCTCAATTTCCTTTTCGTTCATCAGCAATTGCGTCGGAGGGAACGCCGGAACGATCCAGCAGGAAGGTGCGCACCTGCTTCAGAGACATGACGAATATGTTCTGTGTACTATTTACCCGGCAGTATGGTGTCGTCAAGCCTCAACGCGTTGCCACTTTTACTACTCCACGGTTGAGGCGGGGTAGCGTTCCGATCGAATGCGACCGAGTTTGTCGTCTTCTCTCCAGTCCAAGGATAGCCGCCGGGGCTTCCAGTAATGCGCGACGTCGATATTAGGCACAGTAAGTGTGCGCTTCGGATATTATAGTCGAGGTATGGTCGAGCTGGGCGGCGGTGTCGCGGGGGTTGCACGAGCAAGGCAGGCGCAGGTATTAAGGGACACTCCGGACGGTCTGAGGAGAGAGGAGGCTTCGAGGGTAGTTCAGCAGGACGAGCAGGGACACGGTGGGAAGTGGACGGGCGGCTGCAGGCTCACACAGGTGGGGAGACCAACTCTGAGTCGCAGCGCGTCTGGAATCCATCTTGGCCGGCTCGTCGTACGCCTCGCTGATTGGATCCCTGCATCGTGAACGCCGACATCCACGGCGGCTAGGAGACTTGACACCAACCCATTCAAGGCATGACACCACCGCCATCTGATTTTCTCATTAACTTAGCAGCTCCTGGCAGCGCTTCCTCCAATTCTCAGGCCCTCTCTCCGCCAGGCGACAGCAGCGCAGCGACGCGGCCATCTCTCGGACTTGGACGCGGTCTTCAGCGCGTTTGAGGTCTGTTACATGGCAACCTTGTCACTGAGACATCCACGTGACGCTGCTGCTCGCTACCCACTTAACAAGAAAGTTCAGGTTTTCAGGCATAAACGCATGAATTCCTGAGGTTCCCCAGAGTCCGTGAACGGTTTGAGCCTAGACTTCGAGGTGTCATCCTGCCGGGACACGGCAGTCCCAAGACCACTGTGTCATTTGACAGAGCCGCAGCCCTTCTTGGCGACTCCGTGATTTCCACTCCGCGCAAGACGTCACAATCAAGATGCACGTGGGGATCGTGACATTTGGCGACTTCGACTAACTGAAGCTTGCTTGCGTGGCTATTCGACAGCAGCTACACACCGCTTATCGAAAGCCAATTACCTACCGACGTCGCAAGTGGGTCAGAAAGTCCAGTCCCGTGCAGTGAAAGCATTGGTTCAGACATACTCTTCTGAGTTTGCCAGTCACAGTACTCGAACGATGACCGACCATGTGGCCCCGGTGCTGCACAGGAACATTTGAGACCTACTTTTGCTTTTCCTCTTTCATCATTTGCCGTCGTGCAGATATGTCTAACGGCGTATGTTGCATGCTGTTTCCGAGTCCACTACTAGATTCGGCTTTGGTGTTTGCCGCAGCTGATTGATGCACTTATCTACAGGTCGACTTCCAGCTGAGCTGGGGCTTCCCACTCGACCTAATCAATAACTGCTTGGCCCTCTCATTGCCGCCACCAGCATCGCTTGGCTTGTACCTGTTGCACGCTCAGAGCCTGATTGGTTGCATAAAGTCCATCTAACTACTACCTGCATCTGTCCATATCGATACCCGTCCTTACCATCGTGCCCATTCCCACAACCCACAACAAAGCATAGAGTAATATCCTCCAGTCATAGATCCTACCTCGTACTTCAGCTTCCATACCAAGAAAATCTCGCTAGGAAAGAGGCGGTTTCTGTCTCCGTGCGTATCTTTTACCGACATCTTGTTGAAGTAGAAGGGAACTCAGTGGAGCAACCCAGACAAAGCTAAAACATTTCGATCGCTCGAATAATAAGATGAGTCCCTGTGATGTTCGCTGTAAATATGTTGATTGGTCTCATCTGCAGGATTTCAGAAGGTGTATCAGTTACTACTCAATCCATGAAGTCGGCGATAGTTGTGTGGTAGCGTCACGCCTCGTACCAAGCAGATTGTGAGTGAGGCACGCGTGTGGGGTTGGTATGAACAAGGCTTCTGGGGGTTGATTCTCATACAAGTTGTGACTGTGGTGTGTACGAGGTAAAAGTACGAGGGTAATCGGCGGGAGGATCTGTCGATCACACTGGGCTCCCGCATTCGGGTCAACGCCTTCAGCGTTATTGTTAGGTGGCGGCTACAGCAATAGTACACCATGGTCTCCAGGCGAAATTGACAATATTTAGCCTACAAACCCCTTCATTCCCAATTGAGGGGGAAGTATAGGAAGCATGAGTTGGTGAGCCCTTCACGTTTTCGCCTGCCGATCTGTCCTCCCCCGGCCATGGCTTCGTCGCATGTTCACTGTCTAACAACTGTTTCCACTAGCGCCTGTTTTACTGGTACTGTACGCCCAATTTGCCAAGTTCTCATTGGTGTGTGGCATTTCCTGGTCTTCCGGACAGGACAGGCTCTCGGCCAGCCCAGTCGCTTTCCAGTTCAGCAGATGCGTGTAGCTCAACAACTTACGTTCGGCGCTTCCGTTGTTTCTGTTCTGCGTCAGCGTACTTCTTACCTTTGCCTGACAAACAGACTTCCGTGTACGTCAACAACACTTTCATTTGAGATCCTGCACCGCTTCGTTTCTGTTTCCCACAAAATTGGTGCTCTGAAAACCATACTGGTTGTTACTGTCTTTGATGCTTCAACAGATATGCCGAACCAGCGCCTGTTAAGACTCACTGAGCATGGTGTCTCTTGTTTTTAAAGATGCGGACGAATTCTGCCGGTATTGGTATTTTAGGAGCCGCCATAGAGTACAGCATTGAGGTTGAGGGGAAGCTTATGATGTCCACTAAGCCGTGTATCACTTTCTAATGTTGGAAAACACTCGTTGTCAACAGCATATTGCGGTGGTGAGATTAGCATCCCCCTCTGTACTTATAGTGCCATAATGCCCTTGATGGGTGGACGCTGAGTATACCTACAGTGTTACGGACCATGCAGCCCTAGTAATTGAAAGGTCCATTCAGATGTGAAAGTAAACTGTCATGTAAATTGTCTCGCTCATTGCAGGATTTGGATGTTCCGGAGGATGCTGCAGGAAAACCCGAAGGCATGAAAGCTGGGTTCCAACCTCTGTAGGTGTTTTAAAAAATTGCAGGTTTTCGGTTCGGATTCCAATCTTGTCTCTAGCGGACTTTCCTGGCATCATAACTGAGGAGCATAGGGGGTAGGTAGTTTGAGTGGAAACGCGGCGTTGAGCTGTCAACGACCTCAAATGACTCGACGAATGGGATGACATTCGTATGTGTTGGTGTTACGCGAATTAATCAGGGACCGGAAACGGAGGTTCACCATTGAACTCTAAGTGAACGAAGTTCGAAATTGGCTCTGAGGAGTACCCGGGAATCATGTTTCATTAAACCTTAGCAGTCCGATGTTCACAACATACCACGATCGCGCTGCTCCTCCCTCTCTTGCCAAACTGTCTTTCCTGAACAGGAACATACTGTTTTATCGTCTACAGAATATGTTAGTCTGTGCAATTTTCAAACAAATCTATCACCACTTACTATCCCATACGCCAGCGCTGCGTGCAATAACACCGACTAATGTGTCTGGGTCATTCTTGTCGAACTAAGATGCGTTAATAATAGCAAAGAGGAAATGCATGTACTTCAACTTGCCTTTCCATCCTGCTGTCTTGCAACAACAATGCTTCTTCCAATCATCTCCCAGATGTGAATTGGCCTATCCAGGAAGACAGAGCCAATACCACCCTTCCCTACCTCGACAGTGCCGAAGGCACCTCGGCTTGGCTTGCCTTCGCCCTTAGCCTTCAATGCTTCCCAGATACCGCCCGTTGATTCCGGACCTTCAGATATATCACCTGCTTCGCGAACGGTGGCATGATAAGTACCAGGTGATAATCCTCGAATACTCAGATCGATGATAGTCATGCACGGTGCTACTTCGACCATACGGACGAGTCCCCGAACCTTATTCTCGATGTGAGGGGCATGTGACTCCAGGATGCAAACAGCAGCGCCTGACAGAAATTAGTGGGCAGCACACGCATTGATGCGGTGGGTTGAACTTGCTGTTCGACTTTCCGGATCCACGAAGAATAGCATCTCGCCCACTGGCTTGCAGCGCATCAACAATTGCGGAAGGCGCTGCTGTGCCTTCAATAGAAACAAGCTGTTCTTTAAGGTTGGCGGTGATCTTGTTGATACCTGTGTTCAGTCAGGCGGATGACATGCACAGGGCTCGACCGAGCGCTCGTACCACTCAAGTTGCTGAGAGACCCTTCAATGTCTTTGATGCAAGCCTCGCAGGTCATAGGCACCGCAAATGTTGTTTCGAATGCCGGTACAGCCATTGTAAAATCTATAAGTTTGCTTGTAATGTGGTGTACGGAGTGTGCTTCAAGTTGCGTGATCGATGTGTTTCTGTCCCCACGTTCGCTTTGAAATGCGATGGTCGGCCCGCACCTGGACCATCCGCCCGAACAGCGAGATCTGATAACTGAAAGTCACGTGCTCAATGCGCGCTGGAAATTGTAGAATGCCAAGCATCGCAGTACCCAACATCACGATTACCCCAGCGAACGGTACGCCCGCATTCACTCGTTCCCTGTCCATTCTTAATCGGAGGACCGATCGCGCCTTAGAGACCTTTGAGGGAAGAGAGTTCAGGCCGCAGGCATTCTTCGAACATGTCTCAAGTAGTAGGCAAGGTACGTTCACCAGAGGACCTCCGCATTCGCAGATACCCTGCAGAGGGTTCTCTAGCTGGTCCATATTTGGATGTCATTCATACTGACAAAGACAAAAGACGCGCCTTGCGTACGCTCGCTCATGGCATCTCATTGACATCGGTGCCGACTCACGAGCCCTCGGGCGCGTCGCCTCCGCAATCGCATTGACTCTGATGGGCAAGCACAAGCCGATCTTCGACCCCTCAACCGACTGCGGTGACTACGTAGTTGCTGTTGACTGCGCCAACCTGCACACAACCGGCAAGAAGCGCTTCCAAAAGCTGTACCGGACACACACTTCGCGCCCCGGCTCGCTGAAGGAGATCAACATGGATCGCATGATGGCTAAGTGGGGAGGGGGCGAGGTTTTGAGGAAGGCGGTCAGCGGTATGCTGCCAAAGAACAGACTGAGGAAGGAGAGGCTGGCCAGGCTGAAGACGTTCGAGGGCCAGGCGCATCCTTATGGGGAGAATGTGTTGAAGGTTTCGAATGGTGGAGGACAGAGTATTGCCGAGCTGCCTGAAGTCAAGAAGGCATTTGAAGGGATAAAAGAGGCTGCGCAAGGCCCAGCATCGTAGCAGGTTGGAAGTGGGAAGGGTTTGTGAGGTTGTGGAATGGAAGGAGTTGATCTGTAAGATCTGTGTATACCAGAAGCAGCTTCTCATGGACACGGCGTTCAGTGCTGTTTCAGCATCTATTGTAGCATATATCAAGACCAGTTTTTTTGACAAGAAGGTGTGCGTGCAAGTTTGGCCATACATCGGTGGCGCTGAATAATTATCTCCAACGCATGCCCGCCCATGTTGGCAGGATATGCATACGCTCAAGCTGAAGCTCGCTGAGGATCTTCTCCAGGTGAAGGAGGTCTCCATACTCGGCCACATTTAACTCTTCTCCACAATCCATCTTCAACAAGATCGTTGAGCTGTATAGCGAATCCGTGTTCTTCGAAATCTAGGATTGCATTCTTTTGCAGAGCCATCTATCTACTTTCATCATCACGGGTACTAAGTATCTTCTAGTAATCGTAGAAACCCTTTCCACTCTTCTTGCCCAACCACCCTGCGTCCACCATCTTCTTTAACAAGACTGCGGGCCTGTACTTTGAATCGCCAGTATCGTTGTACAGGACTTGCATGATTGCCAAACATGTGTCGATGCCAATGAAGTCAGCAAGCTGCAATGGGCCCATTGGGACGTTTGTGCCGTTCTTCATGATGCTATCAATATCCTCCTTCTTCCCTACACCAGTCTCCAAACAGATGATGGCCTCGTTGATATACGGCATAAGGATGCGGTTTGCGAGGAAGCCTGGAGAGTCGGCTGACTGCGAAGCAATCTTGCCCATCTTCTCACAGAAGGCGATCGCGGTATCAATGGTGTCTTGGGAAGTCTGAAGGCCGGTGATAATCTCAACGCCTTTCTGAATAGGGACGGGGTTCATAAAGTGTGTGCTGATCACACGAGAGGAGGCAGACAGGTCGGTGGGATCCTTAGATGTGCTGGCAGCGATCTTTGTAATCGAAATAGAGGATGTGTTGGTTGCGAGAATAGCGTGAGGCGGACAGATCTGAGCTAGCTGCCAGAAAATCTTGCTCTTCAGGTCTGGGATCTCCTGTAGACTGTGAGTGCCTTCTGCGGACTGTGCTTGCAGAGTAGACCTACGGGAACGGCCTCAATGACGAAGTCGACATCTGAGAGATCCTCAAGTTGTGTGCTGGTGGTGAGTCTTCCGCGAGCGGTATCTGCATCTTCCTGTGACAATCTTCCCTTTCCAACGTCCTTTGCGAGCAGCTTCTCGGCAAATTTGAGGCCCTTATCGATCGAGGCTTGTGAGCTGTCAATCAGCTTGACGGGCACTTTAGCTCTCTGCGCTGCCACGAGGGCTATTCCGAGACCCTGTTATCGTCAATTGATGGCCATCAGAATGCTCCAATGTACTCGCCATTTGGCCAGCTCCAATGACACCAAGCTTCCTCACTTCGGCGGCCGCGCCAACTGAACGTGTGGAGCTGAAGGCACGGCATTGCTGCCTTGCCGAACGAGCGACATGTCTTGAAGCTGCGGGAATCATCTTGTCGTCTGAAGAGATTTGTCTTGGAAGCAAAACGTGTGAGATTCAAACAGCATGTGAACTGCTGCAGGCTCTCGGCTTAAGGCGCGTGGCTAACCGAGGCATGACCTCAGCGGAGAGCGTTCCGCTCCGCAGCCTTGCCTTGGCGGATCAGCATCCTATGGCTGGCCGCTGGACCACTTTACGCGTCGCGCTAGACGCGTCGAGAGATCGTGGGACAGTGGGCAGTCGGTTCACAATCACCACAATGGCCCAAACGACGTTGGACGAATGGGCGAGAGACCCAGTAGACCCAGAGATCCGCGCTCATGTCTACAGTCTCATTACTGCTGTTAGTCTTCGCAATATCATGTTAGCATGTTCTATGTTCGCTAACGCGCGCAGCTTGGTGGTATTGGCGACGATGGCACCTACGCGCTGGGAGATGACGCGTTAGTCTGTCTAAAAGATCTGCGAAAATGGCTGAAGTTCGCCGATGGGCAGTTGAATCGTCGTGATGTGGCACGATGTATGGCTGAGGCAAACCTGGTGAAGGGAGACCTGTTGGAGATACTCGCCAAAGTCTCACCTCGAGTACTCGAACAACCGCTGAAGCACAAGCTGGCAGTCGCCACATGTAATTATACCCATAACAGTGCTTTCTGTATATTGACAGTGACAGTGGAACTCCTCGTGCCGTTGACCTGGCCTTTCGAAATCGACCCCGTCGAAGCGACCGTAAACCACCATCGCCATGGACCCTACGTCCAGCTAGCCCAGATTGGATATAAGCGTGCCATCCTCCAATTCGATCGAGATCGTACCCTCCAAACCGCTGTCAAGGTTGCCTTGCCCTCTATGGCAATATCCCTACGCGAGAGGTCACCACGAGACGAGGGCATAATTCGCATCGCCCTATACTTCATACGCAACATCGCTATGCTTTCTCCCCCGAGCAGCGTACCTATGGATATTGATGAAGCGGAGGTGTCTCGATCGACAACGATTGATACCTTCCAAGAGCAGGACATCTTCCAAGTCCTTCTCAGTATGTCATCGAGCATCGGAGAGGACTTTGTTGCGCAGGATGTAGTGCTGTTAGAAATTCTTTTCTTCTTGCTAAAGGGCGTCGATCCAGAGAAGCTGTTTCTAGAAGATAAGAGACTTAACAGCAAAAATGCCAATGAGCTGAAGGAATTGATGCAGAAAGAGAAAGCGATGCTGGCTGGATACGCACGCAACGCACCAACACGTCATAATCGGTTTGGCACTATGATCTGGCTGAAACAAGAAGATGAAAAAGTTACCACTGTCTCCGGTCAAGACGTACTTGGCAAGGCTCAGGCCACTCTGGACAAGATGGATCAAACGAAGAAGTGGAACAAACCTAGGCAGGCAGGGCGCAAGACAGACTTGGAGCTAGAGAGAGAAGAGTTCGACCTGCCAGTCGCACTGAGCACGTCTGCACGTACTCATATCAAGGCCTTCGTTGAAGAATTTCTTGACTCATCTTTCAACCCACTGTTCCAGCACTTGAGGAAGGCCATTGAGCGCGAGACCGAACGTGTAGAGACGCGGCACTCGCGCCAATTCTTCTATCTTGTTTCATGGTTTCTTCGAGCAGAGTGTGCAAGGCGGCGAACTATCAAAGAGAGAATTGCTGAGTCTAAGAGCTCTGCGGCTCTTGCCGCAGAAGACGAAAGCTATGGCCTGATCGCTGAAGTTATGAACCAGGAGACGTTCATCCTGCTAAATCGCTTCATGCAGAAGAGTCAAGACGAGAAAGCATGGCAAGATCTCAATGCGGGCATGAAGTGCTTTACCCAAATTCTTCTCACCGTGCACGAGATGTCGGAATCTCGATTGGAAGATGACCAAGAGATCGCAGAGAACATTCAGAACCGTATCTTCTACGAGGAATCTACCCACGATCGTGTTGTCATGATCTTGCGATCGTACAAAGATCAGGGGTTTGGGTACCTTGATGCTGTCACCGAACTTTCACACGTGTTCTTGCGCATGCTTGAGCGGTACGCAAAACAGAATGTTGACATGCAGATCAAATCGAAGCGACGAGCTCGCAAGATTCAAAAGAAGCACGCTCAAGCAGAGGGAGTCGAGGGCGAAGAAGAGGGCCATGTCTCAGAGAATGACGACTTGCAACAGGCTCAAAAGACAGTCACTGAGCGCAAGTTCGACTTCAACCGTTTTGCTGCCAAGTTTGTCAATCAGAGTAGCGTCAACACCTTCGTCGCATTTACTCGGTACTTCACTGATCTAGACTCTGAGCAACTAAAGCGTTCGCATCGGTTTTTCCACCGTGTTGCATACAAAATGGAACTGGGCGTCTTGCTGTGCCGAGTCGATATTATCCATCTCTTCAACAAAATGATGAAGGGAACACGCGGCCTTGACCCTGAATCACCAGTCTACAAGGAATGGGAAGACTTCATCAGGCACTTCTTCAGACAGGTAGTCAAAAGAGTGGAGGAGAGACCAGAACTGATAGTTGAGATGTTGTTCAGCAAGATTCCCCAGACACTGTACTTCCTCGAACATGGTCACGATCGCGAAGTGTTCACACGCGCACCTCGCCCACCTGCTGAGTTGGTCGTCAAACCTGGCATGGAGAGGCCTGAGCAGATTGCTGTTGCAGTAGGCATACTCGTCAACCAGCAGAAGTCGGATGCTTTGCGTTGGGTTCGAGACGTTCTCACGTCAGCCATTGATGAACGCAAATCGTGGGAAGTTGCAGATCAGGCCCGCAAAGATCTGGTAGCGGCCGAAGTGGCTGCTGGCGACGTGGCCCCCGCAAGCACTGGTTCCGAGGAGCACTCGCCACCTTCGATTCGTAGGTACATCCCATGACTTGTCTGCTCATTACTAACGTTTCAGTCGTTAAACACGACACTGCAGAACGCAAGGCTGCCATGTTCAAGGACAACAAGCTCCGCCTCCTTATGACCCTCGTAGGCTTTATGAGGTTAGGTGCGCACGACGATCCTGATGCTTCGTGGGTCATCCCATCGTCACTCTCGTCAGTCGACCTCCAAGAAGCAATTGATTTCATTCGCAAGTTCGAATTCGATCCGCCGATATACGAGAACGGTAAAGGACCCGAACAATTTCTCCAGAGCACGGCAGCAGCAGCCCGCCGATCGATTCGTCGGGCTGAATTTGACGACGACTCAGATGGCATTGATGACCCTACAGAAGACCGTGGGGGGTACGTGGGCAACGAGCCTACTGTGAGGAGGCCTGACGGCGAAAGGAAGAAGCTCCAGCGACGCAGACGAGATCGTACACCCGTTGAATTAGACGATGAGGAGCGCGAAGCCCGAGCCAGACTGCGACGGCAGAAAGAGCTTGAAAAGCAAGCGAAGATCATCAGTGAGGAATTGGTGAATGACTCAGACGAAGAGTGGGATGCAGATAAAGACGCTAAGTTCTTCGCACGTGAGCTAGCATTGCGGGAGGAGACCATGAGACAGTTCAAGAGTGCACTTGTTATCGGTACTGTTGAGCCTGCCGTGTCCAAGGAGGCACTTTCCAAGAAGAGGAAGGCCGAGGACACTTCGAAGAAGAGCAAAAGACGAAAGTCTCCACCAAAGCGCAAAGCTGGTCCGTTTGATGACAGTGACGACGGCGACGATCTGGGCGGTGCTGGCAGTGACAGTAGTCGTGCGATGTCAGCGGAAGAGGGGGATGTTCTGAGTGACGCTGGAACGGAGAAAGAGGCTGCAGACACGCCATTATCTTCACAACATGCAGGAAGCAAAGACGACGGGCCACATACATCGGCAGCAGCGACGTCGTCCGGGAATAAAGATGTCGCTATGGTAAACAATGATGACGACGACGACGATGATGACGTGCCTGTGCTTCGCAGGCCTGCAGCACGGAACACAAGGGCTGGCTTTATCGTTGACAGCGACTCGGAATGAGACGAACGATTTAAGTTTCTTGTATGAGGAGCAATGAGCATAGCATCGTATGGCGTTTCGGGTTTGTAGCTTTCACATTCGTATACCCTCTGGTTCGCAGTAGCCTTTCAAGTCAGCATTCGTCTATCAAAAGTTCGTGAGATATCTTCGAGTGTGAATATGCTCTTGGCGTTGTTCGACTTCCAATTTCCCTTCCCACTGTTGGCGTCTTTGTTTGTCATGTTACTTGCGCGTAGCTCAGACGTTTCACGGTGAAGGTGTCTTGCTGGTGACGTCGTGCCTTCTGTTCGAGTGGCTGGATTGTTCTTTCCGTCTCTGAATCTTCACTCCACATCCACCCGAACGACAATTGCACGATGTAAGAAGCCCATCCCCCGCATACTCTTTGCACTACATTACTGCCATGCTAAATTCTCCAGACCGCCAGCGTAAGTTTGAGCTACTGCGTGCTCACTGGGAGGCTGCTGAGGTTGGCGAGCAACGAGCAGATATGGTGGGCAGGAGGGAAAAACAGGCACTCCATCGTGTCCTCAACAAGGAAGCCCAGTCCAACCCGGGGAGCAAGTTTCGCAGGAAGCTCAGCAATGGCCTTGCGTTCATATCGCTCACGCAACGAAAGAATGCGCCCGCGCGCCAGCAACCGAGCAACGCACCACTGGGTATGAATGCGCCCGGCACCAACAACATTACTACCGAAGTTGCAAGCCAGGACGTTCTACTTTCACCTCAGGCCGACTCTATATCAGTAACGACCTCCAGTGACCCACCTGCACCTCCGCAAGACGTTCACACGAGTGAAGATCTCGACACTTCCACACATCTAGCTCGATCGGGGACATTTAGCTACTTACCACGTCCTACGAAGGCGAACAGTGCCACGCAGCCCGTCACCGAGCTGGACGAGCCCAAGGCAACGATGCAAGACACAGTCATGACCGACTCAAGCTCTCTTTCACCAACGAGAATTCCAACACCAAGCCTTCCACGTTCGAAGCGTCGAGTCTCTAGTCCACGGCAACACCTGCCTATTAATCCATCACTCCAGCCTAAGACCACAGCAAACCGTCGGTCACTCACAGAGGCCGTCAAAGATTCGCCGTTAAAGTCAGCGGTTCGCTCACAAACAACCTCAAACCTCGTGAAGACGACCAACACGCTCAATTCAGCAAGCTATCTAGCGCCGAGAAGAACAGAACTGAAAAGATACTTCGCTTCTTCTGCACGGCAACAGCCTGTGCTCGCAGAAAACATGCCGACCAACAAGCGAGTAGCGCAACGGCGGTCCCATATGCAGGATGGACCAGTCAAGCGAGAAAGTTTGGCAATGCCTTCTGCTGTGTCCAGCAGAAGATCGATTGGACCACTTACGCCGCTTGCACAACACAAGCGTGCAAGCCTTGCACCGTCTAGCAGCACCAAACACTCAAGCTTGCACCTCTCACAGGAGCCAGTGACTGTCATACGTTCCAAGAATGTGAAAAAGGAACCGTATGAACTAGATGCCGCTCTTCCTCTAGTAGGAATGTCTGCAGTGCAGTCTCAGTCCAACCACTTGACGAGCTCGCCGACGCCGACTCTTTCTACAGTCAACCTCACACTTCCACCTCTGGTAGATGTTAGTGATGACACACAAAGAAGAACACTCGGGACGTCAAACGGACTGGGCGGTGTTTGGAGATCCTCCAAGATCTTTGCTACTGCAAACCATCAGGTGAGAAGGCTCCCCCGTGCTTCCACCTATCATTACTTTGGAAGACATTCGAACGTGCCTCCTGTGCCTGCCATTCCGGATCAATATAAGGAGCCATCAATTTCCAATTTCACTCAGCCTTTGCCACAGCATTCCCTCTCAACATCATCCTCAAAGTGGCACCACCGTATCCCAATGGCTTCAGATAATTCCGAGACCTCGAGCAAATCTTTGCTATCTGAGATAGCTACAGCCCAGAGATCTACAGAGGCTGCATCACTAAAGTCTGTCTCGACTCTGAAGTCAGGGTATGCATTTGAGTCTGTGGAAGATAGGCACAAAGAACACCATATCACTAAAGCGCACGACCTGTCTCCCGTCTGTCAGAAAACCTCTACATCCACAGAAGACGCCCTTGGGGGTGGTCTCCAGAGTACAGCATCATCAAACTCTTCGAGCGACCTTCAAGCGTTGCCTCCAATGCCGACGAAGCTCCATCTCAAACGCACGAGGAGATCGATCTCATCATCACACCCGCCCCGGCTGGCTGCAGAATTGCAGACCCAACGCCACTGGAACACATCTGACACGTTTTACCCAGACAATGCTGACGACGCAACTCATCTACAGGTCAAAGATTACATGCCACCGTTATACTGGGCAGGCCGGTTCCAGTCTCGATTTGACCGCTGGCGCACAGAGGCGATGGTAGCAATGCTCCATCCCGAGGTTAAAAGTGAAGATGAAGGACTCTTAGGACAATGCAGCCTAGACGAAGAGAAAAAGGCCACGATCCTAATCTTTATGCAACTCAGAGATCTTTGTGCTACTGCTCAAGCAGGAGACAGTCTTCACGTACTCTCGGCCCTTATCTTTCACGCTCCCTGAGGCACATTACTGACATGTGGGCAGGAATTCGAGTACAGATACCGGAAGGATCACAAGCTTCTCGATACTAAATTCGATCTTCCACCATCACTACGTAAGCCCGAGGAATCGACCCCTAAAGGACCTATTGGCCGCGCTGTGCGAAAACTGACGCCTCGAAAGGCTAGCTTTGCCAACTTGTTCAAGGGCAAAGGCTGGAACAAAACCGATGATCTGAAGGCAGAGATGCCTGGACACGTACGTGAGCTCCAGGAGATAGAGGGCTTGTCTACGAGCCACGAAGATGTAGACTCAGATAGCTACGGCTCCAGCACTCAGCTACATGCTCTTTGAGATCGCCAAATCTCCGAACGCCTCGCGAAAGTCGATGATACGCGGACGTGATGTATATGCTCGCTCTAGGGCGGGATGCGCAAGCTGGATGAGTGACGGACTCATGGCACTCTCAAGGCGATTCTTGGAACTGCATGGGCTCAACAAGGCACCTATATCTTCATGCAGATATTCAGAGATCAAGAGCAATTTCACTACCACATTCCATCCAGACAGTACTCGTCCGGGCGTTCCTGGCCAGCGAAAGGAAATATCCATAAGGCGGCATGTCATCTCATTGAATCAATGTCATTAGATTTGTGGTGTCGTGGCGACTCTATCTTGTAGTACATGCGCAGCATCATGCGCGTGTTTCCCACCCATACATCCGCCTACGCACTTAGGCATAGAAGTTGACAGTATCCTTCTTCTTCGCCTGTACCTCAGCAATAGCATCGACGTAATGCTCGTGGCTGATCTTGTGCTGACCCGATCGCAGAGCAATCATACCAGCCTCAACGCAGACAGCCTTGAGCTGCGCACCGCCGAACTCATCGGTACTGCGCGCCAGTTCCTGCCAGTTGACACCCTCATCGACGGTCATCTTTCGCGAGTGAATGCGCATGATCTGAGCGCGGGCTTCTTCGTTGGGCAGCGGGAACTCGATCTTCCTGTCCAGACGACCAGAACGGAGCAGAGCGGGATCCAGGACGTCGACACGGTTGGTCGCAGCGAGAACCTTGACGCGGTCGTCGGATGCGAAACCGTCAAGCTGGTTGAGAAGCTCCAACATAGTTCGCTGGACTTCGCGGTCACCAGACTTCTCAGAGTCGAAACGTTTTGTGCCTACGGCGTCGAGCTCGTCGATGAAGATAATTGAGGGTGCCTTCTCCTTGGCTAGGGCAAAGCAGTCGCGCACCAATTTTGCTCCGTCTCCTATGAACATTTGCACGAGTTGCGGGCCTGCGAGCTTGAGGAAGGTGGCGTCAGTCTGCGCGGCGCATGCTCGAGCGAGAAGAGTCTTGCCGGTACCAGGAGGACCGTACATCAGTGCACCTGTAGTTGTTAGTAAAAAGCTATCGCGGTGCCAATAGTAGCGGCGAAACATACCCTTTGGCGCCTTGATGCCGATCTTCTTGAACCGCTCGGCCTCCTTCATGGGCCAGACAACGGCCTCCACCAACTCCTCGATCTGCTTGTCCAACCCACCAACATCTGTGTACTTTTCTGTGGGCTTCTCGTCGACTTCCATTGCCTTCACTCGGCTATCGTACTCGGCGGGGAGTGTGTCGAGAACAAGGTACGAATCCTTATTCACACCAATTAGGTCACCCGGCTTGAGCTTTTCGTGGTCTACCAGACCGATGAGGGGCAGGAAGATGGTCTGTCTCGTGGATGTCTTGATGACCGCTGACTTGCCCACGCGCGTGGCGTCGAGGTCGATGTTTGCACCCTCTTCCTTAGCCTCCGCTTCGACGTCTAGGTCCAGAATCTCAACAACGTTGCCAACAAGGTATGGCAGCTGTCTGTAAAGCGTTAGTATATCCGCCACCTTCACTGCCACCTTCACCGGGTGCGCCCATGACAATGTTGTATACATACCTGTTGTTCTCGATCTTGTCTAGGTTGTCCCTGATCTTCTCGTTCATGGACGCTTTCTCGTGTGTGAGCCTCTGGAACTCGCTCTTCATGATGCGCATGTCGTTCTCCAATAACCGTCTCCGCGCGACGATGTCTCGTGTGCTGGAGTTCAGAATCTCCTCGTCGAGCGGCTCCTCCTCAGGCTCAGCATCCTCCATATCTGCATCGCCGTCGGCCTTCTTTCCGTCCTTGCCAGCGTCCCCATCTTTCTTGTTATCTTCGTCCTTCTTCTCTTCCTTCTCGTGGCGCTCGAGATCGTCGAGATCCTCAAGGGTAGACATGGTGGCGGCGTGAGGCGGGGCGGATGTCGTGTATGATAATCGGGGAGAGTAACTCTGATATCAGCTACAATGTGGGAACGACCCGAGAAGGCGTTGCTGGTGGAGGGATCGGATCGGCGGGGTGTTGATGTAAGCTGTTTGGGAGGCAGCTATGGGTGACGAAGTGAAGCTCCCGCGGTTACTCCGGTCTTGGCGCGTCTGGGTGGAAGCTTCCCGATTGAGGCGATTACTTTCACATTACCAGGTTCAACAACGATCTCACCACAACTGCTAGCAATGTCTAGGCCGCACAATATGACCGTCTCGATTCAGTCTGCAGCGTGTTCTATGGAGAATAAGATAACAAGCATGACCAGACCATGTACTGTGGTCTGCAAGACCTGCTTATGAAAGCCCCGCAGCAGCATACACTGTTCCACGCGATTTAAGGCCATAGTAGTCTGAATCTCTTTCAGCTCGCACATTACTTGCACAGCTTTTGTCGTGCACATGTGATGTCTTCCATACATTCAATTGTGCTGCGATGAGCCGCATGTTCATGCTTCCTTGAACTAGTCTCAAAGCGGGGCGACATCATCACGACTCTTTTTTGGTAGATTACCTGCGCTTGACTGGGGTTCTTTGTTGATGCTCAGTTCTGTAGCCCATTGGCTGTGCTAAAGCTGAGCTGGATCTTACGAAAATGCCAAGCGACTGATCGGACGTGCCTGAATACAATCTATGGACTGTTGACCTGCACCTTTCGCAACCCTCACCGCGTAGTTGACGCGTCTGGTCCGCCGTCTTGCTCCAAGACGATGATAGTTCGATAGCACGCCGACTTAACCTCCTAATCGCGACCATGTCCGCGCCGTCCTCCTCTCAGTCGCTCGAATACCTCCAGGGTCTGCCTCTGCAGACGCACCGGAAGCTCTATGAGGCACCAGCAACAGTGCTGGCGGTGTATCGCTGCATGCTGCCGCACTTGGGTGGGTTTAGCAAGCATGGGAACTGAAGTTCTAACCACTGACCTAATATAGCAAAGACACTCGTCATGGCGATGATCTATATGCCCACGTCTTTCCCCGATGCCCAGCTCAAAGCTTGGTTCAAACCAGGCGCCACTCGAGAGAAAGAGCAGGCCCTGTTCATCCTCGCACAACTCCACATTCTCGACACCACGAAACAAGACGACGGCACGAGATCACACTCGCTTTCGCCAGGCTTCAAGCGCAGCCTACGTCACGCGTTGGAGGGCTCGGGACAGGATGGCTCGTTTGGTGTGTCTGCCACGAAAGAGGAGAGTAGGGGCGAGAAGAGGGTTAGCGCCGAATATCTGGACGAGTACGCACGAGCGCAGTGGGAGACGATTCTCTTCTACATGGTCGGCAGTGCTGCGGGTGTGTCCGTGAGATCCGACATCCCAGCAGGGACCAAGAAGTTGCTGCATGCTGGAGATCTTGTCAGGTCATATCATGGTGGCCCAAGAATTACAAAGGAGGGATTCACATTCGTTTTGCAAGAAACGAATGCCCAGGTCTGGAACCTGCTGATTGTGTACCTGAAAATGGTCAACGATGTGAGCATGGCCAACGATCCCCCCAGCATGGAAACGCGAGTTGCTAACACTCAGCAGCTTGGCATGAACGAGACGGACGTCCTTTCTTTCCTGTTCATGCTTGGATCTCTCGAACTCGGCCAGGCCTACTCGACCTCCACCCTCTCCCCCACGCAACTCCAAATGCTGGACGACCTCTCCGCAATGGGCATCGTCTTCCGCTCCTCCAAAGATGCCAAGGTCTTCTACCCTACGCGGCTCGCCACAACCCTGACCTCTGAATCCGGCGGCCTCAACACCACCGGCGGCACCACCACCGGCAGCCCCAACGCCTCAAACAAGGGCTTCATCATCATCGAGACAAACTACCGCCTCTACGCCTACACAGACTCCCTGATCCAGATCGCCATCATCTCGCTGTTCTGCAAGCTGCAGCACCGCTTCCCCAACCTCATCTCTGGCAAACTCACAAAGGAGTCCGTCCACAAAGCCGTGTCCGCGGGGATTACCTCGCAGCAGATCATCTCGTATCTGACGACCTACGCGCACCCGCAGATGCAGAAGAACAAGACGTTCATCCCGCCCACCGTCATGGACCAGATCCGGCTGTGGGAGTACGAGGGCGAGCGCGTCGAGACCGAGGACGGGTATCTGATGCGCGAGTTCGCGAGCCAGGCGGAGTACAACGATGTCAAGAAGTACGCGGACGCGTGCGGGGTGTTGAGATGGAGCAACGACGAGAAGCGCATGTTCTTCATCAGCCATGTCGAGCAGGTGAGTGCGTATCTGAAGAGCAAAAAGGGCCCGCGGTAGCGCTCCGTTTTGATTTGGAGCGCGGGGCAGGGACATGCGGCATGGACGGCGCACGGCGTACTGGGAATACCACATGAGTTATGGGACATGGTTCTGTAGGTGAACGAAAGGCATGACGGCATGCTTTAGTATTGGTATCTTTATATAAACACAACAAATCAAACAGAATATATCCACTTGCCACACCAACGCCGCGAAATGTCTTTTGTGACGCTGCACACCTACTCCTCGTCTTCATCCCTATCGGGCCCGAAATCCTCCACCTGCTCCTCAGGCACGAGTACCATCTCCTCGCGATCCACATCCTCATCGCCCCCATCCAGCATCCTCACCTCCCTCGTGGGCAGGCTGCCACCGCCCTTCTTGAGCGCCTCGATCTTCGCTGCGGTAATACCTCGCACATACTCCTCAAGATGCTCATAGCCCTGCATGACCGCCTCGCCCTGCACCGCAGCATCGGGATCGGTACACACCGGCCGTGCGGTTTCACCGTGCATCTCGCCCGTGACGAGTGCCAGATCGTCGGGCCGCGTAAACAGCACGTCGAAGGCGGGTTTCAGCTCGAACACAGCTTCGAACACGCTGCGGCGACCCAGGATGTACAGGCCCAGGCGGGCGCGGGACAGCGCGACAGTCAGGCGGCGGATGTCGCGCAGGTAGCCGATGGACTTTGTGCGGACAAGGGAGAGGATGATGACTGCGGCTGTTAGTATAACTCGTTTAAATCTCATGTAGGAGGGGACGTACAGTCATTCTGCTCGCCCTGGTACTTATCGACGGTAGCGACCATCTTGGGGCGGCCGAAGAAGGGGTGATCCCTGCACTTAGAGTTGAGGATATCGTTGATGAGGCCGCGCTGGCCGGCGTATGTGGTCAGGATAGTGATTTTATGCGCGGGGTAGTTGAGCAGGCGCATGTACATGAACAGAGCGACTGCGTACTCGGCCTCGCCCAGGTTGACGATCCAGTGCGGTGTTGGCTCGGTTTCGCCGCGGCCCTTGTAGTCGGGCACGTTGATGAACTGGTACTCGTGCTTGAAGCCTGCGTTGGCGATTTGAAAGTCGGGCGTAGACAGGACCGTGGGCAGGTTGGTGAGAGCCGGGTAGCGCCACTTGTACAGTTCCGCGATGGAAGGGCGGGCACGGCCCTGCTGGTCGAGCATGATGGTAGGCACGCCGAGTCGGACGAGGCGCTGAAAGAGGGACTGCTCGAGGTTTGCGTATTGTCTGAACGCGAGATTTTGGATGATGGGCGAGTTCTGGAGATGATCACCGCAAAGAACAATGCGCTGAAGAGGCAGCTCACCGTCCTTGGGGTTCTGAAGGGCAAGCGGAATGAAGTTCTCGATTTCCGTAATCTGCGCAGCTTCTTCCATAATCACGTTGTCGTAGTGGAAACCAAGCGACGATATCTCCTGCCTCCGCATGGCGGCGTGTGTGGAGGTCATGGCGATGATGCGTGCTTCCTTCACAAGAAGATAGTTTGCCTTGTCGCGAGGGCTTCGCAGGATCTCAAACGGACGGATGTCCTCGAGTTCTGCGAATATCTTCTCAACATGGCGGTAACAGCCTTGAGCAACGTCAAGTAGCTGTTCGCGGCTTGCCTCAGGTGGGAACAAGGGCTGAGGCGCATTCACGAAGTAGTCTTTGAGAGGGAACTCGGCAACTATTTGCTCAACACTGGCCTCCTCAGACGTGACGGTGTCCCAATACTGCGTCCACGCTGGCTTGACGTAGACAAGATTGAAATAATCTGCCGTCTCGCAAGTACTGCCATGGGCACCAGGCGCACCAAAGTTCTTCGCAAGACGATCGACCTCTGCCAAGTAGTATGTACCCCTCTCGAGGAAAGATTCTACCCTGCCATGCTTGCTGTAGCTGGCTTCAGTGTCAAGGTCCTCCTCTCCGTGGCCAAGACGCAGCAAGTGTCGCTCGTCGATATCGAGTGCGACGATCTTCTGGAACAGCTGGTTTAGCGCCTGATTGCTGTGCGCAATAAGCAATGTTCGTTGGTCCGGGAAGTTGTGGTAGATATTGGAGATAATCTGGGTCGCAACGTCCGTCTTTCCGGTTCCCGGCGGGCCGAGTACCACCGTAAGACCAGGCTGGGTGCCAGAAGTGATGGCCTCGACCTGCGCAGGGGTGAATCTCACTGCGTTCTGCTTGATGGCATCTGCAGGGTAAGGACCCATGTTCGGCGGCTTGTATGTGGAGACATGCAGGGACTCGTGTGCAGGCTGCGGCACCTCGACCTGATCACGACGCCGCTTCTTGGATGGTTTGGCCGGCGCGGCTGCTGGCTCTGCAGCTGCAGGGTACTTGACGACGTATGGTGGTCCAAACGCACCCTGTGCATCGTCTGCAGGCTCGATTGTCTTTCCAGGCAAAGATTCGACTAGATGCTGCCAGTTCAGGAAAGTGTCCCGGAAGTCAATAGACTGGAGGCGATTGGGTAGGCGGGCGTAGGTTGCGGACGCAGGATCCCCGTAACCTAGAAAGACTTCCTGCAGCCACGACGGGGCTGGAATGTCGGACAGAGTCAGACGCTTGATTGACTCGAGAATGGGAAGGAAGTTGTTCTCTCGCCCCTTTCGGCGAGCGATCATGTTGATGTGCTCGTAGATGTTGGGACGGCCCTCGGCGACGTGATCCATGTCGGTCTGATATTGCTTTGCATCGATGTGGACGACAAGTCGTCGTGACCGTGCACGAGGTGCAAAGTCGCCGTTCTGTGTCTGGTCGCGCAAAGGTCTGCCGTTGTCGTCCAGCACTTGGACAACCTGTGCACACCTCAGCCTCTGGAGACCAGCTTGTTCACCTGTGCTCGCACTGTGGCCGTTGCTCATGGGTGCATCGTCCTTGCCTTCCACGGTAAGGAGGAACACCACGTCGCCCGGCCTCAAAGACTCCCACTCTCTGCGCACTGGAATTTGCAAACGACTGACGTCTAGAACGATCTCTGCGCGCACATAAGCAGGATGCTCTTCGCCAACTTTGGAGGGTGCAACATCGACGATGCCTGGCGCGTTGATGGGTATCGACATCCTGGAAAAGCCACCAAACTTTATGTTGACGCCCTTCCCTCGCGGCTGCACGCGCTTGACCACATCCTCCATATCTTTCCGAATACCGTAGAATGATTCGGCGCGGTACAAGATATACGATCTCCACAGGAAGTCGCCCATTGTGAGATATTGCAGATTCAGCTTTGGTATTGCGAGAGGTCTTGATCCGTTGTATGACTCGTTTCGCAGGAAGGTGGTCTCATAGAGAATCTTTTCTGTCGGCAGGACGGACATGTCGCGGATAGTGTCCTTGAAGATAGGCCTCTGCTCGACCAGCGAGACGAGAGTTTCCATGTGGAAAGTCCGGTCACGCACCAAGAAGGTAGTGCTGGGGTATGTCGTTCGAAGACCCATGAGGGAGCAGAGTTCTTTAAGTTCGTCGTCATCCAGTGCGCGCAAATGCCCGTCAAGCTCCTCGCGATTTCCGATGCTGCCGAAGTTTGCCAGAGCCATCAGTTGCAGCTTTTCTTGATACGCTCCATAGCCTATCCGTTGCAACTTCGCTAGGGTGTCGTAGTGCTGCTGGTCGTATTCCAGCTTCGACAGCTGCTTGCCGGTCTGATCCTCGATTGCGAAGTGGGTGAAGTGACTGAGCAGACTGAACAGATCGCGGAAGAGGCCGTTGTCCTCATCTGCAAACATGGGCGATAGTCTGATGGCGGGCAGCAGATTTAGATCCTTCAACAGCGTGTTGACATATCTCCTGGTTGGCAGTTGACTTTGCAGGTCGGTGAGGAGCTCCACAAAACGCTCGCAATAGACCAGATTGTCGCTCATCTCTTGCTTCGTGCTGCTGTTGTACATGCGATCTATGAAGTCCAGGACCAGTGTGTATAGCCAGGACCGCTCGAAGCGCAGCCGGGCTTGTAGTGTCTCGTCTGCAGCTTCGTATCTCTTGGCCGAGGCGCGCCACGCCTTGCGCAGCATCTGGTGCTCCTCAAAGTGGTGCTCGCGCACTACGTCCGAGTGCAGGTTGTGCCATACGGATATGCCAACGAGAGGCGCACACTCTTTGCGCACGAGACCGCTGTCCAGCGACTGGAATGCGCCGATGACGAAGGAAACCAGCTGCGTCCGCACCTTCATAGGCTGCGAGGGGTCGACGGTCATGGACAGAATGCGGCGAAAGAACGAGGAGAATTCGGCGGGCTGGGTTGTGAAGTGTTCTGGAGCATGTCAGCAGTGGTACCACGAGGCAAGCTGCATACGTACCCCACGACGGCAGATTCTCCCTCCTCTTGACATTGACCATCAGCGCCAGCAGGAGATGGTGGTAGTTAGAGGCGTCCTCGGTGAAGCCTGGCCACAGATAGCGCTCCAGCAGCTGCAGGTTCTCCAGCACCAGCAGCGACGAGTAGGCAAAGTCGACATTCTCCAGCTCGTCCCACAGCTCTTTCTTGAGGACCTCAGGGCGCACTTTGGGCGGCTTCTTTGCAGCGAGCCAGTTCTTCCGAGCCACCTGCGCAAAGTGGTTCTCGCCGTGCAGGTCGGCGACGGTCGGGCGCGCGTGCACGAGGGCGGCGTCGGCGGGCGCGGCGGACGAGGTTGCCTGGATGCCGTCCATGTCGAGGGCAGGCGCGATGCGGTTATCGGGGGAGTCGGGGAGCACCAGTCGCAGGGCGCGCAAGCATGCTGTCGCAGGCGCGTTGCAGACGAGCAGCGCTTGGCACTCAAAAGTTCCATCCGCGGGATGACGGGCGCGCTGGAGCTCGGACGGCACTTGCCGACCTCACTCCTCTCACAAGCCTCACAGCCAGCACGCCGCGCCCCGCCCACAACCACCATGTCTTCGCAGGACGCCGCTGTCAGGCACCAGGCCGTTGTGCCGGACAAGGTCCCCACCGGAGAGTACCCAGTAAGCAATTGCGGCCCTGCCCGCTGCGCAATGGGCGCCCGTGGCTAACGCGCTGCAGCTTATCGACAATGACCCGTATGCCTCCCTCCGCTGCCTGCCCCCGCCTGCGCGCCGTACTGACAGGACAGCCACATCTCGCGCGTCTTTCGCTACGTCCGCCCCTCGGACTGGGCCGCGGGCGCTGCCGTGGGCGCCATCAGCCCCGGTCTGATGCTGTACTGGGAGCAGGTCTCGCCCTCGTTTGTGGGCAAGGGCGGCTTTGCGCCCGTCATGCGCCTGAGCGGTGCTGTCGGCGTCGCTGGCGCCATCATCTTCGCCTACTCGCGGTCCGCATGTACGTGCTCGCTCGACATGAGCAATTGGCGAGTGCTGATTGGCCGGCCGTGCTAACAAGAGACAGCCCGCTTCTACGGCGCCCGCGAGAACCGCCGCGAGGTCGAGATGGACATGCGCGAGATGGTCGACCGCGTCAAGCGCGGCGAGCCGCTGTACGGCACCTCCGAGATGAGCGAGTACCTGCAGGGAGTCGCGCACAGGAACTCGCGCTACGCAGCCACATTCTCCCACGTCCTGCCGTGGCCCAACCTGGTCAACCACCCCTACCACGGCGTCGACACTGCCAAGTACTACCGCCAGGCCGAGCTGGAGCTCGAGCAGGAGAAGAACGTCCCCGCCAGGCGCTAGATTATATCACGCAGAAAAGAAAATATACCAGGCGCTTTCTTTGGTCGCAGCAGCTGTACATATGTCTCAAAGAGCCAAACAGGATGTATCAACATGATTTCTTTGCTTCTTGACGAGCTGACATGCTCTATGAGCTCACCAGACTCTCCAAAACCCTCTCCTGTTTCCACCTCACCATCTTATATCGACTGATCCAGTCGTCCCTATTGATGTAGCCGCCACAAATTCGCCTCTTGCCCGTGAAGCTACTCCGCCCATGCAACACCCTCCAATTATCAAAAATCACCACTCTCCCTGGCACCAACTTGTTCCAGTACTCATTCTCCTTCTTCTTCAGCAGCGCATCAAACTTGCGCGCCGCATCATACCACTTCTCTACCTGCTCGAGCGGCAACTCCACACCCGCGCGATCTGATGAGTTCCAGCGCACCCGCAGCAGATCCCCCGTCATGGGGTCGTGCTCCAGCACGGGGAACCCGCGGTACGGCTGGATACTAATGCCCTCGTTGCCCGACGCATGGGCGTGCACATTGACGGTACTCAGGACACGATACGCGGCGATGTCTTCGTGCCGCAGCTGCTCGGCGACGTTGAACCCGTCGACGAGCAGCGACGCGCCGCCCTCGCCTTCCGTGTGCGACAGCAGGTGGAACGCCTGCAGGCCCGCCGGGTCCGAAAAGTACGTGTTGTCCGTGTGGGCTTCGAGCGCGATGTTCGTGTACGCCGTGTCCTGCGAGGCCAGGTCCGCGGTGAAGTCGTAGAAGCCGCCGTAGTGCGTTTCGCGGATGAAGGCGATGCTGCGCAGAAGCGCCTCTGTAGCCTCGGGGGTGTCGGAAGGGGTGTTGTCGACGTAACAGAAGCCATCTCTGCGCTGGTGGGTGTTAGCAGGGGTTTTACCGGTAGTGTGGGACTTGAGGCGTACAATGGCAGAGAGCACGGCGCGGAGGCGTTTTTCTGGGGCTTCTGCGTAGGGTACTATGGGGGGTTCGGACGCAATGGTTGAGTCCCAAAGTTTTGGAGTGAGGAGGCCTTGACGCACGATGGATCGTCGCTCGAAGTCTGTGGTTGCGTCGCAGAGGGATGACTGGCCGTACGTGCTCTTGTGGCCATCGCTCCAATTGACGTTGATGGTGCCTTCGATGACCGACATCGATTCGATAGACACATCCTTGGGAATCGCAAAGGTGTCATGGAGTCTCTGCTTGGTTGACTCATGCAGGCAGCTGCTACACTGGCAATTGTCTCTCAGCCAGATATTGGGGATAGTCGTTCCCCTCACAACAAGCTTCTTGTCAGAAACAGCCACGTTAGCAAGCATTGGCCCAGGAGGCATTGTGTGCAATACTCCTAATTCCCGATTTGTGGATTTTAGGCTTGGATTTTGTTGGATGTCAACGCGAACCCTCTTCGTTTCCTCTGATTTGACCGTAGCTGTAGACTGGAGACGAACTTGACTGAACATTGGTAGCTTCTGCACAATGTCAATAATGCTGGCGAGCGCTGTCGATGCAACCTACCGTCTGAGCATGTCTCGTGACCATCCGGGCACTCTGCGAGCAGCGGAGAGCGTGCATTGCATGCATTGCAGGCATCACGGACCACGGGCGTGATCTCAATGGGATAATTAATGGAAGTATTCGATTAGACCTGTTCAGCTTGTTGGCTGTGATGCAATTGGTTTGGATGCTACAAACGTGCCAAGTAGCTGGCCAGACGTTGGGTGTGGTAGGCTGGGGTGGGGCGGAGTGGGGCGCTGTTCATACTTGGCGCGTCATCGATCGTTGCTGCTTACAATATCTTTCGCTACTCCCGGCTCGATACTAGGCTCTGAGCCACTCGGAAAGTGCTCATCTCAATGTGGTAGAGATGGTACCTGTATTTCACCTCATATAGAATACAGCTAGCTTCCCAAAGTTTCATCAAATCGTAGGCACCATGGCCTAATGGTAAGGCGTTGCTTTCCGGCTAACTACCCTGGCAAAGATTATGGGTTCGAGTCCCATTGGTGTCGTTTGTGCATCTTTTTGCATTTTAAATCTTCTTTTTGCTCTTTGTTTGCGATAGTTGGTGGTGTTGTGAGGCTGACAAGGTTGTGAACCTCGGAAGGCGCTCGCGTTAGCGCCTGCCGTTGAACCACCTAACCCAACGTCGCACACCTCCAACTTTTTTGATCGATCGGACTTCTCGGCAACTCTTTCATATCTTACTCTATTGCAATTGAACCTGTACAAGAGAGAATTGCAACGAGACTGTCAATCCTGTTCGCCTGATACGAGCTTCCTTATCATAAGCAATTGCCGTGCAGGACAACTATTGTCACTCTTTCGATATCTCGGGCAAAGCTGCAAAGATGCCTGTGCTCAAGTTTGTCAGATCCGTAAGTTTTTATGCTACTTTTAGGGGAACATCACTGATCAATTGACAGGTTTGGGAATCATTCCGCGCCAATTCCGGGCTGGAGCCAAGGTACGCGGTGTTGATCTCGAAGTGGACATCGAAGCTAACAAATGCATCCAAACAGACTACTGGACGGCGTATGTTTCAATCTATTCTACCTGGTTATGTATACTTGAAGGTTGACCGTCTCCTCCAGCTACGCGTAACCTCCGCATCCCCTGGCCGCGTTAAGTTCGAGCTCGACATCCAAAAAGAACACACTGTATGCCATTGCTATTGAAACATCTCCTCGAATACTCACCTTGAATCAGAACCGCCTCAATATCCTTCATGGTGGCACAATAGCCAGCATGGTCGACCTCGGCGGCTCCCTCGCCGTGGCATCACGCGGCCTCTTCGCCACCGGCGTATCCACCGATCTTAATGTGACCTACTTGTCGTCTGGTGGTCAGATTGGGGATCTGATCAAGGCGGAGGTAACGTGTGATAAGTGTGCGTTGTGACCTGCGTGTGTGAGTTCGATGTGATACTGACGATGAGTAGTTGGCAAGACGCTGGCGTATACGTCGATCCATTTTAGTAACAGTAAGGGCGAGGTATTTGCCAGAGGGAGCCATACGAAGTACGTGGCGCTGGCATGGAAAGATCCTAACAATATTGTGGAGGAGTTGTCGCCGAAGAAGGGTGGAAAGAAGGAGTAGTAGCAGGATCGCGGACGATGAGACGATATTCCCTCTTGTGAATGTAAGGGGGATCTTGGGTTGTTTCAGAATCCACTGGTCCTGTGTAGCTTGTGTGTCTAATGAAGAGAGCTACACTGACGTCGTCCACGTTAGTGCGTGAGAAGAAACGATCACAGGTTACATAGCATGGATCCAAACAACACCTCAGCCTGCATTCAGAGGGATGGAGCAAAGGAATGCGCTGTCGTCCTTCGTCATCCTGGTTGCGTTGCCTATGTAACATATATATGCTTATCCGAGAACAAGGTAGATTCAGCCGACACTGACGTCCTCCACGCAAGTAAGAGATCACGGGTGACGTACCATAAATCCAAACACTTCAGCCCGTATTGATGAGATACATATAGTGGTCAGATATCGGGACTTCGCTGCCTCATTCGTCTTCGTTACTGACTCGGAATCAAGTGTGGTCAAGCAGCATTGTCTTGGATACGTGGAGGAACATTCTTCTATTAAAGTAGTAAGCCTTACCTCTCATGGCCTGCAAAACTCCACTGTCTTCTCCTCTGCCCAGCATCAGTCTGCGATCGAGCCGGTTTTGCAGTTCCACTTGACCCTTCCAACCCTCGACGACTGACCGTCCTCACAATCCTGTCCACCGCACTCTCTCCACCATCACCAACCCTCCGCCTCTGCTCATCCGCCGTCTGCTGTTTCCAGCCACCCTCCGTTCGATCCTCCTGCTTCTGCGGCCATAGCACCTGGTGAATGACTACAGCCCTGACGTTCATAACGACGACAAACATCCACATCATAATCAGCGCAATCGTCATTGCACACCCCACGTAGCTAATCACCTTATTCCCATTCAGCGCTCTCGCAATCGCAAACGTCGCCGTCGTGAGCGCCGTATTGGGAAACACGAACGAGTACCACGTCATGGCGAAATCCATCTTGCCCCTTCGCGCACACGACCAGTGCGCTCCCACGCTCACAAAGAAGAACCACAGCGCAAGACCCCATAACCACAAGCCCATGAAATTCGCCATGATCATGCCCACGTGGCCCGCCAGCTCGCCGTTCCCCTCGCCCATGAAGTCCGACGGCACGACGTCGGGCAGCACCTGGCCCATGGTGATGATGCCGGCGATGGTAAAGCCGCTCGGCCCCACGGAGATGAACATGCCCGGACGCAGTGACTCCTTGGGCAGTTTCTGGGTCATCAGCCGGTAGATGAAGGCAGCATAGATCATCAGGCTGACCAGGAAGCCGATGCCCTGCACAATGTAGCCACCCAGAATGATCTGCAGGGCGATTTCCGGGTTGGAGACTTTAGGCGCGAGTGATCCCGCGTGGGGTCCGATGATTAAAAGTGGATAGCATGGGAAGATCCAAATAGGGGTCATCTGGTTAATAGTAAATGTTGTTGTAGACCACCTGTAGGTGTTAGTATACTAGCATATGTTGTGTTGTGAGGTTTAAAGAAAGGGTGGTGAGGTTTGAAGAGAGTAGTGAGGTTAGAAGAGAGAGTAGTGAGGTTAGAAGAGAAGGTAGTGAGGTGGGGAGAGAGTGTAGTGAGGTGGGAAGAGAGAGTAGTGAGGTGGGAAGAGAGAGTAAGGAAATGGATAACCAACATGATCAGATACAGCCCCAGCGAAAACACCACCGCAAGTCCGCAGTCCACCCAAAACAGCACAATCATCACATGCTCCAGCCACTGCTGCTCGCCAATCATCCCGACCCCGTACTGACTAACATTCATCATGATAATTCCAAAACTCACAATCGCCGCCGGGATAAACAGACTCTCGGTCGGATGCAAGAAACTCGCGCGAAACGTGCGCGGATAGAAGTAGAACCGGCAGGAAATCATGCAGACATTGAACGCAAACAGCACCATGTTGCCGATGAAGAAGAGGCAGCCCAGCGCATACAGCCCGTGGAAGCGGAACGGCACCGCGTAGAGGACGTTGGCGATGCCGCCCGTGGCCATGGTCAGGCAGAACCAGGTCCAGGTGAAGTGGCGGATGCGCTCGCGCCAGGGCAGTTTGGCATGGCGGCGGGCGAGCGCGTCGTCGTAGTCGGTGAGGGACTTTTTTTCGTTCTCGGGCAGGCCCTCGTCGGGCCCGGGCACGTTGCCGTTGCCGCCTAGGACAGCGTCGGGTCTGGGGCCTTGGTGGGATCTCATGTCGGGCTGGTCCTCGGCTTTCGTGCTTTCCTCACCGTTGTCGGAGACGGGGGCTTCGGTGGGTTCCGGGTGCGAAGGGGGGAGGTTGACGGCGAGGTCGTCGAAGGGGTCGCGCTCCTGGAGCTGCGGTTGAGGTGTGAGCACGTGAGCATGGTTTCGCCAGCGGCGGCGGTCTGCAGCACTGGAAACAGTATCGATGCTGGCTCTCCGGTCGACATCTGGGGTGGGTGGCAGGCGAGCGGTGTAGAAGGTCTCCTGTCGCTCATTCATTGTCGGGGCGCCCACGTTTGGTAGCGAGCCGCAGAAGCATTGGCGAGAGACAAGTCAAGTGTATGATGACGATGCTTTAGGCTAGGAAAACATTCGGCAAACGGGAGCTAGCGGTTCGACGCGAGACCATGGAGCAATGACGTGTCTTTCTCCAGTCTCGCCGAGCTGTAGTGGTCTGTGGAGTCGCGACTGAAGAAATTCCGAGAAAATATACAACAACATGCCCATGCACATGGGGTAGCACACAAGTGCCCCGCCCTGTCCAATGCGGAAAGATCTGTGAGCATCGCAAAGCAATGTGTAGCAAATCGCGATGCTGAGCATGAAGATAGCGTATCAACAAATCGACTAAGGATCCGAGCTTGCCGTGATAAGTCCGAAGCCCTGTCAAACGTCAACATTCAACAATGCAGAACTGAATGGTGGCCATAGATGACGGTAGCTTATCACCGTTTGAATTGATACAATCGAGTAAAAAGTTGATGCATGACTCGTAATCCCGAGACCCAAGCGACTACCACCCGAACACCCGCAAATGCTTGCCCTGACTGCACGCCATAGTGGTACACAGAAAACCGAGAATGCTCCCATCAAGTCCCCCATACGCCATGTCTCTCGCGTGATTCGACACCAGCACTTCCACTGATTACCAGAAACTACACCAACCGATGTAGTGCTGGCACAGATTCTCCAGATTCGTTGCTTCCTTGATCAGACGATCGACCTGCATCTGGTAATTCAGCTCCTCGCCCTGTCTGAAGTCTTTACCCGTGAGCTTCTCCTTGACACGCGACAAAACCTGCAGCGCCCTTGCGTTCTGTACTTCCTTCGCTTCCGCCTCGTTGGGCGGCGCGATGCTGGAGCGGTGCCTGTTGCGCACCATCGAGCCCATATCAGAGATATCGCCCATGATGGATTGGCGGCGCTCAGATGGGTAGTTCGGTTCGGGCGGAGAGTCGCCACGGTTGCCAAGGCGCCACGTCAGGAGGGGGTCGTGTATAAACTGCAGGTGTTAGTGAATCCTGTGCGGAGAACGGTGTGACAACTTACAGCTTCGAGCACGGCCATGACAGACTCCTTGTTGTCCCTGAGCACACGCATCACATGCTCGCATGTTGTTCGGTAGCTGCCTTCGATGTTGCTAACTTCCATGGCATACGTCAACATGCGGGTAAGACGGAACGGCACTCGCTCAGGATATTTCTCGCGATGCATAGCCACTTCGAAACAGTCGCCAAAGTCGATATGCACGATCTTACCCGTGACTCTATCGAGCATCAAGTTGGAAGGATGGCGATCGCCGAGACCGAGAATGTAGCCAACCATCGACATGACGGCGAGCGAGCGCGTGTAGTTTGTACGACGGTCGAGCCAGGATTCAGAGCTCTTGCTCTTGAGCCAAAGTACACGGTACAAGTCTTGGCCAGTGGTGTTGTCGAGCGCGTATCCGAAGACTTCGACCTTCTGCATCAGAGTGAGGCAGTCGTAATCCGGTGCCATCTGCAGCATGATTCGGTGTTCAATATTCAACAGGATTTTCCTACTGTCACGATACTCCCTAATAAGGACATGCAATGTATCACTGTTTGGCACGAAACCGAGGAGACCAGACTGCGTGCTAAGCGGTACAGCAGCATAGCGTTGGATGTTGAGATGGCGCTTCCGTGATTCGACATCGTTGGCCAGAAGGGTATTGCAGAGACCGAACAGTTGCATGACACGCTCGTCCTGACGGATATCTTCGTGGCCCTTGAGAATGTGGAGGTGAGGCTTGCCATCGCTTCCCTGCATCTCCAGTTTGCGAGGACGTTGCTTGGATTGAATGACGGAGGCTAGTGGGTCGAAAGAGATGATGCGGATGACCGGCTTGCCAACCTGGTAGGTTCCCGGTACAGCCAGCTCGAGGTCGTGGGCATCCTTGAGTTTGGGCGAGACGTATTGCAACTCAAGCGACATGAGTGATGGTAGCTGACGTGCAATTTTGCGGAACACCTGGTAGTAGAGATCCCATGCCTGATTAAGATCACCTATTTCCCCAGAGGTCCTGAATGTATTGCACCAGTCTCGAGCCTCCTGGAGTTCGCGACCGAATGACTGGATGAAGCTGATTTCGCGCAATGTTTCCGGACCCTTGTCGAGCATGGCGTGCAATGGCGCGAGTGTGGCGAACATACCGTCTATGTTATGATCGCCGAAGTACAGTCTACTCGCTTCCTCTAGTCCTTCGTGCCATTGTTCATGCCAGAGTACCGCGATACGGATGAGCTCGTGGCTGACAAGGTCGGCCTGTTCGACTAGACGAGGCGAGTGTTCGCGCATGGCTTCCATCAACTCCTTTGCAGATCGTTGGCGCCTAGAAACATCCGACTTCATGCTGACAGTCAATGGGAAGACGAGGGCTTGTGGATGCGCCTTCCCAACTTCAATCAACAGTTGGTGAATCGACTGCCGTACTGTGGGGTTTGGCTGGTTGATTCTCGCGAGCAGCTGAGGGATGACCTCCAGCCAAGTATCGATCGGCACCGACTTTGTGCCTTCGGTGATAGTCCTGTTGACTTCCGGAAGACCACCATGGCTGAACCACAGTGTGAGCAGGCGAAGCGTATCCTGCAGCGAGCTCGTCGATGACAATGCAATGGACTTGAAGAAGCCATGGATAGCCGGAACGACGTGGTCGTGTACCATATTAGAGGGCACGTCCGTAGACTCCCGATCGGCCTTCGATGTGATCGAGTTGATGACCTCGAAATTGGCGAGTGCCCAGGCGTGCCATGCCTTATACCAGTTTTGGTTATACCTCGTGGCAGCGGCGTAGGCAGACAAGATCTCGTGGACGTGCTCGTGCTCCCACTCTCCACCTTGAATCTCTTGTTGCCAGTCGCCCTGCTTCAGATAACACTTCGCGAGTAGACGGTGGCACTCGGCTAGTTCGGCAGGTGAGACGCCCATGGCAGACCCATTAATCGTGTTGGAACCTGCCATGCCATTAACACCATTAGATGCAGCGAAGGGGTTCATGTTGTTGAATAGCTGGGGATGACCATTAGTCATACCATTTACGCCGTTCATGCCATTCTGTCCCATCATTGGATGTGTGGCCGCTCTTGCGCGCATAGCAAGATCATCAGACAGTCGGGCTGTGAAGTCCTTCATAGAATCGAGCGCCTCTTGTTGAGTGTGCTGATCAGCCCACATGTACTTGTATGTTGCGTACGCCACGGGGTGAGAGATCTTGTGTGCATTCTCGCGCACATATTCGACAACTCTGTGGTCGCCCGTGCCCTCGATATTGAGTAGCTTCTGCAGCGCCTTGTTCGCAAGGTTCATTCTGTTGTTCTTGCGACAAAGATTGGTGTACTTGATCCACATGTCGGTGCCCTCTTCGGGTGAAATGACGAGTTGTCGCACCTTCATCATGCGCTGCCAGACCTCAGGGTTGGGTTGCAGCCCCTTGAGTCGCTTCATCCAGGTCTTTCGCATTGATGCCTGCTTCTCGCGATTCTCTTTGATGCCCAGCTGCTTGTACAGCATGATTTCTTCAAGCTCAGCCAGCATCTGCACACGGATCATGGGCAGATAGGCACGCTGGTACGACTCGCCCAGCAGCGAACTAAGTTCCGTGTCCAGACCCTTCCGAGCCTTAGCAATTTCCTCGATTGCAATCTCGAATCGGTTGTTATGAATGTTAAGGATGGAAGCGAAGAATGCCCGGTCTGGGGACTGCTCTTTCATGACGCTCAGATAAGAGTCCATGTCGGCGAATTTACCCAGACCCCATGCAGCCGTTGCAGCAAGCGGTGCTATCGCCTTGCGGTATTCCTGACTGGCATTGGCCCACTTCTCCTTTGACAGGCTCGAGAGCAGATCCCATTCACCAAGGGCGTGCAGACAACGCATCTTACCCATGGTGATTTCGAACGAGTCTGGTTCTTCAAGCTCTCTCCGTTGATAGGAATGCAAAGCTTCGTCCCACCGCTGCAACTTTTCGAACCATGTCTCCTTCAGCTCGACGTCCGTATACCCCTGAGCTTTTCGCAGGATTCCAAAAGCGGCGTCCGTTTGCTGCAGCTGGTTGTTGATACTGATAAGAGCCTCTACCGCACTTGAGTTTTGCTCGGCATTGAACTCTAGTTCCTTGTAATGCAACGCCTTTGCAAACGCATGGCATTTTCCGGCGTACATTCCCAGTATTCTGACATCGATGGGCAATGCCTTATCGTCGTGCTCCATGAATTCAGCCAGATTGAGAAGAATCTGCAGGATCTCAGGTGGGATATTTGGAGACGTGAGCGCAGCCTCGATCGATCGTACAAGTTCTTCTTGATACTGATCATACAGCTCAGTCCAGCACGAGACGAATGCCGAGTTGAATAAGCTTCTGGCAATAGGGTTGTAGATGCTGCCGAGCGGGGTGCAGGCACGCAGCGCTTGCTGTGGAGACTCTCTAAGAAGCTCAACACTGAATCTGCGCATCCATTCGACCCAATCCTCTTTTGTAGTCTTGGATGAAGCCTCCCACGCCGCCTTGAGATGCTGCTGGTTGACTGCTAGCTTCTTTGTAAGAATCTCGGCGGGATTGAGGTCCTCATCGTCTTCTCCGTATCGCTCGTCCGGACTCAGATCTTGTGGCAGGGGCTCACCCTTTTGCAGCTTGGACACGATGCGGCCATAGTTCTCATGGGGAACCTTGTTCGCGATCAAGACCTTGTTCACTGTCGGCACGAAATGGATATAGTCGGGCCCGAGTTGGAAGATCAACGCACAAAGGGTCTCAAGAGCTGTCTGCCTGAGAGCCGAGTCGGTGCCAGATAGAACTCGGCAGAGAGGGTGAATGATGCGTGCAGCAAACTCAGACACGTTCACCTGCTTTGACAGTCGACCTAGCGTTTCTATCGCTAGTCTGCGGATGTGATGTGGCTGGCCCGGCTTGTCAAACATCTTCACCATGATAGGAATGATGAGATGCATGTACTCCTCAGCACTTGACCCGAAGATCAAGAAAGCGTGCAACACCCTCTCGGACGGCAGTCTCTTTCCAGTGGTGTCTGAATCGAGGACACTCAGCATCAGAGGAAGGACATCTGCCAGGTAGACCTTGAACTCTCCTTCAAGCGATCGTGCGATAGCTTCAATGAGTGACAAGATGGTGGCTTGCAACTGAGGGTTATTGCCCCAGTACTCTTTGACGCACGTCAAGATCGAAGGGAGGTATGGACGGATGTGCTGGCGCACAATGCGGACCAACTGGCTGAGCTGATTAAAGTAGCCCTCCGAGCGTCCAGCTGGTGTGGAACGGATGACTTGGAGAAACCCAGGAACGACCTGGTTGAGGAACGGCACGCACTTCAGTCCCATAGTTGCGTAGATGTTCATGACAGCATCAACGATTGCGGAGTGGAACTGCATCAGCGACGAATCTTTCAACAACCCCATGAGCGTGCTGATAACAATGGTGGGATAATACTCCTCATTCGAAGGAGTGATGCCCTGCATGATGAGCGAGACATCCGTTACAGCCTGTGCTTCCAGAATGAGTTGTTGATCCGGTGACTGCTCCATGATCTTCTGGTACTCGTCTGGGTCAAGGGCGCCAAGAGTTCCCATAAGTCTGACAGTTTCCCGTCGCAGCTCGCCCTCAGGCTCGGTTTTGACAATACTCATCAAGATGTTCATTAGCTCCGGGTAGTCCCTATACGGCTCGATGACATAGCCAGCGTTGGTAGCGAGTTGTCCAAGGGCTTTCAGCGCCGAGAAGCGTTTCGAGTCCGAGCTCATGTCCTGCATGAAGTCCAGAATCACCGGCATCAGCTCGGGGATGTACTTGATCATGCCTTCGCCGCCCACCGAGGCGAGATCGCCAATAGCCTTGAGCGTAGTTGAGGCGACCTCTGGATTCGGGTCTTTCGCCTTGGGCAAAAGTACAGTGACAATAGGATCGACGAGCGGTTTGATAAGGCTGTCAGCTGCGCCAACTAGACTACTGATGAGCTTCGCACTTTCCTCTTTACTTCGTGGGCTGTTGGCGTAGTTGACCTCGGTCAACAACTGCAGCAGGACTTTGCGGAGCGACGGGAACACATAGGCCGGGTTCACTGCGGTCAAACGTCCTATAATAGCCATAGCGGCCTGCCGAATCACGAAGATCTCGTCGTTGAGAGCCAGAAACAGCGTTCTGACATTGTCGGCTTTTCCGAGGTGGCGGTCGAAGCGAGCATCGAGCGCGAGCAGCACTTCCCATCGGATCTCCCAATCCACGTCGCCCACGCCAACTGTCAAAAGCTTCTCGATGATGTCACCGACCACTTTGGTAGCGTGAGTGCTAGTCTGATGTACTATCGGATCTTTGACGAACAACTGACAACATGTCAGGGCGGCGCGCTTGCGGATCTCCGGGTTGTCTGCCTCGACGTAACGGATAGCAACATCGCGGACAAACTCGTTCAGTACGTGTCCGGTGAAGTCGAAGCTGCCAAGTGTGTGGAGCGCAAGAGCGATCTCAGCCTCTCGCGCGGGGATGATTGTGGGATCTTGTCGCTCTCGCGTCCAGATCTGTGGGGGTTGTGATACTTGATATGGACTGCCGAGGGGCAGGAAGTGCCTTTGTGCAAGGATCTGACTGAGGAGATCCAGGAGCTTTTCCTGAATCATCGGTCGTGATGGTGGCACGTAGTGCGCCATGTCGACTAGAGCCTGGAACAGGGAGTCGCTCAGCCCGCAAGAGAAGATAGGATCCAGCAATCGTTCAACGCTTTTTGTCAGAGCCTGTCCAACAGCTGCTGCGATCATGCTGAGACATTGAAATATCGGAGCCTCGTTGACGGCGCTCTTGTTTCGCGCTTTCGCTGTCAGACCTTCCTGAATGAAGCCGAGGATGCCCTCGAGGTACGGTGAGATGGCAACTCCGACGGCATTTGCAACCTGCCCAATTGCGACAAAGGCCTTGTCGCGATCGCGGTCCTTCCTTATCAGACCTTGCAAGTGCAGCATGCACTGGTGGAGATACTTCGCAGCGAATTCTGTTGGCGAATAACTGGCTAGTCGTGGAATAATAAGTACGACCTCCCTGCGGACAAGGGTATCTCTATGCTCGCGGTACTTGAGTACCGTCTCGGCTGTCTCTTTGAAGCGCGCCTCGTTCATAAAGTACGCACTCTTATCCAGCAGCTCCTTCATTGTGAGCAGGGATCCGTGTATCGCCTCGTTGGTGCCAATTGTGAACCCGCGAAAGATCTCGTCGTACACCTTGCCGAACCACAGCTGGCGCATAGCCGAATCTCGTGGCGAGATGATCTCGAAGCAGGCGCTGATCGCCTCCGCAGCGGACTCTCTTATGAGCACCTTTGGATCGCGGAGGGCGACCCAGATGACCTCGAAGATCTGGGCGATCCACTGGTACATGAGCGTGGGCGAGTTCTTGGCCAGCTCGCGCAGGATCAGGACAGCGGCGAAGCGGCGGTTCTCCAGGCGCTCCAGCTGCAGCCATTCCAGCGCGCCCTTGACTTCGGCCTCGACCAGCTCGGCCGTAAGGGTGCCGCCGGGCTTCGCGAGGCGGCCGAGAGCCTTGGCTGCGACCACCATCGACGTCGTGTCCTGGCCGCGCATGACCGCGCGCAGGTACGAGGCAAAGCGCGTCGTCTTGGTGCCGGCATCGTCGCCGCGGAAGTCGATGAGGGCGTTGAGGGCGTGGATGCCGCCGATGCGTTCGTTGGAGTCGCTGCCGCCGACGATGAGGCTCGAGATCTTGCCGTAGACTTCACCGTAGAAGTTGGTGAAGACGGCGGGTGCCAGCTCTGCGCGGAGTCAGTGGGCGAGTGCTGAGGCGGGGGCCCGCACTGGTGTTGTCGGGCTGCGGGAGCTCACCTCGATGCGCCGCCTCGACCGTCTGCCGCAGGTTGTGCGCGCCCTTTTGCCTGATTTCATCGTGTCTGCCGCCGTGTCAGCTCTGCGGGGCCATTGTCGCGTGCAGCGAGCTCTCTTACCTCGAGCGGAGCTCTTGGACGATGCGGTCCAGCGCCGAGGACAGCGCGCTCTGCTGCGCCATTGTGTCTGCTTCACCTGAAGCAAGCGGCAGAAGAGGAGGGCAACTGCGGGCCTTCCATAAGAGGGAAGACGCAGCTTCGTTGTAAATGTGTTTGGGCAGAAGCGTGGTGAACTGTAAAGTTACCCACTACAGACCGGGGTACTGCCAAGTCCAAGTGGGTCCGGCTAGAGCTGCTGCTCACCGAGCGCCCTATCGGGAACGTGCAACGAAGCAGTGCATACTCATTAGTCACGACGGTCTAGAGTAGTCGATGCACTGAGGAGACTGTGTTAATGGCATGTGACTTTTTCTTTCACCACAGACGTCGCAGCAGTTGCCTAAAGTTGGTAGGTGGTGCATTGATCAGTGCTCTATAAAAGTGTAGGAGTAGGATATCACAAACATGTCTAGGAAGGAGCAACATCACCAGGCCTCATCAGGACATCGCTCAGGCACCACTAATCTCGTCCACAACAATCCTGCCCAAGCTCGAACCCTTTCAGTGACCGAGCTGCACATCGCAGATCATGAGCTTACCGCGTCATGACCGCGTCTCATCGTGCTGACCGCGCAAAAACCACGCGACCATCGATCTCCCTCCGCTCACCCAATCACACCCTGCGCAGCAGCACCAATGGCGCCCGCAATATTTCCAAAGAAGATGCTCTTCAGAATCGTCTCCCCCTCGCCCACTGCCCACATCCCTGCATCGCTGAGCTTCTTCCTCCAGTAATGCCTCTCCTCCTCGCTAAGTTCGGCCCACTGCCTCGCCTCGGCATGCTTCTTAACCACGTCATCTGTACTCTCGTGCACTTCGGTACTAAGCTCTGCGCCTTCGGGGTCGTGATGGATGACAAGCGCCTTTTGCTGAGCAGGCGGATCGGGAGAGGCGTGGTGCGGCATGTGGAGATGGAGAAGGTCCTGGATACGGTGTACGGTCTTCATCGTCGGGGTGTCTGCGTTGTTGAGAGCGGCCTGGTGGCGCTTGTCCCGGGTCATCTCACCCATGGGTTTGTACTGTGATCCTATGTTCTGGAGACTGCTCGGGATGATATTTTTTGTCAACTCGCCCTGGGGATCGAGGATGGACTGGATCATCAATGCTATCGCGGCCACGACCATGGCTATGACGATATATGTGGCAGCGCTATACAGGTTCCGTGTTCGCGCTGTCTGGAGGACATGACGTCCGTTGTACGGCTGCAGTTCGAACGTCTCCACAGACACGGTATTGCCGAGTGATGTCGAGGCCAGGCGGAGATACTGTGGTACTGCTTTCCGATCTGACGGCTGATCTGGGATGGGCACAGGTTTATGGAATGGTGAGAAGACGGCCTTGGTCATCTGAACCTCGTGTACCTGTTTATAATTAGGGTCCAATCTGTCAAACCAAACTTCGTATACATACGTCATCATAGGTAGCAAAGTGATGGAACGGGCTTAACGAGTTCCTCAAGCGACCATTGTAGTCGATCGAGTACACGTGAAGCGAAATGTCGATCGCCGCTATGGCAATAGCGATCTGGTATGCTCCTGAGGAGTCGGGATCCAAAAGGGCAACATCCATGTCCGTTGCGGCCTTGACGCGTTTTGGCAGCGTTTTTCGCACGACGACGCTGCCGGGCCCTTCCTCGTACATGTGCACGAGCAGTACTTCAACCCCAGTCCTATTAGGCTTGTTCACAAGCAACAGAAGATGCTCAGGAGTCAGCCATCGTATGCACCGCAGCTTGGAGCGTCCACCCTTCTGTCCAGGTGCTGGTAGAGGGATAGAGTAAAGCTTCCGGCGCGCGTCCTTTGGTTTGGTCTGTGTTGTGCTGATGTTGTGTACAATCACATCGTAATCAAGTACGTAGGCAAGCTCGAACTGTCCATTGCCCTTGTCAAAGATGTCGATATCATTAGCCTCTTCATTCTTTCCTAGCCGGATGCGCTGGAGGATGTCTTGCGGATCCTTTGGCTTATTGGAAATTGCGCTGAAGACCACAATCTCGTTCTCGTCACCTGCGAGACTGGACGCGATCGCACCAATGCGTCGTGCGGGCGGGCTTGCTGCGGTCCTCTGTGGCGGTGACAGGCGAATCAACCGCTGATATCCCTCCTTCTTTGCATTGACATCCTTGACAGGCGCGAAGAGCCTTGTCTTGCTCAGATACGATATGTTGACGTCCGTGCCCTCTGTCGCGATCTTCCCCTTTGGTAATATGGCCTCGAACGCGCGGAAGTGCTCGTTGTTGTCTTTTGCACGATCCTCCTCGCTGCTGTTGACTCCAGCGTACAGTATGAGGCCGTCTTTCGTCGCAAGGTTGGCAAGACATGTTACCGAGTCGTCTGTGGAGGCCTCTATTTCGGCAATAGGCTCCACGGTCGGCGCTCGCGATGCGAAGTCGAAAAGTGTGATCTTGTTTTTAACGCCATGTCGTCCTCCGCCACCTCCACCACCAACTACGAGTACTCCGGGTCTGCTGGTTGCGAAGCTTGCGGCGAAGATGGGATACGAAGCTGCAGTGGTCAGCGCCTGTGCGTCTGATTGGATCTTCCCTGCGACAACGTACTCTTCCCCTTGGATATGGTAGGGCGCGACATGATGTGGCTCTGAGTGACGCGCCGCAACTAGTCCGGAGCTGTGCTATTATTTGTGGAGTGACGTATGCAGGGGAACACCGAAGTCCGAGTGTCGAAGCACGTAGATCAGTGTCGCTAGGTATATGTAGGTAGAGGAAGAATAGTCGTAGGGGTTGCGCAGGCCTGCACACTTGCGCAGTCTTGAAGTTCGACTGTGTCCACGTAGCGCGATGGAGCGCAAGAGCGTGGGCGCAAGCGTCATGATTCGAGGCGTAGCCTGGCCTGCAACCATCCGCCCGGCGCCGGGGTCCACGCTCGCTTATCACCACGCTTTGACCTCTACAACTTCGTATCTTAGTACATACGAGTGGCCTACAGGGCGCTCCAAGTTCACAAAGCACGACTTGGATGATGTTGGTGTCGGTGTCAAACGATATCTTCTTCTAAACCTATAACAAGTGCATCGTGACTGGCCTCGCCAGCTGGTCACGTTTTCTTCCCCGCTCTCTTCTTCCAAGTGCTTGTGTTACCCCCCCTCAGTACTCCTCCTCTTGACACTAGTTCTGCCTCTCCCGCTTGCTGCTTTCTTTTCCACCTCATTCGCCCTTCATTTCCACAGGGATATCCTTCATCTTAGACAAGATACGTGCGCCGAAGCAACCCAACCGCCAGGGCATCCACCGAAACGTCTTTATCAACAAAAACGCCAGGGGGTAGCCACTTGATGCTCGCTAAACGAAAACGGAAATGGGAATCCAATGCCTTTGAAGAAGGAGAAGCTATCTATGTGTGATCGTTGGATCTTTGATCTTCGATCTTTTGCCGAAACTCCGAGAACCGGGCTAACCGCCCTACTGCTGGGGAATCGTGGCGCCATTGGCAGCGACAGCGGCAGCAAGAGCCTGAGCCTGGGCCTGTACGATGACATCGGCCTGGTGGACAGCGCCTTGAACAACTTGCTGCTCTTCAGCGTTGAGGTTCTTGGTAAGGTTCTCATACAGCGCGGGCTGCTCTTGTTGAAGCTCTGTTGTCTGTTAGTTCTGACTGAGTGCTAGTGACGATTGAAACTTACGGAGCAGTGCTTGCTTGAACATGCCATATGGCTCGACCTTGTCGAGAGGAGTTTCGAGAAGGCTCTCTTCCTCGAGTTCATCATCATCGTCGTCATCATCAACGCTGCCAAACTTCTGGGCCTCTTCGTTCAGGAACTCAAGGTAAGCGGCACTCTCATCCTTGATCTCCTCTTCATCAGCTTCATTATTCCAGTCAGCCTCCTGTTCCCATTCTTCGTCTTCCTCGTCATCCTCGTACTCATTCGCAAAGTCGAAGTTGTCTTCTCTCTTTGCTTCCTCGCGGTTCTTCAGAGCAGCAGGTAGGGTCTGGAACAGTCGCACAACACCCTGTAGCAGACGAGGCCAACCTTGCTGAACGCTCACAGGCACGTTCTGCGCATTCATTGTCAGAAGTGCGCAGATAGCCGAAATACACAGCTTCTTATCATGAACTCTTGTGAAGTTGTCGATGCTGGAGAACCACAGGCTGAAGAATTTGTTTGTCCAGCCGTTTGCCTCGAGCACATGGAGCGCAAGAGCAGGGTTGTAGTACATGCTGTTGATGATGACCTCCATGAGGTGGATGCGGAGAGACTTAACCTTGGGCTCGTCGTTAGTCAGGACTTGCATAGCAAGCGAAAGGAACTCTGGAACGTAATCGTCGACGTGTCCGCGCATGTTGAGCATAATGATCTCGGCGAGCTTGCAACCGCAGATACGGTCGACGCCTCCGACCTTGTCGTCTTTGAAGATGGTGCGAACCATATCGACCATGGCGTCAAGGTAAGCCCGGTTCTGCACAAGAGTCTCGGTTCCGTAGTTAACGAAGTTCTCCAGAGCAGGCAACATGTCTAGAATACGTTAGTAAATTCAATCAAGCACATGCGACAGTTGATCTTACCTTCAAGGTACAGCTCAGCACCAGCCTTGAACGTCCTGTGGATGAGCTCGAAAGCTTGCCACATGGTCGGGGAGATGCTCTTGGCAGCAAATGTGCAGCTGTCAATGATCTCGAAGACCTCGTTGTACAAATCTGCAAGTAAGTTAGCATAAGAACACGGATAGCTAAAATCATGATGATTCATACCGTAGAGCTTGTTCTCGAGCGTGATTGTGATCACAGGCATGAGAATAGTCTCGAGGTGTAAGAGGACGTCCGGTGTGCTCTCTAGCGTGAGGATCAGGGTTCCAATGGTTTGAAGTACACCAAGCGCTGTGATGCTCTTCTCGTCCAAAAAGTCGCCGTACTCGCTATCGTCACCCTTCTCTTGATTTCTAGACACGAGCTCGCGGACGATGCGGAGGTAAGTGTCGCGAAGCTGCTCACTAAGCGCAACGGCGAACGGAGTGAGTTCTGGCGCGAAGACTTCGACGAAGTCCTCCATGACGTTCGCTAGGGCGTCCACATCGACCTCGTTGGCCAACTTGAGGAGCTGCTGCATAACCTGGGGGATGTTGGTCTTCATGTTGGTTCGGATAACATCATGGCGGATGAGGGGCTGAAGAGCCAGCGCAGCAGCCACTCGCACAGGAAGGCAAGGGTCGGCCATAGATTCGAGGATGTTACGGTAGATAATGATGAGGTTGTTGGGGTCCTTGAAATCCAGCTGCTCAAACTTCTCGAGGGTATCGCAGGCGCGAGCGCGGAGGAAGCCATGGGAGCTGCGGAATTCGGGGAAGACGTGGCGCACGAAGAAGTACTCGACCTGGTCGGCGATCGGGCTCTTCTTGCCCAGGATAACACCAGAAAGCGTTCCGATCATGCGCAGCGCACCTTCCTTCTCTCTCGGGTTCTTCTCGCCATCCGGTGCAGCCTCGTAACGGTTCACAACCTCGTTAATGTAGGCCAAAATGGTGAAAGTCTGCTTCCTCCGGCTCTTGGTGAGTGTGACAAGGAAGTTTGTGGCAGCAACATCAGGAGCTGTGACGTCCTCGTAGAAATTCAACTTTCGGTGGAGGTACTCCTGCGGCTCCTCATCGAACAGCTCAATATCCTCGTCTGATTGGCACAAGACCGGGAAGATCAGATGCGAGATGAGGTTGTCGGTGTGCGGCTTGAGCAGAGTCCACATGGACTTGGGCTTGATGCACTCGTCCAAGAAATTCAAAGTGTAGTACAGACTAGCCTTCGATAGCCAGACCTGCTTGCCGACCCACTTCTCGATCTGCTGGAGATAGACTTTGAGGATCTCGGGGGCGAAGTTGGCGATGAAGTTCTTGGCGACCTCGGTATAATCGACCTCGTTGTTCTTGCCCAACGCTGATGGGTTCCCGTACCTGGAAGTTTATTAGTTGACGTCTTTCAGGGCTGGCAGATTCGATACACACCTGACGTAGAGACGGTTCAGATTTGCGTATGACCACTTCTTCGCCTTCCACCAGTGGTTGACCTCGCGTTCGTCGAGATCCTCGACCATGGATGTCTCCGGAGGCTCCTTGCCGACGACGGTCAGGAACAGAGTTAACCACCCAACCATGGTCTGCTGTTCGCGCAGAGAGGCGGGCAGGTCAAACTGCGTGTGGTCAGCGCCTCGCTTCTATGTCAAGTCTTCACGTGTCTTACATAGATCGCGTGCTTGTACACCTTCAGCACTGTGCGGAGAATCTCGCCAGCCTCCAGGCTCGTCTCGCCGGCCAGCGAGTTGCCGATGTTGAGCAGCTGTGGGAACGACATGGCGACAATCTTGTCGAAGTCCGCGCGGTTCTCGCCCGACTTGAATCTGTAGATCTTGCAGATGGCCAGCAGACACTGCACGCCAGCAAAGACGGAGGCGATGTCGCCGGCGTTCAGCAGCTGGATGGTGATGTCGAGGAAGTTGGGCCATTTCGAGGGAAAGTCGTAGGCCAGGATCTTCTGCAGGGTGGGGATGAGCTGCAGGCGGATTTGCGGCGGCGAGGCGACGAGGACGGGCACGAGGCGGTCGCGGAAGGAGGCCTTCTCCTCCTCGGGGATGGGCTTGGCCTGGCTGTACTCCTCGGCGGGCGACCAGCCCTTGGAGACGCGGTTCTTGAGATATACGACAGCTAGCACGCGTCAGCACAGCCCCGGCGGCGGCATGGGCGTCTTACTCGACAACCGAATGGCGGGCTCCTGCTCCTGCTGCAACACGTTCAGCAGGCCGTCGGTGAAGCCTGGCTGCTCCTCGGCCTATTTTTGTCAGTAGTGCGCCTTGCGCGCCAGGAGCACACGCACATGCTTGAGGTCGAGCTCAGCTTGCTGGCGGATGGCAGCATTCGGGTCGAGCGTGGCCTGGATGCGGTCACGAAGGCCCGCGGCGTCCATGGTTGCGATTATTAATACGGCGGCGTCTCTGGCCTCGTGCAGCGCTCTGAGCTCCGGGGCGGTGCGTGTGGTGGGCGGTGGGGTTTGGGTCACGGCGGAGGCCTGCGCGGCACGCTCTGCTCCAGCACGGCAAGATTCGGGGGTGGCGGGGAAATAGGAGCAGGAAACAGCGCGCTTGCTGGTCTCTTGAATTTGGCGCCCTTGCGACTTGCTCCGGCTTGTGGCAGGCGAGGAGAATGTGTCTCTGCCCCTCCAGAAAAGAATCTAGTGGGTCAGAACGAGGCTATCCCAATCGCGCTTGGTTGCCGGCTGCTGGCGTGGGCGGACAGGTTCACAACGTGGCTGGTGCGGGCCAGTTCGCAACACCGCCCATGGCAACAGCGCCGTCACTGGCCTTGCACTTTGGTTCGCAAGATTGCTATCCTGAGCGCTGCGGCCCAGCAAGCAGCAGACATGGCAGCAAGCATGAGCGCTGCATCGCCACTGCCGCCGCGATGTGTGCCTGCCACGCTCGCCTGGCCGCCGTGTGAGCTCGGTAATCGGTACCTGCAGTCGCAATGTGGCAATGCACCCTTCCTGTCAATCAGCTCAACAGGGACTGTCAGGACGTCTGGGCGGGACTCACATCGGAGACTTCGAAGAATGTCGTCGTCGGATGCAGACTTGTGCACATCGCTCATGGAGGCCATGTGTTCCTACTGTCGAACTATGATAGAGGTACACACACAGGTACCAGAGCATGCTCGGCTGCAAATTTGGTCGTTCACATATTGTTCTCACATTGAAAAAAAAATCAAGTCCACCACCACACCCTCAAAGACTGCAAAACCATGTGACAGGAGTCTCTAACCCATCAGCCGGCGACGTCCAGGACTTCGAAAGAGCAAATGTGTCTGCTGACTGGGCCGCAGCAGCACGCAAGACCTGCTCAAGATACACCACCAGTGAGGCTGCAAAGAGACCCGACAATCCAACGATCGTCAGTACAACTGTCTGGCATAGATTGGAGGTTCTGCAATAGTTGAAGCCTTATAATGGTTCCAGACTCACACAACAAGCCGCCAGCCGCCTGCATTGCATCTGCTGCAACCACGGCGTCCACATGGGCGTCGAATTTCCGTCGCTGCATTCCACGCGCACATGCAATCTCGTTTTATGCTGTGATCAGTGATCAGGCTCGCATCGCAGCCTCACTCTGCCTTACATGCAAGGCCCACCTCGTCTGCAGACGTCATTAAAGCCGGTTGACATCTGGCTTGCCTTTGTATCACCACGCACCCCCACCACGGCCTATCACGCCTGCTCCACACAGCCACTTGCTCACACAAACACGTTGGGACTGCCTCATTACCGAAATCTGCAGAAGGTTCAACTGTTATTCATGCCGTGTCTTCAGCCCTCGTGTCCACCACGCGCGCTACGGTTCCAACTGCTTGATCCTTGTCTACAGTAGAATCCGGGACTGTCATGCAAGTGTCGACGCATGTCGCCGCTTGTCGAAGCGTACCACCAAACACATCCATGTCCGCATAAAATCACACAACCTCGAGGATCTTGGGTTCAGTTAAGTATCCTCAGGCACCGAGAGCCAAGCCTGGCGTTGATGCGCTGGCCCGAAACACACTTCGGTTCACCAACACCGGCACCCGGGATCTCGTCTGAAACGCCTCGGTTCTAGAGGTACAAACTCGCACAGTTACAAATATCGCTGTGCCACGAGTCAGCTCAAAAGTCACGATCGACGGCGAAACATGGGGTGTCCATGCTTGCTGATAGTGAAGGGAACTAAACAACGTACCGTTTGATAAGTTCCTGGCAAGTCCCCATTTTCTGGAACAGTGTGGGATCGCCTATAATTCGCGCGGCGTTCTTGACCTCGCGGCACGTCTCATCTAGACGCGTAATGACCCGTACTATCGTGCCTTCCATGACATCCGTCAAGTCTGTAATGCGGTTGAACGACATGCCGCGGGCCCACTCGTAAACCACCTCAACTATGCCGAAGCGGGGCTTGGACACAAAGTCATTGGAGTCATCTGCCGACAGGATGACCTGGTACTCCGTCTGAACCTTGTTGACTCGTTCCGAGATCTCCACAATCTTGGCTATGCCGCGGTCGAGCGACTTGGTCAGCGTGGGTTCGGTGTCGGTCTTTTCTTGGAACACGAATGCGGACAGCAGAGCGACTATCTCCTCGGGCTCGTATTCCGCGAGGACGTTCTCGAGAACTAGCTCCGTAAGGACAAGTTCGTCGGCGGAGTGAATCTGTCGAAACCATGTCAGTGATGCGACAGCAAGGAGAGGGAGGTCAAGCATACCTCGCACGCTACTTTGCCCTTCAGCTCTACGCGTGACCCTTCATCGATGAAACCGAGCTCGCGTAACACTTGTATCCTCTGTTCATAGTCAGGCAGTAACTGGAGGTTTTGATCAGACATGAGCTGGCGAATGGCAAGAATGTTCTCCTTGATGACCCATTGATCATGTTCCATAGAGATCTAAATGGTCAGCAAACATCATGCAGTGTGCAGTCAGCGAAGACCTACATGTTTGAGAAAGTCGGGACACTGTAGACACTCTTTGTGAACAGCGTCTTGGCCGCGTTTGCGTCTCGCATCCTGTGTTTCGCGGAACTGAAGATTCTTGATGCGGCTGTAATCGTACTCATCCCAGTCTTCATAATTCCATGAAGTGCACACAGGAATGAACTGGTCCTGTGCCAGCTTCATCAAGTCCTTTTTCTTGGTGATGTTCTGGATGCTGTCGGGAATGTCAATCGTGGTCTTGGTAAAGCACTCGACATCATTCAGGGGGATGTATGCGGTCTTCAGAATCATGTCCTTGGGGTTTGTCGGCAAGTTGCGGAAGAACTTTGCAAAGTCTGCAATGTAGGGCAGTAGATCGTCGGGCTTTCGCTCGAGATTCTGTGCGATCTCCATGACCTTGACAGTAGGCTCATTGCCCTTGCTGGGTCCGTCCGAGAGTAGCATACCAACCGTACGCATGTTGTCTTTCTTATAGACAATGAGTCGGTTCTTGCTGAATACACGACGGCCCATGGGGTTCCCAAGAAGACTGAGATGCGTCTCGTTTGTCAGGCGCTTGTAGTCTTCGCAGGCCTGATGACAAGCTTCTAGATCAATATCACAGATTTTGCAAGGCTCGCGCTTGATCTTGTCTAGATCAGCCTCAGACAGCTTGACTTTCTTCTCGTGTTCTGGCAGCAATGCCTGTGTCGCATTTTCACTGAAACTGCGCTTGATCATCTCCTCGATCTTCAAGGCTTCGACGCGCAGCAAGTTCAGCATCATGTTATAGGTAAGCCTGAACTGCGATCGTAGTTTAGTCGGTTCGCCCAGCATCATCTGGCGCAGTCTAGCTGCTGGAGGAGCTTCATCAGCCCCTGGTGCGCAGATGATCACTGTGCCGACACTGTCGAGACCTCTTCGTCCGGCTCGACCAGCCATCTGCGTGTATTCACCAGGGAGAAGATCACGGAACTCTCTTCCATCGTGTTTGCGGAATCCAGAGAAGACAACAGTCCTCGTTGGCAGGTTGAGGCCCATGGCAAAAGTTTCCGTTGCGAAGAGTACCTTGACGAGCGTCTTCGCGAACAGGATCTCGACGACTTCCTTGACGATAGGCAACATGCCACCGTGATGTACGGCGATACCTCTACTCAGCAGCTCTCTGAGTTTCTTGATCTGCGGCAGATCTCGATCCTCGGGGCTCAGTCTGGCCAAAGACTTCTCGATCGTCATGTGAATGGCACTCTTCTCTGCAGCAGTGCAGTAGTCGATATTTGACAACGCATCTGCATTTTCCTCACAACGCTTCTTCGAAAATACGAAGATACAGGCTGGGAGCAGCTCCTTCTGACGCAGATGCTGGATAAGATGCACCCAGATGTTTCGATCCTGGGCTGCTGTTGTGCGACCCCCACCGCGGCCTGTTCTGGCAATATTGCCGCGGCCCCTAGCAGCTGGTGGACCACCACCACGACCGCCGGCACCACCTCGACCACCATTTTGCTGGCCTCGGCCGCGCTGGTTCTGCGCACCTCTGGCAGGAGGTCCACCACGACCCCCGCCACCTCTGCCTGTTGGCGCATCCTTAGCAGCAGGCGGTGCCTTGACTTTATCCTTTCCAGAAAGCGCGTCATTTGCGTCTTTCCAGCCATTGTCGATAAACTTTTTGTCTGCTGATACGATCTTGTGCATTCCCTTTCCAGCCCATAGGTAATGTTCAAGTGGAATAGGACGCTTAGGGGTGGAGATGACATAGATGTCCTTCTTTTTCGTCCTTCCAACCCATGAGGCGAACTCATACGTGTTGGGCACAGTGGCTGAGAGCAGAATCAGTGTTACGTGCTCGGGAAGCATGATGATGACCTCCTCCCAAACCACACCTCGCTCAAGATCATTGACATAGTGGACCTCGTCAAAGATGACGTATTCAACATCTCGGATCAGATCAGCTCCACGATAGAGCATACTTCGGAGAATCTCTGTAGTCATAATGAGACAACTAGCCTCAGGTCTGATTTGTACGTCTCCAGTCAGAATACCAACATCGTCAAAAGTCTGACGGAAGTCACGGAACTTCTGGTTGCTCAAGGCTTTGATAGGTGAGGTGTAGATGGCCTTGGTCATGTGCTTTGCAGCGAGCGAGATGGCGTATTCAGCAACGACTGTCTTACCAGCTGAGGTATGGGCTGCAACAAAAACAGAGTCGCCGTTCTCGAGGTGGTAGACAGCTTCTTTCTGGAAGGTATCCAGCTCGAATGGGTACTCACGCGCCATTTCTGGCACAAGCTCTTTAAAGTTTGTGATGTCTCGATTAACATCGACCATGTGAGCCCACTCTCGCCCTCCTTTCCTGTTAGCCATGGCAAGCTGAGTGTGAGGTGCGAGGGCTGGAAATTCGACAGGTAGCAATGCATCGATTTCCTCCTCCCCGGATCCTTGTCCCTCGGCGTTTGGTGTCTCAGCTTCGTCGGTCTCGACACCATCGACAGCTTCATCATCATCTGCGTCAATGTCTTTGACAGGCGCTGCCGCTTCGCCGAGAGCATCTTCCACCTCTTTGGCAGTCTTTCCATCTGTAGCTGGCTTTTGCTTGAAATCCAAGCCGCGCGTAAATCCGGGCGCGATCTCCAAAAGGCCACCCTCGGCGCTGAAGTTAATTACACGATCGAGCCCCCCAGTCTTCTTCGCGTTAGAGCCTTCTTCCTTTAAGATCGCTTTGTCTTCGATTGCTGCGATGGCTTCGACACCGTCCAAACCTCCAGGTGCGAATGGGAAGAAGCCGGCCGCTCCACGAACAAACTCGGCCCGATTGGCAGGCTTTCTCAGGAGGGACGTGGAGTTTTTCGCAGTCGCTGAGTTTGCGGGGACAGTGACCTCTTTATATCCTGTGACGCGGCCTTCGAGACCCTCTCGAGTGAAGCGGATGATAGTGCGAGTCTGAGTAGGAGCGATTTGGAAGAGACCACGGTAATTGGTCGGTGTCTCCCATCTTTGCTGCAACTGGTTTAACCATTGCGCGTTGAAAGAGCGCGAAGGGGTCAGGAACTCGTGTTCCAATTCTTTCTTGATCGTTTCCTTCGTCTTCCTTTGTCGTTTGGGCGGTCGCTGCTCGCCTGCAATAGTGTCTATCCAGGCGTCGCCGTCGCGTCCTTCATCATACCGCAGGCGCAGCTTCTCCAGCTCTCCAGAAAGAGCCTCCATTTTTGCGCGATGGAAGCCGAGTTGAGACAGCTCTGGAGTCTGTGGCGCCGTGGAGTTGAAAAATGGTGATGACGTTGTCAATGTTTGGCACGTTGTCCAAGCGCAGCCCCACTGTGGGGTCCATCCGCGCAGCTTGCTCCCAGCCAGAAGTCATGTATTTGTTCCTGCATGAGATTTATCACATCATAATTGAGGATATATTCGTACAATCATTATTTGAAAAGACTTCTTTCAAACGCCGTGCTATGCAACGTCATAATCCGTAGGCGGCCTTCCTGTTTATAGACTGTAGCAAAGCACAGTTACCACATATCTTCCATCCCCTCCATAGCCTCCATTTCGTCCGCGAAGGGGTCGTTCTGGGCTTGTAACGTCCGTGAAGGAATCGCTGTTGGTGCCAAGAGGTCTGTCTGTCCACTGTCGGCTAGCAACGCGTCCAGTTCGTCCTCATCAGGCTCTTCGGCCTCAAGTTGCGGATGGCTGCGAGAGTTCCCAGATGCTTCGACACTAGGCTGTAGCTCCACGACTATTGCCTCTGACTCCTGTCCTTCCACAGTCTCTGTTTGATCGGGTGCAGGAACCTCGTCAGGAACGTGGACATCTAGATCGAAATCGTCCTCTTCCACAGTATGCTTCGGTTTTCCTTCGTCCATCCAAGCCTTTCTGTCCACTTGCATTCGTTTTGTGTGTCCCACCTTCTCGATGATGGCTAGCGCGTCTGCGAACTTCGCACGAGGGTAGAGGTCGTCGAGCCATAATTGGTACATGTTCAGCATGCGTGCGATGTCTCCATACTGTGGTTGTATTAGCAAACAATCGCATATCAGAGATGGATAGCTCGAACCTCATGCCCCTTGCCCTTGAAGCGCAGCCTTTCTTTGGAGATCCTCCGCAGACGCGGAATGCCTGCCTCTGAGCGTAACCTCACATCGTCGAGCTTTGGTATAGGTATGCGTTTCTTCGTGACTACGATCTCTTCATCGATACCGAGGCCTGTATCTACTTTGTTGCTAATGGTTGTGCGCTCTGGCTGCGATTGGCCAACGGGGCCATAGCCTCCTTCTGCTGCAATTCCGCTTAGGATGTCGTCTAGCTCGTCACCCGAGACTGGTTGTGGGTTTGTGGCAGCCATGTGAAGAAGAGCACAGCAGAACAGCCGCTTGTGTGAGACCTGATGTAATCGATATCAGGACGCGACGCGTGCTGGGTGACGCGCGCGGCGCTAACTAAAAGTGGATTCGATGCGCCAAGATCACTTTATTCTTGCGACAAAGGACTGGGGTCATCGGCGAACATCCAATCCACATCAACCAGAGCTAGATACCTCGTCTCGTCGCAGAGCGAAAGAGGCCCGCATAACACCAACGGCCGATAGAAGTTATTGGAAGTGAACACATTGACTCTGCGTTCCAAAACATACAGACAACTTTGCAAGAACGTGTGCCCACACTGCGTCTGTGACCACTATTCATTCATCTTCGTTTCTAGAAGATGGCTATGCAGGTTGCGAATGCGCCTCAAGGAAGTACCGCAGCACGACTGAATGAGTTGCTGCAACGCGCGCGAATCGTCAAGCCAAGCACTTCGATCGAGCCACCGCTTCAAGTCTCGGAGCTAGTGCCTGAAGCCGGGCCTCTATTCAGCGATATCAACGGCGAGAAAGAAATCTTGTCAACAGCGCTGGAGAGTGCTGCAAAGGGGGTGTTTTACGCCAATATTGTAAGCTCTTGACGCCTGCTTCAACATCGAGCTAATGCCATCAGGGGACGACCAAGATCGATGAGCCAGCGTTCGTGACAGTATGGAACTTGCTCGACATCCTGCAGTACTGTGGTGACAGAGGTATGCAGTTAGTGTGGTACTCAGCTTCTACTACAACTGACAAGCCTAGATATTTGCTCAGCACAACTGGTGCTTTTACTCGTCGAAGAGCTACTGGACAGCCAGTCACTAGCACAATGTCGAACAGTCTTCAGCTTCCTAGAGTCGCGAAGAGAGGCGATCATTGCGGTATGTTTAATCAAAACTTGAGGTTGCTGTACTGATCATTCCTTAGATAAGCTCTCAAAACAAATCCCTGGTCATCCTTCGACTGTGCAATGAGCTGTTGCGCCGATTATCTCGTGCTGAGGACCCAGTCTTCTGTGGACGTGTTTACATCTTCATGTTCCAAAGCTTTCCTCTTGGTGACAAGAGTTCGGTCAATCTTCGCGGAAACTTCCATGTAGAGAACGTGACAACATTTGAGGAGTTTCTGAACGGAACAGATGCGAATGAAGACGCCATGCAAGTCGACAGTGGCGCAGCCACCCCAGCAATCAAGACAACAGCAGAACCAGAAGAACCATCGGGCAAGCCTGCGAATGTCCGCAGAGGCAAAGAAGAGCCGCTCAAGACACTAGATATCGACACGCTATATCCAGTATTCTGGTCATTACAGCACTCATTCTCGAATCCACCCAGACTATTCGAAGAAAACAATTTTAAAGATTTCCGAAGTAGTCTGGAAGCGACACTCGCCAAATTCAAGGAGGTGCCCAAGGTGATACAATCGGGAGATGGCGAACGCAAGAAAGGACCAAAGCCCTCGTCGGGTGACAGCTATGACGCATTTGCGAACACATTCAATCCGAAGTACCTCACAAGCCGCGATTTGTTCAAGCTCGAGGTATGCATAGAGCGCCCCTCTCATCATATGCTGTGACTGACGACTTGTAGCTAAGCGATCTCGCTTTCCAGCGGCACATCCTTGTCCAAGCCTTGATTCTCATCGATTTCCTCTTGACATTAACCGAGAAGGCAAAGAGCAAGCCACTTTATCAAAATGCGCAGAAGGCTATGCAGTACAACTTCACAATGCGTGAGCAAGACGTAAGTGCCCGCCACTTTTCTCCTGATCATCCGGCATCGCCACTGGTGCGATCATCATCAGTTTACATTTGCATGTCTGACCACGAAGCACAGACCGAGTGGGCATTGGGCACCAAAACGGCCATTGCAAATTACCTGCAGGAAGGCCCAGATGGCAAATTCTACTACCGCATGGTGGATACCGTGCTTTCCCGAGACAAGAACTGGGTAAGATGGAAGATGGAGAACTGCCAACCGTTCACTCGCAAGCGGGTCGGTACAGCAGAGTTTCTGTCTTCCAAGTCTGATGCAGTACGTGCCGTAGCAAAGAAGAGGCCCAATGAGCCCACAGGCGTGCCCAGCTCTCTGAATTTCCTATACAACACAGAAGCAGAGAACGGTCTGTCACAGCTGAGGCAACGCAATCGGTATGTTCGCATCTGTATGATAGCACTCTGATATCTGAGCTTACACTTAGCAGATTTGAAGCACCAAGTGCAGAAAGCTACGCGAAGAAGGTCAAGATGATCGACTTGGATTTGGAGATGGCTAACAGTGATGCTGAGAAGCGCGAGCTAGAGGACAAGAAGTCGAGCTACATCTGGAGAGGACTTCGCGCGGCATCTCAAACACAGCTGAGCTTGTTCGACAAGATGGAGCATGGTAAAGGACTGGAGGCTCTCCAGCCGGCTCCTTCTCCATATGAAATTGCAGGCGACAATACCGCGCCCACTGCTACGGAAGACAGGGGTGCAGCTCCGCTAGGAGAACAGCATAGCGTCGAGGAGCAGCGGGCCGAGCAACAAAGTCAAGTGACAGCAGATACAGAGATGAGGTAGCCAGCAGGGGCGTAGTCGCCGGTACGAGATTGGCGCGTCATCTGGGGTGCTTGACATGCAGTTTCCTTCGTGTTCTCCGCCCCTTTCTGACGATGTGCATTGTGGGGAGAGGCGTAACGCCCGGTTGATAAAGAAAACACGGTGTAGACGAGAGACGAATGGGGCACAGCCAGTCATCATACATGTCTCCGAACGATGGTTGAGGTACCAATTGGGCCGTCAGCAGGCTGCTTCACAGGCTGCGGGACGGCGCCACAGTATATACAACGCCACGATCTGCAGCTCCAGAGATGAAGCGCACATCCGAGAGGACTGGACCGCCGTGCCTGGCGAGACATTGTGTCATTCCCGGCGGTGCAGAAATGAGCTGGACAGCGAACACAGCGAGTGCCGCTACCAGCTAGGATGGCAGCAGGCGGGTATGGGCCGTGTTGCCAGTCATTGGCCCAAGTTTGAGTTCAAACACTCCACGTACGTGGGCGACGCTGCGGTTTCCCGAAATGAAGGGACCTTGTCTTACCTGTCACAACGTTTTCAAGTGCGGACAGAGGCATTGTCAGTGTTCTGGCATAGCGCTGCAAAGCGTCGTCTCCACACAGCAGCGGCGTTTCCGCGTACCAGTTGCCGGCTTTATCGATAGATTTTCAATGCAATGGGAGCAGGAAAAGCCGACGCGGGCGTTTCTCAGACTGAACATCTTCTGCCGACATTAGCATGCTATCCATGCGTGCATCAAACCCGCACGCTCGCTGCTGTCCACCAATGGCCCGCCAAAATCTCCGTGGCGGTTTCGCGTTCGATGCTGGGTGGGCGGATGAAAGCGGGTAGTAAGATGACAGGAGCACTGCTTGGCACGTGTTTTGCAAATGGACCGCGAGGCCGGTCTCGGCACCGACTGATGCTCGAGATTGCGTACGCCAGCAAAAAGCGGTTTCTGAGTTTCCTTTTGCGGTGCGAAACATGCCAAACGGCCCAAACACTGGCCGCCAACTGTGTGCTTCACGGCAGTGTCGTGCAGTCTAGCGCGCTCAGGCAGTGACGCCGCCGCCAGTGCCGACGAGCACAGGTCGACGACAGACTCGCAGCACACCGCACCCAGCGCTCGGCTGTTGTCGCTGCATTCTACTGCAGCACTACACCCCATGTGCGCCGGGCTGGCCAGCTTGTTCAGGCACGGGTGATGACTTTGTTCGGCCTGAGCGTTGCTGATCCCCGCGGAAACTTGGAAGGGGTGGCTGCACTGACCTGCGCTGGCCTGCGCTGGCCTGCACTGACTGCGATCTCAACGCGGACCCACCTGCCTATCCTTGACGTCCCCTGCAACGCGCCTTCGCGACATTGTGGCAGCCTCACGCCGCGAACCCGACGGGCGTCTGGACTCTGGATGCTGAATCCTTGTGCGTGGGGCCCTGTTGCGAAGTGTTACGTCGACGGCCACGGCTGTCAGAGCCACCGACAGAGGGCCGGTGTTGCACCATGTTGGAGGAGCTTCGAGAAACACGATCCCAGTGCGGCCCGAAGCTTTTCGCCGTTGGATCCTCCAGCCAGATCGTTCACTGCACGCGCTACACATTGCAGCCGAAGTGCTAGGCGCTCGACCACAGGCGACTACTCGTGACTACACGGCGCCCGCTACGACTGATCGCGCAGGTGTGTAGCCAGCTCGTGCCAGCCCAGCACCAATCCAGTTAACCGCTGCCTGCTGGCCGCGAGGGTATTCACGCCGTGAATTCATGCGTCACCGGGCGCGATGGGCGGCTCGAGAGAACAAGGCTGATGCAGCGCGTTCCTGACGCAATCTCGCGGGCCACAGCCGTTATGAGACAGCTGCCAAAGGACGCTCCAAAGCCACCGCCGCACACATGCGCCCATGTGGACCGCTGTGAAAGCGCTGGTTACTCAACAGTAGCATGCACTGAGCACGCTGCACATGCGCGGCTAGCAACACACCTGTCCTCAGTCCGACCTCACCACCACCACTTCGTTCGCCCACGGCGCAGACTAAAGCAGCTTCAACCAAGAGACCCCGCAAAGAAGCGTTGCCGAGCCCTGTAACCCTGTCGTATTGATCCCTGCACACTCTTGCTGCGTGTCCCTGGAGCTCCCGTTGTGCTTAGGCCAATGATGGCGCCGCCATCTGGCTTGATGGACGCCACGGATCATGCCTTGCTCGTCGGCGGTTTCTTTGCCAGGACCCTGGTCGTCTGCAAGCAGCCCTCCATGTTCACGCACTGCTCACGGTCCTCTTCGTGAGGGCCCCCTGGTTCCCAGAGCACCTGATCCAGACACCATCGATTCGCCCGCTCCCGCTCCGTCTCTCCTTCACGTCCCGAGCTACCATATCCCTGTGTCTTGGACCTTTCGGGGGCTTACTCGCCCTCGACGTTAGTCACGCTTCTTGTCGTGCAACGACTTGCTTCTAGATTTCCCTAAGAGTGACCTTAGTCCATGCGTGTTCCTACCCCAGTCCTCACACTTTCTCAAAAGCTCGATTTATCCGGATCGCCCTCAGTAAAGTGCCGTCAAGCCTTTCCTGTCTGAATGATCTGTTCCCCTCACCCTACTGTTTTCGCTCAAGCACACTCCGGGCCCTAATCCTACTTACAAAGGGTGCCCCGTCGCCGAATGCTTCCTGTCCATTCGAGCTAGCCATCTGCTTATCACCATACTCGACCTCATCGCCAACCGTCTCACCACCTTATCAGATCAAGACGTCTCTCCAGCATTCCATTGGACCTCCCTCTCCATAAAAATCCTGTCTACACCCAGCCTTACCAAGCCATCCACCCATCGACACTGGTCACTGTGGGTCGTTACGCTACTAACCTTTGCCACTTCTTGTACATCCCACAAGTTATTGGCGGCCGAGGCTTGAATCCTGGCCGTGCAACCAGGTATGTTCTGCTCGTTCGCCAGACCAGTTGCTGGTGATGGTTACCTTGTGCTAACCAGCAGCAGCTACACAGCCAACACTACTCTCCCTCTATAGTCTCTCTTTGCGAAAAGCGCCAATGATTGACGGAATTTTTAACGTTCCCTTGTCTCCCCCTACTTCGCCGCGCAATTCTGCGTACGGCACATCCATTGTCGACAACGAGTGGCAGACTTCCAGCTCTCGGACAGAGGAGCACACTCCGCCACACTCGGACTGCGACATGACTGTTCTCCAGATCGAAGATGCCAGTAACACATACGATCTCAAGCGACCCTCAATACGATCACACAAGAGTTTCCCTTACCTTCTCGACAGCAAGTCACATCTTACCAGCGGCGCTAACTCACTCCCAACGGTGAACGAGATTGAGCCGCACGACTTGCCCACTGTAACTTTTGGTGGCTCAGCCCCCACTAGTCCGATCTCAAGGCTGACTCCCCCGTCAACTCATGATGGGACTGTTGAGAAGGTTGAAGATGAGGGTGATGACATCTTATCAGACGAGAAGGACGATGCTGCTGATAGCGACGTCAACGAGGATGATCGACCCATGACGGCTGCCGAGATCCGAGCGGCAAAGCGCAAGATGAAGAGGTTCAGGCTCACGCACAACCAAACCCGCTTCCTCATGAGCGAGTTCGCCCGTCAAGCCCACCCAGATGCCGCTCATAGAGAACGTCTGTCCCGCGAGATCCCTGGTCTCAGCCCTCGGCAGGTGCAAGTTTGGTTCCAGAACCGGTAGGCAGATTCTTTTCGATCACTGCATTTCTTACTAACGACAGTACAGACGAGCGAAGCTCAAGCGTCTCACTAGCGACGACCGCGAACGCATGATGAGATCGCGAGCTCTTCCAGACGACTTTGATATGGCACAGGCTCTCCATGCACCGTTTGGAAATGCACACGGACTTGGAACACCGCTCGCTTCCCCAGCTGCGTTTGGTCAAGGCTTCCCTGAAAGTGGTATGATGCGACCTCTCAGCATCGACACTCTACGACGACAGGGTCTTGATTCTCACATGTCACCAACAGGAATCAGCCCTGCTTTTGGTGGATTTTCGTTCACACCACCGCAATCTGCGACTGACACGCTGTCCCCCGTTTCAGCTCACGATTCGCCTTTTGGCTTTCCTTCCGCCCCTCTTGATGCCAGCCCCAGGACGTCAAACCCATTCTCCATTCCAGTCAGCACACCCACATCATACTCTTCTCAACATACTATTCCACGCCTCGCACTCCACTCCGATCGCATTTCCAGACCGCGCGCTGGCACACTCGACTCGCCACTTCGCACAAGCATGAGCTACTCCCACACCAGCGATGCAACCCAGACATCAATGGACTCCAACAGCCACTCCGATGTTTCGCGATCGTTCTCGGGCTCGATGATGCCGTATGGCATTGGTTACTCTTGTATGTCGGTCTAAAACACACCTTGCAACACAAAACTAACAAGAATAGACGCCCCTGTCCCCGGTTTCCAAGCCTCCAGCTCACACAGGATGCGCTCGTTCTCCAATGGTGTGCCCAGACGCATCGAACTGAGCACTCACTACACTCCAAGCCGTACCGTATCTACTCCACAGACCGCCCAGTTCCCATCGTATTCCAGCGCACCACTTGCCACGCCTGTTTCATACGGTATGCCTCAGTTGAGTGCACCACACCATCTATCCAGTTTCTCCAACTCGTATCTCCGAACCGACTCTGCGCACAACGACAGCTACTCTGGCGTCGGCTCGTCCCTGCGAGACATGCTCGAGCACGGCGACCACGGGCACGACGATCACAGCTACTGATCTTTGACTTGTCACAACATGCTTTTCATACCGGCGTTCAGCGTATCATTGGGTGGGAAAATTGTCTATTGGAGCAACTAAGGGCAAAGCGTTGTCTAGGCTTTTATGACTTTACGGCTTTTTAGGCAGTGCACTTTTTGAACATCACGCAATCTTCTGCGGCTGTTGCCTGGCCGTTTATTCTTCTGCTTTGTTGGCTGGCCTTGTATGGGTATCCTTTTGGGTTACGATCTTCCGACAGGTTCGGGCTTTCAAAGTTGGTAACCTTTCACCGGAGCGAATGGCGCTTCTGGTATACCCTTCGTGTATGTATCTTGGTAACCTACTTCTTCTTGTTCGTTGTTTTCACGGAAATACATTGTATTGCCCATTATGGAGTTGCGTAGGCTACCTGATGGATCTGATCATCGCAACACCTCCCCAATACAATCAATATAGAGAATCCATCATGACTACCGATCAATGCAAGGTGCCTTACAGTCAAGTCCCCCTTTAGGTACCCCTCCCCCCTTCACGCAAAAAAACTCATACGATCATCATTCTCAAGGCAGCTGCTGGTTGCAGGTGTTCATCAGGAATGACGTCCCGGCCTCCTCGATTATGAGCAGGGTGATGACAACGCGTACCTGCACTAATGGTCTTACCTTACTCGTGCCTCTGTTTGTTCCTGCGGTTAGCCTGCGGTCAGCCTGCACCACAGCCAGGGGGCTAGCTAGCCCGAACACAAAGGCATAGGAGCAAAACAGCAGCAAACTCGAGCGTCCACATGATGCTGGTCGCTGGCCGGTGATAGCCCCGCCGTCTGCCCCCGGACAGCACATGCACCGAAGTTTCGCTTGCGCATCGTCGACAACTCGCAAGGGCTTGCTTTGCGCACACTGGCTGCTGCACCCATGTCACCTGCCGCGCAACCGCTTCGCGGATCCAACGGCGTGCCTGCGCATCGCACCTTGAATTCTATTCACCACCCCCCTCTCTCGATGTTGCTGTCTAAGAAGTTTGTCACCACGCTACACACTAACGCCTCGCCCGTTCAGGCCTTCACACCGCCACACACTGCATTATCCGTCCGCCGGCCTAGCACCCTCCGCTGTCATCGCCGCATCACACGGCGAGCCCCAAACCGTGTAATGCAGACCATACCCCGGACTGGCGACGATCACCGGCCTATCAGCCGGCGGGGCAGCATCGACACAGGCTGCTCGCCGCGCGCAAAACTGGGAATGCGAAGCCGATAGCCCAATGGGCGGGCGCGCTCGCCTGCCCAGCATCGATTTACCCTGAGCCTAGGATCTGCTCGAGCGTCTGCTGCTCAGCCGCGGGGCGTCGAGAGCTCGCCCTGCGCCGCTAGGATCAGAGTCACTTGCGCAATCCGCGCTCCCGCCAGCCCAACACGCGCCGTTTGATGGGCGGGCGCTGGGCGCGGCGAGGCTGGCCGTCGGCGGATTGGAGGAATCCCAGCGCGTGGCTGGACGGCCGCGGGCGTGGCTGTCGATTCCACCTCTTGCACATGCAATCTGCAGAGGGGCAACGTGGTCGGCGAGGGCAGGGCATGGCGGGGAACCAGCGTTCCACGTTTTTGTCCCCCGCAGAGCGGAGCAAATGAGTAGTCTGCAGCATCGGACGACCCCATGGATGGGCATCGGGATAGTCGTCGAGACGTGCTGCCGGCGAGGAACCCATGACTCGGTGCTAGGACCCGCGGCACAAGTCCCATATCATGGGGTTGCTCAGTTGCTGGCTGCTGCTGGTCACTGTCCAAACTCGACCAAGCTCTCATGGCAATTTAGCCACTGGCACACCAAGCCTCATGCTTTCCCGCCGCAAAAAGCACGCCGTGCATTGCAAAAGTGCAACCCTCGGTTCCTGGAGCTAGAAGCCGAAATTGAGCAGGACCGCTGGGCCGTTCCGTCTGGGGTAAAGTGTGGAGAAGCGCTGCTGCAGGCTGCAGGTGTTTATTGAGATGAATGATCATGCGGAGGCGAAGAGGCTGACGCCGGTGCCAGAGGAGGGCTGGCCGTCATCGAAGCTTTGGAGATGTCGATGTGCAGCGATCCTCGCGTGGCTTGCTGTCACACTGGCTTGACAGCTGTACGGACGTCTCTTGTGGCGGGCTAGGAACGCGACGAAGCTGACTGGCGACATTGCTCGCTTGCCACTGTCGCGAGCAGCTGGTGTACACCCGCGGCGCGCAATTGGCCGCAAGTCGGTCACAGCTCTCGGGTCAAAGAAGCGCAGAGCCGTGACGATGTAAGTTTTCGATAGTTTGATGATGTGGAGCTTGGTGTGCTTGTGTCGCCTGCCGCAGTTGCCCTATGGATCTACCCGGCCACAGGACTCGATGGGAGGACGTTGAATTCCTCCGATGTCGCGGCGCGTATGGCGGCGGCGCAGCACGCAGCTTGCACGCCCTGCCGTTGTTGTGTTCTCGCTTGGCTATTAGGGTACGTACCGAGATTCCTTGTCTGTGCGGCTGGCAAGGGAACCGTCGTAGGCTGCTAGGAACGCATCGAGACTTTCCTGTTCGGGAGCCAGGATTCGTCCGGTTGGACGGAAGGTTTCGTGAATGTGACGGGCTCCGCATTACTGCGTTTGCGTCATTGCATGTGCTCCATTGGCGCCCAACGCGTGCATGAAATGAAGGTGTGGACTCCAGGGCTAGTAGGAAATGAGAAGCAATGAAGATCCGGGGTTTAAACGGTCAGCCTCGTGCAATCTCGCACACGCGAGCTGTGTACATGCAAGTTGGCGGAACGACGAGGACTATCAGCCGGTCATCTTGCACCACCATCGTGAAGCTCCTTCTGGTCGTTTGCAGCATAGTTTCCGAGAGTTCCCTGCTCCCTCCCCTTTCCTGGCGACTCAGTACCTCCCTGCCCAGCCGGTGGAACTCGGTTCTTCGGTTACGAGATAGAAGTACCTCGTCGGCCGACGGCAATCGTTGCTTTTCCTGATGTAGACCGGAGTGTAGTCGAATGCGCTAACACTATTGGTGGAACCGGAGCACAGGCAGTTGCACTCACGTGTAGTCATGCGGTACTTTTGACGTCGCCGGCTTGTGCACTTCACATGTCGGTTTAAGACTCGGTTGGGCTCTGGGCAGAGAGAAGAGCGCTGTCATGGACACGATGCAGGCTCAATGCAGGCTCGATGCATCCGGGGTCAACATGTACCGAGGCGATGACAGCACGAGCAGGCATACGTGCATGCCGTTGCCGTACCACCTACGGCATCTGGTACTCCAAGCGCCGCCTTATCGTAAACCTTCCTTTTTGATCCGCCAGCAGCGCGCACACAAGTACAGCACGAAACGCAAAACCGTTGGATGTTGGGTTTGACTTTCGACCTGCCTTTTTGCTCCACCAGCGGCGGTCGAAGGATCAGAAGGGTTGCGCGAGGCGCCTCTAGTGCCCGACAGCATCATGCAACCTTGAGCTGTGCAGCTGCATGCTCATGATTCGCGAGACTGCGCCCCAATACGACAGCCGATGTTCGTATGACGGTGGGCGCCGCGAGCTTTTCTCGACCGCAGCCGTAAAAAAAGTACACGACACGGGCGCCGCTGAGCGCTGTGGGCGCAAGCGCAAGCCAAGAGGAGGGTAAGCAGCAATGGCGAGAGGTGGACATTTTCGGGCCGTAAATGCTTCGGCGGATTCCATCCAGCAGATTTGCCTCAAAAGCTGACATCAGGAGGTCACCGATGTGTTAGGGCTGTGAAGAAACACTGTGCTTGTAGCGCCTTGTCCGACAAACACCAAAACGGCCAGCACAGCCCGAGCACAGTGCTCGTATTGGCCTGCAGGTCGACGTTATCTGAGCGCCTCCCCCATTTGACGAAGAGACCGCAGCTAGCGCACGATGGGCGGTTCTTTCGGAGTCGCACTGAGGTTCGTATTGTACAAGGTATGTCGCCAGGCCTCAAATCCTTTGCTTCTGATGGTTCGGTGCATCACCTGTGTGCCTGACAATGGAGTGCACTGCACAGCCGCTTGGCCTGCCGGTCGATCTTGATCCTGCTGTGTATCCGCGTCAACCCGCGGGCCGGTGCTCTTGCTCCACGGAGGCAGCACCGTTTTTGTGCTACGCTCGCTGTCAGCGTTCGTCCGTAAGACGCAAGTTTTCAGGAGATCTGTGTGTTGTCTAGCACTAGCATTTGTTTGTACGCTAAACTACATCTCCACATGTTGTACAACGACTAACTCTTGTCGTAACCTGCTCAGATCTACCTACACTATATGTTGAGGCTCAGCATCGGAATACTTGCGGTCCGTCCCTGCGTCTCGGTGAATTGTGGGACTCGCCCTGTTCTTCTATTCGGGCCTCACCATCTATTTCTTGTCAGGGAGACCTTGTTGATGTTGCTGAATTACTCGTTTGAACGTACGATGATCAGGTGTCCTATTCTGCATCAAGATTGACTGCTTTCGCGGTTGCGGGAGAAATGCTACTTTTGTCTCCCATCACCAAGCCTGTCTTGCGCTTGACAAGCACAAGATGATCAGGACTAGCCTTCTGACTGCTTATCCCTGTCTACCAGGGCTCACCGGAAGTCCTTGAAGGCCCTCGTCCCTTGTGGGGTTTTTCTTAGGTTTTGTCCTTTAACTGCTTTGCAGCACCTGCACCGAAGGCCGATCAAACACTGGCAAGAATGGCGCGAAATACAGACATGCTGCCCTAGCTCGATATTGCCAGAGCCGGCTCTCTAAGGTCACTAAGTCCGGACACTTTTGGGGGGACGAAGCATCTGAGCTTCTCCAGCATTGGAGAAGGTGCACTCAAGTTCAGGCTGTCAGCGGTGTTGTCGAAGCATTTCTTACATGTTGGAACTGAGCTTTGAAGGACGTGCACAAAGACGGTTGGCTCGTACTGAACTAAGTGGCTCGCTTGTAGCCGGAGCTGTCGAAGTATCGCAACGGCTCGATTGGCGAGTATGATTCAGATCATTTGAGGGTCTGGTTTGTGTGACCTGAAATGGATTGCGATTGCTGAAGTCAGGATGTCAAACGGAAGACCTACTCAGGAGCTACCACGGCGAGCATCTGTCAGCACCGGTGATGACTGTCAACGGTGTATGTACTCTTGGAAGAGCATGTCGAGGTAGCACTGCCACGCCAGAGCTTCGACGCTCCCCGCCGTTGATTGGGGGATGTGAATGCTGGCTCACGATCTAGGCAACAACAGTGGTGACAGCACTCCAAAATAAGGCCAATGTGAAGGAGTCAGACTTGCAGTCAACGGTCACCGGATTCCGCTGCCTGTGAACCATCAGGGCTGACGATCTTGACTCACAGCGCGCATCTGTGCACCTTCCAGAAATCTTGAGATGTTCAGCGTGTTGCGCTAGCGGAGTAGAGTTGCAACAGGCTGATTGGCCAGTGAAGTGACAGTCTGACGAGGAGGCGTCATACTCTGCATGAACTTGCAGCAGTACGTCAACTGTTGGGGACGTCGCTCGATGACGGCAAGCAAACAGATGCAAAGCCGCAAGAGCGAGCTGGTGCTGTGCGCAGCGAGGGCTGGAGGCAACACGGCACAGGGCCCATTGTCTGCCACAAGCCACCGCCCAGCGCTGCTGAGACAGTGCGACCAGGCACAGAGCTGGAGGACCGTGCTATCTCTGTTTGGAGGCAGTTTCCACGCACCTGGTCCGAGTCTGCCGACTGCGACTGCGCGCAGGGCGTTGGCCGCAAGACACCTCTGCCTCACTTGGCCGCGTTTGCTGCCGGCGAGGGCTGCTGGCGCTGCCCGCTGGCGCTGCCCGCTGGCGTGCCAGGCGCGGAAAAGGAAATCACAAATCACAAATGACGCCCCTGTGCAGCCCGTCCGTGCTGGCAGGCGACGGCAAGTGCAGTGATGTGTTGCGCCGCGCAGTGATGTGAGGAGCCCCACGCGCAGTGCGGGCAGGCGCGAGCTCGCCACGGCCGCAGAGGGCAGCGGCGTGCGGCGCAGACTCAGCAGACTCAGCGCAACGCAGCGCAGACAATGGAGCAGTGAGGGTGACTGTTGCGGCGGGCTGCACGGCGGCGGAGGACGCAGCGCAGGCAGCGGCGCGCGAATCACATGCGGGCGAGGCGTCCCTGGACCAGACGGGCACTGTGGATGATCCCTGTGGCTCGCTAAGGCGAACTCAACTTGGGCGAACAATTTTCAGAACGCCTCTCTCCCTTCACACCTCTTCATCGCGAAGACCTCACCCACATCACGCAGCGGGCTCAGTGCATTTCACGCGAGCCGCTTGCCGAATTCACAGCCGCGTCTGTTGAAATTCCCCCGCGGAGCACCTGTCACGACTTTCACGCCTGTGAAACTGCTCGGACAGCCTCCCCCGTCGCCCAACCCGGAGCCGACCTGCCCACCGCGCCCTCTCCCGCCTCGAGTCGCCCCCGCGCCGACTTGTGCAGCCGCCCGCGCCGAATCTGAGATTCGCCAGCACCCCGCCTCTCCAGCAGCGACTGCGCCAGCACTCGCCGCTTCGCCCGCCTCGCCCGCCCGCTCGCCCGACCGCATCCCCCCGGTCCCCATGAGTGCATCCGCCGCCCACGCGCAGAACCACCCGACAGCCGCCGCCTCGACCGCCCCGCCCGCGAACCGCTCCTCGTCTGGACCGTCCGCCACCGTGGCCGCTGGTCAGGCCCCGCCCACTGCCCGCAGCTCGTACGCCAACGCGACCAAGAAGATCTCTTCTCCGACGATCGCGTCCAGCGGCGCGCCCGCGGCAGTGGGAGCCCCGCCGAGCGCACAGCATGGCAAGAGCAGCTCCGTGTCCCCGGTGAACGGCAGCAGCATCACGCCCGCCGTCCCCGCCATGCCCGCCATTGTCGGCGGCCCCAACGGCGACCACAGCCGCAAGTCGTCGGTGCACATCAAGCAGACCCCGCCCACCTCGGCCGCGCCCTCGAACATCAAGTTCGGCTCGCTGGCCTCGCCCGCCCCCGCCCCCGCCATGCCCGTGGCCCAGGGCAGCAGCCTGAACCCGCAGGCCCAGAACCCGCGTGTCGCCTCGCCCGCCCACTCGCCCTCGCCCATCCCCACGCCCGTGTCTGGCGGCCCCAAGCCTGACGGCCTGCCCACGCGCCCCAACCTGGTCTTCGGCGGCCAGGGCAGTGAAGGCGCCGACGTGAGTGTGCCCCCACTTGTGCGCGCCCGTGCGTGGCTTTCACCCGCCGTGCGCGCTCCACTTATTCCTCCCACTTTGTACTGACGCGAAATTTCAGTCTCGCCCCGCTATGCCCGCCCAGCCCAACGGCCCCCCGCACATGCGCCGTGAGTCGTCCCAGTCCAGCAACCAGGGCTTCCAGCCAAACGGCGGTCGTGGCCGTGGTTTCCAGCCGCAGCCCTACAACCAGCCGTCGCCGCAGCCCTACCGTGCCATGCCCAACCAGCCCATGGGCGGACGCGGCATGCCGCCGGCCTTCACCCCCCAGGGTCTGCAGAACTCGCCCTACCGCAACTCGCGCCCCAGCCCTTCCATGGCACCTGCGCAGATGCAGCAGCAGCAGCACTTTGCTAACCCGCAGGGCCAACCCTTCTACCCCGGACAGCAGTACCCGCAGCAAGTTCGTATCCCTTCTCATACCTCCAACACTCCTTCAGCTTCAGAGCGCAGCAAGTCAACTGATCTCGCGGCTGTATCTCGATCTTCTCAGCTTTCTCATGTTCGTTCGACAAACCTGACGGAGCTTGATTTTCAAGCGCCTGACGACGCGTCGAACGCTTTCTTACACTCTCTCGACTTTACCTCATTTACAACGCAGCAACGCGAACAATATCTAACGACCTTGCCACAGCAAAACATGTACGGTATGCCTCCCCAGGGCCTCGACCCGTACAACAACTACTACGGTCAGCCAGCGTACGGACTCTCGCAGTCCATTCACTACCCTGGTGTTCCTAACAGCCCTGGCCGTGGTCATGGTTTCCCTCAACAGATGCAGAACCCGTACTCGATGCCTGTTCCCTACGGCCAGCCTCCTCAGGCGCAGGGTATGTCGCGCACACCGTCGCAGATGTCTGAGCGCCCGCCGTCTGCTGTTCCTCAACCGTCGACCCCCGCGATGACTAACGTCAACCACCACGCACACACTCCCAGCGTTACATCCGCCAGCCCGGCACCAAGCTCGAGCGCTTTCGAGCGCCCGAAGAAGAAGAGCGCTGCTATCATCATCAAGAACGCAGATGGCGAGGTCGTCGACTTCAACAAGCCCAAGGGTTCCAGCTCGCCTGCACCTAACGCTGCCCCCGCTGCCCCAGTCCAGTCCAAGTCTCCTGCTATTGCTGCCACTCCCACACCACCTCCTCGCGCTCCCAGCGCTTCAGATGCTACTCGCACTGAGGAGGCACCTGTCAAGTCCGCGAGCGAGAAGAAGGCCGACTTCGTCAAGCAGTTCCAGGAGAAGCTCCGTCTTCAAGAGGAGGCTGACAAGAAAGCCAAGGAGGACGCCGACAACGCTGTCAAGGCTGCCGCCGAGGCTGAGCAGAAGAAGAAGGATGACGCCAAGGCTGCCGAAGAGAAGGCTGCTCAAGAGGCCAAGGCTAAGGAAGAGGCTGCCGCCAAAGCAGCCCAGGAAGCCAAGGAGGCTGAAGAGAAAGCCGCACAGGAGGCCAAGGACAAGGCTGCAAAGGAGGCCAAGGACAAGGAAGAGGCCGCCGCAGCCGCGAAGTCTTCCGAGGCAGATGCTGCTGAGAAGAAGCGTAAGGAAGAAGAGGAATTCGAGCGCATGATTGCCGAGATGGAGGCCGAAGAGGCCAAGCGAGAGGCCGATGAGAAGAAGTATGCCGAGGAGCAGAAGATCAAGAAGGCCGAGGAGGCAGCCAAGGCTGGCGACAAGATTAAGCAGCAGGAAGAGGCTATGCGCAAAGCTGAGCGCGAAGCCGAGGCTGCCGAGATCGCTCGCCAGAACGAGACACCTGAGCAAAAGGCCGAGCGCGAGGCCAAGGACAAGGAAATGTTCGCTTCGTTGAAGAAGAACACCATGTTCGGTCCTGGAGCTACTGGTGAGGAACCTAGCGAGGATGCTGCACCTCCCGCAGCTGCTCCTGCCCCTGTAGCTAAGCCAGCGTCTGCTACGAAGCCAAAGCCGGCTGCTCTCAAGCTGGAGACCAACAAGCCTATCGAGCCTGCGCAGCCTACCGCTGGTATGGAGTCCCTCAAGACTGCCCGCTTCATCGCCATCCGCAACGAAGCCATCAACTACCCCGAGGGCATTCAGTCTCCTAACCCTGCATTGAACCAGGGTTCCAAGAGCAGGGGTCGCCAGTACGACAAGGACTTTTTGCTCCAGTTCCAGGAAGTCTTCAAGGAGAAGCCGTCAGTTGACTGGGACTCCAAGCTCAAAGAGACCGTTGGTGATGGATCCGACTCTGCTCGCACTCCCTCCGTCCGTGGCACTACTGGCCGTGCTCCTTCAGGCCGCTCTGGTTTGGGTGGCGCCGGTGGCATGGGTAACTTTGGCCAGGGAGGTGCATTCAACGCACGTACTCTGCCGCCTGGCACCACCTCAGAACAGCGCTTCCAGCAAGCCTCTGGTCGTGGCCCCGGCCCGATGACCAACCCTCTTGCACCCTTCGTTCAGGGCGGCAGCCAGCGTGGCAGCTTCCCTATGGCACCTGGAATGTCTCGTTCATCGTCATTCCAGCCCGGTCCCAACTCTCCCCGGGTTGGTTCGCAGGGTGGCCGTGGTGACCGCAGCCGTCGCGGCGGTGGTGGTAACAAGGGCGGCCGCGAGTCAGACGCTAAGACCATGCCTCTTACTGCTGGTAAGGAGCTTAAGGGCCTTGAACAGTCGTCGACCGGATGGAAGCCTCACGGTTCCGAGAAACAGGTCGCCACAGGTCACATGGCTCCTGATATGGTGCAGCGCAAGGTCAAGGCTGCTCTCAACAAGTTGACACCTGACAAGTTCGACAAGATCTCAGACCAGATTCTCGAGATTGCTGCCCAGTCTAAGGACGAGACTGACGGTCGCACGCTCCGCCAGGTCATTCAGCTTACGTTTGAGAAGGCTTGTGATGAAGCTCACTGGTCTTCCATGTACGCCAAGTTCTGCTTCAAGATGCTGAACACCATGAGCCACGACATCAAGGACGAGAATGTCCGCGACAAGGCTGGCAACCCCGTCGTTGGTGGAGCGCTGTTCCGCAAGTACCTGCTCAACCGCTGTCAGGAAGAGTTCGAGCGTGGTTGGGAGGTCAACCTTCCCGACGCGCCCGAGGAGGGCAAGGAGGCCACCATGCTTTCGGAAGAGTACTACATTGCCGCTGCCGCCAAGCGTAAGGGTCTCGGTCTGATTCAGTTCATCGGTGAGCTTTACAAGCTGGGCATGTTGACGCTCCGTATCATGCACGAGTGTGTTCTCAAGCTCTTGGACTTTGAAGGCCTGCCAGATGAGTCTGCCATTGAGAGTTTGGTTAAGCTTCTGCGCACTGTTGGTGCCACCATGGAGTCCGCCGAGGCCGGTCCTAAGATGATCAATATGTACTTCGAGCGGGTTGAGAAGGTCATGAACATGGAGGGTCTCAACTCCCGTCTGAGGTTCATGTTGTTGGACACCATCGACATGCGCAAGTCCGGCTGGCAATCCAAGGATATCCTCAAGGGCCCCAAGACCATCGCCGAGATTCACCAGGACGCCGTTGCCGCTCAACAGGCTGCCGAGATGGAGCGATCCCGCTCGCAGCGTGGCGGAGGTGGTGGCCGTCTCCCTATGGGGCGTGGCGATGCACGCTCGTTCTCTGGTGGTGGCATGATGCCTCCTCCGGACAACGGTGGTCGTGTACAGATGGACGATCTCCGCAAGCTGTCCAAGGGTGCGTCTAACCGTGGGCTCAACAACGCCGGTTCGCTCGGCCCCTCGATGCTGGGTAGCCGCAGTGGCAGCCGTCGTGGTCTCGGTCCCGGTATGATGGGCCGTGGTGGTGATGAGTCTGGTAACTCGTCCCGCACTGGCACTCCCCCAGTTCAGAAGGAGAAGTCCACCGCACATGCGAATGCTTTCGAGTAAGTCACAGCTACGATGTCCAATGAGATATATGCTAACAATCCCAGTGCGCTAGCAGCCCTTGAAGCTGAAGACAACGCCGGCGAAGTTGGCTCTCCTCCACCGGCTGCCGCCGAGACGGAATCCAAGCCGTCCGAGTGATTACCTTCTACTTCGTTCCAGCGCGTGGCGGTCATACCCATAGACAGCACCACACGCGGTAATCTAATCGCTTGTTTCGTTGCATAGACAGGGGCATTTTCTGCGCGCATTGTACTGCATTTCGCATTAAGACTAGCGGGGTCAAAAGTTCTTTGTTGTCGATACATGGGTTTGAGAGGATGGTGGTGTTTTTCATCTCTCGCCCTGTATCATGAGGGGGTACAATACCATGACGGCGTTCCGGATTTGCAAGGCAGCCAACCACGCCGACCGCTTCTCTGCGTCTTGGGTGGTATCTTTTGGCTCCTGGTTCTAGTACCCATTCCTGACTTTTCGTTCCTGCACATTTTTGACTTCAGGTACGAGTGGGGGATGTTTCATGACGCGTTCTTCGAGTGCAGTTCTCCCAGGTCGCGATGCATTGAAGCATATGGATTTGCCTCGGCATGACCTACGAATGCGACATGATGGGAGGATTTATGAGAGATGGCAATTTTTTCGTGTGCATAGCTCGATCTAATTCAGAATGAACCGATATCTTCATGCAAGTCATTTCGTGATCTGGCCTTCGCCGTTGAACCTCCCGCCCTGTGGGGCCCATCCCTGTCGATGATGGAAGATCGTCCTGTAAGCCGATGCTCTCAACCACTGAACGTCGACGATCGATGCTTGTTGTACGGGAGAGGGGTCGCAACAGTGGAGTGCACCTCGACGTCATACAGGCAGCAACATAAATAGCAGAGGCAGTTGCGAATCAACCCAGTCAACATACAAAACAACGACCTGCCCAACCCACTCAAACAACAGACCACTCAACAAACCATTCAAGCAATCGACTCACGAAATATGTCCGACCAGAACCAGCAACATCAGTCCAAGGGTACGTAGCAGCTTCCACATCATCTCACCAGAACCACTGCACTTTCCAAGTAGCAATATGGCGCCGACGCAGCCACACTCACGTTCGAATTCAAGACTGACAATGCCAGGCTTCTTCGGCACCGCAGCAAGCGGCCTCGGTACGTTCTCCTGCACGCATCGACTCTGTACATTGTCGATCTACATACCCGCACAGAGCATCTACGCACACAGGAAATGCTAACTAAACCCTAGGAAACACACTCGGCGCTGCGACCAACACCATTGGTAACGGCGTGGGTACCGTGACAGATGCCGCGGGCAACGTTGTCGCGGCTACAGGGAAGGGCGTCGGTGATGCTGTGACGGGAGTCTCTAAGGGCGTGGGTGACACCACTAAGGGTAGGTGAACCCCCGTGTTGAGAAGTGCGAAGAACTGACGGTGTTTAGCTGGTGGCAACTTCGTCAAGGACACAGGGAGGAGTGGGACAGACAGCGTTGGGCTGACAGAGAAGGAGCAAAAGTAGCAAGGCTCTGGGGGAAGAGAATGGCGGAGGTGACTGCTTAGAGCAGGAGCGTGCTGAAACTCGGGTGCCCTGTGTTTGGTTCTCTGCCCGTTCCACGGCATTGTTCTGAAGTCGTGTGACTCGATGTACTATGCAGCTATACTATACGAAAGTCGCACAACGCTTCTGATGCCAATGAACGTGTCGTGTGAGGTGATTACCAAATGAATTGTATTGAAATATTAGTCGTGACTTCCAGTTATACGATATTATTAAATTGCCCCTCAAACATCTCCCCTCCACTCCTCTTCCGGAATCCCCTCTCTCCCCTCCTGCACAACCCTCACTGGCGCTCCCAGACTGAATCTCCCTCCCTCCTCCCCCCAGCCTCCAAACCGCTCCCCTCTCTTGAACCCCTGCTCTTCAAATCTCACCTCGTCCCTCAGCACCCGCGCAATAAACGCCCTCACCGCAACCAAACACTCCAACGCATCTGCCCCCACCACCCCATGCCCCGCCGCCAACACAATTCTCTCGCCCTCTTCTGAATTCCGCTCACCAACAAACTGAATCAGCATCCCCAGACTGCGCCACCAAACGCTCAAATCTCCCTCGCTAGGAAACAGAATCGGGGCGCCCTCGTACACGGCGTCTCCGACAAACAACACGCGCTCCTCCACATCGAACCAGCTAAGACTGTCCGGCGTGTGGCCTGGTGTATGCAGCGTGATAGCGGGAACACGCATCGGCACGATAGAAAGCCGCGGGTGCGCGACGACCAGCGGCGCATTGTGGCCCGCCCACAGCGATGTGGTGTACGCGGGACAGTGCAGGTTCATCGACTTACAGAGCGAGTGCGTGCGCAGAGTAGCGCGGGGCTCGAGGAAAGCTGGGGCGTAGGCTGAGGACGCGATGAGGGTGTGAGGGGGAGGCGGGCCGGGGGTCTTCGCCGGATGCAGGATAGACGGTAAGCCCAGGATGTGGTCGTAGTGGCAGTGGGAGAGCAGGACCAGGTAGGGGATGGACAGCGTCGAGTTCAGGTGGTGGTCGATGAAGGAGCGGATGTCCCAGCGGCCGGTCTTGGAGGTCCGGCTCTGCGTCGTCGTGCCGCAGCCGGTGTCGGTGACGAGGAGGAGGGTTGCAGTGCGTCCGTCGGGGGCGGTTTGGGTGTGTTTCTTCACGTAGATGTGGGGGTTTTCGTCCTGGGGGTGTTAGGAGTGTGAAAGTACAGCGGTGCGGAGGCTTACGAAGCGATCAAGCTCGCGGATTAGGTATGTGGTCTTGTTCAGTTGGCGAATGGTGAAGGGACATGCGTCGAGCTGGCGCTGCATGGCCTCCGCAGCGACGGGCGGCGGTCGACTGCGGAACGACGAGTTCCATATCCAGCCGCACGCCAGGACGATGAGGACCAGGATGAAGACATCGCCTTGGATCACGAAAGGCTCAGCGTCGTCATGGCGAGGGCCGCCGACACCGCGTGTCCGCAACACAGACATAGTCACGCTGGCATCAGCCTCTGTACACAGTGGAGATAGTCGGCCCGCCTTATGGTAGACTAGAGGCCGGTCGTCGACAGATCTGGGATGAAGGAAGCGGCAGCTAGAGCGCAGAACGCGGCAAGCTTATCTCATGAATCAAACACGCCACGCGCTGGAGTCCGCTCGCGGTCAGAACGCGCCAAGACCGTCTAGGCCAATGAATACATGCAGACGCTGCGAGCAGTGATTACGTCAGTGGAATGTAATTGGTGCGGATACTCTCAGCCACGCAGCGCGGGGACTGCTTGAACACGAGATTGGAGATAACGTGCTCGTGTTACAAAAGCTGCCGCCTGTCAGGCGTCCCGTAGGTCATGGGAAAGCGAGGATGGAGAGTGGCATAAGATGCGGGGCATGTCCATTCGTCGGCCGCACTCCAATTCCCCGCTCCTAACGGCCCATTGATATCCATAGCTCCAATATGATCGCAGACATCATTGGCTTCCTGTTGAACTTCATCACAGAACTGGCCCAGGCGATTGGTAACCGCAACTTCATGCTCTGGTCGAATACCTCGTCTGCATCAAGTCGCCAGCTCTGGGCCGAGGAACAGGAACGCCAGCCACTGCAGCCGGAGCAGCAGGAGCAGTACGACCAGCAGCAGCCGCAGCAGCAGAATCATCACCGTCAAGAGCAGGAAACAGTCTAACATGTCGTCCTCCGGCCCAGGCGACACCTCGGTCCCCGTCCTCAAGGACCTGACTATCGACAACATCACCGAGAACGTCGTGCGCATCAACTCGCAATGCGCCGACCCGCGCCTGAAGTACATCATGGAGCGGCTGGTCTCGCACCTGCACGACTTCGCGCGCGAGACCCGGCTCAGCTTCGACGAGTGGATGGCGGGGATCACGTTCCTGACGCAGGTGGGCCAGACGTGCACGCCAGCGCGCCAAGTAGGTCCCCCAGAGCCGCCCTCTTGATGCCGGCTGGCATCTCCACTCGAGCGACCAGCGCCGTGCTAACAACCCAGGAATTCATCCTCCTCTCCGACATCCTCGGCCTCTCCCTCCTCGTCGACGCAATCGACCACCCCAAACCCCCCCGCTCCACAGAAGGCACCGTCCTCGGCCCCTTCCACACCCACGACGCCCCCGCCGCGCCCCACGGGACCCCCATCTCCGCCGACCCCGCCGGCGCCCCGCTCCTCGTGCGCTGCACCGTGCGCTCGACCGCCGGCGCCCCGGTCCCTGATGTCAAAGTCGACGTCTGGGAGACCGACAGCGCGGGCAAGTACGACGTGCAGTACGAGGCCGGCGGCGCCGACGGGCGCGCGGTGCTGCAGACGGATGCCGAGGGGGAGTTTTGGTTCCAAGCGATTGTGCCCGTGCCGTATCCGATTCCGGGGGATGGGCCGGTGGGCGCGCTGCTTGGCCGCCTCGGGAGGCATTGCTGGCGCCCGAGTCATATGCATTTCATGTTTGAGCGGGAGGGGTTCGATCACCTCGTCACGTGAGTGTGCCCCAATAATCGTATGAGTGGTGGTGATGTGGAGTGTGTGTGCTGACGGTATCGTGCAGGGCGCTGTATGTGCGCGGCTCGGCGTACGAGACGTCGGACGCGGTGTTTGGCGTCAAGGAGTCGCTGATTGTGGCGCTGGGCGAGGTGTCGCCGGCACAGGCGGCGCAGTACGGGGTCCCCGAGGGGACGGCGCTGCTGGAGTATGACTTCGTGCTTGTGTCGGATGAGGAGACGCGGGCGCTGAGGCATGAGGAGGCGGTCAAGGCGATGAAGGCGCTGGGGCGCGAGGAGGGGATGACGGTTATCAACGGGGTGCCGGTGCCGGATGTAGACTGATTGATGATGACATGAATGAATGAATGATTGAATGGACGTCTAATGCAGGAACAAGACTCGCTCGTGGGGCAAACATTTCGAAGGCCCCGGGTATCTACCACGCGTGAAATCACAAAACACGACTCCGCTTCCTCAACACCCCTCAGTCATCCCCTCAGTCGTCCTCCCCAATCTCGCCCCTCAAAAACGCCTTCACCTTCTCCCCCCACACAACCTCCCGCTTGTAAACCCGCATCTCAGGCGCACTCCCCCCGCCCAGCCCGTCAATCGCCTCCGCCATCTCCCGTGCACTATCCCTCCTCACCTCCGCAATCGGATACTGATACGTCTTGAACGCAAACACCAGCGCCCGCGACGCCGGCAAGCGATGCAGCGTCTGCCTCTCGCACCTAAGAAACGTGGTCCTGAGATCGACCTCGTCGCGCTGAATCTCCGCCGCGGCCTGCGCCGCCGTCGCGTGGTTCCCGCTGACACAGAACAAATCGCCCGTGGTGCTCACGGCCCAGTTCCAGCGACGCACGATCTTGCCCACAGGCAGGGCCGCGAAGAAGCGGTCCATGGATAACTCGAGTTTGGCGCGGTAGTGGGGCACCGGGCCGTGGATGTCGGCGAGCAGCAGCCCGAGCTTCGAGGCGGTGCGGAAGCCAGAGGGAAAGCAGGTGGCGAAGGCTTCGAGGCGGTATTTGCCGGCGTCGGCGGGGGCGGAGCTGGGCAGGAGGAGCAGGAAGTCGGTGTCGATGTTGGTGGCGAGGTGTTCGAGGGCGGCGTCGGGGGTCGGCGCGAGCGGGAGCGTGGTCGATGTGGTGTGGTTGCGTAGGCCGGAGGGGGTGAGTGTGTACAAGCTGGGGTGGCGCGTGGGGAGGTAGGTCTGGGTCAGCCAGGCGTAGAGTTCGGTTATAGCAGGGGCGGCGCGCGGGTTGGCGGCGATGATTTCAGGGCGGTGGGTGGCGACGAGCGAGCGCCGGAGGGCGAGGCGCGAGGCGTAGGTGTTGTCCATGGCGAGGAGGTTGGAGAGCGTTATGTTCTCGGTGGCTGGGGGGTTAGGACGGGCGGTTGAGAGGGTAGGAGGGGGAAGTACCCATGGTCATGTGGAATTTGGGCTTGAAGGGGCGGGCTTGGATGGGTTCTTCGGCGGCGAGGTCGAAGTCGACGAGGGGTTCGATGTTGTAGTAGGCATCTTCTGGGTTTTCCTTCGAGTCGAGCTTCACAGTCGTGGGGGATGCCTTCTGTATGGTATGAGTGACTGGCCACCTGGACTACTCTCACACATACCATGAAGTACCTCCCCATGGTACTAGATACCAACACAAGTGACGCTGCTGCAAAGAGTAGCCACCCCCAGGGATAGAACATGTCGATAAAGTCAACCATGTTGTACTGTCGCGTAGACCAGAGTTTCTGTGCAGAATAGAACATGTCGATAAAGTCAACTGTCGATGTACTGCCGTCGAGTAGACCAGAGTTTCTGGCGAAGAGTGTAGTATTTCAACCCCAACATACCATCCCACGATGATATCTGCCAGACAATGCCTCGGATTGGGTCTTGAGTCACGATAACACTAGACGCGGCAAACGCGTACTGTGCTTCGTATTGAGGTAGTTGGGATCGGATTGCCTAGTGGAGGTAGACCCCGCGTTTGGCACGTTGGTTTCGGGAATCTAGCCGATCCCCGTGTTCTACTTGCAGACTACTAGATAGATAAATGTACAGTCAGCTAGTTCGAACAGTCACAGCACAGAATCAGCTCGTGAAATATGAATTCTGGCCGTGCCCGCTATTAAAGATGTAAGAGTCCCGACATAGCCTACGTATACATGTCATTCCGCATCCAAGCATAAAGCCCTCGTATCGCACCAAGGCACCTTTACAGAAGCGCCGTCTATCGTGTACAATGCTGCCCTCACGCTAAAAGCAAGATGTGGTCCGCGCAAAGCGGTGGTGTTACTGGGTGGTGTTCACTGCGCCGGTGGTGTATTGCGCGGTGGGTGTACTGCGCGGTGGGTTACTGCGCGGTGGTGTTTACTGCGCGGCGAGAGTTTACTGCGCGGCGCCCGGGTAGCGCGTCTTGCCGACGGTAAAGGGCACGTAGCGGTACTTGATCATGTGCTGGATCTGGCGGCGCACTTTTCTGAATTAGCGACTGCAACAGACCCTAGAACGCGTAACTTACTGGTCAGGCAGAACAGAATCAGCCAGTAGACGACCAACACGGGCCAGAACACTGGCAGGTTGAAAATCTCAAACCAGCTGCAGAAGAAGCCGATGGCGATGGCCTTGGTGGCCGAGTACCAGAACTTGAACTCGGGCAGGCGGCGCACAAAGGGCCGGAACTCCTGGTCCTCCTTGGTGGGCAGGCCGCTCGCGTTGCCGTCCTCCATGCCCTCGTCCTGCTCCAGCGCGGGGTCGAACTTGGGCGACAGGAAGGCCAGGAACAGGTTCAGCAGGTAGATGCCCAGCGAGTAGACGACTATGTACCAGCCCTGCGCGACGAAGATGCGCAGGCCGAACAGCGCGAACAGCACGCCGGTGCCGACCCAGCGGTACGTGTTGTAGGGCGTCGAGGCGTCGAGGTACGATTGGAACATCTGCGCGTGTTAGCCGCGGCGTACGCTTCTGCTGCGCTGCTGCGTCTGCTGCGAGTCCCGCGCGGGCTGCTGCGAGACGGCGGGCGCGCTGGGCGTCGACGTACCCTGCCGAACTTTGTCGTCTGCGCCGTGACGGCGGCGAAAGGGGTATCGGGCTCGGGCGAGTCCATGGCTGCGGTGTGCGGGATCGACGTGGGGGGTACGACGGGGTGTTGGAGGGCGTGGTGCGGCGGCGGCGGACTTTGCGTTGGGGCGACGTTGTTGAGGCGACACCTGGCAGAAAGCTTGCGCTGCGCGTTGCGCGAGGCTGAGCGCCTGGCGTGTGACGGCCGGGCTAGGGCGAACGCGATCTGGCGGCAGGTGGAAGCGAGCGCCGGGCAGCGGGCGCGACGCCAATGAGCGCGCCGATGACATAACCGAGGCTGCCGAAGCTATGCGAGCTGGTCTTCTTGCTCTGAGGGGCCGTGTTTGGAACACCAATCTCTCGCATTGAAGCATAGAATTCGTCATGCAGGCCTTCAGATCGTCAGCGCGGGTCGCGTCGCAGTTCAGGCCCACGGGTCTCCCCAGGTTCTACTCCACACAGCAGAGCTACGAGCACCTGCTGGTCTCGACGCCGAAGCCGGGTGTGGGATTCAGTACGTTTTCCTCTGGCAGAAGACTGCTCTTTTTTACTCTGGCAGAAGACGATTCGTTTCGAATACTCTCTTCTCTCTCAATGCCGTCTAGCTAACCCCCCCAGTCCAGCTCAACCGCCCCAAGGCCCTCAACGCCCTCTGCACGCCCCTCATCCACGAACTCAACACCGCCCTGCGCGCCTTCCAGGCCGACTCCTCCATCGGCGCCATCGTGCTCACCGGCTCAGAAAAGGCCTTTGCGGCCGGCGCCGACATCAAGGAAATGAAGGACCTGACCTTCAGCACCGCGTACGGCGCCGACTTCATCGAGTCGTGGTCGGACCTGGTCACGTTCCTCAAGAAGCCGCTCATCACGGCCGTCAACGGCTACGCGCTGGGCGGCGGCTGCGAACTCGCCATGATGGGCGACATCCTGTACGCGGGCCCCAAGGCCGTCTTCGGCCAGCCTGAGATCAAGCTCGGCGTCATCCCCGGCGCGGGCGGCTCGCAGCGCCTCACCAAGGCCATCGGCAAGGCGCGCGCCATGGAGTGCATTCTCACCGGCGACAACATCTCGGCCCAGCAGGCCGGCGAGTGGGGGCTGGCCGCGCGCGTGTTCGACACGCCCGAGGCCACGGTCGAGGGCGCGCTGGCCGCCGCGCAGAAGATTGCGGGCTACAGCCAGATCGCGGTCAAGGCCGCGAAGGAGGTTGTGAACAAGAGCCAGGAGCTGGGCGTGCGGGAGGGCGTCGAGTACGAGCGCAGGGTGTTCCACGGCTTGTTCGGCAGCCAGGACCAGAAGATCGGCATGGCGGCGTTCGCGGCCAAGGCGAAGCCCGAGTGGAAGCATGAGTAGAGCATGTAGACTGCGATGCCAGTAATTCCAGCATCACCAAAGGGCGTGCCTCGGCAGCTCCCGAAATACGAAGCGCGCTACCAAGTAATCCCCCGATAGCGCTTATCGCCGCGTGATGCATGCGGGGCGCCCCACAACTCACCACGGTACTCACATCTATCCACGCCCTGAACCACACACACCATGGCCGACGCGCGCTGGTCCTCGCTGCTGCGCGCCGCGCTCGCCGCTGCGTACCACGACCCCGTCCCAACAGCGCCGCACACCTCCCTCGCCGGCGGCGGCAAGCTGGTCGACCCCGACGACCCCGGCAAGGACCCGCGCTTCCGCGCCCTCGTCGAGGCCATCCTGTTCGGCCGCCGCTTCCTGAAGACCTACAACGCAGTACTGCTGGGCGTGTTGCTGTTGATCACAGCATGGCACTGGGGCGGCAAGGGCGTGCAGCGCTGGCGCGCCCGGCGGGGAGTGCGGAGCGCGGATGCGCAGGAGGCGTGGAGTAGCTCGAGCAGCACGCTGTCGGGCGCCGTGACGCCGCCGCCGAAAGACACTGAAGACACGCCGTTGCTGGGTGCGCGGGGGCAGCCGCGGCGCGTGGGCTGGGCGCGGAGGGTGTGCGGAGCGTTACGCGCGGTGCTGCAGTATCAGCCGCAGCCACTACCAGTCGTGAACAAGACGATGCCGGCGAACGGGGTGACGCTTGTTGTGCTGCTGTGGACTGCGCTGATCGTCTTCTACAACCTGTACCGCATGCCGCTGTCGTTTCTGTATCTGTTTGTGTTCGCGGATCGCTGCGGGATCATCTTCATCTCGAATCTGCCGCTGCTGTATCTGCTGGCGGCGAAGAACCAGCCCATCAAGCTGCTCACGGGGTACTCGTATGAGAGCCTGAATGTCTTCCATCGGCGGGTCGGGGAGGTGATGTGTTTGGAGGCGTTTCTGCACTTCCTGGGCATGAACGCGGTGTGGTACGGGATGCTGCGGCACCTCGGGTTCACGCTGGCCAAGTTCCTGTTCAACCGCGTGGTGATGCTGGGGCTGCTCGCCTTCATCGCGTACGAGCTGATCTACTTCACGTCGCTGGGCAGCTTCCGGCAGCGCTGGTACGAAGTCTTCCTGGCCCTGCACATCGGCCTGCAGGTCGCCGGCCTCGCATTCCTCTGGTTCCACCACTACACATCCCGCCCCTACGTCGGCGCCGCGCTGGCCATCTTCCTCGTCGACCGCCTCGTGTACCGCCTCTGGCTCAAGTCCAGCACCCACCCCGCCACCCTCACCGTCATGGACGACGACGAAACCGTCCTGGTCTCCGCAGACTGGGCCGTGAGCTCCCCGCCGCGCCTCGCCCACAACATGCACCACGGCTGGGCCGCCAACGAACACATCTTCCTCACCGTGCCCGCCCTCTCCCGCAAACACGCCCTGCAATCCCACCCCTTCACCATCTTCTCCGCCGCGCCTCCCCCGCACCAAACCTCCCCCGCCCAGCCCGCGCACGCCTGGTTCTCGCTCCTCGTGCGCGCCCAGGCCGACCCGGGCTTCACCCGGCGCCTACTCGAATTCGCGCGCACCCACACGCACACCCGCATCCGCCTCGACGGGCCCTACGGGTCCCCGCACGCCCTGGCCATGCTGCGCGCGTCATCCACGGCGGTGCTGGTCGCGGGCGGCTCGGGCATCGCCGTCGCGTACCCGCTGCTGTACGCGCTGCTGCAGCCCGCGCGCGACGACGCCGAGGCCACGCCCGCCAGGAAGGTTCGGCTGCTGTGGGTGTCGCACTCGCCCGCCCACCGGCTGTGGATGCCTGAGGAGAAGCTCGCGGAGCTGCAGCGGTGGGGGCTGGATGTGGTTATCCCGCCGCCGACGGCGGAGGCGGGGCGCCCGGATGTCAAGGGCGTGGTGGGCGAGTGGGTGGATGGCGAGACGCTGGGGCGTGTGGGCGTTGTGGTGAGTGGGCCCGAGGGGCTGGTGAGGGACGTGAGGAATATGTGTGCGGCGAAGATGTGGCAGGGGCGGGATGTGGAGGTGGCTGTTGAGAAGTTTGGGTGGTAGACGTACAGTACAGACTTGGCTATTTGCAGGAGTAGAGGTTCTTTCATGTAGATTTTCTTAAGCGGCACTACGCGTAGATACACGATATATGCTTGTTGGATACGCATCGCCTGACTGTCCACCTGCAGTCCACGCTGAGACTTCCCTGCTCAAAACTGATAATGTGAAAGCGTCCATTGACCCATGGCATGTCGAGCAGAGCCCATCGACTCGGCCCCCGGTGCCACTACAGCACACGACCTCGGCCAGCCCACTCAGAGCCCGCCATTCTTCGGATTCTCAGGCGAAACCTTCCACTGCACCCATCAGCCAGCGCCTCTACACTCCCACGCACGCACTTACAAGCTTACCCAGCACCTTCTGCTGCTCGACGTACGACAACCCCTTACACTCGTCGTCATCGCGGTGAGCCTTGACTAGCCGCACCTATCAGCAGAGCTCTCTACACCGTAGACCTCCCAAGCGCGCTAGTACTCACAGAACACGTGCATCTTGCGCAGCGCCAGCTTCGCCTTTTGCGTGTGCCGGCCGCCGTCGTTCTTGGCTTTCTTCTTGGAAGCGGGCTTCTTGACGCCGGAGTTGGTGGGTTTGAGGACCGTGGTGTCGGGTTGAGGGGAGGTGGGCGAGGCGGGGGCTGGGGACGTGGAAGGGGGCATGGTGGCTGCTGTGGTGGCTGCTGTGGTGGCTGCTGTGGTGAGGTAAAGCGGTAGAGTGGTGTGGTTGTGAGGAGAATGGGACTGGTGAGGGTTGAAATTGGGACGAGTGGGTTGAGCTGAGGCGAGCTAGCACTGAGGTGAGGTGAGAGGCGCTGGCACAATGGGCAGGTGCGCTAGGCTGACGTCGAGGGTGAGCTGGCGAGACTCACGGTTCGCGGAAGATCAGAGAACGAGTACAGTGTACAACAGATTTTACGTTCATTACTTCGTATACTTTTACTGTCTGTTGAAGGCGTACCTTTACCTCATGTAGAAGGTGTGCCTTTACTTCTAGACCGTCTGTGCAGCGGGTGAGTGTGGACGATTCCACACTGCAGAACTGGCACGGCAGGGTGAGTGCTTCAGCTTCTCAACGCAGCTGGCATGCTAATGTCAACCTCATTACAGGATCCAAGTGTTCTTTTGCCACAGCATCGGCGTGGAGTGCGATGCCTCATTGCTGCGCCTTTGCAGTCTCGGCTTCAGGACTACCAACCGCGACCAGCTTGCCAACAACGAGATACTTCTCGCTGAACCTCTCTTCCCACCCGCGCATGGCCTCCATCTGCTCGTCGTCCAAGTCCTCGAGCGTGTCCAGAGGCCCGTCCAGATCCTTGGTCAGCATCTCCTCGTCAAAGCTGCCGCACGCGAGACCTCGGCTCGCGTCGCGGCCAGCGAAGTTCGCATACGGACCGCCCGGTCCGTAGAAGTTGCGCCCGGAAGTCACGTCGAAGATGCGGCCACGCACCGAGAGGTACACCGGCATGCCATTCTGGCCGTTGTATGGGAACAACTCCGGTGGCGTAAAGGTCCGGAATACGGTCGGCGGCGGAGCGCGCGGCAAGGTCTGTGGCGTGGAGGGCTTGAGGCGGAGGTAGACGATGAAGACGAACAGCGAGAGCAGCACGAGGTTGATGGGCGTCACTGGCGATGAGCTAGATTCCTGTAGTCAGAGTCGTGCTTCATGTGTAATTATTCGGATGTCCGGCTGCTTACGCATACGCCGCAGGAGGCTCGATTGTCGCTGGATCATGTTAGTCTTATTTAGCGAGACAGCAGCAATTTCCTACCTTCGGACATGGTCAGTCAACGGTAGGTATAGCGGTGTGATCAAAGGATGGTGCTGGGGGTAGTGTTGTGATGGTGGGTTTCATAGAGCTTTGGCGAGTGATGTAAACCCCGATGCTGACAGCTCGATCTGCGCCTTGACTCGTGCGCGTTGCGGGCCGACGGTCTCGGGTAGCGAGAACCCAATAATGCCCGATTTTCTTTAAATTCCAAGGATCGCACATTAAATATTTGCTTCTTGGAAACGGGTCCCAGTTTCTGCAGACGGATGAGATAGTGGGGTGCCCTGCGAGCATGTTCAGCCCCGCGAGCATGTTCCCCGCGAGCATGTTCAGTCCCGCTGCTGATGATGGACGTCCGTCTTCACCGCGCCTCAAACTTCAATCACCACTCCAATAGACATCACGGATCACATCCTCACCGCGCTTGCCCGCAAGCACGCGCGCAGAGAAGGGTCCAGTGCCGTGATCCACACTGGCGCATGAGGCGACACCTGAAACGCTGCTATTTTGCCTGAAACGCGGGAGAGCGATTCATTTCGGCCTGCTCGGTTGGCTCTCATTCGTCCACTTTGTGTCTACACCAGCACGGTCGAAACATCTGCGTTCACGCTCGCCGAACCACTGCATGCGCCTTCGCACAAACGTGAAGCAGCGACATTGAGCGACAGTTGCGCCGCTGACTTGAAAGCTGCGCTGCGCCTCCCGGAGCAACGCAACAAACAATTGGGGCGCTTCTTCTTTCAGCGATCATCCACTCATGAACGAGTCTCGTGCTTGCTGACCTCGAGATCTCCTTCTCTCCACATCTGACGCGCCTTCCTGTACACTGCAACAACAAGCAGCAGCCTCACACCTTCCGCAGCCAATCTTGTCTCTCGGTATGTATTTCGCTTCTGCTTTCGCCTCACATCCACCATTCACACACGGGCTGGTACCACCTTATTCTTGAGCATCCCTACCTGCAGCAACTTTCCACTCGTTTACGCATCCGCCTGCATACTGGCCACCTGGACCCGCAGATACTCGCGTCGCACAACACTGCCAACTGTACCACGCTGCGAACATCCTGCGAACATCCAGCATGGCCCAACCGCAGGAAGCCGTTAACGTCCCAAGACCCCGCAAGAGCGTGACGTTCGGCTTGATTGTCCTGGCCATTTTCATGCCGTGGCTTGCTCTCTACCTTGATGGAGCCTCGTGGCCTACAATCGGATGCAACTTCGCAGCGTGGGCTTTGTTATTTATACCTGGCATGGTCGGCGTGACTGTTCACGCCATCATCTGTCTCTGCCGTACGGATGAGCATCGCAAGTTCTCCAAGCCTGCGCGCCGCCGCCTCCGCTACGACAACAATTACAGCGCCGTTCCGGTACCTGTAGAGAGCAAGATCGAGGAGTCAGAGCTGGAGCCGGCGCCAGTCGAAGCACTGCCAACGGAGCCAGCTGTGCAGCCGACGGCTGCATCTTCATCAACGTCCGTGTCATCGTCTGATGTCGAGAAAGAAAACCCACCTGCCACTGAACCACTACCAAGGAGTGCCACTGAACCTTTACCAAGGACTGCTACTGTCAAGAAAGACGACCCGTTCAAGGACCCCAACGTTTAAACTGATGTCCAGCCGTACCAGCTCGTGGTATGGGGGTGTGCGTTTTATACGATCTGTGACAGCGCTAACGTCTGTTTCATGCAGGCATTCATCATGTGGAAGCGATTTCAGGGTAGCGGGCGCGAGAAAGAGAAGGCCACGCAGATAGGCCACCCCGTGCTTCTTGAAACGACCTACGACGAAGACCAGCTTATGCGCAATCCTAATGTCGCCGATCTAAATTATCGACTCAATGCACCCTTCACGCAGCACCAGCCCCACCAGTAAGTCACAGTCACGTTGATTTGGTGATATACCCTGGCTGTCGACTTACAATGTCTGCAGTAATCATTCCTCTTCAAAGGATTCACGGGTCTCCAACATCCCCACCGTCTCTTCAGTATACTCTCGACCCTCAAACGACCTATCCTACTATTACGATAACCCCGCGCCCCCTTCACCCTCTACTTACGAAGACATCTCACCGCCAAGCTCACCGGAGCCCGAGTATCAGCAAGCTTCCGACCTTCCGCGAAGGTACCGCTCGATGCGCGACGTGTCACCAATGGACGAGAACCGCGGTGCGACACATGCTGACAGCCACGCACCTGTGATGCGTAAAGCACCAATCGCACTGCAGACTGGCGAAGCCAAGGCTTTTGGGCAGAAGTTCTGGGGAGGGAAGGTTGCACCCAACAGCAAGGTGAGATGGGACGAGTACTCTGGCGAGCCCACGTCGAGCAATGCTGGCAGAGCCGGCTCAGTAAACCCTCTCGCGTACGCGAAAGACAGTCTCCGACCAATGGGCTACCAAGTGTCGGTATCAGGACCGGACAGCAAGAAAAAGAACACCAGTTTCACAGATCGCGTCCCACGATTTGGTGCGAAGCCGCCGTCAGTTGAACCTACGCAAGCTTCCGAGCCCTGGAGTCGCGCCACGGGCCGTGCAGAAATCGCGGGACCTCTGAAGGACGAACCCAGACATCCGCTGCCGTTATTTGCAAGGAAGCCGTCTACTCGGAGGGTTGAAGGGCTCGGCTTAGACATGTCAAACGTAGTTGCGACAACCACTAGCCGCGGTGCAGCGGCAGCTGACACTCGCCCTGTCGCAAACGTCCCGAGCAGGTCGGACTCTCACAACGAACCCGTCAGGCCTGTTGTTCCTCTCAAGATTGGCAGGAAGTCACTCACGCCTAGTTTGCCGTCGTCTACGATTCCGAATCACGGCCTCGGAATCTCAAATCCGTACTCTTACCCGAGCCCCATCACTCCAGCGAATGAGGACCCGTCGCCGACGACCTTTGCACTCTCTGACACCCAGAGTGAAGTTTCCGATACGGAGTCATGGGAGCGCAGCATAACGCCGAAGCAGAGCATGATCTGGAACAAAGCGGCTGAGCAAACACCAGAGCAGGAAAAGGGTGTTCCTGATAGCCGTTTCTCCTGGACAACTTACAACACCACAACTACATACCAACATTCTCCTCCACCGTCTCCACCACAGCCGATGCCAGATCTGGATAACATCGTGAAAGCGAGAGTTGCAACTGAATCGTCCATTCTGAATCGTCGTCGCCCCATTCCTCAGGCAGACAAGATCCCAGACACACCGCCTGTGCGCAGACCGGTCCCTGCCGCCAAGTCTCCGGTCGGCAATAAGACTCGCACAGCAGCTCTCGCTATTTCGACCTCGCCGCGTCCTGGCTCTACATTTTCCACGTCGACTACAGGCACCGGAAAGGCGTTGCCACAACCGCCCACCACTCAAGCTGCAACCGACCACGTGTCTCTTCTTGAGTCCCAGCTCGAGGATCTACGCGTTCGTCGCTCGAATGTACACAAAGTCCTCTCAGATATCAACTCTGCTGCACCCTCCAACCCCATGTTGACCGACTTCAAGACCGCACGAATCATGGAGCAGAAGAAGAAGGCGCTCGAGGCCGAACTGGCGGAAATCAAGATCGAGGAGCACGATGTTGGCTTGAAGCTGCACCGCTGTTTGCGCAAGAGGGAGAGGGATGACCCGAACTTTGGTTCGGCGTTGTGGATCAGGCGGGTCACAGGATGATCAGTCACCGTTATTGAAGGTACGCCAAGGCGCAGGCTTTCCGGTGGTTGGTCTTTTATATGCATAGCGTTGGTGTTGTGCGTGTGTGGCAGATTTTGTGTTTTCCTTACTTTATACCTTTCTGATAGAGCGCCACCGAGCGCTGATTGCGAGATACCCTAACGTCCAGCGGGCGATTACCAATAATAGTCATTCTTCAACCCAAAACGTGCGCTTGATGCTATCGATCCCATGGATACGGAACACTCCTCGTTGTCCCCATTGTCGTTGACATGGAAGGCCTGGCATAGGAAGACGACTGGCATAGGAAGACGACTGGCATAGGAAGACGACTGGCATAGGAAGACGACTGGCATAGGAAGACGACTGGCATAGGAAGACGACTGGCATAGGAAGACGACTGGCATAGGAAGACGACTGGCATAGGAAGACGACTGGCATAGGAAGACGACTGGCTCGAATACTGACATTCGCACCTGCTGGGAACGAAGTCTGCTAGTTCACTTAGTACAACCATCGCAGGTTAACGGTTCTCTCGCTCCATGATGTGACGCAAAGCAGCATGCAGGTAAATGCAATCAAGTTCGATTTCCGCCTAAGCTCTATAGGCACTGCATCGAGCATCCCTCAACGGGCGTCCCAAGGACTTTGAGAAATCAAGTGTGCCCGAGAGAACTACCTGCAATATTCTTGCTTCCCCAATTCACAGCGTGTCGCGGCAAAACATGTAAAGCTTCTCATTCAAACATGTGAGCACGCGACCCATGGCTGGAACGCTTTTGAGAATTGGAGCAACTACATATACTCTGGGTTCTCCTTATTCAATTTCGTCCCGACTGATCTCAACAAAGATTAGTAATTCAACACGTTGATTTCCTGGATCTCCTCTCGGCTCCTTGATCCTTTCACACAGGGGACACTTGCTAGCGACCTTAATCGATGACTTCCCACTTATTTGTGCATTTCGCTCGGTCACAGATTGGCGGAAATCGGATACATTTCAGGGACAGAGTTCAAGGTGGATGTATAGTCACTTGGCTGGAGCATACACAGTAATCGTGAGCTCAGCAGAGGGAGTGCTACGGCAAAAAGTAAGCTGTGTTTCAACCCAAGACTCTCATTTCACTTTCAAACTTAACGCTATCTAATGTAGCGTCTTAGTGGAAGGAAACGATTCAGTACGGCTGAAACCCCAGCAAGACTGCCTTGCCATTCACATAGCAGTGATTGTCGACACTTTATCTAAGCACAGGTTAGGTACCTAGGTATGTGAGTTGGCAGTGTACGTCATAATCGAAAAAGTGAAGAACCGTTCCAAAGGAGAGATACAAAGACATGCACCGGGCCTGTTCACGGCTCCGCCCTGTAAGTGTGCGTGCGCAAGTGCTTGAGCATGTTGTCTCTGCGAGTGAAGGCTCGTGAACACCCAGCAGCTGTACACCGAACCGACTGACGCTGCATCGGTGCCTGGTGCGTCTTGAAATGCCGCTGCATATCTGTCCGGAGACTGAACGCGCGAGAGCACGTCTCGAAGGTACATTCGTAGCGCCGTTCATGCTTGCGGTGGATGTGAGTTCTGTGGTTCAGTCAGCCACGAAACTTTCTATGTGTCACAACTGCGTACGTGAGATCGCAGGATCTTGCAAACATAGCCTTGCACGCAACGCACTCGTAGAGGGTAGGTGGAAGACCATTGCCAGATGGTGTATCTGCCGATTGTACACTCGCCGGCGTATTGTTGTTGCTCGAGCCTGTGAGACTGCTTCGAGACACCGGAGAAGTCGGTGCTGAACTCGTCGCTATGCTCCTTGTACTTGGTGTTGTCTGTGATACATATAATGACGTTGCTGGCTGCTCCAGATTTTCGAGGTATGGTGCGTGGATGACCGGATTAACATTTATTTCAAACACGTAAGGATCAAAGAAAGTTTCCGATAGGAGTACGAATTTTGAGTTGCATGCACTCTTTTGGGAAGCAGGAATGGAGAGTAAGCGCGGCGAAGGCTCTCAAGGCCTTCGCCGATCGGATTCGCTTGGAGGATTCTCCTATACCCCAGCGCCGGACGCCCAGTAGACGTCGCGATGGGGGGGACAGTTGGATGGACAAATGTTACAATAGTGCCAAGGGAGTGTAAGGGGACCTTGTACAGATCAAGAACGACCTCAGAGTATTTGCTCAGGTGATTGTGCGCTGCTTAAATATACCAAGCGCTGGAATGCAAGGCTACGAGGCATACTTTCGGACAATCGTCAGACGGCATGAATAGCATGCGGAGATATGTCCTGGTCATGCATATGATCCTTGTAATCTGTTGCGTATATCAACCCGCGATTCGCTCCTGCAAATGGACAACGTGGCGTACAGCTCTCGCGAGGCTGTGGCGTTGTATGGTATGCCTCCGCGCTTGACCGCATCCGGACGAGGCATACCGTAGTTTTGATCTATCTCTTTTAAGCCTCGACTTTCTGGGTGATGGTACTGACCAAGCTGCTAGCGATGAGACGTTGTCTCCTGCCCAGTGAGCTTTGCATGGGTAAGCGCATTGTCTTTGCCACATAAAACTGGACGGCCTCAGAAAAGTGCTTCACGTTTATCAAGCCAAATGTCAAGGTCACGCGTTCGTAATGAATGTTCAACATGAATGAATTTAATTTTTACTGCCCAACACTGCTGGCATCTACAAGCAGGTTCCGACAATGCTCGCGGTGCTGTTCTTGACCGAGCCGGCGAGGAAACCGCCTCCAGCGCACTGCAGACCCTTGACGAACGACTTGGCAACAACATCCGCGCCGATGGGCAGAGTGTGGGTGTGGTCGCCAGCAACGAAGTACGCATCGGTCTTGGCCTTGCCGAGGGTCTTCCACGCATCAGCAGCGTATGCGCCGTGGTCGACGTAGAAGGCGTTGGAGCCGAGTGTGGCGGCGACGCTCTTGCTGTAGTCGACGAAGCGGCTGCCGCTGTACTGGAATGTGCCGGACTCCCAGGGGTTGTTGGGGGTCGGGCTGCTGATGATGACCTTGGCGCCCTTTGCGATGAGGGCCTTGCCGGCCTGGATCAGGTAGAAGGGGTAGGTGTACACGGTGGTGGCCGCGCCGTTGAAAGTAGACTGGCAGGTCTCGGTGCCCTTGCCGGGGCATACGGAGCGGCCGTTGTCGGTAGGGGTCAGGGATCCACCGTCGTTGTGGCCGAACTCGATGATGACGATGTCGTTGGCCTTAACAGTGTTGATGATCTCGGTGAAGCGGCCCTCGACAGTGTAGGAACGCGAGCTGCGGCCACCAATGGCCTTGTTGACAACGGTTGTGGTCAACGAGTATGGGAGGTAAAGTCCCCAGCCTTCTATCGTTAGAAAGGTACACCAACTATCAATGTGAAGAACGACATACCCTGAAGTGTACCGGGACCGCCCCTTGCGGTTTGCATTGTTGAGTCTCCGGCAAGGTAGACTGTGGGTGCGCGCTTCTCTATGTTGCCACTGGGAGCAGCAAAGGCGCTGGACGCCAGCGCGAGCAGGGAAACAACAGATGTGGAGCCCAACATTGTGGATGTGTTATTGCCAGGATACTTCGATATGAAAGCGTTGGATCTTGTGAAGAAGGTTCAAGGAGCCAACGCTCGCCTTTTATCAACCAAGCTCCTCTATCATCTCCGCTGGACGAACGGAAAGCTTGGGTAATTTCTTAGTTATCCCGCGAGCTACATCGCAGCGGCGATCAAAGTGACACCTGGACATACTCTAGAGTGTATTGCTTGCGGGGAATACGCCGTTCATCGGTGCCACGAGGCTCCTGACTTGGCTGCATGTCCGCAGTAGCCTCGTGAAGTTGATTGCCTTGGCAGAACATCCGGAGCATTGGAAACCGAACAAGGAAGAATTGCCGGCATGGCCGGGGTGAAACATCTCTAGATATGGCATCGCTCGAGCACAGGTCTACACGAGTTGTTCATGTGCCATGTGGTGGGGTCCTGCAATGAATGATGGAATCTGCGCCCCGTTCTGGAGCCGCCGGAGCAATCTGCGCCGAGGTGCTGTCGAACTTCCCCAGACGCCACCAATCTCCCGTCACCCATGTGCCGCCTCTTGAGATCCCTGTGAAACGATTCCCATGTTTCGACAAGACTCGTGACTGAGCACACTTGCCTCTAAGTAGCCGTCGCCCAAACTTACGATTTTGAGATTACAATGGCGTGCCTGTCATCTTGTCGACAACGACGCCGGATGCCTAGACTCTAGAGAGGCTGCAACCGAGTCATGACATTGACTGTTTCCACAATAAGTACGAAGCAGGTACTCGCCGGGTGCGTCCCCCAGATTTCCACAGTTGGACCTCAACGATCTGCATCTCACCGCTACGAGCGTCCCGAGGTCTGCTTGCCCGCGACTCCAGCACAGTTTGTTAATCAAAGTCTATGGCCTCTTCAATGGCATTGGTGAGCCCAGGATTACTTTTGATTGCGCGGATAAGAGGCGTGCACGTCAGGGGTTTGAGATGAGTATACATAGTCGCTGAGTCTCCGGCCAGAAGGAACCCTCCCGTGCTGTTCCCGAAAGCCCCACAAGACGCGCTAGAGACCTAGCGGCAGCACCTGACAGACTTGTAACGGAACAACCCTTCCAAGACTGGAGACGGTGTTCCTGCCTTGTGCGAACACAGACGTCTTCTCGACTACGGCTATGCCCGATGACACGAGAATTTCTCCAGATTTCGCTCTAGGTCTCGGTTTCTCCCTTAGACGTGCCGAGATACCCAGAAATCACCTCGTAAAAATACACACATGAAGTAAGAGAGACTACCTCTGTACTGCAGGCACGTCCGAGGTGCCATCAACGTAGCTGCAATGCAAGAAACGAAGAATTAATAACATGACAAGTGCACATGCGCTTGAGTGGAGGCATTTAGTTGTGATCCGGAAGCCTGTTGGCTGTGCTAAGGAATACTTGAATCCTTCAAACCCGCCAAGAAGCAACTCGGATGTGCCTGGGTGCAGTGTGTGCCGACAAAGGTCCTTAAGAAATTGACCCTGATGAGGTACTTTTGTAGGCCGGCTACGGGTTCTTTCTGCGTACGTGCGGCGGCACAATTCGCCTATGGAGACGCCTTCGGCCATACAAGTAAGAATGTATCCGGATCTAACACTCGCGGCGCCGTATTCGCTTTGCTTGGTCGCCGATACAATGGAATTCGTCCGCCGACAACAGTGTAGGCACGGTAGCTGTTCTTTCATATCGGCGAATGTCATTTCGGCGAGAATCATGGATGCATCTTCTCATTCCATCTTGTCTTTCGCCTCCAATCTGCAAAACAACTTCACTCTCTCGAACGCGGAATTTTCCTGATGGCTCTGAGAGTGCACCAATTGCTGTTTAGAGAAGAGACCTGCAGCCAGTCAGTGTTGGTAACATCGATCAGATCTCCCGGTATGTCGAGCTTTTGTACACAGATGATGAAGGTAGTCTCTCATTATTGCCGTCGAGCTCTGACTGACTATCTGAGTAGGATGCTGCAGCCTTTACTAGTACGAGTCGCTTCCATCGTTCTTGCATTTTGACCCGTCGAAAAAGAGACAGCGTGGCGAAAGCTGCCGCATAATTAATGGCAGCAGCCTGCTCAAAACATCCGCAATTTAGTCGCGAATCCGCCACCTTTCAACGGATTACAACAGCCCTTATCTTCGAAAGACCCTGAGCCTTCTCAACGGTCAGCAATACCGTTCGTCAGAGTACTATGGACCCTCATAGGGTCGAGTCCTCGCTGATCAACTTCATGTTCAAGCCCAGTTCCAACGCAAGCTTCCTCAAATTGTCGATTCGTTGGCGGGTAAGCGCCCTCTCCTCGCGGAAGATGTCCCAAGTTCGATCATTTTGTGTGTCCCAGTTCTTGCTGATGCTCTTACCCCCCTCCAAAAGACGCTTGGAGATGGCTACCGAGCGTCTCAACGCGTACCTCAAATCTTGGGCTGCAGCAGGGTTTCCAGTTGCGTGAATTATGCCTATAAGACTGGTCAGAGTCTGGTGCAGCTCACGAGATTCCTGTTCGGCATTCTCCAGATCAAGGATTATTGTATGGCTCTCCCCTGCTTCCGTGATCATGGAGTTTGCTCTGGACTTGATGTAAACGTGGGCATCGTTGTTCTGAGAGATGCTGTTATTGATCATTCTCGCGAGCGCTTTCTTGCGTTTGTTTGAGAGCCCAGCAGGCGATTCCTATGACGCGATGTTAGAACGGACTGGAATATTTCTCCAACAGCAACACACATTCTGATGCGGCGTAGTGCGCGCATTAAGTCGCAGAGTTTCGATCTCCTTCTTCGAGGCCGCCCTCTCCTCTTCCAACGCCCGAATCTTGGAAACAAGATCTGAATGGTCCAAGTGACCACCGTCGCGCAACTCCTCTTCGAGCTCGCACATTGCGTCACCGCGTCTGTGGCCCATTTCTTGCATGCCATCGAGGATCGTGTTCATGCCAGCTCGAAGCTGCTTCATGAAGTCGTCATCAGCGGCGCCGCCCTGCTTGATATCATCGATAATGGCGTGGATTGACATGCTGGACTCGGCTGTCAACGATGCGGGCGCTGAGCATATGGCAGTGCCCGAAAGAAGTGGCGGCTTGTTCGACAGAGTTTCCGTGGAAAGGGATTTCCTCGAGAAAAGGGTGAAGGTCGGGTTTCTGACCTAGGGAATGGTAGAATTTTTAAGTAAGGTGAGAGACTCCGTGCTGTTCACCGTGAACTTGACCCCAGTCGCATTTTCTGTAGCTAAAACAGCTCAGTGTACAATGAATGTAAAGGCTCTATACCCAAAATAAGATGCGGTCATTTGGTTGAGTTAAGATTATGTATTTAACATGTCAAAGATCCCAATTCGATCTACGTAGACACAACCTACAACACACAATAATTGCCCCAATGTACCTCCCTCAACCCGCCAACCCGCCAACCCAACACAAAAACACTCACCCCCACAAAAGTCACACTCCCATCCATCCCTCCCCCTCCACCGCTCTCCATCCACTTCCCCCACGCTCTCCTTAAACTGCTCCGCAGCAGACCGGAACCACGGCGTGTACTCCCCAGTCTCGCTCGACGCTGAATCACTATCCAACACACCCCCGACGTACATCTCTGCAGTCTCTACATCCAACACCGCCCCCGTTTCTGATCCCGAATCCGACGCTGAGCTTGCAGCTGGCGTCTCCACGTCCTCGCCCTCGCCCTCGCTCTTACAGCAGTCGCAGGGCGTGTGCGCGGGGACGTAGTATGCGGGGACGAACAGCAGCGCGGGGACGAGAGCGGTATGTACAGGGCGGTATGTGTGCGGTTCTGCTCGTTGCGGGGGAGGCTGAGAATACGGGCTGGTCGAGGGGCAGGTTAGGTGGCGGATGTGTTCTGAGGTGAAGCTTGCTGGTGGAGGGAAGGGTGTTGCGGTGGTGGAATACGGGGTGTGGAGGGGTGTAGGGGCTTGAGGAGTGCTGTGGTTCAATGTCAGGGTCTGCTTTGCTGGGTTAGACGGGGGTTTGGCCATGGTTTGGTGCTGGTTCTGGAAATGCATTTTCGATTTGACTTTTCGAGGCCAAGGGAGGAACGTGAAGGAGGATTTGTAGAGCTGCAATTGCAGCGCTCGAGTATTTTACCTTGAGACGTGACTTTGCTTATGTGACAGGCGCTGTGACAAAGAGCGTTGTGACGAGGACAAAGGAAAGTGCGACGTGTGTGTGTGCGTGAGACTTTGTCTGTCTTTGATCTATGAACATGAACCTAAATGCGCTATGGTATCGAACTACCTTTTGACAATCACCCAAACCAGAGCAAGTTTAAACAACCGAGTCACCAGTGACCTTCAGGATCATGCTGCCGCTGCCCGGCTTGCTGACGACAACAGCCTGCGCGAGCTTCTCGTCTGTGATGTCTGGGAAATGCTTCTTGTAGTACTTCTCCTCCCACGCCTTCTTGACAGCCTCGACTTTGTCCTTTGGCACGAGATGCACGCTGCACCCGCCCCACCCGGCACCTGTGAGTCGGCTTCCGGTGGAGCCAGCTGCGCGCGCCAACTGGCACAGCTCGTCGAGCTCGGGGCAACTGCAGTCGTAAATATCGCGGCACGAGTCTTGGGTTGTGTTCATGAGGTCACCGAGGGATTGGAGGTATGCCTGGTCTGTGGAGGGAGGGCTGGAGAGGAGAGAGCGGAACTTGATGACGCGGAGAGCTTCTGTGAAAACGTGCAGCGCGCGCTGGCGGAGCATGAACTTCTCTGTGCGGACGGGGAACTTGGACATGTAGCGCTGGTTAAGGTCGTCCTCTGAGACACCAAGCAGGGCGCAGATATCGGATCTTGTGTAGCCTTCTTCTTGTGTGAGGTAGTCTTCGGTGTGCTGCACGAGCTTGTGCAGTTGCGTCTCAAAGTCTGCAACGGAGGTCTTGGTGTTGTCTGCCACACCCTCCTTCTCCTCGAAATATGTGTCGTGGAAGCCGCGCAGGCTCACGCCTAGAGGAGAGGAATCGGTCGGCAGCTCCTTCTTCAGGCCGAAAGCCTTAGCCAAGAAGGCGGCGGCAAGTGAGCATTCAACCACGCGCAGGTTGTAGCATACTGGCGCTGTGACGTGCTTGTCAGCCGCAACGAAGCTCTGGGCGATGACGAAGGTAAGTTCGGGTTCTGTTGTGGGGAATTCGATGGTTGTGTAGTCGAGGCTGGGCTTGAACGAGACGTAGAGGGCAGAGCCACGGAGGGAGAAGACAGAAGCAGCCTGGTCCATGCTGAATTAAAGTCAGTGATGAACGTGTAAATAGGTCTGTCGACTTACCCTCCAGAGTTGACACCGACGGCACGCTCCGACACAATGGCAAGTTCGCAAAGTTCCTTCTTGTCGACTTTGTCCTCGCCGTTCGCAGCCAATACTGCCAGCGCACTCGTGCAGACCACCGACGCGGAGCTGGAAAGGCCACCACCACTGGGCACTGTGCCATCGCAGACAATGTCCATACCGACAGACTGAAACTTGCCACGCTTCTTCTGAAGAAGCTCTGACACACCCTTCAGGCCGGACTTGAAGTAGTTGGTCCACTCGTGCTCAGTGGCGTCAATGGTGACCTCTCCTTCAGGAATCTCGAACTCTCGGGTGGGAAATTTCTCCGAGTTCAGGTTGGCGATCCGCACCCGGGGCTTCTCGTCTGAGGGTCGAACGGCTACTGCCATGATAAAGTCGGCAGTGATAGCCATGGGTAGCACTTCGTACAGAGAGTAGTCAATGTGCTATTACTTGTGAGTTCGATTCAACCTAAAGCAGCAGAGAGCTATCCTACCTCTCCAATGATGTTTACTCGTCCAGGACTGCGCGCGACAAACTCAGCCTGCCTGCCATGGACCTCTTTGAACTTCGCGAGGAGCTTCTCCCATCGCTTGGTCTCTACTGGAACGGCGTCTTCGGGGTAAATGTCGCGCAGCGACGTTGCTGTTGGGACCGACATGATGTAACGAGAGGTTCAATGGGACCAAAGAGAGACACAGAGCAGGAGAGTAACGACGAGAAGGGCAGAAATCAACAGCGCAAGAAAAGTCAGGTTATATGCCTGTGAGGGTCGCGAGACGCGGGGTGCGTAGCACGCCCAAAGGGGGACCGCAGCCGACAAACTAACCCAAAAAGACAAGAAGACAGGCACGCGCGCGAACCATGACGCGCGACCAAGCTGGGGCATGCATCCTGATGACCTTGTGTGGCATCCCGTCGGTGTCTGTTCAACAAATGGTTAGGCGAGAGATGGTCTTTGGCGTTGTGATTTTGCATGTCTCCGAATGGTATTCCGGAGTTTGCCTCGCTGTACGTTTTGCGCATGGAACACTGTCATGCGTATGGTTTGGAGACTGAAGAATTGGCTGATATGTCGTATTGGGTATCATTGTTGTATCTGGCGCTGCATGGTCCAGCATGGCGCTCATTCAGTCCCTCTGCCTCTCCCACGTCCGCGCAGTCCTCGCCCAATGCCACTGCCGGCGCGGCCTCTCGTTGAGTCGCCGCGACTGACGCCACGTCCAGTCTGCCCTCCGACGCCAACATAACCACCTGTGGTGGTCGATGCTGGGGTGCCGCGTGGTCGCGTGCCTCTGCCTCTCCCTCTGACTGCTGGCTTGGGCGGCCCTGCCTCTGCTCTCCTGCGATCCTCTTCCGCCTTTCTCGCTGCAGCCTCTCGCCGTGCCTGCTCTTCTGCTGCTCGACGTTCGACGGCCTGCTTCCTGTGGCTCTCCTCTTCTTCGATGTCGAGCACGTCCTGTGTGGCACCCTGCCATTGTGGGTTCAGGATGAGTCGCTGATTGTGCTCGGTCTGGGAGAGAATGCGCGTCCATGTTTGGAGGAGCGTGGAAGCGTTCTGCACTGTCTTCGAGACGGTCTGTCGCTGTCAGCATGCTGGGCGCGTCAATGGCCTGCGACACATACACCCATGTTGTCCTTGGCCTTCTGCAGGCTCTCGACGACGCCCTCGATCACTTTGTTGACATTGCGCACGCTCTCGAGCTCTCGCCGCAGCGCCGCTTCTCTGGCCTCTTCTGTGGTGTAATGCGACTCTGCTGCGCGCGCCTTGCCTGCTGCTGCACCCTCGCCGTCGGCGCCTGCATCCTGGGCGCGCTGCTTGTTCTTGCGCGCGGCGGGCGTGTCGAAGAGGGCGTCCGTGTCCGAGTCGGAGAGGCTGAGGTCGTCCATGTTGGGTGGCTGCACCATGATGGCTGAGTTGCGAGTTTCAGCACGTCGTTGTCCCACCCAATCAATTCCGGCTGCACGTGTTTTGTTGTTGCTCGGCCATGGCGGCGTTGGTGGGGTCAGACGCGGCACGCAAGGGGCGATTGGGTGCTTGGCGCCTTCCGTCCAGCCTCACCAACCTCCTCCACGCTCAATGCACGCCAGCCCATATCGTAGCCAGGCCCGTCCAGCTCCACTTCACCGTCACCATCACCTATCCGTATCGATACGCCGCACTGCGCCCCTGATCACCCGAACGTTGTACACTGCGACCGTTAAGCGCCTGTCCAGAGCTCGGTCCTAGCTTGTTTTGATTTTGGATCTCGTGTAAACGCGCACCGTGACTGCACTCCACACCACGAACCACCTCCCTTCACTTCACCATGAATCGCACGCCGTCGCCCCCGCGCCGGGTGCACACGCCACCGGCGCCCTTGCACGGTGACAATTGGGAACCGTTTTCCCCGCGCCGCTCCAGTCGCGTCGCCGCACAACGCGGCGTTCACCTCGAGCAAACGGACTCAGCGCGTACCCCACGGACCAGGCGCGACGTCACGCCCACCGCGTCTTCGAGGAAATCTGTCGCGCGCACTTCCAATTTCACGCTTTCACCACCATCCTCGCCAGTCTCTCCACCCAAGCACCGCACACCGCACTCGACGCGTCGCGCGCTCTTCCCTGCAGCAGCAGCACCGGACTCCGACTCGGATCAACCTCCGCCGACATCAGGGCGTCGCTTCCTCGCGTCAATGGCCCCAGGCATGCTCCCCACCCCGGCGAAGACGCCACGCAAACGCGCGATGCACTCCGAGGAGTCGATCCGGCCCACAGCACGCGTTTTGTTCCCCAGTCGCCCCACCAGCATCGAGGAAGCGACTCCACGAAAGGCGCGCAAGTCCACCAAGAACATCTACTCTCTGAACAGCTTCGAAGACGCCGGCGCGTCGTCAGAGAAGATCGAGATCTACACCGACTCCAAGGAGCGCATTCCCACTGCTGACGAGGACGACGAGGAAAACCCGTTCGTCACGAAGAAGGGCAAAGGAAAGGCAAAGGCGAAAGCAAAGGCGAAGGCCGCTCCCCAGAGGCGCAAGAAGGACGCGAAGGCCGAAGACGTAAAGGCCGAAGAGATGGAGGAAGCTGTGAACCGCGAGGAGGGCATGATCTACATCTTGTAAGTGCATTTGTTTCCTAACCCGCAGATCTTCACTAACGAATGATAGCCGCGGAAAGAAGATTTTCCGCAAGTTCCACGATGACCATCCGTCCGATGAGCTCACTGAGGAGGACGTGTCTGCAGACGATCTTCAACTCCTCCGCCAGGCCGGTCCTGCATCGCGTCGCCCGCTGACACGCTCGTCTATCAAGCCGAAGCTGCTCTTCCAGGCAGAGATCAAGCAGAAGAAGCTTGAAAACGGCGAGGTGTCAGAGGACGAGGAGGAAGAGGCCACCACCGACATCGAGACCCCCATCGCAACTCCAAGCCGCGGCAAGGGCAAGATGATCATGTCGATCTCAGACTCCTTCCAGGAAGCAACTCCGCCTCCGACTGTGCGCAAGGCCAAGCGAGGTGCGTTTTCCTGAATCCATTCTTCACTTTGAGCCCGACTAACGTTCATCAGAAATCTCTTTTGACTCTTGGACACGCGTCAAGTCTGCTCACAGCTCCGGCAGCTCTTCGCGCGGAGCCAAGCGCAGCGGCTCTCCACTATTGGGCGAAGCGGGCAAGAAGTCTCGCAGTGAGCATTCCGCCTCTTCCATGTCCATTGACAGCCTCTAACAAGGCCCAGCCCGTTCTTGATTTGATTTACTTGACCTGCATCCGAGTGTTGGATAGCTACACCTCGTCCGATCAGCTCTTGCTGCTTGGCTGGTCTGCAGTACCGCGCTCGCGTTATCTTGTTTTCACTGGCGTTATATGGACGTCCAACTTAGCGATCAATCAGCACAGGATACCCAGCATTTAGCGCGCGTGGAGGTGGGGGTTTGTCCTACCGAGCGCGGAAGGTATGTTTGCGAGCGTAATGGGGAGATTTGCATCTGCATATTGCATCTGCATATTGCATCTGCGTTTTGCATAGCGCGCGGAGGATCAGGGATAGCATCGGCGAGACCAGCGCGGCCACTCGCGTCTATCAGCGGCCGACACAGTCCGCAACACTTAGCTAGAAAGAAGCACACAATCAAACACCGATAAACACCACACACATCCATACAATTACACATCATCTACACTACACAGCCCTCTCCAATGACCGCAGGCCTACTCACTTCTTCGGCACCGCACTGAAAAACGCACTCATCTTCCTCATCCCCCTCGTGTCCACGCTCCTCAACTTCTTGACTGCGAGACTCTCACTCTTCTTCCGCTTCTCCTCATCCTCCTTCTTCCTCTTCTTCTCCTCGCGCTCCGCCAACCGCTCCTCGTCCATCTCGATCCCGCGCTTGCGGCTGATGTTGTCGCTGATGCTGCGCAGCGCCGCGGCCTCGGCTTTGAGTTTCGCGAGCGCCGCGAGGTGTGTGGTGAGCGGGGTGAAGTCCGGGGTGGGGGCGGTGAGGATGGCGGGGCGCAGGAGCGGCGGGAGGTATGCGGTGGTGAGGTAGGTGAGTGCTGTCTTGAGGCGGAGGAGGTGTGGGACCTCGGGGGGTGTTGTGAGGGAAGGAGGCGCGGGGGCATCGGCGTCGGCGTCAGCGTCAGCGTCAGCCACTGTGGGTTCTGTGGGTTCCGTGGGCTGGAACTCTGGGTCCGCGGGCACGGCGCTGAGACTGCTGTCGTCGCGGCGGATGCTCATGACGGGGATGTCGAGTACGGATTTGACGAATTTGTCTTCCATGCTCGGCGGCAGGCCGTGCTGGACCATGCGCTCTGCCTTGGCGACGAGGAGCGCGTGCAGCTTGGTCGGCGATATGCGGTACATTGTCTCGTCGCCAGCGTCGACGGTGTCGCACAGAGCGCGCATCTTCTTCTCCAACATGCCTTTGAGGGTTGGGTATTGCGCGAGCAGGGTCCGCCAGTGCCGTGACGACGCAGAGAGCATGTCGGTGTAGTCATCGAGTTCGCGGAAGTGCTGTTTCGCTTCTTTTGCTGACTTTGGGGCTAGCGCTGGCAGAATCAGGAAGAGCAGGTCGATGGGCGTTGCGAGGAAGAGGTCGGCGTTTTTTGTTACGAAGCCGCTTCCCAGGCCAGTTTCTGTGTCTTCTTTCTTCTCTGCCGCCTCTTCATCATCGATCTTTTCATTCCCTAGTGCTTTGTCGTCTTCACTTGTGATCAGCCAGCTCCGGCAGGCTTTCTTCGGTGCGGCGATGCGGGTGAATTCGTAAAAGCCTTTCGATGGACAGAAGTAGTAGCGCGAGGGTGTGCTGGTGGCAGGATCATCGAGGGTGACTATTCGCGCATCGCTGGACGTGTCTTTGGGGAGGATGAAAAGCTTTGGCGGATTCGACGTGGCTGCTGGGAGCGGTTTTGTGGTGGATGGTGTTGGTTCGGGAGTAGCCTCTTTCGGCGCAGGTTTTGCGCGTGTGGCTCTTGCCATGGTGCCCTGGGATGCGTGTATATGATGTTTAAGCGATGATAGTCCTACTGCTGTACCCAAGAAAACAATTGAAAGCAAGACTGTCCAAACTATTTCCAGCGGCTGAGTCCTGTAAGTGGTACGCGAACGCGACGCGGCACGCGAATTCACGCGGACCCCTGTCGTTTCATCTCAGATCGCACTCGAGCCGCAACCTTAATTCCACGGCAAACAACAACAGCGAGTCAACACGCCAAAACCGGCCTGACATATCCACACTGCACAGGCCCGCCCCAAGCGTTCACACCCTCCCTCCCCACTCCAACTTGTTGGCGCAAGAAATGGGCGCGCCAGGCAGAACCCTTCCACACACACACCAGCGATCATGATCGTGCGGGAGAGCCCCAAAGCCAAGGGTGCGTGGTTTGATTCCCCGCAAGCAGATCCACGCTGACAGGCACAGGCACAACCAACCCCCCAAACTGGCCGCCCAAGTCCCCCTACGAGGCCCTGATCAGCTCGCCGTCGGGCCGCCGCCGCTACGAGGAGCGCCGCGCGCGCAGTTCCGTGTCGCCGTCGCCTGCGAAGCGCCGGCCCGTGTCGCAGCCCCAGGCGCACGACGATGGCGACACCACCGAGGACGAGGACGAGGAGACACTGCAGCTGAAGTTACAGGCCATCGAGGCTCGCCTGAAGTTGAAACAGCTGCAGAAGGCTCGCAAAACCGAGCCTGAGAGCCGCGCAATACCGTCGCGCCCCGTCACCGCAGCTGGACTGCGCCGGACCGAGCGGCCACGATCAGATGCCGACGTGCAGGTGCCTGTGTCGCCCATGCGAGCTCGACATAAGCCAACCGAGCCGCGAAGCCCTGCGCGCGTACTGCTCGGCATCGACAAGGGCCTCAAGGCGTCTGACGTCAGCCTTAAGCGTCCTGGCCAGATTCGAGCCACGAACGGGATCGCTCGCTCCAACACTACTGGTGCGGTGGGAACACCGAGGATCAAGTCGTTCAGCGAGCGCATTGCCGAGAGCAGGGTCAAGGAGAAGCAGCGCGAGGAGAACGAGCAGAGGCATGAGGAGAGGAAGGCGAGAGGGTTTGGGTCGAGCAGTATCGCAGGGCTCAAACGCGAGCGGCCACCGTCGTCACGAGGCTCTTCGTTCACTTCGGATACGCAGAGCTCTTTCGCAAACATGCCGCAGACAAGGGTCTCATTTACGGATATGCCGACACGAAGCTCTTTCACAGACGTGCCCCAAACGCGGAGCTCCTTCGCCAATACTCCGCAGACAAGGACTTCATTCGCAGACGTGCCACAAACACGGACCTCTTTCGCCGATATCCCGCAGACGCGCAGCTCGTTCACAGACATGCCACCACCAGGGCTGAAAACGCACAGCAGGACGCATAGCCGACTGTTGAGCTCGCAAGAGAGCGCGCCCACACCACGACGAGGCTCGATACCTGACGCACGTCCACCATCTTCTGTGTCAAGACCAAAGAGTTTCCCGGCGCCAGCAACCACCTCGAGTTTCTCCAAGTACGAGGAGATTGCGCAGCGCAGTGACAGCTTCGACGGTCCTAGCTTCGAGTCGCTATCAGGCCTGCATCTGAAGTCGCGCGAGATGCAGCATAGTGTCGTCACACGCACGCTGGAAGGCAAGACGGTGTTTACGATACCGCAGCTCTTGAAAACCGTCAAAGGGCCTGCTTACGATCCGCCGGACTGGGAGCACGACTATGTCGTTATGGGCGTGATCTGCTCCAAGTCCTCTCCTCGCGATACTCAAAACTCAGCTCGAGACAACAGCCGAGGCAACCAGGAACGCAAAGAGCATGGCAAGTTTATGGTCATACGACTGACGGATATGAAATGGGAACTCGACCTCTTCTTATTCGACAGCGGCTACGAGCATTTCTGGAAGCTGCCCATTGGCACGCTGGTCGCCATTCTGAACCCCGACATCATGCCACCCAAGGATCGTAATAGCGGGAAGTTCTCTCTAAAGCTTACGAATTCCGACGATACTATACTTGAGATCGGTGTTGCAAGAGACCTGGACTTTTGTCATGCCAAGAAGAAGGACGGCAAAGAATGCGGGCAATGGATCGACGGACGCAAGACTGAGTTCTGTGAATTTCATCTAGCGTTGCAAGTCGAGAAAAGTAAGAGAGGCCGCATGGAGATAAATGGCATGGTTGGCACTGGAGGCGGTGGGGGTAGTGGGGGTGGCATGTTTGGCCGAAAGCCTCCAAATGGGTTCCAAGGCGATGCCCTGCGTAAAGAAGGCAAATACCACGACAGGTTCCTGCACGAGACAATGTTCATTGCGCCAAGACCTGGCGGTGCTGCGCGCATGCTGGACAAAGACGACCAAGGCTTTGAGCGTGGTGGTAGTCGCGAAGAGCGTCACCGCAGACAGCTTGCCGCAAAAGAGAAGGAGCGAGACTTGGCCAAAAGACTGGGCGAAATGGGAGAAGGCACCACAGGTGGCGACTACCTAAAGAGGAGAACAAACCCCTCGGCACCGCTTTCCACTACAATTTCCCAGGAGCTGGCCAACGCAAGACAGGAGAAGGCCACGGAGTGCGACTACAAAGGCCTCCTAAACCGGAAGGCAGCCGACGTTTCTCTGAACCGAAAAGCTAGTGGTTCTCTTATACCGTCGAAACGAAAGTACTCTAACGCGACCAAGACCGCTGCCAGCACCAGTGCCCCTGTCGGTTGGGCGGGCGCCAGCAGACGGACCCTTGTTCTGTCGCCACAGAAACCTCGCGCTCTCTCACCAACCAAGAGTCGCCCTGATTCTGCTCTGCGCGGAACAAGAGCAAGCAGTCCAGCGAAGAAGAAAGCACGTCTGCTACTGCCCGAGAAAGGCATCCGTGAGCCCGGCCGCGAGAGCCTTGGAGGTCTCGATGTCGGGCTCATTGCAGCCATGGATATGGATGATGACGATGACGATTTGGAAGTCGTATAATTTCCCACCAGATCATACTTGATCTTCTGGTTCTCCTTGTGTATGATTGTCACGCAGCAAGAAGGTTGGCAACGATTATGGCGTTTAAAATGCGACCCGCTGATTGGTTGGGCTAAGCGAGGGTGGGCGAATTTGCGTTTTGGGGTTGGATGGCCCTGACTGATACCACAGTGACGAGTTTCTTAGTGTACAACAGTATCCATAGACCTGATCTAGGTCTTCTCCTTGAATCGATAGTTTTTTGCACTTCCTGTCCTGAATAACCTATAGCAACATCGCGTCATTAGAGAAAGAGCAGGGAACACTTGATAATTACGAGGAGCAAGGCACGTGCTTTAACATGGCATCAACTTCTCCAGCCTCGGATGCACCAATCCACGCACTCATCGACTACGAAGACCCCTACGTTCAGCCCCTTATTCTCTCAGCACTTGAGAAGTGTCTTCCCGCTTCGTCTTACAAGCTCATCAAATCGCTTAAGGATCTTCCTTCTTCATCAACACCATGTCTCCAGTTTGTACAATACGAGTCTATCGACTGGGATCATCTCATGTCAAACTCCAAGTCCCTGGCCAACGCATACGTCATTCGAAAAGCGCTCATCAGAAAACACTACCTCAGCACTACCATTGCAAACTGGATCACGAAGTACCCCGATAGTGCGTTGAAGAGCGGCGCGAAGCCGAGTGTGGAGTTTGAAGTTGACTACGCAGAGTTTTTGGATGACGCGCTTGTTGAGGCGTGGGAACTGAAGGAGAGCTGGGCGCGCAATGAGCAGTTTGGAGAGGACGAGAAGGAGAAGCGCGAGTGGTGGATTCTGAAGCCAGGGATGAGTGACAGAGGACAGGGCATTAGATTATTCTCGAGCGAAGAAGAGCTGACAGAAATCTTCGAGGAGTGGGATCCCGAGAGCGATGATGAAGAGGAGGAGGAAGACGCCCGAAGTGACACAGGGCGAACCGACGACAACGACGGCATCGTCACAAGCCAACTCCGCCACTTCGTTGCCCAACCCTACATCCACCCGCCCCTCCTCCTCGCGCCCCCCGGCGACCCTACCCAACTCCGCAAATTCCACATCCGCACCTACATCCTCGCCACCGGCGCCCTCCGCGTCTCAATCTACAAGCCCATGCTCGCCCTCTTCGCCGCAAGCCCCTACTCGCCCCCTTGGACCACCCCCTTCGACTCCCCCGCCGCCCGCGACGAAGCCCTACGCGCCCACCTCACAAACACCTGTCTGCAGGACTCCGGCGACCGCGACGGCTCCGTCGGCCTGTTCTGGGACCTGCCCGAGGCGCTCCCTTCACACCCGGACGCGCCGCGTGACTGGAAAGATCGCGTCTTTGACCAAATCAAGGCCATCACGGCCGAGACCTTCGAAGCTGCGGCGCGGGGCATGAGCATCCATTTTCAGCCGCTGCCGAACGCGTTTGAGGTGTTCGGGCTGGATTTCATGGTCGGCATTGAGGCGGATGGCGCGCTGAATACGTATCTGCTCGAGGTCAATGCGTTTCCTGATTTCCGGCAGACGGGGGAGGAGTTGAGTGGGGTGGTTGCGGGGCTGTTTGAGGGCGTTGTTGGGGAGGCTGTTGCGCCGTTTTTTGGCGTGGAGAGAGAGGGGGAGGGAGACGGGAGGATGGTGAGGGTATTGGATGTTGATCTGGGGAGGAGGTAGGGGGTGGTGTTCAAAGGGAATTGTACAGGTTGTCTACCTAGGTACGTCAGACTGAGGCTCGGCAAACAAGACGTGAGCCGAGCCTTGTTATATATGCAGGCCGACACGAAAGTCCGTTATGTCAACTACCTAAGACTTTGTTCGAAGCACTGCAAGTCACAGTTTATATGGGCTTTGAACGCTTGTGGATTGACTCGCTCTGCATCATCCAGGATTCAGATGCTAATTGGGCTTAGGGATCCCAGTAAATGGGCAAGATCTATCGATAGTCGGAATTAACACTCGCTGCTGTCAAGGCACACAACAGCAACGAAAGACTATTTGCGAGCCGGCCGGGGCTCGCTCTTGGGCAATGAGGAGAATGGTTCAAAATTTCTGATTGCTTTTCCTCATCTTGAAAGTCTGAGCCCCTCATTCTCCCGTGACTGGATGGTACAAGAACAGTGCTCATCTCGACGTGTCCTTCGATTTGGTCAGGATCAGTTGCGTTGGGAATGCATTGAAGGCGAAGCTTCAGACGGCACACCGTTGTTAGACCCAGACCATCCTTCCAACCTCTATATAGATCATGGCGTTGTGTCTATTTCGTTTACGAAGTCTCAGCAGGTGTATGGCATTATACTAACACAAACGCTCATGGTGAATGCGCAGATGCTGCGAGTGACAGTGCCCGCTCCAGCATTAATTCAATCTCAGTTTAACGGAGAAACAACTGATAGATACCCATTCCGCTTGGGTGATGGTCGCCATCTAGACACCAGGACGAAATCAGATTCGTGGGACGGAGACTGGAAACTAGACACTGTGCGAAGTTGGAATCAGGACACAGATCTTTGGGCCGTACAGATCATATAGATCTTTCACAATGGAATGGGTTTTACATGTGTGTCGAGTGCGGGGCTGATGATTGTGGCTATAGACTATGCAAGGAGTATCTTCAAAAGGGTGGGCTCATACTGTACTATACAATGGTTAGAAGAGGATTCGTTGTTCCGAAAATTCCTCGAGCCACAGCCCTTCCGATTCCTTGAGCACTGGACTGTCAAAGATGGCGAACGATGGTTTGGAGATAGAAGAACAATCTAATTGGCTTGAGACGCGGCCAGACAGAGCACGACGGGCCATCACAACTTTCTTCGCTATTTCAGCAGCCGAAGGAGCTTGATGCCTCTGTAAAACTACGCGCCAAACTCACCATAAAGACCGCCTCTGAGTATCGTGACTCAGCCTCCGCTGGCGATGCCTCGAATAACATCATGAGCTCAGACAAATAAGAAACGCACCAGCTTACTAGGTGGGCATGTGCGTATCAGTCTCAATGGACATCCACAAGGAGGTCGAAGGGTCTGAGATTGCGAAGCATGGCACAATACCAAGAGGCACCGGGTAAGGGGCTCAGTGGTGCACAAAAAGGCTTTTGGGATCGAAAATTGCAGCACTGGGCTCATGGTTGTTATTGGACAATATCAAGGAATATCCAGAAGTCAGCTAGTTCGAGGCTCGGTGGCGTGGGAGAAGTGGATCTCACAGCCCTGGTGAGAATTCACGAGGTAGGGAAAAGCATACAAGTGGGAAATGCTACACCCCGTGCATGGTATTGTTCAGCGCGACTTGGAAAATTGAGAATTGCCAAGCTGGTACGGAGGTGTGCAGCGAGGGTCACACACAATAGAACAATAGAACTGCCTGCTGTATAGCTGATCCTTGGTTGTAGCCTGATTAGCACAGGCAGTGAATGTCAGGTAGCTGAGGTGAAGGCCAAAGACGAGCCCGACTTATATATAAAGCCTTCATCGCCGACCCAAGGCGCTCCTTCCTACACCACACACCTCAACGGATCTCGAGTGCGTACCACAGACCTCAAAAATCTCAAGTTCGCCTACTTTCAATATCATGTCCACGAACACTTCCCCAAACAGCCTGGGTAACTCCTCCCTACCCCACACTGCTCCTACCTTGCAACTCACACACCCCAGTTCTCCCACCCTCCGGCCATGGCCACTCGCGCGAGACAGCGCAGTGGTCGCACGCTCTCCTCGGTAAACCCGACCAGCCCGCGTACATCGTCCACGCCTCACTTTCGCCGCCCGTCACCTGGCGCATCTGCACGAAGGCGGAGGCCTTGTACTATCAGGAAAGCGGATACGCTATGTGGCGCGTCTTCGACGGCCGCAAGGTCGTGTTCGAGAAGGACGTCATGAGCGATTCGTCCATGCCGTTTGTTGACCAGTTCGTGGAGGTTGTGGGGGAGGAGTAGGGAAGGGGGATTTGGTTGTTGCTGCCTTTGACGAAAATGTGGTTCGATGTATTTGTTGGGGAGAGCTTGGGGGGAGATAGAAAATGGCATACACAAAAGTGGGAGTAGAATCGGAATGCAGAACTGGTCTCGTACACAGTGATGTCTTCACCTACTTTGTCATTTCCCCTTGCTGAAGTAATTGCTTCAGTAGTTGCCTGGACTCAATAGATCATGGCTCCTTCCAAGTCTGTGCAGGCAATTGGTCAATCCTACCTGCATCACGCAGCCCCGGCTCACTCTCCATGAGTCCCATGACTGCTGATGGTGACAGCCGCCATAAGGTTGTTTACTTGCTTATGTTGATAATTGGTTCTGAATCCAATAATCAAGGATCCTCGAGCGTCTGCCCTGATATCTCAATATGGCAGCTTTCGTGACCCCCCACGACGAGGCTCGTGGAGGTGAAGAAGTGAGGTTGGGTCCAAGCGCCTTCCCATCATCACGGTTGTGGCAGGAGCGCTCGACACCTACCCATGCACTGGCCCTGCTCTTAATGGATGTCTTGGCTATCTGTGATGTCGGCGTGCGCAAGGCTGACTAGAGACTTGCATGTCGAAGCTAATGCTTCAGGATGGTGAGGCACGCCACAGGGAGGATGGCCACGCGAGCAATGACGCAGCTCATCGCTCCGCTATACATGTGACCAGCAGCAAATCAGCCCAAACAACCCCTATAACCCACACAGCACTTCCCTGCGGCCCCGCAAGAGCACGTAGCGCACGATCGACCTCCTTACGCAGGGCCCTGATGACGCGCCGCGAGCATCCGTACTCGTCAGCGCCGCCCGCTACCGACCGCTGCTGCTAGAGCCGCTAAATGCTGCTCACGCCTCGCACCTATTCCCTCGCGCAAACCGACTCGCGCCCTGGGGCTTCCTATTTTCTGCTCACGCCGTCGCAAAGGGAGATCCAGGCCGAGGAAAAGCGCGCGCGCAAAATGCTGCTGCTGCACCAGACGGGCAGCGTCAAGGTTGGCGAGGTTGTGCGGTAGGTCTAAGCTGCCCGCGGAAGTTTCCCCAGTTTGGTCGCATCGAGTGCTAAGACATATCCTGCAGCTACACGGTCACATATACCCCCAGTGAAGACCGCATCCTCCCCGCGCCTGCCTTCCTGCATGTGCGCATACGCAACACCTCTGCCCTCCCGCTGCGAGCCGCTTATCTCCACGGCCCGTACACCGTGCACGTCGCCGCATACCCCTCCACCTTCAACCCCAATAAAAAAGTCGAGTCTCCCAAGACCTACGGCGTCCCCGAGTTCGAGCCAAACCTGAAGGCCGGAGGCTACTGGAACGCCAGGCTGACCGTCCCGGAACACATCAGACAAGGTGACGAATGGAGGAACTTCGATGGCACCCCTAAGAGCGCGACGTGGATTATTGAGGTTGATTCCCAAATCATCTTCTCCAACTCAGCCTCCGTGAGCTATGAGTTGTTGGTCGCCCGCGACGAAAGGTCTCTCGACCTTGGCTTCACGGCCGTCACAGGAAACAGCTCCGGAATACCAGGCAAGGTCCAGGACCACCAGCAGGGCAGGAAATCTCATGCATCGAGTCACCCTGCGCAGCCGAAGGGCGTCTTCTCCAAGGCGATCAAATTGGTTGTTGATGACACGACGAGTCTGTGGAACAAGCCAGAGCTGCCAGAATGCAAGGACGAGGAGAGCCACTCCGACAGGCGCAAGTCAAAAGACGTAGAGACAGAGCAGAAGGAGGACCTACCTAAGCAAAAGAATGTCCATCTTGTCATGGTCACGCACGGGTTACACAGTAACCTTGGGGCTGACATGCTGTACTTGAAGGAGAGCATCGATGCGACCGCAAAGCAGGCCCGTGACGACCGACGGAGGCGGCGACAAGAGCAAAGAGGGCAGAAATCGCAGACCAATAGCAAGTTAGACACATCCACAGCACCCTTGTCCGGCGGCCAAGAAGACATTCCGGATGACGAACAGGACGATGACGAAGAAGATGTGATCGTTCGCGGCTTCGATGGAAATGTTGTTCGCACTGAACGTGGCATCCAGTATCTAGGAAAGCGTCTCGCTAAGCACGTCCTGCGACTTACCTACCCAGACCAACCGTACCTGCCGATTAAGAAGTCCGTGGGACAAAAGCTGAACCCCTTCTCACCGACCAAAGACAAGGCCGATGAAGGGCAACCGGCTCACGAAGGTAGTGGCATACATTTTAAGCCTCTTGCGCACAAGCGGAAGCGCGCGTATAAGTTCACCAGCATTAGCTTCATCGGCCATTCTCTGGGAGGACTCATTCAAACTTACGCCATAGCATACATTTACAAACACTCGCCCGAATTTTTCGAGCACATCAAACCTATCAACTTCATTGCCATGGCGTCACCTATGCTCGGGCTCAGCAACGAGAATCCAATTTACGTCAAATTTGCCCTTGATTTTGGCTTGGTAGGTAGAACTGGACAGGACCTCGGTCTGACTTGGAGAGCTCCTACTTTGGCCAAGAGTGGATGGACTGCTATGGTCAGTGGATTTGGAGGACAGTCGCAACACCAAGAGCAAGAAGACCCCGGTACCAAACCCCTTCTTCGCATCCTACCCACCGGACCGGCACATGTAGTATTGCGCATGTTCCGGAATCGGACTGTGTATTCCAATGTCGTCAATGACGGTGTTGTACCACTTCGGACAAGCTGTCTTTTGTTTCTGGACTGGAGAGGATTAGGGAAAGTAGAAAAGGCCCGGAGAGAGAACGGATTGATCGGAAGTGTTGCTGTATGGGGCTTCAGCCAATTGACAGGTCAGAACTCATCGCCAAACCCTTCGAGAATAGGCTTCCAAAACGACAACGATGAGACAGAATCACCGTCTGGTAATGGAGACGATACTGCTGTGCCTCTTCCAGGTGCAGACGTGACCAACGAGGACGACAGGGTGACTGCTTCAGAACCTGCAGCTCACCAGTTCCTCGACGGGCAAAAGCATAGTCCAGACGAACCGGTACAAGGAAACCCAGGTGTGCCCGTCTCCGACCAGTACTTCCAGCCGCAAAACACTCTGATGCAGTGGTGGAGCTATATCAGGCCCACCGGAAAGCACACTGCAAGAGACAAGAAGATGTTCACACGCAGTCAGACGATCTTTAAAGACGATGATCAGCAGGATGCTGCTGCTGAAGGGGCATCATCCCATGACTCTCAGCCAAGGAAACGCCCAATAGCTTCGCGCGGGGACTCAACCCTTGATCCATCAAAGAACTCGGCGGCCCCACCTAAAACAACAATCTTTGAGTCTGCAGGAGACATCATCAACCCACCTGTTCCCCCTGCATCATGGATCATGGACCCCTCCACCCGCGCTCGCACAATCTTCCACGATCGCGTCTACCACCCTGAAGACATTCCGCCACCCCCTGCAAGGAAACGATCAAACAATCGTACTTTCTCCGGCGAGAGCAGCAAATCGCAGGCGTCTGTCGCCACTACCGATGAGAATATACGCGTAGAGGAGAAGATCGCACGTGCATACCACAAAGATCTGTCCTGGCGCAAGGTTCTTGTCCGACTAGAGCCTGATGCGCACAACAACATCGTTGTGCGCCGCATGTTCGCCAATGCCTACGGATGGCCAGTCGTTAAGCATCTCTGCGACACCCACTTTGCAGATACGTACTCTGCGCAGACTCGTGACGAAGAAGAACCTGCTCTCGATCGCGCCAAGGGTGTCGATGCCCCTGTGAAGGAGGACGGTGAACATGTGAAAGGCCAAGAAGATATTTCACCGCCCATTGAGCGCACAGAAAGCGAGCTTAGGGAAGTCCGCGATGAGCTAGCGCCACTTGGGAATTCCTTCAGGTCACCAAAGCGCATGAACACTGCGGATTCTATTCGCAGCTGCAGCTCGGCAGATTGGGACAATTACTTCGATGGTGCAACTAGTGACGAAGACGATGACAATGACGAGCGCAATGCAGTTCAAAAGTTCCTAGCACTCGGGTATCCGCGCGGCGCGAAATCACCAACGTCGCCTGGTCCGCCTCTTACGCCCAACGGAAAGGGAACGTCTGACGAAGAGATTTCGGATTTCTTACAGGGCGCACCCGGAGCAGCCCAGCCAACCCCTTTCGTCGACATCCATCGAGGTCTAGGTGCGAGTCCTAGGCAGCCAAGCAAGACGACAAAACAACCAGACTCGCATCCGTCACTTGTTGGCCAGGCCGTCCTTACTCCAGGTCATCAAGTGGCAGCAAGTCCACCTGCCAGTCCATCACTACATCTCAGCGACGTGGGCCTGAGACGGTCATTGGAAGGCAGCCCTGACACGCAGAGTGGAAGCGGAGTGACTGAGCACGTTGCAAGGTCAGTGAGCACGGCGAAGGATAGAGAGCACTCGTAGTGTTGGTGCTCTTAGACATGACAGTTGTTGTATTTGGTTTGGTTGCATCTACAGGCGATTGCATGATTACGGCTAACATATACCCAAATTTGATCATGGTTTGCATAGATAATTCCACTGTTTGTTTGCTGCCAATTCTATTTCTGCAGTCGGGCTTTTGTCTGTCTATGTCTCTGTCTTGCTTGCCAACGTTGCCATGGCTCGCGCTTTTCACCCTCACTTTCACCACGCGTCCACGTGTTCCGCGCGCGACTGACAATAAGAACTTTTCTGCGTCGTTCACACTCGCTTTCGAAAGTCACATCAGCCAACGCGCTCTATCGCGTCGTGCTGAGTTCGCCTTGTCACGTTACAAACGCACCGCAATCGCACCTTCCATTTGGGCAGCCGCCACTGACTGTGACCCACGATGTCGGGTAACAAGAACAACACGCCAGCTCTTCCAGCCCAACGGGTTGGAGGCCAGCGACGCAAGCTAGTCCGTCGACACCGTGCGACCTCAGGTCCGTCACAATCGGGCACTATGTCATTACTAAACCCAGGCTCGGCTGCTACCAGTTTGGAGAGTGGTGTCGATAGCTTCACCTCGGGCTATGAGCACGACAGGCAAGTAGACGACACCTTCGACCAGTACCAAGATCAGAATCCAGAGGAGCCTGGAGCTTCCGAAGACAAGATGTAGGTTCTCTCTGTTGAAGTCGATTCAAGAATGAGACTGATGTTTCCAGGCCTGGCACACCGTACACCTACGCTGACGGTTCGGCCTTTCCCTCACCCAAGCTCACAGCGAATGATACTAAGAAGAAGCAAGGCCTGTTTGGCATTAAGAAGCCAAAGGCACACGAGTGTCAGGATGGTTCCTCACACGGTCAGGTCACGACAACGCCCCTACCTCCATCCACACCAAGCAAGGCTGCAAGGTTTTTCGGTCTTGAACCAAAGCCCCCGGTCCCTAAAAGCCCACATCGTGCCAAAATCCCAGATGAGAGGGCTACTCGCGTCTCCCAAGATAAAACTCCGGTTAGAACAGGATTAACGAAGCAACCTTCCTTGCCACTGCTGACCGGATTGAAGCCAGGCACAGGCAGACAGACTAAGGAGGAGAAACACGATGCAGAGCTAGCTGAGGCCAGGCGAGGAAAAGCCGGTAAGTCTAGCGCCACAGAATGAGTTCCCGCGCTGATACCAAAATTAGTAGGCATAAAGCACTCACCACAGCAGACTACAGCTGCGACTACTCGATATGATCTTGGCGCAGACGCAGGCCATACTGATCAAAGCGGCCCTCAAGAAACTCGCTTCCGTATCCCAGCCGCGCCTCAGTCCGTGGCCGCCGCGACGAAGCGTCGACGTACGCGTAAGAAGACCGCCAAAGAACTCAAGCGTATGTCGCCCATAACAGAGGCTTCCGCTGAATCCCTTCACCCAGCCTATTACGAAGGTGAAGACCTGTCTGAGCTGGGTATCATCTCTGAGTACGAACAAGAAGATTGCTCATACAGTACAGATGACCCGCAGACCCCCCAGAATCCTACCGTGGTATCTCCTCAGTCTGGGGCCAAGATGCCGATGCCGCCACACAATATGTTCGAACTTGACCCGGCTGACCTCTCACCTACGGACCATGCTTACGGTGAGGACGAGATCGATGTCGTTCACCCAGGCACCAAAGTCGACATTAGGCGTGCACTACAGCAAAAGGGAAAAGTCGTGTACCCCAGGGGCCCTCTACAGACTGTTGAAAATGCTTATCTCGATGCGACTCAAGATGCGATGCGACTTGAGGCTCATAAAAAATTACAAGCCAGGGTTGATGCTGAGAAGCCGAGAATCGACTCAGAGGTTGAGGAGCTGAGGCGCAAGCATGAAAACATGAAACCGGAGTTCCATGCTTGTAAGGCCGGTGGATGCCAGCACGAGAAGGTGCCCAGTGACGGAGATGATGATGATCTGGTATCACTGCGCAGCAGCATCGATCTTAACGAGGAGCCTACTGTGCACACAGCGACGCTGATGACAATCACTAGGATTACACCGGGAATGGTGAAGCTTGTGGATATTCTGCCTAGGAAGAAGAAGCCAGTCTCAAATGTAGGCAGCAGCACTCCGGTTCCTGACAAACCTACACTTGTCGAACGCAAGGACAAAGGGGTGGCTGCTACGTCTTCTGCTGAGAATGCGTCTCCAGTAAGTGTAAGTTTGTTCTCACACAAATCATTATTAGGGACAGCAACTGATCAACACACAGCGTCCCATCAATTATCATCATGATGACGACCCCAACTTTTTCATGAGACCAAAAAAATCCAAGCTAACACCGGAGGAGTCTCGTTCGCTTATTGGGAACTGGGTATCAGACTACAACAACACGAAGCAGCGCCCAGTCTCTACACGTATTGATCCAGACGTTCTGGCTGACCAGGAGATACCACCCGCTCCCTTCCCCAAAAGCGACGAGGCGCTACTCACGATCCCGATCCAGCCACGTTCCGACTTGCTCAAGCCCATTCAGTCGCACCAGAAGCATCAGTGCATCAAAAATGGCCACATCTTTCACCCCGTCGACTTAAAGACCATGCCAGACAATGCCGTTGTGGGCAGCCTGGAAGTCAGGCCCTATCTACAAACCTACACTGGTACCAAGCAGCACGTGAAGATCCCCATCCTCTGCGAGAAGTGTGGCGAAGACTGCAACGAGAATGTGTGGGAATGCGAGATTGCCGTGTGTCGTATGGCTGTTTGCCAGACTTGCGCTGAGAATATGGAGGTGGAGTGGCAGCAGAGGGCGATCGACGGCTGGAAGTACAAGTGAGCATCACAACATCATCACTACGTACTATGTAAGATCAGGCTTTCGCGATATTCGGGGCCAGGTACAGGATGGGATTCATGCCATCTCTGGCGACGAGACACTCTGTTTCTCAGCCACACACTTTCATTTTCGCGATGCCGGCAGGAATTGAGAAGTCTGGAAGGTCCATATTTCTCACAGCCACACCTAAATAGGAAGGCGCGTAACACTGCCCCATCGTCAAGGACAAAATTTATTTCGCTTCCAAACATACCGCATCCAGGAGCGTCTGAGCTGTCTTTTGGCAGCTTTGTAGGACTGGAGTCTTTATAGTAGGGTTCTAAAGAACGACCAGATGCCTTCACTTGAGCGCAACTGCACTAGTAAGACAGATTCCTGTTGATCCTTTGGTCTTTGCCTTGCAATTGGTGGTAATTTAGCCACTCTTAGATGCTGTGAGGCATCTCTATCCCAAGGCCAGCGTAGTTGTTTGATAGGGACTGATAGGACTACGTCTAACATCAATACGAGCATTTCCTAGCGCTGGCTGCCCTACACTGTTACAGCAAGGACGCTCGCCAATCAAGACTCATGCTGTCACCAATCAGGCTAGCCTCAGGCCGCCAATTGGCTAAGCAACCAAGTTTTCGCAAATTCAGGAGAGACGTAAAAGAAGCATTTGCCTAGTTCAACTTTATCCAAGCAAATCGACTTTCTCAACCCCAGATTGTCCATCGTGTACCCGCATTTCCAACTTGAGCTAAACGCGGAACACTTCATCGTCACCATGCGCCAATTCCTTACAATTACCGCTGCGCTAGCAGCCACAGCAAATGCCCAATCTGCTTCATCCCTAACAATGTGGCTCCCCGGCCCGGCCAACAACCCCTCGCTCTACTCCATGCGGCACATGGGCCTAAGCACCTTTCCCCCAGTCGCCTCTATCATCTCTTCCGACGCCACAACCACCGTCTTCGCCCTCGGCTGCCCCTCCTCCACAGCCTCCTCATCCTTCTTCAACGGCCAGAAATACCAAACATGTAACTGGGCCACCAATGAGGCTACCTACTCCATCATCTCCAACACCCGCCATGTCCTACACCAAACCCAGGACCACCCGCCGGCCAGTATATGGTGGACATGTGACTACAACACCGCCGCTACGAAGATGTCTTGTGATATGGAGATCAGCGGCGACGTGAACGATAACACGGACGGACCTATCAGCGGGATTGTGTGGGGCCCTGAGCCAGACCGGGTGGGGAACGTGATGGCGTTCGCGACGGTGGAGGTTGTTACTGCGGGCCGGTTTGGCGAGCTGCAGTGTGGCCGCGGGTGGAAGACTTGGACGGCGCCGGCGTGCAATAGTGAGGGAACGGGCGGCAAGGGGACGATGGTGTGGAGTGTGGGGAGTGAGGCCGCGGTGGCTACCTCGGCGAGTGGGAGTGGGAGTGGGAGTGCGGGTGCGAGTGCAAGCCAGGGCAGTGGATCTGGAGCGGCAGCTACCGCGTCGAACACCGGGAGTGGGAGCGCTCCGGCGAGTACGGGTGCTGCGGGTGGGTTTGGGGTTGATGCTGTGAGGCTTGCGGCGTTGGTCGGTGGCGCTGCTGCTGCTGTGTGGTGATCTTGTCACCAGCCTGCGGAAGCAGGCAATGGAGCTTCACATTTTTACTATTTATCAAAGCCTACATACCATCTTCTTTGCAATCATTACAGAGACCTAATGTACTATCATGGCCAGGGTTAGACCCTGACCCACTGAACAGAGATACTGCCCCTCTACCATGGTTCCAGCTTGACAGCGACTGGCCGCTTTCCCAGACACCGGAGGGTTGATTTCCACAAAGAATTGGAGTAGAAATGTGCAGTGCTTCTCTGCACTCCCTACAACATTCACCCTCGCCATCACAATTTCTCTTCAGTCTACACTGTGAATGTCACCATGGACAACCTGGACATGATGCTCCTGGAGATGGAAACTGAATACCGTAAGAAGTTTACCATTTGGAACGACACTCAAGTGTCGAAAATTTCACCCACCCTACATGTGGCCTTGAAGCTGTCGATTTGTGAACGTATCAAGTGGTTCATCAGACAGCACCGACAGAGACGCAGCGCTTCTCGCAACACAGAGGCAAACTTCGAGGGATGTGCACACTATCAACTCCCCACTGAGATCCAGTTGGAGATTGCACAATATTTGGAGGGCCCGGATCTGCTGAGCTATGCACATAGCAGTCGAAGATTCACATTTCTCGCCAAGAACAAATGGCAGCAGAGACCTGCACGATCTCCATTCACCACGAGACTCCGGATTGACCGAGCCCACCGAATCGCACAATTCAAAGGCATCGAAAACGTCGCGTGGTGCAGCTTCCACAAAACCCTCCATCACAACGCGCTCTTTGCGCCCAAGCAGCTCGATCGTTCGGATGGGCAAAACCGCATCTGCATTGGTGCCTTTGGCCGCTTCAGGGTCTGCGAGCATCTGACTCTTGATGCTTGGGGCTTGTATTACGATGCAAATCACGGATTGACGCATCCGCCCATCCAAAACAAGGTCTGCGAGCCGGTCTTTCGTCTTTTGGAGACCCACTCGGGAACGACGGCTCTCTGCGAAATCAGCCACCCCATTTTTACGCTACCACTCCACGCTGAGATAACCGAGCGGGACTTCAGAACGCGCATGCAGAACTCAGATCTGCACATTTGTCCGCATTTACGGACTTCGCAGGAACGTGTGTGCGAGCTTCTGGTTTCCTTGTGCCGCATAGAAAAGAAGGGGCATGACCAGACGATGTTCCTGGGTCCTGGGGAACTGTGCGAGGTGACGACCTCATGCGGCCTGTGTGGCGCTGAGATCACGTTGCGACGGGGCTTCGACGGAAACCTGAGCATTGGAATACGGCGTGAGATTTATGATGTCTGGAACCCATTGAGTGTTGACGTACTCGTGAATCTAGAGGATTGTGGATTGGTATGCTGTTCGTGGTGGCACTGGTATGGGGCTTGTGCTTGGGACTTTTGTAAGCGACGGATTGCTGAGATGGTTGCGCGAGCTGTAGGGCACTAATATAGTGTGCGTACGCGGGAGGTACTCAATATCGCTGGTAAGGTCTTTGTGCAGAGAATGGGTGCATGTGCAAACCTCGAAGTTGACTACACAGAATCGTCTTGGAGTGCTCATTGAAGCTAGCGCTTCCGTACCTATGCTGATGTAATTAAAGTCACAGCGAGTGATGAATTGACTTCACAATACATTGAATAATCATCTCGCCCCAGTGGACTTTTGTGGACACAGAGGGCTCGTGCTTTCAGGCGGGCAGTGCCAATTCCGGAGACACGTATTGCGCTCCTTATGTGGCGATCGTTTGAAGTTGCTAAGCTGCCCATTTATAAAGGAAGATGATGTGAAGACGGTGACACTCGGAATAATAAATGTGTGGAGATTGGCCTTGGACAACTTAGCAGCAACGGGCCAATGAGAAGACGATATTGGAAGAGGCTAACGCGAACGCCTCCAGGGCCGACAGACGGGCTGCATCCTTCTACCTCGCGGCAGATGGGCCGCACGGCTCGTCTTCTATGATCCAGGTTTAATTCCGATATTGCAGTCGGAGGTGCAGTAGCTCGGCCCTTTCGTGCTAGGGCTTAATACTTATATGAATAGAAGGTGAGTTGAGCACTGGTGAGCACGTCTTTCCTGCCCGCCAACGTAACGACACATTATGCGGTTCTGGGCTCTGTTACCTGTTGTAGCTGGACTGGTGTCGCAAGCTGGTGCCACAGTCGTTGAGGATGTCGCTGATGCGTACGACTTTGTGAGGCAATTCTAATTTTGTATGGTGCTTTCCTGACGAGGACACAGATTGTTGTGGGTGGCGGAACAGCCGGGCTCGCTGTCGCGTCGCGCATCAGCATTGGCCTCCCCAACAGCACAATTCTTGTGATCGAAGCAGGTCCTGATGGACGTCAAGAACCAGGTATCTATATTCCTGGACGTAAGGGCTCCACGCTTGGTGGAAAATACGATTGGAACCTGACGACTGTTGCGCAAACCAATGCCAACAACCGTACGTTTGCGCAAAACCGCGGAAAGGTGCTTGGAGGCAGCAGTGCGTTGAACTTGATGACGTGGGATCGTACTTCCATCGCTGAGCTCGATGCGTGGGAGAAGCTTGGTAATAAGGGTTGGAACTGGAAGACGCTCTATCCTGCCATGTTGAAGGCCGAGACATTCTTACCTTCTCCGGAGTATGGAGTGGAAGGCGTTGGCAACAGCGGTCCTATTCAGACTCTGATAAGCCGAATCTTTCCAAAACACCAGGCCTCCTGGATCCCTACTCTAAACAAGCTCGGCCTCATCACGAACAGAGAGTCGCTCAATGGGCAGCCTGTGGGTGTAAGCACACAGCCCAATAACGTTAGCCCGAACTACACTCGATCATACGCCCCTGAGTACCTGAAGCTTTCGGGCGATAACCTTGCCCTCAGACTCGATACCCGTGTGGCAAAGATCAACTTCAAAGGCAAAACAGCTACCGGTGTCACCTTTGAAGATGGAACAACTGTACAGGCTCGTAAGGAGGTCATCCTCTCCGCGGGCTCGTTCCAAACTCCTGGCCTGCTCGAACTTTCTGGTATTGGTAACGCAACTTTGTTGAAGAGCATGGGTATTCCGGTCGTCAGGAGTCTTCCTGCTGTAGGCGAGAATCTTTCGGATCACATTCGTATCCAAAGTTCATACCAACTTTCGTCATCGTATCCTTCGTTCGACGTCTTGAGGAACTCGACCCGCGCTGCTATCGAACTAGCGGCCTATAATGCCGGAGAGGTGTCACTGTATGATTACACCGCCAGCGGCTATGCATACTTTCCATGGGACATCGTATCAAATGATACTGCAGCCAGACTCCGAACATTGGTTCAAGGTGACACCACGTTGACTTCAGCGGTCGACAAAGTAAAGAAGAGCTATTTCTCCCCACCACAAAGCTCGACGGTACCACAGCTTGAAGTAATCTTCTCTGATGGCTATACTGGTCTCAAAGGCTACCCCGCGGTCAATTCCTCTCTGTTCGGTATCGGAACCTTCTCTCTCATCGGCGTGGTTCAGCATCCTCTCAGCAAAGGCAACGTCCACATACGCTCGCGCAACATCAGCGAGAAGCCAATCATCAACCCTAACTACCTCTCCCACCCATACGACCTGCAAGCTGCGACGAATCTTGCGAAGTTCCTGCGCACGATCGCTAATACCGCGCCTCTGAAAGACGTATGGACGGAGGAGTACGAGCCTGGCAAGGCCGTGCAGACTGATGAAGACTGGAAGAAGTTTGCTTTGGCGAACACATTGAGTATTTACCATCCGATAGGTACTGCTGCCCTGCTTCCGGAAAAGGACGGCGGTGTTGTGGACGCGCAACTGAAGGTCTACGGCACGAAAGGGCTGAGGGTGGTAGATGCAAGTGTGATTCCGTTATTACCGAGTGCGCACATTCAGACGCTGGTGTACGGCATTGCGGAGAGGGCTGCAGAGATGATCCTTGCAGAGCACAAGTAGGTTGCACTTCTTGCACAGAGCGATGCAGCTAAATCTATGACGATACTGCATTCCTCTTTCAATTTCAATGGGTCTCTTGTACTTGTGTTGTGGGAGTGGAATAGTTCTGCGACCTCCACCTTTGACCTTCCTTGTTCAGAAAGATGTTTTGACACCCAGCGTGACCGTTCTTCCGGACCTTGTAAACGACAACTCTTGCGGGCATTACGTTTGAGATGTGATTTGATGCGAGAATCAAGTGATTGAAGGATTCCACCGAGCGGTCAATCTACCCATGAATGCATTGTGTTGTAGTTGACGAGTAAGAGGTTAGGCGCAGGAGATCTTGCCTGGTCAAAGTTTCGACCCCCTTCCCCAAACGTCAGCCCGTGTCATTCATGGCCACGTGACTGGGGTGCGGCATCTATGCCTTGCCCCAAGCCAGGCATTTGATCTGTGATTCAGTTTGTAAGATTGTAGTTTTCGTGAAGAAACGGTCTACTGTGGAGGGAAGACGCAGAGGTACAGAGATACAGCGTGCCAAGCGCTGCTTCTTCGCCGGGCTACGTCATCGCCAGACTCTGAAAACGCGTTATCCTTCGACAACTTTACGCGTCGTCGTAGTACGCATTGCGGTGCAGTCAATTCCGATCAGCATGCCCAGAGCAATGAATGACAACCCAACATACCGGAACAGCTTCAGAACAGCTCGCCGATGGCGGCAGAGTGGGCTGGGAACACCCATGCAACCACCATAGGCGTTCAACAGTCATCAACGCGCTACCGCAAGCTGGGTGCAGCTGACGGACATCCGGAATGGGAGCCAGCAAATGTGAAGATTGCGTCGACTTGAACGCGCCCGAGCATCGCGGGGGCATGGCACCAAGCCGGGTGCCTGGGTTTCCGGGTCGTTGATCCCCCAGTGAAAAGCGCAGTAGGTTTATGGATAGCCCGTTTCCGAACCAAGAATTGGTGGCGGTGCATCATCCAGGATCTTAAACCACGTTCCCGCCCTGGCAGCTGGCGAATGGAATGCTCAACAGTTCCAGCTTCGCCCACCCGCCGCTTACTGTTTGCCGCAGAACAGCAACCCCGCTGCGAGAACAAGTCCCGCCGTACCATATCTGTCCTAGACACGCACTTCACAAGGTCTTACCTCTCTGCGCGCCATTCGGACACTCGTCCGCGGACAAGCTAGTCTACAGCCAATTTTACCGGACTGTAAGAGCTGCTAAGTGCGTGACGCGTTATCGCGCGTTGCTGATTGTGCTTGCGCTTACCATCTGACATGCAGGGCGGTGCGTAGTACAGGGATCGTCAGCATATTACTGCCCTACGGCGCCTTCGCTTCTGCGCCTCTGCGCCGTTCCTCTTCCCACAACTCCCACTTCAATTCCCATCGCGCCACCGTCAAGATGATGCGCAAGAAGACGACATACACGAACATCACCCCCATCCCCTCCTTCATTCCGCGACAGCTGGCGATCGATATCTTGCACAGTCACGGCGAAATCATTGGACTGAATCCTCTTGTCACTGGATTTGAACCTGTCAAAGCGCCTCGAGATGCGCCGTCAGACGAATTCTATGCGACCTGGTACGAGATAGCCCAACGGATACAATACATCCCTGGCATCGGCAAATTGGGCAGCGGCGCTATCAAATTCAAGGGTTGTTTCCACGACATGCCATGGGGCTTACAAACACACATCTATGCGCCTGCCGGTGTAGACATGCGCAACAAGTGGCAGATCTGTGGCAATCAGCCCGGTGAAGCTGTAGAGACGAGAGAGCTAGGCCTTGGAGCCCCGCCTGAGGGGCTGTACCTGCGCGAGGATATTGAGATCAAGTGCAACATGACCATGGCTGGCTTCGTTAAGAAAGAGAACAAAGTCGCATCCAAGGTTTTTGTCGACCGTCTGATCAAGAAGGCCGAACTGCTGGACGCAGGCATATTGCAGGGCATGATGGATAAGGGAAAGCTGAAGACGTTCAACCCTGCCGATCGGTCCAGCATGGTACCGGCATCGCCAGGCCCATCGCCACAGCACGCAAACTTGCAGCCATACAATATGCCCATGTCACCTGCCCGCTCACCTTCGCAGTCGCATCATCCAGTTCCGCAAGGGTATGTTCCTCCGGGACAGCTCCTAGGTCAGAACACCGTGGTCATGGAATTGCCAGGAGATTATTACCATACCCAGCCATCTCCAGGTCTGCTACAGCCTGACCATCGCCTGTCAAACGCGAGTGAAGGATCAAGGTCGCCAAACCTCCATGATGCACGCTGGTCGCAAGCCTCGAATGACTACCAAAGTTCAATGAGCTCCCGTCCGAGCTCCTACGCGCCATCTGAGAACCCTCGTTCCCCAGGACTTGATCAAAAAGCATTTACTGCAGAATTGCCTACAATGGAGGAGACACGAGAAGAGCACTCGGATCGCGTGAAGCGCGCAAGCCAGCAGAGTACTCAGGAGCACAAATACACGTACAACCCTCAAGATTACGCTCGACAGGCGCAATATGCAGTACCGCCGCAGTATACGCCATATAATCCTCAAGGTAACTCGTAAGCCACGAGTACAAAAAGTTTCCTTGATTGTACACCTTCTTTTTCATGAACATCGACATTTTACATGTCAGCTTTCGTTTCCGGACTCAGTCAGATACCCGCGTCGCATGAACACAAAGATTTCTTCACTTTCATGTTGTCTATTACTCTCGGCGTTTTGGTCCACACCGCGATGCAGATCAAGCATGGGCACGAATTTCATTGGTTCAAGATATCCATGTCGCTTACGAATATAATACTGCTTTTGACGTCGCTGATCAGCTTCATCCTGCTTTGTCATCAACGATGCATAAAGAACTGCCGAAGTTGAACCCTTATGCTGATCATACGATGTCGTTCACGCTTTGGCTGACACGGCGTTCTCGCCGATGAAACATGCATGCAAGCTCCCGAATGCGCGACCGCATGCAGGTGGTGCTGTGCCTTTCCCGAAGAAGCAGAAAACTGCCGAGGGTCGTTTCCATTGACACTAGACAGATAATGTGTGTGTGTGTGGATATATGTGTTGTCGTCACGTATCTTGATCCTGAAGATGAGCACGCCTCCAGCAATCCGAAGCATCGAACTCGGACCAGATGACCCCAAAATTCATGCCGTCCAGCGAATGATACCTTTGTCTATTAGCCGAAATGCTGTTACCGTATGCTACCAAGACGTACGTCAGGCTTGGCGCGGCTGTCGTTGTGCTCGTCGCGAAGCTTTGAGCGGGGTTGGCCAACCAGCTAGCCGATCTGCCCGCCATCTCCGTCATTGGTGTGTGCTTGGTGCTACCCCGGACTACCCCATTGTGCAGCGGTAATCTTATAAAGCTTCGGCAAGCCTTTTCCTGCCGCAATGTCACACAGCTTGTTCTCTTGCAGTGTCTGCATAGCTTTCATTCGAATAAGTACACGACATGGCGACAGGCAGTGATTACAAAGATCACGAAGTGATGGGTGGGAAGTTCGACGATCCGGAGCAACTTGAGGCAGTGCGTCAAGAGGCTTTGCATCATGGCCATCTTTCCGCCGAGGAGCTCGAGATCGAAAAGAAGCTGCGGAGAAAGATCGATGCGCGAATCATGCCGGTCCTCATCACCATCTACCTAATGAACTACATTGACAGGTACGTATACCGCTGTTACACACGAATAATTCTAACTGTACATTAGAAACAACTACGCGGCGGCACGTCTGCAAGGCTTGGAAGAAGATCTTGGCCTCACTGGCGATCAGTACCAGACGGGTCTTTCGATCCTGTTTGTCGGGTATGACATCTTCAAGCCTTATTCTTATCTAGTATTAGCTAACCAAGCGCAAGTTACATTTTGATGCAGGTACCGTCAAACATCATTCTAAATTGGGTTGGCCGACCGTCTTGGTATCTTGGTTGCGCCACCGTCGCTTGGGGCTTGGTGTCCTGCGTAACATCGCAAGTGCACAACTACTCGGGCATCGTGGCAGCACGCTTCATTCTCGGTATTGTCGAAGCACCGTTCTTTCCGGGCGCTTTGTTCTACCTGAGCAAATGGTACACGAAGGAGGAACTGGCAAAACGTAACGCGATTTTCTACGCTGGATCACTGGTCTCGGGCGCATTCGGTACGCTCATTGCAGCGGGAATCCTAAGTGGATTAGATGGAAAGCTTGGACTGGCTGCTTGGAAATGGTAAGTTGTGCCCACAAAGGGGATTTGTTTGTCTGCTAATGCTATTGTTCCAGGCTTTACATCATTGAAGGTGCCGTCACCATGGCTGTTGGTATCGCAGCAATATTCATCTTGCCCGATTTCCCTGAGACTTGGAATGGATTGACACCGGAGATGAAGCGCGTGGCCATCAGGCGCCTAGCAATCGATGCCGCAGAAGCAGATGTTGACGAGGCAGGCGGTATGAGCCAGATCAAAGGCATGAAGCTTGCCTTTACCGATCCCAAGACATATATCCGTAAGCCTCATCTTCACTCACACCATACCACGCTAACCTAATCGGGTCAGTCGCCATCGCTTATATGGGTATCACTGGTTCAGCAGGCTTCCAGAACTTCTTCCCTACCCTCACACAAACCCTGGGATATAGCCGCATCATCTCCCTGCTTCTGGTCGCACCACCCTACGTCTTCATGGTTTTCTACTCCTACGGCCACTGCTATCTCTCCGATAGCATGGGCAAACGTTTCTGGTTCCTCGCCTACCCAGTCGCCATCTCCATCATCGGCTTCCTGATCTTCATGTTCACCGACGACTTCGGCCCGCGCTACTTCTCCTTCTTCCTGATGAACTTCGTATTCGCCCAAAACGGCACAATCTACGCCTGGATCTCCAATGCGATTCCTCGCCCGCCCGCCAAGCGCGCTGCTGCGCTGGCCTTCATCAACAGTATCGGCAACTCGGCATCCATCTGGACGCCATTCACGTACATTCCCAGCTCCAAGCCGCATTACCGTCCTGCGCTGGGTGTGTGCATTGGTCTGCAGATTCTGAGTTTGGCGTGCTTTGTGATTATGAAGCTGTATCTTGAGCGCCAGAATAAGCAGATGGCTCGTATGGAGAATGAGGATGGTGAGTTGACAGAGAAGGATATGAAGAAGCTTAGGAAGACGGCGGAGGCAGAGGGGATTGATATCGCGGCTGCGAGGGTGCTGCAGAAGGGCTATCGGTACATGATTTAGATGTTGACTGTATGTTCGAGGCCATAATGTCGGAAATGAGATGACGTGAGATAAGAACAGCAGTCTGATACCAGTGCACTTATAATACTAGTGCACTTAACTGAGTAAGGGACGTCTAGTCTTGGTCACTGATGAACTCCTCTGTTTATATCAAGACAAGAAAACATCGAACGACTCTTCCTGTGCTACATTTCAAATTTCAAGCCTTCCATACGCAGAAAACGTATTTCAGAAGTGACGCGTTTCGGAACGAGGAACAAGAGCCCGAGTCCTTATCGAGATTTCATATAACTAGCTTTCAGAAGGTAGATCAGTGAGTCAGGAAGTGACGGGCTGGGCGATAGGAGTGGAACTTGGCAACAAGATTCACGTCCATCCAGTAGACATTTGTTTGCAATAGCAAAAGAGTGATACTATTGTAAGCTATAAATTACAAATAGAGCGCTATGCGCAAGGAGTGAATATTAGAACCAGAAAGCAAGTACAGAAAATCAAACAAAGTCTAAATATGCCCAGAACCCATCGCTATGCAGAATCTAAAACCATGTCCTCATGCTTTGAATCGTTCCTCGTACAATTGGAGTAACTTAGGCAGCCTTGACAAAGGCCGGGTCGCAAGCAACGGCGAAGGTGTCGACATTGATGGGCTCACCGTTGTTGTTGATGAAGCTCCAGGGGCCGTTGCCGCCATCCGCGAAAGTGGTGTCGATGTTAGCACCGCGCTTACCAGTGATCGGCTTGCCGGCAACGTCGAAGACCCTGCACCTCAAGTCCTGCTTCTTGACCGCAGGGTCGAGAGTAAGCTCGAACTGGTTGACGCCGGTGCCCCTGACGCGCTGGACCTCACGAACAAGGCCACCCTGGACGAATTGGGTGTTGGACGCGAACTCGTTGAGGCCAGAGATGCGTACGTTGATGCGGGGCTGAGTGGCCGGTGTAGCAGCGGGGGCGGCAGGGCTGGGAGTGGCAGGAGCAGCTGTGCCCTTGACGAAGGCGGGGTCGCAGATGATGGCAACGACGTTTTGGGCGCCGCTCTCGAAGCGCCAGGATCCAGCGTCACCGTCGGCGAAAGTGGTATCACGGTTGGCGCCGCGAAGTACAACGATGGGCTCGTTGCGCTCGTTGCGCACTTGGCATCGGAGACCTTGCTGCTTTACACCGCTACCGACTTCGAGTGCGACGGTATCGTAAGGGCCGGTAGAGCCTTGGGGGCCCTTAGCTTGACGGACACCTTCGTCGAAGGCAGTCTGGGTGGCGAGCTCGCCTGGGCCGGAAAGCTGGACCCGGATCGAGGTTGAGCGACGAGTTGGCTGGGCGAGAGCCGAAGTTGCGAGGAGCGCGGAGAGGAAGACGGTGGAGTACTGCATATTGATGGTTTTGGGTGATTTTGCTGGGTTTTCTAAGAAGATAGAAGACAGATAAACTGAAAGAAATGGAAAGGAGAAATCGAACTGTAGTGGGTGTGGATGTGTGAGTGTGATGGTGTGATGGAAAAAATACTGTATGGCGATGCCCACTGCATCTTATAGAGAATGTTGATACCGTTGCTTTGCTGTACAAGATGGTCCCAGCCACTGTAATTGCCCTAAACTTACACAATTTCGGGCGAAGCATGGCTGAGCTGTGCTTCCCATCATCAAATTCTTAGCGGCTGACAGCCTTGTTGTTTTGGGGCACGTCAGAGCCAATCGCCGTGTTGCGCAGCCTTCCCGGATCGTCAGCAGCCGAGCACAAACACCCGCGTCCCGCTGAAACATTCCTTGGCTGTCAGCATCTCAAAATAGTTGGAGATTTCTAAGGCAGTTGCTCATCAGTGGCATATTTTACAAGCAGCGCTGATTGGTGTGCTCTTGTGTTCCCATTACTGATGTATCTAGGCACTCCTGTATTTGCGATACTCCCCACGGGGCTGCAGGCGTGGCTGCTGATGAACTCGGAAATGCCGTGATGTTAGTCCGTATGACCATAGTCCTGTGCGATTTATACCGCTCTTCTGAGATCAGCATAGAGCCCTCTGCCTACTTCCTCTTCGTATACGAAACGAGTGTCAGGACTCATGGGGTCGTTGAAGGCGGTAAGAGGCAGCTGTGTCGCCGCGCAGAGAGTATCAATCAGCTCCGGGCGCAACTCGTTGATCTTGGCGAGAAGAAGAGGGACGAACTTGGTTGCGCCGCCTGGAAGCTTCGCGAGCAAGGATACAACTTGTGTCAGGTAGTCAACTGGGCCAAGCTTTACCTGAGAAGTTGACACCGATATGAAAGGAAGAACATCCGCAACGGCACAGGCAATATCAAACACCTTCTCGGTCTAACTGATCAGCTTCATGAAACTCCGGGATTGGACTCAACTTACCATGCCAACCCCATGGACCTGTAGGCTTGCAATAGGCACTTTAATTGCGAGGATAGTCAGATCGGTCGCAACAGCTATTGGGTATCTGAAAGTCAAGCACTCATAGAACGATTCGGTTGATAGATAACCGAAGCGCGGGAATAGTTCCCAAAGTTTGATCCGTAACCAAAACTGGGAAACGCGCAGATTCGCCATCTCCTCGTTCGATACTTCAAGGTTAGGCGGTAGGGCTGTTCGGACATTACGCTCAAGCTCAAGCAGCCACTCTTTACTGCAGCCACTACTTGCACCGTTCCATACCGTGAAGAATATCTCATCAAGTGGCTGGAATACTGAAGCAAGAAGTTCAAGGCTAGGAGCATGTGTGCTGCTGAGTGAAGGGCTGGATGGCGTGACTTGGAGTGTAATTGGCCTGTTTCTTCTTACGCCGTGAGACCTTTTCAATGTAAGCAGAGTTTTTACGTATTATTTAGGCCGCAATACCTTTCGGAAATTAGGAGGACCCAGAACATGCAACTATGCGCCCTCTGATCATACCAGCTGATCGCGTCTGCCCTCAGCATAGTAAAGATAGTTGTCGCCTCACGAAGATAGAACCAGCCCTGCTGATAGTCTCCAAGTCCAGCATATGCACCATACAAGAAGAAAGATATAAACATCGATCTGGGACTGGGGTCGGTAATGCGTCTAAGATTTTGCACCCGAAGCGCTTCTTCCAGGCTCTGCCGTCCCAAATTAGCCCTCGATAGGACCTGTTGATCAATTGGCGTCTCCTCAAGGGCATTCCCGAAATTCGCAACGTAAGCGCAGAAGGCTAGGACGAACTGGCGGGACGCGGCCGAGGTCTCGGACAGCTGCACCTCCATCTCCAAGGCATGAGGAGTTAGAATGGGAACGACCGGGTATATTCGATGCATGTATGCGCCTACACAGGCTTGTACGAAAGATGATTCCGCATAGTAGGGGGATGCTAGAGGTGAGCAAGTCGACTCCGCCGGAGCTGAAGCTGGGGAGGTAGCTGCAGTAGACTGTGCTTGACCATTCCTAAGCTCATTGAGAACAGTGGCTCTGATCCCTCTATTTCCTCCCTGCCGTCTTGGTGAATCGTAGGTGCACGTCAAGTTCGCCGACATACAGCCCGAGCAAGGCTGCAGCCCATTGCATTTGACTTTCCGGCGCCGACAAGCATCACATGCCTTCGGGATCACTTTTCTCGTGGACGCCATTCGGATTGTCGATGTTCGTCTGCACAACGGGGTCCATCTCGTGCATGTTATGTGCAGGAGACTCCACAGCGCGCCTGATTTGAGTTGGACGGAGGAGCGCGGACGTAAAAATGACCGTGCGGGGAAATTTGATCGAGGCCAACACCAAAACAACACGTGATGTTTTGAGATCACTAGAACTAGTACGTATTCTGAAACATTATTCATCTAACTAGTATCAGGCAAGTCTCAATTCGATAGATCTCACCAAAAGTGTGATCCTCAAGCGATGCTTCTTCGAAGTCATCACCATTGAAAATGCGCTACCTAGCGACATTTCATTCTTTCCATTCGGGAGTCGCACCGTCCTTTCCATCAACCTTCTCCAGGCCGATGCCACGGCCGTATGGATCAACTTGCGTGGTGGCGAACTTCCTCGCGCTAACTTTGCCTTCAAATAGTGCATCAAGCTCAGCGTATGTCCGGCCCCTTGGTTCTGGGAGTCTGAACCACACCCATACAACTACACATCCGCAGGTGCCAGCCCAGAAATAGGCTGTCTTCGCCCCCCAAGCCCAGCCTCCACTACCAAGCTGGTAGTTGGTCAGGACGTTGACAACGATGTTGGAGATATTGTATAGTGCTCGAGCGAGGTTGATAGTCTTTGACTTCAGCCTGGTCGATGGCATCTCGGCGACAATCGAGTAGGTGACTGGACCGATCGTGAAGTCGTAAACGAAGACGAATACAATAAGAACAGCGCCAATAGCCCAGTTCGAAGCGTCATTCCCAGCAAAGGAGCAAGATCCAACAATGATGAGAAGCACGAATAATGTACAAGCTCCAGAGAAGTGAATAGTACGACGACCGAGCTTCTGCATTAGGAACCATGAGCCCATCGTACCGATGAGGCCCAGTGCGAGCGAGATCATCGACATGTTGAACGATTGTACTGTGGGCAGTCCGGCCTGTTGCATAAAGTAGGCACTGACAAGTGTTAGTCATTTGTAACCTCGGACAGATGAAGCAACTTACAAGTAGCCCATGATGTTCGTACCACAGATGGTCTGAGCAATCCAAGCAAAACAAACAATCTCTGTGCGGCGGAGATCGCTACCTTTGAAGAGATCTCTCCACCTCGTGCCCTCTTTCATGTTCTTTTCCATTTCATTGGTATGTTCAATCATAGCAATAGTTTCGTCGGGATTAAAATTCGGATCGCTGCCTGGCGAAGTGAGACGAAGCAGCGCAGCCCGCGCACCAGCCTTATCGCCGCGACGGACGTGCCACCAAGGTGATTCCGGGGCCAAGGCTACACCAATGGCAATAGGGAGCGGCCAGATCCATTGAATGGCGAATGGAATTCTGTAAGCCCATTGATCTTGGCGCAAAACGCACGCTCGATTGACGCCGGCTGCGATGAATTGACCCATCACCCAACACCTGCCCAGTGTTAACATGAAGGTTCCAAGGTTGTATCGTGAATGGCTAAACTGACATGTTCACGAAAGTTGTCAAGATCGGTCGCAGCTGTACGGGTGCAACCTCAGAAGCATACTGAGTTGTCAGAGTCTGGAACCTGTCCGATGTCAGCACCCAAACTTCATCCTGGTTCTGCAAACACGTACATGCCCCAGGGGATGCCACAGAAGACCTCGCCAATGACAAGAGTCTGCACGTTAGGAGCGAAGAACAAGATGAAGATGAAGCCTGTCATTGCAATCAAAGCACCGACCATGGTCTTGCGATACCCGAAGCGCTCGCTGACGAAGCCGTTGATGAGTAGACCAATGACCTCTCCAGCACGAGCACCGTTAGACCTGTAACCCAAAGTCAGCATCTTCGTCGGGAATCGTCCAAAACTCAGACTTACAGCGCGCTCTGCCAGCTTGGTTGCACTGCCCATTTGCCAGTCCTTTCGTTGAAAACGCCATACTTCTGGTTGAACATGGGACTCCCGTAGAGCGACCCAAGGAGAGCAAGGTCGTATCCTTCCATAATCAGTGCGCTCGATAGAACGACCGACCAGCCAACAGCTTTCGGATACAACCTAATGGCTTGCAGCAAGCCCATTGACTTCTCGTCGTCTGCGGCATGTTGTGCCTCCTCGTTAGGAGCGACGAGATGAGCCGCAACGGGCTGCTGGACGTCCTTGTCTGCCATAATGACGGATTGAAGGATGTCGAGGGAGGAAAAATACCAATTATGGCTGTTGATGCATCGTCAAGGCATCGTGTGATATTTATGCCGACCATGCGGGCAGGGATGATCGTTACCGAACTTGGTCCATCTTCTGGACGGCAAACCTGGGGTCAAGCAATAACTCCACAATTTCCTTCTGCAGTACCCCATGATTCACATTTTAGCATCGAAATACCTCAGGCTATGCTCAAAGCATCGCAAGGACTTGATTTGACGAACTCTGACAGGGACTAGCTGCACGAATGTGCCTGTAGAGTGGGACCAGATCTCTCAACGTGATCGGAGTTTGACTCGGAGCATCTCGGAGCCAAGTCGGCCTTGCGGGGCCAAGTCGGAGGCATCGTCCTGCGGGGCTCCACACGAATCGCTTGAATCACAACGAACCAACGCGCAGCCTCAACCTGTCCACACAATCTGAAGTTTATTACCGGGAATAGCTAGTGGTTATGATGTCCCTATCTACGGAGCTCGGCACAACACACATGCACGCTTCCTGCTTCTTTCATTACTTTCCTCCCAAACACCTCTCACCTTGTCCAAGCCTTCATCGCCACTCGATCTTTGTGTACACCTTTGATGCAAGAAATATCTTCATGATAGAGCCTAGAGCGAGCATTTGAAAGACGAATTGAGCAATATGTCCCCTCATGCTGATCCCCTCTACCACAAGCGCGTCTGGTGGAAGGAAGCAACATTCTACCAGATCTATCCAGCAAGTTTCAAAGACAGCAACGGTGATGGTTGGGGTGATATCCCCGGCGTGCTGCAGAAGATCGAGTACATTGCGTCGCTGGGCGTGGATGTCGTATGGCTCTCGCCAATGTTCGACTCGCCTCAGGTAGACATGGGTTACGATGTCTCAAACTACGAGGATGTATATGCGCCATATGGCACAGTCAAAGATGTTGAGGACCTGATCGAAGCTTGCCACAAGTATGATATGAAGCTCATCTTGGATTTGGTTGTCAACCACACAAGTGACCAGCATAACTGGTTCAAGGAGAGCAGGAGCTCGAAGAACAACCCGAAAAGAGATTGGTACTTCTGGGAACCTGCGCGATACGACGATCAAGGAAACCGGATACCACCAACCAACTATCGCTCATACTTTGCAGGCGGAACCTGGACATGGGACGAGCCCACTCAGGAGTACTATCTACATCTATACGACAAAACCCAGCCGGATCTGAACTGGGAGAATGAGGAATGCCGCAAAGCCATATACGACTCAGCAATGCGATTTTGGCTAGAGAAAGGTATTGACGGCTTTCGGATAGACACTGTCAACAAATACTCCAAAGTGCTGCCCTTCACCGACGCGCCCATCACAGACCCCACATCGTTCACCCAGTCGGCCCCTGAGAAGTGGTGCAACGGGCCGCGAATCCACGAGTTCATCCAAGAAATGAACACCCAAGTCCTCAGCCATTACCGCACATACGATAATCTCCCTCTTGTCACCGTTGGTGAACTCTCGCTCTGCCCGGGCCCGTCGGACGTCATTCCATATGTCTCAGCGCGCTCAAAGGAGCTAGACATGGTATTTCAGTTCGATATCACCCACCTCGGCCAAGGCCCCCCGGGCGGGACATCCAAGTACGACTTCGCGCCCTGGACCTTAGCCAAGATGAAGCGCATCGTGACGAAATGGCAGACCATGATCGACGGTACTGACGCCTGGACTACCGTCTTCAACGAGAACCATGACAACGGCCGTTCCGTTTCGCGCTTCGCCCACGACTCACCTGAGTGGCGGGCCCTCAGCGCCAAAATGCTTGCGCTATGGCTTGCCGCACAGAGCGGCACGCTGTTCCTGTATCAGGGCCAGGAGATTGGCATGGTCAACGCACCGTCGCACTGGGATCTTGAAGCCGAGTACAAGGATGTCGAGAGCCAGAATTACTGGGCCGAGGCCGTGCGACTGGACGACAGCGGCGTAGATGTCGGGCGCAAGGAGCGTATTGCGAAGGGCTTGCAGCTCATGGCGCGCGATCATGCAAGGCTGCCATTCCAGTGGGATGGCAGTGCAAACGCAGGGTTTTCGACAGGCAAGCCGTGGATGCGGGTGCACGATGAGTATCCCAAACTCAACGCTGCGCTACAAGAGGGTGACTCCCAGAGCGTGCTGGGGTTCTACAAAACGATGCTTGCGCTGCGGAGGGAGCATAAAGATGTGTTTGTGTATGGAAAATTCGAGTTGCTGGATCCCGACAGTGAGGAGACATTTGTGTACCGTAAGCGTTACGAGGACAAGACAGCGGTTGTGGTGCTTAATTTCACAACGGAGAGACATGATCTGCCTGAGCGCGATGTAAGGGGCATGAGGGTGCTTGTCAGTTCTTATGGTAAGGTCACGAGCGAGACGTTACAGCCACTGGAGGGACGGGTGTATGTTGACTACTAGCCTGTGTCCTCTCAGGTATCTCGAAATAATGACATCAAACACACAATCCAGTCACAATCCTCCCCAACCCTCACACATCGCCGCGTAACATACAAAATAACCTCACTCATCCAAAACACAGGCCCCCACCTCACCGATATACCGCTCGGCACTTGTACCCAGCTATCAACATCAATTTCTCCAGCCCCACTCCCCACCCACCCACCTCAATCTTCGTCAGCAACAACAATATCACGCTATTCTTCCACTATGTCTGAACTGACTCCAATCGCATACATTGGATGACGCGGCGCAGGATCAAAAGGTAATCCTCCATGTACTGAGGATCAACCCCTCGGCATACCTCCGCGCAGCCTGTGCGACACTCACAGTGTTTCGCTCTCTGGCTCGCCGCGATTTATGCTCATAGTACATGTTCATTCTATTGTCGCGAAGGGAATCGTTTGCTGGATGCTTTTGTGAGTCCCTATTGCTCGGGGGTGAGGGGAGGCTCTCAAGATGATTTTGCGCGGTTGAGACTGACGAAATAGGGGTCGAAGAGCAAGAAGTGTAGATGTGTGTATGTGTGGATTCGAGTGTATATTACAGTCTACGCTTTCAATGGGTATCTAAGTAGCACCAGACAGAAAAAAATTCGTGTCTTCGGTGTGTGCAATGCGTCTCGCCGTCTCCCTGCCTTCTTTCCTATATCGTCGCAAATCTCTCACCCCTTATCACGCATCCCCTGCCTTCTCAGGATCGGGAAGCTCAACCGACTCCACCTTCTCGTAGCTCCCAGGCCCACTCGCACCATCTGGGATCCAGAACCGCAAATCCACACGCGCAACTGCGTATAGTGCCACAGTCAGAAGCTCGACGCCGAAATTGATCATGTAGAACGCCGCTTTGTGGTAGTACTCCGGCATTGGCTGGCTGCGCGGCACGGGCGTGCGCCACATAGTGCCGGCGCGGTAGCTCGCACCAAGGCACACGAGGGAGGCACCCGTGACGAGGACGGCGGCCTTGGTTCTCAAGCGGCCGGTGCCAAAGGTGTCGGGGCGCTCTGTGCGCGGGATCGCGAAGCAGAGGGCAAGGATGGGGAGGGGCAGGAAAGACACGATGGCGAGGAAGGTGGTGCCGTAGAGTTGTAGCGAGCGGTCGATAGTAAGGGTGCGCGGGCGCAGGGTGTATAGAGACTGGACGACGGAGACGATGACGATGACGAGGGTGAGACCGATGAGAGGCCAGAGCAGTTTGAAGATCGTCGAGGGGACGCGGTGCCAGCCGAAATGGGGGTGGAGGGAGCGCACGATGCGTTGGGTCCAGAAGAGGTTGATAACGTAGACTAAGAGGACGCCAGCAGCAGTGAAGATCTGTGCGGCGATGGCGAGGCGGATGTTGAGCGGGTGTGTTATTGAGGCGAGACGCAGGATGCAGGTTACGATGCGCGACATGCAGAAACCTGATTGCGTGTTAGTGTGTGTGGAGGTGAAGGAAGTCAACGAGGGACACACCGAATAGAACAGCATTAAACAGAAACTTGTAGCCTCGCCGTCTATTCAATTGGAAAATTGTCATGTGAGTCGCTGCGCCGCATACATAGAGTGCAAGACAGACAGCCGTGACGGGGATGTCAACGGTCTTGTTGGGTGTGCCGCCCAATGCCCACACTCTGGGTGGGTATGGTCCTGGCATCTGCTCAAAGTCAGTACATATTGGAATATGATGAATGAAAGGATACTGACCTTGATTGTCGGTTATTGTATTAGGAGTTTGTGGATCACTTTGGGATATGTAGTCGTGATTGGATGAGCGAGGTGGAACGTGAATGTCTTGGAACTTCAATCAGGGCTGGGGGATCAACATATAAGTTTTTGCCAGATCTCGGGGACTCGCAATCAATTTACCCACCCGAGCTTCATTACGCATTCAGCCAAGTCAGGCTCTGAGAGTCGGAGGCTTGCCAGGCTCCGTGGTAGAGAGCCTGAAGCGTTCGAGGCTGCGCCGTCGGCGAGTCGGCGATTCGGTCATTCGTCTAAACACCGAAGAGCGAGGTACGCGAGGCACGCGAGGCTAGGTCAGCGCCACGCCATGTTTTTGTCTTGAGCCTGTGACCTTGTTGTTTCCGCCGTATTTGCATCATACCTGAGTTGCTCCTTGTTGCCGTTGGGCCGATCCAGCTGCCGGACGAGAACGGTTGAGCGTGCAGACTAAGTCTATCGTGACATTCGTGGGGTATACTACCAAACAACCAGCAAGCAATGCCGCTCGCCTGTTTATGCAACCAATCATCCAATCATACACGCGTGCTCCACTCTCCGCGATCCTCATCTTGCTCAATCTCTTCCCCTTAGAACCATAGTCCTCACGCGCTGTGCATGAACGGAATATACCTGTACAGATCATCAAACTCTTTACCAATCCACCCCGCCGTCTTGCCACCCCTGCCAACCACACCCAGCCCGCCCGCAAGCCACAGCCCCGCAACCACTGCCGCAACTCCATTGATCCCATACCACCTCCTCTTCTTCTCCAGCTGCCTATTCTCCGAGTACGGGCTGACCTGACTCGGCTTCAAGCCCATCCACTGCGCAGCACCCCACGCGAAATGCCACACGCCAGCCCCAACGAGCGCTGAGAACCCTGCGAACGAGATCAAGGGGTGTGTTGCGAAACCGTGGCTGATATAAGATAGCGAAATCAGGCTGTTGTCGCCGTGCATGTACATTGGCAGCACGCGCGTAGTCCACACATGAAACCCGGCGAGGGGGAGCAGCACGTAGCCCAGCAACGAGGTGCCGCTGAGCGCGGGCCACGGGATCGAGCGCTTGTCTGTTCGTGTCTCGGCACCGTAGCGCTGCAGCGCCTGGCGGCGGCGGTAGAGGCGCAGCGCGACGCCGGAGGTGATGTGCGCGAGAAGGGGCAGTGCGACGACGAGTGGCTCGGCGAGCGTCGATTGGTAGTATGGCCGTGTGAGGAGGAGGTAGCGATTTGCCTCGGGGACGGAGCGCGTGATGAGAGGAATGAGAGCGGTGTTGGCGATGTGGAAAGTGGTGAAGATGCCAAAGGCGTACGAGGAGTACTTTTGGATGCGTGTCACTGTCGCGTGTCAGTTCTCGAGGTCTCAGAGACTTCTCTGTTGGTAGACATACACCACCATACCGGGCCATGACTGCCTCCTAGCCCTAGTGTCGTTGTTGTTCTCCGTGGCAGTCCGAAGTCTTGTTCGTCTTTCTCATTGCTGGCGGATGGAAAGTAGCCGTCCTTCAACTCAGCAGGTGTTTCGTCGACAGGGCTAGGCTCGACTTCAGTCAGGCCCATTACGCCCGCCTCCTCGTCGTCGAGTGTCGGCAGTGCCGGCGGAGGTTGTGACGCCATTGTCGTGTTGGAGACGAGGTTGCTGATTAGAGCGATGTTGATAGGCCACTGGCGGTGAATGCGGTGTGGGTCCGGTGGTTCCAACCGAGGTGCCAATCGTCATGCAGGGCCATTGAGCCTCACGTCAGATACCAATGCGACTGCACGCAACACCACATCACACACTCCCACTCCAACAATCACACCACAAAACAACTCAAAACCATCACCATGCCGCCCCGTAACAATCCCGTCCCCAACGCCATGCGCCTCTTCAACTGCACCATCTGCGACAAAGGCTACCCGCGCCAACTCGACTACGAAAACCACCTGCGGTCGTACGACCACAACCACCGCCAGCGCCTGGCCGACATGAAGAAGCTGACCGCAAGTAACGACGCCGAAGGCCAGAAGCCGAAGCAGGGCGTCGAGCTGCGCGCGCTGGAGGGTAAGGGCGCGTTGGCCGGCAAGGGATTTACGAAGATCGGTGCTGCGGGCGGGCTGGGCAAGGGGTTCACGAAGATTGGCGGCGGATTTAAGAAGGTTGGAAACGTAGTGGGGAAAGAAGGGGAGAAGAAGGAGGTCATGGTAGAAAAGGCCGTTGTGCCTGAGGCAGTGGTTGAGGTGGCTGCGGTGAAGCAGGATACGGATAAGATGGATGAGGATGTGGTTATGGGTGAGGATGACGAAGAGGAGGTAATTACATGGGAGGAGTACGACTTTACCAAGCCCACTGGGTGCGACCATGCGACTTGCGAGGGTTGCAAGACTGAGGGAATCTGGAGCGGGAGCTGGGTCGCTGTTTGAGACATTCTGTCTGCGGAGTGCACGCATCTCGTGCCTTCTCTTGAGAGACAGGTATCCGTGTTGGCTTGCTCCAACGAACAGCAGCTTCTCCAACTCCTACTAGATCACGAGGGGATATGATTCCAGGATGCCCACGCCACGACCAACGACGAGCTCGCCTACTACTTCAAGCACCTTCTGGACTCATGAAACTTCCTATGACAGGCCGAGGAGCCTCTGTCTCTGAGCACTGTACATCTTCTGATGTTCAGTATATTTCATCTGGGGACTGCTTGCGACCACAGCTCCATGGTTTAAGACTAGGAGTTAGAACGTCGGCTTGAGAGCTGGCATCCATGGAGAACCGTGATTAGGGAGACTAACCGGCGGTTCGTGAAGACCCAGACGAGGTGAATGAGCTAGCGAAATTGCCTAAACGATGAAGGCCAGATATTAGTCCTTGATGAGTCTTGTCACGGCGAATCTTTGTTCCTATCGTCATGTCTAGTAGTTCATAGTTCATGCCCGGAGTGTATGTATCCGGATTTTTTTTGTCTCGTTCACACCTACCTCATTTGCGCCACTCGCGAAACGCGTGAAAAACGCATCAATCCATCACAAACACTAATCACCTCACACCCAAGCATTGGCCAGTCTACCCTGCTCCTCCGCAATCATCTCGTCAACTTGGCCAAGGACTGACGTAGCACGTAGGAAGGCTGGAGGCGAGTATGCACCCTCCTCGTCCTCGGTAGGCTGACTTTCACGCCTGTTGTTACCAAGCGTATCGCCGTAGACGCCATTCCACGCCGTTGCATATTGATGATTATTGAGAATCATCCCCAGGTCTTGCGTGACCGCATCGTCGGCTGCGCTAACCGCAGTGACTGCCTCAAGGGCGCCATCCTGATTTATCGGCGGCAGTCCGACTTTCGTCCTCATCTGGTTGACCCTTTGCACACTCTCTTTTGACGCAGGACGGCCTATGAACGCGCCTTCTCGCACCAGCGTTCGTGCGTGGTCCAGCTTGGATTCCTGGAGCAAGGCCAGAAGATGCACGACCTGCTCATCTCGGCGACGCAGCATACCCTCGTAATCTTCGCGCAGGGGACGTTGTTGTAGTGCGGTAGTCATCAGGCGCGTTCGCTCCCTCAGTGTCCAGGCTGCTAGGTCACGGATTGATTTGTTGGCTGCTTGCAGGCTATTCTCCTTCTGCAGGAGTGCCTGCGCCAGCTCGACGATCTCGGCTTCCAGACGCTCGTAAGTGCCATCTGAGTGCTTCGCAGTGCTTTCGGGAGGTTGTTGAATGAAGTTGTCGAGCGACCCGCGCTTCGGGCTGGGTCGTTGGGTGTGTGCTGGCTGCTCGATGACATTTGCTGGCTGATCAGTGGCTGGGTGCGTCATGGACGACGATGATTCCAGCGAGGGTGAAGGAACGGACGTTGGAGAGTGCACGCCGGTGCCGGGATTTCTGAAACCGGGCAGACTCCAAAGTGGGGGGCGATTCTGGCCAATGTTGAGGCACAGGTCTATCAAACCGAGTAGCCTTACTTACATATCTGGGAGTGTAGTGTGCTGTAACGTCCATACGATCGCCTTGGCTTTGCGCAGATCCCTCGCAAAGTTGATCGTTCTGGTCGAACGCGTGCATCTCGATGTTGTTCTGAATTGCCAAATCGTGTTGAGGAAAGCCGTCGATATAGGGAGATCAGAAGCTTGGCAGGTTCACCATATTCAGGCACCCTTCACTTCACTTCATCCCAAAAGCATCGCCCTTAGCGTTGAAATTACGCAGTGGTAAAGTTCCGTCTTGTGTGACTACTGAGTTCAAAATGCCTACCTATCTTGTGACATCTCTCACCTTGCACTAATGAGTAATCTCGACATCGTTCAACGTAAAATTTCAAAGACTTCATCGTACCTTTACGTTAGTATCTCACTTTACCGCCTAATCTAACCCGGATCATCGACCTTTTTAAATCACCATCACGTCTGTTGTCACTGCAATTCGTTTGAACCTGCACATTCATGGACTTCAGTATCAAAATTGCTGACACTGAACATCTCAATCCTGCCCTAACCTAAGCGACACCCCGTGATGAACGAAGGAGGCTGAGAGCATAGGCCCCGATCGCTAGTTAGATTGAAGTCGTTGGTTGAAAGACATTTGCCTTCGTTGGGTGACAGGAATTTTCCTCACCTGATTTTGAGTGGTGGAACTTTTCCTACATGAACAAGTTGAAGTCTAAACAAGATTCACGAACAAATGTTGACACTGTTTGGAGAGTGTGACGGAATTTTGGCCCATCATAGGGTCAGGTAGAAGGTCCAGCTAGCGCCGGGAGTAAGTCCCGCTAGCCCCCCCCCCCCCCCCCCCCCCCCATTACCAAAGTTGACACGGAACTTTCTCGTCCACGTGTCAGGCGACGCAAAGAAAGATAGACATGATAAATCGTCAGCGCAACCTTCAGTGGGGACAGCACGCATAGAACAACCATGCCGTGATCGTTTTCGTTTTCGTTTACAAAATCCGAGCAAGAGAAATTCCTCTCACCAGAACGCGATTCTTCCGGGGAGCAACGGTTTGGATGCGCACATTGCTCAAACAAGGCACCCATCAACGACCGAACGCAGCGGACTTTTCGGCGAGCATTGACCTCATGGCGTGTACGATGGTTGGAATCGTTCTATCATTTCCCGAGCCTAGGCCGCATGGGGTGCAGGGTCGCTGAACCCCGAAGTCGACGTCACGTCTCCTCCCATCATTCCACGAACATGCCCTACGACACAGCGACGCCCATCCTCAAAGATCGGTTTCATCGCGTATAAGTTTGCTCAGGCCGTCGCTAATTTTGACTGTTGACGTGCTTTGTCCCGTCGATGCATGTCTATTCCGATGTAAGCAGACGGCACGCAGCCTGGCGCACAACAGCAAGCGCCAAACACGAATGTGCACAACCGACATGCAGTGTCCGTGTCGAGTGCTCCTAAAGCGACCGATATAGTGTCAAGATAGGTACTTGCATGTGTGGAGCATGGGTTCCTTCCAGTCCTGTTGTTCGGAGCGTCTCCTGGTAGGTAGTACTCGGAAACGATAAGCACAGCCCTGTTAGGGAAGTCCGACGGTTCACACCTGGTTCCAGCCGAACAGCCATCCCCACACTTACACGTAGTCCGAACTATTGTTACTGGTAAGCTGTGTATGCTGAGACACTACATCCGCCTGGGGTCTGTCAAGCGGCGCCCGTTGGCTGCTCGGTTGCAGGCACACCTCGGGCACCGATTCGCACTGTGTAGGAGCAAAATAGTATATGATGCATTGCATACTCTCAGTACTTTCAACCCCCAAGCAAGACTTCATTAACCATCCTCAGAGCCGGAACTCTACAGGACAGTCACTCCTTTACAATAATCTTCTTGTTTGACAACAGTCTCTACCTTCATCTCAAACAAACCAACACACCTCACCCTAGTCTACACCACCTATACACTCAACATGTCTACATTCGACAACTTCGACCGCCTCGCCATGAGCGAAGCCATGTTTCTTCGCATGGCCGAAGCCGACGCACAAAAAGCCCAACGTCCCCAGCTTCGCCGCGGCCCATCTTTTGCCGAGAAGCTATTCTTTAAGTCGCCTTCCCTGGGCACCTCATCTCTTCGTCGAAGTGGTGCATCTCCAGCTGCCTCTCCTGCTCTGTCAACTACATCCTCCTTCGGTTCGCCGAAGATGTCTGGCCCCAACGAGACCTACTTTGGCGCCTCGTCTATCACTAGCCCCAGCATGGGCAGCGGCTGGGGTCTCGGACTCGTGTTCCGGAAGCGCAGCAACACCAATGCGAGTGCAGCTAGCAGCCCGAGTATTGGTGGCAGGACACCGACGTTGGGCGCTGAGAGTCCGAGGATCGGGAGCAGCAACGTTGATAAGCATAAGAGGAGCGGAAGCGGGGAGAGTGAAATAGATGAGTTTGGGCTGGTCAAGGAAAGGCATATCTCTCAGCTCTTCTGATCGTGGTGCCGGGTAGGACGGTCTAGTATGGGAGGCTGGGGGCTCGGTGCGGTGTTTGGTTGTGGTATTGGTTCTGGTTTGCTTCGATTCGATATACCTCTTGCGCTAGGCGTCCTTTCCTTTGACAATGTCACCCTTTTTGTTATCTTCGGTTCCAGTTCTCTTCGAAGTGGGTTGCATGATTTGTTGCTGATATGTCGGTCCAACCGCCTTCGGACGGCTGTCACTGGTGCCTTCACTTCAAGTCACCGGCCCTTCAAATGCCGACGTTTCCAGGCAACAAACCTGCTCCCGAACATTTTAACCCATCAGTACAACTGTCGCAAGTCACGATTCAGCAGAGATTTGCTTGGTGACAGCCACCAGGACTTTTGCCAGATCAAGACAGACAAAACCTATTCAAGACCCGTCAGCATGTCTTTCTGTGAGCTTTCTCAATATCACTGCTTTGTCGCAGCCTATACTGACACTTCTATTCAGTACCGAGCTCTGGTCATAATCATGCGGTAGTTTCATCTCCTTTTGAGGTATCTGATAAAGACGAGATCTACGGGGACGAGGATTTGCTCAACTCGCTGGCCGTCGAGTCCGACTCACTACCACCGCACCTATCATCTGATTCGCCTTGCGCGATGTTGCCTAGCACCTCTTATGTCGATTGCAGTGCTCTTCACATCTTTGCTTCGGCTGCGCAGCAACTCCCTCGCTTGACTAACATCAACCATGCCACGGTCAACAACAATGACTGCTACCACTCCGTAGCGTCGGATGGAGTCACAGCCTTCGATACCGCTCGTAGTCATGACAGCCCAATACCTTACGCAGCTCCAGTTGCCTCACAATTCACTGGAGGCGTCAATCCACATAATTCCAAAAGGCGCAAGGTTGAGGATGTCGACGGCGAATGGAGCTCCGTTGAAGGCGCAGACCAAGCTCGACTAATGAGGGTAGTTGATTCGAACAAGGCCAGGATCAATCAAATGGCCGAGAGTATTCAGGCATTGGGAGCAATGCGCAATAACTGCATCGACACGCACGAGACCGAGATACTGCACCTCCATGAAGTCATCACCCAGTGCAACGCGAGCATTTCCGCCAAGGTCCGGGCCCACCTATTCACTGAGAAGGACAACAGCGATCTACAAAAGGCGCTTATCGAAGCTCAGAAGGAAAACAACGGCTTAACGAAGAACCTGCTTCGAATTGAGAGGGCCAACAACGAGTTGTATGGAAAAATCGCGGTCCTCGAAGCCAGGCTTGCCAACTTTTCCCCGGTCCCACCACAGTACACCACTTCAGTCGCGCGAGAACAGGAGCGTCAGCGCCTGGCAGTGGCGATGACTCGCCGCCCTGTCGATGCCCCACGGTCTCTTCTGTACCACGGCTATAGCTCCCAGCAGATCCACAAGAACGGCAGCGGTAAGGTCGGCCCAGAAATGTACGGCGGTGGACTATCCTGGGATCTTGGGCTTTGCTTCGCACACTTCCTTACGTACGAGAGGTGCGAGCATGGTCAAGCCTGTGAGTGGCGCCACAGGGAACTGACTGCCGAGGAGCGCGACTACATCTTCAAGCAGGGTCATGTTCAGTTCCTTCTCAAGGCCGATATGTTCGTGGATGATAAGACCTCTTAGTGCCAGCACGACGGTGGGGACCATGAATCCGTTATCTTATGTCGTCGCCTCATATTTCGGTTCTAAACACTTGAAGTCACACGGATAATGCAGTCGTGGCATACTGTTTGGAGACCTCAAGATGCGCGGATTGGTAGCGATTGATAACATTACTCCTTAAATTCAATACATTCCAACAGAGCAATTCTCTATCTATCGTATATTGTTCACTATCCTAAATACTTAGAGATCATATAATGCAGTATGCTTTGCTTTTCGTGACCGGAAATTTGCATGAATATTGTACTGAGAGGCGTAGTTATGCGATTCTTCATTCCTCCGTCTGCGCACGTCGATTTATATTCGAACGGCACCCACAGAGACCCCATAAAAAGCTTCTTCCAGTATAGTCAGCGCCTTTGCCAAAATAGTCTCGCGATCAATAGCAATAAAACTAATATATTTTTCTTGCGTCTCATAAGTGATAGCTAAACTGCAAAGTCGACAGTCTTGTCAACGTCTGGCAGCTTGAGCTACGATCTCGGCGCATATGGCTGCTGCTTCGGCGGCGCATTGATCCACGTCGTCATTTGGTAGTTCGTCTGATCCGCCGCAGTCAACCTCGTGTTGTACCCCTTGTTGGCAAAGAGGAATGTGTTCGGGAAAAGAGGATCAAAGGGTGCGGCGTTGTGGATCCTATCAATCTCTTCGTTCGAGAGCTGGATATTCAATGCATTTGGAATCGCCTTGACATGCTCGACGGTTTGGACGCCAACGATAGGGAAGACGTAGGTTGATTGGTGGAAGAGGTATGCCAGAGCCTGGAGAGTCAGACTCACGTTTGGGCGCCAATGGAAAGGATGACTTACGATGTCTTGCAATGTGGCATTCTTTCGATTTGCCAGATCCTCCAACACTTCACACACTTTGATGTCGTTTTCTGTTGCTTCGTAAAACCCACGGCCGGCGTTGGGATCAGTCTTCAACTTTTCTCTTTGCTCCTTCGTCGTCAACTGACCTCCACCTAGCGAGGCCCAGGAGGCAATGGCCATGCCCTGATCCTCGCACATGGGAACGATTTCTGATTCCATATCGCGGTATGCCGCATTCCAGCGTCCTTGATAGATCGAGAAGGGAGTCAAACCGTTATGGCGAGCGTCTGCAGCGATTAGTCCGTTGCACTACAATGTAGAGATATGAAGCGACAAACTTACAAGCGTTTGCCTTAACGACGACCCATGCAGGGATGTCAGATGCTCCCAGATACAATACTTGCTTCGCCATGACCAAAGCATGAAGACCGCGCATCACCTCTTCGACGCTACAGTTGACGTCCCACCTTATGTTGTCAGCCTGAGTCGTCAAAAATGAGTGTGTGAACGGACCAATGCACATAAAGAATATCGATGTAGTCTGTTTTAAGTTTCTTCAGGCTTTCTCTTACAGAGATGTGCATACTCTTAGCAGATGGTCCGGAATAGTTACTTTGCAGCAGTGCGCCTTCGCGATCGTGAGACTTGAGGCCGCCACCAAACTTGGTAGCAACGACCATCTGGTCTCTTACCCCACGCAGCTCCATCCATTCACCGATAAGCTTTTCCGACTCTTCAGCATTGTAATGATTCGCAGTGTCGATGAAGTTTCCTCCCGCCTCATAGAACGTGTCGAGGAGCTTGAACGCATCTTCGCTCTTACCAAACAACTCGCTCCAGCCATTACCAAAGCTTATACCCCCGATTGCGATTGGCGATACTTTGACATTCGCAGTTGGTGAGAGAATGCGATGCCAGCCCAGCTGCGTCTTGGGCTTTGGTGGAGGTGCAAAGATCGACATGGTGTTATGATTGTAGTTGGGCTGACTGTAACGTGTATCTTGAACCGTATGAAGCGGTGTCAAAGACTTGATGTTGTGCAGACATCGATCCTTTTGAGCATCCTGAAGAAGATTGCGTCAATGTACGGGAAGTTGCATTGGCGCATGCATGCTGCTGACGCTGCATGTGTATTACCTTGCCACGGAGTTTAGCCGATCGAGGTAGCTCAGCCTTACCAACTTAGCGAACTCCTGTGGCGTTATCAAGGCTTCTCCTCTCTGTGCTCGCCAGTAATTAGTTGACATGAGCACCTGTCCACAGCCATTGAAGAGCCATGCCCACTTGCGGAGAAAGCGATCGCTGGCTTCCCAGCAACGTGGATCCGCTGGTGAGCCCCAAATGAGTAACATCGGTTCTTTGTTATCGACGAGATCGCATATATCGTGGCAGAGCTCGTCTTCATCACACAAATCGGGACGCTCAAATGCTTGGAGTAGGTTGTCGCGTAGTTGCGGCCATGGGAAGCAATCGACCCAAGGATGGTGCGCCTTACTCAGCTGAAGTTGAGTAGGCTGCAGCGTGGCTGGCCAGTCTGCAAAGTTCTCGTGAAAGGTTGAGCCTAGTTGTGGGCCATGTTTATTCATAGGAGATATGCCGTCCCATTCGTAGAACTCCTTGACAACTCCAAGAATCATTGCATTTGCCGCTAAAGAAGTAGCCAAATTGTACCTGACAAGAAGCGACAGGTGGGATATAGCAGGTTCTCCCTGCAGGTAACTGGCGTATGCGTGGCCTGCAAATCGATCCATCAAGGCTCGTACCTCGGGCAATGCTACCATACATCCTTGTGGCGGTGGCTTTTTGGGAGTGATCACTGCTGGGATTTCTGTCGCTTGTGGAGACTTGGATGTGCTATCAACGCGAGTGATCCGATTGGGTCGTACACCATGTTCCGTTTCCGATGTCTCGCGTGAGGTACGCTTTCGTGCTCTGTCTCCTATGAAGAGTCAGGTCAACTAAATAGCTCCACATGGTATCATTCGGATACTTACTGCGTGCTCTTTGATTCAACCGGTTCTGCAATTTCCTCCTCTCAGTGGGATTGGTTATGCCTGTCCAATCTTCTCTACTGTCTCGTAATACAAGCCGCTCTGAAGACCAGCCAAGCTCGATGGGTTGTGCGGGACTCTCTTCCGGGACATTTAACGTGTGGTTAGCCGTCATTGTCGCTCTTCCAGGGCTGATGGAACCATGTAGCATCAGCCTGGGTGCGGACTTTGCAGGTATATGCAAATAGATGACACGCCATGAATCGGCAGGCTAGACTTTCCCTAGCGACGCAATGAGGCTGAGTTTCCCCGCAGCGAGCAGATATCGAGTAACTCTGGTTGCTATCGCCGAAGATCTTAAGGAGTTTGGTGACGCTTGACCGTTTTCGTCGAATCGGGTAATGTCTTGGCTGTCAGCAACCTGCATTAAATCCTTGATGCTAACGGGCGCTATACCATAGAGGGTATTAGACTTTCCCGCCGATCATCATCGGAGCAATCAGAGCTCGAGAAATCCCGAGAACGAGAGCGAAGCCGGTTTCGGGGTATTCGTCCAGAACTGGTGTGAAGGATTCTACAAAGCATTGCTTCTACATTTCGGAGGTACTGAGAACGTTGCGTACGCAGATTGAGGCTCATTAAGCATGGCGCACGTCACTATGGACAGATCGTAAGAGGGGGTAATTGTAAAGTTGAGAACATACGACTAATGCTCGGGTACTGGCTGTTTGGCGACCCCGTACGTTGTCGATGCTTTGTCACCAACCACTTCGTTTCCTTCGCCATCAACGTGCCTCAGCCTGGAATTGTGCATCCAAGCCAACGCTCCCCGTGCCCTGTTCCGAATAAACAGTCGCCGGAATCGGGCTTGTAACTATGTAACAACATCTCCCGGTGCAGTGTCCTTCCGCTGGACGACGAGAGCGCCCCAGCAGTCCTCAAGTTGCATCGGCTCATGATAAGGACTAAAAACGCTGTACGCTTCGTGCCATTCAGCTTCGTACACGGTAGTCGTCTAACGTATAGACACAGAAGATGATCCTCCTTAATCCGTGAATATCTTGGTCACATAGTGCGACGCAAGATCTTGTTTGTCGGCGAAGGGTGTTACGCCTGAAACCCTACCAGGACACCACCGGCTTCGGTTTCACCGAGACCCCTTCGCATCCAAGGACAACTCAACCGACACCTTTCATCATGATGGAGGTTCCAACAAAGCTGCCTTGAACGCGTCCGTTGGCTGGTCCTTGACTCTGCAGGCGTTGTAGCCATGCAGGCTGTAGAGGTGTGGGCTCAAGATGATATGGAGGTATATCGAGGAGTCAAATGGCCGCGCGCTCCGAGCCTTTTTCGCTGCGCGCCACTGTCCAGGAAACTATTCCATTCCGTGGCTGCAACCTCGAGGTTTCGTGCTGTAGAACCACAGGTAGGCCGAGAGACGTAGATAGTGTAATCGCTGCTCTCAGATGTAGCAGTGTTTATTGAGGAGAGTGGACCCTGCTCACGCTAGTTGCGTTTCGACCAATTCGGTCGAACACTACGAAGAGTCTGTGCATAGGCAGCAGTTCAGATAAATCACAACAAACTGATGCTCGACTTTGAAAAGTCCTACAAGAGCTTTACGACAAGCTGTGCCTGGTGGTATGATAGGACCGACCCCGTACTGAAGAATTACCTGCTAACAGTGTATGAGAACAGCAGCTACAACATACCCAGTTCATTACCATCTACACTGCTTCATTTTGCAAGGTGGAAAGCGATTACCAGACTAGCTCCAGCACTTCAATCCACAGCGTTGGTACTCTGTTATTGAGAGAGCTCTTCGAGATTGCCTAAATTATGATTAATTCGCGAATCAAATCGCAATCCCCGTTCGAGATCTATGTGAGATCGAGACCTCTAAGCTCCGATGAGCAGTCTAAATTGGAGCCCGAGCTTAGTATCATCCACGACAAAAATAGTCGTGTTATCACACTCTCATCACAATGCGACCCTGAGCGGTCCCGAAAGTGGTCGAGCGGAGTGTCGTTTGCGCAGCTCTTTACAGGCAGCGTCACAAATGAACATGTGTATGAAAGCACTGTTAAACCCGCACTGGATCAAGTCATGCTAGGTGCCACCTGCAACTTCTTTGCGTACGGACATTCTGGAAGCGGGAAGACCCATACGGTGATCGGCTACGAATACGATGATAGCCGTCATCTTGGTTTGTGCCTCTCTGCAGCACGCGATTTATTTCAAGCGATTCAGAAAGAGAAGGAGAACCCATCTATAGAGGATGCGGTTGCAGGCAGTAAAGGAGGAAAGCTGGGCGTAGCAGTGCGCCTCTACGAGGTCCGAGGAAAGAGCGCTTTCGACCTGCTCAATAATGGATCTGAGTGCCACGTTCGCCAAGGGCCCGATGGCCATACGCATGTTCGTGGTAAGACTGAGATCCTGGAGGGCGGCAAAGTCAGAGTGCGCCCAATCGTGGCGAAGCCGGTGTGGTCATACGACGAGCTCCAGCAAACTGTACTAGCTGGGCTTAAGATGAGGGAGATTGGCTCATCGTCGATACACAACGAGAGCTCCCGCACTCATGCCTTTATCGAGCTTGAGGTGATCGACAACACGCTATTAAAGGCTAGAGAAGTGGTCATTGAGCGAGAATCCGAGCTGGTTCCAGTTGGCAAACTGGCTACAGACATTTACATCGAGGAGCAGATGAAGTCGTTGATACGTACTGAAGATGGTCGATACATCCCTAATCCTGACAGCCCACTAGATCAGGATAGGGTCGATGCGGCAGAAGCTAAAAAGAGGGAATTCGAAGAACGACTCGAGCAGGCAGTAGAAGCGGTCAAAGAGTGCTTCACAAGCAGTAAACATCGCTGTCTGGGGGGGAAATTTGTCTTCGTCGACCTGGCAGGATCAGAGTACTTCGAGCAAGCGGCCGGAAAGAGTGCAGAGCTAGTCAAGCAAACGCCTCAAGAGAGACAGCAAGGACGGCAGATCAATACTGATCTCTTCGCACTGAAGGAGGTCATACGTGCTAGGGCCTCTGGTCAAACGCGTATACCTTTCCGGTCATCTCCACTTACTATGGTCTTGCGTAGTCATTTCGAAGGGTCCAGCAACGGACGTTCCTCAATCATACTTACTGTGTCGCCTCTAGAGACACAATACGTGGCGACAAAGAACACGCTAAGTTACGGGAGCCTGATCAGTGGCAGGTAAAAGCCGATACTGCCGCAAGCATAACTGGAGGTTGCTGCGCAAGCCAACGCGATTAGAAAAAATCATGCTAATGATATGAAAATACAAAAATATAGAACAACACAACTACAAGCGGCTGGTGAAACCGCTCTTGTCAATCTTCACGAGATACTCAGGCCCGATGTCCTTGACACTTGTAACGCCAGCGAGACCCATACACAGCTTGAATTCATCGCGAATCAGCTGTAGCGCAAGTTCGACGCCCTCCTGCCCCTTGTATGCCAAACCCCATAGGATCGGCCTGCCGATCCACACAAAGTCCGCGCCGAGCGCTAGCGCTTTGAATACATCTGTTCCATGTCGAATTCCGCCATCGACGTGGACTGGAATTTTCTTCTCCTGACTTCGTACAGCACGCACAACCTCAGGTAGCGCATCGACAGTCGCTAACGCACCATTGAGTTGGCGACCACCGTGATTTGAGACCACAATGCCATCAACACCGTGTTGGCATGCCAGCAGGGCATCCTCTCCGGTCGCGACGCCTTTTACCCAGACCTCCATCTCAGGATGGCATTGCTCCTTCAACCACTCGATGTCCTTCTCCCACGTTAGCGTCGGATTCGCCGCGTGCGTGTGGAACCTGATTGGCCCTGTCGGCAGAACCCTCTTCTTGCCGTCGTGATACCCAGATGTACTGTAGGCCTGCTCGGTATTACTCTCCCCCGAGCTCTCATCGTCGCGATTCGCGAAGTTCGCTATCCGCAGGTGCTTAGGCAGTGTGAACTGGTTCCGGATCTCCAGATTTCGGCGTCCAAGGACGGGGGTGTCGACAGTCAAAAGAACAGCTTTGTAGCCCTTTGCTTTTGCGCGCTTAATAAGCTTCACGCTGTGATCGCGCTCTTCAAAGAGGTAGAGCTGCAGCGCCATTGGTGTCGCGCCAATTGCGTCTTTCACGTCCTCGAGAGTCTGTGTTGCGAAACTGCTCAAGCCCATGACGACATCCTGGCTCTTGCATGCGCGCGCTGTTGCGATCTCGCCGTCGGGATGCGCCAGGCAATGCATTGCAGTGCTTGCGGCGCCGATGGGCATGCTGGATTTCTGGCCGAAGACATCGACTGTGGTGTCGATAACAGATATGTCACGCAGGACGCGCGGGCGGATGCGGTATTTCTGGTACGCGGTGATGTTCTCGGCGAGTGTGCTGCCAGAGTCTGAGCCTTCGTTGTAGTAGTCGCGGGTCTGCTTGTCCATGCGCTGCGCTGCTAAAACGCGCAGCTCCTCAATATTCAAACAGTGCAAGTCGGTGATATCCTTGTTGTACGCCATAGTGACGGCGAGGGAGAGCTGTTATCGAAACGCGTGATCAGGGTCAAATTACAAGCGTTAATGGCTTGAGGCGGCGCCATGGTCACTTTATCTCTCAATCGTCGAGGTGATGTCGATGACGCCGACTCCGTGGTCGGCGGATTAGCTCCCGCTTGTGCGGATGCCGAAGTGGAGTAGCCGGGATTGTGCGATCTGATAACATGGACGCTGCTGCATTCGAAGCGCATGAACTTTGACTGCAGTAGTTCAGTTGCTTACTTCGACAATGAAGTCTGGAATTCGATATGCACAGATTTGCTACAATTTTTATGTCCAAAACATGGACGTTCGTCAAGTCAGTTGAGACGGACTTCTCACCGACGTCGCAATTCGGAAAGTTCAGGATACTCACGCTTGGATCATTCGGTCGAGGCTGCCCCGAACTTGATTGCTTATCAGATCTTGCCAGAGTCTAGATCAACAAAACTCTTTTTTCTTCATCGAGAGTTATGGGATGTTCTCTCCCGAAGTATTATACTCGGAACAAGACATTGCGACGGCTCGTCTGAGCATAATTCGGAGCCCTCCACGCGCTTGGACTATGACCAACGGGCTTACTCATTGCTGCGCCGACGCATCAGCCTTGTCATGGAGGATGCTACCTAATATTCATGCCACAGGCTGGTGGCAGCTTCTTCAGTGTTTACTATTTTGTGAATCGCCCGATGTTCCAGATCATTAAACGGAATCAGATTGGCTTTTTTTCGGCAGAACGCAAAGCAGAACGACCCACAGGACCAAGAAACTCAACGTTGTAGCTACACTAATGCATCAAAGGCCACCACAGCTTTGATATCTCATCTGCTACAGATCACAGCTACCAATATAGGTGCGGCGACCAAGTATCTCCTCTGCACAGTCATTTCACTACCTAGGTATTTACGAGAAGTCTGCACCATTGGTTAGGTGCCCAGCTGGTGGTGACGATATACAGCAGGCCTGAAGTCGGACTCGGCCTGGAGGATTGAAAGATATTCCTTAGGTACTGGAGTGCTGTTATATATTGCCGAAGGCCTCAGAACTGTGGGTTGGTGGGCTTTATAATGATTCGAGGACTGCATGCCCAATGTGCATGGGATTTGAGATGCACCGGTATGATGGTCCGGTGACGAGGCTGAAACGTCTATGCGACTTGCAGTTCGATATCGTCGATATCGTTATTGTTTGTGGTCGGTTGGTCACAGTTGAGCGCTTAGCTTGCAGCTGCGCCTCCAGCCTTGCCTCTGATCACCAAGACGCTCACCGGACAAAACTTAGGCATCATCGAAATCAGAGTCGGGATTCGAAACTTTTCAGCTTTAATCCAAATATTGCTACGAAGAAGATTTTCCAACATGAGTTCCCATGGCCAAATCTCACAGCCTGCCACCATCCCGCTGATCAGTACCGCTACCGAGCCCAATACACGCAGACAGCGAGTAAGCCGGATCGATGCCATAGGTCAGTATTCACTTACTACGATCGAGGCTCTGTACTGATTGCTTCTGACATAGCTGAACATCTGATGCCGGGGTCATGCTCGGAGTCAGCTTACTTGCAAGAAATCGTCTGCTACTGCATGTGGCTGAATCTCATTGCGTGTCACGTCGCCAACATCACGCCAAAGTATTTCGAGAATAGCACACGATACCCATATTTCGCGCAACGGATCAACCCTCTTCTTTCTGAAATAGAGGCAAGGCTTTCTAAGGAGCTCAGCGACGAGATCTATCAAACCCATGCAAAGGCCCACATCATGGAGGTCACAAAGCTTATGGATAAGCGACAATTGTACAAATTCTTGGAAGATAATCGTACTGTTCGATTCTTCAAGACTCTGATTCATGTCCAAACAGCTTTTGTGGAGGATCTGCGGAATCTATCTGATCTTTTCTGGTCGCCCATGATATCAAGCTTGAGAGGTACGTGTCGAATATCGAGACACAACGACCAGAGAGGTTACAGTGAGATCTATTCTGAGATTGCAACACTGAACGAGGAAAGGCTGATTGTTTTACTCAACCTCCTCCGCGCATTACGAAATGCCATCGGCGTTGCAGGTGAATCCAAAAAAATCAATCCGGCTCTGCTTCAAACCCTGAAAAGACAGCTGCAAATGTTTGACAGCGACTCACTATACGCGCAAGCATGCTTTTTGGTTAATTGGGAATCACCTCAAGAGCCATGTCTTGTTCAAGATACATCGGGAAAATGGTGGTAGGTTCCAATTTCTAAGCACCTCTCATTCTTGTCTAATTCAGGCAGGACGGTACCTCTGACAGCTGAAAATGATGCGTCAGCTCCCCAAAATGCATTCTCTGCGTATCCGCATGGACAAAATATGCGCTCAACATTAACAGTTATAGTCCCAATCATGTCGCTACTCTCCATCTTTCCCGCCGTGGTCGCCTGGATGCATGGAGAGACAGCTCTGGGCAACACTCACGACTCAAATTTCTGGCAAGCAATCTCTAACAGTATCATGCATCTTCTAGGCCTTTTGACTTTCGTATGGCCCACATGGAAGCATACTCGCCTGTCACAATTGACATGGTCCTGGATTTGGATCCTTGCTGGCTTTAGTGCTATCTGCTCAGTTGGAAGTATTCCGCTATACTTGAAGGTCTCGCCAACATGGAGCTTTTCTGTCTCATTTGCGGCAGTACTTGCGCAAGCTGTTGTGCAGCTGCGGGTGATCAACGTCATATGAATGTGCGGACATAGTCCCGAGATCTGTAGCTTGTTCCTCTTGTTACAAAAAACGACATTTCCTTTTGTCATAGATACATCCTTCGTGGCTCCTCTGGACGAAGTTCAATAAACTGCTCGAATCGTCTCAGGATTTACATGCCAAATAAAAGTATGGTATTCACATATCCCGGTTCTCTGCGTCCGTGTTAGGCATCACCCACCAATCAGGAATACCCTCCCAGTTCTCAAGTCCTTGACCCAGCGCCTCGTCCAGCCTATCAAGCTTATCGTGATGTTTCAAGAGCGACTTGAAGAACTGCTGCCCCATCTCGTAATTGGCCATGTGCAATGAATGTCCATTTATAGTGATGTCCGTAGCGTTCAGCCTGATGACGTGTCGACCGACTCGCTCTTCTCTCTGTTGAGATGAAGACGTATCCTCGCCTTTCACTTTCGGAGGGCTTAAGATATTACCGTTGGGGTCATTGATGTACTCTCTGGGTCGCATGCCGTAGCGCTCGGGTATCTGGCCTGTGATAGGCATCGGTCTGAAACTATCTGTCCCACTTGTTCGAGGCTCAGAGACAGGTCCAGGTGTAACGAAATTGTGTGTAGCTGAACTGGGTGCAGCGACGGGGTTTCGGCTCGGAGCCGTGCCAGCTAAGGGGCTTGCTTCCATGCTTTCGGTTGGGCTGCTGACGCGTTCCTTGGGGTTCGCAGTCCTGGGAATATTCAGTGGCACTATGTTGTCGGGAGTACCGTAGTAGGCCAGAGGCACGCTTGAAGATAGTCTGTATCTAGGAGTGGGAGGCTGGACAGCGCGACTGGAAATTGAACCAGGTGTTGGACGAGAGACTTTGAAACCCAAGACTGCACCGTTGTTTGGGTGGGTTTTACCCGAATCTGAACTTCTGAAAGAAAGAGGCTGCGACACCTGAGAAGGAATACTGTGTGTAGATTCAGTTATAGATGCTGATGAGCCAGATGAAGAGACATGTGAACGATGTTTTCGTTGTCTCGATGGGAGAAGACTTCTTGCATGATGGTTCAGAATCTCAGTGAACTTTGCTAGCTCCTGCGGTGCGGGGACTTCGTCACTGGTCTGACTTTTCTCTCGATATTTGGTCACTTTTTGCTCCGCTTGGTCTCGCATTTTCATACTCTCGTGGTGGACTACTTCTGAGTCTACTCTATTCACTCTTAGCAAAAGACACCCCAGGTCATAATTGTACTTACATATCTTGATCGAGCTCAAGAATCCGAGCCTCCACTGAAATGCCTAGATCTCGTTCCAGAGCACTTCGTTTGTGTGGGTCGAGTAAGGCTTTTCTCAGTGTCTTCAACTGGTCTTTGAGCTTCTCCAGACACATGAGATTGCTAAATCCATTGATGCTTTCCCGGGCCACACTCAGAGACGCTCGAAGAGCTTTGACGGTGCTTGTACTGCGGTACCACACGAGATGAGCAACAGCCCTGTCCTCGAAATCTGTGCGAGGTTTGGACTGCGGATACAGTGACTCGACTCTCTGTAAAAGTGTAGTCAGACTATCAACTGTTTTCTGAGCCCAGGATATCAAAGGCAGTATTGCTGAGACATCGGTCGTGTAGGCATCTGGGTCCTCTTCGCATGCGCGCAAGAATCTCTTATAAAGACCTGCGAATATTATGGTTTCGTTTGCGAGCCTCTCTATATCCTTCCGAGAATCCTTGACACGCTTGATCCTCTTCTGTATAGCACAACCGAGCCGAATCAGCTCGCTGCCGACACCTATACCCGCCGCGACGGCACCAAAGATCTCTGCCATACTATAAAAGTGTAATGTAGTTTGAATTGAACAGTGTCGCATCAGAAGAAGTACTCGGACACGGCAAGAAATACTAAGAATTGAAGTTCCCATCCATGCACGTGAGAACCGGTGAGCCAGTTGCTCTGGGGAGGCTGCATAACTGTAGCCAACCAGACCTTTTTGGCCCTCTCCATCAGAGCAACAGGCGCATAAACGAGCGAGGCGGGGTAAAGAATTGTCAACTTATTGCATATCCTAGAAACACGTAGAACTCTGCTCTTGGAGTCCGCCTTGCGACAGGACGCGCTGCAGCAGTCTGCTGCAGTAACAGATACGCCTGCAGGGAAGCCTAGGAGGCTATGGTCACAGATCGATCAGCTGATCCACGCAGTCGTATCGTTTCGTCGGCGGCGAAAAGAGTCTGAAGGGTTTAGCCTGTTCCAGTTCTTTTCTTTAGAAAGAAAATGAGATGTGGTTGTCGTACAATGCTCTCACAATCAGAGCTTGCCGATAATGTTCACCGCGTCGTTGATAATCGCCTTCTGGCTATGCGCATAGTCAAAAGCCTTCACCAGACCCACTAAATGACTTGCAGCAGCCATCACCACCAGTACATGAAAGATCTGATGACTGCTTCCCCAGATGTCGAAGCGTCCAGGAGCCCACTTCTCCGGGATTCGTGCTGCATACAAGCCGGCGCCCGCAATGTACAAGACGCCTTGCAGAACAACCCAATCGAGTCCAACACTCTTACGGAGGTGCTCTACTCCGTAGAGTTTGATGCCGTGCAGGACTGGAAAGACCGCTGAGAGGCCCATGAGCACAAACATCAGCGCACGAACAGGACGCAGAGCCGGAGTGCGGAACTGCGGATGCACACAAGCGACGGACGTTCCAGCTGCAAGCGTAGTGATCTGCACAACGTATCAGCACAATCCTCTCATCACTTAGACAATGAACCAGAAGTTGACGTACCATAGTCCAATACGTCTTCATCAGCCCCGGCTCCTTATCAAATGCATAATACAGCACCGGAATAAAAGAGCCCCAGATCAGAAACACAATCCCTAGATAATCCAACTTGTTCCCCCAAATTGCCACTTCGTGCGAATGATTTTGAATCGTATGATACGTGCCGCTCATCCCCAAGCACGCTACCGCGCCCGCAAAAAAGCATCCAAATACCCACAGGTCTTGTTTACTCGCTGTCTCATAGCGCGGCTGCAGCTCATTATACATGAAGTAGGATGCAATGAAGAACAATAGAGCGCCAACAAGGTGCGTGTAGATGTTGACGGTCTCGTTGTGGATGTACAGCAGCGATTTCCAGGATTTGGCGTAGGAGTTTGAGGCCGGACGGTAGCCGGAGGTTATGTAGGCGTTGTCTTGTTGCCAGGGGGCAATTTCGTGGAAGAGGTAGGTGAGTTTCTGCTCGAGCTTCTGCTCGACTTGCTTGGCTTGCTCTGCTGCGGTCGATGCAGCGTTCGATGCGGTGTCTTTTGTGGCTTCCATGGCCGCGGGGTGTGTCAGGAGGTATGTGAGAGTAGACTCGGACTACTGAGTCGGACACTTGATGTATGTATGATTTTCAATGCATTCTCAGATGCGTTGGGCTGTTGATGGTCTGACCCTAGAAATTCTCGAGAGACATGCGATGTCACTATGAAGCTAGGCTGGATCTGGCGTTTGTCGCGAGGCCGTGACTACCTAGGCACAACAATGTTAACAATCAGGTATCCGCAGCTGCTTCCGAGGCTTTGTACAAAGCATCCAAATACTTACAAAATATAGCGCTGTGCAGTAACCAGAAAAACGCGTTCTGTGTAAGCCTATGGTTTACTCAAGGATAGACGTTGTTCTGCCACTCTCTAAGCCGTGTTCTACTATCTTCACGACAGCAGCAAGCACCTAACATAGCTGAGGCGCTTGCTCCACAGTACGTCATAGTGCTGCATTAACCAACGCCAGACACGGCGCTGAGGATGCTGCAATGCCGTGTGACAACCTCGTTTGAATAGAGTTACATTTCTAGTATTTCTGGTCTGCTTCCCGCCGAGTTACTTCACTAGCCTGATCGCGTCGCAGGCAGTTCTAGATTATGCGAGCTTCTTTGGTAATAACCTTAAGATCGTCGAATACAATTCGTTTGGTAAAGGGTTGAAGCCAAACTTGGTTTTTGGCGACACCTCGACACATGCGTTTACTACGTCTTCGAACAAGGGGGTGAGTGTCTTCCAGAGTTGTCAGGGCGGTGGCTCATGGATTGGCAAGGCTCATTAGTTAATGATATTCAACATACCGGATTGCTTCTGAGGCCGAACCCTATGACGAAGAGATCGTAATGTTGGCCTTGCAGTATCTCTTTAATCTGCTGAATTGTCGCTTCTGCCTGATCCGGATTGACGTCCAGGCCAGAGCAGTCATAGCCGGCCGCTTTAGCTTTCTCGATATCCTTTGGAAATGTCAGCTTTCCTGGGAGACTCAAACTTGAGGTAATCTAACCTCGACCATCGTCTGCTTGTTGGATTTCTGCACTCCAAGTTTGCTTCCCGCCTCATACTCCGCAGCGACGAAGCGGCCAAGGCCTGCGACTAGGACACGCTTACGAATATCAGCCATTGGAAGTTACAAAAATGCGCTTGAGTTGCAGGAAGTCAAGTTTCGATGCTGATCAAAATTATTTGGCTTCTAAGAGCGGGTGACGACGAAGGTTCATACAGAGCAGAGCTCTACAAGATTACTTATCAAACCGCCGGATTTGTGCTGTTTGGCAAAAGAACCGCCGATACTTGTCCGCGTCATTTTCCTGATCAGTATATCAGCGCTACACACGCTTTGACCTCTCTCATGATTACTTTTCTAGATAAGTACTAAGGCTGTTTACAATAGGCTGTTGTTTTAGGTAGTGTTCTTCTACATAATTATAGGGCGTGTCAAAACGCTAACGGGGTGTATGCCTTACTAGCGTCTCCCCACACCCCACCTTCCTTCACACCTCACAACCATGCTGCGTGCCTTCCACCGCTGAGATGGGTTGACAGCACCCGAAGCCGAGGCCCTATCGCAGCCTCTGTCACATCGATTGCACCGTATTGGCGGCTCCACGACGAAATATGAAGTCCTCTGACCCAAACCGCCCTTCTAGCCGTCGAGGCGCGTCAGGCGCATGGAATCGCCTCAAGCCCGTTCGCGAAGACGTACTAGAATCTTACGGCCTACCTAGTAAAGGCGAGACACGGTAAATAACTCGCCACTCCCCACTCCCAGCATGCGCGTCGCTAACAACACAGTCTAAACGACTTCCGCACGCAGGAAACCTTCCTGAACCGCATCACCGAGCGCTACATGAAGCTCTGCGCCGTCAACCGCACAGACCTCGACTCTCTCTTCGCCGCCGCAAACCCCACACCCTCGCCCACCGCCCTCACAACGTCCATCTCGCACCTCTCGCTCTCGAAACACGCGCCGCAACCTCAAGCCCCCAAACCCGCGCCCCTCAGCGGCCTCAACTCGCCTGGCCTGCTTGCCGCCTCCAAGCTCTCGGCGCAAGAACTCGCGACTGTGTTATCGGCACTGCGTAAGCTGCGCGAGGGCGTGACGGCAAGTGGCCGCGCCGATGCGTTCGCGCACCGCGCGTACTTCTTCACGATCCATGTGTCGCTGCTGTGCCGTGACTGGGCGTCCTATGTGCCGGCGCTGCATACGCTGTTGTATAGCTTGCACCGGCGGAATGCGCTAACAGAAAGCCAATTGCATGAATACGTTGGGTACCAGGTGTTGGACCAGGCGTGCAGGCAGGGAGATGTGGCGGGCGCAAGAGAGACAAAGGTTAGGTTTGGGTATAAGGATCGTAGGGTCGAGATGCTGCTTTCAGCGCTGGTGAGTGATAATTGGGTGTTGTTTTGGAGGGCAAGAAGAGGGGTGGATGGGTATCAAAGGGCGTTGTGTGGGTTTGCTGAGCAGGGGGTGAGGGTGAATGCGCTGAAGGTTATTGGAAAAAGTTATTTGGTGTGCGATCGGCGATGGGTAGAGGAGGCGGCGGGGAAGGAGTGGGACGGACTGGTGGAGGACGGGGTGGGATGGGAGTTGGAGGAGGGTGGAAGAGTCATTGTGAGGCGGGTGAAGCCGAAAGCTGCAGGGTGAGTGTGAATGCGTGTGGATGTTTGTGAACTGTCGAAAGGGTATCATTAGACGTGTATAGCGCTTTTCAGTCCTCCATCTCCTCGTCTGACGCGCCGGCCGCACCATCTTCGTCGTGCCAGACATCGTCGTCCATATCGTACTCGTCGTAATCCATCTCACTATCCTCCTCGCCCTCGATCTCATCCTCATCCTCTTCTCCCTGCTCGCCATTCGCAGCCTTGGCAGCCTTTTTCTTCTCGACGTTCTCCTTTTGGATCCTCCTCCGCTCGGCCTTTTGCGCGTTGCGCTGCGCCCACTTCTTCTCCATGGCCTGCTGCTCCGCCTTGCTCTTCGTGATGAACTCGTGCCACAAGGTCTTGCCTGTGCACACATCCTCCTCAACCTTGGTGAGCCTGAGCTTCATACGCGGCCCCAGCTCGACCAGCTTGACCGCGCGCTTCTCAACACGTGGACCCTGTGCAACCGTTCGGCGTGCACTCTCGTCACCAGCTGCAAGGCGCTCCTTCGCGCGCCGCGAGAGAACGCGCTGCTTGACCGGCGCGCTAATCTCGACCTCAGCGTCTGTGTCTGCCTCCGTGTCACTCGCGCTTGTGTAGCCGCCCGCACTGGGGTCCAGCATGTAGTCTGCGACGTCTTGAAGCTTGCTGAGATCGGGCAGCCTGCTCTTCTTCTTGTCTTTCCCACCAATGAGCTTTTCAGCAGCGTGTAGGCGGCGCAGAGCCTTGGGTAGACCCGTGACCTTTGTAGTGATAGCGTAGTGGCGCAGGGAGATTGCGACGGAGCCAGTTTCGGGATTCGGGGGCTCGCGGTGCAGGAGCAGTACACGCTTTATTGTGTGTAGGGGCGTGGTGTGCGGTTGGATCGGTGGGAAGAGGCCTTGGAACATGTCGGTGACAAGCTTCTCGAGATGCTTAGGGGGGGCAGCGTCGCCTAGTGTTTCGCGCGTAGTTTCGGAGGTGAGGAAATTGTTCATGACGAGGAGAGGGGGCGTTGAGAAGGCTGTGAGGTCGGTGCGTGGATGCTTGAGCGAGTGGGCAATATCTTTACACAGCGAATACTTCTCCACGCGGAAGTGCAGCGTGGGGCCATGAGGGGTGCGGCACAGACGCAGGTTGGTGTTGCCGGACTCTGAGCGCGAGAAGAGAAGAAGGTGAGAGACACCGAGGGGGCCGCACATGGTGGTGTAGTCGCGGAGCTTGTTTGCGCGGCGTTCCTGGATACGTTGTCAGCATGAAAGATGAAAGACTGTGATATTCGCAGGGACATACCTTCAGTCGTACCGCCGTATCAGGCTCCATAACATGGCGCACATCCTGCACCAACTGGCTCACGGCTCCTCCAACTTCCTGCGCGCCAATACGAATGACCATACTCTTGGGCGCGCCATCGTTCTTCTTCGCCATCTGCTTGTCCGAAGCGGACTGCTTCTTGCGCTGACTGCTTCTGCCTGATCGCGCCATTGTGTCGGTGTGTTGTGATGTATAGCAGCAATTGTGTCACGGTAAAGATCACGGAAGTCCGCACTTTTTTCGACGCCAAGAGTTCGCGCCGATAAGATAAGGATTTTATTTCAGCCGGCAGCCACGACCGAGGCTGCGACTGCACTCACACCAAAATGTCGATGCTCAAAAAGAGAAAGCTTAATGCCCCAGCTGGAACCGCACCGGTGAAGGTCAAGTCCACGAAGGGAGAGCACCCGGCGAAGACGAAGAAGCCTGCGAAGCCCGCACCGCCACCGGCACCCGAGAGCAGCGAAGATGAGGCCGAGGAGGAGGCAGCAGTAGAGCACACAAATGGAGATACCGCCGAGGACGACACACCAAAATCCGACGAAGCAAAGAAGACGTTTGCCGATTTGGGCGTGCGCGAAGAGCTATGCGACGCCTGCGAAGCCCTCAAGTTCACCCGCCCCACGCCTATTCAAACAGAGGCCATCCCGTTGGCACTTGAGGGCCGCGATGTTATCGGACTGGCAGAGACAGGTTCTGGAAAGACAGCAGCGTTCGTACTGCCCATTCTGCAAGCTTTGCTCGAGAAGCCGCAGGGACTCTTCGGACTCATCCTCGCCCCAACTCGCGAGTTAGCGTACCAGATTTCACAGCAGGTCGATGCACTTGGTAGCATCATCAATGTGAAGTGCGCAACGCTGGTTGGTGGCATGGATATGGTTCCGCAGGCAATCGCACTATCGAAGCGCCCGCATATTGTCGTCGCAACACCTGGACGCCTGCTCGACCACCTCGAAAATACAAAGGGGTTTTCACTGCGGTATCTGAAGTACATGGTCCTTGACGAAGCTGACCGTCTTCTCGATCTCGACTTCGGCCCTGTTCTTGACAAGATCTTGAAGGTTCTGCCACGCGACGGACGCCATACCTACCTTTTCTCGGCTACCATGTCCTCGAAGGTCGAGTCGCTGCAGCGCGCCGCCCTGCAGAACCCTGTCCGCGTGTCCATTTCCAGCTCCAGCCACCAGGTGGTCTCCACACTGCTGCAGCGGTATTTCTTCCTCCCTCACAAGCACAAGGACCTTTTCCTGATCCACTTGCTCAACGAGAACATCGGGCATCCCACAATCATCTTCACAAGAACAGTCAACGAAACACAGCGCATCGCCATTCTATTGCGTACCCTTGGCTTTGGCGCCATTCCACTACATGGTCAGCTCTCACAATCGGCGCGTCTGGGTGCCCTGAACAAGTTCAAGCAAAAGTCACGCGACATCCTCGTCGCCACGGACGTTGCGTCGCGTGGTCTGGATATTCCCTCCGTCGACCTTGTCGTCAACCTTGATCTGCCAGCTGACAGCCAAACATACGTGCACCGCGTCGGTCGTACAGCGCGTGCGGGTAAGTCTGGAAAGGCTGTTTCGTTTGTCACTCAGTACGATGTTGAGATTTGGCTGAGAATCGAGAACGCACTGGGCGCGCAGATCGAGGAAGAGGTTGTCCCGAAGGACGAGGCACTAGTGTATGCTGAGCGAGTTGGCGAAGCGCAGAGGACTGCTGTCAAGGAGATGAAGTTGATTCATGAGCAGCGCGGGAAAGGGAGAGGCGGTGGTGGAGGCAGGGGAGGGATGCGGGGCAAGAGGGGGCGTGGCGACATGGATGCGGAGGAGGGATGATTCGGATATGAAAAGTTTGATCTAGTTGAGTGCGATATCCCATTACTGATGATCTCAACGTTTGTAGTCAGCAACGCAGTACGTTCGTGTTTGCATGCGCCTTGCGGCCAAGTAACGCTTTTTCCTCACCACTCTCTTAGCGCACCATATTACCAAGCATGTTGGTAGATCCTTTCATATCTTCATTGCAATGCACAACTTCAGTACCTTTCTAGCTTTTGATACTCTTTTCTCCACTTTCTTTGATGATTCACCTAACCGACAGACACATGCGCACCAAGCTACGCGATTGTGTAACGCTACCAGAGTACAGCGACTCACTCCGAAGACCGTGCATTGTAGAGGAGTCTCCCAATGGAACCAATCGTTGATCTCCATCATGTCTCGTGCCAGCGAGGCGTATGCCGTATTAGCAGGTCTCGCCCGCAGTCCAATTTGCGTGTTACCAAAACAGGAAATCTCCGGCACGCTTCGCCGTACAATCAAAAGCTGACAGCTTACATCCCCACCACTGACTCTCTCCGCACCTCCAGAGAAGCACAGCCAAGCTCGTAACTCACGCCGAAGGAGACACTATTAGCCTTGGCGGTCCTACACCGCAGTGTAACACCACGCTCGAAGCAGCATAATGCAAAGCGACGTTGTGTGAATGGCGGACTAGCCGCACCGAGAGGTCCCAACATCATGCCATACAGCGGCACCGAATAACCGACAACACGAGAAGGACCGACCGATGGAAAATTTCGTCGCGGCTATTGGCGAGACATAGATCTTGGAGTAGGAAAATGCTTTAAGATGCGCTATGTCCTTCTTATCTACCGATCTGATCTGATTGAGGATCTAATCTGATTTGAGTACGACTTGGATTACAAGGTCGTCCGTAGCTGCTATGGGTGTTTTACAAGGTAAAATCTGCGATTTTGTATTGACACGCTGAACTGAGATACTTACTCTTGCTAAGGGAAACGCGGGGATGTGAATGGTCTGGAGAGGCGATTGGTGATGAAACTCGGTACGTCTAAACAGTCGCATTGAAACTCCCTCTCTACTTTGCTAATTCGAGTGTAGACATATTCATCATGGTACATTCGTTAGTGATCAGCATTGATTGCGGGTGCTAAACATAGTCCAGGTATACTGTTGTGCATGCTATTTCTTCAACTACCTGGGTATGTCTCAATGCAGCTCCATGTAGGGTGCGATTGCTAATTTTATCCAGATCGACAGGCATTTGCAAACGCCTATGTACGTATGCATACTTACTGTAGATGAAGTACCTTACTTACCCTACATGAGGTTGCTGGCATGAGAGAAGATCTGAACCTGCAAGGCAATCAATTCAGTATCCTGCTCTCCCTGTTCACCGCTGGGTAAGCATCCGATCTCGTAATCTGTCGCCGTAAGTTCCTGACCATCAAAATCTAGAAATGTCGTGGCACTTATTCCACACGCGTTGATTTTGCAGAAGATCAGACCAAGCATCTGGCTACCACTAACTCTAGTTCTTTGGTCTGGTCTTACTATGTGCTCCGCTGCATGCACCACTTACAAGCAAATCTGCGCCGTGCGCTTCTTCCAAGGCACTATGGAGGCCAGTTTGTATAGCGGTACTATGTACGTGCTTGGTTCATGGTAGTAAGTTGGCCCACACTTTCACACTCAGTGCAGCCGGTTGATAAAATTCGTAGCACCCCATCTGAAATCGCCAAGCGAGCGGCGATCTTCACAGCTGTCGGACAAGTCGGTAGTATGTTTGCTGGTCTGATGATGACTGCAATGCATAAGACAATGGAGGGCTCAGGTGGTCTGAAGGGATGGCAGTGGGTCTTCATTATAGGTAAAGTCAGCGAATGATGGTACATACGCCAGTTTGCTGACGCTTTTGAAAGACGGCCTGATGGGCATACCTTTCGGAATCTACGGATATGTAAGCATTGCAGTCTCTTGCAACCTTTCGATGTGCGGGTCTGATTCAATCCCAGTTCACATTTCCAGACCTTCCTGAATCAACAGGGAGGCGATCCATTAACGAGGAAGAGAGGCGATTTGCCATCAGCCGCTTGCCGCCCAAGACGGCCAACACCCACAGCATTGCATTCAACAGTATTGTTAAGAGGGTCTTTTTCAACCCAACAATGTACGTAGAACTGGCCACACAATATCACGGTCAGTAGACTAATTGAAATAGCTATATATTAGCTGGATTCTCAGCAATCAGTGCTATGCTCGAGGCCTTCGCTTTCCAGGTACGCTACATCCCAAATAAGTCAGATCCCAAGTACTAACATATGAATAGGGCATGTTCCTCCTCTGGCTCAAGCACAATAAAGCGCGCTTTTCTCAGACAGCCATCAATACCTACCCGCTCGGCATTCAGGCTGTAGCCGTCGCATCTCAGATTCTCTCCGGCATCTTCATCGACCATACTGGTCACCGCATGCCCATGGTAATCTTCGCTGGCGCCGCGCAACTCGTCACCGCCAGTCTACTGCTCGTGCGTGATATGTCTGATAGCGGCATCTTCGTAGCGCACTATCTCAGTGGTACAAGCTTCATCGTGAACCCCGTCATGTACGGCTGGGCAACCACGATCTGCCAGCGCACTGGCGACGACGCCGCGAGAAGCGTCGTGCTATACTCGATGAACATGGCCGGACAAATTCTGTACACATTCTGGGGCATCGTTATGTATCCCGCGACCGACGTGCCTTACTGGAAGAAGGGAAGTATTACGATGGTGGTTGTGTGCTTTGTGTTCGTGGCATATTCGTTCCTGGTTCGATGGGTAAGTTGAGTTATCTTCTGAGGCTTGACGTGGGCTAATGAGTTTGCAGCTTGACAATCACACAAGGACAGTTCAGGAGACAGGCGACGCGAGTGATGCCGAAGTCGACACGGTTGAGCAGACAGCTAAGTTAGGCTGAAGAGTGCCTCACATTCGAATGGGGGGTAGCTCACTCTGGATCTACATCCTGCTGGGGAAACTGATTCATGTATCTGAAAGCCAGAGGAAGCTGGGTAGATACTTTCCATTGTGATGGTATTAACCAGACAAGCTTCCTGTCACTCCCGTTCTTGTCTGACCATCTACGCCGCTGTTCCGCCCCTCTCACTTCCAACCACGCCATCCGATCCTCACCACCATTCCATTCGCTCTAGGTCGCACTGATACCCGGTTTACAACCACCTTAGACTTTGCCAGTCCCAGGGAACCCACCCGCCAGTGCACGCGCATCATCGCACTATTCAAACTCTAACCAACTGCCTGAACTGGCATTCGGAAAACACGACCATTTACCCCCTACGTTGATCAAGACTTCACCTGCCACTTTGAGGTCACAAACCCTAAGCGATCGTTGACGCTCAGACAATACCCCGCGTGCGTCTTGGCTCTAAATCCTGGCACTCTAGACAAGACGCACGTGCTATAGGAACGCTTCCCAATAGGCGAGACCTTACACTTGCAAGGATCTTTGCATGGCTCTACCACAGCACTATGTATACTCCGAGGTACAGATCGACGTCAATCGTTTACAGAAACGGAAGGAACAAGTGCTGATGAGCATTCAAATGTTTGTCAAAAGTGGCACTCGCGGCCGTGGATTATCCAGGTTAGTACAGGGTAATAGGGAGTCACTGCGGTCCAAAATCGTGTAAAAAAACACCGAGATCAGTGTTAGTAACACCGGAACGCGATGTTGGTTTGTGTAGAAGAAAGGTTTATTAGGTAAAATACACCGAAATCGCGTAAAACACCTAAAATAAGGTAAAATACCTGGATCTGCGGTGTAAAAAAACTGATACGGTGTGTTCAACGCACCATAATGTCCCCTCTTGATTGGGAAACATTGCATCGGTACCGTAGTGAGTCGCGATCATCGCATACAAATGCCATCTATAAGTACAGCACTTAGAAGCCCCCCTTTCTAGCTGCTCGTGTACTTGCACTTATTCTTCTTGTAATACAAATTCCGGGGGGTCTGTTAGAATGCATCTCCACCTTCTCACCGCGCTCTGCGCCATCACTATGGCAGCATTCTCCTCTGCCGCCCCGCAAGATTTCCGCGCCCTATCTTTCAACATCCGCTACGCCGCCTCCGCTTCAACCTTCGAGCGTCCGTGGTCCACCCGCCGCCCTCTTGTCATCGCCCAACTCGCAAACGCCACCAACACCCCCTCCATCCCCGTCATTGGCTTGCAAGAAGTCCTTCACGCCCAGCTTAACGACATTAAAAACGGCCTGGGACCCTCCTGGGCGCATCTCGGAACCGGTCGCGACGACGGCAAACAAGCCGGCGAGTACGTCCCGCTGTTGTACCAGCCCGACACGTTGAAGCTCGTTGCCAGCACGCAGAAATGGCTCTCGCCCACCCCCGACGTGCCGAGTTTCTGGCCCGGTGCAGGAAGTCGGCGGTACGTGATCGTGGGCGTGTTCGAGATACTACGCGGCACAGGGAAGGGGCGGCGGGTGCTGGTTGCGAACACGCATCTCGATAACGCGTCGCAGACTGCACGGATCGAGGGTGTCAAAGTGGCGCTGAAAACGATACGAGATATGCGCGCTGCGCACGGCGACTTGCCGGTCGTTTTGACGGGGGACTTCAACTCGGTGCCTGGGAGCGGGGATGCATATGGGGCGGTTGTCGCGGATGGGGCGCTTGAGGACTTGTATGCACTTGCGGGTCCGGGACGCAGGTTTGGACCCGAGGGGACGTTCAGTGGGTTTGAGCCTGGTAAGGAACCGAATAGTCGGATTGACTTCGTTTGGCTCGGGCCGAATGCTTCAACGACGTGGACGGTGCAGAGGTACGAGGTGTTGGGTAATGTTGTGGGTGGCGTGTATATAAGTGATCATCGCGCGGTGCAGGGTGATGTTACGCTCCGCTGATGAAGTTTGGGTACCTGACCCGTGATGTGGTGCGGGTACTTGATCCGATATCTTGGAATGACGAAGGATCTGCGCGATTTCATCTAAACAATTCATCAGTATCGCTCTTGGTTCGATTCACTTCGTGGTCTGTTGTCCCGTCTCTCATATCAATTCAGGTGAAGGGGGCTCAATACGTGCAGGTAGACGAACACAAAGTGGTATTCGAGTCCGAGTCTCATTTTTGCAATCAGGAATACGAGTTGTCCAATGTACCCAGCAGTTCAAACTCGGATATTCTTCAATGCCTCAGCGTCACTCTCCTCGAAGGGGTACTCTGTCTCAGCATCCCTGATCAACTGTGCGTACTTCTCGCTCCTGGGTGTGATGCTCGTCCTGTACGGAATTGGGTGGCTGACGACACCAGGCTCGAATTTCACCTCGGGCTCCACAACCTTTCCGTTCTCTACCAGCTTATCAATCTTGAATACTGAGAGCGACTGCGCAATGGTAATGAACAGCGCGTTGTCGGCGATATAGCGACCGGGACATACGCGGCGTCCGTAACCAAACGTCCAGGTGCGAGGGTCGGGCTCTGGCGTCTCGCCGAGGAAGCGCTCGGGTCGGAAAGCCATGGGGTCGGCGTAAACTGCTGGGTCGTGGGTGAACCACCTGTTCCGATTAGAATACATCTTGTATAGCCGAATGGGACATACCAGTTATTCGGCAGAATCAGCGCGCCCTTGGGGATTCTGTAGCCACGGATTACATCATCTTGTGTAGCAGCATGAGGCAATGCCAGAGGAGCAACGGGGTGCCAGCGGTGAGTTTCCTTGACTACGGCATCGATGTAAGGTAGTGTGCCCTTGTCACCTGCGTTGGGGAGACGGTGACCGCCAATGACCCGGTCGAGCTCTTCCTGCGCCTTCTTCTGAACGTCAGGGAAAACAGTCATGGCGAGGAAGAAAGTCATCAGAGAAGAGACAGTGGTATCGGCGCCGCCCAAATACATCGAAGAAGCGGACCACTTGTGGATACGCTCCATCGCAGCGTCTGAACCAATGTTCTCGAGAGCCTGGGAGAGGAAGGAGACTTTGTGCTTTTTCTCTCGCATCTGCTGCTTGACGAACTCGTAGGGCTGTTCAGTAGTCTGCCTCAGTTGCTCCTCCATGTCGCGGGCAGTCTGCTTGAAACCAGCGCCTGGGAGCCAATCGGGCAAATATTGCACTGTTCATGGTCAGCTACAATGCCAAATGGCAAAGTGCAATAATGACCTACGGAATGGCATGATGTCGACTGGCCATTTACCAGCTATCGTCGCCTGTGAAAACTCGTGCATTGACTTGACAGCCATGTCGACAAGGTGGTCCTTGCCCTTTGGCTCTGCGGTATATCCATATGTAATTTTCAGAATAACGGCCCCAGCTTCCTTCTTGATGTGTTCAAACAAATTTTCGGGTGATTCGAGGACATTGAGTAGGAAATGGACAGATTCTTCCTCTTGCGCGCGATCGAAAAGCTTGAGAGATGTGTTACTGCCGGCAACACTGGCGATGTTCTTGCGATGGATTTTAAAGTTGTCCGTAAAGCCGCTGAAAGCCAATGTGTTCTTCCATCCAATCCTACAACAATCTTAGCGCAACAGTTCATTGTATCTGATCTCGTTTCGACATACATATCACTTGCAAAGACCATGTGAGGGCGAGCTTGGTGCTGCGCTCGGTCCCTGAGCAACTCGAGTGCAATCTGCGCATCGTTTATGATGACTATTGTCTGGCCCAGAACCGTGACGGAGCTGATCGGTCCGTACTCATCTTTGTGCTTCAACCAGTGTTGTGCTTCAATTTCTCCATTTGGCTTCGGGAGATCGTTGACATTGCCGAGCAAGGGAAGGCCCTTGGGGCCTGGTGGCAGCGGGTGGCTGTGCTTCTTTTGGTTCACAAATTTGTTAATCAAGTACGCAGCTACGATTCCAACCAGGAGGAAGAAACCGGTCGATGACACGAGAGCCATGGTGACAGGCCTGCAAATATGCTCACTGGGTAGGAGGAGAAGGAAGAGAGTGGAGAGCACAGAAAGTCAGAACATAAATCTCGCTCATCGCATCAGTTCTCGAACGCTGCGGGGCCTACCTACTGCAGGAGTCGTGGATAAGATGTCGCGGCTTGTTAGCTTGTCTGGGATGACATGCCGCGGCCCACCGCGGACTGGCGCTACTACGGGTTCAGGCGAGCGTCCGGTTCGGGGGCCACGGCTCTCCCCGTTGTCAAAATGCACACCAATTGTTCAACGTTAATTTTAAGTCCACAGATGCTATGCTTTTGTCGCACACTAAACTTATCAAAAAGCGGAACTCAACGAAGTCCATAGTCGCTGGAGCACTTGCAGCAAGAATATCTCCGATGCAGAGGTCAGCAATGCATCGGAGGATACAGGGGTGGTCCATGACATGACATTCTGGGATTCAGGATTGGTCGAATGCGTATTACCAGGAACGATCTCTCCGAGACAGGCAAATTTGCGACGATCTCTTGTCAACCTTCACCTGCTACCATCAGTGTGATTCTCGAAGGTGCAGGAATATCTGTTCGTCGATACACACAGTACGCACACGCAGATCTCATAACTCGCTACAATCCAAAACCAGCCGCGCATACTTGAGTCAAGTGTTGTGAAGATGTGTGAATGTGTAGGATTCAGGCTAAGTATACTAGCGTGGCGAACTAACTGCTGATAGAGAAGAATTCTTCCTGTTTGGGCGGTCGGCGTCCACAGGGGCTACTTATGAGAGTCCGGAGCCACATCAAGGTTTCCTGTTATGTACTCCAATAATCGCGTTGAAGCAGCGTAAATGACGGTGGTGAGCTAAGTCCAAGCCTCTTGAGGCTCCCGAGCCCATCAACCATGCACTGCTCGCCAGCAGAAGCCATGTGTTAGGCGACTCTCTACCTTGTATGCCTGAAATGCAATCGGGCCTAAGCGGTGCGGCATAGACCCCGAGCCGCCTGTGCCGTACCGCATTAGGCGCCTCAATGCCGATCAGAAAGTTGGGCATACCTAAGGCGGGCAAGGGGAGCAGTCCTCCAAGGAACGAGAGTCACTGTTGAGGAAGTGATGCCACCATTTTCATTCCTGCCCGTGAATTCCCAATCATGTGATTGAAAGATATCCCGAAGTTTAATGTTTCCAGACTCTCTTTAGAGATCTTATTCAAGCATGAAAACCCTCCAAACCAGAATGGTTCAAATCCCCTTGAAGGCCGGTTGACATTTGCAAATCAGGGGAAGCTTGTGCAGTTGGCCTGTTTCGGCATGCCTGTGTGCCAGACTGGGGGCCGATGATCCTACACCGCATGTGTTGGTCTCAAGCTCCGGGCGAGACGACGGTCGACCTGAGAACCGTTAGTGACAGTAGGCGAGCCACTGCGGCTAGACAGATATACTTTCAAGAAAGAAGCATGGAGTGGGTCTTGTTAAAGAGATTTGTTTTCGTCAACCACTTGTTGCAGGTGCCCCATCATCGAGCCAGCGTTTGTTGCGGTTTATCGTCGATTGTACTTTCATTTGAAGCGCAAGATGAAAGCGCAAAGTATCGTTGTTGTATTGGCACTACTCTCCAAAGAAGCTCTTTCGCAACAAGAGTTTTTGGATCGGCTTCCTGAGTGTGCCGTAAGCATAGTTTACACCCACTTTGTAGCCTTGATTGATCATAGCTCAGATTCCATGCTTCTCGTCGAACACGCCACCGTCATGCTCAACCAACGACTTTAGCTGTCTGTGTGCAGACAAAACTTTCATGACAGCCTTCTCAGCTTGCAACGCTGACGAGTGCTCCGTCGTCTCTATGTTGCAAGCCACAAACGAGACGTATACAGCATGCGGTGTCCCGATTCGCGACCAGACAAAAACATTGATTGGGCCTGTTGCATCCGTTGGAGCGCTGGCTCTGTTGATGGTAGCGATGCGACTCGTTGACCGAGCTGTATCTGCACATGCGCAACTAGGCTGGGACGATTTGTTGATTGGCCTGTCAGGAGTGAGCCACTCAGAACATCCTTGAAGTTTACATATACTCATCCCATCTGTTCAGCTTGTCTCAATCGGCATGAATGCACCTGTCATCGTTGCTGCATCTCTCGGGTTTGGCAGAGATATGTGGGGGATACCGGCCGACAACATTACCGAGAGCCTGAAGTGGCTGTACGTAGCCTACTTCATGTACATGCTGGCCGAAGCACTCTGCCAGATGTCAATTCTCGCATTTTACCTTCGCATCATGATACAGCCTCGGCTGCGTGCAGTCGTATGGGTCTTGATGGGAGTGGTTACGTCTTTTGGCATTGCCAATATCTTTGCCATGATCTTTCAATGCACGCCAATTCCCTTCTTTTGGGATGGCTGGAGAGGCGAAATGGAGGGTACCTGTGGGGTTGACGTGCGTCTGTGAGTCATTTCAGAGTTCTGGACGAGAGTACTTGCTGATACATATACCAGATTTGGTTTCGCCAGAGGAGCAATAGAGATCTTTCTAGATCTGGCAATTTTGGTGCTACCACTCCCTATGCTGGCCAAACTTAACATGTCTCCAAAGAAGAAACTTCAAGTCATGTCGATGTTCTGTGTTGGATTCATCATCACCGTTGTGAGCTGTCTTCGATTATGGGCATTCGTTGAGTTTGCGCAGACAACAAATCCAACTTGTGAGTGGACCACATGCGTATTATCGTTCTATCGCTGACGTGATGTTGTAGACGATAATGTTCCTGGCCTATATTGGTGTACGACAGAGTCGAACCTGTTCACGGTAGTGGCATGCATGCCAGCATTACATGCACTCTTCCACAAAGCTCTTCGAAAGGTTCGCGGCCTCAGCACCCATACTAGCAGCGATGAGCCAAGCAAGGGCTCATATTTGCGGTACAATACCAATCAGCGTAAAAGCTCAATGCCTTTTGGAGCCATCAGAAAGGCTACTGATGTCACCATCTACAGAACAGAGCGGTCAGGTTCCGACTTAGAGCTGGTAGACAACAGGCGGCCGGTATGACACAGTAATCTTTGTTCAAAAGAAGGGGTGGTATTGTTCGATGCTACGCATGAGGTTCGTACTTTCGCTCTACTCTTGTCGCCACTGTTGGAAATGCGATGACATCATCACCGACGCTAGTCTTTGCTAGGAAGGCTGCGCTTGGCTTCGTTCCTCACCTGTTCATCTGCATGGCACTCAGACAAACTCCCCAGACCGCATTGTAATGACAGATATCAAAATCTCGAGTCAAGATGCATGATCAAAGTCGCACTAGTGCACTATAAAGTGCAGAAATGCCAACTTCGACCTTCTCCCTTCTCAGCATCCACGGTTGACAGTACTCATGACCTACTAAAGTACAAAGGTGTTTCCCCAGCTTCTGCACTGTTTTGACGCTCTAAATGCCAATATTGGCATCGACCTCCTCCATATCATGTCAAAATTACAACACTTGCAAGAATCTGCGGACCATCCTACCTAAACGTACCTTTGTAAAGGGACGCAGTAAAGGCCTTTGATCGGCTATATTTATCTGGCACATCATACAGGACAACCGCCTGAGAACTGGCTTGAATTGTACGGCTCTCAAAAAGCGTCATTTCGCCGCACTCTTCCCAAAACCTTTCCGTGTCTTCGCAGCACCCTCATTCAGGAGCTGTCAATCGTCTTATGGTGGCTACCTGATACGATTCAGGGCTTGCACGTTTCTTTGAGTGGGTTCGAAATAAGCCACAAGCACCCAAGGGTCAGAGCAGTGAGTCACTTTAGTTGTAATCCATCACAAACATCAGCGGAACACTAATTTCAGCGCCGATGTGCAAGGGCATCAACTATTACAACAATACTACCAACAAGAACATCTAGCAAAATTCACATCAGCAACTTCATTTGACAAGAACATTACCCTGCGTACTCCACGGGATACTCTTGTCTCGGCGCAAATAACAGCCATCCGCCAAAAAGAGCAGAGGGAGTTTCAAACTTCGCTTTTGGAAGTGCACTTATTATATAGGTTTAGTACACGAGTGAATCTTAACGAGAGTCATAGACACAGTCTCTATTCCAACACAGGAAAGGGGCCCTCTCTGCCTATATAGATACATTTGCACACGAGAAAGCTGGCTTGACAGCTCCACTGTAATCGTCAATGATGGCTTCAATTGCAGCATACAGTCCTGGCCCGAGCAGAAATAGACCACAAAGCATGATGAATACATGTGTGATTGTCTTCACGCTTCGTGCGAGGCTGTTGAACAATCTGCCTTTGTACAGTTGCCAGTATGCGACGGCGAAGAAGATGAACCCAAAGAATGAGTCAAAAGCGGCACCTGAGAACAGTCAGCGGATAGTCCAGTGGCGGTAGATTGCGCATGATACGTACCTAGAAGACTGAGAAAATCACCCATAGAAGGGATGACCTCGGCAAACACGAATCCGATGAACCAGATTGCTGTCATCACGGCAATCCATACAGCCCAGCCTATTACAGTGTTGCTGTGCGCATGACGGCTTCTCCCCATAATTCGGCCGTAAAGGAATTTGGCACTGACATTAGCATAGATTACACCAATGACGAGTGTAGGAACAATGACAAACGCGAACGAGGCCTTCTTGTACACAACAGTACCCAGACTGCCAAAAGCCGGCGCGGTTGCGTATTGTCCCAGATAGTGGAATCCAATCGCAGGAGGAACGATGAAGAGGATTGCGGAAATCCCGGCAAGAACTGCTAGGGCCTTCGGAAAATCCTGCGGCTTCTCCATCTCGGCGATGAAAGTGGGAAAGAGAATCTGAGGAACCCATAAGAAGGTGATATTGAGAACAGCGTTCATCGCAGCAACCCAAGTCGTACCCTTGAGCGGGAATGCGTACGTATGAACAAGGCCAGCCTTTGGATAGACGCCGTTGTATCCGTACAACGGATGGTCCTCGATACCAGCAAATATCAAGAAGAGGAGGATGGCAATTCCCATGCATGCCGCAGAGAACATGGACATGAAAGAGACATTGTTGAGCGTTCTGGGTAAGGACATAATAACACCCATGATAGTTACGATGACTGAGAACGTCACAGTACACATCGAATGATCCGATAGGGTGTTTATAACCTTCGCGCCCGTGAGAATGTGCTATCATACAGTCAGCTGTAATCAGTAGGACAGAGCGTCGACAGTACGTACAAAGCCAATCAGCATGATGTTATTAAGAAGCAGCATGACTGCGGTGAATTCATAAGCAATCTTGCTCTTCCCAAAAGCGTAATAGCCAAAGTCGCAGATATCTTTGATCTGTGGGTGCTTCATGATGAACTTGTGCATCGTCAATGAAGTGATGTAGAAGAGCACCCCAGCTACGATCATAGTAATGAGCCCAGGGACCCAACCAAGGACCCTTGCACTGTCAGTGTGGAAATGAGGGTAGAGAGCTGCCCACTTACGAAAGCGACCAAGATTGTGCCATGATTGCAAGACATACTTGATCGCCAGCAAGCAACCAGGCCGCTCGTTGCCATGTCATCGTGCGAAGTTTGATGTCATGTTCATGATCCTCATTAACGAGAGCGTCAATTATATAGGTCGCGCTGTCGTTGTCTGAGACTTGAGCTTCGGTGTCGTAGACCTTGGAATGAACCTTGACAATATCTTCATTGTTGCGATCGGCCATGGTGGACATGCTCGACGTAGAAATAAGGATGGATCCACGAATTTAATCCAAACGTTGGTTCATATGATGTGGGGAGGGGTTAGATTCAAGTACTTTGTGTTCTACGTGCAAAGTCTGCTACATACCACGCGTCTACCTGTTAATCAGGATACCCGAGCTGAGAATAATGGCGTGCTTACAGACCCGGCCGCGCCGGGCGCCTGGATCGGAATTGCAGACCTTAAAATGGTGCATGAAGCCTCCTAGATATCTCATTGGCCCGAGGACTTGCACATTGCAACATCAGTGTTGGCGTGATTGCTTATCAGCCGCCAAGCGAGGCTTGTTAACCCAAAGCATCGCGGGTCACACTGCATCTCGTGCAGGCCTAGAAGTTCGGCTAGGTGTCTCGTGGTTCTCTGACCATTATTTCGGGATTTACCTAGGTAGGGTGCATGCAGATTGTGACGATGTCGCAATACTTGAGATCAATGGCGTGAGTACCTTAAGGCACTTTATCGAGCTGAAACCGATCGTGAGTCCGCCTATAAAATTTACGAAAGGACTTCGCTGTGAGACATCGAGTGTGACAAGCTGAGTACCTAGGCAAACGGATCGGTCATTGTACTCGAAAACGTCCTTTCACTTGGACCTTATGTAGACTTCAGTCCGCTCACTGGAACTATGGTCACGCGTGTGCCGAATTGGGGTAGACTCGAAAAGTTGCAAGTGATCGGACCTGCTCCTGTAAGAACGTCCCAGCGACGTTGATAGATAGTAGGTATTAGATTTAAGGCGCCGGAGTATAAATTACATTTTCAGTAGGCAGGGACAGCAGATTGAGATTGAACAACCGGTCTGGTCGTAAAAATTCTGGTCGAGAGAAAATTTGGGCTTACCGGCTGCACATATTAAATTACCTACTATGGGTTTGATACGGGCAGGCATATAGCTATCTTGTAAGATGAAAATCTCGAGAGAAGTCTGTAATTTTGTGCAGGGTAATGCTGCTGTGCAAGCGCAAGATATCTGCCTTTGCGTAAGCAATGTTTACAGGTAGGTATCTCGAGTTCTGCAGAGCTCGAGTTGCTGCGTTTCATTCACACTGTCAAGGTGTCTAGGGATCTAAACGAATGAGAGTCTCCACCTACACATGTTACAAAAATTCGCACGTTGCCCGTCATTGTTAGTTCAAAAGACTCCAGCGACAGATAGAGAAGCTTACGTAAGTTGAGGTCCACGTGACCGATTTGCTGTGGACGGCTTCCTTGTGATCTTAGCTTGCCCTGACCCTCCATTGATATGGTGTCGGATGATAGGTATGAAAGCTTCAGCATTGAACAATTAGACATCGATACGTTCGTTCGTTGTGTAGATCCAGCGGACGCCACAGTTTCCCCTACAGTGAACAGCTTCAGCGCGCTGGCGGTGTGCAAATCATTTTCGGAATACTGCACAAATGATCTACTACCTATTGTTATTCACCACCACGAACCAGAAATGTAAGTACATTTTATGTCGCTCGCGTGCCTCTGTGGCTTCTTGATGACATCGACGCAATTCCGTTGCGCACCGTCCGCAAATCCACCGCTGCACATGGGTATTGAGCTGTACGTCTCGAACAATTGCATAAATTGCAGCGCAAAAGGAGCCCCTCGTCTTCTAGATCGTGTAGAGAAGCAACAGACTGATCTTCGTCTTAGCGCGCGGATGACCCTTGGCCTGGGTGCCTGGGTGCCTAGGTGCCGTATTTATCGTATTGAAGCCCCGCACTGGAGATTCGCTTAGAACCAACCACCTTCATTGTCTACCACCAGCTCTCAACACTCACTAGAGTCTATCACAACAATGGGTGACTTGTATTCGTCCAGAGATGATATCGACAAAGCAGTTAGGATTCTTCGTGCAACATTTCGCTCGGGCCGCACCAAGGATCTGAAATACCGCAAATGGCAACTCAAACAGTTGTATTGGCTGGTGGCTGACAACCACGAAGCTATCATCGATGCACTCCACAAAGACCTCGGGCGCCCCGAATTCGAAACGCGACTGAATATCAAGGGAATGCAGGATGATATCGTCTACCACATCAAACACTTTGAAAGATGGGCTCGTGGTGAAACACCCAAGAGTGGCTTCATATTCTCGAACGTAGGCCGGACGCACCTGAGAGCTGAACCACGGGGTCTTGTGTTCATAATCGGGCCATGGAACTTTCCCGATACTCTGACCATCACTCCTCTTGCTGCTGCCATCTCTGCCGGATGCACCGCCCTCATCAAGCCATCTGAGCTAGCAGCCAACTTTACCGATCTGTTTGTGAAGCTAGCCCCAAAATACCTTGACAGTGAGTCCTATGCGCTTGTCACCGGCGCTGCATCAGAGACTCAGTATATGCTCTCTCACAAATTCGATCACATCTTCTTCACTGGATCGACCCCCGTTGCCAAGCATGTCGCCGCAGCAGCAGCCAAACACCTCACACCAACTGTACTCGAGCTCGGTGGACAATGCCCGGCCATTGTGACTAAGACTGCCAATGTCGATCTAGCAGCGAAACGCATCGCTGCGGCCAAGTTTATGAATGCTGGGCAGATATGCCTCTCAGTCAACCACGTCTTCATCGACCCCAAAGTTCATGATGATTTTATCAACCGTCTCAAACACTGGAATCAGAGCTTCACGAGCAATGGTGAAAGCGATGCTATGTGCACAATCATTAACGATCGCAACTTCGGTCGTTTGGAGGGGCTTTTGAACAAAACTCAAGGCAATGTGGTCTACGGCGGCTCAGGACACGATCGAAATCTCCTGAAACTGAAGACGACAGTTGTTGATAACGTAGGTCTAGGTGATTCCCTATTGTCCGAGGAGTTATTTGGGCCGTTGCTCCCAATCATGGAAGCCGATTCCAAGCAAGCAGTGGAGATGATCAACAATTTGCCACATCCCTTGGGTCTCTACATCTTCTCACATGATCAGTCCGAAATCGATTATGGTAAGACACAAAATAGTCCATGTGATGTGCTTTACTTACCAGAACAGTACTTGACAACACACTGTCAGGAGGGGTGACCATCAACGATACCTTGCTACATGCGGGGGTTCCAGAAGTTCCATTCGGTGGTGTGGGCGATTCTGGTATGGGAGCCTATCATGGCAAGTATGGCTTCGACACATTTACACATCTACGTGCAGTTGTCCAGATGCCAGACTGGCTGGACAAATTCATGGGCTTCCGATATCCGCCATATGATCTGACGAAGAGCAATCCTATGACCACATTTTCAGCCCCACCTTTCAAGCGGGGAGAGACACTTCAGGATCAAGAAGATGGAATCAGTACTGTTGTCCAAATTCTTGGTTCAGCAGCGGTCATTGGTGGACTTGCTATCGTGCTAGCTGGGTTGCAAAAGCTGCGCTGAAATTCACCACACTCAACCTTTTCATAGATGGCGGCTTTGTACAGACCCTGTATGAAAGGCCGTCATTCTTCTGATGGCATGTGGATTTTCTAATTATATTCTGTTGATCGGCTGTTCTCTTTGCCCTCTTGGCATGATTTGAACATAATATGGGATAGGTATAACTTGAATCGACGCATCCTCGTTCAGACGCATAGATTTTGAGTATTGCAACTGGCTTGTGTACCGAAGATCATGCTATCGAGTGCAAGACAATCCACGTGAGTCGTCAGCGTCCAACCCCTCCAACAGCACAACAACAGTTACATAACACGTGCGCATGATTCCATGTGAAGCTTAGAGTGTAACAGTGTGTTTCAATCTAAGGTCAGGTACAAACGGTCCTCCCAGGATTAACATCTGATCATAGCAGAACCGTTGCGTCCTTTCGGAACGCTAGGTACAAGTTGGATTGTAAACGAGGCGCTAAGTAACAATCGATAGATTTACGACCTTCGACTTTTAGTGGGTCGGAAGACGTCCGATGGCTTGACATCCGACACACTGCAAAGGATCGATTGTCCTTGCCTTCTAGAACTATATGAACCATGTTAAAGGCAACCTAGATTCAAACACAACGTCAGTCACGTAGAACCCACGGGAAGCAGGTACTCTGGGTCGCGTGTCACAATGTTCTGTTGGTTCTTCAGCCGTGGTTGAGTGATACGAATAGGCATGATCGCTACCGATTGAGTTCAACTTAGCGCAACGCTACAACTGTCGAGAAGCGTGCATACGAGCGCTACTTCCGAGCAATACGAAGGGGTTCCTTATATTACTTAACATTTGTACCTGATCCAGTACAGCCCTATACTCTACTTATTCTATTCTCTCCTTGCATCATGTTGTTCAATGCCATTGGTCTGGCTTCACTCTTTTTTGTTTCTTTCTGTCATGCTCAGATAAATCGATGCCCAACGTCCGAGGAGCAAATTTTGACCAACGACGGTTCTATATATGCTATCTGCCAGCAGACAGACTACCAGGGCGACACAACCAGATTTGTTGGCACTGTCGCGACCTTGGCGGATTGTGTGAAGGCCTGCAATCAAGATTCTCAATGCAAACAAGCCGTCTATGATAAGACTGCTTTCGGATGTCATCTCAAGGCCACCAGTGGCTTAGTATGGGTCCAGAATCAAGCTTTCACTACCATCAGATTCATTTCCAACCCTTCACAAGGATCAGTTGTTACCAGTTGCCCAGCTGGTGAGACGAACATCACAAGCACCACTGGATCGGTCATTGCAGTGTGCCCAAACACTGACTACGAAGGCACCACCATCGACGCGGTTGGGGGTATCACGTCATTTCAAGATTGTTCTGCCGCTTGTGATAGAAACACTCAATGCTCGCAAGCTGTCTTCCAAAAGTCAACTTCTCAGTGTTATATAAAGGGCGAAGCGAAAGATCTTCGCTGGGTCTACAATACAGGCTTTGACACTATTCGTACAGTTGCAAAGCTGAACGATGGCACGCGCATCTCATACTGTCCGGGAGGCTTCAGTAACTTCACCACAGACAACGGCGCAGGGTTTGCCACTTGTGCCTTTGCCGACTTTAATGCGCCGAGCATTGAAATCGTGGCCAATATACCCACAGTCAAAGGTTGTGCAGCACGCTGTATCTCGAGGAACGATTGCGTCCAAGCCAGCCACGATACTAAGAATGGCATCTGCCACATCAAGGGTAATCTGACGGCACCAGTGTGGGTCTTCAATCGCCAATACACTTCTTTACAGCTGGCGAACGTAACACAATCCCCAACAGTCGCTAAGATGGGGAAATGGTCAAACATCATTCCGTTCCCCATCATCCCTGTGGCTGCATATGTTGTGCCTGCTGAGCCTTCAGCAAGCAGGCTTCTGGTGTTTTCATCTTGGGGGGATCGAGCGTTTTCTGGACCCACAGTCAGTAGACTGAGATCACGACCTGCTCAACTCTAATAATCTCAGGGTATAACTCAATTTGCTGACTATAACTTCCTCACGGGAGCCGTCTCGCGTCGCACTGTCACCAACACCAAACATGATATGTTTTGTCCAGGAATCAGTTCTCTCTCAGATGGACGAATTGTAATCACTGGAGGTAAGGAAGTACGAAAAGACACACTGGATTTACCCGGCTGATTTAAATAGGTGAGAATGCAGAGGCAGTGAGCATTTACAATCCAGCCACGAATGCGTTCTCCCGAGCTGCCGACATGAAAATTGCGCGCGGCTACCAGACTTCAGCAACTTTGTCTGACGGACGAATTTTCACCATAGGCGGCTCGTTCACTGGACCTTTAGGCGGCAAAACTGGTGAAGTATATAATCCGACGAACAACCAATGGACATTATTGCAAGGCACAGACCCAGGGCCCCTTTTAACCAAAGACCGAGAAGGTATTTGGCGGGAAGACAATCACGCTTGGTTGTTCGGCTGGCGCAATGGATCTGTCTTTCAAGCAGGTCCTAGTAAGACCATGCACTGGTACTACACTGCAAACCAGGGTTCAGTAGCACCCGCAGGAACAAGGACGACCGAGATGGATCAGGTCAGTCTGATCACAGTCTCTCAAGAGCAAACTTACTGACTGAATATAGATGTGCGGTGTCAACGTTATGTATGACGTGGGTAAGATCCTTTCTGCGGGTGGCAGCCAAGATTACACAGATAGCGCTGCCACAAAGTCTGCTCACCTCATTTCCATCACTGATCCTGGCGTTCCGGCAACAGTCGAGAAGGTTCAAGATATGGCATGGGCCCGTGGCTTCGCAAACGGTGTCGTCCTTCCTGACGGGAAAGTCATTGTCACCGGTGGGCAGCTGCGTTCTCAAGTCTTCACTGATGTTGACTCTGTTCTGGTACCAGAGATGTTTGATCCATCAACAAAGTCATGGACGCAGCTCGCACCCGCAGCAGTGCCTCGAAATTACCACTCTGTGAGCATTCTGCTGCCAGACGGCACTGTGTTTGTTGGAGGTAAGCTGCATGGTCTTCAAGCTAGCCTGTTTCAGGAATTAACGATCTCTCAGGCGGAGGTATGTGTCCAGCGGCACAAGGCGACAACCTTGACTGGTGCGATCGTGCAAAAGATCATTTCGATGGAGAGGTACGTATGATCTGAGACTGGAAGGCAACACATCTAACATGTTTAGGTCTTCTCGCCCCCGTATCTCTTCACTGCAGCGGGCACGCTTGCTCCACGCCCGACCATTTCGTCTATCTCGGCTTCGAAGCTCATTGTCGGTGCCACAGTCACTGTGTCTCTTGCAAACAACGTAGCGGATGCGACTTTTGTCATGGTGAGGATGGGCAGCGCGACACACAGCATCAATTCTGATCAGCGCCGCGTCCCAATCACGAACGCCCAGAGGAACAGTGCCGGGGCTTACACACTTCGTCTCCCTAATGACTATGGCGTAATGATTCCTGGCCCATGGTACCTCTTCGCGATGACCAAGAATGGTGTCCCCAGCGTTGCAAGGACCATCTATGTGCAGAAGTAAGCTCCGCGCACCCGAAGCATGTGTTGTATTGTGTTGCGTTCTTACCACGATTAATTGACGCTATTAAACAAGAAATCAGAACGAAGTAAAATGTACCACACTCTGTAATGCATGGAATGCTATGTCAAAGCTCCTATCGTCTCTTCAAAATAACCATCAATCTGCTGAACTTCTGTGCACCCACCCACCTGCACCACTCGTCTAGGCGCTACTTAGCCCGCAACATGTTTGTTAACACTGCACAGTCGAGTTGCGGTCTTAAGGGCTAGCGAAGGTAGCTTCTATCGAGCTCACTTGTCAATAAGCCGGAGGAGACTTGAAAGCGTCTATATAGTCGGGGATATAATTACAGTGAATGTCATTCTTAGATCGCGGTCTGTCTTTTATGCTCGTGATGTAGGCCAAGAGTTTTGACATGTCTATTTCAATTTCGATGTAGGTGAGAAAGGATAGTTCATACTTTGTATGACCAATCTCATCACCGCTCATTCCTCAAGTGAGTCGCTACACTCTGCAAGTGTCATGGGATTCGCTTCAGCGCTGATTGAGAGGCCAATCCGATATCCTACACTACTTCACCAAGCGATATGTGAGGCGCCATGTCTCCTGATTTTGCCGCTATCAGGTCTATAGCGCCACCTCCTGGGATACGACGGGATGAAGGTGGATCTTCATACAAGTCGAGAAGTGAAAGGCGATCTTGCCATAGCTTGATGGCAGCCTCAAATCGTTTTCTCCGTCTGGGCTTATATTTCCTGCTTTCGAATTCGAAGGTGAAGATCCCTGACGGTCGTTTGTTGGAGTTGCTCCTACGCAGGAAGGACATTCTTCGGACTTTTCGAGTCGGGTTTACGGTCGCCGCGCGGACGTCTACATGGCGAGTCCATTGCTGTCCGCATATGAGACTCGCTTCTCGATTTAGAGCACTCTGAGGATTTGTGAAAGATACTTCCATCAAAAACCGAGGTGTCGGGCGTTTGACGGTAGCCAGATTATTCATGAAAGGAGGCCGTGTGTGGTTCATGTCGTCTGGCGGAATCTGCGCAGTCGCTGCATACGTAAAAGGGAAAGATTCTGGGGACCGGGGAAGGCACTGGTATGGAGAGTCATAGAAGTGGTGGTGATTTCGAATAGTTTTCGGCATGGTTTGTCTGAATATGCTGGTTTATCGACTTGAACAGCATCAGCAGATGTTTTGGCCTGGTTTGGAACACATTTCTAGCATTCTGTGACGTGCTATTCCAGTCTAAAAGAACATTATTAAGCGGTACCCAAGAGGCATGTAAGTTGACGTAGCCAGGCGTTGTGTGTGAAGTTTAACGAGGCTGTTAAATGTAAAGCAGCCCCCTCAAAACGTACAGCGACTGATCTAGGGGTTACGAACGACTTCTAGGGAGAAGCCGCGGCGAGCACTGTCGCTCCATCCTGTGGGCAGCAGTTCGACGGTATGAATTTGCGTGCTGTAATCTCGATTCGCGTTCATTATTCGAAGTATTCTTGTACATCGTTCATGGTAGCTTTCAAAGGGCGTGACTCGTCACATTCCATTCCGTCGTGACCATTACATTGTCTTTCGCATCGTGAGGCCCTGTCGAGCCAGCTGGTGGCGAAGAGGTTCGCGACGGATTCCTCGCTCCTTGGAAGACTAGCTCCAGTTCATCGTCACTGATTCGGCCACCTTGCACGTGCGATCTGGACGTTCCGAGGTTGCTTTGCGGCTTCGAGGAGCCAGCATGATGCATATATCCGTTTGTGCTGTGAGGGTAGGAAGAATTGTTCGGCGAATTGCGAATGACCAGGACTTTCAAGGATGGTAACGATACGACGATGACTCCTGTGCACATTTCGGCTGTACACCAAAGGTCTGATGTGTGTCAGTAGAAAATTTGGGATTCGTAGAAGTGAGAGGTACGTACTTCCAGATGCGTCATCGACACTGTAGTCACTAACCGTGTATACGATGAAGCGTGCCAGACTTATGACAATGGTGATTAACCCAAGCGAAAATACTCCGCAGAGAGCTATTTTCTGGTGAGTACGTAGTTTGAGGCAATTTATGATGAAGAATGGAAGGATGAATACTGCATCGGAGTCAGCAGCTCTTCTTTACAGGTATGTAGTATCAACATACAAAGCATATCTGTGGACCAGTTTAGAATCCAGTTACTTCGGAAGGCTGTATATGAGTTCCATGTGGAATTCAATTGGTTTTCAAGCGACCTAGTTTGCAAACATCAGTCCTCCATCCATGTTCATCGAGCGAACAACTCACCAATTGTCCGAGATGTGCGGTGCAATTAATGTATCGGTCAATAAAGTCCCAAGAAAGCAACATCCCACATAAGCAGCAGCCACATAGACAGCGACCCGAAGGCGTCGGAAGCCAAGCGGGATCAACCACCAATAGAATGCGACCAGCGATACCTTCGGGAAATAGATTCCAAAATCGAAGAAGTAGCACATGACGAAAACTGTCTGAACGTAAAGTTTGTTAGCCCTCGTTATTACAGTTTGTTGTGATCTTGCGCACCTCCAGGTAGCCCACCGAGTCAGTCACAAGGTCAGGCTCGACCAGCGGATGACTGATCTGAATATTCAAAGAGACAATCGATCCTATAGAAAAACCAAGAGTGCCGAGCCATCCTCCCCAGACGAGCCAGTCCGGGATGGTCAGTGTACGGCGTTCGAGGATCAAGCGGATGTAGCATCGTAGGAGAGTGGTAGCGAACGCGATCACTACCAGCACGAGTTGTATCGCCTGCGATAGCATCCTGTCAGCATTCCGAACTACATTTTAGAACTCAAAGACTTACAATTGACGTTACGATCTGCATCTCGCCTGCAGTTGCGCACTCACACACATATACACATCGAACCGTGCTTCAAGACGACGTGGATCTGCGAGCAGGCCTAGATATTACGAGAGGGAAATCACCGACGTTATTATGCTGGCGGCCGAATTGTGGGAAAGGGATGCGTCGGTATTAAGCGCACCTTTCTCCTGAGACAGACAAAGAATAGTATGGCCGATACGTCCGCAGTCCCATATGCGCTACGTCCCGCGTAGCAACGACCATGACTTACGTAGCTCACGGGACGAGCCCAACATGCAGCAATCATATCAGCTCAGCGACCTTTGCATTGCCACTCGGCACCAGCTGTTGGCCATGGGTGCTCGCAAAGTATGTCAACCTTCGAAAGCGGGTCTCAGAGAGAAAGTGCGAATGGCAAGTTCGGGGTTCGCGATTCGCCTCATCAAGTGACACCATGGGGAAACAGCAGTCGTTACTGAGTGGAAACATGTACATGTTGGTGTCCTGCCGCAAGTAAATTGGGTATCAAAGTGACTGAGTCGCTTCCTGCGATACCATCCCAGCCACGAACACGCGGTTGGTTCCACCGAACCATCACGACCGCAATGCATGGCAATGCGCATGGCATGTGCTTCAGGTCTGGCATGCGCTCGATCCGCCCATTGGCGGGCCGTGTGATCGCGCCGGAGGTCTTGCCCCTGCAGGGGAAGCTGTCAGCGGCCAGCTAGTCAGCGAGCTGGCAGGTGTAGCGACCGGAGTTTCCTGCGAGAGTTGCCTAGACGTTGTAGTCCTTTTGTAGCAAGGTCGGTAATACATGTTGAGGGCCCAACCCTACGCGCCAAGGATCCGTCGGTCCAGCCTCTGGCGCCACAGCTGTCGTCCCTGCGGACACGCACATCCCGATCTGAACGAGCGGGAAACAGCGTCTTGGCAAAGAACACCAAACAGTTTCCAGACGATCTTCCGGTCCCTACTCCTTGGGCTTGTCAGGATGTGATAGGGTTAGTTTTTGGGACTAAGGTCACTACAGATACGTATAAGGGCTCATAGATTAAGACGTATAGTTATATCACGATTTGGCCCTGATGCATAGGTTCAAAGTTGGTGCAGGAAAAGGTGCGTGAATGTGGAGGAGATGAGGGTGTGCGCGGCGGGTTCGCAGGATCATCCTGTGGGCGCCCGCAGCAGATTGACACCTGAACATAGCTAGCGCGCCCGCTTCCGCCTTGGATGTAGGCAGATCAAGCAAATTGAGGATTTCCATCTCTACACGACAGCACTGTAGCTGACATCTAATTCCGTCGAACATTGGCTTCCTAGGCTACAGGTAATTCAATCTCTTGCAACACTGACGTATGCAAGTTCTCATCCCAATGGATCGAGAGGTCGTCACCCCGGTGGCTTTGAAGCTGTTTGGCTATAGCCTCCACGACCCTCTTCGAAGCGTGCTCTCCACGATCCTCTGCAAATTGCAATGCGCGCTCATATTGAGTGCGCCACTTGTGTACAGGACGCCACCGAGTGAAGTGATATATCGTTGACTTGACCATCCCATCCGGTTCCGAGGATTCGTCAATCTCTTCTTCAATTTCAAGTTCCAGTTGTGCACCATGTTGTACGAGAAAATGCATCATATCCGGCCGACACCACTCTGCTGCTGCTTCGAAGGCTGTGCGGCCTGGGCCCCTGGCCGGAGGATGGTTAACGTCGGCACCATGTTCAATCAAGAGTGCAGCGATTCCAAGATGGCCACTCATGGCAGCCAGTTGCAATGCCGTTGCACCTCCATATCGCGGTGCAGCATCAACTATGGCCCCCTGACTGATGAAGTATTGCGCCATCTCAAAGTCGCCAATTTCTGCAGCTCTCTGCAACGGGGTTCTTAATACGCCCATCGTCGACTCACGGTTGACATTTGCTCCTCTCTCAACCAGAAACTGTACCATTGTGAAGTCTCCGACATCAATGGCAACGAGAAGGGCTGTCATACGCGACAGAACACTGTTTTCGGCGGTTCGAGGGGTGTGTTCGTGCAGTCCGTCAAAAGCGACTATAGCATTGGGATTTCCACCGTTCTCTATCAGGATCCCAACAGCAACGCAATCTTTTCGAAATATTGCCTCACCGAGCGGGTCTAGATAGTTGAGACATCCTTCCCATTGGAACACCCCCTCCAAGCCATGTATGTCCGTCGCTTTGGCCAGTACACCGACAAGTTCGTGGTTCTTGTCGCGAATGGCGCAGCGCAAAGCGGCACTTCCATATTGTTTGATTGGTCCGGTGGGCATCGGACAGCTCACTTGCAGAAGTATTCTGATTGTCGCCATCTGCGCCTTGGTCTTGACTGCGTGTAAAAGTGCATCAGAATCACGATACACAAGCCTTTGTGAGAGTAGGTAACCGATCATAGTTACATCGTTGAGTTGGGTTGCGACCTCAATGAGAGACGGAAGGCGTATGTCATACTCGCCTGTAGTGTTAGGATTGAGAAGCTTGCTTTTCTGACTTGACAAGGTCTGCAGCTCCAGGATATCCATGTCTTCGTTTCTCGCAACAAGAATGCCCTCTATCGCCAAGTCATGTTGTTGTAGCCAGTCGAGAAATGCTGTGTCACGCTTGTGAATAGCATGATAGCTCATAACCCGGAGCACAATCTGTTGAGTCTCGAGACGGGACAAGTCCAAACAGCATGGGAACTGGCGGCAAGACTTGTGCGGGATTTTATGATACAGAATATCTTCCAGGTCATCATAGGTGTATTCCCTGTTCAGCTTCTGAATAATTTCGGTCCAGTGTGACTGCTCACAGAGAAGTGTGCTGATTGCTTGCACTTTGCTATCTGCCAACAGATCGATGATCCTATCATTGCCAAAATATGTGGCTAATAGGGCGGTAGCATTGTGGCAATTGTTTTCTATTGCTGTGTCAAATGCATCCCACGGGTCCACTTCCTCCTCCATATCAAACAATGCTTCGATCTCATCGAGGTCCTCAAGGATCACTGCATCGCTCATTTGCTCTTCAGCTCTCCTCCAAACATCGTAATTGGAGTATGGCTGACCGACAATTGCCGGTTTGGCCTCGGAAACAGCCTGGTATGCTCGCTTCCAGTCTCGGTCGCTGCAGGCTTGCATTACTGTGTTGTTGAGATCAAAATCGGTTTGAGAGTAATGCAAAAAGCAGGCCAATTGATAACTAGTATCGTAGATAGCTTCAATTAACCACTCATAAGCGCGATCGAGTGCAGCTTGGAATGCATTGACCAGGGCACAACAAGTCGCTGCGGCGTCGTGGTCTGTCCACATGTCTTGAGTAAGCTGTTGGTGGAAATGTCGTTTCAAAGAGGAGAGAATCCAATTGAGCAATGTGTTGTCTCGCAGAGATCCATATTGTGAGATACTCTGTGTGGCTGTGGCGAGTAACCCTCTTTCGATCCATACGAGGATGTCGCTCTCTTCGAGTCTGATTAGTTCTTCTAGAGTTGCTCGAGTATGCCACCGCACAAAGAAGCACGGTTCTGTGAGACTTGCACCGGCTTCGATAGGGATCTGCATCAGAGCCACAAATTTAAGAAGACGTAGGTCGTTGGACTTGCACCCCGAGAAAATGCTCAGAAGCCGGCTCAAGACTATATCTTGTTCACGACTCACTCGAGAAGCGTATCGGACGATAATCGGAGCGACAATTTCGTCACAAGTCTTTAGCCTATCCAGTACAGCAAAGACCTCAGCTTCTGCGCGAAATGTGCTCACACATAAACTTTGCTCAAGCTCGAGTAAGGCTTGCACAGTGTCTGGTTTACTATACCTCAAAGCAGCTTCCCGTAGTCTTTGGCGGACAATATCTACGGTCTCTGTTGGTAAAGCCTTGAAGAATTTCGATACAGCTTGTCTTGGTAGCGTTATCAACAGATGAAAGACATCGCCTTGGGTTCGGTTTTTGGCATGAGTAACACCGTTGATGATGGACGAAACCAAGTGCTGAAGCAGAAGGGGAGTTGTAGCGGTAGCAACCGTGAGCGGGGTCTGGTTCTGCGAGTAGAACATAGCGTTCAGCTGGTTTAGATCCGGTCTCCAGGCGTGGACGATTTGGTGATCATGGCCCACGAGCTTGGTCAGCTTCGTCCAGTCCAGCCAAAAGCTCCAAGAGAAAGGGCTTATTACACTCGTATCTAGGAAGACATGAGATCTGGAGCCAAGGATCATCTGAGATGGTGCAGTTCTAACAAGTGCATCATCTGTTATGGGGTTGACGTTCGATTCGTTGATTCGCATGTGGTTCGAGACCAGAGACGACAGCTGTTCCACTGGGTTCGGCACATATGTAGTATCACATGGCCGGTACTCGAAGGTCTCGGGCAATGGACTCAGGTCTAAAATGATCAGCGATGGAGGTATCGGGCTTTTTTTCATCACTAATCACCTCCAGGACGACTTTCCGAGGCAAAGCCGTAACGTTCCCACTCTCTTGATTTTTGTTCAGAGGTAAGAAGTCGACCGTTGAAGAATACTTCATAGTCCTCTCTTGCTTGTCTTCGGTCGGCGTTGTCCCAGTACAATTTCCGCCACTCGTTCTTTGTGACATTCTTGCGTATGTTCCATTTCTTGACAAATCGATTGTGATACTGCGCAGCTGTGGCATGAAATTTGTGCCTGTCCCCCATGATCTTCACAATCTCATCCAGCTTTCTTCCGTCATCTCCATCTTCCAACCAGAGATGGATGATGCGATCGCGGTTGCACTCCCACTGCGCATCTGGGATTTTACGTCCTCGGTGTTTGTTCGAAGGTTTGCTCACTCTGTTCGACATCCTGGTTCTGATGACGGCTGACGAACTCGAAGAGGGGACTGCGCCTACTTATACTGCAGCTGAGAGCAGGCAAGGCTGAAACGAGCGGCATGGCTGCGTCACCGGTGTATTACGGGGCGCCTGGGCCTCAAAAGCGACATGCGCGGCTTAGCACACGATATTGTAGCCTTCCAGACAGTATGACACGCCTCTCGAATTGCCGCATCTGGTTTGGGAGGTGGTGCGGTCCGTAGAGTGTTGGCAGATAGCGAGCGACCTAAACGGAACGAGCCAATCAGCAACCAACCAGCCAGAATCGTAAATCTGTACCCAAGCCGTTGACCACAGCCTCGCTCGTACAGAATCGCAATTATACAGAGCACAGACGGAGGTTACTTGTAGCTTGTTGACTAGTGACGCGTGTAGATAGCAGGCGATAGCCAATAAGTCACAATCCTAATTTTGCCCTGCGTCCAAGTGCTCTTTTACAGAATCATAAATCACACAGCCAATCAGACACCGCGACCAGGGTCACAGCCATCCTCCAAAATCGCATTTCAAAATCGTAAACAAAATCACAAAATGCTCCTGCGCCCCTTTGCCTTGTATCATGTTTGACCAGAATCGTAAAATGAGATACATAATCTCACCCAAAGTGTGGCACCCTCCGTCGTCAGTTCGGTTCCAAACTTCCAACACTATGACTTGGTCCGTCGAAGCTATCATCGCCTTCATTACACTAGCGGCCACGTGCATTCCATTAGGAGTTCTACTTTGGCGCTTGCAGTGTAGAAACCGTCGCGTTCAGGACGATGGTACGCAATACGTTGCTACACAGTTACACCCTTCTGATAACCCGCCAGATGTTGAAGATGTCGAGGATGTCGCCCCAGCCCGAGGCTACCCGCAGTATTTTCCTCGAACGGAATCTTTCATCATTCTGCAGGCAGTAGTTCTTGGTATGTTTGAACTACATCCTTCGCATGTTGTGCTAATCACTTCGCAGTCCGATAGTTATGGACCCGGATGCCGTCACTTTGCGCTTCACTCGTGTTTGCAGACCAGGTGCTTTGTTCCACGCAAGAGCAAGGAGGATGACGATCGAAAAGAGTAACAAGCGTTTCAGGTTTTGGGTTAATTCAGTAGAACACCGTAAAGAGGAAACACTAGAACACCGCGGTGTTCTATAGATGTACAATAACTAGATCAATTTTATGTTTTCTACAAATGCCTCTAGCAATATCTGGAGACTTGCACGTACAGAGAGAAAATTGCTTGCAGCCGCCTGGAACGAGTACAAAAAGTAACTAATGTGCCTGTGTGCTAGTGATCAATGAGCATCATCATGAACTTTCGAAGGTCGTGCCACATGAGAAAGATGGCGACTCATTGCTGATTTCTCTTCGGAGGTGTTGCACAAACCGTTTTGAGGCCATCTCACCTCGCCGCTCTGCAAAGACGAGAGCCCTTTCATACTGTGTTCCAAAGACCTCACAACTCTCTCTTCTGTTTTTGTCACCGTATCCAGCTTGATATGCTCGTGTCCAGTCGATACTAGCACTGGAAGCAGTATGCAATAGCTCCGGCCGCGAGACTAAGTCAAGATCTGCACCCCAGCGCACCAGCAAAGTCATCATATCGACTCTGCCCCATTCAGCAGCTCCCTCAAAGGCTGTTCTTCCATCTCCTTCCGCAGGTAGGTGGTTGACGTCGGCGCCATGTTCTAGCAAGAGCTCTGCTACGCCGGTAAAGCCACTAATTGCAGCTAATTGCAGTGGAGTTCCCCCAGAGTAGAACGGCGCGCTGTCAACAGAGACATCCTTCGAGAGCAAGAAGCGGACGATTTCAAATCTGCCTAGCTCCGCAGCGCTTTGTAGGGGCGTCCGGAGAAGACCAAGTCTTGGGCCGTGATCGAGAGCTGCTCCAGCGTTCGCAAGGAGCTCAAACATCTGCAAGTCACCTACAAACACAGCCGCTAGCATCGGTGTCAACCGAGTAAGTAAACTATCGTTCATTCCACACCAGGCGACGAGTGCCTCCAACTGGACCCCGAAATTAATAAGTAACTGGGCCGATTCCTTGCAGTGGCATCTGATTGCTTCGCCTAACGGGCTACACGGGTGATCATTAGGAGTACCGTCGGTATCCATTCCATGTATATCGATATGCTTCGCTAAGAGACTAACGAGGGCGTGATCTTTTTGGCGAATAGCTTCTCTCATCGCACCGACTCCATACTGCTGTTTTTTGCCACTGCCCGCTGCAGACAGCAGCATCTGAATGGTGGAAGTATCTGCTCTTGCCCCCACTGCTGCCCTCAAAGCATCCGAATTCACAGGATCCGCACCGCCTGTAACGAGTATTTGAATACACTATGGGCAGTTGCGTTTCGCAACAATGGCGAGGAGTGAGGGGAAAGTATAATCGTCAAAGTCGGCTGGATGTGCTAGCACGCCCGAAAAATTACTGCTAGCTATCAAAAGTCTAGGTTCGGGAGTGCTAGATCCGAGGAATCGCAGTGCGTTTGTTTCTAGTCCGTTCTTCATCAACCATTCCATCATATCACGATCATTTGTATGGATAGCGTGGTAAGAAAGCGCACGTAAGACCAGTTGAAGTCGGCTTGGAGCGTCAAGTCGTCCAAATCTGGGCAAGTGGTCGTCATAGTCTGAAGCTGTGTGGGAACGATACAGAAGATTCTCTAGCATCGAAAAATTTCGATGATAGCCTGGCTTTCCCACCGCTCCTGCAAACTGCTCATCCAAAGTAATCAGCATACCAACTGCCAAAGTTTGGCCGTAAGCAAGCAGATGGTGTAGCACACTCGCAAATTCTGTTCTTGAAAACCTTGGCCGTGTCAGTATTACCGCAACGACGACATCGTCCCGCTCGAATCTCAGTGCTTTGTTGCAAACATATTGCAAAATGGACGAACTGTACTGTCTCCAGTCACCTTCTTCTGCGATGGCGGCATCGAAACCGACTCGTGTGTCTGCAGAAATAACCCGCCTGTAAAGATCGTCATGTGTATCTGGTGGCAGAGGGCTTGGTGGATCTCCCGGCTCGTCTATCATTCGACGCACATGACTCCAATCACCGGTAGCACAACTTTCGTCGATTGCGAACTTCATGGTATCTGTATATGTCTTTGACGCAAGAGGAGGCTGTAGTTGAAGCCCAGCTAAGTGAATAAGTTCCACAGCCCAAAATTCTTGTCTGTCAACGTCGAGGGCGAGCTCCATAGCTGCTGAGAGGGCGACGCGAAGCTCTGGTGTAGATTTGTCGACGTTCTTGAAGCCACTACCCAGTAAGTAGGTAACAATACGCTTAGTTCGTCGCATAGCGAAATTTAAGCGGTTTAGATACGATCTTCTATGATAGTCAAGATCGTCAAGGGCCCACTTTACCAGCCCCTCCTCTAGCAGTGCAAGCGTGTTACCCCTGGAGAAAAGAAGATCCAGCGTAGCACAAGTAGCCAGGTGAAAGCATCCAACTGTGGCGTTTGCTCCCTTCGCGAGTGGTATTTGCATCAAGTCCGCCCATTTTTTCCGGCCAAAAGCCCCCAAGCTGGGGAGGTCGAAGCGTTGCAAGTCGGACCCGTTTACGATGTTCTGAAGCAGGTCTTGAAGTCCTAGTTCACACTCAATCTGCGAGAGGTGTGTAACGATTGTCTTGGCGAGAGAAAATTGCCGAAGCTCGAGTGCTCTGTGCAAAGGCGAAACAGTGTCGTGTACACTCATGGCACCCACGAATATTTTCTCGTGAACGTCGTAGCCAAGCTCGAGCATGGCCTGAACCGTGATCTCATCTTCACGCTCCATTGCTGCCTTGAACACTTGCTGCCTGAGTACATCTTGCAATGGTGGTGACAGTGCTTTGAAGAATCTTCTCAGAGTAGGAAGAGGTAGCGATCCGAGCCACCCATGTACTCGGCTGATGTTAAAGTCACTCGCTTTGTCGAGATTGTTCAGAATTGTTACAATGACACGGCTAAACTCGGCGATGGCACGACTGCCATCGAAAAAATTCTCAAGGGCTGTTGTAGGCGCATAGAACATGTTGTCTGAACGGACCGTGGATGGTTTGATGAGATCTGACTGAGAGGAGAGCTGTGACACCATCTTCCAATCCAGCGATGGCAGCCAATGGAATGGTTGATATTCTAGTCTGACAGGAAAACACATGGGGTGCATCCAGGCCATTGAATAAAGCATCGACACATTCCCTGCAGCTACGATTGGAGGTGGCCACTCATGTTGCAGAGTAGAGGCATATAATTCGACGTCCATAAAAGTGAAATCGTAAGGAAGTATCTCTGGCTCCGTGGGAACAAAGGGTGTAGCAACTGTGACATCTCCGAGTTCTTGAGATTCGTGACCTGACCAAACATTGGCCTCTTGCACATATTGATCGGATGGCGGACGTGCGGGCAACATCTGGTTGGCTGTTGAATTAGCGTATCTTGCCAATTCCCGCGCAACCCTTTCTGGTGAGATGAGGTTGCCCTGAAATCTGACCTCTGTTTCTTTACCTTCCGCACTTCGTTGCGCCAGGATTCGAGCAACTGTGCACCACTGTTGCTTCTTGATGTTTTTCCTCTTTCCCCATTTGCTAATCCGATACTCATATTGAGATTTGCTTGGGGTCGTCAGCTGTGTATCTTAGTAGTGGAAGGTTTGCTTACTTGGCGTGAAAGCCGTAGTTTCTCTCCATGTACGACATAACGCCCTCTGGTCCATCGATACTCCTCCTCTCTTCCACGTAAAGTCGCTCGATGGTGGACTGATGGCGACCCCATGATGATTTGTTGGTGCTAGGGGCTCTGCTTTTGCTCATTTTCTTGCGTCAAACCTGCCCTCCTTCTCAGAGAAGCAAGGAGGAGCAGAAATTCTCAAAAATGATGCCTTTGCCGATTTGATGGAGAAACATGTATGAGATGTAAGTCGACAGGCAAGACTTGCGGCTTGTCATAACATGAACAAATGACCGAGCTAGGCACAAAGACGTGCGCAGTTTCTTCGGACGATCTTCTCTGCTGAGGTCGTGATGCAGAGTGGGTGTCGGGCCATGTCAGTGTCGGTGCACATAGCGAATATATAGCAGAGCAGTGTCGCTCAGCCTCGTCGCTGATAAGCTCAGCATGAGGGCGATTGAAGATTGGCCAATCAAGCAAAACCTGAATTTCTCGCCAGCATCTGTGTCAGCAAGCATGACCATTGGAGTTCGAGTGTTCAGCCTTGCAGCAATGCCAACGTGTACAGCAGCCACGTGCATACCACCAATCAATCAAAACCAGACAAACTCTTCCAAGGCTGTGCCCTTCGCAGAACCCGAAAATGCAGATAGGGGTTGTCGCAAAATCTGAATTTTGCAAAACCGGATCAAGCAGGACTGGGTATATGCAAAACCCATAACTAAGCGCAAGAGGAAGAGTCTCAGGCGATACAAGTCTTGCGGCTTCCTACGAGCTCGTGCTGGGACCCTCCATCGGAAGTGTAAATTTGAGACAGTCAGAACTTTCTCTTCAACAATTCACTTGAAATACTACTGTGAGGAACAGCACGTCACCCACGCTTTTGCATCGCGTGTCGCGATGCCATAGCGCCTCTTCCAACACGCTCGACGTGGCCAATCCGGTGCAATGCGTGCCCAACGAAACTCACCATGTAGACGCATCAGATCAGCTCGGCAACCACCCAAAACCCCTCGCCCAGCAGCCACCGGTGAGCCCTCGCTAAGCAAGTGGCTGCGCTGAAGGACTCGCTTCAGCCGCCACATGTATCCCGTTGGCCAACGTGTCCAGGGGTCTGCAACGAGCTGCGGAAGCTTGGTTTCGGTGGTTCTGTCTTGCTGGCAGCTTTTCTGGACGGCGGGCGCGGGAAATTCGGGTTTTGAAGCACGCGGCTGTTGGAGAGAGCGTGAGGTGTTGACGCGTCGGGCGTCGGGGTTCCGGTGCGCTTTGCCGGAAGTGGTGATAGGACAAGGTAGCACTTTCGACATCTTTGAATTCGAGATATCAGAGTCTCATAAGCTATTTAGGTTGGTCTCTGAGATTGAATGGGTGAATGATCGGGATACTGTGGCTGTCACATGATGGATACAGGGAACCTGCCGACGACTCTTCGAGGCAGAAGCAATCTGTACAATTCCAAATCAGTGTCTACTTCCCTACAGCACGAGAAGAGCACCAGGAACTTCAAATAATCATGATTTCTACAATCCACCTTTTACCTTCCTACACCTTCCTACACCTTCCTCCGCACCAGACCCCTGAAAAAGTCAAAGCTGTTACTATCGCTCTGCAGACTAACTACCTTGCCCGTCGGGCGATCCTGCCAGCCCAGCTCCTCCGCAAGAAGCAACCCCCAATCCCTTGTGATACCCTTAATGCGCGCCTTGATGCCTCCCTCGCTCTCCAGCTCCACAATCTGATCGGTGTGCAGCCATGCGCGGTAGTACTGCTCTTCCATATCACGATTGAAGCCCGTGGTGCAGAAGTTACTATACAGTGACTCGAAGGAAGCGAGAATGCTGGCGAGGAGTTTCTCCTGGGTAAAAGGCTTGAGCGGCGGGGTTTGGCTGGCGGCGAGCTGGTTGAGGGACGTTGTGGGGAGGGCGTTGGAAAGGTTCAGACCAATGCCACAGACGACGTCGTAGGAAGTGCCGGAGTAGCTGCTGTTCACCAGGATGCCGCCGATCTTCACGACGGGGTTGTTGCTGCTCCCTGGAAGTTGAGCGTAGATGTCGTTTGGCCATTTCAGCTTGACTGGGATCTTCTCGTAGCCTGGTGCATAGTCCTGAATGCCTTGGACGATGGCTAGAGCGGCGAGATACTGGACGAAGATGACCGGAGCTGATTGCGAGAGAGCGAAGCTGTGGTGCAGGACGGTGCTGAACATCATTGCGCCTGGCGGCGCGACCCAAACATTTGAGCCACGTCCACGACCGGCAATCTGCGTTGTTGCTGTTACCGTGAAGCCATTCGGGAGGCTGCGGAGGAGAGCCGGGTTCTTATCGAGAAGGGTGTTGGTGCTCGTGACTACCTCGCCATAGATGAGAGCCGAGCCGAAAGATGCGGAGGGGTTACGAAGCTTAGTGTGGTAGTGATGCAGGTTGGCATAGAAGGCTTCGTGATGGAATGGCGTTTCGCGGCTTGTAGGGACACCTTCCTTATGAGGAACGATTGTCTTGACTACTTTATCGTAGGAGAGGATTTGGTCGAAGGCCGAGTTGGCTGTGTACTTGACACATTCCTGAATCTCTTCTTCCTTAGTTTTCGGCTTCTTTTTATCGTCAGCTGCCTCGGTTGCAAATTTTTCCCCTTCCTTGTCCTGTGTTGACGCCAATGTTGGCAGCTTCTCCGAAACCGCACTCACGGCTCGTTTCAATTCTTTAACACCCCAAACACTGCCCTGTTTTTCGATGTGGAACACATCATTCCCGCCATGGATGTAGTCCTCACCGTCGACTACAGTGATGACTTCGGCCCAAGACGCGACAAGATCCGCGACGGCTGTCGGTTTGTGAGAGGTGAGATGCAGGCGGGACAGGGATGGTACCGCTTGTTCCTCTTCGTTGACATTCAAACCCAACTTGCGTAGCATCATTCCCAAGAATGCAATACGGTTTGCATCTGTCTTAGTAATGGCATCAATTAACGACGCATAAGAAGGAAGACTGGGGATTTGGGTTAAGTTTTGTGGCGCAAACCTACAGCGCTTCGTCAGTACACGTCTCAAAACACGCGTTCGATGCTTACTCAGGGTGCGGGCCAGTGACTATGGCATGGCCTTCACCAACTTTTCGATACACAACTGCAGCCTTACTCTCACCAGATTCAACGTGTAGGTCTTCCGTGTAAGTGGCCAGGACTTGCACGCCTCTTGACTCAAGCTTGCTCGCATCGACAAACACTCCACCGCCATTGTAATAGCACTTGAAGGAGTCGGCAGTCTTTTCTCCTACACCGTCGAATGCGGCCTTCTCGATCTTGATATCTGCCGCTCTGGCGCCAGCCTCACTGGCATACTTGAACCCTTCAAAAGCCAAGCCTCTACAAACCGCTGGAAAGAAAGCCAGCTCACGATTCCCAACAACTGCCATCGTGGGATCGTCAACTTCGAATTCACATTTTGCGCTGCCATAGTAGCCGCCAGCGCAGAATCCCAGGTATGAGCCGCCAGCATTGACGTAGCGGCTGATACGGCGATTGCCCTCGCCATTCAGCGTGCGGCAGTACCCCAGATCTGCGCCTCCGGGAAAGACTAGCAGTGCGCAAGTGCTGAACCAAGGCTCTTTGATAAGGACGTCACCTGTGACAGGGATTACGGCATATGCTGGGGACAGCAAGCGACGGAGGGTGTAGAGGCAGTGGCGCACAGACTCGGTAGTACTTCCATGTCCTACAGACTGTGAGTAGGAGCTTGAGTTCGAAACTACCTTTGAACATACCGGAATACACCAAGACGTTCAATTTCCTGGTTGCCATAATGATGGTGACGTGACGCTTCGGAGCCGAGATGATCCGATCTTACGCCGTGAAGGTCTGCGCGTAACCTGCTCACCTGGTGAGAGCTACAGCAGACACCCTCCTCGTGCTAGCGTTTTCAGAATGTCCAAAGATACCAAGGCACAAGCTGCCGCCGCGCAATTGATGATTGATGATGAGCCAGATGAGTGGTGCGCACAGATGAGGGTGTTCGTCGAATGCGATGGCTGACCAGTACACAGGGAGAAGCGGATCTTCAGCACAGGCTGCGCGGGTGCGCCAGGCAGCAGTAATTAATGGACCTTGCTGATTCTTCTAGATGAAAATGCGAAACTGACTGACTGCTACTATGAGAAGAAAGATTGGCGAGCGTGCAAAGCGGAGGTGAGTGATGCTGTTCTTGACTGTTGAACCTCGGACGCCGAGATGCTGCCGAGTCATCGCAGACAACGGTTGTTCCCGTTTCCCACAGAGCACTCCAATTGACGCCTGACCGCAGATGGAAATCTTCCGAAAGTGCTGGCAAACACAAGGGAACGACAAGCGCACAGCTTCGAAGGACGTCTAGGCGCCGTGTCAGTGTTTTGGAGGGCTTGCCTCACAGGAACATGCAAGACGCATATTCGAAAAGTACTTTGTGACTGCAGAATGTGCAAGATATTATGTACGCTAGGATCTATGAATGCTCGAGAATGAAAAGAGGCCTAGACAGCACTGACTATGAGTGACCACGCAAATATGAGACTCGGCAAACGGTCGCTGGTCCGATTCTGTCTCATGCACATATCCCCGACCGTAAAAAGCGCTTTCAGATGACCTGGTAGTTTACTTAGGGCCTCAAAACGCATCCACCTTTGAGAGTGAGCTGGCTCACAGCATGTAAGATTACCTTCAAATCACCAATCATTCTTACTTCTGCACATAGATTGGCGGAGTGACATCAGGGTGGTATGGCGACTTCGCGGCATTTGCCTTGTCTTGGTCAAATAGCCAGATACCGTTGGTCAAGGTCTCGTTGGTCTTTTCACCAACATTGGCAGCTAATTGCTCGAAGACTGGCGACTCGTCTGTGCGAGTGAAGAACTTGCGCTCCCACTCCCGTCCACCTGCTTGTTCTTCCTTACGCATCTCGCGCTGGCGGTTCTCAATGATGGATTTTTCAGCGCTGGTCGTGTCCATGTCACCCTTGTTGATGGCGTCAGCCACCTTCTTCCATGCGCGGCGGGACTCGAAGTCGTCTTGCTCGGCGAATGGTGCAACAGAAAGCGGCGTTGTCTTGTTGACGCTCGGGTCGTGTGACGAGAACGTTGACTTGTTCTTAGCATCCTTGATGGCCCACTTGTCAATCCATTGACCTTCGGCGGAGTAGATGACATCTTTCTCCTTTCCTGTAGGGTAGAGGGACGCCGAGAAGCGGTTCTTCTTGCCTGAGACCCATCCTCTGCCGGTGTAGTCGATCTTGGCTGTGTAGCCGGAGGAGGATGTGATGTAAGAGGAGCTGTTCAACTCGACGTATGGAGAGCCTGAGATGAGGCCTTCGATATGTAAAGAGGGGAGGGTGATGAGGTAGTCCTCATCATAGGCATCGATATGGAGGGTCGCGTGGCCGATTTGCTGCCGGAAGGTCAGTTTCTGTCTTCCTCCCTTCCAAATCAAAACCAAAAGAACGCACCTTGACATTAATGGTGCTCGAGAAAGACGCTTTTTGCGCGTTGTAGCCGGTCAGGCGAACACCATGTTGGCTGTTCCAGATGGAGTATGCTGTAACCGGAGGATGGTGGCTACACCATTGTATTAGCAGAGACCAAACAGTATGTTCCAGATTCATACCTGACTTGCTCGCTGACAAGCTGTGTGGTGCCTGCCTGGTCTTCCCACTTGCCCAAGAACAGCTCGCCCAAGAAAGGATTCAGCGGTTTCTTCTCGCTGCCCAGTTTCTCACTTCGACTGGCATATTGCTGTTTCAATGTGCTCAGAAACCACTTAAGTACAAGTGCGGCCCGTTTTGCCGGGTCCTTCTCGGCGGCAGGCGCGACAAATATGGAGGGGTGTTCAGTCCAGTACGAAGAGAACTCGGTGAGAGACGTCGTGGAGAGGATGAAAGCGGGCGCGGTCATGGAAGAAAGATCGCCATTGAAGGACGCGATCGACTACTCCAAGTCAGCGTACATCCTTTCGGAGAAAACAACAAGAATGCGACACTCTAACGTACCTTGAGGAAGCTACCCCATGAGCCCTTTGCCTGCGGAGGCACAGCAGATCCTTCTTTCTCAGCCATTATGTGTAGTGTCGTGCAAAATTAGGGGTCAAGTTATTGTGAATGGCGGTCAACTACGCAGCGGGGTTTGTTCACCGTGTTGTTGTGACGACCAAAGGGGAGAAATGGTGGGTCAAGGCCTGAGCTTATTTGCTCGTAACTAAATGACGTCGCACTCTAAGCCACAATGCGCAATCCATCATGCGCACAATACACGGAAAATCAATGAAGCAAACTGCCACGAATGGGCTGCTGAAACTAAGTGGTATTGCCTTTCGCTATGCTAATTTAAAAGTATCATGGCTCGTACACGCGTCAAGCATCGTACGCAATTATGTCGGGAGGCAACTTGCTTAAGTCTTGACATCAGGCTCAGTACGGCCAATGTACTCATGCAGCTTGAGGAGATCAGTGGCCAGCTTGACGTTGTCCTTCAGGTACTCCTGAGCATCCTGGTCATATGTGGACTCGTCGCTGGTGTGCTTCTCGATGTAGAGACGAATCGTGGCACCGCTGCTGCCAGTACCGGACAGACGGACGACAATGCGGCTGCCATCGTCAAACTTGACGTAGATGCCCTGGTTCTTGCTGACACTGCCATCCAGGTCGGTGTATGAGAAGTCGTCAGCCTCGATGACCTTACGGCCAGCGATGGTAGAGCCGACGAACTCGTCCTTCTTTGTGGTGATCAATTCTGTCATGTGCGCAGTGACCTTGTTGGCGCCCTCAGTCTCGCAGCCCTCGTAGTCGTAGCGGGTGAAGAAAGTACGTCCGTATGTCTTCCAGAAATCCTTCTGAATCGACGCAATGCTGGGTGTGGTGCCAGTCTGCTTTCCAACACCAGCAATGATGTTGAGCCATGCGACAACAGCCCACAGTCCATCCTTCTCACGGATGTGGTTGGAGCCGGTTCCGAAACTCTCCTCACCACAGATGTTCATCTTGTCCGAGTCAAACAGACCGCAGAAGAACTTCCACCCTGTGGGTACCTCGTAGCATTCGACGCCCTGCTTCTTTGCTACCAGATCAATCGCACCCGATGTGGGCATGCTTCGTGCAAGACCGTAAGTACCCTGCTTCTTGAAGTATGGGATGAGTTTGGCGTGGTGAGCAATGATAGCCAGGCTGTCACCAGGTGATACGAACGAGTTCGCGCCGTAGATCATGTTGCGGTCACCATCGCCATCACTGGCAGCACCAAAGTGAACGCCGTTCTTGTCGACAGCATCAACGAGCGACTTGGCGTAGACAAGGTTGGGGTCGGGGTGGTGTCCACCAAAGTCTGGCAGGGGCACGCAGTTCTGAGTGCTGTTGGGAATTCCCAGCTCCTTCTCGAAGATGTCAACACCGTAAGAGCCCGTAACACCGCTCAGTCCGTCGAAGAGAACCTTGAAGTCTGAGTGCTCCTTAAGGAACGACTTGATAAGGTCAAAGTCGAAGATGTCCTTGAGCATCTCGAGGTAGTCTGCAGTTGAGTGGATGATCTCAACTTCGAGATCACCATACTGCTGTGTACCAATCTTGCTGAGGTCGACGTCGGGAATGTCGGCGATCTTGTAGGAGGTAAGAGTCTTGGAGGTTTCGAAGATCTTGTTCGTGACGCTCTCGGGGGCGGGGGCACCGTTGGCCAGGTTGTACTTCATGCCGAAGTCCTCATCGGGGCCTGTGATATAGTCAGCATGCTGAATAGAACTACGCTGGGAATACTTACCGCCGGGGTTGTGACTGGCGGTGAGGAGAATACCACCGGTAGCCTTCCTGATCCTGATGATATGGCTAGCAGCTGGTGTGCTAAGGATACCATCCTGACCGATCAACAGCTTCTTGACGCCGTAGGCTGCACTGATCTTCGCAATCTTCTGTGTGACTTCAGGATTCCAGTAACGACCATCACCGCCAATGACGAGGAAAGCGTCCTGGGCGCCCTCAGGGATCGACTTGAGGATGCTGGTGATGAAGGACTCGGAGTAGTGCTCCTTCTGGAAAACCTTGACCTTCTTGCGAAGACCAGAGCTGGAAATTGTCAGCTTGGTCTCCAGTGAAGCCGTATACTGAGGCTAATGCTAAACGCTGCATGGCAAAGCTTCTTGTGCCAGCTGGATCATGTCATAGCCACAATGTCATCAAACTTCAGCACTTACGTTCCAGGCTTCTGATCTTGAAAAGGCTGAAGCTCGACAGTTTGGACGCTCATGGTGTCTGAGTGTATTTTCTGTGTAGTTTCCGGTAAAAGTGGTGGGATTGAAGCGTTGGTTGTACACCGTGTTTTGAGGTCAAGAGGGGCATCAGGGCACCAGCCAGCTCGCGACTACCCCACTACGGTACGATTGACGTCGTCCAAGCGTCGAATGCCAACCACTAGCAGCTCCTCGGGCAAGGATCCGCGCCATTCAATGCCCTTCAGCTGTCCATCTTCTCAACGCTTTCGTGTCAAGGTTCAACGCCCGTTCCCGAAGACAATCTCACGGCAAGGCTTGAGGCTGTCTAGCCGTTCTCCAGCATTCGGCTCGGCCTGGCCTACGTGCACGGACTGCCGCACAGCCTAGGCGTCGTTTTCCATCCCAACACGAGGAAAATCAATTCGCCTAAAAATCGAGAACCATTCAACACTCGCACATCCTTGTGCAAGATTGCTGTCCGTGGCTTGAGGCTGTACTGCACCATCAATCGTTGCTGTGACTACCTCCACCGTAATGGGCATTCCTGGACTTGCCAGACGCTCTGAACCATACGCAGAATGTCAGTCTGCCCAGCATCTGGAAGGTTACCAGGCAGTTGTCGATGGTCCTTCACTCGCCTACCATGCTCACAAACTGGCACTCTCCGGCTCGCCAAGAGTTCCTTCGTATGCCGATGTCAACAACGAAGCCATTTGCTGGCTGAATTCGCTTGAGGCTGCCAACATCAAGGTGTGAGTGACCATGACTGTTTTTCGAAATATGCCGCTCGGGCGTACTATTTAACGAGACGTATGAAACGTTCTCTACTGGTAAGGTGCATATTCAGTCGCTCTCACGTCTAGCCCGGTGTCGACTGTTTTGCTTTTACAAGTACGGGATAAGAAACGCTCTCTCGACCGGGTTCACATTCAAAATTCTCTGATACTGGGTGTTGGCTAATGAGTGAATGCCAGATCCAAGATTGTATTTGATGGCGCTCTGCCTGCTTCTAAACGGAATGAGCGAGTTCATCGACTAGAGCAGAATAATTCCAGGGTTCGCAATTATCGGGTTCAGTATCCTACATCATCTTGCCCAGTGCCAACATACCTCGGATCGATCTTGCATGCATTCCTGGCTCCTTCGCTAAGAGAGGCTTTGCTCGATACCCCGTTCGCGTCAAGGACCCGTATCGAGCCTGGAGAGGCTGATGATTGGTGCGCTCTGCATGCCAGAGACCATGCTCGCTCGATCATCTTCACGAGTGACACGGACCTGCTTCTCTACAGCTACCCTGCAGAAACCCTTGTCGTCTTCTATCAAGATGCCGATGTCACAACAGGGTTCAAGTCATACTGTCCCGAGCAGATACGCAAGCGACTTCAGCTAGACAGTCTAGCGCAATTCGCATTTGCCATAACTCGAGAACCGTCACATACGTCAGATGACTTGCTTCGCGATGCTCGCGCACAAGATCTGTTATCTGAAACATACCTTGAGTTCAGCGGACGTTATGCTGGGCGGACTATGGTTCCAAGCCACTTTGCAAAAGAGAGTGGTCTACCATTACCGCTTCAGAGCCTGGATGTCAGGATATCCGAGTTTGTACATCAGGCCCTCGAGAACTCGCCAACGCCCCTGGTGTATCTACCCTTGCTCGTCGAGGATCCGAATCAATCCTCCGCGTGGAGTTCAGGCCTTGACTTCCGCAAGGTCGCATACTCGCTCCTCGCTCCAAGTACTTCAATCGTACACGAGTATCGGCGCAAAGCTCAAGGCGTCGCAGTACAAGAGATCGTACCGAGCACAGCAGACTTTTCAACCTCTGATATGTTAGCGCATATTAGTGGTGTCTCGAAATGGGCAGCAGACCGCAGTCTGGCTCCAGGGATGATGTGGCCGCTCTTCGCTCTGAGCATTGTTCTTCTCGATTCCAAAACAACACCATCAACGACTGTTGTTTTACGCATGCTCAATGGTGATTTTGACAACTCTTGGGACTTTATCCATCTTACGGCCCGACTGCAAGCGGTTTTATACTCACTACGCATGCTTCAACAAGTTATTGCTGTTCACCAAGCCATACACGGGACCAATGGTAGTGCCGATGACACACCCCTGCAGTTAACTAAACTACTGGCAAACATGCCATCGATAGCCGAGTTGTTCACGGTCCCAGGACAGTCAAGAAAGCTGCTGGCCGATCACGAGCGACTGAAACTCATGGTCGAGGAGATATACGTTGCTTCTGGAGTTGAGATACCCACTGAGCACATCTCGAACAAGAAGAAAAAGAAACAATCGAAAGAGGCAGAGAGGAAAAAAAAGAAGCAAGAGCAACGCCAGCAGGCCAAGCCTCAGCATTCGAACGTCTTCGCCATGCTCGACGGCAATTAGGGAATTTTTGGGGTTTTTATGCAACATTCAAACTCTAGACGAACGGACTTGCTCAATGATACCCTGTACTCGATGCACACAAAAGTCATCTCCTCTGATCTAACTCCGCATCAAAATGGCCGAATCGTACCCACCTTCAGGCTCCATTGGCTGAACAACCACACGCATTCAGCCCAAACTGATCATCGGACAATGGACTGCTTGCAGAGCACTAGCAATAACATAATCTCGCTTCGTCGCCCCTCTGATCGCCGGCCCCTTGATGGTAGTCAGCCTACGCGTCACGGAGCTTCCTGGCCCCGCCTTCCTGGTAATCGTGGGTCCACAGAAACGAGCGAGGGCGCTGCTCTATGCGCTGCGTATGCTTTAGTCGGTCTGACAGGGAGACAAACGCATGGCTTGGCTGAGCTGGGAAGCAGTTCTGGCATCCCATGGAGTTCTGGCGCCGCGTCTGCGTGTTCGGCTTCAGGGACAAGATTTCCGGGGTCGCATCAGATTGCCTTCATATAGGACAGCGATGGGGGATTGTAGCCGGAAGACTATAGCGGGTTTTCTATGTTGCGATGTATTGATGGGTGTTGTCTACATGTTGGTTTGAAGCTATAAGAAACACTTTGCAAACGTTGCATCAGAGTACAGTCTTGATCTAGCCTCTCTTCTTTTGTTGATAATCTACTCTGGATTATGACAAGCCTAGTAAGACCTTAGCAAAAAATTACACACAGACCCATGAATGCCTTCAATTGGCACTATCACAAACGGGATCTCTTCATGAGAGCGGCTGCAGCATTGCATATCATTGAAGTCAGGTAATAGGACCGGCTTATATTAGGCGTCATACTACATTAAAATACGCTGCTATGACACAGGCCAGGACGAAACTCTTTGTCGCCTTCACTTCTGTCACCTTCACCTCAGGCTGGGTGCTGTGTTCGGACGGGTAGCTACAGCAACGTCGAACGGATGCCTAAACACAACACACTCCCAACTTTTGCCATACACTCGTACTCACAATCACATTGCTCAAACTTCTCACGATGTGCCTGAAGTACTTTGTTCGACACGCGGCGTGTGAGCATCACGAGTATCTCGGAAGCCAGCACTGCTCCAGCACACCCTGCGACCTCAGCAAGCAGCACTTTCACTACCTTGCAGACAACTATCCGATACCCCGGTCTTCAGACCTGCAACATGGCGTGCTGACTTGCACTACGTGCATGAACGAGCGCGGCGATGGGCTTGACCCAGAGAAGCTGCCCGTGAAGTACTATGACCCAACGAATAACTACCAGGTCAAGGAGATCAAGCCCACTGGCTATGAGTTGCCCATCCGCGTTGTCAAGGTTGAGACGGAAGATGTGCAAGCAGAGGCTGCGAAGGCTGAAGGCAGTGAAACTGCAGAGGCCGAAGCCAGCGAGACCAGCGAGGCCGGCGAGGACAGCAACGACTACAACAAGGACTACAAGAGTTTGAGCAGCGCAGACGAGGATGAGTGGGAATTGCGAGACCCAGGACACGATACAAGGACTCACATAGTGCAGGGCGAACCCATAGCGCTGTCGAACCGGGTACCGTTTTAGGGCCAGCCCAACACTCTGCCGACCGACCTGGGGTACTGGCAGGACGCGCCGTTTGTACCACCTCACTGGCCAGCGATGCACACGATGGAGGTCTGGACATACCACACAGTTCCGTACATGGTACCCATCGCACCTTCGACTACACTCTGTCCACCAGAATGGTATGGAGGTATGCCACCGTTATTTCCTGTACCAATGATGGCTGTTCCTGAGCGCCTTGGCGGCCTTTCACTGCAGCACACGCTGGTGCCTGCACCTAGCTATGGAGGCATTCTAGCAGCCCCAGCAGCTTCAACGGTGCTACAGCAGCATCCTGCGATACCTCCAAGGACACCGCTAACACACATCACACCGCCTTGTCCGACACCTCCCTCCGTCGTTGGGGCCTTGACTGACGCATTTCCTAGGGTTAAAGCAGCTGGGGAGCACAGATATGCACGTTGGTGCGCACATCGGGCCAAGACCGGTGTCCGCCCCCCCAGAGGTATGGAACTGGCGGACTTGGTGGTAAACAGGAGGCCCCGGAGACGGCAACACAGAGGCGGAGGTCAATTTTGGGGCTAGCTTTTGCGGGTGATCAGATCAAGCGTGGAGACAGAGTACAGGGGTTCGCAAGACCGAAAAACGACATTGTAGGTTTTCACGCAGGTTGGTTACACAGCACAGTGTAGCGAATACACGTACTTTCTTCGGCTGTGGAGTGTAGTCCCTCGGCTGCACTTGCCGCAGGAAACGGTGACGTCTGTGTCGGCACGAGCGTCAACAAACGTAGTAGGCCGCGGCCCATAGTACACACTTGACAACCTGCGTTCACTTCCGATTTCTACCTACCATGCGTACATAGTTCGTATCTTCACACCTACCGCTACCCGACACCGCGACTCTCCCGCGCACGATGGCGTCTCTCCCGCAGCAGCGCCCCGCGTCGCAGCGCACAGCGTCGCCCTCAGCTGAGGCTGCGGCGTCTTCACACCAGGAAGAGGCGACTCGCAGTAGCAGCTTCTCCGCCGCCTCAGTAGATTCGCAGACGCTTCTGCTGAGTTCGCCACAAGTGCACGCTACCGATAGCAAGCAGGACGACGCACCGCAACAAAGCGCTGCGCCACAGCAGCAAGAGGAAGAGGAGCCGCGGAAGTGCTGGATCTGCTTCAATGATGAGACAGAAGACGACGCCACGACCTCGGAGTGGCGCTCGCCGTGCACATGCTCACTGGTGGCGCACGAGAAGTGCCTGCTGGACTGGATCGCAGACATGGAGGCTCCCAGCGCAGGCCGGCGAGCTGGGCGTAAGGCTGGCAAGATCCTCTGTCCGCAGTGCAAGACGGAGATTCGCGTAGAGAGGCCGCGCAGCGTGGTAGTAGACTCGGTGCGCGTGGTGGAGAAGCTGGCGGGCACGCTGCTGCTGCCTGGCGTGGCCTTTGTCACCGGCACAGCGCTATACTCGACGCTGACGCTTGCTGGCACGAGCAGCATCTACACCATATTCGGGACACAGGATGCGACGCAGATACTCGCGCCGCTATACCAGGCGCCCAACCCTGGCATGCCGTCGTCGCTGGCGATACGGCTGATTGATCACCTGCACCACCACTGGAGACTCGACGTTGGGCTGCCGCTGATACCTGCCGTTCTCGTGGCCAGCCGAACCACACTCGCTGACTCGTTCCTCCCGTTCCTCCCTCTTATTTTCTTCGTCAGCTCAGGCCAACCCGGCGACGAGATGCTGCAGCTCCAGTGGCCTCCGAGTGCTGCATTCTCATTCGCGGCCCTGCCCTACCTGCGGGGCTTCTATAATGCATATTACGACCGCGTCTGGGCGCCACGGGAGCAGCGGTGGCTCAAAGAGATCCAACCCCGTGCAGGCACCGAGGATGCTGCAGAGGAAGGAAACCTGCAGTTCCAGCTCGGCGAGATGCACGATCACGGTGACCACGACCATGATCATCACCATCATGACCACGATCACGATGGAGACGAGGTCCTCGAGTTTGAGGTCGATTTGGACATTCTTGGTGAATGGAACAATGGCGGCGCGCACGACGACCATGACCACGACCACGACCACGACCACGACCACGACCACGACCACGACCACGACATTGCCGAGCCAGCACAGCCAGCAGAGCCAGCACACCCCTTGAACGCACCTCCACTAGACAATGCACCCCAAGTCCCCGAGCAAGAAGCAGCGCCCGCGCCAAACGTCCCCGCCCAGCCTCAGCGCCAGCGCGCTCGCCGCGAACTCGCATTCTCTACCACCTCGCTCGTCGACACCATCCTCGGCGCTCTGATCTTCCCCTCCATCGCCGCCACCATGGGCGAGCTCCTCCGCATTTCCCTCCCCACAGCCTGGGTCACGCTGCCCCAAGGCGCCATCACCACATCCTGGCTCGGCGGGTGGCTAGGCGCTGGCGCACTGCAGGGCGGAAAGGGCAGGCCAACTGGCTTCCTACAGACGCGCTGGGGCAGGAGTCTGATTGGCGGGTGTCTATTTGTCGGGATCAAGGACGCGGTGATGCTGTATGTGCGCTGGAAGATGGCGCAGAATCACCGACGGAGAAAGGTCATGGATCACGAGAAGAAGAAGGGGGGAAGTGCACGTGCTTAGAAGGTCGTGTGCGCTGATATAGTAATGGTATAGCTCGCCTCTCCATGATCAAAGCCTACAGTACATACGTGCGAAGTACTTTGTGAATGAGATGCTCCCGAGCGAGTCAGCGATGAGATCCGGATATACCGCTTCTGGCTAGGCGGTGGGTGCTGAGCCGAGGAGCTGGGGTGAGCGTGCTCGGCTACTCCGCTTTTCGAGCGTCAAGTAGACGGTGCGTCGGGTTTATGTACTGCACCTGCCCATTGCCTTGTCTGAGTGTCTGAGTACAATTGTACAAGCACCCGGGATCTGGATTTCGATTCGCATCAAGCAAGGATTTGAATTGAGGTTGTACGTCGAAGGATTATCGAAGCATCTCACGAAGATCTATACGAAGCATCACATCAAGCGTCACGGCCACGGTCACGTCCAAGGTCTTACCTTAAGCTCCTATTATCGTCATCGCCGTTCCTCCCAATACCAGTCAACATGTCGGCCTCTTCTCGTGCAAACCAGATCGCGGGCCATCTCAACTACCCCAAGGGCATGCTCGCGGGCCAAGTCGCCATCATCACCGGCGCCGGCCAGGGCATCGGCGCAGAATGCGCGCGCTTGTTCGCAAACGAGGGCGCGAAGGTAGTCGTCGCTGACATAGACGCCGGTACGTCTCTCCAACGAGTCTCTCCCAGAGGCGTCTCCACAACGAGCCGCCCTAACAGCGCGCAGAAAAAGCCGCCGCCGTCGTCGCCGGCATCACCGCAACCGGCGGCGCCGCCCTCGCCGTCCCGGGCGACATCCTCGCGCCCACCTACCCGGAGGAACTCATCTCGCGCGCCGCCGCCTTCGGCTCCGGCAAGATCCACATCCTGGTCAACAACGCGGGCTACACGTGGGACGGCGTGATCCACAAGATGACGGACAAGCAGTGGCACACGATCGTGGACCTGCACGCGACGGCGCCGTTCAAGCTGATCCGCGCCGCGGCGCCGTATTTTCGCGTCAAGGACGGCGAGCCCCGGAGCGTCGTCATGGTGTCGAGCACGAGCGGGCTGAACGGGAATGCGGGGCAGGTGAACTACGCGCTGGCGAAGGCGGGGGTTGCGGGGGTTGCGAAGACGGTGGCTAAGGAGTGCGTTGCCCTTCCCCTTCTACACCATCTCTCTCTTGTTTTCTCACACTGGCTCCCTTGATCAATGAGTGCCTTGACTGACAACGCACAGATGGGGCCCTAGTTTCGGCGTCCGCGCCAACACGGTCGCGTTCGGACACATTGCGACGCGGCTGACGGCGGCCAAGGAGGAGGGCGCGTTCGTGCAGCTGCCGGACGGCGAGAAGGTGGCGCTGGGGATTCCGCAGAAGCAGAAGGAGGCCGGCCAGGAGCACGCGGATATTCCGCTGCGCAGGCCGGGGACGGCGACGGAGGCGGCGAGCGTGGTGCTGGCGGTGGCGAGTCCGTTGTTCAGCTATGTGAATGGCGAGACGATTCGGGTGACGGGGGGGAGGGGGATGTGATCGTGCAGTACATACATAGGGTGTAGGGCTGAGGGTGAACAGGAGATAGCGGAGGTAAGATGCGATCCAGTACCTAGCCGGTAGATACATAGGGCTGCAGGGCTCATGCAGGGCGCACAGTTCGAATCAGACAAGTTTGCAGTGGAGAAATCGTTTCACGTCACTTGCTGAAACGGTTGCGGTCGAGGGCGTCGGGGTTCACGTACCAAGCTTTAGATGCCGGATGATCCACCTCGGCATCCCTAACCACCACGTCCCCCGTACAGACTCCCGCGCTGCTATCCCCCCGGCTGCTGCCCTGTCGCAGCCACTATGAGCCGCCAATAGCAGAGCACCGCACCACGACCGCCGCCATGTCCGACGAGAAGCACCGCTACGAGCCCCCGGAGCTGCCGCCCATCCCGTCCTACGAGGAGGCGACCAGCTCGCGCCACACATCGACCGCCCGCCGGGGGCCCAACGAGGCCAGCGACGACGCCGAGCGGCAGGGCCTGCTCGCGCCCGAGGCCAGCGGGCCCGCGCGGCGCAATGGCTACTACCACCCACCCAGCGTGCAGTCGGTCGACGACGGCGACTCGGAGCTGGGCAGCCCCGTGCGCGAGAGCCACGATGAAGAGCAGCGCATCATGGAGGAGATGGAGGTGCTGGACCCCGAGGCCGCCGACGACGACCGCGCACGCCGCCACCGCGCCCGCGGCCGCTTCTCGAAGCGCTTCGCCAGCCTCACCAGCAGCCTGTCCGGCCTGCAGCTGCCGCGCCTGCGCTGGCCGCGCCGCCTGCGCCCCAGCTTCGCCTTCGTCACCGACCGCCTGCCCACCGTGCCCGACGAGTACCGCCCCGGCTGGAGCGTCATCGCGCGCCTGTGCGGCCTGATTGTCATCGTGTCGCTGGTCTACATGCTGGTCGTCAGCGAGGTCGTGCCCATGGGCGGCGGCTTCGGCACCCAGTTCAACGCCGAGTGGGTGCGCCAGCAGGTCCAGAAGAACATCGAGCCGTGGCGCATCGAGAAGAGCCTCGAGTACCTGACCAGCTACGACCACCTGGGCGGCACCGAGGGCAGCTACGTGCTGGGCCAGTGGATCGAGGGCAAGTTCAAGGACGCCCATATGGACACCTTTGTGCACGACGAGTACTGGGTCTACATGAACTACCCCAAGAAGGGCGGCCGCCGTGTCGAGATTGTCGACCCGCCCGAGAAGCGCTGGAAGGCCAAGCTCGACGAGCCGGCCGTGTACAACCCGCCCAAGGCCCAGACCCCCGCCTTCCACGCCATGTCCGCCTCCGGCAACGTGCAGGGGCCGCTGATCTACGTCAACTACTGCGACAAGAAGGACTTCAAGCGCCTGTGGGACAGCGGCATCGACGTGCAGGGCGCCGTGGTGCTGTGCAGGTCCTACGGCACCCAGCCGGACCTGGCCATGAAGATCAAGTCGGCGCAGAACGCTGGCGTGGTCGGTGTGCTCGTCTACTCGGACCCCATTGAAGACGGCTTCAAGAAGGGCAGCACATGGCCGGACGGGAAATGGCGGCCGGCCGACAGCGTGCAGCGCGGTTCAGTCGCGCTGTCCAACATGATCCTCGGCGACCCTCTCACACCTGGCAGGCCAAGCTCGAAGAAGCAGGACCGCATGCCCAAGGACAAGAACCCCGGACTCGTCAAGATTCCCAGTCAACCCCTATCCTGGAAGGACGCCCAGAAGCTGATCAAGTCGCTCCATGGAATCGGCGAGGAGGTGCCGGAGGACTGGACAGGCGGCGTACCAGACGTGGGCGACAAGTGGTTTTCTGGCCACCCCGATAAGTCGCCCAGGGTCAACCTGTTCAACGAGCAGGACGAGGTCGAGCAGCAGCGCATCACCAACGTGTTTGGGTCGATTCGCGGCCTCGAGGATACCGCGCATAAGATCATCATTGGCAACCACCGCGACTCGTTCTGCTTTGGGGCTGGAGACCCTGGCTCTGGTACTGCCATCATGCTCGAAGTCGTGCGGGTACTGGGCGATCTCCGCGCGCAAGGCTGGCGTCCACTGCGCACCATCCAGTTCGCTTCGTGGGACGCCGGCGAGTACAACCACATCGGCTCCACCGAGCACGTCGAAGCCAACGTCGACTCCCTCCGCGAAAACGCCCTCGCCTACATCAACATCGACGCCGCCGTCACCGGCGACAAGCTGTGGGCCAACGGCTCACCCATCTTCTCCCACGCCTGGCACCGCGTCCTCGACCGCCTCAACGACCCGCACAACGACAACAAAACCCTCAAAGAAGTCTGGGAAATGCAGGGCTCCACCGTCGGCAACCTCGCTGCGGACCGCGACTCCGCGCCCTTCCAGTTCATCGCCGGCACCTCGTCCATCGACTTCGGCTTCGGCGCGCCCTCCGGCCGCAACTCCATGTCCGGCTCCTGCTACGAAACCTTCGACTGGATGGCGCAGCACATCGACCCGGGCTTCTCCTACCACGCCATCGCCGCCCAGATCCTCGTGCTCTTCATCCTCGAGCTCGCCCAAGAGCCCATCATGCCCCTGCGCCTGACCAACTACGCCGTGCACCTGCAGGCTGAGGGCCAGGCGCTGCTCGACGACACGGAGAAGGCCGGCGGCGACTTCGACATCGCCATCTTCGAGCCGCTGGTGCGGAGCATTGGTGCGTTGAAGGAGAAGGCTGACGAGTTTCACAAGTGGGAGACATACTGGTATAATCAGGTGTACGCGACGGGCGGCTTCGAGACAGGGGGTGTGACGATGCAGCGCATTAATCATAATAACAAGATGGGCCAGTTTGAGAGTATGTTGTTGGATTTGCCGGTGGACGCAAAGGACGGGAGTCCCCGCGGCGTACGTATTCCCTCGATACACTCGATCTGAACACACGCTAACAATCTACAGCTGCCCAACCGCGAGCAGTTCAAACACATGCTCTTCGCCCCTTCCATCCACAACGCTCACGCCGCCAGCGTCTTCCCGTTCGCCCGCGACGCGCTGGAGGCCAAGGACTGGCCGCGTGCGAAAGAGCAGATCAAACGGACCGCGGAGAGTCTGGATCGCGCGAGTGATCTTCTGGGGCCGGGGTAGTACCGCGATCCCGAGGGGGCCAGTCGCGGTTCTGCGTTTTGGGCATGTGCATTTTTTGGCGTTGGGTGCATTGGGGGATAGAAATTGGGCTGCTGCTGGCTCCAATGGAGGATTACAGCGGCCTGGGACGCGCAGTCGATATCAATTACTTCACTCGAATCTGCGTTGCTGGACGCCTTACAACTGTGTTCGTTGTTGTGCAGTTTTATCTACGCATGTCTAACATGTGGAAGATGGGTTGAAGGGATTGCTAATTGTACATGCGGCATTGCCCCATGTCGTGGATAGTGGCAGGCATCTGCGCCACGACAAGGCATTCTGACGACATCGCGTTGCTGCAGAGCATCGTCGGCAGATCGGCCCTTTGCCCCATCGCATCCCAAAGCGGTAATCGCAACAGTCGCAACTCAAGTGGGTCCTCTCACCACCAACACCCCAACAGTGGACCGCACGTGCTCGCCGCGCATATAAGAACCCACCTCACACCAACAACCCCCTCTGCACTCCCACCAGTATCTCAAACCAACCCACAACCCATAATTCAAAAAAACACAAACCCACACACCCAACATGGCTCCCCCAACACCCGCCCCCATCGCCTTCACCCCCCTCGCCGAAGCCCCCCGCGACATCCCCACCATCGCCGCCCAAGAACGCGCCTCCATCTTCCCCCACTGGTCCCCCTCCCTCGCCTACACCATCGGCACCACCCTACGCACACGCCTCTTATCCCACCCCTCGCCCGCCGTAATCCACGTCTCGACGCCTACCTCCCCGCCCCACGTGCTCTTCCACGCGACCACGCACCCCGGCACAACCCCCGACAACGACGTGTGGGTGGCGCGCAAGCGCGCCGCGGTGGTGCGGTGGGGGGTGAGTACGTGGCAGCTGCAGCAGCGGTTTGGCGGGGATGAGGAGAAGTTTAGGCAGAAACTTGGGTTGGGGGAGGGCGCGGGGCAGTATGCGATTCATGGGGGCGGGGTGCCGGTGTACGTGAAGGGGGTGGAGGGGTGCGTGGCGGTGGTGGTGGTTAGTGGGTTGAAGCAGTGGGATGATCATCAGGTTGTTGTGGAGGGGTTGGCGGAGGTTTTGGCTGGGTTGGAGGAGGAGTGAAGAGAAGAGAAGTGTTGGTGTAGAGGGTGTGGAGGGCGGGGAAGTCGTGTTCTGAGGAGGAGTACCTAATAGGGTGGAGGGAGCGGGTGTTTGTTCTGTTGGAGTGGGCTGTGGATACGCTGGCCTACCTGATCGGAATCTGCTGCTACAGCCCAGTCTGTAAATTGCAATCAGCGACGTCGCACTCTGGCTGGTCATTCCAATCATCTTCCTCGTCCCCTGTCTCGAACCGCACGCTGCTCTGATGCACATCTACCACGCGTTATGCACCATACCTGTCAATCTCGTCTACTACACGTGCGGAGTCGTAACACCGTCCCCCATCCGCTCGCCGCAGCCTCGCCCACCACATCCCCGCGCCCACGCACAGAAACCAGGCCAGGGACACCCAGCCACGGCACAAGACCACGATCCTACGCACCGTGCCCGCGTCGACGTTTGTACCCACGCACCCCTAGCCACCACCCTCGCTCCCCAATCTCCCACGGCGAGATCCAAAGGGCCCCAGGAGCGTTGGGTCCTCAGCTCAGACTCGCGGCTGTGTGTGCCCGTGCACTAGTTCGGTGCGCGTTGCAGATGCACATGCACATGCCGGCATGCAGACAGTGTAGGGATCAGGGGAGTTGTGTGTGTGCGCAGCGTTGCTGCTGACGCAGGTGCCATTGCTTTGCGCGCGTGGGCGTGGTGGGGTTTGCGGGTGCGGGGTGTAAGGTGCGCTTTGGGGCTCGTTGGAGGAGTGAAGAGGTGGAGGGGTGGAGGGGTGGAGGGTTGGGGGGATGGAGAGTTGAAGGGTTGCAGGGAGGGGTGGGTGGTGTCGGGCCAGTGAAGGTACCTCAACGCTGGACTGCAGGTAAATGAAGATGGAGGAGCCTTTGAAGAGAGATGGTCTGAAAAGGAAGGCGTTTTTATGTATGGCGTTGATTTTGCACCAGACGGTTGTCTTCGACTGGATGTGTTGATGAGTCACTATATTCAACGCCTTACTCATGGAGATCCATGTACTTGTTGCTGAGTTCCAGCGGGTTTGTCCTCAAGAAGCATCCAGTGACATACTGCATCCAGGATGTTGATACGAATTTAAGGCTCAGTGTGGCGTCGGTTGGCAGTGATGACCTGGCAACGACACTAGATGGCGACTTACGCTGTGCCCTATGGGCTGCAGCGGCGATCACAGCTCGTTCGGGGACTTGCTTTTTGTGTATAAAGTCAGCTTCCGCCGTGAGCGCGTGCCCAAACTCAGCGCAGATTAGACTCGAAGTCTTGGTTTGTCGGCTCGTCCACCCGGTTCCGCAATTGTGACATCCCACCAGTCCAGTGTGAGGAACAGATACACTTCCTTCGAAATCAGGTCGGACAAGCCGTGCTGCATTTCTCAACGGTCCAGAAATCCTGCTGTATGCGACTGGGTCAACAAACTTTCGGAGACCTGCCTTTCCAGATACAAGCAAGTCATTGGCAGATCCTACAGTTATGCGTCAGCTACGAGCCAATGCACTTTGGGCATGGGAGATGTGCATCATCTCTGCCTTGGTGGCTGAAGGTCGGACCACGAGCAGATTCTGGCACGTCAAGATTGCGGTGGATGTTCACATCTCTACCGCACGTCAGCAACCGAGTGGTCGAGATAAGTAGTCGGCGTAGCGAGTAGGAATGGATGGCGGACATTGTTAATGTCCTATTGGCCCGGCTGTCATGTGCGGTGATCCGCTAAGCGAACTCCTTTCTCCGATTCTCTAGCCACAACATGCAAGACACCTTCGGCACTGTTTCCTCTAGTTTTTTCATAGTTCACACGCAATATTACTCTTCCGGAGCTCTGGCCTCTAAACGTACGTCAATCGACTACCGCACAGAGTCTATCGTAGGTGTCGTACGATGTCGTTCCACTTTGGCCTGGACCGCACAGGGCACCAGCTCGTTACGTTCCAGATCATACCAGGTTACAGCCTTATCATAATGCTAACCCCAGCATGTTGACTCAGCGCATCGCAACTAACCAGCCGTCAAGCCTGTCAAACTGAAGAAAGTACCGTAGTACCACCGGACGTTCGCCTTGCTCTTTTCCAGTACGAGTGTCGTCCATAGCAAACTCATTGCTTCGTGTTGAACAAGCCTCTGTACTCGGGCCAGGTGGTAACTCGTATTACGAAGCCAGAGCTTCGTACTGGTCTCCCAATAGTCCGAATGCATGGCTTCCATCATCTGGCCCGAGGTCTCCTTGTGAAATCTGGGGTAAGCAGGCGCCGCTAGGAGGGATGTAAGGTGCTGGACGCCTACAAACGATCCGCGTCAATAAAGTTTCCGGCGCCATGTGGAAACAGTAAAAGCCCATCACCCTAGTCGCGGGACGAGCTTGTTTAGCAACAAAGGGCAGAGGGTGCAGAGAGGTTGAGGGACAGCCGTAAACAAAAGCTGTCCACTGCAGCCAAAATTCGATCATCTTTCCTTCGCTTTTGCCTTCTGTTCCTCTTTGTTTAACAGATCATGGCGCCTGCACGGAAAGACTCGACCATTGCACTCTGCAAGAAGGTCAACACGCAGGGCAACACTGTTTCCATCCGCATGCTCGAGTATCTCAGCTCGTCAAAGGAACCAGTCCATGGATTTCTAGCCTTAGCTAATACATTTCTCGATCTCGTGCGTCTTGTTTGGACCATTGAGGCAGGCATTGAAGAGTCCTTCAAGACGCGCAAGACATATCCAGTCGAGATCACTTCAGAGCTGGACGCTCGTTTCCGCCACATCTACGATGAGTTTATCGTTCTGAGCCAGATGGTCTCGAAGTTCATCGACAACGACAATGGCAAGGGCGGCTTGGGCAAACGCATGCGCATGATGTTTGCCGACTCCGAGGTCGACAAGGTGCGCATGGCGCTTCTGAAGAGCATCGAGTCTTTGAAGATGAGCTCTGCGATATTCCGGTGGACCCTAGGCGACGACCACGCCGAGGAGACAGTGGCGATTGGATATGCGGGGCTGATTGCTGCTCTCGAGCGCAACAACCCTTCCAAGCCACCTTCGGCACCACCTCAACGCGGGCTTCCACAGCCGCCGGCACAGGCGCAGCAGCCGGCGAAGAGCGAGCACACCCGGCCAGAGCCCCTCCTTCCACCTCCCAACCTCACGAGCAGAGCTTCACATCCCGATATTCCGTCAAACGGGAACACCAACGGTCACTCGGTTCATGACTACAACCGCTCATCTCATGACCAGAATCACTCGGCTCACGACCACCACTCGGCTCACGACCACCACTCGGCTCACGACCAACATCACTTGGCTCGCGACCATATGCACTCGTCTCGCGACCACCCCACTCTGAGTGATATCAATTTACAGCACGAAGAGCTTCGGATGTCTCCAGATGCTCCTTTTGCACACAACGAGTGGAGAGCGTCAAGCATACAATCTGGTGGCTCGGTTCAAAATGCCATGCATTCGAGCTCTGACAGGTCCTCCGAAGGACACGCCCACAAACATTACGACGAACCCAACTACTCACGCATGCCGATGAGGGAACACAACAGCCACCTTAATACCCCCGAGCAGCGTTTCCAATACAGCGGCAACATGGCGCACAGGCAGATGGAATCTCCCATAATACGGAGCAGCACGATGCACCATCCAGAACATCGATCACTCGGTGGTAAGGAAGGGGTCATTGTGGCTGTCAGACAAGGACAGTACAGAGTGGTTGAGCAGCTGCTCGCTGGCGGTGTCAAGATGGATAGAATCGAGTTCGCTAGCTTGCTACACACGTCTATCGACAACAAGGACGCCGCTACTACCTCCATCCTTCTACGGTTCGGCGCGGACGCTGATGCCCCTGACACAGATGGCACTTCTCCACTGTGTGCTGCCACCAAAGCCGCGTCTGTAGACTGTGCTCGCATCCTCCTCAAACACGGCGCCGATGCAAACTTCAAGGACAACGAAGGCACTACGGCGCTCTTCAAGGCTATCCAGGCTGGCTCCGTTGATATCATGACAGTACTCTTGGACAACGGAGCAAACCCCAACTTGCCGTGCCCCAAGCATCCTCTCTGGCCGTCTTGCTACCACCCTGAGGCGCTCGGGCTCATGCTCTCGCGTGGTGCTGACCACAAGCGGACTCCGGGTATCATGGAGCTGGCCGCAAGTCTCAAGAAGCTGAAGTCTGTGAAGATCCTCATCGAAGCTGGTGTTTCTCCCAATGTCCGCAAAGATGGTGCATATACGCCCCTTGCGTCCGCTATCCGCGACAACAGCGCTGACATTGTCACCTATCTGCTCGACAACGGCGCAGACCCCAATCTCAAAGCAGTTGAGTTCCCTACCTTCAAGTGCATCACTCACAAGCGCACACAATACCTGCCACAACTCGCTGCCGCAGGCGCAGACCTCCACACCCCAAAGGGCATAATTGAGACCGCCGTCTCCCACAAGGACAAGGACGCCATCATCTACCTCCTCGACCAAGGCGTGAACCCGAACGACCGCTGCCCCGACGGCGGCAACACTGCCCTCACAACCGCCATTCGCGACAACAACCTCGAACTCGTCGACCTGCTGCTCAATCACGGCGCCAACCCCGCCGTCCGCGGCCAAGACTGGCCCCTCTGCATGGCCGTCCGCAACCCCGCGATCCTGGAGCGCCTCCTGGCCTTCCCGGGCCTCAACCCGCGCGCCTTCCGCGGCGTCCTCGAAATGGCCGTGCACGCCGGCCACCTCGAGAGCGTGAAGCTGCTGCTCAAAGCCGGCGTCAGCGTCGAAGACAAGAACTGCGGCGTGTTCTCGCCCCTGACGACCGCCATCCGCGAGGGCCACAAGGCCATCGTGCGCTACCTGCTCGACGAGGCGTATGCGGACCCCAATGCGCCGGGCGAGCATCTGCCGCTCGTCAAGGCGCTGCGCAGCTACGACGGCTCGGATGTAGAGGTCATCCAGATGCTGCTGAGCCGCGGCGCGGACATCAACCGCATGCACCGCGGGTGGAACGCGGTGCTGCAGGCGGTCGAGAACAGCGACGTGGAGATCCTGGGGCTGCTGGTGAGTCTCGGCGGGCCGGTGGATTTGCAGGCCGTGGACGAGACGGGGCGGCCTGTTATTGATATCGTGGGGGACCGCGACTGGGAGGAGGGGCTGGCGCTGCTGTTTCCCAAGTCGTCGTCGCCGCCAAAGACCAAGTCGCCTTCGCCCAGGGGGCAGCCGTGAGTTTCTTCCTGGGTGTGAGCGCGCTGAGCTGACGATGCTAGAACGCCTGTTTTGAAAATGTTTCCTTCCTAATTGCGCGGTGAGACGCGTTTGATACCAGTCTGCATGGACGCAGAGCTCGAAGCCATGCCTTTTCCTTTGTCCAGCCCGCTCTACTACTCAATATTAGTACCGACGGACGTGAATGTATTTACTCTCAGCGTTCCGACTTCCTCGCATCACACATCCTCCCCACGTGGAGCTCTCATATCTACAGCATATTCACTCCTGTACCCCTCTCTCACCGGCAAACCGCTGTCCTACATAAATTCGTCTGTACATAGACTTCGAGATACCTGCGCTTACCGCACCAATAATGAATTCCCACACCCCCAGTACTCCCTCAGTGTCTGTCCGCCCTCCCCTCGCACTCGCCCTCGCTCTCGCTCTCTCGCCTTCCCAGCCCCACCCCACAAACCCAGATATACCAGCGTCCCGAGGCTGGCAAGTCAGTCCCCTACGACCGCGCAACCCAGTCCCCTTACAACCGCACAGCCCAGTCCCCTTACGACCCCCCACCCCACCGGCGCGCAGGGTCCCGTGTCGTGTCCTGCGCTCCACTCGCGCGTGTCATGGGCCCTGCGCGTTTGTACAGGGATCCGTGGTGTGCGGGTGTGCAGGCGCGTGAGGCGGCGCTTGAGGCGGCGGTTGAGGCAATGCTGGGGCGATGCTTGAGGCGATGTTGGGACGGTGAGGTAATGGACGTTGTGACGGTAAGGTAATGGAGACTGGGACGCAGTGACGTGATGATACTGGGACGCAAGGAAGTGCGATCCAAGCAGCGTGGTGCCCGGTTCAGGCTTGGAAGGGCGAGGGGTCGTGGGTTCAGGGTTCAGGCTTGTGGTGAGGCGCTGGGAGGAGGGGGGGGGGGGGGGGGGGGGGGGTGCTGCGAGTCTGGGTTAGGTGGGAGATGGGGAGGCGGTGCAAGGGCGTTGGGTATCTCGTGTAGGGGGGTTGTGCATGTAGTATTCGTGAGAGGGAAGGAGAGGGGGGGGGGATATGAGGGGATGTGCGAGTTGCAGTGTTTCCTTCCACCTCTTTTGTCATCTCTACAGCGCTGATATTGAGCTGAACTTACAGCGGCTTCTCAAGCGCGACTAGCTGCTGTCTACCGACGTGCTTCTGGCTCACTCGGAACGAAACGAAACGAGCAGGCCTTGAGGTGCTTCACCGTATTATAATAGTAGGCTGTGTCCAGAAGTCGAAGCTTCGAGGTTGCGTCCAAACGCCGAAATCAGGAGTCGTGTCTAACCGCCGAGACAATCGAGACAGTCGGAACAGCACACTGTCCATCGCCCATCGCGCGCCGCCGTCCACGACTCCAACGCTTTAGGCAGCTCCCGCCGCACAGCCGTCACGATCGTCGTCGGGAGTTGTTTGTGTATGCTGCAAGGCGGGGGGATATGTGTGCCGTGTTCGGCGGGTGTGCTTATCCCTGTACCTATGCTTAGAACCACGGGATGGAGGGGGGTGTAGAACGTGGCAGTGAAAGCACTCAAGACACAAAAACAGGTGCCGTAAGCTCCCAACAACCTCCAGCCTCGACGCCGATGCGGCACCCCCGCCCTGAATCGAGAGACGTGCGCAGAAATGCCTGATCCATTGCCCTAACCTACTTTAATATACTGTACAGAAACTACCCAATGCCGCTAAACGCACGCACGCAAGCGCGACGAATCCCAAGTCTTTTTTTTTCTCAAATGCCGTAGAACCCCAAACCTAAAAGCTCAAAGCTCAATCGTCGAACCGCGAACCGTGAACCGCGAATCGCGAGACGACTCACTTCCGGCCCTTGGCCTTGGTCCGGCTGCGCGTCGCTTTACTCGGGGTGTCCTCCTCCTCTACGACTTTCTCGACCTGCTTCACCACCACCTCCTCGTCGTCTTCTCCGTCCTCGCTGCCCCCCTTCACGCCTCCCGGCTCCTCTCGCTCCTTTCGCTCCTTTCGCTCCTTTCGCACCTCTCGCTCCTCCGCTCGCTCCGCTCGCACCCCCAAACTCCTCACCAACTCCTCCACCTCATCACCCCTCTTCTCCACTCCATTCCACGCCCGACATGCCCCGCACCGCCAACGCCCAACATCCGCCGCGCTCCGCGCACCCGGCGGCGCCTGCCCATTCACTAGCCGACACTGGGTGCAGATCAAGGCCAGCCGGTTCTTGGCCTGCGTTTCGTCTTCGCCCAAAAGCGCGTCCAGGATGCGGTCGTACCAGTGCGGGGTTGTGAAGGAGGGTGTGGCGGGGGGGTAGGGTTTCGGCGCCGCGGGGAAGGCGTTGGGCGCGAATTCCTCGGTCGGGGCGGCGGAGATGGCGGGCGAGGGCGGGCTGTGGGGCGGCGCGGGGGAGAGGCGCTGCGGGGTGGGCGGGTGGTTTTGGGGGTTGGGCGAGCGCTGGATGTTGGCGGTGGGCGGGGGCGCGATGCCGGTGCGCGGGCTGTGGGGCTGGGGATTCGGGGAGGCGGCGGGTTTCTGGGGGGTGGGCGACGGCGCGGGATCTTGTTTGGGCGAGGCGCCGTATTTCTCGAGTAGCTGCTGGGTGGAGTTGTACTTTGTGGCTTCCTTGAGGCGGGCGATGGTGGCGTCGCGCTCCTTGTTCAGCTTGGCGACGTAGGCGTCCGTGTTGGCGATGCGGTAGTCGAAGTAGCCGGTGAGGGCGTAGCGGACGACGTAGATGCTGCAGCGGGTTAGCAGCGGCTGGGGGCGCAGGGGGGGGCCACGTAGACGTACACCACGGGGCTGCCTGCGAGGACCGACACCTCGTTGACTCCCCAGTTCTGGCGGCCGGTGACGAGGAACAGCAGTGCGGCGACCACAATGTACGCGAAGCCGGCGTACAGCGTCAGCATGACGCGCACGCGCCGCGAGGTCTGGCGGCGCTTGTCGTTGCGCGCGGAAGCTCTGTTGATTTTCGCCGTGAGCGCTGAGAGCGCGCGCTCGAAGGAGGCAGCATCGTCGCCCGCCTGCGGCCGTTAGCATACGAACAAATTACCGCGTTTTTACAGCTGCACGCACCCTCCAGGGCCACAGGGACACCATGATCGCGGCGGTGAAGTAACAGAGTCGGCAGCCCGGCGGCGGGGCGTGGTGTGGTAGTGGCCAGCTCACATGCGCGCAGCTCTCCACGCGACGTCAGAGCAGCTAGCCCGAGCGATCGGCCGCAGATCCCTGCAGCTTAGTCACCACTGGACTTTCTCCGACTTTACCGCCCGTCGCCGTCGCCGTCGACTTCGATTGCAACACACAATGTCGGCCCAACTCGTATACCGCAGCCTGTGGCGATCAACGCGCGTCGCGTTCGAAGGTACGTCATTCTACTCGCCGGCGTCAACACACCCACTCACCCGGTCCCAGGCGATGCGAACATGCTGTCTGCGGCGCGCGCCGAGGTGCGCAAGGCATTCGAGAGCAACCGCCATCTGAAGGCCGGCGGCGAGGACACCCAGGCGAAGCTCGCCCACGGATCTGAAGTTGCCGCGTTTCTGAGGGAGAACGTGGTGCAGGGCGAGGCTCAGGAGGGCGACAACTACAGTATGTGGAATTGAACATGATTGATGGCGGCTGCTAATGCGTGGTAGAACTGCGGATACACAAGGACACCGAGCGCGGGAACAACGAGGATATCAAGAAGAATATGGGCAAGACTACATTGGGGAGCGGCAAAAAGTGCTGCTCGTCTTAAACTGCTTTCAAGCTGCCAAATGTGATACCCATGCGCCTGCAACGCCGACCCAATGCTACGTTCATGTACACTAGTTTCCTGCCAGACTGGGGTAGCTCGCCTCTTCGTCGCCTGAGGGCGGAGGGGCCAGCGCCAGACTATCCAAGTCAGTCGGCTTCGCCGCCTCAATTACGGCCTGTGGTCGCCGCGCTGGGCCCGCGGCCTGTCTTCCTTCCTTTGCGTACTGCATCCTGATGTTCTGGTCCAGACTGTCCAGCTGCTTCGGCTTGCCCCAGGTGACGCGCATCGGACACCCTCTGATGACCACCTTGCCCTTCAGCGCTTCCGCAGCCGTCTCTGCGTCCGCCCTCTTCACGTAGTTGACATATGCGCAGTGAGCTCGGTGTGAGCAAACCAGCGATCGCAGCTGACCGTACTGGACAAAGTGGGTGCGGATCTCGTGCTCGGGGAGGTCATCCTCGACGCCAGTGACGAACAGCGACGCGACGTTCGGATCTGACGGCGGAAGCCAGTCTTGCGGGTTGGGCGGCGCTGACGGACCCCCGGCGCGTCCACCTCTGGCAGCTCTCATGCCGCCTCGCGCACTGCTAGCGCCGCCTCGCGCGTCCCGCGTCCTGATCGGGCCGCCTGTGTGTCCGTATGCAGAGCCGTCGCCAGTGCCAGGTGCCGGCAGAGCCTTCTGACCGCTCCCCTCAGCCTCTGCTTCCAGGCGTCGCTGCTTCTTGTAGTACGGCTCGCTCTGCGCCAAGCGCTTCAGCAGGTCGCGCGCCTTCTCGTCCGTCTTCTCGTATGCTTCCATAACTCCTCTGCCTTCCTCAATCTCCCGCTCGTGCTCCTGCGCATAGTATTGACGATTGATGTCGCTCTTTGGCCCGGGCGCAACCATCTTCAGCGCCGCGTCACGGACAACAAGCGGCAGTCCAAACGACAGATCCAGCATGCAGCACTGGCAGCAGTTCTTCAGGCGCGCGCATGTCAGGCAGATGTTTGTGCGCTTCTGTCGGGCTGTGCGGTCGGCTTTCCAGCGGAATATGGTGAATGGTCGTGTGCAGATCTTGCATTCCTATGCCATGTAAGCGACTGTTTGCTGCAATACTGCAAAAAGAACTTACTGCGCCGTGGTCTTCCTTCAGCATCTGCACGTACGGGTTGTCGGGGAGACATTTTTCGCAGACAGACGGGAAGTCGGTCGTCTCCCAGCCGCTGCGGTTCAGGTCGGACTTGATCTGGGGAGGCATCCCGGCGGTACGATGCGATTACGGGTGGGTGTATGGACGTATGGCCGGCCTTGGAGTGCGTAGGTGGGTCGTGCGCCTGTGCGGCGATGTGCCGTCCTGTGGCGAGGCTGGTTGCGCGGGGTGTGGTGTTGTGCAAGCGGACGTCAAAGTCGAGGCCAAGCAGGAACTATCGTCGGTGCGGCAGGCGAATCGGCAGTGTTGCAGTACGCGCAAAGTGGGGCGCAGCCGTGGTGAAAGTGTTTCCGAGGATGCTGGAATGACGGCGGAGCGCTCGTGGAAATCTAAGAGTGGCACTGCTAGCGCGCCGTACACAAATGGTTGTGATTGGCCGTCCCGTCAGGGGCAGACAGAATAGTTAGAATCTCCTCTACCGCTCTTTCGCATAAGAAACACTGGTGTCCCGCTCTTTGGCTCTCCACCTGTCAATTGCACTGCTTCAACACAGTCCCTTCGTTTCTATACCTAATAGTTACTCTTCAACCGCCATCATGTCTCCCGCTGCTCTCGAACAGGAGGACCACACCCGTGATGCCGCCTTCAACAAGGCCATGCACGGCACGTCTGCAAAGGCGCGAGGTGGCATGAGCGCCATGCTGCAGAAGGACAAGGCCGCGCAGCAGGCTGCCGTGGACGAGTACTTCAAGCACTGGGACAACAAGGCCGCTGCCGACGAGACCGAGGAGACACGAAAGGTACGCGATGCATTGCAGAGTGGCGGTGACGGCAACTGACTGGCACAGGAACGCCGTGACGAATACGCCACCCTCACCAGGCACTACTACAATCTGGCAACCGACCTGTACGAGTACGGCTGGGGCCAGTCGTTCCACTTTGCCCGCTATGCGTACGGCGAGTCCTTCTACAAGGCCATTGCCCGCCACGAGCACTACCTGGCCCACAAGATGAGCCTGAAGGACAACATGCGCGTGCTGGACGTTGGCTGCGGTGTCGGCGGCCCTGCCCGTGAGATTGTCAAGTTCGCTGGTGTCAACGTCGTTGGCCTCAACAACAACGACTACCAGATCGAGCGCGCCACAGCCTACGCCGAGAAGGAGGGTCTGTCCGACAAGCTCAAGTTCACCAAGGGTGACTTTATGGTGCGTGATGCCGCCACGTTTCGAGGACCTTACTAACAAGTCCCAGCAAATGTCGTTCCCCGACAACTCCTTCGACGCTGTCTACGCCATTGAGGCGACAGTCCACGCCCCCTCGCTCGAGGGCATCTACAGCGAGATCTTCCGCGTGCTCAAGCCCGGCGGTGTGTTCGGTGTCTACGAGTGGCTCATGACCGACAAGTACGACAACGAGAACCCCCACCACCGTGAGATCCGTCTCGGCATCGAGATCGGCGACGGTATCTCCAACATGGAGAAGATCGAGGTTGCCCTCGCCGCCATGAAGACAGCTGGCTTCGTCATGGAGCACCACGAGGATCTGGCTGACCGCGACGACCCCTACCCGTGGTACTGGCCGCTGTCTGGCCAGCTGAAGTACATCAGCACCATTGGCGACATCCCCACCATCCTCCGCATGACCAAGGTCGGCCGTGGTATCATCCACAAGTTCGTCGGCTGCCTCGAGACAATCGGTCTGGCACCCAGGGGTACGCAGAAGACGGCCGACAGCCTGGCCCTTGCTGCCGACTGCCTGGTCGCTGGTGGCAAGGAGAAGCTGTTCACGCCCATGTACCTGATGGTCGGCCGCAAGCCCGCCGATGCCTAGGTGCTTCACGTGCATTCTTGCCGCGCTGTTCTTTTCTAGACGGTTTGCATCGGGGCCTCGTCCGCCCCGGTTTCGCTTCTCCGAGCATCGTCTCGCTCTTGTACCGCACGCGTCGCAAAAGGCGCATTATATATGCATGTAATATCTATAGAGACTAGGGGGTAATGAGAACGTGATTTATGGCCAACACCGACGTCAAGTGTTTGTTGAGGACTGTATGCGTGAGATGCGCCAGGGTCTGGCGCTAGTAAGCTCGACAGCACCAAACCCGTGGCACGAGAGATGCGATTGCAGACGGCTCAGCAGATAGCAGCCGTGCACGAGGCGCGCATCCAGCTCGCACGGGTGGCGCAGGCAATTGGTGCAAATACTGGCATGGGCGGCCGGGTGAAATCGTAGCCAAGCGCATCGGACCCGCTCGTGTTGGGCGACGGGTAGTGTTGGCGCTCGGTCGGAGGTGTGGCACGTCCTCGCCGAAAAACAGTTGAGAATTCGAGCTCTCTCCTCCACGGCATCAGCTTCCCAGCCCGGCCCACCAACTCCGGCCATCACACATCCGGCACCGCACTCTTCCTCTCTGCCCCCGAGAGCTCACACTGCAATGGTCGCCTCCAGGATCACCCGCCCGGCCGCCCGCCTGCTCGCCGCGTCGCGACCCGCGCTGCGACCGGCGTTCCGCGCTGCTGCCATCAGCCCGGCGATTGCGCGCCGCGGCTATGCGTCAGGCCAGAAGGAGATGACTGTGCGCGAGGCGCTGAACGAGGCCATGGCCGAGGAGATGGAGCGCAATGACAAGGTCTTCGTGCTGGGAGAGGAGGTTGCGCAGTACAACGGAGCGTACGTGCCCCCAGGCCGCCCATGGCCGCCCCGAAGCTTGCCCCGGGGCCCCGCTGCGCTGCGATGGATGCAGCGGGACAGCAGCGACGCCGGGCTCACCGCGCGGGGCAGCTCGGGCAATGGCTGTGGCTGCGGGCCCTCAGCTATCAGACGCTGACGCGCTGCAGGTACAAGGTCACCAAGGGCCTGCTCGACCGCTTCGGCGAGAAGAGGGTCATCGACTCGCCCATCACCGAGTCTGGCTTCGCCGGCCTGACCGTCGGTGCTGCGCTCGCCGGCCTGCACCCCATTGTGAGTAGCCGCGCCGCTGCTGCCGCCGCCGCCCGCTGACCCCGCCAGTGCGAGTTCATGACCTTCAACTTCGCCATGCAGGCCATTGACCAGATCATCAACTCGGCCGCAAAGACACACTACATGTCCGGCGGCATCCAGCCCTGCAACATCACCTTCCGCGGCCCCAACGGCTTCGCCGCCGGCGTCGGCGCCCAGCACTCCCAGGACTACTCTGCCTGGTACGGCAGCATCCCCGGCCTCAAGGTCGTCGCCCCCTACAGCGCCGAGGACGCAAAGGGCCTGCTCAAGGCCGCCATCCGCGACCCCAACCCCGTCGTTGTCCTCGAGAACGAGTGCGTAGCCACACTACAACCTTGCAGATCGCAGCTAACCCCCTCAGGCTTCTCTACGGCCTCTCCTTCCCCATGAGCGAAGAAGCCCAGAAAGACGACTTCGTCATCCCCGTACGCCGCCTCCCCCACCCCCCTCCTCCCCACCCACACTGACCCCATCCCAGTTCGGCAAAGCCAAGATCGAGCGCCCCGGCAAAGACCTCACCATCGTAACCCTCTCGCGCTGCGTCGGCCAATCGCTCGTCGCGGCCGAGCAGCTGCAGCAAAAATACGGCATCGAGGCCGAAGTCATCAACCTGCGCTCCATCAAGCCGCTGGACATCGAGGCCATCGTCAAGAGCGTCAAGAAGACCGGCCACATGCTGTGCGTCGAGTCCGGGTTCCCCAGCTTCGGCGTCGCGTCGGAGATCATGGCGCTGACCTGCGAGTACGCGTTCGACTACCTCGAGGCGCCGCCCGCGCGTGTCACCGGTGCTGAGGTCCCGACCCCGTATGCCCAGGGCCTCGAGGAGATGAGCTTCCCCCAGGAGAAGACGATTGTGGATTACGCTGCGAAGCTGCTGCGCGTTGCATAAGCGTGCAGCGGCGCGGGGGAGGGGTGTAGAGCGTGTGGCAGCGTGGAGGCGTGGAACGGGACGGCGTGGTTCGGGGGAAGTGCAGGCGACGACTGCAGGGCGGCGTGTACGAACAGCCACGCCCGTGCGGAAGGGGCAGCGCGGCACGGCGACGGCGACACGGCGAGGCGAGGCAGTGCGCTAGCTACTCCGGCTGTCTGCGCGGCATTCCAATGCATGTACAACTATCTATTTGCATTTTGCTCCTCACCTTGCCTCTTGAGACTCGCGTCGCACGCGCGGCTGCGTGCTTCCGCCCGCGTGCTGCGCGGTGCACGGCGCTGACATGCTGCAGGGACGCCAGCACGCGACGGGGCGTGTGCGCAGAAGCGAGAGTGCGGCTTCACGCGCGCCCGACAGATGGGGATGGAGGCTCTGCTTGTGACGCGGTGGTGGTGGTGGTGGTGGGGGATGCGTAGATCCTGCCATGCCATGTACCATGTTGTATACCACGGACCATGAACCATGAACCATGCACCGCATCATCCACTATACCATGAACCATGTACTGTGTACCGAGTGTGTGGCATCTAACATCTTCCACATACTATACACCACATATACCCACGTAGCATGTAAAATGTGAAATGTACCACGTAGCATATGAAATGTTCCACGCAGCATACACCATGTAGCCACCCCTACCTATAACGCCCTGTAAGATGGCCTCTGGCGACCGCACCTGGCCCTTTGCGGATGCTGTGCATGTGGCGCGCTTCAAGATGGCATGGTTCGCAAAAGGGGATGTGCAAGAACAGCTGAGGAGTGGTGGGATGGTGGAGCATTTTGTGCGAATGGTGGGTGGTGGCAGTGGTGGCAGTGGTGGCAGTCAGTGCAATCGATGGTGGCAGTAACTGGTGGCAGTCAGTGTTGGCATGGAGTCGTGACAGTCAATTGTGGCAGAGTGGTTGAGTGGTTGAGCGAGCTCTCGAACAGCGAACAGTGGAACAGCGAGTAAACACAACACACGTGCGGCAACGGCTCTGCACGCTTGGAGGCTGCAGATTGCGTGGTTAGCTGAGCGTGTTATACACTGAGTAACAGAAGCCCGCGAGCTGTATGAGAGCGTCGCACGCAACAAGCCGTCTCGCATGCTGGCCCGCGAGTGGGCTACAGCTGGTGCTGTCACAGAGGGCCTCGAGCCTGGCGGCCGAGTCTGGTGGAACGCAGGCGCGCGAGTAAGTGTGGGCTTGTCCACAGGGGCGCAAAAAGCAAGGGGAAAGGTGCTGGGGAGTGGGAGACGAGAGCTCTAAGGTGCGGTGTCGTGTGCGTCAATTGGGTAGCCCTGGGGGCCCGTTGGTGGCCACGTGCTGGTTGCCAGTGTGTCGGATTCGGACTCGGAATTTGTGGAATATTCCAGTGTGTCTCAGACGTTTCTCTGTTGGCTGGTGAAGGCGTGCGGGTTCCTGGGTTCGGCGCGCTCAGCTTGACGTCTGCTATCGGAGCAAGGCACCTGCAGGAACAATCCAGTGTCTTGGGTATGCGGCACACGGACGGCTTGCCAAGTGTGCTTCGCTTTCGGGTTTACGCGGGAACGGCCTGCTCTCTTGCGTGCAGCAGTTCACGCAGTGTAATGGGATCGCCTTCAGGGATCGCCGCACGTGTGATGGTGGGCATCTTGAGCATTGCTCCCAGCTCAGACACGCTTACCTGGGTTCAACTTTCGTCTGTAGTACCGGTTCTGTTGTAGTTCAGGCCGTGACATTCAGAGCATTGGCTTCCATCACGTTCCGCAAGTAACGTAGGCGTGAAAGAGTCTCGGAAATTAATGCTCCACATAGAGCTGTATGTGATAGTGTGATATCGAGACCATGGCAGCAAGTAATAAACTTGGGCTCTTGATCCAGCAAGACTCCACGGCGATCGATGCCGCATCTCAAACTTGATGTCTCAGAGCGGTTAGGAGGGACGGCGCAGTTGTTGCACAAGACGGTAGGAGATTCGTAGAGCGTGTGATACGGAAATACGCAGCGTAGAGACTCAACACTAGCAACTGCATGAGGCGGTACTGGGTGGGCACACCATGGCCTGACCCCAGAGGTGATCAGGGCGAGAAAAAGCAAAGTGACACCTATCTCAATGGCAGCATGAAGTCTGGAACGATCGTGTGGCGTCGAGATGCCGCCGGACTACCACATCCGGATCTCCAGAGTTCAGTGTTATGGCGGTCTGCTGAACTGGTTGTGAGTCGCCTCGACTGACGGGGACGTTTGACGCGTAGATGGTTTTACCCGACTCTTGCATGTGCAGCGATGCTGATATTGGGGCAAGTGGAGCCGACCGAGGAGAAGTACGGCCAAGCCAACGGGACATGGTTGCTTCACCGGCCGTTGTAGCATAGCGCCTGACGAATTGCTGCATGTACGGTGACGGCACGGCTCATAGTGCTTGTTCGGTTAGCCATCTGGGGCGCATAACCCTTTGTGCGTGCAGTTCCAAAAAGAAAGGTGGGAGAACGTCGAAGCTCGCATGGGTGGGGAACATTGAAAGGTAACACAAATACAAGGTCCAGACTGGTTTTGAAGTCGCGTGGATGGGAAGGCCCGCGCCACCATTGCGCCAAGCAGCCGCGATTGTCAACATCTCATGGGCGCTCTTGCCATGCTTGCCACACATTCATTGCGCACCGCCATCGTATGATAAGGAAAGTAAGCGAGCCATGTAACGTGTCATAGTAAGTATTGTTTGGCTGCAGGTATGCATGTAGAGGCTCGCTATGCAGCCGAAGCAGTCGCAGCGCACAACTCCAGCCGACATGATGGCTTGCAGGGCCACGAGGGGCCGCAACGCCCCATCCACTGTCACAACCGAGATCCAGCTGGATAACGTTCTCCTAAGCTCCGATGCATGTCGATCGTACGGCAGGGTTCTGATACACGTTCATCGAGGGCCCCCTCACCGTTTACTGATCCTCACTCGAACAGCTTTGTCCTGACAGGCATGTAGGTTCCGTTTTCTCTGCACTGGAAGCTTGTTTTGAAATATACTGACGCTTCTTCTTCTCCAAAAACTCTCACTGTCACGTCGTTGGGAACCATCTACTTCATCCCGCCCAGTGTCAACGTCTTCTTCCTAGCACCGTGGCTGCCACGGGCAATCTGTGCAACGATGCCATGATCGTACGATGTCCCTTGCTCGTGGCATCCACGTCCATATGCAGTAGAGATATATTGTTCACTCGGATATCTGTCGGTTCCCTGATCCTCTCTAGCCTTCCTGCGGCTGAAAGTCTGACGTCTATGCAATCTTCCAGTCGCGTCACAAGAAGCACGGCGAAGCTCGGTAACTGCACCTCCTATGAAAGTAGTCCCTAATAGTCTTGAAGCAAGACTGGATTGGACAAGCTGTTCTCCTTTCGGAAGCTAGCCTTGTTGTTCCACGTGGCAAACATAGACTCCGCGTTTTGCTTCTACACGCCTTACCGACCATATCACGTAGGCTCTCCACTTGGTCATCTGGTGGTGATGTGGAATTGGCCCATCAGGCCATTGGGGGATGATTGCCACTCGATCTGACTCTCGACGCCGGCACCTGTTGCCGCACACGTACTGCCAAATACTTGCATATCCAATCACAGGAGACCAGCCATCGACATTGCACTTTTCCACGTTTTCGAAGACGTTTTGAGATGCACGCCAATGATTGTAACCAAACCAAGACCTGCGCTTGGGAAGGAAAAGGAAGTGCCGACCATATGTGGCCCTCGCTCAAGGCAAGTTTCTTAGGGTGCATCGCCTTCACAACCATGTTGTGACGCTGGCTTTCTGTCCATGCTCAGACCTTTAAATTACCGCTCATCCTCACATCACTTGCCAGGATGGTCCCGGGCAGTCCAGTCAGGCCATTTTGTCTGCAGGTCTCGTCTCTCTGCTCCGCTACATTGCATCCCACAGCAACACAGTTTTCTCAATTGACAGTAGCTCATGCTGTAGTTCGGATCTGGAACTCGACGCACGGTCAGCAACGGGCAGGTAGCTGCAGTCATCGGATGATATCCACGGTAGACTTGACCTTCCCACCACTGAGGCTGATGTGCTAACTCATTCTGGCAGCCAAACATCGGAAGCGCGTCGCATCATTGCATCTCGGATATCCTGCACGATGACTGTGCCTGCAGACCAGACGCTATTCTTCTCACTGCCATTAGAGCTACGCCAGCTGATCTACAACTCTGTGCTTGCATCACCTCAGCATGGCCCACAACTATTACGAACATGTCGGGAGATACATTCAGAGGCACAAAAGTTCCTCTTCGAGAGACCACTCAACTTTCGAAGTCAGGTGGCCCTTTTTGATTGGTTGGATCAAGTACCGCACGAATACCTATCACAAACCAAGGAACTCTCCTTGAGCATCCAGGATGTGGACCTCAGATCTCTACTAGATGCAACTGCTCTAATTAGCCATCCAGGTGATCCACCCCGGCTCTTGACGTGGGACCTTTACGAAGCAGAGCTAGACAAGCTTCACCGTGGCCTAAATCAGCTACCAAAAATCCAGAAGATCACGATCCGAGCGATTGCAGGCCGACAGTCTTTTCTTTATCGGGACTTTCTTAAGAAGTTTCTAGTACTTCTGACTTCTCTCTACCCCGACCTTTTGGAACTACGTCTGGAAGGTAACCTCCATCACCAGGATTTGTCTTTTCTGTCCAGGTTCTCAAGACTGCAAGCACTTTCATTCGATGGTTTCTGTGCCTCGTCCCCACTTGAGACGGCCAAAATTCTTTCCGGATTGGAACATCTCACGAGCCTGTCACTGGTCTCCCAGAGTGCAATGCTTGCAGCAGACTCACATACTCACAGTACGTTTACTTCAAGACGTCAGTCCCTTACTGGAGAGGTTGTCAACGCGATGAATAATCTCAAGTATTTCTCAGTTACTGAGATTAATCCCGTCGCCGCACCAACGTTATATTTCACCCCTGAGGTCCTAGCATCCTTGCAAAACCACAAGGGCTTGAAGGTAATCAAAGTATGCCTGTCACGAGCCCCCAGTCGTGAGACTATGACAGCCTTGGAAAGGTTTCTGGAGCATACCCGCATCAACGTCCTGGAACTGGACTGGCCACAACTGCATTTCCATATGCTGGAGACCTTTTCCCTGATCCCCAAAGATCTTGAGAAGCTTTGGGTACGAGTCAGAAGTGCAGCTGATGCTGTTGAGATGATCCAGTCCATCGCTAAGAGCCGAGGTGCTGGGGACCTTTGCGCCCTGGATGAGCTCGTCCTTCTGCGCTCTATGCAGACATACAATGAGCTCACATCAGTCATCAATGATGGGAAGGATCTTCGTAGTGTGAGTTCCCCATGACGGTAGTTGTTTGACTGGTTTGCATCATGTACTGACGGACTCGCAGATGCATTCTCGGTCCGGAGATACGGATGCCTCCAACATCGTTCGCGCCCAGTCGCGCTTACAAAGTTTAGGCGTACGAGTCTCCTGGTGCACAGAAGCTTCGTAATCTTGAGGCTCTTGCAGAAACCATAAGAGTTTTGAGACACCACTATGACGGATGTTAGGCATAGGGTTGTAGCTTCTTCTGGTTCATGGTCGCACAACATATAGATCACTTACATATACCCAAAAGCAACTTAATGTTTAATCTGTGCTGGCACATCACTCCAAAAGCTCAAATGTGAGCTGCTCTGCTGTTTCGACGTCTCACTTATTTGCAATGAACACCACCCAACTTACCTCACAATTGAGCCTGAATTGTGCTAGCGTTGTTTACCAAAAGTATGTATTTCTCCCTCGTATTTGGCAGCGTTACCTGCATTTTCCTCAGCAGGCCACAATTTACGTATTGCAATAGCGAACGAACAGACTACCGCTGCAAAGCGCAATCTCGAAGATAGGAAGTGACATACCTACCTACTATCTCGGTGCATTTCCCTTGCGGCCTTTACTCGACATATCAACAAATGAGACCTCGGCTTGTGGGGCGAAACTTGACCGCGCAAACTTCCTGGGCACGTTTCGTACAACCATGTCAGCACGCGCATGTCGCGCCGCGTAGATGCGCCTGCATAGGCCACTGCTGAGTCTTGAAACAAGCACGTGTGTGGGGACCTTCTAATCGTCGCTAAGCGCAGATCAACATCACCCTCGAAGCAGTTAAAAACAGCGTTCTACATGCTGCTTCCACAACAGAGGCTTGACGTTGGCTGTGATTGTGGTTAGGTAATCCATGGAAAAGTCCGGTTGGCTCCATCTCGATCTCAGATCTCGGCGGGCCGAGTTCAACACTTTGCGCGGCTTAATCAAAACTTCGTTTCCAGGTGGTTTTGGGTTGAGCGTGGATCATGGCATGGCCTGCGCAAAGCGGTCAGAGCCCGCGCGTCTTCGCGGAGTCGCAGACACTTGTGGTGTTTGAATGCGCATCTTTACAAGGTCTCTTATCACATGTGCCCCTCCGTCTCTTCCCGCAAGGGCGCTTTGTCCGTGTAAGACCGAGCTGCAGGGCAATCTGACGCCCTTGATTCGAGGCTTCCTTAGCAAATCAAATGCCCGGGGCTTGAGCAAACGCGTTCTAGACGTGAATGGCGTCATGCTGAACCATGCTAGTCCATATGTTCCTGCCATCGCGGTCGGAGGTTCTGGTGCGCCGTGGGGGCTACCAGAGCATCCAAAACGGTGGGTGGTGAGGCGTAGATTGACGCTTCTGGAAGGCTTTGGCTGGAAGGCTCACCGGCGCGCCGGAGCGTGTATCAAGTATGGTAGACCTCGCTCGTAGAGTCTTCTCTCTTCTTTTCTTTCATACCTGAATCACACAGCTATTTCAAACTTCGCCGGCGCAGAACGACCACATTTGACGCGACCCCACCACGTTTCTCAGCAAGATCGCAAGCCACGCAACTTTTTTTTGACGCGACTGTCGCGCAACAGATTGAGGCCCAAACATGGCGAGCACACCTACCGAACATCCTACCACAACGGCGACATTCCCCTCCCGCCAAAAGCCGATTCCCTACACTCACCAGAATGGGCAGCGCACCCAGCTCTCCTCCATTCTTCCACCGCTCGTTTTCGGTACCGCAACCTTCAACCACCAATACAATGACGACCCCTTCGCCATGGACACCACCGGCTTGGTGACCTCGGCCCTCACACACGGCATTCGCGCGTTCGACACATCGCCTTACTACGGTCCTTCTGAAGAGCTGCTAGGCAATGCACTGGCAACGCCGTTTGTGCGCGAGACATTCCCGCGCAACTCCTACATGATCCTGACCAAAGTGGGACGGATAGCAGGCTCCGATTTCGACTACAGCAAAGAATGGGTGCGACAAAGCGTTAGGCGGAGCTTGGAAAGGCTACACACCGACTATCTTGACCTCGTGTACTGCCACGACGTCGAGTTTGTTACACCCGCTGAAGTCCTCGAGGCCGTCAGGGAACTCCGGCGCATTCGAGACGAGGAGGGCACAATCAGGTACATCGGTATCTCCGGGTACCCGCTCGACGTCCTAGGCGACATGGCAGAGATGATCCTGCGTGAGACAGGCGAGCCACTGAACGCAGTGCAATCCTATGCCAACTTCACCCTGCAAAACCAGACCCTCGCCGGTCCGCGCGGCGTTCAGCGTCTGCGCAACGCAGGCGTCGACGTGGTTCCCAACGCATCTATCCTGGGCATGGGACTGCTGCGCCGACAAGGTGTGCCGTGCGGTGCCTTGGGTGACTGGCACCCAGCGCCGAGCGCGCTGCGCGCTGCGGTCCGCAACGCAAGCGATTTCTGCGACGCGTACGGCGAAAAGCTGGAAGTCATTGCAATTCGCTTTGCGCTGGAGACGTGGATCTCCGCCGGTGCGGCGTGCGGGTCCAAGGGCGACCCTGCGTCTGGCGTGCCCTGGAAGCACGAGTCGAACGACGACGTCGGCGGTGCGAAACTCGGTGTCTCCGTTATTGGTGTGTCGCGCGCGCCCGAGCTCGAGAAGACGATGCTGGTGTGGCGCTCGATCCTCGATGGTCTCGAGGGCGGCGAGGAGACGGCTGCGCAGGCTGGCCGCTGGTACAGGGCGTGGGAGTGGTCGAGGAACAGGCGAGATGCTGTGCGCATTCTTGCCGAGGGCATTCACGAGATTCTCGAGGATGGCTTCGATTTTGCATGGGCCAGCCCTGATGCAGACTATGTCCACACGAAGAAGCAGAAGGTTGTCGAACAGAACGACGCGCCGTGGTTGACTCCCGCGGCAAGCCCTGAGGCTAAGCCGGTCAAGGGTGGTGTCGAGGTCGCCGATGAGAAGAGCTTGCCTTTACGGTAACGCAGGGATCAGAAGTAGAAAGAGAAAGCGAAAACGCAAGCGTCTATTGGAATAACTTCATGAGTACATATAACAAAAGCCAGAATCGATATCCGGTCGTTGCTTACTGCACCCGGAATAGGAGGATTATCTTCTGTCACTTCATCTACGTACGACATCGTCCCTCGCGTCATACTGCCTACACTCTTCTTCCGTCAAACCCATTTCTTCGCTACGATGCATTGTCATAAACCTCGCTCAAATCATCGCACGAAATGCCCCGCACAAGACACTTCGTTCACAGTTTCATTTCAGCAGCGCTGTCAGAGTGCCTGACCGAGGTGTTGACCTTGTGGAAGATGGTCCCATGGGTTATGCTCACAGGCGCTTTCCTCAAATGCGTTGTCATGCGAATGACATTGACGCCAACAATTCTCTGATTGACAGCTGGTACTCATACAGCTTAGAATTCCACTGGTACGGTGCCGGCATAGTGTGACACATGATTTCGGCTTCCAAGGCAGCCCAGAAACACCACACTCGGCTTTTGGAGTGAACCGTGCGCCGTTGATAAACACCGTTGCTATCATTGTCCCGAAAGAATACACCGTATTCCCCGATCATGGTATGCTGCCGAGGCCTCATCACGTGATGTATCTGTGTTTGGTCGCCTCCAATCTCAAGGTCTCCAAAGACACACAAGATGATGACGAGCTAGTCTATCTTATCAGACCCAATATCTTAGAGTTCCAGAGAAGAAACATAGTTGATAGGATGTCAGGATCAGGCCTCCCGACGAATCCGTGACCCTAACGGGAGTCTCTGTGTGCAAGTACGGAGTACGAGCTCGCAATATATCAGCCGTTGAGGTGTAGACAGCCTCAGAAGCATTCTTGGAACTGGTTCAATGTGGAAGACCATGCGCGATAACGATTGGTAAACGTACCTTCGAGTGGTGAATTTTTACCTATGCCGGATACGGCGATTAGGTGGATATTTCTAGCAGCTTCGACCAATCGCCCAGAACATTCGACCAATTACACGATTCGCCTCGCACCTTCAGCCTTACATCATGCCTCGCATTCGAACGGCATAAGCAATCCACAGCCTCAAAAGATGCATATATATTCTCCCACCGTCGAGTCTCACGCTTATCAGTACAATCATCAAAACAATCATCAAGCGAACATATAACTCAACTCAACATAAAAAGCCACCAAGCTATCACACCTACAACGACCACGCAAACAACCACGCACCGCATGAGCCAAACCACGCACAACACAAACCATCCAACAATGGCCGACACAAACTTCACCGCACCATACGAACGTACTCCCACCCCACCACCCAAACGCAGAAAAACAGTCGGCCAGTGCCCAACCTGCGCTGCGTCTTTCTCCTCACGCCACGAACTACGCGCCCACATGGCGGATCCGGCACTCCACGCGCCCGCTGAAGACTCAGATGCTGTGTCTTTCGGGGAACTGAGTGAGGGCTGGGGGAGTGGAGATGAGTTTTCTTCCGACAGGTCATTTCACGACAAGTCATCGTATGAGCACACGACCAAGGCCTCGGGCATTGTACCCGAGCCGACGCTAGAAGGGGACGGGTTTGAGTTTGCGACTGCCGACGAGTCCACGTTCTCAAGCACTGGATTTGGGGAGCCGACACTGCACAGCGACGGCTTCGAGTTTGCGCCCGCTGAGGAGTTCGCAAACGCAGAACCACCATCGCCTGACGTCCCCGCTGAGCACGCTGAGCAGGCCAGCAGCCCCACGGTCTCCGACGATACACAGCCCACACCCATTGAAACACCACCCTCTAGACCTCACGTGCCGAAGGGCGGCGCATTGGGTGTCCTGTATTGCGGGACGTGTGACAAAGGGTTTGGAAATGAGAAGGTGTTTAGAAGGCATTTCATGTTTGGAGCCAAGCATGCGGTGGAACCGGAGGATGTAAGGGATCTGTATTGGAGGATTTGGGGGCAGTCGTGGGGGGAGGAGGTACGGGAGAAGGAAGGTCAGGTGAAGGTGGAGGAGGTAGAGGTGGTGGACGTGGATGCTATGGATATGTAAAGGGAGGAGAGTTACGAGTTACGAGTTATGATACCCATGAAGTGTTTAATACATGAAATTTACATTTACTATATCTTCGCAGTACTATAAATACTCACCAACTGTTCATATCATGTTCACAACTTCGCAAACACTGTCGGGACCACGCCTCCCATCTCAACAAGTGTGCTCTTATTCCTAACCCACGCCTCGAGCCCCTTCTTTCCATTCTCGACGCCTACACCGCTCATCTTCCACCCTCCCACGCTCATCTCCGCCGGACTCTCACCCCACGTGTTGACCCAGGTAATTCCCGCCTCCAGTTTCGCGATCACCTGATGCGCGAGGTTCAGATCCTTGGTGAACACGCCTGCGGCCAGCCCGACGTCGGTGTTGTTTGCGCGCGCCACGACTTCGTCCACAGTGTCGTATGTCAGGATCGACATGACGGGGCCGAAGATTTCCTCGCGCACGATCTTCATCGAGTCTGTGCAGTCGGTGAACACGGTGGGCTCGACCCAGTAGCCGTTCTTGAGAGCGGAGTTGGAGTGGGAAGCGAGCCAGGCGGGGGTTCCTGCACCGCCGCACAGTAGCGTTGCCTTGTCGTTCTCAATGCCATGGGTGATATACGACTTGACCTTCTCCCAGTGCGGCTTCGACACCAGCGGGCCGAAGTTGGTGGCTGGGTCGTGCAAGTCGCCCGGGCGAATGTGCTGGATCTTCTCGAGCAGCAGCTTCTCGAACGCGGGCTTCATGGCCGCGGGGATGAAGACGCGGGTGCCGTTTGTGCAGACCTGGCCGGTGGAGAAGAAGTTGGCCATCATGGCGCCGTCAACGGCCTGCTCGAGATCCGCGTCGGGCAGGATCACGCACGCGGACTTGCCGCCGAGCTCCATGGTCACGTACTTCATCTCTCCGGCAGCGCTGCCGGCGACCTTGCGACCCGTGGAGACCTGGCCTGTGAAGCTGACCTTTGCGATTTCAGGGTGCTTGGTGAGGTACGCGCCGACCTCGCCGCCGCCCTGGACGACGTTGAAGACGCCCGGGGGGACACCGGCTTCCGCATAGACGGACGCCAGAACCTGGGCGTGGAGCGGTGTGAACTCAGATGGCTTGTAGACCATGCAGTTTCCTGCCGCTAGACATGGTGCCGATTTCCACAGCGCAATCTGAATGGGGTAGTTCCACGCGCCGATGCCTGCACATACGCCGAGGGAGTTCTTGGTGGTGTATACCCATGCGTCAGGTCGCAGCTGCGTCGTCTCGCCGTTCATGCCTCCACTGCCGACCATATTGGCGAAGTACTCCAGCACGTCAGCGCCTGTGACGACGTCTACTGTTGATGTCTCAGAAAACGGTTTTCCTGTGTCGCTGGTCTCGATCCTCGCCAGCTCGTCATTCCGTGCGCGGAGGATCGCTGCAGCTCGCTGCAGGACTCGCGCACGCTCGATGGGTGGTGTGGCTGACCATGCTGGGAAAGCCTTTTGCGCCGAAGCAATTGCGGCATCGATAGCAGCGTTCGTTGTTGTATGGATCTGAGCCAGTGGCTCTGAAGTAGATGGATCGATGGTCTGGAAAGACGAGGTCGAGCTGCCAGATTGGAGTTTGCCGTCGTAGTAGGCGAAGCGTGGCGCGTATGGGAGAGACATGGTGAAGTTGCGTTTGGTAGATTGATGATCTCGTGTGTCACCAAGATAAACGAGCAAGTACAATCTTTACTACAAAGTCAATTGATCTAGGAGACTATCAGTACTAGAGGGTTGCTGCCGATATCTTCGCAGACTTCGTGCGGGATACTCACTCAAAGAAAGCTCGATAATGGCTGAGCGGAGTTTATGCAGACGGTGCGATTGAGTGGCCTTTTCTGAGCACGCAGGATCCGCAATCTGGATGTAGAAAATCTTTCACGCGAGCACAACAAGATTGTAGGCGCAAGCTGGCGATACGATGAATGCATCTGACGCGATGCTTTGCCGATAGTAACTGACCGCCCGGCAGATGCTAGCAGGGGACCCTCGTGTTCGGTACAGACGCAGCCCAGAAGGTGGGGTTGCGCTAGCGCCCCAACCATCGCAAACATCCCTCCAAGTATCATCGGAATTTTTTTCCTCGCTGCATATGGCCTGGTCGCACAACAGCGCCGATCAGTCAAACAACCACGGAAGCAAAGCAGAGCATGGTCATAGGGCTTATCAAGTACCGTGAGAGCACTGTGAGTGCGTCTACCGATCTCTGACGTCTTGCCCATTCGCCTATCTTTCCTTCGCCGTTGAAACACCGAAAATAATGCACCACAGACGTCACCACATGCACGTGCGCTAACCCGCACTATCCGAGAAGCGGCCGTCTAGCACAGCTTTTCTTGGAAGGCCAACTGCATTTCTTGCAGCTGCACTGTCACCGGCATTCTAAGCCTCACCGGACCCTCTGTGTATCGCCTGATACATTGGATAGAGAGAACGTGCACCCGCCAGGCCCGGAAGCTGTCAGATTAAGGACGATACCAAAAAAATCTGGAGCTAGCTCCACACTACTTAAAGACCGGTACGTCTTACGAGCTTGTATATAACCATTGGGAGGACCAGCACATATCGGCTCAGGTCTCATCGCACCAATTCTACAACAATGGCATCCACTCACGAGACTGTCACCTCCATCCCCAAGGATGCCGAGTACGATTTCGTTATCGTCGGCGGCGGCACAGCTGGCTGTGTTATCGCCTCCCGTCTTACCGAGTATCTGCCCAACAAGAAGGTTCTCTTGATCGAGGCCGGACCCAGTGACTTCAAGGATGACCGCGTTCTTCTCCTGAAGGACTGGCTGAACCTCCTTGGTGGTGAGCTCGACTACGACTACGGCACCACTGAGCAGCCCAACGGCAACTCGCACATTCGCCACTCCCGCGCTAAGGTTCTGGGAGGCTGCTCGTCACACAACACCCTCATCTCCTTCCGACCATTTGAGTATGATTGCAAGAGGTGGGAAGAGCAGGGCTGTGACGGATGGAGCTTCAAGACCTTCATGCGTGTTCTTGACAACCTCCGCAACACTGTCCAGCCCGTCCACAAGAGGCACCGCAACCAGCTGTGCCTTGATTGGATTGACTCCTGCTCCAAGGCCATGGACATCCCGATCATCGAGGACTTCAACCATGAGATCAAGACCACGGGTGCCTTGAAGGGCTCCGTTGGATTCTTCAACGTGTCCTACAACCCCGACACTGGCCACCGCTCCAGCGCCAGTGTAGCGTACATCCACCCCATCCTGAACGGCTCAGAGAAGAGGGAGAACTTGACTGTTCTCACCAACGCCTGGGTCAGCAAGGTCAATGTCCAGGGCAGCAAGGTCACTGGCATCAACGTCACATTCCAGGACGGCTCGAGGCGGACACTGAACCCCAAGGCCGAGACTATTCTCTGCGCTGGCGCAGTTGACACTCCTCGTCTCATGCTTCTTTCCGGTCTCGGTCCCAAGCAGCAGCTCCAGGAGCTCGGTATTCCCGTTGTCAAGGACCTCCCCGGTGTCGGCGAGAACCTCCTTGACCACCCCGAGAGTATCATTCTGTGGGAGCTGAACAAGCCTGTTCCCCAGAACATGACCACCATGGACTCTGATGCTGGCATCTTCCTCCGCCGCGAGATCGCCAACGCTGCAGGGTCTGACGGCGAGATTGCCGATGTCATGATGCACTGCTACCAGATTCCCTTCTGTTTGAACACCACAAGGTAAGCTTGATGATTCGAAGATGAACAACAAGCGGCTAACGAAACTTAGACTCGGCTACGATTCACCCATCGACGCCTTCTGCATGACACCCAACATTCCCCGACCCCGCTCGCGCGGCCGCATCTATCTCACCTCCTCTGACCCCAACGTCAAGCCTGCCCTTGACTTCCGCTACTTCACCGACCCCGAGGGCTACGACGCTGCCACCATCGTCGCTGGTCTCAAGGCTGCACGTGAGATCGCCAAGCAGGCGCCCTTCAAGGACTGGATCAAGCGCGAAGTCGCCCCCGGCCCTAAGCTGCAGACCGACGAGGAGCTCTCCGAGTACGGCCGCCGTGTCGCCCACACAGTGTACCACCCTGCCGGTACCACCAAGATGGGTGACATCAAGAAGGATGCATTCGCTGTTGTCGACCCCGAGCTCAAGATCCGCGGTCTCCAGAACGTGCGCATTGCCGATGCCGGTGTCTTCCCTGAGATGCCCACAATCAACCCCATGTTGACTGTTCTCGCTATCGGCGAGCGTGCTGCTGAGCTCATTGCTGCCGAGCACGGCTGGAAGGGTCTGCAGAAGGAGAGGTTGTAAGCTGTGACGATAATAGACGAGGAATAGGAGGAACGATCAGATCTGGATACGATTTTGACGCCTTGTATGTATGTTTTTGTATGTAGGATTGAGATATCATGACAATGAGTGACGCCGGCGCGCGGAACTATTCCAACGCAGCAATTGCCCAAGCAACTTCCCAAGCACCTATCGCTCCATTTCGTACTTAGCAAATGATCGAGAAGATGTAAGTTTCAAGTTGAGCAACAATAATCAAATTAAAAGAAATTACACCACACCGCTCTTCTTTGCTTGTGAAATGGACACTTGTAGGCTGCAAGTTGGTGCCACCAGGGGCTATCATGATACCCCTCCCGGGCCCATCCACGTATATTCTGTCCCCGCATGTATGTACATCGTTATCATTTTCATCAACACGTGATTGGCTGTCAACATTATGCAAAACGCTGACAGCGATTCTACGCGAGAGACCTGTTTATCCCTTGCACGACGCATCCCTTTGTTTGCTCACCCTGGCTTGTTACCTATGTGCTACCGCAGCACGGGCAAACAAAGCGCATTTGGTGGTGCCTGCATACGGCCCGTCACGCACATATATAGCAAACACGACCATCTCAAGGATTAACTACCGGCCAAAATGCCTGCATTGCGGATGTGCCCGTCGTTGCCTACTGTTGCCTGAACGCGATGCTGCATTCGGCTTTGTTGCCGCGTCAAATCGCGTCTGCGCGCCAACCTCAAGTGCACGCCAAAACCTGGAACGCGTGACGACACCGCGTATTTTCGATTGCAGCAAGACACAATCACGGCATCTGAGACCTCTTGCAGCTAGCAGCAGCCACGAGACACAGTGGCAGCAAAGTCGGGCTAGGACACGCAAAAGCAACCTTGATCTTCACTCGCCTCCCGCACCCTGAGCAATAGGGTATCTTCGCTACCAATTTTCTGCACGACATCTTCCACGAGCACGCGTCTACACTGTCCCGAGCCTACCGAATTATCCGCCTTCCAGATCAGATCGTACTGGAGCTATCTCTTCTGCGATTCTGCACGGCAGTTATTAAGATTCAACAGCCTGTAGTCAGCGTATTGCATCCTTGGCAAAACACATCCTCGACCCTGGAGGGTCAGTCATTGGAATGGCTCCCATGTTATCCGAGCCTCCCAGGCCGCGGCCTCGTCGACGTAAGTACAAGGTGCCCACTAATAGATCAACAACAAGCTTATCATTTTAACCACAGAGGCCTTCGTCGCAACATGCTCACCTGACGAGCTGCTTGGTCAAGTCATCCAGGCACTTTGTCCCAGTTACAACATCGATGCACCTCACCTGTTGGCATTGCGACAAGTACTTTCAAGCGCTATTGTGGCACCCAAAAAACCTCCGACGTTGAAGCGCACTCGTCCTGATAGACGCATCGGCGAGGTCTTTCCGGTCCATGATACACCACGTCGGTCTGTGTTTGGCCCAAACGGTCCGCCAGTATCTGCGGAGCAAAGTTTCTATTTCCACCATCAGGATCCTGATTTCGAAAGGCTGTTGCCGCAGGTGGATCGAACACGTTTCGACAAGCCAGAGAAACCAAACGTTTGCTCAAATCTGAACACTGAGGAAGTTCTGGACAGTCAGGAGAGCATGGAGTCGGTTCTTACAGTTCCTTTGGTAGCTACACCTGATACTCAGTGCAGCGTATCTACTGAGCCCACGACACTGCACGAACCCACGTTGATCGATCGCAAAGAGACGTCCACAGAGCACACACATCAGCCAAGGATCTCATCCGAGTCCGAATCGCCTGTCAGTGACAATTCAAAAGTCATCCCAACCATGTCACAGGATGGCGCGACTCATACACTGACAAACCCTCACACTCCACCCATTCCGGCCATCACCATAACGAGTCCACAGCCAACGTTCAAGGGTGCATTGAGCCTGTCAAGAGACATACCAGTACCATCAGCTCTTCCAATAGAGATCACTGTCGCCATGCAACCTCCACTTCTTCAGGACAGTCATGAGGATCCCCAGTCCTCCACTCCGGTGTGCCACATTGTGCAGTATACAGACACACAGGATACCGTCATCAGCACTCAGCAGAGCGAAGTCTTCAGCCAGCCAGTTGATTTTGTGCACTTCACTCCGCCCACGCAGGAAGATAGTCAGAGTGGGGTCATGTCGTCGCAGCCAACACCCTCAGCAATATCGTTGGGTAAGCGGCCGCGCTCGGTAACGGATACGATGGATCGGGAGCCGGAACTGAAGCGGGCGAGGTCGGGGGTGCAGGCTTCACACGGAACATAGTAAGAAGGAATTCGGATCACACATATGCTAGCTACAATACAACACAAATACAGCACGGGCTTATTGTCAGCAGCTTCGCCATCTAAAGACTCACACGTACTAGATCTAAGGATGATGAACGAACTTTACGCTTTCCCAAAGTCCGATAGACCCCTTCTCTGCTTCTCAGCACACGTTCAGCAAGATTGTCACATAAAGTATGTCTACCTGTGCGATCTTGAATCTTCGCCACCAAAGTGATGTTGTGATCTGACACCTCTCCACGTACTAGACCAAACTTGAGAAACAGATTTTACGCATGCCCCTTCACATCTCCACCCGCATTCAGCTTGACACATGTGCTTTACCTCTGGTGAGATATGTTCTTCAGGTTTATCGAAAGTATTTTACAGACCATAGGCCATTGGTACTATCTTGGTGCCTCGATGATAGGCTTCAGGCCCGCGCTTCTGTGAACGGAAATGGTTTTTAGCGACCTTGCTATCTAGCCGCCGAAAACTTGATTTGTAGAGGGACTAGTTCACCATATCAGAGACCAGTTGCCAGTGACGAAGTCAAATGTTCGGGACCATGTCAATATATTACAGACGAAGTCAACACGAATACTGCCAGGTACCAAACGCCGAAATTTAGCACCTTTGCAGCAACCGACTTCTAAACAGCAATGTTATCCTTCGGCATATCCAAAAACGCCCCAACAAGGGGCTTCGGTGGCCACTCGCCCGCGTCAAACTCACACTCAAACTCATGTACCCCAGACCCCACCACCCTCTCCGGTTCCTTATCATCCTCAACCGAGAATCCCTTCTTCACTTCGCTAGGCAGCGTGACAGCCGCCGAGCAATTCGGTGGCACCTCGATCCTCATCCAGAACTTGCCCTCGCTCCATGTCCACCGACACGCCACGCGCCCATACGGCCCATCAAACGACACGTCCGCACTGGTAAGGTTCCCGCCCGGCACGGGCCGCACGCGGATAACGCGCCAGCCCGGCTCGAGCGGCGAAATGCCGCCGACGGTGCCGTGCAGCCAGTCCGCGACGGAGCCGTATGCGTAGTGGTTGAAGCTGGTCATTTGGCCTGGGTTGATGCGGCCGCTGGGGAGCATGCTGTCCCAGCGCTCCCAGACGGTGGTGGCGCCCATCCTGACGGCGTAGAGCCAGCTTGGGCACGATTGTTCGAGGAGCATGCGGTAGGCGAGTTGGGGCTGGCCCATCTTGGTTAGGGCGTGGGTGATGATCGGGGTCCCGGCGAAACCGGTCGCGACGCGGAAACGTGCTGTGCGGACGAGTTTTTCGAGGGCTGCGGCGGCGGTTTTGCGATGGGTGTCGTCGTTTGGGTAGAGGTCGTATTGGATGGCGAGTCCGATGCCGGTTTGCGTTGTGCCCATTAGATTACCTTCGGGACTGATGTAGCGCCGCTGGAAAAGGGCTTTGAGACGAGCGGCGTCGTTGGTGTACTGCTCAGCAAGTTGGGTTTTGCCGAGAGCACTGCATAGTTGCGCGAATGTTTGGGTTACATGAATCAAGAACTCGTTTGCAACAAGAATCCCGTCAGTGCGTGCGTTACCCGGGTCATCTGGCGGTGCTGCTGGATCAAGCCAATCTGACAACTGCCACTTGTCTGGATTCCAAAGACCGTCCGGAGCCCTGTCAACGCCTTTGTCCAGCCAAATCTGCATGCTCTCAAATTGCCGCTCCAGTAGGGTCTGATCAGCGCTGTATTGATATAGCGAAGCAGGGGTCAACACCGCAACGTCATCCCATACAGCCTGAGCCATGTGTGGCCAATGTGGCATATGTGCTAGAGGCACAACAAGGGGTGGAATCCCGCCCTTTCCATCTTCAAGCTGCTCGGCTGAAAGATCCTCGAGCCAGCTCCCCAGTATGCCCATTGTATCGTAAAGGAAAGTTGCCGTGGGTGTAAAGGCTTGAATATCGCCAGTCCAACCCAGTCGTTCATCTCGCTGAGGACAATCGGTGGGTAGGGAGACAAAGTTTCCGCGCATCGACCAAACCACGTTACGGTGTAATTGATTGACAGCTGCATTCGAGCACTCAAAGAAACCTCGCCGTTTCATGTCAGTGTGTATAACGTGCGCTTGAATATCAGTGACAGACAGCTCTCCTGGCCAACCATCGACTTGAACGTAGCGAAATCCGTGGAAAGTAAACTTGGGCGACCAATTGACGACAGGTTTCCCAGAGCCAATGATGATGTCGTGCGCTTTGGCTGTTCGCAACGGGCGTATGCCAAGCTCGTCGTCTTCCATGACTTCGGCGTGGCGAAAACTGACTTCATGGCCAGATTCGAGGTGCACGTGAGCGATGAACAACGTACCGACCAGATTTTGTCCGAAGTCAAGGATCGTGTGCCCCTCCCTACTATTGAAGATCTCCTTGCAGACTACCTTTTCTGTGACGCGGACCGGTGCTGCATCAACGGCTACAAGTGTAGAAGACGGGCAAGGCAGGACTTTGACTCCTGACGTGCTTGAGGCCCAGTCAGGTCCTGCTTTCGTCCAGTCTGCCTGATCCTCCCGTGTGTCGTAGGTCTCGCCATCGTAGAGTTGGCTGTGGATACGTGCGCTTGGAGCACTTGACCATGTGTCATCGGTAAGAAGAGTATATGTATCCTTGCCTTGCTCTGCAACCTCAAGCTGTGCCGCGAGTCCGATATTCTTCCCGTACGTGAAGCTCTGTCCACCTCGTAGACCTAGTCGACCAGCATACCAGCCATCACCAACCTCGGCGCATATCACGTTGTCTTGACCAGGCAGTAAGAGCGACGATACGTCGTAGATACGGTAGGCTAGTCGATGATTGTAGCTGGTCCAGCCCGGTGCAAACAGTTCATCACTGACAAGTTTTCCGTTGATGTATGCCTCAAACACACCGAACGCGGTGATATAGAGTCGCGCATTGAGGCTGGTCATGACATCTTTGGGTAGTGTGAACTCCTTCCGGAATCGGATGGGCCTCAAAGGGGTATCCGGTCCAAAGCGTTCGAGCGACGTGATGAAGTCTCCTTTGAACTCTTCAGCTAGATTGAGCAACGCAGCTTCGACTCTAGACACAGGCGACCACTCGCTAGGCTGCGTGTCACTGAGGGAAGCATCCTCTGAACTCTTGCCATACACACGAACGCGAACAGAAGCTGCTTCTCGGGAGGCGAGAGGACGTGCAGGCCAAGGAACGAGGACTGAGTCCGGACTCGTCACCCGAAACCAGTTTGGCCCATTTCCTTCGGCGAACGTTACCTCTACTTCATAGGCAGTCTGCGTCCATGCTCGCGCGGTTGACGGTGACGATGAAAATGTCCAAGACAGTCGCGGCGTCGAAGTGCAGACTCCAAGGCCGCTGAAATGGTGTTCAAAGGTCGCACTTGAAACACCGGGGTAGCTCATGATCGTAGAAGGGAAGACTGGTGAAGTGCATAGCAGCCGTGGCCTCCATGTCACGGCTCCTATATCCAGTCAATGTCACTTGTGGGGCTCTAACTCCATCTCGGGGTTCGGGCTGAAAGAGTGCGAGACGAAGTTTCGTGACACACAGCTGGGTAACCTTTACCTGGGGATGTATGCGGCTTTCCCACCGTCGGCTTGGCAACTAACCGAAACTGGATGGGATCAGCGTTCTCCGCATCTGGGGTGAATTGCCACACCTGGTATGCCCACTCTTGCGAGAGAATGTATTGATCACCGTCGACGACAAGTCAAACATGAATCATGTGTTTTGTCGGTATTCGGACGTAATCTATCCGAGATGGATAAGATCCACGGTGTGCATTCCCAGGAGCATGGTAACCTGGGGCATATATAGCCTTCTGCATGTCGCTGTCGCCCTGATCCACAAACTGTCAGCATTTGTTAGCTGAGGTCAGAAGAGCCATCATGAACTGGCTGATACTCACTGTGGCCTTTGTTGCCGCACAGGGTGGCTTCATCTATGGGTTCGACTCTGGTACGCCACCGTTACCTACACCGTCATCCTCATCTAACAAGAATTGTAGGCATCATCGCAACAACCTTCGGCCATGACAGCTTCAAGCGTATCATGTATGGACCCGCCATGAGGAACACGACGTACTCGGGCGCCATCGTCTCGGTCTACAATGCTGGACAAGCTATCGGTGGGCTGACGACTGGATGGCTCGCAGACAGGATTTCGCGCAAATACACCATTCTCGTGGCTTCTATACTCACTATCGTGGGATCCATTCTTCAGTGCGCCGCGGTGCATGTGGGTATGCTCATTGCCGGCCGTCTGATTGCTGGTATCGGATGCGGTCAGCTGCTGTCAGTTGTACCCATCTACCTCGCTGAAGCCGCACCTCCCACGAGACGAGGCTTTCTTGTTGGAACACAAGGTATGATGATTGCTGTCGGGTTTGGACTCGCGAACTGGGTTGGATATGCCGGATCTCATGCCAGCGGGCATGCGCAGTGGAGGTAAGAAAACCGCTTCATGTCGACCGAGAGCTTGCTGACAACATATAGAATTCCTCTCGCAATGCAGCTTCCCATCCCTATCGTGCTCTGCGTCCTGGTGTTTTTCATTCCATTCTCGCCACGTTGGCTCGTCCTGCGTGATCGTCACGACGAAGCCAAACGCGTCCTTGCTAGCCTCCACGGCACCGCCGACAACGAAGAATTTCTCGAACGCGAACTCCTCCAGATCCAGGAGCAAATCCAGCTCGAGCGCGAGCAAGGAAACCTGGACTGGATCACCTCCCTCAAAGCCATGTTCTCGCGCAAGTACGTCCGTCGCACCCTGACCGCCGCCTTCATCATCACCATGGGCCAGCTGTCCGGATCCAGCGTGATCCAGAACTTCCAGAACATTTTCTACGCGCAGGTCGGCTTCACAGGGCAGACTTCGCTGCTCATCAGCGGCGCATACGGCATGATGGGCATCCTGGGACAGGTCATCTACCTGCTCGTCGTAGCGGACAGGTGGCCGCGCACGCGAACGCTGTGGTCCGGGTCCCTGGTCTTGAGCGTCATGATCGCCCTCCTCATGGGTCTGAGCGCCGAGTTCGGCACGGGAGGCAGCACGAACCAGGCCGGTGCGCGCGGAGCCATTGCGTCGATCTTCATCTACTCGATGTGCTACGCGATCTTCTTCAATGCGATGATCTGGGTGGTGCCGTCTGAGTTGTTCCCCTTCTTCTTGCGAACGAAAGGCCTTGCGTTTGCGGTGGCGGTCAAGTCTATGACGGCCATCGTGCTGTCGCAGATCACGCCTATTGCTATTGCGGAGGTGAGCTGGCGCTATTATTCTCTGTTCATTGCGACGAATCTTGCGGCCGCTGTGTTTTACTTCTTTTGCCTTCCGGAGACGTCTGGAAAGACCTTGGAGGAGATTGCAGGTATTTTCGGTGATGACGTCGCTACGTATGCCGAAGGGAAGGTGCTTGACGAGAAGGATGGCATTGAGGTTCGGGAAGTGGCAGGCACTCGAGCTTGATCGTTCGTGAGATCCCTGAAAGTGATGAACAGTACAATAAACCTTGCCAAAGTTGCTCTTGCTTCGTGGTCTTCTTCTCTTGTGAATCTACCGAGAGTTAATTATAACTCTTGACGCTCTCCATGAACAGTCTGTTGCAAGTATTCCTCGAAGTATTGTTGTATCCATGGCTGTCTTGATCACATGTCAGTCAACGATTTCTATTTATAAAGAAGCATCAATGACCATGATACCCAAATCATCTACAATCTCGCCAACGGAGTCTTTGTCCTGTCGCTTTCTCATCACCACCCCTCAATCTGGAACTCAAACGTCCGGTCCCCTTCTCCTGTAGCAACAGGCTGCGCATCACTGTCAAACAGCGTGCGCTCCAAATAGAACGCCTTACCAGCCTTATCAACAAGGATCACGATCTGCTTCTCCGTGCCATAACACCCACTCGTCGCATCCGCCGCCTTCTGCTTCACCACATCGCCCACCTCATGGCTCGGCATCTTATGCAACTCAAGGTGATCTCTCCCAATCGCCGGAATAAACACGCTATGCCGCAGCTGCGTAAGATACATATCCCACTCCTCGTTGTCTCGCTGGCGGGGCATGCTATCAACAGACAGCACGCCTAGCAGGCGCTCAACAAGCTGCTCGCGCGTCTCGTGCGCCGCAACCGATGCGCTGATCGCTTCTTCGGTCCACTTCTCGCCATTGGTGACTTTGGGCCACGAGCGGTCGCCGTACGCGGCGTTGCTGAGCGCCGTCGTCTCGCCCTTTTGGCGTAGGAGATGCACCACGCCTTCAACATCGGGCGTGCGGTTGCTCACGATGCTGAGGCCGGCACCGTTGATTACGTCCTGGGCGAAGCCGTAGCACAGCGAGAAGCCGCCGACGCCCTGGACGCCGTCTTCTTCGATCATCTGGCGCGCGAAGTCGGCGGCGGTTTGCGTGGAGGCGGGGTCGGTTTTCAGCCAGGCATTGGGGATCAGGCCGCGGCTGCGGGCGCCTTGCACGATGGCTTGGTTCTCCTCGCGGTAGTTGGTCAGGACTGCGATGCGGCCTTGTCGCGTCATGCCTAACCAGGTGCCGTGGGCAGGGCGGTGGAGGTCATAGCCCCCTAGGACCTGGGAGTCGGGTGATGGCCACCATTGGGCTTCTGCTGTTGGGCGGTGGAGGTACTCCTACATACTGGCTTCAGCACTAGATTTGGATGTATAGTGTTGGGGGAATTACATCGCGGTTATTGAGGAGGATGAAGGGATAGTCCGGGTGTGCGGTGGTGAGGATTGCGATACACATGGTCAGGCTCTGGTATATTTCTCAGATGTCGATAGAATGTGTCGTTCAATTGATATCAGAAACGGCGTGCAGTTTTGACGTGGGTGGTGTGGCTGCCAACAACGACACTATATACGTGTCTCCTGTCTCCCCAGATTCCAGCTCGCTGCGCCACGTGGGGTGAGGTGGGATCATGCATATTCGGCGGCGTGAGGAGAAACGAGGTCTGAAGGCCAGCAACGGGCGAGAGTCCTGAGCCTCGGGCCATCGGTCGCCTTATGTCATCGTCCTGGCGTGCCTTTCACATGCCCAGCAGCCGGCATCCGCAACCGAGACCCTGAGCTCGAGCTCGGATCCCTGCGCCCCACGCGTCACTGCCGCTGCCGCATCTCCCACATCAACAGGCTACAACCACACCTACAGCACCCGGAACACACGCTCACTCACAATGGCAGCTTCCTTCGCGCCCTACCAAGACATCCCCGAGACCCAGCGCGCTCTCTCCCCTCCCCTCGCGTCCCCGCGGCGCTCCGCCGACCGCCCCCGCAATATCTCCGCCGTCGCCTCGCCGCCGACGCGCGCCTACGAGCAGCACGATTACTTCGGGGCGGGCGACGAGTCGCCCGAGACCGAGAGCGGCACATGGAACACGCCAGCGGCGTCGCAGCCGCTCGGGTTCGGCGCACCGCGCGAGGACGTAGATATGTTTACGACGAGCCTGGGGCTGCGGATGGACTATGAGGCGTGTCTTGCGTATCTGTTGCTGCCGCCAGCGGGGGGCGTGTTGCTGCTTGTGATGGAGCATCAGAGTGACTATGTCAGGTTCCATGCATGGCAGAGTAGTCTGCTGTTTGCGTTTGTGTTTGTGCTGCATGTTATTTTCAGCTGGTCGAAGTTTATCAGTTGGGTCATGGTGGTGGGAGATGTGGGGATGATTGGGTGGTTGACATGGAGGGCATATCTGGATGGTAAGGCGCGGCATGCATGGGGAGAATATGAGCTAATGTGAGGCAGCGGCGAATCTTGATCGGTATGAAGTGCCCTTCTTTGGACCGCTGGCAAGTTCGATTTTAGACGACGAGTAGACTGACCCATCTGCTTCCACAACCACCACATCACCCGAAACGCTCTTGAGCGAGTTGCTTAAGGAATTCCATCGTCTGCGCTTCCTTTGCCCTCCGCGCACTCAGCGCCTCCTCGCGCTCTGCTGCTCGTGCCCGCGCGATTTCCTCTCGCCGTATCTCGCGCTCGTTCTTTACACGCTCGTCCGCTTTCTTCTTCGCCTTGTATCCGTCGATGCCATCGTCGCCCATGAGCTCGTTCTCCCCAATCTCCACGTCACCACCCTCTTTCGCGTCGCGGAATGAATGCAGGGTACTGGTCGTCTCGCGTTTCTTCTCGAGCTGCCGCTCACGAGATCCAGGGTCGGCGCGCGGTGCAAGTTCGTCCGCACGCTCTTTCTGCGTCTTTCGCTCGGCCTTGCGCTCATAACGGGTGTCAGAAGCGTAAGCCGAGCGATCATGAGCCGCGTCTTCATTCCGTAGCTCGTTGCGATGCGTCAGGTCGTCGAAGCGTGGTATCGTTGGCCCGTGGCCTGCTGCGCGCGCCATCTGTGTGGGTGGTGCAGGACCAAAGTCATCGTCACTACTGTCAGACTGTTGGCCAGAAGCAGTCGGCTGCTTCGTATACTGCGGCGAACCTCGCCTGACAGGCGGCGGAGACTGGGACTTTGCACCGTATTCTTGCACCGTCTGTTGCGCACTCTGCAGCATCGACGGGTCGTACCAGCTACGCGCTAGCTCTCCACGGTTCCTGAAATGTCAGAATTGGTGTATAATGCGCATGGGCAGTTGCCTACCATCGCGACGTGAAGCTCTTCCAGCGCCCGCGCGCTTCCCGCTCGTCAAGCTCATCGAGCTGAATCTGTTTCTGTATGTCGAGGTAGGACTGGAAAAGCGGCTTGTACGCCTTGAAGTCGTGTTTTGACAGCGGCCTAGCTTGGTACGGGAGCTTCACTGGCTTCGCAGTTGGAGATCGCGATCGGTGTGAGCGATGTGAACGGTGCTTTCCATGGCTGTGGCGGTCGTCGTCGCGACGGGGAGAGCGCGAACGGCGCGATTTATGTTTTCGGTCGCGATCAGTGCGCTCGTGGCGGTCGGATCGGTCATGGTGGGGCGGTTGTGGTGAGTCCATGGTGTTGTGGTTTGGGTGTTTGGTGTAAGAGGCGTGATGTCAACTTTCAGCGACTCAGCCGAGTCATGGCTCCTGACTGCAAGCCGCGAACTGAGTCATGGTCGCTCTCTCTTCGTTATAAAGTTTGGCTGCGACAATGGCTAATTGGATTTGACAACAAACGAATGATTCATGTGATGAAGCTTAATTATATCTGCTCGCCATTCAGTCTGTCTTTTGCTTACTCTGACGGCAATGCGGCACGCGAGTACTCCAAGGTATGAACTGATTACTGCTCCCAACGTCATATTTAACAAGCTCTCTAAGTACCCTCTCACATTGCAGGATAAATAGTGGACTACTGTGGAAGCATGTGAGCCATGTATTCCACTACGCTGCAGCAAGTCGGAGAAAATGCAAGACAACTATATAGGATGCTTTTACCTACCATGTAGGTAATGCTTAATTGAATGTTGCGTTTAGGTATTATCATAGCTACAAGTTCTATGTTAAGGTTGGTCAGCCTGAAAGACGTTTGTCCGCCGTTTCTCCTGAGATGTGAGCAGTACCTATCCGTGCCCTCACTGCTTTTCCCACACTTCTATCTTCCAACCATCTTCTTCTCCAAGTACCGCGCAGGGATATAAACAAGACCCGTGACCACAAATGTGAACTCGTTCGCAATGTCGCCACCATCCGCTCCAATCAACTTGCCCAACGGGCCAACATACCACGTCTCCACCATTCCCATAATCCACGCCACGATTCCCACCAAGAACGCCACGCCCGCTGCGATCCCCAGGGGCAGCCGACTCGGGTCGTTCCATGCATCCAGATCATAGTTGTCGAAATTCATTCCGCGGAAGAGCACATGCTCACTGCACAGAATGATAAAGTACTGCGTAGTCCAATACCCGAGCAAACTAAGGAAGTTCTGCAGATACACAGACAGCTGCTCGCGGCCGCCAATCGCGAGCCCCAGAATCGCAGCGAAGCAGAGAAGCACCCAGATGAAGCGGGGCACGCGCGCAAAGGGGCGCGAGAACTGCTGGCACGAGATGGCGGCACTGTAGATGGAGATTACGTTGACGTTGATGCCGGAGAGGACGAGCAGGGTGAGGATGAGCTTGGCGAAGCCGTGCGGGTACAGCATCGTTTGGATGAGGAAGCCGAGTCCGTCGGTTTCGTAGGTATCTTTCCAGTCGGGGCGGTTGTTAAGGCCAGAGGATACGACGGCGCCTGCAATCATGCCTGGACGTGTTAGGAATGCAGGTAGAAATGAGCACAAGGCTTACCGATAGAGGTGGGGATTGAGATGCCGAAGGTCGTCATCAGAAAAACTTTCCATCGATTGACGTTTACAGGGTAGTGGACGTAGTAGTCGCTTGCCATGGTCTGCCAAGATGCAGAGCTGCCGTAGACGATGGCAATCAGACTCAGCACCGCGCCGCTGAGGTCTGCGCCATGGACAGACGGCGCGGGCGAGTTATCAGCGTATTTGCCGGTCTCTGCGAAGAAGATGATGAAGATTATCAGGAAAATCACCCAGGCATAACGCTCGTAGACCAGGATTGCTTTCAGGCCCACGAATGAGATCAGTGTGGCTACCACAGCCAGGATGACGATACCGACGATCAGCGAGATGTGACCGTCCGCAACAGCGGTCAGTGCCAGACCACCTGTGATGCAAGCCACGGCGGCCCAACCAATCTGCACGATGGTGTTGAGGGCTGCGATGACCTTGTTGGGCCACCATCCGAAAGCATATCTGCTGACGGAGACTATGCGTGATCAGTCCTCAGACTCCAGCAGAACTGCCCGAGAAATGCTTACTCTGACGCAGACCCGTCGGCGCACCGAAAGTAGCCGCAAAGCCCGTAGCCGCACCACCAAGCATGGATGCGAAGATGATGATAACAATACTCTGGCGGAGAGCTGCTCAAGTCAGAACCCCACCACTGCACGTCCAGCAGTCAGAAAAAGCGACTTACTTAAGCCAAACTCCCACCCCAGGAATCCCGTCGCAAAACACGACGTATTCATCGTGCCACTCGCCCACAGGAAGAACATGTTCATCTGATGGTACCACGGCACGTGACCCTTGTCCTCTGGCAGCTTGCGACTAATCGCATCACTCTCGATCCCAAACTTCGTATCCATCTTGGCCTCGAACCTGCGCAGCGCACCCAGCACCCCGGTCTCGCGCACTCGCGCTTGCCCAACATCCGCCCCGCCGCTGGACGTAGACAGGCTCTCGTGATCTCCAATCTTCTCCTGAGACATCGTGGCACTGGGCGTCCTGGGTGTGGGGAAGTGTCGAGGTCGACCGCGTGGTGGGCTCAACGTCTACCGGCTGGCCGGGCGCTGAGTTTTAACCTCGAGGATCGGCGTGCGTCAGCGCTGGCGAACGCCGAGCGATTTTGGAAAGATAGGACGGTGCCGTGTGCGGAGCGCGCTGGAAGGAGTAAGAAGCGTTGAGCACCCCACTCTTATTCTAGATAAGCTTTTCTCGGCATTGCTTCGACCCACGGATGAGGGGCTAGTGCGGGCGTTGTCGAGGTTTGATTCGTCGAGTGGGATGTAGGAAGACGCGCCGGTGATAACAGGCGGTGCTTGCGCTTGTCAGTTCGGGTAGACCCTTGTGAAGGACGCTGATAGCCTCGGGTTCGGGGTAGAGGCGCGTTTATGAGCGTTGTACGATCGTTGGATGAGCAGCGTATCTAAAGAATCATTCGACTACTAGGATCGAGGATCCATCTTTTATCTTTGGTTGCCAAATCATTGCTAGTAATGTCCCAAGTTCAATACGGAATTGATGTCTCTTCCAGTCTTGCATTTGTCCCAGGACGGTGCGATTCTATGAAGGTAAGGATGAGATGTAATGCTGAATGCCACGTTCGTACACGTATGCGCGAGGCTGTAACAGTGAACAAGCCGAGGCATACTAAGTTAGGAAAGCAGACATGATAAGAACCTGCCTCATAGGGCAATGCAGGATCATAGCACGTACAACGATCGTACATTACAGTAATCGACACTTTTACAGCTGCAATCTCACTACTGCAAGTTATCTCTGTATACGACCCAAATCTCCCAGTCTTTCGAAAATGCAAGTACATTGTTGCCGGATACAAAATTGCAGCATCGCCCCACCGCGGCGCTCAAAAAAAACTCTACATCATCCCCACAGCCAAGACACGCCATCTGCGACCCGACGCAACCACGCAAATTCACGATTCACCGCTTCACAAATATACAGCTTTATAGACGCTCAATTTTGGCGAAAAATCATGCAATGACTAAGCAACTTCGGTTCTGTAGTGTATGTTGTGCTCCTTCCCTGATCAACTCAATCCACGAAACTAACACCTTTCAGGTAGCGGTTATCACTCCGGATTCTGATCATCTCAGTGTCTTCCGGCAACCCCGGTTCGATTCCGGGCAGGACCTTGTTTTTGCACGGGAGTTGTCTTGAGTCGCACGGTTGGTAGAGCGAGATGTTTTTAATTTTGTGTTGTGGGTGTACATGGAGGTAAGGCCGGTCGGTCAACAATAAGGTGAAACATTGTGTGTGGGATTTAGATTTAACCATCGTATTCTGAGACTTGACACTGCTGTTGGTTGTCCGAGGACAATCGAGTACTGTCAGTCCGGGGGCAGGTGATGTAGTTGCCACCTGCAAGCCATGCATTCGGCATAGGTCCCCACGACCCAATGATGGTGTCAAGTGCAACAGTGGTATTGACAGCAGATACCCTTCTTGACTGCTCTGCATCCCTGGTGTGGCCAGAGTTTACGCTTTCACCCGCGATAGGCCTCTGGAGGTGGTTGGCTCCACGCTTGACAGTGAAGTTGGCGAGTGGAATATCGTACGAATTACGAGACCGTAGCACTTTGCACGCACTTCTTTGGTATTGATACGGAGCGTAAGGTAGCCGCGGAAGTAGTCTTCGTTCTATATCAGCTCGGAGTTGTCACCGATAAGCTTCTGTGCTTGGGTGTTGGACGCTGCGAGGTCGCTGCGGAAGCCAGGCGATGACGCGGCTGTGACTGCGAATTCGACCCCGATGGCCCCTTAGCCAGTAGCCTGTTTGTATTTCGGGATGTCGACGCCATTGTTGGTGGATGCGAAGGGCGCTGACTCAGGATCGATTCAGAGCAGGGCTGATACCCATATGGCGTGCGAATCACCTGCGAGCATGATAGTATTGTCGATCTGGTTACCGTATAGATGCTGGTATATTCGGTTCCTGTTTGACGTGTATCCTTCTCATTGATTGTAGTTGTAGGGTTTCTCCTCCGACCCAAACCATGAAGAGATGTTGACCCTCGACACGACAATCTGATTGCCGATGACACGCCAGGCAGCACCTTGTTCCTTACTTCCTGTCAGAGCGCGGTAGGACCAGTTCTCTTGTGCAGATCCCATGAGACTGCGGCCTCCGTCATTCTGTTGAAGACCACATAGTCGGAATTCCAGTTGAGATCGGTGATGGAGCGATCGTAGTTCCGTATGTCAAGAACGATCAAATCAAATAGTTTGGCTATCTGGAAGTACCGCCAGATCCTTAAGTTGTCATCTAAGTATACCTGTTCAATTGGCATCCACTCGAAGTAGGCGCGCACAGCGTTCATCTTACGCTGGTCGACAGAGACACTACCATTGCGCATGAAAGAGCTCTCAGTGTTGTTCAGTGACGAGGAGTCGTCACGGTAGCTGTTGCTGCTGACATCATGGTCGTCCTAGGTGGTGATCTAAGCAAAGTTCTGATGCGCTAGAACCAAGTCATTGCTGCAGGAGAAGACTACGAGACTAAGGTCAGTGGTATCATCATCCTCAGTAGACGACGTTTTGGTGCGACCAACAGAGCTTTGTCGAGGCGATCCACAGAAATTGAAATGGCAATAGCACGTGGTGAATGAGGCCAGACCTGTAGCCTCAACCTTGACTGTGTAATCGATGTCGCTGGTGGTGTATACCCTTCCCTGGCTGATAACCCCTCCATTGAAGTCGATACCTGGTAATGGACGCAAATCGGGCTGGTTGATGCACGGATGTAGCGATCGGTCTCATGAGGATACAAAGGTACAGTTCCCGCAACGGTGACATTGAAGCGACCGTTCTCCAGCTGCGGTGAAATGTGGATCCAAAGAATTACCGAGTTGGGGTATGGATCTCCCTAAATACACCAGTAGGTATTGCTGAGCTAATCTTGATCAATTGTATAGACTAACAGATGCGACGCCGTGGGTGAAGTCGAGCTTGCTGGGGTCGATGGTGACATTACAATCACGTTTCTGAAGATGCCTCCTCGCCACCTTTGGTAGGTCAATTCCCATAGACGGATGGCTGAGAGAAGGGCTTCTGAAGTCGATTTTATCATCACATGATGCCATGGTAGTTGCCAGTAGAGTTGCAAACAGCGTGATTGACATCAGCTCCATGATTTGGTATCCAAAGTAGGTTCTTGTTGGATTGGTCGCTGGGTCAATGTAGCTCATTTATACGAATGTACCTGCCTCTTGAAAGAATCTGGACTATTCGCTGCAGCCGAGACTAATAGTACGTTGAGTTAAGCTTGGTTTATTTTGGAAGGTCGAATGGCCTCACGATGTACAAGGCGTCGTGGTATACGTTGCACTGCACAGTACGACCCGTAGGATTTGTATCATTGGCCGCATCTTGATATTCAAACCGAAGTCTCCGGTCGTACTGCAAGTTGAGAGTGGCGGGATGAATGCTACAGTCTAACTTTGTGTTAGAAGATCCTTGTTCGCTTCATGTACCTTCACATGCAACAGTAAGATCTGGTCGTGGTTGGCTTTTCAGTTCCCAGTCTACATTCTCACTATTGCGAAGCTTTGAGACCTAGAAACCTTGTGAGATCCATGTACGGGAGTTGTTTCACATCTTGACACAGCCTCCTATTCCTGTTAAAACGTTGTCTGTAAAACTGGGGCTGATGCTTGGCAACGCGAACGATGTAAATCCAACTACTGCTCTGTACACCATTTGGTGGCGTTAAGTCTGCGGTTGAGTTCTGAGTGGCGCCCTCTGCAATACCTCAAGTATGTGAGTCCGACAGAGCAATGTAAAAGGTGGCGTTGCTAACTGACAATGCGGAGCCCTTCACACTGTTTGAGCTAGCGTACATCTTTCCAGACGAAACGAGTGCATGTCATGCAACGGTGCACAGTGTCATACATGCTAGCCTCGCCTTGCAAACATAGTCACCAAGATGTGAGCCTTGAGGATGTCATTTTTGAAATCGCTACTGTACAGCTGTTGTGTATCGCTCGTCGATGATCGATTCGTAGCAGTAAGTTGAAAAGGTTGGTGATTGGCTGGCAAGCAGAGCCAGGACTGGAGCAGAGGGACAGCGCCTTAACCTGTTCCCGCTTGCTGCATTGCGTTCCTGTCCGGTCCAGAGTGTACACATTCGAGCAGCTCCTGGTCATGAACCATGACCTAGGACAAAATCTTGACAGCATTTACATAGCCCCAGGACGATTCAAGTAACCGACACACGTCAGTAGTTTCTTGTTCAGCGGGGGAGTAGAGTCAGATGCTCGTCGGTATTGCGCTGAGCGGAAGGCTTTGGCCTTCGATTCTAACGAAGTCTTCGTTACTTCGTCGTCGTACTATCGCGCCTTTGTCTTTCCCCGTCTTTTGCCTTGATTGAGACTCGCTCCACCATTACCCCAAAGCGTCTTCTCTCGGTCACTTTCGCATTTGCACATACGTCTGCTTCGTAGCGCTGTACCTACAGCATCCACAGTCATGTGTCGACAGTCCTCACAACAAGCTATGCCACCCTTTTGCTCACACGGCTCGCACACAACAAGCACCAAGTGGCATCCAGGCATCTCGCATTTTCCCAGACGATCTTCTGGTTCCTGACAGCTGTGACACGCCGAAACCGCAGTTTGCGCTCCAATAGCTCCTCTTGCATCAAACACATAGTTCCTCCCTTTGAAGAAGCTGTCCTCAGGCGACTTCCTCCCCGCACGTACTTCCTCTTCCATCCATGTTTGGTACGCAACAATGCCGCCATGCAGCGTGTACACGGGCGCATCACTATTTCTCCCTTCTTTCGCCAAAGCTTCTTGCATCCAGCGCGCACCTTTCTCGCACCGGATGCCACCAGTGCAATACGTCGCTACTCCTTCGGGCTTCTGGTACACATCGTTACCTAGAACGTGCCTCACGACATATCCTGGCCACTGGCTGAATCTTCGTACAGCAGGTCTCACTGCGACCGTTCCGTCACCGGCAACGAAGTAGCCGATACGGCTTTCATAGTGATTTCGCACGTCGATCAATGGTATGTCTCCCTTTTGACACAGCTCATGAAATTCCGCGGGTGGCAGGGGTATGACGTTCGACCATGAGGCGGGCGCATAGTTGGTGACACCCAATGGTGTGATCTCAGCCGTCACCTTTACAGATGCTTTGTCACCGAAAGCGCATGCGCAGCCCGGTGTGGGCTTGAAGTATGCATCTCGCCGAGTAGAGGTGGATAGATCGATGCCAGCGAATGACCAGTGTGCGCAGCACGCTTTGACGTATATTTCGATTGCGGTTGCTGTCCCACCGAGAGTGATGTTGAACCCTTCTTTTGCAATACGGAACTTTCCACTTATTTGAAGCTCGGATGTGATCTGCTCATGGAAGTCGGCAAGCGACCGCGGATCGTGGGCCTTGAGTGCGTGCTCATCAGGCAGGGCGGGTGAATTGGCCCAGTAGCGATAGAACAACAGCACGTACCCGCCCTCGGTTTTTGCTGGACATGTGCACGAGTAGCTAACTGGGTCCGAATTGTCATGGTGGGTGGTTGCGGAGACCATCGCGCCGTGCCGAGGGGGGCAGAGACTCGAAATAAAGTTCTCGGGGTGAATTCCAGGTGATCCCCAGCCACATAGCGCGTTTTCAGCCTTGCCGAAAGAGCGGAAATTTCCCGCACAAAAGATCACCTCGATCTGCACGCTTGAAGCACCCACCACGAGTCTGTTCTGTGGACGCAGTGGAGCTGGGCCGCGCGAAGAACCATCGATCGCCGTAGACACTTCGGCCAAATGTGTCGATCACTGCCTAGGTACCTAGGTATTCACACATGGCCCATTGAACCCGCAGCGTTTACGACAATCAAGCCTCGCGGGCCATGTGCGAGCCCTGCAGATAATGCGAATGCTCGAGCACGCCGCTTCTTACGGTGTGTTCCCATTTCGGTCGCGCGCCGAAAGTTTGCACACAGTGACATCCTCGCTTGAGCGGCGCGTGACCACGACTCAGGTACTCATTTGGCGGATAGACATTGCCGTACCAGAGTTGGGCTTAGGCCGCCAAGCACGGGAATTATCGAGAATCGATGTTGAGTGGTGGTTGGAGTGGGGTGAAGATGGAAAGGGGAATTAGTAGGTCCATACCTCGTTGGTATGTGGATCCTTAGTCGGCGGAGAGTACCTGAATAAAGTTTGGATTCGCAATCTTCTTGATATGCCGATGGAAATGTAGATTATCGGGTGGGACTCGGCGAGTCGGTAGAAAGGAACAGGTGTTGCGCTAATGCAAGCGCATGTCGTGAACGTGGATGTGGTACCGCGGTATTGACTCTCACATGAATACCCTTAGGGGCGATGGATATTGATCGTGAGCGGTTTGTGCAAGTTTTGCTATGTGAAATCAGATGAGAGCGATTCGAGTGGCAAGATTTGTACAGACAGAATTATAGAACAGGGCGCGGACATGGCGTTGAAAAGTGAGGTGAAATTCATCAATCTATCTATGGTCTATGCTCCTCCTTATGGCTTACCAAGCTTGCTTCGTCTGTGTCGTGCCGTATCGTATAGCTCGTCTTGACGGTGATACCATCTCTCTGGTCAAATACTCCACTTCTTGGACTTGAGATAGCCGTGTCGACGTGGTGGGATCTCTTACTTTTGCTGTGACCAACGTGTCTCAGTTCGTTGCCGCTACCATAGTTGTAGTACTTAGCCGCGGAGCGGGCTGAAGAGCCACCAAGAACGGGGAAGAGCTTGACGAGCAGCAACCGAAGTGTAGGTAAACAAGCGCTGGGGGTCGCGTTAGAAGATATATCGTCATGCCGTAAGAGTGACAAGCTTACCATATGATCCCGACGCAAATTTCGATTGTGCTCCATACAGAGACGTCGTAGAATTCCCAGCTTGCATTTGACGACTGAGCAAAATGGACGAGAGATCGTAAACGAAGAATGCTGACAATTGTCACGAATGTTCCAAGGCAGAACATAAGCGCAACAGCAACCTTCTTCTTCCAGTGCATTTTCAATCCCCACAACTGCCAGAGAGGGATACCGAGGATCCAGAAGTCCAGTGCAATACTGATCGCTGCATTACACGCGGCAATAGCGTTGGTATTGAGGCACTTGCCCTCGTGCAGTCCATCCCACTTTGTCCAGAAGTAGTGGATAGGCTGGCACTGGAAGATGGCAGTGATGACAAAGGCAAAGCCCCATAGAACCACGAAAACGACAGTACCCCACAAAAGCCTCTGAACGTCCTTACTCGGAAACACGCGAATGTAGAAGAAGATGAGTGAAAGCTTCAGCAGCGTCACCTGAGTGAAGTAAAGGGACGCCATGACGTAGAACCACTTCAGCATCTCCGTGATCTCTCGAGGTGTCAAAGTCCAGATGTCCTGACCAAGACCATTCTTGACGGTGCCGTACACGGTAATGATGGCGCTCGGAATGGCGGAGAAGAGTGTGATAAGAACACACCAGTCGTCGTAGCTAAAGTCCATACGGGACACCACTGCTTTAAATGCGAATCGGATGAGGACGATTACGGAGGTGACGATGATTAAGGTGTTGGACAGAACCACATAGTCGTGGCCATGATCGCGGACTGGCGCGCCGCAGTTTGTGAGACTGATATTCCTAGTCACTAGGATAGTCGTCAGCTCGAGCTCTATGACCTTCGATGTATACATACACAGAGACTCAGGAATAGTGCAGGTGGTAGCAACGCATGCTGAGACGTTTCCCTGGAAGATCGGATTTGTGCAGATGCAGGCTCTATCGTTAGGCGTGCAGGTGTTTGTTGCGAAGGCGCTCTTAAGGCATGATTGCTGGGCTTCGTGAGTTACTTGTTTAATGAAGGCGGAGATGAGACCTGGACAGCCTTACAGCGCAAGCAGGCATCTGTGACTGTGCCAAGCTCGTTGCACACAGCCCCAGGAGCAGGATCAGCAATGACTGGAAGTGAACCCTCATGGTGAAGACGGCTGGGACTGGAATGACCCCAAGGGCACTCCCTTGTTGAATGTGAGGTTGCGCAATGCGGGAGAGAGACAGTTGATCAGTCGAAAGGCCAGACTTTTCGTGGATCCAACAGAGATAACACTGGGAGTGATATGCGCAGGGATTCGTCGCATAGTTGACTTAGAGTATCACGTATGAATCGTGCGACTGCGGACCAACTACCGGGCGCATAGATGTGGGTAGTTGCACAGCCAAGACGTTTCAATAGTGCAGGACGTCGCCCGACGGACGTGACTGTCCGGACACATGTCACTCGGTCCCGCGGACTGCATTCCATGGCCTTGCCGTTTTATGTCACTGGAGGTGCAGCCACGGCGAAAGTGTGGGGAGTCCGCTCGCTAGGAACGCCATGTGCCGAAGCCTCCCGCACAAATGCGGCGTGGACAGCTGAAGCTGACCTGCAGTGTTGTACAACCTTAATCCTTCTGTCAGACCAACGCGAGGCCGGCAATTGCGCAACGACGGATTCGCACGTGGAGACCATGCAAAAGTGGCAACGCAAGGGTTGCTTCCGTGGTGCATTTTTTCGCTTCGCACCTCCTCTATCCAGCAGCGGTCCGTTCACCTAGAGCACCGAACGCTCCATCGGTTCGTCCTGCCGCTAGTTACTAAAATCATGGGTTTCAGGTCACGAAACGACCACTGCCCGTGGAGGATTTGCTCCCCAGCATTACTAGTCTAGCGCGCCCGTGCTTGCCATTGGCTCTCATTAAGGCACCCTGTCCCGCCGACCCTCAAATCCTGTACAGCCCCTGCGCTACCGGCTGTATGACCGAACGAAGATTCCACCACCAAGCCGATAGCTTCGGGCTACGCCTGCCGCAGGGTCGGCGGCATGAGAACCGCAGCAGCAATTAAGGGTGTGCGGCTCTACCAAGTGGACCTCGGCCGGCGTTGCATCCTAGAACTGGAGGCAGACCCTCGAAACGTTCCACGCGCATGGAACCGAACACTCTCTTTCGAGGTGGCCTCCGAGATATCGACTCAGCATTGTAGTAGTCTGTGGCGAGTTCGTAGGATGAAGAAAAGGGATACTGCGACTATATATGAGGGCTCTGAAGCTGTTCTCTTGGCTTGGTACCGTTCCAATTCTCACCTGATTCCTTTGTCTACGGTAGTGCCTCGGCAAGATGAAGCTCCTTCATACCACAAAGCTCATTTGGCCATTGCTCCTCGCGGAGTTGATTGGTGCTCAAGACTTGCACAAAAAGTGCCACGTTCTCCCTGGCGATGCCGCCTGGCCAAGTAACGAGGCTTGGTCGGCACTGAACGAGACCGTCAGTGGCAAGCTGGTCAAGACAGTCCCCATTGGCTCACCATGCCACGATCCGACTTACGACGAGACTGCCTGCAGTGCATTGAAGGCGCAATGGACCAACCCTCTGACACAGTGAGTTCGACGAGTCAGTCACAGCTTTCTCAACTGACCATGGCAGCACCCCCTCCTCCCATTCAATCATGCAAGCCTACTTTGCGACTCAGGCCTGCGATCCTTATTCTAACCGTAGCATCCCTTGCACACTTGGCAACTATGTCGCCTACTCGGTGAAGGTCACCGAGGCGTTCGACGTTATCACTGCACTTCAGTTTGCCAAGGCTCAGAACGTGCGTGTTCTCGCTCGCAACACTGGTCACGACTTCTTGGGCAGATCTACCGGTGCTGGTGCTCTTGCTGTCTGGACACAGGGTCTTAAAAACATCTCCTTCAATGAGTGGTCTGACGATTACTACACCGGCCCCTCGGTCACTGTTGGTGCTGGCGTCATTGGCTATGAGCTTGTCGAAGCTGCGCACAAGCAGGGTCTTACTGTCATTTCTGGAGAGTGCGCTACCGTTGGACTAGCAGGTAAATTGAAGAGCTTAGGCCAGTAAGCTATAGTATTAACTTTTTCCAGGTTTCCTCCAGGGTGGTGGTCACTCCATTCTCAGCACCGAGCTCGGTCTTGCTGCCGACCAAGCTCTTTCCTTCGAAGTTGTCACAGCTGATGGCAAACTCCTCGTTGCCTCAGCGACTGAGAACACTGACCTCTACTGGGCACTGTCTGGTGGTGGTGGCGGCAATTACGGTATTATTACCTCGATCACTGTCAAGGCGCACGAGGCGAAGACGGTCGGTGGTGCAGCTATGCAGCTTCTCGCCTCTTCCACCACTGCCGCGAACTACGCTCTAGTCATGGCCAAGTTCGTTGAACTCCTGCCGGCAATGGTTGACGCTGGTGCTATGGTCGTTTTCATAATCAGCGCCCAGTACATCGTCATCAAGCCCCTTACTATCTGGGACTCTACTCAAGCTAAGACTAAAGAGGTCCTGAAGCCGTTCTCTGATTACCTCGTATCGCTTAACATCACCCCTCCTATTGCCTACAGCGAGCTCTCATACCGCGACCACTACGACCGCTACCTCGGCCCTCTCCCTCGGGGTAGCTTCGAGGTCAACCGCTACCAATTCGGTGGTCGTCTGATCCCTCGCTCTGTCATGGAGAACAACACCGTAGAACTCAACAAGGTTTTCGCCGAGCTCGCGAAGGAAGGTGTCCTTCTCGCTGGCAGCACAGCAGACTACTCCAAGCGCGCAAACACACCCGACAACGCCGTCCTGCCCGCCTGGCGCAAGGCTCTCATACAGCTCCAGCTCATCACCAACTGGGACAGTACCGCACCATGGGCCAACATGGAGGCTGCCCAACGCAAGATGACTGACGTTTTGATGCCCAAGATCGAGGCTGTCACCCCCGGAAGTGGATCGTACATGAGCGAGGCCGACTTCCAGCAGAAGAACTGGCAGTCTACCTTCTACGGCAGCAACTACGCGAAGCTGAGCAAGATCAAGACCAAGTACGACCCTGACCACGTATTCTACAACCTTAAGAGCGTTGGTAGCGAGGCATGGACTGCAGCCAAGAATGGCAGAATGTGCCGTGCTTAAGCACCATAGCTCAATGAGCTCGGTTATAAAAACTTCATGTATATATATTGAAGCTCGAGAGGTGTGACAGCTGCCTCGAACAGCGGTCGGCATTTGCATATCTGTAGATATTTATCAGCATAGCGTGGTGTAATCTAATGCATTTATAACACAGAGAATCCTCACAGTCTCTAAATTCGTTAACGATTGTAGATGCGTTTCAGTGTGCTCCAAAGTGATCTCACTTACTATTGCGCCGAAGCAAGATGACACACGTCTCAGATTACCTCAGCTGAAGAGAAGAGATCCATCTAATGTGGGTATAATAGGTATTTACTCGGACTGTAGGTGTGTGTAGAGTAGCGCGTCTGGCTATCGTAGGTGGCGCATACGCAGAAAGCTACATATGTGACGGTGAAGGGTCTCAAAAAACGGGTACAAGTGCAGTGCTGATTGAATACTATTGGGGTTCGATGAACACACGTGTAGTGATCAAGTATCAACAGCTGAACTAGCACCACATGTGTGTGTACGTTGTTGCTGCGCAAGTGCGACCGATGACTCTTGGCGATAGAGTGAAAGAAGGGACAAGGATCAAAAGCAAACGCAAAAAAAGACGCGCCGCCCAGAATCGAACTGGGGCTTTTTCTAGTGGAACACCACCATGTCAATAGTTTACTATCATGTCTAGTGGTCTACCACCATCTCTACCAACTGCAGTTGGCGATAAAACCGTAAATCGATAAGAATATAACCACATTGAAATGGAACTTGACTAGCATTGCGAATGTATCAAGCTCTATGCATTGCAGATTGTCTCGTTGCAATCACAGTCACTATGCGCAATTCCCCGCTCGTCAACTGAAGTGAAGGAACGCGAAACTGCGCCCTCACATGGCACCGAATTGCAAGCGATTTTGGTACGACGGGCTCTATTGAATCATCTACTGAACGAGCAAGCACCTGCAGTGATCTGTACTAGGTCCAGACTCTGGGCAGTCAGCAGGCGCCAATTATAGAGACAAACAGATATGTACCTGTGCCTTGTCTCTCGGGCTTCTCAATCGTATCCCGAAGCTCAGAGGCTCAACCATCCATACAACCTCGAGGCTTTCGCAGCTTCGTGTAGCCGAATCTGCAGACCTTTCTCTTGGAGACGGCAATGTCCCACAAAAGCATCAGCGCGATCGATAGCCAGTCAAACAGCATGGTATTTACGGGTCATTTCACAAAGCATGCACCAAACTACAACTGCACATCGAAAAGATTTCTGAATTCATCGCATTATCAGGTGCAACGATTTAAAAGGCTGGACCTTGTGTCGACAACTAAGTATCTCGAGACACGCATCGTGCTGGCAATCCAACCTCAACACCAAAAGATGCCGTCAGAAAGATGTGAAGGTAAACTTGCATCGCCAGTGGAGTGTAACAAAGCAGGCGAAGATCCCATGTGAACTTCTAGACGAAACCATCGTTAACGTCGTCATTCGTGATGGCAAAGTCCTGGAGGAATTTGCCGCCGACAGGCTGGAGGCGGCGTATGTAGCAGCGCTCTTCATCAGTCAGAGGACTGTGACGATACTCACAGTTGGGCGTCTTGCAGACGTTCTTGGTGCAGAAGTGAGTATAGCAGAGACCGAGGTCCCAGTAGTTGTTGGAGCCATACTTGTAGGGCCATACTTTGCCTTGACTGAGTCTGTGCTTGAATTTCTCTTCATGATCTTCGAACGTCTTGTTCTGGCGGGGTGCGTCTGGGTGCGTGAAGGTCTTGTTGGTGGGAAGCGGATGATCTGCAGTCGGCTGAGGAGTCACAGACGAAGAAATCTCACTCTGATACAGTGAAGTCGAGCCGAGAGGTGGACGCATGGTATCCCGAAACTTCTTGAGGCGTTGAATCTCGACCGACTGTTGCTTGCAGCAAGTACTCAACTCATCGCAAGCCAGCTTCAGCTCAAGATTGCTCTGCTCGACCTTGTTGATCTTCAAATTCTTCTGGATGATCTCTTCCTGTAGAGCAAGCACGACGTTTTCATTCGTGTTCTTTTGAATGGCTAATTCTTGTTGACACTTTGCATGCAATGCCTTGTGGTAGTTTTCGTGAAATGCGGCTTTCAGCTCGAGGTCGGATATCTTCTTGCGGTACTCAAGAACCTCTTGTTGGTGGACCAAGCGGTCATGTTTCATGGACAGGATAGACTGTTCTTGAAAGAAGAACTTGGTCTTCCAATCGCGGTCGGCATCACAGGAGCCTCCGGCAAGCGTCGCGACCCTACGTTTCTTCGTCGCCACCTCACCACCATCTGGGACCCCACCTGCAGTGTGCGTATGCTCAAGAGCTTCGGCCGGTACCGTACGATAAGTGGAACCATCGGGAACTCGAGTTTCGGCGGCTGCGCGAAGGTCAGTCACGATCGGGAAATTTAGGAGGTAAGGCTTACCGAGATCGTGGCCATGCACACCCGACGTGTCGCCTCCACGATGCGTGGAATCGAAGTCTAGAAAGAGTGAGCGCGAACGACGATTGGCAAGTGGTGACTGTTTACCAGAGGTGGATTGGGCCTCGCGTTTGATGGTGCGCGCCTTCGAGTTTTCGGGTGCAGGTGGTTCCATTTCGGTAGTTGCGCGTGAGGAAGTACCCCGGCAGTGCTCGAAGACAGATCTCGCTGTCGGGACGTTGGGAGTCTGGTAGTGTTGTTGCAATAGCAAAGAGTTGCAGTAATGCGAAGTGTTTTTGTGGCAGAGGAATTAGTAGCGGCGGGCCGTTGCCCTCGCAACTATATTGGCGCGGTGAAGTGAAGGAGAAATTCAAGGCACACTGCCCTGCAAGTGTGGATACCAGGCAACAGCGAACACAAATAACGCTACACCAAAAACCCATGATACTCTTTTAAGGTTGGAGAGCCGCGAAAACGATTCAAAAATCACTGTGTCATTCGATCCCTGCCTCACAGAAGCTCACTGGGTCCCAAAGGCTAGACATATTGCCACCTGAGTCATTTACTCGGTATAACTTGCGATCTCGTAATCTCCTCATGCTCCAGGTCATAGTGCGATGCTAGAAAACCTATCCAGCCGGACATTTTCACGCAACTACCGCCCTTAGTCACGTCTCACGTTTTGCTCTTGTTGCTCTCCTGGGAAAACCATGCCTTCAATTGCCCGTTCAACAGCCTCCAACATTGCCACCTTCCCTTCACATGCTTGCTTCTTTTCCACAATCTCGTTCTTCAGCTTTGCTATGGTGGCACTGAAACCATCGAGAGCCTCGAGTAGCGCTAACATGGTGCTAATGGTGTCGAGGTGGGAATCGGCTGTGCTCTTGGCCTCGTCAAGTGTGGCATAGACGAGCTCGCGCGTCGAGAATGTGCTAATATCGAGTTCCAGTGAAGTAAGTGTCTCTGTAAGCGACGCAGTTTCGATCGTTGATGGCGTGCCAACATGCGCTTCTTCGACGATGTCTGCGAGGCCGAACGGCTCTGGTGTCTTAGGGAGTGGTGTGGTGAGTGATTTGCTTCGTTTATTCTCCGGGACCACGGCGTCGCATTTGTTGTTGGAATCGACACCGGCGGACGTTCCAGATGTTCGCTTCAGGCTAAGTGGAAATGCGTCTTCACTGACCCTCTCTCGTGGACCATGGCGGAAGACTTGACGAAGGGCGTTTCGAGCCGACATTTTGAATCAGAGTGTGTGTGATGCGACACTTGCAAGGACAATTTTGATCTGCGGGGCTGCGCAAGCGGTCGGGTAAGGGTCCAACGTAAGATGAGAGACTGTAAGTGAAGCAGAGCTGAATCGAGGTGAAAGAACTTCAGCTGCAAGCTTTAAAGACCACGAAAATGTGACTTTGAGCACCAACAGTCAAGACAGTACATGCGACTGTTGGAAACGCAAAAGAGCATGTTTCTGAGACACGTGTTGCGTGTAGGAAGAACGACAGTGAGGTCGGGTCACGTCTCTCGCACGCTGGAACAAAGAAGGTTGGCATATGAGAAGGCATAGTGATTTCCATCTATCAAGAACATTGGTCAACTCGATGTCAGAGATTTGATCTGGAACAGTCGTAACCACTACCTACCTAAGAGGTGCTCAGGTATCGAACGAATGTCATCGTTAAAGCCGATAAGCTTGTTAGCCAAAACGGCCTATCCTCGAGTGCTAACGTGGAAGAGATCAACAGATCATATGATTGTAGAGCCGATACGGACCACGTTTCCTCACCATCTTATGCCATCGAGCGTGAAGAAGACAAACAACCTTCACTTCTTCGCGACTCTTCCTGCAAGAATCCGCCTGCTCTATCTCAGATCTTTTACTTATATTCAAAAGTCGATCGATAAGAACAAGCCAGCACGCAATAACATGATCAAAGATGTTATTGCAGGGGATTGGGCGTAGAGTCGACAACGATCGAGTGTTTGGTGGCAAGTGGACTCTCCACGGGCCTCTCACTGGTTTCTTCGCCATGTAATATTCATTCCTAGCCAATGGTCTGGCGTAGGGCGTGGAGGGCAACTAGGGCGCACGTTGTAGGGTACTGCGGCTGACTTTCACCAACGAGCTATCTCGCCTTCCAAGACAGATTTACTACCTCACAAGTAAACACTAAGTACTAACAACCGTTGCTGCTCTGTTCCCTAGTCAATTGTGCATTGTGCTCGGCTCGGCCGAGAAACTCAGGCGCAGTACATGTACAATGTCAAAGATCAACAATCTCGGACCAAAACGTTGTCGGTGAAATCCTTGGGCCTGGAGTTCGGAGTTCTTCAAGGCGGTTGGAGCGGGGCACCCGAGCTAGTTAGGTATCGACCAGTCGGGACCGCAACCGGTCCACCGCATACATCAACATTTACAGACATTAGGGCGGTAAAGACGTGAAAATCGCATTGTGTGATGCAGCTAGGAGTGGATTGTTGTCAAAACGCGCGCCTGCCAAGACGGAGTTACCGAAACGACTATTTCGGATAAAACGTCCAGAGAGCTTTATATCGCAAAGCAGCCCGTCAGGCTGACAGTGCAAAATTCACTCCAAGGTTTCTCGCACTTCTCGAAGCGCAAATTCTGCGCGCAGCGGAGGCCTACATCACGAAGAACAGCAGCATTACGAGCTACCTACGCAACCGAAATGGATCCGATAGCAAATACAGCTGTGCACGTCCGCCCATCGACCGATGGAAGAGCACTTGAAGAGCCGGAAGAAGTTTGGGACGGTTTAGTGCGGACGGTATCACGATTGACCGGTCGCTCCAAGAGGGAGAGCGATGCGGAGAAGTACGCACAAGCTGGTGACGGTGACACGTTCACACATCCCCACCTAGCGAGAGTCGACGAAGAAGATTCCTTTCCTGAAGGTGGAACACGGGCGTGGCTTGTTGTTTTATCAGCTTGGTTGTTATTATTCCCATCGCTCGGCTTGCAGGTCTCTCTCGGCTTATTACAAGATTACTGGAGTCAGCATCAGCTCGCACACCTATCGGCTAGCACAATCGGATGGATACCTTCAGTATTCGTCTACCTTTCGCTCGCTGGAGGTCTCTTCGTTGGACCACTTTTCGATCGCTACGGTCCCCGATGGATCGCGCTGTGCGGTAGCCTCGCAGAGTTGCTTATGGTCTTTTTACTCGCCGAATGTAGAACGTTTTGGCAGATGATGCTTTGTTGCGGAGTGCTGGGAGGCATTGCAGGCGCACTCTTGATGACGACCAGTTTGGCAGTAGTTGCACATTGGTTCAAGCAGAGGCGAGGTCAGCTCAGATCAACCAACTGTTTCATCGTATACCTGCTGACCAAGTCAAGGATTGACCCAAGGAATTGCAATGATGGGCTCAAGCTGTGGCGGCCTGGTTATTCCTCTGATGTTGAGAACAACGTTCCCAAAGTATGGCTATACTTGGTCACTACGAATTCTTGGCTTTGTGTTTCTTCTTTGCTTCACTATCGGCAATATCCTCATCAAGGCGCGGTTACCTCCATCGGCCAATACGAAGAAGAGATCCATCGTCTCACTATCTATATATGCTGATCTGCGTCTGAGCTTTCTCACCATCAGTGTCTTCGGCTTCGAGGTCGTGCTTTTCGGCGCTTTAGGCATCTTACCGACGTACGCTACCTTGAGTACAACATTCTCAGCTGACACTGGGTTCTTCATCATTGCTACTCTCAATGGCGTCTCTTGCCTTGGCCGAATTCTCCCAGGATATGTCGCGGATAAAATCGGTCGCTTCAACACCCTCGCGATCATGATCGTCTTCACCCTGGTGTTCATGCTCGTTCTTTGGCTTCCGTTCGGTTCAACCTCTCTTCCCGCCCTCTACACCTTTTCTGCCCTCTTCGGTTTCGGGACAGGTAGTTGGATGGCGCTGACACCGGCATGTGTTGGCCAGCTCTGTAGGGCCGACGAGTTTGGGAGATACTATGGCTCGATGTACTTCATCGCAAGTCTGGCAACCCTGATCTGCATTCCGATCAGCGGCGAACTGGTAGAGAAGGTTGGCCCACAGCCTATGGTAGGGTTCCTCACCGCTATTCTTGCGCTGAGTCTGATCGCCTGCTTGTTCAGTCGATGGGCATGCTTAGGGAGACAGTGGACCTTGAAAGCCAAGGTTTGATGCTTTTCTGATCTTTATTCAACAAATTGTACATGCCTGATACACTGCCGACCTAACCAGAATGTCACAAAGCTGAGACGCACATGGCCTAAAATAAACCATCGAACCTTGTTGGAGATTCTGTGCTCGATTGACGTACGGTTTGTGCACCTTCGGCAAGCACAAGGCTGCCTGTCCTGTGATAGTGTGACTTTGAGGGATGGCTTTTGCTCCATCCGGGCATGGTCAACATGCATTTAGCTACCTCATAGACTCAGGAGCCTCGCAAACAGCCGCTGCGAATCAGTTAATATGCTCTTCTGACGCTCCTGGCGGTATCGTTACTCTTTCTACTACTCTTCCAATCTGTAACAATGGCAAAATCAATTCTCCTCATCAACGGCCCTAATCTCAACCTTCTTGGCACCCGCGAACCATCTGTTCACGGCAACACGACATTTTCCTCTGTCTTAAACGCCGCCCGTCTTCAGTGTGAACGCTTATTGATCACCTTCGCTGCCATTCAGTCAAATCAAGGGCATACTGATCGACCGCATTCACGAGGCGCGCGGCAAGGTCGACGCCATTATCATCAACCCTGGCGCATTTACACATACGAGCGTTGCGATCAGGGACGCGTTAGCGGGCGTTGATATTCCATTTGTGGAAGTGCCTGTCAGCAACGTGTATAAGCGCGAGAATTTCCGGCATCGTAGTCACTTGAGCGATAAAGCGGAGGCGGTTATTTGTGGACTGGGAGTTTATGGGTATGAGGCTGCTATTGAATATGCTGTGCATCATCTTAGAACTGGAGGAAAGCTCTGGGCATTCCTTCATAGATACTCGTATGTCATGGAAGCTAAATTCTGAACCTTGCTGTGCTAGTCTGTGTATGTTGCTGGGATGTACAACTCAATCGCACTCGGGAACAAGCATCCCATTGATCACCACGATCCCTGGAAGATCCAACTCTTGCAAGGCCTGCTCTGCCAGGCGGTGTCTGAGAGTTTTGACCTCATCATCTGACACAAGAACAAAGTCGTATTTGAGCAATTTGGTGGAGGGCGAAACCCCGTATTTTTCTGCCAATCCTTCGATATCCGCAACAGTATATAGATCTATGACGAGAGTATCTTTGACCCCAAAGACAGCGTCAGTCTTCTCGTATGGGTCACCGCGTCTGTAAAGTGCAGTGATAAGTCGATCATAATGCGGCTTCTCTAACATGAAGTGGAAGTGACTAGGTCGGTACGGATGCCGCTTTAGCTTTTGGAGTAGCTTGCCAACTGGTCCATCGTGTGGGATGGGATATGGAACTGGTACTGCAGCATTGAACCAGAATTCGCCGTTCTCATCAGTCTCCATCACGGCTCGCCCATTTGGACCTGTATGGTCCTCATACTGGACATCATAGAAGCCGTTCGAATCTGTCTCCCAGACATCCACCCGGACCCCGGAAATAGGATTTCCATGCGTGTCTTTGACTGTGCCGATGACAAGCATAGGATCGCCATCTTCATCGTGGATGATGCTCGCACCATGTGGTTGATGGGGCGCATGAGAATGATGAAAAGGGCCTAAGACAGTCCCTTCCGTTGACGCAGGCGGTTTTGGGTGATCAATTGAGTCAACTAGAAGCGACAATCCAAGAATATCGGATAGCAAGATGAACTCGTGTCGGACGTCACTACTGATTTGACCGACTTCAGTAAGAAACTTGATCGCAGCTTCCCATTCTGAAGTATTGAGTCGAGTCTCGCGTACGAAATCATGTAGGTGTGTCACGAGTCGCTCCAAGAGGAACCTTAGACGACCATCCGGGCAGGTAGAGTTGATGAGGTGAACGTTTTCGGTGATGTTTTCGGTCGTCAGCATCTTGAGGTGACGATGTTGAAACGGAACTGCAGAAGCAAAGTTGGACTGCCAGAGCTCATTCAGCTTTAGTCCAATCGATTGTATACTTTCGTTGCACTCAATATTGTAGTTCGGCCATGATGATGGGGAACACGGCTAAGTTCTGAGCCGCTGTGGTTTCGAACCTCCGTGAACTCCGAGCCAACTCAACCGTTGTCAGCGGAGGGGTAAATTCAACTGGCCGCGCGTGCGCGCAATGGCGGAGATGACTGGGGCCGACGCCATCGTGTCTATTGGTGGGGGCAGTACCATTGGACTGGGAAAAGCCGTTAGCATGGATATAAATCTGCCTCACATCGCTATTCCCACTACTTATGCCGGAAGTGAGGTCACCCCTATCCTGGGCGAGACAGCGAACGGCGTCAAGCAGACCACTTCAAACCCGAAGATTTTGCCTACAGTTGTAATCTATGATGATATCTGACGTTAACACTACCGGTATCTCTCACTGCCACAAGTGGCATAAACGCAATCACTCACGCGGTCGAAGCTCTGTACGCACGGAAAAGGAACCCGATCATCAGTCTTTACGCACAGGAAGGGATTCGATCGATTGCCTTGGCTCTCCCGAAACTCATGACCGACCCAAAGGACACAGAAGGAAGATCTCTAGCGCTTTACGGAGCTTGGCTTTGTGGCATTTGTCTTGGGGCTGCTGGTATGTCGCTCCACCACAAGCTTTGCCATGCCCTCGGCGGAGGCTTTGACTTGCCCCATACTGAGACACACACGTGTGTCCTACCTCACGCGCTCGCATACAATGCGCCCAAGATACCAAAAACTATGGCCATATTGGCAGATACCATTCCGGAAAGCAATGGAGATGATATTCATGGACTCAACGCTCTCTTGACCAAGCTTGGAGTAAAACGGGGTCTGAAGGACCTCGGCATGAAGGAAAGTGATATCGAGGTAGCGACCGAAATCGCTGTCTCGAAACCATATTGGAATCCGCGCGACATCGATCGCGACTCCATCCGGCGAATATTACAGAGGGCATGGGCTGGAGAAGATGCTGAAGCGGACATTTGATTGAGGAAGACAGCTGAGAGACGACGTATAAGAGCTACCAAACTAAGTCCCCACAGAAGACTTCCCTTAGAGCACTCCATCCAAGGCAGAACCGAACATCTCATATTAGCCTCTATTAAAAGTCCAATTGTCGTGTGATCGTTTTTAGAGTAAGGTGACGTTTTCCTGACACAATTCCCTGTACAATGCAGCGGTGACGTGAATGAGTGATTCTCTATCTATCGCTCGCTTGTCAAAGGTTGGGAAAGGTCTTTTCTCAAGAATACAATACTACGATGTGATCGATTGCGGAACTCCAGGGTTGCTTAGCGACATGTTGTGGTTCTTGGCTTGTGGTGTGTTGGATTTTGGCTAAGTTCTTACCCGCCACTGGAAACGCACTAACACCCGAGCGGGTCCCGTACAACATGTCATGAGGATGGCTGTTCTTGAGAAGTCAGAACCCTCTTTCAAGCCAGTGTATATTCCTTGTCTCAGCGAGCCCGCGATCGAAGTATCAAGGCCTATTCAGTCAGTCTACACGCATCACGTGTCGAAAGAGTTAAACCAAGATTACCGCCACAGCGAAAATGGGCGAAACAAAGCAAGCCAAGAGTCTACATCTGGTGGGCATTGGTGTTGGTCACTCGATCGCCCCTACCATGCACAACTTCATCACCGCCTCCCTGGATCTACCTTGGACCTTTTATGCTACCGAATGCGCGACCATCGGCTCCCTTTTAGCCTTAGCGCGTAACTCGGACACAGCAGGATTGGTGGTTACCATGCCTTACAAAACCTCGATCATGCCGCACCTAGACGCGATCGATGATCTTTCCGTTCAGATTGGCGCGTGCAACAATGTGAATCGCGACCCGAATGACTCCACGCGTCTGCGTGGTACCAACACCGACTGGCTCGGTATCAAAGGCAGTCTATTAGAGAAGAGCCCGTACAATCAGCCGGTTCTGGATCGACCCGCATTAATCGTGGGCGCCGGTGGAGCAAGCCGAGCCGCTGTCTACGCATTACACACACACTTCAAAGCCTCGGTCATCTACATCTTGAATCGAGACGAGAAGGAAGTGGAAGATTTGAAAGCTGATAGCAAGCGACTCCCGCATCCACCCGAGCTCATCCATATCATTTCCGACGAAACCGAGAGTCTGCACACGCCGTACTATATTGTAGGCACTGTGCCGGACCTTGAACCCAAGACTGCTGAGGAAATCAAGATGCAGGCTCTGCTCAAGAACCTTCTCAGTCGTGAGCAGAAAGGTGTGCTGCTAGACATGTGCTTCAAGCCAAGAAGGACTCGAACAATCGAAGCAGCAGAAGGTTTTGGTTGGGCTTGTGTAGAGGGTACGCGCGTCATCGCGTATCAGATCGAGGAACAGTATAGACTGTGGGCCGGCGAAGAAGCTTCGAAAAAGATGGACGCCGCTGGCGCGCGTGAGGTGTTGCGTGAAGAAGCAGAAAGAAGCCCGGGAATCAATTCATGTTCTTCATGAACAAGATGTCTCTTGAGGTAGTAATAGCGGTTTGAACAATATTGTTCGGGGTTATTCCTTCAATGCACGCGTGTCCCGACTTAAAGTTCTTTCATTTCGTATGTTCCTATTTCGGCGTGCATCACACTATCCAAGTTGAAGACGTTGAGTGAATTTTCTCCACGCCGCCATTCCACGTTCAGCATGCGATGCTGGCACGTTTTCGTCGGGTTCGGACATAGTCCTGGAGAATAATTCCATCGATACCCATCCTTTGTATCCCAACCCTTCGATGATCGCGCGAGCGACGTCTTCCACTGGAAGATAGGCCCCACGATCTGTTTCATACATGTATGCTCTAGCATTCCGCGACCAATTCATCCGTGGTGGATTTCCATCAACGTGGAATGGATGTCCGCTGATGAGTGGAGATTCCATACGCTCCGCATCGACGACCTGGATATAAAAAACTTTGTCAAGAGGCATGTCGCGACGGAGTCTCTCAAGCGACGCTTCTAGATCTGCTTCCGCATTAGGAGTTTTGCCAGTCGGAGAAGCTGGATCTCCCCACACGCGACCTGCAATGTTGAACGTGTCGAGGCAAAGCCCAAAGTTGGGTCTGTTGACCATATTGGCAACCAGCAGCGACTTCTCCCATGTGTCAATATGTGTACTCCAACATAGACTCTCGTAGGCAAAGCGGATCGGAGGTTCTTCTTTGGAACCAAGGCCTGCCAGCTCTTTCAGATCAGCGGCAATGATGTCCAGATCACCCGTCAACTGCTCCGCTGGGAGAAAGTTTGCTGGGATCTGGATTGTACTCGTTCGTAGACGTGTGGCGATTTTGAACCAGAAATGAATCTTTTCTATGAGTCTAGCGTGCTGTTGTCTGTCGAGCAATCCTTCGTAAAATAGAAACGGCTGCAGGCCAATGACCGTGATTTGTGTTTCATCTAGTATCTGTCTTGCGTGCTCAGCAGCACTTAGTATCTGATTGTTGCTTGGATTCTCGACGCTGAAAAGCTTCTTCGCAAGGTGATCCAAGTCCTCGTAGAAGACTTCGATGCCTTCAAAGCCTTTTTCTGCAGCGTGTTGCACCTTTTTCTCGAAATCATGTAGCCAAGCACGACCGAGCGATGCAGATAGGATGGCGGGTTTGAAAGCGGTCATTGTGCGCTGCAATCTTCTTCAATGACTTTTTGTGACAGAATGGAGGGTGTAGACTAGGGTTGCGGATTGAATGGTAACAAGGTCGTGACGCTGTCCATTAAACGTGCAGTAAGAGTCGGCAAAGTTCAAGGCCGCCTGCTAACCCAATGCAGTATGGTGACTATGTCAACTAGGGTCCACATCGAGGAACTTGTCCATGCTGCTAATGGAACAATTCGGAGCGCCAAGGTGCATCATAAAGTCAGGGAGATTCGCCAACCTGGATTGAGTCAGTCAGCATAGTATCTTAGCGCGCAAAGATGTAGCCCACCAATCGGCAGAGTCCAGACTCGCCAGATTTTGAAAAAGGTCGTCTTCAGACAGAGCAACTTCTATGCCGTTAGAGCCTGTCGTAGGCATCAAAGTCAGCGGACTCATATTGGAAAAGGATATCGACTGGTCGTGAATGGTAGCCCCAGCGGGAGCGAGAACAGTGTCTTCTGGGTTCAGGTAATTGACGGCCTGTCGTGAGCTGAGTTCGTCGCCGCGTTTCTCGGACCAAGTCCCTAGTAAGTCCGGGTGCTCATTTGTTCGATCATGAGATTCAATGTGGCCCTCAGTTTCATGGAGCTGATGTTGGTTTCTCAGGGATAGTTCGGTCTGTGTATCATGTGCGTTCAAGATTCTCTTGCTTTGTAAGAAATTGGGCCAGTCTCTCAGGCTTTCGAGCTCTTTTCCAAATTCACCCCTTGGCTGGGAGCCAGGATCCTTTGAGAGACGCAGCAAAAACAGAGAGATCCTGCAGATGGGGGCAACGAATATCTTTCCCGTGACCTTGACAAAATCTTGGGAGACACTGTCAATCGAAGATAGCAAGCTGGGGTTACTCTGATGTGTTTGATCAGATGCTCCATATTCTGTGTGGAGCCTGATCAGCTCTCTGACAGAGTTAGCAAGCAAGTAGCAACTGAACTGCTGCGGGTTACGAGACGTTTCCATGGAATCTGGGGTGGAGGGGATACGCTGTGACCAGTCTGAGGTGATTTCCTGTGAGAGATGAGAGCACTTCCTGGCCAGACTCCCATTAGAGACTCTCAGCAAGTCATTGAGAACGCTCACAGAATCAATGACCGCGTTGAATGTGCTGAGACTTCGACTTGGAGCTTGGGGGTTGGATTCGACGTTGATTAAGGGGTCGTGAGACTTCCATGGCTCCCACTCTTCTAAGCTGTCAGCCAGGAGAGGTCCTACGTTGCATATATCTGAGCGTGTGAAGTAAGGTCGGATGCCCATCCATGCAGCTACGAGACAATCCAGGCTCATGCAGCACAGTAGTATTCGTCGTGTACCCTCATCAAGATCTTTAGTGGACCTTTTTTGTTGAAGATAGGGCTTAGCCAGTACTGTTACGTGATACACGGCGCTACCGATACTGATCCAGGACTGTTTTCGGTCGCCGCAAGCGATGTTCATCAAAGTCAATATCAGCAGAGTGCGTACATGTCCGATTTCGTAGGCGTCGAAGTCATCGGGTAACAGGACTCTGACAGCAGTCCAGCTGGCTACTGCTCGCTCCACAACTGTAGGTTCCTTGGTAACAGCCGTCCCAGCGTCCTCAGAATCTTGTAGGAATGTGGCATATGAAAAGATTGCCGTCAAGAAAGCGCGCTCGCCCAGAGATGTTGGAGCTCCTGCAGGCTGGCCGACAGATTCGCCAGCCATTACATAGGCTGTGCGCAGCAACTCATGTTTTTGACACATAGGAAGCCAGCAGTGTGTTGTAGAGAAGTAAATGTCGAGTAGGGACCGCCAATTGACCGGTAGAGAAACGCCAGCTGTTTGACAAACGGTGTCATTACGAGCGTCTGAGGATGAGTCTAGGTCTGATGGTAACAGAACAATCGGCTCAAATTCTGTCAGAGCCTCGGTAGGACAATTGTTACGATACGGTGAGCGAGGTCGAGTGATAGGGCCTTCAATCTGAAGCATGCGTGAAGCTATTTGGGACTCCATGGGTGTCGGAAGAGAAGCATCGAAGATCTCTTGAGTCGCAGTGTCGCACATACGAAGCATGTTAGCAGCGAGAACGGATGCTTGTAATGCCTTCCGGTCGAAAACATTGCCAGATTCAGTGCCGTCACTGTCGTCGTTACTTTCCGCGGACAAGGCATGCTCGATCCGTTTCAGCAATGTGCTTTTCCGCCAAGTATCGATGAAGGCTTCGACTGACGCGGCTGTGGGTTCGCTTTCGAGTTGACTGAACTGGAACGAAGGAACCACTTCTTGCCCCTCAAACAAAGATGTCACCCATGGATCAAGGCCTTGCACGTTACTGAGGAGTAGTCCAAGCAGGGTCTCCAATGCTCGAACGTACCCAGTCCTCAGACCACGTTTTTTGGTGGGTCGATAGCTGCAATCGCGTCTGGCATGCAGACAGTTGTTGCAAGTAGGCCGGCCACCGTCGCAACGATCCTTTCGAATGCGACAAGTATCGCAGGCCTCGCTGACTCGGAGTCGGCGCCTGGTCGCCGGTTCCTCAATTCCATTGCTGTCAACACGGGGTCGCTTTGAAGAAGATGGAGCGTTTGGCGATGCATGTGCAGGTCTCATGATTGTGGTGTGGCGGCGTCCTGGCGGCCTGGCAGCCACTACAACGTTACCTGGAGAGACTACAGGAAATGGGACAAGTCATGTAAAAGAGTGGGGTCCGGACCAAAGGCCCCTGAAGCAATGCGAACCACCACTATGCTGGTAGGTGGGCTTGCTGTGTTGCCGTACGGTGGCGCGAATCAGCAATAGAGGTACGCAAGTGCTAGCCCAGAGAACGGGATGGTTTTTGCTCCATTACTGTAATGTTGTGGAGCAAGTGCATTTGCAGTGGTGTGCACAGACACGCGCTAGCGCTCGCCGGTTGCGGGGAACCAATGGACTCCGACTTGGTTTCCCTAAGCGCAAATTCCAAACATTGTGGTTTAAATGTTTTCCCTTCGACTCTACAAGATGGAGTTTTGGTGCACTGCGCGCCACCAGCAATGCAATGACCGAAACGAACTCCCTTTCCCAATACTTGCCCTCACATGAATCAAATACCTCACCTTCTCGTTGCAGCCGCGAAGACTCACCGTCAGTGGAGCAAGCGTCTTACAGTCCTAGTACCTCTCACTGGATACGGAGTTACCGATCCGATGCATCGATCGCCTTGATAGGGATTCGGGGAGCGGGGCTTTCCACCCTCGCAGTCATCGCCGCCGGCTGTTTGAATTTCAAGATACTCGATGCAGATCACCAATTCTACCAAGCTACTGCGCTTTCGCGCGCCAAATACAGATCGGAATACGGTCATGCCCAGTATCGTCAAGCGGAGACTGTACTGCTGCACTCAATGCTTACGAAGAATCCATCAAACACTATCATTGTTTGTGGGCCGGGTGCAGTTGAGCCTTCTGGACGAACATCGCTCTCGAAGTTTGCATCGGACCACCCAGTCATTCATGTAACCAGAGATGCTCAAGGAATTCAGAGTTACCTGCGTGTATGGGATACCGTCACGGTGTCTACGATCCAGAAAGCCAGCGCTCCAGTACTTCGGTTGATATCGAATTTCGAGTACCACAACTCTACACGTGTTGTCAACGTTTCAGAGCAGACTTCGCATGATCCGCTCGCTCTCAAGCAAGTCGAGAAAGATTTTGTACACTTCCTCTACTCTATCACTGCACGCCACAGGGTCTCTCTCCGACCTCTAGACTCCCCACGGTTGACGCTTTCGGAAAACCAGCGATTAACCTACAATTTGATCATACCTTTACCAGTACCTGATACGTATTGGATCGGCATGCGTGAGGAGGATATTCTTGCGAATGCAGTTGAGCTGCTCATACCACTTTCGGCCATCGGTTTGGACCGAGCTGGATTCGATGGACTCGCTGCTGATTACATCACCCAGCAATACTGCGCTGCGAAAAGCAGCACGCATCTCCCAGTCATCCTGAGTTTCCAGGTCATTGACCAACATTCGGACTCCAGCGATCAAGCGAAGGATTGTTACTGCAATGCTCTGTATCATTGTCTCCGCTTGGCCCCAGATTATCTCTGTATCGATCTCATGCAAGACCCGATAATGATCCAGCGACTGATGGCAGTCAGAGGTCATACCAAGATCATTGCTGAATGCGTCGAGTCTAGGAATCACAGAGACTGGAGCAGCCCAATATGGAGCGAAAGGGTTACTCTTGCTGAAACCATTGGAGTGGATGCGCTGCGCCTAACCCAAAAAGCGACAACAATGGCAGATAATTTCGCAGTTCGACACTTCGTGGACAGAATGAATTCTTCCACTGGGCGTAAGATCACAGTCATTGCCTACAACACGGGTCACTTGGGAAGAATGTCCCAGTATTGTGGTACCTGTATGAACCCAGTGGCAGATCATCGTCTACAAGATCATTCTGCTTGGGGCTCTTATGCCTCGATGCTGACCATGCAACAATCACACAGTGCCCTGTACACTTCATATATCCTCGATGCTTTGAATTTTGGCATTTACGGTAACGATATCGCACAAAGTCTCTCGCCAGCCATGCACAACGCCGCGTTTCAAAAAAGTGGGATGCCTCATGTGTACAAATTATTCCAATATTCGACACTGGAGGAATTGCGAAAATTGATATCCCATTCGAGGCTGGGCGGACTCAGTGTGACAGCTCCTTTCAAGAGTCAGGTATTGTCACTCGTCGATGAGATGAGCCATGAGGCGTCGATCATCGGAGCAGTCAACACTCTGGTCCCTCTCCGTTCAGACAAAAGCCTCGCATTTTCTGAAAGGAATCGATCCGGTCCTTCTCTCGCCCTTTATGGTGATAATACAGACTGGATTGGGATCACAAATTGCGTCATGAACAACCTCTCACCCATCAATGCTATCAAACGAAAGACTACAGCTCTTGTGGTGGGTGCAGGCGGTATGGCTCGAGCTGCAACGTATGCTCTTGCTCGCCTCGGTGTGCGAAGAATCTTTATTCACAATCGTTCTTTGGAAAGGGCGGAAGCTCTTGTAGAGCATTTTACCAGCTGCGGTGTCCTCCATCGTGCTGACATGACCAGAGGATCTGCCCTAGAAACGGATGCAGATTGCCAAGGCAACTCTTCAGCCATTAGCATTCTAACAGAGAAAACCGATTATTGGCCTGAGGATGTCAATTCTCCTACCATCGTCGTATCGTGTATTGCTACCAAAAATTTGGACGGGCAATGCTCGGTTGACACAAGCTTGCCCCCGCTCTGGCTCGCAAGTCTGACTGGAGGCGTTGCTGTCGAGGTTTGTTCATCCATGGCTGCTCGCTCAAGCTTTCCTTCGACTAACACTGTCGCAGCTGTCCTATGCCCCTCCAATAACTCCTCTCCTCAACCAAGTTCGAAGCTTGCAACATCGAGGTTGGGTTGCTGTAGATGGACTGCAGATGCTACCAGAGCAAGGACAACCCCAGTTTGAGTTGTTCACTTCCCATCGAGCTCCAATCAAATCTATGCGCGATGCGGTTCTCAGAGCACATGAACGAAACACCGACGTCACGCCAAGAGCTGCTCGTGCAGTACGGACAGAAGAGACTTAGATGTTGACATTACGCAATATGCGAACCGTAATTGCACTTACACACCAAAGAGCTATTTTTTCCAGGCCGTATCATCGCGGATGGCGATCATCCGAAAATCGGGCGGCTGAACAATTCAGATGACACTAGGCCAAACTAAGAAGCGGCTAAATATTCAAGTGCCGCATGGAACGCAACCCATAGCTAGCTTGTCTGCCAATCTTGGTCTATACACTTAGCAAAAGTGGTGTTCAGCCTTCCGGGAACTTGCTTGTATCGCCGATCCCCTTCTCATTCCCAATCATGGACGATAGTCGACTTGATTATTTCATCTTTGGCTACAACATCTCCCATTCACTCTCACCCACACTGCACAATGCTGGCTTTAAAGAGCTCGGGTTACCGCACCACTTCTCGTTACACGAGACTTCGTCAGTCGATGAATCTATTGAGTCTATCATCAAACGACCCGAATTTGGAGGCGCCTCTGTGACTTTTCCACACAAGCTACAGATAGGCAGGCTGCTTGATTCTGTCAGCGCAAGCGCCGAGAAAGTTGGTGCCATCAACACCATCGTAGCCCGAGGGGCCGGTTCAAAGCGTACGCTCCATGGCGACAATACGGACTGGATCGGCATCAGCCGTTGCATCGAACGAAGCGCGGACTTCGATCTGAAATCATCGGTTGGCTTGGTACTTGGAGCTGGAGGAGCTGCCCGCGCTGCTTGCTATGCATTGCAAGATCTCGGCATCTCAGAACTATTCATAGTCAACAGAACTTTGTCGAAAGCTGAGAAAATGGCAGCACACTTCAATCAAGTGCCCAGTCGCAGCTTCAACACACTCGAGGAGGCAATAAGGGCTGCGGAAGCTCCCATTCGAGTGGTTGTTGGGTGTGTGCCAGCGGATGACCTGACCAAAGAGAAGATACCAGCTGAGCTCTTTGCTGGCTCTGAGGCTGGCGTCTTGGTGGAGATGGCCTACCGACCGCAGGTGACTGGCATGATGGAGACTGCCGCAGATAGAAAAGGATGGCGTATCTGTAGGGGCATCGATGTTCTGGAAGAACAAGCGTACGAGCAGTTCCAAATGTGGACAGGTAGGCCTGCGCCGATGGAAGTTATGCGGACAGCTATGCAAGAAAAAGTCGGGAGTAACATGTAGCCTCGAGTGTACGTTGTGTAGTAACGCATGATCAACACGTTATTGAGTTTCATGAAGCTTCTAAGATACCCCAGACGAGTTCACCAGCTAGAAGTGTACCTTTTTCTTGCAGGCGTTCACCATTCGATATACGTTAAGTATGGCAAAGTACCGGATTCTGTGTCTGGTGTTCGATAGAGAATAGCAAATCCAAATCTTGCACACAGACTGTAATCTACGCTACCGTACTATCTCCGCCTTCCAGCAAACCATGTTCCAGCCATTGTCTTGCTTGCCAATACAGGTGATCATGCATGATTAAGTTCTGCGTCCCTTCATGTCGGCGATGCCCCGGCATGTCATCCAAGACCTTCACGCCCATTGTGAGCTCCTGAAAGTAGGCAAGATACCTATATCCCGGGGGGTATTTCTGAGCTTTCTCTGCATCTACTTCTGGATAGCATGCTGGATTGACAGGTATGATCTTATCCTTCTCGTACCAGTGACGAACTAGTCGTGCTCCCCAGACGTCGCTTTCTTTTTCGAAGAAGAAGCAGAAACGACAGTCGGCTTCGACATCAAACTCGATCCCTTCATGTACGAAGCGCTGAGTTATGGTAGCCTTGAGTTTTGTAACGGCGCGAGCACCGCTCGGGTCAATGTCGGTGGTACATCCGTGGCAGCGGTGCATGATGAATGCACCTTTGTCCATGCCGGCTTTTGAGGCAGCGATGAAGTCCTTGTAGCCCACACGGCCTGACCATGTGGTATAGACGTGCGCATCTGGAAAAAAGATGGATTCGAAATTTTGCCACTCACAGGCATCCCTGGAGACGCCAATTAGATGGGATCCAAAGATGCTTACATTGGCAGAGCCGAGTGTTTTAGAACATACCGATAGCAGGGCCAACCTTCGGCCAACTCTCGTAGCTTGAGACGCTCAAGAACAAGATGTTCTGGTCCATTGTTGCGAACAGCAAAATCTGGTCTTGAGCCAGCAGGCAAGGAATGCAAGTCCAAGGTTGACGTCATGGTGTACAGGAGAGCTTGTCTAGTGAATCGTTGTTACCCCAGCTTGGGGATGTTCTGTATAAGTTTATGTTACAGTTTATGCCTTGCACTACTAGTCGAGGTGTCGACCAATAAAATGTCATACTCCCGACAATGGATAAACCAGGAAGAAAGAGGCGGCAAAGATCTTTGCCGATCGGCGGACATCTCTCCAGGACCACCAATGAAGGAGATCCTAGACCCATAGAGCTTCGGCACGGCGTGTGTTTCTTAGCGTCACATTCGATAGAATTGTGAATTCCGCGTTGATGTGATTGCTGTCGGACTCGAGGCGAAGGAAGTGGCGGTGCAGTTAAGGGAAGTTGCGACTAAGTAGATGTCCTGGCTTTAGTTGCTTTAACTAAAACATTATAATAGTTAATAAGTATAGTAAAGTAAGTAAGCAATACTATTAAGTAGAGTGTAAAATCATATAGAAAAAGAGCTTAACTTTTCTATTTTAAACATTGGACGAGGTCTACGAGATTGATGGGTCTGCCCGACACGAAAAGTAAATCGGAAAGTCGATGAGCGCCATGATTGTGAGAAGATTTCAATCTCAACTACAAAGCGCATGCCTAACCCCTACTTCTATCGAGGAAACCTGGAGGAATCATGGCGTATCCGAGAGAAGTCATAGCGTATCCGACATCTAGCTTTTCAGAACATCTAAAATGCATTATCTGAACCAAGACAGGCTTTCATAGAATCGCCAAGTTTGACCGTATAAGGTGCCTTGGATGAGCAGTTTAATGCGAATGAAAATCTGATATAGAGGTACAACAATTTCAACACCAGCGCTCGCAATAACCCCTACCCCATTATGGGCCCTAAACTAAGGACACGGTCCAAGCCGAAGCCAAAGCCTACATCAACGATATATCGGAGTCATTCACTACAGATTGACCGCTTCTGTAGGCGATGTCACAGGGCGACCACTGTCTACAATGCTACTAGCTGCAGAGCCTTCTCGGGGATGGGTGACTACACGGTTCAATGAGGCAGTCGGAATTCCAAGCTTCTTGTCCTCCTTCGTATACTCTATGTCGACAATGAACATCCGTTGGCCAAGCACCTGTGACTCTTCTATCGACACCTTGATGGCAAATTCGTGACCCTGAAGTGGTACCTGATATCGGTCCACCTCACGCCGTGGCTTTTGAGCTCCAGCTGTATTGTGGAATGTCAACAAGTCGATATCGCTCACAGGTATGGCTACATCACCAAGGTGACACCAAGCTTTGGGCATTTGACGTGCGGGGCCATTCTCGCAACCCAGGCTCAGATATGTAGCATATCTGACTGTCGAATGTGGTGCTGTGGGTAGCGATAGAACAATACTTGCGTGCCAGAAGCGATCTTTGTGTGTGTTATTTCCGCCGTGCAAGATGCTATCTTGCCGATTCCAGGCATCAGTCGGGTAGGATTCGCGGCCAATTTCGACACCTCGAGTCAAATTGCGAAAAAGAAAGCCGAATCGTCGTTGCACGCTGTTTGAAATGGAGGCGATTCGACTATTGCGAATGTAAATCTCCTTCGCTCTAGCGTAGTCGTTTGATGCGTAGTGTTGGCTTATAAGAGGGAAGAAATATGTTGATACGAGCGCGACACTGGTGCTCAAATCGCGTGTGTAGACATCAGCTCTGTCATGTTGTAGGGGTACTGCAACGAAGTGGTGAAAATCATGTGCAACATGACACCTGAGAATGGCCCATATAAGATTTTCGGATGACCAGATCATAACTGGGGATCTCAAAGGCCGGATGGCCTTTCGCAACCTTTCTTTGATTTCGTCTTGCAGGTCGTCAATACGAAAGAGTTGTAGCCAGATCCGAAGACCCCTGTGCGTCATCGAGTACGGGACGACAGGTTCGTCGGAGGCAAAAGGAACCAATTTCCTAGCCTCAATGAAATCTTTTGGGTCGCTCGCTAACACATCCGCTGAAGTCGAGCCTGTCTGAAAATTGCCACTCTCCCACGCAAACAATGTTTCGTCCTCAGTGATCTTCATGATCTCCTCTTGTAGGCGTCGGAAAGCCTTCAGCTTACCCTCGCCATACAGCAAGGGCATGTTGACGTCGAACATACCCAACAAGCTGTAAGCAATGTCTTCTGATCTTGTGGCTTGCCGTTCAGCAGCCCAGGACATGCGCATACTAATACTTGCTGAGTAGATATTTTGGCCTTCCAGATACGCCTTTTCGATGCCACAGACATCTCTGATTCTTGTACTGAGATCTGATTTGCTCCCCAGCTTGACCCATTGGCGCGAGAAGAAGTCCATGCCCGATTTGCCGCCGTTTTGGAGATGGCTTGGGGCCAGGAGTTCTTGCAACGTCCAAGCTCGAGTGAACCACTTGCTATGCGCAAACTCCCCGAGCCCATCCACGTCAGCTAGATAAGCGTAGCATTTGTCAGAGTTTCTATACCAAGCAAACATTGAGTTGATGGCCTCGGACAACTCAGCACTGCTGCTCTTGTCGATGCAACATGTGTCAATCCAGACATAGTCGAAGCCATCCTTGACCGCTTGTTCGCACGTCTTCTCGACCTTGCTGAATCCTTGCTTCTTCTTCGCCTCTGTAAGGTCCAAGAGATCTGTGAAAAGGACCTCATCCTCGCCCCAGCAATGTGACAGAATGGCGTATGACGGATAGTCACCAATAAAGCTCTCCAGCTCAATAGTACGCGCATTCAGCAATCGCATGATGCCTGCTGTATTGGCTCTTACTGCAATGTCTGATGAGATAAATCACACACTGAACCGGTCTTAGTGACGATTTGCTGCAGGCGACATGCTCGCATCAAGGAACTGCCGCGACAAGCTGAACACTGGATGCAAGTGACGGAGGGAAACAGACTCAAAGGGCGCCCCTAGAGGCAACTGTGGTTCCATCGCGTTGGTGTTTAGCCAAGATAAGCAGGCGCCAAGACTTCGCTTCCCCCACACTCCTTCCCACCATGGGTGGCCTCATCTCTTCTTCCAATTGACATCAACAGCTTCTTCTTCTGCTGCCAACATTCTCTATTATAGGACTCTTTACTGTGTGACTGACGGTCGTCAGGTCGCGTGCAGGTGTGATGAAGGCGGGAGGCGCTTTGGTAAGTGGCTGTTCTTTGTGTGCACCTTCTTTTCTCGCTTTCTGATGATTCCTGTTTATACTTAAGTTTCAAGACGGATCGTAGAGACTCAAGTGCTTTTGTCTCACTGACGTACAAAATGCCGACTGATCGAAGCGTTGTTCGATATTTGCATGTTACCGATATTCGTGGAAGATTTACTGATGACGTGTACAGGCAGTAGTAGATAAGCACAAGCAACAATACATTTTTCCAACTACGTGCATCCTGTACCAGTCTTCCCAATATCGTATTGCATCGCGAAGCCAGATCGTGAGGAGCAGGATATAGCTCTCTCAACGTCGTCCAAAGCAAAGTTTAGTCCAACAATCCAAGCGCCTGCGACGTGGCGAGAGCACCGCGTCTCGCCAATGTTCATACGGCTTTTACCAATACCTTCCCATCAATCAATGCCGTACGCCTGATGAACAAATAAGACTCAACCAACTCCGCTCCCTCATCCCTACTCAAGCCAAAGCCATGGGATTAAGACCAGCCACCACGGCGGTGGTAGTAGGTATTTACTTGTTGCGGGCACTGCGTCTGGGCTGACCATCTTCAGTAGCCGCCGGCTTGGACTGCTTCTTCTTTGCAGGCTCTTTCTTCTCGCTAGCCTTGGGACGTCCAGCCTTGCCCTTAGGCTTGGGTTCAGCATTGTCTCCACCCTCGGCATTGTCATCGCTTCCAGCCTTGTCGTCGTCATCAGCTTCTTCATCATTGGTCTTGGTCTTCTTCGAGGCAGGTGCTTTCTTCTCGGCAGCGGCGCCGTTTGTCTCGCTAGCCTTGCGCTTGTCGCCAGCCTGTGCCTCATCAGACTTGTCAGATTCGGCAGTATCGTCCTTGGATTCTTCTTTCGATTCATCCTTGGACTCAGACTCGTCTGCCTCGGCCTTTGAGTCCCCGTTCGTTTCTTTGGTGTTCTCCTTCTCATCCGCCTTCTCGGTAGGGACAGAGGCATCCTTCATCTCCTCATCCTTTTTCTCCGATTCAGTGGGTTTATCGTCTTCGTTCTTCTCTTCTTTCTTGTCGGCCTCAGACTCCTTAGGTTCCTGCTTCGAGTCACCGTTCGAGGCGCCTTCAGCCTTTTCGTCAATCTGAAGTTCGGATGCGCGCTTGACGACGTCGTTGCCAGATCGCTCGATATGGACCGCAGGGTTCTCAGGTTCGGCGTTCTTCTTGATCGTATTACCGCGATTGGATTCGATGGCAATCTCGCCTTGCTCCTTGACCTCGGCAACCTTACCACCAGGTTGTCCTGAGCCCCAGTTCCATGATACTAGAGCGGAGTGTTGTTAGCTTGCGTTGTTTGCTCAGAGGCGTGGTTTTGTAAAGGTTCATGCGTATGATCATCTTGCGCGCAACGCTGTCGCCTTCATACGCTCGAGTGCGACTAAGCGCCAGCTGCGAGCTGTCTTAGATGCGCGTGATAGGAACATCAACATTGTGCCGAGGCTTCCAAATGACTCACCCTTGTCTCCTTGCTGGATTTCAGACTCAGTCATGTTGGATGAGGCTTTCGGGAAGCTCTTTTTCAGGCAGATGACGTGATGGGTGTGCAAAGGTGGAGAGCAAAGCACGACAAGCGGGGTTGACAATCAATTGATGGATAAAAGGCTTGAGGTGCGTTGCGACAAGGCGTGGGTGATGCGCGGGCAGGTGTAGATGGTGTGATGGAAGAGAGAAGAAGCGTGTGATCCAGGAACCTGACGTTTGGAGAGGTGAGCTATGGATCGGGAAGCTGCGAAACATGACGACGCAGCCAATCATCTTGCTGTACTCGAAAGTATGGGGAAAGGTGGCTGGCGCCGGGATCGGGCAAGCGTCATCGGGTCCGTGCTAGCATCTCGGTTGCATGGCCCTATCCGGAACGCCTTCGAAGATCGCCGAGCTCGAGCGTCTGGTTTTGGAACGACGCGCTTTCGCGATGGATTCAGCTTTGAATGCCTCCAGCATGCAAGAGTCTTTGCACGTCCAGACCTGCAAGCAATCCTAGCATCATGCCTTTGAAAGATGTTGTCTATATTTAGAGATCCACCGGCAGCTTGCATCAGAATGTCACATGGCTCCTGGAGAGTACCCTTTAAAGGTATAACTGCCGGAACCCATCTTTGTAGAAAGACAATCACTAATTGCATGGTTGACATTCACCCCGAAAGGTCACTGAGGAATTGCCACAATTGCGTCGATATTCCGTTCTCGTGCCTGTTGGCTCCCTCATCAATCTTCATTGTGTGCACGATTCTGAAGCAATTTCCCAGTTGGAGTCTTCTGGGTGGATGTCTTTGGCTCAACGTGCGAGGCTGCCTAAACGACATGAGACTCCACATGGTTTGTTCTGAGCCGGAATTCCATCGCAAGCCAAGTGTCACGGTTGGCACAATCCATTTGGTCAAACCCGCGAAGGTATAAACCGCAGGCGCACGAATAGGTGCTAATCGTCACGTCTGCCGAACGGCACTTATTGAAATACACTAGATAACATGTATGGGACGTGGTTGTATCCTTTTGCCCTGGAAACTCCATCCAATGGGCTACAATCGCGCGCCCAATTTCGCATGTTCACAGATACGCGTATTTTGGCGTCCACGTAGGGCTCAAAATCAGCTGTTCCAGGATATACGAGAGCTCTAGATCTGTTGTCAAAGTTTCCATCAATTTATGTGGTGAAGGCAGTCGGTACGAGGGCCTGACGGCACAGCGTTTTGACTTCCCCTTCACTTCCTAATTTTAACCTGACAGCGCTGACACAAAATCCCTTACCCCGCGCCAACCTGACTCCGCTCACTCACTCTCTCACTCTCTCACTCTCCTATTTCCTCAGCTTTGTGTGCGCGCGCAACACAAGACCAAAACAGCAGGATGTCGCCTCAAGGAGAACATCGATCGCCGCCTCCGGAATACAGCGCTGAAGGTGAGCTCAGCTGCCTTCGACGCGTTCATCCGCTAACTCAGCAGCTCCACCTCAAGTTCGTGCTTCGCCCCACGCGCAAGCTCCTAATGACTTCGATGAGGGCGTCTCAGGTCAGTGACGCTATTCCCAGCTCTACCCTCCACTCGTTGTACCGATACTGATTTGATCTCAGGTGCTGAACCTTCTGCTACGACTCTGATCGACGGCGTACAGCAGCAAGTTGAAGCGCCGGCTGACGGCTCTCGCGTCGCGAAGAGACGCAAGCAGTCTGTTGGAGGCGAGGCGGCCAACGGAGGACCTGAGAACGATCTGCGTCTGCGAGCTGCTGATCTTGAACTTCGCGGCGAGCACCTCGCGCTGAGAGTCCTTCTCAATGATAAGGAGGCGACCATCTCACGTCTCAGGCTCAAGTACGAAGAGCACAAGGTCGTTCACCTTCGAGAACAAACACGTCTGCGTAAAGACCTCAACAATGCGGTCGCTGTGCACAACGAGAGCTCAGATACGATGAAGAAAGAGGTTCTGGGTCTCAAGATTGAGGCAAACGAGCTCAAGAAGGAGATCAACAAACGCGATGCGCGTATCTTGGGGCTCGAGCAGCAGCTAGACCATCTCAGCTTGGCCTACACGCGTGCCCCAGCCAAGCACCGTGAACCGTCTCTGGCACCAGATCCCAACCAAGCCGTTCGTGAGCATCCCGAGTACAAGCATCCAGAAGCTCCAAGGCAAAATCCAACTTACATGGGCTTCAACTGCAAGGTGACTTACCCAGTCGGAACAGGCAAGGTGTGGGTTGGCAGTTACGGTTCAACAAAGTATTGGGACCTCGGTCTTTGTCGCAGCCACTTTGAGTACGGCAAAGTCTGTCATGTCCGCGGCTGCGAGTACCGTCATGAGCCGCTCACTACAAACGAGCAAATCTACATTGGTCTGTTGGAGCCTAAGGGCCCTAAGTTTCTCAGAGATGTAGCCATCTGCAACGTCGCTCGTCGCAACAAGGTCCTCTTGTAAGCTTGTCGGAGCTTGGCGCCGCACTTCACCCGAACTAGTTGGAGAAGGTTGGAGACAGTTGGAAACTTTGAGAGCTTAGATAGCGTTGTGAGCCTCAGGCTCGAACCTCGATAGTGGAATGAAGCTCTTCAACTTGTGTAGCTATCTAAATTTTTGCGAAAACTTACGTGCATTGACATCATCCGCGCTGTCGCCTTTGCAAACCTGTCAACAGCCTTCATATGCTAGAGTCTTCCTTGAGGCGAACATCCGATAGTATCAGATGAGGCGGATGTCATGGCAAGAGCGCAGATGAAGTAGCTCGATGCGACGGGGATTCTGTTGCAGTTCGGAGTCTTCTATGCCTGGCACTCGCCGAAACTCTCTTGTGAACCAGCGACGGACTTGGTGCTAGCGAAGCGGTCTCCAATAACGTGCTCCTTCACTCCATGCGTCACCAATTCGACGCAAGTCTTGTGCATCATCCGGGAAAAAGCATAGTGTGGGCGAGCATATATGGTGTTCCAGCAAGTGCGTAGCCGTAGGGATGATAGGACATAGCATCTGACTTGTGGTCTTTCGTCGACGAGGGCACGTTAGGCAGTGAAGGTACACGCCTTCACTGCGATGAGCAAACAGCTGGTCCCACATGCGCAATCACGCTCCGTCATTCGCGTGACGGCATGCGTTGTAGCTACAGCAGTCTGAAAGTTATTATCCTGTTTATATATTAATTAATTCTAGGATTTTTCATCAGCCAGTAGACGTACTGGCTGACCCCCGTATAGGTGAACTTCGAGAGTCACCCCCCGTATAGGTGAACTTCGAGAGTCACCCCCCGTACAGGTGCGACTTCGTGAGCCACCCCCCGCACAGGTGGACTTCGAGAGTCACCAAAAAGTCCCAGGTTCGAGTCCTAGGCCGCGCGTTCTTTTTGCAATTTTTTTGTTCTATGTCAGCACTGCGCTTTCACTTGTGATGGCAGTGAAGCCACAACAAGCCAATCAGACGGCCAGCTGCACACAACCGTTTGTCGCGCGTGACTCAAGCCTTTGGAAGACAAAACTTTTGTGCAAGACCTGCCTGTGCAAGCAAGCGCAAGCACTGTCAAATATAGCAGGTGAGACACAAATCTGTGTCAAGAAGTTTCGTACAGAGGGGCGGCAGGTAAGAGACAGCAAGCTGATCAACTAGAAGTCCAAGTCACAGTCTGCACAAACCGCATAACGCAATCCAACAAGCCCGCGAGCGAAGCAACAGTTTCAGGTTAAACAGACACGCACGTTGTCATCCAAATCCCCGACCCACGCACCTCCCGACACATCCATCACACATGCTCGCATCAGCCATATTCTCTACTCGCCCGCTGTCCGAGGCATTCGTTAAAACGTACCAGCATCAGCCATGTCCCCAACTCACGCATCCTCCGGGCTATCCTTCACACGTCCTCGCATCACGGAAACACGAAGATACGACACATCGCACACCCACCCCATCCTTCAACAAAGGTAGCCACATCACACCACAGCATCCCCCGCCCCACCGCCTCTACTCTGACCAGCGAGACCCGGTTGCTGCTGCGCCTCTGTACCCGAGTCTCAACCTCATCCTTACCCCCACCGCACGTGATACCCTCGCTTTCTCTGTAGCCAGGCTCTTGTGTGGCAGAGGAGACGGCGACGGCGACGGTGACAGCGGCGGAGAAGATGGGGAACTGTAGGGCTGGGTTTGTGGCTACGATGTGGGGAGTGGGTGGCTGGGTTTTTGGGTTAGGTGGTATCGTATGGTAGGTGTGAGTTGTGGGGAAGGGGATTGGATTTGAGATGCGGGTGTGCGCTGTTCTGGTTGCAAGCGGGAGGTGGGTGTGTGGGCGGCGGCGGCGCGGGGACTGACAACGTGGGTAGTGAGCCATGCAGAGAGACGTCACATGGAAGGCAGAGAAGATGGAGTGTTTGTATCAATGTCATTACTACCATTTCACTACTATCAATTACTCTCCCCACCACTCCAACGCTATCAAGACAATCCGCAATCTGGTCTCGCCTATCTACCCAGCCTGATACAGCCCCAGCGCAACAACATGCGGATTAATCAAACTCAGATTAAACGGCGTAACAAACAAGTCCTTATCCGTCAGCGCCAGGAACATGGTGTCGTTCGCCGCCGGATCGCCCTGATACACCTCACTGGCGGGCTGATACGTGTACCCCTCATTCTCCCCCGTCAGCACCAGCGGCGTGTACGTGAGATTCAGCTGGCTGACCCAGGCCGCGAACGCCGGCGCACCCGCGCTCGTCGAGGTCACGTACGAGTTGTTGGGGCCGACGGCAGAGCCAGGCGAGTCCCAGGTTAGGTTCACGAGTTTGCCGGGGAAGGAGAGCGGTTCGCTGCGGTTGCGGACAATGCCGGGGGCGCAGGAGTAGCCGGGGTGTTCTTTGGGGTCGATGTTGACGCAGGATTCGTCGGGGGGGATGGTGGAGTCGGAGGGATCGCCGGTGCGGTTACCAGCGACTTCGTAGGCTCCGGTGTCGTTCGGGGAGAAGCGGTTGGGGTTGGCTTGGTTGACGATGTGAAGGGCTGGCATGTTCTGCCAGGAGAGCCTCTTTTTCGATGCATTAGCCAGAGAATAGACAGTTGGGGAGGGATAAACTTACGGTGGTGTTCTCCGGGCACGAGCTGATGTACGGCGCCAAGTAAGTCCAAGCCCACGACTGCGGGATACCGGTCTCGAACCACACAGGCATGGGATGCAGACCCAGCATCTGGCGGAACGACATCTGCTGGCGGGCCTCCGTCGCAATAGACTGCGCGAGCAGCTGCCCGACCTCGCGCGAGTCGAGGTGGTTAATAAAACCCCAAACGCCGGACTCGCCCCAGCGCGTCAGCTTCTGGTTGAAGTCGATGAACTCGCGGACGGTGCGAAAGGGGTAGTCGTACGTGCACTGGGGCGCGGCGGTCTCGCCGAGCATGTTGGTGAGCAGCGTCGCGTGGCCCGTCTCCTGGACCGCCATGAAGGCGATGTAGGCGCGGTCCTCGGCTGTCAGGCCGGCCTCGAGGAAGTCCTCCTCCGAGAAGACGGCGAGGCCGTTGTTGAACAAGTCGAGCTCAATCCACTCCTGGTACAGACCGAGCTGGATGGACTCGTAGTCGAAGTCACTGTTCACCATGTAGCGAGGTTCAGAGCCGTTGGTGCCAAGACCGCCAGCCGGGGTGTAGGGGATCGGCATGGGGTTCTGGGGTAAGCCATTGGTGTTGTAGTATGTGGCAGTAGGGTTTGGTGGGCCAGGAACAATGGCAGTGCCCAAGGTGGCGGGAGCCTTAGCAGCGCCGGTCGTGGTAGGAGTACCAGAGAAGGGACCGTGGCTGGTGGCGCCAGTAGGGTCCGCACTGATGCGGGGGTAGGCAGAGCCAGTCTGAGTGGCCTGAGCAGGTATCTGACTGTCAGGGCCAAAGCTGGTGGCAGGTGTGCCAGTAGGGTAGTCAACCGAGAACGACGCATCGGCGTTGGTATAACCCTCCACCTGCGGCGCAGGTGCGGCAGCGGCGAGCGCTGAGAGCAGCGATGTGCTGAAGATGGCCTTGGAGAGCATCTTGACTTCGGTTGGAGTGAAGCGAAGGTGCAGAACAGTGAGCGGGCGCCTCAATTCTATTATATACAGTCACTGCCCCCTTGCGCACCACTACGCTACTGTTCCCAGTGACAGCTCCATGACAAAAAGATGATATTCTCGAAAGCGTTTAGTGCCATGACTTCATGACAATATCAACGAGGAATCGGATCTGACTGGCATCGAAAAGCTCGACCATGACATGGCAATCTCGGGAGCTTTTCGATCGGAACAATGGTACGAGCCAATCACAGGGAGGCTGTCGAGCTGCAGTAAGCCCCGGGCGTCTGCGCGAACGCGTGGTGACCAGGATGCATTGCCATCTGCCGAGCAGCAGTTTGTTGTGACGTCGCTCTGACACGAAGGAGTTATGGAGACTTTAAGCCGCTAGCGCACCCGTAGACCGATCAACGGCGGACCGGCCAAAGAGGTTGAATTGTCAGCGAATAGCAGTCCGCACCCAGGTCCACGGCGAGGCTGCATTGGAATTGTTCAGCACCATGCATCTCGACTGCTCAGGACTCCGCGGAGCACACCACTCCACCCGCTTTCACCACCGTCGCCTTCCTTGCCGCGGCGAATCTGCAGGTACCCATTCGGCCAGCTCCCCACAATAAGATATCGCTCTTGCGCGATTCATGTTGCCTTGTAAAAAGATCCTGGAGCGTACCCATTGTATGACCAGGGCGGTGCCTGGAGCAAGGTCGGTTCTGATAGACGCAGACAGAAGCGTCACCCATGTCAGGCGCAGTGCTGAACAGAGTTTTGTCAATGATGTAAGATGCGCGCAATGATCTGAGGTGTTAGCTCAAGACGCGTAGTCACGGGAGCACGAACGTCAATCATTCGTGATTGCAAAAGCCGGGTACACGGATGGGAATAATCGCAGTGGCGAAATGGTAGTAGATTTGATATATTTCACAGCCAAAAACCTGGCGACTCGGCCTACATGCGTGCTGTCCTGCGGTTTGCTCGCGCAGTCCGGCCTGGACGTGCCACTCCGCAACTGCCACGACGAAGCATTTTCAATAGCGCGGCGATTTGGATTAGCGCTGCGTCACTTTGCGCGGGCCATGGGGCCCCAGTTCTCGCGCGGCGCGAGCTGGTAGCGGACGTATTTGCCTCTGTCGTGGTCTCTGCCCAGCTTCTCGTCGAAGTTGACTTCGAAGTTGGTGCCCAGGTATGAGGGTCGCTCTGCTGTTTCTGTGTTTGCCATCTCGACATCAGCAGCCTCGCCATCCTGTGCAGTCGGCTTCTCTACCGTGGCGGCATCTTTTGCTGCGCCTTTTGTTTCCACTGGGCTCATGCAAGGTTTCGACATGATTGCGCGGCCTGCAGTGTTCTCCTTCAGCGGGTTCTTGAGCGGCGCCTTTTGGCGGATCCATTCTGTCATGATGTGCCATATGTCTGTCCAGGATGCGTCTGTCTTGAGTGACCCAGGTTTGCAGTGGCTCATCGTTACCCGGAAACCAGCGTGTCGAAGTGCACCTCGCAGGGCTGCTGTAGGGGGGGGCCGAGCAATGCAAGACCCTGGAGATTGAGCTGGGAATGAAGAAAAAGGGGTGGTGATCTATCTCCGCTGGGTCAGCCTTGGGAATGAGAGGGCTGAGCATCTGTTTGCTCTGGTCGTCCTTCCGTTTCGTCCCGAGCGTGATCTCGTCCAACGCTGTACGCAGCATGCCCTCTATCCGGTCCATTGTTGGGTAGGTCTCACGATCGACTTCGTTCAGTTGAGCAAGCACTCTCTCGACAAAGCCTACGTTGTGGATAGGCCCGCCATACATTGGGCCAACAATGTGCGTCTTGATCCCGCAGTGCTTGCAGTGCTCGTCTGCCGAAGGACCGGCGGCAAAGCCGTGCTTGTAGAATGGATCGCCCTTTTTATTTTTTGTGACCTTGTTGCGTGCAAGGAATTGTGTGGTCCACGCTCCGCAGCCATTGTCGCAGGAGTATATGAGCATGGTCTTGCCGGCCAGGAGCTTGACATCATTAGGCGCCTTCCGCACCCGCACAAAGACTCGGAGGTAGTAGTCGATTGACAGTGAAAGCAACGGCTCTATCGCCATGCCGTACCGTGCAGCTGAAGAGGCGATCGCATGCAGCACCAGACGAACACCCCCTTCGTGGCATGCTTCGCCCTTGAATGGCAGACCCCCGTACTGCGAGTAGGTCTTCTCCAGATAGCCGTGTGACGCAAAGATAGCAGAGTCCGTACATGTGACGCAAAGCAGCCCATCGTCGGTGATGGCCTGTATGGCAGAGTCGATAAAGGGCGCGGCTGTGCCGTAGGGGTCCAGGTCAATCACATCGTAGCCGTTCTTGTCGCAGTAGCTGTACATGTAGGCAATGGCGTTCCCTGTGTTGGGTTTGATGGTGTCCTCCAGCTTGTTGTGCTTGATGTTCAGCTTGATTGACTCGACAGCGTTCGTCGACATGTCGTTGGACGTGATGGACGTTGCGAAGGGAATCTCTTTTGCGTATCGTAGCGCTCGCAGACCGGTCGCAGAGAGAGCGTCGAGGATGGTGAAGGGTGCTCTCCATGGCCTGGGCTCTTTCGCGTCCGCTTGCGTTTCCGCTACCTCTCCCTCCTCCAACACATGGCCGTTCTCGATGACCTTTTGCTTCTTCGCCGGCGCAGCACCGTCGTCTGTTTCATCCTGGGCCAGCTTGCGCTTCAGTGTGTTCTCGTCGTCTAGATTGCGGTTCAGCGTGTTCTCGTCCTCGGCGGCTGTTTCGTCGACCGTCTCTTCCACCTCCTCGGCCGGCCCTTCTGCCGCCTCTTTTCTCTGCGCTTTTTGCTTCCTCGGCCCTTTCTTCAGCTGCTTCGCGTGTCTATCCTGCTTCCTCTGCACCGAGTCCAAGCCGAACGTCTTGATCGCGAGCACGCTCAAGTCGCGGTTGAACTGCTGGATCGGGTTGTAGAAGACCTGCTGCTTCTGCGTATCCTCCTTCGACATGCGCGGGTCGGTCGATGTGGGTGTGTCGTGGGGCACCAGGATGTGCGCCAGGCCCTCCTTGATGGTCGTGTACTCTTTGCCCTCGTGGCTGATGGTCTGCCCGACGTGTGGTGTTGCGTCGATTGTCTTGGCCTGCGCGTCGGCCATTGGGGCGTCGGGGTGCGCCATGATGCGCGAGATGTGGAGGCTGCGAGTGTGAAGGTGAGAGCTACCGGCCCATGCTCTGCAGGGAGATGTTGGAAGCTTCCTCGGGGCACACAGGACGCGCCAGACCGGGGTGAAAGAGGCCAGGTTTGTGACGAACTGTCCAAGACTTTCCTCCGCAAGAACTTCGAGGTATGGCGAACTTCAAGAAGTGTGACTGGGCGCATCCACGGTTCGCGTCGCGCTCCAAAATTTGGCGAAGCTTATCTTAGCGCCATCGGAATGCAAGGCTGACAGCACCTTCCCCGCACACCAGGTGGTATCAACACAACATGACCACCTTATTGGATAATATGCAGCAAAGCGGCTTGTATCGTCCAGGGTCCGTGTCTTGACCTTGCAGCCTCTACGCGTGGCTATGCCGAGTGCGAGTGCATACCCGCTGCGTAACGCCGATAGGTGGTTGCCTGATGCTCCTAAAACAGCCTCCACCAGACGCGAGTCTCACCGGCCCCTGGAGTAAGCATAAAGGCCGCGTCCCGTCTATCGTCTCGTCTTGTCCCGCTCTGTTCAGCTTGTACCTTGGATATTACAGTAAGTTGTTATCGTAGCACCACACGTGCCGCCGCTCTTCACCACCACCACCATGGGCCGAACCGCTCCCGTCCCGGAATACAGAGACGAGCCCGAAGACGCCGTCTCCCTGCACACCACGCCCGACGACTACGCCTACAGCGATGCGGCCTCGCCTACCTCGCCCCCCTCGTACGCCGACAGCGAGGCCGACGCCGCCGCCCCCCGCGCCCCCATCTACCACACCCCGCCGCCCACCTCCCGCACCGACCACAGCAACCCCGCCTTCCGCAACGGCAAGCCCACCGTATGCACGACCTCCACGCACATGGACCCGCGCTACGACACGGACCCGATCTACCTCGAGTCCGCGGTGCGGTCGCTCGCCGCCGCGCCGCCCGTCCCGCTGATCTACATCATGGGCACGCACACGGAGACCACGCGGCGCGGCGACAAGAAGGAAACCCGCGAGGTCACCGACTTCCGCCTCGTGCTCAGCCTGGCGGGGTACCTGCACCCGAACTTCGCCCCCGGCGACACGTCGCCGATGCAGCTCACCACGGCCGCGAACAAGGAGTCCACGCACCGCGGCACCGTCTTCAAGGCCCGCGCGCCCGGCGCCCGGGACCTCGAGGACGCCGGCCCCGCGCCCTCGCTGACGGAGTGGTGCCACCGCTTCTGCGCCTCTGCGTCCCCGCTGCGCGTCTTCCGCCTGACCCGCTCCGTGACGGGGCTCGACACGCCGTACCTGTCCTCCCGCATCGAGGGCCTGCTGCGCGCGACCTCGTACAGGGGGCACATCCGCATCAGCTTCCCCGTCGAAGACGCCCACGCAGACATCTACACCTCCCACCGCGTGAACAGCTGGCGCACCACGCCGTGGATCTGCTGGGCCTTCTACCTGTCGTTCCTGTGGCTGCTCACCTGGCCGCTGCTTTTCTTCTGCACGAAGCGCTACGCCGTGATCCGCGCAGAGTGGCCGTTCAGCGCGACCACCGCCGGCCGCAAGGTGTACACCACCGTGAGCGAGGAGCAGTACGTCGAGCGCTGGGGCACGGCGATCCGGAGGCTGGCGCTGGAGGGGTACCAGGGCGCGGTGGGCGAGGACGTGATGCGCGGGGTGAGCGAGCGGGATGCGGATCCGCCCGTGCCGCGGACGGGTGTGAATGTGAATACGGGGCACGCGGGCGTGGACAGCGCGGTGGGGTTTCTGTCACAAGGAATCCAGGTGGCGCGCGCCTTATCAGGGGGAGATGTGCGAGGAGTGTCACAGGGGCTGCAGGGCGGGTGGGGGTATGATTCGTGAGTGGATGCGTGCAGATGCATGTGTGGATAGCGATGTCGATGCAGATGTAGATGTAGATGCAGACGTGCCAGTGAACTCGTCTCCCACGGTACAAGACCCCAAATTTCAATTCCCAACTTCCACCCTTTCCATCTCTCCAGCTCCTCTCAGAACCCCTCTCCAGCGCCTCTCAGCTCCTCTCACACCCCCTCTCACACCCCTCCTCCCCCTCCCCCCGGAAGAACCACACACACACACACACACACACACACACACACACACAACCGCCAGACAAGAAACAGCGTGCAACGAACAGCGAAAAAGAAAGTGCAATGAACGACGAAGAACGGGGAAATGTGCTGATACAACACAACACTCCCGAATATGGGATATGGATATACACACTATACTACTACACCCGACCGTAATACACACAATACACACTACTCCTCCATCTTCATCCGACTCATCAACATTCACATGAAAAACCCCCTTGTGAAAACCCCCTTGGGAAAACCCCCACTCTAGCAGTAAAAATATACAAGAAAGAAAAGAAAAGAAAGGGGACACTGCATTGTGGGGTAGCATTCACTTCCACCCCATCCCACCCCAGCATACCCATCTATTTCACTTCACCTACCTCAGTACTCCTTAGGAGCACTCGAAGCACCCTCAGCACCCTCAGCACGCGACTGCGAAGCCGAACGCAAAGGCAAAGAAGACGACGCACCCTACCACGCCCCCCCATCCTCAGCATCAAAGAACTCACTCCCGCCCTCCGTCGTCCTCGTCGCCGTACTAGCCTCAGAATCACTCCTGGGCCTCTCCTTCTCCTTATCTTTGGGCACCTTATCCCTCAACCACAACAACACAGCCTCAGTCCCTTTACTCAGCACCTGATAACTAGGGACGCGGAAGCGATTTCCCTCGACCACCAACGTACCAAGTTCGCCCGCGAGCAACCCAATGCGTGGATCGAGACGCTCGATATTGTTGTTGCCGAGGTTCGCGACTTTGAGGCCGGCGAGGGCGGGCGCGGGGACGTCGGTTAGGGCGTTGTCGGCGGCGAGGAGGGTGGTGAGGGCGGGGAAGGAGGAGCGCAGCGGGGGCAGGGTGCCGGTGAGGCGGTTTTGGCTGAGGTCGAGGGTGTGCAGGGCGGGGGCTGTGAGGTGGGTGGTGAGGGCGGCGAGGGAGCTGAGTTTGTTGTTCGAGAGGCGCAGTTCGCGCAGCTTGGGGAGAGAGAGGGGGGTCGAGAGGGGGCTGGCGATGCTGTTGCTGGACAGGTCGAGGATGGTGAGGAACGCGATGCGGCCGAAAGCGAGCGGGACGCTCTGGAGGAGGTTGCTCTGGAGGTTGATCTGGCGGATGTCACTGGTTTCTGCCAAGGCCACCAGGGCGTCTTCGTCGAGCTCGGTGAAATTCTTGTTCGCCAGGTCGAGGGTTCCTGAGGGTGTTACTGTCCACCCATTCGAAATCTCAGGTGCCTGCTCTTCAGCCGCAAATGCAAACTCGTCCTCGTCAGGGCCAGTGACAATCGCTTCAGGCTGGAGTCGTGCATGGAGGTCGCGTTTCATTTCGTCCGTGCTCATCGTCAAGAACTTCCTCTCGCGGATAGGGTTCGCAGCAAGAGTGAGATTTTCCAGCCCGTCCATTAGCGCAATGTGCTCGTCGACCTTTGAGATGTCGTTTGCCGTGAAGTCGGCGATGCGCAGTTGCTTCAAGGTGAAGAAGCCGTCTGGGAACGCAGCGACCTTGTTCTCGCCCAGCAGAAGCGTGCCCAAGTGAGACCACGAACTCACGTCAGGTAGCGAAGACAGCCTGTTTACTGAGATGTCCAGATGCTTCAACGCGGGCATGCTCAAGCTGCCAGACTCAGACAAGGATGTCAGTGCGTTGCCGGACAGTCGTAGCTCCTGCAGGTGCGGTGCTGATGAGACGGTGAAGAACGAGCCCTCCAGGCGGTTGTTCGTAGCGTTGAACTCAATCAACGATGGAGATGTGAACAGCTCCATGGGTACAGTCTGGATCCGATTGTTGGCGACATTAAGAGTCCGCAGCTGTGTCAGCTCCCGAATCTCCGCGGGGAGACCGATGAGCTTGTTGTTGGCAAGATCCAGAACCTCGAGCTGGGTCAGGCTGGCAATGTCCGACGGCAATTGGCCATCAAAGCTGTTCTCGGCCAGCTTCAGCTCGCGCAACGAGGTTATCTTGGTGATGACTTCGAAGGCCCCCACGGGGAGTTTGTTCCTGGACAGATTGAGCTTGGTGAGCTCCACCAGCTGCCTAAGACCCATGGGCAGCTCTTGCAGCAGATTGCCGTGGAAGTCGAGGTTCTGCACACCGCCAAACTGCGGTCCAGCATCGTCCGAGTCGATGAAGTCGTCGCCGTTGACGTCAGGGAACATGCTGTCCGGCAGCGTCGTCAGCTCGTTGTCGGCAGCAACAATGGTCGTAACGTCCACAATCTCGCCCCAGGCGACGGTGGCATCGTTCGGGTCGTACATGTGGAGAACCTCCTCGGGCATCTCAGTCAGCTGCATGCCTGCAATGTTGAGGCGGCCGGTTGTGCGGGCGCCGTCCACACGCTTGCGCAGGACGGATTGGCCGCCCTTTGAGTTTTGGTTGAACGGATCGTCGAGGCCAAAGTCGAAGCTGGCAATCTCGTCGGGGTCGGGTATGATGGCATCCTTGGGCGGCGTGTCTGCACGAACGGGTGCAGCCTTGCGCTTTGCTGCCTCTCGGGCCTTGGCGATCTGCTCTCTGAGGGCATTCGAGGAGTTCTCGGGCTTCTTGGGTGACTCGACAACCTCTTGCTTGCGGGTGGCCTTGGCCTGGGCGATGGAGTTGCGGAGCGCGAGTGACGAGCTGGGGGCTTTGCGAGGCGTGCTCGTTGGCGAGGGTGCCGGGGCAGTGCCGGGTGGTGATATTGCCTGGCCAAAAGAGCCAGCAACGGGAGCACGTGCTTTTGGCGTGCGAGAGGCCAGACCCTTGCTGGACGACGGGGCTGGCTTGGAGGGAGTGTGGATGTTCTGCGTGGGCACCAGCGCGGGCTTCTTGATTGCAGTCGTGGGCCGTGACACGGACGAGACGCGGCTCGGGGTCGTTGTGGGCGTGGATGCGGTGGCGCTGGCGCTCCGCTTGGGGACTGTCATGGACAGGCGTGCGGGCGACGCGGCGGGCCTGCTGGGCGTCGTGGGCAGGCGACTGGCGCCGTCGCTGGTGGCGGGCCTGCTGTCGTTGCTCTGGTTGGACATGGCGGATGCAGGACGCAGTGGTGGCAGCATGACTCCGTCTTGGTTGAAGAAGCTCGACCGGCGCCGGCCCTTGCCCTTTGCGGGCGACGAGGGCAGCAGCGACAGGCTCTCGACAGTGCGCTCGGACAGGGACGGCCGCGCCTTCCGCTTGGCCGTGGCGTCACGCTCCCCGTCCAGCACGTCCTCGGGCGAGGAGCTCTCGTGGACACCGGCCTGCGAGCCCGCACGCGACGACCCTCTCGACGCCGAGTGAAAGCCATTGAGGCTGCCCAGCCGGTCGTCCTCCCTGGTGGCGCTCGGCGTGCGCAGCGGCTGCGAGGGCGTCCGGCTCTGGCGGGACGACGGGCGAGCAAACGGCTTCTTGAAGGCGGGCGCGCCCTGCGACGAGGTGCGCGGCGGGAGCGAGGTGGCCGCGCCGGGGATGCTGCTCACGCGGCGGCCGGCGGCGGGCACCAGCGAGGCGCGGCTAGGCTTTCGCGCCAGCGGCTGCGAGACGGGCGGGGGGGCGGTCTGCGAGGGGGCGGCATACGACGGGACGAGCGAGATGCGCGACGGCTTGCGCTGGAGGCCGGGTACGGGTGCCGGTGCTGGCTGCGTGGGCGGGCGCGACAGGGAGGTGACGGACGGCTGCTTGCGAAGCTGGCTGCTCGACGCCGGCGACCGCAGCTGCTGCTGGCTGCCCGACGGCCGTAGTATAGGGAGCCGGGACGCGGCGGGGCGCGGCAGGCCAGACGGTCGCGGGAGGCTCGAGGGCGGATCCATGACCTCGATGGCCGGTCAGCGGGCGACGTCGCAGTTCATGCGGTGGAGGCTCTCGCGCAGGGATTGCGTCTCCCTGCCGGACAATTTCCAGAATCCCAGCACGGCGCGACGTGACGGTCAGGCCGGGAGGATGTCACAGCGCCGCGTTGCCCCGGAGACCAAGACGGGCTGGCTGGAATTGGGGCATGGTTCGCAGCCCTCCGCGCAGGTACACGGCGGCTCCACCCAGCACCGCACCTCACCTCGCACCCACCGCGCCGCCCTCGCCGCCCCAGACGCCGCCGCGACCATTGTCTGAGCCGCCCGTGCAGCTGCGCCGTCGCCTCGCGCCCGCGACTCTTCCCCGCAGCACGCGCCGACACGCGCACGCCGCCCCGTCCCGCCCGTCAAACACCCCGCCGCCCGCGCATCGCCCTGCGCCATGGAGGCCGCCCTGTCGCCCCCCGAGGACGCGCGCGTCGCGAGCCCGGACGTCGAGTCGCGCGCCTCGTCTGCGCCCGCCAGCCCGCCCACGCCGCAGCTGACGTCGCCGCCGCCGCCCGCCGCGCTCAGCACCACCACGGCGTCGGCTGAGGCTGCGGCTGCCGTGCTGTTCTCGCACGACCAGGTCAGCCGCGCCGCCGCCGACGAGCTGCGCGCCATGGTCGACACCCTGACCGACGCCCTGCGCGACATGCGCCTGTCGGCCGCCCACTACCGCCTGCAGCACAACATGGCCGTCATGGAGTCGCAGGAGGCCGCCAGCCGCATGGCCGTCGAGCTGGCCATGGCCCACCGCGAGCTGGACGTGCTGCAGCAGGCCGAGGCGAAGCGCCGCCAGGCCGCCGCCGCCCCCGAGCCCAGCTACGTCGACAGCGCCAACGCCGCCAACGCCATCGTCCTGGCCGAGATGAACCGCCAGGCCCTGATGCTGCAGGCCGAGAACGACCAGCTGCGCGACCTGTTCGAGCAGCAGAAGCGCCTGACCGAGCACCGCGAGGGCGAGCTCGCCAGCCTGATCGACGAGAACGACCGCCTCAAGTCGCGCATCCGCAAGAACAGGGACCACATGGCCCCGCTGCTCGAGCAGATGCACGACCACAGCTCGCCGCGCTCCGCCTATGCCACCCCGCACCAGCCCACCCCGCGCCGCCTGCACCGCACGCCCCTCTCCAGCGAGAACATGCGCGGCACCAGCAACTTCGAGGCCCTCCTGCTGGCCGACAAGATGCTGAGCCAGGAGACGGCCACCGCCCCCGCCACGCCCCGCACCGCCACACACCCCCGGTCTCGAGGCCACCACAGAGGTGCGCAGTCCATGTCTTCCCTGCCCAACACCCCCAACCGGCGATCGCACCCCTATGCACGCCCACCGCGCACCCCGCCCAGCTACACCGCGACCGCCATCCCCCAGTCCGCGCCGCCTGCTCACTACCACCAGAAGCCTGCGCATGACCGCCGCCAGAGCTCCAACTCCACCATCACCGCCTCCAGCGTCGACGACGAGGAAGCCTGCACCGACCGCGAAGACGACCTCATCGCCGAGTCGCACGCCAGCCAGATGGCCTCCAGCATGCTGCGCCACGCGCCCCCGCCGAGGCCCATGCCCGCGCCCTCGACGAACCTCGTCCAGAGCAAGATCTTCGGCCACGTCAAAAAGGGGCACAGCGCCGCCCGTCCCAAGGAGTACGAGAAGCGGCGGCCTGAGGTGTCTCACTTGACCAGTCCGCGCGATCACGGTGCCCATGGTGTATCTCACGGTGCCCACGGTGCCCACGGTGTACCTCACGGTGTGCCCCACGGTGTAGGTCTAGGCATTGGCGGCTTGCGAGAGTAACGTTCCTGATCACGAGCAGGACGCCCGCTACTAAGCTACGATTCATGACCCGCTGCGCTTGGTTTTTTTTTGAATGATTGTTTGTGAGATATCCCTTGTTGGCTGGTGCGAGGCACCGCCGTTGCTGTCTGTTCGATAGTATAGTCGTGCGCGGGCATTATGAGATGCTGTAATGAAATTGTCGGATGATCAGGTATGCATTGACGTTGAGCAGCTGTGCATTGGTGTCTGAACTGCTGTGCATTGATGTCTGACCAGCTATGTGCGTTTAATTGTTAGTATTCAATAACGGTCCTGTCAAGTTCAGAGATGTCCGTCCATGTCAAGTTCAGTGATGTTCTCCACGTCAAGCTCAATGTGGCTAGCGCTGTCGGATATCACACGCCGACGTTTACCCGCAAGCGAGCGCTCCGCACCGATTTTCTCTCTCGTCGAACATCTTCTCGTCAGCCCGTACTAACCACAGGTCCTCGACAGGTACGCCGCGCGCAATTGCTCCTCGACCCGACTAACCGTCGCAGAAATCTGCAAAAATGGCCATCAAGCACAACCAGCAGATCCAGAAGAACCACTTCCACAAGGACTGGTATGCGCCGCCCTGCACTCGCGCAAGCGCTCGCTGACTTTCCCAGGCAACGCTACGTCCGCGTGCACTTCGACCAGGTAAATCCCCTCTCACTCCGCTGAGAGCAGTGGCGCCTGTGTCAACAGTTGTTAACGCTCGATAGCCTGGCAAGAAGAAGTCCAGACGCAACGCCCGCGTTGCCAAGGCCGCGAAGGTTGCTCCTCGCCCCGTCGACCTCCTCCGCCCCGTTGTGCGATGCCCTACCGTCAAGTGTACGTGGACCGCCGCGACGACAGCGCACTGCTGACATGAACAGACAACCGCCGCGTCAGGCCCGGCCGTGGTTTCTCGCTCGTTGAGCTGAAGGGTACGCCGCTCACGCCCCCATCGCACCCCCACGATCACCGCTAACAAGCCCAGCTGCCGGCATTCCCCGCAAGTTCGCCCGCACCATCGGTATCTCCGTCGACCCTCGCCGCCAGAACCTGTCCGAGGAGTCCCTCAAGGCCAACGTCGAGCGCCTCCAGGAGTACCGCCAGCGCCTGATCCTGTTCCCCCGCCGCAACGGCAAGACCAAGCAGGGCGACGCATCCGCCGAGGACATCAAGGCCGCCAAGGCCGGCGAGAACCTCGTCCGCAGCACCATCCTGCCCATCAAGAACACCGTTTCCTTCGAGGAGGGCAAGGTCGCCGACTTCAAGGGCGAGGAGAACGCCTACCGCAAGCTGCGCGACGCCCGCTCCGAGGCCCGCTACCAGGGCAAGCGCGCTGCCCGCGCCGCCGCCAAGGCCGAGGAGGAGGAGAACAAGAAGAAATAGACTGCGACTCCCCGCTGAGGTTGTCGTGTGGGTCGGTTGTGTACGCCTTACGATGGTTTAAAAGTTGGGCTGGTGAGGCATACTCCCAGCATGGGCGGCGTTTAGGGATGGCGACAGCCATGAATGAACCTAGTTTCCAATGCAACCCGTCCATGTCAGTCATGTTGCACAGTGTTGTCTGCTCAACCCGGGATTCCACCGCTCCACGGAGGGCAGTTCTGCAAGAGCTTGTGAAACGTCTAGTTTTCTTGTCGCGTTTGCAATTGTGCTGTGGACAATTATAGCACAAGCGTTGCAACCACATTCCCACTCCATCCATGATTCATCCTCCAGCCCCATCAACGGACTTGATTTTCATATCATATTTCTAATCGTGCGGTGGACCATCCTCGCAGGCATGCTGCATCTACACTGCCGCACTTCATCATCCAGCCTATCTAAGTAATTGACACTCTCCAGCACACACGATGTCGCAAGAAACCCGTGAAGAGTAGTTTTCATATCACATCTTTCATTGTGTAGTGGACAATCAAGGTACAATCACACACTTCACTATCCAGTCGATCCTACACCCTCTCCAGCACATACGATGTCACATAAAACCCGTGGAGAGACTACTTTTCATATCATATTGTTAATTCTGCAGTGGACAATCGCCGCAGAAGTATACTATGTATATTCCCATTGTCGGTCAGTCCATCTTACATCCTCCGTAAAACCAGTAGAGTTAGCCGTAAACCAGCCGTAAGCCAGCCGTAAAGTCAGCGCCATAAAGTCCGTCATGCCATCCGTCTATCCCCGCGTCGAAGACGCATTATCGTACAAGCGCTGTCTGTCGCAGACCCGATATCGTAGATTCGACGTCGAAGACCGCATATCGCAGACCGCAGACCCTCAGCCGTAGACCCATCCGCGCAGACTCTCATATCGTATCGTATCGCACCCCCTTCATCCCGTCATCCGTCATCCACCCCTCACCTCCCAGACTCCAACTCAATCTCTCCCCTCTCCACTCCATCCACAATCGCAGTCGCAATCGCAAACGAGAATGTATCCATCTACTCCCACCCCCACACCTCCTCAACCACCCACTCAAACCCCTCAAACCTCACCCTCCCGCCCAGCAACAACGCTTCCTCGCGCCACGCCGCCGCGCAGGGAAGGAACCACGTGCCGCTGCGGTGGGTGCGTGTCCAGCCGGCTTTTGTGGCTTTGGTGGCAGACTGCTTGGCCTTGCCCTTCGTGGGGTGTGAGGCGGTGGCGGTGGATGTAGACGCAAATGCCGAAGTAGAGGTGGATGTAGCTGTAGATGTAGAGGTGGATGTAGTTGTAGATGTAGCAGATGTAGACGCACTCGGGGGCATGTACTCCCACCGCTCCGTCGCCACCTTCCCCCCCACAACCACAATGCCCTGGACATACTGCCCGACGCGCACAATGACGCCGCGGATCCCGTTCGCGGGGTCGCTGGTGCGCAGGACGACGGAGACTTTGCGGCCTTTGGGGGGTCCAGTGCGGACTTCTCGGTCTGGGGAGGGCTGGCTGGGGGAGGTGTCGCTGGGGTCGGTGTCGTTGGAGGTGCTGGTCGGGGAAGAAGAAGAAGTGGTGCTGTGTTTTGCAGCCTTGGACTGCTTCTTCAGCGCTTTCTTGTCTGCTTTTGCGCGCTCGCGTTTGTCTTTCTTCGTCTCTTCTTTCTTGGCCTGTTCTTTCTTACTCTCTGCAGCCTCATCCGCGCTCGTAGCTTCTTCACCAGGTGCAAGCACCTCAGTACTCAGCACCTCGACGCTCCGCCACAGCTCCTCGTGCCCCGCGACCCGGCCCAGACTGGGATGGAACGCGTGGCCGTGCTCGAGGAACAGGCCGTCGCCGAGCGTGAACATCAGGCCCTCGTCGACGGGGAACCGGGGGCCGGCGTCGACATCGGGATCCGCATCTGAAGCGCCGTCTGCGAGCGAGTCGGTGTCTGCTGGCGGCGGCACGGCAGGCGCTGCGAACTCGATACCGGGGGAAGTAGCCGGCGAAACCATGTCTGACGGCGCCGTCGAGTCTGTCTCAGAAGACGCATTAGTACTCGCACCCTCATCCGTATCCACCATCGACGCCGTCGCAGAAGAACCCGCACCAGAACCAGCCCGCGCGCCCACAGGCAACTTGAACCGCGAGTCCACCCAATGCCGCCAGGTCGCATGCGTGTACGCCCCGTAGATCTCATGCCCCTCATCTACTTCCACCGCAGACGCCCGTCCCGCAAACGCCCACTCCAGCCCGCCCCTCGCGGGGCCCCCCGGCCCAAAATCCCGCCAGTACCGCGCGTCGACGAACACGCCGCGCGGACTCGTCAAAACGAGCGTCTGCGTCGGCTCGAAGCCGTGCGGCGGCAGGTTGAGGACATTCGCGGCGGGCAGCCCGGGCGTGTAGGGCACGGGGGTGCCCGGGGGCAGCGGGTGCGGGAGGAAGTAGATGTATTCGCGGACGGAGATGTTTGGTTGTTTTGGGGGGGTGGGGGCGGACATGGTGGGTGGGTGTGGAGGGGTGTGGTGGCGTGGGGTGGGTGTTGGGGCGGTTGGTGGGGGTGCGTGGAGGGTGGTGGGTGGTGGTGGTGGGTTGCTGAAGGGCGAGAGGCGGGGGCCGGAGGGGTTTTGTGGGTGTGGTTTGGGGGGGACGGGCTAGCGAGCAAGGGTGGAGGCGTTCACGGTGAAGTGAAGGGTGCGTGTGTGGCGTGTGCGATTGCGCTGTTTGCTCTGGTGTAGCGGCGACTGCAAATTGTCTTCACCGTGAGAACCAATTTGTAGGTATCAGATTCTAGACCCTATGTCCTTCTCTTTCTCATATATAGGTTAGTGAGAGTGTTGTGGTGAAGTGGTGGAGTGGGGCGATGTCGGAGGCCCCACTATGACGGACATGAGAACAAGCAACACAACAGCTAATCAGCGAGTTTTGAGTGAAATTAAGATTATGTGGGATTGCCATCATCACGTTCATTCTGCTGTGCGTTGAAAATGTGTTCATCGCTTTCGGGACTACGTCTATGAATTTCTATATCAAGTACAGCAATGCAAACAGAGTGGAAAGTGACTCGAGAAAATGGATACCTCTTCACAAAACAACTACGGCGTTGCGACCTCACTCCCCATCTCCCTATACCTCCCCGTCGAATGCACCAGCCGCCCCCTCACCCAGACCGCCGTCGTGTTCCGATCATCGCCCGCATACACCCACTTCTCGACGCGCTCCCCCCAGCTCTCCCAGCCAAACACATCAACCGGGCCTGCATCGAACCGCCCATCCGGACACCCCCCGTCCTGCACAGCCCCCAAATCCACAATCTGCGCATCAAACTCCATCCCGACGTCGAACCCGCCGACGCGGTCCTGCAGCCCGACGACCGCCGCGCCGCCGCGCGTCGCCAGATACAACGCCTCCTCGGTACTCAGCTTGACGGCGTCGCCGCGCGCGCTCTGCAGCGCGAGATGCCGCGACGTCCACACCGCGTGGCGCACGTTCTCGAGGATGCTGGGGTGGAAGCCGCCGGAGACGTCGGTGCCGAGGCCGACGACGTGGCCCTCGTCGAGCAGCTCGCGGACAGGCGCGCAGCCCGAGGTGATGGCGGTGTTGCTGCAGGGGCAGTGGGCGATTGCGGCGCCGCGGGCGCGGATGGTGGCGCGCTCGGTCGCGTCGAGGTGCACGGCGTGCGCGAGGATGGTCTTCGGGGTGAGGAGGTTGTGGGTGTCGTACACGTCGGTGTAGCTCTTGCTGTCCGGGAAGAGCTGCTGGACGAGCGCGATTTCGCCCTTGTTTTCCGAGATGTGGGTTTGAATGAATGTGTCTTCGGCGTGGGCGAGCTCGGCGATGGACGTCAGGCAGTCGGTGGTGCAGGAGGGGGCGAAGCGGGGGGTGACGATGGGACGCACGATGGCGCCGGCGGGGTCGATGGAGCGGATGTAGTCGATGCTGGCTTTGGAGTCGGCAACGCTTTGCGCGACAGAGGTGTCGCGGTAGTACTCGGGAGATAGGTCCGAGTTCATGCAGACCCGGCCGACCAGCGCTCTCTGCCCTCTCGCGAGACAGATGTCAGCGAGGAGGTTGGTGGCGGGGACATGGATTGTGGCGTAGTATGCGGCTGTTGTTGTGCCGTGGGAAAGCGTCCGGGAGACGAAGTTGCGGTATATGACCTCCGCGCGCTTGAGATCCGAGAATGAAGACTCCATGGGGAATGTGTAAGTCTGCAGCCAGTCCAGGAGCGTCGTTTTCCCAAAAAGACCTGTGTTGGGGTGCTGAGGGGCGTGCGTGTGGGTGTCGATGAAGCCAGGGAAGAAGAACGAGTTCCCGCTCAGACGAACAGACGCGGCATCTTGCCAGGAGTGCTTTGACTGAACGGCCTCCAAATCTAGCTCTTTCTCTACAAAGGCAATGACGCCGTTCTCATCAACACCGATCGCTCCATTCTCGCAGATCTCAAGCTCGGTGAGAGACTTGCTGTGCACGAATGGTCCGATGTAGATCGTTCTTGACACACTTGCTGATGCGGCCATGTTTGATGATGTGAGGACGAGACTTGAGATACAGCTGCTATAATATGTTGTGGAGATCCAGATACCAGGTACGTGGAATCGATCTTATGAGCACTGTCTTGCGTGTGACAAGATCTGTATAATCGTACGACAAGCAGCAATCAGCAGTCACCAAAAGGAAAGCAGAGCCAAACAGCCCCCAATATATCGACGGTTGCGCAGCCCTTATCAATGCTGCTGGACAACCGCGGCGTGGAGATGGTGGGACCGGTTGGTGGAGCTAGAGACGGCTAGTGCTTCGCTAAGTGTGGCAAGCCCAGCCTGAAGGCGGAGGCCACCGAAGAATGCGGCCGGCTCCACGTGCACCAAAAGAACGCACGAAACAGCACGTGAATTGGCACAGCTGGATGAGGTAGATGATGGGCACATGTCTCGATCATGTGTTTGAACATTTCGATTTGTAGCACCTCTGCAGACTCCTTTTGTTCCTGTGCCAGGATATCGTAGCCCAACTCCAATCTAGGTATACAAACAACTACACTGCTTGAGAAACGCCAAGGCCACGCACTGCCAGCCTTCCCTAAAGACTGTAGTCGTGGATGCCCTGGGGACCCTGATCGTTGTAATCAGGCCGGGTCATGTAGCCCTTACTCTGACCTTGGTCAACAACGAAGATGACCTTGGCGGCGACCTGAGCGCCGAGAAATGCTGATTCGTCAAAGCCCACATCTTTCCACTCCGGAAAGTATTCTGGTGGTTTCACAGTCTTGATCGATGTCGGCGTCTGACCGTGAGATGAGTGTGCGTTATGGGACATGCTCGGCATAAGGGGGTTACCGCCGTGGGGCATAAAGTTCTGAGACTGGGCGGTCGTGGCTGCAAACAAGAGAGGGTTGACTCCTGAGCCGCCGTGAGGACCAAGCTGCGGTTGCGGCGTGTTCGCGCCTGTTCCGGCAGGAGTGGAAATGTTCGACGGGATTTCCGATGTGAAGATGGTGGCTGACGATGGTGAAATGAGGTACTTCATCTGAAGCACCTGAAGCAGCGCCTCTTTGAAGCCTGTAATCTGTTAGCATGTATCATTGAGTCTAAGCGCTGTCACCAACCTCGCAGTCTCGATCCGTTGCCGCAAATAACGAGTGAATCCCAGAGCTCGCTGCGCTTGTTAACCTCGTCCACGGAGGATATGGCTCGGTGCACGGCGTCTGCAATCTTCTCCAGCGTACCATCGCTGCCCGCCAAGAATCGCTCAGTGCCAACTTCGATCTCACGTCTAATGTGACCTGACCGTGAAGGAGCTGCCTCGCCAGAGCCGTTGGAGTCTGCGGTCTCTCCGTTCTCACCATCGTCTTGTGCCTTCTTAGACGGGCCCTCATCGAGTGCGGCCTTCGCATCCGCCATCCCTTGCGTGCCCAGATCTGAATTCTTCAACGCATCGAGCAGCGCATGATCTTCGTACATGAACGTAGCCTTCTCTCGTCTCGCGTTTGGTAACCTTACGGGCTTATTGGCGTCAGGTGCTGGGGCGCCCTTTTTCTTTGCGTTTGACTTGTCCTGCTTCTCTTTCTCCTTCTTAGCGAGATACTCTGTCATTTTGCCGCCGGCCACGATGCTGGCTACATCAAGGACGCCCTCATTCTCCGCGCCATCCTCTTCGCCGACCTCGGTGTCGGGCCCTGGGCCTCGGGGCACGTTGCCGATGGCTGCTGCTGCCGCAGGTCCAGAGCTGAGTGCGCCGGTGGAAGCTGCCGCAGCTGGATTTGTGATGGTTGGCTCGTTTGTCTTTCCGCTTCCTGGAAGTGGTGTACCTTCGGGAAGGATTTCGCAGATGGGCGATTTCTTCAATTGCTCGCACATGTCTCGGTTGATGCCCTTCGATTTCAGCTTGGCGTGCAGTGCCTCGGTAAATGCTTCGCCTCCGCTGCCGGGCAGCGACACAACGCGTCCTTGAACGTGGGGGATGAACTCGCTCACGGCGGTAACGTCGGTCTTACCCTTGCCCACGTCGATGATTGTTGCTGTGTGTACTCCATATGCCCATGTTGTAGCCAGCGCCGCATCCATGAGGCCGAATGCAGGCGTCTTGAACTTCTCGAAGAAGAACTGCGCAAGCTTCTCGTGTTCTCGGGGCGTCCATGCGGGTTGGGTAATGAGGAGGATTGCGGTGTGGAATGGCGGGTTCAGGGTGTTGTAGACGTGTGTGATGAGCGCGAAGAAGCAGGGCCAGTCCGTAATCTTGCCCTCCTGAATCGGCCAGATCGCGCCTTCCTCTGAAATACGGTCTTCTTCCCATACGATCTCGTCTTCGCCGTCTGCGGTTGGCTTGGCCTCGCCCTGCGCGCCGACATCTTGCCCTGCTGGCTTCTCCGCTGGCTTATCCTGCCGCCGCCTGATCTTGTACGGCTCGAATTCCCCTTCCTTCTCAGCCGGGAACATGCGCGACCGAAGGCGCACACGCGCTGGGGTGAAAGACTCTGGCAGGCCAAGCTGCGCCAGGGTCGTCTGCGAACCCGGCGCAATCACCTGCAGACATCGTTAGCAGCTACAAAGTAAAGCGCGTGTATCGCAATATCGTACTATTATCTGGTCATCCTTGAAGGGAGGCATTGTGGCCAATGGGTGACTGACTCTCGGCGCGTTGCTCGACTGGAGCTCGCGCGCGCAACGCGAAGCTCAGCGCTGGCCGACGCCAAGGAGACCCACTTTTATCCCACTACAGTATGGGGCTGTCACAAGCCGACCACCAAGGGCGTTCGCAGAACTACAAACGTGCCAGGAGACTGCATCGACATGGGCGTTGTTTCCCTGCACCACTAGCATAGATCTGAGGAGGATTGCATTCGGTGATTTTATTGCATTTGGGCCCCTCTCACCCTCCACTGTCATTATCATGGCCTCTGCGGTGACGTCTGTCGTAGACGCTTCCTCGGCAGCATTACGACCGTCAAGCGCTGCTCCAGAAGCTGCCCAGGTTGCTTCCAGGTCGACGTTTGGTCTGCTGGGACGTGTCATTCTGTCGATTCTCAGCGTGCTTCCAAGCGTTCTCGTCTGGGTGTCATACACCTTACCGACATGGCTGTTCGCCCTGTTCTCAACTACTCTCACATTTACCATGAACTTCAGCTCTTTGTAGGCCTTTCCACAGATAGCCTCGACTGCTAACACGACTAACACATGACAGAATGTTGGTGGTGATCTTTCTAGTGTCCACAGTCACCTATTTCGTGAGGTACCGCTATTTGACAATGTACGCGAGATTGCCTCCCGAACCACAGCGCGAAGAGCCTCAGGTCGAGGTGTTCCCAGAGAGCCAAGAGGGCGACGACAAGAGGGCCTTTGCAAACTACATGGACGAGTTCTTGAGTGCTATCAAAGTGTTCGGTTATCTGGAGCGTCCGGTCTTTCACGAATTGACGAGAACCATGCAGACTCGGCGGCTTGCAGCAGGCGAAACGATCTTGCTGGAAGAAGAGAAGGGTTTCTGTTTAGTCATGGATGGTCTTGTTCAAATCTTTGTCAAATCGAAGCGTGAGAGCGCTGACTCTGACGAGGAGGCGTCGTCGAACGAGTCGCCTCACCAAGGCCACAGCCAGGGCTACCAGCTGTTGACCGAGGTGAGAAATGGAGCGCCCATGTCATCTTTGTTCTCTATCTTGTCGTTGTTCACAGAAGATATCAAGCTCCGACACGACGAGGCGGACGTCGACTCCAGCCTCCCTGGAACACCACACACCGGACGACCGAGACCATCGATGAGTCGCGAAAGCAGCTTTGCGAACATGGATGACTCAAGACCGCATACGCCTCAACAAGCACCTCGTGTACAACCGGGACACCGAAGGGCTTCTTCGACTTTAGCAAGTCCTACGGCGGGAGGCCGATTGCAGAGCGTACCACCGCTGTCGTTGGATCTCGACGAGTACGGGGACCGGATCAAGTCTACCAAACGTCAAAATTCAACTTCGCGATCTGCAAAGCCCAAATCCACGCATCCTGACATTGTAGCTCGAGCGGTTGTAGATACGACAATAGCCATCATCCCCGCAACAGCATTCCACCGGCTGACACGTGTCTATCCTAAAGCAACTGCACACATCGTTCAGGTCATTCTTACACGCCTACAAAGAGTCACCCTTGCGACCAGCCATGCGTACCTCAGTTTGACGAATGAGGTGCTACGTACGGAAAAGTTGATGAACAAGTATACGACCTATGACCTACCAGGTTTCTTACGCGATGCGCCTCTGGAGAGACTCAAAGAGAAGTTTGCAAAAGAGACGGAGCGAATTGGTGCAGATGAGGGCATGCAAGGTATTGCACTGCACAATCCAAGCGCTGGGCGTCGTCGTCGACCCAGTACCTCGCTCAGACGTGGTACAGCTGCGCAAGCCCGACTCGCTGCGGCTCGGGGAACTTCGATGGAAGCTAACAGCCAGATTGAGCTAAAGAAAGCTTCCTTGGAACCATCATTTCGTAATGATCGTATCAGTGCAGGGGATCTATTGACCAACACCCAAATGGCTCGTAGCGCGGGGCGTTCAGGCCGCGGCAATAGCTTTTCTCAGCCTTATCAACATGAGAATCGTCGAGACGCTCGCACTCCCCTTGATTCCGGTAACTTCAACCCATTTGCTTCGCCATCAGCACGACCGCCCATACAGCGACAGGAATCGATAGACGAAGCTACGATCTTCAGACAATCTGTGCTCGACTGCATGTTCAAGGCAATCGGCCTGACTGATCTCGAAAACCCCATGCCGAAGCCAGCTGGGTCTGTGGAGCAGTCGCCGAGGATGCTGTCTTTCGACAATAAGCGACAGAAGGCCGTGTTCACTAATGCGTTTGGCCTCATGGATTCCTTTGAAGGCGGAGACACCGAGTCCATGATATCCGCGTCGAACCTTTCCAGTATCAGCGGGGTTAACCATCAAAATCTACTGGAAGAGATCGTACACGAAGTCGAGATTGTATACTTTCCAAAAGACTCGGTCCTTGTCGAACAAGGAGAAAGGAACCCTGGATTGTATTATGTCGTCGATGGGTTCCTTGATGTCAGCGTTGCTGTCGATGAGGATAGCTCGGAATCAAATGTACTTGGAACCTCGCCCACCACAGCCCTCAGCCAAGAGGAGCTCTTTGGCGCTCCACTCAAGCAAACTTCAACAAGCGGTTCTACTCGCAACCTAGCCGAAAGTATCATCAAGAAGAAGAAACCGCGCAAGAGCTTGTTCATGACCAAACCTGGTGGGCTGGCCGGCTACCTGGGGACTGTGTCCTCAAATCGATCGTTCGTGGACGTTACAGCCAAGACTGATGTCTACGTTGGGTTTCTGCCACGAGCATCCATCGAGAGGATCGTTGAGAGATATCCCGTGGTCCTCCTGACAATGGCTAAACGCCTGACTACACTCTTGCCTCGCCTGATCCAACACATTGACTTCGCTCTCGAATGGGTGCAGGTGAATGCCGGCCAGGTCATTTACAACCAAGGCGAAGAAAGCGATGCCATCTACATTGTACTCAATGGACGTCTGCGGGCTATACAAGATGCCGAGAAGAGCGGTACAATGAAGGTAATTGGAGAGTATGGCCAAGGCGATAGTGTTGGTGAACTTGAAGTCCTGACAGAGTCCGCACGTCCTGGTTCGCTGCACGCCATCCGCGACACGGAGCTTGCCAAGTTCCCGAAGACTCTATTTAATAGCCTTGCATTGGAACATCCTGGGATCACTATCAAGATCTCAAAGATCATAGCATCGCGTATGCGGTCGCTCATGGATGACCCCTTGTTCGAACAAACGAAAGAGCGAGGCAGCAAAGCAACACGAACAAACGTCTCGTCTACCGTCAACCTACGAACAATTGCCATTCTACCTGTCACAGCCGGCGTACCAGTCGTTGACTTCGCAAGCCGCCTAATGAATGCCCTTACTCAGATTGGCACCCCTCGGGGCGTGGTCTCGCTCAATCAGGCTGCCATCCTCAATCATCTCGGGCGACATGCTTTTAATCGCATGGGTAAGCTGAAGTTGTCGCAGTACCTGGCAGACCTGGAGGAGAAGTATGGTATGATTCTTTACGTTGCCGACACCCCTGTCAAATCACCTTGGACGCAGACTTGTGTCAGTCAAGCAGATTGCATCCTCCTCGTTGGCTTAGCTGAACTGTCGCCCAATATTGGAGAATACGAGCGCTTCCTTCTGACAACCAAAACAACGGCTCGTAAAGAGCTGGTTATGTTACACTCAGAACGATACTGCCCACCTGGTCTGACGCGCAAGTGGTTGCGTAATCGCCCCTGGATCAACGGAAGTCATCATCATATCCAGATGTCATTCCGTGCTACGCAGGAACCGGTCCATCATGCAGGACGTCGCTTTGGAAATGCGTTGAAACAGCGCGTACAGGTCATCCAAGCCGAGATCCAGAAGTACACCTCGAGGAGGGTGCGCCAGACCCCGCTGTACTCGGCCGAAACGCCGTTCAAGGGTGATTTCCACCGACTAGCGAGGCGATTGTGTGGCAAGTCGGTCGGTCTGGTCTTGGGTGGTGGAGGTGCCCGCGGTATTTCGCAAATCGGTATCATCAGGGCGCTTGAAGAGACGGGAATCCCCATCGACATCATTGGTGGTACCTCTATTGGCGCCTTTATTGGCGCGTTATACGCATGGGATGCTGATGTTGTGCCAATGTACGGACGAGCGAAGAAATTCGCAGGCCGTATGGGCAGCATGTGGAGGTTTGCACTTGACCTGACATACCCTTCGTAAGTACTGTCTCAGTCCGTCTCTCTACTCGATCTAATATATGCAGTGCATCCTACACAACTGGTCACGAGTTCAACCGCGGCATCTTTAAGACCTTCGGCAACTCGCAAATGGAAGACTCTTGGCTAGAGTTCTACTGCAACACGACAAACATAAGCAAATCGCGCTCTGAGATCCACACCTCAGGCTATGTCTGGCGTTACGTCCGCGCCTCCATGTCTCTCGCCGGCCTCCTTCCCCCTCTATGTGACAATGGCAGCATGTTGCTGGACGGTGGCTATATCGACAACCTCACCGTCGCACACATGAAGAGCCTCGGCGCAGACGTGATCTTCGCTGTCGACGTCGGCAGCTTAGACGACGACACACCACAGGCCTTTGGCGATTCCCTTTCCGGTTTCTGGGCCACGTTCAACCGCTGGAACCCCTTCTCAGCATTCCCCAACCCGCCAACCTTGTCCGAGATCCAGTCTCGTCTCGCCTACGTCTCTAGTATTGATGCGCTGGAGCGTGCGAAGAATACACCAGGGTGCAGGTATATGCGTCCGCCGATCGATCCATATGGCACCCTCGATTTTGCGAAATTCGAGGAGATTTATGAAGTAGGCTACAGGTATGGTAAGGAGTTCCTGATGGGTCTCAAGGAGCAGGGTGTGTTGCCTATAACGGAGGAGACTGAGAAGGAGAGGGACTTGAGGAGGACTATGGCACCAAGACGGTAAGTGTCGTTGGTTGAGGTGTAAGCTTGAGCTAACGAGATACAGAGCATCTATCTAGTGTCGCTATATAGTGACACATGGTATGCTGCCAAGTTAATATTGCCATGTTCGTCCGCGCGGTTGCGAGTCAGCGAGCAAGCTGATGCAAAGGGTAAATGACATGGACGCGACTGCAGACCGAGTTTGTGTGATACATGCATTCTGCCTCGGACGAACAATCCCGCTCGCCACCACAACTCATCAGATGCAGCAGTGTACCGTATATAGCTTGCGTCTCTATTGACCAATGGTGTCGCAACCGAACATGCGGCTACATCCCAACTTAGCTATAAATCCATACCAATAACCAAAGACTGACGTCTCCAGCCTTACCAAGATATTTACCGCTCTCTAGCATTATTAGTGTACTCTGTAACGCCTGTCAAATGGATCTATAGTGGCACAAATGACGCTTTGCATAGACTACCAAGGTAACGCATGGCGCATGTCACTCACGTGTCGTTGTCACCCTTTGGACATTTATGCGCTGACATCAGCCCCGAGTATTAGCACTCTTATTTCCGGCATCAATGGTGCAGACCAGCGTTCGCGAGCTAATAGTCGTATGGACATACCAGATCGAGCATGGTGATGCCCAAGGAGGAGGCATGCTGCCAACGTGCGTAGCTCGACAGTGTCTGATGAAATCGGAGTCGACAATATAAGTCCATAAGAAAACGCTGCTGCATCCCAGATCAGTCAAGTCTACTACTATGGCTTTCCCAACTCAAACGCCAAGCAATGCCCTTCATACCATCCTACCCACAATCTCAAAAGCCTACTCCAAAGCCGAGTCCACGCCCATCTCGAACCCTACCATCGAGAACCACGCAGGCTTCATCCGCATTCCCGTTGGCATCGCCGGCCCCCTCCTCATCCACGGCCCCGGAAACACACACAGCACCTTCTTCGCCCCCCTCGCCACCGTCGAACCAACCCTCGTCGCCTCCTGCTCCCGCGGCAGCAAAGCCTTCACCGACTCCGGCGGCCTGCACTATCGCATCCTGCACGAGTCCATGATCCGCGCGCCCGTGTTCTGCTTCCACACGCCCGCCGCCGCACTCGCGTTCGCCGCCGCCGTCCCCGGCCTGCACGACACGCTCGCCCGCGCCGCCGAGGCCACGAGTCGTTTCGCAAAACTGCAGAGACTGGTCCCGTGCGTGGTAGGCGCGGATGTGCACGTGCGCTTCGAGTACAGCACGGGAGACGCGGCGGGGCAGAACATGGTGACCATCGCGACGCAGGCCGCATGCGACAGTTTCCTCGCCAGCCACGCAGCCCGGGGGTACGAAATTGTGGATTTCTTCATCGAGGGCGATGCCGCGAGCGACAAGAAGGCGTCGTGGCGCAACGTCGCGGAGCCGCGCGGGTGCCAGGTGCTGGCGTGGGGCGAGGTGACGAACGAGGTGTGCGAGCGCGTGTTGAAGTGCAGCACGGCGCGGCTGTATAAGCTGCTGATGCTGATGAAGGAGAGTCAGACGCGCAACGGGGGGTTTGGGTGCAATGTCAACACGGCGAATGTTGTGGCGGCCATGTTTGTGGCGTGTGGGCAGGATGCGGGAAGTGTTGCTGAGAGCGCGTGGTCGCAGCTGTCTACAACGTATGATGCGCAGACCAAGGTGCTCAGACAGAGTCTCTTTTTCCCGAGTCTGCCCGTGGGTGTTGTGGGCGGGGGCACGATGTATCCGTCACAGAAGGCTAGTCTTGAGCTACTGGGGTGTCGGGGACCTGGGGGAAAGCGCAGGCTGGCTGGTCTGATTGCGTGCTTCTGTATGGCTTTGGACATCAGTACAGCCGCGGCTATCGCGAGTGGTGGATTCACGGATGCGCACAAGAAGCTCGCGAGGGATGCTGCGGATAAGAGTAAACTGTAGCTAGCTCGGATTGTTACCAGAACTTCCCAATGGGGACATCGGTCCTTTCTATTTCAAGATGTTGTCAAGCTCAATTCTTGACTCTATACCGTGAGATCCTGATCGTGTGTTGTGCTGTTGTGTTAGTGTACGTCGTTGTTCATCTCGAGGTTAGTGAGCGTAAGATTGTGCTGCATCTAACGCTCGCCGACGAGCTTTTTTTGTAATACCCATGCATGAATGACTAGGGGATTGTAGTGATCGCTGTTGATTGGCGTCGCTTGTTGTTTTTCCCTGCAGATAAGAGAAGCGAGCGAATTACAGACAGTGTACGATGAATCCTTCAAGTCTGCCAAAAAGCTCGCCAGCCACATTATCGCAGGATGCAGGTAATTTTAGAAACGGATGTTGACACCCGATGACGATGAAGTGGTCCCAGAAGATGGTTCGGGATCGGGAGGCGCGCCGACGCTACCGCGTTCTAGATTCAGACGTCGAGCTAGGAAAGCATCACTGTTAACATTTGTTACGAAGAGGATGCTCGAATGCGATTCCAACGAGGACGGATATCTGCCGTACATATGTCTACCAAGTTCAGGAAGGCGTCTTTTGAGTGATGTCCTCCAAAAGTAGCAGGATCGAATGGACTTGAGGTTGAAGTTTTATCCACTGTCGATCTGATCATCCTGGTGGTCCTAGTCAGCAGCCTGCAGCTGACCATCCCTTTCGTGGCGTTCATCCCGCGTTGAGCCAACATCCAGACGTTCGGTCCAAATGTGGAGGCCCGCGGTACCACCCCTTTCGCAACTAGCAGCCTTACAGCCTTGAAGACAACCTCACACAACTCCGCGAGGCGCACAAACGTTGCCCGGTCTTGAGGACATCATGTCGGCCGCGATCCCTAAAGCTAGGAAACTCAGCTCTTTCGTGAAGTGCGGTCGCTGCCGCCAGGATAGACAAAAGGTGCTCTTCTTGACAGAGGTACAGCGACACTGCACACGGAACTTACCAAATGCCAGTGCGAACGACCGGAAGAATCGCAGAAATGTCTCCGATGCGCAAAATACAAGCATCATTGTGATGCAGGCCGACCCTCAAATCGCGCACAACGTAGCCAGAGATTGCCTGCTCGTGTGCGCGCGCCGCGAGCGACCGTGGCGTCAAGTACCACGCAATCCGAAGCTGACCCAGGTACCTGCCAAGAGCCATTTGATCTGAAAACCGAAGAGTCATCTTCCTCCCGAACCTCCAGGTCTGCTTCTGCCGAACAGCCCACTGCATTGTTGGCATCCACTGCACATGAAGACTTACAGCTGGCATACTTCGAGAATGCCCATCGATATGCAGGCCGTCACGACTCGGCCTACTCTCCACAGTGGGCTTCCAGTTCGACAAGTTTCGATAACTCACCCTCTTCCTCTGAATACGATGCCACCAATGGCTGGAGCGAGACCGAGTGGTTGCAGCGAGCGTTCGACAATCCGAACACTTCACAGGGCGTTGAGTCGGTTTCGCCCCATTCTCGACACATTACCCCGCCTGCTGCTTTCCCGATCGCCGAAATCCATATGCTAACTGGACTCACTAACTTCCGGCCTTCTCGTCATCGCGCAGTAACCCCGTTTGAAGAGCGATTAGATAATCGTGTCGATCGGCTATGGGGCAACTACAAGACGTTCGCTTCTGCCAGTTCGAAGGGACTCGGCGTTACTTCTCTATTTGGCCGAACTTTGTCAGAGCTATTTCGCCAGTCTAGGCAGATGGCAGAGAATGTATGTTGGTGTATGAAGTGCTGCGTGTGTATACTGAGCTGACGATGTGTGTAGGGAGATGATCTTGTTGCAGACGTCCGCCACGCATGCGGTGCTGCTGATGCGTGCATGAACAGAAAACTCTCTGAGAAGACACGGGCGCAATACCTAGAGGCTTATCATCATTACGACGCGCAGGCGAACGTCAAATTCCGGCAAGCTGTCGAAGTGTTTGCGAGGAAGATAGAGGAAGATGAGAGTCCGGACGTGCTGCCGCTTTACACCGCCGCGTTTTTGTACTATGCTGCAGGAGTGAGTCAATTAGTTGCGAGCCTAGTTCATCGAAATACTGACCTTCCGCGCGACAGTCCTGCATGAGAGGTGCCGATGATCTTGTCAAAGCCACCTTTGCTTTCAAGTATTTCAACCAGTACACCGCCGGGTTCCCTATAAAGATCAAGGTTTTGCCTGCCGTTAATGGTACTTGGGCTACGGATATGCTGGTAGGCTGCCGGACAGACTGATGTCGCTCGCTCTTTGCTAACTTGTCGCAGCTAGCAAATAATAGCCAAGACCCAGGGATGAGGATAAACACACTCGCCTTTGCTCTGGGCAAAGCGAGACTGGAGTTCGACCGGAAGGAAGGGCTGTGCTAAAATAAGAGAATGCGAGTCCACAAGTAAGCCAAGGTCCATGTTCGTGGTGAGAAACGGCTACGGATACTACGCAAGTCAGCAGATCAAGATCTTCTGGTTGGCTGTCAGAGTCGAGAAGACTGAAGGATAGACATCGGAAGTTGGGAGGCCTAGAGCCGCACTTAAAGCGAGTCGTTACCGTCCGGGCTCAGCTTCGCTGTTATTGGCTCTTCGCTGTTCGCTGTTCAGCCTCACCACGGCTAAAGTGGACACGAGTGAGTTTGTGGCAGGCGATACATGGATTATTGGACTCGTATCTAATTCTGAACAGTCTAAACCCACTATGGCATACTTAGCTGACCACAGCGGTGAGAAATCACCTGGCCTTCGCATCCCCTTGATGACCAAGCGTTTTTGTAACCACAATGTTGATGCACTGAACAACGAACCATGTCCCGAGATTGCCTTCAGCCCTGGGCAACCGTACGAAAAATCTCTCTGGTGCTCTTTGCTTGTCAACAATACCACATTTCAACCTGACGTGTCGGTGGTATATACCTACTACGGTAAGGACAGGTCCAGCTCTAGCCAAAATATGAGCGGGGTGATGTAAGGTGTCTAACAAGTCACGGTCAAGCGTGATCTCGTCTTCAAACAGTATAAAGGCATGAGTGGAAGTGAGTTTCTTGAAGCGGTGAGGGCTATTGGGTACTGCAGATAGGTGAAATTCTCTGCAGAAAGATGCACTCCTCGAAACAAGCGTTCAACAAAGCGTGTGTGTTCTTGAACGAGGAATTCCGATCTGGCTGAGATTCTATGCAATAGCCTCCGATCAGGAGCCTAGACTTCGTGTAGCAAGAGATGTTGCCGAATTCTGGTCACATCCAGAGGAGGAGAGAACGAATGCTAGATTCTGAACGAAAGAAAAGACGACACATTTGATTTTGACACAACCCGGAGCGTCCTGATAGCTGAATGTAGCCAACGCCGTATTCAAACTGGAATAGCGTGCGTGCACTATGGCACACCGTTGCGACAGATGATAGTTATTCTTTACATTCCACAAACCAGCAGTTTCGCCACACTACACTCACAATCCTCTTAACTTCAATTTGACTGCCTCTGCTAAGAAAGCACTCCCTACTACATACAGTCACACATCTTAACAAATGCCAGAAAGACGGGACCAACATTTCGAGTGTGAAGTCTCTCAAACGCTTTTTGTAAAATTACTTCTCGCATTTCCCCTCAGATGATGCTGTCTTGTTAATGAAAAGAAAGCAAGAAACACTCAAATCCAGACAATGCTTTGAAAGATGGACACTCGCTTAACTGCAAAACACAGACTACAATGTAAACAAATATATGTACAATATTGGAGAACATGAGCATCCTCAATGACCCCGCAACTCCTACCAAGTTCGACCTTGATTTAACCCATCGTCACCCACTGTTTTCTTTCCACAGCTATCCTAACGCTGCTCGAAGTCACCCCCAGGCTTCCCCGGCGAATGCTCCAGCACATGGTTATCAAACTCCTTGCCTGAGAACTTGCCCTCGCGGACCTTGTTTTGGTTCTTGCGCGCCGCGATGCTGTGTTTGTTGACGGTATCGCCATGACGGTCTTCAACGGGCTTGGGCACGTCGGTCGCGTAGTCGGATTCGTGGCGGTGCCCTGGCCGGGCAGCTTTTGAGGAGTCCGAGGAGGATGACGAGGCTGGCGGCGAAGAAGGCTTTGAAGAGGAGTTGGCGGTGGTGGATGAGGGGGAGGAGGTGGAAGATTCGGTGGTAGTGGTGGTATAGTAGAGGGCTGCGGCACCGAGGGCGGCGGTTGTGGTGAGCCTAGGGAAGTTTAGCTTGGTGTGTTGTTTAGAAGTACGTGAGATGGAAAGGCGTGTCCGGGAATATTAGGACGCAAGCTGCAGCGCGATGAAGGAGATCAAGAGTACTCACCAGCTCAATCGCGATGATGTTTTCAGCGTTTCCTTCGTGCGCTGTTCATAGTCTGTCGCATAAAGTCTCCTCGCTGCTGGACATCTGACCTGGCATGATGCCCGGGACAATGCTCGCAGTGAAATTGCTTTTGTGGTAAACATTATGTAGAGATCAAAGATAGTATGTAGAAATCCGATTGTCTTGATAGAATAACGCCTCTTGTTGTAGATTGTTAATGACCAGTCTCAGTCGTAGAGACGTGTTCACGTTCTCTTGTTCGTTCGTTGCAAGGCACGCTACGTCATCGGCTTGTCTACGCGCCTGCTTTTTGGAACGACGCGTCTGGGCACGCTATACCATTTGAGTCGTGTAAAGTCTGGGAGCAATTTCAAGTCCATGAAATCAAAAGTAGATTGTCACCTGAAAATTGAAATGAGGGTTCTGCAATAAAGATCAATGTCCAATATCGCGATCGAGATAATTGCAATTTTGCTTATCCGCCGTCCATTTTACTCCACTATACCCAGTAGCACGATCAAGGACCGAGTAGAGCAGTACCGTAGGTATAGAAAAGCCTAGTCTTTGTACTAATTATAGGTACCCTGCACTACCATTATACATAGAGTCTAGCCCTCCCCTACATCCTATACACGCATCCTATAGCTATCTAGCTAATTAGGGTGCGTGGGTACCTGACTCGTGACTGTGACAGTATACTGTACCAAGGTAGGGGGTGGTTAGCACATATTGACAAGCACCAATATAAGCTCACCCTAAGGTGACCGAGAAGCACTTTGAATGTCGAAAACACAACAGATGGCGCCAACCTGTCTACCTAGAGGCCAACATCACGGCTTTTGTCTGGTGACTTTGCTCTCAATGCCGATTTCGCTGCTCCCTGCAGGATCTTGCCCTTGTTTCGCAGTTGTTCGATGAAGTTTCGCGACGCGTTTTTTCCGCACATATTTTTTCCACTTCGTCACACCGTATACTGCCAAAGCAGTTTGGCGACGTAAAAGCGCATCACCTGGAGTCTCATCGAAAGTCTTGTGGGCTGTTGCCCGACTCAGGTATCTGAACAGTGTGTCTGGGTACTCAGCAAGGCATCGACGAGCCAGAGTGTTCTCTCGTCTTTTAAGTCGCGATTCGCGCACCACCTCTTTCCAGCGTGCAACTGCAGTCTTCGCCCAGCCAGTGGGTTCAAGCTGTACTGTTGGCCTAATTTCAATGCCCAACCAATCAATTTTGCGCAGTCCAATGAACCTGACGTCTTTCAACGCTTTCGCCAAGTTTGAAACCAAGAACTCTATTTGTTCCTCGTTCAGAAGCTCGTCTCGAAAGGCCATACCTAACCTTAGATAGGAGCGCGCGTATGTCTGGGGCCATGACAAATTTTTGGAATGGTCTTCTTTGACTTTTGCCGGGGACAGAACGATGTGACGATCTTTGGACAGGAAAGAGAAAAGCTGTGGGGGTGTTTCTTTTCGAGTCTTCTTCATGCGAATTCGCTGGGTGACCTGAGCAGTGGTAAATGGCCGTGATCCAGATGTCTTGGCCAGTTCGGATAGAGTGTCAATGAGCGCTCGCGTGAACGAATTTGGTCCAGGCGGATCCGTTATCTCATTTTCAGGACATGCGCTTAATAGCTCAAATAGCTTCTGCGTTGACGTAATCTGCAGGTTCGCCTTTCCATTCTCTGCCATATTGCTCGCAAAACTCGTGTCGAGAATCGTCAATACGTCTCCATCGACCCCATCGGAGCGCAGTAGCTCCTCTGTCTTGCGCCAACTGACAAATGCAGATCGGTGAAGTCCAACGCTAAGGACGGGTATGTTGCTCGCGGAAAGCTCTAGACGATTATACAACTCTCGATACACACTGTGTCCTTGATAGTATACTATCAGCAGGTTGTTCGGTCCATCATTACTTTCAATGAATGTCATAACGTGACGGTCAAGTTGGTGTTGAGGCTTGCTGGACACATCAAGATCGACGATCTGGGTACTGAAACGAAATAGGTCCCGAAACAGGCCTTCAAGCTCGTGCACCTGGTACCACATTAGTATGGTTGCTGGCAATATTGCTTAGTCTGTCGATGTTCTGAGATATTTCCAATGAGTAGCGGAAGGTCGGTGTCCGGCATGAAAGGTTACATACCTCTCTACGAGTCTGAAGGTCGTCGAGCTCGTCTGCCCATTTAACAAGTAATACAGCAACCCTGTCATACGCATCTGGTGGGTCCATATGTTTCGAAATTGCCTCGTCCCAGTATGTCTGCATAATCTCGATCTTTCGTTCGTCCGTATCTTCTGCGGGGGGTGTCGATGCTTCGCGAGATCTTTCCTGGTCATGTCGATAACCATCATTAGACTCAGCGCGAGGACTTGAGAGCATTGTGTGCGCTTGCGTCCGCATCTTTTTACGGCTCTCGTGAGGTAGGCTGTCAAGGACCTCAGTGAGAGGTCTTTTCAAAGACATTGGCCTATCAATGCCAGACCTTGGTGGTGAGCCACTAGTCTCGCGACGATGCGGTTGTCTCTGCAATGGGTCCATATTCATACCACCCGGCTCTTCGTAACTTCTTGCAATCTGTAGCTCTCGATGAAGACGATTGAACGCTCGTTTCCGACCTTCACCGTAGACGAGAGGCATCGAAAGATCGAAGAGGCCCAATAGAGCATACGCTGCATCTTCTTCGCGCTTGGTATCTCGGTCTGCAGCCCAGGATAAACGTTCCTCGACACTGAACAAGGACAGAGACATAGGATCGACTACGGCTTTGAAGGGTATCCCTGTAGCCTTGAAGATGTCCCCAAAGAGGGAGTGTTTGTCTCCGAGCTGCTTTCCTTTGGCTGTAAAGAATTCGACTGAAGTAGGCGCAAGAAGCTCCTGAAGGGTCCAGCCGCGAGTGAACCATTTACTTTGCTGAAATTCGTACCTCCAGAGCCCATCAGAACTTGACGCAAATTTATCGTCTAGATCCGTTACGTCAGCAAGATATACGTAACATCTATCTGCATTGCGGTACCATCGAAACATGGAATTGATTGCTTCTGAAAGTTCAGTACTGCTTGCTTTATCAATGCAGCAGGTGTCAATCCAGAAGTAATCTAGGCCGTCGCTTGCAGCTTGTTGTGCGCAAAATTGCAGTTTAACATAACCAGCTTTGTTGTTCCCGCTTCCTGTTCGGACGTCTTCAAAACTGACTTCCTGGTCATCTTCACCCCAAGTGTGCGACAGTATTGCGTAGCGTGGTATAGCCTTGCCAGTGAACTCTTTCTGGGTGAACTGCCCATCCTCACCGAGCCGTAGCAAACGCATGGGAACGCTATCGTCGCAGAAAGGCTGCAAAGAACGAAGTGCTTCACTAAAGCTCAAAGGTGACTGAACAAGGGTTGGCGTGCTGGATGTGAGTTGAGTCTCGACAACAGGTGACAGATGTGGCGGGGCTGGCTGCGGGGCTGGCTGCCGAAATTGGAAGCTGACAGGAAATCTCCATGCGCAGCCACCACAACCAGACTTGGGATTTGTGCCACCTACTTGCCGCCACAAAACAAGTCCACGAACATTCCATCATCGAGCTGGATAGAAGTTGAATGTACGAAATGCTGTTATGTTAGTATGTTTATACGTCGGTCGCGTACATGCTCAAAGGCTTGACGATATTCCTCCTACATACGATGTTCTGCTGAGAGGCATCGCCTAAGTTTGCTAAGCTGTATGCATCGTTATATGCTGTACCCGATCAAGTAGGTGGTCATTGACAGGGACTTGCGGACCTAACTGCGAAGCTTTATTTGGACCAATTTGCTCGTTCTTCGTGAGCTTGTTTGTACGCTTCACAACGAAAACACCAAGTTGGAACCAAGAATAAGGGATGTGAGGAAAACATGACATGCCGATCTCGGAAAAACCATTGACTTCCTCTCTATTGGTGCGCGGCTTCCTGCACATATTCATCCTCTTTCCGTCGACCACATAACAGGAAGGACTGCGAAACATCCAAACCCTTGGTAGATATAGCTATATCTGCTTTGTCGCGACTTTTCTTGCATCGATCGTGACGATGACCAGTGTATGGGAGCAGACAGCGAAATCGACCACTCTAGAGCGCGTCCAGAAGGATTGAGATCGAGAGGTTGCCGATGTATGTAGCGAGTCTTGGGCGTAAACTATGCGCCGCTGACACATTGTCTTACAAGACTTTAGTAGTGCTTTCCTGCACCTAAGTCAACACAGATGTAAAAGATTCTCTTGCAGCAAGAAGGGGAAGGAGGTTGCGATAAATACACCTGAATAGCACGGAGCAGTCGAATATCGACGTAAGCCCGAGCCTCGAGGTGGTGAGATGTTGGAGCCCTGAAATTACACGCAATTATGTTCGTGGACCACTCGGGCAGCCCGAAATGTGACCTTCCTTTTCGGGATAGCCATCGCCCGGAGTACACTACGAACCCAATACCTTCAGCATCTCGTCTCAGATCGCACGGTAGAGGCAGGCTATTGTCATAATGCAAATCTCAATCTTGTCAGCAGCTCCATACACCGCGGAGCGAGATTGGAAGGTACATGGACTGCAGGCAACCTGTTCCATCTGGATTTGGATTGTAAGGGCTATGCGTCAACATACGCGCAGCGTTCGATAAGTGCATGCCACTGCACGCCACGTGCGCGCCTGGAGCAACCCCGCACACAAGCTTTGTCTAAGCTTTCTCTGATGCGTCGAAGCATGTCCAAGCGGATTCTTAGTAGAGATAAGACAGCTAGCGTGCATGTGGCGTACGTTAGTGACTGAATGGTTCATTGATACCGCTGCCGCCGTGTTGGAATTTGAGTGATTTTCGGGCGGTAAGCGAATGCGGGCGTTGCGAGCACGGACAAATTGATAACAAGCAACCAGTTATGACGCAAGCTAAGATAGCCAAAGGAGGTCCAACATCGGTGCTTCTCCAAACGTGATGACATTCCCTGTTCCGAGTCAGGTATCCCAGCACATACCTAGACATTCTGGTGCGCGAATGTGCTTCGAGTCAAAGTAGAGTCCGTGGTGAGGAGATACCAGAGGTACCCACTGATTGTTTGTTGCTTGTAGGTAAGCGATACTGCGAGCCAGACATATCTTCACAAACTTCCGCTCGCGGAGGCCTCGGATCCGTTCCGTTGGTTTACACGTTAGACCTTATCTTAAGTGGTGCCAATTGTGTGCCGAACACCGCGCCAGAGGACCTGATGTGGCGGTTTGTGGGCGAACATAGGATGAGTCCCCGTGCGCCGATGCAGCCCCCAGGTAGCCGCTACTGATTGTCCAGCCGCGTATTCACCTCCTAGACTCGGGTTCCTCGTCGCGTGCCGGCATTTATATTACTGGCATGGCCGCGTCTTGCGCACACCTCGCCTTTTTACTCATGTCCTTCATCTTTTCCATCATTCGTTGATCGCCGCACGACGTTCTAAACGTTTGCGACTTTTGGCGTATTCACTTCGTCTTACGCCTAATCCTACCTGTGTTACACAGTTCCTACCGGGTCTTGTCAGGCCTTGCCACCACGAGCCTCGCGTACGCGACTGCCGAGATGGAAAAGAATAACCATGGCGCCCCACCTCCAGTGGATTACTCCCTGGAGGATCATGCCAAAGCACGTCCGCTCAGTACCAACGGCGAAGATGTTGATATTGCCATCGTTGGTCAGAACGAGCTTAGGCGTGACTTGAAGGGTCGTCATATGCAGATGATTGCGATGTTAGTCTCGCCGACATTCCTAGAAGGAATAACTATGATGTTTCTGCGACTGACATGCTTCATAGTGGCGGTGCCATTGGCTCCGGTCTATTCATTGGCTCTGGCGGATCCCTCGTCACTGGTGGACCCGCCGCTGTTATCATCGGATTTACTGTCATCGGCATTATGATGTACCTGATGATGCAGGCACTGGCCGAACTTGCAGTCATGTACCCGATTAACGGAGCTTTCACCATGTACATCTGTCGATTCGTCGATCCATCCTGGGGCTTTGCCTGTGGCTGGCAGTACGCCATTAGTTGGCTCACTGTTCTGCCTTTCGAGATCTCCGCTGCTTGCAACATCATTCACTACTGGCCAGGATCGGAGGGCATCAACAATGCTGCATGGATCACACCACTTCTCTTAGCTTTGGTAGCTATCCAATTCTTCGGTGTTCGGGGCTATGGCGAGGTGAGTGCGCTGCTTTTTGGTATGAAGTAGGCGGACTAATGTTTCTGAACAGGTTGAATATGTACTATCCATGATCAAGGTTGCGGCTTGTCTAGGGTTCATGATTCTGGGCATTATTATCAACACCGGAGGTGTGCCAACCGACGACAGAGGTTATATTGGCAACAAGTACTAGTAGGTGCCCCTGGTTTGGACCGCAGAGCTATCCACTGACTACCTGTAGCAATATTCCTGGTGTGACTTCTGCAGGGTTCCGTAATGGCTTTCACGGCTTTTGTGGCGTGTTTGTTAACGCAGCATTCGCCTACACCGGTACGGAGCTTACTGGTCTAGCAGCAGCTGAGACGGAAAACCCAAGGAAGGAGATCCCCAAGGCTGCGAAGCAAGTCATCTATCGCATCATTCTCTTCTATGTTGTGAACCTTGCTCTGGTCGGGCTAGTTGTGCCAGTTGATAACGAAGCACTGAACGGCAGTGCTGGCTCCAGTTCGCTCCATTCGCCATTCGTCATCGCTATTCAACTTGCTGGAATCAAGGTCCTCCCATCAATCTTCAACGCCGTCATTCTTATCGCAGTCATGAGTGTCGCCAACGCTTGCACCTTTGGCTCCACACGCACGATGCAGGCTCTTGCGGCAAACGGTGAGTGTCCTATGTCCTAACATACCAGTTCCTTGCTGATCATGATAATCATGTAGGTATGGGTCCGAAAGCCACCGCATACGTTGATAAGCAAGGTCGTCCAGTCGTCGTCGTGGTTATTCAGCTTTTGTTCGGACTGCTGGCGTACATCAATCTCGCTCCCAGTGGTGGAGATATCTTCACTTGGTTGCTGTCCTTGTCTGGCATCACTGTACTGTTTGTCTTTGGCAGTATTGCCATCGCACATATTCGTTTCCGCAGAGCTTGGTGAGTCCCATGCTACAGCGTACGAGAATAGGCTCAGCGCTAACGTTATTTAGGGCATTGAATGGCCACACACTCGATGAAATCCCATACAGAGCCTCATTCGGCGTTTGGGGCTCATGGGTATGCTTCGCCATCAATGCTATTGCGCTCATCGCTCAATTCTACGTCGCACTTTACCCAGTCGGTGGAACACCTCTCAGCGCCGAGGGCTTCTTCGAAAGCTACATGGCGGCGCCTTTCCTCGTTGTCTTGTACCTAGGGTGGAAGATCTACAGCTGGTTCGTGCACCCCTCGCACCGCCCAATGTGGATTCGCACCAAGGACATCGACATCTATACTGGCATGAGGCAGGAACAAAGAGAGTTGATCAGCGGCGAAGGTGTGACCGCAGAGCAGAGACGCGCGAGCATCGATGAGATGCACGGCGAGCAGAAGAAGAAAGGCATCAAGGCCAACCTCATGGGGGCGTATCGTGCACTATTTTAATGGTGGATTTGCCTTATTGATAAGCACGTCTACGTGTTCGAATAGTTCTCGAGGGGGCAAAAGTTAGACAGATGGAAATATTTGCAATTGTACCATATCATGAGAATAAATGTATGCAGATTTGCAGCAGCATTTAACAATCTGAAGCTTCTTCATGATGCAACAAACTATGGTAAGGTAAAAGAGGTCATCAAAGCGGCGGTCGAGAAAAGCTAAGATGATCCCTGACAGTCTCCAAACAGCTGTTGGGATAGTAGTCATTAACGTATGAATTATACTGCTCGTTGCTTTTTCATGCTCGATTATAGCACGTTGGAAACACGGCTTCACAGGCTAGGCAACAATCCCAATTGCTAGCAAGATTATTAAAAACTTCACACGCCACGCACTTTGCAAGTGAGTCGGTTCAGAAGCCTCTGCTAATCTTCTCCATAAGCTTGAGGAGACGTGTTGCGGTGAAGCGACCAGGTGTAAAGCCGGGGCTAATTGAGCATATACCCATGATTTCAGGAGAGCTAGATGTACATAGACATAAGAAGTCATTCACCTATGTGCCTCAAGTTAGCTTCAAAGATCACTTTTCACTGGAATCGGCATACGGTGCTTGGATCATCTTTGTTGCAGCTGTATAGACTATGATGCACTAGGTATTGGAACAGCGCTGTATTAAGCGGTTGAAGCCTGTGCTACATTGTCTACAGATACAGGCAGTGAGATTTTATAGTGCTTCTCAAGAACTGAAGACCTTCGTCCAGTCGTACTTCTTGAAGTAGTCCTCCGACGTTTCGAGAGACGGTGGTGATTTCAACTAAACGTGTTCATAAGTAACAACTCATTATAATCAGGCCACGACAACTTACGTCTCGGGGATGGATAACTGTAGGGTCTTCTCTACCCTCGTAACCGAACTCGTTCCAATAGCCCGTGTTGTCCCCAAGTGATTGCTTCATTTCGGCTGACATGGATGGGGGGAAAGATCCTTTCGGCAGAGTAACAACCTCTGCCTTTAGCCCTGTAGCCTTTGTGAAAGATGACGCAATCTCTCGAGGGGTGAGCCATTCTCGGTAGCCAATGAGATTCTTTCCAGCGGACTCTTGTACAAGAGCTTTGACCAAAGGTCCAGTGTCTTCCTCTGCGGCAACATACGGAAATTTGACATCTGCCTCTAGAAGTCCGATAAATTGAACTAGTCCATCAGAGTTCTTAGATGCGTTAGCTTCAACTGTTCGGTACAAAGTCATGCTTGTTTGTGCTTGCCTTGATAGGAGTGCTCAGGCCGCCAGCAAAGAAGTTACTCAGAAAGATACCTGCTTGATAAATGCTGGTCTTTGCCCAGAGATCAGGGTATGTTTGCTTGCCATACACTTCAGCCTTGGCTTTTGAGTCAAAGTGGTAGACATGGGTATATTTTCCCTTTGACCATTTCGTGGCGTCCGAAAGGGAGGAGAGGATGAATCGCTCCAGAGTTGGAACTTTGGCGGCTGCGTCGATTTGATTCTTCAACTGTTGCGTTTCATGCTCACCCACCCAGGCATTTAGACCCTGGCCTGGCTTTGCTTTGTTCTGGTTGCTAGGATCAAAGTATTGGCCCCAGTAGTCACTCACAGCGAAGATGGCATTCGCATCCACAAACGCTGCTGACAGGGATTCCGGTGCATCGATATTGGCTTCAACAACCTCTGCGCCTCGGGCTGCTAGAGCCTGAGACTTGGCGCTGGAGGCGTCTCGAGTCAGGGCTCGGACTTTCCAGCCTGGTTCCTTTAGAAAAGTGGTCGCAACAGAACCACCTTGATTGCCAGTGGCACCAACAATAACGATGAGCTTTGAGGATGACATGGCGGAAATAGGTCGTGTTTTGGGTATTGGAATGAAGGGTGCGTTATATGGCGCTTCTTGACTTGTGGTTCTTGTTTGGTTTCTCTGTCCATTACATGTTAGATCTTCTATAGCGGGCCATCAGACCGATCAAAGTGCTTACCAATGAGCTGTTTGTTGCAGCGAAATGGAATGCTTGGTGTTCTTTTCGTCGTCAACGACGAGAAAGTATTTATACATAACCATTCGTCCTTCTGTTTGTCCGATCCAAGCTGGTTATTCATCACAATCGAATAAGCACATGGTGATGAGCTAGTCCTAATCCGGTATGCTCATTCGCCAAGGCTCTAGCAGAGCGTATGCTAGCCAATGGCGCTCAGCCCCGCCATTCTGCCGAATCGCCTTTCGGGCCTTGCTGAATGAACACCACCCAAAGTGATTAGCTTGTAACAACGTGTTCCATAATACACACTCAATCGTTGTCTACCTACCGGTGCCAGCAATCACTTTCCTCCTAAGTCCGAGCTCTACCTATTTGTCCATACGTCCTTGCAGGCATAGGATGATAAACTAACTAGAGTATGAGAGTAAAACGAGAAAATATTTGTGAAGAATGTAGGTCCTGAAAACCATTCAAGTCAATAGTCACGTCAATCAAGCGAGCACCCTCCGCTTTTGATTTGACTTGGTTGGCGGGGTAGATGGACTAGATGGACTTGATCGACTTGGTTGAATAGCCCAGGTCGGCTTGCTTGCTTATTTCAGACCTTTGGATTGACTCGATTGACTTGATCCGAGCCAACCAAGTGAACCAAGTCACCCTCTTTAATGGCTAGACTGTTGAAAACTAGCTCTACGCGACTGTTCGTCAGAACCTATTTAAGAGATATGCTGACTGTATCCTCTATCTATCGTATGACGGTATATCACTAGTATGTTCTTAATTTACTTTGCGAAGAGTCTTCTATACTAGTTATTATGAAGGTTTTCAGTTCGTTAACAAATGGGCTCGGTATCTTCGGCAGACACTTTCGCTTGATTTCAAACCAGGGCTTGAGAACAGGAGGATTGTTCAGGGATCAGGTCGGAGCAAGCGCGCAGAACCGAGCGCGTAGAATGTATGTGTGGAGAGGCCTTAGCTCACGCGATGGTCGAAAGAAAAAGCCGAGGTGATCACTGACGATTCCCGAGTAGCTCTTAGGGAGATAGCTATTGAAATATAAATCAGACTGTTTGTTAACTCTCCACGTTCGACCACAGGACGTTGAAAACAAGGCTTCCCGTTCGCTCAGCCCTATTTAAGCAACGTACCGGTGGATTAGTACTCAGGTGGGTGACCACTGGGGAATCCCCACTGTTGAACGTATTTGTTCTTTTTGCTACTTGGTCCTAAATCGTTTAAGCCAAACAATGGCAACACTATCTCGCATCCGTGAACTGCGGCTACGTCGCGCCCCAGTATGAGTCGACAATCACACCTTTGGTGAAAAGCGACAGCAGCTATGTTGACTCCGCTACTGCCCCTTGATCCTGTACAGCAGAGTTCCATGGCCAAATGCATCAAATCCTCCAGAGTTTGGACCATAATCGCCACCACCGCCCTCGATATTTGCAGTCAGGTTCTTATTAACAAAATCGCGGTATGCCTTTGTCCAGGATGCGTTCATGCCCCGAATATCGTTGTAGTGCGCATAGATGGCCTCAAACCCCGGTCGGATGCTGAAGCGTTGCTTCTGAGCGACGACCGGAAGAATACCTTCCCAGCTACGGTAGGGTGTATATGGAACGGAGTAATTCCCGGCGTTGAATTTGCCTGCATACTCGGCGCTGGAATGTGTGTCAGTATTTGAAGCATCGTATAGTCCCGAAGAGGCAATAAGCTCACCCATTCAGGATCTGGTTTCCATAAGCTCCATATAGGTCGACGCCCTGGTTGTATCCCTGCTGGCCAATCACGCCCAGAAGTGCGAAACACAGCGTTGCGTGACCTTGGTCCCTGCCTGCCTCTTGTCCCTGCATCAAAGTCTTGCCGCTTCCTTCTTCTGTGAAATTCGCAATCGAAAAGTACGGAAGAGCGCCATTGATCACGACGCTACTATCCGGCAGGCCATTCAAGAAAGTCTCCACAGCCCAATTATACATGGTTGTGTTGTCAGTGAAGATACCAATTGCCATCATAGAGGCAATATTGCATAGATCCCAGTTCGCGTAGTAGAAGTCGGGCTTGCCGACATGCGTGGTGAGAAAGTAGTGGTTCTGGGGAGCGAACACTGTGCTCAGCATATTGCCAAAAGCAGTCTGATTCTTCTTCGGCCAACCTTGATAGTCGCGGAGAAGCTCGGCGGCGTTGGCGAATTGATATCCATACAGGCCAGCGGCGAGGTACCTGTCTTCGTTGCCGTCGATAGACTTCAACGTGCTGCCCCAGCCATCCAAAGTTTTGATCGCAGCATTAGCAAAGCTGGTGTTGCCGGTGACTAACCACCGCAGAGCGAGGCCGTATGCCGAGTGGGCATCGCGGTATGCCGAAGGATAGTTGTTGGTAAGATTGCTTCCAGGTACACTGCCAGTCGCTGATCGCACGAGGATATCCTTGGGGCTCGATTTCCAGGTAGTCTGCACAACCGGACGAGTTGACAGATGCTGAAAAGCTTTGAACCTGAACGTGGAATATCAAGTCAGCACATGACTCATCTTGTCGCACACGATATTTACGCACCATGGCTCATCTTTTGCCGCAACGCGCGCTTTGATGCGCTGTATGTCTTTCGAATTATGAAGTGCACCTGGATGGGCGAATTTTGTTAATTCAAAGTGTTGCTGACTTGGGATCGCACTGGCGAGCGCAGCGAGGACGGTCACGGTAGCGAAAATCGTGAAATGCATGGCTCGATGGTTTGAGAGATGAATCGCTGCTGTTGTGAAGCTGAACTGATGGGCACCACTCCTGCTCTTATACATCCATCATTAATGGCAGCTTCGAGGCGCCATGGCCATCACGTCGTCTTCATTCTGCTCGCTGAACCTGACGGTCGCTGCCGCCCCCGCATTTTCCCCGGTTTCTCCGCGTGACAAGCGACAGTGAAAAATTGAAGAATCGGATCTTTTCGTAAGTGGCAGGTGATCGTCGGTGTGCGGCGTGGCGAGTGCGTGTGGAGGAAACGACCCCGCCACAACCCTAGAAGACCTGGAGGATTGCAAGGCGGACAAAGCTCCGGGACATCGCCAGGAATCCGCAGTGATGCTTCAACCCCACAAACCTGATTTTGCCCTGCCAGCCTGGGGTGGCGCCACATCGGATATGCAACCATTTGCGGAGCCCCAGACTTCGGTATTCGTAGAATCGTCGGGGCATTTGCGGCAGGTCAGATTGAACGCCCATAGTGTGAAATGGTGTGCAGAGAAAAGCGGAGAAGGTACCTCACAGCACCGTTCAAATACTGCTGCAGGCCAGCTCGCTGAAAAGTAGAAGTTTGTTCTTGCATTCCTTAACATCTCCACAGAGATTGTCAGTCATCATGTCCGCCAAACAACTCGAAGCAGGTGTCAATGTGGCCGACCATCACGAGACGAACGACATGACAGCCAAGGAGGCTGCTCTTCACTCTGAAGCTGTCGATGAAGACACTATGCGCTACACCACAGGCCCTCCAATCGAGATCGACGCGGTGACAAACAAGCGTCTCTTTTGGAAGCTCAACCGCCGCATCTTGGCCATTCAATTGGTCACGTATTTTTGTCAGTCTCTCGACAAGGGCACTCTGAACTTTGCTTCCATCATGGGCATCCAAAAAGATGCTAAGCTTGTCGGACAAGAGGTACCTCTCGCTCAGGTCTGCCAACTTCGTGGCCGCTGACATATTGGCAGTATCAATGGCTCGGTACTATTTTGTACATTGGTATTCTTGTCGGTGAATGGCCACAGAACTTCCTTCTGCAGAAACTACCGCTTGCCAAAATGCTGTCCGTGAACGTCTTCATCTGGGGTGCTGTGGTTGCGTGCTCTGCTGCTTCGACCAACTTTGCGTCGCTCATGGCTGTTCGGTTCCTCCTGGGTTTCTTCGAGAGCTGTGTTCAGCCGGCTATGATGTTGTTGTGAGTGAACCGTGGGGGGATGCACGAGATTTGGCTAACCATGCTCCAGGACTTCGATGTGGTACACTCGCGAGGAGCAGTCTCTTCTGAACTCTCTTTGGTACTGCATGTCTGGCGTGCAACTTATGGTCAGCAGCTTGAGCTTCCAGAATCATACAAAATGCTCACAAGTTTAGGTTGGTGGCCTACTTGCCTTCGGTGTCTCTCACTTTACAGATGGCCCCATAAAAAACTGGCAGCTACTATTTCTCATTCTTGGCCTTGCTACATGCGCATGGTCTTTTGTCATCGGCTACTTCCTCCCTGACAGTCCCATGACGGCTAAATGCTACTCGGAGGATGAGAAGCGTCTCTTTATCGAGCGCGTCCGTCACAATGAGACCGGCATCAGGAATAAGAAATACAAGGTGTACCAGGTCAGGGAAGCCTTCGCTGATCCTTTTGTGTGGTGCTGCGTCGCGCTCATCACTGTAGCGAACCTAATCATTGGCGGTCTCGGAGTCTTCTCTAACCTGATCATCCGCCAATTTGGGTTTTCGCTCCTTCAAACCCAGCTACTCAACATCGCTCAAGGTGCTTGGCTGATCATCGTCATGATTGGGTCGGCACAGGCTTGTCAGAAGTCGGGTCAAAGTTGCCTAATGATGATTGTAAGTCATGTAGTATATATTACCCAATCGATTGATTAACTTTCTATAGCTCTGGACCATACCTGCCATCGCCGGTACAGTCGTCATCCTCATCGTCAAACCAAATCCCGGAAACTCTGGCGGCATGCTCATCGCATTCTACTGCACTCAGTTCTTCTGCGCTCAGGGCAATATGATCATCTCCCTTATCACTCGCAACATTGCTGGCCAGACCAAAAAGGGCATGGTAATGACAATGGTGTTCGTGGGCTGGTCTGTTGGTAACCTCATCGCACCTCAGATCTTCCAGACGAAAGACGCGCCACGATACCTTCCTGGTTTCTTGGTACACATCGTCATCTACGGAGTGTACATCGGACTAGTTGTATTGACGCGCTTTGTCCTAATGGCAAGGAATCGTCGCAAGGATGCTGCTGTCAGCGAGGTTACGCATGAGCTTGCTTTCCAAGACCTGACGGATACGGAGAACCCTAATTTCCGTTATGTATACTGAGCGTAGGCGTCTAAGTAGTTTGGCTTCAAGCCATTTAAAAAGCGTCAGCAGGCAAGAGAAATTTTATACACGAAAGTAGCGTTAGGCTACTCTTTGGAAAGAAACTTAGCCGCTATAGGTGTTCAATGAGAAGGAGATTTGAAACACATTAATGCCTTGTCCATAGATGGAATGTGGTACTTATCTTCATGTTCGGTTGAATTCTCAAACCTGAGAGCATGCGTTCCGTGTCCCTACAAAGTTACAATGTGTGTTGATGTGTATGGAGAGTCTACTTCTGACAAAGTGCATTGCTACAAGAGCGATGCACATTGTGTTCAATATATTCACCGTAGTCTCACACTTCTACTCAAGATAGCTCATTGCGAGTTCAATTAGAGATTAGGATCGATGTTCACGCACATAAGACATTTTGAGACAATTGTTAGTGCAAGGCAATGTATTCTGTAAGGTGTTTGTATCGAAGGACTTAATGAATCAGATGCATTGACAGATAAATTTATCAACCTATCCTTATATTCATTCGCGACGTAAGTCTTCTAGCTTTCTACAACTATGAAACCTACTTTTGATCATCACAACGTCTTCTGACTGTTATTATAGCACGTCAGCTGATCAAATTAGGTCCGGGTTCGTTGACACAACTTAGCTGATGCTCGTCACCGCGGTAAATGTCCCTGCCATCATGTCCTGTCGATACTTCCCGCATCACAGCAAAGCTCGGAACATCTATTCCCGATACAACCGGCCACGTCTAGCGCTCGAACAAGTCTATCTCGTGGTCTTGTGAGGGGCTATTCCATGGCGACTTAGGGCGCCGGCATGCGGGCCGGAGCTTTCCCGTGGCCGCCGGAAGCTGCAAACTCAACAACGGAGATGGGTCAGCACCGGCAGTAATACCGGAGGCAATGGAGGGAATTCAATAGAAGATAATCCACCATTCATAATGTACTTGTACATCTACCCACTACATCACGATACGTTGCGTTCAAGAATCGCTGTCACGACAACCACGAAGCAACATGGCAGGCGCCACGATCACCCAAACCAGCGCCTCGCATGCGCGAAAGCGACTTCGCGCTAGAGAGGATGCGGCGGAGGCATCTAAGAGAGGATCGACTCAAGAAAATACTAACGGCGCGAGCAATATCGCCGTAGAGCAGCCAGCTTGTGGCTCGAATATCCAGGAGATCAAGGAGGAACTCGTCAGTCTCTATGCGCCCTCTGTCGAAGCAAAGATATGGGGTGTTGCAGCAAAGGGTTTACGACAATCCTCACCGCCCACACTCTTTCCTGAATACACCAAACCTGGCGGTGTCGAGTACATCTATCGAGAGCTGGACTTCTGGACATCCGGATTCTTTCCAGGCAGCCTGCATCTGCTACTGGAACGAAGGAGGAAATACGGGCATATCTTTGGCCGCCCGAAAGACGCTTCATGTAGCGTACCGCATCTCCTAAACCTAGAGTAAGACTTCCGAACGTGGTGTCGGATTTGTTGGTAACCGTTTGATCAGACACACGTGTAAATACTGGACTGAGAATCTCCATCAAAACGCGTTGCTTAAATCGACGCACGATCTCGGGTTTATGATCATGCCATGGGCGAAGGTTGCATACGAAACAAACCATGATCTCCGCGCACTCGAAACAATTAAGACCGCTGCTAACACGCTGTATTCTCGGTACAGCAGCAAGCTGAGATGCATTCGGTCATGGGACACATGTGTGACGAAGAAGTACAACTTCCAAGATATGGACACGGACTATATGGTGATCATCGTAAGTGCAACTTCGACGGAAAGTTTCTTACAGCTTCTGAAACACTTTCCACTAGGACAACATGATGAACCTCGATTTGTTGTTCTATGCAGCTTCGAAGAGCGGGAACGCCGAGATGTTTTCCGCAGCAGTGCAGCACGCGCGCACAACCGCTCGCACACATATACAGCCAGACGGTTCGACAACGCATCTGATAGTGTTGGATCCACAAAGCGGCGAAATTAAACACCGATTGACGAACCAAGGCTACTCGCACACTTCATGCTGGGCGCGTGGCCAAGCGTGGGGAATAGCCGGGTTTGCGGAGACGTACCACTGGACGCGTGACGAGGAGTTTTTGCGCACAAGTCAGCGTGCAGCAGACTTCTTTGTCGCTCGGTTGGATGAGTCAGGTGTGGTGCCATGGGATTTTGATGCTCGAGATGTTATGGGACCAGGTCAGCCTTCGGACTCTAGTGCAGCGATGATCGCAGCTTACGGCATGCTGCTTATCCATCAAGCTCTTGTCGCACTTGGACAACCGTCGCGGTACCTCATGGAAGCATTGAGGATCACTCGGGTGGTGTGTGCGAATAACCTCAACCCAGCAGCAGCACTGCTTCAAACAAACATCCAAATCGAGACGGTTGAGCATGGCCGCGTGCAAGAATCAATTCAGCACGTTGAGATGGGCATTGGAGATACAATATTGAATGGCGCCACGATCAATAATTTTGAATTCGCACCTAGGAGATGGGCTGATCATGGATTGGTTTACGCTGATTATTATTTCCTGCTGGTAGGGAACAAGCTACTGGAGATCGGTATCGGTGCTCAGATTCTGGGTTGATCCAGATATAGATAGAAACGAGAAAACCCTTCGACACGGGCGTTTCTCAGCCCATTGAGTGAGAAAATGCGCTGACTCGCTGTTCAGGCAGGAAAGAGTAGTCAAGGAATGAGGCTAGGTCCTCCAGCTGTACGTTGCCATCGACGGACATTCCCGGAGGCAATACCATGTCGACGTTCGGATTACTATACTTCGAAGGGGGAAAGGATGCGTGATTCATTCGGTCCAGATTTGGGGAGGGCAAAGCAGTGTGATTCCTGCTCGATGGCTGTGCTTGAAATGCAAGAGGTAGAGGTGGAAAAGCCAAGGTGATGCTATCCGGAGTCTCGCCTTGGTCTGCTGCCACGGGGAGGATTTCTCCGAAGGTCCCCAATGGTTGTCCGATAGTGCCTGATCCGTTCTGAATACCGCCGAACGTGTTCGAGGTAGCATTCGTAGTTCCATCTCCAAGGCCGGCAGGGTTGTCTGAGTAGGCTGCTTGTCGTATGTCTAGTGTCTGAAGCCCGGCCTGACGAGCATGATTGAGTCGCGTTGCAAATTTTGAAGCAAGGTTGCTTTTTGTCGTCGAGTGGTCCCCATTCCATCGGCGTGCCATGACTTGAAGGCTGTGAATAAGACTATCGAACTCGTTCGGCAAGGAAATGTCGTAATAGAATGCGTGTGCTAGCAGCATGCGACCACATATAAAGAGGCAAAAGGCAAATTGTGGGTTTGTCAGACACTGCATGTTGCGCAGAAATTCAGCCGCAATAATAGAGACCTCGACGCTGGCTGCCATGCACGTCTCAGCGCTTGAGCCGGATGGAAGCCTGATCGGTAAAGACTGCCAGTCTTGCGATGGATACGCTATGCCTTGATGTAGGAGTACCACTGCTGTATTGTGCGTGATATGCGCTAATGTGAGATTGGGGTCCATGTTACCGTCGGCGTTGAGCGCGCATGCTTCTCGCCAACGTTCTGGCAAAAAGATTTTCCATCTATGGGAATTAGCCTCGGTACATGATTTGAGAAGCCCATGAGACTCACTGGATCAGACGGAGATCTAATTGTTTGAATCTCATTAGCCACATCTGCACATCGTGGGACTTGGCCACGTCCACCTCCTGCTGGAGAAAGAAGGATGTTACGAGGCTCAGACTTTCTGTGGCCTCAATGCAATACGCAAAACCTCCAAGGGACGCTTGGTCGGCGGTCTCTGGTCGTGCGCTAGGTAGGGTGTTCATCGCATCTCCTGGCGGATCGGAGACACCAAAGAACGGTGTGGTTATATCCAGCGGCTTGCCCTCTTCCCACAATCCACCTTCGCATGGCAATCGCCTCTTAACGTCTGCGCTGGTAAGACAAACGTTCCATCCAGTTGCGACGCTGCAAAATCGATCCATGAGGAAGACGGTCCAGAATACGCGCCGACGGTCCTCAGCCTCGCTCCAATCTTTACAAGGAGGCAAGAATGCCATGCGCTTTACCAAAGCGTGAGAATCTTTGCGATGGTTGTCGCCATCTTCTTCCTCTGTGCTGAGCTGTAATTGCTCTACGGTTCTGGTCATACTTCCTACGATCGACCATGCTGAAGGGCCACGACCGCTACCTATCGTGTCGAAGGCACATATTATAAGAGCCTGGAGGCCTTCAACCGAGAATGACTCCATACTTTGCAATATGACCGCTTGACGGCTAGACTCCGCCAGCTTTAAGCGGCTCTCTGCATCACCCAACCGAGGGTCATCTGAAAAGCGGACGCAGAGAGATGTGATGGCGTGCAAGATGCTACTAATCTTGTGCTTCTCTTCTGGAAGGTGTAAACGGTGTCGAAACTGGCGAACGTGGAGCACGGGGATCCAAGGGTGAATATTGCTGAAGTACAGCTCCACCAGTGGATCGATCAAATCTGCGGGCAGCATTTCCTGACCAAGGCTGCCTCGGTGAAGGGCTGGCCCTTCAACATTGCTTACACCCCGGTCAATCCTCCTGCGCTTACTCGAGTCCGGCGAGCTCGTGGTATCGTCCTCGTCGTTGCAGCGCTTGCGCCCGAGGGTGTCCAGTCTTTGCTTCAGCTGCTCGGTATGTTCATGTAGGCTCCCAGTCATTGGTGGTGATACACCATTACTGGTAGTATGTGCTTGATTCCAAAGTTGCTGCCAAAGAACCCCTTGGCCAAGGAACATGTTCTCGAGCGCATCTAGGCGGCGGTGAATGCGATCGATCGCACCTGCCTTCATTCCAGGTTTCCCCTTTTCCTTGTCATACATGCAACTCAAACCGTTCTTAACGCACTGCGAACAAGGCACTTGGCGTGAGCATTTCGCCTTTTTCTTGCGACACGGCTGGCATGCTGGTCTAGCGCTTTCATCCCTCTTTGCGTCGTTGCTGCCAGCTTGATCGCGGTCATCGTGATCAGAGCTATCGAAATCCAAAGGGCCGTGGTCGTCCATCGGTATACGTAAGATGAAACATGAGGCAGGCTCAATCTGACAGGGTGCGAACTTTCTGTGCGGAGCGCGTGTGCGGGGACAATGGTACACGGCCGATCTTGCCTACCTCGGCCAGGAGCGGGATTCGGAGCAACACGCGGAGCTGCGCCCCGGGGTCTTTCCCCGCATCACAGTCTCATCACTTTGTACCCAAAGTGTGCAGGTGGAGACACTCGTTGTGTCTGATATTGGGTTCCCATACGCGCTGCTCTGGATCATTGCCCTTCCGTGCTTTGTTGGGTCGTCATATGTCCATGGAACGTCGCAGGCACCGTACCTGACGATGTCAACGGCGCACATTTATCAAATCAATAGATCACACCCTCAATTCGGGCTTGCGATTGCCCGCATATTGTAATTTTGCTAAGTTCATTCACTGTAGACTCCTTTCTCATTCTATATTCCGGGTGGTCAATCTAAACACAACATTCTCCACATGTTCGTTCGCAAACAGCGGTACAAAGTCTGTCACCATGTACCATCTCGGCTTGGCCATACCATCATGGACGTACTGTCCACCAATCTTCAAATTCTCAATTTTGACATTCTCAACCTTCCTTCCAGCATCGTAACCCGCTATCTGCGATGGATAGACGTTTTCCGACCTTTCCTGATCGAGCTCAACGTTGCGAAGAGTTATATTCTTCACGCCTCGCCCTGGCGCCGTTGTCCACATTGCATTTTTCATGACCCGAATGTTGAACAGCTGGCCTTTGGTGATCTTCTCGACCCGAATGTCCTCAACCAGCACGTCCTGGATGAGATTCTCGTCTGCCGCGTTAATGGAAATGCAACCCTGATACCACATCTGGTGTTCGCAATGGTCCAGGATATCGATGTTGCTTACGTGAATGTTGCTGAATGTCTCAGGCCTTTTCGAATTTCCATGAGTGCCGATTTGTATGGGATGCGCAATGTCTGGTAACAGCGTGCAATTTCGTACCTTGATATTCCGTGTATCGCCATAGTAATCCCAGCGATGGCCATATATGGCGATGGTGTCGTCGGAGTTGCGCAGGAAACAATTTTCGATAAGGACCTCACGACAGCAAAAGAGATCAATGCCGTCGCCATTGCCGTAACTGGAGAATGAGCGATACCGATTGATATGGATGTCCTTGCCTTCCACAACAGGGAGACTGAAACCAAAAGAGCGAAGAGAGGTCACTCCTTCTACTATAATGTTCTTCGATCGCTCAATAAGAACAGCCCCGCCGTCGAGTTCTCTGGGTCTTTGAGATGCCGAGGCCACGTACGCGTCTCCCAGTCTAGAGATAAATCCAGGCCCTCGAATGCTGGAGTTCTCCACGTTGGAAAAGACTACTTGCGCAGTCAAAAATGCGCCGCTTGCCAGGTATATTGTTGTATCTGAAGGGACAACCAACTGTCCATCAACGACCTTATCGTAGGCGCAACCGTTGTTGACACCAGGCCTGAAGTACCACAATCCCATACTGTCGCAATTGGGCTCATCGGGATCGATCTCATTCACAAGCAAGTGTAGAGCTTGCCATTTGTCGCCATTGATTTCGAGCATTACATCGACGGCGCGATCGAGAGTGAATCCAATACATCCATCATCGATTTTGGTGTATATTCCAAACGAAGCAGGGCGGATTACAGCAGCGTCGACTTTGGAGCAATCGTAACGTATCTTGAATTCAAGACTTTGACCAGGGGAAATACTCAAAGAGGCAACAGCGATGTTATGCGTATTGAACTCGTTTCGTGTGATGTTGACGCTCGCAACGGTCGTGGTGACTGCTGTTATCGCATGCCAGTCAGTTTCATGACCTACGCCTGCAACTCTGGTGCGGATCTGAAAATTTTCGTCCACCTTGAATCCAGCCGGGAGGCGATCGCGGTCGATATGGTTGAGGCTTGTCATTTGGAGGTATACAGTATTAGTATCGGAGTAAGGAACATCTGTCGCATATATAAACTATACGGTGATTGTTACTGAATATAACTAGATATACAGTCATCGGGAAAGGGCCCGGCGGTTAGCCCGCACGCCGGGCGAATGCAGAAGAGTTTCGGACAAGCACACGCGAGCACCGTCACATCCTAGCTACCTTTACTAAAAGTCTACTCTAACCTACGCTAGTAACACCCTAGCTAACCTCTACCTATTTAACCTCTACCTATAGGCTATACAACTCTAAACCCTAACCTAACCCACGCTAGGTACCCAAACCCCATTTGTTAGTCTGTATATAGCGTGATATGGTAAGATAGATGTAGCTAGTAAGCTACACAGCAAAGACTGTTATTCAGGTACTAGCTAGCTTTGTACCTAGCTTCGTGCTACGCAATCTGACCCTCAGTGGATTTATGCTATCAGATTTGTGTGGATAGAGCCAGTCATCGTTAGAGATGTTAAGATTCGTTCTGTCATCCCCAATTGGCACCATACTGTTGCTGAAGGTAAACATGGACATGAGCCAATTCTTAACGGACCAATGTGCGTACGCGCTCACCATAAATAGAGATGTAGAGCTAACTAAATCTAAATCTGGAGGAGCGAGAGTAATGTTGGGAAAGTCCGGTGGAATTTGTCCAAAACCAAATCCCCTTTTATGATGGCGTCCTTATCGATCCAGGACCTCAGCTCATACTCATGAAATTGGCCGTCTGTGACCTCGGCCTCGAGTGTCTTGATACACCAATACAGAACGCACTGTGAGCCAGATATCGACATGTTGCCTTTAACTTCACCGTTCGTGCCATTCAAGATTGCCAGGTTCATGATGTTTTCACCGTAAGACGTAGGTATCACCAGGGGAAGCTGGGCGCTAGCGGCTATTGTTGGCTTTCCAAAGGTTGTAGAATGATGCTCCGTCCTGACGGGGGCTGTCTGATTGAGCTGTAGCGAATTGGGTAGCCGGTAATGGCAAGTCCTTCGGTCGGTGTTGTATGGATTCTTCCACCCGATGCAATCTTCCACAACAGCACTGGCGGAATCTTGACATTTGTAGCAAGCTGCTAACGTCTGGTACGCTGGAAAGGTACAGTTTCCGCTTGGGCAACTTGGAACAACATCTAGTGATGCCTTCCCAGACTGCATTGAACCAAAAAACAGTCCGTTGAACAAAGTGCCAATCATGGAGTTCGTCGGGACGCTTGGTTCCATGGAGGAAGAATTGGGGGATGCAATCTGGAGGAAATTTTGCGCTCGAGGGACGTAGGCTTGCTGTAAAGCATTGTCTCGATGGGCCTGGATTGTAATAGCCTGTTGCACGGTGGGTTCGATGCCAACGGCGAGCAACGTGAGTAGTGCACCCACACATGCTAGACGTCTGCATCTCAGGTAAGCAGTTGACTCGAGAACAACACAATGCTGATTACACCTTATTCTGAGTATCCACAATAGCGGAGCTGCTCTCAAGGGGTCTCTGCTAGCAGCATCATAGACAGCCAAGATGTCGAGCCACTGCGACTTCATCGTAAAACTGATCCATATCGACTGGCTGATGCAGGCTGCAGCTGGGGCAAGAATAGATCCTTTCATTATGGTAGTGAGGATCGAGATCGCCGAGTTGAGTGTTATACCATAGGGCCAGTCTGGCTGGGATATTCCATCGAAAGCCTTCAACAGCCCAACTGTTGCGGCAAAAGCAATAAGACTAGAGATACATGCCGCGCTCTCCCAGTGCTAGTCTGTGAATAGTCCTACTTTAAGATAAAATACATTCTATTGCATTCTTTATATATCTCTCTACCTAGTAATGCTAACTATAAGGTCTAATAGTAAATAGCATAAGAGATCTAGAATGATAGCCTAGCTTGTATCAATTAAAATCTATCTTTACAATGATTACTACTACTAGTTTGTACCCAATAGTTAGTTTAACAGGTTGTATCTATTATGTATTATGAGTAATCTTAAGGTAAGCCAGTCATATTAGTGTTTTGCATTTCTGTTTCAAGAATTTTAACATATTGATTACACAAATCACCAGCATGGATACTGACCTTGCAGGATCGAAGCTTAGAAGCGGTTGTGGGGACTCGAGCGAAGCTGAGCCCTCCGAACATCAAAGAGCACTACATCAGGAGCATCATTCCAACAACAGCGAAGTCATTTCAGATATCATCATTGGGATTGCTGATGGTCTTACTGTTCCTTTCGTCCTCACTGCTGGACTGTCCTCCATTGGATCTCTCAATCTTGTCATCCTTGGCGGCCTTGCTGAGATCTTCGCAGGAGCAATTTCAATGGGTTTAGGTGCCTTCCTGGCCGCAGTCACGGAAGACAAGCACTATCGCATCGAAGAAGCTCGAGAGTGGAGAAAAGTCACCATGTCTCCCCAGGCTGAGGAGAGGGAGATAAATGAGGTGATAGTCGACTATGGGATGGATTGCGAATGCGTTCGGCCAATCTTTGAGAGTCCGATGTCCAAAAAGGACATGTGGGTAAAAGTAGGCTCACCCTCTCCCATAATCAGCTTTAATCGCTCACCTGATCACAGTTTATAATGGATTTCGAGCTAAAGCTCGCAAGACCGAGGACTTGAAGACGTTGGATCTCAGCCCTAAGTATGGGACTCTCTTACCTCCTTGGGGGACCCGTTCCCATGATCCCGTACTTCGTATACAAAGACGTCAATCACGCACTATTCACATCGATCGGGGTCACCATTCTGATTCTTATAAGGTTCGGGTTTCTCAAGGCTGTTGTAATTGGTTGTGCTAGAAGAGATGCTGTCATCCGTTCGTTGCAGACATTGCTCATAGGAGTTCTGGCGGCGGCGACTAATTATGGGATAGTAAGGGGATTCAACCAGATTCGGCCAGTACACTTGTAAATCTAAGGACGGACCCCTCAAGGGCCACTTCTAAGTCTTTGTTACCTTGAATTTCCTCCAAGAACAATATTGACATGGAAGACTACATGCCTGATGCCATTGAGCTTGGCCTCGGCAGGCTCGATCACGCAATTATTGAACATGCTCACCAGGACCTGCCCGGATCTGAACTCACTGGAGCTGTTTAAATCAGATTATTTGGGATTAGACAACTTCCAATCCAGTCCTTCATGTAGAGGTACCCTGAAGAAGCTTATGCACTTCGACCATCATATCCTTGTCGCAGATATGTATGTCTCTCAACAATGCTTTGATTCTATCACCTCCTTTCTGCATGCTGATACCTTTATGCAAAAGGGAAACATTGCGGAAGCCTGAGAAGTAATATCGATAACATAGAAGTGGGAGTCTCTGGCTCGTTGAAAGGATGAATAGTCCCAGAACTAAGGAAGTGTCACTTAGTATCGGAGCTGGCAAGAACTGTATTAGGCGCCGCATAGCCAGTTAGTCCATGCAAGTAGAAAATTGCGAGCCACCTCCATCTTGAGTTGAGCAATGCTGTGGTTGAGGGAGTGTGTCATTCCTTACATGTCATTGGATGACACAGGTACACGCTAGTCAAAGCGGCTTGGCGATTGTAGTAGGCATCACGCTCTGCGAGAACACCTGCTGCCTTGACCCAGGGCGACTTCACAGGGCTCTATGACGTCGATTTCGGCTAGAGGATTACGTTGAATTCGTGCAGCAATGATGCCAGTATCCTCGCTTTCAGTCTGGAAAATCTTAGGACGCCGACTGCATTCTAAGTCGCCGTCCTCGCTCACCCCTGCCTACAGACCAATCGTCGTGGTTGGCACAAGCCTCGCCGAGGCCAATCAAGCCTCTTTTGAATTACTTGTGTAAGCTAAAGGTTGTCAACAAGGCGTTCCGTTCTTGTCAAACCTCTCTTAGCCTTCCTCAGAGGTGCATGCACGCATGAAAACGCTAGACATACTTTGCGATTACGTATGGGGCGATGCAACACACACAGGTCGTCCTGTTTCGTGGTGCTCAGCCCCAAAACGTCGTCGGAATGCCGTAGAACGCGTCAGACGAAACGGAAAGGAGTAAAATTGAAGTTTCATCGCCCAATAACGTCGACGTGATGGTGGATTGCAAAGCATAATAACAACGGCTTTGATTGGTCAACCGGCTGACACGATGTCGAAGGGCATGCTTGACTGACGAGCATATATGTGCTGAAGTCGCCCGGCCTGGTGTGCTTCGTTTCAGACTATTCTAAAATCCGTCATCGTTTTCTTATTGTTTGCCGTTGCGCGATCTCAAAATGCATGTCCAACACAACTTCACATTTACATGCGCCTTGCGTAAGTACACGGAGATCAACTTTGGTTTGATCAAGACTTGAAGAGGATTTATCTAACGCATCCAATCGTCTAGTTTTCTGCATTCTAAGAGCTACTGCCGTTTTATCTCAGGCAACAAGGGCCAACGTCTCGACATTCATCTATCCCACTGACTATGGCAACCTCACATTTGCCTTAAGCGCTACAACTACTGGCAATGTTTACATGCATCTATTGGCACCAGCCGTCTACCAATGGGTAGGCACTGGTATAGGGAGCGAGATGGATGGGAGTGTGATGTTCATCCTATATGAGAGTGCAGACAAAGGCAGTGAGTGCTCGAGCTGCTGTACTACAGCCTGTAAAAGTCGCTCACCTCATTCAAGGCGTAACCCTCTCAACAAGGCTTTCAACCGGTCGTGTCGAGCCAACTTTCAGCAGCGATGTTGATTGCGCGTTGCAAAACAACACAGCATACAACAACAGTATTATCCAGATGGGCGGCACGCGATTCTACTCTGCCAGCATACATTGCAAGAACATCAGTGCATTTGGTGAAAGCGATGGAAAGCTAGACTTGACCAACGCTAAGCAGCCTTTTCTATACGCATGGGGTCCTACCGACGGCTCTATTTCAAGTGCGTCGAAGTCTGCCAGCATCAAGCGACACGCCGCGTACGGCAATTTCTGGATGGATATGACCAAAGCTGCATCTTCGAACCTAGAAGACGTCACGATACCGAGTGACGCTTCACTACTGAGTATACAGAATGCTGGCGCCGACGGACAAGCAGAGCGTGATGGAGACAAGGTCGGACCGGCGCACGCAGCTATCATGCTCGCTGCATTCGTCATCATCTTTCCACTAGGTGCGATCCTGCTGCGCTTTCTTGAGAGCGTCAAAGCGCATTATATTGTTCAAACGATAGGAGTGCTTGCCGCCATCGTTGGGGTTGGCGTCGGAATCTACTTAAGCACAATGTACAACCGCGTAGGTCATTGGCTGATCCTTTTGGCTCTCGCTGACATTAGCTCGCATAGTCAAAAGATATTTCCTCCGGTCATCAAGTCTTCGGACTTGTTCTTTTGGCCTTGTTGTTTGCACAGTGGGCCATCGGGTTCTACCACCATCTTTGCTTTCGAAAATACAAAAGGTCGACAGTGTTTGGCAAGGTGCATCTGTTCGCCGGTCCGGCTGTTGTCCTGGGAGGCATCATCAACGGCTTCACTGGTTTCAACTTCAGCGGCGAGCCACACAACAATGTCTACTACGGTGCTGCAGTGGCTGTTGTCTTCGTTATCGTTCTGGCACTCCTTGGTTGGAAACGATGGTCGAGTAAAAAGACTGAGGGAGACAGGATTTCCAGCGACGAAGAGCTTCATTGTGACTCTTATCAGATGAACGGGGGCCCAAGAAGTACGTACCAGGTGTTTGTGTCATGAGCCATGCAACGGTCCTGTCACCACATTGCTTGCGTTGCATTGTCCTCCCATTGGCGAGTAATAATCTATGAGAGCGTAGAAACTGAAACGGAGTCATCTTACGGAGCTGGTACACATGTGATTGATTGATTGATCGATTGATTGATTGATTGATTGATTGATTGATTGATAATTATTTGCGTCAAAAGGGGCTATTCTACAATAAGCCGGCCTGCCATGGGGCACTGATTGACGTGTGAACAGAGGGGGGAAATCAGGGTTTGCAGCCCCTGGTCCCTTCTAACACAGTTCGCTGTTAAGGGTGCAGTTACTATAAGCAACCAAGTCGTGAGTAGAATCCTCCGCCGGTCGAGAAAAGTACATAGGTTTCTGTGTGCCAGGCTTGGCTGAGTTCAGTGGAAAGAGAGGCAGTTGGTACACATGTGATGTAACGCTGTTGGCAGCCGTGAACAGCGACGTGGGGATGCAGCATGACTACACAAAACTATCAACACGACGCAAAGTCACTTTTTCAATTGGAAGCTCTCTTCTAAATTTGTACAGCGTCATGGCTGATCTTGGACCGACACACTTGGTTACACGGATGAAACGCTAACAGGGATGGATCTCTCCCGCATCGAACCCAACCATTGATTAACCACTTGTTCAATAGCGTGTGAATCCTCCTCCTCTGAAGCCAGCTCCGAGGAGCCAAGTCCACTGTTGTTTGAATCACTTGGGCAGACTGCTCGGCGTTAGTCCTGCAGATCGTAAATTTGAGAGAAACGCACCTTGGATAGTAGAATCAGACGAGAAAGTAGGTGACAGTCTTTCCTCGTGGGAGTTGGTAATCCGAGTCGTTTGTTCGTGAGAAGGACTTCGTCGAGTCCAGAACCGCTTCAGGCGTGACTGTGTAGCAGACTTTTGCTTCCGACACATGGTTCTCGGATAAACAGTGATTGCTGACTCGAAATCTAGGGAAATATCGCAAAAACAAGAGGGATTGTATCAAACCGAACAACTTTCGCTGCTCAACTGGACATCCGGACAATGGGTCCAGCTCTGTATAAAATCCCTAAGTCTACAAAGTTGAGGTAGGCACAATCAGATGCATTGAGATCATTGATGACGCGGTCTGTACTATCCAAGCCACAAAAACATGCTGTTCCTTGATGAGAAAAAGTCCAAGGACGTCACCTGTATGTGTCGCCGACAAGGCTGAACGATGTCTCTGAAAACATTGGTCCATTTGACCAGCTGGCTAAATCGGGTGGTTAGACAGGAATTTTCCACTAGAGGCGATTCTGAACGTGGATCGTGTCCTGCTAGCTGGAACCCAGCGCCGGCCGGAGGCCAACAACACCGACGTCACCTCGCCGATCTTCGTTGGCCCTTTGTCCGTCTTCCCATAAAATCAATCTCAACGCCGAATCGTCTAAGTTTCTGCTGGTCGTTCCTGGGTACGTGGATGTCCCGACACCTCCAACCTGCATCGCTCATCCCATTGGATGCAAATGCTCCTGACCGGCGTTCAATGGATATGTGCGTGATCGGATGAAATCCGGAGGTGAACACACGCATTTCCGATGTCTCGCCCAGTAGATCTTACTCGCTGCGCTCTCATTGCTCGTACGAACAAATAACATCGCGATGCACGTACTGAGCTCAGCTCGGTACTGTGCGTATATCCAGACATAGATTGGCATGTACTTCTTATCCCGGCTGAGCTGTACACGAAAGCCGTTGTGACACGCCTGACGTTATTGCCATGCAGTAAATTGGTAGTGACTCAGGTCTCGCTCACCAGTAGTCTTGGCTCATGATCCGGCAGATTTCCACGGCAAGCGACATGACCTGGCTCGATTGCGGCTTTGTTTCGGAGTTCAAAAAGAGGACAGGCGGATTCGGGAAATGAGAAGAAAATTCGGCGCGGAGTCGGAAGCGGACAGAATCAGAGGCTGTCATGATGAGTGAGTACGGCGCGACACAAGCTTTTATACCACGCGACAAGCATCGGAACTACCCCATTCAAGATGACGAAGGGAAAGCGACATGGCGAAAAGGGCCTTTCTGAACTTCTTATTACAAGAACTAAAGCATTCTTTAAACCTGATATGATGTATATTTACACAAGCCTTGATTGCATATATCTAGATTCTCTAGCATAAAGTAAAAAGATTTAGGTCTTAAGTATGGACTTCCAAGGCGCTAGTTGTTCACACCCTACAAGCTTGACCTAAAGGTATCATTGAGTCCTGCGGCTACTTACACTCTTCGTGTTGCTGTTAGTTGGTATATTGAGGGTACGTTAGCCGTCTATGCCTCTTGCACAGTGTGACTTTGCGCTTCGTGGTCCTGTTAAAGTGCCTGCGGCATAGGCTGGTAGTATAGCTACCGCGGACCTAGATATACTCTTGGACATTGTATCGCGGCTGCGACCTCGTACGGAATTCAATGTCAGTATTACCATAGGTAGGCTTGGTCGAAACAGCTCCGTGCCTATGACTCACAGATCAATGTTGCGCTTCCTCAAACACGGGCGGGTCTGCGTAGCGCCGACAACTTAGGAAGATGTTGAATAACGTGCAACGAAGGCGCAAACCCAGCAGGACCAGAATCACCGGGAACTTAAACTCCTCACTGATGCAGATGTCACCCTGCCGCTATGATTGGCTGTAGAGATGAGTGATTTGTAGAGCAAGGTCGTTGGTGCAAGCTAAGGGCTACCACGCCCAAACCCGATCTAACGGATCCGGTGGTTTTGAGAAATATCACAATTCGACAGTGGCTTGTAATACTGGGACTGCACTTCGCGACTCACGTCTCCTCGCAACAATAGGTTGGCATTTTGTTGGACGATGCCGACTTAGCGAGTATGCGGTAACTCAAAGCCAGATGGTAGATACCTATCACCGCCAGATCCTTCACAAGAGATTGCACCGCGTTTAACTTGTTGCAGCTAGGATTGTGGTTGAAACGAGCGACACAATGCACAGTCTCATATCTCGAACCGTTGCACAGCCTTGTCGTATATGTTGGATCTACGACGCAGCATCTAGTAAGCTGCTACACTGGCTTTCAATGAAGTTGCAAACAAGTGGAGACTAGCCCAAATAGCAGCAGGGTTTACAGCCGAGACGCTCAATTTGCAGCACGTACCCCTTACCTCATAATGTCCTGTTTGGAATATATTTACCGAGCAAAGTATTTCATGGCTCTGTTGCCATCCGATCTATCGCATTTCGACTCATGAATGGAACATACCTTTCACGGATAGGGGAAAAGCAAAAAATCCATGGTCCGCATAAAAGAGCCAAAGATATTACATGTATAGCGGGTATGAACCAGCTATCACTCCTCTCAAGCCTACAGCAAGATGATTATCGGTAGCATACTCGACCTGCTTTCAGTAGTCCAATACTCTCTCTTCATTTACATTGTCTCACTTCCGAACAGTCTGGGTATTGTAGCTGAATTGGTAAACACATCGACACCAGTAAGAAGACAAGATGATCTCGCAGATTTTGGGCAAACAGTACCTATTTCAGGCCGGGTAAGTAGAATTCGGCGTGAATCACTGTCCGTCACTTCGTAGCTAGAGCATCTAATCAGAACGTAGATGGAACGCACGGATTAAGACTTCAAAGACGGTCTAGCCCTCGACCTCTTCTCACCGCGTAATCGCTCACTCGTAGTGCAAAAGAACACGTCCCCACTGCCAGGGAAGTTCGTTAGTAGAAGTACAGACGAGCCCTTTGTCGCTCTGTCCGAATACTCTTGGATCATCAAAGTCAACGACAGTGCACATGGTTTGATTGCTAAGATCGAGCTACCATACGTGCCTGAGGAAGTGCAGCGCAGAGGCTGCGATGTGACCAACACATACGTCGGCACCCTGTCTAACGACGGCAAAAGTTGAATGGTAGACGAGAGTAAGCGGAACGTCCATATGTAAGATCTGAGTCCATGTTAGATCTTGCTTGATTGCGTACTGATTGTGAACTTTTGATCAGGACCGAGAATAAAACCCCTATCATCAAGCTGACATCTCTGGACGGCGAATATATCCTGTTTTGCCGTCAGACAGTCGATACGGCGAACATCTTCGTACAGTACGGCTTTGGTGCTACGCGCAATGTGAACTTGACCGGAGGAACGGGTGTTCAACAGGCAGAGTTTGTGGATGGACTTCGTTTTGGTGTGGAGACAGAAAAAGAGATGCGGATCAATGCAACTTCCCTCAAGATCACAGCCGCTGTGTGGGTCTCTACCGCCGTCCGGATGTACCGGTACTGGAAGCTAACAAGTCTGACTAGATTCATTTGCATGGGCCATAAACAGCAGCGTGCCAGACCAGGAGTTGAAAAACGTTTCTTTACGCTTCCCAGGTAATGATCCCTCTCCCGACCACGTACACTTTTTTCCTTCACTTCTTGGTCTCAATAAGCTGACCAGAGCGCTCTCCATGGCGGCAGTTAATACCGCTCTTCTTCCAGCTCGCAACAGTAGCTCATCTATCAGCTCTCTCAAGCTCATTGTCGCTAGACGCGATCTCAATGCTTCACGTACAGCGTCTTTTAAACCTCTGCAGTGAAGCCAGCGTGAAGTCAATTGTCCGTCTGAGTGTCAGGTAGAGCTATCGAACTTGCAACGACTGGACGGAGAATATGTAATCTTGGTAACGAATGAGGTCAAAGCAAAGCCCAGTGCTGATAAGAATACTGTCCAGGTGCCTTCTTGGCCTTACCTTTTTACTCAAAGGAGCTGGACAGCTGGACCAAGTCCCCTCTGCGCACCTCTGTGTTTGCAGAAAGCGAGATACATACTACCCAAAGCTAAGACTTGCAACTTAACGTTAAAGCAGCCACTAAGTGTTTTCCTTCAAGGTTTTGTAAAACAGATGCACACGCTAGTGTTGTGGAATTTGACCAAGGTGTGTAGAAGATGTAGCCAAGGGTAGGCTATTGTAAGATATACGTCACACGGACCCATAAAGGTTCGCGAATCGAATTGGTTTGAATGTATAAAGCATACTCAGTATGCATTACTCATACTAGAAGATGCTGGATTAAATATCCACGCTTACGCATGCGCAATCTTCTCACGAGGGGAAAGAATTTTGCTTAGTCGCATCAAGACACGCGCCATCAACGTCAGCATTATCTACACGCTTGACTACATCGCCGTTGGATCCCCCAAAACGGATGAGAGTTCCCAAGCTCGTGTCGTTGATCTTTGTTGGGTGCCAGTCAAAAGCCTGTTGCGGGCCTTGGTACGGATCTCTAGCAAAAGCTAGAATGTGATCCTGCATCGAATGGCTGATCTCGATCTGATAATCTGTTGTATTGGCGATGTGCTTCATCAAATCGTACGCTCCGAAGATGAGCGGCGTCTCACTGTTGTGGTACGCGCCTAGCCAGTCGTAGACATTGAGATTGGGAAATTCCGCCGCATACTGGAAACGGAAAACAGGCACATCTGGGTTGACACGGTTACGGTAAGCTGTTGAGTTGAGCGCGGCGCAGGCGGCGAAGCCGATATTGAAGCCATCAACCATGGTCTGGTTGATACCTGCAGATGCCGCGTCTTCTGGCAATGGAAGCAGCGACGAGCCCTCGTTTGAGGTGAAAGAAATCAGAGTCGGTCGGCGGGCAATCTTTCCCTCTTCGGAGAGCCTCCTGTAACCACTCGTACTCCATACAGTCTTGTTGTCCGGCAATGGACCGAAACGAAGCTGACGGTCTGTCGTCACAGCCTCATTGTGCTGCCCGACAAAATTGGTGATTTGAATCTGCGAGACCTGGCGCATGCAGTCTAACTCAGCCGCCGCCTGTTCATCTTCGTCTTTGCAGCTAGCACCACACGGCTGTCCGCACCCGACGTTGCCCGCCACAGAACTGAATATCGCAAATCTATCGCCCTCCGCCGCATCAGAGCTGAAAATTGTTCCAGACTCGAAGTAGTATGACTCGGCGATGGGATCATCATGGTAGGCGTAGGCGTGTATATCAGCAGCAATGCCACCAGCAGAACGACCCCAGTGCATGATCCGTTCGGGATTGCCGCCGAACGCAGCAATGTTGTCACGGACCCATTCGAGAGCGGCTCTCTGGTCTAGAATACCGAGGTTCTGTTCTCCGTCCTTCAAGCCCTGGGCGCTGGGAAAGCCAAAGATGTTGAGACGATAGTTGATGCTCACCACGATGTGCGACTTGGACCGTTCTACCCACGAGCTTGGGATCTGCCAAGGAAGCTCGACACCTCCAAGGCTGAAACCGCCGCCGGTCATGAAGAAGAATACAGGGAGGCCTTCGTTTGGAATGTGACTTGGAGCCCAGATGGCAAGATGCAAACAGTCCTCTGATGTCGCCTCTCCAGCCAGGCCGGATGAATCGTTCTGGCCACCATTATAGACAAGATTGCCACGAGTGAGCTCCGAATTCCAAAAGTCTGGCTTTGCAGGAAAGTATTGTGGGCATGATGGCGGAAATTTGGTGGACCAGCGGTGATCCGTGGGCAACGTGGAGAGTTTTTGAGGTGGCAACCAGCGGCGTGGGCCTGTTGGCGGCTCTGCGAAGGGGATCGCGCGAAATTGACGCGTGTTAGGGAACTCGGGTTCGATGAAGCCCGTAAAGGATCCTGTCAATGTCTGCACTGTGAGTTGAACGCTGGTATTGGAAGAGTATGACGCGCCCCTCACAGCGTCGACCGCGAAGATCAGGACCCAAGGGTTTTTGAACCACATCGGTACGCTTTTACGAAGATGTCGCAGTTAATTTGTAAGAGATCAGGGAGCGCATCCAGCTAATCGAAGTTTTCGGCACTGGTGCGATTGATTGTACGTATTGTATGTAAGTGTAAGTATGAAGCTCGATAATGTACACTGAGGTCATTTCGCGTTAAGGCGGGCAAAGCTCTATTTTTAAATCCGATGCGAATCCTGAACAGAAACACCTGCCAAATACGGGGGGGGCAGTGTGATGTTCTAACAGGGGTTAGTTAAGCACAGCTGACATCGATCAAGTAAGTAGGTCAAGACCTCCAGTAGGATTTAATTGATCGCCCTAATAAGCCTAGCAACAACATTGGATGGATTAAGGTCCAGCCGATTTGGGGAAGTGTAGGTACTCAACTCTCAAATCGACCTGCTTATTGGCCCCTCTGTAGATAAGACAAAGTTGTTCCTTTAATGATCAGCAGAAAGTTACAGAGGCTACTGCGGCACGTTCGAATATATAATTAAGGATGTGTGTCGTTTGTTATGTTCAAGGTGACCGATCGATTGCGTTGTTTGTAGGATTAATGCTCACAGTGGTGTAGAGTCTGCACGGTCTAAACAGTAGACGCTTTCCAATGACTGGTCTTAGGAAGCAAACAAACGGTTCGTGACAGATCAAGTTGTTTAACATTCGACTATTGGACATGAAAAATAAGGCTTCCCACTCGCTCAGCCCTATCTGAGCAACGCACCGTACCCGTGAACCAGTACTTAGGCAGGTTTCAGAAGCATTTAAGGGGTTTTATCATCAGTGCATCAACTCTCCTGCATCCGGGCGGCAACATATATTTATCTAAAGCGGTGGAGGCGCAGCAGCTCCTGCAGCCTTGGCAAGGCAGCATCGTCCTTAGGCCTCCAATGCAAACATTACGAGGGAGCAAATCGTATACGAAGACCAATGCGCGGGGTTCAACATATGTTATATATAAGCCAGGTATCGAGTCACTTTGCCAAATAAAACACTCAGATACTACGCTATGGCTCTCACGTCGCCACCCCTCCACGTCATCTTGAACAGCAGTCTGCTTTTCTTTTCGCTCGCGCTGTTGGCCATATCTCCGGCTGTTCTTTATCTAACAATCCATGGCATACGTTCGATGGACCGTGTGTGGCCTCAGGGCTCCTACACATGGTTTCGCGGGCCGAGCCATGATGTAGACACAAAGCACCAGGTCAACCTCATATACGAGGGTTCAAGCGAACACATGATCATCGCAGCAGCCGCTGCGAGTGCTCTTGCTGGAGTAGTTGGTGTAGCGGGATTCTTCTTGGCGGGAAAGGTAGGTCCAGACCTTATACTCACTTTGCTTTGAAGTCGATCGTCTAACACTAAGATCAGATAGCCAACACCTCCGCCCGGAAACCGACGCTCTTCTTGCAGATTGTTCCAAGCTCCGTATCCTTCATCGTCACTGTTATTGCATTCATCTACACCCAGTCTATCTTCGACACTGATAATATGAGAAAGTGCGACTGGACCCAAGGCTACATCCCTGACATGAACTTTCAGTGCACGCACGAACAAGCAGCTTGTGGGATTGTTGGCTATTTCACGAAGGACACGAAGGACAGCTGGGATACGGCGCGGAAGTGGCGCCAAACTGGAGTCATCTGCCACGAGACACAGACTGGAAGGTACCTAGTGGCTTCGTTGTTTGTTGCAAGCTTGCTCATGTTTGGAATTGCCGTTGGCAAGTTTCTGGTCGAGAAAAGAGAGATGAAGTTCTCTGTGAGCGCGGACGAGAGGGTTGAGAGGTTGGTGGCACAGGAGCAGTAGATGCGAATCCGGCAGGTAGCTAAAACCTTGAGTACCACCAACAATAACTGTTGATACAGGGTTCGTCAAGAGTCGCAAAGAGAAGCAGGAATGAAGGGGTTGAGCGTGCGCTCGATAGGTCATGCTGGAACTGTGTAAACCACAATAACATTGTAACAACAGTCGTAGGAAATAAATAAATTCAGTATCTGATCATCGATGTGCTGGGTCTTCCTGTCGTTTTAGATGAATCGAGTCGACATGCTCCAATTTGCTGCTTCGCGTATCTGTTTTGGATTAGTCTAGCTTTGTCACTTCCTTCTCTCTAAGACCCTTTAGGGCTTTCTGCACGACTTGTAGTCGTCCTACTTGAAGATCCTGCAGGGATAGATCTCTCTCTAGTGCGTTTTGAGGATCTCGTTTGTGATGGCTCACCGCGGGCAGGAACACCGACTGGACTTCGCCTTGCTGCGCGTGCACAAGACTCAGAGCAGATGTGTCATGATATGTTCCAAGGGTCGGCCAGATCAGAGGGCGTGAGCTACTAACACATCTCGAAGAACGGACTCGGCCGTTCAACCTTTGGACATAAACTGTACTGTGCTACCGCCTCTTTTTTCTTCTTTCTTGCTCTTGATCAACGACTTGTTTATTCGATACCCCTAAGATGAACTCTGATTTAGACACGAGCTTCTCCTGTATGCAGTGAAGATTGTCTCCTTTTTCCTACATTAGACTAGCCACTGAGATTATTTCTTTGGGGCTTGCATCAAGCCGGCATACATAGCGCCATACTAAAGCGAGGATCCAGGCGCCTACTGTATCATCTTTGCAATACGGCATTGCCATTAGCAATACACCATTATGCCTTGCTAGGGCTTGGATTAAGCCGATGCTGCATAGATCCATCAAGGCACCACATCGCACATATATTCACATCTTTGATTTCCTCGTCATTAGTAAAGCTGTCAAATTGTCAGTAAAGTTCAGCCATTATGTTCACCTTTCAACATACAGTGACTAATTCCGCCGCCTTAGTACCTTCAAACGGCCCTTTTTGAGCTAAATTCTCAGATCCGCTTAAGCAAAGACCACCGCAGCAAGACACAGAGCTCCTGGGAGCGCCTGGACAAAGAAAATCTTCTTGTTTGCCGTCAGGCCGCCGAAAACACCAGCCACAAAAACACAAGCCGCGAAGAACTGCGCGATCTGAGGCGCAAACTCCGCGCTGGGGTGGACCAGAGACCACAAGAGACCGGCAGCCAGAAATCCATTGTACAAGCCTTGGTTCGCGGCCATGCTCTTGGTTTTGGCGGCAAAGTCGGGCTTGAGCGCGAACGCTCTCAGTCCTGCTGGGGAGGTCCAGAGGAATATCTCCAAGACCATGATATAAACGTGGAGCGCGGCTAGCAGAAAGACGGAACCGGTGGCGAGGAGCGACATCCTGGGCGTGGTATTAAAGTTGGGTGCGGGATTGATTCTGGTAGTTGATGGGTTGTGAGAGTGTGATGTCTTACGATGATGAGAGGGGACATAGAACAGATAGGCGACCTCGGCTAACATAACGCTAGGCTGAACGCATCATCGTATTCATTGGGGCCGTATATAAACTCAGAGGATTCTAAGCAAGCGACCGAAGAAGGGCCTGCTAAGCTGCCGAAGCTGATTAGCTGGCACTTCTCGACCACTTGCTTAGACTCCCTATAGCCTATCTTCGACTAGTCTAATCCTGTCACTTCCAACCTATGACGCGCGTGTACTCAATGCTCAAACTGACTTAATGCCTCTTTTATAGACAAAACAAAGTGATCTCTCTTAAAGAGTGATTATTGTGACATGTCTAAGGCAACTAATCAAATGCGCTATCTTTCAATGCTTGTCGTAGTGAAGAATCTACACAGTAAAGCAGTGGGTGCCATCCAACCAACTGGTCTTAGGAAGCCAACAATTAGTCTTTAGGTAAAACTGTTTAGAAATCTTTCACATTCAAGCATAGGACGTCAGAAGCAAGGCTTCCCGTTCGCTCGGCTCTATTGACGCAACTTACTAGTGGGTTGGCACTCAGGTGGTTACAGAAGCATGTAAGGGGGTCGATTATTAGCGCACCGAGTCTTCTGTATCCGGGCAGCAACCGAGACTCATATTGTCAACGACTTCAGCCCACTTGGGAAAGTGTGTTTGTGCGTATTACATTGGAGATAGGCACTGTTGCTCAGATTTGGTGGATCTTGTCGCTTCAGGAACTATTCTGTCTGTCTAGACCCTCTGATTCCACAGACCTCGATTGGAAGCGCCGACGAGGTCTACCACAGCTTTCTTCTTATGTGCTCCCTACTTGATTGTGCTTAACCCGTTTACATCTAGACATCCAGCAGAGTACAGTCTGGAGGCGGTTTCACGCACGTACAGCTCGCACGACGCACAAGCCCGCCAACCGTCTCTTCCAGACAGATGCTCTACGCGCCGAGGACACTCGTCGGTATTGTGCGCCACTGCCACCTCGATCGTCGGATCAGGAATTATAGTGTAGTCCACAGGCAACACTTCCTCTACGATATCTGACCCCGTAGCCGCCTCCTGTTGTGCAGGAGTGTCGTTGAAGAATACAGCTCCATGCTTCTTCTTTTCCTTACTCGAGCCAGAGAGCCAGCCCCAGTTATCCCAAGATGGGTCTTCTACCACCACAGGCGTAGGTTCGGGAGGAGGAGGGTCTTCAGCGACACATTCAGGTTCAGCCTCAGCCTCAGCCTCAGGTACAGGCTCAACCTCAGGCACAGGAGAGGCAGACGGCAGCGGAGCTTCCGGTGGAACGTAGTCATAAACGGCTTCCTCCACAACTTTCGCGACCCTTTCATTTTCTTTTTCGGCGAGTCTAGCTTCTTCCTTCATCTTCTTCTCCAGTTTCTTCTTTTGCGACTTAGACAAACCCGCAAAGGGATCGCAGACTGCTTCTGTATAGTCTACTTCGGGTATAGCTATGCTCTCCTCATAAGGAGTTTCAAAGGTCGGCGTGGCTTCTGTCTCCGGTTCTTGTTCTGGCACCATTGCTGGCTCTGCTTCTGGCACAAGCTCTGGTGCTGAATGCTTCACAGGCTCTGACCCTACTTCTGGAACTGACCCTACCACTGGCTCCGGCAATGATGCAATGATCCCGGCTGGCTCTGAAGGGATGCCCTTCTTCATTTTCTTCTTCTTCTTTGAAATCGCTGGCAGTTTCGATTCAGCCTCGCACGACTCCTTGGCACCAGGAGAGGCAGTTGTCGTGGATGAATGGCCGTTAGATAGAGCAGTCTTGCTGCGCAACTCCAGATTTTCTTTGTGATAGATACTGACCACCTCTTGTGCCAGGAATCTGGCCAAACTAGAGCTAGCAATGCTTGCGAAGAAACCCATCATCAAAAACGTGTCATCGCTGCTTTTGATAGCAACCTCAACCTTGTGTGTCAGAAAGTCTTGTAGCCATGGAGAGTCGTTGCATAGCGCTATGAATGTGTCCTCACTGATGAGCTGCACAAGCTCCGTGATACTGGCGTTGGTACTGCATTGCTTCATTTCTGTTCTTGCCAACTCTTCTAGGTCACTGAGTTTGTACTTCTTGGCAGCCATGCACACCAGAGCAGCTTTGAGGAGCTCTTTGCTAGCATAGAGGCTTGTGGTAACGTCCTCACCCTCGTCGATCAGGGTTTGGTAGGTTCCGGTGTACAGGAAATGGACGATGACATGACCACTATCTGCATCTACGTCTGGGACATTGGATGCGCTGTCCCAGGGGTCGTGCTCAGATAGTTCCCCTAGGCTCTGTAAGAGTGGTTTGGGGACGTAATAAGTTTGTCGGTCTGGGCCAAAGCGAAGAGCATTCGGTGGAATTGTGTACGGGCTAAAACATACGGCACAGACAGTCAGTCAAGGGTCTCGAGAGACGATCCGATATTGGAGGTACTGACCTCGTCGTTGTTCGTTTGACCGTAGCTTTGGAGACTGTCTTCTTTTTAGCCATGGTCCGTTGATGGCTGGTATTCTCTCGACAGATACCTGTGCGGGAAGCGCTGAACAAATAGAGACGTCCTTTACTCGCGCTACACGGCGCAGTCGGTTCACTGTACTGAGATCCACTCAGATATCAACACGTTTGCCATGCAGGCAGTTTGCGTATGCGCAGACACGATACTGTGCATGATACGTCGTCTAGCCGCGGGAACCCCCGCGCAGGATTCCACAGCCTTGTCACTCATCGCGCGTTGAAGTTGGTATCGTTTTCAAAAAAGGCGCCGATTATGCCGCTCGGCGTGAGCTTGTAGGATTAAAGGTACGGGATTCGTGCGTCTCGAGTGAGGCAACAGCGCGTACCGAACGAGGGTTGTTCGAAATACCAGACCCGCCCCGTAACGCTTCATTATGGAAAACCGTAGTTCTTTAGAACGATGGGTAATTGTAGTTGCTTAGCGATTAATGAAATTCTGTTTGGCTATCGCGACACTTTTTTGGTATTTTAAGCAATGCTATGACCCGTACCACTGGCCATAGGTCTGGTCTCACGACGCTGCAGGCAGTACTCAACTGCTGGTGCAACAATTCTCGTTGCCGTCTCTGCGGCCCCAATACACCATACTCTCCCCCAGCTTCCCAAGGCCGAGATCCCGAGCAACATCCTGGTATCTTGCCCGGGGATATTAGTGACACCGTCTCCAGTACTGTAGGCAAGGTACCAATCAGGATCTCGGTGGAGACCCCGGTAATAAAAGCAGAGAGATCCTGCCATCGGAGTTGACATTGGTGGAGCTGTTCAGTGCACTTAGTGGCTTTAGAAGGCTGGACAATTAATTGCCGCCTAACCCCGTAATATTGTCACAGCGCATCGTACGTGAAGCAAACAGACTGGCTAGCAGAAATAGGGTCAAATTTGATGTACCGACACAAAGCGTCTGGTAATCCTGGATGGACCTAAAGTAATGACCGTCTCTTCCGGCTTCATTCGTGAGCTGTGGAACCGGAACGCTACTATTGCACGTAGTTGGTAATGGTACGCATTGGCCTCGAAGGCTTGTGACCAAGCCTGCTGAAAGAAATGGTAGTGAACTTAGCAAGGCGGCTCTCTCGTAGTGAACAGTGTGCAATATGGTGTAATATATTCTACGAAAAGCCAGGAAGCTGATTACACGGCGGGGTATAAGATGTGCCATTGAAAGGAAAAGAAAAACACAGGAAAAGGATTTTGTATGAGGTGTGGATGCGTGGACGTGCACTCACATCCCGCACTCACATTACACACCTCCACCACCTACGTCTTCGCAATCGCGCCGGGCGCGCTCGGCGCAACACGACCCTGCGTCTGCCCCTGCCCCGCAACAGCCCTGCGACACGCCTCCTGGAAGATTGTGATGAAGCGATGTATATCGAGGAAGCTGTTATACAGCGGCGCCGGCGCGATACGCAATACATCCGGTTTGCGCTCATCCACCACCACGCCCCGCTGCTCAATGAACGCCTGGACCGACTCCAGCAAGCCCGGCTTAAGCAGGACACTGAGCTGGGCGCCGCGCTCGGCGGGGTTGGCGGGGGTGATGATTGTGTAAGGACCAGGGGGGCGCTGGAGGCGCGCTTCGAGGTAGGCCGTGAGGCGAATGCTGCGGGCGCGCAGAGCGGGCATGGAGGTTTGGCTAAAGACGTCGAGGGAGGCGAGGACCGAGGTCATGTCTAGTGCAGACGGGTTCGAGAGCTGGAAGCCGGAGGCGCCGGCGATGGGGACGAAGCGGTTTTCCATGGCGAAGCGGCTGGATTTGTCGCTGCCCCACCAGCCACTGAGGCGGGGACGGTACGTCAGTTGTGTCTCGTTGGCGTTGGCATCTTTTTTGCTGGTGGTGTCACTGGATGCTTTCGCTTTCTTGGCGCCAGCGGCGTCTGAAGTGGTGGCGGATCGTTGTTCGACTTTGCCGTGTGTTTCGTGTACAAAGAGGCCACCGATCACGCCAGGCCCGCCATTCATGTACTTATAGTTGCACCATGCGGCGAAGTCGACGTTCCAGTCATGCAGCTTCAACGGCACATTGCCGACTGCGTGGGCGAGATCCCAGCCGATGGGGATGCCATTGGAGTGGCAGTGGCGTGTTATCAGCTCGATGTCCAGAAACTGGCCCGAGTAGAATTGTATCCCCGGCAGCAGAACCAGGGCGGTTGTGGCAGCGTGCTTCGAGATGACTGAGAGAATATGCTCGGTCGAGAGGTAGGGTGCGGCGGCAGAAGGCGGCTCAATGGTTATGAGGGCGGACGGGTCGAGGTTATGGTGCGCGATCTGGGAGAGGGCGGCGTACTGTGGTGGGTTAGTGGAGTATGAAGAGTGTCGATGCGTGTCTTACATGGTCGCTGGGGAAGGCCTTTCCCTCGATGATGATCTTCCACCGGTCGGCAGTGGGCCGGTAGAAGCTCGACATCAGCAGATGCAGATTCGCCGTCAGCGTCTCCATGACCACGACCTCGCCCGGCAGCGCGCCGACAATCTTGGCCGACTGCTGCTTGGTCGCATCGTCGAGGTGCAGCCATGGTGGCAGACCCCCCTCGTAGTCGGTGAAGTGGCCAAAGACGCCCTTGGAGGCCCAGGTGTCCAGATAGCGGTTCACATAGTCTCTTGTCCTTCGTGGCTGCAGCCCGAGCGAGTTGCCGCAAAAGTAAATCGCCTCTTCGTTGTCGTCCTGCGCCACGGTCTTGGCGCCTTCTCCCGCCTTGCAGAATCCATACTTCTTGTTCTTGAGGTCGCCCTTGGTTGGGATAACGAATTCCTTGCGGAGCTTGCTCAATTCGTCCTTGTTGTCCTCCTGGCGCGCAAAGGCCTCAGAGCATAGCTCGGCGTCAGCTATCGCCTGATAGGGATTCTTGGGCCCTGCAGATGGCATGTCAGCTGCGCGTCCGCGTGAGCGACAGTAGCTGTGCAGCAGCGGGTGCTCGTGAAAGGGAGAATACAAAAACCGCCTGTAGAATACGAGACAGCTCTGAAAATAGCTCGCGGTTTCCCGGATGGGGTGTGCAGAGCGCCGCGGGGCTTGAAGCGGGGCCGTCAACGTTCTGGAATGCTTGGTCAGGCACTCGGCTGCCATTGGGCCGATATCGAACATGACCTCAGACTTGCCATCTGCACCCTCACCACCACCAGTCATGGCTTCGTCGACAGCGTGTACATCCTGCCTGCGCGCAGCGAGAAGAGTAGCGACACACAACACACGGCCCGCGAGCATCACACACAATACAGCGAGAGCATACAGCCGCGCCACCGCCACACCACAGCTCTACCTCGACTTCCTCGCGCCCTGCACCCTGCCGCGTGCCTTGCAGCCAGCACCCGCCTTCAAGAAGAGCTCCCGTCTCGTCTTCACCCCTCAAATACCACGCCGCACACTAGCCACCGCCGCGACACCCGTCGCCCCTTCTGCCTCCACGCCCGCCCGCGCCATCCTGCACCCACGCACCGACTCCACTGGCGCACCCCTCCTGCTCTCCATCTCGCCACGCGCCAGCGCCCGCCTCTCCACCATCGCGCAGAAAGACAACAACCCACAGTCCGCACTGCGCGTCAGCATCGAGTCCGGCGGCTGCCACGGCTTCCAGTACACGCTCGCTCTCACCGATCTCACCAAAGAACCGCCGACAGACGAAGACACGGTGTTCGAGGGCGCCAAGGGCGAGAAGCTGGTTGTGGACGAGGCGTCGCTGGAGATGCTGAATGGCAGCACGGTGGATTACACGATGGAGCTGATTGGCAGCCAGTTCAAGATTACGGGGATTCCGGGCGCGACGAGCGGGTGTGGGTGTGGGACGAGTTTCGACATCAAGTTCGATTAGGGGGTGTATACAATGGATGTGCGTTTGGGGTTGTACGAAGCGAAGCCGGCACTGTGTTACATATTGGAGGAGGGGGGCTCACGCAACTTTGTTGATTGTGCATATCAAGCGAACAAGCGAAGCGCAAGATCGGTGTACAAAATTGTATCATATCATGACGATAAATGACCCGTTCATCTAGACTCTCTAATCAGAGCGCAGCGATCTAAGAAAGCAGTCTACGTGCACTCACCAGCGCCACCCACCGCATCACCACCATTCACCAGCAGCGCGGTCCTCACACCCACCCAACCGTCCAACTTCCCCCGCCAACCCCGCGCGCTCATCAATCAGCATCATTCGTGCTCATCGATTTCCACCTCGCGCGCCAATTTTCGCCTGAGGCAACTCTCGCGACCTCCGCATCGGGAAGGTCTACACGCGGCGATCGCGGTGATCAGTGATGTAATTCCCGGGGTAAACGTGTTGAGATGCGGGGGTGTTGTGTCGAAGTACAGCTGCATGTGAAGGTCAAAGGCTATGAGATTGTGTTATTATGGTGCTGCCAGGGTGGTGTGAGGTTCGTGGAAGGGTGGGGTGCAAGTTGCAGCAAGGGTCAAGGATGTGAAGGTGCTGGTAGAGCAGACACGACAGTCACGGTGGTGAGAGGACATGTGAATACTGTACAATGTGAACATTGTGAAGCAGCTCAATTGCCCGCAGGCCTACATCGAAGTCATCGACTCATGGTATCGCTAAAACAAACCCAACGCCAATTTTCATCAATACATGCACATCTAAGCCTTGATCTCGCCACCGTCGGTCTCCTGCGGCCACACGTTGTAGCCAAAGGTATCCTTCATGTTGACGAAGCGTGTGTGCCTGCCCTCGGCGACCTTCTGCACGGCCTCGAAGTCCTCCTGGCTCAGCTCCGGAATCTGCCAGTTCGACTCGATGCGGCTGGCCGTCGAGCTCTTGGGCAGCACGACGTACCCGCGCTGCAGACCCCACGCCAGCAGCACCTGCGCGAGGTCATGGCCGCTGCGCTTGGCCACCTCGTTGAGTGTGGCGTTCTGGCGCACTGTCTCACCGGTGCTGGGCACCTGGTTCTGGGAGCCGAGCGGCGAGTAGGCGGCGGGCAGGATGTTGTTTGTGAGGCAGAACTGGACGAGCTCCTCGTTGGGGAGGAAGGGGTGGATCTCGATCTGGTTGACGTGCGGCTTGACCTCGGCGAGTTTGAGCAGCGTCTGCAGACCCTCGACGGTCCAGTTCGAGACGCCGATGGCGTGCGCGCTGCCGGACTTGTAGAGGGCCTCCATGGCGCGCCAGGTGGGCTCAGGGTTCGCGGTCAGGTCGGTCTTGATGACGTATTTGCCGTCGCTGCCGATCTTGGGCATGTATTCGTCGTTCTTCTCGGCGGCGATAGGCCAGTGCACCAGGAAGAGATCAATGTAGTCCATCTGCAGCTTCGCGAGCGAGCTGTTGAAGGACCACTTGACCTCCTCGGGCTCGTGGAGGTGGTTCCAGACCTTTGTGCAGATGAACAGGTCCTTGCGGGTGACGCTGGGGTTGGCCTTCAGGAAGTCGCGGACGGCATCACCGACCTCTTCTTCGTTCTGGTAGAACCACGCGCAGTCGAGGTGGCGGTAGCCGACCTCGAGGGCCTTGGTGACTGCCTTGTATGTCTCGCCCTTGGAGCCTTCGTTGGCGAATGTGCCAAAGCCCACGGCGGGGATCTCGACGCCGTTGGACAGCTTGTACGTCTTGTTGTTCTGGAGACCCATTGTGATGGTTGTGTTCTAAAGCCTGAGTGATAGATGTGTATGAAGTTACTACTTCCTGGAGATAATACGATAGTATGGTATAGATGAGATGCCCCGCGACTCACGGCCCTGTTGGTACATATACGCAGCCAGCTTCGCCATGGCCGCCTCTAGCAAACTCTGCTCCGCGATGCTCGACCAGCGTTGCATCACCGCTCTCCCAACCTCATCACCGCAGCCAGTGAGCGATCCCGATCGCTTCTCGTACCAGCTCCATCGTTAGGCCCAGAAATTCCACAGTTGCCCCATCCAACAAATTCCAACAGTTTCAAAGCGTGCTCGCATTGTGTCGGCCATCAGCAGCATGACGTAGAAGTGGGCTCAGGGTCCACCGCGCGGGCCGACCGTGACATGGCGTCGATGAGCTTCGAGAAGTTTGCGTCGAGCGTTGCAGCGTCGTCTGTGCGGCTCTGCGAAGCCGGCAGACCGGCCGCATAAGGCGAACCAGCATGTCGATCGCTCAGGAACGGCATGCCATTTGCTGCTGCGATGGCGTCTCGTTTAACTCGGCGAGCCGCGCTTACCACATGCATCGGGCCCCACCCGACGTCACTGCCGAAAGTTGCAGCGAGCTCTGCGCTTGGCCGCAGCGAGCACCAGGACCATCGCTGAGACCGAACCAAGCATCACTTGCAGCGTTATCCACAGCTTATCGACCTGTAGGTGACAGGCACCACGCTGGTGCATGCGAGTGCTGGCTGCTCGAACAGCGGTAAGCGGTCTGCGTCGGCAGCCTTGCCTTGCCGGCCGCGCTGGAGTCCGGTGAAATGGGGCTCGTTGCATCTCCCGCTGTTGAGGCTCTTCTTCGGCGATATTCTATACAGGTAACCTCTGGCTCGCGTTGAGTGTTGTGGCGACTCACGACCTCCCTTTGTTATCAGTCTCCAGTTTTTCTGCCAAACGGTCCAAACTGCACCATGACGGTATCCAGTTTCTATTCTCTAGCAGTGAAGTTTTCGCACTAGCGTAGCCCCGGAGCCTTTTTGCGAGCGAGTGATGATGTCGCATTGTGGGTACGCAGGTACTTGTTGGTGTTTCGTGCGGTGTACGACTCGGCGACGCTCGGAATGGTTGAGGAAAAGTGTGTGAAGGGCTGACATGTGTTCGGTGCACTGATGATGGCATCCGGGGGATGGGGCTCGTCTACGACATCTGAACGATATATATGGCGGGACCAGGACCCTGAATAATGCTCACTTCCATCACTCATCATCAACTCTCTTTCAAAGATCAGCATACTTAGAGCTTCTGAGAAGCCTTTTACCTGAATCCACACCCACATACCATAGTCACAACCATCAACATGTCTCAGATCAACGACAACGAGCTCAAGGCCTCTCTTGCCGTCCCCGGCGAGGCTGTCCAGCAGGGCGGCGCCAACTCCATCGAGGTGCCCGCAACAAGGAGCGCCACCGCCGATGCTCAGAAATACATGCACAACCTGTCTCTCTCGCCCTCGATGAAGGACAGGAGGGGGTCGAGGAACTCTTTCGGTACCTCTCTGCCCATTCCTCGCTCGAAGAGGCAGTCGAGGTTGAGCTCCGTCCACTACCCCGGCGGTGCTGCTCAGCGCCCTGGCATGCCCCCGATCCAGCCTTCCCGCGACATCATTGCCGCCCAGCTTCAGGACCTTGCTGGCGAGAAGGTCAACAAGGCCAAGGACATGGCCTTCGTCTTCGATATCGATGGTGTCCTCGTCCACGGTGACCGTCTGATCCCCGAGGGCAAGCGCACTCTTGAGATCCTGAACGGAGACAACGAGCTTGGTATCAAGATCCCCCACATCTTCTTGACCAACGGCTCCGGAAAGCTCGAGGGCCCCCGCTGCGAGCAGCTCTCCAAGATCCTCGGCAACCCTATCTCCACCGACCAGTTCATCCAGTCCCACACTCCCATGCGTGCTCTTGCCGACTACTACGAGACCGTTCTCGTCGTCGGTGGTGAGGGCTACAAGTGCCGCGAGGTCGCTCAGGAGTACGGCTTCAAGAACATCGTCGTCCCCAACGACATCATCGCCTGGGACCCCACTATCGCTCCCTACCGCGTCTTCACCGACGAGGAGCGCGCCACCTCCAACCCCCGCGACTTCTCCAAGATCAACATCGACGCCATCATGGTCTTCTCCGACTCCCGCGACTACGCCACCGACATGCAGATCATCATGGACCTGCTCCAGTCCGAGAACGGCCGCTTCGGAACCCGCGCCAAGGACCCCGTCTCGCAGCGCATCCCCATCTACTTCTCGCAGGGCGATCTCCTGTGCCCGACCGAGCACCCCTTCCCCCGCATGTCGCAGGGCGCATTCCGCATTGGCCTCGAGGCCATGTACAAGGCGCTGACCGGCGCAGACCTCGAGCGTGTCGTGTACGGCAAGCCCGAGCTGGCGACCTACAAGTACGCCGACGAGGTGATCGCGTCCTGGATGGACGAGATCCACAGCGAGGAGCGCCTGCCCAAGAACATCTACATGATTGGCGACAACCCGGCGTCCGACATCATTGGCGGCAACATGTACGGCTGGAACACGTGCCTGGTGCGCACGGGTGTGTTCCAGGGCGGCGACAACGACGAGAACAACCCCGCGTCGTTCGGCGTGTTCCCCAACGTGCTCGAGGCCATCAAGACGGCGATCCAGAAGGAGATTGGCGCCGAGTTCAAGTTCGAGTTCAACGAGAGCATCAACCCCGTCACTGGCAGCGCTGGCGTCTCTGCGATCGAGTAAATCGGCTTCGAGATGGAAGCGAGCGAGTGAGCGAGCCTCAGAAGACGAGATTTCCAGCATTTCACGGCGTTTTTGGGACGGATCCGGTGGATATCCTGCATAGCGAGTTGCTTGCATACTAGATCTACGAATTTTCTTTCCTACAGCTATCCTTAGAATCGAAAAGCACATTTACTTTACTTACTTCAAACACTCCTTGCCTTTGCCAGTGATACTCACATCCACATTCACATATTCACATTCACGGTCCTCGAAATACTCACCGCGGCGCTCATCGCCTGCACCTAGGTAGCACACCAGCCCATCGATCCACCCTCACCCCACTCCCTCGCATCCCCCAATCCTCCAACCTACCTTATCCAGCAAGTTCCCTCTCCCCCAGAAACCCCCGTCGAACACTGCGCAACCTCGCTGCCCGCATCGAGCCACCTCAGCGCCCGTATCAGGAACGTGTGTGCGCACGGGCCCTGTCGTGTTCGTGGGCCCGGGTGCGGCGGATTGGATTGGATGGGTGCGGCGGATTGGATTGGGTGCGGCGGATTGGATTGGGTGCGGCGGCGGATTGGGGTTACTTCGACCGGTAAGCGCTGCCGGACATGCATACCTACTGGGTATGTACATAGTACTGTTAGGTGCGAAGGGGATGTGCGCGCTCTGGGGCCGGAGTGTGGGACGGAGGGGTTCGGTGGACTAAGGTTGCTGCGGGTATGCGGTACAAGCAGGCGGGTGCACGAGTTTTGGGGTTGTTCTAGGTAGGTACATGGGTAGTCGGGTCTGCTCGCGCGTGTGTCTCGGCGTGCTGGCCGGACTTGCTGCGTGGGGAGTTTGGTTCATTCGCGAGGCGTGGAGTGCAGTGCAGCAATACCTACGATACCTACTGTGTCCGTCTCCAGAGGTGCAAGCCGCAGCGATCGGCCTCCCCACCACCCCGCGCCCACCCCACCACGCACCCGTCACCCGTCAACTGTCAACCACCACCCACACAACCACTCCCTCACCACCGCCAAAATGATAACCGGCATCCACCACATCAACCTCGTCGTCCCCCCCCACACCCTCCCCGCCGCAACCGCCTTCTACGCACACACCCTAGGCCTGACCCCGCGCCCCGTCCCCGCCCTGCAGCGCACGACGCTCGCATGGTTCGACATCGGCAGCAGCGGGCAGCAGGTGCACATTGCGTTTGGGCAGCCGAGCGACTTCGCGGCGCCGTCGTCACAGCACCCGTGTTTCCGCGTGGCCAGTGCGGAGGCGCTGGAGCAGCTGCGCGAGGCGGTTTGGAAGCACTTTGAGAGGGGCGGCGAGGGGGCGCCGAGTGCGGCGGATAGGCCGGGGGCGGAGGCGAGTGGGGCCAAGGGGGTGGAGTATCCGACGCGGTTTTTTGCTAGGTGAGTCTGTGTGTGAATGGGGGGTGGACGGGGTTGACGGTGTAGGGACTATGCGGGGAATCGGTTGGAGTTTACGTTGTGAGGGGGGTGGAGATGAGGTTGAGGTTTTGGATTGGGTCTATGGTAGGATGGCGAGCGTGCGGCTCCAGGGTGGAAGACCCGTGTCAGGCTACGACGTGCTGGTGCATGGCGGAAGGACTCTGAGCGCTCATTGCGGGTTCGCGGGTTCGCACTCCATCAGCCGGCCTCGATTGTTTGTGGGCGGTGCGAAGGGCGAGGGGCAAGACTGTGTTCCGCCAGAAGGATAAGTGAACGTTGGCACTTGCGCTGTGGCATCACAAGCAGACGTCGACAGCTGTCTAGCGATGTACTATTTAAGTATCTGTGGTCGCTCGATAATGCAGCTAAGCCGAGGTGTACGTGACGAGATGGTTGGTAGCTTAGTTGGCCGACACTCGGAGGGTCGCGACTCAGTCTTGAAGCAGGCAAGCTGGTCGCTGAAGGGTTTCACAAAAGTATCCTTTGCTGCTTGCAAGTTGGACTAATCGTGCTCGCTGTACGGAACGACATGTGCGAGCCGACCCCCGTTACGCGTGGGCAGCGGTACCTCTTAATGCTTAGTTGAGTGGTGATCTACAGCACAAAGCAAGGGCATTGTTATGTGGCAGCTCCAGGGAAGACTAGATTACGCCGGCACAAGACTGTCTAGCAGCTCGATGATCTTCTCTTCCTCTATTCGTGCCCTTTCAATCCAGCTCCGGCGGTCAACGACTGCTGTGGGTGCAGTAGGCAGGTCTGGCAAGACAAGATCGGGGAAGTGCAGCTTGGTAAACGACATTACTGCCTGGGCATCTGCGTACCGCTCTTCTGCAAGCAGCTGGTGTGCAACGCCCAAGGCAAGTTGCACAATGAAGCGTCGCTGACCTACCGGGGCGTTCGCAAAGATTACAGCACCAGCGCGGTCTTGGATGAACTGCAGTCCTGGCGTGGCGGACGCCCTGGTCGGATGGTGAAGCCACAATATGGACTCGACGGACTGCATATCGTTGTCAGGGTTCCAGAGTTTGGCAGACTGCTGGAATGATTGGTAGAGATTGCAGCTGATCGACTCAGTGGGGCTCGACACAATCGCATGTAAGAGGTACCGCCCAGCATGCCACAGTGATTTATATTTATTGTCGAATGTTTTGCCTTCTTCGAGTCTGGCGACAGCGCGTTTGAATAGCAAGAGGCCTCGGCTTAGACTGTGGGTGGTCTCAGCATGTACCATGTGCGTTAGAAGTTGCCTCTTGAACAGAGGTGTTTTAGAGGGACCCAGACTTTGAAGCCCCGGACGAAGAAACCACTTCCAAAGAAGTCTCTCCTCACCGTTGTCGATTAGCATGGTCACGAGACGGGAGAAGAAGGTATGATGGTGGCTACTGGACTGGGGCGTGAGGATCCAGCGCGGTGCGCGGCATGGTTGGCGGCGGCGGTGGCTCACGTGCGCAGTGGCTGTGAGGGGTGGCCCCGGGGGATACGGTGGCTGTGAGGAGTGGGATGCGCGGTGGCTGCGAGGTGTGGGCTCGTCGAGGAGCGGAGTGGCTAGGCCGTGGTGCTGGTGTGGACCGCTGCCCCACGTGATGCAGCGTCGAGCAAGCAAGCAGCAGAACGGGCGGCTCGCAGCCAACGCAGCAGCTGCAGAGGCCGTGTGCAGCGCGTGTGCCCTGGGCTGGCTGCTCTGGCTGCTCTGGCCGCTGGGCTGCTGGGCTGCCGGGCCCCTCGCAGCGACGCGCGCCCGGTCCGCTGACGCCATTGGTCGGCGCCAAGCAAGCGACGACTAAACGAGAGCTCGCAGTGCAGCGCCGACTTTACTCCCCCATACCACCGCTCGCACCACACCCGCTCTACTGCCCGCCCACACCACCACACGCGTCGACAGCGGCCGCCCCACACACACACAGCTCACATGTCTGAAGCACCCAGCAGGCCTGCGCGAGGCAGGACGACAGCCCGCGGCGGCGGCCGAGGAGGAGGCTACGGCTCGCGAGGCGCGCGGAACACCAACGGCGACGGCGCGTCCAAGACGGACACATCGGCGGAGCAGGGCGAGCTGGCCGAGCTGAAGAAGCGCTACTCGTCGCAATTGACCACACTGAAGGAGCTGTTCCCCGACTGGTCTGACGCCGATCTGGTGCTTGCCATCGAGGAGGCCGACGGCGACCTGGAGCGGACCATCGAGCGCATCAGCGAGGGTGAGCCTGCTCTGTCCACCGGTCCCGTGACGCGCGAAGCTAACACCCTGCAGGCGCCGTGTCGCAGTTCAGCGAAGTCCCCAAGAAGGCCAAGGACCGATCGCGCTCCAAAGCAACAAAGGAGAACCTCGCCCCCACAGACCTGTCCGCCGCCCGCGGCATACGCGGCGACGCCCCCCGACGCGGCCTGGACAGCAGCCGTGGTCGCGGCCGCGGCACCGACCGAGGCCGTGGTGGCCTGCGCGGCGGACGTGCAGGCGCGACCCAAGCACCCCGCACTGCATCGACATCGGTGCCCACGAACGAGTCTCCGGCCTGGGACACGCCCGCCGCCGAGCCTGGCGCTTGGGACGCGAAGCCGACGCCCGACGCCGCGGCCGGTGCCTGGGGCGCGAAGCCAGACACGCCTGCCGAGGCGCAGAAGGACGCAGTGCCGGGCACCGTGTCCGAGGTGCTGCACGACCCGAAAGAGGCCATCAAGCACCCGGTCACCGCTGCGAAGAAGACGTGGGCCAGCATGTTCGCGAAGCCCGCAGAGCCTACCCCGCCCAAGCCTGCACCCAAGGCTGCTGAGCCGCCCAAAGAGCCCGCGCCCGCGCCCGCCGAGCCACCTGCTGCCCCCGTCGCACAGGATGCTGCCGTCCCCGCCGACACCCCGCCCAGCCCCCCGCCCGTAGACGACGTCGAAGAGCCGACCATCATCGCCGACGACACCACCGCCGCCCCCGAGAAGCCCGCCGAGCCTGTCGCCGAGGCTACCATCACACCGTCCAAGGACGAGCTCACGAAGGAGAATGTCGAACACCTGCCAGACGTGTCGCACCCGCCGCCCACAGAGACTGCCTTCAGCACCGTCGCGAGCTCCAAGGACGTTGGAAGCGCCGTAGCCACCCCACTAAGCACATCGGGCCAGGCCCCCATCGGCCGTCCCGCGGTTGGAGGATTCGCCACAACCGCCCTCAAGGCAACCGCAGGAACACCGAACCGCAGTGCCAGCTTCCAGCGGAGGCTTCAGGAGCAACAGGAGGCCGTCGTCATGCCTGGAAACCACGCTGTGGACAGGGCCGCCGTGCAGTTCGGCAGCCTGGGTCTCGGTGGCGAGGAGGACGTCGATGAGGACAGGGAGGAGGCAGAGACCAGGACTCAGCCCCCACAGCACTCACCAGTCGCGCAGCCCAGGGCCTCGCTGCCCCCTGCGCCCCGCCAGGCTCCTAACGTCGAGCAATCAGAGCCCGAGCAAGCTGTTCCTACACCGAAGCCGGCCCCAGGCCTGCCTCCCGTGCCTCAACAGCAGCAACAACAGCAACAGCAGCAGCAGCCGCAGCCGTTGTCTCAGCAATCGCCGTCCAATCCTCTTGCGTCGCAGGCGATGCAGAACCAGGGCTCGCAATCTAGCCAGCCCTACAACCAGTTCGGCCGCTACAACCAGCAGTCCGAGTCCGCTGCGGCGCCTTCCCAGAAGCCGTACGACCCATTCGGCCAGCAGATCCCGTCTTCGTCGAACCAGTACGACTACCCCGGTCAGCAAAGCCAGGCCCAGTCACAGCCCGGCGCGTTCTCTTCTGCGCCCGACAACTACTCTTCACACTACCTTACCTCGGAGCAACAGCGAAATGCGTACCAGCAGTACTACCAGAACTACGGCCAGCAGACGCCCAGCCAGCAGGAGGCCGGCTCTGCTCAGCAGCGTACCGGTAGCGGCTTCGGCTCCGGGCCCCAGGACTCCTTCTCTCAGGGTCAGCAAACTCGTTACGGAGAAGCGTCCAACAGCGGACACAACACCCCCAACCCTGGTGCCGCCAGCCAGCTTCCCTCCGGTCCCGCTTCGCAGGGCCAACACCAGGGCCACAGTCAGCAGTCGCAGCACGGCGGCTACCCGTACAACCACCCATACTACGGCAGCCCCTACTACGCCAACTACATGAACCAGTTCGGAGGCTACGGCCAGCAGCAGGGCTACGGCAGCTTCGGCAAGGGCATGTACGGTCAGCCCCACCACTATGGAATGTCTCCTCAGGCTTCCTACGACCAGCACTCCTCCTCCCCGGCTAATGCTGGAGGCTTCGGCGCTTCTTCCAACGAACGCGGAAGTGGCTTTGGCGGTCTCGGCGACTACGGCCGTTCGGCTTCCGGCATGGGCCAGAACCACAGCGCCACATCTGGCTCTGCTGGATTTGGAGGTCTCCCTGATGCATTCAGCCGACCTGGCTACGCAGGTCAGGGCTCATACGGTCAGCAGCAGAGCGGCCAACAGGCCGGTGACGACTCATTGAAGGGCTTTGGTGACTCCAAGAGCACTGGTCCCAGCCAGTCCGCACTGGGAGCTCAGCAAGGCCGTCCTGGATCCGCCACTCAGGGCACCCCTAGCCAGAGCGCACAGGGCCTGCACCAGCAGCAGTCTCACCAGCAGGGCTTCGGCGGATATCCCAGCCACCTGGGCGGAAACAGCCAGTACGGTGGACTCGGTGGACTTGGTCACCAGCAAGGCGGTAACCAGCAGAGCGGCTACGGCAACTACGGTGGTTTCGGCGGCGGCTACGGCGGCGGAAACTACAACAGCCGTGGTGGCTGGGGTACCAACTATGGCCAGCACTAGGTGGCCTGCCGTACCGGCTTACTTGATCGTCTCTTGGCAACTGGGTGCCTGGAGGGAGACCGTTGGAGATTCTAGGTGCGGCTCCATGTCACCTGTCTCAAGATCAAGTTGGAGGAGCTTGCACGAGAAGGATACCAAGTCCATCAGTATCATGAGGAGAATACTGATTCGGCGAGGGGACCATCCTTTTCCCCTGATTGACGACGGGCACGAAAAGCATGTCTTTGATATTGCACGCTTTTGCTAGGCCACGACCATTGTATTATGAAATTTCCTCTTTCCTCCTCTCTCTTCGTTTATTCGCTCCTCTCATGCATCCTGTCACTTTTGGTGTGTTCTCCGCATCGTTTTCGTTGTGCGCGAAAGGGGGCGTTCAGACCACTGGTGTCCACCGCGGCCGGAGGGTTCAAACTCTAAAAATCTTGTTCCTGTTAGTCTTTTGTGTAGTATCGGTACAGGTATCTAGCTAGGAGAGCGGCTTGGTACAGGCTCTCTGGAGTTGGGGCAGCTGGCAGCTTGACAAAAGCGCGAATCAATGGAGTTGATTGTCTTGGGGATATGATATGTATTGATGAGGCGCGCTTTGAGTGATGTTGCGTGTGGAGTCGTGTCTGCACGTGAGCAGCCGTAGCACGAACCTGATGATACATCTGAGGACTTCAACAACACACAGATGCACCCACCAGCTACTATTCGCCAACCCAGTACTTCCCACGGCTTCGAGCACACAAACCCTCAATCCTCACCAACAACAATTTCGACAGGGGTCTCACCACTAACGCCTCGTCTCGCAACGAGACGCAGGTACGTACCAACCCCGGCCGAGAAAACGGCACTCTGCATCTCACTCCCATCTCATTGGCCACACCCTGTGCCCTGATTCGACGTGCCCGGACGTCCATCCTCGTTCGCTAGCAGAGCCTTTCGGACACGCCAGGATCGCGCAGACTTCACTTCATGGCTGTTAGCCTGCGCCTGGGGGTTTTCGCGAGCGCGTTGAGTCAAGGTCGCCGGCGGCGCGGGTTGTCGACCAACTGCGGCGCGAGATACCAACGGCGACGCAAGATATCAACCAACAGCGATGCAGGCTTTCGCGCTACTGGCGTTGATATCGACGTCCTCAGCGCACGGTTGGTGTTGCATGAGGTCGCTATTGCGCGACATTCTCGCTTCTGAAAGCGAGGATTGCTGATGAGTGAACAGCCTCGCGTCAGCAAGCGGGTTTTGAGTAAGTTGATTGGTTTGCTGCCGAGGGATTGTGCAACACTTTGCTTTATGTTTCGCTCGCTGACGAATTGTCGCGGAGACTTCACTACTTCGCCTATCCTTCCGCGCCCGATGAAGGTTGAGTCCAAGGATGCTCCAAAACGTCATGCCCACTATAATCGAGCAGGAGCCACTCTAGACCGCTTCGAGATTACCTTCTCCGAACTTGGCCCGAAAAAGCATGGCGCAATCGGCAGGCATCATGGTCATCATGAATATTCCGGGAAACGCTCTGATAAGCGCACCATGATGGACTCCCAGGTCGCGCTGCCCTGGTCGCGCGTTAAAGGTCGCGTCGAGCCCGCACCTCGGCTGACTTTCGCCGAAAATTTATTCAGGTTCTTTGTGCTGTGTTGCGTTGTCACTGTCTTGCTCGCTTGAATGTAGTATAACAAGTCCAAAACACCAGTATCGCGAATCGAAGCAAGGGCACGCGTGAGAGACTATAAGAGACCTCAATTGAAGAGTTGCAGACGTTCGGCAGTGTGATTGAGCTTCACAGCGACAGACTACACACCAAATGGACACGCACTCCCAGATGGCACATAGAATGGCCGCACCAAGCGGCCCAGCAGATGACGGACTACCAGCCTCACCTCTCCTCCGCCTACCCATGGAAATCCGCCTCATGATATACGAATTCATGCTGCTCCCCTCCTCGCAGCCCTGCACAGCCCACTCCACCTCCGTCGCCAACCTGCGCCCCGACTTCCACACCTACCTCTCCCCGGACACCAACCCCGACCCCTTCACCCTCAGCATCCGCACCATCGACCCCTGGCTCGGCGCCCAAGCAAACCGCACCTGGCGCCGCCGCAGCACCTACCACGTCCGCACCGGTACGTTCCCCCACTACACCGCGCCCTTCGCAAACCCCTACTCATCGCGCATCCAAGGCCCCTTCCTGACCACCACCACCCCGACCACGTACCGCGTGCTGCTCTCGCCGTACACCGCGCACCTGCGCACAACAGTCCCGTCGCTGCTAGCCCTGAACCGCCAGATCCACGCCGAGGCCGCGAAGGTGCTGTACTCGAGCTACACCTGGGCGTTCCACACCTCGATCGAGGCCGCGGTGCCGTTCCTGTCGGACCTGACGCCCGCAGCGCTGAGCGCCGTTGCGCGCCTCAGTCTGACCAAGAAGCCGCTGCCGTACACCAAGGAATTCGACCGCGCGGAGTGGGCGCATTTGTGCGCGTTCCTGGCCGCCGCGACGACTCCACAACCCGCAGCCACGACCCCGAACTCCGCGCGCCAATCCGAGACAGAGCACCCGGCAATGTGCCTCTCCCACATCGACCTGCACCTCGCCACCGCCCGCCCCTCCCCCAGCAGCCCCCCCATCACAGCCCCAACCGCCGCCGACTACGCCACCATGCAGCGCCTGAAACAGCAATGGGGCGGGGGCGGCGGCGTGGACCTCGAGTGGGCAGAGCAGCTGATGGCGGTGCGCGGGCTGCGCAGCGTGGGCGTGCGGGGCGTGGCGGAGCACTGTGCGCCGCCGGTGAGCGAGGCGTTGGCGTTTTGGGTCGCGTTTAGTCGGAGTGTGGAGGAGGGGGGGTTTGGGGAGTGGGTTAGGGGGGGATTGGGGGTGTTGTAGGCGGGAGGGTGGGTGGTTGGAGGGCGGTGAGGAGTCGGAGGGCTGAGGCGTTGGGTGATTTGGAGCGGAGGTTGAGGGTTTGGGTAATCTGAAGCGAGGGCTGAGGAGGGGTGATGGGGGTAGGGGTAAGCGGCGCGGGTCGCATTGTTCGGGAGCGAAAAGGTGCATTTAGCATGGCGTTGATCGTTTGTGTAGAGTTTCCGTATGGTTAATCTGGTAATGTGGTATCTTAGCTTGACCTCGCCTGTTACATGAGACGTGATCGATACAGCTGACGGTGAGGCATGATCAACATAGATACATAGATACGAGCAGACGACAGAGGAGAAGACCAACAATTCATGTCTCTTTGATAGAAGGAAGCTTCGTATTCAAAACATAGCGCACTACATACCCAACCCATCCAAACGCCCGCTGAATCCAACCACAAAACCCCCTCACTTCAGCGCAAACCCAAACAAACTATCCATCTGCACCCACTGCCTTCCATTCCGCTCCAACCATGCTCCCACAACTCCCGCCAGCGTCCCACACCTCTCGCGGTTGAACTCCGCCATTACTTTGGCCTTATTTTCCTCCTCACCCCCGGATCCTCCCTTGCCAACGCGCTCCACATCAAAGAGCGCCTGGAAATACAGCAACTGGTTCCACACATCCCTTTCGCCGATGCGCCAGCGCATGCGCCCGCGGCAATCCCTTGCCAGTCCTTTGGGTCCGAGACAGCGCGAGCCGTACACGGACAGCGAGCGCGTGTGTAGCGCGCACGCGGGGTCGTCGCATACGACGACGCCTTCGTGGTAGGCGGCGAGGAGCTGGCGAATCTGGGCCTCGAGCTGGGCGACGGCGGAGAGCGTGGGGAGTGTTGCGGCACACGCGGGGTCTGGGCAGGCGAGGCCGGCGTGTGTGAGGGGAGCGCGGGGGCTTGCGACGCCGGGGAAGGGTGCGGTGGCGGTGCAGGCGCGGCAGCGGAGAAAGAGCGGGGTGCAGTGCTCGAAGCGGATGGCGTCTGGGATCTGGGATTCGAGGGGGTGGATTTCGGTCTCGGGCTGACCCGAGGTGGCGGTCGAGACGCGGTATTTGGTTGTGTCGAGGCCGAGACAGGCGGCGAGCTGTGTGATGTTTGTGCCGCTGATGGGGGCGCAGAGACGCTCGACGGGCGGCAGGATCTGCTTGTGGAGGTAGTAGTCGATATCGGGCTTGAGTTCGCTGCCAGGTTTGAGGACTTCGTCGACTGGGTAGGCGTTTTTTGCAGCATTCTCGGCGGATCCGGACGAGTCGCCTGTAATGATAAAGGACATGACGTCCTTCGCTTTGACGTGTTTCCCCTTTGCTTGGAGGCGCAGAGCCACTTGCACTGATGGCATGGAGGCGCCGTTGGGGTACTGGTCGGGGTTCTTTCCCAGCTGAGTGTAGATGGTGTACTTGCGTGCAGGGATTGCGTTTTCGCGCATCTTCTTGCTGAGCTCGCGCAGGTGGTTGTGAATATTCTCGACGACCGTTTCGGGGTCTTCGCCGCTGAGGAGGAAGTTCAGAAGTTCACTAAAAAGGTCAGTATGCATGCAATTGACAGCTCAGACTCAGCACTTACGTTGAAGTCTCTTTAGAGAGGGCACAGTATTCTCTGCGCCTCATGTCGAGACCCTTGACCTCAAGTTTTTCGATATATTTTCCATCAACGGGAACCATGTTAATGGCAGCGTACTTCTTCTTTGCATGTAAGAGGATGCGGCGGAACACATTGTCGATGTCAATCTCGAGCAGTCTATAGCTGTCGTTGACCTCCTTCTTGAACTCGTTACCAAGCTTGAGGGCATCCTGAATGTTGTCGACATTGGTGTTGATCATGACGGAATCAGTGTCACCGTAGATGACACGAAGCATCTTCTCCTCAGCCATGTCCTTTGTTCGTCGCAGAATCTCACGACCCTTGTATGTAGTGAGCATAGCCAACGGTCGTGCGTAGAAACGCGACTTTGTGTATCCCAAACATCCGTACATGGAGTTGGCAGTAAGCTTCAAGGCAAGCTGTTTGATGTCCCAGGTGGCCAACTGATCTACGGTGGCAGACTTGTCCTTCATAAGCTTCTTGACCTCGCGACGGCGAGAAACGAGCGTCGCAATAAGCCGGGGGAGGATACCTTGGTCTTGGGTTGTAGGCACCTCGGGCACCTTGTCCTCGTCTTCGACCAAGTCGGATCGCTCTACTGTTGTGAAGCAGATGTTGAACTCCTGAATGATACTGGGGTACAAAGAGTTGAAGTCCATGACCAGGATGAACTTGTCGTAAAGGCCCTTCTCGGGCTCAAAGACAAGACCACCCTTGAACTTATCCTTCTTCTTTGCATCGATGCCTTCTTCACCCTCAGCATTGTCGTCCTCAACCTTGATCTTGCCCTTGCCCCACTGCTTGTCAGGACAGATGTACTGGTTTTTGTGGAATTCGTGGAGCAGAATGTACTCGTTTCGCTCAGCACGGGTACCACTCAATGTTCGAGCCCATGAGTTACCAGCAAGATTCGTCAAGACCTTGGTGAGGGGGAGCAGTTGTACCTTCATCGAAATAGCAGCAATGAAGTAGGCATCGGCTTGACAATGCTTGACATAATTCAGCAGTCCCTCTTTTGTGGTTGCCCAGGTCTTCAGCGCAGCTTCATTGTCCAGCTCCTCACGGCGCTTGTTCAGCACAAGCTGACACATCTCTTCCAGACTCCAGGACTGGCACTTTGTCATGAGAGATTTTCCCATATCGTTGGCCAAGTCGCATAGCAAGCGGCCAGCGGCTAGTTGTTTCTCGGCGAAGAAGCTCCCACCGCCCTTTCCGAAGTTCTTTGGCCAGTCACTCCTCTTTAGGCGGCCCACTCTGTGCCATCCTGGTGTCTTGTTCTCACGAAGACGATTGAGGAGTACACTGTAGTCCACGTCGTCCAAACGATGGCCGATGAGCGCATCGGGATCGTGTCGCTGAAACATAGCCATGAGCAAGCTCAGTAGCTCCTTCTCGGTTTTCATAAACGAGAAGTTACCCTTCAGCTTCGCAGCCTCGGGCTGGAATCCAACTGGAAAAGCGGTACCGTTTGGTCGCATGATAGTAAAACTCTTGCATGGCATCTCGTCGATAGAGGTCGTATCTGTGAGGGAGAAATTGTCGTAGATCATCGCGCTGGCCATAAGGATTTCTTGCTTGTTGTCCTTGGCATTGAAGGTTGTGCGTAGTGACAGACTCATGAGAGTCATTGGAGGAGCATCGAGGTTGTCTGAATTACTGAGGACTGTGATGTCGTTGGGCTTCGTGACTGACACCTCGAGTTTACACCACGAGGCGTTGTGGATCGAGCCGCAGTCCGCATTGGCAATCTTCAGCCAACAAGGACCCATCACATTCTTTCCTAGAACGAATTGTTCGAAAAGAGAAGTGTTCGTACCGAAGACCCGAGAGAAGGTTTCACCGGTGAGTTCCGCAGAAAGAGGCATCTTGTCGTAGCCATACAGCAGCTGCAGATAATCCGCCTCCTTGGGCACGTCTGGTAGCTCAAATGCATACTTTCTTGTGCAGGGCTTGATCTTGTGCATTGTGACTCGGTGTTTCGACATGATCGAGTCGACCTCGTCGTAGACATCGCTCATTTCGACCTCCTGGTTTGTCGCTACACCTCTGACATGGCGGAACTCGCGTGGCAGGAAGTAAAGCTCCCTGAAGACATTGTCGATTTTGACGAAACAGCTTGAATAGCCGCCTGTCGACTTATCCTTGACCTTACCGAAAAGGCAGAGACTGCCGTGGACCTCTGTGTAGTCGGTCCAGAACATGTGAAGACTGCCATCCTCCTCCAGCACTGACTCCGATTTCATCTTCCCCACACCGGTGGTTTGTGGAGCCGGACTGCTCATGACGTTGAGCTTGCTGGTGACATCGCTCCAGGAAGATGGATCTATCGAGGCTGTAGAGGGGCCTACGGGAGAGGAGCTGGCTGGTGTCGGGTACTCCGCTCTCTTGATCTTGGCTATGGGTCGTTTTCCAGCCATGTTTACGCTAGCCACCGGTAAGCCGCTGTGTCCAGTGGGTAAAGCCACTTCCATCAAATCCTCCTCTTCCTCTTCGAATTTCACCTTAGGTTTCGACTTCCGCTCCACAGCCTTAGCAACGGGTGATGATGGCAGAATCGCGTCGCTCATGGGTACGTCATCATCGTTGAATGTAGGTAGATCATCGTCGTCTGCATATGCATTTGCTGCTGGCGGCGTATCTGGCATGTACGAGTCGGAGTCGTTCGTCCGTCTGGCCTTTGCAGCACGTCTGTTCTCTGACACCGGTGGGGACAAGACTCGTGTCTTTCTTCGAGCTTCGGTCTTTACGGGGCGCATGCGCGTTGTAGAGCGGCTGGCAGTATTCGTATCTATTTCGCCGAGCAGGTCGTCCATGAAGTCGACGTCGGCAGCACTGGCCAAAGGCTGGGCATGTCAGTCTCGCCTGGCTCAGCCAACACAGTGTATTTCGTCGATTACCTTCGGTTTTGGCGCCTTTGCGGCAGTGTTCGCGCTGAAGTACTTGCTGATACCACTGTTGATCTTCTCCTGTTTCTCCGCGTCTTCATCTCGTTTCCTTTTGGCTACCACGCGTCAGTCGTGTCTCAGTGCTCGGGGTGTTACCATAGCATACCAGCTTTACCCTTGGGCCGCTCATCATCCTCTTCGCTATCTGTAGCAGCATATTTGTAGCGGCCCTGGCCATCATCCCACTCTTCTCTGCCATCGTCGACGTAGCCCTCGCCGTTGTCGTCTACGATAAAGTCGTCCTGATCTAACCGATTCCGTACGATCTTCTTGTAACCCTCGTCGTCGACTGTGTCGTAGAGGTCCTCTTCTTCCGCGACTTCGTATGTGGAAAGGCGCGTCTTGCCAGCAGCGCGCAATGCTCGCAGCTCTGCTAGTTTGGCCGCACGAGACATTGTGTATTATAGGTATAAGAAACTCAGACAAGAAGAAAACAGGCAAGAGGCTCGTGCAAGATACTCAAGCGGTGTCGTGGGCGCGTCGAGGGCTGGTGCCGTAAAGTGGTTTCGCGCGTCGCGTGCACTAGCGTGACGCGCTTTCCACTTACACCCAAAACAATCTAGCGTGATTTGATATGGAATTTCCTCATTTGTTCACGTCACGACCCCAGGCCCTTACATCAACACTTTTGATATTCAACATGGCTTCAGTATCGAGGGTTCCTCTGATATGGATAGATTGCGAGGTGCGCTATCTAGTTTTATTTGTATGAGATAGCGTGCTGACGCCTGCAGATGACTGGCTTAGATACCAGCAAGGACACCATCATGTCTCTTGCGGCTTTCGTCACTGATGCAGACCTAAATATCCTGGACGAGAATGGCTATGAAGCCATCATTCATCACGACAAAGAGCAACTTGACCAGATGGGCGAGTGGTGCACAAGACACCACGGCGATTCAGGGCTGACACAAGCTTGTCTCGACTCTACCACCACGGCAGAGGCGGCTGCTGAGGGCTTGTTGCAGTATATCAAAAGATTTGCGCCGGAGCGCCGCACTGCGCTCATTGCTGGCAACTCTATTCATGCCGATCGAGGATTCCTTGTGCTACCACCATACAAGCCAATCATCGATCACCTTCATTACAGGATTTTTGATGTCAGCAGCATCAAAGAAGCTGCACGTAGATGGGCACCGAAAGAGACTCTCAAAAGGATACCGAGGAAGCAGATGCTACATGAGGCGAGAGCGGATATCCTGGAAAGCATTGAAGAAGCCAGGTTCTACCGCGAAGCGTTTTTTTCTGAAAAAGGAAGTGGATGCGGGGCAGAAATGATATACTCAAGCTGACCTCGCACGCTCCCTATGTGGATAGCACGGATAGGGCTCTCACAGCTTGATGCTCAACCTTACCTCGACATCTCATCTGTCTACCCACAATATGAGAAGCTTGGGTCGGGGTAATCCACCAAAGAAGTGGCTAGTGCATAGGGCACCGATCACATCGTGCATCCCCAAGCACACAGTGTCTCGCAAGCAATCGGACTACTCGGCTTCAACTAAACGGCCCGCAATTGAATTGAAGCAAGTTTCCCTTCGTCTAAACGCTGACAAGGATTCGTTTCATTTTTTCTCTTAACAGAAGGAATTGAAAGAACAAAAACGAAAACATACCCGAGGGCGAATGCAACTTTCACGTGTAACTTCAGCGATCCAGTGAGCAAGTGTCGTATCAGCCAAACGCTCTGTGCGACTGAATGCTCCACAGAGATCACACATCCGTCGACGCGGTGTACTTACACCTGTGCTGGCGTGAATGATATTTTTACGTTTATAAGACTAAGGTCACGAAGGCGAAGCGCTGTACTCGCGGAACAGCTCGTCGCCATTTATGCTATGGCATTGTTGTACGTTGCATCAGACTGTTAACGGCTCGTGTCCGAGCACCATTGCCGGTTTTAGACTGTGCTAACCACTCCGGGAATAAATTACTCATGACGTCGGGTTTTCAGCCGCGGGCCGCCTTGTGCCCAAGCGATTCCCGGTATCTTAGTGCAGATAAGAGATATAGTCAATTTCTGCAACCTCTGCCGGTTTCTTCTACACCATAACGGAATGCTTGCCTGCTGACATTCGTTGACGCTGGAGGCGTCGACTTCATTCGAAGTTCTCACAATTTTTTTGACTGCACTGGCACACACCGGTCGGCTTACCACCAGCTTTGAAAGGGATAACTGCCCAATGGCCGCCCCACCAATGGATTTTGAAGAGGTCATCCCAGGCACGCGACGTCTCTATGACGAGAATGGCAACAATCTACCTGGAGATGCTTCGCTATTGAAGCACGGTGACATTGTTCTTGTGCCACAGCCTTCGGAGTCTCCAAACGATCCGTTACGATGGTCCAAACCAAGGAAGATCTGGCACTCTATCCTGGTCCTTTACATAGTCGGTTTAACAGCCGCAACGTCTAACAACGCTGGATCCGGATCAGACGGTGTAAATGAAGAGTATGGCATCAGCTATGATGTTTTTAATACTGGCGCCGGTGTGCTGTTCATTGCCATTGGATACTGGACTCTGCTAAGCTCCCCGCTTGTTCACTTGTACGGACGGAGAATTGGATACCTCATTTCTATGCTGGTCAATATCGGTGGTCTTATCTGGTATGGCCGCATCACCAACGTTGCAGGCGTTGTTTGGAGCCAGCTGTTTGTCGGCGCAGCTGAATCGGTCGGCGAAGCCACCGTCCAACTTTCGCTCCTTGATATCTGGTTCGAGCACCAGACTGGAAGCGTCTTGGGTATCTACACCTTTGCAACCGCCATTGGCACATATCTAGGACCGCTCATTGGAGCGCATCTGGCGGAAGGACTAGGCTGGCGTTGGATCGGCTATGCAGGTGCTATTATCTGTGGCATCAGTCTTATCGTAATCTTCTTTGGTCTAGAAGAGACGGAATTCAACCGCGACCGCTTTTTGACTCGAAATGGAGACCGCTACCTGGTGGATGCCGCTCAGTCGCTGCCGGAGAAGACCATCGAACACGCATCAGTCGGGATTCTCCCTGATGTTGATGAAACAGGCTCTATCGATAACAATATCGAGACTGGTGATAGGTTCGAAAAGACTGTGCGTTCTGTAGAGAAGCACCGTAGCAAGGAAGACTCGTTTAATAATGCCGAAGACGGGTATCCTTCCGAAGCTGCCCGCAACCGCATGTCGCTGTCATACGGCCAGCGCAAGACCTACTGGGACCGCATCAGGATTATCACTCCCGCTCCCAACCTGCGCGGTACTGGCGCGAAGCAATACCTCAACCGCCTCTGGCACACTCTACGCGTCTTCACCTTCCCAGCCGTCTGGTACGCCGGTCTACAGTGGGGCTTGCAAAATATCTGCCTCACGTTCTACCTGACCGTACAGGAGGACTGGTGGTATAACGAGCCCTGGAACTATACTCAGACCGAAGTAGGCAACATGAATCTTCCAACACTGATTGGCAGCTTGATCGGGTGTGCGTACGGCGGCTACGGCAGTGACAAGTTCATGCAGTGGATGATCAAGCGTAATAAGGGTGTCATGGAGGCTGAGTTCCGTCTGTATCTCATGGCACTCTGCACTGTTGTCTTTCCAGCTGGTATGTGGCTGTTCGGCATTGGGTCTGCGCGCGGATGGGACTGGCCTGTGCCGTACGTGGGCTTGGGATTTATCGGTTTCGGTTATGGCTGCGCCGGTGATCTGAGTTTGTCTTACCTCGCCGATTCTTTCCCGTAAGTCTTCACACCCTTCACGTTGTGACTACTGCTAACCCCTTGGTAGTGACATGGTTCTCGAGGGAATGGTGGGCGTTGCTGTCATCAACAACACCATAGCCATGCTTTTCACTTTTGTTGCGAGTTACTGGATTGATTCTGGAATGGAGAATTGTTTCATCGTTCTGGGTGTGCTCAGCTTTGTGATCATGGCATCGAGTTGGCCTATGATCGTGTATGGTAAGCGCACTCGTCGCTGGGCAAGAGACAGGTACTTGAAGTTTGTTGAGATCCGTGACGGCTTTTCGAAGTAGGAGTTCTGATGAGATGGGACTCACTGGAATGTATGGATTAAACGCGTTCTATGTAAAAATCAAGATCGGTGGAGGTATCAGGTCACGCAATTACTGAGGATGCTGTACAATAGATCAAGGACACTCACGCGAAACTTCATCAATCGCGAATTAAAGACCACAAATGCTCCAACAGCATTAAGATACTCATAGGCCCCTTTTAACTTGGCTTCTTCAGATTGACACGCTTTCCTGTCTGCTTCACTGGATTGAGGTACTAATACGAACTAGCTGCCTCACTAAGGAGATCTTTGAAAAGAATACGAACGTCTTTATCTGCCAATTAATGCTAATACTATTGTGCACGTCCCTTAGGCTGTATAGCACAGAGGCGTGCGTTTGCCTTTCCTTGACGACACCAGGCTAGTGGCTGTGGCCCGGCAGATCGACTACGCCCCACTTTTGGCACGGGCCCTGCCACGTTCAGGAACACGATTCCTCTCGAAGATTAGGCGGTCTCCCAAGTCTTCCAAGCCGCATATTCTTCCGCATTGCGATGGCTGCCGCAGATGTCCCCCTGTGTCTGAGTGCCTGTTGTAGCTAACGCCAATTGGACAGCATTTCGCCCGCGGATGTATGTCTTTTCACCACTCAGGAGAACCCTCAAGTCGGCAGAGAAGCGGGCGGCAGATTGCGTGCGATGAAGGATGCACAACATGAGAAACGGATTTTCCGCGCATCCACATTTCATTGCCTGTCGCGTACGTCCTCAGCTAAAGCTTCCTAACAACTCTAAGTACAGCTCGACACGGACGTTGAAGCTAGCACCGGCGGCTCCGTGACAGCGTCAGCTCTCCAGCGCCAGCATGAAGAGACTAGCGAATTCGCTACACCAACTGTTCGACGTACCGAGCACGTCAGAATTCTGCAGGAGGCTGCAAGAGCGTTTCTGCATCACTTACAGCGCTTCGATATGTTGTCCAACTACGATCTCGTATTGCGACTATTTATGCTCGTATTCCCACAGTTCACCGTTCACAGCATCTGACCTTAAATTATTCGGTGCCTGCCAATGCCAGCGAAGGATGACTGGAGTCTTGGTACTAATAAAAACCGGTGGGTACAGGTAGCCAAGACGCGAAACATTCGACTACGTGCGTCCCGCGTGGCTAGACTCGAGCTGGAGAACCGCCACGAGAGATCTTTGTTACCACTTCCGGCTAGCACCCAGCCCAAGGCTGTTATCCGTCTCGTCGGATGTGGAAATTGTGGGAGTCTGACTGGGCGATTTTGCATGACGGTCTGAGAAAGACCTCAGTCGGGTAATCCTCCGTTCTGACTTGCTGGGACGGGCAAGGACACTGATCGCATTGGTCGGTTTAAGGCCATCAGGAGACGACGGTGTTGTTCAGTGAAAAACCCTCGACGCCCCGGCACAGGACGGAGAACATACTTGCCAGCATTCAGATCTTCCTATCAGCCGTTCACTACTACAAGTCGTCGCTCGTTCCTGCATCTTCTGTACTCTTCAAACGTCGATCACTATCACACAATCTTACCATAGGTGCAGCTAGCGTTTAAGATCGGCAACGCCTACACTACAATCATACCTACTACCATCTCTACCACGACGCACGTGCCTTCAGGATCATCTCTGACCCATCTCGCACGGTCTTACCTCTCGACTAAGGGCTCTTGATCCTATCACAATGGTGAAACTTCACATGGGTGTTTGGGCTGGCATCGCGGCAGGCGGCGTCATGGTTCTGCTCGTCATCCTACCGATCTTTGGCTGGATGTTCTCGCGAAGCAAAAAAGCGAAGAAGGCTGCGGAGTTAGAGGAAGAGTCGGCAGCAGAGAAGGGCGATATTGTTTACGCAGCGCCTGTACCTGCACCAGCACCTGTACCAGCATCGACGCCAACAAGACCAGTAAATGCTATTCTTCAGAAGCCTAGTGCGCATGTCTACAGCCAGGAGAACGGACTGCGCTCTCAATCGTCGGCACAGAGCATGTCCCCAAGCTATCAAAGCCAGGCCTCGACCATCGCGCAGCAGTCACCGCTGAGGAACTCGACGTCAAGCCCATCTTATTCGCAACCGATGTGGGTAAAACCATCACCATGAAAGGCCTGAGTCGAAGAAACGATACGTGAAAAGCGATCAGCTGGCAAAACAGCGGGACGCGGTTGAAATGAAAAGAGAGAATACCCTTTGAGCAATAGCAGAGAAGCTCTGTTATATCATCAGAGCTATGATTATAACACCGGCTTTACTATTCGTAATCCGACACTAAGTATTACGTCATCCTATACATTGATGGAATTCCGCAACTTTATATGTGTCCTGGCCATGCTTTGCTGCTGATCCTAAGCTTGTTCGCTTGCGTGCATATCCGAGTTTCCAGACCCCCAATCTCACATCAGCGCTCAGAGAAACGCCCCACTTAATCAAACTACTGCGATTTTGGAATAAACTTTGCAAACAAAAAAGGCGATAATCTCACTTGGAGTCAGATTCACCTATACGCAACACCGAGTTGCCGATTCACCAAACATTCAATCAGCCAGCTGCTGCTACGAAGTAGACTGGTGTAGGGCTGTGCTATTCTCGATCAATCAACTATGAGTAGCCCTGTCACGCTAGCTCCACCCACAACACTGATTCCAGCTGCCTGCATGGCAGTGCTCCTTTTTAATACCGTACAGGCAAGGTCTTCGTTAGCCCGCATCCGACAAGTCGATCACAATGCTCGTTTTGACAGCAGAACGGTTATTCTTCAATTGACCTAGTGATAAGCACTAAGTCTAACAGCGAATTAGGCGGGCATCTCCACCCAGCACTCTACCATACAGACTTGTCCGATGCACAAGTACCTGGACATTGATTACCTAAATCAGTAAGGGGTCTGACAGACTGGTGCCTAGGTAGGTGATAGGCGTCGCGTTGCGACAATGCTTACAGATTTAGATAAGGCTAAGTGCAGAAGTTTGGGATATAAAAGGCCAAGATGCACTGCTCCAAGATCAATTTAATCATTTAGTATTTCACATTGTCCTTCCCATTCTCTTCCACATCACCAAAGCTCTTCAGACCTAGAAGGGATCTCAAGATGGCCGAATTCAAACCCTACAGCGAGCAGCCTCACCTGCATGCGAGAGCGCCTTACCGCGCTGCTATGCTCACATACCCCGGCAATCTTCGCCAGGCCCTGAAAGACGCCATGGCAGACCCATCAAAGACACTATTTGGCGTTGCTCACGGCATCCCTAGCACATTCGTGACCAAGCTTCTCGCATCCACAAAACCAGACTTCATCTGGATCGACGTCGAGCACGGCATGTTCAACAGGCTCGAGCTGCACGAGTGAGTTACTAAAAATGCCTGCCTTTGCAAAGAACGTCGCGGCTGACCAATTAGCGCCATCCACGCGGCACAAGCCCACTCTGAGGGCCGCGCTCTGGTCATCGTCCGTGTGCCCAAGAACGACGAGCTCTCTTTGAGCACCGCTCTCGACGCCGGCGCTTCAGGCATCGTCATCCCGCACGTGGAGTCTGCACAGGAAGTCAAAGACATGATCAAGGAGATGTACTACCGTTCGTCTTCCTCCACACGTCCCTGATCCCCCTACTAAACCCTTCCAGCACCCATTGGCCATCGCTCCTTCAGCCCATGGACTTTTTGCCCTTCAGTCTCGGACGCCAGCCTCTATCCGAATGACAGCTACAACGTGGCAACGAGTAACAATCACGTGTGCATCATCCCACAGATCGAGTCCGTCAAGGGCGTTGAGAACGCCGAGGAAATCGCTGCTGTGCCTGGTGTACACGCGCTAATGTTCGGGCCTGGTGACTACATGATCGATGCCGGTTTAGATCTATCGAGTGTGTTGGGCGGGGAGCCCAATCCGGCTTTCGTGGAGGCAATGGGCAAGTTCGGCGCGGCGGCGCACAAGAACGGGCTACCGATTTTCGGGTGAGTAATGTTTACTATCGAGTGATGTTGAATGTTTGCTGATGCGAGACAGTGGTGCAATGAGTGTTGATATGGTGCCCATGTTGATACAGCAGGGATTCCGAGCAATTGCTGTGCAGTTCGATGTCTGGGGCTTGTCAAAGTTGATCCATGGATCCTTGACACAGGCCAGGGCTTCTGCAAAGCAGTTTGCTCCTCCTGAGGGGAACGCGGCGAGCAATGGAGCTTAGATGAAACTGATCCGAAAACAGCGTTGACAGGAATCGTCCCTACAACTCTGTAGGGACAGTCAAATGGAATAATTTAGGAGATGATGCTGCATCCACTCCTTTGACCAATGTCTGATTAATGACAGCGAGTTTGAGATATTGTATCAGCTGGGCGAACTCGCATAGAGTGTCAAAAAGATCGTCTGACATACGATCAGTTGGACTCACAAGTCACAGTCTTGATTGATACCACCCATGCCAATACCCAGTTGACCGCTTCGATCTCAAGATGTGACTGATCGGAGACGAAAAGACGACGCAGAATCAGGGAAAAGATCTGGAACGTGGACCACGCTTTTCTCTGCGGAGCCAATCGAATTCCAGAAAGTCTGATCAATGCAAACGAACAATGGAGATTTGTTCCGCGGCAATGCCGTGAGCTCCACATCACATCCTACTGCGACACTCTACCCATTATACCAGGATGAGTGGCCGATCGAACCATTTCCAATCGCTGTATGGAGAATCAACCCGCAGCTGTTTGCACATTGCGTTCATTACACTTGCTGATGAGCTAAGACCCGGGAGGAAGTCGCATGAAGTGTTGTGAATCCAGAGTCCTACTCGACGGTAACAACTCCGCCCAGTGAGATGAGGGGTGCCATGCATCTCTGAAAGCTGCTCAGGGGTCAGAGCTTGTAGCAATAAGCAGAGGTTTGAACCAAGCCTTTCGAAATTTTGAGTCCAGCTTTGGGGATGCCGAGTCCTTTCATTGTATCCTAAGTACATCGCATATAGTGTATCGAAGTTGAGTGGCTCTTGGCTGTCAAGGTAGAATGTACTGGATTTTGGTTGGGCTGGTACTTTCACGAGAATTCCATCAAGCAATATTTGAGGATAGAAACCCGTGTAGCCGGTATCTTGTTGTAGGATATTGGCCAGTTCCACTATCGTCCCAGAACTGGACACGCAACGGGGGTTCAGATCTGGCGCAGGTATGGTCAAGGTTGGCGGCTGAATGTATTCGCCAGAGAACCCGCTGCTTCGATGACGTACTTTAGGCGATGCCCAAGACCAAGTTGGAATCGTGAGTGGGAATTGCGGTGGTTCAAAGGTTGATTCGCGATGCATGACTCTCCACGCCAAATCGACCAGGAAATCGTTCCTCCGTACTAAGAACCTTGTTCGACTATAATGTATTGGTATACCGTAGAAGTGGCTGAGGACGTTCGAGGACATGGGTGAAATCTTGAGAGCAAGTGCGGAGTTGCACACGCCCGCAAATGCATTAATGACGTCTGATTGCACAGACAGATGTCGCTGATAGTACTCAGCCAGACGGTTCTGAAGACTGCTCACCTCGAGCGAAGGAAACACGCGATACCGATCCCTCAACGGAGCGTATTCAGCTGTTGCTGCCATATGAAGACTTTCTAGGTAGTGTGTACACTGGCACTGAAAGTACATCTGCGAATCGGTAAAGACCAAGCGTCGACGAGAGAGCAGCATCTCCTGATAGGTCCATCCGCGACTGTTCCAAGTCGATGTGTTGATCTGTTCCCGGATGTTTTCTGTGGATGCGAATACATGTGTTCCGGCTTTGAGGTAAAGTTGAACGCGTCTTGGAGTGGTTTGGACGCCAGGAAGGCCGTCGTCAGGACCTTGGCCTGCTGAAGCAACAATGGTGAGTTCGGCACCTTGATAGATCCTGTCCATGTTGGAAATGAGATGATACTTCTCTGTTGGATTGTTTTGATCAATGCAATATCGGTCGACCCACAGATACTGTATCCCAAGCGCGATGCATACGGACATTGCGTTCGTGATAGTTTGTGGTACGTTCGGGACAGGATTGGCGGAGTCAAGCTGATGGTCTACCAATTGGCTGCCCCAGACGTAACTGAGGCATGCATACGGCTCTGAAGGGTCGATAGTTACAAGAGTTTGCCCTGTGCAATTCAACACTCGCAGCGAAGTGTCCCAAGCCGTCGACTGCTGACACTCTTTGTGATTGGTCTGGCATGACTGTAGCCATTGCTTGGCTAAGCCAAGGTTCGATGATCCGGATCGCATCGTTTGGCAGAGAGGGACCAAGGTCTTCTGGGATGATACATCTTCGATGACTGCCGCAGTGGGGTAGAAGTCAAAGTCGAAATCCAGGACTCTACTGAATTCCATGAATCGTACACGAAAGTAAACGATTGTCAAATCATTGAGCTGAATCCGGCGAAAATCTAATGTAAAAGAGTCGAGATTTGAGACCTGTGCACGGAGAGCCTTGAGCGCGCTGAAGATGTGAGCAAATTGGGTGCACAGCTCACAGGTCTTCCGAATCGAGGCCTTCTCGATAAACGCGATAGTGCCTCTGCCTGTCTTGACTCGTAGCTCCACATAAGATTCTAGGTCAAGTTCGCGACATCGGTCACAGAGTTGATTCAATGAATGTGTCATTGTGTTGGTGTTGGTCGTTGAAGATGCATGAGGGTGCAGCTCATACCCCACTCGTCAGCGTCAGCCTCGCTTAAGCACGAAAACACACTGCATAAGGGAAGAAAGTAAGAAGGAGATGATGGTTTACAAGGTGACGACTTGCTAATGACCCATAACAACGCCGAACGAATAACTGCTAAAGTTTGAGATCTCCAGGCGTTACCTTGATGGTACCTGCAGCTTCCCCAGATCCACACTCTTATGATACTTTCTGCACGGCAAGTCTGCATGCTCAGCATGCTCACTTCCCTCTTCTTCATCCTCCTCAAGATCGAACATCCTCCTCAGCTCTTTACAAGCAACCAGATACTGCTGTCGTGCGCCCGGCGACTCCCTGAGCGGGTTAGGCGCTTTATCCCAGCCATGCGGCCCAGGTACGCAGTGGTAGTGCACACGCTTGCCAAGCTCCTTCTGCAGCTTGTCCCTGAACCGCTCACCCTCGGCGAGTAGCATGTCCCACTCGCAGCAAAACATAACAATATCATCGGGCAGCGCTTCGAGCATGCGTGTCGGCGCTTGACCAGGACTGAGCCAGGGATGTGCGAGGTCGAGGGAGGGCGGTTGAAGGTACGAGTCGTCGAAAAGTTCTGTGAAAACAGCAGGAAGATTCTGATCTGCACGTGTGCATGTCGCTCTTCGTTGAGCGCGAGTGATTGTGTAGTCGGTTGGTGGATAGAAGGACACTATCCCTCTAATCTTCAACACTCTGTTGTTGGCTGTCGTCATGACAGATACCGCCGGGCCGTCCTTGTACGACGAAACGAGAGACAACGACGATGCGCCGGTCTCACGCAGCATGGCGATTCGGTCAAGGCGTGACTGTTGGCGCATAAGCGGTATACGAGAGCTGGAGCCACCTGGTATAGCGGTCGAATTCGCAGTTGGTGGAGGCTGAATGACAGCGTTCGGCACACTACCCGCACGTCCGTCAATTATTCGTGCGCCGGTTGGTGTTCGGTCAAACAGCTCGCCCTGCAAACACAAGGGTACCGTAAAGCTCATGTTGCCACCAGAGGAGAAACCAGATATCGCGAATCGATCCGGATCCAGCATGAGTTCTTCCGCATTTTGCGCAAGCCATAGGATTGCGTCCGCTCCGTCTTCTACAGCAGTCGGGAATGGATACTCAGGTGCGAGGCGATATGCGACAGAGACAACAACCGCGCCGACCTCCTTAACGACAATATTCGACCAACGCGCATCGTCTTGCGCAGTCCCTAGCACAAACCCTCCACCATGAAAGTTGATGACGCAAGGGTATTTCTTATTTCCCTTGAGCTTCTTGTATCGCTTATAGTCCTTCGGTACGTAGAAGTGGATTCGAAATTTGCCTTTGATGGGCGAAACAGTCGCGTCGACGTCCCTATAGAACGCAGGTCGAGAGGGTCGAGGTGGTGCCATCTTGTGGAGTGACATGCCGATTCCCATGAGAAACCTCCAGAACACGGCTTGCACGTGTAACACCCATCTCGGCCGGCTTCCAGGCATGATGCTGGGATTATGGGCAGTGTTGATGGAAATAACCACGAGTCCGAGAGGGCGAAGTCCGAACAGCAGGTGCTGTCGAAGGGAAGAATCAGCCCATCAACAAGATGTCAGTAAGTGCACGATGCGCCAGGAGGCCCAATAAAAGGACGATCGTGACGCGCTTAACGATGATTGGTACTGTACATTTGGCCGGTATTAAGCGCAAAAGCGAACCGTTCTAGAAGAGGGCGCAGTGCGCTGGGCTTGGTTGACGATGACGTATGCGCTGTTGAGCGATAACGCCGATACGCAACACTAGGCAGAGCACAGCACTTGTTGCATCAGGTGCACCACTCTCAGCATGCAAACGTGAACCTGACACATTTCAGATTTAGAGAAGCATGAATTCATGCAACTCCATGTGTATTCGCCTTAGTCCTCACTAATTAAGTGTACCAGACCGAGCTGACAGCGACAGATGACAAGGATTGCCAGATTACCAATCTGCCATGGCCAAATAACAAAGCAATAACCTCGAAGCAAGCCAACGTGGTATAGGGCTGCTCAAGTCCTCAGAAAGCGCCGTACGCTCACCTGTTGATGCCATAAACCGTGCAATGCAAGATAAGCAGGTCGAACCTGCGGGATGTGTAGATAGCAATGAAGCCAGTAAGTTATAAAGAGAAACGCCACTCAGGTGTATGCAAACTCGACGCTGGGAGGAAATAGAGTGAAAGAGGAAAGCTGGATGTTGCAAGTCGAGGTGCGTTACGCGTCAACGAACTCGTATTCAGCATCCTCAGGCGCAACATGTCTCTTCTTCGGGGCTGGCGACAGGAGCTCGCCATCGGCGTCCAGTACCTCGTACTCGTTCTTGATCAACTTGTCGGTCTCACGGATCTCGTATCGCTCGATTGCCTTCTCGAGGGCGCCATTCAGGATTTGGCTGCCGTGGCTGGGGCCTCGCTCGGCGTCGTAAGAGTATGCAATCTCGGCGTCTGGGGCAGGTGCGGTAGACGAGTGCTCAACTTCCTCGTCTGCAGACGAATCGTCGCTGGCACCTGCCATGTCCTTGTTCAGAGCAGTTCGTGCTTTCATCGGGCCAGGGTAGGATGACCTGCGGCTGTCAGCATGTGTTCTCCTACTCAGGCAACGAAGGCAGCTCACTTGATGTGGGGATAGACCCGAGCAGGGCGAGGCTTGCCGTCTTCGGCGCGTCGACCGGGGCCGAACGATGGTCCGTTTGACCACTTCACCCTGCTGTCCTTGTCACGACGGAACTCCTTGGCTTCGCTGCGGAGATCGCCGGTATAAGTCTGCTCAGATGCCATGGTGGTTGTCTCAAAGACTGGCTTGATCGATGAGGACAGTGTGTGGATGGGAGCGCGTTGGGGTAGAGTAGGTAGCTAGGTAAGAGAGCTTGGAAGTGGAGGGAGTGTTTGAGTGACGAGGTCAACAAACGGCAGGTATGACAGGGCCGGCAGGCAGTAATAAGCTCAGCAGCGAATGAAGGCGTGACTGGTGACTGGAAGCAGCTGTCTTAGGTCTTGGGTATGACTGTCTTGTTGAGTCACTACTAGGCAGGCAAGTGGCGATGCAGGTATGTAGGTACTCAGATAGGGGACAAGCTTATGGAAGCGCGGGGAAACAGTTCACTCCTACAGGAGTACCGCCCTTTATGCAATACAATACGTGGAAGGCGCCTTTGTTATCCGCGGTATAGTCCCTGATAAGGAGCATGGAGCTTAGATCGCGGGAAGCCCGTTAGCTACGTGATCACCTGGGTCAGCTCCGATACGCCGAGGCCCGTAGCTCCGGTTTGGATCCGGTTTGACGCGTTGGTGGTCCTCGCCCATGATGGCATCATCAGGGGATCATGCGCCTGGCATTCGCAAACGTGGGTGGTCTGAAGGCTGAGCGTTGGCTGGGGTGGAGATGCGATGCATGCACAAGCCTCGATCGCTGCGACCCCACATAATCTCGGCTTCCCCAAACAGTAGCCGTCACGGCATCCCAACATGCATCCCGTCATCTCAATAACAAACACGCGGCTATCGATAGGCTGCTCGCAGCAACTATAAAATCTATTGCTATTGTTATTGTGAGAGTGAGAGATGGCAACGCTCCGACGCCTCCGGTGGTATCGACCGTAATTGCGGCGTACACTCAATGATGCGTGGCTAAATATACGACCAGCTCCTCAAACTCCAGCCTGATAACAGTCTCGGAAATGGCCGGCCACCAGCCAACACCTTTGCGGCTAGGACGGCCAGCTCTCCACCCAAGAACCCTACTTGGCGAGTGCCCCATAGTCTGCATTCCACGGAAACGCTGCGCTTGGTTGGGCGAGACCGCTGACACGAAGCTCATCTTCGATCCTATCAATCAGGCCTCGTGGAGCGGTAGTGTGTCAGAACAACCATACTATAGACAAACCGCCGTTCCTGGACGTTGCATCAACACATTCAGGTGTGATAGGCTGCCGTCTCCTCATCGTCTTCGTCGCTGCTCTCTAATAAACCTGTTTCACTTGGAAGGATATCTGGGAACCACCCATAGTCTTTGAGGTTGACGGTGTAAATGTTCATGCTATCCTCGTCGACCTCCACGCCTTCAGCTCTCAAGGCATCAGCCTGACGGCTTGCGGCGCCTGGTCCTCTTGGGTGCTGTCAGACAAAGATCTCAAAGAAGGTTACACAAAAGGAGTGGCTTAGACAAAGACGGGAAACTGACCTGGGGCTGATGCCGCCTTTAGAGTTGATCACGCGCTGCCAGGGCACGTTGCCACTGTGGAAGGCTGGGCTTTCCTTTTCTGGGTCTGTTGATGGCGGAGGCAGATGCTTGAGACAAACGCCGACTTGTCTTTGACGTCACGTATTAGCAGCAGAATAGCTGATGTGTCGTTGTGATACCGTGTCTTACCTCGGGCACTGCGCTACAACATGTCAGTGATCCATCGATCCATGCATGCGGGACGCTCACGTTTCCCAACCAGCCTTGCAATGTGCGCGTAAGTCGTCACTCTACCAGAAGGTATCTCCTGTATCGCTTCACAGACTGCTGTATGCCATAGCCACGCTTCCTCCGAGCGCGCGCCTGGTGCCATAATCTTGACTCTGACTGCGTCTGCTGAGAACCTGAAGACGTTGGTGGCGCCACAGGGTGAGATATCTGAGCTAAAAACAACCTTTCTGACCCTCTATTGTTGTTATCGTGGAAAGAGCACACCGTGAGTCGGTAGAAGATGATGCATCGCTCGGTGCAAGTGGCACCGCGTTCACGCGTCCGCACGTGACAAGCATCATGCCAAGACCAGTAGTTCTCGGAGCTTTCGCGCCGCAATGAGAACAAGCAGCTTCGACGCGCATAACTCACCACAGAATGTCTCTCGCTGATTATTTAGCGAAGAACTATCTCACAGCAGACTCGGAGAAGAAATCTAAGAAGCGCAAAAGAAAGGATAAGAATAGTGGCCTCACAATAAACGACGATGACAATCTTGGCTGGAAGAATGAGGCCGACGAAGACGATGAGGATGCGCCCATGATCAGTACGTTTCACTGAAACAAGATCCATGCTCTTTTCGTACTAACATATATCTCAGTGGGAGGTGCAGGCCTCAAGAAATCCAAGAAGAAGTCCAAAGGAGCCAGCGCCGCATCATGGGCCACAGTGGGAGTCGCAGCACCTTCGCACGCAGCTCAACTCGCCGCCGATCAAGCCGCCGCCGATGCGATTATAGAGTCAACCGCTGCCGATCGTAAACAAGCTGCGGACGCCGAAGACGAAGCGCCTGAAATGGTGGATGCAGAAGGGGTTTTGAGACTGGAGTCTGGCGCAAGAGCTGGTCTACAAACAGCAGCTCAGGTAGCCGCAGATATGAAGGAACGACAAGATGCAGAGCAGCGGAAAGCAGAGCAGGCTACAAAAGAGCTGGGTGCTGCAGCACAAGAGACCATCTACAGAGATGCAAGCGGTCGCATTATCAACGTTGCGATGAAACGTGCAGAAGCACGGAAAAAGGCAGAAGAAGAAGAACGCAAGAAGATAGAGAAAGAGAGAGAGGCTCGAGGCGACGTACAGAATGCTGCGGCAGCAAAGAGGAAACAGTTACTTCAAGATGCAAAGACAATGACCGTTGCACGGTACGCCGACGATGCAGAACTCAACGATGAGATGAAGGAGCGAGGGCACTGGAATGACCCCGCAGCTGGATTCTTGCGCAAGAAGAAGGCTGGGCGCAGTGTCACAGGTAAGCCGCTATACACAGGCGCTTTTCAACCAAACCGATACGGTATCCGTCCTGGCCATCGATGGGACGGCGTGGACAGAGGCAATGGCTTTGAGAGCGAATGGTTCAAGTCGAGGAACCGTAAAGCCAACATCGAAAAGCTTGAGTACCAGTGGCAGCAGGATGAGTAAGCATGTTAATGAGACCACATCGATGATTGTCTTCGCATCGCATTGCAGGCATGGCGCAGCTTTCAGGACGCGATTTAACCTGTGCAATCAATCACGCGCTTGTGTCTGTTAGTCTACGCTGATGCAGTCTCGCGGCGCACAGCCACCACATCGACAGTGGAGGCTGAGTGGTACCCCCACCTTCCATGCCAGGCAGAACAACAGTATGCCCAAACAATCTCTCAGTTACTCAGGATGGATGCTATGAGTTCGTGTTTGTATTTCGGGGGTCATCCATACCAGCCATTTCACGATGCCACAAAAGAAATCCGTTTACTTCATCTCCATGGCAAGCAAAAGAACCAAGTGGCAGGAAGAATGAGGTGCAGCCTCAGTCTCGCATCTTAGAACGTGCTGAGCCGTTTGAAGCGCTTTCGTATGAATGGGGCGCGGCCACTAACCAACAAATCATTTTGCTGGATGGACGACCGTTTGCAGTCATCAGCAACCCCCACGTTGCTCTAACGCATCTGCGCAGAGAGAGCGAAACCAGGTGTCTGTGGGTTGATGCGCTTTGTATCAATCAAGCCGACCACCATGAACGTAGTAGCCAGGTTGCTCACATGCAGCACATATACCGGCTAGCCAAGACATCGTTTTTCTTGGTAATACATGGCCAGGGTGTGATGCAGTCACGGACTTGATGGTTGCTGGAGGGGGTGACGAAGCTCTGCATTAGGATCCGTCGTTAGAGCCACATATCACCAGCCACGGAATGAACGCCAGCTCTGCCGAGTTGGAAAATCACATCATCGCCTTTTTTGCTTCCCCTTGGTGGTTCCGAGTGTGGACAGTGCAGGAGTATTGTCTTGCCTCAAACGTTGTTCTTCAATACTGCAGCCGCAGTATAAACACTGATCTACTCAGCAAATGGTACGCGAATTACATTCATCACTTTTCAACCTGCTGTCGTAAATTCCAGGCGTCTTTCAATACACCAATGGAAAATATGCAGAATTTAGAGAGAGTAGCCGAAAGCTTACGGCGGCTGGAATCGCTCTTGCGACAGCGTCTTATTCGCAAGGGTGCCACCTTTGTGAATATCATGACGCACTTTAGATTCCGTCAATGCCTAGATCCACGAGATAAGATCTATGGGCTGCTGGGTCTCATGGAGCCGGCAGTCCGGGATTCCATACAGCCCGATTACATCCGGCCGCCGAAGGGTCTATATCTTGATGTGGTACTGGCGTCTATCAAGAGTACCAAGTCTCTTGACATCCTCAGCTGCAAGCATGGCACCAAGACGCTGGACTTGCAACTTCCGAGTTTTGTGCCAGATTGGACGGCTCACGTAAGTGACACGATGCACCAAGCGCCGTATGAACGACTGCACTACGCACTTCCTCGATATCACGCGAGCAACCACAACCTCCCAGATTTGCAACGCACAAGCCCAGACCAAGTCATAATCTCGGGTTTGCGTGTGGACCGAATTAGGTCAATTGCAGATTGGGGACAGACCTGGAAGACGCGACTAAGTTCTTGGCGAGAGCTTGCATGCGAAACGCCATATGTCTGCCCATATCCGGACGGCGCAACTGCTTTCTGGCTGTCAATGTGCGGTGGAATCTTCCCCAATAACGACTTGGATAATTTCGATGTGCGGCCCGCGAATGATCGTGATGTTCGGTCCTTCTGGCTTTGGGAAGACTACATCAACTCTGAACTTCTCACACAGCCTGCCGACCGTGCTTCGGATTTCCAATCGTCGTTCTATATAGTCTTCGCAATGCGAGAATTCGCCATTACAGAGAAGGGCTACATCGGGTGGGTGCCGTTAGGAAGCGTAGAAGGAGACAGTATCGTACTGCTGAGTGGAGGCAAAGTTCCTTACGTTCTACGACCTATCGAGCCGAATGCGGCGACTAGAAACGAAACGGACCTTGGTACTACAAACGAGGGCGCGGCGTTTCAAATATTCAAATTCATTGGGGATGCATACATCCAAGGGGTAATGCAGGGCGAATGCTACGATCTGAGCAAGCTCGAACAATTTCGTCTAGTCTAAGTTAGGAGGTTAGAATCGTACTTGCCCAGCGAATTCACTTAGGAACATATAAAGGACATCAGACATGCACGCCCTTGCCTGTTTCGGTTATTTGAACGCCGGATCAAGATCGTTAATGTTTCCCAGTCTTGGCCCTGCACAAAGTGTCAGGGTGAGAATCTGGGGTAGCCAGGTCCCGAATCTTCCTCCAACGGGACAATTATCCGATCACCACTATATATCTCTGACCCGCCAAGTACTGAACGTCGAATCCAACCTTGCGACACGTCTTGGTCACAACTAATCTGTAATTACAGGATAGTTCGACAAGACATTTCAATTAAATGGACTACGCCTTTCAGTGCGATCCGCCGTCAGCACAAGCAATGTTCATTGCGAAAGCGCGCGGTTCTCCAACTCCACCATACAGCGAGTCAGAGTCCAAACGCCGCAGAGCATACATAATGATCCTGGATTCGCCAGATGTGATGCTGTACACGGATCACTTCTTTGTGTTTTGAATAATCCACCATGAAGCTCTCTACGACTCTACTCTTTTTCGTCTCTGCTTTGGTCTCAGCAGCACCCACACCCACCATCGAGGAGGGCGCTGCAAAGGTACTAGCAAAGAGAGCAAGTGTCACTGATGTCGCCAACATCGGCTTTGCCACGCAGAATGGAGGGTATGTGTACCATCACAGTTTCTAAGAGATCAAGCACTGACCTCCGGACAGCACCAAGGGCGGTGCTGGTGGCCCAACTACCACCGTAAGCACACTGCCTCAGCTATCAGCTGCAGCGGGTGCTGCTGGCGCTCGCATCATCGTTGTGCAAGGCGCCATCAGTGGTGCTGCGAAGGTCCAAGTCACAAGCGACAAGACCATCGTTGGAAAGGCTGGAAGCTGTATGTTCATATCCACAGATATCCGTTCTGGTTATATCAGCTGACACCCCTAGCTCTCACTGGTATCGGTCTCACGATTCTCGCCCAGAAGAACGTAATCATCAGGAACCTGAAGATCGCCAAAGTCCTCGCAGCATACGGGGATGCTATTACCATCAACGAGTCGAAGAACGTTTGGGTCGACCACTGCGACCTCTCCGGCGATGAGACAGTCGGCAAGGACACCTACGACGGCCTGGTCGATCTGTCACACGCAGCAGACTTCGTCACCATCTCGCACACTTACTTCCACAACCACGTAAGTTTCTCTCTTTCGTCGCCTAGGCTTTATTCCCACGTGACCTACCTCCGTTACGCCTACTAACATGAGACCACAGTCCAAGGGCACCCTAGTCGGCCACTCCGACAAGAACGCCGCCGAAGACACCGGTTTCCTGCGCGTAACCTACGCCAACAACCACTTCTACAAGATCGCCTCCCGCGGCCCGCTGCTGCGCTTCGGCACCGCGCACATCTTCAACAACTACTACAACGAGCAGGACACAGGCGTCAACACCCGCATGGGCGCCCAGGCCTTGGTCCAGAGCACCGTGTTCGAGAACAGCGGCAAGAAGATGGTGTACACGGAGAGCAGCTCCAGCGATGGCTCGGCAGTGGTCATCGATACCATCTTTGGTGGGCAGAGCGCCAACACGGCGCCCAAGGGAACGTTGACTGCGAGCTCGTTTACCTATCCGTACACGCTGCTGGGCAGCGCCAACGTGAAGGCGTCGGTGGTGGCTAATGCTGGACAGAAGCTTGCATTCTAAGCAGCATAAGCCATCCGTCTGTGATGATGCCTGTCTCTCGAGAATTCTTTGTACATACTTCTCTGAAACCTACTTCTTTACACTGCTCAACATCCGCTGGTCTACATCGTGATGTCTTAAGCTTACATCCAAAAGTGACTAGCTGCAGCACATTAGCATGTTCTATCGGACATCACTACGGCGTCACCACGCGCCCCTCGTCCCAGATCGCACTCCACCCCCGCACATCAAGCAGCACCCACACCCGTGGCATCACATAACTAACCCCGACCCTCGTCGTCCGCTCCCCCTTGTACCGACTCACCATCCACACCCAACAGCGCCCGTCCGCATCAAACTCCTCCTCGCCCGGCACGCCCTCCGCGTCCAGCGCATCCAAACACGCCCTATCAACCAGAAGACACGCAAACATCCTCGGCCCGCCGTCGCTGCGGGGGAAATGCTGCTGCGTCCACGCGGCAAACTCTCTGCTGGGGTCAGCAGATACATATAGTCGCGAGAGGGGCTGTACTTCTTGATCACCGCCGCGCTCGCCCCGTCCCACGCGGGATCCTGCTGCACCGCCCAGTCGACACGCGGATAGAGGTCCTCGGCATCGTGGGCGCGCAGGTTCGCCCGCGTCTGCGTGTCCAGGCGGCGCAGGAAGCGGGTCCAGGAGGGGTCGTCGCCGTAGGTGCAGCGGTAGACCACGAAGCCCCATTTCAGGGCTGGGTTGGCGCGGAGGTGGGCTTTGATTTCGTCGAAGTGGGGGGACATTTGGGGAGAGGCTGGGTTTCGGGAGGTGGTTTTGGGTAAGAGGCAATGTGGGTAGATGGAAGGAAGTGTATAGCGCGGGGCAGTTCTGGTGCCAAGATCAGGTTGAGAATAGAGCAGAGTGCTGACGAGGTGGACTGAGTGTTGAGCGCGGTGGTAGCATGGGTATACGTACTGCACCAAGGCACCGACCAGACGCTTGGCAGAACGCAGAATCAGGCAGTAATCAGCGACGTTTTATGGGATCTCTCTTTTGAACGTAATGTGGGAGTGGTTGTGGTTCTACGGCTCAACTGCAATCGGAATGGCTTGTATCCTACGAAGCTGCCTAGTGGCTGGTCGGACGTGTCTGGGTGTAGTATCAGTGTGCATCTACAGAAGAACCTAAGGTCACAAATGGCGACCGTATATGCTCCAGACTCAGGAGCCGGATTGGACCAGAACGGCGGTCATCAGTGGACTTTTATGATTGTTGACTTGGGTGAGCACCAACCTGCCACTAGTCATTTCTCTTCCCAGGTGTAACGTGGAGATGCTTCCTCCAGCTTCGGTCTCGTTTACCAAGACTGGCCAGGGTTGAATAAGTCAGTTGGCTTGTTTGTATCACGTCAAATGAACCACAGGTTGGGGAGCCGATGCTGGTGCTAGTGATAATGCATACTATTGTCATAGACCCAGGAAGAGAAATCTGCAGTGTCCCGCCCCTGCTCCCAAACTCCATAATGCGCCGGTATGTGGTGGAATATAAACATGCCTCAAAAGAGGTGCGATCTTAGTTCCTGAGCGCGCGTAGTCGCTCGGTGAAGGCATCCTCTTCTTGCTCTGTAGGACCGACCTTTGTCTTGGGAGCCTCCTGGAGATCAGACTGCAGTTCTACACCGGCCTTGTCTGCCGCTTGCGCCATCATGCGGTCGACATCTTCCTGCGGTGTGCCAACAGCGGTCGCCGAGGAGGTGATGTCCTGGTAGAGCTCGGTTGCGGAGTCGACGTTTTCGAACTGCTTCTCGAAATCAACCATGACGGCGGCGATCTGGAATATTGTCAATAATGTCTTCCAACACTTCTGAGCAAGTTGCCGTACCCTCTCAGGACTCATGGACTTCATGGCTGTGTCCAAGCTGCGGTTGACCTTCATCATATTCCCGGTGATTTGTCGCATCGTAACGGCGGTCTGGACACGGCCAGCAACGGCGTCGACTCGCGAGGCTAGTTGGAGGAGGTTGAGCTTCTCGTTCTGCTTGCGTACGGCATTTTGGGCGTAGATGCGGGCAATGTCATTGTGGCCTTGCTTCATAGCCTGTGAAGGGTAAGGATGAGTCAGGATTTCTCTGCGTATGCACAGGTACTGCAGACCTTTTCCAGCTTTGCTTTCTCCTGCGCCTCCTCCTTTCCGGCCTTGAGCGACTGGCGGTTCAGCGACTTGGCTGTGAACTGTCGAGGTCAGCATCCATGCGCGGATGAGCGAGGAAGATGCGTTGGCGCACCTTCAGGTTGAACAGGGCGTTTTCGAGGCCGGACATGGTTACGGTGTTTTTCCGTGTATGCGGTTGTGGTGTAGTCAAATGCAGGCGTGCAAGTGATAGGCAGCAGGTGGATTGCGGCGGCTGATTGCCGGTCTTCGTGGGGTTGGCGCGCAACGTCACCGCCCCGCGCCGCAGCCTTGCAGAGAAAGCACGCTTGGCTGTTTGGCACGCGCATCCAATTGTACAAACATGTGGCACTTGAGGGACATGTTGCAGACAGCTGCACGGCGCAATGCAGTTAGAGAAGGCTGTGGCCATGTATTATTATGTTGGCTGACTTGCAGCTTTTTGAAAAGTCACGGCCCGCCGAAGCCGAACTGAATGTCCCTTGATGTGCCTGATCTATGTCCCAAATGCCGTCCGAAGACCTGTGTGGTCAACGCCCTAACGCCTCGCAGCATGTATCGTGTTATTCATTAAGGTGCCTCGCGCTACGACGGCGCCGAGTTGAACTTGTCAGTGGCTGAGCGGAACAGCTCTTCCTGCGCGCGGATGAGCTCCTCCTCGGTCATGCCGCTCTGCTCGATCTTGGTCTGCTTCTTCTCGCGGTTCTGCTGCTGGTCAGACAAACTCAAAATGGCGGACGCGCGGCGCGTACCTGCTGCTGCTTCTTGTAGTCCTGCGCAACGTCGAGAATTGCCGGCACGTACTCGCCAAAGTCCAGCTCCTCCAGCGCGGCCTTGACATGCTCACATGCTATTGTCTTCTTCGCGTCCTTCTCGGCGATCTCATTCGCCTCCGACGAGATGAGCGTAATAAACTCGACGCAGCATTCTATGAGCAGGTCCCGCGAGTCCTTTGCAAATGTCATGCCGGGTTCAGTCGCCAGGATGTCTTGCACAATCTTCTGCACGGTCGCTGGGCGCGTTAGTTGCCGGAATCGACACAACATGGACGCGTAACACACCCTTTGGCAACGACAGATCGTCGTTGCCGCCAAACTCGCGATCGGACATGGTGGGTGTTTGCGCAGTATTCGGTTGTCGCGAAAGCAGGGCGCCGCCTTGAGGAGCTCGGACTTTTATGTATACACGACGCGGCGCATGTCAGGAACAACGTTGCCCCTTCTCCGGGGCGCCACCAATCAGCGGTCCGCCTCACGTGTGCCGGTCGATGCCATCTACGATGCGTCTGATGGTGCGCCCTGGGGCATGGGCGCCGGACCTTGGTGCTGGGAATGAAGCTGGTCGCTCGTTTGGGGACGCAGTCTCGCGGCCGGGGCGCGAGGAAGCCACTCAGGCCCACGTCCATTCCTCCGCCAGCTCGCAGGGGCACATCAGCTGTCCTGAAACAGAACATCACATGAAAGTCAGTCGAGCGAGTCTGGCAGCGCAGTGACGGCGATTTCGCCCTGCGGCTGTTATCAGGCCAGGGTCCTGCTGCCGCCCGCGGCACATGCAGCTCATGCAGCTCGCCAACAGTGCATCGGTGTGGATCATTGCGTCTTTTCCTGTAACAACAGTTCCCGCAAGACGCACGGGGAGATTGGGCAATAGCTCACGGATACCACTTCATTCCACTTGGTACTCGTGAGGTTGGCTGTTGCCCACTTGGTCGACGACTGATACGGCTGAGTGGAGCCGCAACACTGCGGTGCTTGCAGCGATTGGCACGTTTCGCGATCCTGACCCAGGGTTGTCTCGCTCGCCGATCCACGACGCCGGCTCCTGTCCACTTTTTCGTCATCGTGCTGCGTCGCCTTGGCGCGAGCGAGCCCTCGAGCGTGCTTGGGTGGCAGCACGACGACCCTGCCGGCCGGTCGACTTGCTTGTCACCGAGCACAGACTGCGAGCGTCGCCAGATGACAGTAGTGGCGGTGAAATACTCGCCAGACACAGCTGCATGAGGCCAGAGCCAGGGTTGCGGCCGGTTGCGTGCTGCAGTCACGGATGCGTGCCAGGCAGTGGTGCACTGCGGCTCACGTTGTCGAGGTCATGATTTTGTGTTGAGTGAATGAGCGGCACTGCACTTGCCTATCTGGCGCGTTCACCGCGGCGTCTGCTATCTCACTGCTCATATCAGCATCAACGCAGCGCGAGCAGGTCGCACAGCCTGGCCTGCCAGTCATTGTTCAGTGACCGCGCCGCCGATAACATACAATCAATCCACCGCGCCCGTCTCCCGCGGTGTGTAATTCCCAACGGCTCCCGAGATTCCGCCCTGCGCATGAAGTTAGCTTTTAGCACTGCTAGCCTGTCAGGTCCCTCTTGTCGCTTGTCGCTGGCCCACGTACCGAGTCCCAAGGTACCCAGTCCGCAGTACCGCGCTGTTCACCGCCGCCGCCGCGCTGTCTGGAAGAACTCGGGTGTCTTTCTTCGCGCGACGCTCGTGCAGGCCCGATAGAAGCCTTAGCAGAGTTTTCTCATTTCATTGCAGCGGCTAACGCTGTTTTAGCGCAGCGAGCCAGGTTCCAATTGATTATCATTACATATGACTTCACGCCCGCAACACATGGACCTGGTCACCTCGTCTCCCGCGACTTCAAGCGTACGTACTGCCAGCACAGCATCCACCGCCAGCACATCGCGAGCCAGTCTCCGGGCAACAACCACCACCATTCCGTCCAGCGCTGCTGCCGTCGATGCTCGTCCAGCTCGACCTGGACTAGTATCCCGCGCTTCTGAGATCTCTCCCACCAAGGCCTCGCGACCCCGCCGTCACCTGTCAACAAAGTCCTCGAGTGCCGTGCCCACCCTCTCCGCCCTCAACGCCAGCAACAACGAGAAGTCTGCACCCACCACCACCGCCACCAAACCCGCCGCCCGCCCGCCGCCCAAGTTTGGCAAGATGACCGCGTCCAACACTGGCGCTCCGTCAGCTGCAGCCGACCTGCTGCGACAGGCAATGGGAAACCAGAGGTAAGCCATCTTTGCGTTCCTTGTGCAATTTGTTGCGTGCCGCCGCCGCCTGCAAAGTCCGCAAAACGCCAGTAGCGGCCAGCGCTTAGCTCAGCACCCAGCGGCGACCCAGTAGCGCAGCTGCTGAAAGCCCATGACCGCGTTACCCAACCTTTGGTCAGCTTTTTCGCCGCTGCACGCTTCCTGCTGAGCAGCTTCATCATCTCCCGCGACCTCGCACCTGTTGCTGCACGCCCGCAATAGTGCCCGCACCGCAGCAATAATGCCGGCCCACAACGCCCTACTGACACCGCACAGAGCCGCGGCCCACGATGACGATGGCCACGACCAGATCGGCTCCACCAGCTCGACTCCACCTGGCGCCTCAACACCGCGCCCCGACCCTACTGATAAGCGACTGCCGGGTATTTTGCACAGCTACTTTGGCCAGGTTCGTGATTCCTTACTGCCCCAGAGCAAATCATCGCTGTCAAAGCCTTCCAACCCCGCACCTGCTTCTTCAGACGCCACTGCAACGGAACCTAAAGAGAAGGAAGATATAGAAAAGGCCACCCCTCTTCAGACAATGCTGCCAAGCCCCGCCCCCAGTGCTTCTTCTCGCACCCCCTCAGCTTCGCAGTTGAACGGTGAAACAGAGAAGCTAACAGTAGGCGACTTTTCGTCGCCGCAGAATCAGGCTACCCCTCCTCAAACACCCCGCACCCGCTCACAAGAAGGCAAGCCCCCGACATCAAGCTTGTCACGCACCTCGCTTGCGTCGAATAACTCGAGAGAGTCGAAAGTATCGAACAAATCGGACAAGGAGGCAGCTGTTGTTGGGCCACCAAAAGGCAAGCTCGCTGTCACCATCACAGAGGGCCGAGACCTGAGGCGAAGCACTGATCCCTATTGCGTTATCCAGTTCCAATGGGCAGAGTACATTTCTGATGGACCGAAGCATGATGAAACCAAGGGCCCTCGTGGCCCCATGCAGATGAGGAGGACCGAAAGTGAGATGCAGAGGCCAATGGCCATCCCAATGAAGAGTCGTCAGAGCAGCAACAGCGGACACAGCTCGGATGCTAGAGATGACATGCAAGAAGAGACTAACAACCCTACCTGGGAGCATGAGGCTGAATTGTACGTTTATCGTCAAACTGCATCAATGCACACACTGACATGACGTAGCGATGTTGTTGGTGACCACGCCGAGGTTGACATTTCTGTCTACGACCGAGCGAACGGCGAGGCCTTCCTTGGCCACGTCCGATTCTGCCCCAACTTGATCGAGTATGACCAGCCTTTTGATGGCTGGTTTGCTCTTGAGCCCCGTGAGGGCGAAAGTGCCAGGGTAACGGGCGAGATCCACCTCAAGCTCGACTTCCACAAGATCGAGAAGAAGTCGTACGGTCCCGAAGATTTTGAGATTTTGAAGCTCATCGGCAAGGGCACATTCGGTCAGGTGTTCCAGGTCCGCAAGCGTGACACCAAGCGAATCTACGCCATGAAGGTGCTGTCCAAGAAGGTCATTGTGCAGAAGAAGGAGGTAGCACACACGCTAGGCGAGCGCAACATCCTTGTCAGGACTGCGATGGCAGATTCATCTTTTATCGTGGGGCTGAAGTTCTCTTTCCAGACACCGTCTGACCTTTACCTGGTCACTGACTACATGTCCGGAGGCGAGCTGTTCTGGCATCTCCAGAGGGAGGGTCGCTTCCAAGAGGCTCGTGCAAAGTTCTACATCGCCGAGCTTATCCTGGCTCTGCAGCATCTGCACGACCACAACATTGTTTACCGCGATCTGAAGCCAGAAAACATCCTGCTCGATGCCAATGGCCACATTGCACTTTGCGACTTCGGACTCTCCAAGGCTAACCTTACTGAGAACGCAACTACGAACACATTCTGCGGTACGACAGAGTACTTGGCGCCTGAGGTACTACTGGACGAGCATGGTTACACTAAGATGGTCGATTTTTGGTCTCTCGGTGTGCTAGTGTTCGAGATGTGCTGCGGCTGGAGTCCTTTCTACGCGGAAGATACCCAGCAGATGTACAAGAACATCGCTTTCGGAAAGGTCAGGTTTCCCAGGGACGCTTTGAGCACCGAAGGCCGGAACTTTGTCAAGGGTCTTCTGAACAGGAACCCTAAGCACAGGCTCGGCGCTACCCGAGATGCTCTGGAACTGAAGGAACACCCTTTCTTTGCTGACATCGACTGGGATGCTCTGTCGAAGAAGAACGTTGTGCCACCCTTCAAGCCGAAGCTCAAGGGTGAGCTTGACGTTTCCAACTTTGACCCCGAGTTCACGAACGCTCTCAATGGCAACGGTTCCTTGAACGCTCGCGCCGCTGCATTGGCATCTGGTGTCAACCCAGCCTCGACACCGCTCTCACCAACAATGCAGGCCAACTTCGCCGGCTTCACATTCACCGGCGAAAGTACCATGGAGCAGCAATTTGGCGGCAGCAGAACTCACAATGATCACGACCGAATGGAAGAGGACGAGAAGGACGACATCAACTGGGATAAGCCTGCGGGACGCGGAGATAGAATGTCTGGCGTCATCCCCAGTAACAACGAGCACGATATCTTCAACCATGGTCAGATGGACGTCTAGATGAATGTCCCCATCCGAAGGCTGGTCCCGGCAAAAGTCTTTCAGCAGGTCTGCTATGAGCTCACGAACCGTCTCTCGGTGGCCTGGATGCACCATTGACCTCGTTCGTATTCGTTTTGGATACCCGCATCTACCTGGCCACGCAGGCTCTAAATTGCGCTCAAGGCCCACCGCACATTTTTTCGTTTTGCACGTAGGCTTTTGCCACACGTTTATCACCATTTAATCAGCGAACGCATGAACGACATCGACTGCTACTTGAGGCATTCGTTACGTGCGGCCAATGAGATCGACCTTGGAATCTACTTATCACCTACGAAATCCGGACCTTCGTCTTACAAATCGGAAGACTACACGACCGAGTACGCCTCAGAGGCACAGCCTTGCCTGGAATGCCGGATATGGAACTTCATTTCTCAGGTTGCTTTCATTGCATTGCGTGGGGTGCTTTCGCGCTGCATTGTGTTTGTTTGAGTGATTAGTCACTTTTCGCCGGCGTATGGTTTGTTGTGCATCCTGCATGTTTTTATCCCGCGCTTCGAGCATGTTTGAGTTTGAGTCATTCGCATCGTCTTCAAATGTCAATGAGTGGGCTGGATAGGGTCAAATAAGGCTGGCACTCTGTACATAAGGACTGCACAAATATGATTACTGGAACTTCCGGTAACGTAATGGAACAATTTTCAATCACTCTTCGCCTTGCGCAATGTCAACATCCGACTTCGGCTACAAGGGTATGCTACTATAGGCATGGTCGACTTTGAGGTGGTGAATCGACATCGACCTCGGCAAACCTCTGGAGCTGCTCGAGCTTGGAACCGTGATATTGCCGCCCCGCTCACACCTCAAACTCCCCGAGCGTTACGTACCTAAGCTCCATACTTTCAACGTACAGTCGCAGTACCTCATCATCATCCCTCAAATCACACAAAATGAGCGACAAGGCCGGTCCCGGTGTTGGCTTCGAGTTCCCCAGCTACGAGGTTTCGTGGCTCAAGCGTGATCTGCTGCTTTTTGCAGCAAGCATCGGTGCTACTTATCCTGATGAGCTGCAATTCCTTTATGTGCGCCACTCCTCCAATTTGATTGCGGCACTCATACAGTTTGCTCCGCAAGCAACTCAACATCGATCATACTGACTATTCTACTAGGAATTGCACCCTCAATTCGCTGCATTCCCCACATACCCAATCATCCTGCCCTTCAAGCACACGGACCAGGAAGTAATTGACTTTTACGCTCGCTCAAACTCCGAGCCTATTGATGGTGTACCCAAGTTCGACACAAAGCATGTCCTTGATGGTGAGCGTAAGCTGGAGTTCATCAAGCCCATTCCCGTAACCAGCGAGGGCCGCAAGTTCGAGATCAGGAGCAAAGTGCTTGGTGTCTACGACAAGGGCAAGCCCGGCACAGTCATCGAGACAGAGCAGCGACTGGTAGACGCTGAGAGTGGCGAGACATACACCAGGGCTGTCGGCAGTGGCTTCTACGTCGGTCAGGGAGGATGGGGAGGACCCAAGGGTAAGTTTTCGTGCCTTACACAGTTGAACCGAAACTAACATTGCGACCAGGCCCCAAAGTCCCCAACTTCCCGCCTCCCGAGCGCGCGCCCGATGCAACCCGCATCGTCCAGACCACCATGGAGACCGCACACATCTACCGCCTCAACGGCGACTACAACCCTCTACACGCCGATCCTGAGCCTGGTAAGAAGATGGGCTTCGGCGGCCCCATCATCCACGGCCTGTTCAGCTGGAACTCGTCTGCACATGCCATTCTCCAGGCTTTCGGTGCAAGCAAGCCAGAGAACATCAAGGAATTCCAGGCCCGTTTTGCAGCTCCGGTGAAGCCGGCAGACAAGCTGATCATCGAGATGTGGAGGACTGGTGAGAAGCTTGACGCTGGCTTCGAGGAGATCAGGTTCATTGTGCGTGTTGAGGGTGGAAAGACGGTGCTGACGAATGGAAGGGCGGTTGTGAAGGTTGAGGGACAGATCAAGGCTAAGTTGTAGATGATTGAGAGCTCATCTTTTTGGGCGGCGATTCGAGCGTCGGGCCGGCGAGGGCTGGTGCTGGTGCTGGTGCTGGTGCTCTGCCTTGTTCCACCACCTCTTTGAATCGGTAGTGATTTCTGACGGCAGAAACCTCAACCCCAGGTATTTGATGAGGAAGAAAACTGTAGAGCGATCTGTTGGTAGAAAGCTCGGGATTTGCAGCAATAATTCCGTTGCGCAGGTCTCGCGTTGTGAAGTCCCCTTGTAAACCTTTTACAACAGCTAGACCCTTCTCTATCAAAATTGTGTGTCTGTTTCTTTTCGTCGCCTTCGTCTTCTTTGGTGGAGGCTGGTCACTCTTCTATTTTTAACTATCAGTCTCATTACAACAAAAATTTTAAACATGTTGTATACTGTGGTGATGATAATCTCGTCCAGAGATTGCTGCAGAGCAGCTGGTACTGGCACTACTGGGTGCACGATGCTCTTGTCGAGTGAGACACTGGCCCAGCGCTCAAACGCAAACTCGTCGTCTTGCGGAAACTGGGGCAAGTCGTCCATAGTATTGTGCATAGTATCAGTCTACAATTACAAAAATCTCCTTCTCATCCAAGATCAGACGCACGGAAGGCACTCACGCTCCAGGAAAGCACCACTTAACAACGGGAAAGCACATCACGAACACAACAGTAAAGCACGCACTCGCGCAGCTTCAATTCCATTTTCATTACTCCAGTGTTGGTTTCTCCTTTTCGCCTTTTCGCACTCGCGCAGCTTTGATTCCATTGCTCCAGTGTTGGTTTCTCCTTTTCGCCTTTTCGCACTCGCGCAGCTTTGATTCCATTGCTCCAGTGTTGGTCTCTCCTCTTCGCCTTTTCGCACTCGCGCAGCTTTGATTCCATTGCTCCAGTGCTGGTCTTCGGTCATCGACTTGGTTTCTCCTCCTCACCACCACCGCCGCCAGTCTGTCCTCCACTTCGCGTATCGATCGACTCGAAATACTGGCAGCAGCACATAGGCATGGAAGTTTGCTGCGAGCAACAGGGCAGAGGAAACAGTGGACTAGCGTGAAAAGCAGCCTTTTGAATATGCTATCCGCTAATCAAGTCCAGCCTTTGATGGACAGTGTCCAATCTGGTTAACATGCTGAGCAACGGCAGTCTTCCCAACCTTGGAACATGCTGGCAGCTGATAGGATGTGCAGCAGCTTTACAATTCTTCTAAGCCTACGACACGTCTTTGTCACACCTTTGAGCATATAAAGCGGTTGTAAGTACTGCTACTATGTTTATGTATACTGACACAAGATCAGCCTGAGTTATCAATACAAGGTCAAAGAGCCGAACTACGTGCACATTTGTGCTACGGTCGAAGATCTCGGCCTGGTAGACAATCACGTCACTCTGCGCACGTCTATTGAACAAACGGTGCCTAGGCTGATCGCAAACGCAAGACGCAAACGCGCTACTGTCACCTGTTGCCACTGTCACCGCTCTCCCACTGACTTATACCTCTCTAGTGCTTCTACACCACACCATCAACACAAGTTACCTCTTCTGCCTTTTTAAGCAGCAAGCCCACGTTCGAAGTTCAACGACTACACAATGGGAAACAAGCGACAACGCGACAAACTTAAGAAGAAGGCGGCCGAGGGCGATGCCAATGCAAGAGCAGCGCTTGACCGCCAAAGCGAGAGGAACAATGAAAGGCTTCGAGACTATTACAGAAAAGATCAGCCTCATCCACAGTCGCCGCCTCGTCAGTCTCATCCACAGTCGCCGCCTCGTCAGCCTCACCCACAGTCGCCGCCTCGTCAGCCTCACCCACAGTCGCCGCCTCAGTCTCGTGGTCTTTCTTCATCCCATGGTGTTGCTTCACCCAATCGTCCTGCAGCAGTATCTCAGCAACAATCTGGTTACTACAACCCTTTCTGGGGAACGTCAGCCGACAGCAATCGCTATCATGACAACAATCCACATGCCGGCCCAGCGTACAGCAGACAGCCTACGATGCCACTGCAGCAGCAGTCTCACGCTCCCCATGTCGGCCCAGCGAAGGAGGTTGCTGAAGCCGTGACAAGCCCCATGGCAGCAAACACTATTGCCAACAAGCGCGTGGCGGCTATAGTAGAAGAGGAGCCAGTTGATATAGATCCCACGCGCATGGCACAGATCTTAGGCGCGCGCAGCAATCCCTGGTCGAGAGTACTGCGCGACAAAGAGACTCACAGCATCACGCTAGATTTTGAAGCTGATGACTGTTTCACAGGCATCCATCCCCCAAACAAAAAGTCGCCTAAGAAAATACTCATCATGCAGTCACGATATTCTAACTATAATGCTTTCCAGTCAGTGCAGCAGCTCATACGGCAGTCCTTTGCCCTCGCTATTCGAAAGATGCACGCAACTCCAGAAATCTCATACACCCGCCTTATCATCTTCCACGTAAATACATGGCGTAAGTAAAGGCAGTATACCAGCTAAACTCCTGCTAATAACTATAGCATCTAGGAATCCATTACCACACTGTCCCACTCACAATGCAGGCAGGAACTGGGTGCCCTTTATCGAGCGGATCAAGACTATGCCGCAAGGCTCTGCAGTGGATTATATGATCCGTGGATGGGATGGCACTACTACAGTCTATTCCGGCCTTGAGCATTTCGTTAGGACGTTTGGCGCTGGATACTCCAACATCTACAACTACCAGTTTGACTTTGTAGTCTTCCAGCACCGCGAGTCTACTCGCATTCCACTTCAGCAGTTGTTCGGGTATGTTATTTTACCTCCGTAGATAGAAGACAACCTTGAATGCTAACTGCTGTGTAGCACATACTGGAATCCACCAGCTATTGGAACAAAGCAGCATGTCATCGAAACAATTATGCGCGTGCGCATCCATCCCCCTTTCACACACCAGCAATACATGGCCACTCTAGCGTGGTACCATATGTTTTATCGTGACCCTCTTCGAAGGCAGCAAAATTCAACTCTCGCGTTGATGTACGTCTGGACCGAGATAGACAACGCAAAGCGCAATGGCAACCAAGCTCTCTGGAACAGGGAGCGTCATACTTTTGTTTAACAGTGGTGGTCTTCCACGCACCGCCTGATTGGGTTTCAGAGCGATTTCCGCTTGATCACGTGCGACAGCTTCCACGGTGCCACCTAGCTTCATGCCTCGGAAACTGAAACGCTCAAAACAAAGGCCAACGCCAATTACGCCCGGCAAGCACGGCACTAGCGACGACTCCGCTCCTGCCTAAGGAAGCAAGGGACGATGCTCTCTTGGTTTCAATTGAGTCTGCGCTGAACCAAGGGGCTTGTCTATCCGTTGCCGCGAACTACCAGCTATTCAAGTCTATTCAACCCCCTCACGAACATGAGATAACAACCACGACTCCTTCCTCGATATCCCACTAGAATAGGCGCATTCCGCACCTCTCAAGTGCCTTGCAAGATGTTGTTCGCACTACCATCCTCACTTGCGGCCCTAACGTACCTCCTCTCCACATCCACAACACACGCATACAAGCCGCTCTCAGACAGCTTCCTTAAAGCCATCCCTTCGCCCGGCGACCTTTTCGACCACGACAAAGGCCCCCTCCTTGCGCCAATCCTCATCCCTCGTGTACCCGGCACGTCCGGCCAGACCACCACCCAGCAGCACTTTGTCTCGTACTTCCAGCGCGAGCTTCCGAAATGGGATATATCATGGCAGAACAGCACTGGAACAACACCCACTTCGGGCGGCAAACAGCTGCCCTTTCAGAACTTGATAATCAAGCGCGAGCCGCCCTGGGTGAAGCCGGGGCAGGCCAATTTGCTGACGCTGGTGGCGCATTACGATAGCAAGATCAGTCCGAAGGGGTTCATCGGTGCGACGGACTCGGCGGCCCCGTGCGCGATGCTGATGTGGGTTGCGAAAGTCGTGGATGGCTATGTGCAGCGCATGTACGATGAGATGCAGGCGCTGCAAGAAGGCGGGACGGTGGAGATGGATATGGGGATCCAGATCCTCTTGCTAGACGGGGAGGAGGCATTCCAGTCATGGACAGATACAGACTCGTTATACGGCGCTCGGTACGTCTGCCCAGCTCTCAACTGAGACATCGAAGGCTAATTCACGCAACAGGAGTCTCGCAGCCGAATGGGCCGGCGCGCGCAACCCGCCCCTCTCAAAGTTCTACCAATACCGCACGCCCCTCTCGCAAATAAGCCTGTTCATGCTCCTCGACCTCCTGGGCTCCGCGTCCCCGACCGTCCCCTCATACTTCCCCACCACCCACTGGGCCTACAAGCACCTCGCGACCATGGAAACGCGCCTGCGCGACCTCAAGCTCCTCGAGTCCAGCCCCAACGCGCCCTTCCTGCCCGACGTCAACATGACCATGTCGTTCGGCGGCATCAGCGACGACCACCTGCCGTTCGTGCACCGCGGCGTCGAGATCCTGCACGTGATTCCCAGTCCGTTCCCGCGCGTCTGGCACACGATGGAGGATGATGGCGCGCATTTGGATGCACCGACGGTGCGGGACTGGGCGAAGATTGTCGCGGGGTTTGTGCTGGAGTGGCTGGATATGATGGAGGTTTGGGACGGGGATGAGGCGGGTGCTAAGGGCGGGAGGGCGGTGTTGGGCAATTGAGTTTGAATGCGAGATATTGGATACGTCGAATTTTATGGCTTTTTGACCAATCTTCTAGTTGTTACTCGGTCGCGTGTTGCTTGGAAGCCTCTGCGTGTCGGTTCACGCGTCCATGGCGAATGCGACATGCTATTGGTATCTGGCAGCGCCTGAGTAATGTGAGTCCACACGTTCTCTGGTCCATGTACTCTTGATTTCGAAAGCGAGCATGGCCTTGACTCCACAGCTCCTATCACGGTCAATCCCTGTGGTTGTTATCAAGTCGCATCGCTGATAATCAGTAGCATGAGACAATGAGGCTAAAAGTCTACGCAAATTCTTGAACAGATTTCGCCATAGAGTCGTAGGATCGCAGACCAAAGAGAAAGCCGCTAGCGAGCTGTGTGTTCTCTCGAATTGAGATGAAATCAGTCTGCACATGTGGCGTCAGGCTGTAGCCAAGATTAGCACATGCATGACCCCGCAAAGCACCTGGCGAACAGCGAAGGATTGTGCTGCACTCAGGCGTCTAACTTGCCACAAGGCAGCGACGAGGCTACATGCGAAGAATCAATAACACCAACCAGAAGCTTCATTATTGGTGCGGTTACGCTCAAGTGGATATATCAGTTGTAATCTAGAAGTCTTTTGGCTGTGCGAAGGAACACTTGAATCGTTTCAGCTCGCCAAGAAGCGATTTGGACGCGCCCATATTAAGATAAGCTGCAGCTGCGTGTCCCTCAGCCTTTCTTCATCTTCATTTCAGCCTTCCCACAACTTCATTTCAGTTTTCATTCACCTTCATTGCAGGCTGTTCGACCAGTCTATGATCTATCATGAAAGTCCCCGACGTCTTCCTCATCCTACTGCTGACCTGCATAACTGCGCATTCCTGCCAAATTCTCCTTCTCGAGTATTTTAGAAAACAGCTCCCCCGAAGATTGAAGCAGCACGAGAACATCTGGTATTTACCTGCGACGTCCATCTGTCTATCTGTCGCGGTCGTCGTTGCTTCAGCTTTGACAAAGCCGAACACAACCACGCAATGCCTACAAGATGTCGAAGTTAACGCAGATATTGGAGGCATCGGGGTTCTCCTTGGACTGTTCCTGCCCACTGTTGTCATTGGCATGGTGCTCTTATCCGGACACTGGAAGGCCGAGCCTTCGGGGGCGAAAGAACTATGCATGGCTCACATGGCGAGTATGTCAACCCGACTGAAGCATTAAGTGCCTTCTTCTGACTTTTCAAGATTTGCTTTACTTGACGGTAAACCTCTTGAAGTCGCATCACGAAATTAGCATCCGAGACACTTTGGTTGCTTGCTCTAGCATTGACGCCATTAGTGCTTCCATTTCCATGGCTATCTCGGATAAGGACGTACTTGCTGCGCGCAAGCTTGTGATGGCTGGGCTCATACTTCAAGTAACGGCCTTTGTCTCTCAAGGCTTTACTCTCAGTAGACTTTCAAGATTCCCAGCCCATTGTATTACCGAGCTGCATCATCCAACGATCAGTTCATCAAAGGGGCTCATGTGGAGTTACTTTGTGCTCCGAGTTCTCTCCACTTTCTCGCTAATCCCAACAGTAAGGCGTCTCATGAACCGCCTGAACGAAATCGAACACGCTCCACGCCAAGGACTGCAGGTCAAAGAGGCCAGAAGTTGGGAATCACTACCTGCTACCTTGTTCACGAACTATCTTTGCTTCGGCGCACTTGCCTTCATTCAACTGGTTCCAACTCTCAGTATTACGCGAGCAAGCTTCCCTCAGTCTGCCGAAAAACTGCGAACCGAATGGGGCCAGAGCGCAGCGCTCATAGTAGCTTCAGTGGCCATTGCCCATGTCGGATTCTCCTTCTTCACCCTGTTCCGTTCAGATGCAATGAAGCATCGCCTTGCTGTATGTGAGGCCATGCGAACCTCAGTAACCTGGGCATTGCCTCAACGAAGTTGGAAAACATCCACGGTCGGGAACGTTCTGCAACAACGATCACCTTTCTCCAAAGTAATACTGCGGCCGAGCGACGAGCTCCTTGTGGATGATACGCAGCTTCGGCCGTATGCCGAACTGAACTTAAGCAAGGAAGAGCAAGACGGGCTCTGGGAAGAGCTGAAACTTGCATTCGTCGAGAACGACAAAGTATACATCATGGATTGTCTGAACAGAGGCGCACCAGACAATCGCCTAGACGAAGAAACTCGAGAGTATCCGATACATATGGCTGCTCGATTTGGTAACTTGGATGTCCTTAGCCGGATCCACCCTCCCGGTCCCCATAACACGCTGACAGCCACTGATCAATTTGACATCGAAATGCGGAACATCCTTCGAATCTCTACCGACTATTTTGATAGATTACTCTCTCCGAATGTATACGAGGAGACACCGCTTACACTGGCTGTCAATGTGAACCAGAAATCAGCAGTCCAGTGGATATTAGACCGTTTTCGGGAGATCCCGGGCACCTCAGTCGAGCTCTATGAACGTGCGGAATGGGAAGTGATCCGAGTAATGGAATCTTTAATCCAAGCCGAGAAAACAGACCTCCTAACCATCTTCATGCACAAATGCCCGCATTGGGAGTCGACGAAATTTCGGATCAATCAGTGGCACTGCGGAGCCATTGACTTTGCGCTGCTAAGCTTGAAACCAAGGTCAGCGGAGCTGATTATGTCTAAATGGAGACAACCCTACTTGCTCCCAGACCATTTATACAACAAAACGTTATGGAAAAGGCTCGAGGTTCTTCCTGAGACCACGAGTAAAAAATGGTTCAAGTTGTTTCGGGACAACTCCCCTGATGCCCCCTCAGAGATACAGTTCCGTGACGATCTGTTGAGAGAAGGCCACACCGAATTGTTGGTTAACTTTGGATACGATGGTCAATCATTATGCAAGGCTATGTTACCTTCCCCTCGCGAATATAACAGTGCTCGTTTCATGGCTGGATATCCTCGCGACGCCTTAGCCTCATTGCCTACCGAGACCCTCGACTGCATGCGCACGAGAACAGTAGAGGCTCTCGAGCGTTGGTCTGCAGCGGGCGCTCGTAACTAGTCGAACTTTTCAACAGCGGTCAAGATTACAGAAATTGAGCCTTTAAGAGATCTACTAGCCGAAGAGTTATCGCTAGGCAATGCCACAAGGATGGCCAACGCCATCTGGATCCAGCGGACGATCCCAGATGAGAGTCGCAAACGTTGGAAATTCGGCATTTACCGAGTGATGGTCGTTGTCGTACTCGACTTGAACTAGGCATCGTATAGGAAAAACGACATGATCAGTCTTTTGATAGAACACGGAGCGCTTGTTTTGGAATCATCGAGACTAGCATCTAGTGTGCTGGAGGATATTCTGAAAGCAGATAGAGGAGATTCCACAATCGGACACCCTACGTTGAAAGCACTACATCTATGTCAATTCTTGGATGAATCAGTGTTTGGTGTTCTCCTGAAGCAAGCTGCTGGCGAGAGTCTTCACCGCTCGACCGGAACAGGGTATGCGCTACACATATTGTGTGCAGCTATAGTAAAACCACAGCATTTGGTGTGTGGCTGGTGCTTTAGTACATGCTTGTGGGGTATTGAGACTCTGCTCAGCCTGGAGTGTGGTCCGCTGGTACAAGACAGCGAAGGAAGATTGGCAAAGCATTTCTTGAAGAAGTTCGAGAGCCCGCCCGGTCCTACGAATTATAATGAAGATTTTCACGCTCTTGTAATTCAGATCCGTAAGGTTGAGGGGACGCTAAGTCTCTGGGAACAGTACCACGAAGCCCCCAACAGGCTGGAAATGCCAGGGAGGACGGTCGAGTATCCCAGTGGGATAGGATATCCAAGTCGCAGGGAGATTCACAGGCAGTTTGCGATGTATGATGTTTTGAAACATCACAACACAGATTTAGGCAAGAGATAATAGACCTTTGAAAGATAGAATAGATCTTGAAAATTATTTTCACCAAATACTACCTTCTAAGCTTAATGTATATTAAGTAGATACCTTTCTGTCAGGTCCCATCTCATGTGACTTGGAATGGAACAACGATATATACTATAGCGAGCGAGGACTCACTATCAAGAGTGAGTCGTGATACCTTTTGGAGGCTTGCCTGGTTCAGTGGCTCAGTACTGAGGCCTGACAACTGCGCACAAAGACAAAAGCAACAATGAAGAAGTACAAAAGATAGTAATACTCTCTTCCTTAAAATGATGTATCTTTTGTGTACTACATGTCTAAGATGTTAAACTACAAGTACTATTCAGACCTACAACATATCCCTTGTGTCCATCTGTCGTTGTGACAACACTCGGTACCGTCTTGCTGTCTTTACGCGCCACTGTTTTCCGAATTTAATGAACAGTCCTGTCGAAGCAAGAGCAAGAACGGTGATGAGCGCAAAGGTCAACATGACGTTTTGTAGTCCAACCCTCGTGACCCAAGGGGTAAGAGCAAAGACGAAGATGGTAGAAATGACGTTACGAGTGAACGTTACCCCGACAACAGCATCTGCAATGATCTACAACGACGTTAGACGGGGACTGTAAATACAGGTAATAGATACTCACATCGGTGTACGAATCGGTTAGGTAGGTCAGGGCGACACTGCAAATGGGCGGCATTGCGAACGAGAACATGCCTATACCAACAGCCACGATAGGCCAGTGAAGCCCCAGACCAAGCGCATATCCGAACATTAATATTCCTGGGGTGGTCAGTATGACAATTTGCGTGAGATGATCTAGTCTGGCTTACCGGCAGGGAAGAACGGCGCAAACGCGAGCAGCAGCCAAAGACGCATCTCAGGCTCGTAGACACCATTGTTCTTACGGGCCAGCCATAAGATCAGCCGATCGCTGAATGGCGAGCTTACAATTGTACCGAGAGTATTGCCAACCAAGGCTGGTATGCTCATCAGTCCCACCTGAGAGGCGTTGAAGTTGTATGGTGGTGCTGGCAGGTATGTCGAGATCAATGTCACTGATACCTGGAAGGCGGCAGTTACGAGACCGTAAAGAAGCGCGACGTATAGAACCGCGGGTATAGTAGCCATCACGACGAAAGGCTGGTATGTGTGGTGCAACAGCTGCAGCACCGAGCCTTCTGACGTAGTCCAGGGTATCAACCGTCGAAGGTAAGACTTCCGTGGGGGTGGTACTGTTGTGACAATTGAGTCGACGGGCCGGAGATCGAGAGACTTGTGGTCGGTCGATTTGCGGTGGTCGAGCTCATCGCTGGCAGCAACGATGGAAGGTGTGCCGTTAATGCTAGGCACGAACTTAGTCTCCTCGTAGAAGAACGTGAAGAGGATAAGAAGGACGCCGAGGATGATGGCCAGCCACCACCATAGCCATCGCCAGCCTTGGTCAATGGTAATGTAACCTGCAGCTATAGGCATCAGAGAACCTCCAATAGTCATGCACCATACGTAAAGATTGTTCATGAGACCTCTCTCATGGACGAAGAAGACATCTATTCGTTGTTTAGTGAATGTAGAATAGGGCAGTCAGGAGTACTTACCTGCAACTGTCATCTGCACGATAACCTCCGCCAAGGCACCCAGGAGGCAGTTGAAGAGGTTTGTTAGGATGAGGTCGGCAGCATTCTGCATCTTTGCTGACCAGATCATGACGGCTATCTGGCCGATCAAACTGAAGAGATACATGGGCCGTCGCCCGTACTTGAGGGCAAAAGGAATAAACAAGATGGCGCCAACTGCGAGGGCTGCGGATCCAGTCGCGTATCCGTTGTTGAGTAGCTCGATGGTGAAGCCTAGCTCTTCCATCATGGCAGGCCATGTGGGCGTTGCCGCGGATATACTGTGGGAGGTTGTCAGTCCCTGTACGGAGGATCGAGTATGCAGTCGCAATTCACTTACAGGCCAAAGATAGCGACGGAATAGAGCAGGGTCAATCCGAAGTTGAGGTACTTCTCCCATGTCTTCCAATTCTGGTCCTCTTAGTGGAGTCAGCTGAAGAGAGAGGCCGTCAATCATACCAAAGGATCGTTTGGGTCGTTCGTTGGCTTGGGATGGAGGACAACTTCGACTTCCTCATGAAGGTCCCCGGTAGCCCGTCGCAACTCTGTCGCGTTGTCAGTATGTGTTGCATTGAAAGCTGTCCAAGCGTTCAGAGTGACTTCGTGCGGACCTTCGAGTGTGATGGTGCCAGGTGGCCATGCCGTCCTGCTATCGTCGGCGGTGCAGGGTGACGACTGCATTGCGGATTAAAGTCAACTCGATGATCGAGGGCAATGAGTCTTGATGGTCGAGTTTACGACTTTGCGCTCAACATATAGCGACTGAGCCGACATCGTCCCTATCAAAGCTAGGAGATGTGTGGCTGCCAGTCGCCAGTCATGGGTCCAGATCTGGGGTAAAACCTGCAGCATCAACAGTGATAACAACTGAACTTAACCGCTATCAAATGCCGTGCCTAACTTTCGGCGGCTCCTGGGCGTTGCTCCCCAAGAAAGGGACGTTCCGCGCGCCTGGACCTACCTATTTGGGACGTTTCTGCTCCGCAACCCCAGCCTCCATTACAAGGGGCGAGCATGAGCAGACCGAAATACGATCTTGGGTGTCGATCAGAGAATAGCCAATAGAGTCTCTCAGATGTAGGTATCGACTATTCAGATACCGCGAGAAACATCTGTAGGGCACCTCGTATCTCGTTCCGTTCGTGCTCCTTAACTGCAGATAGGCTGTAGGCTAGACGCCGCTATCTTCGCGAGATAAAACCGTACAATGAATGCATCTAAGGCTTTAGGGCTCCTAGCTAGGGTTGGCGCCATTTGACATGCGTACTCCGGATAGGCTGGCGTTGTTTGTCCCCCTCCAATGGAAGTACCGAAAACAGCAGCTCACGGGTCCGCGGGTTGCGGGCTCTCACCTATAGCCGAATCAATGCCAGCATCATTACTCATCAATATCTTCGATTGTGATTGCATCTCTTTCATTCTCGCGTTTCAGACAATTAAACTTGAAACTCGACACGAGATTGGCCCGGCATCGAGCACCATGATCGCAATGGCAGCCACTCGTGTATTCGTTAATGGGCGCATATTCGCGTCTGTGAACGCACAGAAAGAGACGACCAACTTCGCCGAGTGTATGGTCGTTAAGGATGACAAGATCTTGCACGTCGGAAGCAAAGATGACGAGTTGGTTCAGGAGATCCTCCAAAGCGGCATTGGGGTTACCGACCTGGAGAATCGTGTTATCATACCGGGCTTCATCGATGCGCACACACATCTCCTTTTCTTTGGTCTTTCGTTACGGAAGCTGGACCTTACCAATTGCAGTTCACTTGAGCTGGTTGAGTCAGCAATCTCCAGCTATGCGAAGAAACATCCAGAGATGCCCCGAATTCTGTGTCGTGGATGGCATCAGCCGAGCACTGGACGGCTGGCTTTAGCTACGATGTTGGACGAACTTGATCCTCAACAGCGGCCCATCTATGTCGAAGCACTAGACCTACATTCAACTTGGGTCAATACCGCTGCCCTCAGAGAACTTCCTCTGGATCATACCCAAGACCTTGACAATCACCAGGTTTCACGCGACGAAAGTGGAGATGCAACCGGGCTATTTGCTGAAGGAGGACAAACAGACATCGTCTGGCCTTACCTCAATGAGAAGTACACCGAGGAAGACAAGCAGGCCGCCCTTCAGGAAGCCTTCAACATGTATACTGCAGCTGGATATACTGGCGCGATCGACATGGCGATGGACGATAACGCTTGGGATGCGCTGAGACTCTATCGCGAGAAGAATGGCGCACTGCCTCTCCATGTTGCCGCACACTGGCTAGTCCGTCCGGCGGGTGACCTAGAAGCACAAGTCGACGTCGCCATCTCACAAAACAAGCAATGGCATCCTTCGTCAACGCCAGACTTCTGCGTTGTAGGCATCAAACTGATCTGCGACGGGGTCGTAGATGGCTGCACTGCCGCTTTGACGCAACCATATCCCGGCCATACTAATCTCATCGATCCTCTTTTCACGAAGGAGCAGATGGAGCTGGTCGTGAAGAAAGCAGCACAAGCCGATCTCCAGGTCGCTATCCATGCCATCGGCAACACAGCTGTTAAGCAAGCCATCGACTCGATCGCACAAGCCAACACGCCCGCAGGTCGCCACCGCATCGAGCATCTTGAGATCACAAGAGAAGAAGATGCAAAGCGTCTGGGTGCTCTAGGCATCACCGCGTCCGTTCAACCGGTTCACTCTGATCCGGCGATCCTGATCGATTACCAAAAGCTAATCGGGCCACACCTCTGGGACCGAGCCTTCGCGTACAAAGAGTTTCTCGATCATCATGCATGCGTGGCATTCGGCACCGATGCGCCGACGGCACGTCATCTGCCGCTACCTAATCTGTACAATGCGACGACAAGGAGAAGTGCTACGCAGCCGCAGATGACAGAACGGACGACGCCGCACCAGGCACTCACGATGAGCCAGGCTTTTCATGCTGCAACAGCTGGAGCTGCCTACTCACGCTTTGCCGAAACCTGGACAGGCAGTCTGAGGGCAGGTTTGCAGGCTGATTTTGTAGTATTGGATTCGAAGTGGACTCCCGAGTCGCTGTTGGATGACAGCGTTGCGGAAACATGGGCGAAGGGTAAAAAAGTCTATCAGGCAGTGTAATGAGCATGAAAGGTTCCTGTAGAACGTCAATGATCCATGGCATGTGTATAGCGCACGCGCATCGTTTTACTCTAGCTAAGATCCTCGTTTGTCATGTAACTGGATTTGATGATACTTGCGTAGAGCATCTGAGCATCGGTCATCCCATGCAAAGGGAGCTTGTCTACAGGCTGGACGGGCAACCTGACCTTCGCAGTACCCGCCTTGAATAGCAAGTGCGAGCTTCGTACGCCCAAGGCCATCATCCCGCCCAACACGATCACCGTCAACGTTCCATACGAGCAGCTCACGATCTCCCAACCCCCTGCGCCAAATACAGCCATTGGATCAGAAAATGTCATTTCCAGAAAACAGAAAACCCACACATGAAGCAGAACCCACGGCTTTCGAACCCCAAAGGTCGCCAAAGTGAGGACATGTGTCACTGTGTCACTCACACAAGACCTCGTCTTTTGAGATAGCAGCAACACCTGCAAACGCAAAAACACCCGCTTTTCGCAGTATCGTCATGCCCAGCAAACGAAGAAAATCCAACCATCGGTCGTGAGATACGGGTTTTTTGACGTCTCGACGGCAGAGTAAGCATGCCACGGGATTGTCGCATTTTCGAATCACAGACGAGAGCCGCAATGGAACAGACCACGAACTGTGTTTGTTGGGGTTGGGAGGCTGCAGAAAAGCAGACATAACCAGCGCAGCCATGATTTTTCGGCGGGGAAGCAGAGAGTCTTCTCATGGCCTGGTATCATTAAACTTTCGGTTTGAACGGCAGGGAGGGTGGCGGAGGGACGAGAAGAGCAAGACGGGGCTGCTGTTAAAGTGATAATGCACGGGCCAGGCCTTGCGCACTGATAGATTAGCCTGATCCAACTGATGTTGTCAAGAGTGGCACGTGCAAGCATGTGTGAGCATGTGTGAACATTTACGACTTGTTGAAATTGCCGCTAGTTTTACTACTATCCACGATGTGTCGACAAGATTCTATCAAACCAAACGCCAATTCGTATGCAACCCATATTTGATACCAGCTGTGTTGAAGGAAGGGATATGTTGAGGCGCCGGACTCCCACGCTGGTGTTGAATGTAAATGCAGCAAAAAATCAGGAAAACGGAATTACCACTCGGTGTTGAGAGTGAGTGGTTTAGGTAGGGTTGGGTGCAGCGGCACCGGTGATGTCGCCGCCCTCAGACTCCATAGGGGCACATGTGCAGAAGAGGTTGGTGTCACCGTAGGCTGTGATGTGTCAGTTGAGTCTCTATGTATGTGGTTGTGTCGAACTTACCATCGTCGAGCCTGGTAACGCTAGGCCAGAACTTCTTTTCTTTCAAGTATGACAGGGGGTACGCAGCATCCTCCCGGCTGTATGAGCGGTCCCAGTTGCCAACGATAAGATCTTGCTGGGTGTGGGGCGCGTTGGTGAGCAAGTTCTTGCCGGCACCCTTGGGCTGCTTGCCATCCTCGACGTCCTTAATTTCCTTGCGGATTGAGATCAAGGCATCGCAGAAGCGGTCGAGTTCGACCTTGCTCTCCGACTCGGTGGGTTCGATCATGAGAGTGTTGGCAACGGGCCAGCTCATGGTTGGGGCGTGGAAACCGTAATCCTGGAGGCGTTTGGCGATATCGATAGCCTCGACACCGGCGGTCTCCTTGAAGCCACGAACATCAAGAATGAACTCGTGAGCGCAGCGACCCTCGGCATTGGTGTACAAGATCGGATAGTGAGGCTTGAGTTTGGAGAGGATGTAGTTGGCGTTCAGCAGTGTGATCTTGGTGGCCTGTGTCAGTCCAACGGATCCCATCATCTTGATGTAAGCCCAAGAGATGGGCAGAATGGAAGCGCTGCCCCAAGGCGCACCAGAGATTGGGTAGACAGCTTGTTCACCACCAGTCTCGTTCCTCAAGTGACCGGGCAGGAAGGGACTGAGATGGCTCTTTACACCGATGGGTCCAACACCAGGGCCACCTCCACCGTGGGGAATGCAGAAGGTCTTGTGGAGGTTGAGATGGCAGACATCGGCACCAATCTCACCTGGCGAACAGAGACCAATCTGAGCATTCATGTTGGCACCGTCCATGTACACCTGTCCTCCGTACTGGTGAATCAGATCGCAAGCTTCCTTAGCCGCAGGCTCGAAAACACCAAAAGTGGAGGGATACGTGATCATGAACGCACCGAGCTCGTCCTTGTGCTTCTCGCATTTGGCCTTGAGGTCAGCGATGTCGAGGTTACCGGTAGCGGTGTCGCACTTGACGGGCACAACGCGCATACCGCACATAGCAGCACTGGCAGGGTTGGTTCCGTGGGCCGAAACGGGGATCAAGCAAATGTCGCGCTTCTTGCCCGGCTGCTGCTCGAGATACTTGCGAATAACGCGCAGACCAGCAAACTCGCCCTGAGCACCGGAGTTGGGCTGCAGAGATACGGCGTCAAATCCGGTGATATCTGCGAGATCCTTCTCGAGCTGGCCAATCATCTCAAGGTAACCCTTCGCACGCTCGAGAGGCAGGAACGGGTGCAAGTTGCCTGTGGTTTCCCACGAGACGGGCGCCATCTCGGATGTCGAGTTCAGCTTCATCGTGCAAGATCCGAGAGGAATCATAGAGTGGACGAGGGACAGATCCTTGGACGCAAGGTGGTTGATGTAGCGCAGCAACTCGGTCTCGGAGTGGTGCGAGTTGAAGACAGGGTGTGTCAAGAACTCAGAAGTTCTCTTGTACCCCTGAGGAGCCTCCACAGCAACTTCTTGGGAGAAGTCAACCTTTGCGTTGCCCTTGGTCAGAGTCTTGAGCAATGCTGAGATGGTCTGGGAGGTTGTAGTCTCGTCGAAAGACAGGCCGATGTGGTTGTCATCAACCTTGCGCACCAAAATCTCGTTGCGCTCCAGCTCAGCAATCAGGGGCTCTGTGTTGTTACCCGTCCCTACCACAAATGTGTCGAATGCTGCTGGGGCGTTGTCGAGCTTGGCGCGAGTACCGGTCTTGTATCCAGCTTCGATGAGCGCCTGCTGTACGAGCCTGGTTTTCGCTACGACCTGTTTGGCGATTTGTGTCAAACCGTTGGGTCCGTGGTAGACAGCGTACATAGCGCTCATGTTCGCGAGCAGCGCCTGCGCAGTGCAGACGTTGCTGGTGGCCTTCTCACGACGAATGTGCTGCTCTCGTGTCTGCAGAGCGAGACGCGCCGCCGGATTACCCAGCCTGTCCTTCGAAAGTCCGATGATACGTCCAGGAATCTTACGCTTGTGCTTGTCGACACTGGCGAAAAACGCGGCGTGAGGGCCACCGAAGCCAAGCGGGACACCGAAGCGCTGGGCATTTCCCAGGGCAATGTCTGCGCCAAACTCTCCCGGTGGAGTGAGCAGCGTAAGCGCAAGAAGATCAGTAGCTACGCTGAAGAGCGAGCCCTGCTTGTGAACCTTGTCCGCAAGATTACGGTAGTTGCTAACGCCACCATCGGTGTCAGGGTATTGTGCCAAAACACCAACCAAATCCTGCCCAAGCTCCTCAACGCGCTTGCTGTTATCCGCAAGTACATCTGCGACTTCGATCTTAATACCAAAACCTTCCGCACGAGAGCGAAGGACCTGAATAGTCTGGGGGTGGCAGGTGGAGGAAACGAGGAACGTCTTGTTCGGACGCTTCTGGCGCGAGGCTGGCAATGAACCAAAAGACATAGTCATGGCCTCAGCAGCGGCCGTGGGCTCGTCGAGCAAGGAAGCGTTCGCAATCGACAGACCAGTCAGGTCGGTGACCATGGTCTGGAAATTGAGAAGCGACTCCAAACGACCCTGACTGATCTCGGGTTGATATGGAGTGTAGCTGGTGTACCACTGGGGGTTCTCAAGCACATTGCGCTTGATGACCTCAGGGACATTGGTGTTGTAGTAGCCCTGGCCGATCAAGCTCTTTCCTGGCCTGTTCTGACCCATAATCCGCTTCGCATTCTTCAGGAAGACAGACTCGGGCACGCCGTTCGCCTGCCAATCTGCGCCATGGCGGTCTGAAAGCTTTCCAACGCTGAGTTCGCGATCGTTGAGAATGTCTGCAGGGATGACCTGGCGCACAAACTCATCCAAACTGCTCACAGGCGGGTCGAGCGCCTTGAGCATAGCCTCTGCCGACTCAGCAGAGGGGCCAATGTGTCTACGGGGAAATGTGTCGAGCGCCTCCGTGGGCTTTGCGGAATCGACACTCTGTTTGGGTGTCTCGAAGACATCCTCGGCGGGCTGGACAGCCGCAGCCTGTTGGAATGCTCTGAACTGCTGGCCATAGCTCACAGCTGCTCGCTGGGTGCATTTCGCGACCGCTGGGCGAGTGAGCTGAGCACTGCGAGTAGAGCGAGCGAGCCTTGTGGCAGAGCCCACTGCTCTGAGGCACGCTGTGCGCATTGTGATCTTTCTTCGTCCGCGGGGACTAGGAATCTAAGTGTGGGGCGAGATAATCTGGGGAAGTCGCGAGCGCGAAAGCTGAGAGAAGTCAATTGCACTGCCAACCAGATTTGGGGAGTGAGCCATACAATAGCTGCAGCTCGACCAGAAGTATACACGATTTGCCACTGCTCGTGCCGTTTGCTGTCGTGACGCGACTTGCAGGGAGCCGTTCAAAGAAAGTTGTCTACTTCAAAGACGCAGGGAGGAATGAGGGAGAAGAAGTCTCGTCAGACCCTTCCTCAATAATTTCCAACAATCGACCTAGCTAAGGTGTATCTGCACCACCAGTCCATAAACCGTCATTATCCGTAGCCCTTGACTGATTCGGCGCCGCTGAGGAAACCGATAAGAGGGTTGGCACCCTTACCGAGCCAACGGTCGCCTCGTCTGGGCGGCCATGAACAGCGCCAGTCCGGCTCGCCTGCCGTAGCTGCAACAAATGTACCAATGAGGCAACTTTTTGCATTGTATTAGACCTGAAAATGCAATCTGTTACTCCATCTTTGATGCTCAGCGACTCCGCTTTCCTCCCGCATATCACGAGCTTTTCGCGTTCGCGGACCCTGACGCGTTGCGGGATCGATTGCCCGTCGGAGATCGCGTATCTTTCTCCGTCCCTTGATAGACGATCACCACCTCTCCATCGCGGCCTTGGCATGTTCAGTTGTGCAGTTCGCAGTTTGACATTTCAATAGGATTATCACTCAAATACCGCGCGCATGTAGAGGACGCGCGCAAACTAGGCCAGACCATAGTCCAGACAGACGACATACTTTCTCACAAGACATCACCAACATCACCGACATTACCAGAAACAAGCGTTTTGTGGATTTTATATTATTCTGATATTCTAGTACTATGAGTGAATGGGCCGTGGGATCTCGGACGTAAGGGTTGTGTTTTTTGTCTGTAATCTTTATCTGTGGTTTGTGACCTGTGTTGCGTGTGCTGGGGGGGGGGGGGGGGGGGGGTCGTCAATTTAAGGTCTTTCGTTCCTTCCATTTCCTTTTACTAGATCCGAGAGAGGTCGGCATTTCAAGTGCTCTGACCCAAACTGCCGTCTACTCATACATAGGTAGTATGCGTCTCGGGACTCGGATTCAGATCATTCAGCATCGTGAACGACCGGATCCCTTCACGGGGCATGAAGGGGACTGCGTGGTGGGTGGCTGTTGGGTACGTGTAATGGTCGGCTGTGACCGGGGTCCAGATGGGCGCGACGGGTTTGGGCCGTCCATACTCAACGGAGGGGTGCTCGTACTCTTCCTTCGGGTGCTCGTACTCTTCCTTTGGGTGCTCGTACTTTTCCTTCGAGGTCTCGAAGGAGTCCTCAAACTCGGAGGGCGAAGGGTACAAGTAGGGCGCAGGGCAATCCGCGGGCGCGGAATATTCAGAGGGGGGAGAAGAATACTCGGGCGGGTGAGGGTACTCCGAGGGGCGAGGGTATTCCGAGGGGCGAGGGTACTCAGAGGGGCGAGGGTACTCGGATGGGTGAGAGTACTCAGAGGGGTGAGCGTACTCAGAGGGGTGAGCATACTCGGAGGGAGGGGTGTACTCCGAGGGGCGAGGATACTCCGAGGGGCGAGCGTACTCAGAAGGGTGAGAGTACTCGGATGGGTGAGCGTACTCTGAGGGGTGAGCGTACTCTGAGAGGTGAGCGTACTCAGACGGGTGAGCGTACTCAGAGGGATGATGGTACTCCGAGGGGTGAGGGGGCTGGGAGTAGCCAGGGGCCGGGTGAGAGTAGCTGGGCGTCGGCTTGACGTGGTATGTCGTAGGCTTCGCATAGCTGGAGTAGACGGGGCTAGGCTTGGAGTACGACGACGAGTAGGCAGGGACCTTGCCGAAGCAGTCTCCGAAGCCGTCCTGACAACCAGCACCGCAGTGGGCCTCAGAGAAGCCGCACCAGCCGTACTCTAGAGCCCGTTAACATTGTCTCTTTGCATGGCGGCGACACGGGAACTTACGAGAGCAGCAGTTGCCGTGCTCGAAACCGAAGCAGGTAGCGTCGTCGGGGGTTTTGGCACCACAGATGCCGTGAGTAGCTGGATCAGCGGGCTTCTGATACTCGACCTCATGATGATGATGGCCTGGTGCGCGGGCGTAAACGCTGTTGGAGACATCTTTCTGCGCTACGGCAGTAACAGCCGCCGCAATAGCGGAGAGGGTGACTTTATGCATTGTGGTTGGAGATCGCAGAAGCGGGAGTTTCTGAACAAATTGTGAAGCTGACAGAACAGTGGCGAAAGGATGAAGTGGGAGGCGGACGCAGTATTTAAAGCTGGTGGGCATCGAGAAAAATTCATATAGCGGGCACTGTACTAATGATGCATATATCTGGTTGGGAACATGAGCTCTACCAAGTAGAAAGGATGGAGCAGGGTCGCATAAAGACTCGGTACAGTGAACCCTCATCGTATCGTCGTCCAGTCGGCATCAATATCCAGTGTATCAGGGCGAACAAACCCATGATTTTATGGTACTGCACGCAACATAGAGAGGTACAGTCTGGAAATCTCTGTCATGTGCTGAGTTTTTCCCGGTTCAGTTATCCACAGGCCTTGGGATGGGTGCGGAGACGGCGTCGAGGCTGGTTGTGAAAGTGCACTGACTGAAAAGTTTGCATCGAAACATCATGGACGAAGCCCCTTGGTTGAGAAGACCCTGTGCCGAAGCAGCGTCAATGTGGCCGCCCACAGGAGCTGGAAGATGAGGGCCGATGGCTACGAAAACGGAAGAGAGAGCGACTGATTCGAATCTGTAGAGGAGATGAACCTCGAGGGACGCTGCGTTCGAGATAATCACCTGCCGCTCTGTAAGCTTTCGTGCGCATAGCCTTGCACCTACACGACGAGATACGAGGTGCTACCAGAAAGTCCTCAAAACGGTTCAGGATGAAACGTTTGGTACCGAGAAGGGAAAGGAAAGCAGGCATATTTCGAGCCCGGAGCAACCAGCTTGATCTAACTGCATACCATATCGGAGCTTACCTCTGTAGGATAAACAATAGCAAATCACAAACGATACAGCGAACGTGCACTCCAAAACGCCATTTTCCATTTTCAGTCCTTTCTATGGGGTATTGTAAGCACAAAGCAATCCAATTTGTGGGAATATGACCCTGAACACCGTCCCATGAGCGCTAGAAATGCAAAAATACTACACAAAATAATTTGAAGATGCCCCATCTCGTCGTCTACTCTTTACGCGAACCCTCATCAAAGATAGATGCATCCATGATAGTAGCAAGGACACATCACGGTACCCTTGGAACCAGTCGCAGCTTTCTAGACCGCAGGGAGCCTTGACTTATCGCCGCCCTTACCGGGTTGGAGCCACTCTGGCTTGATGATTTGGTCCTGTGCGCTGTAAAGCGCCTTGTAGGCGGTACGGATGGTGCCGTCGCTGACTTCGACGGCTTGGCCGATTTCTTTAGGAGAACGAGGGTTACCCATGAGGTGGGAGACAAAGTAGAGACAGGCACCGGCAATGGAAAGAGGCGACCGACCAGCGGCGATCCCGTGATCCGAGACGAGGCGTGCACATTCCTCGGCGATGAGCTGGATGAAGCGTTCGAGGTCCAGCTTGGCGCAGGCACGAGGCATGAGCGTCTCTGCGCTGGTGCTGCCGCCCTTGGCGAACTTGGAGGTATCCAGAACTTGCCCGTTGGTGTCGCCGGTGCCGAGTTCCTTCTGCCTCTTCTGCAGGAACGCTTCGAGTGTCTTGAATGTGCGACCCACCTCCTTCTTTGAAACGTTTGTCATCTTGAATATTTCACGGAAACTACGGTTCTGGCTGTGCTGGCGACAGGCGATGAAGATGCAGCCGGCGATGATGGCGTCCTGCGACTTGCCCTTGAAGAGCTTCGCATCGTCCGTAGCACGGAAGAGCATCTTGGCAGTGTCTTGAGTGGTCTTGCTGATGTTCTGCGAGTCGCAGAGCGTGGTGATCTGGCCAAAGGCAGACTGCAGCGACTTGTTTCCTTTGTCGTGGTTGCTCTTGTTGTGGGCACGAGACAGCTCGCGCACCTTCAGGCCGCCATCACCGAAGCCGATTTCAGTCTGCAGCTGAGAACCTCGCAGCAGCGGGTTGGCGGCGTCACCGATACGCGAGGGATCGTCGTTGCCTTGGTCGTCGTTGGAGAACGTACGCCACTCAGAACGTGTGTCGATGCCACGCTCAGAGAGCACGCGGCCGCAGGAGCCACAAATAGTGTCTCCGGCGCTGAATTCCTCGACGAGGTTGGGCGGCATCTCGCGACAGTCGGGGCACATCAGAGTGACGTTCAGATCCTCGGACCATTCTTCCTCCTTGACCTGCCTCGGGGCCTCCTCATAGACCTCGCCCGGCGAGAGCATGCGACCGTTAGGTGCGTACGACATGTTGCGAGTCACGAATTGATTATCTAGCTGTCTAGGTGGCTCTCGGAAGCTCCGGGGGAGGTTGACACCGTGGCGGGACGGGGTGAGAGAGTGTGGTTGCTTGCAGGGAGAGCCACGGTGCAGCGAGGGAAGAAAGGCAGCCAGGGCTTGGCGGGCTGAGACGGCGCTAGCTGGCTGAGGTAAGCGAAAATCGAAGGTGAGGGCGGCGGACGCAGGAGCTCCATAGACAGCCAGCTCCCACCCCGTCCACATCCAACATCATGCTCGCGCAATCCATCAGGGCCTCGGTGCGCCGTCCTGCGCCCCCAATTGACGATTCCTGCTGACCCGGAACAGCGCCAGGCGCTCGCACGCGTTGCTCGCCAGCAGCCTACCATTGCCCGCCGCACCTTCATCACCCCTACGGCCGTTCGCTCAGGTACCTCATCACAATCGCACGCCCACGCCCACTACTGACCCAATTGGTGCAGCCGATCTGGTGCAGGACCTCTACCTCCGCGAGCTCAAGAACTACAAGGTTCCCCAGGTCAAGGCCAGCGACGCCGACGCCCACGTCCAGAAGTTCTCCATCCCCGCGGCGCCCAAGTCCCCCGAGGAGACCGACATCGCGAGCGAGCTCAAGGCCTACGAGACCCAGCAGCCCGACGTTGGCACTGAGGCGACCGCAGAGGACGGTCAGGTCCTGCCCGAGGAGGACTGGTTCGTCGAGGAGGAGGAGTCGATCACCACCCCCCACTAAGCTGGCTGTGCTCTGACATTGAGATCATCTGTACCAAATACTAGCGCATGTGTCAATATGGACTGGGCAATAGACCGAACTTGAAGTACCTCTCACCGCGCGCTCCAATCACGTGATGAGGACACGGGCGGCTCATGGTCCGTTGAGCGTGGGGAAACAATGCTATGTTACGTACTGATATTACAGACCTGGGAGCATGCACTGCCCGGTGCTGTGGAGTGAACATACGTAGCACGGCTGCGGTCCATCGGCCAGCTGAGCAGACATGTATTGAGTGCAAGCGAGAATGCTTGATTGATGGATGATGCCTGCATGGCGAGCAAGACAGAGCTGGCCTGCACCCGTGCGTTGGTATTCACGGCAAAATTCCACCGGACTCTGTTGTTCTTGCATCTGCGTGCGGGGGCAAACTAGATCAGGTACAACCCGACGCACTTACATGCACAGGACGCTCAGCTGCCTGCATTGATGTATTGGTGGCAGGGTGACGAATACCGAGCGACTGACTCGACATGATTTGTACAGCGAACCAAGCATGTCTTCAGACGCCACGCGCTCTGTTCAAGACATTCTGGTGTAAGCGGTCTGCGTGACAGACGCGTCCTCGGTTTAGTCCGGTGGCCGCTCACCTCAGCCTCAGCGGCCCTGGAGCGATTGGCAGTTGGATCTAACGAGCGGCAAATGCAAACTGGGCAGGCGGAGCCGGGTAGCAGCCGGTTCCGATAGACTATCGAAGAACCGACCAAGAACATGCACAAGAGAACAAGGCGCACTCTGCGCAAATGGATCGGTGTTCGGGGCAGCGTGTCATTAAGCGGTAAGCGCGCGCGTTGGCCAAGTTGTGCCGCCCTGTTTTCAGTGATAGAGCGAATAATTAATTGCAGGGAGCCGTACAAGAGATTGCAGATTTCACAAGTTGCGAAAAACAAGGCTCACTCGCGCCATTTGGAGCTGCAGAGGTGGATGAGGCCCGCCAGGCAGCTGGCACGAGCCACGTTGGATGGCTCGCGGACGGCCGACAGCGTCGCACGAGGTGGCAGCAGCAGTTATGTGAGGTCTGCACGACGGTACTCCCACATCTGACCACGGCCCGTGAACAGCGTCACACACAGAACAGGCGGCAGCAGTGTCGGCAGAGCGCGTCCAGTGGTAATATTAGAAAATCCCTCCGATGCTGATCTGCACAAGCGGGAGGTACGCCCCTGCTAGCCGCAGTTGACCTTGTCGGCGTGCAGTAGTCGTCAAACTCCTGGACATGAATCGAGCGCACCTAAAGTCAGCCTGAGCGCATTTTCTGATACAAGCACGTCCACGTTCGCTACGGAAGGGTCAGCGCATCTGCCTGTCAACCTCTGCACCTCGCTGCGCTGCCTGCAGCTTTGCTCCACCTCTCCAACCACCCTTCCGCTCGTTCCGACCGTACGGCGAGGCTGTGACGTATTAGCCCTGTGGATCTTTCGACTGCCTTCACAGCCCACCGAACGGCCCGCCGTGCCCACCTACCAGAACAAACGCCGCTCTATTCCTGTTCCTGCGCCATGAACACGTGAAAAATAGCGCCTCAGCATCTTTGGAGTCGCCCATGGGGGGATAGCACCGCCTAGGCACCGCGCACACTCGCTTCACACCGCACCCTTCGCCGCCATGCCGCTCGCCGTGGCCTCAGCCCTGCGCGGCCACGATGTCTTCTCCAGCAAGTCGCGAGGCAGGAGCAGAGCCGCCTCAGAAGTCGGCCCCCTGCCCCCGGCCGACGAGAAGAAGCCCGAGCGCGCGCGATTGCCCAAAGCCGCTTCGTACACCTACTTCCCGCGCGTCAAGGGCCTCGATGGAGATGCGCCGGCGCACGACTCCGACGACGATCTTAAGAAGGCCAAGGACGTCGAGATCACGTCTGACAGCTCGTCAGGCGGCTCTAGCCCGTCCTCCGAAGAAGCCCCACAGGCCCTGGAGATGCCGCAATTGCGCCCTGCCCCCATCCAACGCCGGTCGTCGCGGTTCCTCCCCTTCTCCAGCAAAAGTAGGGAGCCCTCGATCGAGCCCAAGCCGGATCGCAATCGCAAAGAGACAGTCAAGGAGGCTGAATCGCCCGGAGGCTCCCCCTCGAGACCCTTGACGAAGCTGAGGAGGAAGTCATGGGTTGTCTCGCAGCAGCAGCAGCAGCAGCAGCCTGCGACAACCTCGCCCACAAAAGAGAGCAAGAAGGAGAAGAAGGCCGCTCAGAAGGAGGAGAGCGCAAAGAAGAAGACGGCGACTGCCGAGGCGCCGAAGCGAAAGACACCAGCGAGCTCAGACAGCATTCCAGAAGAAGCTGAGGCGAAGACTGAGGCAAGGGGCGAGGCCACAGACACCGTAGACGAGCGAACAGCGCCGATACCTCTCAGCAAGAAGAACAAGCGTCTCAGCGCGCTCCTGACCGCCAACGGGCCCGCAGTCCCTTCCGTGCCAAAGTCATTCTCCACCGAACAGCTTCCCCTGTACCCGCAATCAGACAGCCCTCTCACCCCTACCGAGCGCGTTCCTCCGCTACCCCGCAACATATCGACAGACAAGCTTGGTAACAAAGTCAAGACGGAACCGCGCAAGAAAGATGAGCTCTGGACCGTATTTCGAACCCTAGAGGGCGATCTGCGCAAGTATGTTGAGTGCCACCTGAGATTTCCCCATATTGACAAGCAGTAGGTTCCAGCACAAGTCCAGCTCTCTGAAAGCCAACATCGTTCGTACCAGCCTCCTCCAAGACTTCATCTACAAGTACGCCAATCACCCCTCGAACCACAAACTCAGACCAGAAGACCTCGATCGGAGAACAAACATTCTCAATGGGTGGTGGACCGGCTTGCTGGAGCTGGTGGCAGGACGAAACAACCAATCAATATCTGGGACAGACCGTCCAGTCATCCTGGAGGGCCTTGCTGGAATCATGGAGAGACCCGAATGGAGGGTTGCGCCATCCCCGCTCTGCCCGCTTGCCGACCGCGAAGAGGCTGGACCCACCCTGACAGCCACATCGGCCACCTCCAGCTCCTCTGATTTCCTGGCAGAGTCCGTCTACCACAACGTTAAGAACACGTTCCAGCAAAATCTGATGTCCCAGATGGCATTTGTAGTAGACAAGATGACCCCTCGAAACGCAGCAGCGAGTCTAGTCACGTTCTGCGGCAAGACTTGTGCGTATGCCTTCTGCTTCTGTCCTGGAGTCGCTGATATCATGGTACGGTTGTGGAGCCCTTCTCTGGAGATGATGAAGCGTGTGCTAGAAGAGGCCGGCATCTCGAGGATAGACAAGATGGATGCGATCTCCGACCGCATTTCAGCTGTTTTCCCGCCAAATCTCTACCCACTCAAATTTCAATCTTTGGCCAAGATGGTCCGCACACTGCGCAACCCTCCAACTGCGACACCACCATTGCAGATTGCCAATCTCGACTGGTACGGGCTGTGGACGAAGCGCTGGTCCGGTGCCGAGAGCGACCTTTTCTACGTCTTTGTCAAGCACTACCACATTCTAGTCACTGGCTTCCTACCTAACTCACCGACCGCAAAAGAGCGTGTTTGTGCGCCAGGTCTGCTCATGGTCCACGCGCAGGTACTCGTCAACATGGATGCAACGATCAACAGGCATATTCAGCCTCAACAGCAAGACGACAATGGGGGCGCACAGCCCATCACATTTGACGATGTTTTGAGCGACCCTGATGCCTCTGCTTCCACCGTGGCAATTCCTCCAGCAAACGCCACACGGCAGATGCAAGAGAACCGGCTGATCATGCTCATTCGCGATTTCCTTTCCGAGGGCAACTCTCACATTCATGCTGCTCGGCACATGTTTGCCGACAGTTTTGCAAGCTTACTCCAGGCACAGGCACGAAAAATTTCTGTTTACGATAGCAATGCGTGTTACACTCTCTGCGACTTTCTGGAAGAGGCGTTTGGAATCATGGTCAGATACGAGCAGCACAACACCGAGCACCATGCGGTGCTGGACTGGCCGTTCTGGTTGAAGGTCTGCAGAGAGATGACCGCCAGCGAAAATACCGCCACGGAGATCAAGCTGTACTCGTTCCTGTTCAGCATTTGGTCCACCCTGGTGCTAGACGAGCAGCGGAAAAGGAGTTTATGTCTCGACTTTCTTTTGGAACCTGCATTTTTTGAGAGCAGATTCAATCATTGGTGCCCCATGGTGCGCGCGTATTATATGCGTCTGATTTGCTGGCGGGTCGCACGGTTCGACGGCGAGCCCTCAGAGGTAGAAGTGTACGTGGCAGCCGCAGACTTTGATCGTACATCACTGACAAGAGAACAGAGAGATCAAGACAGCACTGAGCGAGCGACTGCGCTCCATCTGGTCTCACTACCTTTGGCTCGCTGAGGACGCTGAACGGCTGCAAATCGCCTTTCCTTCAACGCAGGCTTGCAATCCTGCGCCTGGTCGACGTTTCCTTATTATACGTAATGATAATCCCATCGCCGCCAGCAACGGCCCCTTCCTCACGTTCGACGGCGTTGTACAGAACCCGCATCAGCGGAAGCCATCCGCTTCACAACCAGTTCCAGAACCTATAGTGCAGAAGGTCGCGGCATTGACCGCGGATGCAACCGACTTCCCGGATGAAGAGCCCACCAAGGGCAAATGGGGCATGCTGAAAAGTTTTATGGGCGGTTCGTCGAAACCATCCAAGTCCAAAGCGGCCGCTAAGGATAAGGAGAGTGCGAAGACAACGCCCAAGACCTCCCTCGAGAAACCTGCGGAGAAGCCAGCGCCGACACCCACAACATCGCCCCCTCCTACTCATCGCACCTACAGCTTCCGCTTTTCCCTCGAGTGGGTTGACAAGCGTTTTGGTACTTATCAAAACATGCGGCTCCAACCACCACGACTACCGATGCCGGCGCAAATTCTCCTTCAACAAAAGAGCATACACACCGAGGCAGTCAGCAGCGTCCAGCCCACAGGCAAAGCTGCAACATCAAGCCGTTACGCCGGCCGTGCGCTCGCAGAGTGGACCTTTGTCTCGCACGAATGCCAGAACTTCTTCGACCGAAGAAAGAACGAGGGGGTACCGACCAACAAACATGTCGAGACACCAACGCTGTTAGTCGAATCCTTCAGGCGCCCTGGTTAGCGCCTTGCATCACAATTTCAGCATGAATATCGGCCGGAACGATCTCATCCCATCTTCACGCAGCACTGGTTCTGCCTAACGTCCCCCCCTGCATTCGGATACTCACACTCGGTCCTTGGAGATCCCAGGCGTTGCAGCCCCTCCTTTCTGGTCTCGGCTTTCTTCTCCCATTTGTCCGTCCTTTGTGTACCGCTTCTGCATGCATACATGGCAGCGCGCTTCTTGCATGCCTCGTTTCGCGGCCTTTTCGTTGGGTCTGGCTACCGTTCCTTGGGTCATACAGCGGCGCTAAGTGTTGATATGCGCAATACATACATAGATTTATGAATATTTCATCTGTTTCGGTGGATCTCGAGAAGCGTTTTCGTCTCGCTTGTGACAGTGCTCGTTTGTCGCGTCTGCCATTGCAGTTTTCACCTCCACGCTAGCGTTGTTTGTTTACTGCCACCCCGTGGCTCGACCTCCCGCTACTCTACTCACTTCAACTACCAGCACTATTTATCGTGGAACGCATCGACTGGCGCTGCGGCAGACCGGCAGAGAGCAAGGTGAGCGCGCACCCTCGTATAGCTTCGAAGGCATTGACTGATTTGGGTATGATGTCTTCAACGCCCGAAGCGCTGTCGCAGACGCAATCGCAGACACCGTCACAGCCGCAGTCGCAATTGCAGCCACAGACAGCGTCGCAGCCGGAGACGCCTTCACAACCGCAGCCACAGTCACAGTCACAGCAGTCGCAGTCGCAGCCGCAGTCACAGCCTCCACGCTTTAGTAATAAGCGAAAGAGGCGCGCTGACCACGATGCAGAGCTCTTGCCATTGTAAGTTGGTCTATCGATTCGCTTGTCTGTGCTGACGCGTTCGAGACTTCAAGGTCCCTCCGCAGAGATCATTGTGGGTACCGGAGACAAGGTAGCAACGTGGACCGTCCCAATTGCACTGCTCGCCAAACACTCTGAACTCTTGCGTAATACCCTCAGCAAGCCCGGCGATAATGTAGCGTCAACTGCCGCCAGGGTCACACTCGTCGACCGTGATCCAGCAAGCTTCCGTGTTTTTGTGCAGTGGATGTACTTTGGCACTGTCCCCGATCGATTCGGTCTGAGCAGATTGTCCACAGGCAATGACATATCCAACAGCTTCCTACTATGGACTCTCGGTGACTACCTACGGGCTGACGCGTTCAAGAACAGGATCATGAGCGAGTTGTACAACTCATACTCGCAGGAAGGCTGCGTCAGTGCCGCTCTCGGCTTCGTCGAGTTCACTGCGGCCGAAATTGGATACTGCTGGAGCCACACTGCGCCAGGCTCAAAGTTGAGAAAGTTCGTCCTCGACACCCTCTCACATCACATTATCTTCGGCAGCTACATCGAACTCACGGAGGGCACTGACTGGTACAAGCTGGGTATCAGAAACGCAGACTTGCAGATGGAAATCGTTGCTACTATTGCTGCGTCAGTCAATGCGTATAGTGACGAGGTTACAGTGGTTCCAAAGTTGAAGGACTATCTGGAGGAAACCAAGACTCATACAACCGGAGAAGACGACACCATCATACTGTAGGTACCACACACAAACGAGGGATATCCTAGTGAAGAGAAGTGATGCAGCAGCCGAAGATAGTGAAATTTGGGATATGCCTTCTGGAGACTTGACACTACTTGGAAAGCGAGTCCAGCACTTCGACCCTTGGCCTCAACTACTGCAGGTAGACAGACAATTTCAATGTTACTCTCGAACGAACAAATACTATGACAATGCTAAAAGGCGGCTTGAAAGCCAACCGCTGCCGGTGGAGCAACACAAAGCCACAAAAGAAGGTTGATCTGATACAGTTTGTCGCTGTCTAAGCATTCTTGATGTTCCTGAATTATACATGCTGACAGTGCTGGCATAGTCCATGGGTCGCAACCTCAACAGGGCCCTGAACCAGAGTTACATCTCTCAGGGAAAATAAATAGAGTACATCCTCCAGATTTCTTCTAAAAAAATCTTTCAGAAACAATCAACACAGTTGAAGACATCAAATCCCGCCTCACCTGTTCAGATTCACCGACACACAACACACAACGAACACAAAATATCAAAGATGACGAAACGCAAACCTACTCCGTACGAGCAACGCGGTTGCAGCCAACCTGCTTCCTCTAGGATGCGAACGTCCAGTCCACCCACTACCTTTAGGCCTCGCACGCCCAGTCCGCCTATTGCTCGCACAGACAGTGCATTCGAGTTCCACGCCCCGCTCTCACCTGGGCTTCACACGCCCCCCTCACCTCGAGAAACAACCGAGCAGCACCCCCTCTGCACGCGACCCCACTGCTCCCACCCATCAGCACCTCTCGCCCCAAACTCCGCGGTGCAGAGAGTCAACCGCAACACCACCGACCCACGCACCAACAACGATCAAAACGCCAAACACGCGCGTTTTTGGACCGACACGGTGTTCGACCAAGACCCCTCGGACGTCCTGCTGCTGCTCGCGGCGCTCGAGCTGCTTTCTTTGCTACCAGGGGCCGTGCGCTGGGTTGCCCGGTTGCCGTGGGCGTGGTGGGCGGTGTGGGTGCTGAAGGCGCTGTGGGCTGTTGGCAGGGCCATGCCGGCGTTGACGGCGGTGGGTTTGTGTTTTGCTGTTTTGATGGTGGCGGTCGGTTCTGGGGTGGGTATACTTTTTGTGCTGTGGGCTGTGGTCGTGGGGAGGGGGGGTTGTGTGGGGAGCAAGTAGGGTTGTTGCGCTGAAGTCGGATTCTCTTCGAGGGGTTTGGGTCTTTGGGATGTGGGAGAGGTGCTTGGAGATGGGTGGGTTGGGGATCGTGTGGACTCTTTCATGCGGGCGTTTGGTGTTTGGTACTAGGGTATACGTACCTACGCCGTGTAAATAAACAGGTATGAGCTTTGTATAACGATACTTAGCTATAGGACTATATTTACTTTAATTACTACTCTAGGATTACCTGTATACCTGCTACTTACACCGTGTACAGTGAAGATATGAATAACACCCACTATATAAGAGGTAGGCATGCTGCAATAAATCTGCTAACTGCTGTTAGGTCCCATCTCATGTGACTTGGGATGGAAGGGCAATATATACTGCAGTCTGTACTGAGTGAGGACTCACTATCGTGTGAGTCGTGATACCTTTTTGGCTTGCCTGGCTCAGTGGCTTACGAATAGTACTGAGGCCTGGCAACTGCTTAACTTTATTTAGCAAACACCTACCAATCCTAGTTATGTTAAAAGCACTAGAAAGCGGTCGGTAGTTTTAGATGCCGAAACTTACTAGTCACGTGACTAGTAAACTCCGAATATACACTCTCTCTGTCGGCATATAGTTCTTTACTCAATCAATCCATTGACTCACTTTCGGCTTCCTTGCCTCCTGTGAATAGGTAGAATATTAGAACCCCTTTCATTGCTTCCGGAGGACGCAATTAAATCCGCAACAGAGGGCTCAAGGGTCAAGAAGGCGCAGCCTCTGATTGGTTGAGCCAATCTCGTAGCTGATTGGCTGATGTCATGAGATCTTTACGTAAGTAAACACCAGGAACGTCACATGACGTCCTGCCAGAACTCCAAATCCAACTCCAGCCAGAAGCTCGATCAGCCAGAAACTCAACTCCAGCCAGAAGCTAGACAAGCCAGGTGCTCAACTTGAGCCGGAAGCTCGACTAACTAAAAGCTCAACTCCCGCCAGAAGCTTAAGTGTAGCTAGAAGCTAATGCTTCTGTCTGGGAGCAACCTCAGCATGTAATCATCAATTTCCCTTTACGCCTGACATCTCTACGTTTGGTTCTCATCGCATTCATGTCCGCATGCACAGTGTCCTCATCTGTACCCTGCGTCGATCAGGAAATTTTCCGTCTCGTTCGCGGTCCAGCCTCACGCATGGTCCTATTCAGGACCGAAAGAAACGAAAGATCGCGTGTTTAATGGCTGGGTACTAGCATCTGCAAGTAATTCCTCCCAGTAGCAAGCCTCCGATGTAGTGGCACGTACCCGTTACTGCTCAACTGTCATCTCAAAGGGGTAATTCATCTCCATGAAACGCCTAGCCGTGCCGATGTGACAGGCATGGCTCCACTTCGCAACGGCAGAGCAACCCCTCATCTCCATCGTGAATTTCTTCCGGCCGTCAGCCGAAGGAGGGTTTCCTCGTACAACGGGGTGACATGAACGGACGAGAACACGATGTGCCCCTACGGAGACTTCTCGATGATTCTCAATGGCTAGTACCTACATCTAACACTCCTATTGGTCAGTTTAGGGTCGACACCCACATTCGTCTTCTCACTCATTCATGCTACCCCCTTGTAGCTTCGGCTCTCTTGCATGATGCACCGTACCTACTCGTATTCTGCGTGGTGGAGGGGATATATATACTGTCTCCCACTTCCAAGCAATTACAGGTCATCATTTGTTTCTCTCGTTTCTTGACCACTACGTTCGTTTCAGTCACTCGTTATTCACTTCTTCTTCTTCGTCATGGTCAAGTTTGAGCTCTTGGCCGCTTCGGCCCTTGCCATGGGTGCGCTGGCACACCCTACCATCAAGCACATTGGCAGCGAGAAACGCTTCTGCGCCAACGAGGCTCCCGAGGCCATCTTCGCCCGCGACCTGACTTCTCGCGCCACTATCCCCAAGGCCACGACTTGGAACCCTCCCTCCTCCATGGTCACCGGCCTTGACCAGGTTTGGAAGCAGACTATGAAGGAGAACCCTGATGGTCTTAAGGATAAGAACTGGATCATCGACCAGCTCATTGCCAACAAGGGTAACCTCAACTACTGCGTCCGCTGGAACACCAATGCCCACAAGAGCACCGCCGCCAACCGCACTAAGATCACCGCCGCTCTTCAGCGCTCTATGCAGAAATGGTTCGATGTGCTCGTCGGCTTCGAGGGCTTCCCGCTCACCAAGCTGACCGTCAACACCGTTGGCTATGCCGTTAAGAACAAGAACGTCATCGAAGGCTCTACCTCCGGCCTCGATATCTACACCACTGCCGACGCCGATGGTGTTCCCGAGTGCGATGTTCGCTGCTACCGTGGCGCGCACCTCGACGACCCCAATGGCATCGGTTCGTGCCCCGGTGGCGAGAAGAGCCGCTACGATATCTCGCTCTGGCTTGATGAGAGCCTCGAGGGTCAGATGGGAGGCTTCGGATACAACTGGGGCCAGGAGCTGGGCCCAGATTATGTCCTGAACAACCTCGACGCGGACAACATCCACATTCTCCTGCACGAGATGGGTCACGGCTTTGGACTTTTGGACTTCTACGACTGGGTACCCCAGGGCCAGACTAACTTTGTCATGATGGCTGGCTCCGCTATGGAGATCACTGAGTTTGACGCGTGGATGCTGAGGGATTGGTACCGCAAGCTTAAGGCTGCTCGTGGCTGGTAGATGGCCAGTCTGCGAGGCTTGATCTGGTCGCAACCACGATGAGTGGGAGTGGGCAGTGGCGGTCTTCTTGCGTGCCAATCCCCTCGGTTCACAGCGGATAGACAAATGTGCCGGCTTAGAGGTGAAGTGCGATCTATTGTACATATATTTCCTTCACATACATATCATTAAAAAGCCAATACAGGGTGTAGGCCGTGTTCAGAGCAATAACATCAGTATCACTAGATGTACGCTTTGAATATATTTATCGTTATAAATATATCTAAGTTTGTAGTACTGTAGTTAACAAAGGCTGAGGATATTTTGTACATATATTACTGGGCTACTATAACCTTCTGAGAATTTTTTGCTGTCGGACTAATATACTAGCATACAATAGAATGCGTGTGCACGGGTCTAGTCGAAACTGAACCAACCACCAGGCAATTGGTGAGCTTTGCTAACTAACCGCGCCCAACCCCCTTTTTAGAAGTTGGCCCCCACAACAGCCCGGCTACATCTGCAGCTATCTATCAGCACGGCTCCTTAAGGCAAGTGGCTTACATAGAGCACAAGAAGCGACCAATCAGGCGAGACTTATCCGTCGGACAGCTGAATCCTGATGGAACACAAGAAGGCGCGTGTGCACAATCAGCGCGCAGCGTTTCTGATGTTCAGTCGCATCTCCGGCACGTCACAGCAGATGGGCTTCAATGTCATCCTCATACTCAGATTATGACAGCACGGGGAGCGATACCGATGTTCCCAATGACCATGTACTGGAGATCGATTTAGACAGCCTCGAGGCAAAAAACCTTGTTCGACGGGCCGCATTCTCGAACCTTCACTCTAGCGGCGTCCGACCAGCGTACGAACAGTATGTCATAACGGCTTCAGTTCTTAGTCATCCAGACAACAAGGAAGGGGAGGGGCCGATGATTCGTATCATCACGCGTACGAATGACTCTGAACGCGCTACAGGTGATGAGCGCTGGCTGTAGGTCGAATGCACTGGCGCGAAAGAGAAAGTCGCTCAAACGGGTTAGGCATCTAGGGACAGAGTGCATTTCTTTCCAAGAGTTCAAGGTATGTTAATCGTAGACAATCGCACGAATTGGGACTAACGTCGAGGTTAGAGATATGCGGCCAATGTTGCTCTTGAGCATCATGCCGACTCCTTGCCCGTCGTTATGTATTTGTTAGACCACGTACAGGACCATCACGAACAGCTTTCTGCTTACGGTAGCTATATCGAGCCGGGAACGGTACTGAGATGCGATGGCATGGACCGACATAATCGCCATAAGCCGGATCACTTTGTCACGTTCATTTCGTTTCCCTACTTCGATACAAGCCACGGATCGCCATTCGAGCCACCTGAAGATGCATCGCTACATCTGACTAGGAGTCTTTTCCAACAGTTTTATCCACACGAGGTTGCCAAAGATAGAGATGATAGTCAACAGTTCAAGAAGTTCAGACAGACTCGAGGCGGTGAGTACCTGCGAGTGCCTCAACTTTGGATACTGATTTTGGACTCCTCAACAATCGTCACCTGCGGCCCGACTTCGCTCAAAGAAATGGCACAGGCCTGGCTCGAAATTATCCCTGAAGTCAGCCTTGCTAGTACGACACAGAAGCTCGTACAGGTCACGGACACACGCAAGCGCACCACTGTTCTTACCCCTGAACAATGCGATTCGTACCTCGAACTCAAACGAAAGATACAAGACGAATGTCTATTCGATACAAAAGACGACATCGATCAATGTACCATCCATGTTGGTGACAGCGAATTAATGCTGGACCCAAGCCATTGGCCTTCCCTTCTGCGAGACACTCAGTCGGCATTGATCAATCTGGTTATTCGGCGCAGAATTGCCGCTGATACTCCGCCGGACGACACTCTGAAATTCCTGGACGCGCCAGAGACGCGTTTGATGATCGAGTATACAGACCTGGGGTCGGACGATGATTCGACTTCGGGAAGGGAGCTGATACTGCACTCGATGTCGTATCGGTAAGTATTGATTCCACCTGGGAATGAGTGAACCTACAAGGCTGACAAATCTAGATCACCGCCTAAATATCCAGTGCCATCAGGCACTAGAGTCGAAAGTAAGAAAAGATTGAAAGCCGCCGGTTCCGTGGGGATTAAGGACGAAGCTTTGCAACAGAATGACTCAGCGTTCTTCCAAGGGAAACAACCCAAGATCTTTAGGCGTCCGACTGTTGCTGAAGACGAGTCTAATGATGGTCACACAAGCGTCTCGTCATCTTCCAATGCGAGATTCGAAAACGGAAGTACTTCCGAGTCTCACACAGGAGATTCGGAAAATGATGGTTCAGGTTCTCCCATAGGCGCGAAACATGTCCGGTTCCGATATGCACAATCTGATGAGCAGTGGGTCACGAACTCGTCAGCTGCTAGTCGGAGCGTGCGTACCAGAGACTTCGACTACATTAGCGATGGCAGTGAGGAAAATACTGTTGCTGGTGCTGCAGACTCGGTCTCGGAGTCATCCAGTACCAATTACACCACACTTGTTGCCTCCAATTCAGCTCTCATAAAGTGGACTGACCCACTCAGAGGTATCAGAGAAGCCGCTCTGGAGTCTATCTCGAAGACTGTCAATGAGCCCTACCAAGCAAGGGTGGATGATTATGAGTCATCGATCAGCTCTGACGGAGGTAGTTCGCTCGCTGATCAGGTCGAAATCTTTCCATTGGAGCCGAATGGAATGAGGAGTCGGACCAGCTCTCTCTCCCAATCCGGTAGGCTTCGAGATGACGAGCAGGTTACCGGGGAAGGTACTCATCTAGGTGGTAGTGGAACTTCAGTCCATGATGATGATCCAAGCGGACCTGAAGATGCCAGCACCCAAAGCGCTCCAGAAGAACAAACGAAGCCTCTGACCGAACATGAGTTGAGAAAGGTCATTCAAGATGTAATTGGCACAACTCTGAGAGACAACGAGAGCCAACTCGAAGAGACAATGCGAACGAGACTCAGGAAATTTGGATTCCAGGATAACCAGATTGAGGCCATGATTAGTCCTGGGAATGAGCAACCTGCGGGCTCTGGGAGACCTCCATGTTACTCAACTTTACCGACATCATCTGGCTCGCTTGGTAAGTCGCAGCTCCTTTGTACCTGGACGTTGCTGACCGTCATTCACTAGCGATATGAAGGCAGCCAAAAGCCGACCAAACGTATTCTGCGAGAGGTTTATCTATGGAAAGACGAGTTGGAGATAGTTGAGGCTGTGTTGGAGCAGCAGATCGAGACCATCAACGCTATCAAAACAGTCCTGAACCCCGACTCTTTCCGGATCACGAATCAAGCTCGCATAAAAGCTTATAGAATCCTGGAGCAGCCCTTCGCTATCCAAGTCAAGGAACAATTCGAAAAGGTCATAAGGAAAGAGCTCCAGGCTCTATATAAAGAAGCAGACAAGCTGGCCGAATCACTTCGTCATAACATCGATATTGCTGAGGAGGGTAACTCGAAAGCCATCCTGATCTTCACGCTTGTGACAATCATCTTCTTACCTCTCTCTTTCGTGTCTTCTGTATTCGGGATGAATACCATCGATGTTAGGGACATGGAAAGCACACAGACGCTCTTCTGGGCTGTCGCGCTTCCGGTGACCGCAGTCGTTGGCGGGTTGTCAATGCTAGCTGCGTACGGTGGCCCAACACTACATCGATACTACAAAGCTTTGAAAAAGGTGCGGCTTGAGATTCATCCTGCGTTAAAGCGACCTGTCCGACCCAATGATGAGGAGAAGATCATTATCGCCGAGAATGACGACGCACCTGAGGCGAGAACCGTCAGGGGACGCAGAAGGCGAAGTTACATCCAAGTTGCGAGAGGAGACTGGACACGAAGAAGTCGTGCTAGAATACCATCCCCATCACCTCCACCACCTCCGCTCAGGAAACCTACACAAGAAGGGCGGAACGTCACGCTTGGCGACATGTTGTTCCGCTGACGCGATTACGAAGTCAGGTTCTGACATGACTTCCGTGGTTTGAGAAATGGATGCGGAGATTGGCCAAATAATATGAGATATAAGAATCGGTACAAGAGGGCAATATTCATGCATGAACACTCGGCGTAGCTGAGGAGACCAGTATACATCGTGGTTTTCGTGATAGACTTGCATTTGCGAAAGTCTCCACGTCCGCGCGCAAATCTGCAACGTGACGCTCAGGCATTTGGTTCAACAGAAATCGCATTCCAGGTGCCACTGTGCCATGCTAGCGTCATCAGATGCCCTCAAGACATGCATTTCCTTCACGTACATACTATTAGAAAAGTTAATACAAGGTGTAGGCCGTGTTCAGAGTAGTAACATTAGTATTATTAGATGTACGCTCTAAATGTACTCGTAAGAGCTTCGAATGCTTTTATCGCGATGAACATCATGAGTTTGCAGTGCTGTAGTGAACAAAAGTGAGTGATTGCCGAAGCTGAAGCCTTGCCCCACTCTTCCTCGCTTGAAGACGTCGGGCTTTCCAACGTCCATCTACTCCTCAACGCAGTACCTTGACTACATGATGCACACCAGCCCCTCTGAGCGCTAGACCACTGATTGCAGTACTCACTACGGCACCTGCAGTCAATATCGGAAGACTAAATGCGCGTCCTGAGGCTGGACCTAGTCACTCCATTCGACTGCATGCGTTGGCATCAGTCTTGTACCCTTCAGAGGCGACATGACCGGAAAATGTCTTCTATCCAGACTCATGTCTGCAATATAACTACCGATACATCGCTGCAATCTTGTCTATGCCATCTCTTAGCATCCTCCCGCCAGCCCGATAACCTTGGAACGGGGCATGGCCGAATCATGCCGACACCGTCAAAGAGACAGACAGATCATCGTGACCGTCGGCCCTCTTACCCTGAAAACCTCCTGTGACATCTCCCGCGAGTCACATTTGACGCTTCCGATCGTCGTCCTGCAGACATGCGCGAGGCTAACACGCTGCCGTTGCGCCGGCTCTGATTGGCTCGCTCGCCAACAACACGCCTCAACTCCAGAACCTCAACACCAGCGTGCTTCGTCCACGAGCAAACACGCGTCCATCTCATAGGCCGACTGGATCCCACTATTCCCCACGAATCTGGAGAATCTCTCGGTTCAATCTAATTCTGTGCAGCGTTGGTAGCGGCGTACCGTACCCACTGTCTTGATCCTCGCTTCTAGCACGCCGCGTTCAGATCACCTTACCATGTGTCTCGCTCCATTGGCTGGCAAGCCTTACGATGTATCAGTACGGGCCTTGCGTATGTATCATTCTCTAGCATCATGTGGGCCAGTGCTGTGACGAACCGAAGTCGGAATGTGCTTCGGAACGCCCCTCCATTTAACCCCTCCTGATCGCTTTTCTCTTTGTTTGTGTGACTTATTCATTCCTCTTGTTGATTTCGTGTACATATCTGCAGCATGCTGGATGTTCTGTCGTACGTCCCTAGGGACCCGTTTCAGCAGCTGACATTGTCGCTGTGTGTGCTTGGCTTGTTCCTTACGACGATTCTCATCTTTGCTTTTAAGCCTAGAAACAAGACGGAGCCGATCACGAGTAGCATAGAGGCGTACCTGAAGTTTGCTTACGGGTGTTTCTTGAAACCTCACACTGGGGACGGCACTGGGAGCCAACAGGATGCATTGGTATGCTGGTTCCACTTCTCTGAGTTGCCAGGCATTGACCGACATAGGAAAGCTTCTACAAAGCGCAAGCCAGCGTCTACGATGCCACTCGAGTGCAGCTCCTCCGCGGCCGCGAGGACATGCTGGGTCTCGTTGCAGCACAACTGAAGCACCGTGCTGAGACTGGCTTGATCTCTCAGCGCCCAGTTTGGGTTGATGTGAGTTCTTTGAAGAGATTCACTGGCATTGACTGACTTGGCGAGATTGGCGGCGGCACTGGTTGGAACGTGGAACAGATGAACAACTTCGTCTCGGTCCCAGACTTCTTCCGCGCAGTCTGTATGTAGGAGATTATCAACGCGGAGTTCCTACAATAACACCACCAGATATCGTCGATCTCTCCCCAAGCCTCTGCGAGATGGCTCGCAAACGCTTTGCTCGCCTTGGCTGGACGAACGTCAAAGTCATCTGTCAAGACGCGCGCGCTTTCCGCCTCCACGAGCACGAAACACAGGCCTTCGAGCGCAAGGCGTACAAGATCCAGGGACAGACTGTGCGCGATCTGGATGAGAACGCCGACGCTGGTGGCGCTGAGCTCGTCACCATGAGCTATGCTCTATCCATGATCCCAGAGTTCTACCCGGTCATCGACTCTATCGACAGTCTCCTGAGCCCCAATGGCATCGCAGGTGTTGTGGATTTCTACGTCCAGAGTCAAGTTGATTTCAGAGGCCGAAACTACATTGGTGGTGCAATCGACCGCCACTGCATGTGGCTTTCGAGAGTGTTCTGGCGCACCTGGTTCGAGATTGATCGCGTTAACTTGGAGGCTGCCAGACGGGTATGATGAGTCTTTGGTCTGGGAAACGTTGACTGACTGGGCCAGGACTACCTCGAATACCGCTTTGGTACCGTGCTCAGCGTCAACGCCCGCAACAACTTCTTCGGCACCGGTATTAAGCTTCCCTACTACATCTGGATCGGCTGCGGGAAGGACAGCGGCGCGTCTAGGCAGAAACTTGCAGAAATCGACGCTGCCGCCACTGAGTCGCCATACCTTTCTGCTCTCGATCTCCAGACTGGTGTCACACAGACTGATGTCGAGGTTCGATCAAAGGCGTACGAATCGGCGATTGTGAACCTCCAGTCATCGCTCCCCCTGCCCGCCACGTGGTACCAAAACCACCACTGGCGGATTCACTACGATTCAATGCTTCTCAAGCACACCCGATTCAACAACTCATACATCTACGCTTTCACCTGGGAGGATGATGTCGCAGACCACCGCATCCTCAGGCCTACAGCCAACGATGTCATTCTTGCTATCGGGTCTGCAGGCGACAACATTCTGTCCTTCTGTCTGGCCAACCCGCGCCGTGTCCACGCAGTCGACTTGAACCCGTCTCAAAACCACCTTCTCGAACTCAAAGTTGCCGCTTTCACAGCCCTCGGCTATCAAGACGTCTGGAAGCTTTTTGGCGAGGGTAAGCACAGTGACTTCAAGAACATCCTTGTCCAGAAGCTCAGCCCCCATCTCTCGAGCGACGCCTTCCAGTTCTGGCTCCATAATGGGCCTTCGGTTTTCTCCAAGTCCTCAAAAGGGCTCTACTACTCTGGTGGCTCCGGTAACGCACTCGCGATGGGAGGCTGGCTGTTCCTCCTCCTCGGCATGTCTGCAGACGTGAAGAAACTCTGCGAAGCCCAGACTCTCAACGAGCAGCGCGAGATCTGGCAACGCAGCATCAAGACGGTTCTGCACTCCAAGATCCTCACATATTGCATCCTCGGTAACGAAAAGTGGCTGTGGAAAGCGCTCGGCGTACCCCCGGCCCAGCGCGCCGTCATCGAAGCAGACTTTGTCAAGACGGCCGACTTCTCCGAGACCAAGACCAAAGACGCAGGCGAGGAATACATGGCGTTCCACGACGAACCCTCCGACGAGGCACTAAAGCAAACATCCGGCAACGCCATCTACGAATACGTCCTAAACACCTTCGAGCCCGTCATCAACACCACCCTGCTCAGCACCCAGAACCACTACTACCTCCTCACCCTCCTGGGCCACTACACACCCACCTCGCACCCCACCTACCTCTCCCCCAAGAGCCACGTCCGGCTCAGCAAGCCCAACGCCTTCAACGGCCTGCGCATCCACACCGACGAGATCAGCGAGGTGATTGCACGCATGCGCCCCTCGACACTCACCATCGTCGTGGTCATGGACAGCATGGACTGGTTCCCGCCGACAGGCCAACAAGCGCTCAAGCAGATCCGGGCGCTGAACCGGGCGCTGCAGGTCAAGGGCCGGGTGATGCTGCGCAGCGCGGGGCTGGAGCCGTGGTATCTGAAGGTGTTTGGCGAGAACGGGTTTAGCTGCAAGAGGGTTGCTGTGAGGGTGCCGGGGAGCTGCATTGACCGGTAAGTGGTCGTTGGAGTCGTGTGAGAGTGTTGCTAACGGTGTGCAGGGTGAATATGTATGCGTCGACGTGGATTTGTACCAAGGAGGTTGGGCTGGGGCAGGAGGATGTTAACACAAGACTGAGGCAGGCTAGTTTGGCGGAACTGAGGCTGGAGGCGCCGGCTATGCGGGTGGATGAGTAGACGTGCGGTTGTCGAGTGAAGATACCACATCCTGAATTTACGCGAGTTCTCCAAAATGCAAACTGTTCTGACTGAGTTGTGTCCACAGTTAGCAACAGACATATGTGATAGCGCGCGGACAGAGATGAGGTTTTTGACAGCCTCCAGATGCCTCTTGCCAGTTCGTTCGCAGTCAAATCTTCGTCTGTAGCCAGCTCTGTTCGTGCGGCTGCAAGGTATCAGTCTGACATCGAGTTACAACTGAGTTCAACGGCCACGCGAATGTATACTCGATAGCGTCAATATCCAGCTCGACAGTGAGCGACTGATAGTTCTGAAAGAGTTCGCGTCAAGAAGTTCAGACTTGGAGGGAACTTCGCAGGGCAACTTCACGCAAACCCTCAATTTTCGGACCACATGACAACGCAAACATTGTCCTGGGATTGTTGCGGACTCGCAGACATGAACAGTGACGGGCTCTTCAATACCGCCAGCACATCGACTTTTGACGCGTCTGATTATTCTTTCGCTCGTCGCGCCTCGGCTGTCGAAACCCAAAAACACACCAGACTGACCGACCCAAAGAAGCTGCGTCGTCGAATACGGTGCAAGGAGTGTGCCATCACAGTCGTTTTTGAGCAGGCACAGCTGTGGTTGTAGCGTGCAGGCACGACTGCATCCGCGCTACAGTCGACGATTTGGCGCTACAGTCGACGAATACGGCGCTACAGTCGGCTAAACCAGCGCTACAGCCGCCTCAAACGGCGCTACGCCGGTGCACACCCGCGCTACGGCGACCCAACTACGCGCTACGGCGAGTAGCACCCGCGCTACGTCCGACCACACTCGAACTACGTCGAGCCACACCCAACGCTGCTTCCAACCGCACCCACGCTACAGCGCGCACACCTGCGCTACGCTTCGAGCAACACCGCACTACAGTCCTGTCTACGACGAACGACTCCAGCGCCGTAGTGCCCGTCTCACCGTCCGCACTCCATCAACACCATGCATCTGCGCAGGGTGCGCACCCGTGCAGTCGCCGTTGCATCGTGATGCACGCCGTGGTCTGCGCGCTCTCCACCGGCTGGACGTGGTGCGAGTGTAGAGTAGGTGCAACCCGCTGTAGTACAGCACCAGCCGCACTCCGGCCAGCGTAGGTGATGCGCTTCTTCTACACTTCCCGATTGGGACTGTAGTGTGATGTAGTCACCGGTGCGCCACTGCACTCCCGACGCACACCCGCTCACACTGCCGCTCCGCAGCACCGCATCACATCCTCTTGTCGCTGCAGATGCACTTGTCATGCTGGTCAATTCCACAACTCGCGCCGGGAAACTTGGCTTCGAATTGCAATCGCAGCTGTCTCAACACAAGCTTCTTTGTCCGTTACGCTCGGAGCTGGCAACGATCGAACGCCGGTATTCAATGGCGAGCAGACCAATTGAAGCTGCGTGACAACCTCCACGAGCCTTCTCCTGGCTTGTTTGCCGTCGATTATTTGTGTGTAGCCAACTCTGACGCTGCACTCCCGATAAGGGCCCGAATTGGGTACTGCATCAACCAAGACAGAACAACGTTCTCACCAACAATAACCACAGTCCGAGAGTCACGATTTATACCGTTTTATGCCATTAGTTCGGTCATCTGACGCAGCACCAAGCTCGTCAGTCCGTGAAAACTCACGAGCAACCGCACAACCATCACTCAAGGACTCGACTTGGACAGATTCAATCAGCATCGATTCAACCCAGGTCTAAAACTCCATACGCCGCGCTAAATAGCAAACCCGCTTTTTCACCCCCTACTCGCTCTTCAACAACTCTCCTGCGCCTTGAAACCCTTTCTTAGCGGGAGGAAGCACCTTGGTGCACTCGACCAGCTTATTCACATTCCCGACCCCCAGCATACTAACCCGGATATACGAGTACGCATAGTCCTCGTTCCAGTGGTGCTGCGCATCGCTCCCCATCGAGAACCGCTCCCACTCGCCCGCCGTCCGTGGGTCCTTGGCCAGCACCACGTCGCTCTGGAACCGCAGCACGTTCTTAGGCATGGGGCCCAGCCCCAGCGTCTGGTTGTAGAAAAGTGTATCCCAAACACCAGGTGTGCCGTCCTGGGGCGCGCCGGGCCGGCGCGGGTCGACTGTGGTTTGGGTTGATGTTGTGTGGGCGCCGAGCAGCGCGACGAGCGAGTGTGGGGAGATTGTTTTGGCGCGGAACAAGGCGATCAAGGAATCAGCGGAGTCTGTGACGCCGGGGAGCAGCCCGTTCTGGCTGGGGCGGCTGGAATCCTTGCGACCGACGAAGGTGCGGATGCGGGGGCCGAGGGGGCATGCTGGTGGTTGTTAGTGAAAGATCTGTGAGTGGAGAAGATATGGGGAAACGTACTGACAACGGCGTGCTTCGCGGCGAACTGGATCAGGTCCGCGACGCCGACGCCAAACGGCTTGTACTTCAGCTGCAGAACACGCAGGATGCTGACGATGTTCTGCAGCCCCTTGTTGTCCGCGCGCCCAATCTCCTCGCGCGCAAGCATGATGCTGCCATCCGCGCCGCCAAAGTCAAGGCCCTCCTGCCACGTCCCCGCGTCGTGGAAGCCCAGTCGGATCGCCGTGCGCGCGTTCTCGTTGCACCGGCCCGAGGGCCCGCGGAAGAGCTTCGTCAGATCCAGCGCGACGTAGGCCCACACGCAGCACGTGTCTGCCTTGCACTTGGCCGACGCGAGCGCGCCGGGGATCGTGTATGTTTCGTCGCTCTGCCCGGACTCCTGCTCGAGTAGGATGCGGGCGATGCTCTTGCCGACGGGCGTGGACCCGCCGTCTTTGATGTCACCGATCAGGACTGGGGCGTCGTCTTCTCCCTCGGGTGGCTCGACGTTGGGGTCGTTCGGGTTGGGAGTTTCGGGCGTCTGGATGTCGGTTGGGTTTGCGACTCCGACGGGGTCCTGGCGCCGGGCGAGCGTGGAGAGACGGCGGAAGCCTGGTCTTACGGTGCGCTTCACCCGCTGCTCGATCTCGCGCACTGTGGTTGCCATGCCGGGGTGTGCGTAGGTGCACTCGATTAGTGTGAGGGCGCCGAGGCCGCCGACGATGATGGGTGAGATCTTCATATTGCAGTAGAGACGATGGACTTGATGAATGACTTGATTGAAACGAGATACTTGACATGGCCAGAGACACTTATATCATCTTCACTTCAGCACACAAGTCCAGCCAGCTCCAGTCCTCACCTCGCCGTGCACTCTTTGACGCGCATCTAGATACCCAAACTGCGTGGTTCAACGGGTACCTAGTTAGCGAACGACTTCCACCACGAGGCTGTGCATGGACGTTCTCATGGCCTAGAAAGGAATAAGTCGTTCTCGAAAGAGGAAAGTATAGTCCCCGAAAGGATTAGCAAGAAATAAGGTTTTCCCAAAAAGCAATACTCCTCGCCGTTGACGCATCTAGCGCAGATCCAAGTACCCAGGCCTCCGGATTGAGAGGGCGTGTAGCGAGGACGGCGCGCTGATTACTACTCGGCAGCGGCTTTGACAGATCCAGGGACGGGGACTGGGACTGGGGGAGGGGATCCAAAACTGGTACAGGCACGCCTAAAGAGGAAGATGTCAAAATCTCTTGCCGCTATCCAGGTCAGCTTTGCAGGCTTCTTCCGCAGCCGCGTCCCAGCTGGCACTTTTGCAGGATCCAGTCTTTCCTGCCGCGGGCCACCAGCGCTGCTGGACGGCACTGCGGAGCGCACACACTGCACAAGGAGTCGTGGTAACCATCACCTCATCACTGCTTCTTCAGGACTTGCTACCACTCATAGCTAACAGCTTGCCTGTGGTGTACGCAGCAGCAGACCCGCGAGTCCAGAGCCCCCCTTCGTATCCACTCAGCGCAGCCGTTACTCAAATCCCTCGGACCCAGCCCAGCCCTGTCGCCCGGCCTCTAGAACCCGCCCGCCATGCCCTCGAGCCTCGCCCGCTAAACATAGCAACCTCGCCCAAACTCCCTCTCCGCCCCGAATCCCGCAGCCACTCACAAATCTCGTATCCCGCAGCCAGGAGCACCGTAATAAGCCACGCCTCGCCCCAGACCCGGACTGCCCACTGCACTGGACATCCCAGAACCAGATACGCTAGGTCCCGGACCCAGACAATTCCTGCCACGCCTCGCCTGAACGGGCAGGCCAGCGCCTATTCCTTTGTCTTCAACGGCCGTCTAGGCTAGGCTGGGACGACTAGGCTGGGACGACTAGGCTGGGACGACTAGGCTGGGACGACTAGGCTGGGACGACTAGGCTGGCATGGCAAGGCTAGGCTGGCAAGGCTAGGCTGGCAAGGCTAGACTAGGCTATGGTGGTCCACGAACCGGCAGGCGGGAGCAAGCTTTTCCAGACTCCTGGAGTGTGGAGTGTGGATCTCCGGGGATCGTGTGCTGTACTGTAGCTGAGGTATCTCGTATAGCTGCGGGGATCGTCCACGAGGCTGATCGTCCACGAGAGCGATCGCCCAGCTGAAGCTCGAGAGGCGAGTACGAGACCTACCTACCAAAGTACCTGGATATATCGGATCATGTCAATTCAGCCCAGTGATCTGCGCGTCCTGTCGTCTTGCGAAGGCATCGCCGCCATACCACAGCAGCGGCGGGGGAGCGGTTTGTACACGCCCCGAGGCTTCGAGACTCCGGGGCTCAGGCTTCGGGGCTCAGGCTTCGCGCCCACAGCAACAGCAAAGGGCTGTCGACGGGCCGCTCGCGGTTAGCCCCCAACAGCATTTGAATAAGTCTTGTGCTGCATTTTGCTGCTACGAGAGTACGAGCGTCCAGGAGCGGCGCGCGGCAGGCAGGGGGACAAAGAAAGGCTTGGAGGGGAGGCTGGGCGGGGGGTTGCTGGATGCGGTGGGCACGTGAAGTTGAGCACGTGACGTTTAGCACGTGACACTCAACACGTGACTTTACAAACACGTGACCGTGCGGTCTAGAGGCATCTGGGATCCGGGGTCTGCCTGCAGGTACCCGTCGCGCGAAACACGCGCACGGTTTCAAACACCAGCGGGAGCTCTACACGAAACACATGGTGGCGTGAAGAAACAGCATGTGGCAGACGAGTCAACTTTCGATTTCTCTGCGCGGTTTTTTGGCGGCCACACAACCATCTAAACAGAGCCAGGGGGGGCTACAATAGTGATACAGGAAGGTTCGCCAAACGTGGCGGTCGTATTACAGCAGACCAAAGAAGATGCAATCCAAGCGCCGGGCAATGCAAACGTGAGGGTGTTTTTTTACTCGTGGTAGTACGTCTCGAAGGCGTAGATGACGCCGAAGACCAGGAACGCGATGGCGCCGCCGAGCGTGACTGTGGGGTATTAGCGTGACGTTGAAGTTGAAGTTGAAGTTGGGGATGCACTCACCATTGCGCATGCTGATCTTGCCGGCGATGGCGCGGCCGCCGATGACGGCGCCGGCGGTGCACAGCGCGTGGCCGACCGTCGCGCCCGCCGTCACCCACCAGTAGTCCGAGCCGGCGGCCATGGCGACGGTGGCGATCTGGCTGCGGTCGCCCCACTCGCCGAGGAAGGTCATGACGAAAGTCTGGACCCAGGCGGGGCTGAGCAGGAGGGAGAAGAGGTTGTTGATGCCGCTCAGGGCGCCGGCGAACGAGGAGCCGCGGGCGGGCGAGCGGTCGGGCGAGGTGGAGGGGCTGCGGGCGGGGGCGGGCAGGCGCGAGTTGGAGCGCGAGCGGCGGACGCGGCCGGACTCGAGGGCGTAGGGCGAGATGGAGGCGCGGCGGCGGCCCTTGGAGCGGGCCAGCTGCTCCTTCTCCTCGAGCTCCTCCTCGACCTCGCGCATTTCCTCGCCGACGCCGTCGTCGGGGCTCATGGCCAGGCCCTCGCGCAGCAGCTTGACGCCAAAAACCAGGAACAGCACGGCAGCGGCCAGGTGGGTGAAGCGCTCGGAGAGGAAGGCCGGCACGGCGTGGCCGAGCACGGCGGACAGCACCGTCATGACGGCGAGGGCGGAGAAGGCGGCGGAGAAGACGACGAGGCGGGGGTGGCGCATGGCCATCAGGGCGGCGACCAGGAAGGTCTTGTCGCCGATCTCGGAGAAGAGGATCATGGTGAAGGAGAGCACGAAGGAGTGGAAGGGCTGGATGACGCCGCTGGCCTCGTCGTCGGACAGCGAGCCCGGGATGGCCGAGTGCGGCGGCTTGTGGGTCGTGTCGAGCGGGTCGGCCTTGGAGAGCGAGTCGGGCACGGGGTTGGGCTGGTCGTCGTGCGGCGTGCTGGGCAGGTCGGTGGGCTTCTGCAGGGCGGTCAGCGGCGGCACAGCAGTTAGTACAGTATGCAGGCGTACCTCGAGGCCGACGGCGCCGGCGAGGCGCGAGGGCGTGGGCTCGGCGCCGGCGTCCTTCATGTGCGACTGCTCGCCGTGCGGCAGCGGGGGGGCCTCCTTGGGGGCGGTCGGCACCTGCTCCTTCTTCGCGCCCGTCTTGTCCTCGTGGGCCAGGCGCTCCTTGTCCTTGGCCGAGACGCCGCCCTCGACGCCCGTCTTGCCCGTCGCCAGCTTGCGGTCCGGGTCCTGCATGACGCTCTTGTCGCCGTCCAGCACCTCCTTGTCGGCGCCGACCAGCGTCGCGTCCTTGTCGCCCGGCCGCGTCTTCTTGCCGGTGCCCAGGTCCTCGACGACTGCCGGCGCCTTGTCATGTGACGTGGGCGTGTCGTCGATGTACGGCCCGGCGTGCGGCTTGCCGTCGAAGCCGTCGACGGGCGCATCCTTGGTGCCCTTGGACAGGCCCGGCGTGGCAGCCGGCGACGGGTCGGGCATGGCATTGGAGTAGGCGGGCGCAGCAGCCCGGGCGAGGCGGGTGTCGTCGACGTCGGCGGTTGCGCGGGCGAGCACCTGCAGCGCCGGCAGCAGGACGAGCGTGTGTCGCAGCCTCATGGTGGGCAGATGGCGATGGACGGTGGTGGCGGCGGCGGGTCGTGGGTGGAAGATGCCAATTACAGATTTAATGGAGCAACGCCGACAGAGTATTCTCAAGGAAGCACCTCTGCAGTTTTAATGGTCAAGGAGCGTCGTGGAAGAGAAAGGGCCGCAGCTGAAACGGCGCGCAGCACTCAGGGCGATGGAGCGATGTGGCTGCCGGCTGCTGGGTGAACTTTAGGAGGCCACTGCCACAGCGCACGCACGCAAGGGGCAACGTAATACATATTACAGCGCCCTCGGTGCAAAGGGGTCGCAGTCAACAGCCCAGCCGCCAGCCTGTCAGCGTCGGCGCGCTGCAGCTCCGTCGTATTCCAGACACGCTGCTCACTCCTGCATGTCGCCCCCTTCTCCGTGCTCCTCGAGCATGCACAGCGCCGCCGCCTAGGCCGCAACTGGCAAGTCTGGCAAGTCTCGCGTCACGTGCTCATGTGGCTGGTACGCGCGAGCGGGTCTCCTAGCCGGCGCGACCTCCACCACAACAAACGCGCCCAACGTCGTCATACCCCCAACGACACGTCTGGACGCACCGGTCATGGCGAACCTGCGCGCGCCCGGTGACGCGACCATGCCCGAACCACGAGGCATGCGCGCCGCCAGCAGGCGCAAAACACCAACTCCGCAACCGGAAAAGCCACCGGCACGCGCATCGCGCCGCCTGCGCAGCCAGAGCCGCGAGATTGAGACGTTTCCCGACATGCAGAAGCCCGCCCGCCGCAATGCACGCCAAGGAAGCGTCACCAGTGTCGCCAGTGACGGCGAACATGACCCTGTGAAGACGCGCAAATCCCGGCGCAAGCCTGCCAAGGAGGCTGCAATCGACCTCACCATCGTGGAGGAGGTCGACGCCGAGATTGCTTTCGACGCAGCCCCCGCAACGCCCCAGCGCATCGACCTGCCTCTCCCTCTGGAGCAGCAGGCCTTTCGCTCGCCGGGCGCCGCCTCTGAGATGTCTGGGACCACTGCCATTTCGTCCTTCTCCATGATCGAGGCCGAGTTCCTGGAGCCAAAGTACATGCTAAAGCATATGCGCAAGTTGTGCGACGCCGCGGACGAGTTCCTGCAGCATCTCACCCCAGCGGACGGACATATCAGCGACGACCATCACAACATCCAGGAAATGCTCAAGCCCGGGTCTGACTTCGCCGAGGAATACCACGACTTTGACGAAGAGCTGAAGGTGCATCTCAAGCACTTCAAGGGCGAGGAGAACAACTACATCAACGTCCGAGCTGTTCACCGCGCTCTGTTTGGCTCCTACACCGACACAGGAGCCATACAGTCTGGAATCAGCCTCGTTCTCTACTCGGCCAATATCATTGTACTCGCCAAGCAGATGATCGACTCTAGCAGAAGCGATAAGAGGGTCTGGGACCGTCTACGACAGCTTGACAGCCTATTCCCCAGCCAGTTCATGCGCTCGTTGGGCGCAAAAGGCTCAGCGGCTGCAGGGGACAGTGCGCTACTCAGCGAGACCTTCGATTTCGCGCTCGAGATACGGACCCAGCTCGCGATCCTCTCGCTGCAACGCTCTGCCAGTGAAAGTGATTTTGATCCCGAAGAGGCTCTCAGCGGCATCTTCCTCAACTCCGACGCAGCACAGGAAAACGGCGGCTTGATCCGGGGCTGGACGGTGGCAGCCCTTGGTGGGGAAGAGACGGGTCTATCACAAGAACTCCAGCAGAAGGTCGCAGAACGGTACAACGAATTGAGGAGGTTTCTTCCAACCGACGTCCAGTCTCTAGAGAACGGCGACGTGGTCGACCTTGAAGGACTGAGCAGTGCATTCGAGTGGGAAGCAATCGTGCTGCAGCTGCTGCACTGGGTGCGTCTCCGGCGGCACGAACTGAGCGCTTCAATCGACGCTCTCGGCGGCTCCGCAGCAATCCTAGCCAACGTGAAGCAGGCGATAGCAGCGCCTCAGCCCGCACCCGAAGAAGCCACCGCCCCCGCCCCGAGAGATTCCCCACGCAAGAAGAGACTATCGTTTGGCCGAAATCGCAGACGCAGCAGCCGCAAGTTTGACCCCAATGCACCGATCGACATGCGTACTATCAACGCACTGAAAGCGAGAGAGAGAGACTCTGGAGTGCATTTCGACCCAAAAGACCCGCAGCCGGGAGATCTCTTTGAGGAGGTGGCCGAGGAGGACGTAAATGGACGTGTTGAACCCGCGCCAGAGGACGTTGAAGCTGCGCTGGAGGATGTTGTATCCGCGCCAGGTGACGCGGAAGCCGAGCGGGCGTTGAATGAGCAGATTGAGCAAATCGAAAAAGACACCTGGAACGAGCAACCGCAGGGCGACGCGACACTCGTAGCAGGAGACGACGAATTGGTAGAGGTCGATGCCAGCGCTCCCACAGGCCCACCCAAGAGCACACAAGAACACCTCGCCGCCCTCAAGGCCATCCAACCCACAGGCAAAGAAAACCGCAAAGGCACCAGATTCGTCGACCGCCAGCCCAACGCTGTCCGCGTCGACTTCGGCGAGGGCTTTGACAACAGCCAGGCCACGCCAGGACCCTCAAGCAAAGCCCTCGACAAGGGCAAGCAGCGCGCCGACCCCCCACCCTCTGCAGCCCGCAAACGCGCCCGCGAAGAAACCGACTCCGACGACAATGCCTACGAGTCGACCGACCGCGGCGCCCGCGTCCACGCTCGCCGCCAGAAAGCCCCCGTGTCGAAACGCGCACGCCTCGAGCTTGCTGCTGCACCCTCCGCAGCACAATCCACGGCACCGGCCGCAGCACCCCCCTCCTCCGCCGCAGCCCCGCCCTCCCACCAACCCCCCGCGCCCTCCCAACCCGCCGAAACCCTCCGCCTCCCCCCACGCCTACGCGCCCCCCCCGCCCCCTCCGACGAACACGAAAGCTCCGAGCCCTCGGCCCCCGAGATGAGCGAACCCACCGACCCCCCACCCACCGCCGTTCCCCCGCGCTCAACATTCACCTCCCAACACGCGCTGTCGCTGCAAACCCCGCTTGTGCCTGCGCGCGGCCGCCAGCCACGCCGTACCTGGACATCCGCGCAGGAAGACGCGCTGATTGCGTACGCCGAGCAGGTCGGGCTGTCGTACGCGCGCATTGAGAAGCTGGATCAGAGCGAGGAGGGGTATGGCGTGCTGGGCGAGTTCAGCCAGGTCAATTTGAAGGATAAGGCGAGGAGTATGGCTGTGGTTATGATTCGGTGAGTTTGTGTCCTGCTATACTGGTTTCTATTTTTGAGGGAGGTGGGGAGGGGGTGAGGGGCTGAAATGGGAGGGTTTGAGGGTTTGGCTAACACGGGATAGGTCTGGGACAGGACTGCTGCCCGGGTTTGAGAATGTGGTGAGTGCGGAGTCGAAGGAGGGGAGGCGGTTGCTGGAGGCTGGGTTTACGTGGTGAGTGAGCGGTGGAGCGAGGTGAAGCTCGTTGAAACGACTTGGAGCGAGTACGCCATTGAACTCGCGCGGGACGCACATCTACCTATCGATACCTCTCCAATCCCACACTGCGTCTCCTCCTCCCTCCACTCTCCACGCTACTCCTCCCGCCACCTAACCCCCCACTCGCCCTTGGCAAAACTCGCCTCCACAACCGCCCCCTTCATGACCGCCTCGCACTTCCTCTTCTCCTCCCCCTCGCCCACACGGAACCCAAACGCACACCCCCTTCGCGCCGCGCGCCGCACCATCTCCCTTTCCTCCGCGCGCCGCTGGCCCTCGCGCCGCCGCGCCCGCGCCTCGTCCGTCTCCAGCCCCCGCTCCGCCCACCCCTTCTCGCCGCCCACCGAGCCGTTGATGTCCGCCTGGTCCTGCGGGGGCCGCACCAGGCCGCTGCCGTAGCCGTACGGGATTGTGTCGGGGGGCGAGGGGCCGCTGAGCGCGACGCCGCCGTGCTCAGGCTCGGAGTCGGAGGCGGATGAGGAGGTGTCATGGGCGCCAGCGCTGGCAGTGCTTGTGTTAGTGTTGGCGGGCGCCGGCGCGTCGACCATGTCCACGCTGCGCCAGTCCTCGGGCGCTTCGACGACATACCGCGCGCGCCGGTTTTTGCGGCGGCCGAAGGTCTTGGTCGGGTCCGGGGTGCGGGTGAAGACGAGGTGCTCGACGGCGGTGCAGTCGATGATCAGCCGGCTCTCGCCTTTGGTCGTAGACTTTGACTTTGAGGGTTTCTTGGCCTTGTGTTTTTTGGTGAATTTGGAGGGGGAGCTGTCGTTAGGGGCGGCGTCTTTCTCATTCTTGTTTTCCGTGGACTTGGGTGCTGGGGCGTCTTTGCTGCCTTCTTGGGCTTTGGAGGCGGCGTCTTGCTCCTGCTCTTCCTTGATGGATTCTGGAGTCGCGCCCTCGAGCAGTTTGGCAAAGGTGGCTTCGATTCTGCGGTCAAGCGGCCCCGGCTTGGAGTGCCGGCAGCGCGCTGAGCAGTATTTTACTTCTGTCGCGCCGGAGGTCTTCTTGCGGTCGCCGATTACCCGGCCGCAGGAGTGGCAGTAGGGCACGCTGTCGCCGATGGTGAGGTAGAGTGGTGGAGGCGTGGCTTGCGATTTCGACGGACGTGACCAGGAGTCCATCCACGACATGATGGGTGGTGTTGTGGAAAGTGTCCGGCTAGATGGATGAAGTGGTGTGTTGGCTGGAGGCGGCCTGACGATGGCGATGCAGCTGTGCAGTGCCGGTGAGGTATGCGATAGTGTCACGACTTGTCTTTTCGACTCTTTACTGTTGCAACCATAAAGGATAAGTTGGCTTTTGGAAAGTGTGTGTTCGCTTGGATCTGCACGAGGTCTGGAAGCACGGAGAAACTGACGAGCACACGACGTCATCGACAGCATACACACATGCCTTGCAGCGAAGTCGCAGTAGAAATCAAACGCAGCAATCGATGTGTGTAGACGATCAGACGTTCGAACGATCACATCTCACTAGCTCGATTCACTCCTTCCACAACTGTCATGACGTAGTGTAGCAGCACGTGCGCAATGTCTAGAAGCAGTAGAATATTACACCACAAAATGCAGCTTTCCAAAATTCGTACTCTCGGTACAAATCCGAATACCACTGAGGTCGGCTGCCGACTCGGCTTGTCTTATCAATCGATCGAACCCCACAATCTCCAGTCCTCGGTTCTCCAGTTCACCGTGACCCTGTGCCGAGCTTAGCAACACCGTGGATCTCGGGTAGCAGCTCGTGCGACAGCGTCCTTTGCGCCGAGAAAATGGAGGTGTTATATGTCCGGACGCTGCTGCCGTCAGACGGTCTACGGCGTCTCACAAATTTTCGTTGACCTCCTTGGGCTGGATTCTGCGCAGAACATCGCAGAACACTATCCCAGGGCGTTCACACCAGTTACAAAGCGGGCAGATGGAAGGGCTATCGCTATCCACGCGTCCTCCTTTCCGCTCACTGCCGAGTCACGACTCTTCACCACCCTCTCCTATCCCGCTCCCGGCCAGACGAACGCAGAGTTCACGCCATCGCAGGAAGAGAGCAAGGCTGCAGCCAAGACTAGTCCCCTCCGCATCCATGTCGCCAGCGCAGGACCCCGCGACGGGAGAAACCGGCAGCGCCCGCCGGCATGCGCATTCGCTGTCGGGCACCGTCGCGACGCGGCCTCGGCGCACGACTGCACAGAGCGACATCCACGAGACGATACTGCACCCCGGCACCGTGAAGATCAACGTGCAGGGCGCCTTTATCGTCGACGAGGAGCAGCCCGGCACCCCGCAGAGCGAGGACTACGAGCACGACCCCAAGGACATTCGCCTGCCCAACCACACGGCCGTCGTGAGCCACATTGCCGTTGACGTGAGTGTGGTGTCGCGTGCTCGGTTGTACGGCGCACGCGACACGCCCTGCATCCCTGGCCCGTGCTAACACGCGTAGATTGGAGGTTCTCTTGCGAAGCTCGTCTACTATTCGCGCGAGCATGGCGATAATACCCTGGGCGGCCGGCTGAACTTCCTCAAGTTCGAGACCGACCGCATAGACACATGCATCGACTTTATGCGCAAGCTGGTCTCGGACCACAGAGCTAATGGGACGGCTGCCAGCGACATCTGCGTCATGGCCACGGGCGGCGGCGCGTACAAGTACTACGACAAGATTACAGAAGCGCTGGGTGTTGAGGTTATCAGAGAAGACGAGATGGAGAGTCTGATCACAGGTGAGACGGCTGCGTGGTGGTATTGTCAAAGCTGACAGTGTAGGTCTTGACTTCTTCATCAACGAGATCCCCAATGAGGTCTTCACATACAGCGAGGACCAGCCCATGGAGTTCGTCGCACACCCACCGGACCCACCCAACATCTACCCCTACCTGCTCGTCAACATCGGCTCGGGCGTGTCCATGGTCAAGGTCTCAGGCCCCCAGAAGTTCGAGCGCATCGGCGGCACATCGCTCGGAGGCGGGACCCTCTGGGGGCTGCTGTCCATGCTGACGGGCGCACGCAGCTTCGACGACATGCTGCGGCTGGCCGAGAAGGGCGACAACTCGACCGTCGACCTGCTGGTCGGCGACATCTACGGCCAGGCGTACAACAAGATCGGGCTGAAGAGCACACACATCGCGTCGTCGTTTGGCAAGGTCTACAAGAAGAAGCGCGCTGCCGAGCGAGACGCCGAAGACGGGTGCAACGGCGACTTCAAGCGCCGCGGAGAGGAAGAGCACGTCGAAGGCTCGTCGGAAATGCAGCACTCGCCGAGCGGCTTCGCGCCCGAGGACATCTCCCGCTCGCTGCTGTACGCCGTGTCGAACAACATCGGCCAGATAGCGTACCTGCACGCCGAGAAGCACGGGCTCGAGCGCATATACTTTGGCGGCTCGTTCATTGGCGGCCACGCGCAGACGATGAACACGCTGTCCTACGCCATCCGCTTCTGGTCCAAGGAGAGCAAGCAGGCCTACTTCCTCAGGCACGAGGGGTATCTCGGCGCGGTTGGAGCGTTCCTCAAGAGGCAGCCGCGGAACTGGGGGAGAAGGGAGAGTTTCCAGGGCACCAGGCCTGCTTTTTGAGCGTGCGGCACCAGCATATAGAGGGCGTTTTGATACCGGAGGTTAGAACAAGTAATGTACATTTATTATTGTTACAGGACGGGGCCACTGACGTTCAGTCCCCGGCGCGAGCACTCGATACCGGCACCCGCACCAGTCGAAAACGAGCGAAGCAAAGCAGCCGCGCCTCTCACCTCCCTCACTCACACAGCAGCGCCCTCACCGCCACCGCTCGCCTCCCACCTCACTCACCCCCCCTCGCCTCCCTCAACAACCCCGCCCAATCCACCATCACCCTCCCCCCCACCTCCACCATCGGCACCTCCTCAACAAACCCCCTCCCCCTCCTCGTCTCCTCCGTCAACCCCTCGCTCCCCGTCTCCACACCCCCACACCCCTCCCCATGCAGTACACACCGCACCTTCTCCCTCCCCCTCTCCCCCACCAACGCATGGTCCCCCAGCCCGACCAAATACCCCACCTCTCCATGCTCTGCACACACATTAGCCAAGTCTTCGTCCGCGGGAGGAGGCGCCGGACCCGGAATCGCGCCCAGGCGCGCCAGGCCCAGGGCGCTGCTGTGCGGGCGCAGGGCGGCCGGGGATGCCGCGCGCGAGGCGAGGCGGCTGCCTGGCGCGGAAGCAGCGGTGTGGGCGGCGCCGGGGCGCGGGGTGAAGGAGGAGGGCGCGAGGGGCACCAGCGGCGCGATGGCGGCCAGCGAGGCGCCGGCGGGTCCAGCGGCGGGTGTGGGCGCGGGGGCAGCAGCAGCAGCGGCGGCGGCGGCAGCTACATCTCTCTCACGACGACGCTCAGCGTCCACAGCCGCGTCCAGCGCGCGAATCCGCGCCTCGGGCACCAACCGCGCACCCGGGTCGTACGCCGGCGCGGAGCCGCTCACGACGCCCTGGATCGTGATCCCGTGGCGCACGCTGAACGGCAGCGGCTCCAGCAGCGTGCGCCCGGGGCACGCGTACAGGTAGTGGCCGCGGTAGTAGTACGCCAGCCCGGTCGCGAGGGGGTGCGCGCCGGCGATGCCCGAGATGTAGACGGGCGTGGCGGCTTTGTCGCGCGCCATGCGCTCGCTGGTGGTTTTGGAGACGCGGTGGGCGGGCATGGTGGCGCGGAGGGGGATGTGTGTGAGAATTGATATGGGTTTGAAGTGAGGAGTTGGTATGGTAATGTGAGGGAATATGTGTGTTCTGAAGAGGAATTGGGGCAGGGCAGCGATTTCTTTTATGAAGTGCGTTTGCACGCTGGCTAAAGCGAGGGTGAAGCAGGAATTGGCGACAGAAGTCGCTTTCACCTCTGGAGCAGCATGGCAATGGAGTCATCTGGCCGTTTGTGTGGTCCGAAAAGAGCATGGCTAGGTCGGCGGACTCGAGATATCTCTGGTGAATGTGGATTTCTCGGTATCTGGAGGCAGTCTATACGTGGCAAGAATCTATGTAATGTTGGTGGCAGTGGACTCGACAGCCTCCGGGGAGGCACAGGTCTTGTGCCAACTTCTGCTGTCCAACGAGGAAGTGCTCTTTGAGACCTTATCATGCGTAGGCCTTTGCTCTAAAGGACGCTGGGTGAGGCATGTACACGCATGTCGAAATTCGCATTCAGGATGAAGCCAACAGTTTGGTGGTCAAGTGACATGATGCACAAGTAAGATTGACACAGGCGAAGTTAAGTCAAAGGTAGACAACAAATTGATATATTATTAAACAACGCTGTAGACTACATAACTAAGTGCTCGATCTTCACTGACGGCCGGAAGATGTACCGTCGTTGTCTTGAAGAGCAGCCTCAAGACCCTCATCATCACCAGGCTCAGTGTAGGTGCCAGACTCCTTCGTGGCGCCACGTGTGCGCTCGTTCAGGATGTTGCCTTCGTCAATGGCATCCTTCTCGTCACGCTCTGATGTGGGTTAGCAACTGACAGATGTGTTGAAATCGAGATATGACATACCGAGTTGCCTGTCGGAGTCTGCGGCCTCGCGGTCGTTGTATTCGGTGTTCTCGATGGGGATGTCGTCCTTGAGGACGGGTATCTCGCTCTGGCCGGTGCTGTAGTATGTCAGCGATGTCTCTGAGTGCAGTGTGCGGACGTCGAGCTGGAAGCATGTTCTGTGAAGTGAAAAGACGTAGTATGGATGACATACCGGCTCTCGTAACCCTTCTCTTGCTCGGAACCCATTGTGATTGCGTGGAGGTGTTGATGTAGAGTGGACTTTGGGATTTGCTTGAATCGAAATGTGTGGAAGATGTGGATGGTATTGGACTTGATACTGAGGTAGAGAGGTGGACGATGCAGATTAAGTATTGAGACAGCATGTGAGTGTACGTCATGCCTATCAGAATGTACAGGTCAACTTTGTCGTCAGTGCCCCAGGCTCAATTGTCAGTATCCATGCGATTTAGATCATGACAGCATGATATGTGAAGGGAAGGTAGGCGTGGTACGCCGTGCCAGCCACACGGTCTCAGGGACTACCGCAAGTGGATAGACACATGGCGATCCAGGAGAAAGGATCGTGGCTAGAGCGGGAGCTACCATAGCTGCAGTGGTCTTTGTTTTACGGAGGCAGGTTCTGCGTCATAGCGTACGATTGCCATGGTGATCTTTGGGCAGACATGATGGTGATTCTCGTGGTATCGAAGTTGTACATGTACAGCACGCATTCGTTCGTTGCTCTTGACCGTAATATGCAATCACCATTCACTGACGAGGGTCTCAGCGAGTGCAATCGGGTAGGTAGGTCCGCACTCCCAAGCTCGTATATCGCAACGCAACATCATCGAAGCCGAACAATTTCTACAGACGTCAACACGCACCGAGCAAAGGTTAGCGTCAGGGACACTGTGGGGCCAAACACGATTCTGAGATTGCCGATGGTGCAGGATCGACTTTCTCGATGGCATCGGAGCGTGGCCCGGCAACCGACGTGCGAGGGAGGCTGAAAGAGTGGTCGGCGGGCTGGGTTTGACGTTGGCGCGACGCGTGAACACGGTCGCGCGTCGAGTCGTGACGTTGAGAAAAGCACTTGGACTTCCACTTCGGGTCAAGTGAGACGAGCATCCTGCACCGCGTCATCGCGCCATTCTGGCATGAAGGCATGGCCAGTGTCGGTAAAGACGCGCAAGGATTCATGCTGTTGATACTGTCCAATAGTCTGGCGATCAACTCACGTAAGTGTGAGGTAACTCGCAGCGCAGAGAACTTTTTGGGTGCGCGATAGACTGCACGGCTGAGTGCGGTGAACTGCACGGTGTAGTGGGGAGCTGCTCGATTGAAGCTTCCATACAGTTCGTGAACTTCCTGTTCATGCCGTGCAGTTCGTGAACTTCCTGTCTGGGCCGCGCAGTTCGGAAGTGCACGCCTATCCCCAAAGCGGTAGTTCACCACTATCCCCAAAGTGGTAGTTCACCACTATCCTAAAGCGGACGCTTACGCTCAATCGGAACATGCACGTGGTCTGCACCGCCCAAAACAGATGTGCACGCCCGATTGGGAGGCTCACGACGGCTGAACTACCGAAAGCGGAAGTTCACGCGAACACCGCCATTTAGGGAAGTTCACGCACGACTCACACCAAAGGAAGCAATTGAACTTCCTATCTGGGCCGTGCAAATCAAGTGCACCTGGGTGGTTCATGAACTTCCCGCGCAGTGCACACGAACCTTCCACGCAGTTCATGAACTCTCAGTGCAGTGCACATGAACCTCCTACCCGGTTCATGAACTTTCTTTCCGTGCAGTGCAGTTCGTCTGGAGATTCCGTGCAGTGTATGTGAGCTTCCCTACACGTTAGAGCAGCTCATGAACTTCCCGTGCAGTCGTGAACCTCTGGTGCGGTCGTGAACCTCTGGTGCGGTCGTGAACCGCTGGTGCAGTGCACGCGAGCTTTCCACACAGTGCGTGAACTTCCTATCGGTGGCGTGCAGCTCATTCGAGGTTTTTGGTGCACTGCACGTGAGCTTTCCACTCGTGCCGTGCAGTTCATGAACCTCTTGTACAGTTCACGAACTAGTTCATGAACCTCCGGCTGAACCTTCCGTGAACCTCTCGTGCAGTTCATGAACCTCCGGCTGAACCTTCCATGAACCTCCGTGCAGTTCATGAACCTCCGTGCAGTTCATGAACCTCCGTGCACTAGTTCGTGAACCTCCGGTGCACTGCAAGTGAACCTCCGGCTGAACCTGCCGTGCAGTTCATGAACCTCCGGTGCACTACTTCATGAACCTCCGGTGCAGTGTGGCGTGAACCTCCGGCTGAACCTCCGTGAACCTCCGTGCAGTCCATGAACCTCTTGAACCTCTCGTGCAGTTCACCAACTAGCGCCGTGCAGTTCATGAACCCACGACTGAACCTTCCGCGCAGTTCATGAACTTTCCGTGCAGTGCACGTGAACTCTGCAACTGCGCGCCGTGCAGCCACAGCATCTGTATCCACTCGACACCAATCGTGACGGGACTACAGTACCTTTGACGCACTGCATTCAACGATGCAGCGCTTGGAATTCAGTCAGTCCAGTGCAGATGTCGCTCGATATGTTCAGAAGCTCGCAGCGAATCTGACGTGCTAGTCATGCGTACCTTGTCGTCTATACATTCGCCGTCCTGTACGGGTGCGCTCAGGCTGTAGTCGCGCGGAAGCACGACGTTGATGCAGCGGACGTTGCGGGTCGCTGTGGCGCTGAGGTCAACGCCGTCCAGCCTCGCCTTGGCATCGACCCTTGCTCGATCGCCGCGGAAGAGAGCACTGACACCTTAACTCCTTCACCACGCAACAAAACCCCGCTACCATCCGCGCCCTACAACGACACATCGCCACAAATTAGACTTTCGCCCACTTGAACTACAGACGGCCGCTTCCTAGACGACCGCCGGACAGCCGCTTTGCGCCGGATAGGCCCTTGACGACAGCGCATCGCAGATCGTCCAATCTCGCGACAAGATCTGGCGATGGTACCAGCAGCAAGCACACCACAGCCGCCAAGACGTGAACGCCCGCGCCCGCCGCCGCCAGCCGTGGTGGAGGCAGAGCTACAATGGATCTACGTCGAAGATGAGCTCGCACACGCGCCCTCGATACTAGACGGGATGGCAATAGAGGAAGAGCGCATGCTGCGGCGGAAAGGCGTCAACTTCATCTTGCAGGTGGGCATGATGCTCAAACTGCCGCAGACGACCCTCAGCACAGCCGCCGTCTTTTTCAACCGGTACCTCATGCGGTGCAGCTTGAAGCCGAAGCCCGGCTACAAACCACTCCATCATTATGTAAGAACTGAGCTTGCAGATGCTAGGCCTGACTAACATGTGATTAGCAAGTCGCTGCAACCGCCCTTTTTCTCGCCACCAAGGTCGAGGAGAACTGCCGTAAGATGAAGGAACTCGTCGTAGCATGTGTGCGCGTTGCGCTCAAGGACCCAAATAAGCTGGTCGACGAACAGACCAAGGACTTCTGGAAGTGGCGCGACACAATCCTGTACAGCGAGGACGTGGTGCTGGAGAGCCTGTGCTTCGATCTGAATGTTGAATCGCCATACAAGACCATGTACGACATGATGAAGTACTACGGCGTTGAGCATAATAAGAAGCTGCGCAACTCCGCTTGGGCGTTCCTGGCCGACTCTGCTCTCACACAAATGTGCCTCCTGTTTGACTCGAGGGCCATCGCAGCGGCATCGCTATACTGCGGCGCTCGCATGGCTGAGGTCACCCTGGAAGACGACGACGGCAAGCCATGGTGGGAGGTCCAGCACGTCAAGCTGGGCGACATCAGACGAGCCTGCAACCTCATGGCAGACATATACGAGAGATCGCCTGACAAGGACGAAGACATGAATAAGTATTCTGGGCTAAGAACACCTGAAGACGGCATCGACTTTGGCGACACACCACGGAGCATGGAGGGTGTGCAAATGACCGGGCAGGACTCGAGTCAAAATCAGTCCTTTGCAAACGGCGCCGGCAACGCGACTGAGCGAGGTAGCGAGGAGGGCGAGTTAGACGGCTAGAAGCCTACAAGCACCTATGGCACGGCGCGTCTCCCACCCGGCACTGAGTCCTCACAGCTGATGTGCCCGCGCTGCACCAGCCACGGCTGGTGTCATTTCTGGTGCCGTTCGACTGACAGGTCGAAGAACGCTGCGCCTGTTGTAGCGGCCAACCCGACACCTCCTTTTCAAGTCCGCTCGGATCATTAAGAAGATCTCACGATGTTCTGACGTTTGAGCACAGCAGCTGGCGTTAGGCGAATGAGCGTAAAGATACCCCTGAGCTCATTGGTTCAGGTTATTGATATTCCATGTTTATTTTCATAACTCATCGCTTTCATGATACTATGTGTTTTTTGCTGCTTGCCTGGAGACTCTGAATGCACAACACCAGATCCAAGTCATGTCGTATTTACCGTATCTGGCAGCCAATCACAACCCGCAGAAGGTGCAGCCTCGGCTCCATTCACGCGCCAGAATGATCGACTTGTCGACGTCAACATCAACGTCCTGTCACGTTTCCTACGTTTCTTTTGCTGCCTGTGCGTTGTTTTTCGACTTAGGCGTTTCACACAGTTTTTCACCTTCCACCTCGCAGGAGAATCACAGTCTTTCACGACTACAAGTCACCATGGACGCCACACCTTCAGCGATGCTGAAACTCCTTGTGCCGAAGGTGCCGTTCATGCTCAAAACGGCACTCTGGCACACCATCGGTCAATCCGCCACATCCTCAAAATGGGATCTCCGGACAGAGCTCACCATCAACATCCTCCGTGACATGATCGGCCCCAACTCTGCGCCGACATCAATCTCAAAAGTCCAGCGCCTTACTACAAGAGACCCCGGGATCAAGGGAAACATCTGGGTCAGCAGAGTGAAGCTGGAGATGCCGGAGGAAGATGATGTGCGGCAACTGCTCTTCAAAGCGATCGACGAAATGGGCACAGGAGAGGAGCAATGGACGAAGCCCGACTCGGCACCCCTAGAAGCAGAATGGAACGGATACCGCGACTCTGCCCCCGACCCCAAGGCCCCTGAGCCCTCCGACCGAGATGAGAAGCAAGACTACGCCAATCTCATGCAAGAAGTCACGTCCAAAGTCACCCTCCTCTACTTCCACGGCGGCGCAATGTACCTTCTTGACCCCGCCACCTGCCGCCCGACTACCGCCCGCCTCGCAAAGGAGACAGGCGGCCGCGTCTTCAATGTCCGATACCGCCTCGCTCCCGCGAACCCCTTCCCTGCCGCCCTCCTCGACTGCCTGACCGCGTATCTCTCGCTGCTGTACCCGCCCCCCTCAGCGCCTCACGCCGCCGTCCCCGCGTCAGAAATCGTCTTTGGGGGTGACTCCGCCGGCGGCACGTGCTGCACAGCGCTGCTGCAACTCCTCCTACACCTACACCGGCGCTCGCCGGGCACCATCCCCACCGTCCGGTTCCACGGCAAGCAAGTCCCCATCCCGCTGCCCGCCGGCGCCGCGCTCGCCTCCCCGTGGCTCGACATCTCGCGCAGCCTGCCCAGCATCGAAGCCGCAGTGACCTTCGACTACCTCCCGCCCCCCTCGCAGACGGAGAAGCGCTCTTTCCCTCCCTGCGAGAAGTGGCCCGCGAGCCCGCCGCGCGCGGACCTGTACTGCGAGGCCGCCGCGCTGGGGCACGCGCTCGTGTCGCCACTGGCGGCGCGCGACTGGTCTGCGTCACCCCCGCTGTTCTTTAGTGTCGGGCAGGAGATCATGCGCGACGAGGCTGCGGTGCTGGCGCGGCGCGCGGCGCGCCAGGGGGTGCCGGTTGTGTGGCGCGAGTTCGAGGCCATGCCGCACTGTTTCGCGATGTTGCTGGAGGCGAATCCGGGGACGCCGGTGCATTTTGAGGAGTTTGCGGGGTTTTGTCGGGGCGTCGTGGGGCAGGAGGGGGTGCAGACGAATGGGGTGTTTATTGAGGCGAAGACGCTGGTGAGGAGCGAGATGGATGTTGGGAGGTTGACGGAGTTGACGGACGAGCAGGTGGCGGAGTATATGAGGAAGGGGAGGGAGCGCATCGAGGCGAAGTTCAGGAGGGGGATGGAGCCGGCAGCGGAGCGGCCGATGTTGTAGATGCATATACCCGTACATAGACAACGTTTGTCAAATACACGTTTTGATTCCAGCCGGTCCACGCACCGCAGACCTAACTACCAACGAGATCTAGTTCTCCGGAAACAAATGCCGCAGAATCAACCCATACGCCTCCGCCGCCTGCACCAGCTCGTCCTGCGGCAACTGCTCGTCCGGCGTATGCGCGACCTCGATCGTGCCCGCGCCATACAGATACCGCAGCCCCACCTGCGGCAGCGACGGGATATCCGTGCCGTAGAACACCGGCGCCTCCTGCAGCCCGGCCACGCCCGTGTCCAGGATCTGCGCGGGATAGAACGCGCTCGAGAAGGTCGCATTGAAGGACCCGTTGCGCGCCTCGACTTCCTGGATAATCGGCGCCAGCATCCCCGCGATCATGTCGCGCACGACCTCCACGGACCCGTTCTCGCTGCGTGCTATCCGGATCGAGACCCCGGCTGTCGCGTTGGGCGCGAGCACGTTCGTTGCGACGCCGCCGCGCACAGTGCCCACGTTGAGCGTCGAGGGGCCGAGGACGTCGCTGCGGGGCAGCGCGGGCTCGAGGCTGTTGAGGGCGACGATGGCTTCGGACAGGTAGTTGATCGCGCTGAGTCCCAACTGGGGGTACGCGGAGTGCGCGGAGCGGCCCTGGACGCTGAGGGTCAGGCCGAGGGCGCCTTTGTGGCCGCTGGCGAGCTTGCTCTCGGTCGGCTCGCCGAAGATGGCGGCGCGGAAGGTCGTGTTGGCGGCGTACTGGGCGAAGGCTTGCATGCCGTCGCCGCCGGTTTCCTCGCCGACGACGAAGAGCAGGCCGATGGAGGCAGGGGCGCTGCGGGCGGCGAGGAATTTCTCGGTCGCGATCAGCATGGGGGCTACGGCGCCTTTGGCGTCGACGCTGCCGCGGCCGAAGTGGTACGTTGTGCCGTTCTCCTCGCGGGTCTCAAAGGGGATGAAGGGAGGGACCTGGGGTCCGTTAGTGGGGACTGTCGTTTTTACGCCGGGATAGGTGGCAACTCACAGTGTCGATGTGGCTGGTGACAAGAACCTCAGGCCAGCTGCCATTGTCGCGAATGGCTTGGGGATACGCAAAGACGTTGAACCGGCCCTCAGCTCCCGCGGTCACGGGGACGCGCTCGACATAGTAGTCCTTCGCGCTCAGGTACTCCTCCAGCCACTCTGCGCACTCGATCTCGTCGTCTGAGATGGACGGGATGTTGACCAGATCCTCGTGCAGCTGGAACAGAGCCTCTGTCTCTTCCGTGCTCAGAGGATCGGGCGAGGCAGTCGACGACGGGTCTGCAGCAGCGCTCGATGCGCTAGCGGTAGCTACTGAGCTGGAAGACTGGCTCTGTGCTTGAGGCGCCGCACATACCAGAGGAATGGCCAGCAGACCGACGAGAGACTTCAGAAGCGCCATGATGTCGGAAGTCGAGCAAGAGGTCAACGTTGGAGGCAGTCAGAGAAGCCATTGGTGTGCTCTTTATACTATTTTTCGTAGCTCACCATTATGGGGCTCTTTCCGGGTTGACCTGCAGTCCTGGAAATAGTCGTCATACGTCGGCTGGGGTCACCAGTGGGGTGCTGCGATAGTACTTAGGTGATCTTTGGGCATGGATTGGCGTAGTGAGCTTGGCTTTCTAGATGGTACATCGTTGCTGTTTCCGCACGTCAACCTCAACTTACATTCATTTTTATATATTGTAGCCTAATAGGACAACCGAATACTGTCAACGTCAACGTGCTCATGGCAACGCATTGGCTCAATTGCTGCACGGGTGTATAACGCGAGTGCAAAGCAGTGGGTTGAAGTGCGTACACCCAAGACCTGCCAAGGGCCCGGTATTGCGAGTTCTGGGGCGCCGTTGACGAGCTGCGGTGCAAAAGTGGGAGGCGGGCAGGCTCGGAAGCTCTGCCATGACGATGCGGGGTCGGGAATGGTGATAAGAAGGTGCTTGGCTGCCAAGGCGATACCAAGCTGCTGCTACTACACAGAATGGTTTGTCACGTCGGACATGAGCGTTGATAATAAGGTATGTATGCCCTGATCTGCGTGCTTTTCGCTAGATGTCTTTGTATCTAATCCTCCTCCGACTCGTTTCCGTCCCGCGGAACTACACATCCACACGGCCACAAATGTCCCACGAGCTCTCCCTGATACTTCTCCCTGTATACCCTCATACCCCTCTCCGCCTCGTCCAGCTCCTTCTTACCTTGAGCATGCTGTGACCCGAGCCACCTCTTCTCCTGGTCTACATAGGGCCAGTATGGCCACATTCGATGAAAAGCGCGATACTTGGCCTCGAACGCACGCCTCTGCTTCAGATCTACTGGGTTGACCTGATGCCCACGGCCAGTGTGCAGATCCGGGTCGTCTGTAAAATCACCATGTCTACCGTGGCGTCCGGGCTTGAGGAAGCGCTCTTCCGGGGGCTCGCGCTGAGGACATGCGCCAATGTTGTGGTCAGGTGTGGTTAGGGTCTCCTCGACGATAGTGGAGGGATCCTGACCGAGCTCCGTCTCCTCTTGGGCCTCTGCGTGGTTGTTCACGAGTACTGGACCCTGAGTCACCTCTACCAGACTCTCTTGGATTGGGGCCGCTTGCTCTGGAGGGAAGCTCGAAGGGGGAGCCGCTTTCGTTTCAACAGGAGCCACCAGGAGCACAGGTGTGCTCATCGGAGGCGCATTAGGTGTGGTCGAGGAAGCGGCGTCGACCGTCCTCTTCGCTGGAGCTTGTTTAGCTGCTAGCGAGGTTGCTGCGTTATCATGTTCCCTCGCAACACGGGTTTCCAGGGAGGTCGGGCGCATCTGTGGCGCAGAGGATTTAATCGAAGGGGCTTCAACCCTCCTCTTCTTTGCTGGCGTTTGCTCAGCTTCTGTTGGCGCGGCTGCGCCGTCCTTTTTGCCCATCTTCGCAGCGGGGGTTACTCTCCCTACGACTGGGGCTTCCAGAGGAGTCAAGCGCATCTGTGGCGCGGAGGAATTCTTCGAAGAAGGGGCCTCAATCCTCCTCTTCTTTGCCGGCGTTTGCTCGGGTTCTGTTGGAGCGGCTGCGCTGTCATGGCCACGCTTGCTCGCCTTCTGCGTCACCGGCGGAGCCTTGGTTTGTATGTCAACCGAGTTTCGCTTCCGTGCCGGCTTCGGTACGGCATTTTTTGGAGGAAGAGCCGCACTTGACTGTGCGACTGGCTTCTCTTCAGTAGGCATGGCTGCCTTTTTGGGCACGGGTCTCTTGCGTGCTGGTGCATCTCGCGCCGCTTTGCCTCCCTTTGCTGAGGGCGGTGGCTTGAGACACAGTGCCTCTATTAGGTCTGCCTTCTTCGTTGCTAGAGGCGTCAGTAGTCATGTCATATTTGCGAAGAATTAACTTACAAGGCAGCTTAGTCTCAGGATGTGGACCGAAGGCGAGCGTCTCGGCCCTCTCGATCCATTCTGCGACTGCAGTCTTGTTGATCAGGGTCTTGATCACCCTTCGTGCCTGGCTCTGATCGTCGATATAGCCGTCTACAATCACAGTCAGAGAGTCCTTGCTCCTCGTGGCAAGCTCTTCGGCTAATCGAGTCAGGCGCTTCTTCCCAAATCTGAAGATTGGTATACAAAGTCCGTGTTCTACAAAATATACTTGAGCTGGCTTAGCCAGTGGGCGCGGATATGTTGTAGGCGCCATGGTATATCTTGTGTGAGGGTGGGGAAGAGGGAATGCGGGAGTGGAGTATACACTGCGCGAGCTGGCTGCGTTTGTTTGATTCGCCATTGTTGCGAAGTATACAGGTGGAAGTCTTGAGTGAGACAATGTTTGAAGAAGTGAAAGACATTGTGCTGCACTTTGATATAGCACACAATGTAAAATGCAGAAACGAACCAAAAGTGAAGGGACATCGTTACCAGTAAGCCTACCTGATATTCTAGGAGCGGATTTTTACAAGTTGGGTTCAGTTAACCCTAACATCAGTATACCAAAAAGTTGGCTATAATAAACTCTCGTCCGAATTTTGGTTCAGACATGAGTGTTCCGAAGAAAGCGACGGTGAGCAGCTCTCAGAGTATTTGCATGGATCACCGTCTCTTTCTGTCACGTTACTCGTTGTGTAGGCTTTGCAAAATTTTGGGCCAAACAGTCTCGAAGATTGTGGTGTTGTTATCATGCTCGCGTAGGTGAGACGAAGTGGGCAATAGCTTCCGTGGCACGTGAGGCCGTCGCAGCGCCGACGTGCGGAAGAGCCGAGGCACGGGTAGCCGCCTCTAGGTTTCGGTCATCAACCCGCGACTCTGCTGCTCATCCATCCCTCACATGCGCATGCCGCCAGTGCAGCGCGACAGGTAGCCAGCATGGTCCGCGAGGATCTCATAACATCGGCGGTGTCCTGTATGACCTCATCTGACCCTCGTGAAGTCAACGCTGACATGCCATAGTCCTCCAGGACCCGTCGGTCGCCAACGCCCCGGTTGAGAAGCGCATTGCCTTTCTGCAGTCGAAGAACCTCACACAAGAAGAGATTGACGTCTCGCTTGCGCGCGCCGCATCAGACGATCCGAGCCTGCCTGCGTCGCCACCACCGCAGTACTCGTCCCCGCCCAACAATGCATATCGCCCACCGCCTGCAGCCCCAGGGTATGGCGGCGGCTACCCTCCACAGTATTGGCCGCAGCAGCCGCCCCCAGAGTACGTACAGTGGTTATCAGTCTCGAATATCAGCTGACATGGATATAGACCACCGAAACGTGACTGGCGCGACTACTTCATCATGGCAACGGTCATGGGCGGCGTAGGCTACGGTCTCTACTTCACCGCAAAGCGCTACATCCTGCCCATCATCTCGCCCCCCACCGCCCCCCAACTCGAGCAAGACAAAGCCTCCGTCGACGAGTCCTTCAAGCGCGCCTTCGACCTGCTGGAGCAACTGAGCACCGACACCACAGCCCTCAAGGCCAGCGAAGAAGCACGCACCTTGCGCCTAGATAACACGCTCGGCGAAGTCGAGTCCGTGCTCTCGGCGCTCAAAGACAGCTCCAAGCGCCAGGGCGACGACAACCGCAGAATCGAAGACGACGTGCGAGGGCTGCGCGACCTGATCCCCAAGGCCCTCGACGCCCAGAAGGAGGCCACCGACAACCGACTCAAGGAACTCTCCACCGAGCTCAAGAGCCTCAAGACCCTCGTTGGGAACCGCATGAGCGCGCCTGCCCCCGCGCCCGTACCCCGCGCCCCCACCGCGCCCTACTACGGTATGCAGAGCCAGCAGGCACCGTCCCCCGCGCCCACAAACGGCACGAGCACGCCTGCTGCAGCGCCCCCGGCGCCCGCCGCGCAGCCTGCACCTGAATCCCAGCCCACCCCTGCGATGCCCGGCGGCGCGAGCACAGGCGCCGTCAACGGTAGTGCGCCGGCGTCCACCCCCGCAGACAAGCCCGTGCAGTCATGGCGCGGATCACAGGGTCGCGCTGCGATCCCGGCGTGGCAGATGGCCGCGGCGAAGAAGAGTGAGGAGGCGAAGAAGGATACGTCTGAGAGCGGCACTGTTGAGGCGAGCCCTAGCTCGTAGGCGACCTGGGGCGAGATGATAGGTGCGGCTGAGCCTAGGGAGGGGAAAATCGCCCGTGAGCGAAAACGACGGTGCATGCAGCTGGGGGCAAGCCTGGAGACGCCGGCTTGGGGGAAGAGAGACGGGAGACGAAGCAATCCCACTTGATCTGAGGGAGTGCAGTGTCTGAGACATGCTGTGACGATGCCTGTATCACTTAGGGGCGTTGGAAATGTAAATGTACACTCTTGCCATGCACAATATCTGCCCACCCCTCACGTGCGTCATGCTCACACCCACACACCCATTCCACCTCGCACCCCCCTCCCGTGTCTCCCTCCATCAAATCAATCACAAAACACCTCTACCGATCACCCTCATCCTTGCCCCTGCTCCTCCCGCTCCCCCTTCTCCTAACCCGCTCCCGCTCCCTGTCACGCTCGCTATCCATACCGGTCCCCAGCCCAGAATCCGTAAACACCGCCTGCTCAATCTTGGGCACCGGCTCCTCGAGCACGAAGTCGTCCTCCTCGTCATCCGCCTCCGCATCCTCCCTCAGCGGAATATCCTCCAGCCGCGGCTCGCTCGGCTCGTCCTTCGCCTTCTCCGACGCGGACACGTAGCGCAGCGGCGCGTGCCCCGAGAGCGAGGGGAACGTGTGCTCGGTGTCGCTGAGGGGCGTGCCGGGCTCGCTGTGACGGTCTTCCTTCTTGACCCCGGGTCTGGCTGCGTCGTCTGGCGAGGCGGAGGAGAACAGCAGCCCGACGACCCCCCACGTCACGACTACAACGCCCATCTCCGTGCCCCAGAACAGCGCCACGAAGAGCACCGCGCTGAGCAGCCGGTGCGTGTACATCAGCCAGCGCAGCCCCTCCAGCCGCGCCGTGATGCACACCCGCGCGCTGTACACTTCCAGCGGCGTCTTGCTGCGCAGTTCGAGGCGCAGCGAGGCCGGGACCGCGGTCGCGAAGGACGCCGATTCCAGCATGCTGATGTGCAGGGTCTCGCTCTCGGTGCCGAAGCCGGTGAGGTAGAGCGGCAGGCGCAGAAGTCGGTACAGGTGCTCGGTGGGCCAGGAGCGGTAGGTGAGGATTGCGGGGCGGCGGGAGTGTGCGAGGACGGGCGGCTTTGTCGCGGGTGCTGCGGTGGCTTCGGGGGACGAGGGGGTGGGCGCGTCGTCGTCCCAGCCGAGGATGCTTTTGATGCTCGACGAGGCGGAGGGCGAGGGGCCGCGCAGAGAGAGGTCGACCATCCAGTTTCCGGTCTGCAGGTTGGATCTGCTTCTCGGCACGACCATCTCCACGCTGACGTCGTACTTCTGGCGGTTCACCAATCCTTGGATTCCAGTGATGGCGTGCGGCCACTTCTGCGTTTCCTGGCCGAAGGCTCTGCTCGAGTCGCTGAACAGCGAGACAGGCGTGGTTCCATGGTCGAACTGTAGGTATACAGGTACCGAGATGCCGCGGATGGGGATGTAGGAGTAGTAAAACGACGTGTATGCGATCACGGCAAAGGCGAAGAGAATGCTCGAGGCCACGCAGAGGAGGAACGTGCGTAGATAGGTTCGGAGGAGAGGTGGAGAGGTCGCGACACGTAGAGGGAAGAGGAGTGCATTCTGAGAGCGTTTAGTGCGTGATCGTGTAAAAGCTTACAAAGCTGAAGGGACGTGAAGAAGATGTACCGTGGCAGTCTGAACAAGCGACTTCTGCTCGGTATGCTCGTCCTTCGAGTCGTCTCTGACCGACACCTCCATATTGTGGGGTGTTGTGACGGAATGTCGAGCATCACATGAAATCGACTAACTAGTGACGTCGGTGTTTCGCGAGCTGCGTACAGTGCAGCACGCTAATGCAGGTGCATCTTCACTGCCAAGGAGACACCACAACGATCCTGCAGGGACAACGAGAACGGGAGGCTTGTGCACGATTAATCTATTCGCGACAGACAAGCATGGCGCTCATGTCCTCACTCGCGCGGTGTCTCATGCATGTCGATCAGATTGCATAACACGACTCATTAACTACAGAACTATCGGCTTGATCCTACAGGAAAGCCAAAACCCTGCACCCCGAACGCCGAAGGAAACCCAGACAACCTACGACCCAACGCCCGGAAGTGATTCCTCAACCTCTAAGTCCCGCAGCTTGCCTGGCCGCAGATCTGAACGCCAGAGGAAGCAGAACCCGGCAGATCGTGAAAACATGTGGTATCATCCAGAACATCGTCTGTCTCGAAGAAGACGAATAAACGTACGGAAAGCAGGAAAGCTAGAGAGAGGACGCCCCAGAGGCTACATGAGAAGTGAAAAGAAAACAGACGAATCGCCCTGCCGCTAGAATTTGACCTCTTCCAACTTTTGATCGAGACCGTCACAGACGACCGTGCCGATGAACTTTTGGTAGATATGCAAACGCATCGGTCCATAGTAAAACAAGCCGGGGCAGAAAGGGAAATTGTCGTAGATATCGTAGCGTCGTTAGGACGTCTGGTTTAGGTGCCCGCACATCCTCCGTAGATCTTCCTCGTTTTTCTTTAGCTCTCCACGGTCTGACTCTGTGGTGTTTACGCTTTAGAAAAGGTGCCCATTCTCGGGGGTGGGCGGCGGGGCGCGGCCATCGAGCCATGCGACTTTCCGGCACTGGCAAGTGGTGAGACCTGCGACTTTGCCATCCTGTTCGACTTGGACCGCTTGCGAAGAGGGGTGATGAGAGCATCGGCAGACTTGCCAGATCGGACTGGACGCGAGGCAGCATTGCGGGCTGTGGGGTCAGAGGGCAGCGAAGCCACATCGCGGAAGCGGTTCTGGTTGTTGCGGAAAGCCGTGACGACGCCGCGGTCGAAGTGCTCGAGCATGACGTCCGATGTGGTCCTCTTGCGGGTGCCCGGTGTCTCTTCGGCCGGGGCTGCCGGGGCGGCATTGTTTTGAGAAGCACCTGGTGTGGTGGGCGCATCAGTCTCCTCGCCATCATCCTCCATGCCGCTGTTGTCAGAATCGTCGCCAAAGTCCATGAAGTCTCCAATGTCAAGATCGTCCTCGAAGTCCTCAGACTCGTAGTCATCCTCATCGAAACCTTCCATGCTGCCATTAGATCCAAGGCTGACAAAAGGATAGAATGCTTCCGGGGGTCCAATGTGGTCGTTGAAGAAGTATTCGTTGCCAGGGGCTGAGCCAAAGACACCAGTCAGCATGATGTCTGTGCTGTTGAGCGCGTTGTTCATGGCCTCAGCCTCGCTGTCTGAAACATTGGCGAATTGAGCAAGCGAGGCCCTGGGGCTGTTGTTGGCTGTGCTGCTTGTGCTGCTGTGGGTGCCGTTGATAGGGATCCATGGAATAGCCTGTGCACGGGGACGGTAAAATGTCACGGTCTTGGTAGCTCTGTTCGTGATAGCAATGGCTGCGTTTGACTCCTTGTGAATGAAGACTCCCCTCATCGGCGGAATCTGACGGCCTGTGGGACGGTTGCTTCGGGCGAAAGGCTTTGGCGTACCCGCTCTAGAGCCTGGTGCTGATTGCGGCTGTTGCAGCACGGACTTCTTCGTTACAGGGGTCTGGGGAGGTACGTCCGACCCGAAGTCTTCCTCATCAGTGGTGTCGCCCTCATCGGCTGCAGCAGGTTGTTAGTGACGGAAACAAATCTAAAGCAGGTCAATATCATACTTTCGTAGCCGCTAGAGCCGGCAGACGACTCGTTATCAGAGTCGTCAGCTTGTGTGATACGTCCTTCGTCGTGATTGAAATCCCAGAACGATGCATCGGACATGGGAGAGCCTACGTCGCCGTCTTCCTCATTCTCGGCTTCCAACAGCTGTGTCAAAATAGGGGGCAATTTGTCCTGTTCAAGGAACAGATCTGGAAACACACTGCTGTCAAGCTCTGAAGATTCAGACTCGGAGTCTTCTGATACTTGAACCTCGTCGTCAAAGCGGACACGCTTCGTCGAGCTGTCTGAGTACTTTCTCTTGGCAGCTGGCTCAGGAGACGCTGGAACAGCCTCTGGTTCGAAGAATTGAGCGAAACCATAGTCACCCAGACTAGTCAGATAAGACTCGCCGAGAGGCCCAGTGACATCAAAGATGTCATCACTAGCAGAGCTCTCGAGGCTGAGTCGACGGGCATCACGAATTTGGTTAAGGAGAGTAGTTGCTTGCTGCTCCTGCTCTCGGGTAATGAAGTTCTCTTCTTGCTGTTCAATCGCCTCCATGTCAAACTCATCGTCATCAGGAATCAGATTGACACCGCTGTAATCTTCATCGTCGCTGTCGATAGCGTGCTCATTTGTGTCACTCTCTTGGTAGGTTAGTAAGGGCTTGGGGCCCATGTTGCTAAGCTTTCTTGCCATCTTACGCCTGGGGAATACTTCTTGATCGATTGACTCGTCCCCAAAGAGAACTGATTTGCTTGAGAGATTGCTGAAGGTACGCTTCTTGTTCTGCATCAGCAATTGATTTACTGGGTGTTTGCTGGGAACAAGCCCAGTTCCATTAGAGGAAATCTCATCGTCGTCCTTGTCGGTCTCATCATCGTCGACGGGCTCTATGCGGATGGCAGGGCCTTTGCCCTTGCCCTTTCCTTTCCCACGACCCCGGTATGAGACAGGTATGTCGTCGTCAGTCTCGTCGTCATCTTGTAACGTGGCACTGTCGTCGTCTTCGTCTTCGTCAGACGCTTCTTCGCCGGTAGCTTGCCCGTCGCCACGTCCTTCAGTGGAGTGAAGGGTTTTCGGTGTGGAGGTCTTGCCCGTAGTTCGTTGGACGCTGTAGCGGGGCTGTGCGGTAGTGTCGGGGATAAGCTTGTGCTGCTGGTGCTTTCCACCGAGTTCGCCCGAGACCGTTCGAGGAGTTGCGATATGCGCCATGGTGAAGTGAAATCCTTTAGACTGGTGGAGGCTCGAGGGGGTGAAGGCGAAATCGAGGGGCGTCTGGAAGCGTCGGATAAGATGTAGTTTAGAGTGCCGGTGTTCGGAAAGTCGGGAGGAGTCAAAGCGTTACGTTTACTGCAGGTATGGTGTACTGGGTTGCTAGGCTCTTCAACTATGTAGAGACCTTGGCGGGTTCGTCGATGTTCGAGGGTTGAGCCGGCAGAACTGACAAATGCGGTATGTGTTCAGTGCAGGCCAGACGAATTATCAATGTTTGGAACGGCTGCGAGCAGAACGTGCTTCACGCAGTCGTGGGTATGTCGTCGTTGAGGTTGAGATATCCTGAGCTGGCTGAAGGGCCCGCAAACTTTCACGAGCCCTCCAGGGATTTAGCACTCAGCGATTGCCTGCGGCATTGTCTCGACGAAGATTGGTATTGATATGATGTTGAAAAGGTGTCTTTGGAAGTAATCCTGTACGACGTTGGTGTAGGCGGGGAGAGAAGGGCGGGCAGGAGCAGTCGACATTTTTTGGGCGGAGACTGCAAGCGCCAAGCGGCTAGCGGTGAGGAACGACCGGGGGGTCCAACACTCTGGTCGGGAAAGAGCGACCAACCCACATGTGATGACTCCCCTGTGCATCAAGCGGCCGCAAGACTCACACTGCAGGCTTGAGCAAGACCAGCGCTCTCATTGACCCAGAGCCTGTAGGCAACCACTTCATCGGTGTCACCCCATCGATTTAAGCGTCAGAGACTGATCGCACCGTGAACAAGGCGCTGCGCAGCTCGTGTGCCCACTGCAGGAATGCCCCACAGCAGCCAAACCTTGGACTGCAGAAAACACGCAGCGATGAGGCAACGGGGCTACGAAAGAGTATCAGGTCCGGAAGTGCGGGCTCCCATTGGCCAGCACAGAAACACAAAGCCGACGAACAAGCATCCTTGCAGCGAACACCAGCCTGCATAGATTGCCTTGCTGACCTGCTGTGCGGTGCACTCCGTCAGCAACCGTGCCTTCATCACATCTGAACATCCTCAATATCGCGGCCACCGCAGATCATGTTGTTTACCCGTCTTGCGCAAGCACGGCATCGATGATCAGCCCCTCTATCTGCCCTGACGTCGATGTTCTGCCCCTCCACCCCGGCCAAATCAATATGCACCGGACTGCTGGCGCCGCGTGGAAAAGGCGGTCTGCGGTGAAAACGTAGCCGCTGCAAAGTGTACAGCTGCGGCCCGTCGCTTGCTGCTTGTGCGACGCGAGGATAAAGACCTTGCAATCAGTGCGTGTCTTTCACGTCGAAATCCAAAGATGATACCTTATCATTTCCCCTCTTCTCACTGTCCCATGGTTGGGCGAATTGAGTACGTAAAGAGCATAATCGTCTCCCGACTTCCTCAGAGCACTGACAACGAGGCTGGGGCTTTTCCTCTTGCGGCCATACGATGCAAGCCGTTGGTGGATCTTTGAAAAAGTGGTCCCTCAGCCTGTGATTCGATTCTTCTCCCCGAGCCCGCTCCTGATCTTCAGACGTCCTGCATACAGTCGGCTTTTGATTGGTCAGTAGACTTTTACATACATCTGGGGCAAGCAAGCCTATTTGTTGATCGTGCGTCAGAGCAAGCATTTGCCGCGAACGACCGGGATCGCTAGTACAAAATTTCCATTCCAATGGCCACAATTTTGCGCTTTGGCTGCATGATGATGCTGAAATAGAGCCAGAGAGTCAGTGTCGCGCAAGCACGGCGGGCTGGGGGCATTGACAGGTGTCGTGATACAAGTGGAGAAAGGCAGTGGAGACACATGCGCGTAAACGCCGTCAGGGACTGCAAATCAGTGTTCATTTCGGAGGGCGTCTCATCAAGATCACCACGTGCACTTCGGAGAGGGAGAATGTTCAAGAAGGAAGGTGGTCAAGTGTCTGGGGTTGGGCGTTACGCAATTGGTATGTTAGAATTTGGCGCGCTACGTGCAAGATGCCGTTACAGACCGTGCTCTGCGGCAGTAGTCTGCCCAATGGCAGAGCGGCGTTGAGGAGCCTCAAGCTCGGCAAGATTTGCAAGGCTACCCAGATCACGAGCTATGTCCTCGTAGTCGTAGCCCAGGTGGTACAGAAAACGAGCCGCCCATCGGAGCGTATCGCGCGCTTGGTCACGCGCAGAGGCGGACATCTCTTTTCTTTCCTGGCTCCACTGCTCCACTTCGCCTTGGACCTTCCGTAAGATGGCCCAGATCGTCTGACGGTTCGGGAGAATTCGTCCCTTCAAGACGAGCGCGACACCCGAGTCTTGGACGATCTCTATGTTGTCAGGGAAGTCTGCGATCTCTTCACTCCTTCCAAATCGGAATTGAGGCATAGTTGGCACTCCTCCGGGAGCTCTGAATGATTCGAACAACCTCCCCGGCTTGTAGCACCATTGATCGACGAGCTCCTTTCCTTTCACGCTATCAAATCGGTCAAGAACCCCACCGAGAATCTGGTTGAAGTTGTCCACGGAAAGTCTGATGCTCTGTCGGGAGGAAACGTTGAGAAATTGAGAGCAGTATGACTTCCATGTCTCATCGACTGTGGAGAGTATAGCAAGCGTGCAGTTCAGCTCATTTCGTACCGTACTGAGAATCAAATGCTCCCATTCGAAAAGCATTCCCGAGAATGCCTTTTTTGCTGCAGCATCCTCCTTCGCGGAGCCTCCAGAAGCTCGTAGGAGTTCGGCCGCGAAGGTGGTCAGGATGCTCGGGCGCGGTATCCATGTTGATAGATTTACAGCATGCTTCTGCATGTTTCGAATTGCATCCCACCGGCGAAGTCTGACTTGACTACGAAACAATGCTGTCAGCAGCTCATTGGGCATACGCGTCTGGTTGGTATTCGGATCGAGATAGCCGGACCGCTTCACTATGTCCAGCACGATGTCATTCTCTCCTGCAAGAGTGCCGAAACGAACGAGTGATGCTGCTATGTTTCGATGAACGTATAAGCCACGACCAATCAGTGGGCCATCGAGATCTTTCGAAAAGACAAACCAGCGCCCGAGTTCGTACATCTCCGAATCAGTTGCGAGGTCCAACAGCCTGGCGAGCAATGGCACAGGCAAATTCGTGTCAAAGGACGGGAACTCGATCGGCGCCGTGCGGCTGGTGAAAGGCTCAGCCTGCCGCAGTGACATAGTGCTCATAGTTTCGAAGAATTGCTGCAGCGACTTCTGCTTGTTGTTGTCTGCATGCTGCTGGAGCATGTTAAAGGATTCCATTGTGCGTCTGGTGTCTCCAATGTTGATGAATGCCCTCATAGCCCGATGAAGTAGGCTGAGAGGGGCCGCGGTAGGTTCAAAAAAGTATGGAACCTCATCATCAGCTGCGGGTGAAGCATTGGCCGAGCCAACTTCTGTACCAAACTCAGCAGCGAGATTGAACAGGCGAAGTAGAAGCTCTGGACGCTTTTCTGGGTCGAAACCACCTGACTCCAGAAGCCGTGTAATAACTGAATCCCAAGCCATTGAGCCTAAACTCAGATTGTTCGCCTCGAGGAATATCTTCATATGCTTTATGTGGTCAATCACTGTTTCCGGACTTGTGCCCCGCGCGCCTACACCCAAGCGCATGTCGTTGATGAGGGCATCGATGAAAGCCGTTACAACCTCGCTGCTGATGGTCCTACGCGTACGGGCACGATCCTCAGCACCCGCTGCTGTATCTCCCCGCATTGGGAAGAGTTTCCATCCCTCGGATGCTGAGGGCAGGCGCTGCTGATCAGCTTCCAGGATCTCTCTCCAACTGATCAGTCCCCAGGTACGGTCGCCCTGTCTGGCGGCCAGCTTCTCGAGGATCGCGATACCATCTACGGTCCAGCCACCATGTAAGCATGACCATAGGACGAGCTCCAACCAGAGCTCAGGAGCAATTTCCGTAATCTCCACCCTGTATCGAGAGCCGGGAATCTCGTGGCCGAGAAAGTACGAGGCTTTCGCGCCGTCTTTGGCAACCTTGACAGCAGCTTCGTGCGCTCTCCATGACGCATCTGACAAAGCTGTCAAGATTTTCGAGGACAGCATGTGTAGTGTTGGCGGCTGTTGCAAGGCATGCTTGTTCTGCGGACGAAATGCATACACTGAATCTGGCATGAACCCAATGTGATGTAAATGCGCAATGATTTCAAGAACATGGGGCATGACCGGATCCTGCCCATGCTTGTCCTGCTCGGTAGCAGCGAGTATCAGCGTGCCTAAACTTCTCCATAGCTGGCCCAGAGCCCGCTTAACGATGAGATGTCGCAGATTGATTGTGTCCGGAGACTTCGTCAGGTCGTCCAAGGATGTCTGAAGCTTTCGTCGTGGACGTGTTCTTCCGACGTCCAGAGGGCTGTTAGTCAAATCATGCAAAGATCGAGCCCCAGATTCGACCAGCCAGGTGGCGTTTGCAGAAGGATTCCACCATGCTGCGGGTTCATCTAATCGCTTTCCACCCTCTGCAAGCTTCTTCGCTATCCAGACTGCCGCCCGCCAGCGCCCCTCTACCAATCCAAGATGACTGAGCAAGTCGTGAGAGGCTTCCTGAGCCTTGTTGATAACTACGGATAAGTCGAGTGGTGTCACCGTGGCGGAGACGTCTGGCGTATCAATTTTTGTACGTCGTATGTCGATGGGAAAGAAAGGCTCCAGGGCTGAAAGCCATCGCTTGATATCGTCACGAGCATCGGGAGAGGGTACTGGTATGCGACCTTCGATAGGCGAGCTGCTGACTTTGGGTGGATGGATATAGACAAACGGATCCTTCGGTCGGTCTGCGGTCGCAGGAGGTGTGGCGCTCTGCTGTTTTGATCGACGTTTGCCGGACGAGAGGGGGCGTTTGGAGGTTCGAGATAGCGCTGGAACGAGAAATGCGGAGACAGAATGGGACGTAGCAGGGCCGCAGTTAGACGGACGAAAGGCCTGTGTCAGGGCGCTGCGAAAGCATGTGTGCGCAGTGCTCATTGAGGGGACGGCAGCCGGAACGGTGGAAGTAGACGTGAGGGCATTCGTGCTGGTGTTGGTTGTACTTTTTCCATCCATGACGCCGACGAATCGCGGTCCAGCCGCCCGCCGTAGCAAGCGCGTCCGTACCGCGTCTGCAGCCTGACCTAACATCTGCCTGGGAGCACGGCAGATTCAACAACAACCTTTTGTCTGCTATTTAACTCAACGCTGCGTCTTTTCGCGTTTTCAAACTTCAGCTCACTTCCCCTGGTTTTTTTCTCTTCACCTCGTTCCTTTTCAGCACAAAAGAACGCGTATCAACAGCTTAGCTGCATCTGACGCACCAGCAACCACACCTCGATTGCAAAGATGGGCGTCTACCGAGTGGAAGCTTCACCAAACAACCGTAAGCAACGAGATTCTTCAGCTGCTGCATTCGGGCGCGTGACTTATGTTCTAACTTTCAATCTAGGTGCTGGCTGCATTAACAAGGAGTGCAAGGATCAAGCAACAAAGATCACAAAGGGCGAACTGCGTTATGCTATTCAGGTGACTATCAAGGACCACCAGTCATGGCAGTATAAACACTGGTATATATCTTTCCCGACTCTGTTCGCCTCATCATGCTAACGTCAACAGGGGCTGTGTCACACCCAAGCAGATCGAGAACCTGATCGAATCATCTGGCGGCGACACAGAAATGGTCGATGGGTACGACGAGCTTCCTGAGGAGTACCAAGAGAAGATTGACTATGCTCTTGAGAACCATCATGTGCACGATGACGACTGGAACGGCGTGAGTTCACTGAAATCAGCAGGCTCCAACGCGCATTCATTGGCTGACTACTATAGGACGTCGAGGCGAACCGAGATGGTCGCTCTGGTATGCGTCTTACTAAGGCTGAACTGAAAAAGAAGGCGAAGGAGGCCGCGAAAGATTCTGATGGCGAAGAAAAGCCCAAGAAGAAGCGCGGCAAGAAGGCTCAAGTTGACGACGACGAAGATGAGGAAGAGAAGCCCGCACCAAAGAAGAAGGGTGCCAAAGCTGCCAAGAAGGAGACGAGCGAGGCTGAAGACAAGCCTGCTCCTAAGAAGCGTGGCCGACCAGTCAAAAAGGAGGCCGAGGACGAAGATGAGGCTCCTGCGCCGAAAAAGGCACGCGCTACTCGTGGCAAGAAGATCGAGTACAAAGAGGAAGAGGATGACGAGGATGACGCTCCGCCAAAGAAGAAGAGTAAGCCCAAGGCCACGGCCAAGGCTAAAAAGGCTGCGGTCGAGAGTGAAGACGAGGCTGAGCCTGAGCTTGAGACCGAGGAGGACGCTGTGGTCGAAGACGAAGAAGAAGAGGAGGAAGCCCCCAAGCCGAAGCGCGGCAAGAAGGCTGCTGCGAACGGCGCCGCCAAGGCACCGCAGAAGAGGTACGCAGCGATAACAAGCCAGACTAGACGCATGCTAATCCTTGTGCAGGGGCAGGAAGAAGGCTGTTGCCAACGACGAGTAGATGTATTGAGTCGCGTCATGCATCACGTCCCTATCACATATTATGTTAATCGCTCAGCCGGCGTTGCATGTCATACTTGAGCAGCGATTATGTACAGCTTATACCCTTTCCGCGAGAGTTAGCAATGGATACTGATCAGTGAACGAGTCTTACCTACGTTCGCATTGTATCGTTGGTGAGCCACATGAGTGCTAACGTGGTGCTCTGCGTCGTGTCTTAGTCTATGTCAGCATCCAGACACTGTCAGGTCTGGTATACATGTTCAAGAAAGAACGACGAGAAGGGTACATTGTAGAAGCAAATTTCCGCTTTTGATCATGCTAATTCTACAAAGCTCCTGAGGAGATCTTCTACGGCTGACCGGGCCATACGGCATCAGCAATGCTCCTCACGAGCTGCAGCTTCTTCCGCATGTCCTCGTAGCCCAGCGAGTTGCCCTCCGCGTGCGACGCGAATCCGCACTGCGGGCTGACACAGCACTGCTGGAGAGCATCCTCGTGCGACTGGCCGGTGCCCTTTGCAATCCAGTCCGCCGCCTGGTTGACGCGAGCAATCATGTCCTCCTTGCTCTCGAGCTCGGGGAACTTGGATGTGATCACACCGAGAACGACGTTCTTGTTCTTGGGGAGATGCGCGAGCGGCTCGAAGCCTCCGGCGCGGGGTGTGTCGTACTCGAGGTAGTATGTGTCGACGTCGAGATCCTAGTAGGTTAGCAATAGTCTCTTTTCTGGGTTCGTGGGTTTGCAAACCTGGAACAGCTTTTTGGCGATGTTGTCGTAGGCGCCTTCTGAGAAGTGACGGCTGCCTACGTAGTTGCCTCTGCACAGATGGATGCCGAGATGCATATCCGCGGGGCGCTCAAAACACTTGTTGTAGAACTTCACGTATGAATCGAACATCTCATCGGCGGTCTTGTCGTTTTCCTTGTCGGCAGCCCAGCCCTCCAACATGTCCTTCGAGCAGAAGTACGCGAGGTTGGGGTCATCGATCTGGATGTTCCTGATCCCCTGCGAGTGCAGGATCTTGAGCTCCTCTTGGTATGCCTTCGCCACATCCTCGAAGTATTCCTCGTCGCCTGCATACACCTCCTTGGGGAAGCTGCGTCCATTCAGGTAACGGAAGTGGTACCAGCTGGGGGAGATCAGGGTGATCTTGATGTTCTTCCACTCGCTCTCAGGGAGCAGGCTCTTCATGAGATCGACCTCGTACTGGTTGCTCGACTTTCCAGGGTGGCTGATCTTGTCGACGCAGACAGTGACGTGGTTGGGGACCTCCTTGGCTTCCATGAAGGACTTGACATCAGGTGCGTAGGGACGGAAAATGCCAGCATCGTAGCCCTTCAGCACACCAAGCTGAAGCTCCTTCATACCGTTCAGGGTCTCGAAGAAAGTGCCCCAGAACATGTGCCTTGCTACAGTTAGCTGGGAACATGATCCCACAGAGCCGCGTGACTGACCTGGTGTACTCTCCGCTGGAGACAACCTTCAGGCCACAATCTTGCTGGAACTTCACGACCTCTGCGACTGCCTTCTTCTCCAAAGGAGCCAGCTCGTCGGCCTGCGCTCTGCCAGCAGCTACATCGTATCGCTTCTGAACAAGCTCCTGTGGTCTGAGAAGAGAGCCGACATGCTCGGCGCGGAAAGGTGGACTACTTTTAGGGGACGACATTCTCAATTGCAGTTTCAGTGTAAAAATGTAAGAAAAGAGGAGAAGTGAGATGCCCCTCTTCTAGACTGGAGGCCCCGCAGATGCACCCTGAATCGAAGCTCATCTTGGCCCGTGGAGCGCTTCAGCCTTGACGCTCGAGCTCGGGTGCCGCACTCGGGTAAAGAGAAGGGAGACCTTCGATTGGAAGGCGACACCGCAACGGCGCTGTGGGATGTGGGAGCCGCAGGTCTGACGGCGAGCTATGGTGGGGCCTCGACTTCATGAGCTTCGCCCCACATTCCCAGTCCGTCAGACCTTCGATGTTCACAGCAGGTTGCTGATCGACGCGCAAAGAGCTGAATCAGCTTGACAAGATACGGGCTCTTTGTCGCTAGGCATCCCATCCACCTTCCACAGCGACGACGCTCTTGTACCACAGACAACAACTGAAGATGCGCTTGTTCCTCTGCTGCGGCGTCTACGTACACGTCCCTTTCACGGGCAAGAAAGAGGAGCCTACACACATACCTGGCACCGCTGCACATGAGCTGAAACAGCCAACTGCCATAGATCCCAGGACAGGCCGGGCCCGAGACTTGAAAGGGTGAATGTGAAGTTCAACGCCACCGATGACGATAACATATTCGTTTCGCGGATATAACGCCGATTGCATGGGCGCTCCAGTAAGCAACGAATGAATGGCCTGTGTTATCCGCGGCGAAGCATTAACACCGATAGAGCTACCCCGCTAAGTGGGATGTAGCGAGCATACAAATGTCGCAACATCTCGCCATTTCAATCTGTAAACATCTGCTAAGACAGAGTTAAAAACTCCTCGAGCCTCTCCACACACAGTCACCTCAATTCGATTACCACAGAAACTCACAATGACTCGTGTTCTGCTTACTGGAGCAAGTGGCTTCATCGCTGCACACACTCTTGACATCCTCCTGGAGCGGGGCCACTCCGTCGTTGGCACAGTTCGCTCGCAAGAGAAGGCCGACAAGATCAAAGCGCAATATAACGGGAAATATGCGGATAAACTGAGCTTTGCGATTGTGCATGACATCGCCCAAGACGGTGCTTTTGATGAGGCCGTCAAGTCAGACCCCCCCTTCGAGGCGGTCCTCCACACTGCCAGTCCGTTCCACTTCAACGTCACCGACGTACAAAAGGTCAGCTTATTCCGTATGATCATGAACAAGATGACTGTTGCTGACCAAGACAGGACCTCATTGACCCCGCAGTAATCGGAACGAGCGGTATCCTCAAGTCAATTAAGAAAAATGCACCCTCGGTCAAACGCGTCGTCATCACATCCTCATTCGCTGCCATCATACAAGCCGACAAGGGATTTTGGCCTGGCCACACCTATTCAGAGGATGACTGGAACCCGATCACGGCTGAGGAGGCGACCGAGAACCCCATGCTGGGCTACCGGGCAAGCAAAACCTTTGCCGAGAAGGCTGCCTGGGAGTTCCTTGAGAAGGAGAAGCCTAACTTTACTATCGCTACTATCAATCCTCCGATGGTGTTCGGACCCATCGCGCACGCCCTTGACAGCCTCGACAACCTCAACACGTCAAACGAGCGCATCCGCAACGCTTGTCAGGGCAAATTTAAGGACGAAATCCCTCCTTCTGGGGTCCACCTGTGGGTTGATGTCAGGTCTTGCGCGCAGGCACATGTCGCCGCTTTCGAAAAGGCCGAGGCTGCGAACAAGCGTTTCTTCGTGACAGCTGGCTACTTCTCGAACAAAGAGATCACCCAAATCATCAAGAAGAACTTCCCAGAGTTCAAGGACTTGCCGAGCGACTCGACGCCTGGCGGTGACTACCCCGAGGGCACACCGGACAAGGGCCTGTACACATACAACAACAAGCGCTCGATTGACATCCTGGGCTTGGACTACATCCCTCTGGAGAAGTCGATTGTTGACTCGGTCAAGTCGTTCCAGGCCAAGGGATTGTAGAGTTGTGTGTCATGGCTAGAGTTGGCAATACACAAACGCGTATATGATGGCGGGCGCACCAAGCTAAGCTCCGTGACAGTCTCCAGGAGCAGTATCCTGGTCCGTTCACTGTCGAATATATGATTGTAGCCAAGTTCACAGCACAGGGTTCGGGAAGCGTGATTTGGATACACATAACATTGATAGACTGTAAGCTACGTCTAAATAATGGAGGTTCGCAGTAACATCATGGGTAATCTATGACAATTGTCAGCGCATGTCGCCATACTTTGTGTGAAGAATAGCAAGTTGCGAAAAGTGATCAGATTGTTGAGCTTGATATTTGTTTGAACTTCATCGTCGTTGACTCGGAAGTTATAGTTTGAAGGAGTGGATCATCATAAAATAGGAGGGAGAAAGCCGGCTGGACTTACGTGAGCAACAGGTAACACGCGCGATCGCTCTAGAATATGAGGATGCGCGCGTGCTATACGTACGACCTCACACGTGGTGATGGACGTAGTTTTGCGACTTGCATTGCGAATGCAATTTTCGAGACAAGACCACCGTGATCTAGCAACAGGGTGATTGCGCAAGGAGTCCCGGGGCGACATTCCTGCAGGACACTGGGTGCACGAGAGACAGGCGGCGCTCATCCATTCGTGTGTTGTGAGGGAGAAGACGAACGACGGGAGAAAAAGTACTTTCGTACTTAGGCACGCACGGAGGATTCTCGGACCGATGCTGGTCGATGCTGCCCCACCAGGCGTCGCCAACAAGCAAGACGGGAAGCCTTTTGACTGTGCCCAAACAAGCCCAACGTTTACAACAGCAACATTCGCCCTTCAGCCTTTGTGCGCGACTCCAACAACGCTTCCTCCCACATCTCCCCGCTTCAAGCCCCAAATCCAGCAAAATGTGTATGTTTGCAACTACCCCGCACTGCGCACGCCATGAGACTGACGCAAGAAGCTTTCGAAGAAGTCGGCAGTACGTATATCGCGGAACCACGGCACGAATCGCGCCCGATTAGATGAGCGCGTGCACCATATCTCGGACTGCAGCTGATCTCCACTACAGAGCAGTTTGTCGAGTACTACTACAAGACTTTCGATGAGAACCGCGCTGCTCTCGCCCCGCTTTACGTACGCGCATCAGACTCGCGACCAACGGAATACAGAGGCTGATATATTCCGGACAGCGCGACCACTCCATGCTTACGTTCGAGGCCTCTGGCATCCTCGGCGCACCGGCTATTGTTGAGAAGCTCCAGGTGAAGCTCCCGCCAGGCTGAGGGTCGACCCATACTGACTCTTCCAGAACTTGCCCTTCCAGCAGGTCCAGCACCGCACCGACACTCTCGATGCCCAGCCTTCCGGCCAGACCGGCGTTCTCGTCCTGGTGACCGGCGCACTCCTCGTACGTCTGCCACTCAGTATTGAGGGATTCGACTAACAACCCCAGGTCGAGGGGTCAGAGAGGCCCATGAGCTTCACCCAGGCATTCAACCTCCAGCAGGAGAACGGAAGCTACTACGTCCTCAACGATGTCTTCCGCCTTGTATACCCTGCCGCATAGCCTCCAAGTCTTGCGGTCCGAGACGATTGACGATGACATTTGGATTTCTGGAGCATTTTCGCGACGGCAGGATGGGGGCAGTGGAGGAACAGTTGCTTTACACGGGCTGTGCATCACAGCGCATTGGAAAGCGTTGTCGTCAAGGCAGGGGACTACCGGCGATATGTAAATCCGCTAGATTGGCTGCAATGCATGTGCATTTGATCACATCCGTCTTTCTCCAGCTCTCGGCTCGTCCCGCGCAAATATCCGCTCCCAAAAGCCATATCCGAGGCTTTTCCGGTCATGTGACGGAGGATGAGCGTTTAGCCGCCCCGCGCTCACTTGCCGAAGCTCGAGAGCTCGAACATCACCGCCATGGCATCCGGTCGCGGCGGTCTTCAAACTTTCTCTCCGCCCGCTGCTCTGATCTTCTTCACTTTCTCTTCTGTACCACCAAAAGTGTCTTGAATACCCAATCTAATTGTTAGCGTTTCCTTGCCTACACAATGGCATTCGTTCAGAAAGGTCTCAAGAACATTCTCCAGAAGAACCCCAACGATGTGGTCATTCTCTCTGCACTGCGAACCCCGGTAACAAGGGCAAAGAAGGGAGGCCTGCGCGATGCTTACGACCATGAGCTGCTTGGTGCTGTACGTTGTATCAAATGTGCCTGTTGACCAATTCTAATATTGCTATAGGTCTTGAAAGCCACCATCCAGAAGTTTCCCAACCTCGATCCTGCAAAGATAGATGATGTCTGTGTCGGCACAGTGCTGGCTGAGCTCGGTGGCTCCAAAGCCGGCCGCATGGCCGCCAACCACGTCGGCATTCCCACAACAACGTCATTCAGCACTGTAAACCGTGCCTGCGCCTCTGGTCTCTCCGCTATAACCTCGATCGCACACTCAATTGCCGTTGGACAAATCGACGTCGGTATCGCAGGTGGCATGGAGAGCATGACACGCAACTACGGCACACGCGCCATCCCCGTCGAGCTCTGGCCCGAGATGAAAGACAGCCCCGTCAAGGACGCCCGCGAGTGCATCATGAACATGGGCCTCACCTCCGAGAACGTCGCCGCGCGCTACAACGTCTCGCGCGCCGACCAGGACGCCTTCGCCGCCGAGTCCCAGCACCGCGCCGCCAAAGCCCAGGCCGCGGGCAACTTCGACGCCGAAATCGTCCCCGTCACAACCCGCTGGATCGAGCCCGAGGCCCCCGACGCCGCCAAGCAGGTCACCGTCACCAAAGACGACGGCATCCGCGCCACCACCACCGTCGAGAAGCTCGCCGCCATGAAACCCGCGTTCAAGAGCGACGGCACCAGCACCGCCGGCAACTCCAGCCAGGTCTCCGACGGCGCCAGCGCAGCCCTCCTCATGCGGCGCTCCGTCGCAGCCGAGCTCGGCCTCTCCTCCCACATCATCGGCAAATGGGCCGGCACGCAGGTCGTCGGCTGCGCGCCCGACGAAATGGGCGTCGGCCCCGCGCTCGCGATCCCCAAGCTGCTGGACTACACGGGCGTCAGCACCGCCGAGGTCGACGTGTGGGAGATCAACGAGGCGTTTGCGTCGCAGGCGCTGCACTGCATTCGCGCGCTGGGGCTGGCGGACAGCATGGACAAGATCAATCCGAACGGCGGTGCGATTGCACTCGGGCACCCGCTGGGCGCGACGTCCGGGCGCATGCTGGCGACGATGCTGAGCGAGATGGGGCGCGGGGGGCAGCAGGTGGGTGTCATGAGCAAGTGTATTGGGACGGGGATGGGGATGGCGAGTATGTTTGTCCGGGAGTAGGGGTGTGGGGGACGAAAAGAAAAGTAAAATAACCTGTGCAATATACCAAGTGTTCTATTCATGTCTGTCGTCGCTTTTGGGGGTATCTCGTGCATCCTGAACTCCGACCGTATGCAATGTGTCGCGTGAGGCTAGATGTCCTCGCTCTTGCCTTTGCCCTTCTTCTTTTTGCTGCGCTCCGCAAGCAGCTCGTCGAGGTAGCTTGTTGGTTTCGCTCTGCTCTTCTTGACACGCTTTTTCGGCTTGAGTTCGACATCATCGTCCGACTCCTCCTTTGGCGCCGGGCTTTCTTGGACATCTATACTGTCCGGCTTTTCAGTCTCAGCACTCTTCGACTTCTCAGCCTCAAAACTCGTCAACTTCTCAGCCTCAACACTCGTCAACTTGGGCTTCGGTTTGGCAACACTGCCTCTCTGTCTTTTCGATGCAATCAGCGCGGCTCTGCCCTCCTCTTCGTCTTCGCTCTCCTCAGGTTTCGTCTCTTCTTTCTTCTGCTGCCATGCCGGCTGCTGGCGCGCACTTGCTCGCTCTGCTTCCTGCTTCGCGGCCAGATGGGCTTTGGCGCGCTTTTTACCAATCAACTGCTCCAGCAGCTTGTCGTTTGTTGTTGGTGCTCGCCGTGTGAAGCTGCCATCGGCTATGTCCTTGGGAATTGCTGAGCCAACGCCGAGTCTGCACTGGATTAGACACTTCACACACACATGAGACGCGCAACGCACCTGTCGTGCCCAAAGTCGGACTGCTTGAGGTCGGCATCGTCGTCTTGTGGCTCCGAAACGTGACTTGCGGGCGTGGGCGTTGGTTCAGCGCCCATCCATGACGAGAGCAGACTTGAGCTTTTGGCGTTCATCAGACTGAACTTGTTGCCCAGCACATCGTCGAAATTGGCCTTCTTCGCCATGGTGGAGCAGCTCTTGCCTGTCCCTTGTTTAACCGCAGCCCAGCGCGCAGTTCTGCATGAGGCAACCTCCCGGCCGGGCTCGAGAAATTTACGGGTTGGAACTGGACTTGCTGCACCGTCCGTGCGGCTGCGCTAAGAGACAGCACCGCGAACCTTGAGGCATAGCAACAGCCCAGCTCCATCACCTCCTCTCACACCCAGAGCCGAGCCTGCGTGTCCTCCATACCGACACCATGTACAACCTTGCCCGCGCCAGTCGGCCCATGGCCAGCGCCGTCCGCGCCGCCTACGTGAGTGCGACCGCGCAGCGGCCAACAGCCTCTGCCGCCAGCTTGCAGTGCAATTGAGCAGGAGTCGCTGACCCGCGCCAGACACCGCTGAGGCAGTCCGCTGTCCAGCAGAGGCGCTGCCTGTCCATCCACGAATACCGCTCCGCCGCGCTGCTCGAGTCGGTACGACGCCCCGTCCGCGCAACAGGCGCAAGCTAACGCAGCTGCAGTACGGCATCGGCGTGCCCAAGGGCGGTGTCGCGACCAACGCGGCCGAGGCCGAGAAGATCGCCAAGGAGATCGGTACGTGCTGGAGGGCGTGTGGTGCTGGGGCAGAGCTAATGCGCGCGCAGGCGGTGACGATGCCGTGATCAAGGCCCAGGTCCTCGCGGGAGGCCGTGGCAAGGGCACCTTCGACAACGGCTTCAAGGGCGGCGTCCGCGTCGTCTACTCGTACGCTCTCCGTGCTCCCGCTGCGACACGTGCTAACACCAGCGCAGGCCTCGCGAAGCCGCGATCCTCGCCGACCAGATGATCGGCCACAAGCTCATCACCAAGCAGACCGGAGCCGCGGGTCGTCTCTGCAACGCCGTCTACATTGTCGAGCGCAAGTTCGCGCGCCGCGAGTTCTACCTCGCCATCCTCATGGACCGCGCCTCGCAGGGCCCCGTCATCGTCGCCTCGTCGCAGGGCGGCATGGACATCGAGGCTGTTGCCAAGGAGCACCCCGAGGCCATCATCACCACCCCCATTGACATCCACGTTGGTGTCACCGACGAGATCGCCCGCACCATCGCCACCGAGCTTGGTTTCTCCGAGCAGTGCATCGAGGACGCCAAGAACACCATCCAGAACCTCTACAAGGTCTTCAACGAGCGCGACGCCACCCAGATCGAGATCAACCCCCTGTCCGAGACCACCGACCACCAGGTCCTCGCCATGGACGCCAAGCTCGGCTTCGACGACAACGCCGACTTCCGCCAGAAGGAGGTCTTCGAGTGGCGCGACATCACCCAGGAGGACGCCGACGAGGTCAAGGCCGCCAAGGTGGGCCTGAACTTCATCAAGCTCGACGGCGACATCGGCTGCCTGGTCAACGGTGCCGGCCTCGCCATGGCCACCATGGACATCATCAAGCTCAACGGCGGCACACCCGCCAACTTCCTCGACGTCGGCGGCGGCGCCACCCCCGAGGCCATCCGCCAGGCCTTCGACCTCATCACCTCCGACCCCAAGGTCACCGCCATCTTCGTCAACATCTTCGGCGGCATCGTCCGCTGCGACGCCATCGCCAAGGGCCTCATCCAGGTCGTCGAGAGCATGAACCTCAAGACCCCCGTCATCGCGCGTCTGCAGGGCACCAACATGGAGGCCGCGCACAAGCTGGTAAGTCCCGGAATACACATCTCACTCCGCCGTTTGAAGAAACACGTTTGAAGAAACTATCGCTAACCACGCCCCCAGCTCAACGACTCCGGCCTGAAAATCTTCTCCATCGACGACCTCCAGGCCGCGGCCGAGAAGTCGGTCCAGTTCTCAAAGGTCGTCAAGATGGCGCGCGACATCGACGTCGGCGTCGAGTTCACCCTCGGTATTTAGGCCCGTTGTCTTATCCCCCGTGCCATCTACCCCCGTACCTCTACCCCGTACCTACTCCTCCTCCTCCTGACCGACCTGCTCTGCTGGCTTGCTTTGGCCCGCTGCTCTTTGGCCCGCGGGCTCTTGGACCCGCCGGTTAGTGTCGTTGTATAGTCTGTTACCCCCATGTATACCGTGTTAGAATCCGTAAGCTGCTGAGAGCGGGGCGCGGTATTAAATGCATCATGTTCAAAGTCTCTGGATTTGTGTGGTCTTACTGTGCGTTGGTCGGCGCTGTGTTGCGTTGCTTGCTCGGCGTTGCTGTGCGTTGCTGTGCGTTGCTTGCTCGGCGTTGCCTGCGTTGCCTGCGTTGCCTGCGTTGCCTGCGCTGCCCTGTCCTGCGTCGCCCGATCCTGCATTGCATTGCCCTGCACTGCATCGCATTCCGTCCCTCTCACCATCCACCATCCACCAAGCCACTGCTCGCTCGATTGAGTCGCTGGCTGACCTTTCGCTGACTGGTACTAGGACTCTAGGGGTTTGATGGGGTGTGTGGTACTTCGGAGAAGGATGAAAAAAGGATGAGTAGGATGATGGATGGAAAGGAAGATGAGTAGGAGGATGGGAGGATGGAGGGATGGATGGAGGGTGAAGAGATGGATGGAGGAGGCTGTCACTTTCTTTCGCCCGTGGGTATGGTTTCCTAGTCGTTTCCTTGGGGTTCCCTGGCTGATTCTTGGCTATTTCCTAGCGACAACGTTTCCGAGCGTCCACACTTCGATGTATTTCCTCTTTGGGTTATGGTTTTGGGTCGTGTGTCTTTTGGCCATGTCTTAGGGTCATACGTCTTTCGACCGCGTTTCTTTCGGGTGTGCTTCTTTCCATTCAGTCTAAGGGTGACACAGCAGGGAGGAAGGCAGAGTATATAAGCGGAAGACACTAGATTCGACTGTGAATACATCAGCAGCACTCCGCACTCCACACTCCCATCATAAGAGGTATCCGCGCTTCCGGTGTAGGTTTCGACACGAGAGGAGAGCGGCGGCATATAGTGGTTTGTTTTTCCTTTTTGCGCAGGGCCATGGCTTGGGTGTATGTACAGTCCAACACGGTCTCGTGGCGTTTTCTTTGCGGGTGGTGCTCGTCATATGAGCGATAGATGTTGATTTCGGCGAGAGGAGGGAGGAGCAGCATGTGGATGGCATTGATTGTTTTTCGGAGGGCGGGAGTGGAGTTTGCGTGTAAGCGGATCAGCCCTTCTGCACGTTCCCATGCTAGTTTTCTGATAGTGATTCCGGATATGTTGTCTTTATTGGTCTGTTTCGACAAGAGGAGGGACAGGCGGCATATAGTGTTTGTTTGGTACATTTCAAGGGAGGGGCATGGGTAAGGTGTGTGCACAGCAACAGCACGTTCTCATGGTAATTATTTGCGAAAGATGCTGGACATCTTATCGATACAGGTTACTTTCGGCAAGAGGAGAGAGAACCAGCATGCAGACGGCGCGTGAGTTTTTTCGAAGAGTCATGGCTTGTTTGCAGCATACTTTAAGTGAGTCTTTTTGCGTAAGCAACAAGACGGGGAGTGTCGATGATCCAGCAGTAGTTCGCGTTCTTATGACAGTCTTCTGCTGGTGGGTACTGGACATTTTTTTACCGTCAGAATTGTTTTGGACGAGTGGAGAGAGCGGCGGCATGAACATGATGTGTTCTAGCTTTCGGGGGGCTGTGGGTTGAGTATACGGGCAGCACGCCACGTTCCCATAGTTTTCTGTAGGAAATTGGTGGACATGCGCTCGACAATGGGTTTTTTGGAAGAGAGAGACGGCATACAGCGCTGGCTATCTGATTTTAGGGCGACATGGGGTTGATGCTTGATTTTCTTGAGTCTTTCTATGGGTCTTTCAATGGGTATCCCAGGGGGGTTTCCCAGTGCATCTTTCGACGAGAACAGAGAAAGGCGACATGCCTTGGGTCTTCTTGCTTTTTCCAGGATCATTAGGCTGGCATTGGTCTGAGTTTTTCATTGCGTTTTTGCACAAGTCTTTCAGTAAGTCTCTCGAGGTGATATGCAGCACATGATGCGCTGCTCGCCCACCAGACACACACATATCCAAAGTCGTACGAAGCTTAGGCAGCTTACAGGTTTTCACACCAAGTACAAACAGAGTGTGTAGTGGTTTGGATTGAAGTTGCTGTGCGGTGCAGAACACGCACTGGCAGATGAGAAATATCGACATATCCCAGCCAAAGCAGATGTTGATGTATGGAAGCCGAGCTCAGGCAGGGACATAGTTTTCTTGTCCACAATATTTCAGTGATGTGCGACGTCCCTCCCACGCTTTGCCGCACACCAGATATGACCGTTCGGTTCCACGGTCGCGCACGTTAAACTCCTCGCTGCTTTTTCAGAACCACAGGCATATATTTCTTTCTAGTTTGGTAGAGAAGGGATCACACGCTCCAGCCACTCTGGTTGTCTTCATGTGAACCTCAGGCTTTGGCACAAGCATGCCTTGTCATTTCTTCCTATTTTGGTGGTGTGCAAAGTTATTCCCATGTGCTCCGCATGCGCAATAAAATCTGTTGATTTTACGACCACGCATGTATCGATCATGGCCCTCTTATTCAGAACCATGGAGGGAGTGTCAGTTTCTTGTGAGGGAGAAGGGAGCAGCATGTTATAGCAGGCGGGTGTTATAAGGTGGAAGCACGAAGGAGCCAAAGCCATGAGTGTTTTCGGGGCGCGGGCGCACATCAATCCATCACATCAACCTTTTGAAGCACATGGCAGACAGATATGTTCCTGCGGTTGTTTAGCTTTTGAGTTGCGGCAGCATATTCAACCGAGAATGTTGCTTCGAAGGCATGCAGTGGATGCAGCAGCACATGTCGTTCGAACATCTTCTTTGTAGGCGAACAACAGCCATGCTTGCTAGTATTTCATCATGTTTCCGGGACGAAGCCGCACATTCGCCTCTTTCTCATTGACTGTGAGGCACACAGCAGCCATTCCTGTTGCTGCTTCATTTTGTTTTCGAGGCACAGCGGCACATCAGTCGTCCCTTTCCGGTTTCGCAAGCACAGCTTCTCGTGCATGTAAATTTACAGGAGCAGCAGCACATGCTACAATAGCGCTTGAATTTCAGGCACACAGCAGACAGACTCTTCGAATGCGTACGTTGGTGGTGAGGAGCAGCAGCACATATCATTTCCGAAGTGTACTTTTGAACGGGTCGCGCAGACCTGGTCCAGCAGACATTACTGGCATAAGCAATCCTTTTGGGGAGACCGATGGAGAGTAAAGTGGTTGGTTTAGCAGAAAAGGGCAGAGAAAGGCAGTGTTCATTTCATCGGTGGTGAGGGACCGCGACACATGCGATCTCAAGATACACTTTTGAAGGTATCCAGCAAACGAGTCGTGGCAGACATGTGCCACTTGTACTGAAGTTTCGAGAAGACTGATGGGGAAATGTTTGCTTGTTTTAAGAGAGGAAGGTAGAGAAAGGCAGAGACAAGTAGATATTATGTCGGTGTTTGGGTAAAAGAGCACTCACTCCATACGTTGTTTCGGTGATGGTTTTGGAGCACATTAAGAGTCCGGGGATGAGAAGGTACAATGAGCGCGCTGGATGTCAGATTTCAGGCTCGGGCGCGTTGGTAGTCTTCATGAACATCCTGCCGAGGAGAAAGGCACATGAGTGCCCGAGGTTTATCTTTTGAGACAGAAAAATTATAGCTGTACTGTTGTATAGTTTTGAAGCTTCTGCATCGGCCAAGAAGGACGTGTTTTGCGGCATGGAGGGACAGTTTCGGGGATTGGAGACGAGCAGATCATAGTCATCTTTTCTTTCGAGCAGCAAGAGCAGACACTCCCTGCTGTCTTCCAGCCATATTGAGGCAAGGACGGAGATGGGAACAAAGATTAACGCAAGAGAGATGGAGCAGTGTTTCCTTTATCTTAGATGCTTGACTTTACTTTCAGAAGCCGGGAAAGAACCACATCTTGTCAACTACGGCGCCTTTGAACCGCAAGATACTCGACAGAATATTGAGGGAAAGAGTGTATGAATCCAGTTATTCGTGATATTTAGAACCAGCAGAAGTCGCTCGGACATACATATTGTGGCCATGGCTTGATGGTTGCGAAGCGTTGGCAGGCACACTAGCAGTGCTGGTAGAAGAGCATAGTATCCGGCAAGACAAACAAGGACACAACATGTTCCAAGTTGCAGAGAATTTCGATGAGAAGCCTGAACTCACTGGAAGATCTTTTCGCAAGCAAGCAGCAGAGAACCTCCAGTTCCCAGGAGGCAAACACAGACAGCCCATATGAGAACGCCACGCTCGTTTTAAATGATTTGAATTCGTGGTTGCGGAGGATTGGTAGGCACACCAGAAGGGCTGATAGAAGAAGATCGTATCCGGAAGACAAAGGCGGACACAACATAACCCGTCTCGTGTTCATTTTCAGTAGCAAGTCTCAAGTCATTCTAGGATCTTTTTGGGCAAAAAGCCAAGAAAGAACCCCCAGCTTTTAGGAGGCAAAGACAGACGACCATAGACATGGTGGGTACACTTTTCGGAGACATGTGGGTGCTACAGAACAGCCCTGGCAGCATTGACTGTCCGAGCCTTCCGCTTGCGCCATATAGCGCATTTGCATTCGTTTTCGTGATCCCGCTAAATAGTACCGCAGGCTTCTGCAAGAACTCCATGATGCGTTCTTCCAGACTTTTCGATGCCAGGGTCGGCGAGGGGTGTTGATGGCCATGGTGAGAGACAAGAGGTGGCAAAGGATGTAGGTTTTATATAGGAGCTGCGCAGCATAGCAAGCTTCCATGCTTGTTGGTGATACAGAGGGATACCGCAGGCGCAGAGGCATAGCTGCTCAGCTGTCTCTGCGACTTTGAAGTCAGAAGACGTGATCTGATCAGCCAGACACATTCACTGGAAGTTTCCAGTTTTCAGAACATTTCTGAGGAGAGAGAAAGAGAGACCTCATTAAGGCTGGGCGTCAGTGTTTTGATTTGCAGATTGAGGATTGAATGAAGCCATCGATACGGTATCCGCAAACCCAAGAGACAGGACTTCTTTGAGCCCACATATCTTTTTTGACGAGGCAGACGCAAGCCTCTAAGCAGTCAAGCCCGGCAAAATCCAAGAGCATGTACTGAGAAGTGACAGCTTTCAATTTTGTGGGCCTTGCACTCACGTACACTTTCATACGGTCTGCTGCGCATACTGTCCGGGAACCCAAAGAACATGCGACTGAAGAGACGCGCAAGTGTAGTATACTTGTTTTCGGTGGCGACAGTATGCTGTCAAGAGAACAGCTCCCACACATTGGGCAGCGATCGAAAAGTTTCGAATCCCAGCGCTGAGACACATTACGTGTCTGTGATGGACTTTCGACTCCACGCTTGGAGAGGTATCAGGATGCAGAAACATAACAATGCACAATCTGGATTTCTTCCGAGTTTGGCAGTGCAGGAACAGAATCGGACATCGGTTTTTTGGGTGTTAATTTGGAAGAGCGTAAATATGAAAGTGGGATCCATTGAAGCCGGTTTCGGACAGAGATTGGAGGAGCTATAATGAGGTATAGAAGAGCAGGAAGTCAGGCTTTATATACGTGTATGAGTATCTATTACCTGGTCAAAAAGAAACAGACATGTAATGATGGGTTCACGATTTCGAACGGGCTAACAACGGCATTGCTTTGTTGTCTACTAGGTTGAGGACCCGGCTACAAACAGACATCCGATGGCAAGTAGACTGATGTAACGCTTGTGGAGGCTGTTAAGGAGCTTGGAATATTGTCCCAGTGGTGAGGTGGTGTGTTCGCTGGAGAGAGACGGTGCAGTGTTCCACGATGTGCTATTGTTGAGCACGGCAAGAAGAGCTCCTCGTGACAAGGAATGGGAAAGTAGTTAGCCGATTGGATCTCTATCATCTTGAATGAACGTGCATTCTCTCTTCAATCAGAAAATCCTTGTACCCAGCACCACCCACGCCCAAACCCATATAGCGTCCTCTCCAGCCCCCAGCCTACCTCACCATTTCTCAGCCCTCGCACTTCCGCCATTGCACCGCGAACTTCTGCGTACTGGCCCAAATCAGCAACATCACACACCCAAACCGAGAAGACTCACAACTTCCCATCCAACGAATCCACAGTAAGCAGATTCAAAGTCCTCGTCCGCATCGGCGCAATCCTCACCTCAGACTTGATATTCAGCAATCCCTGCTCGCCACACGGCGCCCACACCCTCGTCAGCGACTCCACAGTATCATGCAACACGTAATTCTCGTCCATGGGCCCCGAGAAATTCGCCGCGAAGAACGACTGCGCGTGTTAGCTCGCCTGCAGCCACAGACAACAAAGCATCGTAGAGTGGGCAAACGCACCTCCCTCGCCTGCCCCGAGAAATAATACGACCCGACCGCGCGCCCCTGCACGCCCGCCTCCAGACTCGCGTACCCGCGGTAGTCGGCGCCCAGCAGCGAGTACTGCAGACCCCCGGGATACCGCAGGTTCAGCGCCAGCTGGCAGAACTTGCGGCGCTCGGAGGCGGGGACCGCGGGGCCGGACTGCACGGTGTAGGCGTTGAAGGCGAGCGTGAGCGTTGTGCGGTCGTCCGAGATGCTGCTGGCGACGGTGTTGGAGGGGCAGCCGGTGCCGCCGTAGGTTACGTTTTGGATTTCGATGTGGCTGTTGGGGGGTGCGGGGGGGAGGGGGGCGGGGGCTGTGGCGGCGAAGGGGAGGAGGTAGAGGAAGTAGAGGAGGAAGGATGCTGTTATGGGATTCATGTTGGGGATTGTGGTTGGGATCGGCTGGGATGAGAGTGTGTTGGATGATTTGGAGATGACTTCAGCGCAGCCATGATGCTTTTATACTTCTCTGCTCGGCTCAAGCAAATCGGTTCTGATCATGTGCTGTGGGAGAACGAGAAATGCGAGTTGGCAACGCAGGCTGCTGGGGCTGCGCAGGTCTGCTTATGTAGCACATCGAGCTAGGAAGCAAGCCGGTTGTGGTACTTGTAACCAAGCCCAAAACTCTCTGACCAAGACGTGACTATTATCATGTAGGCTTCATGTATCGTACTTATATCCGAGTCCAAGAACGGGCAGTTTGTGCTGCACACCTATTGTAGATGTCTCCGCCTATTTGAATGTTCCAATGAACACAACCGGCAGAGGCCCAGATGTGCTGGATTACGGTGGAAACACCTGACTGCAGTCGGTGAGTCAGTGTTCCAAGGATCCGGAGTTGTGGTTCCTCTCGTGGCTGAAGGCTGAGGGAATTACTCGTAAGCTTCGATTGATCAGCCATATTGAGTTATTTACAGAACTGAACCTTTCACAGCCAGTGATGCAGAGCTTTAGGGAGACTAGCTCATCAGAAGCCGTGCCAGAGCTGGCAATGAACTACATGCGAGAGCGAGCAGACCGAGCTGAGCTCCATCGTGCGCTCAAGGAAAGGGAGACGGTGATAGAGAGAGCAGTGCTGGATACAGTCTCGAATGCCGACGAACCACGCTTGAGTAGAGAGGAACAGTTGCATGTATGAGATAGAAGTTGGAAACGACAAAACCATGGCTGGGGTATCTTGTAACTGTGAAAACACCTCTACGCGCCTCGTGCCTCGTCTGCGTCCTTGGACGATGCTGATGCTATCGTCTCACCCTCCTGGGCTGCGACATTGTTCTCCTCCCGGGCGGCGACATTGTTCTCCTCCCGGGCGGCGACATTGTTCCCCTCATGAGTTACGACATCGCTCCCCTCCTGGGCTGCGGCACTGCTCACCTCCTGAGCTACATCAACACTCCCCTCCCCGCCCTCTGCGCCCATCCCCAGCTCCACGCCCAAATCATCAAGAAACCGCTCTGCCTTCCCCTTGCTCCTCTTCTCCGCCATTACACGTCTCTTCTCCCGAATCATCTCCTTCCTCGCCTCCACAGCATCCTTCCTCTCGCGCCTCACGCGCTCCGTGTCCGCCCTCTCCTTCTCCAGGTTCGCCATCTGCTTCCGGCGCTCCTCCTCGTCCTGGTCAAAGTACATGAACCCCGTGCCGCGCGTGCGCGCCTCGGCCCGCCCGTCGAAATGCAGCTCCGGCGGCGGCGTCAGCTCCTTGTCGCGCTTGGCGGCCAGATCGGCCATCTGCTGCGCAATCGTCTCGTCGGGGTTGAAGGCGTTGGTTTGCACCGTGTCGCCGAAGATGAGTTGCTCGGGCATGCTGGGACGCGCGGTGAAGCGGTCGGGCGCGTCGTGGGCGAGGGTCGCCTTGCGGTGCTGTTCGCGGGCGGCTTCGGCGCGCGTGCCGGTGCGTGTGCGCCCGAATTCGTCGACGTATTCGACTTGTTCGTCGTCGTCGCTTTCCGAGGACGAGGAGGAGGCGGCGCCGGAGGCGCCCTGGGTGTCGGCCCATTTGCGGTCGAAGTCGACGCCGTATTTGTCGTTGATGTCTTCGACGTCGCCGCGTTTCAGGGCGGCGTAGAGGCGCGCTTTCTCCTCCATGCGCCGCTGCGTGCGCTTCCAGGAGGCGGCATCTTCGCTCTTCTCGTCGGTCGTGCGGCCGCGATGCTTCTGTGTGGCGAGGTCTGTGTCGTCGAGGTCGGCGAGTGCGCGCTTCTTCACGTTCTTGTTGTGCGTCTTGAAGATGTCGTCTTTCTGCGGGCGCGCGCGGCCGGAACCCGCAAGCTTGTTGGCATCGTTGCTGGAGGAGGCTTTGATGAGGTTGGAGAGGGTCGACGAGAAAGCGACGGTGCTGGAGCTGCTGATCTCCTTGCGCTTGCTGCGCGCGGTGCTCTTGGCGCCGTATAGATGCGCGTCTTTGCCTGAGAGGTGTGTGTTGTTGCTGGACATTGCGGTGTCGTTGGAGACGCGTCGCGAGGGCGATGTCGGAGCTCAAGCGTTGCTGCCCCGCCACCCCACGTCGAAGCATGTAAATCGCCGAGCGGCTCCGCTGGCATGAGGGTTGAATCTAGGTTTGAAGCTTTACGAGAGCTTGTTCTTCCTTCATACACGCCTCACACAGTCAATTGATAACAGCCACCATGTCTCCTCCCCGTCAAGTCTTCATTGCCGTCATCGGTACGTAGATCAGCTGAAGAGCGCTCAATTGCGACTTCCACTTTCCTGAGCAACTGCTGACACCTCTAGGCGCCGGCGGCGTAGGAAAGTGCTTCCTGAACCAGCTCACCGGCCTGGCACAGCGCCTCTCGCAATCGCCGTCCTCGCCATACTACCTCTCGCTGATCTGGCTGTCAACATCGAAGAAGGCTATCTACCACGGCGATTACAAGTCCCTCTCCAACTGGGAGTCCGAGCTTGCCAACAACTCCAAGCCCACGCTGCCTCTGCCCCAGCTGCAAGAGTACCTCGTCAAGGCGCCCGGCAAGGTCGTCCTCGTCGACAACACCTCGAACCAGGATATCGCCGACGCATACCCTGGCTTCCTCAAGAAGGGCATCAGCATCGTGACGCCCAACAAGAAGGCTTTCTCCGGCAACCTGCAGCTCTTCAAGGACATCTTCAGCGCGGCCTCGAACGGCTCCGGCGCAGGCGGCTTCATCTTCCACGAGTCGTCCGTTGGTGCGGGCCTGCCCGTCATCTCAACGCTGAAAGACCTCGTTGAGACCGGCGACAAGGTCACTAAGATTGAAGGCGTCTTCAGCGGCACTATGTCCTTTCTTTTCAACAGCTTTCAGCCCACATCTGGCGGCGGCGGCAAGTTCAGTGCTGAAGTCACCAACGCAAAGGACAAGGGCTACACCGAGCCCGACGCTCGCGACGACCTTAACGGCCTCGACGTCGCCCGTAAGCTCACCATCCTGGCCCGTCTTGCCGGCCTGTCTGTGGAGTCCCCTACCGCCTTCCCTGTCCAGTCGCTCATCCCGAAGGAGCTTGAGTCGTGCACCTCCGGCGACGAGTTCCTCGAGAAGCTGCCGCAGTTCGATGGTCAGATGGATGCGCTCAAGGCCGAAGCCGAGAAGGAGGGCAAGGTCGTGCGCTTCGTTGGTAGTGTCGATGTGCCCTCCAACGCCGTTAAGGTCGGGCTCGAGAAGTTCGACAAGAGCCATCCCATTGCGGCGCTTAAGGGCAGCGACAATATCATCGCCTTCTACACTGAGCGTTATGGTGAGAACCCACTGATCATCCAGGGCGCAGGCGCTGGCGGCGAGGTCACGGCTATGGGTGTCACGGCGGATCTGATCAAGGTGCTGAGGCTGCTGCACTAGGCGTTGTTCCGAAGCGGTACGTCTGTAGAGATGAAGAAAAGTTCAAGTCAAAGAATACCAGTTGGAATTTATGAACACTGTGTCAGTCAGTGGTGCTGAGAAGTGACGGTGGTACTCTTCTAGAGCAGTGCTCGACGAGAGACGAGAAATGACATGAGCTGGCGATTGTACGGAAGGGGATTCCTACTTGTGCCATACGTCTCGTTCACCGTGCCGATTGTAGACCCGCCACATACAAACCGTCAATACAGGCGTCCCCAACAGGCAGCGTACAGGGCGATCTACGCAGAAATGTTGCTGTCCCATGAACACCCTTCATCTAAGCTTGTCAGTAAACTACAGCATTATGCCCTGCTCGTCAACCACACCTCACCTCTCCAATTACCCCTCATAATCTCCAAGCCGCGCTTACCGTGGGTACTACACTGCTATAACTCCTCACCTCCAATATGACATCACAGGCGGGGTCTGGCCAGCATCTAGATGGTAACGGATTGACCCACCTGCGGTCCGGTGTGGCTCCACACTATAGCGAACCTGGGGAGTGTGGCTAGTAGGCGCACTGCTGACGTGGCTGAGCTATCGACATGCAACTTTTGTGTTGTAGAACAACGCGAGGGGCATGTGTGCCGAGTTCCGTAGAGCCCTGTGGAATGCAGGTGGTTATGGAAGCAGGCTGCATTGGGACTCAGGGAGATGGTCCAGAGGAAGGTGTCGGTGTCGCGGCGTAATCGAGCTCTGATAGGTGAATGCCAAGCTTCCACTAATCCACCCGCATCTTACACATGCTTCCCTCGCACATGCTTCCTTCACACATGATGCGATGACTTACCTTCTCACTCTGTGATCTGGCGTTGCCAAATCCGCATCTGATCGTCTTGACTGCTGAGTCACTCGTTGTCGACACATGGCCAGCTCGCCTGGTTTGCTAGCTCTAGAGTACTGTGTGACAACGTGTCCGGCACATGGCTCCCTAGCCGCCCCAGGATACCATTTGGATGGTGTGAGGACCGTGGCTCCGGAACCGCGTTGGTCTTGGATGTGTCACACTGATCTGGGCAGTCCCGTGGTGACGGGAGCGATAGGTCAAGAAATGTGCTCCCGAGGCCAGGTAACTTGGCCTCGCTTGTCTATGTCCACACTGTCGAACTGACAGGGTGCCCGCGTGATGACAGCGACGATTCGTAGAGGGTTGGGCTGGAGGAGCGGGGTGAAGCTTGCTTGGCCAAGCTTGGCGAATATGCTTGGCGCTAGCGGAGTGATTGTATGAATGGGTTAGCGCCAAGCGAGTCGTGCATGACGGCGTCGAGGCTGTGCAGGTTTGTCGACATGGGCTGCATGCGAAAGTGAGCCATTACGATTTCGTGCGCGTACATGCGCATGAGTTTTCGTTATGGTCGTGTTTGAGATAATTTGGTAGGGTGATGGTAAGGTTACCGCCAGCTGATGTTCGGGTGATGTGTAACCGTTTGTCCTACAGAGATGGGTAAAGATAGTAAAGCTGTAGTCATGCCTTAGTCGGGTCACCTCATGTCTAGAAGGGATTCAGATGTGTTCTGCATGTTTCAGTCCGGTCGTTTCCGCCGAGCGTCATGATAAGGCAGGGTGAGATGCATAAGCAGTTGCAGATGTAGTCTTACCAAGCGCCGAAATGATACACCGAGATCTTTGGCAATTGCGCGATCCGTGATGTCTTGCCGCAAAGTCTCATGTCGCAAGGGACGATAAGGTAGGTATACCCTTCGGTTTGGTTACTTTTTTGAAGAGCAGAGTTCGGGCTGCAATGCAGGAACGTGCATATCCATGGTGCTCAGGAGAACGACAGATCTAATCATCTAAGGTTGCAGGACTGCTCACAGATGACTGATCGGCGTTGGAGATTGTCGCGGTGGCGTGCGGCCCCAGGTGGACGAATCCTGTGATTGATAAACACGGATCTAAGTCGAGAAGGAAGGTGCAGTCGGCCCACGAGACAATGACTTCATCCGAACATGTGACGGTTGGCGGCCGTGTCGGACCTTTCCTCGCATGTCGAGAGATCCGCATGGTTCTCCCGCGCACACTCTTCGGTATGCCGACAGCTCTCGCTACCGAGATTGGTGTATATGCAGCCCTGGTATTGTCCACGTTGTTTAGGCTGAGAATCCTTGAGCTGTCGCAAAGTGGCAAGCAAGCCGGTGCAACGTGCGCCCACGAGCAACGGACGAGTTCTGGCGCTGGGAAACATGTTTAATGGAAGGTTCGGCATTACTTTCTAGCTGCCTTTCACCCCTCAGAGGCGCAGCTCGACGGTGTGTTCGAGTCAAGTTGGCACTTCGGGTGCGTGGGGACGATCTTCCCCGGCAGTAGTCGCCCTGTGCGAGTAGCCTGGCAACCCTGGCTAAACAGTAGCCCTGGCACCACGCAGATTACAGCTCTCTCGAGTTGTCAGAGCGCTGCCGCTGTGTCAGGCAGATAGGCGTTGTTGTTGCACAGGGGCGCCGATGAATAGACACGGCGTGGTTGTCGCCTGATGCAAGCGATCGTCTGCCAATGAGCTGCACCACGTTCGCGCAGCGAAACGAAGCGCGGGTCGCAATCACGAACAGAAGGAAAACGACCCGGGAGCGGTGAGACGTGTACGCATCGTTTGTCTGCTTGAAAGCACTGCGCGTCCCAGAGAGCTGGCACGGATCTGCTCAGGGGAGTGAAGGGCTTGTCACTAGCTGTCACCAACTTTTGGTGCGCCGTTAGCTTGAGTTCCGTGTGCGTCGTCCCGGCGCCGCGCGACGGGGCTGCTCGTAAATGGAGAGTGTCTAGGCTGCGTCGGGCAGTATGTGTAGTCAAGGCATAGCACGCGTGGCTGTTAGAGACCGCCAATTTCCTCTCCGCTCGCGCTAGACCTGCTCCCCATGTCAGGACTGCCGTACGTTTCGCAGCCCAGCGCCGCGGTGCATGTTAAATAAAGTCGGCCTGCTGTGTAACCACCGTTTGTCCAGCTCACGACTCCCGTCACACGATCCCAACTCGCCCTAGATAAATAAGGCTGACCTCATCACTGCCTCTGTTGCAACTCTATTTGACTGCCTGCGCTGCTCATCCTTGTGTAAGCTGCCAGCACCAAGACGCCAACAGTCATCACCAATCGTCATCTTCCACCAAGTTCCGCCCTCCGCCGTTTCTCGACAGAACCCAGTTTGGCCGAATCACAACTGTCCGTGATTCCACCGTCGCGCTACAAAAGCTCTCCCCGCTCCCCGTCCACTTGAACAGGCAAGGGATCATCTCGCGCCAACCAATCAACAGGCATCCCTTGGCACACCGCAACCATTCACTGACCAGGTCCTGCATTCATAAGTGCAAGTCTGCCGCCTGTTTCCAATTCCTCAGCTGAAGCATCACAACTCTGGTCGACACATACTCGACCATCGCCCCATACAACCACCATTGTGGCTGTGAGGACTAGCAACTAGTCTACCCCAGATCGTCGTCACTACTTGGTCTTTGTCTTGTGACAGCTACCATTAAACCACTCATCCACAAATCGCTCAGACCTAAATAAGTCATAGCCACCACGTCTTCCACCACGACGTCGCCACTCTTCCAAGGAACAACACCTCGCAAACGCATCCAAACCAACATCACCTAAACCAACAACATGTGTGTCACAGAACTTTGCGTCACCAACCAGAGCTGCCAGCATCGCTGGTACCATCTGGTCCGTCCATGTGCTCCGTCCACAGACCTGTCCTCTTGCAGCAAGAAGATGGGCATCTCTGGCTGGGAAGTCAAGGTCGACCACTGCCCATACTGTCAAGGCGACGCCACCAACTCTGAGTACCGTCTGATTGGTAACGGCCCAGCACCTTCCGTTGGCTCTCTCTCTGGCCTCGCACGCGCGCATTCGACAAGTCTGCACGCCGCTCGCCGCGATGAGCGCCTCCAGTTGGTCACTTCCAGGAGCGACAGTGTCACAAGCATTGGCAGCAAGAGCAGCATAGTCACAGCCGCCTCCGAGAAGAACCGCGCCATGAACGCAAGACTCGATTCGTACTTCTTCCCGACTGAGAGCTCCCCCGTCTCGCCATTCCCCAGATCCGCCCGCGAGGGCGATGCTGAGGGTGCTGAGAGCTCCAGCGACACATCAAGCAGCGACCATGCTAGCCTGCGGCACCAGTCCATGTCGAACGAGCCTTACAGAGTCAGCATGATCTCGCGCATCGGCCGCAAGACCAAGCGCTTCTCAATGTTCAAGTGAACAAACCCAAGCGTTAGACGTATCAGCCACGTCATGCTCAGTGCACAGCCTGCGCCCAGCAACCGTCGTTTTGTCAAACGTCGAAGCTTACCTTTACTGCGGGCCTAGACCGACTCCGCTCGACTGCCAATCCAGCGGACCCGGCAGCCGGGCTCCGCGGCTTGTAAACGAAAACGGCTTCGGTCCGACCGCGCGAGACCTCACCATCGCGAAAGCATCGACAGTCCTGAAGATTTTCAGTCTCCTTCTCATCACATCATTATTCAGCGCAGCGGCATTCTCCACTTCTATCATGTTTTTACTACGTCTCGTCGCCTAGCACGATGAGGTGCGCTTGCTTTTCTTCAGATACCCACCTTGTATGACTGTACGCAGTCACATGCAACATCTAGCTTCATCTATTCTTCGGTATTTTCACAAAAGAAGAGGCGTCACACGCAGGCACACATTTTATTGGGCCGTGACAGCGCGCGACAGCAAGGGCGACCTGCTTCCTTCGCAATTCCTACCGGACAACATTTCCGTTCTTGATTTAGAATTACGTTTGAGCGGTTCTTTAGGGTGTTCTTTACGATGGCGCACGGCCGCGTTGGGCTGCAACAGGTTTGTTGTTGCAAACTTTCTGGATGTGCAGTTTTGTGCGCACAAGCTCTACGATGAAGCACAGGCATTGGACGCGTTGCTACATGATGACCATGAGTCGATCATCTGCAAAAGTCCTAGCACGTTTCGATATCCATAGCAATACATTTTTTCATCACTACCATTACACCGCTGAAGTGAAATCCCTTGCAAGCTCATTTTCTTCCACCGCTTAAACCCACTATCGACCTTCGATGAGTATCTGGAACTTCTTTATCGCCCCATTGCACACCGCCATACCTGTAGCCCTGTGGCCTTGCTTCGCTTCGCGAGAAGTCGAGCCGTGGTCCACTCGATGCCCCCACTTTGTGATGCTGCAGTGTGCACGGTTTATTCTCGCCAAGATGGGCCGGCAGACCGCTCCGCTCCGCTCTGGTAGGGGTACGGATCGGGCGCTGCCGGAGTCGGTGTGAAGGGGATACTCACGTGAAACGCACGGCAGTAGCTGCATCTGTCCTCCGTCGCCGATAGATAGCAATCCTGCACTGTCAGACTCTCTCACCGATGCAATGAACATCCCAACGAGCCAAACGATGCTGTTCTCCACTCTGTGGCGCGCAACACGAGCTGAAGCCCCCTCACGGCACTTCGGCACCGATACAACTAACCTCAACACTCGACATACCTCCATCCGCGTTCCAGCAAAGACCTCCGAAGTCTAAACAAGCACACCAAGCAGAGCTTAAGCCCTCGCGTACATTCTCGGCGACATGTGCTTCCCGAGCAAAGGGGGCGCGTAACACACTTGCTGAGCGCTGATGCGGTGATCGACATTTGCGGAAAGTACCACCTTGCGTGCGGCCACGATCGTCGAAGCAGAATCACGCACATCAACGACGCTCGCGCACGTCCAGCCCGGAGGTTTCCGCAGGCACCGAGTGATCCGGCACGAGAAAGAGATGAAAGGTGAACTGGAAGCACGGCCGCGCCACGTCACGTCACCCAGCGCAACGGCCGGAATGTACACAGGCGCTCCCATGTGAGGAGGTCAGAACGCGTGTGCGGGGGCTCAAGCTTGTCCAAGCCTACCAAGCTTCGCTGCGTAGGCTTTGCACTGCGTGAGGATTGTAGGCCTGATGCGGTATGCTGACCTGATGTCGACTTGTGCTTTGTAGCGCAAGCAATGAGATATCGTGACACAGAACAGCCAGAGATACGACAGTCATGACGCCTAGGTGTAACGAGCCTACGCATCGAGTGACCCTACCGTCATCTCCAGCAACACTCCAACCCATTGTCGATGTACACGCACCACAAACATCCGACTCGACGCACTCAGAATCTCTGAAATGCACCCAAGCAAGAACAAGCTCCACCAAGCCTCATTCCTTAGCTTAGGGGGACATGCTATATCATCCGACTCCGGCAATATTGGATGCCGATCCGCAAACGAACGACTTCATCAAACCGACTGATCGACACGGACCCAGCGCTGTCGATCCAGATCGACATGATGTCGGCATGGATGTTAAGCTTTGCATCAGTGCGTCAATAAAAGGCAACTTGGGGCTTGTTTCTCAGCGTGTGACAGGTACCACGTCGCTGGGAATGCGCAAGTGATCGACACAGGACGACAAGGTTCAATGACGTTTCATGCCGGGCATCCATGCGCGAACGGTCCGGGCAGTAAGGTTTGCGTGTGGCAAGGCTGTTTATTGATATGCACTTGAACCCGGGGTTAAGTTAGCAATGGAGTTCCCCTCACTCGGGGTCTGTCTAGCACTCTATTTCGCAGGTGCCGGGTGGTTGCGAAAGTGGAATATTACAAGATGGACGGCACCATCTAAGGCAAATTTCATTGGGTTTGTGCATAGATGCCCCCGCGAAAGGTAAAGGCGACACGTGTCCAATAAAACCGATATGATTGGGGTCTAATATATATCACACTTCCGAGCATACGAGCACCGAGTCTCGGTAACTTTCAGAACAAACTTCTCTCACGACATATGGCAGAGAATGTTCCAGAATGACAAGGAAACCAGCAAAGTATACGCATCTCCGTAAGACTTGAGCAATTTATCTTTGAGCGGAGCGACGTCCGTGTCGTACGATCGTTCGAATAAGGCCGTTGCAGCCTATCTGGCAGGAATTAGAGGCCAAACGAGCGGGCGTTCAAGCAATTGTAAAACTCTAACCTAGCTTCCCCTGTCTCGAAGGTGTAGCCTGTACCAAGTCAAAGACACAGCACGTTTGCTGCTATTTTGGGCTTTTGGTAAAGTCAACGGTTGAAGGTTGTATTGCAGTATGCAGCCGGTCTCTTACTCACTCGCATGCGACATTGTCAGGTAAGGGGCATGCGTTGAGTCCGACGTTTCGTCGGACAGCATGACAGTGTCGACAGGCTCTCAACGGTGTGTATCGTGGTGTCATGTCGGTGTTGTTTCATTTGTAGGTGCGGTGGCTCGAGGATAGGAAGGAGAGGCCGCAGGAACGACTCGAAGCAAGGCTGGCGACTGGACGCTCGCCGCTGAACTGCGACGTCGCCTGTTGTGTCTATTAGCATCTGATCACATCTGCAAGTAAATCCTGATTTCACTTCCAATGTAGCAAATTGTACTTGTGCTTCCTGTTTCATTGTCTTTGCGCTGTTTGAACGGCATTCCTACATAGACTGTGTTCAGTCATCACCTTCGCACGTGTGCACACGTTCAGTCTTGATAAAACGCCAACGCTATGCATATGTCTATATCGAGTATGGTGTGCGTCGGACAGATCGAGTCTACTTCTTCTTTGCTCCCTGATATGTAATGTCGTACTGAAAGAAGCTGTCCCAAATACTCCCCCTCCTCGTGCCAGTTGATTGTCTGGCTGGACTCGTTGCCGGGTCCACAAGCCTCGTATCAGACTGGCTTACCACTCTTGGCTTGTTCGGGGGCGTGTTAGGCGATCGCGGTGCCACGGTACTGCCTATGAGACCGGACGGACTGGGTATAGGAACGTACTCTGGGCGAGCAATTGTTACCTACAGGAAGTCAGCACTATATGAATCCTTGAGGGGAGCTTAGATTTACCACATCAGCAAGTCTAAGGTCCCCAGAGCTGATCTTGCCGCACATTTGCACCGTTTTGCTCTGCATCGGCACCGGTGGTATTGGTAGATGTCTCGCGCAAATGACTTGGTCGATGGATTGCAGCTGGACTGGCGCCTCGTGTTGCTGTGTTTGAGTTCGCCCCTGATTCGATGGCATCGGAGGAGCTGAGCCGTTCAACGGAAGGTCGGCCACCACCAACAGGTATGCTCTTTTTGCTAGTGCCACTGCTTCGTCGACTATCTAGAGACTTGCCGAGTTGAATAGCTGGGTCAGTGGATGACTTCTTTTTTGTACGCTGCATATCTGCTTGGCCGGTTACCAGACTGCTAGTTGCAGTTGTCGCGCTTTTGAGGCCGGGAGTGCCCGGAGCCATAGGCTTCTCTTCGGTTGCATCGAGTAAGTACCAGCGGAGACCATCAGACAGTTCGAAGGGATTGTCATCGTCGACAGACACAGCGTTACTCGACGCAATGGAGCGCCCATCGAGGGAAGCTCGTGGACCATCTAAAGTCTTCGAGAGATCTACGACGCGCTCCTCGATTTTTGAGATCCGCGCAACCAGCCACTCCTTGCCATGTAGACGATGCGAGTCCTGTTCTCGAAGGAAGAAATGAGGTGCACCAACATTGAAAGCGGCCCAGGGACGATGGGCGTTGTTACGAGTAGGTAAGAACAGCGCGAGATCGCCCTCTTTAAAAGATCGATACGCAATCTTCTCGTGGCTGTCGGCCTGGAAGCGATGCGACTTGTCGCGGTAAGCGCGTGCTTCCTTTTGCCACTTCCTGGCTGTGTGCTCCATGTCTCGCATGCGCTTGGCCACAGCTTCGCCAAACGTCTCTGTATTGAAGAGTTCTAACTTGCTGATGAGCTCCTTGTAGCGCTCATCTTCTTCTTCAACGCTAGTCGAGTCGGTCCATTGCAGGAACGAAAGGTCGCCGTTGTCTTCGAGGAAGCGTCGAAGCGGTGTAGGTGACGCCGCTGTCGTACTGCGACCTAGATCACCGGTAGTACCAGCCATCACCGAGCTGTTGCTCATCTTAGATGCGCGTTGGAGAACCATCTCGCCGTTCTCGTGAGTAATGATGAAGCCAAGCGCTTCCAACAAGCGAACGAGACGCTCATGCTGAACGTACAAGCGCTGGCTAAGCTCCTTTGCGCGACTCAAGCGTAGTTGGGAGCGAGAAGAATCGAATTCCTCGTATTTGAGCACCTTTTTGCTGAGCCGCATAATCTCGACATCGAGACTGTTTGAGTGCGAATTCTGCTCAGCCAACTCGATTTGTAAACGTCCGACCTTTGCCTCTTCCTCCTCAGCTCGCCTTCGCAAAGCCTCAGATCCAGTTTCGCCTTCGGCAAATTTTGCGCGCAGATCATGAAGATGCCCACGTTCTTCGTCAAGCTCGGCGGCGATCGAAGCTGCTCTCGCTTTCTCGGTGTCAAGCTGCTCGCGAGCAAACGCGAGTTCCTGCTCATGCTTGTTGATTTGAGCAGCCAGTGCCTGCTCCTGCTCCTGCACTCTCATGCATGTGTTCTCATTCTCCGATTTAGCGATTGCAACGGCCTCTTCGAGCTCCCTCTGATGATTGAAGGATCGACTGGCGAGGTCCTCAATATGTGTGAGTAGCGTGAGATGATTGTCTGGCATATCGCTGTTTGGCGCGAGGTGTCCGAATACCGTCTTGAGCGACTGGACTTGCTCGGTATGCACCGTCTCTTGATCTGCTAATTTGGTACGGAGATCCGTGATTTGTTCGTTGGCATGCATGAGCTGTTCGGCAGCCTCAGTCCGAATCTTTTCGTACTCGGCAGTCAATTCATGCACTCTGGCATCGATCTCGCTCCTTGCATTATCTCGACTTCCCAGGATACGATCTAGCTCATCTTCTGCCTCCTCGATCTTGGCCTTATAGACATGAATTTCTTCCTCCAGTGATCGACGTTCATCCCCAAACTCCTTCTGCTGCGCTTTCATGTTCTCCATGATGTTTTCTTTTGTAGAGACGGCTTCTTCTTTAGCAGACACAGCCTCCTCGATCTGCCGTCGCATTTCAGCCTCAGCCTCTTTCGCCTCCCTGTCGAGCTTGTTGCGGGCATCCTTCTCAGTAGAGAGCTGCTGCTCGAGCCGTGTGATGCGACGCTTATCTACGTCACCTTGAGCAGATAGTCGCCGGGATGATATCGAGGATCGTCGAGAGAGCTCATCATATGGCTTGGGAGAAGCGGTCTCAATTATAGGTGTCGATGGGTCTCCTGGGCTTTGAAACCCAGGCGGTGGCGCTCCAGCTCCACCTATGGATAGCCTACTGTTTTGATTCGAGCGATGCAGCAAATCCTCGAGTCGTCGCACTCGGCTCTTGTTTGCTTTGAGTTCGTCGTCCAGCTTTGCGTTTGCTTCTCGGAGTACGCGTAGTTCATCGTCACCTCGGACCATGAGTTGAGATCCTTTGCCAAATGCAGGCTCGTGGACGCTGCCCATCTTGAAGTTTTTAGCGCGCTTGATCTGCTGCTTTGTTGGTCGATCCAAGTCCTTGATAGCCTGCGTAAGGGCGTCGGCTTCAGAGCTTTGTCCCTCGAGGTTCTGCAGAATCTGAAGGTATTGCTTCAAGTCGTTCCTAGCGACCTCGGGCCATACGTGCTTCTCGGGTTGTACGTTCATCTCAAAACCAACAGCGCCACCCTGAACAGCTTCAACATTGATGACGTCGGCGATCGGTTTGAGCCATCTCTTGCGTCGCCGTTCCTCCTCCTCCTGGAACGTTGCCATCTCTTCAGCTAGTGAAGACGTGTCCTTCTCGACTCTCTCGGTCCATTCACGTCTTCGAACAGCCTCGACCAGCAGGGTTCCATATATGTAAGGAAGTCGGCCCACAAGCGAGATCAGCTCGAACGCTGCAACTCCTTCCTGTGGTATGTCGATCGTTTCAAGCTCTGCGTTCATGCCAGAGATGACAGATTCGATGTTCGCTATTCCCTGCATGCTCTCCACGGAACTCCGGATGGCTGTGTTCTTTTGCTCTACAGATCTTCGCACGAGATCGCTCATCTCAACGCTGTATTCACTGATCGCTGGCAAGAAGTTTCGTGTGTGCAGCAGAGCCATTTTCGACACCTGCGCCACCGACTTCGGGTCGCTGGAAAGACCCATGACGTGTTCATAGTCCGACTCGACTTTCTTAGCAACCGCATCGATCTCGTTGTATAGGCGCGCAGGCTCCTCCGAATCGTCCACGAGAGAGCGGCTTTGACTCTGACCTACTGCACTCAGCAGCTCGTTATAGTCAGCCGCGATTTGCTCCAGCTGCGCGTTCATGCCAGCCATGCGCTTGCCAAATGACTCTCGCACGCGCTTGCTTGTGCCTGTGGCCTTCTTAACAGCCTCGACGTCCAGAAAGTCCTGCAGTGAAGCATTTGGGGTTGGAACTGTCTTTCGCAACATCTGTGCAGCTTGGGGAGAGCGCAGCTCTTTCGTTAAAAATCGCGCGAACTCCAGCTTTGCAGGTATCGAGCCGAGCTGCCCAAAGTCGGCGTCTAGGCGCCTCAGATTGTCGCTGGCCTCTTTCTCCACGCCATCAAACCATTCTTTGGCTGCCTGGTACTTCTGCTCTAACCCTTTAATGTGCGAATCGTGGTTTCCCACAGCGACCTGTGTTCCTCTCTCTATTGTGGCTTGTTCGGAGAAGTGCTTTGAGGCGGTGAGAGACATGGCGTGTGAGCTCTCAAGGACGGCGAAGGCCCAGTCGCGGCGGGCTTGGAAGAGCGATCGCCATGATTGCATGTCGGTATTGTTCGCGAGGAACTTGGGCGGGTCTTCAGGCGTGAAGGCATCTGGCAGCGGTATGGATGGGATGGTGCGTTGCGATCCGTTCGATAGCTCGCGGCTGTATACGAAGATATCTTTTTCGGTGAGCAGCGCTTGCAGTTTGACATGCTTGCCGGCGGGCGTCAGCAGTATTTGGAGCTCAGGCGGGATTTCTGTAGCTCTTGCGATCCAGTGCTTGAGCGCATCGACGGATCCGAATGCAACGGGATCAGCGTCGAAACGCTGGCCCGTATGAGCTACAGCAATCTGCAGCGACATTCGGCGATTGTTCCTGCTGCCTCGGAGAAGTCATGCAGCAGGTGTAGAAAGACGGTCGGTGAAGCTTACACTTGACCGCAGTATTGCGACTATGCTGCCAAGCAGGTTGCCGCAGGGATTCGGCGCACGGTCGGCGACCAGGCATCGTTTACGCGCGCGATAACTGAATATCACATGTGCACTCGAAGTCACCCACTTGAGCCATCAAATCTTAAGAAGGCGCAAATAGAATGGCGGACGCAGTTGATACTGTCATGACGGATGCAGCTGCCAGATCGCAAAATTCCAGCGATATCAGCGATCTATTGCAGACAAACCACAGCGACGCGTTCGCGTTCACTGAATCAGAGGGATTAGCCCTTGAGCTCTACGATCAACTACGAGAACTAGAGCTACAACAGAGTTTGCTTCAAGCGCAGGACCCAGGCACGTCTTTCCGGTGTACGAAATTTGACTCACAAGGCTAACACACTCGCAGCACGTGTGGACAATGTCTCATCGCTCTCAGATGACGACTTGCAAGAGCAGCTGATGGTAGCCGAGCGCGAGGCTATGGAAGCAAAAGCAGAGTATGACTTGCGCAACAAAATCACCCACAACATACTTGTTACAGACCCTGTCCTTAAGGCTGTCCATGGAAATGGAGAAACTGGGTTTGCCGAAAAGTACGTTGCCCATCGATGGTGCTGAAGCATGACCTGACATCAGATAGACGGCTACTACCTCTACTTAAAGAGAGTGACACCATTGCTATGGTGCACGGCCGCCTGGCTACCGACCTTGCCAATTCTAGTCGTGTCTTAATTGCGGCGGAGCAGGCCAACATCGTTGCAAATCAGAGAAATAGAGAGCTTTCCGCAACCATGCTGGCTCTCGCAGAGGCCATGAAGCTGCAGTCAGCCGATGATATTGACGATCCTAAATTACGCGAGCAGATCAGGGCAGTAGAGAAAGAATTGAAAGACTCAAGGAAGCGGATGAAGACGCTCAAAGGTATCATTTCGGCGATGATCGTAGGGAGCGGCATCAATTGGGCGGCGGACGAAAGATTGACAGAATTGGTTATGGAAGATGAAGATGACTGAAGATCTTGGTATAGAGGCGTGTGTACAACTCGAGCAAAAGAACACCCGACAGGATTCTTCTGCTTCGTCATGCCGAGCTTCCTGCTGCGAGACGCGGATAGGAACATGAGGCTCCACAGCGGAAGTTCTTTCCAACTCAACCCTACAAGGCACAGGTCCTGGCTTTTGTGACGTAACAATTCGACCAAAAAGGCCAAAAACTTGAAGGAAACTGTGCAAGAAGAATAAGGAGGGGCTGGACGTGGGGATGGTGAAGTAGTTTTCGTGATGACGTAGTTTGTTGATAAACAGCTGCTAGAGCTCTGAAGCTATAGTAGAAGAGCTTGAAAGCCGTGCGGTTGAAACTCAACGCAGCGCAATTCGTAAATAGACGTATCGATGGCTGCAGTGTTCGTCTGTCAAGCTGATGTACTCGGCTGGCTGTCTGCGCACTATTGAATATGATCGTCACGCGTAAGGCAAGGTGGAGCGTGACGCAAGCCGCAACGTGCCTGCATCAACGGCTTTATGAGCTCATCGCGAACTCCTGCTAGCATCAAGGTGGCTACGTTGACGCTCGGATATGTGGCTTCGAGGTGTCGCCACTGCCTGAGAGACGCACTCTGCGACTTGGAGGTCGCGATGGGTCCAGGCCTTGCCACAGCTCTCGAGTCACGGGTGCTTGCAGCAAGACAGCTAGCCGTCTTCTTGCTGGAAGCGGACCGGGCGCGTGAAACTCGGCCCACAGGCAACGGCAATGGCACAGGAGGGCACTTGCTGCGGGGTTAGGGAAACAAGCTGACGGCCAGGCCAGCCCTAAGCGGCCTTGGAGAACATCGAGGATTGCAGGCACCCTTTCCGGACGGCACGCGCATTGTGGCCAGGCGAGTGAGCGAGTAACATCGACCAGCCAACAGCCCAAGTGATATCAAGGGCGGCATTGCAGCATTGACCAGTTGCAGCACGTATCAACTGCAGCGCGCAATTTCAGAGTTCGAAACCGGCAAGGCAAGGTTGGGACTGGCAGCGCCCAAGTTGCTGCACGTTGTGCGCCGCCTTGCGCAGAAGCTGGGTGCTTGCAACGCTCTTAGAAAACGCAAAAATGAGCGCTTTTTCTTGATCTGCTCAGAAGGATGCTAGAGATGGTCAGACACAGTCGAGTGACTCTGGAAGTTTCGCCGATATCGTTTGCAGCCCGTGTGTGGTGCTGCAGAGCACTGGGCGTCCGTTAGGAGGGGCTCGCGCCTGCCATAACATCAGAGGCGCTTACATAACGCCCGCTTGGCGCACCTGCGGTTTTGGGGGGAGAGCCGGTCGCCCTCACTGAGTGAGCGTTCTCTCCATACAAATCCTCACCATACAAACTGCTTCCACCGCAGAACACGACTTTGGTGAGTCTCGCTTGCACTATAACATACCAACTTGGTATTCAACACAACCACACACCTCTATACTATTTTGTGCGCCTTTACTGGCCTCAATTCGCGTCTCTACAGCTCTTCCTGCCTTCTTTTCTGCGCACTTCGGGCGTCGTCGCGTTCCAATTCCTGTTCATCACGTCGCCCTGCATAGCAGCAACACGCATACTAACCGCCATACAGACTTTACTCAACCCATTGAAATCTTCCAGTTCCAAAACCTTCTGTAAGTGCTCGCAGCTTCCATCGTCGCCAAATCGCGCATTCTCGCGCTGCTCTGCGGTGTTTTGCGACCGCGTCACTTGCGCGCGTCGCAGGATGCTGCTGCACCCATGTAACTCATGTACTCCCACCACCCGCCAACGTCGGCACTGGTGGTTCCACTCTTACTTGCCTCGTTTTTGCGCCATTTAATTGTCGCGTATTATGACTGTCCTACGCATTCATTAAATCTGTCAACAAACACCCGCTGACAGCCTGTGTAGACACCAAAAGCTACCATCATGCCTAAGGAGAAGGTAACCCGCGGCAAGGGCAAGAAGGCCGATGCTGGCAAGAAGAAGAAGGGTATGACCACGTGCTTTCACGATTGTGCGCCGTTCTAACAAACAGCAGATCCCAATGCGCCCAAGCGCGGTCTCTCCGCCTACATGTTCTTCGCCAACGAGCAGCGCGACAAGGTTCGCGAGGAGAACCCCGGCATCAAGTTCGGTGAGTGAGAGTGTATCAACGCGTACCGAGCAGCCTCTAACGACTAATAGGCGAGGTCGGCAAGCAGCTCGGTGAGAAGTGGAAGGCTCTGTCCGAGAAGCAGCGCACTCCTTACGAGGCCAAGGCTGCCGCTGACAAGAAGCGGTACGAAGAGGAGAAGGCCGCTTACCAGGTATGTTGCAAGTGTTTTAACGATGCCACACCCAATCTAATGACAAATGCAGGCCCAGGACGAGGAGGAGGAAGAGGAGTCCGAGTAGAGGCTACTCGACCCCTTTCATCCTAGTCTAATGCGCACTTCCGTGCTTCCTCTTTCTGCACTCTTGGTTGGTGGTATGGTGTCACGGCGGCGGCGGCTCAGGATCGGGTATCCATCTGGTTTATCTTAATGGTTCTATGCGGAAGCGGGCTAGCAATTTGGTTCTCTTCGACGGACTGCCGCAGTACAGCTTCACCAAGGCAGACATGGCTTCGGCACCCTTATGATGTATGGCGTTCTCACAATCGAGGGCGAAGAAGGCATCACGAAGCTCATGATCTTTGTACAATATAGTTAACTGCGGTTTCATCACATTGATTACAGTCTGTTGCTTCTTGCGTGATTGTTGAAGTGATAAGCTGGGCAGCACGTTTCGTCGAGCTCCTTGGGAGGAGGTGGTGCAATCGACCTACAAGAGACACAACAACACGACTGATACAGAAGCCTTGGGTTAGAAACGGCGTTCTGTGCCTCGGGTCTTACGATGGTTGTCTCCAAAGACGCGTCCTGACGCGTCCACGTAGCGCGCTGCCCATACCTCGGTACTGGGATTCCAGACCTTCTCAGACTCTACAGAACTGCAGCAATCCTGTTCGACGCCTCCGTCAAGTAAGCAAGCTGTGTTATGACTCGCTGTGTAAGCTCAAGTGCGAGCACGAAAAGACACATCAACATTCGTTCAGGCCCTGTCCGTGAATTTGAAGATGCCCATGTATTATTAGTATGACTCCAGAGTCAAGACAACCTGGCTGGCTACTTCCAGTATCAAACACACGTCATGTCTTGGTGCATTTTCTGTGTGCCTGGAAGAAAGCGTAAGCTTCACTGCGTTCAGAAGGCTTTCTGGAAGTTTCTTCCCACTTCTCATCGTGATGCTGATAGCGGTTTCCGGAGACAGGGTCCGCAGTGGAGACCAAAGACCCGGTATTCGTATCGTCTCCACCTCATGATCATCTCTTAGGGCTGTGCAAGTGCAGATCGCCGTTGGTGGGGTGTCCTTGGCATATTTTGATTAGAATATCTACAACATAATTTCTTGGACTTAATAATCAAACGTAATAGCATTCGTAGTGCAGTGGTTAGCATATCTGCTTCCCATTCTATGAAAAGCAGGGGGTCGCGGGTTCGAACCCCGCCGGATGCACATTTGCTTTTTTGCTTCTCTTATCCTTTTTTTGCATTCTTTTTCTTCTTTTATGCTTTTCGGGAGGGATGGTCCGCGTTGGGAAGGATCGCGTCGGTGCAGCGTCACGTTTTTGACAAACGGCAGTCGCGCTTCTCAATCACGCGTCGGAAGGTGCTCGGCTTGCTTCCTCTCTTAATGGTAGAATGGTATCGGGTAAGATGACTTTGGGATTGGGCAGCCTTCATCCATCAGAGCACATTACACTGCATCGTGCCAGGCTCAGACTCAGACTTTGAAAGTAATGAATCTAATTCAGCTGCTCATACAGCCGGAACGCCGTGCTATGCTACAACGGCTGCACAAGAACATCCACTCAGGCCGAGTTGCAAGTCTGCGCGTGCTCGGGACCTCTCTGAGTCCTGGTTGATATGTCCGCGATAAGCCCATTTTCTCCTCATCACCTTTTGCCAATATCATTCCCTTTGTAAGACCACCATCAGCCCCATTATCCCCAGCATAACCTGCTTCAGCCACGGGTGCTCGCTCAGCAGGATGGTAACGTAGCCGACAAAGGGGATGAAGCCGACGACACTGCCAATCACATCCTCCTTACGGTTCAGGAAGGACTGGCCCTGCGCGTACAGTTCGGTATCGTCTGCGAGGTTGTTGTCGCCCTTGGTGAGCAGGCGGAGGGGTGTTTTGCTGCAGTCCCGTTAGCTGACGTTCTTCCATGCTACGTCCTGAGTGTCCCATGCTGCGCGATTTGAGCGTACGCCAGGTCACCCTGCCTCACCTGCGCTCTGTCCTCCTCGAGCTACGTGCAGAGGGAATTCACTTACTTTCCGCCATATCTCCTCACAACTCTGTGCACAATCGGGATATCCTTGCCCTTGACATTGTATACCACAACCTCGCCAACCTGTGTATCCATACCCCGGTTCCACAAGAACAGCAGGTCTCCTCTCTGGAACGCGGGCTCCATGGATCCGGACAGCACAACGACGATAGGGGAAGGTGAATCGCTGGCGACAGAGAGACCCTTCCACATCATAAAAGCGGTAGACAGTACGAGCGCGAAGTTCAGCACTTGTGCGGCGAGTTGCCGGGGCTGCATGCCAGCGACGCCGAGCATGGTTGCGGTTTGGAGTTCGTGAACGGGGTTCGAAGGGCGGTGAGCGTGAGGGCGATAAGGCAGCAGGCTGGCGCGCAGAGTGAGGCGCTGCGACTTCTCTGTTGTATGCGACGAGCGTCTGCGATGCTATGTTGAAGCTCGGGGTCTTGGTGAGCTTGATGCCACATGTTTGGTTAGTCGGCTTTGGCTGATTGGCCAGCTTAGTCAACCCCCGAGCTGCTCCGCTCCATCAACATAACCAGGCACTACACTTCAATGACAAGATCGGATATCTTAGATATTACAGCTGAAGACTATTGTGAGTCCAAGATGATGGGCTATCTTGTTTACTCGCTACAACCGTCGGACTGGCGACAATACTACTCTTACGAGCCACCTTTACCTTGACCAAGTCTTCAAATGCTACTAAATTCATACTCCAAACCCTTCTCACTTAGATGAAGCCTTCTCTTTAGCCCCTCTGCTCCTTTTCTTCACGTCATCTCACCTGTCATTTCTCCTGCTATCGACGCGGCTTCTTCACATCATTATCGACGCCCTCTTCTTTCATTCGAGTAGAAGTAAGGTTACTCTCTGCCCACAACATGACTGCCAATTGCACACCAGGCACCGTGATCCTATTCCGAGAGCAATACCGCACCCCTCTATGGCCTGCCGTATACATCACGGATGCAGCGACACCAGCATCATTCCTGAAAACCCGGCCACACGGGTTCTGGAGTGTTGTGCTCAAACTAGCACCGATCCTCAACACCAGTCATCTGTACGTCGAACATGAGTAACAATGTCAAGCTACTAACAGTGTTAGCCGATGGGCCCAAACGTCGCAAATGATCCCTTTCGACCCATCGGCCGCAGATGATAGCACTAAGCGGTCGACGCCTGGTCTTGAAGATGCCTACGACGTTGCCCGTGAAGCACAAGAGTCCGGATTCGACTTGCAGTATTGGAAGGTCATTCTAGCCTCTAGTCAGGACCAGCAGATAATCACTATTGATAGTGACGATGAAGACTGGAATCACGACCCGCAAATGCAGATTGCTATAAAAATGGGTCTGATTAAGGATACTTCGCTGAAGGCCAAAGTAGCTGGGTCCGAGCACTTGAACGCCAGACCCGGACCCTCAATCCCACGTGCCGAGATCTTCGCTCCATATCCATCTAGCAGCGAGCTACCACTGCCATCACGCAGACCAGTCCTACAGGCTCCAACACCCACACCATCTCCGACGAACAGATCGAGTTTCCTCTACCACTATCCACAACCATTACAGCGAGCAAGTTCGCCGTTCATCGACTCGGATGCTGAAACACCATCGCCTTTGCAAAAAAGGAAGCGCGGTGATCATCTCGAGGATCTGTATGACAAATCGCCATCCCATCGCAGAAGAAAGACCAACATCGCCGCGGGACCCAAGACACCAGAACTTATATCGCAGCCAGCTGTCGCATCAAAAAACTCAGCCAGGTCAAGTCTTACTGCGAACCAAGTCTTCCGTCGCAACGGACTAAACGCCTCGACTTTAGTTTCTGCTCCACCCGACGCAGATGTTATAGAAGAAGATCTGTAAGTGTTCACATGTGTGATGGTTTCACAATGCTCACATGCCTTAGCGATGAAAGTAGTCAATTCGTACAGGTATTTGTTGGTCCCGAGGTCGACCCAACAAGTGACAGTAATATCGATCCTGAGCGCCGGAAGTATAAACTACAACTTTTGAAGCACCATCTCTGGGATCGTCACTACTTTCGAGACAAAATTTCCGCGCGTAACTACTTCGAACCAATCGGAGACAACACGTGGGAGCTGGTACACCCTCGCCTCACCGATATTCAACCAGAGGACTTCAGGTGGGCTGCAGAGTTCTTGTCGGACGGCGACTTTGGAATCAGAGAACCTGAGAATGAGGAGCAGGTCGCAGAAGCCTTCGCACAGTGCATGTCCGCCTGGAACACCGCTGAGCTTCTATCGATGGATGACCTATTGGAGCACATCAGTGTAAAGATCAGCGCCGCACGGCCGTGGTGGGACCTCTGGAACGTAATGGCGTTCGCGTGTTCTATCTACCAGAGCGATTTGGCGCTGCAAGCTCACGACGAGTTGAAGGCGTTGTTTTCAGAGTACATTGCAGACCTCTTCCACATCTATCTGGACGACGACTATCTGAGCAGCACATTCCTGACCCGTCTGAAGCAGCTCCCGGAGCTCGAGAGGGACATCTTGACGAAAAGAGTTGCGCGGTTGGAGCAGGTACAGCCGGACGGTGTTGAGACACAGGAAGAAGAGCATCGATGAAAGAGAAACATACGGCTGAAGCACACCTAGCTTGGCCCATCGATCACTTATATGGCAGCCGCACTCTACGAGTGTTCAGAGAACAGGTAATATGCACAGGTCAACCGTAGAAACCGTGGTGGAGAAAGTGGACGTCGTTGGACAACGCCAGTGCATGAGTTACAGAGCGATTACTACAAGGTCTGCTTTCCTTTTGAGATGTCGGCACTTTGAGTGCGGCGGTAACAGCTCAAATTTGAAACATCAGTTTATGGTACGTTCATATTTGTCTCCTTGTAGCTTGTCCTCCCATCTACCACAAACCTTTAATCTCCGATAACCGCTGTGTCGGCTCGATTACCGTGTTACTATCCGTTGTGGTCGTTCTCGACGTACTACCGCTATCACGGAACGTCGGAAAGCTTGCAGCGTTGTGCTCTGCGCTTGCATCCCAGCCCAGTGTCTCTTCCTTGTCGTAATCCATCGGCGCCCATGCAGCATCTTCTTCCTCTTGCATGCTTGCATCGTTATGAGGTACAAACAAGCTTTCATCGTCGTCCGGTTCTGCCTGCGGTTGAGCAGCCTGCGACTGTGAGGGTGTCGATGATGGCTGGCGCGAGCCAGGATTTCGCAGCCGGCCGTTTTGATCACGGCGTGACACTGGCTGCACTGGTGGCGGCATCTCCGAGCGCGCGCTGCGCGTATCTGTTCGCTCCGAGGCCATTGATGGGGCATGCGAGGCTTGTCTGCTTTGTTGGTGTGCTGGTGTTGGCGTAGGCGGAGCTCCTGTGTAGTCGCCGGATGTCATGAGGGTAAACTCTGCCACAAGACCGTCATGACCATAGCTGAACTGCAGCGGTCGTGTCGGTTGTGAGTAGTAAGCCTTAAGACTGGTCTTGAGGGTATCTGCGTGCAGGACGATAGCTTTGAAATCCTTGACACTGATGACGATATGCAAGCCTGCTTGAACACTGAAGTCCTCGAAGTCGGAAGTATTCACGGCAACTGCAGTAACAAGAGGGTGTTTCAAGATCTCTTTGCCGTCGGAGATTTTCTCGGTGTAGCTTTTGAAGACGCAGCGTCCATCCTCTCCAGTGAAAATATCCAGCAGTTCGGTCTTCGTGCCGAAATACTCGATGTACTCTCTGACAGCACCAGAGTGCATGCTCCATCTATTCTGTGCCACACTGCGGTCAAATAGCGCGTGCATGACATCCACAGCTTCGTATGTCAATTCGTAGGTCTTCGTAACGCCTTGGTTACAGACCATCTTGACGATAAACCTACAATAGGACTCGTTATCTTGCAAGCTGACCTCGCAACGTTCAACTGCTCCATCTCGGCCTAGTGGATCGTACAGTCGTGCTTTGAAGACAGAGAGTAGAGCCTTTGTGTACATGCTGCACGTGAATCGTCCATCTGCGCCACCAGCATCCGGAACGCACTCGTAGTGGCTGAAGAACAGCTTGCCATCAAGAGTCACGGCGCAGTACGCAGATTTCGACGAGTTGAGAGCGGTGAACGTGAACTGAGCGACGAAGCATAAGAAAATGGCTAGAGTGAATGGAATTCAAGGCGACCCACTCTTTCTCGACGCGCCTCGATGGCGACAGTTTCGCTGAACTTGCCGAGGCACACAAGAGAATCATGTATTTTCGAAGCCGCCTCGGGTGTCAGTGTGAAGTTGAGGACGACCATGTTGTATGTTCATGACGGTGGTGTCTCGTTGAGCATCACGACTGGCATTCAGCAGAAACGCGTGGACCGAAAACGCGCTAGTGTGGTGACATCACGGGAAGCGCGACCCTGCAGCATTGCCGACTGCGACAGCATCAACATCAACATCGTCTTTTGGAAATCTGCGCCAAGATGGCCCCCGCACTGCCTGACGATATCTTGCACGTGCTTTGCGAGGAGTTGGCAAATCTTCGACATTTCGATACACTCTTCAATTGCGCTTGCGCTAGTCGTGTACTTGCAGTACCTGCACTGACTAACTTGTACCGGTGGGTGACGCGTAATATCTTGATATCTCGCATACTAATCTCTACTGGAGGTCACACCACGAAGCACCGATTCGAGGTGGCGGAGATGATGCTTTAGGCCAGCCACTTGCCCAAAAGCTCTTGGTCACCCAGCGATGGTCTATATTGTGGAGATCCATCATCGCTTCGAGTCTGAATACTACACTCTTCCCTTACTGTCGCTACATCAAGACCCTCGACTTTCGCGACCTTGGCAATCTCTTTGGCGATGATCAATTTCGCAACAAAATCTCGAAGTGAGTGTGGCACATTACAATCTACTGTATATGTTAATTTTGATCAGGCAGTTCTTTTCCGGTCCTCTGAAGCAATTCGAGAGAACTAGGAAATGGCAGAGTGCTTCTGGCAAGAAGATGACCGGTTTGATGGACGCCGATACTATCGAGGCAATCGGAGAAGGTAGGTCACTGAGACTTCATGTCAATCTGATCGATGCTCACTCATCCAGCCGTCACACAACATACACCCATGCTCGAAACAATTAGTGGCGAATGTAAGTGCCCGTGGTCTCTCGCTGTCTCGTGCGCTGACCGCCCGTAGTGAAATCAGAAGCGCTCGTCCGCTGGACCTCTCGATTGCCGCGTTTACAGTGCCTGGAGCTCTTCGACGGTAAACCTCTTGAAAACCCACTGGTCCATGCATCACTTCATGAGCATTGTTCGAACTTCAATTCACTTATGATCTACACATGGTCTCTGCCAGATCTGGACGACCGCGACCACAAATTCGCCGAATTCCTAAGCTCAATGCGGGCTAATTCACTGAAGTCACTTCAAACAATGCACGACATAGGAGCTGATGCACAAACATTTTTGGCATTGAGCCACCACGGTGGCTCATTGGAAGATCTTGGGATGTACACCTCAAATGAATCTTTGTCACACTTGTCTATGCTTCAAGGTTGTACAGCTCTCAGACAGCTGCGTATTGAGGACACTCATGGCGTAGTGGATCTTCAGGCAACTCAGAATGATGTGTACTTGGAAACAATAGCCTGGCTGAGCAAATGCAAGGACCTGCGTAGCATTCGGTTTTCGAACTTTGCCTCCGGGGCATCTATCATCACTCCTGTGCTCTTCGAGCACGACATGCGACTCGAGCATCTAGAAATCGATTCATACATTCTCAAGGACCACAAGACGTTCCATCAAGCGCTCGTCCAGCAGCAGGCAAACTTGGTGGAACTCACATTGAATGGAGAGTCAGAGGGCATGTTCCGCGACGATCTCGATATACTGGTCGATTCATTGAAACAGCTGAAGGCGCTGCAGCAACTTTCGTTGACACTATTGGAGGTGCTGCGCGACGAGCACATCATTGCTATTTTCCAGGACCTGAAGCAGCTCGAGACAATCTACGTCACCGGCTTGGAGCTGAACGATGTCATACTGCCGACCATAGGAGCATTGCCAAACTTGCGAGATGTCACCCTTTCAGGTATCTCCAAATTTTCAGTCGATGGCCTTTTCGATTTCATCTCAATGCTTGGTTCCGGGAACCAAGGTATTCGCGTCACAATCGACCAGGCAGACCCCGACACTGCGCTTACCGACGAAAATCAAACAGTGCTAAGTGACTATCTTACACAGCAGGTAGGAGGTACATTTGACTACACATTGTACAGAGGTCCGTCATTTTCCACTTCCTATTGATCGACTGGTCGACTGATTCTTAATACAGATCCATACATTTCAGAGTTCGAGGGCGACTCAGACTGATTTGCATCGCGATCATCCTCGCCGCACAACACTGGTTTTGGCACATTGACCTGTTTACATGCTGCAGCGGCCTTATATTCCATGCAAGAACGACGTTAGTAATGTCTATGGACAGTCCCCGTCGATATGAACGAAGAGCGAGGCTGTGGTGATACCCGGGTTCAGCATGAAGCGACAATGTGAGATTTGCTTCAATCAAATAGGTTGCACAGTCCGCGAAAAATGAAGTGAGCTGGTTTTGTTCGTAGAACTGAAGTGGTACGCTTCCATGACGTGGGCCTCGCCTAAGTAGGCTCGGATAGCGGGGCTCGGAACAGGTACCGTTCTGTCAGAGAACCTCTGCGGTTCAGACCTTTTCAAGGCTGTCAATCACATTTAGTTTTCAATGGCTGCTTCAAAGCGGATCTTGGTGATCGCTGGCTCGGACAGTTCAGGTGGCGCGTACGCCTGCCTCATGCTCCAATCATAATTGTCAATTGCGACTGACAATATCTTTGCAGTGGTCTTGAAGCTGATCAGAAAGTCATCGCTGCCCATGGTTGCTATGCAATGACTGCCACGACCGCACTCACAGCGCAAAACACACAGGGTGTTCAAGACATCCATCACATACCGCCTGCATTCCTCAAAAAGCAGCTTGATGCTGTCTGCGATGATGTTGGAGTCGACGTTGTCAAGACAGGTACTTACTGCAGAGGATCTGAGCTGTCCCTAGTTGACTCTTTGTTCAGGCATGCTTGCATCAGCAGAGACCATCGAAATTGTCGCAGATGCATTGCGCAGGTACAATGTAACAACAAGTGTTGTTGATCCTGTGCGCAGACCCCCTCACCACTGAGCGCAAAAGACATGTGCGCTAATACATGTAGCAGGTCATGGTATCGACTTCTGGCTCACATTTACTTCCAGAGTCCGCCATCTCGACCCTGATCGACAAGTTGTTGCCTTTAACGACCGTTTTGACACCAAATCTGCCTGAGGCCGAACTACTGCTTAAGACTGCAGGAGTAGATACGGAGTCCCCAAAAAACATGGACGATGTCGTAAATATGGCTAAACGTATCCAGCAGTTGGGTCCCGAGTACGTGTTGCTCAAGGGCGGGCACCTGCCGTTTACACAGGGTCGTATAGTGAGCAAAGGCGAGGAGGACAGAGAGATCGTGCTGAACGTGTTGGTTAGCAAAGACGATGTGATAACGATGGAGAGCGAGTATCTGCACAGCAAGAACACGCATGGAACTGGGTGCTCACTAGCCTGTAAGCCCTCCGAAGATCTTGTTCGTGACATGAAACGCTGACACCCAGAAGCCGCGATCGCGTGCAACCTCACGTCCGGAATGAGCATGGCTAAAGCTGTCGCGAAGGCTAACCGCTATATCGAAGCTGGTATCAAGACGAGTGTAGAGCTGGGTAAGGGCAGAGGTCCAATCAACCATTTTCATTCGACATACACCCTACCATTTTCCCAGTAAGCAAATCCGTATTGTGCAAGACACACATCAGCGCATCTACTAAGCATCTGAATAGGGGTGGCTTCATACAATATCTGCTCGATCGTGACGACATTCAAAGGCCATGGGAGAAATACACTGAGCATGAATTTGTGCAGAAGATGGGCGATGGATCGCTTCCTCTCGAGAACTACAAGCACTATTTGATTCAGGATTACCTGTTCTTGGTGAGCTCCAGCCATTGACACACGTCGAAAGGGTGTTGACAGGTCTCAAGGTCCAATTTGCACGAGCTACAGCGCTCGGTGCTTACAAGTCCAGCTCTCTTGTTGACATCGGTCGCTCTGTGCAGCAGGTCGTTACTTTGCAAGAAGAGATCAAGCTGCACATAGACTTTTGTAAAGAACAGGGTTTATCTGTTAAAGACATCGAAAGTCAAGAGGAAGATCAAGCAACGACGGCCTACACCCGGTATGTTCTAGACATCGGACAATCTCAAGACTGGCTTGCACTGCAGGTTGCTCTGCTGCCTTGTCTGATTGGGTATGGCATCATCGCGAAACGGCTCTTTGATGATGCCAGTACCTTGAGAGAAGGCAAGTACTGGACGTGGATCCAGCAATACGTCGACACACCATATGTAGAGGCGATGGCAAGAGGCTCTGCGTTGATCGAGGAGCATGCGAGCAAGCAGTCGGTTGCGCGAATCGATGAGTTGGCCAAAATCTTTATTCATGCAACGAACGTAAGTGCTGCAGCCCACCACCTGCCGCTCTCGAGCTAATTTACCACAGATGGAAAGAGGATTCTGGGACATGGGCATGAGAGCTGGGAGGGTGGCCTAATGAATTAACAGAACGTCGCATCGGCCATTCCATAGCGCATGTATGAGGTCTGCGCTGTAGCGGAGCGAGCCAGATAACACGTTCAGACTAGTCGAGGCGCTGCTACCAAATCTTGCGTGGGTCTTTGTTGCTGATTGTGTTTGCCCCTTCCACTCGGCTTGGCGGATCCTACCCCATCTGAGCGCTAGCGCGACGCTTGGCGGTGAGGCAACTTTTGCTTGCAGATAATTTTTGTCGGGCCTCACCACTACAACAACTCACTTCTCCCCTGGGTTTTTACGTTGCAGATTTTGCGATCTCTTATTGTCGCATTCTTGCACCCAACACACCACATCTGTTTCAGACAACACAACGCTCACTCTTACTGAAACTCTCATCCCTTTCACCGGTCCCTACTGAACTCTCGACAAACATGTCTTACGGAGGCGGATACGGCGGCGGCGGCGGCGGTCGCGGCGGTGACCGTGGCTACTCCAACGGGTACGAACACAGCAACACTGGATACAGTGGCAGCGCCTATACCAATCACGACACGCCTAGCCACCATGCATCGTATGGGTAGGACGATTCATCCCCTAGCACGGGAAGGGCATCAGTGTGCTGGGATTTTGGGCTGCCCTTGTTCATATGCTATCTCCTTCTTCCAAAGCTCCGCGCGCAGGACAGGTCCGTGGCCATGCCTGCTTTACTTGCACTTGCAGGTCAAGCAGGCAGCCACGTACTTGCTGCAACAGCGTAGAGTCCCCGTTACTGTCTCACCCTCCATCTTGTGATCATTGCTAACTCATTATTAGTGGCGGCTACGGCGGCGGCGGTGGTGGCGGTGGCTACGGCGGCGGCGGCTACGGAGGAGGAGGCGGTGGCTACGGCGGTGGTGGCTACGGCGGCGGCGGCGGCGGCGGCGATCGTATGGGCCAGCTTGGCTCTGGTCTCAAGCAGCAGCAGTGGGGTACGTACGCTCAAGATTCGCATGAAGATTTCGACTGACAGATAGCAGACCTCGAGACCATGCCTAAGTTCGAGAAGTCCTTCTACAAGGAGGACCCCGCTGTTGCCGCGCGATCTGACGAGGAAGTCGAAGCTTTCCGCAAGGAACACCAGATTGCCATCAAGGGCACCAACGTCCCCAAACCCGTTACAGAGTTCGACGAGGCTGGTTTCCCCGGCTACGTGATCAACGAGGTCAAGGCACAGGGCTTCGCCAAGCCTACACCCATCCAGTGCCAGGGATGGCCTATGGCGCTCTCTGGGCGCGATGTCGTCGGTGTTGCCGAGACTGGTTCCGGAAAGACTCTCACATACTGCTTGCCTGCTATCGTTCACATCAACGCCCAACCTCTCCTCGCACCCGGCGATGGACCCATCGTTCTGATCCTCGCGCCCACTCGTGAGTTGGCTGTACAGATTCAGACAGAAATCAGCAAGTTCGGAAAGTCCTCTCGCATTCGCAACACTTGCGTTTACGGAGGTGTTCCCAAGGGTCCTCAGATCCGTGACCTCGCACGCGGTGTCGAGGTCTGCATTGCTACACCCGGTCGTCTTATCGACATGCTCGAGGCTGGCAAGACCAACCTGCGCCGTGTCACCTACTTGGTTCTCGACGAGGCTGATCGTATGCTTGACATGGGTTTTGAGCCCCAGATCCGCAAGATCATCGGCCAGATTCGTCCCGATCGTCAGACTTGCATGTGGTCCGCAACATGGCCCAAGGAAGTCCGCCAGTTGGCCGCCGACTACCAGAACGACTGGATTCAGGTCAACATCGGTTCTATGGACCTTTCTGCCAACCACCGCATTCAGCAGATTGTCGAGGTTGTTTCGGAGTTCGAGAAGCGTGACCGCATGGCCAAGCACCTCGAGACTATCATGGACGACAAGAGCAACAAGATCTTGATCTTCACAGGTACCAAGCGTGTTGCCGACGAGATCACACGATTCCTGCGTCAAGACGGATGGCCTGCGTTGTGTAAGTTTTTACCAAGTCCTTATTCGTTATACTCGCTAATATCATCAATAGCTATCCACGGTGACAAGCAGCAAAACGAGCGCGATTGGGTCCTGAACGAGTTCAAGACCGGAAAGAGCCCCATCATGGTTGCCACCGACGTGGCTTCCCGTGGTATCGGTATGATTGCAAACCCCCCAACACCTCCACCCCCTCCTCTCCCCGAACTATTATTACGCGTGAACTGCCGATGTGCTTTGCTTAGGTTGTCTCGTGCGCTTGCTGCATTCGCTCCCATGACATCGTCCATGGCTTGAAAAGTATCTCGAATCTGAACACCAGGGATCCTGGGGCACATTAGCGAAGCCTTCGCTTTGCGCTGCTCTTTGTTTCATGTGCCATTGAGGCACTACTGAGACAAGCTGAGATGAATCGACTCCCACCGAGTCACAGTCTCTTCCAAGGATTTCTGGACCAGGAGATTTTCTACAGCCTGTTCCACTGGACTATGATGCCGTGATCATCGTCGTAGCGCACTTGAGACACTTGAGACACTTGCATGCAACGTACTGCTGCAGCTTCACGCGATCAAGATATGATCGTTCTTTTGCTCGTCAAACTTACCCAGATGCTAACCTTTGCTCTTCAAGATGTTCGCAATATCACTCACGTATTCAACTATGACTACCCCAACAACTCGGAGGACTACGTCCACCGTATCGGTCGTACAGGTCGTGCTGGCCAGACTGGTACTGCCATTACCCTGTTCACCACTGAGAGTACGTATCTTCTTTTGCATCTTGCAGGTCATTCAGCTAACGTTTTCCACAGACTCCAAGCAGGCCCGTGATCTCGTCCAGATTCTTACGGAGTCTAAGCAGCAGATCGATCCTCGTCTGCACGAGATGTGCCGTTATGGCGGTGGCGGCGGCGGTGGTGGCCGCTGGGGAGGTGGCCGTGGCCGCGGTGGTGGTCGCGGCGGCGGCGGTCGCGGTAGCTGGACTGGTGGTAACAACGATCCCGTTCGCAACAGCCGCTGGTAAACGCAATGACCTGCTCGATAACACGATACCCGGCAACGGTTTTCCTCGGGGGTTTGGCGTTTGATGTAGACCACTTCCTTACCACGTTACGTTTCTTGCACCGACCACAGAGGGCAGATGTTACGCTTTATCGGAACACACTGATACCCAGAAGGATGCAAGACTGATGATCATGCATGAACCTCAAGTCGGTAAGAAACTGCGTGTAGACTGGCTTTCCTGCTTTTTCCCAGCACTATTTATTTCTGGTCGCTCTTCCGCAAGCGTGCGCGAGAGCCCTCTTGTACTTTGCATCACGGTGCATGCGGCGTCCGTTTCAAAAGTTCTATGTAATATGCATATAGAAGAATTGTCGATATTCACGATTTTGCTCCCTGATGTTCACATGTGTGTATCGGGTGTTCGCAATAGTTCATCTCAACTGTGGTGTTATCCGTCTCATCTCATGTCAAATGACCAGTATTGACGTCGTCCGTCGTCGAAATCCCCGGCGTGTGGGATTGGCCTGGCACAACGTCGACATGAAGCCGTTTTTCGCCGCTCCTTCCTTGCGCCTCATGTCTAGACCCCATATCCTTCACCACGGTATACCCCGGCCCATGCGGCTTGAATAGAGTTCGGGGGCGGATCGCGATATAGATTGCTCGCATTACTCAGTGGCGATCTCGGTCGGGTTCGAAAAAGATGGATCCGCGACCTCGGCCACTTGAGTCAAGTGGAGGAAGGCGACATCTGCGGCGAAGATTCGTATTTGTGGAGCAGCAAAGATCTGATGGATTGCAATGGTGTCTCGCCCGAGTCGGCCACTCGTAGGGCTGAGATGCAATCACCCTGGGTGATGCGTGGTGTTCAAGAACGGGTCAGGTGAGGAGAAATTACGTCATGAACTGCAAATGTAAACCTACATGTGATTGAGGGAATTTGGTTACAGTTGGCTATTGGAGAGAATGTGTTGTTTTGGGTGGTTTGCTTGTGAAAATCTTGCTGTACCAGGTAGATGGGTGAAAGTGTCTGAGTAAGTATGATTCACCACATGTTCAGATCTCTGCTCAGTCAGCGTGGAGAGATCCAGAAGCCTGTTTGGTGATTTGGTTGTACCTGCTCATGCTCAACCAACAATTGTCTGTTTCAGATTGCAATGACCTCCTTCTTCACTGCGATCAGTGACGTGACTCGTACTGATGATAGGCTATACGCAGGCAGTGTACGATTGACGTCTATCAAAGTTGCTAGAGATAGAAAGACAGTAGAATACTTCTCTTCGAGATTGTCAATCATGCTTCTGACTGATCAACTCGTGTCTGAATCAGCTGCAGGTGGGTAGTGCAACCACACCTTCTCCTCGGCATGTTCCCATGGGAAGATCGCTTTCAATCAAATTCCTCCAAGTTCGATCCACACTCGCGTTGTTTAGGCAGTGGTATCTCTAATGGAAATCATTATGGTTCAGGAGTATAGGGCATACATTCCTGTGATCGATGCGGAGCAGGGGCCAGAGGGGTACTGGCGATAGTCCACTGAGACTGAAACACGTTGCACATGCCTTGAGCAGGTAGAGTGATGCTACTCTTACAAAGTGACCGACGGTTCGCCATGTTAACTCTGTTCTACTACCATGGCTATTCAGCTTGGGCGATCAGATGCCTCAGTGCGCGATTTTATTTAATCCCGAGCATACGCTGGTTATTCAGACCGAGAAACAACAGTCTCAACTTCCTGAAGTATGGCTGGAGTAAACATGGTCGTGTATGAGATGTGGCTGGTTTGGAGATAGTGATTTTCCACTGTCGAGGGAGGGTGATGAATGCAGTGAGCCACGGTGCAGCGGAAACGACGAACCAGGTTAACAAACCCGGAGATTCACAGTGAATTGTGTGATGGTAGGAGTCATGATAATCTGCAGCGATCGGCTGGGTGAGTTGTAGGAGTGATGGAGCGACAGTCGTGGGAAGGAGTGGACTCCGCGACACCAGCCACTCCCAACACAGAACTCACTGTTGACGCAAGGCAGTAGGGATTCAGCACAGGTAGTTGCAAGAGATGGTGTGAGAACGAATTGCAATGGTCGGTGCGCAGCTCCAGCGTGTATTTGGATATGAGCTTTCACTGGACAACCTGAGCCGATGCTCATTTTGAGTTTATTATCCTGCACCTTATTTCCCGACTGCATAGCATGAAGTCTTTGCTGAACCCTCGATGGTGTGTTGAAGAGTTCATGTGATTCGTCCAACCCTGTTCAGACTTTCATATCGTGGAATAACATTGCATTCATCACAACGCCTCTCAGCTGCATACATTCAGGGGACGGTTTATCAATAGCCGTCGAGTAAAAAGCAGCTGAAACGCAATTGATGCACAGCCAAGGACACTATTGTTACACTTCTGCAATTGAGCCGAGCTGGATGTACAATGTTATATCTTGTCGTACCACGACGGTCCGCTCCGGGGCAGCCTGCATGGGCAACAACTTGAATACGAAAAAAGCAAAGCCACGTGAGAGCACAACTTATGAATATGCTGTGTTCATTATTTGATCTTACTTGATTGGTTTGTGGTAATTCGCAGGCTCAAGTGACCTTTTGCCCGTACGCCCACACAAAGACAACACCAGTCTGCTGCTGAATGGTCGCAGACAACGGGACAGGCGAAGATCACAGACAGCCTCTTTCATGGTACACTGATCATCATAATCGAACCACGTCCTGTTTCAAAGGGCTCATATTGTTGAGGTTGGTGAGATCGCCCAGTGAGCTGTAAAAGTATCCAACAAAACGGAATCACGCCGAAACACTCTTTCTTACACGACCAACCAAGGTATTGCCAATCGTGCAATATAGATCATACGAACGCCGTACGAAGTAGCAGAGCATGATGTCGAAGTCTGCTGTTGCTGAGGTTCAGTGAAGTTGCGATAGAGTGGAAGCTAGCAATGGCGGCGTAAACGGCAGGTATGATCGACCACCAGCCGGTCCTGTGTAGCCTCACTGTCGTACACGAAAGCGTTGACGCTTGTCAAGCGCGCGGGACCTTATCGAGCCTGCTCGACACTTGTCGGAGTGGCTCGACGAAGGGTCAGCTCATTTTCAACACCAGAATGTGGGCGATCTGCCAGTCCTGGAATCTGACAATCGCCGCGCACTCAACGTCACGAATTTGGAAACCTGCAGACGTGCATCCACACACACAGCCACAAGAATAGACAAGTGCGCAGTACCTTCCTCCGCATCTCCTGTTTGGATGCTTCAGAGTTCCGATCTCCATGACAGATCTTCGTTCGCTCTAGGCTCGTAGAAGGTTCAAGCCACAGAACACACACGTGTTAGGCCACCGACAGATGGGGAAGTCCGCGCGGATACCGCACATGTGCCATTCGCAGTTGAAGTTTGGGTCGAGGGCACACGATAATGACATTGAACTTCTCCGTCCGACCCCCCGATGGTGCCGTGTTAGCCGTAGCACTACGTGATGATTATCAAGATGACGGAGTTGCTTCCTCGTTGTTGAATGGTGTTTTGTGGGGAAACGCCTCCGTATGACTCCAAGGATCGTATTGGCAGGCACTACGGTGCTGCAGCAAACAGATTGCGCATGAGAGATTCGCATGACCAGAGTATTGCCGGTCCTGCGCACGTTTGCAAAAACCCTTGAACAAAGACTGCCCTGTTGATCCACTACCAAGAGGTGCCGGCAAAAACATACCCGGATCTAAAGTTGGGGCCTGAGTAGGAGCCATGTACCATGTTTTGCTTGTGTGGGTTTCAAATCAACTTGCCTTATGAAGACTGGGGCTGCTGTTATAAGCGGTGACATCTTAACATTCTGCACTGGGTGTGATAACCACGTTCAATGCCCTTTCTGGGCTTCCAGCGTACCACCGCACAGTGGGCCACGCGTGTTGAAACAATCAATAGCGTGAACAGCCTCGCATTCGTGTTTTTAAAACGGTTAGCGTCTGCGATGATTGACAGGCGTCCGGCTGCTACTACTCACCGGACCTCCCGACACGCTCACGCTTGAAGGGGGAACCTAAGCGGTTCACGCCACGTTCACAATGCAGTGCACATTGCAAGCAGCCAACGTGGTCCCTGTGACCAGGCTCCGTTTCATCCCCCGAGCATGTCGGCTAGAGAAAACAAGCTTTATTGATTCACGACGGAGGACGCGCATGATTTCCAGAGCTGAGGAACTGGGAAAGTCCGTGTGCTGCCTCAACTTGAGCCGATTCAGGGTGTAAAGGATCGTATTAGACTGTGAAGTGGCATTGCGGTGCAGTGCATGGCCGGAATGACATGCCCGAACATGACAAGTAATCGGCGATGTTGTTCCTGTCCTCGCTGTCATTGAAGACTGACTCGGATGCGAGCGCGCCCGCGTCTTCCCGATCTCAATGCCAGTCATGTCGAGGAAGTGAAGATGTCCGACACAAAACGCGCTCAGATCCGCTATTCCGGTTATGTCATGGGCAGGTGCGGAGGGAAAGATCAGGCGAGTGTCATGTCGACCGAGGCAAGTCATCACTGGCTTACGGGCCAGGAAGCGCAATCGGCGAACCAGAGGAGAGAAAATACGTTCACGCGATTTCTAATCAAGTAAAGCTGCCTGGAGTGATCACCGGCGGCCACAATCGGGGGCCACGGTCGGGCACTCTTCGGTCGCTTTGCGCGCCGCATGCTGTGCTGGAGGTGGGGTATGCTCGGTTCTTGGCACGGTTGGCAGAATCATGATGATCCGAGAGGTTGGACATACCAGTTGAATACTGATTACAACTCCGCGGGGTTGATCTTGAGCGAACTTGGAGAAAGTGTACCGGAGCGAAACTTTTCGGACATCTCTTACATGTGGAGATTGGACCCTTGAAATCAGTGCAACCTCATGCAGGGCGACATCATTACAGATGTCGTGTGCCGTGCAGCAGGTGCAGGAGTCAGCGCCTGCGAAATTGAGTTTGCGTGCACACGAAGAGCGGAAAGCAAGGAGGTGTGCATAGCCAGAGTGGGATGCAACAGCTGCAGGAAGTTGTTCTTCCGACGCAAGATGGGTGAAGATCAAACGGTCACCGAAGAGGAAGGTGCATTGGGTCGAGAGCAAGCCACACGGCGTGACCCAAGGTTCGACGTGCGTCGTGTCCAACATCATCCCATGATGATTGCACGGCTACGCTCCGAGATTGCATGCGTTGCTTTTTGCTCCGCAGCACTCCTCAGCTGAGCGTTCGTGTTGGAGAGCTGGCATGTCCCCTACCAATAGGACTGCCTGTACGATCCCCAATAATTCCGCTCGCGATTCTAGTGGGCTTCGAAAATTTGTGCATGAGGACTGCATGCTGTCGACAGGGTTGTCACATCGGGTTGCGGGACTGCGAGGTCAACATCTTGTCATCGTGGCCGAGAACGGGACAATCTCTCGAGCAGCTGAATGTCATCAGCCCTTGGAAACGGAAGGTCATCCGCATGTTTGTGCGGAGCTGCCGCATTTTCAAACGCAGCAAGTACGTAACCCAAACTCGCCCATCAGTGATCCTGCGCGCACAATTGCAGTTCTGCAATCGGACGTGCTGTGCTGTCACGACGAATTGATGAAAGTCCCAAACTGTAGAGCTCGGCCGCGAAATCGGCCAACAGGAAGTGCGTATGAGGCGTCATGCTGCGGGAAGTCCAAATCCGGCTGGCCGGAATGGGCAAGGATCAGAATCAATGGACGGTCAGCCATTCGCCCGCCACGTGAGCCTTTTCGGCGGTATCGTGTTGAGAAAAGGCCGCCGAGGTTTTGTCCAGCCACAAAGCCCACTTCGGGACTCGCATTGAGATTGGGGCAGGGGTTCCTTGTTGGCGCCATTGCTCGCCCAGATCCATCGGCGCCAGCAGCGTTCCTGATCAAGCTCGACATTAGCCGCACGAACCGAGCTAGGAAGTATGGGTTGACGAAGCAGTTTCGCTGTCAAGTGCATCTCCAGGGTGGGAGTACTCCGAGGCGAGTGCGTGCTTGTGTAGATGTGACCTCCTGCACAACTTTAGCATCAACTTTGCGCCCAGTCATCACTGCAACGCGGACATCCGCCGCCAGCACCAACCTGGGCAGCCTGAATCTCGTGATCTTATTGTGCCTTGGTCATCTTTTCCGGATGCAGGACGGATGGGGCAGTGTCCAGCAGGGACCACGCGTAGGAACTCGTGACACAACAATGGTTTACGAGGAGGCTGGATCTTACCCATCCCTATCCCCATTGAACATCACGGACAGTGAAAAGTTGCTCATGTCGTGATCGAGGTTACTCCCGCTCCCGCTCGACGGCGCAGTGTGCGTATGCTAGCGGCATCATCTCGTATTCATCCTGGGGTCTGATCAGTCTTGGTAGTCCGATGGCCAGTGAGAGAAGCGACGACTTTGTTTTGCAGCTGCGCGTCCTGTTTGGCCAATTGCTTTGCAGTCGATCTTCATTGCACTGCGTCTTGCGAGCCTGACGGGACGTCTGAGTGATGACCAGAGCGATGCATAACGGGCCTGCGGGAGACCAGGAGGTACTTTGCAGCGAGAGGGTGTCGTGCAACCATCCATGGACAGTAACGTTATTGATGCTGTGCTCTGCAGCAGAGCGATATGCAGCGAGCGGGATGCGAATGTCAGCCCAGGCCCGCCTTATCGCAGTGGTAAATGTCAACGCTCCCCACGTTGCTCGCCAAAGGCAAAAGCAATGAAGACGGCTGTGACAGCTCGGCTATCACCCCTGCAAGACATGGTGGCTGGTTGAGTAAAACCACAGCCGTAAAGTGTTGCACCCCAGAGATTGCATCCACAAAATTACTTGGAGACACGGAAAGCGAGGGAAATAAAGAAATGAATCAACCACGCCTTGCGGTGGAACTCAAAAACAAACCCCATCCTTGCGATCCTGGCGGTGCACGCGGCAGAGCTGCAGGCATTGTACGCGCAATGTCGTCGACGACTCATCATGATGTACATTGTATGGCCGGCAACTCCGTCAATGCCCGACAGAAGAGAAAAACGAGCCGTCTGCATATCCAACATGTCAACATTTGGCATGTCCATCCGCAATTGCTGCGAGCTGTCACGATGGCAGGCGAGCACAAGCTCGCGAATGTTGCCGCCCAAGTCATTCGCTCCACATGCTGCTTTTCGCACACCGCAACAGCGTCGGTTCGCGATTGCAGCGCATTGGGCATGATTGCCGCTTTCGAGTGTCTGTGTGCCGTGTCCAATATTATCGTGCAGTCATTGCGGTGGCCGCCCCTTCCGACTGTCACAGGCGTAGGCGACCGCCCATGACACGAATCGTGCTGTCAGTCTTCAAGAGGGTCGAAGACGAGCGTGATGGAGCGGTGTTGGAGGTTGTTGGTGGTGTTATACATCTGGTCTCACCTAGCAGCTTTTAGTACTAGCTGTCAACTCAGGCGCCAGATCTGTGACTACCCGGTACGCTAAGTGCAGACTAACCATCAGCCTCATCGCATCGCTGCACTCTTCTTTCGACGTCGTTTGAACGCAAAGCATGGAGTCGCACACCCACAGCGCACCCCCGTCAGCACGCCGACGCGCTCAGCCGTGTCTCGCGGCACGGTGCCCTTCGCCAGCACGGCCGTTTTTTTCACCTTAGTCAGCATGATCGGCACTTGCCATACATTTAACCCGTCGGACTGTTTCTCGCGAGATTAGCTCCTCGCCACCTTCGCGCCTTCCCAACTTCGACCTTAGTTTACATCTCGCGAATCTCAGCGCGCTCACCACCATCACCCAGCAAGTCCCAGCGCGCCCGGTGCCTTGCTCTAACGCCCGTCACCAGCGAGTAGCCCGCTGCCCCAGGCACACCAGATCTCACTCGCGCCCGCTGTGCTACGCGTGCAACCCGCCGCCAGTGCTGAGCCCGTCGCCTTTCTGGCGCGTCTGAAGTTCTCCCCACAACAAACTCACGCGCTGTGCCTGTCCTGCGCCAACGCGCGAGTCACCTCAGCGCATAACAGACGCACGAGATCACCCACCGCCTTTCACGCTCCACACTCTGCCACCGCTTTCAGGAGCGCTCAGCACGCGTGTGGGTTCCTTCTGCGGAGACTCGGCCGGACGAGAGGCTGATCTCTTCACTCGGCACGCTCGGCGCATTGCGCTGTTGCCAGCAGGGACAGCCATTCTGTCATCAGAACTTCCATCTGTCAGCGACACCGCCGACGGCCCGACTGGTATCTGTTGCCTCTTTGCTGCATTCAGTACTCCTATCCCGGCAAGTCCCTGCGCGCAGTGAAAGCCCTCTGTCGCCCGTTTGCGAGCATTCACTCTGTCTTCGGCGAACAAGCCCTGCCTAACCAGGTACCTGTCAACCGAGCAGACCTACCAGCGACGGCGCATCATCCCCCGCGCCATTGCAGAAAAGCCGCTCGACGTCGAGCCAGCCCACTGTCCCACAATTTGCGTGCAGCGCCAACCCACGTTGACCTAGCCCGCCTAGAGCAGCAAAAGCCCACGATCACGGCACGGCCTTACCGATTCAGTCTCGTCACGAACCACGAGAGTGAGCATTACGTCTTGATTGACCGACCGAGCTAGCTCCTCCCTGGTTAAGCAGCGCCCCGGCCTCCTCATCGCGATTGGTTAAGCCCCTACCAAATTTTGCGCCACCCAGAACTCTGCTAGCGTTGTTCTTCCAAATCCACGCTCGCCCCAGGACCCACCGACCCACACAGCAAGCTCATTCACCGCTAGCGCCGTGCAACCAAAGGTTGCACCTCACTGCGCCTTCGCTCCGCGATTCGAGGGCCTGTTACCCTTGTCACCCCCCCTGTCCCGGTACTCTTGAGCGTGCGTCTTCCGTGCGTTATCTTTTAGACAGTCTAAATCTGCCGAACTGCTTGTCCTTCCATCTGGGCGCACTGGAAAACACACCGTCTGCAAATCACCCGCGTTTAAGTTCGACGCTATCGTGTCTTGACAACATTTCCAGTCTCCGGTTTTCTGGCTGTGCGCAATTCTTGGCTTCCCTCCGCCTGCTTTTGTACGGTTAGTCGCCTGTCTGCCATCGACCGCGGCAAATCATCCGAAGACGGTGTCTGCAACCGTCATATCTATCTTCCCAGCCATTCCCCTTCCCACTCCACGCGCAACTATTTCCAGCTTAGAGCTTCGGTGCAACTCGACCTCTTGAAAACATACACAGTCTATGGACGCAAGGCAACAAGACTACCCGCAGTCAGGTTTGAGCTCACCATACCCAACGTACCCTGAAGCACCTTCTGAGGGTGCCTTTGCAGATCAAGCATCTGCTGCGCAATATCCTCCGCAAGGACAAGACCCTCGAGCTTCGAACCTTACTCCTACCTCCGAGTACAGCAGCCTTCCACCGTCTGCTCGGTCAGGCTCTTTCCCGGAATACATTCAACGTTCGTACCAACCAGGCGCTCAAGGACAAGCACCCGGAGGTATGGCGCAACAACAAAGTCCGTCAATGCCTCTCTCTGATGGTCAAACCAATGGCCATCATCAATCTCAACCACTCAAGTCTGACACCGATGTTCCTATAGATCCATCGATCGCCGCCCAGACGAGCCCAACCTACCCTCATCAGCAACAGTATTCGCCTTACACCCCTCACCACGACATGCAGCACTACCCAGGACACCCGCAGACGCCAATGTATGCGTCGCGTCCTGAGTGGGCTGGACAGTACGCCCAGCCTGGCATGCACTATGGGCATCCGGCTTCGTCGGGCCCTCCTGCACCTGCAATGGTATCGCCTGTGCAAAGACCACCAACAGTAAGTCACGCTTTTCTCTAGTGGAGTTACGCGACGCGTCGTGTCATCAATCTCAATGGCACGAGATCCACCTTTGAGCTGAGCGACGCGGTCGTGCTAGTTCGCGACGCGCGTCAAAGGTTTGCGCCATTGTGGACAATCATGCTGATTACGCGTTTAGGGCGGTCATCCTTTGTCAACCGTATACTCGTTTGTGCCCATCCCAGGTGCGCAGCAACACAAGCGACCCCGCCGACGGTACGAAGAAATCGAGCGCATGTACAAGTGTGGCTGGAACGGCTGCGAGAAGGCCTATGGCACATTGAACCACCTCAACGCGCATGTCACAATGCAATCGCACGGTGCAAAGCGAACACCAGAAGGTATGAATTGCGCTTTTATTAGTCGAATTTGAGACGCCCAGCGATGTTGAGGTTGCCCTGGTCAGCCTGGCGCGCTAAAATTGTACTGGGGTTGTGTTGGTGTTGCGCCTATCTGATGGTGTTCCCACTACTCTAGATAGCTTCAGGCGACGGAAGCTAGCTACACTCGACCCTTGTCCACTCACCTTGGCATTTAACAACATCACTTTGTCGGCGTCAATGGCTGACTTTCTGTTACAGAATTTAAGGAAATCCGTAAAGAGTGGAAGGCCAAGAAGAAGGAGGAGGAGGCTCAGCGCAAGGCCGATGACGAACGCCAACGCGCCGAGATGCACCAGCACGCACAGCAGCAGCGCGTCGCGCACGACGGTGGCCCTCCTGAGGCACCTGTCTACGGACAAATGCGCCAGGCTGTAGGTGTGCCAGGTCAACAGCCCCCGCATCCTCAGCTTCCTCCCATCGGGTACCAGCCGGCTGCCTCTGGCTCATCAGCTGCTCCTCAATACGGCACACACAGCCCCGGTCTTCCTGAGGGCATGGCACAGTATGCGACCCCCAACGATGTTTTGCACATTTCCAGTAATAACGTCAAAAATAGCTACCCTCAGTCGCCATACGGCCAGAACCCTCAGATGTACCAGCAAGGTCATTAGGAGGGCCGTCCATACAGCGAAATCAGCGACAACAGCGACAACAGCGAATACAACATAAATGACATAGCCGGAATTTGAGCGATCAGCCGAAGCTTGCAACGACAAGTCCCGAGGTATCATCACAGGTGCTCACCTTTCACTAGGCAGGGTGGTCGCATTACGGAAAAGGTCTGGGCTGGTTCAGCATTTTACACAACGGTTGGGGTATGCATTTACATCGGGCGGCGGCTGTATCCTTTTATTTTCACGGTGTTCACGGCTGGAATGAGACGACATTTCCTTCTATATCCCAGGTTGATGGCCGGTGTCAAAGTGGACAGAGCTACGGATTCAATGTTCGGCGGTAATACCTTCACCTGCGAGCCCGTCAACCTACCTGTTTCCCTACTTGTGGGCGTCGTCACCTCAAAATGCGGGTTCCATTTTCTTCTACTGAACCTAGATTTCATGCATCCATTTGGCGCTCAGACAGAAACAATTAGTCGTTCATACTTCACAAATCATCTCTTTCGTACGTCATTGATAGCATCTGTGGTTCAGGCCTTTTGACTTCCCTGTGTATCTGCAACGCCTCGAATGTCGAGTAGATAGCCTGGAGCGGCGTCGCAACGAGACTCGAAAAGCGAAGGTGCGCCCTTGCACGTCGTTCGTGTACTGAAACTCGTCACCCATGTGCGCACACATGTCACCGTCTATATTTGAACCCCCTTGCCGCGATGCAGCAAAACGTGTTTGCAATTCAGTGCGGGAAGTCAGTGAGCCTGTCTCAGCCGACGAACATGACAGGGACACATGCAGAGGCCTGAGTCGCATTGCATCAGAGCAAGCATTCAATCTGACACTTCACCGTCTCCTCACTTCACATGCGCACATGCGCACACGTATCAGCAGCCACGTACTGGACTCCATCTCACCACTCGCTGTTGGCTGGTGACACTTCTGCAGTCGCAGGGCGCACGACACTATACGATGCATATGCGGCGATTCCGAAACCTCATTGGATGGCGCATACGACGACCATCCTTGACGGCAATCACAGCGGGCAGATGAACGCGCAGCGTATTACGCAAAACATGAGGGATTTGCCATCGTACCAAACGAGCGTTCTGACGTCGCACAGGAAGATGACGTGCCGTGTGGCGGGCAAGTCAGCTCTAGACGTGAGGTTGCTTTACGGTCCAAGATTGTATGGTACTGCAGATTCGGTCAACAGGTCTAGCACCTGTGAGGGTCCTGGTTGTTTCGACGCGATTCCGTGGTTGCAAGGCATCCTGTGGGGGGCGTAGTGCCATCCCAAAACCAAACAATAGATCCGACCCAGCTTCTTGTTTCCAGCCCACCAAAAGATGCTGGCCCCGGCTAGCCCAGTCTTCAGACCCTTGTGTTCTCGACGGGGTCGCTCTTTGCGCCGTGCGGTTCCGCATGCAGTAGGGGCCCTCTGTGCGACTGCAGACAATGGAATGATCGTTGTGAGAGTGCCGCTTCCTGTCGTCAACATGATGGCTCGAAGTGAGGAGTGCAATTGGCCAGAAGCGTTACGCAGCGGTGAAAGGCGAGAGCAGACCTTGCTTGGTCATGCGCGCGGTAGGACTCGGGACAATGGGAACCGGCAGCATGTGGACGCTGGGTGTGCTGTCCGATGGTTGCGGCGTGCAGTGGTGGCGGGCGGAGCAGCGACAGGCCGGCTGTCTTTCAGTATCAACGAGATGCCCCAGACTTGTGCATGCAAAGGACCCCAGATTTGACTACTTTCACCAACACACGCTAAGATCTCCACGCAGCCCTGCAAGCTCGCGGGCAATGCAAGATATCCGCTGGCAAGGCTAGCGCAACGGGCTGTTAGATCCTTCGATCAGCACAGCTAAACTGGCGTTGGGCTGCGGGCTGCGCACTTGCTTTTTCTCCGTGCCTCGCACCGCTTCGCAAGCGCAAACTAACAGCTGCCAGGGCAGCACCATGCTAGAAGGCTTTCTAACGGCTGCCCGCGCTGACGGCGGAGACTAGCATGGCGGTGCATGCGCGCTGCGTGTGAGATGAGGCCTGCCCGAAAGCGTGTGTGGTGCGTTACACAGCAGCAGTAGGCGGGGGCCACACGAGGGTGGAGTGCTTGCGTGCTTGCGTGCGTGCGTGCTGGCGGCGTCCATCTGGGCGAAATCGCGACGATATGTCTCACGGGACGAAGAGCAGACAAAGTGCAGGCGGGCGAGCTGCGTGCTGTGCAGCGCTGATGGGGCCGGGCAATGGCACAGTAGCATACTCGTCGCAGCACCTCCATCGTCGTCCGACATGCGACACAAGCACAGCGCGCACAGCAAGGCCTCACGGCCACTGCACACTCCTTGCGTGCGCCGCCCACAACACACGTGTGCGACGGGTCGCTGATGCTCGCACGGAGCTAGCCATCACGAGTCTTCCTGTACAAAGCCATTTCGTGCATACAGCGCCGCGCGAGCGGAATAGCCGTGTGCGACGGTAGGAAGTAGTCTGTTCCGCCACGTTGGCCGAGGATTCAAGCTTGGAGGGAAGGGCTGGCGTGCTGGTGACCGATCAGAGCGCGTTGCTAGCCTTGACGCAGCTAAGGACATGTGTCTTGCTTTAGCTCTCATGCGCCGGCTCGCGAGGCTGCTTGATCAAGACCTAATCTCCTGGCTTGCTTGCTCGGCTCCAAGGGCATGGGATGTTGGCTCGGGCTCCGTCAGCCTTGCGGCAAAGCGTCTTGCGGCAGAGTGTCTTGCACGTTGGCTAGCCCGGTGATGTCGGATTAAGGTACATTGCACTTCTACAGCCCCTGTCTGAGAATCGTCGTACGCCACGGGTAGGCACTTGCTTGACAGAAGCAGCTCCGTGAGTCCGTGGGTAGCACGAAGGCTAGGAGTTCGCGTTATAGCACACCTCTTCGCGGGTGCGCCACAGCACGTGACCATGCTCGGCGTGTTCGAGGTTAGCGTGCTCGCGTTGTGCAATGAATGTTTTCTGACGCTGCTACGAATGCACGTCACTCTGGCGCAAATCGAGTCCACGTCCTTCTGATGCTCAACTGTCGTGCCTGCCTTTGGCAATGTGTCCAGCCCTTCGATCGCCCAGCTAGTCTCCAGCGAATTCGCCGTAATGTAAATCCACTTCTGCGCCAGAGCCAGCAGCGGCTCCAGAGCACCGACATCCACCACAAGACCGGCACACGCCCTTACTACCGTGTCAAGGTCGAGAAGCTGTCGCAGAGCAGAGATGAGCCTTGGAAGAATTCTGCAGCTGCCGAAAATCAGCAGAAATGGGCGAGATCAGCGGTGCGCCAAGCGCCAGGGAGAGTTGCAGACAGGCAGGAGACGCCCAACTTGATGAATCTGGGCAGGAAACCTCCGCACATGTCAGACACCGAGTGGAATAGGAGGAAGCGAGAGCTGCGGTTTCTGCAGGATCCATTGGATCTGGCCCAGTTTGTAAGGGCAGAGCTGGAGAAGGACAAGGTGGATGAGATGAAGCAACTCGTGCAGATGGCGAGCCACTCGATGGCATGCGTCGTCAGCTGGAACCACATCATCGACCACTATCTGGCCAAATCGCAGGTTGCCCCTGCGATCAAGGTGTACAACGAGGTACGTACGACTGGTTTGAGATGCTGCCGTATGCTAATCCCATGCAGATGAAGAAGCGCGCACAGTTCCCCGATTCTTACACGTACACGATCCTTCTACGCGGGCTCTCGATCAACGCGCATGTCTCAGGTGTCCTCGAGAAAGCCCTCTCGATCTACCACTCCATGTATGCGCCAAATTCCCGCGTCGAACCGTCAATCATACATACGAATGCCGCACTGCGAGTGTGTGCAAGAGCGCTTGACATGGATGCGCTCTGGGGCATAGCTGCGAAGATCCCAGAAACGGGGGCGGGCGCAGCAAATGCTACCACCTACAACACCATAATCAACGCGATCCGTCAGAGCATGCTACTCAAGGTACCGACTGACGAGTCTGCGGAAGAGGCCGCTATTAGAAAGGATCGCAGCATTATGGAAGCTCGAAGGCTTTGGGAAGACATCGCAGGAAAGTGGAAGAACGCCGACGTTGTTATTGACGAGGAGTTGGTATGCTCGATGGCGCGATTGCTGCTGATGGGAGCTCGACCACGGGACTGGGATGATGTGCTCTCTCTGGTGGAGCAGACCATGGACATACCACGGCTCGTGCCTCGACTAGGCACAATGGAGCGCGTGGCAGCTGGCTTCCCACGGTTACGAACGCCTGATGTGCCGGACGACTTTGCCTTCGACGATGATCATCTGGCGCCTGGTCAGCCTGCGATCCGAGGAGATGAGTTTTTGCCATTCACCGGTAACGTGAGGCATCTTGTATTCGTGAAGCCCGGCAACAACACTCTCTCTGTGCTGCAGGAAGCCTGCCAAAAGATCGCCGCCCCCAAGGCTGCACATCAGTACTGGGACATGCTGGCCGACTCTGCGTCATATGCCATCAAACCAGATCTCAACAACTTGAATCAACAATTGCGCAACATGCGTCTAAATCGAGCGTCAGGCGCTGCTGCTGAGCTTCTGCAGAAGGATATCATTGGTGGTGGCTTCAGGCCTGGCCCAGGAACATTCAGGATCGCCATGAGCACTTGCGTACGAGACAAGAACAACCACAACTCGCTCAAACATGCCAGTCAGATCCTACATCACATGAACAAGGCATTCGAAGATGCCGACCCCAAAACTGTAGGCATGTATGCCGACCTGGCGCTCAGGTTCCCGTTAGCGACTGGCCAGGATCTCATCGATGCCCTCACCTCTCTCCACCCCATCGTCAAAAACCTGCGTCTGCAGCTTGGTGTTGGTGCAGCAGGTAGAGGGAAAGACGGCGCTACCCCTGCCAAAGGCCAATGGCGCCAAGACATCCTCGACGCGATCAGAAAGGTTTACGCTGTGTACGACCGACTGCTTCTCTCGAATCTCATTGCGGAAGAGCAGAAGCATGACTTCAAGAAGGAACGGGCTAGGCTGTCGGCCTTCATCCACAGGGAGGCTGGGAAAGATTCTGAACGAGAACGTCGTAAGCTGGATGACAAGGAACCCAAGCTGGAAGAGTATGATCAGCACAGCTACTTGAGCGCAGATAACGAAAGTGGAGAAACTGACACCGAGCCGCCACAGAAGAGCAATGATGAGGGGCGGATATGGCGGTCTCACCAATCAAAAGATAATAGAGGCAGTTGGCGAACGAGGGACGCAAAGCCTGAAGGTCAGAGGAGGCCTTGGGGCAACCGTTCAGAATCGGGTCGTTATGATTCTAGCGAGCAGCATTACAGGCGTTCGCGATGAAGCATCATGCGTAGACGGTTGTAAGAAAAATGTATTATACTCTCACCACACAGACCAACGACCAGTAGACACCCTAATGACCTAATGAATGACTTGTTTACACATGTCGCCAGGATTGCATCTGCGCTTCTCAAAAATCAGAGTTTCGTTCCTACAAGGTGCCAAGACCTGTTTCCTTTTTCGTCCTCTTCCGCGGCGGTGTGGGACCGAACGCTCGACATCCACTCTCACATCCGCCGCGTTTGCGCCGCCTGGCTAACCACCTTCCACACACAGCTCTCACCTTCAGGCACGCTTCTATCATGGGTAACGACGGCGGCTCCATCCCCAAGCGGCGCGAACTCGTCAAAGAAGCCGCCAAGGCCCTCACCACAACCCAAGCCAAAGAGCTGCTCACCGAGCAGCAAGAACACCACTGGTCGGTTTGTCCTCTGTCGCGGAGACCACTCGCAGCGCCCGTAGTCGGGGACGCCGCAGGAACACTCTACAACAAGGACGCGGTCATCGAGTTTCTGCTCTCAGAAGATGGGCGCGAGAAAGAGGAGGCTGGGAAAGTCGCGGATGTGAAGAGGGACGGAGAGTTTGCGGAGCTGGGGTCTGCGGGCGATAGACTCAAGGGGCTGAAGGATGTGGTCGAGGTCAAGTTCGAGCCTGGTAAGGAAGAGAGGAAGGAAGGCAGTGGCAGGTCCGAGAACTGGGTGTGTCCGATCACTGGCCGCGAGCTGGGGCCGGGTGCGAAAGCGGTATATCTTGTCCCGTGTGGGCATGCGTTTGCAGGGAGCGTGGTCAAGGAGGTTGCCGGGAGCGTGTGCTTGCAGGTACGTTCACCACCTCGCCGCCAGAGCGCGCAAGAAGCGGTCAGCGCATGCTAACGAACGCAGTGCAACGAGCCCTACGCCGAGAACGACGTCATCCCCATCCTACCCACTATCCCCACCGATCTCGCACGCCTCAATCTGCGCCTAAAAACCCTCAAGGACAAGGGCCTCACCCACGCCCTTAAGAAAGCCCCCGGCAGCAAGAAGCGCAAGAAGCACGCCGAAAAGGGTCCGACCAGCGTCTCCGAGCCCAACGGCACCACAAAATCAAAGTCTCCGTCCGACGAAGACAAGGCGGCAAAGCCCAAGCCCAAGCCCAACGGCGACAGCAACGGCGCAGACAGCGGCATCAAGAACTCGGCGACCGCGTCGCTGACACGCAAGGTCATGGAGGAGCAAGAGGCGCGCAATAAGAGGCGCAAGCTGGGGCAAAATGAGAATGTCAAGAGCTTGTTCAACACGAGTAGCAATAAGCCGAGTGCGGGGAATAGCGCAGATTACATGACGCGTGGGTTTAGTATTGGGAAGAAGTGAGCACGGAGGCACGGATTCTGGCGTTGAGGGGGTGCTTGTGTGTATATACGCGCCGATGTTGGAGGTGTGGTCGACCACGGTGATTGTTATTCTGGTGGGAGAGTGCGAGAAGATACCCTGCAGCTGCGTCGAATTGCGCAGCTGCGTACGAAATGCGTGTTGCATGTGCCTCTCCGTTTGACATGCTCCTGTGCCACGCTTCTTTTCTACTGGTCGAGTGGCGACCGGTCTGCATATAAAACTGTCCGCGCCTGCGTGAATCGTTTCTTTTCCACACACCTGCGCACATCTCTGTCTTTGTCGCCGAAAGACGGCATGAGCCGTGCCATGTCTTCTGCTCTGCTCCGAGTCTTTGATCAGCATCCCCCGCTCTGCTTGAAATCTGTTCGCGCTCTTGTGGACCATCTTTTCCACACTTACACATGTGTCTGTGTCGCTGAAAATGGAGACATTTGGGCATATGTCTGCCTTCCTCGAAATATTCTCATAAAATGGCTGATGGTTTGTCTCTATCCAGCAACGACCAAGCACGAAAGTAATGTCTGCCACAAACTAATGCCAGCCACATCTATGTGGAAAAAATGTTAGGCGCGCCTTTATGGCCTTGCCCTCCCTTCTACTTCTGACCCCAGACGCTCGAAAGGTACCAGGACATAAAAACATGTTCCGGTGCTGCTCGCCAAATCGACAGTGCCGAGTTGGATATCTGCCCTCCTTTACTCCTCAATCAATTCCACACTAGAAAGTCGTCTACGGCCACCTTCCGACTCCAGAACCCTTGACCGAAGTAAGAGTCATGAGCTCTCATGTTCTGTGCGCTGCGTACAAAAGGCAAAACATTGATGGCCATGTCCGTTCGTGCTACCCTCCTTTACTTCTCAGTCAACGATAGCCCAGAAAGGCCTATACCGAATTACGCATGGGTCGCTGCCTGCCTCTGCACATATATCTGTGCACACCTCCGCTTCTGATGCGGAAAATGCACTGTTCGAGGAGATGTTTCTGCCTTGCTCCAAATTCGCAAAGAAAGTCTGGACTGTTTTGCTTCTCTCCCCATAAACTGAATTGGTAGCAGGTAATGTCCTGCCTCAAACCACATCTTCATTGAGTCATGTCGAAGATATGCCTTCGAGAGATACTTCATGGCGTTCTCTCTGCTCTGCCCTTAACGCGAATACTCATCTAAAGCCTAAACCTGAACTGTGGAAGGCAATGTTCTGGCGTTGCCTTCAAGAGACTGATCAATACGGGAAATGTCTGGCTGCTCCGCTCTGCGCTGCTCTTGTCGAGAATACGCAACTAAACACATCTTAAACCGTCACATGCTGTGTGCTGCTTCCAAACTGTCGAGACTGAGGTGACATGGCTGGCTGCTCTCCTCTGCCCTGCCTTCGACGCAAACACTCAACCAAAGGCACCCAGAAGACACCGATGGTCTGGCGCTGCTTCTAAATTAAACACCCTGCGAAACATGTCTGGCTGTTCTGTTCTCTGCTCCTGACACTTGGACGATAAAAAAAGACTTGGCTTTCTTGCCATGTTGTTGGCACTTTTCTGTCTTGTACGCACGATGATTGCGACAGGCAAATTGTAAACAAAATCAGAGTCGAATGGGAACATGTCTCTCTACTGTCGGCTTCCTGCTGTTCTGCTCACTCAAGTTGATGGTCTTCTTGCTTCACGCAAACATGGCCGGTGCAAACTCATGGAAAGATCGGAGACGCACTCCGCGCGTGCTATATCTGTCTTCTTTCTGCTGTCTTCCTTTCTCACTCAAAGTTTCTGGCCTAAATCTTTATTCATACACGGTATCTGGAATTCTGATGTGGATATCGAAATAACATCGAAAAAACGCATGTCTGTCTGCTGTTTGCTGTCTTCTTTCCTCCATACTTAATTTCGCTGGCACTGTCGTCACCTAAAAGCGTGATCTGACAGTCGGAAGAAGATACCGAAATCGCATCAAGTTTACAGTATGTCTGTCTGCTCTTCTCCACTTGCCGTTGATGGCCCTTGTCCTCCATTGAAATATCATGGACGCGATGAGAATATCGAGACAAACTCTCAACAATAGCATGTCTGTCTGCTGTTTACTGTCCTCTTTACTCGATGTTGCTGGCCCTTAACCTCTAATGATACATAACGACTGCTATGAGAACAGCGAAGAAGAATCTCGCATAATCAAGATGTGTGTCTGCTTTCTACTTTCTGCTATCTACTATCTGAAATACCGCACTTTGTTCCATGGATGTGACAGAGTGTGTTTGGAGCTCGTTTCAAACAAGAGGGCCAAAAATTCATGTCGTGTTGTTCTGGATTGAGAGAGAACTTAAGATATCGATCGAAAGGGGACATATTCTCCTGCTGAAAGATTTTGGGTGCGATCCTATGTTTGTACCACCTGTTCGCATCATGAGTTTGTAAAGCTTGTCTTGTCAAAAAGCATGAGATGAACATGTTCCGATCTTTTGGATTAAGGAGTGATCTGAAATTTCGACGTGAAGATCAAATGTTCTCTTGCTGAAAGGGGGTGTACACCATGTCTCGTTGCGCCGTGATTTCCATATATGTATGGTGGCCCGTATAGCCTCCCAGTTTGTAGCACCGGTGATACTGTACGTGTTGCGACATAATGCGAGAGTCCAATTGGGCCTGTGTTGTTGTCCGCCCCTAGGCAATATGCAAGCTAATTAAGGCTAGTAAAGTCGAGGTTCAATATGTCAGCAAGAAGGTGCAAATTCACTAGATCGATGTGCAGTTACAAACTACTCCGGACGAACTTGTCGCCCCGTTTTGCTAGTGGATAATTTTTGGGAGGGAGAAAGCTCGACCTCAAACTAACCTGTCTAAGTAACAGTCTCCGCCAAGACCCTTGAGCTTGAGGTAGATATACGCCAACAGGGGTTTGATTACTGGTACTTGAGCTTTGGTGCGTCGTCAAAACTATACAGTTTTGCTAGGATAGCCTTTTGTAGCATCTTCCTCCGCCAAGACTGTGGATTGTGAAGGCTAGCTGCTGCTCTGCGATTACATAAAATAGTTGGCCGTCAAGCAAAAGCATCGCATCACTTGCTTAGAAATACCTACATGCGAGTTGAGTGACTATCGCTTACTCAATCGTCACTACGAGTGGATTGCTAAGTTTCTGTCTCAGTATCTGCAGGTCAGACCGCAACATGGCATATTTAAAAGAGTACTATGGTTATGCAATTGCGGTTGAGCACTCATAGCAAACACTCTTCTGAAATTTCGTCTATTTACTTCCAGGAGTTTCATACCACACGGTACTTGAAACATGTCTTCATCTATGCTCAAGAACGACGTGGAAATCACCTTCATCGGTACAGCCACTGCCATCATCAAAATCGACAATGTGACTTTTCTCACCGACCCCTTCTTCTCTCCTGCGGGAACTGAATGGCCCTCCTTACCTGGCCACCCGAACCTCAAAGTGCACGATGACCCTGCATTGGACATGAGCGAGTTGCCACACATCGACGCTGTCCTTCTAAGCCACGAAAATCATCCCGACAACCTCGACGAGCTAGGCCGCACACTCCTCAACGGCCGTCATGTCTTCACTACCCGCGACGGAGCGCATAAACTCGCTCCACGGCCCAGTGTGCACGGGTTCGCGGACTGGGAAGAGAAACACGTCACCATCGCTGGGATCATGTACCAAATCATTGCGACCCCGTGTCAGCACTGGCCTGGTCACGAGTGCGTTGGCTTCCTACTCCACACACCCAGCTTTGGTAGCACGCCTGACGGCCGCCCCAATGTTCTGTACTTCTCCGGCGACACGGTTTACATTCCCGAACTTGCGCAGATCAAGCAACGATACAACGTCGTCATCGCTATCATGAACTGCGGGCAAGCCACGTTCCTCGACACAGATAGCGAGGGATTGCCTGACCATGAAGGAGAGTCTCTCCAGATCACTATGGGTGGGACACAGGCTGTGCGGCTTTTCAAGGATATTGGAGCGGATGTATTGGTACCCATGCATTTTGAGTCTTGGGACCATTTCAAACAGGGTAAAGAGGGTTTGGCGAGGGAGTTCGAGGAGGAGGGTGTATTGGGAAGTGTTCGATGGCTTGTTCCTGGGAGGGCGGTGAAGTTTTGAGAAGGGACTTTTTGAGTATCTAGGTAGCATGTAAGGGCGACGTTTAGAATTGGATGTGCATTAAAGAGGAGTGTAAAGGCACTATCTGTGAATGTGATGCAGTATTTGTTTGGAGCCAAAGCTTCGTCTTTAGCAATTAACATCGGCACTGTTAGGACAGGTCACATTCTCGCTTTAAATCCAGAAAAGGCTTTTGAAGTTTCACTTAATGCGCTCTGACTCTTCCTGCAAGCTGGACGCTACCACTCCACCCTTAGTTTGTAAGATGGAGGGGCTAATGCGGTGCTATTGCGGACACCTATAACTTTGCCCTTGAACACCTGCTTGTATTTCTGCTAGCATTAGTAGTAGGTTAACGCAATATCTCACGCATCATTAATTTAGTACAATCTTTCATCAATGCTTTATCTGGCCAATAACAAATACAACAACTTTTTTTCTTCATCTGTCCTATGAACAGCATCCGTAAGTTTGGTCGGCCGAGAGACAGCAATAGCATGATACAGTGATTGGTACATCACTAACAGCCAAAGCAATCTCGTAGGGTGATCTAATGAACTGTGCCTCTTCGAGCTTTCCAGCACGTTTGAAGCACTCATGTAGCCCGTGTAGTCCCCACACATTGTTCAGCTTAGCCCTGCGACGAGGGTACTCTTTCGAAAAGCCTAGATCTTCTCTAAAGGCCACCTCTGCCTCTTCAACGCGGTTCTGCTCTAGTAAAAGTCCCCCTAGCGCATGACGTACCGGCTGCATCCATGGTGGCGGGTCGCCGTAGGGCAAAGAATCTTCCAACTCTGCAGCTTTCCGAAGCAAAGAAAAGGCAATATCGAAATTACCTTTGCGGTACTCAATCTCGCCATGCAGCATAGCTGAAGCAACACTGAATACATCAACTTGTCTGGTCGGAATGCTGTTCAGTCGTGTCTTTGGTACCGCGCGACGGGCTTCTTCAAACTCTTTTTGCGCAGCCTCAGCCTCAGACACTCGGCCGAGCGCGCTTAACGCAAGTCCGCGAGCGTAGAGGACATTCGCTACAGTCGTACAGTACATGATGCGGTTACTGGGCAGCTCCAAATTGAGAATGTCATTCCAGCGTCCGAATCGTATAAGGACATGCGCTTTGCTCCCGTAAAAGCTCTCCACAAAATCTGCCACTGGTGGACTTGTGATAGATAGCAGCTTCTCGTCGATAACTTCTTCGATCTTCTCTGCCGCGGCCATGGCGTCAGTAAACCGGCCAGACATCATCCCTGCGTAAAGCTTTGCACAAATGTAATGCACTCGATACATGACGTATTGGACAGTACCGCTGGCGTGTGCAAAATATTGATCGTCAGCATCTATTGCTTCCTGGTTGGAGAGGATTGATCGTCGGTAGTCGCCAATCGCGGCATCGATGTGTGTCGGCATGTGCAACATATGTGAAGCGTCTGGAACAAGGCGGCGTAGCCTGTCCGCAGCTGGGAGCGCCAGCTCTGGGAAAGGGGACATCTCCAACATGTGTATGTAAAGATGGCAAAGGGCAGGATGATTGTGACCGTCACTCTGTGCCAGACCCGACTCAATTACTTGACGGGCCTCTATCGTGTGGTTGGCAGTGGGCTTACCGGTATCCAGGTTCCAGAGTCCGCGAGGGGTGATGCACATCAAAGCATCAGCGAATAACGCTGCGATGTCTGTGTCTCGAGGGAAGTCTTTGTACACAAGACGCATTGCATCAGCATATCCAGCATCCAAGAAGCCGAGCTCGTCTGGAATGTTTTCACTTGGTAGGAAACGAGCAGTGAGCGCAACGATCAAGGCCTTCTCGATTGGCGTGGCTTGAAGGGAAAGCCTCAATGCAGTGCCCAATGCATCGTTTGCTTTCTTAGTACAAACTTTGAAGTCTTCGGTATCGAAATATTTCCAAGCCTTGTTGTAATTTGGGCCAACAGAGTAGGCAAGGCCCCAATATAAAATCGCGCACTCTGGATCGTATTCGATAGCGTGCTCGAAGCATTTCTCTGCCTCGCCAAGATTGAAAGAGTATGCCCACAGCAATCCCCGATTGAACCACAATTGAGCTTCAGCTGAAGTTGTGCTCACTCGTCGGGAGTGATGGCCAAGGTCGTAGTATTGTGAGTCAATGGAATCAGTTGTGTTGCTAGAAACTAGTCAGAAGCCAATTCTCGTTCTGTCATTTTTGTAGACAAACCTTATTGGATCTGACGATAATAGTGTCATCTTGAGGAAAAAGAAAAACTTAAGACACCCTAGAAGCCTTGCTCTGCTCCGTACGGGCTTACGCACAGAACTTTATATTTTTTCTAGGAACGAAGACACAGCAGTGACCGCGTACATTTGTCCGTCCATGACCAATCTTGTGGATCGTGACGCAGCAGTAATTCACAACGCATGTTCGTCTTAGCGTATTGGCGGGATATCCTACCAGAAGGAGTTAGTCAGTTCTCCAGTTGCGGTGGCAAACGGGTAGGCGTTGGGTAGAGTCTGGGTACGTCACGTGAGGCACACAGACCCTACCTAACGCCTACCCGCGCTAAGTGGTCGCTAAGCAGGTACCAGGGGCTAGGTACCTTACGTGATGTACCCTGACCCTACCTGACCATTACCTTAGATCTGTACGGACTCTACCCTTATACTCTACTGCACTCTATAGTAGGTAATACCTATTTACCAGCGTATCTATAGCATATTTAATTTATTAGAAGGAAGCTGGTAATGTGTACGTAACTTAATTACTATAGTACGCATCTATATTCCGTAGACTGCTTTGTTGTCAGTGGTGTCTGCAGATGCTTTTAAAGTTTATGAAGTGTACTTTGCCTATAACCACCTGTTAGCTTCGCAAATGGCTGTTTGCCACGTTATTCCTTTGCAAGGTAGACTGAGATAAATAGTTAGAAGCCTTCTTTACTATAGAAATGTGGAAATTATACGCATAAACGCCAGAAATCATTCAAATGATACAAGAGAGCATTTGTGGCACTAGAAGAGTATTTTCGGCTTCTTTTTTTTCATCATCATGATCATTAGCCACATGCGCATGTACTTCATGCTTTTCACCTATTAGCCCTGAAAGCCTTCCATGCCACCTTCGATCGTCAGCTTGCCCTCACTCACCGCAGTCGATTTCCCTGTGCAACTTGAGCTCACGTCGCCAAACCGCGTCAAGAGTGCTTACTCAAGCCCACCCGGATACTGCACGAGCGTGATGAACGCTGGAGCCACACCCTGGCAGACATAGTCCATCGGCCCCGCGCCACCCGCGCGGCAGAAATTAGGCAGCGTGGTCGCTGCCACATACTGCACGCCCTCGCCCACATCCTGGCGCAGTAGCAAGCCGGCGCGGTCCTCCTGGTACGCCCAGTAAATAAAGGACCCGGGACCGCAGCTGTAGAATACTCCGTCCTCAACGTCACCCTCGGACTCGCAGTCGAAGTCGGCGGTGCCGCCGTTGGTGGCTTGCACGTTAAAGGTAAGTGAGTTGATGGTGGTGCCGTTCAGTTTGCGGGCCCAGAAGTTGGAGATCTTCCAGACGTAGTCGCCAGTTTGGACGACGGGACAGAGGTCCTGACGGGGTGCAAGGGGGGCCGTCAGGGGGATGGCGAGGGCGAGAGTGGTGGTGGCTAAGAGGCCGATCAGGTATTTGAATTGCATCTTGGAGGTTGGGTGGTGAGGCTAAGGGGACTATTTGGAGAGTGAGGGCTTGCAAGAGTGGATTGAATGTGAAGGTGGTCGGATGATGATGTCTTAGTAGGAACTTTGTAGATTTATATACTCCAAAGATATTAGTTCCTCAATGTATGCTGCTCCGTAGAAGTCCAGATACGATTTGTCTGGCTTCCAGTGACTTACAGTAATACGCAGAGCCGAGCTCCCTTGGTACAGATGACTTTAATTGCAGGTATGGATAATCTCCAATGAAAATACAGTCGTGAGTAGTGCAGTACTGCAGTGGCCTATGTTTTTATTGAGATGTATGACCACTGGCGTAAATGGTCCGACGTATCTCTTAGATACCAGGCACGAAGACCAGATTTATGCAGTGCTGTTGGCACCTGTAGCATCGTTCTTACCGCAGAGCCGAACCATACTAGGACTGCCTACCGTGCTACCACAGACTCTTGAGAGAGCAGCGCGTCTGCTTAATTAGCGCTGGAGTAAATGGTCAGAGGAACCGCAGTTCTTTTCTATTGGCTAGGGGCTTTTCGCCTCGCAGAGACTTGTAAAAGTCGTAGTTCCCACGAGTTGGTACCGCTCCTGACGTCTCAATTGTAACTACGACAATTGTTGATTTTTTGGGCGTACTGTGGCTGTTAATATCGAACGACAGGGGAAGAACGATTCAGTGCAACAGTCACACGAGATATTTGTGTAACTCGAATGAACACAGTGCCTACTTTCTTTGTTTCACGTATGTGCGAAGATGGTCAGGTTGAATGCGGCTCAGGCGCAGATCGGATCGATGGCTTTGTTAGAAATTTTTGTTTGTCACGGTAGGAAGGGGCTTTGAGGTCGACTCTTTAGGTATAGGTAGCATGTAGGTCAGACTCCAGAAAGACTAATAACGCCACCATGCTAGCATTGAGTTCAAGTGGCGAAGTTCGATAAATCTGTGTAATTAGGTAGAACGATGAGCTCACCGTCGGCCGCTCGGATGGCTGTTCCACAGGTGCCAGTGCGCGAGATTTGTGTCCCAGTGCGACTTCACTTTCTCCGCATCGCGGCATACTCACGCCTCAACACGACACAAGTGCGAGCAAATTGGTAAATCAGAGGCTGGGGACGGAAGGTGCATTGCCCCACTGGGGCTCTGGCATCAGCAAAGACGTCAGTTCCAGCGTCGTGGTAAATTAGAGATAGAGATTCTTTGCTCGAAAAATGGTCAAGCTTGGATCTCAGATGGTATCCTGGACGAGTAGTGGGTTCGGTGCGACGCATGTGGTTCAACAGTAAGTACCCTTGCGCGAACTCAATTGTCATGAAATCGAGCCCCGTTGACATGGTGACACGCTCAGCTGTTTCCTAAAGCCACTGAGGAGAATCACAATTCCTAGCCGTCAGATGTGAAAGTAATTGTGAAGCTCAGTAAACAGAAGATCTTCAAGTCAAAGTATAAAGTTTGTCAGGACTTTGGTAGCCGCTTTACCAAGAACAGCAAGGCACGTACTATGGTACGGAAAACAGGCTGTGATTTGTTATTAATCATGTCGTTGCCCTACAGGGTGTCTCCTTGACTATCACATCTATCAAACCAAACACCTGTAGCCAATCACGAGCCTCCACAACAGGGGGATCTAGCAAGCACATGTATGCCAAAAACTCGGCCAGCAAAGTATATGTTCACGTAATTTGAAGGAATAATTCAAAATGAGGCGTGGAGTGGTGCGTAGAATGATCATTCGGGAAGATGATTTTACCTTCAATTATGGCTGTTCTACCGAAACAAGCTCCGCTTCAATGACACTCTCAACAGCCCTATCATGCCTCGAAATACTATTGATCTGAAACCCAGCTGTCTCCAACAAATCGTGCCAATGCTCCTCCGTCCGCTCCAGCCCACTGACACAGTTCATCAACTGCAGATCCAACGTAGTCATCAAACTCGTCGCTCCCTTCGCCGGCAACACCACCTCGTAAATAAGCAGCTTCGAGTAACCTTGTTTCATCGCGTCCCGCACATTCATAAGTATGCGTAGTACATCGGCATCCGGCCAGTCGTGCGGCACAGCGTGAAAGAAGTACGCGCGCGCGCGCCTACAAGTGGCTGCGGCGTGAAGAAGTCGTATGCCATTTTCGTCACGCGCGGATCGAGGGCCTCGGGTGTCATGGCGACGACTTCAGGCGTGTCCTGCACCACGAGGATGTCGGAGGGGAGGTCGGGATGTCGTGCTAGCAGGCGCTCGGTGTCGAGGCCGTGGGCGCCTCCGACGTCGACAAAGAGTGGCGCGCCGTTTGTGAGGTCGGCGCTGGCGACGAGCTCGGTTGTGTCGTACACATCTGTCCAGGGCATTTTGTGGTTTCGTAGCGCGGTCATCAGCCCGATGAAAGAACTTCCTAGTCGCTCTGGGTCCTGGGCGCAGGTGGCGAAGAAGTCCGCTCCGCCAGTCATGTCAGCGTAGTTATCTAGCTTCGTCTTGTCAAGCGGGTCCTGGTAGCTGTATTTCTGGAGGAACTTCGGGAGGTTCACGCCACTTGGTATCGTGTGATCGAGGCTGAACATGTCAGTGTCTCTTCTTGGGAGTATGTGGGGAGTGGCTGTTTAGACACTTACCCGCAACGAATGATTTGGTCAGCGTGGGTTGACTTGTCTCCCATGGCGCGGGTATATGGAGTAAGTTTCCACTCGTCCACGTTTGTCTCATCAAGGACGTATAGGGCGCTCAAGTGCTTCAAGAACCGTCCTGTGGAACGTCAGGGACGGGCTGGCAGATTTGACTACTTTCCTTGACCTACTCAACAATGTTGCTTCGACTTTGGCATTGCACCAGCCCAAGATCGTGTCCAACTTCACAGGTGCTCCTTCGGACTGTTTCTCAGCCTCAGCCCAGTGAGCCCAGATACCGAGATCGGAGCCCATCTGTAGCCCAGCTACTAGGACTGGTGTCTCAAAGGCCAGAGCCCATCCTCGTTCGAAAGGCGTCTCGAGCCTAGCTAAAAGACGACGCGCTGCTTCTTTGGCAGCATATCGGTCAGCATCGGACTTGAAAGACGTCTGACTGATCGAGTCGAGGGACCGGATAGTTTCTGCTACATCGACTTTGTCAATCATGGTGTTTCTGATGGTGAAGATGGTTGGCCTTACATCGCACAAGGGTGTGATCCCTTGATTATATTTGCTCGGCTGACTCGACAAACCGCTACAATTTTACATGGAACATCAGTAACGATTCATGAAATAAGGTCTATTGGGTACACTGGTGATAAAATGTGCATAGGAGTATACCACCCTGTGTACATAGCTGTGCCGCAATAAGTGGGCCCCTGCATTTAGGTGGCATGATTGTAATGGAGATCTAGATTCTTTTAGGGTAGCGTAGGATTTGAGTTTGAATTTACATGCGCTATATTTCGTGAGAAAGAATCCTTCTTTGCTGATCAAAATCAACGTGAAGTCCGGTTTGCCGCGTCTTGCAGCGGGTGGCAATCTGAGGCAGACACAGTAGGCGTTTGAAGGTACACACTGGTGCTTCTCATGCATTTCAATCATTGTCCCTGTGGTCCAAGAACGCTGATCACTAATATACCGCTTGCAAGGCTGTAACATCAACGTCTTGATCGTACCGAGACCGACCACGACACTCTCGAGGCTTCTGGATTCAGTCCTTTAACCAATTCCGATGTGCTTCGCTTGCTCTGTGTCTCGACTTCGCTCAATTCACAATCCGTCTCGTGTGTACCATGATGAGCAGGTCGTTTGGCGGAATAGTTGTGAGGTGTCGAGTGATGTGGACAGGACCGGGATGGATGAGAGCAGCTGCACGAAGCGTTCGACGACGACCACGTCTCAACTTTAAAAAGAGCGTTGATGACCGGTGCATTCACTGCGAAAATGGATACAATCTGTATGAGTTAGTTTTGTAAGGCAGCAGAATGTGGAGAAATTACTCCTTCGCGCTGTGCCCAAACAGATGCCAGAGCAACCTGCACGGAAGAGCCGATGGACAAGATGCACCTCGCGATCGCCATTCCCATGACAAATATACCGAGAGAAAGCAGGAATCCAACCTTGAGCTTCCTGTATGAGACGTCAGTTACCGTCCGAAGTGAGTCCCTCGATTTCACTTACCTCCATATAGCCGTCTGCACATCTTTGAGGACGGAGATGGGTACTACCAATAACAAGGTATCGGTACTAGAAAGCTATGTCAGATTCAACATGGTCGCCATAGCTTCCATGACTCACAGGACGTTTCCAACAGCGATGACAATATTGATCACTACACCGGCCGAGCACTCCTCTACGTCAAGTTAGCCTGTGAAACAGGGGATCAAGGCCATTTAAAGACTCACTGCCGGGGTCGGGAAGGATCTGCCAGTTGTGGTGCAGAGGCAGACAATGTGTAAACTGCGTGATGATCGCAACCACACAGGAGACAATCGAGACAGCAGCGACGGTGAGCACATACGAGTGCAATCGTGTGTTCCTCCTAGACGTGGTTTTAGCAGCAGACTCGGTCCCGCGAGGGGGCAGTATACGTCAGGCGCAGAAAGATCATGATCAAGCATCCTTTCAGACTCCATACCATCATGATGAGGAAGAAGAAAGACGCAAACATCGCCTTGGCTCCTTCCCGCATCGACTTCTTCATGGGACCCGGCAAGACTTCTCGTTGTTCTTGCGTGAGTGCTATGGGTGCTCCAACGACGGCTAGATGAGCGCAAATTAGCGATGACGTTTGGTATTTTGAACGCTCATACTTACCCAGAAACTCTACCATCGCGTAGATGAGAGTGAAGAACGTCCACGCAGAAAAGGCAAAGAGTTCGTCCAATAGGAACCCTCTGAAACCAGTGGTCTTCCACCGGGCAAACCACCGCAACGCGAATATGGCAGTCCCAATCACATACTCAGCTCGACATTCGATAACAGTCTCGTTCGCCATGATCTGTTTGCTCATGTGAAGACATCAGAACGGGCCTGCAGGTGAAGACAGCCAACATTAAGAAGAGCTCCTGAGATCGCCGAATGGCAAGATTGACATCTGTGCTGCTCGTCCCAAACAGCTGGATCTACAATTTCTGGGTTGACTCCCAGGAACACGACTGAGATTGCTTTCCTTCAGCCCCAAGCCGTATGGTATGGCATGTCAGGCATCATATGTCATATGTTTATGGACTAGGTTAGGCACAGAGAACGTTAGAGGGCCTGGTGTATATGCCTCAAGGCCCATATTTACACGGCTCGCTTACACAGATCCTTTGGTCCAAGCACAATGTTGCAAGTATCTGAACGTTTGTTTGAGACAGTGGGTGCTCATTCTGTGGCATCTCTTCATACAGGATGTTCATTCGTACTTGAACAGCAGGTCGAACTTCTCAGACCTTGTCAGCGGACTTATCGGTCATTGCAGCTTCGGAGGTGTAAAGTGGTGCATGAATGAAGGATGCAGGGCGCGGAAGGGTGACGCGACGCGTGCCGCACACGGAAACGGCAGGTTCGCTCCGCGGTGCTCCACATCCTCTCCACACCTAGCGACCTGAACCATCAACGCTGGGACGTTGCAATCAGCGCTTCACGGAGGATTGCCCTCGGGTTGTATTTCACCGACACAACTAATGCACGCCTGAAAAAATGCGAAGTACTGTGCCACATCCGGCGCGTTTGAGTAGCTACTTGGCACCTCACCTTCTTGCTAACACATCCAATAAGCTCGCAGTTCGGCTTGAAATCCCGCACGTCCATCAATAGTCAAAGGTGCTCCTGACGAGGATTCGATCCTTCAACTTGTACCTCCGGTTCGCGTGCCCTCCAAACCATAGAGTCTTGAAGCCACGTCTCCAGAGGCCTCGTCTTCGGTCTGTAAGACTACTCCTCGTAGGGCTCTCTGTAGTTGTCAACATCAGATGTCAGTACATATGCGGAAGCCTAACACGAGACGCTCATCTACGCCACTTTTAGCTGGTAAGTCAATCAAAGGGGCATGGAAATATCACGATTGATATTACGTCATTGCAAGATTCATAACTCGTACTCTCAGGTGCTCGCACTTACTCGCATGCACGAGCACTTCCCTCCTGCTCTAATCTCACTACCCACGGCAATCAGATATCTTACTGCGACCACTCAAAGATATTCAGTTGGCTACAAAGCGCGCTCTGTGCTTGCTGACCAGGAAAAGAAATCTTCCGTCGAAATGCTTACAGAAAAGAGCATGTCAGCCTGATAGGCAATCCCACAACTCTTGCATTCAGCAAACCAGACCGAGACTGGACCACAGGCTACGCGCGAGTATTGGTCAGCCTCCAGGCAAGGCCACGATATCCCGCCTCAGGCATGTCACCTGTTGTATACCATGGATCTACCATACTAGAAAGCGTCGGGAACGGCGAGCAGCGTCCACAGGCAACAATTGCCTGTCCACAAGCATTGACAGACACGCTGTTCCACCGCAACGGCACACCTTTGATGACCCGCGGTCCGAGTACCGCGACTGGCCAGCTTCACTATCTCGATACGCCTGAGAAGCATCACGCCTAGCAACCCTCCTGTCAGATAGTCAGGTACAGGGCACGAGCTTGCCTCGGGCCCGCGTGCCTGCCAACGTCACAGTAGTCGTAGTCAGCGTTGCCACGATTCTGCAGCAGAGAAAGACGTAAACGGACAAGCAAAGGCAAGCTCCCACGTCCTCGCTCCCGTTCTTCCTGGCCTCTGGCGTAGTCAACACTGGCAGCAGCAATACCACCCCGTCAAACCTGCACTCCTCCCACCCAGCGCAGCCCCTACTCAGCCCCACCCTTCGCGGCGCAATGACAGCAGCATACTGTCTCGGCGACCTGTCCTCACCTGTGTCCTACTCTTCCGCCACGCCGCAAACAGCAGAGTACATCTACCAGCCCCTCGCATCCGCCGCAGCCGCACGCCATAACACCAGGCTAGATAGGCCTAGGTCTATGCTTAATTTTAGTTATCTAGATAGGTAGAACGTACCTTTACATTTAAGTTAGCTAGACGTATAGAGTAAAAAATAAGGTAGTCTAGCTTTTAATCCTATAATGGTATTAAAGTACTAACTTCTTAATATTTTAATTTAAGTAGGTAAATTAAATATTTAAGGATTCTAATAATCTAGACTGTACCTACTTCTTCAGTAGACTAGAATTTTTATCTTAATAAGCGTATAGCTGCGTATTAACGCTACGCAGAAACTTCGTACTACAGGTAAATGTAACGGTAACCGGAAGCTAGTGAACGGTAGCTCCATATCCTCGAACATTAGTGAAGATCCTTCTAATCGCCGTTTTATTGCCGCTTAATCACCGTACTTTCATTTTCAGCATAGGAAATTTGTGTTTTGGAATATAAGTAGCAAATCTCGCTACCATTCGAGCCATGTCGTCTAACTACCATGGAGCCCTTCCGATTGATCCTTGCCAATAACGGCACCGTGACAGGTGCTCACTCGATCCCGTCTCCTTCATCGTCGTCGGTCCTCCATAAGCCCTTGATTATAGGCCTACATGGCGGATGCTACGACCACCAGTACTTCGATGCTTTGCCAGGATATTCTGCTTCTGTAGCAAGCAAAGCCTTTGGAGTTCCTTTTGTCTCCATCGACCGTCCCTCCTACGGTGGCACAAGTTCGGTCTTGCCCATTCCGGAGGGCTCCGACTTCACTCATGAGAGCGCCAAGCTACTGCACCACTTCATTCTCCCTCAGCTCTGGACTGAGTTCGGCGCACCAAATGCCTGTAACTGCATCGTGCTGTTATCCCACAGCTTAGGCGTCATGGTAGGCGTCGCGGTGAGCGCGTTACATGCTCAGGACGGAACTCCTCCTTATCCTCTTGGTGGGCTTATCGCAAGCGGCATGGGCGATGTCCAGTCAAAGACTATGAAGGGCACGACTCCGTCTTACCCTAAAGTGGACGAAAACCACAGCTTGTGTCCAGTGGAACCAAAGGATGCCGTAATGTTCAAGCCCGGCACCTACACGCCAGAGATGCTGCATGAGAGCGAACGCCTGAATGCGGTTTGTCCTATCCCAGAGATCGCCGGGTTCGCAACCGAATGGATGCCTGTGTGGAAGGAGAAGTGGGCACCACTCGTGAAGGCACCGGTGATGTATTCATTAGTCGAAGATGATCCATTCTTTGTGGCTGATGAGAAGGAGGTCGATCGTTGTGTGCGCGCGTTTACAAATAGTGTACGTGTGGATGGAAGCCTACTGCGCGGCGCTCCGCACTGTGTTGAATTGAGCTTTTGGGCACAGGGATGGTATGCTCGGTGCTTCGGATTCGCAATGGAATGTTCTGTTAGCTTTTCTATCAAGGGATAGAGATGAACAGAGCATGAGGATAGAAGACATTTGAAGTGTGTGTGTAGCCAAGAGTTGATATATCGCTGGAAAAGGAAAGGGATCTCGACCCAATTCACAACATCTAAGAGTTCTTCAACGTTGAGCTCGTCTTGACTGCCAGTGAAACTCAGCCTTTCTAAAACGGGGGCTTTGAGCGATTGAGATTAATATCCAGCGCTTGTGTTACGAATGTCTATGTGAGTGAATATCGCGCACTGGAAGTCAGGGCATAGTTCAAGGTTTGCCTGGGAGGGCGACTGATGGCATTGCAATACCCAGATCCAACCGTAAAAAGGCACGAGAGGAAGACCGCACAATTCAGAAAATGCTTGTTCTTCGCATCAACAGCCTTCGGGGTTTGCTGCTAAACGCCGTTTTATGTCCAAGTCACGCTAGCCGAGAAGGGCCGAGTTCCACATAATATCAAGCATTAAGGAGAAAGCGTTAGGTGACGTCTGATTTCTGTGTCTTGGGAGGGAGTTGGCTATGGCTGCAAATTCTATCCGTGTCGTATAAAGACGGAGGTGCATATCCTCAATTGAAGACCCTCAGCAACCTCAGTCGTCCACAACTCCTTCACCATGCTTCGAGTGTATTTCCCACTTCTATGCACTCTTTGGCTTTCGCTTCCAGCTTTTGCCTATCCTACCAAGGAGAATATTCATCGAAATGCTTCGACAAATATCTCAGTTTATAAGGATGTTCCGGGACCTCCTAACCTGGAGAATCTAGTGGTACGACGCAATGGCGAAATCCTCGTGACGTCTACTGCAACCCCATTCATCTATCTTATCACGCCCAACACAGCCGAGGCACCCACTGCTGTTGCTCAGGTTCCGAACGCTACCATGCTTACTGGAATCATGGAGCTACGGGACAACGTCTTCATTGTCGCTGCAGCGGATCCCCTGTCTCCCGGTTCAAATGCTGTATGGAGACTCGATATGGATTCAAAAGACAGCAACAATAGCAGCACGCATGCTAATCCTCAGCTCTCACTCCTGGCCCGGATTCCATACGCTAAGCAACTCAACGGCATGACCCGAATTGCGAAGAACGACACCTCTCAAATCCTGATCAGTGATTCAGCAGCCGGGAATATCATACGACTGGACGTTGTCACCGGAGACCACGCTGTCGTCATCTCAGACCCCACAATGCTGCCAACATCAGAAGGCATCAATGTCGGCGTCAACGGAATCCACACGTGGGGAGACCAGTTATTCTACACCAGCCTTGACCAGGGCCATTTCGCCAGGATACCAATCTCGCTCTCATCTGGCGCGGCTACAGGTCCGGCAGACATCATCGTCAACGGCACTCTAGAATTCGCAGACGACTTCGTTCTTTCTCGGGACGGGCAGACAGCTTGGATCACCGAGAACGGCGTGTTTGTGCTGATAGAAGTGGATATCCTCGCCAGGACAAGCCGTGTCAGATTCAATGATACCTTGCTTGCAGCTACGAGTTCTGCGGCGCTGGGACAGTCGTGCTCAAACTGGGATTCTATGTACGTTACTGGTGCTAGACTAGACGCAAACTCGACTGCTGTTGAGGGGCGTGTCATCGAAGTTAAATTGGACACATTCTAGGGCTGCATTCAGAAAGAGCTGTTTAGTAATTTTTTGAGAGCTGTTCCATACCAGTCTGGCCAGCGTATAAATAGAATTATCCTAAGACCCTAGAAAGTGTCAGTCACTTGTGCTTAGGTAGATATATATTGAATGATTCCACTCGATAGGATAGTCCGGCATTCTTAGCAAACCCAAGAATTCCTAGTCCTTGCGTTTGCCTAAGCGGTCCTTGGTTCCAGAGCGGACCTCTCGAGGACGTGTGGCGGAAGCCCTCATAGGCAATTTCCAACCTCTGTGGCTCTCCAATTGAGATGACAGACAGTCCTTGTACAATTGACCCTGAAACCTGCTACAGACGACGCTAGATCAGTGGAACTTCTCCTCAGTACCAGATCATTTTCTACCAAGCGGCGAGAAGCAAATAAAGCGTCGTTGATCCAACCCAGCGCCAAGGTACAGGGAGGGAAAAGTAGAAGTATGGTGGGCGAGCAGTGCCGCTCCAAGGGCAGCCATGGCGTATCGTAGACTGATGTGCAGGTCTTGATATATTTTCGAGAATCTTGATGACAGGCAGATATGGTGACGCTAGCCCAGAACGTAGCCATGAATAGGTGCGTCATAACGAAAGTGGGTTCATTTAATCTGAATAATATACCGCCTAGTACTTAGCCTCGGCGGTGATAAGCAATCCCCGAGCATAAGCTAGAAAGTGCTTCAGTAGGCGCGATTACTGTTAGGACGTGAAACGGCGTACTGCAAAGATTACCTGAACACCTTCACACTTAAAACTACTGTACTGTTAAGGAGCACTTAGTCTACTTTGTAAGTCCGGAGCTGCTACGACTACTAGGTTAACTGTAAAACTCTTTAATGAACAGAGTGCTGTAATTTTTGAAAAGCGTGCTTGGCTGACGTTAAAGTCTAGATCCACTTTTCGGCTTCGGTCTCGTTCCGCTTTCGCATTCGCTCTCGATCTCGCTCTTTATCTTGCTTGCAGTGAGGTTTGTTCCTAGTAGTAATATATTAATGTATATAGTAATAATTACTCTCGTAACTATAGTATTAAATGCTCTCTCTTTATAGTAGTATAAAACATCCTCTGGCTACAGTGTTTTTAGTTGCAAAACATAGTATTTTTATGCTACCTAGGAGGTAGCCCTAACACAGCCTGCTATACATAAACGTTGGGAGCCACTACCTACTAGAGAATGGGATCTTCTTATGTTTAAGGGCACACGAGAAGCCTTTTTCTTAGAGTGGGATTACTAGCTAAGATAGAGCGTTGTGAACCCGGGGATTATTGAAGAAAGTTCAACGCCGCCACTTGACTGAACTTAGCTTGCACTCTCGTGTTGGATTCCTAAGCGAGAGTACAGCATAGCAACAAGCAACCATTAAATAGATTGTGGGCTTTAGCCTGCAGGAAGCTGAAGTAGGGAACAAGTGTGTCTTTTGGTAGGTTACGTGCTGATTACAAAGAAGAATCCAAGAAACCTTGCTTGGTGCATGAGACGTCAATGCCGACTGAGCAGCTCAATAATCGCAGCTCGATCTTTCAAACCCTTTGTCACCTCTACAACAACGCTAGCATTGATGTGAAAGGGGCCTTGAAAGCACCTGCGGAAACGGTCGTAAAGCTGGTTATGGCTGGTTTACTATTCGCCAATGCCGTAAGTCCATTCATGACTTCCTTCCTACCTCCCCATTTGGCATGTTCTCTAGTTGTAAATCTCTGAAAGTGTATGTTTAGCAACGCCGCTGTCAAACCGCGTCCTCCTTTCCAGCTCGGGACTCCCATGACTTAGCCACCAACGCAAACATACAAGCACGGTATCCGTCCCGCCGCCATCCCCCCCGTGTGACGATCTCGCTACACCGCAGACACCAGAGTACATCTCCCAGCCCCTAGGTACCCAGCCCTCTCGCATCCGCCGCACCTGCCGCTGCCGTACGCCATCCACACTACGCCGTCCACGCACCGTGCAGTCCCGCTCACGTCCACACGAGCTGTGTTCCACGGTGCTGTAGCGTATCCCCCACGCCCACGCCCACGCCCACGCTGTGCATGATATGTCTCCCAGTGACGCGGCGAGCATAGCTCGACTGCGTGTGAAGAGCGATGAGGAGCGTTGAGATGGGCTTCTGCGTCTGCATCTGCTTCTGCGTCTGCGTGCTGTGCTGTGTGCTGTGTAATATGACGTGTGGCCCGGCGGCGAGCGCTGGGGGCACGGTGCGGTGCGTATCTGTGTAGCTGTATAGCTGTGTATCTATGTCGACTTCGCGGGCCACGCTGCAGCGGGTGCGGCGTGGAACGTACCAAAGCGGTGGAAGTTGACGGGCACGTGAGTGAAGCCGTGGATTCGTACGCAGGCTACGGGGAGTGGTGGGTGTGGAATGGAGGGCAAGGGGATACTGCGAGGCGGGAGTCAGTAGAGAGAAGAGGAGATAGGAGGGCACTACTTCGCACACACCATACAACGCATCACCAACTACACGCACCCGCGATATCAGAGCATGTAGGTATTCATTTCACCTACTCCTAATCTCTGGTCTGTAATCTCTGGTCTGTTCATGTCGACCTAAGCTATCATCCGGAGACACCATCTCTCACCATCTCCCATCTCTCACCATCCTTCTCTCATCATCCCTCTCTATTTCTTACTAGTAACCTCCTCGCTATGCCCCGCCAGCACATGCGTCGGGTTGGACGGCAGCCCCTCCTTCTGGCCCTCGGACTTCTGCTTCGTCTCGCTCTCGCCGCCCTGCTGGTTGGGCTGCTGCGCGTGCGTGCCCTGCTGGGCGTCCGACTGGCGGGCGGGCTCGGGGGACTGGCGGCCTTGGTTGGGTGCGGACATTTTGACTTGGAGTTGTTAGCCGGGAATAGATGTAGGGGGGGGGGGGGGGGGGTGGATGGGTGGATGGGTGGATGGGTGGATGGAGGGTGAAAGGAGGGTTCTTGAAGGGGACGTACGTAGTGTTGTGTTGGTTTACGTGGTGGATTACGTGGTTCGTGTGGTGCGGTGAAGGAGTCTGCGGGATGTTAGCAACAACGCCGCCGCAATGGCACGCCCAGCATACCGTTCAGTTGTTATTGTGTTGTTTGTGCGATGATTGAAGAAACAACGGTGTTTTGCACGCGCCCCGCGTCGCTTTTGAGCTCCCACCTGCCCCCGCTACCGTGACGTCACGCAGTTGCATAACAACGACGTAAGGCAACGACGCAGCTCCACCCAACAGTCCTCGCTCCACTCAGCGACGACTGCTCCACTCAACGTAACTATCCCGCCACTCAATCGCATCTCGCCACTCGATGAGATTGCGCCACTTTCCCATGCCGCGCCCATACCAGTTTGGCTGCGTTTGTCGGATTAGCATGCATGCTGATCAATCGCGCCAGCGCGGTTTGGGGCATGGAGATGCACGCCGCTCCGAATTGAGCCGCGGTCGGTGATTGTCCGAGTGATGTGATAGAGGTGAGAATGTTGCAGGTGTATTCGACGGGATCTTTTGCTACGGGGAGGGGAGGATGGTGGTGTTCGCAAGCGTGTTTTGCCATGGGCTTTCAATCTATGGGATGGACGGGGAGGGTGGTGGATGTGTGCACTCGGATCAGTGGGATAAGATGGATACATGTAGGGCAGTAGGAAGCAGATACATGCAAATTGCAGGCTTGTGCAGGTAGCAACAGAATCCACAGAGGATAATCTACTGGCTGTCTACAAGCAAGAGGCGACAGTCTCTCAGAGTGTGAAAGGACGTCGTACAGCGACATCAATTAAGTATACCCTCCAAGCTATACAGCTACCCAACACCACGCCACCCACAAGCATCCCACCCCCATCCCCACCGGCCCTCAACACCGCTTCCCCAACTCGACATCCGCGCCCCCCTCACCATCCTCATCCCACTCAGCCCCGCGAATCCTCTTGCCAGCCCACAACCCCACCGCCGTCGCCGCACTCGCCGCCAAAAACCACCCTTCGAACCAGCGCTCCGTGAACCGCGGTTCCAGCGGAGCCCCCAACGCATCGCTAACCGCAGACTTCATTTCGACGGGCAAATTGCTGCGCAGCAGCAGCGCGGAGCTGATGACGTAGGTCGCCGCGATCTGGCTAATCAGCAGCGCGAAGTTGGCTTGCGCGTGGTGCAGGACGCCCGGCGCGGCGCGGCTGAAGAGGTAGAAGGTCTGCAGGACGGCGTTGAAGGAGAGCAGCAGGATGACGCCGGAGAGCAGGAACGAGATGGAGCGGCTCCAGGCGGCGCGGTCGAGGGAGGGGTCCCAGTGTTTCGCGAGCAGCGCGAGGGAGGTGTTGATGGGGTCTGAGGCGGCGAAGGAGGTGCTCGGGGCGGAGAAGCGGCGCAGGGTTGTGACGCTGGTGGCGAGGATACGGTAGGCGCAGTAGAGGGCGAAGACGAAGGAGAAGGCGTTGAGGAGGCGGCCGTGGGCGGTGTGCGCGCGGAGCTGGGTCTGGCGCCGGTTGTGGAGGATGGAGGACGAGCTTTGCAGCGTGTGCCGCATAGTTTCGAGGCCTTGGATTTCGAGGCGCAGCATGTTGCGTTCTTGGACGTCGGGGTTGCCGCGGAAGGTGCCGACAACGCGGCCCATGAGGCCCTCTTGCGGGTGGTCGCTGAGCTTGCGCTCGACGGCACGCAGACGCGATCCTTTGGCGAGCAGCATATCGTTCGTGGCCTGGATGCCGGCTTCTTTGCGGGCAATATCTGCTTCCGACACCTGTGTGTATTAGTACAAGAAACCTAGTTGTGACAGTGTTGTGCTTACCGGGCGGTATCTAACGCCAAAGGTCTGCCACAGCGACGACACAGCAGCAAACCCAGTGAGCGAAGCCATCATGCTGATGCCGATGACGCCAATCCTCTCCAAGCAGCCTTCGCTGAACGTGTGATCGTGCACATACGACTCCTCGTGCAGGTACGTGCCCAGCAGCCCGCTACCGAGGTACCAGAAGCCTGCGAGCCATATCGCCAGGCCGCAAAACTCCAGGATCCACGCGACCTTGCGCTGGCCGCTTTGCGCGCCTCCCGTGCTCCACCCCGCCCCAGAGACGACCGAGTGGATCACCAGCGCGGGCGTCGCGACAACGAGGAGAAACAGCAGCGACGGGAGCGTGAACTTGAGTGCCAGAGTGCGCGTCGAGCGGTTCCCAGTGCTCGTGATTTCGCAGAAGATGAGCTCCGCCAGGACGGCGGAGAGCGCGATGTTGGTTGAAAAGATGACGGCTGCGAGAGCACGCGCATCGAGTCTCAAACTCTTCAGCAGCGATGCGCGTTCGCGCGGCGGCGATCCAGGTAGGCGCGCATCGCTGTGGTGTGCCTTGCGGTCGGGCTGGTTGGAGAGAACGGGAAACAGCTTCGGGGAGACTCCAAGCGCCACGACCAGGAAGGTCAGCAGGAAGGGCAGCGCGGAGATGATGGTCTTCACGGGCCCGCGCTGGACCAGGTACTCCGGCACGCACTCATTGCAGTCGTCCTCCAGCGAAATCATAGGGAAAGCGGTGGTTGGGTGCGGATGGTGTGGGCGCGGTCTACTCTACTTGTGTTCGAAGACGTGGCTTGTACGTCCATAGGACTCAGAACGGGTCTCAGTCGTTGGGATGCATGAATATGAAAGGCGTGCCCTCAAGGTGAAGCGGATGTCTGCTGTTCAGAATAGAGTACCTCGAAGGCAATCGCGACCAGGAACGCGTGTTCAAACGCCGCTAGAACCGCCAAACGTCATCTCGTTGAGCGGACAGGGATCATGCGGCAAGGCACGTGCAGCCGATATCGATACGACGACAACCATTGATGAGCATGAACTATCTATTCCTTGAGTGGTGTTTTCAAATGATGAGATGATACTATTCAGTCGTGCTGTTCGTCGAGTATGGTATCTTGCTCGCCAACCAATTATATTTTTAGTACCCATCCGCTCAAATGCCCTCCATGATTCGCTGTGCTGCTGACTTGTGATCCGCCTTTGTCTTCTTTTCCGGGGGCGTGTATGCCGCCTCGAGTTCGTTGGCAGCTGCCCGGGCCGCCGCCAGCTCTGCTGCCGACGCGGGCGGGATGGGCTGGAACTGGATCGGCTCGTAGGGCTGCGTGTCTGATGCTTCGGTAGCGGTGTCGGTTGTCCCGCTTATTGCCTCGTCCGACTCAAAATTACTCTTCCGCGTCGACACGCCGCCTGTTCTGTCCTCATCGTCGCTGCTCGAGTCGCTGCTCATGTCTGGACTTTCGAGATTCTGGAGCTCGGGACTCTTGAGTAGTGATCCTGGACTGCGCAGATCCTTCTCGTCTTCGCTCTCTTCTGCATGGTGTACCTGTGCCAGTGGTGAAGGTTCAGCGCGCTGGGTGTACTGCGTAGCCTGGGCTTGGAGCGATGCCTTGACCGCAGCAGCCTGATCGTCGGTCGCGATGAAGCTGCCGCGAGGACTCGGGGCAGGGCTTGTGGTAACATCAAGCAGACTTTCGCTCTTGGCCAGCATTTCCTGGTAGCCGAGTCGGTTGGGATCATTCGCACGCTTGCTGCGTGCCTTGTCACGTTTGGATGACGGGCGCACGACAATGACGGGCACCGGCGAATGCTGCAGGCAATACTTGGATACACTTCCCGGGAGCAGACCCTGGAAACCACCCAGGCTCTTGCCTCTTGTCCCCACAACAAGGATTGCAGGCTCATAGAGGTTGATCTGTATGCGGTTAGCGATGGATAGTTTAGAAAACCAGAAGACTGACCATGTCGTCAATGACCTTGTTCACTTTGCCCACGGAGAATTCCAGGATGAGATTGATCGCTTTGTTTTCGCGATTGCGAGCCTGGATGTCCTGCATTGTCGCGTCTGCCTCCCGCTTGTACCTTCCAGTCTCCACACTGCGGTCACCTGCTATGGTGTCCTCCTTCTCGACAACCCTCAGACAAACAATCTCGTCGCCGTCGTCGACCAGCTCGTCGATCAGCCATTGAAGCGCATATGTTGAGTACTCGTTCTCGTCAAAACCACACAGAAACGTTCTGGACCGCTTGGTGTACTCGTAGTCCTTGTGCTTGGCTATTAAAGTGAAAGAGCTCTCCTCGATGAAGTCGGCTGGCTTGTCGAATGTGTCGAACGAGACGCGGGGCTGGAAGTTCCTGGAGCGCATTAGTATGGACCTATGTAGCATCACTTGTAGCTGTGGAAGCTGTTGCACATTCTAGGAATCGAGGCAGACATGGGCGATATTAGATAGAGCCAGAGGCTTGCAAGGCGCTTGTACATCGTGCGGCATCTACGGGGTGTCTATGAGCTGCTGACTTACGGAGGGGGCGGTGGTGAGGACAGCCGCCGTCGCTGTTTCGGCTTCGGGCTCCCTCTTGGTAAAGATGAGTTCCTATGCGCAAGAAACTGGATAGACGACCGACGCGGCTCCTCGTGCGACAGCGATCCTGCCCGAGTAGGCAGCATCAGAGGACTCGCAACCTGGCGGACCGTCGGTGACGCATTGCGACCGGCGCGGTTCTTGGGCGATGTGCTCATGCTGGCAGGCACCGGTCGTACGATCGAATAGGTGCGAGCGTGAGAGGCAGTCCTCGGAAGCGCTCGCAAGGGCTCTGCTAGCAAGGCGGGCCTTTACGGGTTGGGGTAGCTTGCGACTGCGATCGGTTCACCGCTTGGCGAGGCGGGGGAGCAGAAACGGCGGAGGTGGGGTACACGGTGAGACACGCGAGGGCAGCGAGATGGCAGGTTGAATGAATGCAATTGAAGACGGGTGTGACGGTGCTAGATACTCGTGGGTAGGGCCTGATGCGATGGGTGGCGCTTGGCTGTGCAGTCGCGCCTTGGGTTTACGTGCTGGTACCGCTGGTACCGGCGTCTGGAGCCCGCGGAGGGTCCAGGTGGGGCGACCTGAAAGCTGGAGCTCAACGTCACGTTCACGTGCAAGACAGTCAAAAATCATGAATCGTGAATAGATGCAGTTACTGCCGCAACGCACAAGTCTAGATGTCTATCTAAATAACAGTCATAACGTCAGCTATCCTAAGCCAGGGACTTGGACGACAGACCGAGACGCTCGTCCTCGGCCTTGAAGATGGCCTTGATCTTGCCGGCGTCCTTCTCGCCGTTGAGCTTGCCGGCAAGCGTGGCCAGCTCAGTGTTGTCGATCTTGGCGATGATAGCGTCGACCTCGTTCAACGCAGCCTCGACCTGGGAGGCCGGGGCGTCGCCGGCAGCGTGGAAGTAGTTGGCGTCCTTGACGGCACCGCGGACGACACGCTTGTTCTTCTTAGCAGCGTTCTTCGCGGCCTCCTTGGCCTTCTTGTTGTCGACCTTTGCAGCCTTTTCAGCCTCCTCGGCCTCCTTTGCAAGCCTGGCCTCCTCCTCCTTGGCCTTTGCGGCCTCCTCGGCGAGGCGCTTCTGCTCGGCCTCCTTTGCGAAGCGGCGCTTGTTCTTCTCGGCGTGCTCGGCCTGGCGGAACAGCTTGATGCGCTCGTCGAGGGCCAGGGCGTCGTCGACCAGGTGCCTGAGGCGGGCGGTGTCCTCGGTCTTCTTCTTCTTGCGGGCAGCGTTGTTCTTGCGCTCGACGTGGCGCTTCTGGTCGCGGCTCTCGCCGTCGTCGGGCACGTCCTCGTCGAGGTACTCGAAGGAGCGCCAGCTGTCAAAGTTGTACCAGAAGTTGTAGAAGTGCTCGACGTCCTCCTTGGTGCTCTTCGCGTTGCCGAGCTTGGGCACGGGCTGCTTGGTGGAGAAGCGGCCCTCGGCCTCGAAGACTTTGCCCCACAGCTTGTAGAAGTTGCCCTTCTGGGTGTCCTTCTTGGACGGCGGGTCGACCTCGGCGGCCTCGTCAACCGAGTCGAACTGGCGGCGGCGGACGGGGTCGGACAGCACCTCGTGGGCCTTCTGGATGCACTTGAAGAACTGGTCGTCCTCGGTGCCGCCGGCAGCCGCGCGCTTGTCGGGGTGGTGCTTGAGGACCTTGCGGCGGTGGGCGCGCTTGATCTGCTCGGGCGTGGCCTTCCAGCGGTAGCGGGTTATGCCGAGCACGGCGTAGTGGTCCTGGGCCTTCCAGTCCTTGGCCTCGCGCAGCAGCATCTGCGGGTCCTCGGGCTCGTCGATGTCGTCGGGGTCGTCCTCCTCGACGCTCTTGACGTTGGCCTGTGCCTGGATGCGCTCGTCCTCGGAGAAGGTGCGCTTGTGGCGGACCTGGATAAATTAGCACAGAACATACGACAGCAATGGGCACGACGTACGCGGCGGGCGTAGGCCAGGAAGTGCGGGCCGACGGGCTCGATCTTGCGGTCGTTGGCCTTGCTCAGCGAGCCGGCGGGCTTGAAGTCCTTCTCGCCGGCCCAGCCCTCGGGCAGGACGGGCAGCGGCAGGCTGATCTCGACGTTGGCCATGGTTGCGGTGCGGATGTGCTGGTGGGGACGCATGCTGCCCGCTCGAAATACAACTTTTCAGCGGCCACAGCTAGCGCCTCCAGCCGAGCAGACCCCTGTCTGCCGACTCCCGTCCGGGGTTCAATGTTCCTACTGTGTCAGTCTAGGTGTACTCCCACGGTACATACCGCACACACCGCGCAGATGGCCGCATAGCATGGACGCGTAGCCGCACTGCCTATTGACACTCGCGCATCGCACACTCCAGCATGTTTCAGGGCTTCCAGGTACGCTCCGCCCTTGCCCGTGCATTGCAGCGCTGACCGCCCAGCGCATCCGCGGTGCCATTGACGCACGCATCGCGGAGGAGCAGGCAAAGCAGCGCACCACGCCCTCGGTGCCCCCGCGCGCCGGCGCCCCGCGGCGCTCGAGCTCGCGCAACCTCTCGCCGTCGAAGCGGCCCGCGGCCAAGGGCAAGGATGGAGACAAGGCAGCGCCGCCCACGGGGAGAGGCCCCGATCCGTCCGAGTTCGACCCCGAGTTTGTCATAGGCGAGGGCGACGAGCAGCCGAGTCGCACAGGCACGCCGAAGCCCAAGGAGAAGGCGCCCGCCGCCGACGCACCCGCGCCAGCCGAAGATGGCAGCGACACAAAGGACAGCGAGACGCCCGCCGACGCCGACGCGAAGCCCGACAAGCCGCCCGAGATCCCCCCAGAAGTGCAGACCCGCCTGCGCCGCCTCGACAAGCTCGAGCCCAAGTACGCTACCCTGTTGTCCTCGTACCGCATCGCCCACGCCCGCGTCGGCGCCATCGAGACCTTCGAAGCGTCGCTGCGCGAGTACACGCCCCTCACGTCCATCGTCGACGCCTCGGCCTTTGTCGAATACCTGGGCCAGCTGAACGTCAAGAGCGACATGCTCATGGAGGAGCTGAAGCGGGTCTCAAAGGAGAGGGACGGCCTGAACAAGAAGCTCGAGGATGCTGAGAAGCGCGCAAAGGACGCTGCCGAGGAAGTGGAGACTCTCAAGTCCCAGGCAGCGAGCAGCACAGAGGCCTCGAAAGACGACTCGACCGACCAGAGCACGTCAGTCGCCCCGTCCTCTGCTTCGAAACCGTCCGGCGACACTGCCACCGAGGCGAGCGAAGAGTTCTTCTCGTACGACAGCGAGCTCCCGCGCCTCCAAGAGCAGCTCCAAGAAAGCGAGGAGAAGGTGGTCAAGCTCGAGGGCGAGAACCAGTCGCTCAAGAGCGAGCTGTCTTCTGCGCAGGACTCCGCCAAGTCGTTCATGGAGAATCTCGAGACTACGACGAACGATCTGAACACCTTTAGGGACACCTCGCAGCGCCTCCAGAGAGAAGCAGACGAGCGCGAGAAGGGTCTCAGCAGCGCCGTCGAGGACCTCAAGTCAAAGCTGGCGACGGCTGAGCAGGACCTTGCAAAGCACAATGAGACCCAGGGCGAGCACGACAAGACCATCACCGAGCTGCGAGAAAAGCTGGACTCTGCCACAAAAGAGCTTGAAGAGCTACGTACTTCCAAGACAGACGATGCAGCGAGCAACCAAGAGGCCGAGACACTACGCACCCAGGTGAAGAAGTTGGAGACTGACCTGGAAGAGCTGAAGTCGGCGCACGCCAAGGGCGAGAAGCGTGGCGAGACACTGAACGGACTCTTGAGCAACGTGCGGGATAAACTCAAGGAGACTGAAAACAAGCGAGACGAAACTCTTGCGGAGCTTGAAAGCGTCAAGAAGGATCTGGAGTCAAAGATGGCGGCAAAGGAAGAAGTTGAATCGAAGCCTACTCAGCCCCCGGTAGCACCCGCAGCCGTACCTGCGCCAGCCAAGCCTGCAGAATCGGCGTCTGCAAAGAAGAAGAACAAGAAGAAGAAGAAGGGCGGCAAGGGCGCAGACACTCTCACCGTTGCTGCAGCGGAGCCAACACCCAGCGAAGACGGCACAGCGAGCGTACTTCCCAGCCCACGCGAACCAGAATTCTCGTCGGCCCAACTGGAGGAAGCACAGCAGTCTGTCGCTCAGCTCAAGTCTGACCTCGAGGCCAAGATCGCGGTAATTGAGAGGCTGGAAGGCGAGCTGGTTGAGAAGGTCAACTCTTTTGAAAACATAAAGAAGAAGCTCAAGGACCAGGAGGACATGCAAGAGGAGATTGAAACTCTCCGACACGATCTGCTGGACTTTGGTGTGGAGCACACAGAAGCCAAGGACAACGTCAAGAAGCTGCAAGCAGAGAAGCTCGCACTGCAAGACAGTCTGGCGAAGCTGGAGAAGGAGATTGCTGAGCTGAAGACTGGCCAAGCTACCCAGGCAAGCTCAGAGAAGGCTCGCGAGGCGCTCAAGGCGGAGTTCGAAGAGCTGAGAGCCAAGTCCGACACCCTGCAGACTGACCTGTCTGTCGCGGAGCAGCTTGCCGCAACTCGATTCAAGGATCTCGCGGACATGCGCGAGATCTTGCAGAAGGCACAGCCTGAATTGACTTCCCTACGGAAAGAAGTTGTGGAACTACGATCTGCAAAGGACGAGCTGGCTACAAGCACGAAGGAGGTTCGACGTCTGGAAGGCCGTGAGAAGGACCTGAGATCAGAGATCGCCACATACCGCGCACAGATATCTGACAAGGAGGGCGACGTCAAGTCTTTGAACGAGAAGATCAGGCAAGAAAGCAAGCAGAGGCTGGCTCTTGAAGAGACCAACAGTAAGATCCAGAGGGACTTGCAGAATTCTGAGGACGAGCGGAAAGAGGTCATTGAGAACCGCGCAAAGCTGTCTAGTGATCTGTCGAAGGCGCAGGAGGATCTCAAGAAGTCACGCAATACTGTGCAAGAGCTCGAAGATGAGGTTGCCAAGCTCCGGCGGGAAGCTGGCAGCCTGCGGGACGAAGTGCACCTGAAGACTGCACAGTACACCAGTGCACAGGATCTCATGAACAGCATGCAGGATCAAGCACAGGAGATCAGCACACAGATGAAAGAGCTCAGGGCCCGAAGCGAGAGCTTGGAAGAGGAGCTCGCCGACGCACACCGTCTTCTGAGCGAGCGCGGCCGCGAAGCAGAGACTATGCGGAGACTGCTCGCAGATGCCCAAGGCAGGGCTGACGCACGCGTCCGTGAAATGCAGGAGCGCCTCGATCTTGCGGTTGAAGAGAGGGAGCGTGCTGAAGAGCAGGCCAGCACCTTCAGCCGACGCCGTGCACGAGAGCTTGAGGAGCTGAAGCAGAAGGTCCGTGACGCGGAACGCGCTGTGACGCGGGCGCATGAAGACAAGGAGGACATCACTGCGGCTGAGAAAGAGCTGCGCAAGCAGAAGGACGAGCTGGAAAAGCGTGCTGCTCAGGCTACTGAAGAAGCATCCGAGATCAGGTCTGCTATGAGCCAGCTCCGCGACACGCTCGACGAGACGGAGAAGCAGGCTCGCGACCTGGAGCGCGAGAAGGCGGAGCTCCGCCGGGCGTTTGACGAGACACAAGGCCGCCTCGAGAAGCTGCAGAAGTCGAGCAAGGTAGGCATGCTGAGTGATAGAGCGAGGGCAATTGCTAACATGCACCAGACCATGACTGACGAGCTGCGGTCTCTCAAGGCCAAGGGCGTCGACTCCAACACGCACTCGTCGCGGGCGTCGGTCGAGTCGTCGCGGTCGCGGCTGACGTCTCCTGCGCCCAAGGCGAGTGGGTCGCCGGCTGACATTGATTACGTGTATCTGAAGAACGTCCTGCTGCAGTTCTTGGAGCAACGCGACAAGAAGTACCAGCAGCAGCTGATTCCGGTGCTGGGGATGCTGCTGCACTTTGACAAGTAGGTCACGGTCACACGGTGTCACATGCAGGCGCGGTGCTAACAAACGCGCAGAAAGGACGAGCAGAAGTGGATGGCGGCTGTTTCGGCGAAGTGATTGGCAGGCGGGCGTACTTGGGTTCACAGGCGTTGGGTGAGACACGGGCGGGCAATAGCATAGCGCGAGGGTCGTTAGGGCGACGGCGTGGGCGTGTGGAGATTTGTATCATGCTGCAGACCTGTACAACAGCGGTGCGCGGGCGGTCAGGCATCAATGGAGACGTGCATGTATGAAACGGCGACGAACTGCTCGGGACAGCAGGGCTGCCAGACTGCCACCACAGGGACTGCCGCAGCGACTGCCATAGGGATGGCCACAGGGACTGCCACAACAGGGAATTCGGGCTCAAAACAGGACGCGCTGGGCTGCACTGGCCTCGAGGCGCTCCGGTGCAATGCCGGCGCCGTCTCGTCGCGGTCAGTGGTGATGCATTCGGGCCATGACATCACCGGCAGGCCTGGCGGGCGGCTGCTGGCGTGCTCGCCGGGCGCCGTGCAGCACTCATCAGCGCTGCCATCCCGCGTGTTTGCACGCCTGCACAGCAACTGCAACGTCACGGCACCCAGCATTTCTGCCCCCGCGCCCGCTGCATCCCAGCGTCCCAGCAGCCGCGTCCCAGCAGCGCAGCCCAGCACCCCTCACCAATCAGCGGCACAGCCACGATAGGCCCGAGGGCAGCGCTAGGCGATCCCCCAGCAATTGAAGAAATCGAGCAGGCGCACATATCGCGACGCCGCAACGCCGCTCGCAGCTCGCACTCCGCACGCCCGCCTGCACGGCCGATGAGGTGCAGCCCGCGCATCGCCGCCTAGCCTCGCAGTCGCCGCTCGCAGTCGCCGCGCAGTCGCAGCCCAGCCGCAGCCGCACCGGCCGCCCGCCTTCGACGGGCCAGCGCGTGGCGGGGACGGCCACGATGAATGGGGCCGACATCAAGAAGACCATCAACAAGGCGAAGGCGGCCGCCGCCAACGGCGCCGGCGGCAAGAAGCGCCGGAAGGGCCAGGACCTGAAGCCCATCATCACCACCGAGGGGCAGCACAGGTGAGTCGGCCGCAGCCCGCCCGTCGCGCCCGTCCCCCGTCCCCCCGCCGGCACAGCCTTGGCGGCACTTTTCAGCGCCCGCCTGGCCTGTGCCGACGCAGCAGCCCGCGCCCAGGACCCAGCTAACGCCCCGCAGCGCGCAGAACACGGCGTCGCCGCAGCAGCACAAGATGTACGGCAACCCGCTCAGCCACTCGCCCGACAGCGACTCGTCGTCGGTCGACGAGGCCGACAACACGGCCGACGAGGAGGACAGCGAGGACTACTGCAAGGGCGGCTACCACCCCGTGCAGGTCGGCGAGCAGTACAAGGACGGCAAGTACACCATTGTGCGCAAGCTGGGCTGGGGCCACTTCTCCACCGTGTGGCTGTCGCGCGACAACGCCTCGGGCAAGCACGTCGCCCTCAAGGTCGTGCGCTCCGCCGCCCACTACACCGAGACGGCCCTCGACGAGATCAAGCTGCTGAAGAAGGTCGTCGACGCCAACGAGGCCCACCCCGGCCGCAAGCACGTCGTCAGCCTGCTCGACTCGTTCAACCACAAGGGCCCCAACGGCATGCACGTGTGCATGGTCTTCGAGGTCCTTGGCGAGAACCTGCTGGGCCTGATCAAGCGCTGGAACCACCGCGGCATCCCCATGCCGCTGGTCAAGCAGATCACCAAGCAGGTCCTGCTGGGCCTCGACTACCTGCACCGCGAGTGCGGCATCATCCACACCGACCTGAAGCCCGAGAACGTGCTGATTGAGATTGGCGACGTCGAGCAGATCGTCAAGGCCTACGTCAAGGACGAGCCTAAGAAGAAGGACAGCGCCGACAGCAGCGACCGCAACGGCCGCCGGCGACGGCGCACCCTCATCACCGGCAGCCAGCCGCTGCCCAGCCCGCTGAACGCCAGCTTCAACCACGCCGAGCTGGGCAGTTTCCCCGGCGCCCAGAGCCTCAACAAGGTCATGAACGAGAGTACAGGTAAAGACTCCCCCACGACTGTCCCGAGTCCCTCTTCTTCCCCAGACGGTTTTGTAATGAGTGGTGCTCTAGGCACTGCCTCGCAATCCTCCAGCATGTCCATGGCCGAGCGCCTCGGCCTGAAGCCCACCGCCAGCGAGGACGACGTCCAGAAGCAGCGCGAGAAGACCGCGTAAGTCATGTTCTATCCGTAGTGTGCACCTCTAACCCGCGCAGCGACCTCCTCACCAAAGAAGTCTCCGGCATCAGCCTCGACAAGCAGCCCGCGTCGAAAGAAAAGTCCGCCGACGACCCCCCCGACATCGCCCTCGAGAAGATCTCGGTCAAAATCGCAGATCTCGGCAACGCCTGCTGGGTCGGCCACCACTTCACAAACGACATCCAAACGCGCCAATACCGCTCGCCCGAAGTCATCCTCGGCAGCAAATGGGGCGCCAGCACCGACGTCTGGAGCATGGCCGCCATGGTGCGTCCTGAATACCCCCCTTATTTCCCCCCACTAACCCCACCAGACTTTCGAGCTCATAACCGGCGACTACCTCTTCGACCCGCAATCGGGCACCAAATACGGCAAAGACGACGACCACATCGCACAAATCATCGAACTCCTCGGCACGTTCCCCAAATCGCTCTGCCTGAGCGGCAAATGGAGCCAAGAGATCTTCAACCGCAAAGGCGAACTGCGCAACATCCACCGCCTGCGCCACTGGGCCCTGCCCGACGTCCTGCACGAAAAATACCACTTCCCCAAGGACGAGAGCCGCGAAATCGGTTCTTTCTTGCTGCCCATGCTCGAGCTGCTGCCTGTGGATCGCGCGAATGCGGGGGGCATGGCGAGTCATGAGTGGCTCAAGGATACCAAGGGCATGGAGGGCGTGGATCTTGGGATCGCGTGTCGGAGTAAGGGCGAGGGGATTGAGGGGTGGGCGACGGAGATTAAGAAGACGAGGTAGATGTGGGGGGCGTAACGATGTCATGAGGCGGGGTTTCGACTTTCTTGCATGCGTGGGGGTGGTTGGTCAGTTGGGTTGGTGTGGCTGGTGAACAGACACGGAAACGCTTGACTCGGACACAACGGCGGCTGGTGTTTCGTGCTTGTGCAGAACAGATCCGTGGTGTTTCTTGTGGGTTAGAATGCGCTGGAAGAGTAGGAGTAACGAGCTGGCCCAGACCAAATGCTATCTCGGCTTGCGACACATTTCTTCGTTCTTTGTCAGTATCACTATTTCTACCGTTGTCTTCATCGTCGTCACTGTCTTTGCATTGTCAGTATCAGTATCGCTGGCTTTGTCGTCGTCACTGTCACCATCATAGTCCAAGTTTAGACACACAGTCCAGGTTTCGACACACAGCAGCATTTACATAGCCCACCCCCGATCAATCTCCCCGATCAATCTTTCAGGTCAGTCTTTCCGATCAATCGTCCCGGTCAATCGTCCCGATCAATTTTGGAGCTTGTTTACGCGCTGGTCTAGCTGCTGGTTTAGCTGCTGTCTGGCGCTGCGGTTGGGGTGGTGGAATACTTATATGGGCACAGGATGCTCGATACGGACACAGGACATAGTATACCTTCCCCCACAGAGCGAACAGGAAGCTGACCGCGACAGCCTCCGGGTGCCGAAGAGGCAACGCACAAACGACGAACCGACGGATCGAGCGAATACACGACAGACAGAAGTACACGACCCACGCAATGCACCCGCAACCACGGCACCCAGCGAAGGGCCAGCACCCCGCCTAGTACGTATACCTGAATCCCTCCAGCGCCTCCAGCACCACCTCGCCCCGGTCCGCCCTCCTGTTCTGCCGCCGGTAGTGCAGCACCATGCCCAGCGTCGACACGACGAGATACAGCTGCGCGCCTGTCACCGCCCACAGCCCCGTGCGGTACGTCGGCGCTTCTTTCTGCATGAACACTGTTGACGCGTAGATGCCCCCGATTGCTCCGAAGCCGACCTGGAGGCCTGACGCCACCCTACGCCACACCGTTAGCTTTGGGCATGAAGAATGAGAAAGGGGGGGGGGGGGGGCGTACATCCTCAGTGACTGCCCGCGGATATTGTTCGCCTGCCACGCCAGCGCAGTGGGGATATTCGCATTCGCGCCCGCGAGCCCCATGAAGATGCCAAAATACCTCGCGCCGTTGTTGCGCGCATACGCCACAATCATGAGTCCCACGATGCCGAGGACGCACTGCAGAATGATGAACGGCGAGCGCAGACGCCACCGGTCCGCCGCCCACGAGCACAGCATGATCCACGGCACGGCGGCGACGGCCGGCGGCGCAGACAGCAGGAACGTCATGCCCACGCTGTAGCCCATGCCTTGCAGGATGATGGGGATGAAGAAGGCGAGCGCGTACACGATGGTGGTCACGGCGAAGAACTTCATGGCGAAGACCCACAGCTCCCAGCGTGCGCAGGCGGAGAGGAACTTGGAGAGCGTCAGGGTGTCGTATTCGGCGTCGCGGCGGTCACGCTGCAGTTTGGTCTGGATGGCGCGGACCTCGTCGGGGCTGAGGAAGGGGAAGCGCGCGCGGTGGACTTTGTCTGGGAAGTCGACGATCAAGAGGCGGCCGAGGAGTGCGAGGAAGACGGTCATTGCGCCGTTGATGATGAAGATCCTGGTGCGTCGTCAGCCGGGCACATGTGCTGTGCAGGAGAGGTGTAGGCCACGCACCAGCGCCAGCCCAGCCAGCCGTTGCGGCCGGAGAGCTGCATGCAGCCGTACGCCAGCACCGAGCCGAAGCCATTCGCACACACGTTGATGCTGTAGAAGGCCGCCAGCCGCTTCTGCACCTCGAAGCGCGTGTACCAGCACGAAATCAAGAACACAGAGCCCGGGAAGAAGCCCGCCTCGAACAGCCCCAGCAGCAAGCGGCACACGACAATGTCGGTCCACTTGTGCGCAAAGCCCGCGCCGAACGTCACCAGCCCCCACGACAGGCACAGGAACGCGAGCCAGTTGGCCGCGCCCACCTTGCGCAGCACCACATTGCTCGGGATCTCGAAGATGAAGTACGTGATGAAGAAGACGAGCAGCGCGATCGAGTAGCGGTCGCCGACGCGGAAGCCCAGCTCGGCGTCCATGCCGGCGATGCGGGCTGCAGATATCTAGGCCTATTAGCCAGACCGCGGGTCCAGGAATCTGCACGCACATTGATGCGGTCGATAGCGCTGATGGAGTAGCTATCTGCACCGTCAGCCGCCATCGCCCCATGCTATCAGAGCCAACTCACCACGCCCCCAGGATCGGCACCAGACGCCAGTCCGTCTTGCGGCTGCACACAGTGAGCGCACACCCTGCAGCGTCGCACTCGGCACTCACGTAGCCCGCTTCACAACCCTTTTCTCGTCCGCCGTAAGAGGGGCGTCGGGGTCCTGCGGCGCGCTGGCGTCGAGCGACGCTTTCTCGAGCGCGACCGCGTCGGCGTCCTTCTGCATGCTGTTCGTGTTGGCGAGAGTTGCCATTGTGGGCGCGCACGAGCGTCGAGGCCCAGGAAAAAAACGAAGATCTGCAGTTTCTGGAGGAGGAAGGAAGTGCAGTCACGACACCGCAAGATCGATATCAAGGTTGAGGCCAAGGTCGAGGTTGATGTCAAGATCGAGGTTGATGTCAAGGTCGAGGTTGACGTATGTCAAAATCGCTATAACACCGACGTCAGAAAAGCACAACAACAAACGACAACAAACCACTACCGCACACCGCAACTGCCCCTTCCTCTCTTATATCACCAGCACCACCCTCCCCCATCGCCCAACCACACCCTCCCGTCCCGCCCAGCGCCCAGCCCTCGGCGCACCCCACCCCATTGGCTCCCGCTCCTTCCCGCACATCCCCCGCATTTCGCCAGCGCGCGACAGGGGTGTCTGCTGCAGACATCGCGGAAAGCGAGTCTGCGGGTGGTGATGGGCCGAGGCTGTGAGGGGTGGTGGTGATGGGTGTTTGGAGCTGGCATTTGGACTGGCGCTGGCATTTGGACTGGCGTTTTGAGGCGTGCGGGTGTGGGCTGGGCGATGCGCTGCCGCGGTTTGCTGAGGGCGTTGGGGGTGGTGATTGGCTGGCGGGGATGGGGATAGGGGGCAAAAAGCAAGAGGGGAGATGAGGGGGGTGCTTGAGGTCGTTGGGGCGGGCTGAAAGAGTGGTGGAGATGCAGATGGAGATGGAGAGGGGCAGTCTTGCACGGCGGCGAGAGTTGCTGGTCGTCGCTTTGGTTGGGGGACTGGGATGCGGCATCATGTTGACGTTGATGTCAAGATACGGCTACGCTAAGCCAGACCTCTGTAATGGCCTCCTCGCTGTCGCAACACCTCCCTCAGGCCCATCACGCGGACGTGAACCGATTCACCTTGACCGACCCCCCGAGCCCCTTCGTCGCGAAGTTGAACATGCCAAACCGGTACCCCAGGAAGAACGCCCAGCCCGTGTACAGCTCATACGCGTCCCCGAGCTCCACAAACTTCACACCATCATAGCTGTAGAAGAACCGCGCCTCACGGCTCCCATTCGGCCGCGCGTCCATCGCCGTGCGCAGCCAGATCTTGCGCACGCCTTCGCGCACCCGTGCCGTATCGACCACGCGGCCCAGATCCAGTGTGGCGCCCGAGAACTCGTCGATGGTTGCGTTGTGCATGACGGTGATGCTGTATTTCGTGCCCTCGCGGTGGATCCCGATGTACGCGCTGCGGTCGCGGAAGGCGGCGAGGCCGGCGCGGTCGCCGTCGGCCATGGAGGCGAAGTCGAGCTCGATGGTACCGACGGGGTGCTCGCCGAAGACGCGGTGCGTGAGGGTGTTGCGCGCGGCGTAGAGGTCGGTTGTGTTGCTTGCGGTGCGCAGGGTGAGGCCCTGATTGACTGTGAACTGGGCGGTTTCTGGGTTGTGGTTCCATTCGAATGTCGGTCCTAGCGAGGGGCCTTCGAAGCGGTATGTGCCGGTCAGGGGCTTGACAGCTTTTGCCGGCAGTGGCATGGGGTACGTCTTGCCCCAGCCGCCGTTGTCGCCCTTGACGAACACGGGGAAGCCGTCTGCGCCCCATGTGATGGGAGCTAGCACAGGCAGCCGGCCGGAGGGAAACGCCCACGTGAACGACATGAAGTACCACTTTCCGCCGGCCTCGATCAGACTGCCTTGGTGAGGTGCGTTGCCTCCATCAACTGGCGACTGGATGTCCTTCACCAGCTCTTTGACTTCGTACGGCCCCCACGGACTCGCCGACTTCCAGATGAACGTCGTCCCGCCCGGCCTATCGTTTAGCACGTAATACGTGCCGTTGATCTTATACATCCTGTTTCCCTCGATCGAATCGACCCCCACCGTCGCCGCACTAAACACATCCTGTGTCTTCACAACACTGAGCCCGTCTGGCGCCAGCTGCGAGACCTTAACCTGCCCATTCCCATACACCACATACAACGAATCATCGTCATCCACCAGCAACCCATTATCGTAGAAACACACCCCGCCCCCGAAATTCGCGCGGTTGTACCACGGCCCCTCGGGCGCCGCCGCAGTAAACACCCACGTCTGCCAGAAATTCACACACCCGATCCAGTACCACGTCTTGTCGCTCTCACGGTACCGCAGACTGGACGCCCACGTGCCGCCGCGGTACGCCCGCTCGCCCGTCGCCGGCAGGTCGTAGCCGGGCCCGAAGTTGAGCCGCGGCAGCGAGTGGCCCACGGGCTCCCAGTTGACGAGGTCCCAGGAGCGCAGGATGGGCGCGCCGGGGCTGTAGTGGAAGTTGGATGCGGAGAAGTAGAAGGCGCCGTCTGGGCCCGTGGAGATGTCGTTGTCGGGGTAGTCGCTGTAGATGACGGGGTTGGTGAAGGAGGTGTTCTGGGCCGCGGCCAGGGCGAGGCTGCCGGCGAGGCTGCCGAGCGCGAGGAGCTGGCGCAGAAACATCGTGGACTTAGGTGGGGTTTGCGTGCTGCGGCGTGCGAGGCGAGACGCTTTTATCACGCTCCATGTGTGCTTCTCCGTTCATTGTGGTGTGCAGCATTCGACTCCACGGCCCGGCGGGAAAATGCTCGTTATTGCGCTCGCAGCGATCGGGCGGATTATGCCTCTTGCGGACACCCCTGCAATACGTGTAACCCCGCACAATTCAGGAACGTGGCTGGAAGGGGAAGGCGGGGGCATGGAAGTATACAACGGCACTCCTTTGGGACATCCAATCTGGGTATTTCTCGGCCTTGGCTTCGTAACATGGTACTGCACAAGTCCTGCATTCACAAAGTCAAAGGCACGGAGCAAGACTTACCTACCTCTTGCTTTTCGGCGAAAACGGCGGACAGACAATCTTCATGCGGACTACCTTCGATACAGTACTTGCAGCTATTGCAATACCTGAGTCCAGAATTTCGCTAGGCATTTCTCATATTATAAGCAAAGCCGCCCAACAGAGTTCCTCCGTATTGCCCCTCCTTTACCATCGCTGTATGCAAGCGGCTGACAGCAGGGTTCCCGCAATGAGATTTTGCGCCCCTGGCTCTGGGATCCCCGGGCCGCTAGAGGCTCTGACAGCGCAGGGTTGACAAAACGTGGTGTGGTGAGCGAGAGAGCCGAGTACTTCATACTTGTGCATGTGAATCCTCGATTGGGGACTTCAGACACTTCGCAGGTTTTTTTCGCCGGTGCTTGTAAAGTGTAGTCCACGACCATGGGATAGTTGGCTAGTAGAGGTGTCTGACTGGCTACAATAGTTTGGTTCGCTAATCTGCAGGGTAAGAATGTGGGCATTGACCAATGGTAGAGTGACGGCCTGTCGCTACTATAGTACGTACCTACACTGTGGAAATTTCTCTATATGAAGGCGGAGAGATCTGCACGAATTTCCGATGATCATACTGCGATATAGCGCTGGTTTCGAACAGTGTGCTTCTCGAGTATCTTAAGTATTTTGTTTCCAAAGTTTCGGCAACTTTCTCGAGCATTGTTTTGCTCTCGGCTGGGAGGTTACTTCTCCTGACTCTCCACTTTAGGTTTGCTGTTACTGCACTTACAAGAGGTGTGGAGACGAATGAACCCTAGGAGGAGCTCATTTAGCCTCGCAACAGCACGTTGGTTCGAACTAACGTAGTAGTAGTCCGGCGGACCTGAGCTGACTCCGGTCCTGTACAACACGTGCACAGACTCGATCGTGATCTTGCACCAGGTAATACATGCAGTCAAATCGTGTCAGTACGGATACACGCATTCCGGCTAGTGTCACAACAGCAGCGAACAGATACTCGTATCCTGGCTTCCCATCTTGAGTGCTACAAGAGCAGCGCCTTCCTGTACCATGTTGCCAACGAACTCAAGATCGATCGATGATGGAGACCTCAATGTGTGTATATAAAGTAGTCTCGTCTCTATTCACCTGGCATCCCATCGAGCGCCTACACTGCACCCCAAACTCCCACAAAAGAAACAATTTGAATATGAAGCTCGTCATCGCCCTCGTCTTTAGTCTCGCGGCTTTCGCCATGGCCGCTCCGACAGAAGCGAAACCCGAGTCGGACACGCTCGCGGTCGCATGCCTGAAGCGCGGCAGTAAGCGGCCTCATTTCTTGGTGATTAATTATCGATAACAGCTGATTTGTTTATTCAGAGCCGACCAACGACTTCAGGAAGTGATGCTCGAAGAAAGGATTTGCGGATCGAGGATGCCTTTGCACTGTTTGTTCGTGAATGTGGAAAGTGGGTGGAGGAAGCGGGATGGGGGTTGAGTTGACGCGGTTGTTATAATGGCGTGATGAGGAGAGCGAGCTGGTTTTCGGTATCCTCGATGGGTCTGGAGTTCGAGTCGAGAAGTCGAGTCCGATCATTGTGTCGGAAGAATTGCAGTGACGCGCTACCCTTCCAGCTAAAATTAGCCACTCGTTTACAGTAGTCGTCAATGAAGTCCGATATTCTGCTCAACTACATTGCGGTGTAGACTCTCAGGCTGCATCCAAGGCCTGATATTGCACTTGTCTCGACATGTGCCTTGGATAGTGCGAGGCTGTGTGAGGCTGCTAATGCGGCTAACGACGGTGACGTCACAGCCTCACCTGCAAGCCATCAATCAGCCTCTGCCGTTACCACCGTCCATCTCACATCACCCGTATCAAAAACCTTATATTCTAGAATCCAGTGTGACCAAATAACTTCATGCGGGAAAGACGAAATCGGACCGCCTGTCGAGCTGTTACCAGTGAAGTAACGTTCACACTAGGCGCCCTGCATCTCCTATTTTCAGAAACCTACAGCGCATGGAGTGTACGCTTACCTGAAAGTAGGCCACTCTGCGACGTCTAAGACTTTCAACAAGATTGTGTGGCTGGCAGGGAATCTCGCTAAAACATTCCTTGCAGATGTTCTCGCCTGACAATACTACGAAGTGGTTGGCCTTAAATTCAGCCTTGCGGCCTCACCAAGGTAGAAAACGTATGGTCCATGACTCCTCTCCAACGTTACAACAGTGTTGAGGTCAGATCTGGAACAAATGAAGGCCTACAGGGGAATTGGCACGTCCTACTCTGCGAGAAATACGATCCCATAAGACTAAACATGCGATGGAACGACGGCGTACCTAGTCTGCTCCAGAACCTCTGGCGCACGTGCTACCACACCGTAGTACAAGCCATTGATGCAGGGAAGCGTCACCAAATGGGACGCTCCAGCAACGAGAATCTCTGGGCAGTCAGATATTAAGCCAATCCACGTCGTTGATGGTCAGCCTGTCCTCGAATCCATCGCGTCTAACACGCTAGCATGGTAGCACGTACGGTGCCCTGCATCTGCTATGCCGTGCAGTGGGGGCGGTAAAGCTCCAAGGTATGATAGAGAGCAGACCCCCGATTGCTACACCTGCAATCCATACCCCACCGCAGCCTGACGTGGGAACATATCTGTCGGAAACGGGAGGTAACGCGTTGAGGAAATATGAGGCTGCCCCTGCTCTTGCTGAGCACAATTTGGCCTCTAGCCACTCGACAACAAGACCCCATCGACGACTTCTGCGGGCGCCACCAACATCAGGTCGCCGTGATCGATGACAAGCTCTATATCGACGGCGGAAAGATTTATTATGGAAGCTCGATTGACAACAGCAGTGTCGCGCAGCAGAGTACGTGCATGATGTTGGCAGTACATGAGCCTTCGACTGATGGTTGGCACAGACTATCATCTGATTTGGGAGAATGTCCTGGAGACTGAGGAGGGAACCCCATTTCCTCCGCAGTACAAGAATCTGAGCAAAGTACATCATTCCTCGTAAAGTACTAAAACTGTACTGACTTGGACAGGATGCGGAGGTTCCTTCCGTAAGTGGCGGATTTCTCTGGGCCGACGATGTAAACAAGATGTTCTACCTCTACGGTGGCGAGTACAACGCGGTTACTGATGTCAAGCCATTCACCATGCTGTGGTACTTCGATCTCCTCGACAACACCTGGAAACAGACAGCGCCAATTCAGTCTCCGATCTCGTGGCCAGCATTCGGAACTGGTGCAATTGATTACGCAAAGGGAGTCGGATACTACTACGGAGGCTACTTGAACAACAAGACTACTCAGAAATGGGGAAACACAAAACCTCTCATGCTGAGCTCGATGGTTTCATTTGACATGAATACGCGGGCATGGTTCAACAAAACACTGGACACACCTCCACGAGCGGAAGGCTCGCTTCATTACGTACCAATTTCACAAGCCGGAATGTTGGTATACTTTGGGGGTGTACAGACGAACCCCGGCGGAGAGGTGGTGTTTGTAAGTCTTCACCACATTGTAAGCTGGCTACACTACTAATATTCTACAGGCAAACATGAGTGTAAGCAACTGAAGTCCCTCCAATCAAAACTATAAATAACTCTGGCCCAGGAAATTCACATGTACGACATCAACGACGGCAAATGGAGCACGCAAACTGCTACCGGAGATGTCCCTTCGCCCAGGGTAGGGATGTGCGCAGGTGTCACTTGGGCCAACGATCGGTCCTCTTACAACTTGTAAGGCTAGAGTTAAGAGACTACAGAGTCATTGCTGACGCAGCAAGCTACATGTTCGGCGGCATCGGAGCAGATGGGCGGGGAACGGCCGAATTGTACATTCTGACACTCCCGTCATTCCAGTGGACTCTGGTGAGAACTATTCCAAGGCATTTGAAGATGTGTTAAATACTAATACTTCCAGATCTGGCCCACCAAGGCCGAGCTTCCTCACTACACTGAAGGCAGGGGATGGTCATCATGCAACGTCGTTCGAGAATTTTCGCAAATGATCATTACGGGTGGCTTGTTCAATAACGATACCACCCAATGCTTTGAGCCAAAAATTGGTGCACAATGCGGGACGCTTCTTGGACAGGAGACTATGGAGGTCAATCCGGACAAGCAAGGCGCTCAGTGGTGGTGGGAGCTCAGGAACGACATCAACGGGTATCGGATTCCTGAAAACCTTGTTTCACTGGTTGGCGGGAAGTATGTTTCCCTACACTACGATAATGATGTACAAGGCTAACTGAATTGCAGCGAGAATGGCTCTGCTACAAAGACCGCTCCGGCGCAGGGCTGGGCTACGCCCTCGGTGAGCAGCTATTTTGTCGGCGAAAACTTCGACCCACCGCGAAAAGCAACACGTTCAATTCCAGTGGCATCATCAACTTCCACATCGACGGCGATAGCCCAGCCAACCACTGACAAATCCGATTCGAACGTTGGCGCCATAGCAGGCGGGACTGTGGGCGGCGTTATTGCCCTTGGCACGCTGGCCGCCATTATCTTTTTCTTGCGCCGGTCCAAACGCCGCAAGCAAATGTACAACGAACCCGAGGGGCCAGATATGGCCCAGAAGCCACCTGCCGCTTATGGAACGGGGAGCCCGACGCCCGCATACTCGCCTCCACCTGTGTCGTGGAACGGCGACCCCAACTACCACCAAGTCCCGCAGACCAACAATGGGGAATGGGCATATCAGAACGGCTCGGCGTACCCGCAGACCTACTACCCACCACCGTCCGACCCTTCGCAGGGACACCAGCAGATGCATCAACACCACACGAGCGTGGAATTACCAGGAATCGGAAGCCCGGTGAGCGCTGAGCTGCCGCACACCAGAAGTCCTGTCTACAACGAGCTGCCAGCGCTTCACAGCCCGGTTCCCGTGCGTGCGCCTCATTGATCCAGTGGGTTCCGTTATGCACATCAGGGTCTCATGTATAATGTTTTAATGTATTACTCACGCCGTTCTCTGCGATCATATCACTGTGACAGTATTGTTCTTGACACACGTCTTGTGACAACATGCTACCGTCCAACATCCGCGTCGATCCCGGACCCGACCATATAATCATACTGCACCCAACATCAATAGTTTTATCTTGAAAACTATTGATATGTCAAGTACCTGTAGTGTCTTTGTTAGCGCGGAAACATGGTCTCCGAGTCTCCAATGGTTGTTTGTGACACTTATGTACAGGTGCGGTGTTTCTGTGGCTGATATCCATTGAGAGTTTGGCGAATCCAGAACAGTTTGACTCCTCTCCTAAAGCTTCTGACTTGCTGGTTACATGTTGCGACGGCACACCGCATCAGCGTATGTGGCTGCTTACTCAGGCGTCTAGAACCATGTATTCAGCTCTCCGATTCACACTTATAATTGGACGACTATCGGACGTTACCCCGCTATGCCTAGGAAACCTCAGCAGGCAGTGTTCCACGCAGAAGTCGAACTTCATTCTTTTACAGCCATGCCTACGTCTCCAGACCCTCCGCAGCAAGTCGAACAATACCAGCATACGCCCTTACCTAGAACATCGGACACGAAAACAATACGACTTATCAAGCTGTACCCTGAGTGCTATTGTGGACAGCTTTCTGATGCGCAAGAATTGAGCCTTCCGACAGGAGGCCTCTGCCAGAACTGTCGGCGAAGTCTCTGGGAAATATATTACAGTAGAGGGCCTCTGTATCTTAAGAAATATAGCCAGGCTTCAGTATGTTCACAGGAGACCAAAGAATGTTGTATCATTCGAATCGACCTCGACGAATACTCACTAAAAATGACACCGAGTTACGAAGCTCTATCGTATGCTTGGGGGCCTGCTGACTTTACTCACACCATCAAATGTGGTTCTTCATATATGCGCACGACGCAGAACTGCTGGCAGGCTTTGCAAGACTTGTTGCCACGTTGCACAGACAGGGATTCTCAGGGAAACCCAACGGGCCTCCCGTGTACTGCCATACCTCGTTTGCTCTGGGTCGATGCAATATGCATTGATCAAAATTCCCCGAAAGAGCGAAACCACCAAGTCAATATGATGGGAGAGATCTATATGAATGCTGAGGGGGTTCTTGCGTGGCCGGGTCATGGAAATTTCTCAAGAGACTTGCTACCGCTCGAAAAGAGCGATCTGGGTAAGTTTCTGTCCACCCTTGGAACATTCACCTGGGACTCTTCCTGAACGTGTGTAGGCGATGATAGAGACCGATACGACAAAATGCTTAGATTTTTGACAAAACCATACTTTCGTAGAATTTGGCCCATCCAGGAAGTAGCTCTCTCACGCAAATGCACAGTTATTGCTGTGAGCAGGTCCACAGAATATATAGAGAAAAGTCACATCCATGCCTTTCTCTGGCCATTTCCGGAACTCCATCATCCTTTCAACAAGAGAGGCCGGAAAGCATGGTTGAATGATCCCCTGGCCCTGCCCCATGGCTTTGCACCACATCTCCGGCTTCAAAGATTGATGTGGACATGCTTTCGAACACTACACGGTGAAGGTCTGGCCTCAGAAGCCTCTCTTGGATTCCCTCTCAGCGTATCGCAGATCTTATTAGATGCTCGGAGTTTGGAAGCGAGCGATCCAAGAGACAAAGTTTTCGCGCTACAAGGCATGTTGAAGTTGCTGGGGGTCCATCTTGAATCCCCAGACTACACTAGCACCACAGAAAACGTGTACACACGTGCGACTATCGCAGCTTTTAAGCATGATAGTAGTCTTCGGCTTGTGTCCGGCCTTACCGGATCCCGTAAACATAATGCTTTACCTTCGTGGGTTCCCGACTTTTCAGATAGCAAGGCAATAAGCACAATCAGCCCTTAGGAAGCACACAACGCCGGCGGAGGCAGTACGCCCGAACTCGAATTCTCAAGGGACAACGGGCAACTGAGTCTTTTCGGGGCTGGCATCGATCACCTTGAACAGTTACTTACTGAGTATCCTGAACTGGACGAGCGGACGAATAACGAAACTTTGAAGGAACTCCTTCGACTACCGCTTGACAATGCTATGGTACCTCGAGAGGTGTATGTCAATTTCCTCACGGGTCTGACTCTAGATGCATGGCACAATATTTCCGACGCGTGGCCTTTACACAGTGTTGTACGCCGCTTGACGGGAGACCTGCCAAGCACAATCATGTCCAGGAGACTTGCAGATACTACATATGGGATGCAACCAGTCATTTGTACACGTCTGAGTCGCAAAACGCTTTTCGCAACTCGCCAGGGGCGCCTATGTCTTGTGTCAACATACGCCCGAGTCGGAGATGTCATTGCAGTACTTGCCAGCTGCAATCTCCCTATGATCCTTAGATCCAAAGGGAATGATTGGACCGCGGTCGCTCCTGCGTATGTTAAAGAACCTGACAATAATGATGTAATGAGTGGCCTATTGTGGTCAAAATTGCTAGCCGAGGGCACAGCACTGCAAAGGTTTACACTTCTCTAAACACTGCCTCGTCCGTACGAAGGAGCTCGTTTTTTACAAGGCGTTACTAGTAGGAATACCAAAACACCCCTCTAACTTCTACTTGCTATCGGTGCTTGTAAAAATATGCAGACCCCTACAACCATGGAACAGAGATGAACTTATAGGCAGTAAGGGCCTCTAACTGGCTATAGGAGTTTGGTTAGACGTCCTGCAGGGCTACAACGTGGGAATTGACAAATACTAGGATAATTTGCTACTTGCTACTATAGTACGTACCTACATTATGTAATCTGTTCCGTGGTTATAGGGGTCTGCACAAATCGCCAACGACTATATAACGTATTTTTGTACGCATAGATGTTTAGCAAGAGCAATTCTCTATCTTATTATCGGTGCTTGTCGATATGTGCTGACCACCCCCTACCTTGGTATAGTATAGGTACTGTCACAGTTACGAGTCAGGTACCTTCGCACCCTAATTAGCTAGATAGCTATAGGATGCGTGTGTGTAGGACACAGGGGAGGGCTAGACCTTATATACTATAGTAGTGCGGGGTACCTACCTATAACAGGTACAAAGACTAGACTTCTATATACCTATAGTACTGCTCTACTAGGTACCTATCTAGACAGCTACTTATAGAGGTTATAAAATAGTTATAACGTTATTAACCTTAGGCTAGGTAGAGATAAGAAGAAGCTTTCTAGTCTATAGATACTTAGAAGATACCTAGCACCTTTACACAAGGTATTATAGGTATATAGGACGCTCTCTAACAGCGGGGCTTTTTGTATAATGTACTAAACTAGAGGTGGTCTACACATTTTAGCAAGCATTATATATAAAACACATAGTTAATATTAACTTTGTGCTGTTATAGTAGCGTGCACTGTAGGGCGAGTCTGCTTGGTGCGATGCCTTATAAAAAACGATCTTCTTCGTATGCTTAATGTAGGTTTCAGCTTAGTATATAATTGTAGTCTCTACTAATATATCCCTTAATATAAGAATATAACACTACTGGTTACTGTTAAAATGCTACCTGTAACACATATCCTACCGATTATTGGTGCAGTTACGCTCAAGTGGAGACATCCAGTTGCAATGTAGAAGCCTGTCAGCCGTGCCAACGAGACTTCACTGTCGAAACTACCAAGAAGCAACCCGGACATCTGGGTGCGGTACGTCATCGCCTACCCTCCACACAACACCAGTCTCTCCTCGCAGTATGCAACTCGCTGACCCCAAACTCCCGTCACGCAAAGATATCAAGCTTGCGTCATGGAATCCCCGAGCCACAGCACCCATTTGCGATTAGCGACGGCAGTGGTGCAAGGGCGCGGCGTGTGATTGGTGGGCGCCTGCGGCCCGTGAGGGCTACCCGGCGCTAATGTACGTCGCTGACGGCCGCGCGGAGACGTCTATGTGTTGCTCGGTGTGTGCTAGACTTGTTTGTCTCTGTTCGTGAGGATGTTGATGGGAAGGCGGGTGCTTGGTGGGAGGGTGTTTTGTTGGAGGGACGACGGAGTGAGGGTCGATGCCTTGGGCTGGAACTCGACGACGTCTGCATTGCTAACTGTGTTCATTTGCCCATCGAGAGCCTCACGGTCCGACATCCATTCTACTCCCTTGGCCATGAATCATCTGGAAATTTCCTGTCGCCGTGAGCAGCGGTAGCACGCGGCTAGACAGGCTGCCAAATACCGCGCCGGACCTGGTGAGGTGTGACCAGATTGGCATACCTGAGTCCCGACATTAGCACCGAGCGCAATGGACATACATCGGGTGTCCAACTAATCAATGCGCGTTATCAAACTTCCAGAAGTTGGCTGCTGCGCCACAACGATACCACCCGGCAGTCCCAACACGACTAGATCAAGAGAGCGCCGATGAACAGCCCTCATCATTGCGACCACCTTGACTTGGCATTGTGGATTCTCCCTGTCCAGCTGTCATCAAGTCGCATGATGTATCACGCCTTCGAGATAACGAGAGCTTGGCCAGTGACGACACAGTCAGTACCTTGCAACCGCCTGGTATAAAAGAGCAGGACCAAAGCGAGTTATGGCAGACCAACAGCATCCCCGACGGCTATCCGCAATCTTCAATACAATTATTCAGTATGGCTTCGTTGATGAGAGCCGTCGCACAGTTGGGGCTGGCGTACAACGTCTCCGTCATCGACGTGCCCGTGCCTACGATCCTCAACGCGACAGACGTGATCGTCCGCATCAACGCCTCAGCCATCTGCGGGAGCGACTTGCACACCTACCACCAGGCATTGGGCTCTCCGGACGCACCGTACTTGTACGGCCATGAAGCTATCGGCTACGTGTCTGAGGTCGGCGACGCGGTCCAGTTTCTGAAGGTCGGAGACTATGTTGTGATACCGGATAATGTCGACAACGGGCATTTCACGGTCGAGCCGGACGTGTACCAGGTTCCGCTGGGGTCTGGCGGGGTGCAGGGAGGCGTGGCGCGGCCGGGGGTGCAGAGTGAGTTTGCCAGATCCTTCTGTCGGAAATGTTCGCTGACGCGTCTGCGACTGTAGCTGAATATGTGCGCGTTCCATTCGCGGACAACTCCCTAATTCCCGTCCCGGTCAACGCCAGCACCACCGAGTCCACGCTGCTCGACTACCTCTTCATCTCCGACATCTTCGCCACCGCCTGGAGCGGCGTCTCCTTCTCAGGCTTCGAGCCAGGCGACAGCGTCGCCGTCTTCGGCGCCGGCCCCGTCGGCCTCCTCGCCGCCTACTCTGCCATCCTGCGCGGCGCCTCGAGAGTCTACAGCATCGACCACGTGCAGAGCCGCCTGGCCCTCGCGGCCTCCATCGGCGCCATACCCATCGACTTCGCCGCCTCGGACCCCGTGGCGCAGATCCTCGCCCTAGAACCCGGCGGCGTGCGCCGCAGCGTCGAAGCCGTGGGCTACGAGGCCGAAGACGCAACGGGCCAGGTCGACGCGTCCATCACGCTGCGCCAGGCGCTGAACGTCACCGCGCCGCGGGGCGGTATCGGCATCGTCGGGCTGTTCAGCCCAGGGCTCGAGGGCTTCGACGCAGGGCTGGCCTTCGAGAAGACGCTCACGATCGAGGGCGGCGTCGTGCTGCCGCTGCAGGTCGCGTCGGAACTGGTCCCGCTTGTGCGGTCGGGGCGGGCGACGCCGAGTTTCATCGTCAGCAGCGTGATTGGCATCGAGGAGGCGCCGGAGTACTACGCGAGGTTCGACCGGCGCGAGGAGACCAAGGTGGTGATTCGATTCTAGATGCCGAACCCGTCAGATCATGCATTATAATCAAATCGAACCAGCCTGCTTTGACGAACATGCACCCCTCGCAGTGAGCACACTCGTGACTATCACAGCGCACCCCTCGTCCAGAGTCTCGCCCAGATCCCCGCTCCCTCTCACACGCTTCCGCACCTGTCCGCACTGAACACCACGCACCAATCCCCTCGAGAGAAAACAAGTCGTCCAAGCATCCCAATTTTCCCACCCAGCGCCTACGCCGCCGCAGCAACCCCGAACAAGGCACTGCACAGCCTGCAGCCACTCCTACACCGATTACACAGACTAGCAACACTAGACCAGCAACACCAGACCAGCAACACTAGACCTACAGGGATATCATCAGCACCAACCCCAAAGCATGGCTACCTCCCTCCCAGCACGCCAAAGCAAAACAACGCCCAGCTCAGCTCACGGCCGACGCATCGAGCGCCGCTGCGTCCGAACCGAAGCCTTCAAAGCACTGGATCTGCGATGACGTTACCGAGACGCAGTATTCGCGACCAACACCGTCACCGAATCGCCAGTGTTGGGTGCAGGAGTCGGGGGGTGCCGGTCCCGGAATGCGGAATCTGGAACCGAGAGACGTGGATAAGCCGGGGCGGGTTAGACGACATTTGATGTCGACGCCAGTGAGGCGTGCTGGGGATGGTAGATGCCCGTGGAGCGTTTTGTGGAGCGCGTCCGGGTATTGGAGCGGTCGTGCGGACTATGTGTCTCTGGGACAGATGTGCGACGGAGGGATTTAGCTATGTATTAGTGAGTATGGGGAGGGCGCTCGCACGGCTGAGATGGCGGGCAGTAGGATGGAGGGCGAGAGGGGGAAGAGTAGAGAGAGCACAGTGTACACGGGTAGTCCATCGAAGCACGCTTTACCAACTCCTCGCTCTCCAATCCGTGTCCAGCCTCAGTGCACCGAGACCCCCATCACATCAACATCACATGGCAATCAACAAGGCAAGACATTGTATGCAATCGTAGCATTACAAACTATTCTGAGCATGTGAGCTCTGAACTATATAAGAAACAGCCGGACTAGCCAAGCCGTGGGAAACCCGCGCCGGGGAAAATGCTGAAAAACGCCTGTTGCAATGCTGTGGAAATGCTCACGCCGTTGATGCTGGATAGCTGGCCGGCAGCCGGGGTATTATCGTTACTCGTCGTCATCCTCGTCCTCCATCATGAAAATTCGTCATCGTTGTTGTCAAACCAATCGCTCCTTCCGCTTAGCCAACGCTCTTGCCGCGGCGGCCCTTGCCGCACTCGCGCTTGCTCAGCGGCTCCTCGGGCATCACCCACCCGCGGACGCGCTTCGCCTCGCGCTTCTCGCCCAGCTGCGGCTTGGGGATCCACGCGTCCTTCTCGAGATGGTTCTGGCGGGTCAGGGCGGCGGGGCCGCCGACCTCCATGCGCCAGGTGCCCATGCCCTCGAACGGGTTCTCCTTGGCGAGCATGTGGAGGTACCACAGGGCGAGGGAGGCGGTGAGCTGGACGTCGCCGGACGCCGAGGGCCCGGAGGTCGAGAGCGAGATCGGCGCCGACAGCTCCAGGTAGCCGAAGATGGGCATGCCGGAGGCGGCGTTGAAGGTGGTGGGGTCGGGGGTCGAGGAGTCGCCGCCCGCGCGCACGCACAGCAGCTCGATCTCGGTCATGATGAAGCCGTAGCGGCAGCCGTGCTCGCGCATGACGCGCTGGAGGTGGGCCAGGCCCTGGAGGTAGAGGACCTGCTTGGGCGCGGACTCGCTGCGCATGCCGGTGTTCCAGTTGTCGTAGCACTTGACGAGACCGACGACGCGGCCGCGAGCGTCGCCGAAGAGGGTCTTCTCGAAGTCGGAGGGGTAGCTGGAGACGAACTGGGGCTGATCGCGGGCACCGGGAACGGGCTTGATGGCGCGCATCTGCATGTGGCTGTTGCCCTGGGCGATCTTGAGGGCAGCATTGACCTTGCTGGCGTAGTGGTTTGTGCAGATGTCGTGCAGAGCCGACTCGTGCTCGGGCTGCATGTTCTGGCGGCTGGGCTGGGGAAGGTAGGACTGGGAGACGGGAACCTCAAGGAGGGGGAGAACGGAGGGGATCTCCTTGATGGCAGCAATGTTGAAGTCCTCCCAGCTGCGGAGGTTGCGCACATCCCACCAGAAGTGGTTGTGGATGCCGCGGGGAGCGGCTGTGACGCGACGGACCAGAGCGGGAGAGGGGTTGGCGCCGCTGAGGTACTCGAGCAGAGAGGATGTAGCAACGGGCTGGTAGGCATCGAAGCTAGGCTGCTCTGTGAAGGTAGGGTACTGGACAGCAGGGGCAGGCTCGAAGTCCAGAAGAGGGAAGTCGAGGGCCTGGGCAGTGTAGCTAGGGGCCTGCTGCAGCGACGAGTACTCGACAGGGGATGTGGTGAAGGTCTGCTGAGGCGCGCTGGGGGCGGGCGCGTAGCTGGGGATGTTGCGGTAGGTGGGGAACCCGTAGCGGCTGATGGTGGACTCATCGATGCTGTTGGCAGAGGTGGCCCTCACGTGACGAGCAGCGTTGACAGAGCTGGAGCGCGAGTGGGTGGGGGCGTACGACGACGCTCGGCGGCCCTCGGATGGCGTGAATGTGATGGGGGAGTTGAGCATGGACAGCCCGTTGAAGTCGCAGGAGCCGTTGGACACGGGCGAGATCATGTTGTTGTGGGTGTAGGGGCTCGACTCACGGTACGGCTGGGAAACCGGGCGTGAGTAGGGGCTGTAGCCATAGCTGACATTCGAGACAGAAGACGTCGTCCTGCGATGTCTGATGGGTCCGGCTGTGGGTTCGGCGATCTGATCCTGAGTGCGGACCTTGGGGAGGAGGGTAGGTCCAAGCTGGCGAACGGGCGATCGGGGAGGTGTAGGGGCCACGTTCGGTGCTGGGGACGACTCTTGCGAGTAGTATGTGACATCTGATCCGACACTACCGGGAATGTAGTTGTACGAGGAAACAGGCGGTGTTGTGTGGCGGCTGTACATGTTGACGGTGATAGCTTCCAGAGCTACTGAATGTGGATAGAAAGTGACGATTATCGAGCACGATTAAGGGAGAACCAGCTCCAGAATGTCTAGGACAGAAAGAAAGAGGAGGGGAAGATGTCTCGAACCGGTGGGCAGTGCTCGCAAATCCTGATGATGTTCGATGTGATGGATGTGGTTGTGCGGCGGAGCACCGTGTACTTATTGCTTTCGCAAATGGAGCTCTACGAACCAGTGCATACGGCGCTCTCGAGCATAGCATCTGAAACATGATCCACCGGCCCCGGGATCCTGGCCTGAGATCTCGGCAGGCGGTCTGGCGGCAGTCTTGCGCAGAAGGTTCTACAGCATGGAGCCTTGCAAGGCCAACATGAAACATGGCTTTCGAACTGGGCGAGCATGTCAAGCGAACGGCTTAGTGCGATTCCTGCTGTGCTGTTCACTGCATGCGGTTTAGTTGCGAGCGGTTTTCAGCGGTGAACTGACTCTGAGTGGATGACAGCGGTGTGGTTGCGGTAAGGGCTCGACGAGAGCGGTAAGCGGCACAGCGACGCGCTTGCAGAGCGGTTGGCAACATGAAACCGGGTTGCTCGGCGGGCCGCTGTAGAACACTGACTGCGCTCTACACTCGACTACGCTGAGCTTGGCGGCAACGCACCGCAGGCGCGTACTCTGTGCACTGTGTGCTGCTCGCTGTGCGCGCTGCCGTCCAACCTCGGTCGCAGTGTCGCGCAATCTCGCAGACACCGCTCATCTGTCACCTTCCGCATGCATAGTTCAACGACCAGGGAGGCTGCAAACTCAGCAAGGCTGGGCCCGCTGGCGGCAGTCTGGCACGGGCAGCGGTGACGGCGCAAATCGACCGTCAAGTGTTGTCGCTGTAGCGCCCTGCGGGGTGGCCTGTGCGGTACGTGGGGCGGGTGCAGTCGGTGAAGAGTCATCACGGTGCGGGGATTCGATTGGACCACGACACTCGAGCGTTTCGTTTCAACCTCGACGTGCATGTCTCCCGCAGAACTTCCGCACACCGACATGCGGCATTATGCACGCGATCGGTGACTCACGGTGGGCGACAGCAATGTGTTCGCGACTATAACACGACCAAGACGGCGCTGCTGCACGTCGCGTGAACGCGTTGTTGTTGTTTGCTGTCAAGTGCCGTCAAGGCATTGGTCTGGGTCTGCGGGCCCGCCCACCTGTGCGCTGTCACTTGTCGTGCGGAACGACATTTTCCGGCCTTGCGTTGCACTGCCGGCGTCGTCTGTCGTTCGTGCTGCGAGCGTCGACAGCGGCCATTCATTCGCTCTGCGCAGCCATTCACGCGCCGTGCTGTCAGACGCAGCAGAATGAACTCACGGGGAAATGCATCTGTCAATGCGGTAGAGCCTCACTAGGCGCCGTCGCTCCCAATCGGGAGTTTCTAAGCAGCATTCTGATTGGCCGCCCCAGCCTCGACAATACGGTCCATGAGCTGGCGATAGTGGCCACGCGACCGCACAACGCACTCAAGAGGCTGGCATTTCCACCCCACAGCCCCAGATAAACACATCTACAGCTCCACACCTCGGCTCGGCCTCCAAGCCCTCGCACGACGAAGCCAGGCAGAATCGCAGCACCACGTCGTCGACGGCGCCCGCCGTGAGCGCGCAAACCCTCCTAAGCGCCAGTGCCCCAAAATACCCAAAGCGGGCGCTTCGCTCTCAAACCGGAAGCCGCAAAGTCCGTTAATTGCTTGGTTTCGGAAATTAGCTGCAAAACCTGGCTGAGGCTCTGTCCACACAGTCAAAGGTTCAGCCCACGTCGTGGACATGGTCCAGCGCATGCTTTATTGCACTCGATGCGCCGCTCAGCCTCAACGCCACGCCACGCCGTCAGCAGGGCGGCTACGGGGAAACAAACGGCGCTGCTGATTGCGCGAGCACCGTGAGTTTGTGCGATGCTTGACCTTGGGAGTCGAGGCGTGAGATGGGTCAAGGGTGCGCGGAGCCGCTGCTCAGCCTCAGTTACGCGCTCGGAAGACGGAAGGTTTTACAAGAGTTGGGACAAGAAAGGGGTGAGTGAGACATGCGGAAAGTATCGAGCGATGACGCGGAGATGTCGCGGTCTGCGTCACGCTTGAAGTAATCATGTGCAGTGTGTTGGGAGAAGCGGGCGCCCCGTCCTCGCCTCATGTTGGATGCCTCTCGACAGTCACAACGAGAGAGTTAGACAGGTACGGTAGGTATTGAGTAAGACCCAGCCCCAGCCAGCAGCGACATGCGTCGAGACATCACAGTGAGTCGCAATACCGCACCACCGCTGAGTCTCTCCTGTTCGCTTGACACGCTGCGTGGAACATGCACACCCTCCTTCACGCTGAAGTGTGCATCTCAACAACTCCTGCGCCTATAATCCGCCAACAGGTAACCCAGCAAATCGCACTCACAAGGAGGCAGTACCAGTGGTATACGAGGGCCGCGCAAGCATCGAGAACACCTAAATGACTAGAAAAAGCGCACAAACACGCCACACGCGAGCATCTCTCCCCGCTCCACCGAGTCCTGTCTAAAGAAGCTCCCAGTCGCTTCTCCAGAGCTGGCAAAAACGCCGTAGAATCCCCGTAGCACGAGCATCTCGCAGGGCACATCCCACTCTCTACCCTACGCGCCTCTTAACTGCCAGTATTACAGCCCCCCCTCTTTTCTGCTATAGAAACAAAGTCGTGCGAGCGCACAATCCGCCTACATGACTAGCCCTTGATCTATGTGCTACTGCCTAGCCCCAGTAAACTGTAGTATAACTAACGCAGTAGATATTAACCTATCGATAATAGATGTTAATATAGGTAGCACGTACTAGCGCAGTGAGTACTATAGAAGAGCACCCTAGCGCCTAGCGCTCCCTATAATCTATAGTAGCACGTCTGCCTATAGATATAGGTACTACAGCACGTAAAGTCAATTCTAGTTTAGTCTGTTTCTGTTTCTAGCCCTGTCCCTGTCCCCGGTCCTGGTCCTGGTCCTCGTACCTCGTACCTCGTACCTCGCAGCCAGTCGCGCGGACACATAGCGCGCATAGCCAGCGCCGACGGAGCCTGAGCCTGAACCTGGGACTGTGACCGACTGACTGTAGCACACCACGCCACACCACACCACTTCACGCCACGCTCTTGCGGCATAAGGATTGCTTACAGCACAACAACACCTGGCAGAAACGCCCCCAGGCGCTGCTCGACATCTCTGCGTGTCTACGTATCTCCGCACAACCAACCGTGTCTCCGTCCGTATAATCAGCCGTGGTCTCCGTATACACCCCACAACCCCTGCACCTAGAATTCTGCACCTAGATTACTACATTACACGGTGTGGCCTACGGACCACGGACTATGGACTACAGACTGCGGCGCTGGATAACACACATACATACTTCCCCCCCCCCCCCCCCTCTCTCTCTCTCCCGCCCTGTTTGCCTTTTGCTAGATCTACAGACAGCACCGCGCGCGAGGTTCTAAGTTGGACGGGTTTGCGTTAGGCAGTAGCTGGCGCTGGCTGGCGGGGGACAGCGGGGGACAGCAGAGAAAGCAGGGGAAGGATGGGTGGGGTGTGGAATCGAGATGAGCGGTTGGGAGAGGAGTTAAGGACAGAGAGAGAGAGCGCGAGAGGGCGCGAGAGAGCACGAGAGAGAGGGGAGAGAGAGGAGTACGAGGTTCTTGTGTGGAAGGTAGGGTGTATCAGACTACACTACGCCACCTATCACCCATCAACAATACCCCAGCACGCTGTCCTCCCCTTTCCCTTTCCCTTTCCCTTTGCCCCCACGCCTCACACTCCACGCCTCGCACCTCCCACCCCCCTCAGCAACCTCAACAATCGCAGCAACCGCAGCAACCGCAGCAACCTCAGCACCCAAACCCCCAACACCACCAAATCATCAGGATATAAACCCCAGTTACCTAACAACGGCAGACACACCCCCGACCCAGATCTCGTACTCGCGGGCGCCTGGCTCGCAGGCACCCCCATCCGCCTCCGCAGGCGCCTGGCTCGCAAGCATCGCCAAGCACAGGATCCAGCCGCTGCGCGCCCTCCAGCTCCAGCGCCGTGCCGCCGGTGAGCGAGCCGGTGGATGGACTGGGCTGAGTTGAGCAGGGGCAGGCGGTGTCAGCGAGTCCATATCCGCGTCGCTATTCGCGTATCATTCCTTGTGCGTGTGCGCGTGCACGTTCGCATCCATGATCGTGTTTGCATACGTAGCCATGCTGCTCGCCATAGCTGTAGCCGTAGCCGTAGCTGTAGCCGTGGCCGTAGTCGCGGCCGCAGTCGCGAACAGATACTCCCCACGTCCCCCCAAAGCACAGCAGCAGGGACGGGGAGTCGCGTGTCTACTGCATCTGCACGCCGCAGTCTGTACGCCAGCGTATCCAGTGCATCAGGAAGCCGGCGCGGCGTAGTAGCAAAGCGCAGTAGGAAAGTGTAGTAGCAGCGCGTGCAGGAACGCGTCGTAGCGCTGTATTAAGGCATTATATACATCGGGGATATACACCAGAGCACCCCATCTACCCAAGCCTACTGTCCGCGGTCCCGCGGTGGTCGCCGTCCGAGTCGAACCGCGGATCCAGCTTATTCCCTGTATTCGTGCTGTGCGACCCGTAGTTCGTCGACGCCGTGTGTGTAGTGTTCAGGCGCTCGCGCTCGGCAGCTGCTGCGACACCTGACCCTACACCTGCACTGTGATTGCGGTGGTACCCGTGGTCGATTTCGTCAGCGCCTTTGGAGGCGATGGCGGTGTTTTTCTCGACGCCTGCGCGGTCGCCGCCCGCTTGGTCGACGGCGGCGTTGAAGTTGCCGCGGATCGCTTCACCTGTGCCCTTTGGTGTGTTAGTGTGGATGTATGCGAAGGGGGAGGGAGGGGGGTTACGTGGACGAGGCCGACGCCTTTCTTGACGGCGTCGGCGAGGCCGGTGGATGAGTGTCCGCCAGACATTGTGATTGTTTGTGTTTGTTTGTGCGAGTGGGTGGGTGGTGAGCTGGTGGATAATAAACGCCGACTTCAGGGTGTAGGTTTAATGTCGATATTAGGTGTAAAGGTCTGGTTATATTTCTATATGCCAGGGAACAAACAATAGATACGCCCTCCTGACCTCTGACGACAGCAGCACGCAGGTTTCATCAGTGCTTGCCATGATTTGTGCTGATCGACTGTGTTCTGGAAGGAGCATGCAGTCGAGTGATGTCATCTGGACTCCACGAGCATTGCGAGGTCCACTCCACGCTAACCGCATTCGGCGATTTCTTTCCTTGTCTTCCGATACGTGGGGGCTGGTAAACTTCGATACCGTAGGCATGCGAGACTCAGCTGAGTGATGTGCTGGGGGTTTGCCAGCTGGCTTCGTGATTGCCAAATCTCCCACACGTGACAACGGTCAATCTCACGAAGCTGAACGGCAGTGGTGGAGGAAATGTTGAGAAAAGGTTGAGGAAATGCTTGGTATTGGTATATAATCAGGACCCCTTGGATCCGGTCGTGTCGCTCATTGAATCATCAACCTCGCCGACCGCCAACTCCTCATGCAGTCAATCAAAAACGCCTCGACAAAGCTGTTACAGATACATAATCTACAACTTGCCGGCGGCGTGGAAGTCGTCGAGCGCAACAGCGATGCGCTTGGACATGGTCTTCTCGCCCTCGCGGACCCAGACACGGGGGTCGTAGTACTTCTTGTTGGGCTTGTCGTCGCCGTCGGGGTTACCGACCTGGGACTGGAGGTAGCCAGACTTGTTCTGGACGTAGTCGCGGATACCGGCGAGGTAGGCGTACTGCATGTCGGTGTCGAGGTTGACCTTGACGACGCCGTAGGAGATGGCCTCGCGGAAGTCCTCGACGCTGGAGCCGGAGCCGCCGTGGAAGACGAGGAACACGGGCTTCTCCTCCTTGGCGCCGACGGCCTCCTTGACGTGGGCCTGGTGCTTCTTGAGCAGACCGGGCTGGAGCTTGACGTTGCCGGGCTTGTAGACGCCGTGGACGTTGCCGAAGCCGGCAGCAATGGAGAAGTAGGGGGAGACGGAGGACAGCTCCTTGTAGATGTGCAGGATGTCCTCGGGCTGGGTGTAGAGGGAGTTGTTGTCAACGTCCTCGTTGTTGACACCGTCCTCCTCACCACCGGTGATACCAATCTCCATCTCGAGCCACTGCTTCATGGGGGCAGCGCGCTGGAGGTACTTCTTGGTGGTCTGGACGTTCCACTCGACCTCCTCCTCGGACAGATCGATCATGTGGGAGGAGAAGAGGGGCTCGTTGTGCTCCTTGAAGTAGGCCTCGTCGGCGTCGAGCATGCCGTCCAACCATGGCAGAAGCTTCTTCGCGCAGTGGTCGGTGTGGAGGACAACGGGAATGCCGTAGGCGGGGGCAATAGCACGGATGTAGTGTGCGGCCGCGACAGCTCCAGCGATGGAGGCAGCCTGGTCCTTGTTGTCGACGCCCTTACCGGCGAAGTAGGCAGCACCACCTGGACAGTCAGCGTTGAAATGCAGTGGGCACAATGGTCTTACCCTGCGAGGTCTGGAGGATGATGGGCGACTTGGCGTCGCGGGCAGCCTCGAGAGACGCAACGACGGTGGAGGAGGAGGTCACCTGAGCGGGTTAGAACGGCTCAAACGCTCGACAGCAAGCACGTACGTTGATGGCGGGGATGGCATAGCCCTCGTCCTTGGCGTGCTGGAAGAGCGCGAGGACATCGTCGCCGACGATGACACCGGCCTTGCGGGAGAGAACCTGTTGAGCGTGTTAGCTGGTTGCGTGACATTTGGCGTGGACGAACTCACGGATTGAGCGGAAACCATTGTGAATGTGATGTGGGAGTCTGAGTACAGGATCAGTCAATTGGGATCTGGCGTGCTTTATGAAGACAAGCTGAGACTTGTTGAGCAGAGTAGTCAGGGCGAGAGAGAAACTCTGCGCATGATCTCATCGTGGTGGGGTCTGTTTGACCCCGCCCCGTTTTATCTTGTTGACGCAGCAAGCTCAGCTGCGCAACCAGCCAACCGCAGGCGGCAATTGCACCGCACGCGGGCACTACAGCACGCCGCCGTTCGTCGAGCCAAGTACGTACCTGTGCGTATCAATTGGGGGTTTTTCGTGAGTACAGCGCGTGGGAGGCACGGGGCTTTAAGACGGCGGGCGTAGGGCTGACGCTCACGGCCGCGCTTCGTCGCGGGGCCGCTTGCTCGGCAGAGTGGACTGCACCGCCGCAGCGAGTGCGTCTGTCCGAGTCTCGCCGTAGAACGTGCCAGAACACGCGCAGAGCCGAGTGTCGTGCTACACAGGACATACACACATCACAGCGGCGGCCACGTCCACCAATCACGCAGGGTCGCACTGGGTGGCTGACAGGTCCCATTCTTCCGAAACCAAGCCCAAACAGTGTCTATATGTCTTGTACAGGTGTATCTTTACAGCGAGCGGAAAAACCGTGGCGGGTGTCTCCTTGGAAAACCCCGTGTCGCGACGGACGCCCCGCGTCAGGGCTCTAGACAAACCCCGCGACGGACGGCTCACGCGTCCATGTCCTTTGCCTTGACGCGCACGTTCCTCACCAAGGGCGCCTCCGCGCCGGGCACTTGTATCTCGACCCTGAACACGCCCAGCTCCTTGACGCGCTGCGCGTCGGCATCCTCTGAGCCCGTGACGAAGCGGACGTCGGCCTCGTTGAGGATCACACGCGCGGCCTCGTCGTTGTGCGCCAGCCCTGCCTTGAGGGTGGCCACGACGTCGGCGGTGGTCACGGAGCCGTAGATGGCGTTGGGGTTGGCCTTGGGCTTGGAGCCCATGGCGGCGGCGGTCAGGACGGCGGCGGCGCCTGTTGCGACAGGCCGCGGCCCGGCGTCGACGCCCTGCTCGATGCGCTGGCGGGTGAAGTCGATGGAGGCGGGGATGAAGGTGTCGATGAGCTCCATGGAGCGCTCGGGCTGGGCTGGTCAGCAGCTGTGCGTGGGGTTCGCCGGGCAGACGCACGCTGAGCATCTCAATCTCAATGGGCCGCACGTAGGGCCGCCGCGGGGCCAGGTCCAGCTCGGCGTCGTTGGCCTCCTCCAGGGCCACCTCGACGCCGAAGGTCGGGTCCCGCTGCATGTCCACGTCCTGGGCCTTCAGCGCCTTCAGCTGCAGAAACGGCACGTAGTCGGCGACGCGGGCGGGGAACCAGCGGTTGCGCATCGTGGCGCGATTGAGCGGGACGAGCGAGCCTGCCTGCGTTAGCCGCCATTGCTCTTGTTGCGCTGTGCTGCGCGGCTGTGCTGCTGTGCGTACCAGCCCGTCCGTACCGCGGCACGTCCTTGAGTAGCCGCACGATGATCAGGCGCTCGGCGTCTTTGGCCGCCTTCGAGATGCTGCGCGTCTGGTGCGCTGCGTCCAGCGAGAGGCGCGCGACGCGGCGGATGCATGACGAGCACTGCGGCAGCAGCGCGGACCGGCTGAGCGAGGCCATGGCGGGCGGTGTGGGAGGGCTGCCAAAAAGCGCGGCTCAAAAGTGAAGTTGAACTTCGCGCTGGCGATCCTGTCGGGCGGACTGCGGGCTGCGGAGCTGCTGGCTGCTTGGCACTTCACCGCGATGCCTCTGACTGCCGCATGACGGGCAGCCGGCAGTCTGCTACCATGGAGGACACGCCCGCCTGCAACACTCGCCAGCCCTGCCCCCGCTCGCCCTGCATCCGTCGCACGCGCCCAACGCGCCCTCTGCCCGCCGGCCACCGCTGGGCCCCCGTCTGCTGCTGCACCCGCGGCCAATCCCTGCCCGCGGCGCACCGCAATGCCTGAGCGGGCGTCACAAATCGCAACCTACGCGGCCGGCGCCTCGCTCGCCGCCATCACGCTCGTCTACGTCTTCGGGCCCACCTTCTTCCTCGACGACGAGGCCACCAGCAGCAGCACCAAGAAAAAGGGCGTCGTCGGGCTCAGCAATGCCGCCAACGACTGCTTCATCAACTCGGTGCTGCAGGCCCTCGCCGGCCTGCCCGACCTGCGCATCTACCTGATCCGCGAGACCCACCGCCGCAAGCTGGACGCCCCGGAGGTGTACTTGGTTGATCCGGCGCAGCCGAGTGCCGACGCCGCGCCCGCCCGCCCGGGGAAGCTCGAGGGTCTGCAGAAGGGGCTGCTGACGTACGGCCTCAAGGAGATGCTCGACCGCCTGAACGAGCGCCCCATCTACAAGAAGACCATCTCGCCGCAGTCCTTCATCCGCGCCCTCGAGCACGCCTTTGGCACGCGCATCAGCCGCCAGCAGCAGGACGCCCAGGAGTTCCTGCAGATCGTCACCGAGCGCCTGTGCGACGAGTACCACGCGGGGACCAAGGCCAGGCGACACGCATTCCTCCACGGCATCACCTTGGAGAGCGGGGAGGGCGCACCGGCGCGGCACGATCTTGAGGAGCAGCCGAACGAGGCACCGCACAGCCACAACGATGACGAGCATGCCCCCCTGTCCGACGAAGAGGGCTTCCCGTTCGAGGGCAGGATCGAGTCCCAGATCGAGTGTCTGACGTGCCACTTCAAGCCGAAGCCCTCGTCCTCGGCGTTTGTGACCTTGACCCTCAGCGTGCCGCAAGCCTCGTCGGCCACCCTCAATGCCTGCTTCGACGGCATGCTGAAGGTCGAGCACATTGACGACTTCAGATGCGAGTGGTGTCGACTCGACCACGCCGTGAAGAGCAAAGAGAAGGCCCTTGAGACTGCCACAGACCCTGACATCAAAGCGCGGTTGACGTCTGACATCGCCAAGATCAAGCAGGCCCTCGAGGACGACCCTGAAAACCCACCCGAGGACGTCGAGTTTCCAGACTCGAAACTGGTGCCAAAACGCCGCATAGCGCGTCACATGTATATATCGCTATTTCCCAAGGTCCTTGCTATCCACCTTTCGCGATCCATGTTCGCCGTTGGATCCGTCTCGACGAAAAATTTGGCCAAGGTCTCGTTCCCGGAGTCGTTGCCGCTTGGCGGTCTGCTGCATCGCAAGAACTACAAGCTGCTCGGCATGGTCACACACAAGGGCAGCCACAACAGCGGACACTACGAGTCGTTCCGCCGTCAGGTGCAGCCCATACCCTTCTCCACCCCTGCTTCGTTCGGCCTCGAAGGCGCATACAGTCGCCAAGCGAGCCCGCTGCCATCTGCTGCCGCTTCAGCGATGCAGAGCCCCCGGCTGTCCTACACACACTTGGACGGCGCCAGCGACCCTGCATCGCCCATTCCCTCGCACCTGACACTGGACTCGCCATCCCTACAGTCGCTGTCATCGAATTCGTCGCAGAGTACAGCCGGCCCGCGCGGACCAGCACCGACATCTGCGCCCCGGACTGACAGCGACTCACTCCACCCATCGCCCGCATCCGGGGAGTCAAAGCTATCGCGAACACAGAGTCTGCGATCGATGAAAGACAAGGCATCAGAGAAGGCGCAGTCAATGGTCGAGAACAGCCCCCTCAAGCGCAAGTCCAGGCGCACAGTCAACCGCTGGTGGCGCATCAGTGATGACAAGATCAAGGAGAGCAAGACGAGCGAGGTGCTTGGCATGCAGAAGGAGGTGTATCTGCTCTTCTACGAGCTCGACCGGTGACGGCATACCGAGAGGTCATTTCTTACTGCATATAACGGCGGCTTTCATACATGCATTTCCCCATCTAGACTTAGACTAGATCACTTTCGCTCTCATCCAGCGGCGCTGTAGTTGGTACGATAAGGCTAAGGCGCTATTAATCATCATTGATCTCATTGGTCAATGCCACATGTATACAACCTCCACATGTACACCTCGAGCCTTGTGAGCAGACGCCATAGGCGATCGTTGACTGACGGCTGTAACCTCGAGCTGCAATACGACTCTGGCTTACGACACTTCAGCTCACCACACTGGCACGCGTATTGGATGTGCAGACCTCAACCCCGCACTCACTTGACATCCAGACTTGATCTATATATCCTACCTAACTTGCTCCCGTAGCACCGTAACCGCCAGAGACCTCACCTCCCTCCACCAGAGTCATCACGGCCCCGACACCCAGAGCAACACGCATCCCGCACCAATCCCATGGCGCCCTACCTCGGAACCCCCCCAGACCCCGCCCCCACCGGCCACGAAGCCTTCCTCCACGCCCCCGCCTTCCAGACCTTCACCCACCCCCCGCGCCTCCTCATCATCGGCGCCGGCAGCCGCGGCACCGCCTACGCCACCGCCGCCGTGCAGCACACCAACGCCACCATCGGCGGCGTATGCGAGCCCATCTCCTCCAAGCGCGCCGCCTTCAGCGCGAAATTCCTCCAGGAGTCTGCGCCGGGCCAGTGTTTCCCCGACTGGCAGACCTGGGTCGCGTACGAAGAAGAGCGCCGAAGCAACGCGGCGCAGGGCCTCCCGACCCCGCCCGGCGTCGACGCCGTCTTTGTGTGCGTGCTCGACGAGCAGCACGAGGCTGTCGTGTGCGGCATTGCGCACCTCGGGCTGCACGTGTGCTGCGAAAAGCCGCTCAGCACGCGGCTGGAGAGCTGTGTGCGTATGTATCGCGCGCTGCGGGACGCGGGGGAGAGGATCAGGGGGGAGGGCGGGACGGAGCCGGTGTTTGGGATTTGCCATGTGCTGCGGTACTCGCCGCATAACATGCTCCTCAGGCATTTGGTCAGGGAGAAGGGGGTTGTGGGCGAGGTGTTGAGTGTGGAGCATACCGAGCCGGTGGGGCACTGGCATTTCAGCCATAGCTATGTCCGGTGCGTGTTGATTTCCTGAAGACGTGGCTTGACACATATTCGATGGCGGGGGACCTCTATGGCCGCCTCACGAGCCTGTTCGCAGTCCACCGCCATCGCATATCCGCTCACAGCCACCTCCCCCCATCCAACCCCCAACTAACCCCCCCAGCGGCAACTGGCGCAAAACCTCCACCTCCGCGCCCTCGCTCCTCACCAAATCCTGCCACGACATCGACTTCCTCCTGTGGCTCCTCTGCACACCCCTCTCGCCCACCGCGCCCCCCCACCTCCCCTCCACCATCTCCTCCACCGGCTCGCTAAAACACTTCCGCCGCGCGCGCAAACCGCGCGCCGCGGGAACCGCCACGAATTGCTTGAGCTGCGCCCACGAGCCCGACTGCGCATACAGCGCGAAGCGCATCTACGTCGCCCGGCACCTGGCGCAAGGCGTCACCGACTGGCCCGTCAACGTCGTGGTGCCGGACATCGAGGACGTGTATGCGGCGCAGGGCCCCGCGGCCGCAGAGAAGAAGCTGCTGGGTGCGCTGGCAGAGGACTGGGATGCAGCGACGCCTGTGGGCGTGCGGGAGGGGCGGAATTGGTTTGGGCGGTGTGTGTGGGAGGCGGACAACGACGTGGTGGACGACCAGTTTGTGACGCTGAGCTGGGACGAGGATACGCTTGCTGCGCCCTCTTCGGCAGAAACCACCACAGCGACGGCCTCCGCCGCGCCCGAAGACCGCGGCCCCAAAACCGCACTCCTCCACATGATCGCCCACACCCACGCCCAATGCGTCCGCCGCGGCCGCATCTACGGCACCGCCGCCGAACTCTCCTACGACTCCACAACCATCACCATCCACGACTTCGCCTCCGGCACCACCACCACGCACACACCTTACACGACCCCCGGCGGCCACGGCGCGCGCGGCGGCCACGGCGGCGGGGACGCCGGGCTGGTAGTGCAGTTTCTGGGCGCCGTGGACGCGGTGCGAGGGGGTATGGGGGCAAGGCGCGCGGAGAGGGAGTGGTTGGGGTGTGATGCGTTGGAGGTGTTGAGGAGTCATGCGGTGGTGTTTGCGGCGGAGGAGGCGAGGGCGGGGGGGAGGGTTGTGGAGTGGGGGCCGTGGTGGGCGGAGAAGGTGGGGGATTTGTAGGGGGGGTGGTGCGAGGGGGTGGTATACGGTACGGTTCTGCGGGTGCGGGTGCGGGTGCGCGAGGACATGCACGTCGGCGGCCGTGACGAGCCAGCGGGAAGAGGGCGGGCTGCGAGAAGCCTGCACACCGTTGGTACCGCATATGTTACGCTACATGCCCACGCAGTGCTGCCGTCGTTGCTCCCGAACCGCGCATCCGAAGACTCGTGGCGGTGTTGGTTGATATACGCAAACCTCCCCTACGCTCGCACACCACACCACCACAGCCACAGGCCCAGCTCCCCACGCACCCTGCCCGCTAGTCCGCTCCAAGAATCATGTCCCCACGTAAGTTACACGAGAGAACTTGATCCCGCCGTCTGCGTACACCAGCAGCTGCACGCCAGCAGTCCAGGACACGCTCCAGGCGCATCCAAACCAAGCTCCCGTACACTTCCAGCACCGTACTACAACCCGGCACAACCCAGTCCAGCCGCACCACCGCGCGGTATCCCGCCGACACGAAGCCGCGCAGCCTCGCTCCGCACCCGACCACGCCTCGCCTCCTGCACCCCCAGCGACGCCCGAACGCCCGAACGCCCGCCGCGGCCGTGAAGTGCGCATCGGAATCCGGCAAGCATAGTCTCGTTTTCAGAACTGGACCGTCGCCGTCCCCAGACACACCCGATAACCTCACAGCCTCAGAGTACACGTACGGTGCGGTGCGTCCAGACCCCGCCGCCGGGCGTAGGCGCGCAGTCGCGACCGCAGATGGGCGTTGGTGCGGACCGCGCGTCTGCCGCGCTGAGCAGCGCAGGCGCGGGCACGGGTTCGGGTACGGAGACGGAGATGGAGACGGGGATGGAGACGGAGATGGAGACGGGGATGGAGACGGAGATGGAGACGGGGATGGAGACGGAGATGGAGACGCAGCCCGCCGCACTGCGCGGCGGGTCTCGTAACGAAGCCAGCGGGGGATTGTATGAGAGCGCGTGGAGCCGGGGACGCTGGGGGGTTGCTTGGTTCGCTGTGGTTTGCTGTTTTGTACTGGGTGGGTGCAGTGTGCTGGCTTTGTCGGTGCTGGCCGGGCTGAGGTGGGCGTTGGATTGGTTGTTGGGCTGGGATGGAGGTGGTCATGCTTTGGGACTGGTGGTGATGGTGTTCGTACGTGTACGGGTCTGGTGTTGCTGGTTTTTGATTGCTGGTTTGGTCTGTGGTTGCTGGTCTGTAGTTACTGATCTGTATCGGTGCTTGTAAGAATGTGCAGACCCTCCCAACCATGGAACAGAGATGTACCTACAGGCAGCAAAGGCCTCTAACTAGCTACAGGAGTCTACTTAGACGTCCCGCAGGGCAACAACGTGGGATTTGACTAATAATAGGATCGTTTGTTAATTGCTACTATGGCACGTAGCTACGCCGTGTAATCTGTTCCATGGTTGTAAGGGTCTACCCAAATCGCCAACGATTATACTTGCTCGTTGCAAGTCACCTATCTGCTTCGATCTGCAGCATCCAAGTGCAGGCAATGTTCCACCTCGGCTTCCGGAAAGTCGATTGGACAAGACAGCTTTGAATCGTGGTGTCGGGTCCATTCCAAGGTGGCGATGCTGGACCAATTCCATTGTTACCTTCCTATAGAGCGCATGCGTGATGGAGCACCTTCCGTCGCAGCGTGCCAAAATCGCGGATCGGAGCGTTGCAACAGACTAAGTTGAATTTGGCTGTTGCTGTCACGTACAAGGTAAAGCCGGCATTGACGTAGCAAGACAAACTGCTTAATTTAGTTCTGTTCACTTCGCTTGCCAGATTTTGCACTGCCATCTTTCAAATCTCCGGGTTGACACAGCGTTTTACACGGCATCGTGCACGCGGGCCCACTGCGTGCTGTCGTGCCGCTAGCGTCGGCGCGTGTGTAGTCCATTACCTTATGTCCGCATTGGGTACGAAGGTGCGAGCCTCGACCCCACTAGTCCTCAGATATCGGGAACTCCGAATGGTATCCCTCGACTCGGTTCCACGTGACTACCTGTACAAGCAATGCAGAGCATATGTATTTCCGCATTGGGTCCGGAGTGCGAGACTCGGCCCCACTAGTCCTCAGGTATCAGAAACTCCAAATGATATACGATTTACAGACAACGCTCATAGTACGAAGAATTGCTTCCCTGGCAATCCAAAAGCAAAAAGTTGGATAAAGCAGCCCCCTCGAGTTGGTTCCACATGACTATATAAGCAATCCAGAGCATATCCGATGAATTGCACGTCCAAATCTAGCATCCACCCCAGCAATTGTGGTCTTGAGCATCTGTATAATAATAAAGGGCTTCCTCATGGGAAAATGTAGCGTATAGCTGATACTCTAGGTCTAGCCTCCAACACAAGGAAGAAATCGATTAGTCTGGCCGTGAATAAGGCCGTTGAAGGCATGGTCTAGAAGAGGTCTACGGACGCCTCTGTAGGCCAAGGTAAAAGCGTCTGTCCCAAAGCCTCTGCAAAGCAGAAACGAGTTGGAGTTCGTGAGACTGTGATAGTGAGGTCACCAGGCACACAATGTGTAGAACAAGTTCTAAATGCAGCCTCACGCTGAGACGCCAGGAAGATCCCATCCTCATCTGAACATAAGGGTACAAACAGCGGCGTTTATGTAGTCATTGCCGATGCATTGGTACTGAGATTGACGATATTCACGGATAGCCAACCCGTGTCTGTCGGAGCCTCGGGCTCGTTGCTGGGCCTCTGCTTTCCTGATTCCGTTTCGAACACGAGCCCAACCCGCTCCATCCACGGCATATTTGCAATAGAAACTGTTCAAGATACTACCTCAACAACACAAGCCATTTATTTTTAGCGAACGGGGTGCAAAATAATGTAACTTACTGGTGGAGGTACCAGGATGTCGTGTTTGTGGGTAAGTCGCTTAGGCCCCCAGCTCCCTACACGTCCATTTGCAGGTATCCATTGCTAGCTAAATCCCAAATGGTGGTGTGTATACGAACAAGCGAATGGAATTGCATCCCAACATCACTGTTTTGTTCATGGCCCGTGCAACTGCCCGATGAACAACCGCTCACGCCACGGAATATGTGGACGTGCAGGTACGACGCTGAGCCTGTAATGTCAATTGCGTCTGTAGCATAGTGAGTCTCAACATTGTCTGCAAGTTGGCTCTCCGCCAGTACACGGTCGTCGCATTTGATAATTTTAGGTAGAAGACTTTTATGGAACCAACTACAGAGTCAACTACAACGTGCATAGACAATCAGTCTGCATATATCTGTTATGTAACAACGCACTTGCGTTGGACCACTTTTCGGTGGCGTGGAGATCTATATCACTCTGGTTGATACGGCTGGCGTGTTGGTTACGCTGCTCTGTTGGTAGTACCCAGAAGAGAATAGAGGTCACTGAGCCAAGACATGAAGCACCACCATGACATCTGTGCGTACTTTGTTCATGCAGTCCCTCGATAGCAGAGCTTCAAGGCATCCCGCGCTTAAAGCTCTACAGGAAGGTGGACATGTGCGGGCAGAAATACGGGTTGCCACTGTCGTCGCTAACAGCCAGTCATGTGTCAACAGAGGTTGATCTCCGCTGAAGAAGGAAAAGGCGGAGAAATGTGTAGTTCGCTTCGTGTATGTGCCAGCTCGCTTTCGTTCTGTACCAGCCGGGACGGAGACGAGTTGGCTCCCGTCCCGGTCCGTTCACGTCCCGCCTCGTTTATGTCCCGCCTTATGTGTATCGGATCAAACATTCCGAGGCCATTGGCTCTGTCAGTGGCGTGTGGAGATACGCTATACGATCTGATAACCTGATTGCAGGACTCTGTACGGCCTCCCACTGTACTGTATCTAGAATCGCTTTACCAAGGGCTTCGAGATATAAAAGGTATGTGTTGCGCTGCCTGAATCACAGCACAGCTCTTCACACAGCTTTCAACACAGTTCTTACTGAGACAATCTCCATCCTTGCGAAAATGAAGTTCTCACTTGCACTTCTTAGCCTAGTTGCTACCAAAGCACTTTGCTCTCCTACTGCGCAGTCAGCCGACCTTGCTGCCATCGAGAACTCCGATGTCCACCCGGCTGAACTTGGAATTTACAGCCCCCTATACGACCCCACTCAGGACGAGGCGAACCTTACGAGCTCTGCTGGCCAGGGAGAACTCCTCACTGAGGTTGCGAAGATTGCTGCTCGGGGCACCTGCAGCTCTGGAGGCCGTGGAGGGGGAACCGACTACGATTACGGATGCGACAAGGGCTGGTGCTGGAGGAATTGCGGTGGTCCCTTTTACGATGTTTTCGACAAGGGCAAGTCGTGGTGCTGGCTGAAGTATGAGAGTGGAAATGGAGGCTGGACTCCCTGCGGAAGGTGGCAGGATTGCGAGTGGTCTTACAACAACAAGCAGGCGTACTGTGCAAAGGGCGACTGCCCGTCATGTGGCTGTGGTTGCTAGTGTTGGAATCCGCGGATGAGGTGGGCATTGGGTACCAGACAAGATATTGAGACGATTGAATAAACCTAAGCCTCACCAATACCTCTCCACGTTCTCCAGTTGCTGCTTCTCTCTCAAATGTTCCATCAACATCCTACCCAGTTCTGCATTATCGACCCTAAGCTCTGGATAAGGCGCTGTTTTTTGGCAGCATTGACCTCCGACCGATAGTTATAAGGCAGTCAAGCTAAGGAGATCGTGTTTTGGGATCTCATGGTCTGTGCCACAGTCGATGTGAAGAAGAGAAAAGACTTGGGACTGTGGGCTTGAATTAGGATTTGGTTCTCTTTCATAGAAAGCTGATAGCATCCGATTTGCTAGTTCGAATTCTAATCTAGACTTTTCGGGTCCTCTGGCTTGTTTCGAGGCCTTCTCAACGCGGCATCAACTTAACGTGGAGAGTACTGGGGGCTGATTAGGTACGCATATTCACAGTATCTTTCGCGGGATCGAAGTTGCCAATACCATCATTTCTGATGGTAACCACCGACCCTTCTGGTGGTGTCTGGCGCTGGATTGAGATGATTGAAGGCGTGTGCCGAAGGGATCACAAACGTCAACTTGGTACTTGTTGTGGGCCAATGAGGGTGCAAAATTTCAGCCTTCTGTGGTATGTCGGTGCTACGAACTCTTGTTACGCTCCTCTTCAACTTGACGCAAGATGGCGTTAATAGCTTCCTCCTCTCGATTGCGAATTCCGAGAAATTTCAGCACACCGTACCAATCATACTTCACGCCCAATGCTTCGGCAATCTGTCTGGTGTTAGAGTTTAAAGATTCCAGTTGATCTTCGAACATGTTCCCCTCATCACACCATTGTTCATGCGCCAGGTCCAACATTTCTTCGAACAGCTCATTAAGAGATTTACAATAATCGACCACTACGGAAGACTGCCCAAGCGCTATGCCAAGCAAGGCGTAGACTTTGTCGTGAGGAACTGTGGCCTCGGATTGGGAGAACCATCTCACGAGATCAGGTAGAGACTCACGTTCCTGCCTAGACTGTATCCGCAGTAACAATGTTTGGCAGTTGCAGGCCATAATATAGATTCTGAAAGATTTGATATGCCAAAGAGTCTGGGCGACATGGTCTAGAAGCTCCAGCTTTACAGTATGCGCGCCTGAGTGAATACAGACCGCTTCAGCCAGAAGAAGCTCTTGAACAATCCAGATCCGAGTCCAATAGCGATGATTTAACAGGGCTTCTACAGCCTTAAACAAGCGTTTGCTGATGGGTGGGATATCTTTGCTCCACTGATCTACATCTGTCATCTGTAGTTTTGCCAGAAATCCCATCGCCATATCAGTATTGGTGCCCTTGACATTTTCACCGAGCCAAATAGACACAGACTCCGCTCCGCTGTAGATCTGTCGCATCAACGGGACCTGGTGGTTCCTTTCTAGTACGTTGGACTGGTTGATGCAAATCGCGTCGATCCAGAAGGGTCCCAGCTCGCGGCGAGAGTGCATACGGTGTAGGAACCACCATAGATTACGACTGATCGGCACTCTGATATCGTTGAGCTCAATTTCGTGCTTCACCGATGCATAGTCCCACATGTAGGAAAGCGCGACGTATGGCGGACAGTCGGGGCCTATGGGGTATGAGCGTATCCGGCATCTGATCATATCTGGGTCGCTGGTAGGGAGCAGTTCGATGAGGCGGATGCTTTCGCTACATAGGTCTAGTGGTGCCAGTCGGTACGGGTTTGTTTTCTCAGGAGATGCAATTTGCCCCATATCCAGGTCGCTGATAACAGCTCCCTGAGCCGGAGGAGTGTCCATGAGCGTCGTGAACGACGCGTTACTGGTAAAACCACCAGGTTGCTGGGGCTGACGCGCAACAAGTCGGTTTGTGTCGCCTTCTGTATCGTACAAAAACTTGCCTCACATATGGAGGTCTGGAGTGAAGTTCTGAGGCACTGCGTAGAACATAGAATGGATTTGGATGTAGTTGAACAAGCTGTGTCGCGTTTGCCTACGTTGGAATTACTCCTGAGGCTGAGGTTGAGGCTGAGTAGCGTGACTGCACCTTTGATCATGTGACATCAGCCAATGGCCTCTTGTGACCAAATCAACATGTACGACTTCTCGTTTGAAGAATATAAATATCTCGAAGTTAGTCATTTCTAGTCGCGTGTTTGCTAGTGTTGGTGTGAAGGAGTGAGATCGGGCGCGGTGCGGATGACCACACATCGTATCACGTGAGCGCCACTTTTGTGCAACGTCCTGTTCGTTGTGTCGACTTTACAGGCAGTGTAAGCAATTCATGATCGATTGGCTCAGAGGTAATCGTGAACGTGTGTGCGAGCATACTGTGATCAATCTCACATCACTTACTCGATTAGTGCCCTAGTACAAAGAAGATCGAACGCCATGTCCCACAAACTTGTTGCAGGGAGCATGTCGCTACGTCCGAGTCAACTCGTGGTTGTGTTCTTTTCCATCCGAGGCCGAGACCAACCACTAGCTCTGCGTATTCGTTTGAAGTCGAGACCTTCCTCAGGTACGCTTGACCACGGACAATGCTGCCCGACCCTAGAGAACTTCTAAAGGGTCGTCACTCCACTGCAGCAATGGTCCTCACAGCGAAATCTTAGGCTTTGAAGCCACCAATGGCACGCCAGAATGGTGTGATCGGGCCTCGAACCGCCCTCCCAGATTGTATACTCGAACATAATCTGATCGTGCAGCCGTATCGAGGCACTTCTACAATCGGAGGTCGACTGTACCGCCCCCTGAGTTTCGCCGACGGGTAACCGTCGAACATGCACGAGTGACTAGGGGCAGTGCAGTAACAGCTGTTCATTGGCGTCGCTTGTGAATCCTCCATGCAAGGAGGTGAAGCGAGCGAATAGTAGATAGCTTTCTGCCATCCCGAATTTTGCCTAATCGACTACCTGTCGGCAATGGTAGGGTGCAGTAGCCCAGACTCGACTTTCGATTGGTAAGGGTTGTGTGTTGAAGGACGACTAGCCGTTCTGTTTAGGCATTGATGTCCGGCGACGATTGGATCGTGATTGAGAAGGCCGGTATGCATCACGTTTGTGCAGACCTGTGACATTTGTCAATTCTACTCAGAAATACGCCTTGTTGATTTAGGACAAGTTTCGCCGCGGGCGATACGGGGGAAGGTACATCGAGATCATAATCTCTCGCTTTGCTCTTCCTCCAACAATCGAATAGGCATTACCTTTGTTACAACGGTTCGTGGGTCAATCCGGGAGAACAGATAGCTGCTAGCCTGCAGCCCAACGCTTGCGACGGACCGAACCGCGACCTGGGGACTCAGAACGCGGAGACGGGCAATACAACAGAGTCGCTAAGCACCGAAAACTCCACCTCCGGCCTCCGCATCACCCGTCCATCCGGGGAAAAACCTTCAAGTGTCTCGTGACGTCAGCCACGATCGGCCGCAGCATCTCACTTCTCGTGGGACGAGCGCCGCATTGAGTGCGACCTGCATGCCCGCACCCCTGTCGTAAGATCATCCACGATACCGCGGCACGCGTGTGAACGTGTACTGTCCGCAGTGGATGACGCTAGCTTGTGACTACGTCTCGCACATGATGTGTCCGAGCTGAAAATTCTCCCCCGTGTCGTAAACGGCAAGGAAAACCTCGTTGTCACCCTGTGTTTCGCTGCGACGGGGTGCGCGGTGGATGCCCGAAGGTGTGTAGTTGGAAGTAGCTCATTCGTGGACAGAGTGCGCATCCCGGCTAGCGCTGCGCAACGCGCGCTTGGGGGCTCATGTGACTTGGACTTCACCCCGGTCTTCACGAGAGCGTGTGCTGTTATGTATGGGCGACGTCCGCGTGTGTGGTGATGGGGTTACTAGTCCACCATGGCAACTCGATTGCATCCGATGTTCTTAGACCCAACCACTTGCCTCATTCATGCTTCTTTGCAATGAACCTTGTAGATTGTTTGTTTGTTTAGACAGTTCTCCATTTTCGCATAGTTGTCTGTTCGTACTTTAGATAACTCCATACTTCAAGATTTCGCATTCAACGTACATCATTCGATTCTCAAACAAGACCCTACTTTCACCCCATCACGCACTACTTTAGTACGAATTAGCACACGATGTTGCTCTCGCAGCAGCCTCGGGGCTGCATAGGCCCGAACCCAGCACTTCGTCCACAACCAACAAATCAATACCAGTCCACGAAGCTGTTCAATTCGCTATTGTCACCTCCTGCCGTAACCGCCTGTATCGAAGTTCGTTTCACGTCGGTTTCTAAAACGGGATATTGGCCCACAGATCCCTTTGACATGGGACTCCCTCCACAACCATCGCCTGAGCTGCAAACTTCCCAACGCACAAATACAGAACTACGGACTGATTTGAGACGCGGCTCCGAACGATGGAAAGACGACGAGCTCGAGATACTATCAATAACTCGAGAAAAGAGCTCGGAATCACAATCGACACAACAACAAAAAAAGAGCCCCAACGATGATATAGATGTATTCGAAGTTCAAGAGCATCCAGAACTGACGCCACCAAACTCGCGCCAGCTTGAGGGAGCCAAAACCGCAAACAAGCTCGGCTCACTTGACCTTTCACTCGCAAACGGTCCACTCGCAGATATACAGCCATCACCGGACCTCCCAGCCACGCACTCCACCGACACACAAGCGGTGAGCATCAACAAAAGACGCCTCCATTCGCCGACCCCTTCACCGCAGCGCGACCCTCGCAGTTACTTCGGGTCACGGGAAACGCATCTGCCGTGGGTGACAAAGCTGAGCCCAAACCGCTTCTCCATGGCCGTCTCGCCCGACATGCTATCGCCGGACGCCCCACCCCCAAAAAGTATCTGGGACGCAGACGACGATGAATTCGACCGCTGGCCGACCGCCGCACAGGCGCGCGAGGAACTCGACACGATGCGGCGAAACGCGACGACGAAACGCAGCACCTTCGTTGGCCCCGCAACGCAGGCCCGCAGCGTCGCAGACCAGCTCGACGAGGCGGTGAGGACGCCGATGGGCGACGTGACGCGCACGGCGAGCGAGCAGGAGCAGACGATTCGTGAGCTCGAGGATATGGACTGTGGGAACGTCGGAGGTCAGGACCTGCACGATGACATCATCGTGCCGTTTCGCTCGCACGACTACCCTGTCCTCCCCGCCCACGCGCCGGCAAGACACATGCACGTGCTTGATGCTAAGGCGTATACAAGCTGCACGGATGCTGTTGCTAAAGCTGCCAGGCCGAGACTGTGCGACGCCGTGGCCACGGTGCTGGCGTACACGAGCCCTGAGTGCCTCGCAGATTTTCTGAACCCGGAGGTGGAGGTATTCGAGTGGCGGCGGCTGATCAACTGTGTTATGATCCGGCGGGAGGGTAATCAAGTCGTCGTCGGTAACTACTACAACTTTGGGACAACGTACCAGTGGGGCTACCTCGTTCGAGCGACCATTGACGAGAAAGGAGCGTGGACGGAGACGTGGGCTTCGGTGTCGCAGGGCACGACTGCGGTTGGGAAAGAGCGTGTCCTGTTCGAGCAGTTCCTGGCCGATGGCTCAGACTGGGGTGTCGAGCCGGATGACCAGGGGTTCGCGTTGTATGTGGGCCGACAGCTGTCGCATTTTCTGCTCAGCTACGAGGTCTGGAACTACTACAAGTGGTGGCGGTATAGGGTTGAATGGGAGGCTAATGGAAAGGTGACAGATGCGCGCGAAAAGAATCGGTATCCAGCGGGGTTGATATTCGACTGAGCTGGATGCTACTAGACGTCGATTGGACTGTCTTTCAAACGATTGTCTCGGTTAGATGTTGGAGACTCGGCGTCCTTAGAAGAGGTCATCACCTAGACGCATGGTCAGTTGACTAAAATTTTGATGAGAGGAAGTACCGCAAAAGGCTCACTCGAGAGTTTGAATATGATACCCACATTTTCTAGTATTGTATCTTTGTATTGTTCAAGCGTTCGTACCCTGTTATCTCAATGACCTTCTTCGTTCTCGACTTCGGCAATGACAAAGCTTGTGCAGTAGCCGGCTGCAATCTTTGTGATCTTGCCAGGTATGTCGATCTCATTCCAGAAACCACTGATCATATCGTGTTTCATTTCGTGACGCAGATTTGTAAAATCACCGCAGTTGCCGTGCTTAGCCCAGCCCCAGGAGATAAGCTTGCCTTCCCTGGTGACAGCCAGAATATGGTCGGTCCCGACTGCAATCCTCTCGACAAGCGGCAAGTTCGGAGGCAAGAGCTTCCACTGATTTTCTTTGCCCCATGCTGCTAACCGCCCATCGTCGAACAGAACAAAGATGGCATGCCATGTTGCACCTATATCTTCGTACCCTTTTATGTCGGCTGGCATGCCGGAGATGATGTTGAACTTATCTTTCCCCAAGACTATGTGCTCGCCGGTGTTTGGGTCGCCGACGAGGTAGGTGAAATCTTTGCCACAAACGACTCGGATAGGTTTGAATGATAGTCCCTCAATCAATGTAGGCGCATTGACCTTTTCGTGCGATTGAACTCCAAGCTGTCCGAGCCGAGCTTTGCCCCAACCGTACACCTCGCCAGACGCCATGACGACGACGCAGTGCCACACACCAGCGGCGAAGTCGATGGGTTGTCCATTGAGACAAATCTCAATCCTGGGCAAGGTGTCGATACTGGTAGACTCTACAGTTTCACAACCTAGTTCGCCCCATCGACCCTGTCCTTGGGTGAAGATGGAGCTACAGTGTTCTCCGTTGGTTGAGATGAAGGCGGACGTCGTGCTTGTCGCGGTACATAGATGGCTGGAGCTTTGCAGCTTCTTAAATTCATTGATCTGTGATGGTGCATCAGATGTGGCGCTAAGCTGAGCCACTCTGTTGTCGCCCACGCCAATGACAGAGCCGTCATCAAGAAGAAAGAGAGTGTGGTTGTCGCCGCTTCTGACAGACTTGATGTCTTTGAAGAATGACTGATTCGGCAGACGTGTAGGCTTGTCCACGATGTCTGCAGCAGCAATCCCCTCGCCCAGCTGACCTTCGCCGTTACTGCCAAAGACCCAGAGCTGGTGTGCCATCTTGTTTTGTGTGCAATTCAGTTGACAGTAAACGACAGAGCAGACATACACCTCATGTGGGAAATAGATACGTTGTGCAGAAGTGCCGTATCATCGCAGAAAACTGTAGATCTGCGACAAGGCTCGAGATGGTGTTGCAGCTGTCATGTCTCCACCGGACGAGGTCGCGCTAGGCGATGCGTACCACGCTAGCCCGATTCAGCGCTAGCACCCACATCGCATTTTCGCTCGCCAACTTCCACACCCGAAGACTTCGTGAACGACAACTGCCCGCACCACACGACCTCTGCACGTACTAACCACAGTCGCTCAAAATGGCCTCTCAATCTGTGCAATGCTTCGGCAAGAAGAAGACCGCCACCGCCGTCGCCCACTGCAAGGTACGCACCGCCGCTGCGCGCGCGCATCGAAGCCATGGAGCCGCATACTGACGCAGAATGAACAGGCTGGTAAGGGTCTCATCAAGGTCAACGGAAAGCCTCTTTCCCTTGTCCAGCCCGAGATCCTTCGCTTCAAGGTCTACGAGCCCGTCCTGATCCTCGGCCTCGACAAGTTCGGTACGCACACCCCACTGCCGGCGCGCCCCAACCCACCAGCGCGCAGGCACCACAGCCAGCACAGAGCCTCACTAACAACCCCCAGCCGACGTCGACATCCGCGTCCGCGTCTCCGGTGGTGGTCACACCTCGCAGATCTACGCGATCCGTCAGGCCATCGCCAAGTCCATTGTCGCCTACTACCAGAAGTACGTCGACGAGCACTCCAAGAACCAGATCAAGCAGGCGCTCGTCCAGTACGACCGCACACTCCTCGTTGCCGACAACAGACGGTGCGAGCCCAAGAAGTTCGGTGGTCAGGGTGCGCGCTCGCGCTACCAGAAGTCCTACCGTTAAGCTACTCTCCTACTGCGGAGGGAGCTTGGCGGTTCCAAAACTCGGATTCGGACTTTGCTGCGCGGTTCTCGAAAAGAGCTTTGGGTGGTGGTGGTCATGGGCTTTCAGCGTCGCCGGGCGCATGCAGCCGGGCAGACTGTGCGGAGGCGTGTGAGCGCGCTCCGGTCCTTGTGACGATAAAAACGAATCAAAACGTTGCAAAACACGCTGCGGATGATGGACAGCACGTGTGCAGAATATACCCATTTCACCGCGTCCACCGGTGCCCTACTAACCGGGCAGAAGTGCTGTCAATTTTTCTGCATCCTGCTTCCAGTGCTCTATGCCCATTTCCACTGTCAGATTCGCCTCTTCGCCGTGATCGTGATGGGAATAAATAACCCGGCGTTTCAGCTGCCGTTGCATCTGTCTCTTGAGCTCCCAAAGCGACGGCCAGCATACTGCAAACACGTGAGTTCAACTGCGCCTTGCAATCTGTGTATCTCGTCGCCACCGTAGAGCGTCAGATACGATGCGTAGCAAGTTAAGATCAGACGCATGCGTCGTCTACGGTCTCACCACGTATCATGAAAACGGTGAGTAGGAGCGTGACCAGCAAGTAGCCATCACAAGTAGCCCTCACCACCGCGGGCGCCGCGCTGCGGGAAGAACGTAGAAGGATTGATACCTTAGTACACTATACCTTAGTACACTATACCTTAGTACACTTCACTTCCAAGACCTCAAATGAAATTAATATCCAAACCATGTGCACAGAAATACCATGTAGAGACTGGTCTATAACATAAGTAACGGATGGAGCAGTGAGACGAGTGATGGATAACGAGTATTGCGTGATGGAGAGAGGCGTGTTCGTGTGTAGTGAGGGACGTGGACTTGTGTGAGTGGATGAGTGGGGAAGGGGAAGGGGAGGGGTGACGGATGGGCAAGCACACGGCACAGAAGCGTGTGGGCACCGATGCGGATCCAACGCTCTTCGTTCAGTTCAACACCGTCTAGACAGCGCCGCGGTCCGGCTTGGACAGCTTCGCTTTGCAACATATCTACGCTCCGCTGTGTGCTGCCTCCGTGCCTCTTCCCGTTCACACTCCACACTCCAGCACTTCCTCACACTTCCACTCCCTTCACCTCAACCTCTGCACTTCCTCAGCCCCTGCCCCTCGCAACCGACAGCGCCTAGCCGTCACTCCCACTACTGCGGAACGCAGCGCACAGCGCAGCATACTGATGTGTGAGATCGAGGACGTGCTGGGGCAGACTGGTGCCCTGGATGATACTGCGGACCTTGACTGCGCCTTCTTCTTCGATGAGTTTGCGGATGGTGTACAGGAGAGCGGGGGAGAACTAATCTCGTCAGCAAGCACGCCTAAGTCATGAAGGGATTATGTGTTGTGTGATACGCACCTCAGAGTACCAGCGATACTGCCACGTGACGAGCCTAATCAGCGCCGCGCAAACATCGCGCGTATTCCGCTTCTCCTCGCCGAGCCTGAGCACGCCGCGCATCGCCTTGGGCGAAAACTTGATCTGCAGACAGTTCTCGTACGCCTCGACGGCCTCCTCGATGTGGTGCAGGCGCTCGGCCAGCTCGCCCAGGATCTCCCACTCCTCGGCGCTCTTCTTGTACAGCAGCTGCTGCTGGCGGTACTGCGCCATCTCGGTGCGCCAGATGGTGTAGACGCGCAGGTCCTCGTAGAGCACCATGAAGAGGTTGTCGAGCCAGCGCTCGCACAGGCGCTTGTTTTGGAATTGCGTGTACGAGGGCTGCGTCTCCGGGTGCGGGTCGTCGGAGCCGGCTTTTACGACTTCGGCGGCGACGGTGTGGCCGGGTTCCTGGAGGGAGTCGGGGGTGGGGGAGGGCGGGGAGGAGGTGGTGTCGGAGGCTGGGGCTGTGTGGCCGTTGGTTTCGGGGTTGGGAGAGGCAATTGCGGAGGGGGTGGGCGAGCGGAGGGCGGTGGTGCTGGCGCTGCGCGAGTGGGATTGGGGGACGCTTTGCTTTTCGTGGCGGTACTCCTCTTCCATGACGAAGACTTGCGACCGTATTTTCAGCAGCTGGTCCCAGCCGATCTTCTTTGTTATCTCTGTCAGGATGATGTAGGCTTTCAGGAATGTGCCCTTGAAGCCGGCGGCGTGGAGCTTGCGCAGTGTCGGGTGGACCATCTCCATGTCGTCGAGGTTGCTGTCTTCGATCTCGTCGCACATGGCCTCGGGCATGATGGGCAGGAAGACTTTCTGGGGCTCGGGCATCCGTGGTGCGTCCTTGTCCTGGTATGTGAACATGGGACACGAATTGAGGGTGAGCAGAGCCAGGTCCCACTGCTCCAGACTGACGTAGATCTCTGCCAGGCGGGCCCAGGTGCCGAACTCACTGGGCGCCGACACGACGCTGCGCTTCGCAATCTCGAGGGCGAGGTCGCCGCGGCCCTTGGTGTTGCAGAACTCGGCCTGGCAGTCGAGCAGCGAGTAGTCCATGGGCAGCTCCTGGATGACATCATGCAGCAGCTGCACGGCCTTGACCTCCTCGTCGGCCTGGATGTAAACCTGGGCGAGCAGCGAGGAAATCTCCGGGTCGCGTGTGCGCAGCTTCTCGAACAGGTTGATGCCGGACGCATATCGGCCCGTGGTGTGGATGTAGCTCAGCAGCCCGGTGGTGAGGTGGTTCGAGACGAGATTGGGGACCTGGATCTCGGGATCCGACCCCAGTTGCCAGCCTGTGCATGGTCAGCGTGCGCCACGGTCGTACAGTGCCAATCCTACCGCTGAAGAACAGGCGCTCGGCGGCGTCCAGGAACTTGTGCTCGCTCTCGGTGCTGGTGACGGGGTTGAAGCGCCGCACGCCGACAATCTTCTTGATGGTGTCGCCGGAGCCGTCGTCGGCGTACGAGTAGGCGCGCAGCACGCTGCACAGGTACGTCTCCAGCCACAGCTCGTCGGTGGCCACGCGCTTGTCGCCGCGCTCGTCGATGCAGTAGCTCTCGACGGTGCCGGGGATGTAGACCTGCACGCGCATGTCCAGGCGCGAGAAGGCATTGTAGCAGCTGGCCGGTCAGCGGGCGCGGCGCGGCGTGCGGGGCGCAACATACCAGTACAGGCCGGACACGACCTTGTTCTGCTTGTCGTGCGGCGAGTACGTCAGCGTGTTGATGTAGGCGGCCAGGCTGGCCGACGACGAGGCGTCGATGCCCGTGACGTGGTGGTAGACGCCCGTCTGGCGCGTCGTCGACTTGATGGGCTGCTTGATCAGGTGCACGAGGTCGGGCGGGCCCAGCTCGCGCAGCGTCTGCAGCGACTCGGACCGCGCCTCAATGGCCGAGTGCAGCTCATCCTCGTAGATTCTGGCGGGGGTCAGCGCTGCGCCCTAGACGGGGGGGCGCGCGTACTCGGGCACCGCCGGGGATGCGACCATGGCTCAATTGGCGCGCAGGCGGACAGAGGCCTGGGGAGGGGCCGCGGGGATCGGGGCGTAGGTCGGCGGGAGGGGGGCCCGGCTGCAGTGGGCGATGCGTGCGTGGGTTGGCTTCGGTGTTCTCTCACATGTGGGGAGGGAGCTGGAGCTGCCGCGGAGGTTGGCGCTAAGGAAGTAAGGCTGGCCAGGGTGCGACGCGCTCACGTCCGACGTCGAAGCACACGCGCCGCCGCTGTCGCAAAGCTGCTGCAGGGCCGTCCACGACTACGCCAGACCTCTACTGTCCACGACTGCGCCAGACCTCTACTGTATACTGACCACCCCACTGCACCTGCGCCCCAATGTCCCCGCTGACCGGCGCTCCACGCCCCGGACTGCCCTGAACACCGCCGCCATGGTACGTCGTGGTTGCACGTGAAGGCTGCATGTATATCCATGCTAAACACGCCCAGTCAAAACCCAAAGCGTCCAAGGCCTCCACATGGCACGCCCTCAACGTCGAGTCCGACCACGAGGACGAGGTCGAGGTCGACGACACGCAGGAGATCCAGATCGAGGAGGCCCTGAAGCTCTACCAGACCGCCCTCAAGCTGCACTCCGAGGGCCCCACGTCCTTCCTCAAGACCGCCACAGCCTACAAGGAGCTGTTCGACTCGGACATCTTCAAGTACAACGAATCGCTCTCCGAGTATAAGCGCCATGAGGTCTTCGGCGAGACCCTGGTCTTCGACTCCATCCTCGAGGACGACTTCGAGGTCGGCCCTGCGCAATCGGCAGGCACCGCCGACAGCGCGCCGAACACGCTCCCGCAGATACTGCATCTCTCCTACAAGAACCATGGCCAATTTCTGCTCGAGTCGATGCAGCACTGGGTCGCACAACATGGCAGTGCGCCCAACGTCGAGGGCTGGAACAACATTCGAGGTGCGCTCAGCTACTTTGCCGAGGCGCTGGACAAGGAGGACACAGATCTCGACCTGTGGTTACGCGCCGCATCGGTAGCAGCTATGCTCGGCAGCAAGCGTCTGACCCGCTACTGCTTGGAGGCCGTTATGGACGGCAACGACGAGCTGTGGGAGAGTTTGCTGCGTCTCCCAGGTCTTGAAGAGGGTCTGGCAGGCCAACAGCTGCGTGAACTAGTCGGAAAGCTGGAGGATAACGTTTCCCTAATGCAACCTCCATTATCGACCATGAAACGGAAGAAGCTCTCCGAGACTCTCAAGAAGCGCCTGAACCCGTACCCGTTCGCCCCGCTGCCCGCTGACGTTGCTGAAAAGAACAGCCGACGAGTCATTGAGCAGGAGCCCGACCACATCGCTCTGACGTCGGCGAAATGGGACTGGTCAAGTGTTGGAGAAACGATACTACAGCACTTCATAGCAGAGCAGCGAGGCATCACAGGAAGCACAGCCCCAGGATCCAACGTGCGAATTCTAATACCTGCCGAGCTCGAGTCACAGCGCATCGAGCCCGAATCTGCACCTGCCGTGGAAGAAGTCATGGAAGATCAGCCGTCTCCACCCCAGGCTGCGGAGCCTTCCCTTCCTGCTCCTGAAACAGAGACTGCTACCAAAATAGAACCTGATGCTGAGGCCGCTCAAGATGGTAACGATCAGGTGGCAGAGGCTGCGCCAGCACCTTCGCGCAAACGATCAACCGATTCTGCCGGCCTTCCAGAGACAGCGGAAGGGGGTCGTGCGAAGCGCATACGTACTCGCAATACAGCGACCGGCCAGGTGGGTGAAACCGTCGTACAGGATGCCAGCAGCTTGCTCGAGGGCCAGTTGGAACACTTCGCCCACGCAGACCAGTGCTTGTATGAGATCGTTAACGACATCTATACTCGCTTGGGCGTCAAGAGTTTACTACACCCTAACGAGCTACGAACTCTGCTGCTTGCTCTCCCTGATTCAACGGCGACTGAAGTTGATGACAAAGCTGCCTGCGACATGTATCTGGCTCTGCAGACTGGCAATAGTAAAGCTGCGCAGGTCTTGCTTAGCACTGAATCATTCGATTTGGTCGGAGTCACACGTGAAGCTGGTCTCAATGCATTTCTAGGCTACGCAAAGGCAAGCGGGGGCCAATCGTCTCCAAAGCCTGTACTGCAAGACCAAGGGCTACGAGCCTTTGCACAGAGCATCAACGCCAGTTGGTTTTCGACAAAGGAAGTTGCATTCGCCTGGGTAGAGGTACTGTTGTCTCGAGGGTCGTTCGCCGGCCGACAGCCATCGCACAGTGACGCTCCCAGTTACCTGGGTTTCAAATGGGCCGACGACCTGAAGCGAAACATAGTCCAGATCATCGTTAACGTTGATGAGTATATCTTTGAGCGCATGCAGGAGCGTATAAGCAGTCTAGACGAACGGATCCTCACATCCTCAGCCGCATCACAAAGTTATTCCCTGTCCGACTTTGATGCCTCGCAGGTTGAGATAGTTCAGACGCTATTTGAGCTTCACCTTGACATCTACTCCCTGATTAAACACCCTCACAGCCAAGTAGATACAGCAACCAAGACATTACAGAGCGATCGACTCGAGCGCTGGTCGACCCTCGCCCGAGATGCTATTCAGCTTCGATCGAGCTGCCGTCAAGACAACAGCATGGATGACTTATCTCTGCGCCACGTATGGGCTTCGGTTTTCCAGATGAGCGTCAAAGATGACGTCCCGCCTGAGCATGTGCTGTCTGCTATTGCGGAGCTGAAGGACATGTTTGTTGCACTTGACAACCACATAATCCAGGTACAGAACAACGCGGTCATGCCAGAGCTGTCTGTGGCTGCTCTCGACCGTGAACTAGTGCGCATCAGCATGAAGGATTTCTTCTTAAAGGTATTCGACCATGACGAGAAGGACCCAGTCACAGTCATCGAGAGTCTGGAGCCGATTCTAGAGCAAGGCGACGTGAGTGAGCAATCTGCCACAGATGACCAAGACGATGGAGCAAACCCGCAGATCACGTCGTCAGCTTCAAACTCAATCGATGTTCCAGAGGTGCTGGTGGAGGGCGAGTCAGAGCGACCATCGCCTATACTCGAGATGCGCAAGTTCCTCGATACAGCAAATGTCAACGTGCGTTTGTCACTCTGGCAGCGACTGCGGGAAGCCTACGACACTATCGAGTACCCGCCAAAGGTATTGTCGTGCTATCTGAGAAGTATCGAGGCTTTCGTCGATGACTTCGAAACAACAACCTTCCAAGAGTTATCACTAGTCGAGCGACAGATCAAACTGTTGACCCGCTTTAGAGTCATTGACGATATGGTGGTTAAGGTCCTGCAAATAATGAGGGGTGAGCCTACAGCTTTTGACTGCTTGTCATATGAGCATGTGCAGTCATCCATGTCGGCTGTTGCGAAGTTGCTGCACATTCTATCGGCTGCCAACATGTTCCGAGATCTGATTCGTATTGGGAAGACTGCAATTCCCAGGATTGAGGGCTTGCCTGGTCAAGCGTTTCTCAGTATGTCGACCAGATTGGACGATATTCAGTTGCGGCTTTGGACGCTCCAGTACTACCTGTTCAGAGAAGGACTGTCGCAGAACACCGCAGCCTTCCCCAACCCATCTGACGATCTCTTCGAGTTCCTGCGACACGTACATCACGCAGCTGGGATTCGTGGGTTCTGCCATCTTTCTGGACGCCAGTTCTTGAGGTTGGCCAAAGCCGAGATCTTGCGTCTGGACAACATTATCGACGCCACTAGTCGCGACACTGAGTTCTGCCAGGTGCTGCATGATCTTTACGGTCTCAAGCTGTTTCTGGAGCCACTTGAGTGCCAGGACTTTTCCTCGAGCCCAGACACCCTCGACAAAAAGGCTGCGTTCGATCTCCTTCCTTTTGTCATGTCTCAAACTGCGAAGGTCGACCTGAAGGATCTACCCAAGACTAAGCAGGAGCTGAGAGCTTCTATCGAGAAGGTTCACGCCGCGCTGGGACGACCCAAGCAGCACGAAGATGTCACTTTCAACCGCAAAGCCATCACAACTTTCTTCAAGTCGCCCATTAACCCGATAATGCTGTTCGATTGTCTCAAGGGTATCGGTGCACTCGTTGCACGTACTATCCCTGACGAGGAAGCTGTTGCCGCGTCAAAGGGCTGGTTCTTCTTGATGGGTAACATCGCACTGAGCAAGTTCAAGTCCCAGAAACGCATGACCCAGGGGCCCACCGAGGACCTTAACTACGCACAAGCCTTCTTCCTTCAAGATCTGGAATACTCCATCGAACGGTGGGAGACGTGGTACCGGATTGCTCAGGTCTACGACACGCAGCTTGAAGAGGCCGTCTCCTGGAACGCAGACAAGATGAATAGTAATACCATCGAGCTCGCCAACTTCCAGCGCGGCGCAATCAACTGCTACACCATGGCCGTAGCATACTCGTCACGCGTCGTCGACGCATCTCCCCGGGAGCGAGCCATGATCGCGCAAATGTACACAGAGTTTGGTGACCGCATCTACGCATCGTCACGGGAGCCTTTCAACATGGAAGCTTTCCACACACGAGACGCCGAGCGCCGCTTCGTTAACGTGCCTGGGTCTACAGGCGCTTCACGCGATATATTGTTCACTCCTCTGCGGCCGTACACGGCGTGGAAGTTCGCGAGCACGCTGTATAAACGGGCTATCAAGAGTAACAACGAGAAGTGGTGGAATCACTACATGCTGGCGAAGAGTCTGTGGAAGATGTGGTCTGCGAACGATAATGCTGTTCGTAAGGCCGCCGCCCTGGAGGCTGCTGCACTGGAGGCGAGGGCTCAGGGTGCGATTGTACCAGAGCCGACCGCTCCAATTTTGCCAGAGCCTCACGGTCCGACATGGGAGGATGTGATCAACCCTGCTGTGGGTGCTATCGAAAGGCTGCCCGACAAGAAAGGCAGGAGTGGCGAGCCGGTACTGGAGCCTCACTACAAACTGGCCACGATTGTCCACAAGCTTGTTAAGCGCAAAGCTCTGCACGCCTCAAAGGGGGCTGAGGTCCTCTCGAACACTTTCTACTCGAAAAACATTGGTCCTCCTGCGACTTACGACGACTGGGAGGGTTACATTCTCGCTGTCATCAAAGCCATGCGCACTGCAGACAAGTCGAGTTGGCATCACCGCATCATAGCACGATCGGCCCAGATTCTCTACGACGATGGCAAGGAACTTCTCCAAGCGCACGCCGCGAAGCACGAACTGACGCAGACAATCTTCACCAAGACCATGGCGGTCCAGGTGTGGAAGCCGGAGTATGAGCGCCCTGGCCGCCACTTCGTGTACACGCTACGTTACACCAAGTTTTTCATCGACTTGCTCGAAACGACAGCAGACAAGACCAATTTCGAGGCTCTAGCGAGGCGCGTGCGCCGCAAGCAAACAGACTTCTTCCAGCACAGTGAGCTGTGGAAGGAGCTGTGCAACCGCTACCTGGCTTTGCTGCGACGCTCGGCCGGTATAAAAGAGGGACAGGAAGACTCAGCTTTCAAGTCAGTCAATCAGGAAGACTTTGGTGTTCTCGCCGCACGACTGGAGGCGTGGTGCCAAGACCCATCTACGCAGCATCCTGTGCTGGATGTGCTCCGCGATGCCATGGAACTGAAGCGTCTCAACAACGGCATGATGAAGCCCAACACGATCGACGACCTCACTGGCGATAGCTACGCCATGCTGTACACGACCGTTGGACCGACCCTACCGGCTCTGCCCTCCGAGCAGCAGCAGCCCAGCCAGCCCAGCGCAGTGCCGCAGCCACCCCCCAATCCTTTCTCCGTGGCTTCATTGATACAAGGCCAAGTCGATGGCACCACCGAGCACAAACTCCCCTTCGCAATGTTCCACCCGAACCAACTCCAGCCGCCACCACCCCAGGCCCCTACCGCCCCCGAGCCCGTGCCACGCGCCCGCGCCAAAGCCGTCGGGAAGCGCGAAATCCAGCGGCGCGCTGAGGCATGCGTGCAGAAGACCGCGGTGGCCAGCACCCCGCAGCAGCCCACGTCGATGCCCATCCGCTCGCCCTCGGTCACCAGCGCCACCATCCCGGCGCTCTTCCAGCGGAGCCAGGACAAGTCCGATCATCCTTCCACCCTCACCTCGAGCAGTGGTCTCGCAGCGAGCCTTCTCGCGGCGTCGACGTCGTTCGAGAGTGCGCCCGGGACCGCGGCGGCGAGCGTGAGCGGCGAGCACGCGGCGGACACGGACATGGACGACGGCGAGGGCGAAGGTGAGCACGACCGCGACCACGACCACGACGCCGACAACGAGGACCACGACGCCGACAACGAGGGCGAAGGCGAAGGCGAAGGCGAAACCGAAGCCGACGCCGACATCGACCCCGAGCCCCACGCCGACCCCTCACCACACCGCACCACGCACGACTCCGACGCCGACGACGAATCCGAACTCAGCGAGCTCGACGACGAAGTCGTACAGCAGATTGCGCATCAAGTGCAGAGCCAGCAGCTGCGCCAGAGCCGCGAGATGATGGTGCAGCAGCAGTTGTTGCGCGAGCAGAGCCAAGGTCAAAATCGGGAGGGGCAGAGCCAGAGTCAGGCGCAGGCGCAGCAGGGGCAGGCACAAGGCCATGGTAGACGGGGCGCGAGTCTGAGTTTCGCGGGCGTGCGGCCCATGTTTCCGGGGTTGTTTGTGGGGCGCAGGGCTGGGGGTGGGAATGCGGAGGGGGAGGGGACGGGGTAGGATGGATGGATGCATGGACAACTAAAATACGGAGGAGAGGTATTGGGAAGTTTTTTTTCGGGCATGTTTGTTATGGGAGGGTGGTTGTCGTGCAGGGTGTTGGTGGTATGAGCTGGTTGCAGGAACTGATCGCAGGGGTTGGTGGCAAGCATTGGTTTCAGACATTGGTATCACACATTGGTACCATACATTGGTGTCAGATATTGGTATTGAGCGGACCGCGCTGCATTGCATCGAATTGCATAACCATCACGACGTTGCGTCTCGGTGCATCTTGGCACATCTCGTTGCGTAGCATCTCGTTGCGTAGCATCGCGTTGTATGGCATTGCATCACATCGTATAGCATTGTATAGTAGCAGTAGCAGTAGCAGCGGCCACAAAAACGGCAGCAGAAGCGGTAGCAGCACGCAAAGAAAAGAAAAGAAAAGAAAAGAAAAGGAAAGAAAAGGAAAGAAAGACAGAGAAAACGGCGTACGCTGTGCAGATACCCTTTCTTACTTCGCTCTGCTTTGCTCTGCTTTGCTCTGCTTTGCTCTGCTTTGCTCTGCTTTGCTCTGCTTTGCTCTGCTTTGCTCTGCTTTGCTCTGCTTTGCTCTGCTTTGCTCTGCTTTGCTCTGCTTTGCTCTGCTTTGCTCTGCTTTGCTCTGCTTTGCTCTGCTTTGCTCTGCTTCGCTCTGCTTTGCTCTGCTTTACTCTGCTTCGCTCTGCTTTGCTCTGCTTCGCTCTGCTTTGCTCTGCTTCGCTCTGCTTTGCTCTGCTTTGCTCTGCTTCACTCTGCTTCGCTCTGCTTTGCTCCCCTTTAGAGTTTTATAGCCATTATCTCTAGCACAGTAACAGAAAACATGCATTCTCCTACACTACATCACATTACATCAGAGTCAGTCACTACATAGTTGAAGAAACACCACGAGGCTGGCGTGGTCTAGGCGGTGTTTGGTGTTTTCGCCATCATGGTGTGTGTGGGGGTGGTGGGTGAGCTGGGGTCGGGTGTGTATTGGCGTGGTAAGTTTTTTGCGGTCCGGCGGGGGGGGGGGGGGGGGGGGGGGCGCGGTTGAGTGCAGAGTACGGAGCACCGAGTACAGAGTAGGTACAGTACAGCCAGTGTTCAGCAAGTCGCCGTAGTCGCGAAACATCGATCCGGGTTGGTCTGGTTTGCTGCTTGCTGGCGCGGTAGTAGGAAGGTGTGGTGCTTGGTAGGCTGTGAGGGAGGCCTGGATATAGAGAGGAGGGAAGCGGGTGTGGAGTGCGGCTAGAATTGAGCTAGCGGCCGTGGCTGGGAAGTGGGGGGGGGGGGGGTGCTCGCTGCTGCGATGGTGGGATTGGACTACTTGGTGGGCGTGGGCGTTGGACGACGTCTTTGGTCTGGAGTGGAGAGAAGGGAGTGCAGGCGTGGGTAGGGGATGGGTATGTGATAGGTGCGCTTATTATGAGGTACATTGGGCGTTGTTGTTGCCCGCGAGGCTGAGGGACTGGGGGGTCCTTCATTCTCGGTTGAGGTCACGTGCGCTGACCGGTTAACCCCACCTTCGAGACGACTGCCTGCGTCGAGGCAGGATCTGTCCTTGATCACCACACTTTCTATGTTCCTTGCTCTTTTGAAGATGGCCGATGGCGTTCTTTGTGATTTATGCCTGAAAATGGTCTTCGGAAAATTGGATATGTGGACCGGAATGAGAGAAATCCGAACGTATGACGATTTGGAACAGTCAGCCTCGGTCTTTTCGTGCCCATTTTGTAAAGCTTTCATGAGAGAACTTTTGGACAAAAGTCTCTCCAAGAGATTAGATATTTTAGTATTTGTTGCTCGGCGTGAACTTTATAGCCCGACGGGGGTACGTGGCTCACCACGAGTCGTCCAGACAAGAGTGATGATCGAAAGGCAGCCTAAGATACTTCCGGAAGATGAGATGATAGGCCCTTGGTTCATTGGCTATGCCCATCGTAAGCCACTCCAACAGTTTTCTCATGCAAAACCCGCAATCCTGAATTGTTCGTGCTAAGATTCCTCAGGCAACAATCAAGAGGAATGGAGTAATTTCCATCGAGATCCGAATTGGCAATCTCATCGCATGGATCTGGACAACAGGTTTGAGATTATCGATCGCTGGCTTGCTGAGTGCACTCAGGGGGTTGACTCGCATACGATGTGTTGTGACATTACGTCTATAGGCTATCCAACTCGTTTACTAGACTTGAGGGGGGTCGAAACAGCCGGATACATAACTCTGGTAGAAACTGAGGGGTGGTCGAAACCGTCACCAGAGTACACCACTCTAAGTCATTGCTGGGGCCACACAGATGGTCCACGTCCATTGGAAACCACCTCAGAGAACCTCGAAGCGCACAAGCGACAAATTCAGATACAGGATCTACCACGAACCTTCCAAGACGCTGTCAGAATTACCCTCCGTCTGGGCAAAGCTCTCTTATGGATTGACAGCTTGTGCATCGTCCAACATGACAAAAAAGATTGGGAGACGGAAGCCAACAAAATGGGCGTGATCTATGAAAATTCTTTCTTGACAATCGCCGCAATATCAGCCGAGAACTGTGAAGGTGGATGCAGTATCGAGCCCTGGACGTGGAGTACCATCGAAGGCAAAGTCCCAAATGGTTTCAAGGACCACGGAAACAGGAGTCTTTCTGACGCAGACTATATAATCAAGCTCAGACCCAGTTGGGAGCAATGGAAGGAGAACTACTATCCTCCTCTGCTTAGGCGTGGATGGGTGTTACAAGAGATGTGCTTGTCACGACGTGTTCTCTACATGGCTGCCGGAGAGATGCTCTGGCAATGCCGAGGCGGTCTTGACCACGAAAATGTAGATCTCCACCCACATTGGCACCACTACTGCAAACAATATCTTGGCTTTGTTGACATCATCCCACATAGAGGGGACGATCGGGCTACCGTATGGTGTTCCATCGCCCAAAATTACTCAAGGATGAACTTTACTCATGTATCAGACAAGCTACCAGCATTAGCTGGTATACTTGAGTATTACACCTCACGCCATATACAAGAGCAGCCTTTACTTGGATTGTGGAGAAAATCTATCGCATATGGTCTAGCGTGGATTAAAACGACACGAAAAGCAGATGATCGAATAAATGGGTTGCCCACCTGGACGTGGCTCTCCTCGCGATCTCAGATTGAAATACATCCTCCGAAGGTTCATCTTGTTCGTGCCCTCGAGCTTGACAGCTGGAGCATTGAATGGGAACGCCAACCTTACGTGTCGAAGCTCCTTGCCGGCACACTCAACGTGAGCAGCAAGATAATCCAGTTCAAGCTTCATAATAATGTCTACGAAGCAGACATAGCTCGCGAGAACTTTCTCGAAGCTTACGCGGGATGTCCTCTGAGGATCATGGTCGAATTCGATAGCGATGTGAAATCTACAATTATCGAAGGACAGGACGTGGTCCTTTCGTACCTGCTGCTGGGTTTCGACGATTGTTCTTGGTTAAAGCTATATTTTCTGGCATTGCTACCCGCTCCGGACGATCCCTCAAAGTATATCCGCATGGGATGTGGGTATACTTACTTCGACAAGCCGGAGGAAGACGAGATGACACCGGAGCTCGTAGAATTTCTTGGCGATTCCAAAGACTGTTTCAATAATCAAGCCACCATGGACTATTTTCTCCGAGACTGGAAGGACGCTTCTCTCACCCTCTGCTAAGATCCGGCGATATCACTGCGGCCTTGCAAGATTCACATATCCACCTCCACAACGAATTCGTCGTGTCAACTCTTTTACGCCAACGGCTCCACGCTACTACTTCTAAGGATTCACGATCATCACGCGACTACGTGAGCAGTAGGCAAGAAGATGCACAGGCGACGAGAGGAACACCATGTCACAGGTTGGAGATGGATGATTCGGGCATTGGCTTTGATTGGAGACGCAATAGGATGGTGTTGGATGAGGAATTGTGTTGGGATAGGGGCTTTTCTTTGAGTTTCTCTGGGTACAGGATTTGGTATTTCGAGTGGCGCCCAGGGTTTTCCTTTGTAGTGAGCAGAGTAAATGTGTAATCGGGAGCTTGAAGCCATCGCGGATTTGAATGTAGGCGTACCTGGTCACAACGATATCTTACTCTTTGTCGATTTACATGCAGAAAATCCCGTGTAAGGACAGTACGCGCCATAACGGGACCCTGTACACAAGCCTGTTGCGGAACGTAAAGGGGACCGAAAGGACACAGCAGAGATTTCGGGCCCCGTAGTCCCGGAGAAAATGGCGGGCCAGGTAGTTACAGGGGCAGAACAGGGCAACGCTAACAGTGCACAGCTAAAAATCGACAACTTTGGAGGCCTCCTGCGGGCGTAAACACAAAGATTAAACATTAAACCTCTGATAGGTAGCAGCAATCGTGACGGTTCGTTCGGGACCCCTTACAGGGTCTGGGGCCGCCTGCAGCAGCAGTTAGACTTACTGAAGTTATTATATAGATGTGACACAGTGGGACTGAATCCAGACTGATATTGGAGGTTCGGTCAGTACGTAAGTCGATCTCCTATCACTCCCGCCGCTCTACGCTACAACAACATCCAACACCCTCCGTGTCTCTTTCCGCAGCTCCACCCACCCACCCTTCTCCACCCTCACAATCTTGCCATCAACACAAATCCGCCGCCACCGCCCCTCCTCCTCCCCGCCCTCAAACTCAATGCGCAACCCATCAATGGCCTCATACCGCACTGCTGCCTCCTCCACATGTTTCCCGCCCTGGTACGCCAGCGTCATCAACCGCATCGCCTCATCACCACTCGTCGGCCCAAAATGCACAAGATGCAGACTCCCATCCAGCGGCCGCGAGCGCGGGGAAATGCAAAACGGCTGCTCGAGATGCGACACCATAGTCGCTAGCGTGTACAAGTGCTCCTGCTCCGGTAACGCCGTCCACGCATCACCCCGCAGCACGGACACCTTCGCCTTGTAGACGTGCGGCGATCCGGACGCGGGGTACAACGCCTCATTCGCCGCCATCTTGAACCGCTCGACGCCGAACTTGCGGTACGCGGCTGTGTCGCTGTCGGCAACGAGCGACGCGTGCAGACCCCAGCTGCACACCACGGCGCCGTGCAGCGATGGGTGCCCCGATGCGGGGTCAGTGGCGAGTTCCTCCTCGCTGCGGGCTTCATCAACGAGGAGGCGGGCGCCGGGCGAGAAGGCGACGGAGAAGAGGGGCAGAGGTTTGGAGCGGTGGGAGGTGAGTGCGGGGATTCCCCATGTGGGTGGGTTGCCGGCGTTGAGGGAGTGGAAGAGTGCGTTTGCGGTTCCGAGGGGCAGGAGCAGGGTTTGGGGGGCCGTGTAGGAGGGGGAGGAGGGGTGGGTTGTGAGGCCGTTGATGAGGTCGATTATGCCGCCGTCGCCGGAGAGGAGGAGGATGCGGAGAGGTGTGCCTGCGTTTGCCTTTGGGAAGAAGACGGTGATGGCGAGCTCGAGGACGCTTGTTGCTGATGTTGTGGTGTGCACGTGGAAGGTTTGGTGGTCTTGGGGGTAGACTGCGGCGAGAAGGGGGCTTATACATTCATCGTAGAAGACAGCTGCGGCCTGGTGCCCCGAGCCAGTCGACACAATGACGTGCGTTTCAGGAATCTCAGATAATACGTCGCTGACATCACTAGTCGACGATTTGGTGATCTTCGCAAGTCGTGGGTGCTTAGTTGGGTCCTTGTTGAGCTCTAGCACAGCGTCGATGGAGGTTGACCCATCTGAGCCACGCAGCGAGACGTTCATGTACTGAGGGGTCTCTGGCTCCGGCTGCTCGTTCTGGCTGCTGATTGATTCCTCACGCTGTGGCTCAGTCATGTTGCAAGATATCGTGCCTGCACCGCACACTGGCTGTCAGTTAGTAAGCCCCCACATTGTTGCGTGACCAGCTCTGCCCTCCAACGATATCACAGAAGATTGCTGGAAAACGGTAAAACAAACCTCAGATCAAGATTCAATTGCGAAATATAGACAGCGCACAATTCTGTGGGATGGAAGACTTGGTCGCCATGGTGAGTTGCGATAACTGGCCATGTCGTGACCAGCAGGAGCGACAGGGGTCCATTTCTTTCTCACCCGCATTTGGCTCCGCTTGTTTGTGCACGCTAACCATGTACGTCATGTTCGAGGAAAGAGCGGCTGTGGAGGAGGCAGGAACAGAGACGTGCGACGGAAGTCTGGAACATTACATTCCCCACGCTGGTAGTTGATATTTCGAGCTCTCGCACGCCTAAAATAGACGACCGCCAGCGGGATTGCTCAGTGGCTCCGTCAGCTTCCAGGCTGGGTTACGTCACGGCCGGACGCTTGGCAGCTCGGGACTCAGCATCAGCGGTTCATCAACGACACCTTAATCAGCGTTGCCCTTTGTTGCACTGTCTACTCTCTTCACAGTCTCTCTGCTGAATCGCAGTCCTTCCGCCGCACCCGCGCCGAGTGTCGCACCGACTACGTACAAGGTTCACCTGCCCGTGCCGCACAGGCAGCCTCGCGCATGCGCACGCCCAACCTCACCAACACTTGCACCCTCACAACACCGACACAATGAACGGCGGCTGGGTCTTCCTGATTATCCTGCTTCTGCTCGTCTCGGGCGCCTATTTTGGATGGTACTTCTATGCCCAATGGAACGCCAAGAAGAATGGACTGCCACCGCCGTCGATGAACCCGATTGCCGCCTTCAAGGCCTCGCGCGGCGGCGATTCGAATTACCCTGGTCCTGCACCAACCGGCATCAAGGGATGGATTGACACGCAAGTGCGCAAGTTCAAGAACCGAAACAACCGCTCTGCCGCGGGTGCCTACGAGGGCGACTACGCAGCGACTGGCGGCGCACAGCGAGGCCGCGGCGCTGGCAGCCGGCTCGACCCGGACGAGGCGTGGTCAGCACGTGTTGGCGACGAGGCATACTATGAGGAGCAGGAGCTCGGTCTGCACGAGCCCGCGCGCGGCGCCAACCCGTACGCGTCTACCAACTACGCGCCCCAGCCCTCCGAGGAGCGCGGACGCAGCCGCACACGCGACAGCTACGATGATCACCTCGACGCAAGGACCGCGCGCAACGATCCATTCGGCGACGAGAATGCCACGAGTCTGCGTGGCGTTAGCCCGCGCCCGCTGACGTACGGCGAGGACACAAGCTACCACGGTGGAGCCACGGCTCAGATGCCCCAGGTCCCGCAGATCAAGACACAAAAGAAGTCGGAGAGCGCGAATAGCGACGAGAACAGTCCGACGGAGAGCAGGAGGAGCGTCTTCAGGGAGGCGATATAAGAGGATGAGTTGTCCGTGATCACAAGGCGGTTGTGGTCGAACGGGAGCGTAGACTTATGATACCTCATGTACGACCGGTGTTTGTTGGGATTGGGACTGTCAAGGAGTATATACCTTTGCTTTTGTTCAAAAGATCTGTTTTATGCCTGAACTTGCCACGTTCCATCCCAGTCCAGGCTGTCGACATCCTGAACACGGAGATGCATCGTCACAGAATGCGAGGCATTATCAACCTTAATCTTCATATCCTCTACTTCTTCGCATCCTCCCATTCAGCCTCATCTTATCGACTTCACATATCCATCGGACCATCCTTCGTCCTTTCCCTTCTCTCTCAGCTAGTTCCACCCACAACCTCGCCAATCTCTCCGCCCTTCACGCTCCCGGTTGTCTGCAGCCCTCGCCCACCCCCTGAACTCGCGCTTCACCACACTCCCACCCTCCACCAGAAACGCCTCAGCAAACAAGCCCCACAGCTTCTTATCTTCGGTAGTATAGTGCTCCGCCCACGGAGCATATCACGCTGTCGCCGTCACCCTGGACGCCGCGGCGCAGCGCTAGGGCAAAAGCAAGAGGTGAGCGGGCTGCAGACGGAGCCGCTGAGGGGCGGGACGCGCTCTGGCGCAGGTGTTGCGGGGTTTCAGGTCGGGTGCGAGGGGCGCTGGGAGTAGGGGCGAGGAGGCGCGAGCAAGGTGGACTGGGGGTTCAGGGGAGGGGTGGCTAAAGTGGTTGGGGGGGGGGGGGGGGTTGTGTTTGATGGCTTTTGGTCATTCTGCTGTGTGTCTTTTGGGGGTCTTGCTGTGTGGCTTTTGGCAAAGTTGCTGTGTTTTTTGGTGGTGTTGTCTGCCGTGTGTGATGTGTGATCTTTGGTGTATGATGTCGTTTGTGTTATGTTGTACAATGTATATCATATGTGTTGTATGTTGTACAATCTCGGGTGTATGATGTGCGAGGGTAATTGTAAACCTTTCAAAACATGACTGTAGAAAAGGTAAACCATGGTTGGGACAAGGTCAAAGATTTGGTCATGTAATAGTATGGTACCAACTAAAGATAGCTCTGGCGATAAAAAAGCCCACAGAATCTGTCCGTGGGTGAGCAAGGGTCACCTATGGGACTCTTGAAGAATATCAATCACTCGGTCCACACACTGGCTGTTCTATTGAGTTCCTATCAGGATAACTTGATAGTCGGTTGCGAATGTCGAAAAGCTTGGTCAACGGGGTTGAACTGAATAGAGAAAATGTATCACAAATTAAGACTGCTAGTAATTAACATACTTTGGCAAACGTTAAATCGGGAGGCTAACATCTCTGTATCTCTTTTGTAGATTAGTGGCTGTATTCCAAATTCGTTACAGTTCGAATGCGAACAGAGAACCCAAGATTTGCTTGTTCGTTTGGAAGTGGGGCTTCAGCCCATCACTGAGTTATACAGAAGACTTGCTATAAGTTCGTTGTTTTGCAGTCGAACCTTGCCGCGATTGAAGTACGTGTTTAGTATGATGTTGTTTCCCAATCACCCGATGTGTGACATAAAGGCTCGTACATCTCCGATCGGGCTTATTTTCTGAACAGTGGCTGACAGAATCGGATATCGGACCTGAATCGCGAAGGAAAGAATACATCTATTTATGAGTGCTACACACCAAAATGAACGTAAGGTACCCAATAGGTAGGAAATGATCGCTTCAGCTCTTGCTCTGAGCCATCTTCCTCATTGTCGCACCATTCAAGATCTCTAGATCCTCCATGCTGCCTTAAGCAATCTCTTCGCATCTTTCTAACTGCCTTATGTAGTGCCCGACATACCGCTGTGTCAGTCATTCCTTCGTCGCGGATAGTCTCGTATACTATCTGGGCAGCTTCCACACAGTGGCTGTCTTTAACCTCCCAGAGTGTGCCTATCACATGTCTGAACCCTGCTAACTGTAAGGAGCCAGCCAAGTGTACTGCTTCGTCGACAAGCGTGATTTCGTTGTTAGCGCTTGTAAAGCAGGCTGACAGGAAGCCAAGAAATGGACCGCTCTCATGCATGTTCATGTCACGAAGATCACCGACAGTTAGTGGCTGGGTTTTCCAGTCATCCAAAAGCAGTAGGCTCTTCGCAGGGTCCAAGTTATCCACTTTTCCATGCCCTGCAAAGTGGAAAATCAAACAATCTCGCAGGCTCTGAATGATCTCGTCTTTCTGCCGGCTGGACGGTATCACAGCTTTGAGATGCAGTGAGGGACAGAGCTTAGTCAGCATCTCTATCTCTCTATCGGCATTAACCAAGATACTCGAGGCTCCTAGGGACGGAGTTACCCGCATAGCTACGAGGAGAGCATGCCCAGAATTCGGACGAGCAGCGCTCTGCAAGGTATTGTTACGCCCGGCGATTAGGGATTTGACGGAAGTAGTGTACGAAGACATGACTCTATCGAGTGTGGACGTAGAGTTCCCTTTGATATGCAAGCCGGCGGCGTGAATTGGAAAGTGGTTCAATGGCCCGGTAGGTATCCACCATACCTGCGGCCAATCATCAGTCTTAGGTGCATGCTGGTAACCCAGCGCAGTCAAGATAGGCTCCACAGCAGCCGTCCACAACCATTCTAGAGTTTCAACTGATCGCACTGAGACTTTCCTCGCTTTCCCGCTTCCTCTCTGGTTGATCTCCTCTTCTGTGAGGTTCGCGAGAGGAAGTGTCGAGATCTTGTCTTGCTGAATGAGAAATGCGTCACAACGATAGTAGTTCATGTTGATTATGACGATGGGTCCCTTCTCAGCAGCACGCAGGAAATCTTCTCGGGTTGGCGGAAGAAGAAACCTTTCAAAGCCAGGATAGTCTCGAATACCCACAATGAGATTGCTCAATTCTTCGTCAGCCTCAATCAGTCGATTGCCTTGGAGCTTATCGAAGGATAACCCGTTTTTCTGTAGATGTTTTTGTGTTTGACGCGAATCCAGCTCGTCCCGGAGAGTTTCGAATCTCTCTGCAATATCTGGATACTTCTCTCGGAGCTCCGAGATATCAGTCCGTAGCTCAAGAAGAGAATTCCCAATAAGACCACGGCCCATTTCCAGCAGTTCTAAGGCACTGAAGTCGTCTTCCCCGGCTTGTAGCGAAGTAGCTGCAGCGAAAGAAGCTAGACCGGAGAACAACTTAAGCCTTTGTTGCTTGTCGCTGTTGTTTAACATCCGAGGGCTCACGCGTGGCAGAAGTTCCACGACTGTTCTCAGCATGCTAGACGCCTCTTCCCATTTGCTTTGATCTGCGAGAATCCTTGCAGCATGTCGTGCGGAATCGACGCGGGAAATTGGCGAAGAAGCTTCACATGAAACGCCTTGACTGAAGTAGAAAAGAGCATTGTCGAGGTGGGATCTGTTGCTTGTTTTGTGAAATCGATGTCCAAAGTAGCGACCCAAGGCGGCCAAGACCAAGGCTCCCCCAGGGCTATTCTGATCAATGAGCTCCTTCGCTTGTAGACCGAGGGAGATGGCCTCCTCGATGTCTCTCTCCGACTCTTGCCGGTCGTATCTTGCAAAAAGCACTTCCCCTAAGCCAATTAAGTGAGATGATTTCCAGGGGTGGTCGTCTGGTGTATGTTTGACAGCTGTTCGAGCAAGTTCAAGAGCCTCTATGATGTCTTCTTCTCTTCCAATCAATTCATAACGTGCTCTGAGCCGTTTCCCAAGGTGGTATGCATGCAAGGCTTGGTTGATGTGATCTTTGAGTGGGGTCTTAGCAACTGCTGTCCTGCTAAACTCTATGCTGCGGTTCAAATCCTCTTCATTATCAGTCCTCTCATATCTCTGAGCCAGCCAAGCACCTAGGCTTATCCACAGACCGCCTTCGTTGGAGTCCATGTCCACGGAGAGAGCTGTGTGGGGCTGTAGATGAGCGGAGAGCTTGACTGCCTTGTCAAGAGCGTCAATAGCAAGGTCAAGATCATCAATCAAGCCAGTGAGTTCGTAGCGTGTGCCAGCTAGGTTACCAAGGTTAGCCAAATGTCTGGCGTAGTAAGGATCACTCTCTGCAGTGCTTTCAACAATGCTGCTACTCAGGCTGATGGCACGATTGATATCACTCAATGCTTCAGTCTGGAAGAATCGTTGACCGAGAGATGTGCAGAGAGATGTCATGTTGTCAAGTCGGTTTGGGTCATGTTGAGGGGCGCTTTTGACGACGTCTTCCAAAATGACGATTGCCCGGTCTAGGTCATTCAGCGACCCTATTTCGCCAAATCGAATCTGAAGCAGTTTTGCGAGGCTTGATTGATAGAAAAGTCGATGCGGACTGTTGGCGTGAACAGCGTTTGCTGTTATCTCGGCCATCTGAATAGCAGCATTGATGTACTGCCTCGTACCGGTTTGAGCAAAACGCCTCTGAAGCAATATCGCATGAGTTTGACAACAGGAGTTCTTTTCCGACTCATTCTTAGCCAATTCTATAGCCTGACTGCTGACTTTGATAGCATCGTCCAGATCGTGTGATGATTCGATGGCGGAGGAGCGCACCGCAAGCGTTTTCGCATAGCTGTCAAACAATATTGCCCGAAGATGATGACCTTCGGGAACGGCTTCTATCGCAAGGCTACCTAGGTTGACAGCTTTGTGAAGATCATCAGTTGAGCGCGTGAGACCATATCGTTGTTGCAGTACGGTGGCATAGTCGGTCAGCCTGGCTGCTCGGTCGGGATCATCACTAGGGGTAGCATCGACCTTCAAACTAACAGCATCAACAAGATCGTTGATATCGACTATCGAACGCGTGATACTGAAGCGTTGGGAGAGCATGCCGATAATACCGCTCAGAAAGGTAATTCGGATCGGGTTGCTTGGAGAGGTGACGTCAACAGCATGTCTGAAAACGCTGGTAGCATGGTCAAGATCCCTGAGCCTGCGCTTCTTCTCATAACGCAACGAAAACCAAATGGCAACGTATTTGTGCTTTATCAGGAGATCGTAGTCGTCTTGTGCAGGCAACACCGTTTCCCCGGTGTAGTGGGGGTCGTCTTCAGAACGCGCTGTTGATGAGTTCAGCTCAGAAGAATTCCAAGAGAGATTACAGAATTTCAGACATACAGGGCATGATGAAGCCTCGCTGAACGGTCCTGAATCCAGTATTGATGCGTGTGGGCTCTAAAACTGATACGATTTTGAACTTTCCAGCAGGCGATGTTCGATTACATGTGGCCGTACATATATTTTGCGGATTCGCTCATCACCGGTGAAGATCTGAATCATATGATTGGTCAAGGCGAAGGCTGACATACCTACTCAGCCTGATTGATTTGCGCCCAGTGCTACAATGTAACTGGCCACCATAGCCTGCAGGTAAACTTCTGTGCACCACCAAGATACTGTCTACTGGAAGGATTGCATCAAGCCTGCAGGGCCAGACCTTGTCGTGATGAACAAGTCACCTAGGGAGTTGTGTTGGGCGAGGCTATGCAATGCCCGTGGATGCATGTATTTCTGTCGTTGGGCGCATTTGCCACCCTTGTGCTGGCCTACCTCGATTGGTGCCAGTCGACTGATCGATGGCATCGTTTCTCTTCTGCAAAACAAACCAATTCTATCGATTTTATAGAACTAGATCTACTAATCACCTAGGTAGATGTTAAACGCACGTGTTACGTTGAATAGCCTGGTCGGGGGCAGAGTTGTATGACCCCGCACAGAAGGCAAAGGTCCCACAACGCGCCTGTACCCACACCGCACACCACCCTCTTGAAATAAGACCAACCACGACTGCAGCCATGCATCTCACCAATCTTCGATATTATAGTGCATGTGCCACTCACCACTCACCACTCTGCACTGGCACAGTATGGATTCTGTGCCCAATATGCGTATGACGTGGCTGCTGGTGACCTCCCGATGCGACGCAACATCATCGCGCAGCAAATGAGGCAACCTCTCTCGTTGCTTTCGTGGGTTTCTACTACAAATACATATCTCCGCAACTTCGGACCAAAGTTCTTGCGATGTGATCCACACAGTACCGACCGCCTCATCTGTGGCGACTTTGTTCATTGGTTTTCGAGACGTCTCTTTCGAGGATGACACCAAAGCAGCCTTCGATAATCACTCATTGGGCTCTTGTGATTGGTATAAACTACTATTCAGACCCCCAGGAAAACTTGAAAGGCTGCGTCAATGATGCAAATTCTATGATGAAGTACTTGGAATTGAGCCTCGGATCCAAATTGGATATTGTCGCACTCACTGCGTCTGAACCCTTGACGAACGGAGAGCCTCCTCAAGAAGCCAAGGATTTGTGGCCAACCTACACCAATACCAAATATCAGCTTGAACGCATAAGTACGGAGGCTGAGCGCGGAGACCGGGTAATCATCTACTATGCTGGTCACGGCGCGCATATTGGAGGCTCGACGTCTGCTCTGATTCTCCTCCCTGACAGTGGTTGCGGGAAAAAGGTCCTCCGACTCAAGGTTTTATATGACAAAGTGGAGAAAATGATAAAAAACGACCTTAGTGTTACCCTTATCTTGGATTGCTGCTTCTCCGGCGCTATAGTTCGAAGCGATGATCGAATCGACCTACGTGTCCGTTGCCTCGATTATGATCGGACTGTGCCTTTTGGCACATTACAAGAAACTATGACATCAAGCTCGCAAGATCCAGACATCACCAGAGACGCCAATGTAGAGCACAACTGGCATGATTATGCCAAGGGTCTTGTCGTACTATGCGCATGTGCTCCAGAGGAACGTACGTTTGAGACCCAGTTGGACGGAAGATACCAAGGCCTGTTTACACACCACTTGCTCCATGCATTGAACCTGCTGGTTAAAAATGGCATAAGCGTCACACATGTTGCTATCCAAGAGCAGCTCAGCACCAGTCTCACGGCTCAATGGTCACGACAGACTCCAATGCGCTATGGCAAAAGTACTGTTCTCTTCGGCGAGTCTTTGTTGGTTCCAGCAGGCAGTACTCTCCACGGGTACAGAGATCTCAATGGGGGGCTGCATCTGAGAGCAGGAGAACTCCACGGCATTGCCAAGGGTGATGAGTTCTACGCATCAACGACCGAAGTCGCAAATACCATACAGATCCATCAGCCCGAAAGTAAGATTGCAAACATGCGAGCTACTACAATCAGAGCCGTGGATTCTGATCTTGAAGAAATCGAAGGTTACTGTCAAGAACGGAGTATAGGTGAATGGAACGTGGAGCCTATGACGAGTCTTTCTCCAAATGTCGTTTCCATTGGAGTACCACCTGGCTTCGTAAACGAGATGCAACTGGCTCCTCATGAGGCACTCCGATATTTACGTCTTGTTGAGACACAATTGGCATCTCAAAACCAGATCGGAGAATCATGCGCTTATCATGTACTCATTGATTCTCAGGATCGATTTAAGATCGTAGACGCAATGCTGGAAAGGGTGGTTCCTATCCCAGTAATATGGCGCGAATCAGCCGACGCGTTGACAAAGGTTGTGCGAATCCTTCGTCATATCGCGGAGTTCAAATACTTCGAGGGGCTGGAAAATCGAATTCCCAGTCCCCACTTCATGGCCTCGTTCTCCATCCAATGTACGCAGTCCGCTGGCAGTGCCAGTAGGATCGAAATTGCAGAGGGCAACAAAGTAGAATTTCTCTTTGAGAACACAAGCAAAGAGCAGCTATACGTTGGCGTTTTCAATTTCAAGCCATCTTGGGAAATGGCGGCAATGACACACAAGGGATTCAAGACGCTGCCTGCAAAGTATGAGAGTGAAAATGGCACAATGCGACTGACCATGAAAACGAAATTACCCGAGTTTGTGCTAGAAAACAAAGGAAAGCACTGCGATGATCATGTCAAGTTCCTCATCACCAATACAGCGACTCACTTTCACTGGTCTTTGCCCAGCATCCTTCAAACCATCAACGGCTCTCTTGGAAGCCACCGGGGCGAGGAGGAAAACCTCAGTGCTTCTCTCGCCAATTTGATCGGCGACTTCCGGGGCGAACAAGGCACTAAATGGGCCACGAAAAGCTTTTTGATTCGTACGATTGCTGCGTGAACCTCCTTTGCTTCGATACGGATATCATACTTCAGCATGAAATCCACAGGAAAAAACTTGACCATTAAGAAGCAAATTGTGGATAGAAGAAATCACTATTCGTCCAACTCCAAGTCTGACTCGTTGAACCATTTACCATCGTCCACAAGCACGCCGTTTTGGTCGAGAAGCGTACACTTCCCATCACTGACTTCCCTCACTGTGAAGACTCCCTCGCGTCGGGGATTTAGAATTTTTACTTGGTCATGAGGCCGAAGTGCAGAATTCTATGGGTACTTTGTGAGCGATGGTTTGTCAAATGATTTATAGGACTTGCATTGTCATATTGTTCGATTTCGGGACGTCCACCATCAGCGATATAGCTGGTTTGAGGCTTCTGCGCTGCGCTGAGACGATAAGCATGTATGCAAAGTCATAGATTGTGAATCCTACTCTCCGGCTGAACTCATTTTGCCAGTCGCCAATGTCAAAAGTGGGAAAGTGATGAGAGCGACAGCTGTTTTGACCAACAAGTTCCGCAGCGGCTCATCTTTAAAGCCTCACTCCCAGCGTTGTATTATGGCAGTTGCTTTTTTGCCTTTTTGCCTTTTTGCCTCATTGCCAGTGCTTTGAACGTGCATGCAGAATGCATGGGTGCTTGTTCAAAAGTGAGGCAACATCAACGCGTCTGGACAAATGCATGCACGAAGATACGAGCTACAGCCATAGCACATGCGTCGCACTAGAAGGACTTGGCACAAGTAGTGCTCACCTGATTTTTTAGTCCTCAGTCCTGCTCTATGTTCCATTCGACGCATAGTGCAGCACCGGAAATCGCGGGAAAAAAAGACGCGACAGCACAGCCTTCTCCGACCATGAGCTTATGATCATGTCATAAGACCACGTCAAATTCTCCATGAGCTCCCCCATCTTCTGTTGCTGCCCCAGTTGTTAGTACAGAGGAATGGCAGACATCCGAAGTTCTGATGTAGAGCTTGGTCAAGGTAATATTGCACAGCCGTCAACTTTACACAAGACGAGGGCTGTGAAAGGCTCACCGAGAGAGAGTACTTGGGACAAATTAACATCTTGTTTGATTGGCCGCAGTTGTGCAAGCAGCGGCAGGGCCGTCAAAGCTTGCGTGAAGCACCGATCTCTAGGGAAGAGTAGGCTATCACGTATATCATGACAAACTAATTAGCTAACATGGCAAAGTTGAAGCCAGGCCCAAGGGCTACCCCCGCTTTTCGGCACTGATCGCATCACACAATCACTTCTACCTCTGCCGGAGGTTCTCTGAATTGCGTGCAAGGACATTGCTTATGAAACAAGATAAACTATCGAAACTAGAGAGACGACTACATGAGATAGAAAAGAAGGAATTTGAAGCCGAGCCACTACGTCTAGCATCTTGCAGGATCAATGAATCAAGCGAGAGGAGTGCGCTTCTGGTCCAGATCGATGAAGCACTCACCGATTACGGTACGAAAGTTGAGATCTACATCGCTCTATCGCTGACAGATTGCATAGACGGCTACATCCTAAGGAGCCGACATATACTCGACTTGGAAACAGCCAGGCCTCAAGCTGTTACGAGCCTGCAGAATTGGACCGCAGGGACCACCTGTATTGCCAGAGCAGAAACCGCCTATCTCGATCAAGCTGGTGATTTGATGAGCATATCATCTACGGATGATACGGTAGTAGCCTGGCTAGAGAGGCTGACGGAAAGATTGTTAATTTGGCTTCGGCCAGTATTACGATTGGTACCTACGTTAGCTTCCGATTGGAAACAAACATATAAGCTGATAACACACAGGAACGCGCATTCGGAGTGTCAAGTGACCCAAGAGTTCACATCGTGCCGCAAGCATCAGTCGCAAAGGCTGCTCGAGTGATGATGACCCCATTTATTGTCACCTTGCTACTTGCACCAGTCATTGCTTGCAACTGTCTCAGTAGCCTTTCTGCCCGACTTGTGATAATCGTCACTGCTGCCAGCATATTTATTGCAGTCTTATCAGGATCGACACGGGCCAAAATTACTGAGCTTGTGGTAGCTGGCGCAACGTAAGTTTCTTATCATAGTCCTGTTCCCAGAGAAGGCTTACATGTAAAAGATACACTACGGTTCTGATTGTGTTCATCACGAATACAAAGGTCACTCTCCAGGAGAATGAATAAGTGGGAAGATTCACCTGGATGAATTCATTCTTTGATATTTACAAGAAGGACGTGGTTACTCGCAAAATCAGTCCTAAGCCTTTGTATGTATTGAGTATTATCAATGTCTACTCTGATATAGGCTTGTAGTTTCTGAAGCTTCTTATGTGTTGCAAGCATATATGTTTCTCCAAGACGTCGATGTTTTTGTTCAACTACTGTTGGCGTGATGAATTTTTACGTGCAACCCGATATGAATCAGGCCGCTATGTGCTGATACTGCATGTAGAAGCATGGACTGGTTTCGTACATCAGCTGACCCAACCTGGCTATGTCTGTTCGACGCAACGCCACTAAATCCGGATCGTCGACCTACATAGGTACACAGCACAGTAAACTTCTGTTTTTACTTCACGGTGGAGTCACTGACAGCTCGATGACTCCCAAGCTAAGTTCAAGAGGAGAACAGCATGTCAGACTAACAGATCTGATGAGGCTACACGAAACGTGTACATGCAGTGATGGTTTGCTGTCCTCCAACGAATACCTTAGTAGTCAAGCGTGGCTAGATCGTGCGGCGCTAGGTATCGGTACAACGCACGCCGTAAGCTACGCAGCGCCTTCGACAGCAAGCGATTCTGATTCGCTGGCCACAACTGATATGGAGCATCGCCGCGGGACAGGCTGCATAGTGGCGGCACCACGGTACCTAGATACTAACGAGGAATACTTCGCGGCTGTCCTGCATAATGTCAGTGTTAACAATACTTCGATTATCTAGATAGTGACAGGTCTTTATTGTGGCCCTGTCTTACACATGGAGTCGGCAGCTGCACACGTCAGTGATGGAACGTGGGAATCTAAAAGCATCTCATCTGCCCAGCATGTGTAGGTAAGGGCCATGTTCCATCTTGTGCATACGCGAGCCCCTGTACTTGCCCGCTACTCTATATTCTGATCCATCAACCGAATCTGGAAGATGAACAGGCGAGAAGGGCAAATTCTCGCGTGGATCATGCCGAGTCAAGTCAGATCGCTTTGCCACGCCGATGCAAGTACGTAGACATGGTATCTCTAACCCTTATCGTCATACGCGATGTCCAAATTCCAAAAAGATTGGCCCCTGATGAATCAGGATCATACTAGGCCATGCTTGCAACCATACGTGCCTCGAACCGTCTTTCAGCTAGCCACCTGATGCTGGGACTGATCCCATTCATTGGCATCCTCTTTATAACATAACTTCTGAGTAGGTAGATATCTGTAATCGTACATAAGCTACCTTCCAACTGTAGCTGAGAAATACCAGTTGCCAAATTTCTTAAACGGCAGATCCAATTTAAGCATGAAGTTTTTTAGTGCCTCTGTTAGTCTTTTTGCAGCGGTTGCCCTACGGGATAGTCCTCTCGTATCCGCACATCCTAAAGGCGAGCTAGTCATCGCTTGTGCCGTTAATTGCAAGGCAGCTACTGGAGTTCTGGGAGCGGTCAAAGCCCTGGGCGCGCCCGCAACTTCGTTCTGCAGCTCCTTGCTCCAGGTACCCGCTACAAGCACTGTCCAGACTACCATTACACCACCACCAACCCAAGTGTATGTGTATCTCCTTTGCCTGATGCGTGTATCTGATGGCTAATCTCCACAGAACTGAGACAGCTCAGCCTGTGCTAGTCACTGTCAGCGTGATCTCGGCAATATGTCCGCAGCAGGCGCCGTTAAAAATTATTATAACTAAATACTAAGTCATTATATTTAATAAAGTAGTATATTTTAATATATGCGTGCACTAACTTTTTACACGTACTAGGTGTATAGATGCTATACTAGTTAAATAATTCTAATTTGGAGATGCTTACCCTAGCTTCCTGTCGGGCCTACTTTTTGCACATTACCCTGTGTGCAGGTTCGGCGTTAAGCTACACGCTGCTGGATGCATCATGCGCGTAGGTTACCAACAATCATTGTTTAGTCAGACTGAACAACTCTAACCCACACATATTATTCATCTATACGTCCGTTATTGCACACAGTACTAGGTAGGATGCACATCTGAACGGAGACCTACCTACCCCCAGGTCTAAATCGCTGTGTTCGAAATTATCCTCCCCTCCAAAATATCTTATTCAATCAGGCTCTTAGTCATTACACTACGGCAGCAGTTTCTAAGTATCCATGATGCTAGTATACTATATAAGGCTTTTCTATCCTTCTTCCATTATTCTTAGTCTTTGTATCCTGCAGCTCTCCAGAATCACACTTCTTGCAATCTTCTTGCAATTCAACTTGACGTCTCCTGTTCAAGTCTTGTGACTTTCTGTCTCCCCATCGACATGCCTTTTCCAGCTTTTGATCCGGCTGAATACAGCCTTCCCGAGTTCACGCGTTACGCTGCTGTCCACGCAGATCCTAAGGGCCCTGGCGATGCACGCCCAACTGCCGAGCAGGTCATCAAAGACGAAGATCTCGACGGCAAGCTCATCGGAAAGACCATCTTGATCACTGGCTGCAGCTCAGGGATCGGCATCGAGACCGCTCGCGCGCTCAAGTCGACTGGTGCCCGCATATTCGCCACAGCCCGTGATATTGAAAAGGGCAAGAAGGCTCTTGGGGACATCCTTGAGCCCGGAAAGGTCGAGCTCCTCCACCTTGACCTTAATTCCCTCGCCTCTGTTCGTATATGCGCCGCCGAATTTCTGGCCGCCAGCAACAACCAACTCAACATCCTCATCAATAACGCCGGCATCATGTCCTGCCCGGAGGGCACGACTGAAGACGGTTTCGAACTGCAAGTGGGCACCTGCCATCTGGCGCACTTCCTGCTTTTCCAGCTCGTCAAACCTGCGCTGCTCGCATCCACCAAGCCTGATTTTCTTTCGCGCGTAGTCAGCGTAGCGTCAATGGCACATCGCTATTTCCCCCCTAAGCTTGAGAACTTCCAGCTCCGCAACGGCGAATATCACCCAGATCGTGCCTACGCCCACGCCAAGACAGCAAACATCTGGTTTGCAAACTACATAGATCGACGTTATGGGGCGCAAGGTCTCCACGGTCTTTCAGTTCATCCTGGCGTCATCTTCACTGCATTATCCAAGTTTGTTCCAGAAGAAATGTTAACAAGTTATGCAAAAGATCCTGTGTTAGCCGCTACACGTAAAACCCCAGAGCAGGGTGCCGCTACAACGGTGTGGGCAGCTGTAGCGCACGTGTGGGAGGGAAGGGGAGGGTTGTATCTTGAAAATTGCCAAGTTAGTAAGCCCGTTGTAGATGGCTACGGACCTATGGAACCCGGGTACGAAAGGTGGACGTATGACCCCGAGAGCGAGGAGAAGCTATGGGTTATGAGCAATAAGCTTGTTGGATTTAGAGAGACGTAAGATGTATAAGGTTCCTAGCATATTTATGAATCGCTGGCCATCCTTAAACCCGCTTTCTTTGGTGAGATTTCCGGCGTGTGGCTGCCTCGTTGGCTGCTTGAAGCTTGGTGAATACCTGGTGTGCCAACACTAGCTTGTGCGCAATAATTGCAGCCCCCTTTGACACTTTCTCAAAGACTTCAAATAATGACGTTTGAATTGTTGTCTTCACAAGTGTTAATTGTGACCCAAGTTCAACAATTTTAACGTGTCCGCGCGCGTTCCGCGCGCGACGCTCAGTTTCCACCTCAGCACCCCTTCAACAATAAGACTATGGAGCCACATGCAATAGCGATTATTACAAAATATTTTGGTGGGATGCTCTATAGTTTTTTGACTAGAAGACTGCACTGCAACGCGATCAGAGAGAACCAAAAACAGCCTGGATGGCTGGCACCGACTCGCCCATGAACATAGGCCATCTGAGACCCAGGTGTCGGTCCTGTGTCCCTCCCATAGCTCCATAGACAACCACTTCCGGTAACATCTAGAGTCATTTCCAAGTCGAACACCGTGGATGCTTCGAAAGTCCCTTCAGCTTCGGCAGCAGGTTGGAAAACCAGTCGGACTTTGCGCAGGACAATCAGACCATGCTCTTCGATCAGTTCATCATGTAGTGTGTGGCACCATAAGTCGACGAAGACCACGGTACAGTCCGATCTTCCAAATAACTTACTCTGTACGGAACTATGTTTTCGTGCACGACTATCATCTTGCACGGCTATTGAAGCCTATCAAGGCAACGCACAAGGCTAACTACGTACTAGCAATACCACCCTAGCTCATCAGGCCAAGACTCGTTGGCGCGCGAATTTGCGAAATGCGCAACCGTTTTCCAAATAGGCAATGCAACTAATCTACCACAATGCCAATGCTGCCTTAATATAATAGGATGCGAAGAAGGCTGCGGAATGGAAAGTTAAGTGTAGAGTGATGCTAAGCTGATCATCACAAGGAGACTTGTAAAGGCAATTAGGAAGGTTGTGAGGAGAATGATTTTGGCTTAAGGCCTAGTCGTGTGTGCTCTGTGTAGATTGGCGATGTCAGCTGTGGCATAATAAGGTCGAAAATGTTCGGTAGAAGGCTACGCGTACGATCGAGCGCATCGGTCATGATGAATGCAGTGTCGAGCGGTTCAGGAAAATAGTTCCGGCGAGAGCGTTGATCAAGGTACTAAGACACACTCGTCACGAAAATAACACAGGAGAGATGCAGAGTGTTGTAATGAAGGCACAGTGTTTTAAAATATAGTACAAGCTAGTAGTCATGAGTCTAGGTTCATGTCGTTTTGGGCGGATCAACAGAGGATTTGTGAAGTGTCAACAGGGTGTGAAGGCGAGGTCCCGATAGACATCTCAAGAATCTGGGGATCCGGTTCAGCTTGGAAAAAGACGGGTGGGGTCAAAGACCCACATTGTGCAATGAGGCCGTTAGCTTCGGTGCACTAGTTGTTCCGATATTGATTCTTCAGGAACTCTGCATATCAATGTACATGTACAGGCATCAATAAAGTAGATACAGAGATTTAACTATTCGCTGAGAGCAATGACTGTTGACTCGGGCTCAAACTGTTTGCCGGAATGACATGCTAGTACCATACGAGTCCCCACAAATGACCATCTCGGGCATTTGGCATCGCGAGAGTACCGTATGAATGTCAGGGTTCTAGGATGGCCTTTAACTCTTCGGACGAATTGCTAGAAGTACGAGAGTGTGATAATCCAGCTACGCTCCCCCAAAGGACGTGTGGACATTGGGACAGCTGTTGTAGGGTTCTATCTTGCACGCAAACCTAGGTGCATGAAGATGAAACGCATGACGGCAGACTTGGGTGTTTGATTCTGATGTGATAGATTGATGACAAGATTTTCTGAGGCGTCGGTTATCATATCTCGTTAGGATGATGCATTCTTGTTCTGTGTAGTCATCGTTCACAATATATGATTTTGAGCTTTAGATGCGTCTGTGTTTCGCATATACCTTGTCAAGACTTGCCTAGGGAACGGGAAATCTCCCGTGTACATCCGAAAATTGCAAAACATCTTTCATCTGGCAATCCGTGTTGCAGGGTTAATTGCATAATGACGCAAGAGATTTTGACCTGTGTCACGGGGCTAAATCTCTGCGGGTCGTTGATAAGGTATAAAAAGCACCCGGTGTCATCTAGAAAGTATTCTCATCAAAGATTCCATCAGTTTTTTCGTTCCCAAATATGACGAACCCTAAGCCCTCGATGACTCCTTTATCGGAATTGCCATTCTTGGACATAATCAAGCTGTCGATGCCGATCATTACTACGGTATCACTTGCTGTTGCGGCTTTGATCTCGCTCGTCATCATCACCTCCAACAAATCCAAGATTCCTCTCGCGAACCCCCCAGACCGCTTCCGGACGGCATTTTCTCGTCAAGTGGAATTCATAACACACGGGCTCGAGGTTGTGGAAAAAGCTAGAAAGCAATATGGCAAGCAGCCTTACAGACTAATCACCAATGTGGGTGAGACGATTGTGCTCCCGCCTTCGTACGCTCAAACAATCCGAAATGAAAAAGCGTTGCACTTCGGTACAACCTTTGCAGAGGTGAGGTCCACAAATCTGTTTTGCGAAGATTTTCAGGCTTACTCAGGACCTAGGATTTCCATGGCTATCTGGCTGGCTTTGAGCCTTTTGGTACCCTTGGCGATAAGAGGGACCTGGTTCAGCGTGTAGTGAAGAAACAACTAACCAAACAATTAAGTTAGTGGACAATGTACTAAGTGATGCGCGGTACTGACTGAAGTCCAGATTTTACATCGAAGCCACTCTCTAATGAAACCATTTTTGCGCTCGATATTGTCTTTGGGAATTCTTTAGGTATAAGTGGGCATACCTACATTTTACATAAACTAACAGTTTTATAGAATGGAAAGAGACTAACATTACGAACGACATACTCAAAGTTGTGTCCCGCTTGTCATCAAAGATATTCCTTGGAGACAAACTCTGCCGCGATGAACGCTGGATTGAATTATCGAAAGAATACGTCGTTACTGCTGTCGAATCCACGAAAAGTTTCCTCGCATGGCCTAGATCCTTGCACTTCATCATCCCATGGGTTTCAAAAGATGCTAAATTAGTCCTTCAGCTTCTCAATGGCATCCGCGGCATCCTTCAGCCAATTTTGGATGAGAGAGAGCGGATGAAAACCGAAGCTAAAAAGATGGGTAAGCCAGTCCCGGTCTTCGAAGACACATTGGAGTGGCTTCAGGAAGAGAGCAAGGGAGCTGCATACGACCCCGCTGCATACCAAATGCTTCTCACAATCGGCGCCATACACACGACTTCCGACTTGCTCAGTCAGATTCTCATGCGTCTCGGAAATGAGCCGCATCTTATTGATGACCTAAGGGCGGAGATCGTATCAGTCGTCGGCGCTGATGGTTTTTCCAAAGGCTCAATCGCCAATTTGAAGCTCATGGATAGTGCGCTCAAGGAAACACAGCGAATTAAGCCGTTACAGCTGCGTAAGTAATCTTCAATCTTCTTACTAGATCGATATCTAGTTTACTAACCTTTGAAAACTAGTCTCAATGAAGAGAGTTGCAGAGAAGAAGGTTGTTCTCCCAGACGGTTTTACTATCAACAAGGGCGATCGTGTTGCTGTGGATGCGTACGCGATGCTGGACCCAGAGGTTTACCCTAATCCAGAGAAGTTCGACATTTATCGATACCTTCGCATGCGCGAAAATACTGATCATCCTACAAAGGCTCTCCTTGTTTCTACTGGCCCTGAGAACCTCACCTTTGGCCACGGGATCCATGCATGTCCTGGACGTTTCTTCGCTGCTCTTGAGATAAAGATTGCTCTTTGCCACATTTTAACAAAGTATGACTGGGAGCTTCTACCGGGATCAAACTTGGAACCGTTTGTCCAAACTGGCGAGCAGACGTGCCTTGATCCTGGGAACATGATGCGCTTTAGACGTCGCAAAGAGGAGATCGACTTTAATTCTCTATCCTATGAATAAGACTTATGTACTTTGAACTACAACAAACAAATCAATGAACCTTACGGGTGTGTTAGTTACATACGTGCTTTGTCGTCACTACCATGCTGCCAAAGTACTAGGTATTCTACCGCCACTTGCCTGCGCCACCAAAAAACCTCATCTCCTTGTCGATCACGATGACACGAGGTTCATCATCGTCGAGGAGCGCCTCGAGGCTGTTTCAACCAGGTATGAACAAGTTGCCGAACCATGATTGGCTCAATCCATGATGTCTTTCGCGACCACAGGCGTAGCGTCACCACCTCCTGTGGAACCCACGGCCATACCGAACGGTTTCCCAACAACTGTGGCCTGGACAGCAGGTGAGACTGCGGCCATGACGGCGAGAAGAGTAGTGTAAAGCCTGGTAAATTTTGAATTGATCTGCCATGCAGAGCAAAAGGAATGAATGGACGAACGCGTGTCATAGGGAAAGAGTGATGAACGGAAAGCAGCGAGCGAATGATGAAATTGCGAGTGTAGGATGTCTATAAAGATTTGAGACTGTTATACTTACCTGCATTTACATCCTGGAGGCGATCAAATGGCGCTCCAACTTCTGGCCAACTTTCGTGATGTCTCAGCCACACCGCCAATACCAAAGTACTACGCCTAGCCATTGGCGAGTCGACAGTGCGGGTACCCTGTGCAGCGACAGGCAACAAAGAATAGGGGAAGTGCGACAGTACATGAAGGGAGGTAGATCGTTTATTGGTACTAACTTACGCGTTGTGTCATGATCGATCTGGCTACCGAGGTGTTTGACGGGCGCAATATCCACGGATCATCCTTCAGTGGATATGAACGTCTTATCTCCTACCAAATGCGAAGGCACAGGCTACGCAAATCTTAGGACCGATCTTGCTGGGTCGATTGAAGTGGGCTGCGGAACATGTGCTGGGTTTGTGCGGTGATGATTGCTACGTACGCTCAAGACAAAGACTTTTGTTCTGGGATGGGATTGTGCTAGAATCATGTAGGTTCTTATTGCGCGGAGTGATGCCCTTGATTATTTCAGTTCACCTTAAAGTTCGAAGCTACTGGGATTAACAGTTATCTAATTCAAAATCTCTGTAGCAGCTTATAAGGCAGCGTAGTAAAATTATCTAATAATATTTTTCTTGTAATTTATACTATCAAAGCGCTAAATTAAACAATAGATACTATTTGTTATTTCTAGTAACTCTTCTAGAGATGTATAGATTATTATAAGCTAGTAATTAGGGCTCTAGATTACTAATATAGCTATTTAGTAGAATAATTAGTAATTAGCCTAGTAGACGTTAGATTCTCTATTCTTTTAAGTTTAAAGCCTATAACAAGGCTATAGAGATAGAAAAGTAGCTTTAAAACGTTACTAACATAAGCTAAGTAGGTAGAGAGATTAATAATCTTAGGTTCTAAAAGAGTGCCTAAAATTCAAAAGCTAGTGTTTTAGTATTAATCTCTAGATGGCCTGCCAGTGTGTCTCCATGAATTTGCGGATGCTGACAGGCTTCACGTCTGGGCACAGCTTATTGAGGATAGGCCGCAGGATGACCTCATCCTCGTCGTCGCGGATGTACGCCAACCTGAACTCGGACCACAGCATGCCCATGAAGTTGTGCTCGTCCAGTTCGGACATCTGCTTCTCGACCTCGGCCTTGGTGATGGCCTTGACCTGCATCTTCTGGCCCGTGACGGCTTCGGCGTGGGCGACCAGTTCGCCCATGGTGACGGTGTCGCCAACCATACTCATGTCGTCCTGCCACTCAGGCAGATCCAGCGCGGCCACGACGAACTTGCCAACGTCCTCCATTGACGTCATCGTGATGCGCGGCCACGAGCCGTTATCCTTTTGCGGCAGCTCCGCAAGGGCGTTCTTTAGGCCTATAAGAAAGGCGCCGGAGCCGTCAGATAGGTCACCCTACCTTGCCAGGCCCTGGATCGCGGCGTCCTCGCCGGCAGCGTAGCCGCCGCCCTTCTTCATCTCTTCAAACAGCGTGTCCTTGTCAACTTTAGCAGGCACAGGGAAGATGCCGTGGCCAATGTAGTTCATAAACGAGCCGTGATTGAAGCGGGCGCATTCAATCTCGCCGCAGTGCTTCTCGCACTCCTCCCACACGCCCTCAAAAGCCCACTTAGTGGAGCTAACGTTCTCCCAGCCCCTGAAGCCAAAGCCCCACTGTGCCGGCGCGAAGCGCTTGCAGCCTGCCTCCAGCGCTGCCTTCAGCAGGTTGATCTGGATTGTGCCCTGCGTGCCGTCAATCGCCGATGTGACACTGACGACCGTGTGCACGCCCTTGAGCGCTGTTGTGAGCGACTCGGTCGAGAGGTAGTCAACGGTGCGGACCTGCGTGCGTAAGCTGTCTGGGTCCATAGCTCGCAGCCAAGACGGCGGGTTGGGCGACCGCGACAGGATCACGGCGTTCCATGCGGGAGAGGTCCGCGACGAGAGCAGCGCCGCTGTCAGGGCACGGCCGAGACTGGCGGACGATCCGCCAGCAATCGCGAGAGTGGACATTTTGTTGGTGGATTTGGGGCGGCAGGGAGCTAGGCAATATCTTTCGTGAGAGGAGGTTTCGCAACACGTGAATGAAGCAAATTGGCGGATTGGGTGTGAGGGGTAGATTGATGAGATATGAGAGAACAGCCTTAGGGTCTGCTCGGCTTGTTCGGCCACGTTTGCCGGCTTTTGTGGTTGTGTTTGCTGTTTCAATTGCTCAAATGGGGGTTGTATGCTGACGAGACTCTGGTAGGACGTCGACTTTATGGTACTCTAGCGCGTTGCGCCGGCGCCCGCGGACCCCACAACGATGAACTTTGGGCCGCTGTCGGACCAAAACTGAGAGCTCAATAGAGTCCCTCATCAGTCCAATCGAGTCGCTGCAGTTCTCTAGATTTCCTATAAGACTCGGTACGTCCAGAAAACATCGTCCATCCCACTATCCGAGCTTTTCCCAAACTGCCCCGACGCTCTCTTCACAATGGTCAGCAGTCTCCCCACCCTCCCTTTCTACGTCTTCGGCATCTTCGAGCCGACGGTGCTCATCCTGGCCTTTGTCGTTACCACGGTGCTGCCGAATTACTATTCGACCGCCATGGCGAAACACACTCGGGCCTCGCCCGTCCACCCCGCCACCGAGAAGCCGACGGAGTCCATCTACCTATCGCAGCTCAGCAACCTGTTCCTGCTCGTCAGCGTCATCTCTCTCTACGTCCTCAACTCAACCGACGACGAGAAGGTTGCCGCGGCGTACCTGACGGCCCTCTGGTGGGGCGACCTGGGCCACCTCGGCGTCACCGTCTGGTGCCTGGGCTGGGAGTCCTTCAGCAACGTCGGCGCCTGGAACCTCGTGATCCTGGGCAACGTATGCATCCCGGCCTTTCTCTTTTCCATGAGGTCCCTGTACCTGCTCCAACGCCTTCTACATCGCAGCGGGGAACCCCGTTTCTGATGCCTTGCGGGCCGCAGACACTATAACGTAGACGCTCGATTTATTTTCTTCGCCAATCAGAAAAGGAATTCGAGTTTTGAAATACAGAGGAATCAAATACAGAATTACTAGCAAGCTCTCTTTGTCCAGCTCATGACCCACCCGGAGTAATCTTGTACTCTACTACTACTGTGTCATCACGCGAAGAACACTGGATAGCATGAAAACAATGACAGCCTTCTCTAAAGCAAACATCACTAGTACAAGGGCACTGTTTTCACTGGTGCCTTCCCCCAGCATCTGGAATGCTTGAAGATGCTACGGTCAGAAACTGATCCAGCCAAGTTTCGAATACAACATGAACGCAAACGGAGACGCGCTGATTTTTTTCAAGTGCAAACATATGTTTGCTGCTACTGTCAGTCCTCCATCTTGCCAGGTGTACAGAAAAATAATCAGTTTGGTACGGCAGCTACGTAGGCGGTGAGTGGACAAAGAATTAGATCGACTGTCACGCTTCTTGTACTGACAACAAGGCCACGATACGTGGAGGCAAGGGCGTTGTTAACGTTTTCGAAGTATTACAAAATGCTGCCCCAGCCACCACTATCACTAGGAGCGCGAGTGTTAAGGCTGCTGCCGCAAACAATGATGCTATCAAAGTCTGGGTCCTCCTTGGGATGGACTTGCAGATTTTCAGTCCTCGTTTGATGTAAACACAACTATAGTATGATTTTCGTGATTGTTTGATCAGAGTTGAAACACTAATTGCTTATGTCCTCGTGGTCATGTGTGTCGAAGGAGATACGTCAAACCCGCGAGGGATCAGACTCGGCCTCCCTACGGATGATTTCCACTGCCTTCTCAGCAAAAGCGTAAACCGCAGTTAATATGTTTCCTCGGGGTATGAGAGGCAAAACACTCGCATCGCAAACCCTCACATTCTTCGTCCCATACACTCTCAACCTCGTGTCGATGACGCCACCCAGATCCTCTCTCATCATAGAACAAGTCCCGCAAGGATGATAGTTCGTTGCCGAGTTGATCGCAAGTATCCCTTTTGCATCATCAAGCGACGATAGCGGATGGGGAAAGCTCCGAGGTAGTCTTTTGCCACCGGCCTTCGTCATAGCAGCGAATGTAGGCTTTTGAAAGAGCCTCTCGATGAGCCGCAAGTGGCGAGCCAGTATTTCCGTATCAAGCGGATGGGACAGGTAGTTGAACTTGATCTCCGGCTGGAGCGAGGGATCAGAAGAAATGTGGCAGCTTCCGCGCGAGAATGGATGAGCTAGCATTGCCACAACAGTGACAAAGTTCCCGTCGACGAATTGCGGTGTGCCTTTGGGCATAGATTCGCTGTCTCGATTGCGCTGTGAGCGCAGCATAAAATTAGTCGCGGTTGCTTCGTTGGGATTCTCGATCGCTTTTTGAATGACGGAGTACTGGGCTCGTAGGCTGGCGTTGCTCTCTTTTGCGAGACAAGCTTTTACCGTTTCGACGAGCTGCTGTGTCTCTGTTGGGCTTTCCAGCATCTGAAGTGGCGTGAAAGCAAAGCTGTATGCGGCTCCTTCCGCCATTCGACCAGTGCGGTTGTGTTGATACTCCAACAGTGCCGCCTTCGATTCTTCAGGATCCTGCATTGCACTGTCACGAGTAGGGATGTCATCATGAGTCTCGCATGACAAACTACAGTTCAGGTGGTCTTGTAGGTTCTCTCCTACTCCTGGAAGTTCGTACAGAACTGGAACGTTTGCGGCTGAGAGGACTGATTCGGATCCGATACCAGATCGTTCCAAAATAGCAGGAGATTCAAACGCACCTGCGCAGAGAACAATTTCTCGGCCATGGATAAAAAACTCTTTCCCTCGGTGTTTATACCAGACACCTTTAGCATTAAGCTTCCCTTTTGCGGCCGTTGCTTCATCAAATGCAATCTTATCAACCTTTACGCCAGTCTTCAGTGTCACGTTGGCTCTTTCCAACGCAGGTTCCAGAAATGCTGTAGCTGCATGGCTTCGCTCGCCTATTGAAGAGTTGACCGCATTGGCGGCAGTCACTGCTCCGACAAAGCTCTCGGTGAACCCAGTAGTTCTTGTTGCGTGGCCAAGCTCCTCATGAGCTCTAATCCACTCAGACTGGAGGACATCGATGGCTTTCGGGAATGATGTTTGCACTCGATGTAGATATCTCTCATCATCGTCCACTCGCGGTCCAGAGCCTTCGTTTTGCCACCGGTTGTAGCAATCTTTCATGGCTTGAGAGCTCCACTCTTCTTTCCCAGAATCGGATAGAAGCTCTTCGGCGATACGGTCTTGCCACTCGTAGTTCGGAAATACTACACTGTGACTATTAATCGCACTAGTACCGCCCACCAGCTTGCCCCTCGGGTGCTTGACACTCCTATTGTTCAAGCCCGGTTCCGGCGCGGAAGAATATCGCCAATCATAGGCAGGATTTGACAACAGCTTACCCTGTAGACCGGGCGTTTGAACGTTTGGGTCATTGCGAATGTGCTCTCCAGCTTCGAGAACTAGGACCTGGTGATTGGGTAGCTGCTGCGAGAGACGTGCCGCAATGAGGCATGCGGCTGATCCGGCACCGATCAGGATGAAGTCATATCCCTCCACGCCAGAATAAGGCGTCTTGCTTGGCATCGTTACAAAAGCTTGGGTGGTGGTGATCTCGCGAAGACTTGAGTCGGTGTGGTCGAGGGAAACATTTTGCAGCCTAAAAAGAGGGGCAAATGTACTAAGCTTAATTGTTATTATACAACCCATTCGGTGTTAGTACATGAGCATGTCCCGAGGTCCAGGGCACGATTCCTCATACGGGTCCTGCCTGTTAGGTACCGGCTACAAGCGAAACAGGCAGGGTCTTTACCGAAAACACCCTGGTCCTATCCAACTATCTAGTCTATATAAAGAGACGGATGCTTACAACTCGCTGCATGCGCACTACGAAGCCCTCCCTACACTGAACCATTTACGATTTTACACCTCGCTATTGTCTGTATCAACTCTCGTAGAAGAGAACTACCAGCAGTGGGTTGTTTGACCAGCCCTGCTGACCAATTTCAGGGCCCCCGGGTCGAAGCTCGTCGAAGCTCCTCCAGCGTCTTTTACAAGGCTGTCTGACCGTGCCTCGATCTTGCAGTACCAACATTCCACCTCCAACGTCATCTCGTTCTATTATACATAGAGCCAGTCTAGCAAGATTATCACTGGTATGCCAGGGATTTGGGAGCTAGATCACATGTGCAACGCGACTTGATCAAATGTGACCCCGCTGTGAAAGATGATTACTCCGACATGCTTGCATTGGCGTCATCGGAGGAGGATGGTCGCTAGCACCTACCACGAGCGCGGGCAACCGCATTCAGACACCGCAGCCCACGCAACCTGGCATGATTTCAGGTTGCAAGAAGTTTCATCATGCGGCCGAGGGTTTCGTCTGCAGTCAGCTTATCGGCTACAACAAGACCAGTCTGGCCGACTTTATGAAGTGGAACCCGGGAGTTGAAAGGAATATTGTAGGACGATGCATGTGCGCGAACACATTCGTCTATGTGGGTGCTTGAGAGATCGTGGTGCGCGGAAGAGAATATGTGGTAGACCATCTTAATGTTTCGATATTACATTCGCGATCGAAAGCTCAACAATCACCGCATAATCTCCCGACGCTACCTACTCTGATTGATGACCTAACCAGTTAGCTAGGCATTGCCCACATCTGGGGTTTGCATCGGTTTTGCGATGGGGTTAATAGTGGGACTGTAAAGGTGTCATTTACATACAAGATGTGGTTGTTTGTGCCTGAAATTGGAGAGATAGAGGGCAAAGGCAGGCAATCATCTGCTGACATACGCTTGAACAGCTTGGCCACGTTCTTTGCCTAAACCGGCTAGCGCGCGTGGAGACCCCCGACCTTAGCCTCAACTTCTTTTTGAATGACATTGGCCTAAGATATTAGTGCTTATTTTGCATCTCTGCTTTCAGGTACAAAAGATTCGCAGCATGTCGTTTGACGTGGTAGTGCTGACACACCCTTCCTTGTTTAGGATATACACTGGCCAAGCTTTCAGGCATTCTGATGAGTGGCACTGTTGATTCTTTGACAATATCGCTCGGATAGTATAGCAGCCACTCATGAGTACTTGCGATGTGGTTAAGAGAGGCTCTCAGCCTCGTTCGGGCTTCCACACGTCATCTCATGCCCGCATTAGGCACCCCGCTAGTTTGTACCTCATGCGACTGGTGAGGCCAGTGTCTCGACTTTTGGTATATAAGCACGTCGACTTGAGTGCACTGGGGCTTCTATAGCACAACTATCATTCCCTTCTTTCTTACACTATGCGTCTTTCATCGCGAGGCTTCCTCCTCCACGCTCTCGGAACAGCTGCCGCACAGAATCTATCCCCCTCAGACGCCTGTCCCCTCCTTGGTCCAGCCCTCTACAAAGACTTCGATCTTATCAACTCCACAGTCTTCAAAAACGCCACAGCCATCTTCCCTAGCGTGATCGAGGCCCTCTTCAACTCTACCGCCGTCAACCCCTCCACCTCCTCCTTCGTAGTAGACGTCTACTCCACCTATACCAACGAATCACTCTACACCTACACCCACCGCGCCACAGCACCGACACGCAACGAATCTTTCCCGGCTGAGATAAACGATGAGACCATTTTCCGCGTCGGCAGTGTCTCGAAATTGTACACCGTATACGCGATTCTCGCGCACGCCAAAAACCTTGATGTTTTCGACCTGCCCGTCACAAATTTCCTTCCCGAACTGGCAGGCAATGACTCAGGAAACTTGACACATCCCACTATCGTCTGGGAACACGTCACTCTCGGCGCCCTTGCCTCGCACCAAGCAGGCGTAGGTGGCTTTCCGAACGTCTCCGTTGCGTGCGACCCAGCGTCTTCAGATGAAGCAAGCCGCTGCTCGATCCCGCTATTTATCGAACAGATGAAGGAGGGCAAGCGCCCTACGCAGCCGGTTTTTGCGTCGGCACAGTATTCAGATGGTGGGTTTGGTGTGCTGGGGAGAGTGTTGGAGAGGATGACGAATTTGACGTACCACGAGGCAGTGCAGGAGCTACTTGCAAAGCCATTGGGCTTGCAAGGAACGGGGACTCTGGTACCGAAGGATGAGGGTGTGAATGCCATCGCCTTGAATGTGGGAATGCCGAATTCGAGCTGGGGGTGGGATAACCAGGTCATTGCGCCGTTAGTCTCCACTCACTCTGTCGATGTTAGGAGATTTACTGATATATGCCAGGTCTGGCGGGATATATTCCAGTGCTGCCGACTTCCGTGCCACGGGTCTTTCGATCCTACACTCGCAACTCCTCAGCCCAGAAGTTACAGGCGCCTGGATGAAACCGCACGCACACACTTCATCCCTCCTTTCGAGCGTCGGTGCGCCCTGGGAAATTAACCGTCTCACGCTACCCATCACGCTGGGAAGTAAGAAGACCCGCGTGTCAGATCTGTACACCAAAGCTGGCGGCCAGCCGGGGTACACAGCGCTCTTCATGCTGTCTCCCGATCACGGGCTCGGCATTTCTGTCCTCATAGCTGGTGAATCCGCGCTTGGCGATCGCTGGCCGCTGCGTGCTGCTGCTGCGGAAGTGTTTGTCGCTGCTGCCGAACACGCGGAGAAGGTTTATGCAGAGGAGAATTTCACTGGTTTGTTTGTCGACCCTACGGATGACTCGTCAAATGCGACGCTCGTCAGCCGCGCGGATGAGCCCGGACTAACAGTTGATATGCTATTCGGTGCGGGTGTGGACTTGAAGCCCAGCCCACTGGGTTTGTCGCCAGGAGTTGATGTACTATTCCAGATTTATCCAACGGGGATTGAGTTCCCTTCTGATGGAATGAGTAAGTCGCTGCAGTACAGAGGCGTGGTCTGGCCGTTGCCGGTGGCGAAGCGCACGGGGCTGTTTGATGATCAGTGTATCTCTTGGTTGAGTGTTGCGGGTGTCGAAGATGCGCAGCGGCAGTATAACGATGAGCTCATCTTGACTGTCAAAGATGGCAGGCTACAGTCCATCTATATTCCTATTCTTGCAAAGAGCTTGATCCGGGTTTAATTAGGGGAGAATCAGAGAAGTGTTCGAGTGTACTGAGTCGAAATCTAATGGCCTCCAATCCTCCCCTCCAGCTTCGATTTCTTATCAGCTACACCAACTGAAGAAAGGGACCGTGTCAAGACTGGTGAATCGTGTATGGAGGCCCAGTATATGTTGGTTGTGCTTTCATTTGCCTTTTATATATATTTCCATGGCGTCTCAAATCCAGAGATATCTGAAACGGTTGTGCTGAAGCGCGTAGCAGTTTTCTTGTCATGATGTGACTCGCCACCAAATCAAGTCGCACCTCCGAGAGTGTTAGACTGTCTAATGATCAATCCAACCATAAGGACAGTGTCTAGGTGTACGCTTGTCAAGTTTAACTCAGCGTTGAGGTGTATCGAACCCGGGGTGAGTGTGAAACTCATTGTAGCCTGACACGCCCACTCAAGCGCCGCAGGAGCAGTTCTAACGAGAGACTGGAGGCTCACTCTTCCATCAGGATTTATGAGTCATGGCGCTGAGTGGACATGCATTCGTTCTGGGAACACGAAAATGCTCCCATCTCACGCCTGGACCATGAGGGCCGAGATCATTCTTGATGATCGCGTCTTTGACGTCAGACCATGAAGAAATACCATTATCTAGATCATGAATAGAACTCGGGGCTCCTGATGGCGAAGTGACGTGGAAGTGGTCATGGCGTTCGTAGACAGTCAAAGACGCTACCGAAGCGCCATCCGGCTCACAGGGGGATATCGAAAGTCTGACTTCGTATTCCTTGGACGGTGAAATCTGTGAGATATCCATGCAGATTTAGTGTTTAGGTAAAAGTTGTTTATGAGTCACGTGTTGTCTTCTCATGAGGAAGTTCAACGACAACGGCTTCTCTAACCTTGACGTGTGGTAAGCGGAGATTGAAGGGTCTTATGTTGCTAGGCTCAGAAGGTTCGTACCACCATGCGGTCAGATGGCCAAGATCCATGGAATAGTAGTGATACTTGACTTTGAGCTGCTTGTTAATGAGTGTGACTGTCACCAATCCGATCACCCTCTTTCATCCCCGAAGACCGGAGCTTATTGTGTAGTCTAAGTATATTAACCCAGCCATCACAAAATCTGCCTTGTTTGGCTGCTAACCAAAACCGCCTCCGTAGGCATTATATTTTCTCTTTCCATTTCCACTTATCCCCACCTTGCACCGGACTTTCGGACCAAAATACGTCAATGTATTCCCGCTGTGCCAAGTCCGACCGCCTACTTAGTCCTTGACACTATAGATATCAATCGTGACTCCATCACGCTCACCTTCGTAGTGCGTCAGCCAGCACAGATCTGTCTCTCTAACCCATCTGTACATTTCTGCGTTATTGCGGCTATAAACTCCCCGTTCCCTGGTGACCACAAAACTATGCACTCGAGGTTCTTGAAATGCTTGACCAGCTGAACGGTGTGATCTGATTAGGCGTTTTCCCACTCAGGAATATCTGATATTCACTTCGTGGCTTTTTCAAAAGATACCTTCCAATGTTCATGCTCGGTCATGTGTTGATTCGGGAACCCAGATCTACCTATGCATCGGGCGATATGACGCCAGCCGATTGGGCCGAACGCGGGATCGGTAAACCCGGCTATCGATACCGGTTCAGTATAGGTAATCATGAAACGAGAAACACAGTCATGCTGTTGCTTGAGATTGTCGACGTGATATGAACTATCGAGAAGCACTTCTTCCAAGATCATGTTCTCCCTCAACAATTGTTCTCAGTTGATCATCCCTGTTCGCCTCGTCTCCGCTGCAGCCTCGCCCAAAATGAGACTTATCATCCGTCATGATGCACAGACCGCATCTGAATATGTTGCGACTTACATCATTGGTGCGCCAATCTTGACCCGACACTAAGGTGATATCGAATCTTACCTAGACAAACAGACAGAATCAACACCAGTTCATCCTCTCTAGCTCGACCCTTTGTTCTTGGATTGCCAACTGGAGGCAGCCCACTTGGCATCTACAGGATATTGGTTGAAGCATACCAGGCAAAGCGCGTCTCGTTCAAGAATGTCGTGACATTCAACATGGACGAGTACGTCGGCTTGCCTAAAAATCATCCAGAGTCGTACCACTCATTCATGTTCAAGAATCTTTTCTCTCAAGTCGACATCCTACCATCAAACATCAACATACTAAACGGCAACGCACCTGACTTGAGTATTGAATGCGCACAATACGAAGAAAAGATCAAGTCTGTCGGAGGCATCGACCTGTTCTTGGGCGGAGTAGGTAACGATGGGCATATTGCGTTCAATGAGCCTGGATCAAGTCTTGCAAGCCGAACAAGAGTCAAGACCCTAGCTTATGACACCATCCAAGCAAACGCGCGGTTCTTTGATGGCGACTTGAGACAGGTGCCGCAAATGGCGCTGACGGTGGGAATTCAGACCATTCTAGACGCGAGAGAAGTAGTTGTCATCGCGCTGGGAGCCTCCAAGGCGCTGGCTGTCAAGAGAGGGATCGAAGATGGGGTTAACCACTGTTGCACGCTGTCGTGTCTACAGATGCATCCAAGGAGTATGGTCGTGATGGATGATGATGCAACGCTCGAAATGAAAGTGAAGACTGTAAAGGTATGGAAAGAGCACCCGATAATCGGACTTTGTAGCTGACATCGTTGAAGTATTTCAGGGATGTTGAACCAGCTGCAGCGGGAGCTGGTAATAGGGTTGCACTCCCACCGCTGCAGACGGTCCCGAGCAAAGTCTCACACCCAGATATTGAGGAGTTGACGCCAGATAGTATGTGTTCGCGCATTCCCAGAGAGATTTGCTGAGTTCTCAAGGATGATGGACCGCACTGTCGTGTTCACCACGAATTGTGCATAGGTGCCCCTGGATTTCCTGAATAGGTACTCGAATTTGATGGGTTAAGCACTGAAGTCTGCAGCCCCGCAGGCGTTGACCATGCTGACAACATGACTTGATCTAAGCTTGCTTGGTCGAAGATCTGCCATGAGTCATCAAACTGTGGGTTGATTGTATCAATGTCGAGGCTATTAGGCTGTATCGTCGAAGAGCTGGGTGGCTCCATACCATCCAACGCGCAGCTTAGTCGCTCTGCTAGTCTATGTCGAAGACTATGACTCGTTTCATTGGTCTCTCTCAAGGAAGCAAGATGAGCTCGAATCAGATCCAAGTCGTCGGACTCGCCCACGCCACCTTGGATGCCCTGTATGACAATGAGAGTCGCCCAGGTGATCATGATAATATCCCAGTTGGACCAAATGGTTTTGTCCTCTATGTGAAGCTTCATAGTCACTCGCGCTGAGAGCAAAAGCTCATGCTGTTCCTTGGACAGATTGCCTCCGCGTGCAGGATGGTAGATTGAGAGTACCGTAAGTCGATGTAGTACGTATTGTCGATAAACGGTTCTTCGGTTCTCACTTGTCTCTTCGGTTGTTCGGGTGAAATCTTCGAGCCATATATCAAGCTGCCTTGCCCAATCGCGTAACACAGCCGCATCGACTGCAGTGAATGGTACTATGGTCTCCATGCAAGTCACATCCCGCGTTGCAGCAATCTCACCGGTGATGCAGGACCAAATGGTCGGTAAACCACGACCTGCAAAGTGACTCAGACCGGTATGCATCATGCGGGACAAGCGATACAGTTGATCCTGGTATGATGTTTGTAAGGATGGGACAGGGGGCTCAATTGGTATGACAGGCGAAGACAGATGAAGCGAGGCATGTTCCAAGTCCGCGATTTGAACGCCGTTGAAGAGCTTTCGCCAATCATGTCGTCTGTCATTGCGAAACGGAGGGAAGTATTCAAGAACGAAACGATATGCAATTGAGATCCAGACGCCTGTTTCGCGGATGCTTGCCTCTGCAAGCAGGCCTCCGAGAATGAGTCCCAGGACTGTTTGGAATGCCCATTCTTCGACCTGGGAGGGATCTTCAGGAACGGTTCCGATACTGCTTTGTGGGATGGTGAGCTGCGAAATAGCGCTACAAAGAACTGTAAAGTAATGTGGTGCCAATTCCGCCTCTTCGCGTGTACCTCGGACGCTCGAACAGTAGAGAATAGCAGCAAGAAGTAGTGGGCAGGGTGCTGAGTACTTCTGCTTGTCTGGCAGAAAGTGAAGGCCAGGCATTTTTTGATGAAATGTCAGAAACAGACTTTTAAGCATGGGCCTTTCCCAGAGTTGTGGATTATGAGGACCAATGCTGCCTTTTTCGAGAGTCGCTGCGGCTTGCCAAAGTGGCTTAAACGTGGCACCGTCTTCGCCAGACGCTGAGTCTCCCTGCTCGAGCACGCCTTCAGCCTCATGTGCGGAGCCCAAATTATCAGAAATACCAAGGTGATCTTCGATTGCTTTAACACGCTGCAACAGATGCAGTCCAAGATCACCAGGAAGTGTATCGTACATAAGGAAAGCGTCGGTATTGGAATTGGTCTTCCAGGGTCCCGCAGCGTTAGCTCGAGGGACGAAGATACATGGCAAGCCAGCTCGCCTGCATCTTCGGCATGTATCACCATGATCCATCTTGCATTTCATCTTCTGCTTCCGACAGTTGACTGTGCGGTCACTCATCAGCGCGCGCCACGCTCTCATACAGAGAAGTTACTCACTGCATGCTTTGGGAGCACGTGGCTCATTAGGTCCTTCCATAGTGAAGTGGAGCTTTGAATTAACAGAGCGCGGCGCATAGATCAGAGGGCGACAGCTGTAGTAAACACCGGAGATGCCGGTGGGTTGCAGATACCACTAGCGGACCCAGCTTTGCCGGTAGCTTAACCGGCCGGGTTTGCCAAGACCACAGGCAATGGCTTGTCGCCTTATCAACCGCTGAGTTACGCTGCCGCAGTGCTCTCGTTGGATGTAAACTCTACGCCGCTGCAGAGGCCTGCGTAGAAGATGTTGATGGAACGCGCAACCGAGATCGCTCGGGAATTTGACCTGCGTACCGAAGACGTTGGTCGCATCACAGACAAACTTGCGCGAGAGCTGAGTAAGCTTCAAGTTCGACTTAGCTTGTATCATGTGACTAACGTCAAATCCCAGGAGCCGGGCTCCGACGCAATGGCGCAACGCAAATTCCTTCTTTTGTCACAACCGTTCCCAATGGACTCGAAAAGGGCAGCTACCTCGTCGTTGATCTTGGGGGCACAAATTGTAGGATCTGTCTCGTGCATCTGCAAGGGCACGGAAAGTATACAATGGAACAGAGGAAGCATGCAATCCCACGTGACATTAGGGTGAACGCGAGCTGCAAACCCCTGTTCAACTTCATCGCTGGGTTGCTCCGCGAATTCCTTGCGGGGACATCTTTTGCAGCTGCAGGAGATCAAAGTGGCCTTAAACTCGGATTCACGTTCAGCTTCACCTACATTAGCCATTCCTTATCACGAGGTACTGTGGTTCAATGGGACAAAGGCTGGGATCTTCCAGACGCCCTGGGTAGAGATCCATGTCTACTTTTGCAAGAGGCTATTGACGACATCGACCTTGGTGTTCGTGTCACGGCCCTCACGAATGATAGTGTTGGAACGCTGATGGCGAGAGCATACACTTCACCGTGGCCGTCTGCCACTCTTCTAGGTGCTATATTTGGAACCGGCACGAACGCTGCGTATGTTGAGCGGAAACGTAACATTTGTAAACTGGAGGGCATATCGCAAACCCCATATGCAGACGAAGATGGCATCATGGTCGTCAATACAGAATGGGGCGCTATGTGCGACTGTTCCGACTCAGTCCTTCCCCGATGTCTGTACGATGACGTCCTTGATATCGCCAGCTCCAATCCAAGGAGTCAGCTACTTGAAAAACAAATCTCTGGTCTGTATTTGGGAGAGCTCATGCGCCTTGCTATGATGAGCCTTCTAGACGAGAAGCTGTTCGGCATGAGCGTCACTGATAGTTCGCCTATCTATCACCAATACGCCATCGATACCTCATTCCTCTCCCAAGTGCTCGCAAATTCGACTCAACTTGCAATTGGGGAGATTTCCACCACGCTTCAAGCCCAGAACGTCACGGATGACGATCTCCGTGCCCTTCAATGGGTTGCTATTGCCATTACCAAGCGGTCCGCGCGTCTCGCGGGCGCTGCAATGGCAGCCATCATACTCCAATCAGAGCGGCTAAGTCGTAGAGTAAGTGACGACTCGTCTACGATCAAGAGCGCCGGGGCTTCCTGTAGCTCAAAAGAGGTCGCTGTGCCATCGCCACCAAAGGACCGCACGTATTCTAACGCTTACTCGCGATTCAAGAGCTTTGTGCATGCCATATTCTCCTGTTGGAGAGAACCTGAACTTGCTCAACCTGTCACGCCGAGAAAAGAAGCCGCCTCGCCACTAGCGGAAGGACCGGATGAGATGCATTCAATCATTGACATTGGTGTTGATGGATCCTTGTACGAATACTGTCCAAATTTTGAACATTACTTGCGCGAAGCCTTGCGTGAGATACCGGCGATTGGAGAAAGAGGTGAGTCACGTATAAGATTGGGGTTATCGAAAGATGGATCGGGCGTTGGTGCTGCACTGGTCACGCACGGAACAGCATAGGCCTGTCCTAGAGATTAGATGCAGATTCTACGTCGCCGCTTTATCTTACATGAATCTAGATATAGGGCTACAGGAGTTGACTTTTCGCAGCCTTAAGTTATTTTGTGAGAACCGGGGTCTGCAAGTTCAGACTCCGTTGGCAGTGTCGGATGGATCCTGCGAATCAGGTTTGGCGAGACTTCGGAAAATACATGAAACCCGAATTTCACATAATATTGCACTTGAAATGCCCATGATTCGTATCTGTGTACATTCTTTACTCTAAGAAAGGGTCAAGGTTGAGGAACGGATAACACATGAATTCGTCCATCAATAAGTCTGTTATGTGCTAAAGAAAGTGCTACGTACTACTGTTTCTCAGTTTATTGACTTAGCAGGTATACTCAAACTCCAACGACATCTTTGGTATACCTGTGAAGCTCTCTGGCACTACATACGAGATGTTGTAAATACGATTACGCTCCAGGGTTGTTCCATACACGACCGGTTGCTTCACTAAGCCTGCTGCCTCTACTGTGACATTCAGACAAGGCAGCCTTTCTAATCCACTGATTGTCCTTCTTTTATTCAGCGTCCAACTTGGTGGCAACTGCGCCACAGCGAATGTGAATATTTTTGTGCCGCCTTGTGTTGTATTGGGATATGAGATATCCAAAGAGTTGGGGCCTGCCACAGAGTCGATCGTGGAAGCACTCGGATACAACGAGAAGAAGGTCATGTACGGGTTCGGTTTACGAGCTGGGTCTCCCGCCCACTGAACAAGTGCAGGAACGTATTGGATGCCTCTGTTGACAGTCTCGTTCACCTGTTGGGTACCGATCATGAGTGATGAGGATATCCACGACGTGACAACGCGGTATGCGGTATCTGCGCCAATCCTCTCAGGTACCTTCTTGGTTAAAAGACGAGAGCCTTCCCAGGGACCGCTAGATTTGAGATGTGCAGCAGTTACGTTCGAGATGTGTGATGCGACTACATCAGTGACCAGAGCCAAAGCAGCACCTTGCACGATGTCGTACAGTGAGTCTGTTTCAAGCTTGTTGGTATGCGGGCCGACGCCATATCCATAGAGGCTCCAGAAGAAGTAGCTGAGCACAGCAGAGTTGGTCGTCATATCGCGAGAGTAGGCTCGATCATATGGGCCAACCATGTTGACAAGATTTGGATTATAGTGGTCCGCAATGTCTTTCCACAGTGCTGTCAGCATGTACGGTGCGTGTTGTGTCATAGTCGCGTTTTTGACGCCATACTTGATAGCGCCAGCAAGGGCCCAGACGTCCATGCCATAGTAGGTAGGCGCGTTGTACTCTGAGAATACATCAGAGTCCATGGCTTGGAAAAGCTGCATGATTGCGTCTCCTTGGTCGTTCGCATAGTCAATAAAGCTTGTATTGTTTCGTCGGGCTCCGATCCAGCCAACAAACCATGCACGCATGATAGCTGGATTAGTGTATGCTGGGGTCAGGTTGTCGCCTTCCGGGAAAGAACCATTACGACGCATAGAACCTACAGCAGCAATCTCAAGGCTATCTTCGATTCGACTGACAAGGTTGGGACCAAGGAGATCTGAAAATTCTTCGACGAGCTGAATGAGCTGGGAACCGATGAACTCCCTCCAATTGGGATCATATGTATCCTGCAAACGCAACGATAAGCAATTGAAGTCGAGCTTGTTTCAGTTTTATCAACAGAGACGTACGTATATCTTGGGTGGATACAAGTCCGAGTCAGGCGTTGGATCTGGTTCATCTGGCGACAATTTGAAGGTTCCGTACCAGGCTGTGCCATAACCTTCTGTGTACTGGCAAGAAAGACTGGATCCATGGTAAGATTTTGTCAATCTGAGCAAAAAGAGCATACACACATGTTCTCCACTGCCGCTTTCGCGTTGGCAACATCATCCCCTTGGTTGCGGTACAGTATTCCTGCAGTGTACCATGCAGTGAAGCGTACGCTCCAAGGCCCATTATCTGAGTAGGCAATGTACTTGTAGGAATTATCGAAACGGAGATCGTTGACATGGTTTGACCAGTCGAGGAGACTCTGTGCAGCTGATGCTGTGTCAAAACTTGCAATCTCTACGAGGATATATAGAGATCTAACTTACAGGCTGTCAGATGTTCGGTTTTCTGTGCAGCCTTGACTCCTGTCGTTCCCAGGAGGAGAGCTGCGAGCGATAGATGATTGGCTTGCCAAAGTCGCATGACTGCTTGATGTGTACCTTGAGACGGCGTCTACTTGAAAACAACCACAATTGGGCGATATTTTGTAATGCTTGTTATTGCCTTGCAAGATAGGTTTGTACAAAACTTATATACCAGCAATACTTGGGTGACGATATTTGATCATGTTGCAAGTTCACTTGTACTAGGTCGCCTGTGTGATACCTAGCTCCACACAAAAGATGGGGGATCTAAGTTTACCGATGTTTGCCGGATGCTGGGGCCCGGGAGAGATTGGGGACGATAAGCGATAAAAAGATCGGCCCACGGATCGGAATCACGAAAAAGGCCCAGATCTCATTCACCGAAATCTGAAGATCATTCACGCCTGATACTCATGTGTTCCACATTACTTATCTTGCTATTTACTTTCCCGGATCAACAGCAAATAAACGGCCTTCAAGCTAACGAATTTTAACACAAAACTTAATCATTAGCAACAAGGACACCTAGTGGCTAGGCTTCAGTAAATGAGCTATTTGAGCTTTAGTATAGTGTGATTGCTTGGATGTTGCGTAGTGAGATGCTCGTCGCACGTCCTAGGCATATATCTACTATCTAGTCTGCAACGTGGGAGCATGTGTTTGACATGTTTTTGTCATCATTGCCTACATGTTCAGGTTGAAGGGGTTAGCTTCTGTGAACATGCAGTATCCGGCGCAGGTGGGAATTAGATAATAGGTGGTATAGCAGCATCACAGCTGACAGTATTGAGAGGGACTTCATCCAAAGTGGTTCATTAAGCAGAATATCAGGAGTGGCCATGCGGCCGATCCTTCCTAAGAGTCAATCTAATTAAAAAGAGCTTGCGAACTTGCTCTAATTCCTCTAATTAATTCCTTCAGAGATCTCACGTACCGTGGCTCCCTGCTTTGCATCAACGGCTGATGCTTCCACTAGCTTGAGCTCGTATTCCTTCCCATCTATGACAGCTGCAGTTTCCTCGAGGCTCAGATTGCTAGTCTCGACAAACAGGAAGTACACTACCAAGAGTTCGAATGCTAACCAGACATCATAGGTAATGTAATACTTCCATCCGCTTTTATCGAGTCCGATTGGGTTTGCGTATTGGTTGAAGATGAGCGCCAGAGCAACAAAGAAGTTGTACAGTACCAACCCACGTGCACGCAGATTGAAAGGTAGGATCTCAATGCAGTAAGTGACCTGAAGAGGGGTCCATCCCACAGAGAAGAAAAAGTTGTAGAGGAAAATCATGGCCAAAACACCTTTCCCGTAACCTGCAGTCCCAGTGCCGGTCTTGGCTACCTGTTTGTCATACGTGGCCTGGAGTGCAGTCCAAATGATGTAGACTAGCAAACAACCAAGAGTAGACGTGAGAAATAGTGTCCTCCTCCCGAATCGATTGACCACGGTCGAAAAGGCCAGACTCCAGACCATACTCCACAGCGTCAGGAGCGCGTTGATGAGGGTCTGGGTTTTCTGGCTTTTGTAGCCAATTGAATCGAGGATCAGGCTCAAATAGTATGATATCAGACCGTTGCCGCTCCATTGCGAAAAGAAGCCAACAGAGAGGATGATAAAGAAACGTCGAATGTTACCCCTGGTCTGGAAGAAAGTTATATACGATGTCGACTGAGTTGCCTCTACTTCAAGCTGTAGTGCGGCTCGGATCTCTGCCATTTCCAGGTTGACAATAGGGTTAGTGTCATCGCCATTGGCGTGATATTTGGCGATGATGCGTCGAGCCTCTGGATCCCGCTCTTTGGATATCAGCCATCTCGGCGATTCCTCCCCAAGGAAACAAAGACAGATTTGAACAACGCTAGAAAGCCCTTGTAGAAGAGATGGAAGCCTCCATGCCCAAGTGCTCTGTATGCGGAAACTACCGTACGTAATCCAGGCTGCGGATAAGGCGCCCAGATTCCACAAACTGTTGTAGATGCCTACCACAGCACCCTGTTGCTTAGGGTACGCCAGCTCTAGAAGAAGCAGCGGCGCTGCGGTAGTGTTGAGAGCGAGACCCATACCCATGATACCGCGTGCAGCAATGAACATCCCAACACTCTGGGCTGCAGCTTGGAGGGCCGTTCCGAGAACAAGGATGAAAGCCCCAGCGACTAGAGCGGGTCGACGTCCAAATTTATCGCAGAACACAGCACAAAAGGGAAGTGCGACGAGTTGACCAATACTCTGGATGGCATTTAGACTGGTAGATAGGGTCAACCCAAATACTCTTCGAGGTTATTCGGAAGACTCACAGGCCAAGCTCAGAACTGTCGGGATTATTGAAGGAACTTTGCCATGAGTCCAGGGACTGCAATCCATTCATCATCGACCCATCGTAACCAGTCGCATAACTTGATATTTGGAAGATTATGAGCATCAAGTTGAGCTTGACCATCCCATGATTGTGTAGCCATGTCGGTCCTGAAGCTGCTGCTGCCTCAATTGTCCTGGGTGGACCTGCAGAAAGATGATCCGTCATAACGAGTATATGTTCGCCCTTTGAACAGACTATGAAGGACACCGGTGATGTAGATCGTTTGAATGGGTGACGAACCGTGCCATGATCGATCGCATTTATGTTCGATGCTAGCACTATCTGTGTACCGACCGGTAATAGGCTAATGGCGAACGTGGAGAAGTTGCCACTACCTGAGTCGTTATCATGCGATAGGGTTCCTGATTCCGGCTAAAATGCCGACCTTTACCGTTAGCTACAAAGTACCTAGTACCCAATCAGCTTGGAGGATGGGATACGGACATGTGTCGTACAAGAGAACAGCCGCTGGTAGATAGGTATTCATGATTGAGTAGATACAATAACTTTTTTCCATTCTCCTCAAAGCTTTTACTTTTCGACTTTAATCTGGATCGAAGCATCCAATAAATCACAGCTCTGTTTTGCTTAGAGGCTGTCCAGTTTTCGAAATCTTAAAGCCTCCTGGAGCTCGAGTCTGAAAGATTTGTTTAGGATCGTACTTTGCTGCTGCGGCTCGTATCTTGGCTACATTCGCTGGGCCGTAGCTTCCTAGAGGATCCTAAAACTGTCAGACTCATGCAATATGTACCTCATCGATGACATACCTGGGAACCGTCTGCATAATTGAGATAAGCGAAATCAACAAGTCCGTCCAAGCTCGCCGCGTACTCTTTCATCGCCTTTGCAGAGGCTTGCAGCTTTGTCCTTGCGAGTGTTTCAAGCTCTGGTGTCTTGACAGCAATGTCATACAAAAGCATGACAACATTGTCAGTCTCTTTGTCCAACCCAAGAACATTGCCTCCTTTTGCAATGCTTTGCTCGGAGAAGCTTGTCGCAATCGACTGGAACATGCACTGAGTAATGAAGTCGGGGTCAGGAGTCTCAGCTTTCCACTCGTTAACGAACTGCTCGTGGAGTTCAACGATCTTCTGATAGATGCGGACGTCGTTCTTGAACGTGAACGTGTACCAAATATCACTATGTATTGGTTAATAAGACATTAGAAGAGCATAGAGCAGATTCACTCACTGGTAACCCGCTGGTTGCTCGAGCTCGTCTGTTAACTCCTTGTGACTTGCAATTCTCATGGTTGAGGCTACAGCATCCGGAATTGCCATGAACTGATCGAATCCTGGTGGCGCTACGTTGCCAGCAGTATCTTCATATGCTGTGAGAATGACGATATCGTTCATGGCAGGCAAGTAACTCCAGAAGATTATTGAAGACCCTTCCCGGTAGTTGTTGACGTTGTCCGTCCACGCATGATATGCATCGACGAATTGCTGGCCGGCTGACTTTGCGTAAACCATCGTGCCACCCCATAGGCTGCCAGCTTCGAAAGCTTGCACATCGAATCGCGTAACGATACCGAAATTGGTTCCTGAACCACCCTTCAGTACCTGAAATAGGTCACTGTTGTCATCGGCGTTTGCGTTGACGACCTCTCTGAGAATTGGTCAGCCTGTCTCTCCGTCCAACGAAAACATTCAGACGCACCCGGATGCAAGTACAACCTCAAAGTTTTTGACATTGTCACATGCGAATCCTTGTTGAGCCGTGTAGAAAGAGTTCCCACCTCCGGTCAAAAATCCCGCTACACCTACGCTTCCAGCTCGACCACCAGCCACGGTGAAACCTTGAGGATCCAGTGTTGCGTACACCTGATTCCACCGAGATCCCGGCTGTATGGATGCAACCTTAGTCTTAGCGTCAAGTACAGTTGTATTCATCAGGCCAAGGTCAACCGTCACGCCTCCGTTGATGTTGTTTGAACCGGCCCACGTGGTGTGGCCGCCGCTTCGAACCGCGAATTGATCTTGCTGGCAGCCTACATCTGTCACGAGAGTCTTCACTGTCTCGCTGACTTCTTCTGTAGATACAGGTTGCACAATACAACTGGGACTTAGTTGCGCACTGACCGACCAGTATGATGAAGTGCGGTTGCGATATTGCTCGTCGTTGGGATAGAGGACATGAGCAGATCCCGTGCGCTCCAGCGCTTCGCACTGAGCGGACCTTGTTAGCGAGTACCTTGGTGAGAGCACGGATTGGACAACAACATACGCAAGTATTGTTAGATGCCGCAGACGCCTCTAATGTATGTGCCAAGGACGCACACAGGCCCAGGAGGTGTCCAATCGATGGAGACGATGGCTTCATGTTGCAAGCACTTTGGCTGTTGTATCTTCACCAGATCAGTGATACGCTGGGGATGCAAATGTTTCGATCCGTGCAGAAGAGAGATTGAGAAGGTCAGAGTGGCGCGTTCTGCAATGCCTAGGTAGAGCGCGCATTGAGTCAACATGCTTGTAGACTGCGCCTACTGTGTATGTATCTGTAGTGGGGAACGACATCCGAGTTAAAGGGCCTTTGCCTCATGTACACTGGTATCGGAGCAACTGTCAGATTGCCGTTAAACTTTTTGAGATCTACATAAACAGACACCGCCTTTGCATCGAGGCAATACTCTGAGCGATGATAAGCGGGTTGCCTGTGCCTGTGCGGCCTTTGATCGGCCCGATCCGGGGCTTGGCATTGAATCTGGCAGCGGGGATTATCTTGTCACAAAACATGTCACGCACGAAGGATCTAGCGTGTTCGGTCTGTAATTGCAAGCTCGCGAAATCTGCACAACGACTGAGTACACAGGTATATGCTACCCATTAATGACAAGCAATTCGCGAGCATCACTGCGCTACTTGCACGTAACGTCATTTGAAGGGGTTTGCGCAGGCGCACACCCAGCTCTCACTATAGTCTCACAACTGAGGCCAACGCTTGTAGCGGTAAGTTGTTAAGACGTCGACATAGATCTCCTTGATAAGCATTGATGTATTTGGGGCATACCTAAGAAGGGCCTTCTTCTGAGCAAGTGCGCAGTTCGTCAGAATGATAATCACGATCAACGAACTTGGGTCATGAGACAAAGCTCTGCATCACAAGGAGTTTAGCCTGGTCAGATCTTTGCACGATCCTCCAAGAACGCTGCCCAAAAGGATTCGTATGTATTCGGGCCATCCGTCAACAGAGCTCCACTTTACATGCAACAATCCCCAAGACTCCTGTAACTGTTTGGGGGTGGAAACCCAGTACAAAGAAACATAGAAAGGAGTCGCTAAACACCAACTGCAATCTGGTCACTGCTCTGAACCCATCATCATTGACTTTTACAACCACTTGGTTTTGATGTCCCATTGTCACCATGTCAGACGTGAACGGTACTCTGACGCTGGTGCCGCCTCCACCTGGCTATGTCGTCGATTTTGAGAACCCTCAGCGTCAACTTCAGACGCAAGTCTACACCGTCATTGTTGTCGAAAATCTACTGGCGCTCGCATTTTTACTACAACGCATGTATACACGGATTCATCTGATGAAGCTGTTCCAGATTGAAGATGGTGAGATGAAGTCTCTAGATTGACCTCAGAGTATTAATTGCTAACAATTCTAAGGGGCTGTGCTCGGAGCATGGATTTTCTCCATCGGTACGCAAGCAGTCCTCTTGGTAGGTTGGTTGCGGGGAGTCATGGGTGTCCATGCATGGGAAATATCACTGGACGACTATGGCCTTTACTCTCGACTGATTCTCGCTGCGCCGCTCATATACGCACTTTGCACGGCTTGCGCCAAATCTGCACTGTGCCTGTTCTACGGTCGACTTAGCCCCAGTGTAGTTTTCCAAATTGCTGTCAAAGCCACTCTGGTCCTCATCATAGGAGCTTACACTGGCATCTTCTTCAGCCTCCTGTTCGCGTGTCGGCCCATCGCTGCGAGCTGGGATCCTCTACTTGCACCCATCGCGCAGTGTGTCAACGTAGGTGCAATTTACATCAGCACAGCGGTCATCGGTATTGCGACTGATATCATATTACTGGGTTTGCCTATTCCGATGATCTGGAAACTTCAAATGCCGCTGAAGCAGAAGATCGGTCTTACGGGCATGTTCATCATTGGATCCATGTGAGTTAAACTCTCTCAGCCCCCCGACATCCTACACTGTGTTCACTAAACTGACTCTGACAGAACCATTGTGACGTCGATCATACGTCTTATTGTGCTTCTGCCTTCATTGACGTCTGTGGATCAAACTTGGCTTATCGGCGAGGGGACACTATGGATGTCAGTACTCTTTGTCAACTTCGGTTGCTTGACTAACTTGGTTAACTGCAGATTCATTGAGTCAAACTTGCTTGTGATTTGCTGTTGTCTGCCGACGCTGCGTCGCTTTTTCAGACATGTCGCGCCACGATTGATTGGCGAGTACGGCAGTGACCCGTCTCGCGATCGCGACGAAAGCGACGGCCCTAAAATTCGCACTTGGGGAAGCCTGACAACAAGACCCAAGCGACAATTCGACACTCTCATGAATACGGTTGACGACCCAGAAGACGTAGGCGACATTCCATTAGAGCTACAGGGTGACCGGAAGAAGCTCGGCCAACGCGAGTCAAAAGTCGAGGTTGGAGCTGTGAAGGGCGATGATGACAGTGAAGAAGCAATCCTATTCGAGCGATCTGTACATGTCACATACGAAACCGCCCGATCTCCACATAACAGTAGTTGAGGTAGGGGAGATGACTTTAATTAATTAACACGTTGTAGAAAGCCCTGTGGAACCAGAGTCTTGATGGGCGAACTGATAGCTAGCACATACAAATAACGGGACGAGATTCAATGCAGATCTATGTATCTTTGATGACAGCAGCAGCGTAACGTTTGCAACCGTTTTCTCGCCCTATTTTATTGCAGTGTTATCAATGATCTCTTAACGGTTGACGCAGTCGTCTCCTAGAACGTCGAGTAAACAGTCTCATCCCTCAACACGGTAAGGTTGTTCCCAGAGATGTATCGACATCTATTTACTTGTGCACTGCTTCCCTCGGGTCAGAGACTAGCGCGACTACCGTGTGACCCATGCAACCTAATTCTCACTTTCCAGGAAAACTAGCAGGTAAACAACCCTAAAGCTAAATAATGTAGTGATGACAATACCCAAGGCTGAATTGTGGCTAAAACCACCTACACTGTGGAGTAAAAAGAAGGGATCCATAGAGGCCTTTTATATCCTCTCTACTTTGCAGAGTCTAGGCGGTGGTCGACCAGTGCAGGGGCTGAGAGACAGAAAGTGGGTGATTTTATCAGACATATGATTGAAGTTTTTGTACACAGGTGAGTTGTGCGCTTCGTGAGGAGTAAAAACAAGATTTAGGAGGGTGTGATTTCAGGGAACTGCGATACTTCACTGTATTGTTGTGGATTGTTGGTGGACAGAGGTCAGATGCTGTAGGAAGGGGCATCAAGCCGGCGCATTGAGCAGTCGCAATGACCAGCCACGACGCACTGATGTGCATCATTCGTTAGCTTTCATCTAATTTCTCACTGGCCTCTTATTGCAGAAGCACGAGTGCAGAAACGAAAAGCAGAAACCCTGCAAAGCTTGCGCAGCGAACTGATACACAGGGATATACTATGGATTGGCTTCCCATGTTAAACGCTATACGAGCGCCAATGCACTAGCTACTATTGATACGACCAGGCACGTCTGAGATACCACTGATATAGCTATAGGCAAGAAACAACGGATTAGTACAATGAGAAAGAAGTTGCCTCATCAGTGCAGCTGGCTGTAGGCAGAGGACCCTAGTTGTAGTTCAGAAATCTTGTAGCTGTGCTAAAGAAGACATCCATCCTACAGACTGTCATAAGGTATCTCGGATGCTCCTAGACGCGGTCGTCTTACCATCGATATCGGCAATTATAAGCCATCAAGACGTCAGCATAGACCCCTTCAACGAGACTTCAAACTTCAAGAATGAACATCAAGTCGCAGTTTACACGTGGCCTTCCCTCAGGTAGTTACCTCTTACCCGGCTATAGATACTCTTAGCCAACAAGCAGTCGTAAAATATCACCTCCCAAGAAGTTTAAGTTCAAACCTTCGAGTCAACGTGTAGCTCAGAAAAGCAAAAGCAAAGCCCAGCTCGAACCCAACGTCCCCGCCATAAGGGGCTTCTCCCGCCTGCAATGCGACAGGACCCACATACCAAACCTGGCTCATACCCACAACCATTCCAGCGATACCACAGCAAAACGAGAAAATAGCTGCCAGACCAGGTGGGAGTTTAGAAGCCTGATCGTATAGTGCCGGATCGTACGCGTCCATACTGCGTTTGTAGATGAAGTGATCACTGAAAGCAATGCCCTCGTAGATGGCGAGCCAATAGCCTAGGAACGGTTAGACAAATCCTGCAATACGAGAGAAGAGGACCTGCCAATGAAATTCATGAAGTTTTCTAGGATCGTCTCAAAATGCGTGTAGCCAGGAATAGCGATCGCAATGTACACCGCTGTCCCCACGGCGGTCCATACGAAACGTGGCATGCGCTGTGTCAGTGATCCGCCCAGAACCTGTATCGTGAGACCGACTGAATATATGTTCGGGCAATTGTTAGCAATGATGCTCAACGCAAGAATGACAAGGCAGAATTTGCCAAAGCCTCCCAGGGGTCCGAATAACACAGCGGCGAGGAGACCGCCAGTCTTAGAGGCAGAATATCCTGCCGAATACTTGTTCTGACCATCATTGAGTGTGGTTGCAGTCATGATGGCGATTCCCAGCATCTCAGTGAAGAGAAGTGGGATAATCAGACCGATCCAAACTGCACAGAAAACTTTAGTCCTTGACTGATTCCGTGGCTGATAGACTGTGTAGTCTGCTGCGTAACTCGTCCATCCCGTAGAGAAGCCATAAACCACACTTCCGAAACTGAGCACACTCCCGAGTTCACTAGTACCGACGCCCATTGGAATGTTCACGAAATCTCCCGAGTGCGCAAAGACACCAAGAACGATAAGGAATACGATGGTGGTCGGGATCCAGGACCAGAACTCGTACACGTGAACAATTTTATAGCCGAAAAAGGTTACAAGTAACGTGCAGAACGCGATGATGATGATGCCGGCGTAACCAGGGACATCGTTGTTGACGGCGTTTATCAACTGGGCGCCCACGATGGAGTTCACCGCCGACCAACCAAGGCATGCAAGCATGTTGAACAAAGCGACTGTGATGCGTCAGCGAGGATCGATGCTAGGTAAACGGGAGCTATAATGCCCGTACCTATCTTCACTCCATACCAACCAAACCAATACCGAGACAAAACCATTTGTCGCAATCCAAGACAAGGACCAAAAGTTGAGAAGTAACACACGGGTATAATTCCGATAAGGTTGAAGAACAAGCACACAAGGCAGGCGTCCACGAATCCGAGGAAGAACAGCGATTGCGCGAGCAAGCCGATCGCAAACGACGACACGACCATGTTCGTCGAGAGCCACTGATACCCATCGTCAGCGGCTTACCATCATCTGCGTCACACACACTTACCATCGTGCCAACGTTCAGTAGAGATGTGTCGTCTCGCTCGTCCTCGGGGACTCGCTCGATGCCGCGCTGCTCGACATGGAACCGCGCCGCAAGTCGCTGTAGCTTTGCATATAGAGTGGTCCCTTGCGCAAACGTTTCTCCATGTACAGCGATATCGTCGGCGGACAATCTGGTCCTCGAGAGTTCGTCTTTCTCTATGTCTGTCTCGAACGGAGTGTGGTCCATTGTGTCTGTCTTTAACGGGGTGTGGCCCATCAAGTCTGCGTGAAGGGCCGGGATCGGATGGAAGAGCGCCGGGAGGAGTAGTGTGAAAAATCGCGTGAACGCTGCTACATCACAGGTACTCGACCTACAACAACTAGAGACAGTGAGGATTTGACGAGAAGGTGAGCGATATTAAGGTTCTTGACGGCTATAAAGGCCAGGTTTTGGCCTGTCCGACATGCGCACAGAGTCTGGCTCTAATACTGTAGATACCATCGCGCTTCGAGCAGGGTGTCTAGGTGCCGGCCCATTCGCAAGATAAGCCCCCGGTGTCCGCACGGCGAAGACCTCGGCGTGATATCGTACAACACGACCGGTGCGACGCGCTCGGCTACTTAATGTTACCTGTGTCGCAGTCGTCGCACCTGCAGACTTCGACCCCGCAAATTCCGACAGCTCAACTCACACGCAGCCCGGCACGCCGGTTACTCACCTCAGCAAACCATCAATGCGACCACCGTTGCTGCCTCTAAACCCCCTCTTCTATCTTCGCGATAAGATGTCTCGGTGCAGCCAATGAAGTAGACGATCGCCAGCGGTGTTCCCCGCCTTATCTCTCAGGAAAGCTTGTTGTTGACAAGCTCAACCAACGGGTGTGCCCGCGTCTACTCCGAAGATTCGTACCCGTCGTGTCTTTCGCTTCTTGATTTGACATAACTCTACTGTGACTCCAGCATGCAAACAGGATGAGCAATTCTTGGATTTGATGGGGGTTATTTGAATCGAAACGCTGACTTCTCATGCAATCGTGCACAGCAATCGGGTTGGAAGCGTTTTCGCGCGCTCGTGCAGTCGTTGAAGTTCTGTCGTCAACGATCGCGCAGGTACCTAGCTAGCTAGCTAGCACCGCCGGTCGTTGTACGAGGCAGGTATTGGGAAGCCCCGCCAATGAATCAGCCACAATGATAGGCAGGTGCGACAGCAGATCCAAAGTGCACAAATCTGTTCCGAGGCCGGCGAGCCGACCTGGTGTTCACACTATCACTTCAGACACAAAGCTATGGAGTTTGCTGTGATTACCAACACCGCACCATATCTTTGAGGTTGATTGTTGGTACCAGCGACGAAATGCACTGGCGCCCTGTAGTCACATAACTTAAAGCTCAGCGCGGGTGGGCAAGATGGGCGCACGGACAAGGTGCGACGCAAGCATCCACTTGCATTCCTCATCTCGATCCCACTGTTTGCGGTCACAAACAAAGCAGAAACTCATTCTTACTGCACATTTCAAGATTCCAAACATGGGAGCAAATGTCAAGAAGGTACTACGCGGGTTAGCTTCCCAAGAGTAGACCCTTGCAAGAAGCAGCAACCTTCCCAGAGCGTACATATGAGCACTGACGCAGAGCTAGTATACGTGCCTGACTAGATACTACATAACGTGGAAAGCTACTGGTGTTTCTGAACGACACAGACCAAGTTTTCGTTAACATGGCTCTCTTCAAAGGATGCGTTCCGCGAAAGTCACGATCCCGTGGACTTGCCTCGTACAACGATGATGTAATCTACCCGTTGTATAAACTGGATGATACCAACACCCTGCGGAGTTTGCTGCTCGCATGGACTCTTAGCTTTAACGACGTGTTGGACGCAGAAAAGCTGCGCTCTTCATTGGCCAGGCTGCTAGAGATTGGGGATTGGAGGAAGATCGGGGGTCGGTTGAGGCTCAAGGTAATGCTGATTCTAGCCACGAATCTGCCATCGCTGATCGCGTTTCGCTATTAGAATGGGACATTGGAAATCCACGCGCCACAGAAATTTACCCCAGACCGGCCGGCGTTTTCATACAGTCATGAGCATGTCGATATGGCTATGGAAGACTACGAGAGAACGAAGAACTTCCCCAGATCTAACGGCGGTGTGTCGATTTGGCCAAGCCCTTATACTTTTATTGATCTTGCGGCTCGAGATGGTTCGCCCAAAACGCCGATGGACCTTCTGGCTGGAGACACTCCACAAGTATCGCTTCACGTCATATCATTCACCAATGCGACAATTGTCTCAATTCTATGGCCCCATACCCTGATGGATATCATGGGACAGAAAGCGTTCCTTGATGCTTGGTCAATGGTTCTGGAGGGTAGAGAGTCGGAGGTACCACTTGTACTAGGTGTCCAAAAGGATGTGCTGCAGGTGGCCTTGGATGCCCCAGTGGGGGGGCCCGACAACTACGCTCTGAAATCTAAGCAAATTAAAGGATCGTCGTTGATCAGGTTTATCACAAGGTTTGCTTGGGATATGCTACGCGGCCCAACACCAGAAACGCAAACCATATGCCTGCCGGAGAAGACAATTGCCACCATGCGGCTGCAAGCAAAGATGGACATCACCACATCTACCAGCGGAGAAAAACCACCGTTCATGAGCGATGGTGACATACTCACAGCATGGGCAATGCGGGCGGTAAGCGACTCAATGCCTCGGCCCCGGCCGATGACCGCACTACACGCAATGAATGCGCGATTCCGCCTCCCGTCGCTCAAAAACGCTTCCGGAGTATACATTCAAAACATGATTCTTCCCGCCTACACATATCTATCTGTAGAAGACACATCTCGGCCGCTAGGCGCCATCGCGTCAAGCAACCGGCAACAACTTGCCTTCCAGGCGACCGAAACGCAAGTACTAGCCAGCATGCACGAGCAATTCCAGTCCAAGGACCCCTCAAAGCTCCTTTTTTGCGACGACGATGCGCTCTTGATGCCTTTCACGGATTGGTCCAAGGCCAACCTGCTCCGCACCATCAACTTCCGGGCTGCAGTCATCCGGGCCGGTGATAAGAGACAGACCAGACGTAATCCTCCAGGCACACCGACATTTCACCATGTAGCAACCATGAAACAAATTCGGACCACGAGACTGATGGTTGTGATAATGGGCAAGGATCACGAGGGCAGTTACTGGCTTACGATGACCTTGCCACCTGCGGCGTGGAAGAAAGTCAGGGAGTCTGTAGTGGATCTGGGTGCTCGGGATTAATTTATATGCTAGCTTTATACGTTATCAGTGACATTAAAGTCTGCAACATGAATAAAAGCTTCTACCAAACATGTTCGACCTTGTTATGCTACAGCTAACTTTGCTGACCTAGACAGAGCCTGCACAATTAGGCCTTAAGCTAGAATTACACTCCTTACAACCTTCATGCTGCTGTTATAAGTCTCCTTATAATGATTGGCTTAGCATTACCCTACACTTGACGTTCCGTTCCGCAGCCTTCTTTGCGTCCTGTCGCAGCAAGGTAGAATTAGCATTAACATTGTAGTAGATCAATTGGTTGCATTGCTTATTGCAGTTCCGCATTGCGCAAGTTCGCGCAACAACAAGTCCTAGCCCAATAAGCTGGTGCAGTATTGCTGGCGCGTAATTAACCTTGTACGTCGCGTTGATAGGCCTTGATAGCCATGTGAGATACTGTACCTATGCACGATTTGCGCGTAGCAGGCCTATATATACGCTAAAAATAATAAAATCCAGTATAGCTGATTTAACATTCCAGCCATAGACCTAGCATATAATGCATTAGCGAGCAGACCCCCTCTACATCCACATTAGGCGATTGCGAACCCTGTCCCAAAATCGCGCTCAATATAAGCTAAATGCTAATTCTTTCCTACTGTACGATGTAGCCTAGCGTGGCAGTACTCTTTCATTTGCGGCGCCTCAGCGGGTGGAAATATTGCTGCCGCTCTTGCGCTGCTTCTCGCGACAACAAGCCCGACCCTCCCATCACTGAACAGTATCTCTGCCGCCCTGCGCTACTCCCAGATACCAGTGTTTCGGCCGATATGGCTCACCTTTACGAGTCTCGGACTGAAAATGTCAACGATCCTGTACTCAAAGGCCTCTAGCCCGGCGCTGTCGAGGCCATATATGCCTCCGAGACGAAGTCACCGTTGTGGGATCCGGATGGTCATCGTGACGGACATAAGGGCGTAGCGAACTGTTCTTCTCAGGTCACTAGTTCGGATCCTTCAATGGATGAGGCTGTGCTATATGATCGCAAAATGAGGGAGACTGGCGCGTCGACGCGGTTTGAGTTGTATAGTGTGCATGGGCTTATGTTCTGGACCAGTTAACCAGAGCTGGAGGAGAGAAGAAGGGCTGTGAAGGATAGGTTGACGGTGTGCTGTGGTTGTTAAAGCAGTAGCGGGTAAGTGATGGGCGGATTGCGTTGTCAGCAACGTTCAAGTCGAGCTGTTGTTGTCATACAAACCGTTTGAGAAGCGTGTGGATTTGCTAAAGCTAAGTTGATCACATAGACAGATTGTTGGTAAATCTCGGCCAACGTTTATTTCGAGTAGTCTGACGAACTTACGCTCTTGAGGAATGGCCAACAAACGTGCTCTCAGCTCAGATTATCAGTCACACATCGTCAAGAGATCGTTTAGCTGCTCCAGAACTGTTACTTCCCGTTCATCGATGACCATATCGTTCTGAGATCCGTTGTTGCTTCTAGATACCAAAGACGTGAAATTTGCCAGGGGTACGATAAGACAGAACCCAGGAATCTGACGCTTGCATAACTAACATGCAAAGAGACCAGACTGCGAATCTCAATTCGCATCGATCATAGGGCGTCACTGACCGCGAAGGATTGTTGCTGCTGTGCATCTCCCAGGTCCACAAGGGTAGCGTGGTGACGAACGTGGCAGCATTGACGCAACTGGGGCCAGCGGTGAAGGCTTAGACAATCTGCAAGCGTACTAGCCGTGTGAAAGCCACGAAGCTTTCCGGCATTAGAACGACCATCCCACCTACCAAGAAGTCTTTGTGAAAGCTTGCGACTGCTTGAGCGCGTTCGCAGGGCTGTAAATGAGCGCGGAGCCAATTAAACCGCTCGAATTACCTACCCGATATTGATCCGGAGCTAGAACGAGCTCTCGGCCCGAGCCCTGACCTTTCTGCCAGGTCCGCTTTGTTTCAACAAAACTCAAGCGTACGTACGCATCGAAGCAAACCACACGTACGCGCAAGACCCTGTACACAAACATAATGCCTTTCATTGGTCGACGTTGAGGGCAAGCACCAGGCGCCCACCACGGGATACAAGCCACAGAGTGTGGGTCGTTGTACGCGTCCCCGGCGCGCAGGCTCAAAATGTCGTCTCTCATCTGTCTAGATGTCGAAGGGGTCAGTGCCGCGTCATGAGCAAGGTCAAAGTATAGCAGCATGGTGGGTTGCGCAATCGAGATTCATCAGGTCTTTGAGATATAAGATCAGTCGACGTCAACATCTCAACCGCATCTACCATTTTAAGCTCCATCTTGCATTTCGGCATTTCATCTTCAGTTCGTCATTCCCACGGTGATCATCGATCAGTATGGTTCAATTAGCTTCCATTCTCAGCAGCGCTGTTGCAGTGTCTTCGCTCATCAGCAGCGCAGTCGCTCACCCCGGCGAGAAGCATGACATGGCGCTTGTCAGACGTCAAATCGATGTCCGTCAACTGCGCGCTACTGCTTCCAAACGCTCCCTCGAGAGCTGCCAGGACTCGCTTCAGCATCGTTCGCTGATGCAGCGGTCCCACGCCAGGCGCTCCGAGGCTCTCAGCTTCCTCCGCCAGAAGCGCGGCATTATTGGCAAGTCTAAGAAGTTCCGCCGCGATCTTGCTCTCCTCCAGGAGTTTGAGGCTATCAATCACAATCAGACTGGTGTTCTCGACTACTCACCTAACACTGATACGGCGACTATCTTCGCGGCAAATACGAGCTGCATTCTCGCCCCCGAGGTCACTGACGGTCCTTACTACGTCAACGGCGAGCTCATTCGCAAGAATGTTAAGGAGGATCAAATTGGTATTGATTTATACCTCGAGGTCCAGTACGTCGATGTCACCACCTGCCAGCCTGTGCCTAAGTTGTTCGTCGATGTCTGGAACTGTAACGCTACAGGCTACTACAGCGGTGTTGAGTCTGGCCAGGGTGGTCTAAATACCACCTTCTTGCGCGGTATCCAGGAGACTGACAAAGATGGTGTTGTCGCTTTCGACACCATCTTCCCCGGTCACTACGATGGTCGTGCCATCCACACCCATCTTCTCACGAAGTCGTAAGTCGCCTTCTTGAGCGAATTCAGACTCGATATTCGAACCGCTGACACCATACAGGAATGTTACCGTCCGTGACAACGGAACAACTCAAGACGGTGCCGTTACACACATTGGCCAGCTCTTCTGGCCCGAGGAACTCAGGTCCGAGGTCGAAGCCACATCCCCATACAACGAGAATACCCAGGCCATCACATCCAACGATGATGACATGTGGAGCATCATCCAGGCCGAAGACGACTACGACCCATTCCCCCAATTCGTGTATGTTGGCGACGATATCACCGACGGTCTCTTTGCTTGGATTCAGATTGGTGTCAACGCTACTGCCGACTACACCGACGATGACTACTATAGCGTTGCTGCTACCTATCAGGCTGGTGGTGGTGTCGCAAACGCTAACTCTGGCTTCATTGGTGGCGGAGGCGGTGGTGGTGACCTGGGAGGAAACAGTACTAGCAATGGCACCTTGCCCAGCGGTTCGCCCCCTTTAGGCGCTATTCCCTCTTCTATAGCCGCAGCCTAGAGATAAAGTAAGTATAGAATAAGTTAATTTCTCTTTACTTTATTATATAGATATATTAGATATATAAAAGTATTATAGAGTTAAGTATTAAACTACTATTATAGAAGAGTATATAGAGGTAGAATAGAGCTACCTAGATTAGACCTAAGTGTTAAGGTTATACTTTAAGCAAAGCTAATAAGCACTATTTAATTAGTTCTTAGGGATAAATACTATTAAGGAAACTAAAGGAGTCTTGTACTAAGGAGTATAGATATAATCTATCTATCTTAAGGGTAAAGAGTAATAATAAGTAGTATAGAGTAGACTATCTAGCTTAAAGGTTAGAGTTAAGATCTAATATTATAGATTAATACTTAGGTTAAATATAAACTATAAGAGTTATATTCCTACTTACTATATACTAATACTAAGGTTTGCTTATTAATAAGTAACTAATAAATATCTAATAAAAGGTAATAAGGGTACTTATTAATAAGTAGAGCTATACTATACTTATTAATAAGTAGTAGTCTATATACTTGCTTATTAATAAGTAAGTTATATAACTATAATTATAAGTCCTACTTACTATACCTCTATAACCTAGACAGACTCTAGTTAGTTACTTATTATACTATACTATACTCCTTTATAGGATTATAATACTACCTTCTCTTTCTATCTAGTTTATTCTTAAACTATATAAGTTAAGAATAGGATTATATATAGCTAAGTATCCCTATATCTAGTAATAGGTAAGTTAAAATATTCTTATATATCTATAATCTTTATCTTAGTCTTAAAATTTATTAAGCTAATATACTATCTAAAGTTTCTTATAACTATTATTTCTTTAAAGGCTATAAGTACTATATTATGCCTAATACTCTAAAAAGAATAAAATATACTAAGTATACTAAGGCTAGCAAGCTATATATTAATATATTCTAGGAGTTATTAGACTATACTTATAAGAAGTATTATAAGAAGATAGAGAATAATAAGACCTTACTAGTAACTATTATTATATAGTTATTATAGAATAAGAAGATTCTAAAATAGGCTAAAGACTATATATAGTATAAAGCGTTAGGCCTAGTAAATAAAATAATTAAGTTAGAAGAACTTAATTTAGTAGAGAAGGCTAATTATTCTATAGTATTTATTAGTATATATACTTTACTAATTATCTAGGGCGCTATAGGTCTTATAGAAGAGTCTATAGCTAACTATAGTACTTTTATACTAGTTAGTAGTAGTTAGTAAGGTTTATTACTAGTTCCTATATATTCTCTAAGTCTAGGTATCCTAACTACTTAACTAGATATTCTTTATCTAGTCTAGTTTCTTAATATTTTATTATTTTCTTAACTTTCTATTTATTATTATTATTATTTTAGTAATAGAAGTCTTTCTAGATTAGTATATTAGTATTAGCTAGTTCTAATAAGGAGATATAGAATATAGAGTATATTTTTATATCTTTAGGTAGCTTAAGTTAATAGTTAACTAGGCTAATTTTTTCTAAAATAAAAAATAGTCTAACTTTAACTTTATTTAGTTTTTTTATTAGTCTTCTTATATATAGGTTTTTTATAAGAAGATATACTTTATCTCTCTTCTTTAGTAGAGGTACTATTTTTCTTTTCTTATTAATATAAGAGATTGCTTATAACTAAGCTCTAGTAATATTTTTAAGTAATTTCTAATATACTTTCTTTAGCTTCTATACTAAGGATATTACTAATTCTATTTAGATATTACTATTAAGACTTTATATAAAGAGATTTAGATATCTTCTATAATTTATAAAGAATAGTATTATACCTATTACCTCTAATAACTTATTATTATATATAATTTATACTATAGGCAAGAGTAAAACCTAGTTATTCTACTACTAGTTATAGTAGATATAGAGATATATCTCTATTATCTAGTTTACTTATTCTATTTATATATCTATCTATAAATAATAGGCTATTAAAAGCTTCTTCCTTATTTCTATTACTACTAGGAATATTATCTAGAAATTTAAAGTAAAGAGCTTATCTTTATTACTAATAATTAATTTAAGAATACTATAGTATTAAATAATCCTATCTAGAAATACTTAAGTAAGCTACTTTATAGTATAGCTATATTAGAAAGGTATAAACTTAGTAGCTTTTATAAATCTATCTACTACTATAAATATTAAGTTATAATTATAGTCTATTATAGAGTCCTTAGAGATTAGTAGTTATATAATAAAATCTATTATAATATTTATCTATAGTATAGTTAGTAGTTTTATTACTTATATCTCTCTATACTTAGTATATATACTATATTTATTCTATTAATAGTTAATATTTTTTTTAATATATTTAGTAACCTTATTATTTATATTTAGAAACTTATAATATCTTCTAATAAGTTCTATAGTTCTTATAATTCTAGGATAACTATATAGTAGATTATTATAATAACTATATATAATTTCTTCTTAAAGGTTATCTAGTACTTAACTTAGTATATAGTATTCCTATAATATATATATAATATTATTAAGCTATTATAATAATCTAAAGGATCTATCCTTATTAATTCTAAGAATAGTAGCTCTATTAATTATTTTCTTACCTACTAGGTTATATTATTAGCTAAGTATATCTACTCTACTATTATCTTTATCTAGAGTATATAGAATCTTAAATTTATACTAGCCTAGCATTTCTAACTATCTAACTTATCTTTAGTTTAGAGTCTTAGTAGTAGTAAAATATACTAAGTTCTTATAATCTATATAGATTATAAGGTCTAAATAGCTTTCTATATATATTTACTAATATTCTAGAGATAATATAATTACTAAGAGTTCCTTATTATATATATTATAGTACTCTTCTAGTTCTAAGAACTTATATAAGTAGTAAGTAATTAGATACTATTATCTATTCTTTTTCTATATAATATATACTCCTAATACTAGATCTAAGGTATTTATCTCTATTTAAAGTAGTTTATTACTCTTAAATATAATTAATATTAGAGAGTTAATATATACCTATTATAATAACTTAAATATATTATTCTATTTATTTCTCTATAAGAAAGGTATATTCTTTTATATAAGCTTTATAAGTAATAAGGCCTTCTTTAAGTAATCTTTAATAAATTATCTATTAAAGTTAATAAACCTAAGAAGTTCTTAAATCTCTTTAATTATTATTAGAGTAGGCTAATTTTTTACTATATTAATCTTAGTATTACTTATCTTAACTCTATATTATCTTATAATAAACTCTAGAAATTTAACTTCTTTCTTATACTATTTATACTTCTTAGGTTTTAGTTAGAGTTCTACTTACTTTAAGCATTCTAGCACTTCTATAATATATTATATATACTCTTCTAGTATCTTAGAGTATACTAAAATATTATCTAGATATACTACTACTATTCTATTAAGGTATACTCTAATGTCGCAGCAGAAAAGGCCTACTTATAGCAGTAATTCTAGAGAATCTAGTGGTTGCGCGTAGCTATTATTTTGCCCTATTTTTCTGTAACAGTTATGAGCCCGGACGCTGAAACTGCGCCAGCATAGGCCAGGTGGATTCTGAGTAGGTGGGTGACCACGTGTTGGCACGCCGCCCGGGACCTCAGTTAGGACCTCCGTGCCCGTGGGGCACGACCTGTGAGCCAGGCCGAAGAGCCAGGCACGGGAGGCAGGCAGGCACTCAGCAGTAGGCAGCTGCGAGCGAGCCAGCACGGCCTTGGTGTGCCTCTTGATTACTAAGACCGTGGGGGGTGTGTCGCAGCAGAAAAAGGCCTACTTATAGCAGTAATTCTAGAGAATCTAGTAGTCGCGCGTGGCTATTATTTTGCCCTATTTTTCTGCAACATCTAAGAATATTATTAATTAATTTCTAGTATATAGCTAGTATATTTATTAGACTAAATAATATAACTAGGTACTTATATAGTCTATATTTTATTCTAAATACTATTTTTTATTCTTTATCTTCTTTTATATAGATAAGGTTATATACTTCTTTTAGATCTAATATAGTAAAGTATTAAGCTCTTTATAGCTAATTCTATAACCTTATAATATTAAGTAGTAGATAGTAGTTTTTAATTATAATTTTATTAAGCTTTCTAAAGTTAATATAAAGTTATAGCTTACTATTCTTCTTTAGAATAAATATAATAAGGTACTTTATAAGTAATTCTAATCTTCTAATAAATCTCTTCTTAAGGTTCTCTTAAATATACTTATAAAGTATACTAAGTTTCTTTTCTAATAACTAGTATAGTAGCCTAAAAGTTAGTTACTTTTTTTCCTAGAGCTTAATTTTATAATTTTAAAGTTTATACTTAGATAGAGCTTTTACTATAAGCTTTTTTTTAAATATCTTTATATATTATTAATATATATCTAGAATACTAGAAGTTATATATTTATTCTTAACTACTACTTTATAAGGCTAGGGCTAGTTACTCTCTATACTATATGCCTAAACTATACTAATAGGGTAGAGTTAGGTTGCCTCTAGGGGCGAAAATAGTAGTTGCCCCTAGAGGCAAGGTCTTAGCATCGCTTGCCTCTAGAGGCAAGAGGTCTATACTAGGATTCGCGAACTCTTAATCTGCTTATAACTAATCTAATATAGCTTTAATAATAAACTTTTATCTTTAGAGAAACTACCCTTCCTAAATATAAATTCTAATAAAAGCAAAACTATAATAAAGCATAAAGATAAAGATATCTTAACTAAAATAGGAAAAAGGTAATATATAGCTGTTAAGGAAATTAGGGAGGTAGACTCTATCTATAACCAAGCTACACCCTACCTACTTATAATAGCTAAATTCCCGATTAATGTGCTTACCTTAGAATAGAGTATTAGTGCGAACAGGCCTATTAACCTAGCCTATAAGCAGCGTCTCTGCTAGATCTTTAACAAGGTAGGCGTTCTTTAGCAAGACAGAAGCTACTAGTTATAGGTTGCTTGCTCTAAGGCGCAGGTGC